TGCTCGAAATGCGTATCTTGGCAAGCACCAACCGGATCCCCTCCTGAGGCCGAGAAGTGTCGATCCACATCTGGGAGTATTATCAACATCCATGGATTCCCCCAGAGGCTTCACCTCAAAATTAGGGGTGTTTGCCCCTACTTCAAAGATACGCGCGCGTGGCCTCCACAGATTCTACCCGGCCGTTGCCGTCGGCATTATTACTTCAAGAATGATAGCGAAACGGCCAGCCCTGGTTTCCTAGTGTTTGTGGGGGCGGAGATTAGGTGGTGGCCTGCGACTGTTTGGTGGGCGATTGTAATACACATAGAGTCGAGCAACACAGCTTGAGGATGCGGTGGAGATTGACAGGCGGATCAATCCCGCATCCAACACAACGCACCTTTCGAGACAGAAACGAAACGGAAACAGGGTCAATCTCGAGGCAGGTCAATTCAGCGTTTTGGTCTTTCGAGTTTATTTTGTGCATTTCAGCGTTTGGGGAGTCAATTGTATGATACATCACAAAATGTCTGCTTCCAAGGACAGGACAGAGTGACATCTACCTTGGTCAGTACATCTAAGTCCGTACCTCCGGCCACCTGATTTCTCTGCCCTGTCCGCCGTTCGAAAATAGTGCGTAGAGAAAGACGGGGGATTAGGGTATTAGCCCAATTAAGAAAGACGGGGAAAACATCAAGCACAAACGGTGAAGGACAAAGCCAGGTCGGTGGCAACCTAGAATAGGCCGGTTGAAGGGGGCGAGGACTGCGTCTAGCCAGCGGGGCATGAGTGTCGGATGCATTGATTTTGCTCAACGACCGATGCTGATCAGTGTTTGCTCTTTACGTCTGCTGTGGGGTTCTACTCATCTATAGCTGTATTGATGTACTTGTAGTGGAGTCTTGGAAAGTTGACGGAGTCTTCGAGTGTGACGCTGGGGCGAGAGAGCCATGTTCTGCTCGGCGTCTTCTCCGGCACAGGAAGAAGAGAGGGCTTAAAAAAAAAAAAAAAGAAAAAAAAGGGAAAGAAGCTGTGTATTCATTAATCAATTCTTCTAGCCTATAGGTATACTAAGGTCCATTGTTTTCATACATCTGTGCAGTTTTGTAGCTAAGGCAGGAAGATATATCACAATACGCCAGGGAGAGAGCGTTGAACTTGCGTAGCTGTGTACATTCTGCCCTTGTCGAGCATTGATCCATGTGCATATTATTGGCGCTCGCAATGAATATTACATCCATTGTATTTGTGGAGGGCGGGCAAAGCATCTTAGCGAGATGTTGGTGTTTTTTCTTCTTTCCTGCTGAGCCGTCCCTCCGCCCTGCTCGGTGCCGAACGAGACTACATGGAGGGACCCATGTATAATCTGCAGGTTGCCCGCCTGGTCAGAATCGGCAGGGTTCCTCGTCATTACATGTATGGTTAATCTCACCGTTACGCCAAGGACGAGCCGCTCCGTTGATTTGTGAAGTCGGGCAAGAATATGATGAATTGTGAGTATCCACCTTAACACCGACGCCGACACCTCGCGTTTCCGTTTAGTTAGATGCAATGAACACATGGGGATATCCATGGATGGATGTATTAATGGAATGGATAGGCCGGGTGTGTAAACGCCGGCCAAAGTGGGGTGGCAGGCCCCTACACTTCAAACGACTTCAAGTTCTCAAGGGCCGAAAGACAGGGCCGGGCTGACATCAATGTGGCCAAATCTCTGCAAAGTTTCGCTGTTAGGCGGTCGCTTAAGACAATGAATCCAACCCTGCCGGGAAGCGGATTCGATAGGCTGGCCCAGCTGACTTGTTAGAAATGAGGCGAGGGGAGGGGAAAAAAACTCATAAAAATCACTAGGTCCCCTGTATAAGATGTTGCAATGGGCGTGGGCTCCGCTCGTGTTTCTGGTCACGTTTGCTCCGGCCAGCCACGACCTAGTTCAGGGAGGCCCGAGAGGTAAGATCGACGATTCTCGGGAATAAGCCGGGAAGATGGCTGGGTAGGGCAACGCCCTGGCCCATAAAACCTTGCAAGCAAAAGGGAAAGGAAAACGAGAGAAATGCAGACTTGTACGAGATCGTGGATCGGTGGTACGCTACACGCCACACGTCATGATATAGACCGCCTTCCGAAGTCTGAGAGCCGCTTGCCTGCGCTTGGCCGAGTCTTGGGGCCTGTGCAGAACATTGGGTGACGAGTAAACCCGGCCGGCCTCGAGGGGGTCAGCACGTCAAGCCAGACAACATTGATGGGGGCAAAGGGCTTGCGGGATAACAAAACATTGAGTGAGCACTGGTCCGTCACCTTGCCTACTGAACGAGTCTCACGCGACGACGATGAAAGTTAGAAAGAGGAGCTAAAAGGTGGGAGGGGAAGGAGAGGAGTAATGCGCGGGGAGGAGCCCTGCGTACGGGCTTGAAGGTTGAATCGTACGCTGGCAATGGAGACAGATCGGCCACCATGCAGCGTGAGCGAAGCTTCTCACTGGGACTGAGTGATTCAAGGTTACATGTGCAATCGTGCAGGCAACCCCCGCTCATACTTGCCCATTCTATTGCGCCTAACTTATTTTTCTGTTTGCTCAGGGATCGCGGATTGTAAATGAAGGTTGGGACGATGTAGTTATCGCCGCCGATGTCTACTCAGAGCATGTTACATGGCGTAATTAGAGAAAACATTACTATCAAGTCGATAATACCGTCCAAGAGCGGCAGAGCGAGGAACGGACCAAAGTCTCGAGACTAAGGGTTGCGCTCAATGCAAGACATCGATACGGATCCATTCAATCCATCCAGTCGCCGAACCCCACGCCCTCTGGTGACAGGGGCGGGGGTGCAGATTGGACTCTTACGACTATCTGAAAGGGAGAAAAAAGGTTGTCAATTTTTTTCTTTGCTTCGAGGAAAAATAAGACGAGGTCAGAGCTAACCAACCTACCGCGCTCATATGGATCGCCTAAACCGGGAAAGGTAGCCAAACAAAGCCGGAGGGAAAGAGCGGGAGCCGAAGGGGAACGAGGGAGGGGGTGAATGATACAGCGGGTGCGGGCGGATGGCTGGCTCGGTGTGACATCAATTTACAACACGAACCGGCTGTGGAGATGCCTTCGTGAGGTGTGACAAGTCGTCCTAGGTGGAAAAGCTCGCGGTTCATTGGAATATGCTTCCGCGCGGGCGTTCGCCAGACATATTGATTGGGATATCACCCGAGCCACTCACCCCATCATCCGTGGAAGAACGTGTAAGAAGCAGAAGCGGGTGACAGCACGAGGGCAGCTGGTAGCGATAACCGGCATGTTCACGAATGAATTTGCAAGCCTAGATGAGCCTTCTTGCTCCCTTCTATTGCTCCTTCCTTTTTTCCCCTTTCTCCCCTTTCTCCTTTCCTCCATAGTCAATCGCCAGATCTAGGGAAGCCACATACATGAGCCGCCTTGCTCTCCCTTTAGACCGATGGAAAAGATTCATAAATAAAAGAAGAGGAGAAGAAGTAATGAAGATCAATGTTGGGCCTTGTCTTGGAAGGACCGTGTCTGCCCTGCACTGCGCTGATGCCGTGTGTGACCAGCGGCCAATAGCGTCCTTGTAGTCTCAACAAATTGTAGTTGGACGCGACTGGCCCGATGTGAGCCATGCGAGAGAGCGAGGTCGACATGAAGGAAGAGGAAGCCTCAAGAGGAGCGGCGGGATTTTCAAGTCGCTCAACCAACAGCGTCCACGTCACAGGCCCTTTCGATGCACCAAAGTGCGTGCTCAAGGCCGAATACAGTGGGCGAGTGTACATCATGGCTCCGCTATCCGCCTGGGTCTCCTGCAACATATCTGTGGGTATGATTAGAAATATTGCACTTGGCCACGAGAATGGGAGAGCACAAAGACGTTCTCCTTGTAGAGAACGCTGCCCCGAGCCCACTACTGGGGTTGCGGTTACGACATTGCCGGAGCGCCTGAAGGATCACGGATCACGATTGAGCGGCGCTGAGAATGCGGATTGTCGGGGATCAAAAACACCTTCCGAGGGCGAGGCCGGTACAGGGCAACAGTCGAACCTTTGTTCGACCAGCCTTCGAGAAAATAAGATAACCCCTATAATACTTGTAGAAACGGAAACTGGAAGTCAAAACGTTTTGAATTCAAAGGAAATTGGGTTGCGGTTGCCCACCGTCTCTGGCCCCACCCATCCACATCGAGCCACAAGCCTACTACTGGTCTGTACACTAGGGACGGCAGTGAGAGACGACCATTGAGACGAACAGGGAAGGATCCATTCTTGGACATGAGAAATTGAGGGGAGGGGTGTATACTGTGGCAAGTACATACTGTACCTGCCACTTCTCAAAGCAGACCCCCATTTTTTTGTGTTGCTCCACATCCCGTACCTTCCCCTCTTCCGCGGCCCCCGGCCCTTCCCAAAAGCTGATGATTCGTCTTTCCATATCCAAACAGGGCTAAATAACAGTCGTCCCTCCCCTCCCTCACGCTCGCACTAGTCTCACCATATTTCCTCTCAACCCTCAGATCTGAAAATATCAACCTGCTCTCCTTGTTATACCCCCTTAGTGGCTTTCCTATCGACCCCCGCCTCTTATGAACGCCGAGTGGCCGCCTCACATTTGTTAACTATCACCATCTTCTATCTGAAGAAACATTCCGCCACTGGAGGACCAAGAACGCCCTTCAACTCAACACTTCAAGAGGAAAAAACCCTTGGACTCTTCGATCTCAAACGCGTGTGATGCATGGTGCATAGTTGCTTCCACCCTCAACTAATTTCGGACCGTCATGCTCGCTTCACAACACCACGCATAGTCCCTACATCCTTTTCTTTAAGCGCTCTACACTCGGAGGACACATTTTGCACGATCTATCCGCCCCTACGCACAACTTGACGCAGACCCCCGATCAATACGCCTCGGAGTTTTTTTCTTTCTCTTTTTGTGCTTGTAGTGCGTTAGGTCCTTGAACCTAACGTCCACTCATCCGTCCATCAAGATTTCCTCCCTCCCAGGTGACGATCACCGCGTCATGGCCATGGACGCGTTGAAAAACATCTCGTCGAATGTGCCAGACTGGTTGCAGAGGTTAGGCGAACTAAGCGGCCAAATCGAACAGCGTCAGCTCGAACTAGTTGCTCTAGGTGAGGCCGACAAGGCCGCCCGATCCATTAGAAATCGCGGCTCGAACGAGTCGCTATTGAAGAAGGATGACGATGAGGTCGCGCACCCGAACGCTCGACAGGATGATATTCTACTTGATAGCGCGCCTGGATCGGCGCCGCCAAACCAGCCGACCGGCGCGGGAGTATCGTCAACAAATCCTGCCGTGACCTCGACCGAACTCAAGCAGCAGACGCAGCGTGCCATGGCAGTGGCTCAAGCGCACGCCAGAGCTCAAGTCCGAAAGCGCCATCGATCTCAATCCATCGTGTCCGTCGAAGGGAACCCCGCAGCCTACCGGTCTCGGAGTATGATTATTGTCTATTACGACAGCTACGTCGAAAGCTTCTTCGAAGAACTCGTCAAGTTTGTCTCGGCCAGCCGGAATCTCATGCGAAAAGCTAAGATGGCGGCGAAGGTGGCGCAAATCAAGAAGTTAGCAGAACTTGACAACCAAGACGACGACGACGATGACGATGATGACCCTAACGCCCCCTCGACCCCTGCCATCACTCAGGTATCTCAGCAGTGCCCGCTCATCGGCACTATCTCCTGCGTTTGCTCGCCGAGGAGCGAAGGGTATGGGGGCGAAGCTAGCGATTTCTATGATAAACTCGACAAGGGTCTTGAGTATGTGCAGAGCATGTGCGAAAGGGCCGCGCATCAATTTTTGCGGGACGGCGACTGTAACGAAGAAATTGGCAATATCTCGAGGCGCTTGGGAGAGACCAAGGAGCTTGCGGACAAGGAGATGGAGAGGATCAAGGTTGAGGAACCAGAGCTCGCCAGTGAAACTCTTGAAGCACCCAAATTTCGAACCCACCGTCCCCCAGCCGTGAGGCGGGATCTGAGCTCGATGAAGGACCCTCTGGCCCCGGTAACCGCTAGGGATGCCCGCGATGTACGGCGCGCCGGGGCCGCTGCCGCGGTTGCGAGGGCCATGGCACTGGAGGTGGGAGTTCTCGAGCCAGATGATGACTTGCAACCGAAAATCGTGGTCGGTTCTACAGCTCTCGTTGCCGATACGGATATTCTCGAAGTGGACCCCAAAATGTGCATTCCTCAGCCAGCAGCGCCATCGGCTTAGAGTCCTCTCTTGCGTACACACACATGCGCCCAACGGTACACTTTCAAGCATACACTTCAACCCCAAACAAACTCACCAATATATATACGTGCACATCTCTACACACACACACACACACACACATAAACAAACACACACACATTCTGGATACAATGACGACCGGCTGACGCTCTCTTTTACCGTCCGAGATATTTCAGCACCTTGGCGGCCCTAATGTCTGCTTGTAACGCGGGCTTGGGGTCGACCGAGAGCTCTCTTTCGACTATACCAACTCTATAATGCGAAAATGTAACACGCGGAATCGGGTAATGCATAGCGAAGCACAATACTTGTTTTAATCCATGCTGCCGGCTCTCTCCTTGATGATTATACCGTTTCCGATTTTCATACACCATGATGACAACTTGGGGATAGCATCAGAAACCTCCTTTCTCGGAGACCCCACCGGGAAGAACTACACACATTGGGCATGGGTGGATACGGGCGTAGGATTGGAGTGTCTGTTATTTCAACTGGAGTTGTGATATTTCTTGCATTTTCTTCTTGTTCATTTTTCTCGATCTCTCGATCTCTCTCCGTCTACGATGCGCAGAAGCTCTGCGTATCACCTTCAACTTGGCGACTTCCTTCTGTTCGGTCTGTTCCTCGAGCATAGCAATGGACGTATGTAGATCATGCAAACAAAAAAGCAGACGCCTTAAGGCTTCCATAGAAATAAAGGGAGAAATATTGATGACGCTCTTCCTAGCGTGGCGCTGGATTTCGCATGGATCGAACCCAAATTTGAACCCGTCCCTTCTCTGTCTGTAGCAACCGACCTGTGGGATCTTGAATCTCTCCAGTCTCCCTCACCTTCTCACGAAGACCAGCAAGTAAATTCTGGAGACGTTTGATGACCCAAAAATGAGTTGCGTTAACTACTTCATACAGAGAGCCTGGATATTTATCTCCCCCTCCCGACCCCCTCGATACGTCTCTCCTCCCATGTTTCTTTGCCAGTTATCCACATTTATTCTCTTGAGATCAATCAGTCATTGCCGCGGGGTTCAGGAACTCGAAGACAACAGCGATATGAGGATGTGAGTGGTGAGCCAGGGTGTTTTCTTCTCGTCTACCAGTCATTGCACAGTGAATCAATCCGGTGGATCTATCTCTGGGCTCCTGCCCCGCCCCGCCCCTCCTAACCCCCACCCGACCATTCCGCCCTACCGCTTCAACGCTCTCCGCCTCCTCAGCCGAAAGGTTGACGTTGAAAACCAACGCGGGTTCGACATATGGACCGATATCTAGGCCCGCTTTGGAAAAAGATACGACGATTGAGAGCCCTGCACGTATAATTCTCGTCGATTTCGTCACGCCAATACCAGTCGCACCACCCATTCGAAGAACCAAGAAAAAAAAAAGGACAGCTCAGAGGGGAGAGAAGCTATGGTGGAAACCAAAGAGGCCGCTGAGGCCCTCGTGCCCAGGTTTAAACTCACAAGAGCGCTTAATCAAGGTTCCTCAAACCCCTCCCTCCCCCTTTTCCCCCTCGGTGAAATAGAAGAAAATGAGTGAGAAGAGAAACTTGCCTTCCCTGTAGGGATTGGTCTCTCTCTTGCTCGGCTACCGGGACACCTTCCACGCTGACATGCACATCCTCTTGCGCCCGAGATAGATCAGGCTGGTAGAAGAGTCTCCCTCCTAGGAGAAATTGACTCTCAGCCTGCTCTGCTCATTTTAGAGAGAGCTCCATTTCCGACGGAGGAAGAATATCTCCGCTCCGCACCGGTATCGCTGTCTCGCCTCACCAACCTAGGCGCGAACGACATCTACCACTGGTTTATGGCGGCTGCCGGGCCCCGTGCAGCAGAAAAACCAGGAGACGCCCAGGATTTCTTCCCCGATTTGAAAATCAACCTCATCTACCCCTGCACGGAAACGCACGTCAAGAAGTATAGTAAGCAGGGCGTACGCTTCGTCACGGAAACGCCCGAAATTTATAGGGACCATGTACGGCCTTATATGCAAAAAAGCGGGAACAGGGCAGGCTGAACTGGGTATTTAACATTATCGAGGGTAGAACAGAGGTGGAAGACGTTATATACAGAACTGTGCTAGGAGAGGCGGGCGACGAGGGATTTCTCCTCCTGCCGGACCTCAACTGGGATCGAAAAACGCTCGAGGCTCTGCATCTACTGGCGCTCGTGGAGCGCCGTGACCTCTGGAGCTTAAGGGATCTGAAGAAACAGCATATACCTTGGTTGGAGCACATGAAAGACAAGCTCATCGCCGCCACGGTACAGACATACCCTCCATCGAGAAAGACCAGCTGAAGCTTTATCTCCACTACCAGCCAACATATCACCATTTACATATCCATATTGTGCATGTGGCGCTCGAAGCCGGGGCCACGCAGGCGACAGGAAAGGCGGTGGGCTTGGAGAGCGTGATGGAAACGCTCAAAGTGATGGAAGGAGATGGCGAGGCAGGCATGGAGTCCGTCGCCTTGAGCTACACGCTCGGGGAGGCGAGCGAGTTGTGGGAACAGGTGTACGAGCCGCTCAAGCAGAAGACTGGTACAGATCCTCAATAGAGGCGACGAGACTATCAACGCTAGGGGACCCGGGGCAGGGCTCCCATTCGCCATTGTCTCGCACACAGTAGATCTCCTCATTCAGTCTTACTGTACAGCTCTTCGTGACGCCGGCCTAGTTGGGGAGAAAAAGAATCAGGAGTGGGTTAGCAACGATGGCCTCTATATCTGCTGCATAGTTGGAGGGAATGGGGACTCTGGCTTGTGAGGGGTTTGAGATAATGGAGGGCGGCCTCGTAGAGGATGTGCTTATTGTTTCACTCACCTCCTTAGTGCGGATGACGCTCTTGCGCAATAGATCAACGCCGTGGGCACCATCATCTCGAGAGGCACAATCGTTCAAAGCTTGGAAGTCGATGGCGTGTTCAAGAGCACAATCTTGAATCAAGGTTCGCTCGGGGATATGTTCGTAGTCTCGCGTGATGCACATAGTGAAGCCCAGCGAGATCTTGGGGTCGGGATATAGCTCAAAAGCACACAGTTCGAGTATGTTGCCCATGCCTAACACGTGGCAAAGTGTGAGTTAGCCTGGATGCTCGCCTCTACTTTCGGGTCTAGTTATTAGGTTTTATGAAACTTACATTCCTGGGGCCCATGCATACAGGCGACGCCATCGTTGTTTGTGGGCCTAGGCGAAGCATCTAGTGTTAGGAGAACCGGTGCACTGATAATTGGTGGGTGGGGAGAAGAATAGGCGGGCTGACTTACGTCCCAATGAATGACAGTGTGAAGTCGACCTTGTCATGAACTCGTTGCATCGCCGGCAAGACCAAGTCTCTCAAGCAGTCCTACATTTGATTTAGTTGATGCGCCTCAAACGGGGTTAAGTGACACCCGATGCGCGCGCGCGCACGATGGGGGAGATGGGGGCGGAGCAGCCGTTGAAAAGAGCGGCATCTCGTCGTACCTGCGCGTCTGGACACTTGCTCATAATGTGAGCCTCGAGAGGGATCTTCGACCCCGCGGGCCGTTGACTGTGGTCACCAACTCCATGTTCGTCAGGTGTCGGGGAATAGTGGAAGGGCACTTGAGGGGTGAGAGAGTCCCAGTATCGCAGCGAGCACCAGCCGACGACAAGGATGGCGAGAAGGGCAGCTAAAGGCCGGGCGGCACGAGTTCTCGGCATCGGAGGGGCGAGGGGAGGGGACGCAGGAAGCCGTTGTTTCTCGTTAAAGGACATGATTTCGAAGGGACGTTGTTTATTTTTCAAGGCAAGTTCAAAGGCGTTGAATGCCAGGGGTGCCGTTTGGCAGACTAGACTAGGAACCAAGGGCCGAAAGCCTTGGAAATTGAGCTCAGGAGTTTGTTGCGTTGCTCTGGTCTGGCGCACACATTTCGCCATCGCCTCGTGCACCGTCCATCCACTCAGCGTCACTCCACCTTGAACGCTCACTTTCAGCCTCAGTGGAGCCAGGTGTTGGGTGGGGCCGTGCCAGCTGTCACGTGTGGTGACGCATTGGGCCGTGCCGTTGACCTCAAGCAACGGCGGGCCTGGCCCCTTGTGCCAACCTGATCAAGTCCTAGGTCCCGTCGAGTGCCGTGGGCGCGCCAAGTCTATAATAAGCACGCCCGCTGGCTGTCTGTCCATCGCCCCTTCGGACGAATTGACCCATCAATTGGATTGCTTTGATGATAAACGCATACATATGTGCATCTTTTGATGTCCGGATCCGCGCCTGCTACTTGGGAGCTTGGAGAACAAGTCACTCATCTCGTTCTTTTACAGGTTTCTCTTGCAACGGAAAAAAACAAAAGGAAAGATGAAAAAGAAAAGCTACTACACAAGGAGTGCAAGGCACGATGTCAGAACTTAGGATTTCGCCTGCCGTTCAGGCGAGTGTGTGTGAAAGGGTACCCTGCCCGAGGCCTCAAGACACACAGCATGGTTATAAGCAGAGTGTCTCAGATATTTCATGCGCCACGGATCAAGCACCTGGCAACAAGAACCTCGTAGCCATAGATGCTTTTCCACTAGGTGGATATTCTGGATTGGGGGTCGGCGAAATAGTTGATTCCTTTGAGAAAAACGATCCAGATCGAGCGCCGCCCTTCTTTCTTGGCCCGGGTCAGATGTACCGTGTTCGTACCGCTTCGTGGGAGATGGAGGGCCCACGCGGCTGAGGAGTGACTCCGAACCTGGGAGAAATTAACGGACCGACAAGGTCAAGAGGGCGGAGGTTAGGCGTCTTGTGTCCAGCCGGCTTTGTCCCTTCCCCATTGTTCTCTTTGATTTTTATTTGCCATGTCCCACGACTCTAAACCCTGGTCCTGAGCCCTACCGGACGGATTCTCCCGAGCAACGCTCTCGAGCTATCAGTCCATCTCCGGCACGAATAATAAGGCTTTGTCGATCCCTGTTGGCCCATGCTCGAGTCTCAGACGCCAGTAGTCTGGCCATTCAATTGGCGTGCCGAGTGACAAAACTACCATGTAGGAGAATAGCTTAGGCCTTGGCCCTGATTATAGCCGCCCAAGCCCAACTCCCGAGTAATAAACTTTGACCAGATCCAGCTCAACTCAGAGCGCGCTCGGCGGGTCATCTATTCCGCACACTTGAAATCACGAGGCACAAGCCACAACCTCCAGCTCTCGGCGAATACGGCGGGAGTCTACGGGGTGGGGGAAGAGGAAGCAAGAAGGGCATCGGGTTCGGATGGCTTGCTAATGAGTGAATCTGGTTTTTGTGTACTTCGAATTGAACATAGTTAGCCGGTCGAAACACGCATTCGATGTTTGCTGAGGAATTCCGCTCCACGGATAACGTGCCCCACTGCCAAACCCTTTGTACTCGGGCGAACCCGCCTGAAGCCATTTTGGGGGCGCAAGCCAAGCGCGATAGGTGGCCCTTGGAAAATCACCCCCTTGCCCCGAACTTCTCTCTTTGAAAGCGACGCCATGTTAACCGAGTGATCTCGACACCTTGAGATCTTGGGGGCGGTTCCGCTCTTGTCACGAGACCTGTTCAGACGGTCGATTCGACCTGCTTCAAGGCTTGGGCCGAACTTGCAGCTGCGGCGCATTGCTTGCATTAGGCCGAGTTCTTGAAACTACCTAATCCCCAATCCCCTTGTGTGGATCGCTGGCACACTGCTAGGTGGTTAACCCTCCCCCACATTTGCTCTTCATCCGAACGGCCTCGCATCACTTCCACTTCGATCCAATCTAGGACATGAGATGTTCCATGCGTGCGTGGGCGCTCCTTCCCTAGCTCCCGCCACAGCTCCCTTCTTCCCTCACCCCCTTGTAGCAATCCCGCTTACAAGGCTATGATCACTTTGCACCATTCTTCACTGCACCGTCTATCGTCTCCCACATCCATCGAGCTTTCCCCTTCTCCTCCCCACCATCCGACTCTCGGCGCCAGTGCCTCTGTTAACAAATCCTCCCCTTGCAAGAAAGATATAGATAAAGAACCTCGCACGCACTCTCCACCTAGGTCCGCCCACCCAGGCTTCTCGTCCTCCCCAATTCCTAGCTATTAACCTCCTGCACCCTTCCTCGCCGCCCTCACCTCCTCGGTCCTATGTCACTGCCTTAGGGACGCAACGTGAACCTCCGCTCATAGACGCCTGCCCGCAAACCCGAGGACCCTTGGCCATTGCCCATTACTCACCATCAGTCACCTTATCATATATAGGTCTAGATAAACCACGCGGCACCCAAGTTGTCAATCCCGGCCCAGCACAAAGCGCCCTTGTCGCCACCACGCGCGGCATGACAGCCCAACCTCTCCAGGCGACTTCCCCTGAGGGAACGGGTGCCCCTACCCCGCTTGTGCAGTTCCTTTCGACCTTTCACTTAGATTCTAAGCAGCTACGCGCCCTCACGCAAAAGTTCGAGGTTACCTTTCGAAAATTGGCCGCCGAGTCTCACAATCAATTCCTGCCGACGCCTATTCTCACGTCCTTGCTCCGGCCTATTGGGGACTTGACAAAGGGAGAAGGCTGCCTCAATCGGTAAGTGCTCGCCCCTCCCCACCCCACGTGAGTAACTGCATGGGGATACGGCACCGTCGTACACCATGATTCCGCACTTGCTCGCGCCGCCGTGTATCGGCCTGCTTTCACGGCAGAGGACGGTCTTGAATATATGGGCTCGCTAACGACTCTACGGGCAATAGGCGATTGGCTATTGATATGTACGTCTACATCTCTCTTTTTCCTTCTTTTTCCCTTTTTTCTTTTTCTTTTTTTTTCTCTGTGTCTTGCCCATCCTCTCTGCCTTTCTCTCCCTGCCGCCCCCAGCAAAGTGAAGTTGGATGAGATTTTTGAGTAGGCTTGTTATTCATCCCCTTTAATCTTTATCCCTTGTACTTCTTCTTCCCCCTCCCCCTTACTGCATTTCCCGATCTCGCCGCTTCTGCTAACGAGCCCTCTTCTAAGTGGCGGTACAAACCTACGGGTTGGCTTCGTGGGATTGCGTCAAGAAACCGCAGAATCTGAAGACGACGATGACTCGGCCTCCTCAACTATAGAGGTCCTATTAGAGAGATCATGCCCAATCGGCGAGCAGCTAAAACACAAGAATCATGCAGCCTTGTTTGACTGGATAGGCCAAACAATTGCGGCCGTGGTTAAGGATGCCTGCTCACAGTGGCAACTCGACCCGCAGGTGGTCCTGCCCATGGGTGTGACGTTTAGCTTCCCCATGTATCAGCACTCGCTATCGGAAGCCGTCCCTATGTCAATGGGAAAGGGTTTCCACTTCGATGAAGGGACCGATTTAGGGTCCCAGCTGTTGCAAGGCTACGAGAACCACAGAACGCCCGACCTCCCACCTATTCGAGTCGTAGCCATCGCAAATGATTCTGTGGCAACTCTCATTTCTTTCATCTACCAGTATGGTGTGGCCGAAAATCGAAGCCCCGCGATGGGGTTGATCGTTGGTACAGGCTGCAATGCGACTGTTACCCTGCCGCTCGAGATACTCGGCGATAAAGTGGACACCATCTCTTTAGGCCCGGCCGCCGGCCCGAAAAACGAGCAGTGCAGAGTGGCTGTGAACACGGAATGGACGATAAACGGGACTGCCGGACCACTTCGGGAAATGGGGTTGATCACGAAGTGGGACGAGGAGCTCGATCAAGCGGGCGAGACGCCCGGATTTCAACCCCTAGAATATCTTACATCCGGCCGGTATCTCGGGGAACTTGGACGCATCATCTTTGTGGACTATCTGACAACGGAGTGCGGCGTTCCCCCTCATGGCTGCCTCCCATCCTACTCGAGAGATATTCGATGTCGACCACCTTCCTCAGCTACTTTGGGCCGCCTAATGCGCGATTCTTGGAGAAACTGGAAAATACATTCCCATCCGTGGCAGGGCCATCGCCTCACCGATGGACCCAAACCCACGTCGACGCTCTCTACCAAATCGCGCAAGCCATTCAGCGCCGGGCCGCATCACTTTTAGCATCCGCCACGATTGCCCTCTTGAGGTTGGCTGGAGAGATCCCTGCTGCGCCAGACACCAGGTACACCGCGCCGGCTCCTCAAGGCGTTAAGATGTTAGGCGTCGGGTACACGGGCGGATGCATCGTAAACTTTCAGAATTATCTGTATGACTACGAAATGCTTTTGAAACAGGCAATTCGAGACGAGTTTGGACCTTTTTCCCTGTCGAAATCGAGGTACAGCCCTGCCACGGCGGTGGTATCACGGGCGCGGGCATCCTAGCCGCCGCGGTCCTTGCGAGCGAGGAGGATATCGATGCGTCCTAACCGGGCCCTCAACAGAGATGATTGGCCTGGTTGGTCCGCTTTTGGAAGGAAGCTGGGAGGAACTATAATATGTGCTTGCTGTTGAAAATTAGGTACTTTCTGGGTGGCAAAATATAGGCTGGAGTTTGGCAACGAGCAAGGCTCCTTGGCGTCAAAGAAGAAGCTCAGTGAACGTGGTGCATCGTCGTTTAATACGTCATATTGGAATTGACAGAATAGCATCTTTTATCCCTTCACTTTCCGAGATTGATGCTGAATGTGCTTACATATGGGGAGATGAAGAACGGGACGGCAACGATGCAAGATGCTTAGCAGATAGAGAACCTACTTGCAAGTAGCGTCACGTTCGAGAATTTCTAACAAGATGAGACCAGGCGACCTACTCGAGGGTTTAATCGAGGAAGAAAGTGTACATATAGGTCAAGGTAAAAAAAAAAAAACTAGCCTCATGTTGGTGGCATGGGGCAACACTCCAAGAAAAGATGCGATGCAAGATGTTCTTAATCTCTACTAATATAAAACAGCCCCAGTCAAGCTCAATGCCAACGCCCGCAAAACCCGGTGGAAATACATTTTCGGAACGAGACAGATTTTCTACAACTTATGCTTTAATAAACACCGTTTGTCCCGGCCGTTAGCCCGGCAAGCTCGTCTCGGAGTCGCCTGTACTCTTCCTGAGCCTCCCTCTCCCTGCGGCTCACGAAGCTGACCTCTTCTGCGAGGGTCTCGAGGCGCCGCGAGATAGTCACCTCTTCGGATACGGCCAGGGTCTTGAAGGCTCCGAGGGCATTCTCCGCCTTGACGATATCGCGCGCAACTTGGGTGATGCGATCGCGCAGCACCTTTTGGCGCTTCTGGTAGCCGCCAAAGTGAAGGGCAAGCTTCTTCTCTAACTTAGCATTTTGCTCCGCCGTGAGCTGGATTTCGTCTTGAACGGCCTATTAAAGAAGTGTTAGCTGCAACCTTTTCCCTCGTCCGAGAACCAACAAAAAAAAGAAAGAAAAAGAAAAGAAAGGTGGATTAAATGAAGACGGGAAGCAACGAGAGAGGGGAATCGGGGATGAAGCTTACGTTGAAGGTTTGGGTCACTGCGGCGACCTTGACATCGTCATCATCGTCCTCGTAACACCCGAGTCCGAGGAGAATGGCGTTCTTGCTGCGTGCCTCGAAACTCTTCTGAATATCCTCGAGGCTGGGAATCGGGGGTGTTTCGAGCATGATCTGGAGGCCCGCTTCCGCTAGGGCGTCGTCGCTTATAGTCTGGAGAGCCGGAGCTTTACCAACCACCTTGATTCCTTGTACGGGATACTTGACTGCATCGTGCGCCATCAGAGCGGCGGCTTCCTTGGCAATCAGAGCATCGGGGATTCTGCCTCAAGGTCGATCTTGGCAAGCAGCTGTGACACGTTGATGAGCATTGGCCGCGGCAGGCCTTTTGCATGACTTGGGTTCTTCTCCTGCGCTCTAGCGCCTCGCGAGCCTCGCGAATGTCCCTTTCTCGACGGTCCCTCTCAGCGGCGTCCTCTTCTTGCACCTCGTCACCGTCGCCAATATCTGCCTGTTCCTCGGGAAGCTCTAGTTCCCACTCCGAATCCTTGGGTTTGGGGAGCGAAGAAAGCCCCTGCCGTAGTTGCTGGCGCACTGCGAGGTTGTGCATCTTGACGTCGCGGGGGTGGCTGATGCCAAGGACGCGCCGTCTTCAGCGTTCAGGGCAAAGGTGTCGCGCGGAGTGCGCATCGGTGTCTCTCCTGACCGGGCGGGCGTCGCGCCAACGCCATTTTGCGCGGTCCGCAGGGGAGTCGCGAGGGGTTTGGCGTCGCGATGACTTGCTTTCGAGGGGCGATGCCATCGAAACCTGTCGAGGCCACACCTTCGTGAAGCGGGGTGTTCTCGCCGCCTAGAAGAGACGATTGGGTCTGGGTAAGAGCTCGGATATTTCGTATTTCATTCGCGATGTGATCCTCCTGAGGGGCGCCATGGGCGTCCGGATCGGCGCCGAGGTGTTGAGGGTTGTGTAGTCGCTAATGAGACCACGGGTTGCGGCATTCTCGCTCTCCCGAGCCGTCATGCTCGCTCTCTCTCCCATAACACCCATCTTGACAATCTCTTCCAGCTCGCCATCGCTGACTTGCGGGGTTGGGAGAACGAGGGCACGGCGCTTGCTACTCTGCTCCGCTTCTCGTATGCGCTGCATCTGACCGGCTTTGATGGCGGCCTGAGTCGAAGCGGATTGGCCATCCTTGTCATCTTTGCGCCTCTTTCGGTCGGTGCTGCTCTCGTCCTCCCCTTGCGTTTCGAGGCGAGCTGGACCTTTCGGGGGTCGAAATTGGCACGTTGGTGTTCGTTGCGGGACATCTCGTCGTTGGTATCGTAGAAACCAGGTGCGGCCTTCTTTTCAAAGGGGATATCGGCGTTGTAGTCCATCTGGCCCTTCTTCCGCGTGGTGATCTTGACATTGATGCCGGCAGCCTTGAGCTCCCTTCTCTTCTGGAGGGTCGCCAGGCGGCGCGACTCCTCTTGCTGCCTCTCCCTCGCCTTTCTCTTGGCCTTCTTACCCTGCGTATTGGCGAGGCGCGCACGTGCTTCGCTCAACATCTCTTTCTCATCTTCGTCGAGATCGATGGTATCTGGTCGGGCCGGCCTTGTTTCGGGGTCGGGATCGAGTTCGCCAGGGCGGAGTTTGCGCACATCCTCGGCGGTGGGCGCAGCCGTCTCCGAATCGGCTCCCGTAAGACTGAGGCCTTCGCGGGCTTCGGCTTCGTCGAGAAGTTTCTGATAGCGTTCGAGGCATTGGTTCGCAGTTCGGCCTACAATATGCGCGATGGTCTTCCATTGCGTGGGCATGAGCTTGGCGATGTGCAGGAGCTTCTCATCCTCCTCGCGACTCCATTCGATCTTCTTGATGCTGGGGTCGAGCCATTCGTTCCAACGCGCCTTGCACTGCTTCGGCGTCTTGCGGGCAAGCAACGATGACACGCGAGCCCACTGGTTAAGTCCATATTTGGACACGGACGCCTTGAGGATTTCATCCTCGATATTCGTCCACACACCTCCCTTGACGACGGGCATATTTGCTGGCTTGGGGAGATGGGGGTGTCCGAAAAGGATACAGGATGATGCCGCAGAATGCGTGGCGGCGATGGCGGGTTTCGTCTCGAGACCAAGTCAGTGCATGATCCTGTTGACGAACAAAATTATTTAGATGTGGTCCACTGGGTTACTGCTTGCCTTGCCGCGTGCAGGACCCACGGCAGGGAGCTAGGAGGAAAGCTGACTCATCAATCATTTCGGTCAGTGCTCATTGGCCCCACTTATATAGACGTACACTGAGAGTCCAAAAGGTACTCCAGGAGAGCGCAACAAGGGGAATCACCCGGAGAGGTGGGGAAATCAGCCAAAAGTCTGTATACACTTGAAATCGAGATTGTGGATAAAAATGAGAACAATGGTCTCATGACTTCCTTAATACCGATCTAGCTCCTTTCGTTAGTGATCTTGATTTGGCCCCTTCCATGACGGAACCTTATCGATTGTGTAGAGGTGAAGAGACGGGCATATGACAAGGCAAGCGGGTGCTTAGAAATCAACCAGGCGCCCAAAGCAACATTGAAGTGTTGTCTTCAAGGAACCAAGGCACCTTGGCCTCGGTACAAGCTCCTTCTTGAGAGAGATCAATTGATTTGATCCGGTCGTCTGCCAGCCCCCACACCAATGATGATTGATATCCGATGACGGATATGCAGGCGACGGTCCCAGCAGCTGGGTTCTGAGAGAGACGGCCAATAATTCGCCTCTGCCCCCTTCCCCTTCTGCCTCTTCGGGCAATAAAAACACGTCACCCACTGCAAGCATTTGTTGTATTATTATCGGGTTTCGAAGGTTTCGACCCCATTGGAATTCGACCTTGATCACTGGTTTTCGGCCTGAGGTGGAGGAAAGGAATTGATTTGGCCCAGTGGATGTACCTTGGCAGTGTTTCGTTCGTTTCTTATCCACAAAGGTTCCCCCAGCGTAACCCATCAATTGCTGAAGGGAAAGATAATCTGCTCCCATTCGGTTCATGGACCTTGCATGCATGTCCAATCTGCCGCTTTCTCCGACCACTACCTTCCTGTTTCTCGGATCCGCCTTGGTCGTGTCAAAAGAAAATACCAGGCACCGACTTTTCTCTGGTCTCTATTCGTTGGGAGCCATATGTGTTGTGCTCTAGTTCCAAGTTGACTTGAAGCCCAGCAACGTCCCCCTCCTTCAAAGCTCAGACTTCAACCAGGAGTGGACTTCCGCCCGGTACCACCACTTCAGTTCCCACCCACCCCACCAGCTGCACGAACACGCCTGAGACCTGGTCTGGTCTGGTCAATGTTTTGGGCTTCCACCCGGCACCGCCCTCTTAAGTCCGATCCGTACGCTTGGGTGACGATTCTGGTATAATACCACGACCCGCGCACCACACCCTCTCTATTACCGCCGTCCCCCATCCGCCAGTGCCGACCCACCTGAGCTTCCAGTCTTGGCCACAGCTTTCCCACTCTTTCGTCAGGCCGAGTTCCACCTTTCCTTGCCCCGGTACTAGGAGATTTGCGCAAACCTCATTTTGCGCCTACCATACCGTAACACTTCCTTTCCAGATCCAATTGACCGATCGCGCCATCGAAGAAAGCTCGCTGCGCCAGTAGTCGAGATCTCCACGCCCGTTGCCGGGCCTTGATCCCTCCGGGCTGTGTCTTCATAATGGCCGCCCTCACAAACGGCGCTGGGCGCCCTGACGATGCAGTTGGCGGGCTCCGGCCGCGTCACAATGGCGCAGACCGAGATGCTCATGAAACGACCCGACTCCTGAACGACGACCTTGACGGGACGCGCATTGTAGAACCAATAAGGGACAGCTGGTCGGGGGCAGAAGATTTCAACGACGTCGTTTGGTGGCGTAGACCCTCTGTATGTTCTTCCGCATCCCTATTGCGCTCTCGCCGGCTCGTTCATACTGGAAGCTACTTCCCTGCGAAGAAGCAGTGCGTCGTGCGATTCGGTATCCGGGACTAACGGACCGTGGCCAAAAACAGATCTACTGGCTTATCGGACCATTCTTCCTATACACATTGGCGTTTGGAGGCATCATTGTGCCAAAACTGAACCTGTAAGACTCCTCTCGAAGCCGGAGAACGCAACGGGCGGATACCCTCTCGGGAACCCAGCTACTAACCTCGACCCCAATCTGGGGGTGGACGCAGAATCATTGATCTCATCTGCCGAGAGTACTTTGCCGACCAGACCTCCAAAGATCCCAGCTTGGTTTTCCCGCCAGTCCTCCTCGGCGGGGACAACAAGGAATGCCAAATTCCGCCGGTGCAGAAGATGGCGGCCAAGATGACGTTGATCATGAACCTCGTGGTGGGGTTACTAAGTGCGCTTTCCGCGCCGAAGCTCGGCCAGCTGTCCGATCGGTTCGGCCGGACCAAGTGGCTCGCCCTGTCGTCGTGCGGCGGCATCCTCGCCGAAATTGTGACGATTCTCGCGGTCAAGTTCCCCAACTCGATCGACTACAGGTGGCTTATCCTCGGCGCCATGTTCGACGGCATGACCGGATCGTACACGGCTGGGACGATTCTAGGTCAATCCTACGCCAGCGACTGCACTCCGCCTTCCAAGCGAGGGTGGCGATCGGGTACCTCCATGCCTGCCTGTTCACCGGCCTCGCGCTGGGCCCGATTTTGTCCGCCAAATTCATCAGGTTCACGGGCAATGATCTCATCTCCATCTTCTACGCCGCCCTCGCGTGCCACATCTTCTTTGTCTTGTTTGTTCTCTTCGTCCTTCCCGAGTCTGTGTCGCGCAGACGACAGCTGCTCAGCCGCGAGAAGCACGAGAAGGAGATCGAGGCCCGAGGGGGCGACGGCAGCTGGCTCAGCTCCCTGCGCCACAAGCACCCGCTGGCGCCCTTGAAGATCCTGTACACCAAGCACCCAGGAGCGACGTCTCGGTTCCGGCTGAACATCATCTCTCTCGCCCTCATCGATATGATTCTCCTCGGGGCCGCCATGGGCGCCGGCACTGTCGTCATTCTGTACAGCGAGTACGTTTTCAAATGGAGCAATTATGAAAGCTCGCAGTACGTCTCGCTTGTATCGACTGTTCGTGCTACCGTCCTCATGGCGGTGCTTCCTCTGATCAACTACCTATTCCGCACTCGTCCGGCCGCGCGGCGCCGGCGCCTCTCCCCGGGCCCATTGTGGAAACCAACAAGGGCTGCGACGAACTGGACCTGTGGATCATCAGGACGGCTCTCTTGTCGGATGTCATCGGAGCCCTCGGCTACTTTTTGCCAAGACAGAGGTGTTTTTCGTCATGGGCGGCATCATGACGGCGTTTGGCGGCATGGGGAGCGCGACGATTCAAGCATCGCTGACCAAGCATGTGCCCCCGGAAAAGGTTGGGCAGCTCCTGGGAGCAATCGGACTGCTCCACGGACTTGCCAGGGTGGCGGCGCCCTCATGTTTAACGGTCTCTACCATGCCACCCTAGAGACGTATCCGCAAGCGATATTCATCCTCCTCACGTCGCTTTTTGGCGTATCACTCGTGGCGAGCGCCATCGTAAAACCTCACAGTAAGACAACCCAGCAGACCGGGAAAGAAGCCTTGCTTCGTTACTCTTGCATCGGAACCCCAGGCGCTAACAATAGTTTCCATCTAGTGTACATTCGAGAGGATGTCACCCCCGCTGTCGCGGTCCCCTCAAGCCGTAACGACCCCGAGCTCCGCTGTCGAGGAGGAGCTCCTCATTTAGTAGCTCCTCACTTAGTATCTACTCTAGATGGCTCGCCTTAACGCGCCACCACGCATATATTGACCTATCCTTATCCGGGGCCTCGTTATTCAAGATTTTTGCCTCTTCACCTTCGCTTTTCTTTTTTTTTCTTCCTTGTCTCGCTATTTAGAGCAAGAGCGGGGGTTGGTTCATATGGTATATACATACATCAGTGCAACTTCAATGTTGGGACATGGAGCATACTGTATTAGAGATAGACGGGGAGAAGGTGCACAGTACCGGATAGTGTCAATCTTCAGCGAGAGGCCTTTCTTTCTTTTTTCTCTTGCCCTTCTTCTGGCTTTTTTGTCTTGTTTTTGTCATGCAGCACGGGGTTGAGATCGAATTGGGAGTTTTTCTCATCTTTGACTTGGTTATTGCAAGCAAGCATTATGCCTTGGACAGGCTATAGTAAAGCAATGAATTACATTGGATTGATCGAGAATGGACCTGCGGTGCTTTCGCAACTGTGACATCAGACCGACTCGGAATGGTGGGGAGGAACATGGGGGCGGGTGGTATCTTCAATTGATCAATCAGCATGTGCAAGCATTGAATTAATTGACGTCGGGGAACCTTGATGATGGATGGCGCGACCGCGGGATTGAAAGAGACCCAGTTGCTGGGCACTTGGATTGAAGATATTTCCCCTAATACAAGGCCCAGCCTCATCTCGATTTTCTTCCCTTTGGCAACATTGAAGATTGTTGAGCTTGAGGACTCTTGAATCTCTCAAACAAGACTGGAACCTCTTCTTCGTCTATGCCCGTCCCCGACACCTGCTGGCATTTGATCTATTGATTCAACCGGATTTCCCCAAACCTTGAAACAAGTGGGTGCCACCCAGCACCCTCAACCACCAGCTCTCCGGCAAACCAAGGAAACACGCCGCCTGCACGCGACGCACGCACGCACGCACACGCACTCTGCATCAGGTCCCCTCTCTCCTCCTCCCCCGCCCACCTCCCCGTCCCCGCAGTAGCTCGGGGACACCAACAAAAGAAAAAGGGCTGGCTTGCCTTTCCTAGTGGTTCAGGCTTTTCCACTGCAGCCGGAGGAATGCTAGCTCGGGGGTGGGCGAGCGGACGAGTGCTGCGACCCTCGAACATCTTGCATCGCACCATGGCGTCCACGTCGGCACCCAGCCTGATTCACTTTGGGCCTTTTGAGGTGACCAAGCAAGTAAGTCAGACCAAGTCAATCGCTAGCAACCGATTATCTTGACAATACTCGGCTCGAACCCCCCTTTTGCCCCCTTTGGCCCCCACCAACGGGGTTCGGATCGTCTTCACATGCTCATCCGCCTTGTTCCCACTTTTGCTATAGGTTTTCCTCACGACCTCCCACTCCTTTGCGCTCGTAAACCTCAAGCCCCTGCTCCCCGGTCACGTCCTCGTCTGTCCGCTTCGGAGGCACAAACGCCTCACCGACCTCACAACCCCCGAGATCACCGACCTCTTCACCACCGTCCAGCTCGTCCAGCGACTGCTAGCGCGGCACTACTTCCAGCCGACGCCCACGGAGACGGGGGCCGTGATTCCCGCGCCGCCAGAGGAAGGGTCTTTTAACATTGCCGTCCAAGATGGCGCCGAGGCGGGCCAAACCGTGTCGCACGTCCACGTCCACGTCATCCCTAGGATACGAGACGTCTCGGCCAAGGACCCTCCGGCGACGGGGATGCCCTCTACGAAAGGATGGCGACGGAGGAGGGCAACGTAGGGGGCGCCCACTGGGATAGGGTAGAGCTGGAGGCCAAGCGGCCCGTAGGCGGAGGGGCTTTTGCCAGGATCGAGGATGCGCTGAGGCAGTCTCGATCGCTGGAGGACATGATACGGGAGGTAGAGGTGTACAAGAAGGTGCTCAAGGATATGGGCGCGTAAAGCGTGAGCGGAGGAATTTGAGCTGTCAACGCATTTATGGAAGCGTTTCCTGATCTGCTTGTAGAAACAATCACCCAGACAGAAAGAAATAGACTGGTGGCCGCCGCTAGAGGCTAGGGTCGTCTGGATCCCGTAGATCCATCTCATCCACAGCCACGACGAGACCGGGCGGCTCCCTTGTGCATCATGCCTCCACTGAGCCGCCAGCAACTACAGGAAAAGTGTCTACGGAAGCCCCTCCGCTACTCCTGCGTGAAGGTATGCAGAACCCTCTATGATTAATTATATAGATAGCTCGCAGCAAGCCGTATCATCCATCTCAAGTCTAGAGCGAGCGGGAGTCCGAGCCAAGTTGGCAGAATCGTGGAGATTCAGCGATGAGATGCTGCTTCCGAGATCAAGGTCTTCCTAGCGGCTTGGTAGCTTTTTAGCTCTCTCGACAGGCCCGAGGATGAATGCGCAAGTGATCCATCGATGGTTAAACCTTTTCCAACATAGAAGTTCCTGACCGAAGCGGGGGTTTAACCCCACGCTAGCTCCGCTCCGTACTCCTAGGAGCACTTCCACATACATCCATCCATTAGATCTATGTAGCAATAAAGGTTTATGAGGAGGGAATATTGAACACAGCGGAAAACTCTGAGCCGCGTATTCCAGGGGGATGTCTTACAAGGCAACCGCGCTGGAATTTCTGGAAGGCGCATCGCTTGCCTACCTTTGTTATAACAACATTGTCCTCTTGTGATCTTACCTTCTCCTGCGGTCAATTGAGAGAGAGCGGACACTATGCTTTACATCACGCTGTTCTGCCGGCCTGCGGACAACCGGAAACGATACCTTGCACCGCCTAGGCATTTAAACCCACGGATCCATATCCACAATGTACAAGTGTGCGTTACTGAGAAGCTATAGGCGCTGGCGGGCGATTCGACTAAGACGTATCTCGAGGAGGCGCTACGGGGAGCTCTTATCACCACATTCGCCACGACCCCGTTATTATTCTAGGTGGCGCACCCCGTGCCCTCCTTCCTAAAGTTCGGGTGCTGTCCTTCCTTATCAAGCCGATACTAGTCGCTGGGGAGTTCGTAGTGAGGCCAGTCGGCCGTCCCCCCCACAAAGATCATACATACAATGTGCCCCTAGATGCTATTATAGTTATCTTAATCATCTCCAGTTACACTACTCTAGCTCCGCATCAGATCGTGGTGTAGGCTAGGCTAGTCGTGTGAGCACCGTACACCAAGCATACCTCCTCCCCCTTTGATCTCTCTACTTCATCGTCCCGACTGCAGGTAGACTCAACCTTTGACCCTTCGCTCCTCTTTCCGTTGCCTACCACCTAGAGCCTCCTGGTAAATTTAGAGGTTCCCTATCTCAGCCTCAAGAATGACACCCGCCATCCCGTATAGAGGGTGAGTAGCGCATAGAATCTCCCCCCTGCCCTCCCCACACGCCGTAGATTCGGCGGTCTTATCTGAATGAGACCAAGTGAGCTCACTGCTGGCTGACATCTTGTGATTTCCTGCTTCCATCTACCAAGTCGCCGCGGCACCGTCCTGCTTACAGCCTCTGCTGTCACTGTTGCCTCTCTCCTCGCTCTTCGGTATCGCATGTCTGTCGCGGCCCGCGATCGGTTTCTACCGCCTTCGGCTCCTGTAGTAAGACACAACTTCCACGTAACTGTCGATCGAAGCGGCGGCGGGATCTAAAGAAGCTGTCCCATGCGAGTGGACAGGCTTGGCTCGTTTTGAATCTCGGCGCAATAGGTAGTGGTTACCAAGAGAACAAGCAAGTCAAGTAATCCACGGCAGCGACGACTAAATGTCGTGCTTTGACGTTCACATTTGGGGCCAGAGAGCCAATGTATTACTTATGTTCATCCTCATTAATATACCAAATTGATCCTCGACGTAGCCTTCTGTAAATGATGATTTCGAAGGATATAGAGAACAAGCCAACCCAATAAACCAAAGGCACAGGCCTCGTCCCAGACGAGTTCCAAGGAAAAAGAAACAAAAACAGGAGAGAAGCAAAACCCAACAACGCCCAGGAAAGTGCATGACTATGGCCGCCCTTCATACAATATACAGGATGCATCAACGAAAAAGGGAAAAAAAAAGAAAAGGCCGCCGGAATTGGTGGGAAAGGGAAAACGAAATAAGACAAGAAAACAGACCAAAGCATCCATGCAATGGCCAGACCCGAACACACGCACAACGCCGGCCCATGTGCCCTCACATTCAAACAAAGCCAGTCATCCCTAGACCGCCTTGAACCGTTACCTCAACGTCGGGAAACGGACTCCTGTTGCAGGGTCGGGGTGCAAATAAGACTAGTCCACGCGGTCCTAGAATGAGCTTCCCCTACGAGTGAAACTCTCTGCGTAGCTTTCCTCTTCTTCACTGGCACCAGAGGACTCCGTCATCACTGCCACGGCTTTGCCTTTGCCCTTGTCTTTCCCCGAACCCGAGCCCCTCGTCATCACGCCGCTCCCGCTACTCGCTGGCCGTCGAGTAGCTGCGGGAACCTCTTCCGGGCACCGTAGGTGCTCTTCGCCTTTCGCCGCCTGTCTTTGCCCGCAACCTCAATCATGGAAACCACCCTCGACCGGCGCCCTCGCTGACCGAGTTCCGCCTAGTTGGCGGCGCCGTAGCGCTCTTTAGCTCCCTCATCTCCTTGACGACATCCGCAAAACTCTCTTCCAGCGTCTTCATGCGCGCCAACACTAACCGCCCCATTCGATCTCGATCGGCTGCCTCGGCGGCTGAGCCCCTTGCTTCATCATGGCCATGGCCATCTGTGTCTGAAAGCTGCCGGGAACATCTCCAATGTTGGGATCGTCAATGAGCAGGTTAGTATTCTCCGAGCCAGGTCCGGTGTCGATCGACGAGAGGCGGCGCCCTTGTGTGAGTCGCGAGATGGGATCTGCTAGTCTCGGTATCGCCCGCGGTGTTGTAGGTTGGACCGAGGTCCTTTGACTGACTACTGGCCGTGATCGGCTAGCCATGTAGAGTGACCGCCTTGGGGAGCGCGTTTCGGGTGGCGCGAAGCTGTCTAGATCCACGTTGCGATTCAGCGCCTGTCGAGAGAGCGGCGACCTATCAAGCTCTGCAGATGACGAACTACGAGTTAGTCGGGGCAGTTGTGGATTGAACAGAATCGTGTTGGTCGATAGTGTGCGCGAATGGAGTCCACGGCGCGCCTTAGACGACTTGGGCGATAGGCCGGTGGACTTTTGGCTGGATGACTCAAAGGAAGAAGGAGGCGCCGTGTGAAATCTGCTCGCCATGGGTGTTGTGAAGTAGTCTTCCTCCATTTCTTCTTCCTCGAGGCTTTCTCCTTCACCCGTGCTGGGCCCTAATGACCGAGATGGATTACCCGCGTGTGCCCCCAACATTTGTAGCGTTCTCTTCCTCCTCTTCGTCATTCGTTACTAGTTCGTCGTCGCCGTCTGCGTCGGTCAAGTCCCGAGGTTCGGGATTGAGAGCCCTCATCCTCGGTCGGTACGCTGAGCGCGCAAAGGTCCCCATTCCGCTATTGGAGATGAGATCGGCCGGATCGCTCGCCGCTGATCGAACATCGGATACTTGCCTTAGCCTGTGGGGTAGATCGCGTCCCAGGCTGAATCGTCTGGACCACTCCGGCCCTCGGGCACGGCTGTCCAATGTCGGCCAGTTGGCCGGTGAAGTGCCTTCCTCATCGTGTTGGTCCATCCAAGTGCGGATGGCATTCTGCGTCTTTCGCCGCTCAATTCTTCGCTGACTCCGTAGTGTGGTGATGCCAGGTACTCTCCGGAACACCTCTTCCAGGGCATGGTCCTTTTGGAACCCAACGATAGATTCTTCACGAACCCTAACGTTGGGGCTAAACACGGCGGTGCGGCTTGCCGGGTCTGCAAAGGAGATGGTCCTTGGTCGGCTCTGGCCTGGGTTTTCCACCAGGTCCGTCGGCTCGAACATTGAAGACGCTAGCCAATACCTTTCGTAGAGGAAGATGCAGAACAAGAGAGGGAAATGCGTGGCCTTGATCACTAGGCGATTGAGCCAGACAAAGTGCCGTAAAGGCATGCAATATCGAAGTGGCATGAGTAACCATGCAAATATGTTGGTTGGGGCGATGTAAGAGAAGAGGGCATCGTTCTTCACCATGGATATCGTGTTGATGGCGAACAGAAACCTTGAATCTCATGATTAGCCATGGCAAGCCTTCTGACAGAGTGTCGAAGGCATGGGGTGGGGGCGGGGGTTCTTTCTTACTGGTGCTCCTCCGTCGCATTGGAGGCGATAGCCATGAACGAGTTGGTGAGGACAGTGATGAGAATGGTTCTTAAACGGCAAGAGTTAGCACGGTTTACGTTTACGCAACTTGCGTTTCGGACAATACTTACACCACCACGAAATGGGAGATGATCAAGAAAAGAACCATCAAAGCCTTGGCAAGCCAATTATAAGTCGGCCATCTACGCCACCCAAAGAAGTGAAGAACCTCTTGCGTTAGTCAAGCCTCCATCGTCACCGCCATCAAGGCAGGTTTAGAGATTTAAAAAATAGCATGGGAGAGAAAACTCACACTTGCCATGCCGCTGGGGTGAAGCCCATGAGGATCTGAAAATCGAGTAGGCCACATCGGCCGGATCACTCTCGTTTTGGGACATCGTGAAGAACACAAAGAAGCCACTACACGAGATGAGCACCAGCACCGTCACAGCAGCGAGGTCCACGGCCATGAGACGAAACGCAATCAAGAGCTGAGAAAAGTACGGGTAGTGGTCGAGAACACTAAAGATCCGGGAAGTAGAAGGATTGCATTGGCAGCAAGGACATCATACGCCATCTGGTTCCAATGGTGGGGATCGACAAGAAATACGCCATAGCCACGCATGCAGTAGTAAACAATCAGAAGAATCAAGATACCGAGATCAAAGATGTTCCAAAAGCTCATGATGTAAAGGGAGAATCCCTGTTCATTGAAGCCCACCAATTCGTCGAGCATGAAGCCCGCGCTCCAGAACCAAAAGACAAGCTCCAGGGTGGTTATCCGGGTCGACCTACGGGACAGCACTGCTAGGAAAAGGCCAATCAATACGGCCAGGGTGAGGGTCGAGAGGAAAACCTATACCGGGGGACGCGAAGCCGGGAGAGTTTAAAGAGGATGCATTTCGCGGATCGTACAGGGTCACGGTCCTTCTTCCTACGTGGTGATCCTTTCGGTCGTCCTTGGATGACTGACTACCCAATAAAGGGGTCCGAACATCAGACTTGCCAGAAGGGCGTTTGGAGTCGGGTAAGGCTTGGTTGGTGACCGAGTCGCGGTGGAGGCTGTCCGCGGCGGAATAGAAACTGATGGCGCCGTTCCAGATGGCTTCCAGGTGTTGGACGACGAGGGGATGGGCAAGGAAGTGCTTGGCTGAGGCACGGATTGCTACCTCGAGCGAAGACGTTCGGCCGATGGCGGCCTTGACCCCTAGCTTGCTGTCCACTCGGCCTAGTCCTGAGCCGGCTGGCGCCCCGGTAGGCCTTGGAGGGTAGAAGTCGTAGGACAAGACGTCAATTAACTCCCGGGTCGAGTACTCTCTAAGTAGCTTGAGAGCGAGAAGCTCGCAAACCTTGGCTCGAGTACTACTCGTGCCGGCATTTCCAGGATACATTTGGCCTTCCTTGGAGAACTGCAGGCAATTCGCCATCAAACAATATACAGTGGCCCGTGAAAAGTGGTGGGCGCGTATCTGCTGTTGCATCGGCTTGATCAGGAACTGCGACACTTGGGGTGAACGTAGCTGATCCCATGTTAGGGTTGTCTCGGTTCGGGCTTGGATGATTATTCGAATCGCGTGTGTCATGGAGTATATAGGGAGAGAATCTGTGGGAGAAGGGGCCCCAAGAAAAAGTGCATAGGGCTCGCGTCAGTAACGTGAAAAGAAAAATTTCGGTATCAGCTCGATCGTGACGGTATGAGGCACTGTAAAACAAGATGAACTTACCTAGATAGGTCGCCGAGAAGAGAGGCAGGATGGGGGCTCGCTGTGTGCCATCCTCATCGGCAGGGTCATCCTGATAGAGGCCAATGTCATCCTCGCCAACGGAATCATCGTCATCATCGTCTGCTTCCGTAAAATCTGCCGTGGCATGCCTCTCTCCTAGGTACGGCCGACTCGCAGGACCGGGAGAGGGTATTGGCGAGTAAGGCTTTGAAAAGGGGTCATCTCCTCGATCATGGAGGCGACGACGGGGCGTCTGTTGCTTTCCGCGGAAAAGCGAAGAAAACATCATCCCTAATCAGTCAAGTCCAGCCAGTTTAACAAGCCACGCCGCCTTCCTTGACAGCGGACGTTCACGACTCCATGGGAATCGTAAAGAAGGGAAGGGGAAAAGAGATTCCTCTGAGCGGGAAGGGGGAAAGGAGCGAGTCGAGAAGAATGGCCCTGGAGGGGAGATTTATTGGAGACGAGCTAGACTAGGGGAGTAGACTCGCTTGCGGCGGGTATTAGGTTGTTTTAGAATTGGCAATGGCACCCACCGTCCATGAGCAGTGACCAACCAATCTGGGCGCTACGTGGGGGCTTGAACAGAGCGGTGGGGGCGGAATTTTGAAGGTGTGGACGATTGTACACCCAACCCAGCATCGGAGCAAGAATGGATCCATCCAGGATAGATCCATTGAATTGATTGATGCTGGTAGCTTTTGTACAGGTAGGACAGATAGTTTCGGTGTCCCCATTTCCAGAGAACCGAACGACATCAATTTGATAGATTTGGTTGATAGCCACAGAGGGTATTAACATCATGACCAACGTCAAATCCATCCTAGCCACGGACAGGGGCCCACAGATTGCACGAGAATTGGGATCCTTGAAAAAGACCAAGGTGGTTGTGGGCCGTAACTATCACCACGCTAGACCTCACCACAGCCGATTGATCTAATAGATATTGAAATAGATGAATGGGTGAGCTCAACATTGGAGTGATCTTATAGGAGTGTGATGGTGCCCCAATTCCCCTTCGACGACACCGATCATCTCAGACCTACTCCACCCCCAGACGGATAGATGTCCTGACAGGAAATGAGGTCAAGTCTCAGACCTCACATTGCTTGTTTTCCCCGCAAGACCAGGGCCTCGCACCCCTAGCCAGCCTCCAACCCCGTTCTTTTTGCCAATCAAAAAGGGATAAAAACAGAGAACGGAAGTAAAGGGTGGGAAAGATGGTGGCTTTGAAGACAATGTAGGTTGGAATACCTCATTAGAAGCGCAATGGGGCCGATACAATCAAACAGATCGAACGTCGCTTGACTTCCAAGTGGCATGTTGAGTTGGGTACGCGTTTCTGTCTTGAGTTGGCCGTGATGTGAGAGGGAGGAAAGAGCATTGGAGGTTGTGGGGTTATCTTGGCCACACCACACACACACACCGCACACACGAGGCACAGCAGGCCCGAGGATGGATGCAAAGACGCATGGACGCAAGGTAGAAACTCGACGGATACCGCATTTTATTCGCCTAGCCCTCGGGTTTGGAAGTTTGGCCCCATTGTCTAATCCGAAGGCGAAACTGCCGAGGGGCTGATGCTGGAAACTACTGATGCCTCGAGCTGAAGGAAACCGAATCAGGGGTATAAAAGTCTAAGTGACCCCTCGTCGTGCTGGGATACAACGGATCAATCTCGAATATAACTGCAAAGCAAGTACAGACCGTCGATGCTGACGGGCCTAACGCTATTCGTTATCTGAACGGAAGAAAAATGTGGTTGATTCCCCTTTTGATATTAGTTTGACGCTCTGGGCTTAGAAGCGGCGTGGATAGGACTACGTGCGAGATTTGCCATGTGCAAACTGCTCATGCCCATGGGTGTTGGTCCTCGCATGCTGTGAGACGAAACGGATCCGTTCAAAACCAGCGATGGCAGCGCGACGCGGCTGCATCCTAGCTTGACCGGACCCGATCAAGGACCTTAGCTCAAGATAGATCAACTCAATTTCTGACTACCTCACGAGTTGGCACGCCAATTCACTCCAAAAAAAAAAAAAAAAAAAAAGGGTATGAAGTCCACCTAATCCTCTCAATCCTCTCAATGAGCCAGACTCCCACTTACATCGCACGGACCACCGACTGGCGAGGAGATGACGTCAAACAATAGGGTGGATCAATGGATGGGACAAAAAAGATTCTTCACTCCAATACTAGCAGCACGAGTAGATGAATTGGAATATCTCAAATCTACTAGTCTCCGTCACCAAGGTTCAGCGTTCAAACTAGGAGGCACTGGGGGTTTGTGAGACTCGAAATGGGGATCTTGAAAGACCACAGCGATGATAATGATTGAGTCGGAATACGAGAAGGTGTGCCAGGCGGCTCGGAAGCCCTGTTCGTTCGTAAGTCCGAGGTGCAGATCTCACCAATGTGACGAATGCACACATTATTAGGAGTGGGATGCCAGCCGGGTATTTGGCACGAATCTCACAGCTTAACAAGTAATGGATTTGCGTGGGAGTGAACCCCCACTCTGAGTTCGTCTTCAGTTACGCGAGAGCACGCACCCAACAAGGCGGTGAGAGAATCATGGGAGGTGAGAGTGCGGGATGTTTGACTGGAAAGGGACATTGCGAGCAAGAATTTTTGGGGAGGGGAAAGGGTGGGTTGGGTGAGAAAGGAGGGCACTGGGGCGCCATCTGATTCGCCTGAGCCCCGCCACCACCTCACGCTATTCCATCCGTTCACGGCTGAGACAGCCAGAGATGGATCAATTGATGGCCTTCCCCGCCCCACCATCAACCGCTCAGAGGTGCAAACTTGCCCTCTGTGGCGAACTTTTAGAGCCAACTCCAACGAGAATCCCATCATGAGAAGAGAGCAAGAGCAAACGTAGGAAGGAAGTGGTGTGCGGGAGTAGGGATGAGGAGAGGGCAACTAAAAAGGCAATAACATAGAGGCAGCTACGGCGCAGAGGAGGAAAGAGCAGCGCGAGGGTGCCCCTCCCCACCCACCAAGGCTTTTGAACAATTACCTCGCTCCTTCCCAGGTCCTGCTCGTCCCGATCCTCTCACAGTTGCCTACTGAGAGGAGCAACAAACAAGTAAGTGAGCGCTGTTGCAACCTTGCAGCTTTTGAGGTCATCATTTCACCTCAATCAATGAAAACCCATCTGCTTGAGTCTACACCCTGGTCCTGAACCCCCGCCACGTCTCCCGTCGGTGACGCTTACAGTGTAGTCATGATCGCGGGGCGTATATCCTGGCTACTGGCGCTCATTTTCCGCAGGCTCTCGACGGAGGTGGGATGCGCCCGGAAAGGGAGGCACACGTCCAATTTAAGTACCTGAATGCAAAAAGAGGTTTTCATTTGAAATGGATCTGTGAAAATATTTTGTTGAAGGTAGTGGGCGGGCAAGCCTTGGGGTCTCACGCTACTCGAAGTGGTCCACACAGCGGCTTTTATTAGCCTTGGTTTCGAGCCAAACCGCATTTACTGGGAGGTCGGACCGAACCAGTTTAGACTCTCGGAAAGAGTAAGGCGAGGAGCTGGCTTACTATTATATTCTTTTTCTCTTTTTCTTCTTTTTCTTCTTGTCGTTTTGTGGTCAAATCAGCGGAACCGACATCGCCACAAACCCCCATTACCCTCCTCTGTGCTAACTTGGTGATGCTGATAACCTGTCTCGGGACGGATCATTGGAGGAACCCTCAGCTATGACTGATGCAAGTTCCTGTGCAACTGGGATTTGGACCCCTTGCATCTGACTTAATACATCCATGGATGGATCCATTCAACCCCATTGTTCATGATCCATGGGCTGCGCAGATTCTCCACTGCACCTCATCCAACCCGTCATCTCCTGCTCCTCTGGAGGAGGAATTGTCCAATGGCACTTGTTGTAGTCATAGGAATGCAAAACCTCTCATGCGTGCGAAGTACCCTCGGCATTACAGGACCGGGGGCGTTGCACTAAAAACTCAAGGGTATCATGCAGAGGAGACACCAAAAGAAGGAAGAAAAAAAAAAAAAAAAAGAACTTCCGCTTCTCGTTAGTGGAATCTTGACCAAGCAAACAAAGTAAAGTACCTTTTTGGGCGGGTAAAGGAGTTTTTCTGCCCGCGCTACCCTTCACCGAGGGGCAGAAAAAAAAAGTGGAAGACTCCCTCCCGAAGGAAAAAAAAAGAAAAAAATTCTAAAGCTCTTGCCCCTCTTAAATCTCCCTTTTCCCCTCCCCTCAGCTCCTCGACGGGATTTTCCCTTTTGCAATTGCTTCGGAAACTTTCTTGCAAGATTCCAACCTATAACCTCACACGGTCTTTTCTCAATTCCTGTTCATATACGCCTATGGGAAGCTTCTGAAGACGTCTGCTTGAAGTTTCCCACTCTTTCCTCACCCCGCCACCATGGCCGCCGTCAGGGTCGCGCCCCCAGCCTCTGCGCGCATCTTTGGCGTAGAGGATGAGGGCTACATGTGCCTTGAACTCGAAGATGGCTCGGCTTTCCAGGGCTACAGCTTTGGGGCTCCCAAATCTATCGCCGGAGAGCTTGTCTTCGCGACTGGCATGGTGGGGTATACCGAGGGTATTACCGACCCGTCCTACCGTGGCCAGATTCTGGTCATCACTTTTCCCGAGGTCGGAAACTATGGTGTTCCTTCTCGGGAAGCCGTCGACGAGCTCTTCGCCGACCTCCCGGCTTACATCGAGTCTGCCCGCATCCACATTGCCGGCCTCGTGACCGCCTCATACTCTGGCGAGGACTACTCGCATTTCTTGGCCGAGTCTTCGCTTGGCTCCTGGCTCAAGCAGGAAGGCATTCCCGCCATCTATGGTGTTGATACCAGGTCTCTCACCAAGAGGATCCGTACTCAGGGCGCCCTCCTTGGCAGGCTTCGCTTCCAGAACACCGCCTTGGTGAACGGCACTGCGAGCAGCGGCCGTATTGAAGCCCTCTCCCTCGACAGTTTCGAGGAGGTTGAGTGGTCGAGGCCCTACGAGACGAATATTGTGGCCGAAGGTATGTCCTGACTCACTTGTATACGCCAGTGCTTGCCTTGGTGGGGTTTTATGTGTAGCCTAACCCCTCTTCTCCAGTTTCGATCAAGGCCCCTAAATTGTACAAGCCTGACCCCAGCGCCGCCCGCAAACACCCTTCCGGGCGCACGCTCCGGGTTTTGTGCCTCGATGTCGGTATGAAATATAACCAACTACGGTGCCTCGTCAGGCGCGGTGTCGAGGTTTTGGTCTGCCCGTGGGATCACGACATTGCCCAGGAAGCTGCCAATGGCTTCGACGGCCTCTTTATCTCCAATGGCCCCGGTAACCCGGCTCTCCTCGACGCTACCGTAAAGAGGGTAGCAAAGGTCATGGAAGAAAATAGGGTTCCTATTTTCGGTATCTGCCTCGGCCACCAGCTTCTTGCCCGAGCCAGCGGCGCCGAAACTACCAAGATGAAGTTTGGTAACCGCGGTGCCAATATCCCATGCACCAACATGATCACGGGCCGGTGCTACATCACATCCCAGAACCACGGCTATGCCGTTGACGCCACTAGTCTCCCCGAGACCTGGAAAGAATTGTTCATCAACGCGAACGACGGAAGCAACGAAGGCATCATGTGCACCGACCGTCCCTACTTCAGTGTCCAGTTCCACCCCGAGAGCACGCCCGGACCCCGTGATACAGAATACCTCTTCAATGTCTTCCTTGACACCGTTAGCCAGTGCGCTGAAGATCCCACCAACCTCAAGAAGCCCGTTAGCTTTGCCGAGGAGGCCGAGACTGAGAACTTTTGGCCGGAAACCCTCCCAAGAGGAACCCGCGCGTGAATGTCAAGAAGGTTCTTGTGCTCGGAAGTGGTGGTCTGAGCATTGGCCAGGCCGGCGAGTTCGATTACTCGGGTAGCCAGGCCATCAAGGCCCTCAAGGAAGAAGGCATCTACACCGTCCTGATCAACCCCAATATCGCGACCATTCAGACATCCAAGGGTCTTGCCGATAAGGTTTACTTCCTGCCCGTCAACGCTGAATTCGTTCGCAAGGTCATTCTCTACGAGCGACCTGATGCCATCTATGTTACATTCGGTGGCCAGACTGCCCTGTCCGTCGGCATCCAGCTCAAGGATGAGTTCGAGCAGTTAGGTGTCAAGGTTCTCGGAACTCCCATTGATACTATTATCACTACCGAGGATCGAGAGCTTTTCGCCAGGAGCATGGACTCCATCGGCGAGAAGTGTGCAAAGTCGGCTTCGGCTAGCAGCGTCGACGAGGCCATGAGGGTGGTCAAAGACATTGGCTTCCCGTCATTGTTCGTGCTGCGTACGCTCTCGGTGGCTTGGGCAGTGGCTTCGCCAATAACGAGGAAGAGCTTCTCGACCTCTGCAACAAGGCGCTCGCCGCTAGTCCCCAGGTGCTCATTGAGCGCAGCATGAAGGGCTGGAAGGAGATCGAGTACGAAGTTGTCCGAGATGCCGAGGACAACTGCATCACAGTGTGTAACATGGAGAACTTCGACCCCTTGGGCATCCACACCGGTGATTCCATCGTTGTCGCGCCTTCCCAGACTCTCTCCGACGAGGATTACAACATGCTGCGAACGACTGCTGTCAATGTCATTCGCCACCTTGGCGTGGTGGGAGAGTGCAATATCCAGTATGCTCTCAACCCCGACTCTCGGGAGTACTGCATCATCGAGGTCAATGCCCGATTGTCCAGATCCTCGGCCTTGGCTTCCAAGGCTACTGGATACCCCTTGGCCTTCATTGCTGCCAAGCTTGGTCTCGGAATTCCCTTGAAGGAAATCTCCAACTCAGTCACCAAGTCCACTTGCGCCTGTTTTGAGCCCTCCCTTGATTACGTTGTCGTTAAGATGCCGCGCTGGGATCTGAAGAAGTTCACTCGAGTCTCGACCCAGCTTGGATCATCCATGAAGAGTGTCGGCGAGGTCATGAGCATCGGCAGGACCTTTGAAGAGGCTATCCAGAAAGCCATTCGCTCCATCGATTTCCACAACTTGGGTTTCGGAAGCACCAAGGCCCTCATTTCCATTGACGACGAACTTCAAACCCCCTCGGACCAGCGTCTATTTGCCATTGCCAACGCCATGTATGCGGGCTATTCCGTCGAAAAGATCTGGAGCTTGACCCGCATCGACAAATGGTTCCTCCACAAGCTCAAGCGTCTGTCCGATTTCGAAAAGGTGATGGAGAAGCAGACCACTAGCGACATTGTCAAGACCCCCGGTGTTCTGCTGCAGGCCAAGAGGCTCGGTTTCAGCGACAGGCAGCTTGCCAAGTTCTGGAACTCCAACGAAATTGCTGTCCGCAGGCTTCGACAGGAGGCCGGCATCGCGCCCTATGTGAAGCAAATCGACACCGTGGCTGCCGAATTCCCCGCTTTCACAAACTACCTCTACCTTACCTACAACGGCTCGGACCACGATGTGGACTTTGATGACCAAGGCGTCATGGTTCTCGGTTCCGGAGTGTACCGTATCGGCTCTTCCGTCGAGTTCGACTGGTGCTCTGTCCGCGCCATCCGCACCCTTCGCAGCATGGGCTATAAGACGGTCATGGTTAACTATAATCCCGAAACTGTCAGCACGGATTACGATGAGGCCGATAAGCTATACTTTGAAAACATCAACCTGGAAACCGTTCTCGACATCTATCAGCTCGAGAATTCTAGCGGAGTCCTTGGTGCCATGGGTGGCCAGACCCCCAACAACATCGCTCTGCCCCTCTCCCGTGCCGGAGTTCGTGTGCTTGGCACCTCGCCCGAGATGATTGATTCGGCCGAAAACCGATACAAGTTCTCGCGCATGCTTGACCGCATTGGTGTGGACCAGCCCACGTGGAAGGAGTTGACAAGCTTCGAGGAGGCCAAGTCTTTCTGCCAAAAGGTTAGCTACCCCGTGCTGGTGCGTCCGTCGTATGTTTTGTCTGGTGCTGCGATGAACACGGTCTACTCGGAAACCGATCTGGAGAACTATCTCGCTCAGGCGGCCGAGGTGTCTCGGGAGCACCCCGTCGTCATCACCAAGTACATTGAGAATGCCAAGGAAATCGAGATGGATGCTGTTGCCAAGGACGGAAAGGTCGTTTGCAAGTACATCTCGGAGCACGTTGAGAATGCCGGTGTGCACTCTGGCGACGCCACCTTGATCCTCCCTCCCCAGGACCTCGAACAAACCACGATCAACCGCATCGTCGAGGCGACGGAAAAGATTGGCGAGAACCTCAATGTCACTGGTCCGTTCAACATTCAATTCATTGCCAAGGACAACGACATCAAGGTCATTGAATGCAACGTGCGCGCCTCGCGATCCTTCCCCTTCGTCTCCAAGGTTATGGGAGTTGACCTCATCGAGATCGCTACCAAGGCCATCATGGGCCAGCCTTTCGTCGAGAACCCGCCAAGCGACCTGCCTCCTGACTGCGTTGGCGTCAAGGTACCGCAGTTCAGTTTCTCGCGTCTCTCCGGCGCGGACCCTGTGCTCGGCGTTGAGATGGCGTCCACTGGTGAAGTGGCGTGCTTCGGCGTAGACAAGTACGAGGCGTACTTGAAGGCATTGATGTCGACGGGCTTCAAGATCCCCAAGGAGAATATCTTGCTGTCGATTGGATCGTACAAGGATAAGAAGGAAATGCTTCCTTCGGTTCAGAAGCTCCAGCGCCTCGGATACAAGCTTTTCGCCACTGCTGGTACCGCGGATTTCCTCCAGGAGCACGGTGTTCCGGTTCAATACCTCGAGGTGCTGGGCAAGAGCCAGGATGCGCAAAAGTCGGAGTTCTCGCTGACGCAGCACCTTGCGAACAACATGATTGACCTCTACATCAACCTGCCGTCAAGCAATCGTTACCGCCGGCCGGCCAGCTACATGAGCAAGGGATACCAGACGCGACGAATGGCCGTGGACTACCAGATCCCCCTGGTGACCAATGTCAAGAACGCCAAGATCCTTATCGAGGCCATTGCGCGCCATTTTGATCTCGAGGTCTGCAAGCGGGACTTCCAGACCAGCCACAGGACGGTCGTTTTGCCCGGACTGGTCAACGTTGCGGCGTTCGTCCCCGGTGTCGTGTCTCCTAACAACGACGACCTCCAACAGATCACCAAGGCTTCGGCGCTTGCCGGCTTCAGCATGCTCCGCGTGATGCCCCTCGGCTTGAAGGCTCCTGACAGATGCGCTGTCCCTCAAGGTCGCGCAGCAAAATACCAAGGCCGGAGCGTACTGCGACTTCAACTTTTCGGTTGCAGCCACGAGCAACAACGCGGACCAGATCAGCCAAGTGACTGGGGAGGTGGGCTCGCTCTTCATCCCCTTCAACCATCTCTCGTGCAACATCAGCAAGGTTGCGACGGTGACGGCGCATTTCGAGTCATGGCCCCAGCACAAGCCCATCATTACCGATGCCAAGCTCACGGATCTGGCGTCCATTCTCCTGCTCGCCAGTCTCCACGACCGACGCATCCACGTCTCGTCAGTGACCACCAAGGAGGATATCCGCCTCATCGCGCTTAGCAAGAACAAGGGCCTCAAGGTGACGTGCGATGTGTCCATCTACGCTCTGTATCTGTCACAGGACGACTTCCCCGGCTACGAGAAGTTGCCCACGGCCAGGACCAGCGGGCGCTCTGGGACCACCTCAGCACGATTGACGTGTTTGCCGTAGGCAGCCTGCCCTACCAGCTGGCTGCCTCGCAGGGCCACAAGCCTGATGTGTCGGTTGGCATTGCCGAGAGCTTGTCCCTGCTCCTGACCTCGGTGGCGGACGGACGGCTTACGATTGACGATGTCAAGACCCGGCTCTTTGACAACCCGGTCGAGATCTTTGAGCTCCACGACCAGCCCGGATCGTCAATCGAGGTGGAAATTGATCGACCGTACCAGGTTTCCACGGACGGAGCGACGTGGTCTCCCTTCGCCGGCAAGACCCTCAAGGGCAGCATCCAACGCGTGACGTTTATGGGCAAGACGCTATCCATGGACGGCGAGCTTTTGGAGACACAACCGCTAGGCCAGGACGTGTCGTCCCACATTCCTCCCTCGCACACGACGGCGGCGGCGTTGCCCATGTCGCCGGCGGTGAAGCCTCTTCAGCCGTTTGAATCTCCTCTGGATCTCGCGGCTCGACGAACGTCGTTCCTGGGGCCTGCGCAGCGACCGTTTGCCCGGCCCATCAAGGGCCTGGATGCGGCGGGTCCCGGATCCTCTCCGGGGCTCAGGCCAGCGGCGGCGTTTGACGAGCTGTCGACGCTAGCTGGACAGCTACACCCGCACCAGCACCTGCACCACGCGTCGCCCCTGTCGGAGCTGATTTCGCAAGGGTCGGCTTTCAAGAGATCGCACGTTCTCTCGGTGAAACAATACTCGCGCAGTGACTTGCACCTCTTGTTCACGGTTGCGCAGGAGATGCGGCTCGGTGTGCAGCGCGAAGGCGTGTTGAACCTTCTCCGCGGCCGGGTGCTCTGCACTCTGTTCTACGAGCCCTCGACGCGCACGTCGGCGTCTTTTGACGCGGCGATGCAAAGGCTTGGGGGCCGCACGATTGCGATTGCGACGTCGCAGTCGTCTGTCAACAAGGGAGAGACACTCCAGGATACATTGAGGACTCTGGGCTGCTACGGTGACGCGATTGTGCTTCGCCATCCCGAAGAGACGAGCGCGGACATTGCGCAAAAGTACTCGTCGGTGCCCGTGATCAACGGCGGCAACGGTAGCAAGGAGCACCCCACGCAGGCGTTCCTTGACCTGTTTACGATTCGGGAGGAGAGGGGCACGGTGGAGGGCCTCACGATTACGTTTGTGGGCGACCTCTTGTACGGACGACCGGTGCACTCTCTCGTGTACCTCCTCCGACACTACCACGTCCGGATTCAACTGGTGGCGCCGCGGGGCCTTTCTCTCCCGGCCGAGATCCGCGAACAATTGGTGGCAGATGGCCGACTTTTGCGTGAGTCCGAGGTGCTGACGGAGGAGATCCTCGCGGACAGCGATGTTCTTTATTGCACGCGCATCCAGAAGGAGAGGTTCCCGTCGGTGGAGGACTACAACAAGGTCAAGGGCTCGTACCGCATCGACAACGCGACGCTCAAGCACGCCAAGCCCGAAACGGTGGTGATGCACCCTCTGCCAAGGAACGACGAAGTGGCGGAGGAAGTGGACTTTGACCAGCAGAGGGCCGCGTACTTTAGACAGGTAAGGAGAATGAGCACACTATCGTCTTCCCCATTTTCACCCCATTTTCACCGTCCTTCCCTTCCACCCTTCTAACCCCCTGGCCAAAAATCCTCTTCCCAAAATGCCCCTCTAGGCACTCTTCCCAAAATGCCCCTCTAGGCACTCTTCCCAAAATGCCCCTCTAGGCAAACGATATGCTAACTCGGAGTGCAGATGCGGTATGGCTTGTACTGCCGCATGGCTCTTTGGCTTTGGTCATGAGCCCCTAAAGAAGGGGAGTGGTAATGGGAGAGAGAGAGAGAGAGAGAGAGAGAGTATACGGGCAAGCATCATGGAGGTGCATAGGAGACAAAGAGTCATCAAGGATTGGAAGAAAGTTTCAATGTTTTCCTGACCCGTTTTGTCTCTTGTTTTGCTTGGACCTTCCTCGGCGCCCGTGAAAACGAAGTCATCAGCACGCAGGAAGTGGGAAAAAAAAGTTTACTCATGTACTTGGATTGGTCGTTATTGTTGCTTCCACATTTTTTTCTTCTTTTTTGTTTCTTCTCCTGGTTTCTTTTTCTCTTGTTTTTGCTTGTTTCATCTCTAGTCTCGGAACTTACATACATTTTGAAGGATTCTGATCACGGATTCAAGTTGGAGTCCGTCAGTGCATTCAGACTATAACCATGAGCACCACAGGCTCTGTATCTGCATTCATCTGGGGCGTCTGGGAAAGGCATAGATTCATTTTCATTGTTCATGATACCATAGGTGTACGTTGTAAGAATATATTGTACCCGTGTGTTGGGTGTTATACGTTTGGTGTGTATGTGTACCGTGCTTCTGTGTGTGTGTGGTGCGTATATCTGTATATCTGTATATCTGTATATCTGTATATCTGTATATCTGTATATCTGTATATCTGTATATCCAGTGCTGCTGTGCTCTGTGCCTGATTTCCAATTGACCCTTGTTTGGCAGAAAGAAAAGTCCACTCAGAAGGTTGGATACCGTACATATAATTTCCACGCACGGCTCTGTGGCTTCCGGTCCTGACGCCATCCCGCCTCATGAAGAACTCCCATCGATCGGGGCGACAAAGAATGCGAACTATGATCAGTTCACTTGGGGGCCAAAGTCACAAAGGTCACTCCCGATGCTTGTGGCGCTATCCAACACGTCCGGCAACCTGCTCCTGATGGGCGAAGCGGGATGCCCGGAGGCAGCGGGTACGAGCAATTGGATGAGTGGTGAGGGATCAATGTTTGACTGGCCAAAAGTCCAACGTTGAAGTCGACGGGGACTCCCGTAGGAACTCCACCGTAGGACTTGACCAAGAATAGTCTGCGGACGTGAACTAATGATGAGGCCGCCATCAATTAATCCCATTCATAGTAACCCGCCAAACCTCGGACAGCTCCAGCCGGCCCCTCCCCAAAAAGAAGGAAGGAACGTTCATCCTCCGATCGGCCCATCTTGAGAACATCACTCCACTGCTAAGCCGGGAAAAGCCATATTCACCTCTCCGTCTTTCTTCAAAGAATATTCCGTCGACCCGCCGATCGCTACATGGGCTGTTGGAAGCCATTGATCTTTGGACCCCCTTCTCGGCAGCACCCACACCACCAACACGCGCCCCTGCCCCTCCCCCACCTTGGCCGCCTCCCTCTGCGCTCTCGATCCGACCTTGACTCACGAGCGACCCTGTCGGACCACGACAAGACATGAGCGAGAAGGACCCTTGAATTTTTTTGTTTAACCTTTTCTTTTCTCGTCTGTAATCTGCAAATAGCACGCGCCACGCTTTTCAACACTTCTTCTACTACTCTTCTCTCTTGTACTTTTCTTTCTCTCTCTCTCTCTCTCTCTCACCCCTGCTGAATTCTCCGGCACCAGACGAATCGAGCATTGCATCACCACTGCATCCTAATCGCTGCGTCACACACTCAGCTTCGCATCAGCGTTCCCCATACACATTTAGTCCTTTAGAGCGGTTCAGCCTCCCGGACCGCGCAGACTCTCACTTGGCCTCGATATATATGACGAGGAGCGTCCTCGCCCGCATCTTCCGCAACGTCAGAATGGCTCTACATCCGCCCCAAGAAGAGAAGCTCATCTGTACGTCAATTATATACACCCTCTCCTCACTAACCATATCGCCTCAGCATTGCTCCTTCTCCCGCTTTGTCCTGTTTCTCTGCGACAAGCCGTCAAAGAGAAACCAGCTAGCTTCCTCCTCTTCCCCAAAAACACTTAAAAAGTAAACCAGTGCGCTAACCCAAAACCCTCCACACACACACACAGTCGGACCCTCCGAAGGCAAAGCCCCCAATTCACCCTCGGCACCCTCCACCGCGCAGACCTAGACCCGGCCTCGCCCATCCCCCAATTCCACAACTGGTACCGCCAAGCCCGCGCCGCCGCCCTCCCCGCCCCGCAGACCTGCGTCCTCTCCACCGCCTCCTTACCCTCGGGCCGCGTCTCCTCCCGCGTCGTCTACCTCAAGGAGCTCGACGCCGACGGCGCCTTTGTCATCTACTCCAACTTTGGCACCTCGCGCAAGGCCCGCGACCTCGAGACCAACCCCTGCGCCAGCCTCGTCTTTTGGTGGGAGCCCTCCAGCGCCAGGTCAGGGTCGAGGGCCCCGCCGCCCGCATGACCCCGCAGGAGAGCCAAGCCTACTTCGATACCCGCGAGCGCGCGAGCCGCGTCGGCGCATGGGCGAGCAAGCAGAGCCTCGTCCTCGAACCCAAGTCCAAGCCCGAGGTGGACGGCGCACCACCCCCACCGCAACAGGGGAACCCCGCCAGGCCCAGCGGCAAGAAGGGCCGCAAGATCAACAGCAGGACGGTGACGACTACGACGATGAGGTCCCCGACGACGGCAGGGACCGTCTCGAGGATTGGGTCCACGCCGTCGAGCGCAGGTTCGAGGGCCACGAGCAGATCCCGTGCCCCGACTTCTGGGGCGGCCTGCGCATCGTCCCGGACAGGGTCGAGTTCTGGCAGGGCCGCAAGAGCAGGCTACACGACCGCTTCGTCTACGAGAGGGATGATGCCGTCCCTGAAGGCTTGGCCGTGACTCCCGCGGAAGCCAAGTGGAAGTTGAACCGGCTCAGTCCGTAATGGCAACGTCGTGTACGTAGTGCAAGAATTGTTGGGGTCTGCTTCGGACTGAGAAACATAGTCTTGCTGTTTTCTCTTTCCCTTTTTTCTTCTTCATTTGTTCAAACGGTAATGTTCAAGGAAGCGTGCGTCTGGGCAAAACGATAGACTTGCAAAATAGTTGTCATGTTGTTTCTTTCCTTCGAGACAAAATCAAATTCGACTCGTAATGCATTCTACCATGCATGGCAAACTTTGTGCGCTATTTCTTTGAAGCCAAACTTGCCTTTGGGCTCTTACTCGATTGCAAGCCAACACGGTCAGAAGGGAGGTCTCTTTTTCATAATAGAATTTCCATTGTATTTCTGGATGCAAAACTTGATGGTCTGTGTCTAGGAGCGCTAATCGCCGTCCCCTTGCCGTAAATGAATGAAATGAATACCCCCATGTGCCCACTCAAAAGCGCCTATGAAGAGAAGAAAAAGCCACGAGGAAAATCAGGAGTGACGAGAAAAGAGAAAGAAACGCCGACGGTCCAAGGCAAGATCCGTTTACAGCTCGCCATCGCCGACCTTATCCGAGGTGCCAAAGTCATTGAAGCCCAACTCGTAAACGAGACCGAGGGTCATGCGAGCGTGCTGAAGCATGTGGTCAAACGAGAGGGTGTCGATGGTATCGGCCGTCGAGTGGATGTGGGGGCTGGAGAGGTCGAACGAAGACTCAATCACAAACGCAGAGGGATACCCGGCCTTGGAAGCCGAGGCGTGATCCGAGCAGGCATAGCCGCACTTAGTCTCGACGTAGGAAATGTTGCAGTACTACAAGGCGAGTAAGTGACGTGTTAGCGAAGAGCAGAGAAAAAAATGGGTGAGAGCCAAAGGGGGCGCGAAAAAAAGCGCAACTTACCTCATCAATGACTGTCTTGATAAAGGTGGTGAGGCCAGGGTGGACATAATCGGTAATCACCCCCACGCTTTCGGGCTCGCCGGCATCAATCGTCTTTTTCGTGTAGCCCGTCATGTCCTGTTGAAGCATGGCCTTGACGTCCCGGCCCTGCCTCTCGTACTCGGAAAAGATGGCCTGGCTGCCCAAGAGACCACCCTCTTCGGCGCTGTACCAGTGGAACTCAATCGTGTTTTGCGCCTTTCCGGCGACAACGTTCTCGTCCTTGAGGAGGTTCCTCAGGACCTCGAGGATGGTGACGGTACCGCTACCATCATCGTCGGCGCCGGGAGCCGCGAGAACGCTGGGGAGCCAGAGGTTCAAGCTATCCTGGTGGGCGCCAATAACAACGGTGCTGTTGGTCTGGCCGGGAATGGTGACGATGGTGGAGCTCTGGGGCCACGAGTGCTTGAACATGCGCGCGGACACGGACTTGTCGGCGCCGGCCTCGGCAATGATGTCGCTGATGCGGGAGAAGAGCCACTCCGAAGACTGTCGGCCGTAATCGGACTTGTAGTAACGGGTGTGGAAGCTAGTGAGCTTTTGCAGGTTGCCCTTCATCTCGTCCTTGGAGAGGTGGTCGAGGAGGGCTGACGGCGTCCTGCTGCTTGCACTTCTTGGGGAATTTGACGGTGGAGCGGGCCTGCAGGTTATGAGCGCCGAGGTCTTCGGTGTACGAGATGTCCATGAAGCGTTGTCCGTTCTAGAGCGGGTGGCGACGCCGAATAGTTAGCAGGGATGATGGGGGAATGCACAAAAAAATAGATCGCAAAAGGTTACTGCTCTTCCTAGGGCCCGGAGCCCGCCCGGAGCGATGGGGGAAGGAATCAATCCACTTACTCGGCGCAGCTCCCACTTCTCTTCCTCGGTTACCCTGCGAGTCTCACCTGGGCTCAGCTCAATCAAATACGTCTCCGACTCCGCGGCTTCGGGGTAGAGCATGACATGGCTGACATCGTCGGGCTCGGCAAAGCGGGCGCTGACGGCCGGAAGCGCCGTCGCAAGCACAGCGGCGGTGGAGAACTTCATGGTGGCGAGAGATGGGGGAGAAGGTGAGGGAGAGTGTATCGGTAGATGCGGGCGAGTTTAATTTAGGGAGTGCGTGGACTACCAGGAGGAATAGTAGATAACTGAGGTAAAGAGGGGGAATCGAGAGGGAGAATAGGCGTTAATGTGTAGCTTGAGAAAGGAAGAGGCGGAAGCAAGAGAGGTGGTGCAATGGGAAAGCGGCGGATCGGCTCTTGTTTCAAAGTCCGAGAGCCAGCTCCTCTCCAGCGTTGTCATGGGTGCGGCCAGGCTTCAGTTTGCTGAGCTCCCCATTACGTTAGCTAGGCGGGTCCACAAATCGCAGCACTTGAGTACATTGATCACCCCCAAACCATTGTTGTTCCTGCACGTACCTGCCTACGCTGCGGGGGAATCCGTTCTCTCCGAGCTAAGCCGCCTTGGCCGCCCACCAACGGGTACAATGACCTAAGCCAGTTCCTCGATTTGACCAATCAACCAACGCCACCCCAGCTCAGGTATCGCGTGTATCACATGCCCCTTTGCCCCATTGTTCCTTCTCTCCCCTACCCTATGTCGTCATTCTGCTCTTGCCCTCTCAGGAGCCCAAACTGTTGAATGTACGTTGATTGAAGCCGCCGCCGACCTCTTGCTACTGTTGAATTTTTCGTCCCGGGTATTTGGGTCTGCCGAAAATAAATTAGGGACTGGGTTCCTGAGCAACATCGGTGGAGTACTTGAAGATGGCGTGAATCATGTTCTATCAATCCTCTCCGTGTAATTCACAGCTCGCGCTGTAGCAAACCGACATGGGAGGCTCTGATCAAGGGACATGCGGTATCTCATCTACTAGTACTTGATATATCCATACAACGTCGGGTAGGGGTAGATATACATCAAAACTACCGAGCTATAATCAAGAGGAAAAAGACCATTCATTAGACGCCAAGGCGGGTCTCTGCTTCGAGAGAACGTTTGGTAATTGTCCTTGCCTAGGCAATAGCAAGCAAAGATGCAACGCAGCGGGTGAACAAAAGACACCCATCCATGCGAATCCCAATCCCGTTCCTACCCCAATGATACCGCTGAAAACTAGTTATGATGCTCTGTTCTGAAATGCAACAAATTTCACGCCTCCCGCGTCGCTACCGCAAATGCCATGAGACTCAACCCCGTCCGCGGACGCCTTCGGCACACATATTCCATGTGCGTTCGAAAACTACGATTGCACCCGAGGGGCCCCCGCGCACAAACGCTCCATTTCACGCCCACGCAAGGAGGGGGACACGCATCTTACATGCTATCCTCCATGCGCCGGCTCCGCACCTTGGCCCAGTCGTCCTTCTCTTTTTCCCGCCTTCCTTTTCCAGGCCCATTCCCCTCTCAACCCATTGCCTGCTTCCCATTTCACTTAGTCGGGAGAGCGCACGGGCAAAAGCAAAGGCTTCCTCTTCACCCGTGAATAAGGGTGAGGACTTGAGCTGCTCGACATTGTGGCCGAGGTCTTCAATGAAATGGTTGATCATCGAGTCTGCGCTCTCGCCATTATCCGCATTTTCATCTTTCAATGATTCCGCAAGCTCGTCACGCGAGACAAACAGCTCAGTGAGCGGCTTCTCCGTCGTTAAGACAAGTTTGGCTTGTCGTTCGTAAACCGCGTCGATAAATGTGATGAAGCGCCGCGCCAGGTCACGCTCCTTCAGAGTCATGCCCGGCACGTCGGTGATGATAAAGGACCCATAACTGCGCATGAGCTCTAGATAGTCGGCGGCTGACGTAGGTTGCCTAATCAGTTCGTCAAAGGTGAACCAAGCGCATGTCCCGCTCACCCTGGGGATGTAGATTTTTCGGCCCCAGACTGTCTGAACCTCGGGGTGTGGCTCCGGGGACTCGGGGTCACCGAGGAAGCGGAACCATTTCTCGGCGTGCGACGCCGCATGCGCATCCAGCGGCGTGTGGTAGACACCCGATGGAGGGCGGGGATCTTGCGGTAATCTGTCGGGGAGTCGAGATTGATCACGTGAAGTCGGCTCTTGAGCAAGTTGATGGCAGGGACAAATGACTCTCGCTGAACGCCATTCTTGTAGAGCTCGTCGGGGTGCCTATTTGACGTCGTGACCAATACCACACCATGAGACATGAGAGCTTCGAGAAGTCTGCGTGGGTTGGCGGTTGGTACGTTAGCAAACAAGTTCCCACATACACGCTGAGTGCGCTCCGTAAAGAGAGAAGAAAAAGGTCAAGTTGGAGGGCAAAAGAGGAAAACGGAAATGAAGAAAAGGGAAAGAAAAAAATAGGAAGAAAGGCCGAAAGAAAGGGTAGGAGGGGAGCTTGAAGTTCACTCCAGATGGGGTTTCTCCGCACCTTCTTAGAATCATGGCGTCTGCGACATCCGTGCATTGAAACTCGTCGAAACAGAGCACGCTTCCCTGTTGAGCAATGTCCGCCGCGATAAAGGGTATAGTGTCAATGTCGATGCCATGCTCTTGTTTGAGCTTGTGCGAGCGCTTATGCACATCTTGCATGAAGTGATGGAAGTGGATCCTCGTCTTGGTCTTGATCGAGCTGGGAAGGGTGTCGTAGAACAGATCCATAAGCATCGTCTTGCCGCTGCCAACATCTCCGTAGAGGTAAAGCCCGCGGGGAGGGTATCGGAGATGGCGCCGATGGCAGATTTCGCTTGGCCGCCTTTGAAAAGCCCACCAAAGAAGGACTTGAAAGGTTTCAGCGACTCGATAGTCGGGCGCACGACGTCAGGCGCATGGTAATGCAGGAGCTCATCGTGCAGGTGCTGCAAGCTTTGTATTATACCTAAAAAGGAAAAAAGAAAATCGAGGTGTGAGAATAGGGTCTCTCATTTCGTCATTCGGCCCACGAGATGTCTCGCATGGACAATTGGAGTTTTGGCAGTAACAAACCTCGCTGGTGCTCGTCGTTGCGAAGTCTTCCGCTGGCGACTCTGGCGTCATACTCTTGGATGGGTCCGATATCGTCGTGGTTGACTAGCGAAATCCTGGTTAGCAAACAAAGCTCCATTCCCACCGCGTCCCTTCGGAGCAGGTCCACAGAGGTGCGGGGGACGGCCACGAGAAAAGCATGCGTACCATTCTCAGCCGCCGCCGCAGCGACGCTGACGCTAGAGCTATTTCTTTTGCAGATTCGAGGTGCTCCGACTGGCGAGGTCGCGTTTATACATCCTCTGGCGGGGTGCGCAGGGCGCGCGGGGTGCGGTCGCACAGGCGATTGTGTGGATACCCCTCGGCGGAGCTGTGCAAGAGGCAGGCTTTGAGTCCTCGCAGCTGTGGCGGGTAGCCGCGCAAGGGGAGATTGAAGAGTTTTGCGCATGTTGGGCTCACTGAAGAGAGGGCTCGATTCGGTCCTCTTCGTGGTAGGCCTTTCTCCTTTGTCTCTTCTTCTCCTCTTCTTCTTTTTGGCCCTCGGCGTTTGCTCACTATAATTTGCTCGGCTTCTCTCGGGCAAGACGAGTCGCGGCGACGGGAAACAGGTGGGAGGAATGGATGGCGGGGTTACGGCTCGAGACTTGATTCTTCAGCGACGAGAGCATAATTGGACAAACACGGACAGCAGGAAGCGTAAACGGAAGTGAACAAGAAAAAAGCTGGAAAAGAGAAGAGTCTATGGGAATGACATGCGTGATCTGACTGAGCCGGCAAACTAGGCAAGTCGAGATTTTCTCGGGGGAAAACTTGACGCTCAAAGGTGGTTCAGCGCCTCCGAAGACTAAAGCCAGGTCCGATGGTGCCTCAAAAGGCCTTGTTCCTGCAATGGCGTCACCTGGCAACATTGAAATGTCTTTTATAATCTGGGAATTGATCGTTCCTGACTCAAAAGGGACAAGAAAAAGGCAAACGAAAGAAAAATTGACGTCGTCTCGTTGGCTGGTTCTTGCCTGTTCAAGCCGAGGTCAAGGCCATTCTCCGAGCTTTTGCCGCGCGGGATTCACTCCGCTCACTGGGCCACGGCGCATTGTGCACACGGCAGTCACGTCAGTGTTCTTCGGTGGGGGCGCCGTATTCCCCGACCCGCCTTCCCCTCCCCCACAGGCCGATCATTCATCGGGTGCATGTCAGGGCGAATTTAAACTTCAGGCTTAGGGACTTTGCTAACAAAGGCTCTGGTCATCTTCAGTTTCCGTCTCCTTAGAAACGAGAATCCGCTTCTATTGGTTGTAATTCGTGTCGATGGATCCTCCACGCGTAGTAGCCATCAGGAGAGTTCTGAGGGCGTCGGCTATCGTGACTTGAGAAATGATGATAACATAGAAGTGCTGAAATAGTCGGAGAACTTGACTACATATACGCCCGTTTTTCTCTATGTTGTGTAAGCGTTTATGGGATCCAAGTTCACAGATCAGAATTATATACAGATGAAATGACCGTTAAGAATGAGGCGAGGGGAATGGTAGAGGGCATCAAAACTAAGCATCTTTTCAGAACACACCACTTCATATCGAGGGGCGAGATAGACGTAAAAACTAATAATAATTTGATGACTATTATAATTACAAGGATTGCCCAGTCTTAAAACGACACGGACGAACCTAAATTGGCTTGGAACCTCGGACTAGCCTGCCAAGAAGAAAAAGAAGAAGAAGAAGAAGGGAAGACGAGTCCCCAGTATAACATACAAGGGGGCATATTTGGGAATACTCTTTATGCCCATGCCTATCAAATGGCTTTTAGGACTCTGGCTCTCCTTCCGGCCCTAGCCGCTCGGAAGATCAGACGGGGACGTTTCTGCAATCCCCTAGTGCCGGATCCATCAAATGTGCGCAGACACTCCTCGCATCCGCATGCGGTGGCTGGCAACGATGATTGTGAATCCGACACCGACACTCTACTTGCGTATTACTCGCAGGTGGCCGGAAGCTTTGCCCCGTGCGAGCGTCTAACGCGCAGAAGGGTAGGGATGCCACCATGTGCTTCGGAAACAGCATGCAGCGAGAGCGTGGGGATAGGTACGGAGAACCAGGTCTGGAGGGGGAGATATGTGGAGGTGTGATGTGGTGTAGGTAGAAAGGGGAATGAATGATATTCTAGGGGTATAATGCGTTAAGATAGGCCAGGGTCTTCAACATCCTCCGTTCAAAAAAACAATATACACATGCCACGACTAGGCCCACCCGGCAACGCGCGGCAAAAAGAGCCTACGTCTAGTGGCGACTCCATTTGGTTGTGTTGAGCTGACGCATGCGGAGAGACGGATCAGATCATCAGCACGGCGAAGCCAACGGCGCCAAATATGAGCGCGACGGACGCGCCAATCGCGCTGCCGGAAGCTTGGACTGGGCCGGGAGTGACGGCGCCTCCCGAGGCTTGAGGAATCCCCACGACGCCATCGGTAACCTGGGGGTTGATTTCGATAAAGGTAGGGCTTGGGACGCCAATGACAGCCGGCTGGGTCTGGGTCTGGATCCCGGTTTGCGGGCGCGTCTGAGAAGGAACCGCGGAGTTCTCCGATCCAGTCTCGGTCTCGGTCTCGTTAGGCTTAGACAAGTTGGGGTTATCGATCAAAGCGCCGCCAAACGGCGTCGTCTTGCTCGGCTGCTTCGCCTTCTTGTCTTCGAGGACAGAAACCAGGGCGCCATACGCGGCCTTGGACTTCTTTTCCGTAGGGTTCACTACACCGTACATGCCGGACGCGCAGTGCTGTCCTTGCGTGCAGTAGAAGACAAAAGGATCCTCATTTTCAACAAGAATCTTGAATACCTTGTCCTATAGGGAAAGCGTTAACTAGGGTTTCAGGCAAGGGCCTTGGGCATAAGAAAGCCAGGATGAAACAAGAGGAAAAAAAGACAAAGCCACTTACGCTTTCGCCCTCGGCGACAGGGAGGAAACCCGAGAAGAAGCCATACTCGTGGGCAGGTTCGCACGCCCTCTTAAAGGTACCCTTGGCCACGCTGTGGTTGGCAGGAAGGAAGTGAAACTCGATGTAATCGCCAACCTTGGCGTTGACAGTATCAGGTAGGAAGGAGAAGGGGTTCGCGACGGCCTTGACAACGTGCACCGTAGCCTGGGCGCCGGTCGCAACGAGAGCGCCAATAAGGGCGAGATTCTGTGTGATCCTCATGGTGTATTGGGAGACGGTAAGGTGTGAGAAAGTGAGTGTGGTGAGCAAGTGAGCGGGTGAGAATCGCAAGAATAAAAAGAAGGTGTTGTTTCGTTTCGACCAAGATAGGTCTTTGATGCCCTTGTGTAGATCGGTTTGGGTGGAGAAGCGAGTGTTGAAGAACGGGTTCGAGAATTGGAAAGATGAAGCGGGCGGGAGGAGGTTGCTGCCTTTGTAGGGATTTCCGAAAAGATGATCGATGATGGGGCTTGTTTCAAGGGGTTAGATCTCGACCAAGAACGAAGTGGCGAGGTCTTTTATATCACGGTCCCTCGCACCACCTCCGACCGTGCTAGGGGGCTAGCTCCATGGTGATGCTCTCGGCACTCTTGCATAACCTTGACTCAATGGACCCTTGGAGGCCCTGTCTTGATCCCACCATCTTGGCTTTTCCCTGAAGGGGTTCCACAATCACCTCCAATCTCGGTTCCCAAAATCGCCAAGATGATCCCAGACGATCTACAGATCCACGCGCTCAGGGGACCGTCTAATAGCCTCGGGCCCTAAAAAAGAAAGATGGAAAAAAAAAAAGGAAGCAGAAACGCCTCTTGTTCGTTTCCTTGAGCTGCGGCCTTCTGGTTGGCTTGTTTTCACATTCTATTTTCGTTTCCTTCTTCTTTCGAGGCCGAACCGAGACCCGAACCTTTTCTTCATTCCAATCACCCGTCACCCATAGGGGAAAATAAAGAAAGAAGCCTAGAGTTCTGCATCTTGGCTTCCCATGTTGGCGATGATGGGCAAAGGGTAGAGGCGTCCATTAGACGAGAATCGGCGAATGGCAAAGGTGAGCGTGAAATCGATTGGGTCTCACCAACCAAAAGTAGGCTTAGCGCCCGGGCCGGGCCCGGGGCCGAATTGCGGGGCACTTCTGAAACGCCTGAGCGCGCGCCAACCTAGCATCAAGTGTTTGAGATTTTCCCTTTCCCTCCTCTTTCTCGCAGAGGAGAACCCTGGTAAAAAAACAAAGAAAGACCAGAAACGCTGGCTCGCACCATTGGATGCGAGGATTAGCCTTGGCATCTCAGCCTGTGATTCGTCCTGGACTGCTCCACGGCAGCCTGGGCTGTTTGGCATTAGGTGCCACCAGCGAGGGGTTCGGATGGACCCCCTCCAACGTTTTGCGTGCGTGGAGCCAGGTCGGGATGGCAGCTGGACTGGGAGCTGGGAGACAGGCACGGAGCAGACTGCATCCGGAATTGACGGGGACGAATGCTTGGAGTGGCAGTGCACGGGAGCCTGTCATTCTGTGACAGGAGAAACAGGAGAAAAGCCATGAAGCGTAGCGCCTCAAATGACGAAAAAGTCAAAATGGAGATCTGAAAGAGCCCTGGTTGGTTGAGAAGCGGGATGGGGATTTGAGGATCTGCCCGAATGCTCGCTCTCCTCACCCACGGAGCAACTTGGCTCGTCCCCCGCTCTCTATGGGCAAAATTGAATTCAAACGATTTTCCGATGCGCGGATCATCTCCTGTGCCCGTCCGTCTCCGCAAAACAGAGTGTATGGATTTCTTGCAAGGATTCATTTTGAATGCTGACTGCACTGCCTCTTCGTTTCGAAGATCAGTCCCGGCACGAACTCAGTCCCGAGTGCACGTTGCGCTAAAGGAATATTTTATCGCCGACGGCGTGCATCGACAAGCGGCTTAGCTCTGATAGTCTGACCGGCACATGTTATGATTGAATTGATACGGATGTTGCATCTTCCATTCTTCCAAGGAAACCGTGAGATCCTTCATGAATCTGTTGGCCGGTGCCTGCGCCTGGATTGCATTTTCTTTCATTTTCAACCAACACATCAATTCATAGTCGTCTCGACCCTGGTGCCGAGACCTCCAAGACACTCTGCAGCGTTTAGCTGCAGCAGCGCCGCCTAACCAGTCTATACGTGACCAACCGTCTTGCTCCGTACCCGCCACCCGCGGGAAGCGACCCTCACCTTTCTGCTACCGGCTATTTTTGAACCGAATGGTGGTTGGCGTTGGCATGCGCGCGCGCTGGCTGATTCTATTTCGAGCCATCACGACGAAGAGGGGGAAGGCCCAGCCTTTCTTCCCAGTGCAATGTTCGGGTTCAATTCCTGCGGACGCGCCTCCCCCACCGTTTCCCCGGACGATGTGGCTTAGTCGAAGCCTCGTTTTTCTCAGCCCAATACTACCAGATTGGAAGATATTTCGACCCTTCTGCCAAGATGCCAAGACCGCCATCAAGGACGGCACCTTCAAGTGGCATTCGAGACATGTTCTATACATATCATTCGTCAGGGAGCTTGGACTTTTCCGACGAGTGATGTCAGCGAGGTCTACCTAACAACGTTGAACTGTGTCCGTCCATCTTCTGCGCATCAAGGGCCGCAAGGTTGGATTTATAAATAAAAAGGGAAAAAGTTCGATATGTAATAACAAAAGAAAGAGAGGCAGTTGGGGAGAGAGAAGAGATGAGAAGAAGGAGGCAAAGCCTAGAGACCAAGCAATTCTCACTTGACACTTGGCGCCTTCTACCATTGACGAGTATGAATCCAAGCCTTGGGTTTTCTATTCCAGTCTCGAAAACGCTGCCTGACGTGATACCTATCGGAATCGCTTAGCCTCTGGCCTCGGTCTATACCCATAGCGGGCGCCCAAACCATTACGGCTCCCTGAGAAAACCTCAAGCCTCCACTTACATCCGTTTTAGGGCAACCAACCCTGACCCTAGCCTAACCTACCACCTACCCGAGGATGTGGTTTTGATACGATCGAACGGACCTGTGAGAAGGACTCCCTGCGGAACGCGTGCGCGCTTCGTGTTGGGACAGACACCTGATAAGCGACTCCGACTTACCGGGAGCCACATGGCAATGGATTTCATCTGTCCAGACGGGCATTACATTAGCTGTTTCAAATCACGATTGTACACGTCGGTCCTAGCGAGATGATTCGAAGGAAGGCAGAGGCTGTGCTTGCAATCCGTCGGCCTATCCATCCCCTGTCTGCTATTGCAGAAGCCAAGCGAGACCATCCGTAGTACTCTGATTGGCGTCGCGGCAATACAGATATAGCTCTTCCAGCAGCCAGAGAGCCTGGTTTGTGGGGATGGTTCCTGAGATGTGCATCTCCTCATGCATTAGACATGGGACGGACAGATAGTTGTAGTACGGGTGGCATCATATAAGAGGAGGCACTGTCTCTTTACGGCTAAGGAAGGAGATACGGGTGGCATCCGAGATGCTGAGCCACACGGCACCGTAGAGGTATGTCATTGCGGCGATGTCCGAGGCGGTGTAGCTAGGCAGCTACCATATGCCAGGGAGAAAGGACAGCAAGCATATGACGATTTTAGATTCTCGACAAGGCCAAAAGCCCTAGTTCAGATTCCATCCGAACCTCGCCATATTCTAAAATTGTCCGATAGGGCGGGGAGAGAAATGCGATTGGCCCCGTCGATATCCCCCTTCGTTCCCCCAAAGGCGGGAGTTGCGAGGTCACCGTGGGCGGGCAATGACGCGGAACACGGCTGTATGGCACGAAGTCCGGAGTATTGATGAACCCGTTTGGCGCGCCGGAAAGGAGTCACCGTTAGAGGGGCGACAACTGGCGAGAAAGGGGGCTGAGCGATGAGGACAACTCGTTTGAGGAAACCCCCATTGAAGCTCTACATTGTTCATCGTCGAAATCTGGACGAGTCAGTAGAGTGTCGTCTGGATCGAGGTCTCTCTAGCGGAGTGGGAAGGAGCACGTATCCCAAAGGTTCGCTGGATCTCTGTTCGATATTAGGTGTCTATCCATCCCAAACCTAACATTTGTATCATCCATGCGCATGCCCCAGGACGCCATAGCCCACCGCCACTGTTGTCCCGGCCAAGACATTCGATATTAAATAGATCAATAGAACTTGGCTGATGAGTCAAAGGCTTGGTTGACATCCCGCAGATGGTGACCGCCGATGGGACGGGTGTGGTGGCTGGCTGTCTCATTTGATTCGCCGCCTTCCATATCAAGCTGATAACTCAGCTGCCATGTTTGTCATTCAGCACCGCACCATCAGCGGGGCCTGTGTTGCGTCGCCGGCGAAGAAGTAATAGGGAAGACTGTCAGGGCGAATATACGTGGACGCGAGGCGGAGTGGAGTGGAAGAGGGCGGGAGTGTGCAAAGATATCCGCTGAGGACTCGGGCTTAGAGATGTGCTAGATGGTATCTGTTGGGGGATGGGTAGAGGGATTTTGTTTGCCTCACTGACTCATGGATGGGTTCTCATTTAGCGTTTGTTAAGGTTGGCATTTGAAACATTGTTTTTCGGATGGGATGCCGTGTTGAAGTCCAGGTCTCTTCCCAACGACAAGCAATGGATGCATAGCGGGATATTTCCGATGGGGTGCAATTTGAGTGAGAGCGGCAACTCCACTCCCACTCCCTTGAGCAAGTACTTGTATTAGTCTGTTGGCTTGGTTGGATGCACGCGAAAATCGATAGTCGGTTGATTGGCCCGCTTTCGACGGGCTGCAGGTTTTTTGTTTGATGAAATTGAAGTTGGCCCACTTGACTCAATTGATGGGGATCCATCGATGGGTGCATTGAACCTGCTGCGCCCAGTTCTGCCTTCCCGAGTATGAGACTGCCGGGATATGATTGGCCCATGAACTGAGGCCGTGGAAGGTCACTGGCATGTCTGGGCGACCCCGTAGGGCTGGGATTTCCGTCCGGTCGGTACTTCCTCGTTCAAAACCACACACCCAGAGCCTAACTCACCTTGAATTCTTGCATCGTGCGAAGGGAAGGGGTCCTCGACAAGCTTAACCATTTCTCGGAACCCAAGCCCCCCAAATCCCTCCCCCTCCGCCTTTGCTTTTCCGACCAACCCAACCCTTCTTAGCTAAAACTTAGTTTAATGAGCTTGAAGAATTTAGTGGGATGCTCCGGAAATTTTACTCTGGCCCGCAGCTTTGCAGGATCTCGCACATTGTTGCATCCGTCTGATGGATCCCCGAGATCCATCCAGGGCTCTGTTTGTAAGTACGAAGTATTACAGAAGTCCATTGAGCCCCAGTCAGGCCCTTTTGATGCGCCCTAAGGCCCTTCCCCGCTAAAACTGGAGCGACGTTCACTTCGTGTTCCGTGACCGTATTTTAACATTTCCCAGTTTCCAGTCTTCTCAATCACTGAATCGGTCATCCATAGCATTCAAAATGATAACCCAGTCGCTAGATTTGTGCACGCCAAGTAACTAGTACGTTCGGGACCCTCGAGTCGTCTCCACCATCTTCCCACTGTTGACACCTGTGATATCGCTTCAAGGGTTCCTTGATGGAGATTGGAGGCTCTCCAACAAACTACGTAATCTCAGTCGGGCGGTGCAGTGCAGCGCATTGCATATTCATCGCCAACTAAGCCGCACGCCAGGCTCCAGTGTTTCGGATCATATCTAATCGATGTGGTATCACTGGCACGCGGATGTGGCCCGCAGTACCTTGATATGAGCAGCGTGAAGAGGAATGAAGGGCTCAATCTGCTTTGCGACCCTGGCCCTGACACTGAGCGCCCGCGCAGAGTTCATAGGATTGTGCGGGCCTGTCACCCTTCATCCTTATCCCTTATGCCAGCTTTAATGTTCAGCACAAAGGTTATTCAGCCGCCTCACCCAGCCACCCACCCCCTCCTCCCCCTTCCCCTTTTTTTTTCTTTCTTTGCGGCCCACTCTCGCGGCTCATGGGCGCAGCACTCTGAAGCCTGACAGCAAATAGGAAGCCGCGAAATGTGGAAGGAAAACGGGAAAGGGATGTACGAAATCAAATCGATGGTGGGCATGGATAAGGGTATCGGCACAGGTATGGGTATGGGTACGAACTTCCCTGAGGGAAGCTGATGGAGAGATCAATGTCTTCCGTCATCTGATTACCACCAGTTGATCGGTGGTACACTCGCAAGGATTGGGTCCCTTGTATAATCATCCATGGATGTATCCATGAGCATCTTCTTCAGTCTGGGTTGAAACAACCACAGGCCCGGGCATTCATTGTTCTTTTTTTTTTTTTTTTTTTTTTCAGCTGCCATTTTGGGGAGGTTCTGACGGCCACAAAGCGCTCCACTCCACAGATAAAACATCAAATTTCATCGTGCTTGGGGAGAGACCGCGTATAGTTACACCATCGCCTTTAGCCCCTTATTATTCGGTAGTCAACTTCACCTTGCCAGAATAGACACGCTCCGTTCTGTTGCCTGATACACATATTGACGAGGGTCTCGAGTCTATATGGACCAGCTGCCTTCCCTAGAGACCTCAGTTTTTCAATCGGGGTTGGGGGCGGCCACTAAGCTTCAACCTGTTTGTGTGCAGACACCACCAGCTTGACAGCTTCCAAAAACCTGCAAGTACGAAGTACTTGTACCATCGACGTGTCGCTGGGCTGGAAGCCAATCGTCGCCTTCTTTTGATGCGCCCCTGTCGGGCAAGCCTGGGAGACTAGCGCTGGCCTATATCCCTGTACGCTCGACTTGTACTGGAATGGGGCGTGACGGGGTATCAATTTATTGCAGAGCATGGTCACGATGCACTGGCCGCTTCGCTCATTCCCTGCTTTGGCCGGCGCTGCCCGCCTGCGGGCAACCCGGTCAATATCTTTTCCACTAGTTTTTCATCTCCCCCTCCTGCCCTCCTGATGGCGGGGGAGGTCTGCAGCCTTCAGATGTTTTTATCTGTGCCGTGCGCGTTTCGACGGACAAGGCCGCGATTCCTAAAGAGAAATGGAGAAGAATGATCCAAAAGGTCTTGCGTCGATAGGCGTTTATTCCACCCCTGGCTGAAGAGGTCGAGGCCCCGAGACTGGAGGTGAATATAACGTGCTCGCGACATGGGAGGGCCGGCAGGATTTAACCTTCTTCGTCGGCGGCCCCAAGCCTGTGGTGGAGGGGCGTCAGATTTACCTGTGCCGAGCCAGACTCGGGAACGATCAGCTCTCCAAGTACAGCTCACTCACGTTCAAGTGGAGGTCGCCACAAACGAGAGTTTGGGGTTTCATCGACCCAGCTATCGGGGGCCAGGTACACCGGACGGGATCGTCTCAGTCTCGACGCTGCCACGGTTTAGTCAACCTGTCTTGTGGATCACTGATGCCTTTATGGTTTGCATCACGGATTGTTTTGGCTGGCGCGTTGAAGTTTTTGTCGCACAGCACATGCGGCCTGTGTCCCCCCTCTGCTTTCGATTTTTGTTTTTGCTCTTCTTCGAGGGAAAGGGGGTTCCATATGATCGCCTTGGCTGGGCATACGAACCAGCTGCGATGCAGGTATTCTAGACTTAATATAACCGTCCTCGTGAAACGTGCCAGCACCAGCAGCCTCATCGCCACGAGATGGCGCTCGAAGCTGACCCTCTTCGACTGCCAGCCCCAGCCCCGGACCACCTATCACGTCCCTGCAACCAGTCCCATCAAGAGGAAAGTCATTCGATGTTCTTCAACCCCCTCCCCCATTCCCCGTGGAAGTCTTTGAGAACATTGAAGCCACACGACCACTTCTTCTTCTCTTCCAGTCTTGTCACCATTTTCTCACCCTCCCCTTCTCTTCCTTTTCCTCCTTCATTGTCAAGCCTATACATTACTCTGCACTGGTAGACTTTGGGGGAAAGAATTATCCTATTACCTAGACTCTGAGTTACCTCAATCGCATCGAAATGATGACATAGGCTTCAACCTCAACTTTGCTCTCTCCCCAAGAAGCCAAACGCACAAAGGAATGCAAGCGCATGGATCGCGATAATACTTGTACGCATCGATATGACAAAAGGTTTAGCTTTCATCTCGGTAGACAGACCCCTCCCCACCCCCATACCTCACCCACAATTCGCCCCGCCCTCTCTTCGTGTGGTGTGTGTCTCCCTTTCCCTTGTCTTGTGTCCTAATGGCACCACCCCCCCTCTCTCTCTTCCAAACTTGTCTTGACCCCAAGTACTTCTCTTGGCCGGCCAAGGACCATCTGCTGGGTTCACCGCCGTGGCAGCGGGGATAATTGCCATCGGAGATTGGTACCGGGAGACAGTCCCCCTCCTCATCTCTCATCTCTGCCGTCTGAGCCAGAAACCCAAGTTCACGATACCCGGGCTCATCACCCTCCGCCGCCCCCCGCCCCCCCTTCCCCCTAGACCGCTAGCCGCTGCTCCCCGGCCCAAGCTTTCCAACCTTTTCAAAGGTAGGCAACGACTACTCAAGCTACCCGTTTGAACGGCCGAGGACCAGCGTTACCTGTCCAATCAGGCGGCCCTTTTCCCATTTTACGCCATGTACTCATGTAACCTCATATGCAAGCCGTCGGCGTTCTTTCTCGTCCATCCTCTGGGTCTCCCACCAAGGGCCAAGGGGGCGTAGTGGCTCATTGTGTTCTCCATTCATTTTGGCCCGTCACACAGAGGCGGACGCTCGTTGATTGAAGGCTATCTGGCTCGTGCAAGCTATCGACCTTGTGCTTGTGCTTGTGCTTGTGCTTGTGCTTGTGCTGCCCTCCCCCTCCGCACTGCTCTCCCGTTTTAGGAAAGACATGGAGTTGCCCTGCTAGCTTCTTCAGCCCTAAGCCGATCGCGCTCGCTTGACGGTTTTCCCTTGTGTACACCCCTTCCCTCCCCCGTCCCCCTCCCTGGCCTGGAAACGGGACAAGGAATCGGCTGGGTTTTTGTTGATTGCCTTGAAATGGGCCGGGTGCGTTTATTTTCCCTCTTTGGCTGGGCGGAGGGGGTCCACAAGTCGGCAGAGTAGAGCAGGAGACTGTCCTCGCCGGTATCAGTGCCAGACGGCTGCGGGGAGAGAGGTGGGAGGTGAGCCCTTTGGCTTGGGGAGGCGAAAGGGGACGGCGAACGGCGAAGGGGGCACGGGGAAAGGGGGCAAGGGGACAGACAGACAGCAGAAAGAGAAGTTGGGAGCAAAGAGGCGTCACCCTCCTCTTTCACCGCACCGCCCCCAGCGCTGCTTCTGCCTTCACTTTTCTCTCCCTTCCTTGGAGCGTTGTCATTTGTTGAAGTTTATTTCGGGATCTAAGGTTCCTTTTCCTCGTGAACAATATATCCTGGCATCCAAATTTCCAGACCACCTTGAGCCTTTCCTTGTCCGTCCTCATTTTTATTTATTCATCACAAGGCCCAGGCATGGTCAGTCCTCGACCGTAGTAGCAGGCCAGGGCTGCGCGACTCCATAGATCGCTGCTTCAATCTTGCTTTGCTCAAAAACCCTCACCATACCCTTGATCACGAGGGGCGCACTCGTGGTCTTTTTCCCAGGAACTCAAGTTTCAATTCTCTCTCCTGACCCCATACCCAAGCATCCCATCTGTCTAAAGCAATGTCTCCTTCCAGTGTAAGTCGCCTCTCGTTTTTCTTTTTCTGTTTTCCCTATCCGTGGGTGGTGACTCGGCTTGGAGAGCCGGGCGTGGTGGCCCTTGGGTCATCCGCCAAGCCTCCAGCTTCCGCCTCCGCCCGCGCGGAGGGTGTCCGTCTTCTAATCCGCCTCGTCGCGTAGAAGAGTGCAAACCTTGAACGCATTCGCAACAACCAGCGCCGCTCCCGCGCTCGTAAGAAGGAATATGTCCAGGAACTGGAGGATCGGCTCCGGAAAGTTGAGCTCCAGGGCGTCAACGCCGCATCGGAGATCCAGGTCGCCGCTCGCCGCGTTGCCAGCGAGAACAAGAAGCTCAGGGCCCTTCTCCATCAAAACGGCGTCAGTGAGGACACCATCGACACCTTCCTTTACACATCAACAACCCCTCCCCCACAGGATTCGCCCACCGGGAGGCTGGCTCGCCTAGGGCCATCGGTAAATAACCTCGAGCAGCTTCTCGTCCCTCGGCGACCCTCTTGCGCCAGCCTCAGTGTACCCCTGGCCTCTCCCCAAATAAGATCTAGCAGAGAGCCGTCCGTGGCCAGCGACTCCGCCTGCCACTCGTCCGGATCCTGGGAACCTGGACCCCCTGTGTCAGCGGCCGGCGCGAGTCCCATCAGCGGCAGCGTGTCGACTTCTCCTATGCCGGGTCCGATTCAGCCCCTCGCTCCGATTCATCTGCAACCGTCCTCTCGAAACCAGCAGGTTGAGGGTTTTAGCATTGAGTAACACAGCAGAGCAGCAGTTTCCCGCCCTACGACACCGACTATGACGCACCGTTAGCTCTGCCGTATCTTCAACTTCCATCGCCGCCGAACCAGCAGTACAATAATATCAGCGTCGACTACTTTGCCTCGTCCCGAGAATATCCCCCAAACCAGTACCCGTGCTAGTCGTATTCGACGCATCATTCTGTCTCCTGATCATACAGCTTTCGAAAGCCTCTCGAGTGCCCTTTTCGGCACCCCAGGGGTTGTGAAGAGAACAACTAGAATTCTCCCACCATGGTACGCGCAAGAAGTCTGCCTCTCTAGTTCTGCTCCATGCCGAGCGAGCGCTAGTTGTGGCTAGCCAAGTTCCCACTGGCGTTCATGGCTTCTTGGAGTATGGAAAGAGGCAACTTGTTCAAGCTGTTTCACCCTCTTTCCTTTATCTTTTTCTCTCCTTTCTTTCTTTTCTACCTGCCTTTGAAAGGCCCGGCGGATCTGACATGGGCTGGCCTTCAGCTGATCTAGCATTTTCTGTCTTCATCTCCCCTCTCTCTACCTTATCTCTTTCTTTCGTTCCTTCTTTCTGCTTATTTTTTCCATTACTGTGTTCTTTTACAGGCTGGATTTTCTGGGGTTCCTCGTCGCTAGGAAACTGGCCATTCTGGGAGTTCTGCAACTGGTCTCATTTCCTCTCTCTCTCCATTGATGTAACTGCCGAGTATTGATGGCACGGCCTTCTCCTTTGTCTCCATGGAGTGAGAGATAGCAATGGGAGGATGGGCTTGGGATCGCAACGTGTGTTTTCGACATCAATGAGGCTACGGATTATATCTTTCCTTTGTCCACGGCGCAGTCTAGAAGAATGAGTGATGAATCTAGCGTTTCGCTGTATGTAGCACGCTCGAGAACAGTCCCTTAAGGGCATTGTTCAAATCCAAATACAAACCGCTAAGGAATGCAGGCGAATTCTCAGTAGACAGCGTCCTCTCCGCTCGTGCGACAGACTACTTGTCAAGTGTGGCTTTATCCCCTTTGTTTTATCTTTCCTTCTAGTCTTGGGGTGATCGTCGCCCCGACTGTAGTTGTAGTAAGAAGCCTGCTTCGCTTCCATGTTAGTGACAGGTGCCGTGCCACAATGAACTGGAGGAGGTCGCCGCATTTGGCGCGATGCTATTTCGATACACAGCCATTCCAGATATAATTTCTTGCCTTTGTTTGAAGATGAGTGAGAGGAATTTCATAGCGGCGCGTCTGTCTTCAGTTTTGGTGCCGGGAATGCCATGACAAGTAGTAGCCCTTTTCTGCTAGCTAGAAGAAAGAGGCCCCTCCGATGAGAACTCTGACATCCCGTCAAACCGGAGGGTTTCCATGGAGCTCATATACCTCTCAATAATTTGCTCTTGGCCCTTTTCGAAAACTTGGAGCGTAAGCGCTCCTTCTTTGACCATGGCGGTCGATTTTGAACCCCCATTCGAGTCGAGGCCGAGAACCTCGCTCTCCCCATCGACTATGGAATCGCCCGAGAATCCAAAATCGAGAGCCTAGACGTCGATAATGCCTCCGACGTGTTCTACCGCCTTCTCCGGACCACCTTTAAGCACTGGAATCGATCAGTGAACGCGTGGGATAACTTCAGCGACGTTATGAAGTGGAATAGGCATAGAATGGAGCTCCCGGAAATCGTAAGTATTGCCGATCCGATCCGGACAGACTTGGAACTCAACCTCGAGAGAACCTGGAGGTCCTTTGACATTGCCTCTGAAGTCCTCCTGCGCACCCTGTACAACAGGCCTACCACCGAAGAGCTGGCCAACTCTCGAACCGTCCTGAAGCAGCGGCATTATTTTTACAAAATGGCCAACGCCTGGACGCTATGCCTCGACGTCCTATCTACCGAGTTGGCGGAGAGGCCTCCCCTTTACGGTCCCCTTTCGGACGTACCACCCGGAACACACCTATTGTGGCCCTGGCATACCATGGCTCGTCGATACTGCAACCGGAAGCGCCTCATGCAGGAGTTTGGCCTAGAATCCGCAGGCTTTTGGGCGAGCCGCCAAGAGAGTGCTGAGGCCGGTAGCTGCCGAATAAATAACGAGACTTACAACGAAGAGGACGAAGAGATGCCCGACAGCCCCTCGGGGCAAGACCAGTGGACTGCTCGAAACGTTTACACAGGGTCCAGCGGCTCGAGCTACAACCTCACCCAGAGACTGCCCAATCTAGCCCTATCGAAGCGAATCCAGTATGTCATTTGTTCCCATCATCCTGATGCCCTCCCCTCTCCCCTCACAGCAGACATGCGCATCATATACTCCCCTTCTTGTACTAACAGGTTCCTCAAGCCTTGCAGAGCGTGTCGTAGATGATACTACTGAATTTTCCCACGACTTTCTTTCGAAGCTGCCCTGGAACCAGTTGGAACCCGCGAGGCCAACAAGACTGCCTCCTACCGAAGGTCCCCGGTCTTGGTATGAAACATCGTTGGCCAGCTTCCCCACAAGGAAGGACTGCCTTTACCCGGCCAGGACCAGGAGAGCTTCGTGGGCGCTAAGTTGGATCTGGAGGTCCGGGCTGAAGCTAGGCTGGCCAACAGGAATACATTGGACGAGTCATCCGACGACGACGACGATGATGAGGATGGCGGCAATAACGATGACGATGCAGGACAGGGTCCGCCTCGTAAGAAGAGGCGCCTATTTCGAGCACCGGCAGATACAGATACCGCAACGAGGTTACGCCTTTGGAATGGGTTCTGGGGTAAACGGTATCGCCCTCTCTTTCTACAGATTCAACATCTAGAAAGTCTTTGGGAGACGAGCGGTGAGAGGCCCCAAAAGTCCCTCGACAGTAGTAGAAGCAGTTCGAGAACCCCCGGCCGCGTCGAGGCCTCGGAGATCCAGCGTCAGGCGAAACCGGAGACCAAGAGGGCCAAGGGTAACAGTTACGTCACCTCCCTCTGTAAGCTCAACTCGGCCTCTTGAGAGCAGCGCTCCTCCGGTGCATCAGCCGAACATCACTCCTCCAGTGCGGCAAAGTGAAGTAATTCAAACTCCTGCGCCCCGGGTTTCCCTGAATCTTCCTCGACCACGAATGGGGCCGGCGCCCCCTCCACCCCAGAGTGCCGTGTATCCTCCTCGACCGCAGATGGGACCAGTGCGTCCTCCGTCCCAACAACCCACTACCCCTCCTCCACCGCAGATGGGACCAGCGCACCCTCCGTCCCAGCATCGCCTTCCTCCTCCTCCACCGCAGGTGGGACCAGCGCACCCTCCGTCCCAGCATCCCCTTCCTCCCCTCCACCGCAGGTGGGACCAGCGCACCCTTCGTCCCAGCATCCCCTTCCTCCCCTCCACCGCAAATGGGACCAGCGCATCCTCCGTCCCAACAGCCCCTTCCCCCACCGCAGGTGGGACCAGCGCGCCCTCCGCCCCGACAGACCCCCGCTCTTCCCGCGCCGCAAAGGCCGGTGCCTCGTGCATCCCAACGGAATCTAGGTCAATCTGCGACGCAAAGAGGTTCCGCGTTGTCTTCGCCCCCTTTACAGAGTCCTAGCCCACCACAGCGGCCGCGAGCTCAAGTACGGGATACGGCGTACTGGGAGAGGATGGCACAACTCGAACCAAGATATTCACGCAGAGGGAATTTCTGGACGGTGTAGAAAGATAAGTCTTGAAGACGATGAAAACAATTCTGGCGCGTGTCGAGCCTGGGCTAGTTGGATGCGGCCGATGATCATCACGGATGGTTGGGGGGCTTCGAAGGACTGAAATTGGTATAAGTGTTTGTAGAGTTGAGTGAGTGACTGAATCAAGATAGATGCCCTTTGGAACGGTGTCCGACCCTATTTTCAGCAATCGGGCGTGACCTGCCATGCAGCATTAGCCCTGCTCTGAAAGCTAAGCTGGTAAATATCGTAACTGTAATGTCATTAAGTGTATGAACGCGTGCTATCCTTGAACGCCAAACCCGAAGATGCTACTGCTGGTACCAGCACGGATAAAAAGGGGCCCGTCCTCGTCTTGCGCGCGAAAAGATAAAGAAGAAGAAAAACAATCCGGGTCCACCTCGATCCAAAGCGAAACAGCGCTGCGCGCGTAAACAAAGCGCTCGGTAGGCGCCGAGAGGTAAAAACGATGGGTATCGTACTAATTTTACAAGAAGTAATCAGCAACCGGCTTCTTTGCCGGCATGCCCCTAGAGTCCTGAGGAGCAGCCTGGAAAACTCGGTAACGCCGGGCAGGGCCGCTTCGGGGCTCTGTTTCGCTTTCAGCCATAACCCCCGAAAGCCACCTGCGCCGCCGTCGCTCCTATTGACGTCGCCATTGCTTCTTTGGAAAACGCCAGTCCCTCCCTCGTCTTCCGTAAGCTCAAGGACGGCTGCGACATTCCCACATCGGTAGCAGTAGTTGGGGGCCGACCACACGGTAACGATGGATGAGTCAAACATCTCCTTGAAACCTTCCATGACGAGCTGATGCGCGCGGGCAATTAAAGAGAGATCGTTGCGGTGGTTGAAGACTTTGACAATATCAGCCCCAAATAGAAACCCGGCACCGCGAGGTGACAAGCCCCATCCGTCAATCTCATCCGGGTCGGACCAAAGGAGATCACACATGGCGCCCTCGTGAGGAACCTCCTGCTTCCTGTCAAGAAGACGGATCTTATCCACCGTATCAATGAGAGGGCTCAGGCCTCCATGGACGCACAAAACGGCACCCGCTGGATTTCCCAGTGAACCTCCACTCGATCCAGATGCGCCGGAGCCTGGAGGACCAGTCTTTCCCGCACCAGCCCCGCCGTTTGCAGCCTTTGCCTGGGGGAGCTGTTGGCCTCCTGAGTCCGGCGAGGAAACCGGCTCATAACACTACCATTTTGATCGCAGACTTGAATCTCGATGTCTTTGTCCTCCGGCTCAGAGGAGAGGTAGTTCGAAGCACCTAGCACGATTGCGCCAAGTGCAAGATAGTCGAAGATATCGCAGCAATATCGCCAGACATTCGCGCTTCCATACTTCCTAAGGCATTCGTCGTAAAAGCCATAAACTGTTGTGATCTGTCTGGACTCGTGATTGCCCCGGATTAGGTCATCCGGTCGGGGTATCTAACTTTGAGGCAGAGCAGAAGGAGGAAAGACTCGAGTGAGTAAAAGCCGCGATCGACGAAGTCACCTGCCATCCGCGATATGAAGGTTAGGATCACCGATTCGCTTGTTTCGTTGGGAATGCAGTAGCACAAATGAAGGGCTCAAGGTGCAAAGTCCGCATGCATACCCATAAAAAGATACTTCGTATCGGGTGGATCGCCGCCGACGCGGAAGAGCTCCATAAGATCGTGGAACTGGCCGTGGATGTCGCCACATATCTAGGGTTATACAATATCAGCCTACGAATTCGCGCAGGCCATGCGAAAGTTCATCCAACATACCGTCACAGGCGCTGTCACGGTAACGACATTACCCTCTTCGATGAGGAGCTCCCTAGCCTTGTGGCATATTTCGCGGACTTGGGCTTCGGGGATAGGTCTACAAGCGCGAAGTTGCGCGATGGCTCTAACCCGGTCCGTCAGCGCAATTCTTGAGCAAAGGCAGGCAAAGACGCCCCGCCGTCATCCCAGAGGCTGATAGGAAGGGGGCACGTACTTATCAAGGTCGCTCATGGCCGCCGATGCTTCTATTGTTGTCCTCGGCCAGGGGCAACGATGGTGGTGGATAAGATATATGTCGCGTGGTGATGCGCAGGCTTATGGAAGCAAGAGAGGAGACGGCGTTCGCAGAATCGCATGTGCCTCCGGAATATCGACGTGAAAGAGGGCAGCGGCGATGGGACAATATTTGGCAAGCCACCCTAAATTTGTGAAGGTCCAAGCTCCTCTGACGCGGAACAAGTGGTGAATGGCAGGGGCGAGCCAAATAGACTTAAGACAGGCAAATACAGCTGCTCTCAGCTGATTTTACAGCACTCTGGCTGGCGGGTAGACGATGGATGAATGACGCCGATTACATAAGGCTGCATGACATCTGCGAGAGGACCATCCAATTGGGAGAGAGGCAATTCCAGGAGAGCCGAAAACAAAATTTAGCTCTCATCACGAATAGAAGGTTGATATACCTCGGTAGGCGAACCCTCAATCTCGACACAGTTCCTGCGTGGTGGACTCGAGCCTCTTGATGATGTTGGGTTTATTATAGGTGAGCTTCGCTGGTTGATTTTGCCTCTACGTTTGTGTGCTCACGCCCAGTCCAGATCAATTGGCAGCTCTCGTTCCTCGCTCGTCGCCGAAATCATGCCACCTCATCTCCACCCACGGTCGCGAATGACCTCGTCGCTTTTCGCAACAACAGTCGTCGCCAGTTTCTTCGTCGTTGCACTACCACATATCCTGCCTTGTCCAGCTCCTCGAGTAGCCTATGCCGATGGCGAAGCGATGGTAGACGAGACTGGCCGGCGACGAAGGCGCAGACCCGCCCAACCAGTCGAGATCAAAAACGGAATCGCCCAGTTTGAGAGAACAACGGAAGAAGCTAGCGCCAGTATGATGGAAGATAGGAGCAATCGCCAGTGCCCTGTACCGAAGCCGGGCGGAATATTAGGAGAGATGCTCGGCTTCCACCAGCCGAGGAATACCACGCCGAGGAAAGACAAGTCGTTACCAAGTAGCGACACATGAATTGAAGATATTGTATGATTACATGTCCGAGGGCTAGCTACAGCCTTTTGCTTGCCATCTTGCTATTTTGTGACGTGAGCATACTTCTCTTTATCAGTTGGAGAGATAACATGGTCCAGCCCACCGCGCTACGTTGGTGCCGCCCAGGCCTTTCTCAAGATGCCCATGATGCAGTCAACTTGGGGGTTTTCGAGTTGACCTGACTGCAATCCCATCGCCGCCAAAGAGGAGGTTCGCCGACGGGCCGGTCCCTTTCCACCGGGCATCTGATGTTAGCTCTCACGGTATTTTATGCATGTAGTTTGTGCATTCCTATAGATCTGCTCAATGTCGAAGCAGAGCTGCGCGATGTGGTAGCCGTGCGCGGGCGCGGGCGGAGAGGGGCGGCTCAAAGAGAGCGAGTGTATAGTTCAGATAAAGCGAATGGAAGCTTCGTAGAGTAGGAAACCAATGCGTACGTGCCAATTGGGCTATCTTTAGCTACATGGGAAAGAACATAGGGAAGCTGGATGGACATCCCAGATGCAAGGGGCGGTTCGGCAGGTTCTTCGAGGGCGGAAAAGAGAAAACCGTCTTGTGAAGCCGTGAGTCAGCGACCCAGGCATCCGCAAATATTTCTCCAAAGACAGCATAGGGTTGTTTGGAACCATTGTCGTAACCTTCCTTTCTCCCTTGGGTATGTGGGATGCACCATGCGTGGGAGCCAGGTCTCGGTTCCGGCGTATCACCCGTCACGGCAGGCTGCCATCGCGCACACTTCCCAACCAGCACCGGGCGCAGTGTGTACTCCACGGCTGCGCGCTCGTCTATGATCGTCCATCACTCAATCCCCGGGCCCCTTCACTATACTAGCATGGTAATTTTGATTTCTGGGATTTAGGTCATGGTTGTCATTGAGGCCGGTCTTTACTTTTATCTTTTTGATCATGTTCTTCCTTAAGAGAGCCAATCCGTTTCTTTCTGTCAAGAGAAATTGGAAGCATGAAAAAAGCCACCCCCTCGAGTAAACAGGGGCAAAGCAGATAGAAGGGCACCAACGAGAGCAGCATCACGCCGCAGACGTAGAGTTTCCGGTGGTGCCGGCTGGTGGCGCAAGGGACGATGGCCAGGCCGAGTCCATGCGCCAGTTGCCATGATGGCCAAAAGGATCGGAGAATAAGCTCAACTTTCCCGGGTTTACGACGCCTCCGAAATCCCCCTGCTAAATTCTAGGTGGTCGAGATGGTCTTCCGTCCTCTTCCGTAGATCATGCCCGCACCTGAGACGGTGTCGGTGTCGCGTTCGGACCCTCATGTTAGGGACTTGTCTTTTTTTCCCTGCTTGAACGGATGAACCCCGCCAAAGTCCAGGTGACGTGCAACATCCGCCACTAACAAGTGCTTCTGTCATCCTGCCACCCCTGATGCGCAAGCCCAGCCTTGATCTGCCAACCAAAGAAGTTCCAAAACCATTTAAGCTTACCTCTATTACCTGCACCGCGCTTGGGCTCTTGGGCTCTTATGCACTCTTGACAGCGCAAGAAGGTACCCTTGCCCACCACATGAGGATGAGTCGGACTTGGGTCGGTGGTGTTTGATCCGCCGAGACGATCTAACTCTGCCGAGAAATTTGAGATCATGTTCTGCGCCACCTCTGTCGTCCTATCACAGGAGAATAAGGCCATGTTTGAATAATGTGATTGGGCCAATTGTGAAGTACCTCGTTGGTGGTGCGCCGGCGCTGTGATGCGAGATGTTCGCGGGCCTTGGGCTGCTCACAATGTGCTGCATGGATGAAAGAGGGGGATGAGGATGAAGCGGAGGCAGGGGATCAGATTTGTCTCTCGATTCGCGATGGTGCCGATGTTCCAAGTCGACGAGTGTAGAAGCCCCTCCGTCAATCTCAATATAAGACGGCACGTCATCCTGTTTATCCAGATCTTCTCTTACTCTTTTCCCTTGTTTCAAACCACATTCTTTCTCCTCGCGTACCTGCCTTTTGGTTGCTTCTGAGGTATGTTCAACTGTGAAATCGCCCTTGATGCTTCAAGAAGTCGCCTAGCTAACACCCCTCATCACCACTAGCTGTGCTCTTCATTTCTTTCCTTCTCTTCTGCGCCAAGTCTTGTTGAACAAGGTCAGTTTCCCTTCAGGATGCGGAGGCTTCGGGGTGGTGATGTGTGATAACATCTATGACTCTGGTATATATATATCGTTACTAACACGACCAAGCCCCATTCGCTTTTTTCACTTGATACCACTTTATAACATCTTTCTTTGCCTTTTCATTCCATCAATATGAAGGCCTTCACCCTTCTCCTCGTCGCTGCCGGTGTAGCCTCTGCCGCCACCGTCCCTAACCACCCGAGGCGCGCAGTCCTCGCCGTGCGCCAAAACTCGACAGAGGAAGCCGATGTCGAAACCCAGATCGAAGACGATATCTCTGACGACAGCAGCGACGATAGCAGCAGCAACCTCAGCAGCAACCTTAGTTTTGACGACTTCTCCATCAATGACTTCATCAACCTTGGTGTGACCGATGTCCTCAACATCGACAACATTAGCCAGCACGAGCTCGACCTCGCCACCGCCCTTAGTGCCATGCTTGGTGGCCTTGGCTTCGGCGGCCAGGTAACCGTGAACGACTTTGTCGGGTTTGGCTTCAATGCCCAACTCCAGATGTTCCTCGCCTTCCAGCAGATTGCGCAGCTTCTCAGCCTCGGAAGGATCGGTGCCAACGATGCCTTCGGCCTGATTCGGGGCAACCTCCTCAACTTTGGCTTCAACGGATTCAACGGATTCAATGGCGTTGGTCTCCAGGGTCTCGGCGGCTTTGGTAGCGGTTTGAGGGGGCTTAATGGGCTCAACAACCTGAACCTCGAGGATATTGCGGCTAGCTTGGGTAAGTCTGAATATCACAACCTCTCAACATCGATCTCGTGTACTAACTAACCGGCGCAGGCATCTCCGTTGATGAACTCACCCGAGGTAACAACAACAACAGGAACAGCAACAACAGGAATAGCAACAACAACAACAACAATAACAACAACAACAACAGCAATGACGAGGAGGACGATCTCTCCGAATTCACCCGATAAGCGCATCTTTCATCCTTGTAGCGGCGTGGATGGCTAGACAATTCTCAGCATCGTTTCCGTAAGCCATTTTCGACCGTTTGCGCTTCCAATGGGAGTCTGTGTTCCTAAAGTGTAGTGCACTCACTAAGAAGTCATGACGAGGAGTGATTCCGGGGAGCAGAGGAAGAAATTTTAAGGTCTTTATTTTGGCAATAAAGGCTGGCCCTACATGTCATGGGCAGATTAATTGGAGAGGGACTCTACGTATATATTGCACCAAACATGATCTTTTTTTTTTTTTTTTTTTAATCAACCCGGAGGCAATCAGGCCTTTCCATAGTGACCTTGTGTGTTGTTTGCCATCTTGATATTAGAACACATGTAGACTCGTAAGGGAACTAACCACGTTCATCTATGGACGTATCCTTGACTAGAGACGCTAGCACCCTTAGATCATCTAAGGGGTTGACATAGCTTCGTTTATCAATATACTATGTATGGCAAGCTTGATATTTTTCATCGCCAGTCTTTCGTGAGCCCCGCCATCCTTAGTCTTTCATGCCTGGTTAGGACAAGCAGGAGCTATTTTGACAATGTCCTATGATGCTGAGGCTACTACTCTCGGGGTTCGCTGCACATGGTAATTTAGTTTCATTTTCTTTCTTTTGCTCGTTTTTCTTCAAAGTTTTCACCAATGACCCTAAGATGGTGGATAGATCCATGGATGTTTCGTCTAAGCGAGACTGAATAAGCGAGCCCCTCAGAGGCGCTTATTATCCATTTTATGGATTAGAATCTATGCGTGTGTTTTCAAGTATGGGATGAAAGGAGGGAATGTTGGTCTGAGGGGCCATACTAGTTAGTGTCAGGTTGGGTTGACAGGTGAAAGGTGAAAGATCAATCTTTTCAAACTTCCAAGGAGGGATTGAAGCGCACGCCATCCCATCAAGCGTGGCTGGCGGGGCTAAGGAGAGAATTGGCAGGTTTGATGTTAGAACATTGCCACGGGCCCCTGTCTTAATTATGTGATTTGTGCCTTGGGAGTTATTTGGCTCGGAGCGCACGCGGAGCAACGAGAGCCACCTGAGGAATTACTGGGCCTTCCTTGTTGGTTATTACACCGGACCAGACGGGCAAATGGAACCCGTTAGGACCGTGGTGTCCGTTCTCTTTTTCCTCCTTTCTTCTCAAGCCCCCTCCCTTTTCCATCTACGATGCATTGACTCTCATCGGGAATTCTTGGAGCCACAAGGTCGAAGGGGAGATGGACACAGATCTCCGAGTCTTTTCATCGGTGGTGAGGGTTTCCGGTTGAGAGAAACATTTTTACAAGGGTTCCCGACCCGTCGCCAAGGGCTTTCGTCACACTCAGGAAGGGAGGAAACGTTCCTCGTGCGTTTTACACAGCAACCAAACTCTCAAGGCAGAAAATCTGGCGTTGATGGAACGAAATGGCAGCTGGACGCACTACGAGGCGGCAGTCGCTGACGAGTTTCCGTTCTAGAAATAGATGCTGGGGCAAGATGGTCGCGTTTCTCATGCTCACGATCAGCAGTTCCGTATGATTTGATGTTTGCAAAATCCCGGGAATCCAATGGCCACAGCTCATCTTGCAACAACATCGGACGGTGCAGCCAGCGGCGTGCAGTGCGCATTGGGTGGTGGGTGAGGGCTCGTGGAAAGGGAAAAAGGCTAAAACCAAACAGAGGGAGGGTAAGGGTTGCGCATAGCTCGCATCATGCCAATTTGGTCGGAAAGAGCGAGGTTCCGTGCTGGGAGCCCTCGACGATAGTACCGGTAGTAAAGGTCGGACTGCCTCAGCTTCAAAACCTGCGACGTGGGCGATGTTTGAGACGGCGATCACACCAAGCGCCTCAATATTTGCTGGCGTGGACGGACGGGGTGTCACCACACGGTCCCCTGCAGGGGACTCGCACCTGCCAAGACCCAGAGGCGTTTGAAAAGAAGACCGGATCTTTCGCTTTGGCGACAGGGATCATCGAGATCAAAAGCCGCCGATTGGCCCTCGCCTGTGTCTGCCCCACAATTCTACAAAGACTTGCTCGGAAAGAGCGAGCATCCTTTAACCTTAAACTGCAACTGCGACCAAGCGATAGGCTCCTTGGGGTGTGAGTGACCAATCATGACCGAGCTTTCGAATCCTCTCCCACGCACCTTTGATCTTTGAGCCTCAAGCACAGACGGGAAAAAAGGGGTGGGGGAGGGGGAAGGGAAGGGAAGGGCAGGGAAGGGAAGGAAGGGGGTGGGTAGCATGGCAGGAGGGACGGGGAACAAAAGATGGACATTTAGCCAGTGCCTCAACATGGTCTTGGATCTAGTGTGCGTCGCACCACCCACGTTCCTGCGCAGTTGCCGGGATTTATCCAGTGCTGGCTTGCTGCAGGCAGTTCTGCCAAACAAACCAGATTTAGACCCATTCGATTGATCATTGATCCTGGGTCAAATCATCTGGAACTTGCACGGACTGTAACTCCGTTGTCAATATCCAACACAGCGCTTGAGGCTTGGCTAGCCTCGGAGCGCCTCAGGCCTACGGCATAGGTACCGCCATGGGCTTCCCCGAAGGAGTAAGGAGGTTTGTTGGAGTGGGCCTCGACCAGCCACTGCCGATACACACCCGCGTCGTCGTTGTTTCCCCCTGTCGAAACCATTCCTAAATAGGCTTCGGACGACAGCTTGTCATCTGGTTGCCACAGCTTGAGTGGCAGTACGTGTGGACTCGAGGAGGTCGAGCCGCCTCGATCCCACCTCGTCTCCCCTGGAGGCTTTCCTCCCGCGGCCACCAAGTGAGGCTTTGTCTTATCGAAACATCGCGAAACGATTTTTCTACCCATGTCGCCGATCAGGCTGGAAGGAGAGTCACCTGCCTCTGGCGCCACCGATACCTCAAATTTCGCCGAGCAGTCCATAGACACCGGGGTATCGGACCTCTCGTCTCCTCGTGTAGTTTCTGCCTGGGCCCCCATGGTTTCCATCGATGGCGAAGGGGAAAGGTTCGGAACCTACCTGTACTCCGAGCCACCCAGGGCCTCTCTCAAGCTCCCAGATGACAGGCGCCTCCCTCCCATCCCATTACGCGCTGTCGTCTCTCTTGGCTGCAAGCCCTCGTTTCGGTGACACACTCTTCCGTGCATGACGTCTCAAGTCCTTCTTTTCTATTTTGCAGAAGCGACAAGTAGGTGCAGGAAGCTGGTGATCCTAAGAGCCAAGACCATTGCCACGGCTTGTTGCTCAAAGATTTGATGCAGGTTTTCCCTTGACAGATGGACCCTCGGTTTAATTGAGTGGCATTCCTTATGGTGCCGCTCATAAATATTATGGGTATTATCGCCTGGGGAGGTTCGTGTTTTTCGCTCCAAGTGCTACCTGACGGTCAAGGGACCCAAAGGAAGAAGAAGAAAAACCCCCAAGAAAAACAGGAGAGAAAAAAAAATTCATAATACGAACTCCCGCTACGGTAGGCCTAGACCATCTGCCTTTTCGCCTCTGCTGCAACCCTCGCGCACTGCCAAAAGATCCACGAGAGCTGGTGGAACATTAATCCATGAGGCTCACGGTTTTTCCAAGTGCGGCCTCAGCGGGAAAGCAACGCAACCCTTGTCACGCACACACCCTCCCTCCCAGGAGCCCCCATCCACACCCCTGCTCGCTCCAAACCCACCCCTCTTTGCTGCCAAACCCGCAAAAATGTCAATTGGCCTGGACCCGTAACCTTACTCTTCCGCCCCTGCCCTACCTTGTTTTAGCTGTCGGCTTCCGTTTAAGGGACGCCTGATATCTGACACACTCGGGATCTGGCATCGCCTGGACATCCGGCCGACACCACACCCCCTTATCCCAGGCTTGGCTTGGCGTTGCATACCGTGGGTGGGTGGGTGGGTGTTTGGCCAGCCCTCACCAACCCCGGCCTCTGCCCGGCTCGATTTGCTATATAAGATGCATCCGGTCTCGTCCAGAACTATTCTTTCTTCTCCTCATCTCATCCACAAATCAACACTCCAGCCCAATCTTCATTCTTTCTTTTCATTCTCTTCAGAGGTAAGCTACACTCCCCCTCATCCAAGGGATTCGAGCATTCCTTGCTCTGGGATCGAAACAACCCATCGATCCATCCGATCTACTGGTGACTGGTGATCAGCCTCGCTAACAAACGCTTTCTTTCTTCAGCTGTGCTCTTTGTTGTTCGCTCTCACTCCTTTTCTCTCTTTTCAACTTTCGTTTGAACATCACGAGCTGTGCTCATTTGTTTTATAACTTTTAATCCAAAACAACCCACTCTCTCTATCAAAATGAAGTTCACCAGCATCTTCGTCGGCACCCTTGCCACCCTCGCTGCTGCCGCCCCCGTCAAGGAGGTTGCTGAGGAGAAGCGCGGTTTCTCCTCGGTGGTTTCAACCAGTTCTCCACTGGTCTCCAGTTCGGAAGCGGCTTCGATGTTCTCGGCGCCAACAACTTCGGCTTCAACAACCTTGCTCTTGCCTACCTCGCCAAGTTCAACGGTTTCAACACTGCCGGCTTCGGCAACTTGATCACCGCCAACAGCCTCGCCTTCGACCCCTTCGCTGAGCTCTTCGCCTTCGGAAACAACAACCAGTTCCTCCAGCTCAACCACATCCTCACCCTCCAGAACGCCCTCGTTCTCAGCTGGCTCAGCAACATTGGTCTTGCTTCCAACCTGAACTTCGCCGGTGGTGTCGTTCCCCTCCTTGACTTCGGTAACCTCAACGGCTTCATCTCCCCTTCAGCTCTTTCCCCCTCGGCATCGACTCCGTTGTCCAGACCCAGATCACCAGCTTCGTCGGCAACTCTGGCTGTAAGTAGTCTCCTACCATTCCCCAGACAATCGGGCGATCAGAACATGTTTCACTAACAGAGTTGCTTTTTTACAGTCTTCGTCAACGGCGGCCTTGGCGGTGCTGGCCTCGGCGGCGGCATTGGCGGCTTCAACAACGGCTTCTTCAAGGAGTAAATTCGCCCATGGCAATGACCGCCCCGCTTCACTCTTAGCGTGGGAAAGTGTGCAAAGGGGTTGAGCAACGGTGGCTTCGGCTGCTCCTAGCGGAGCATGGAAAGTTTTTCGCTGCTAGCCTTTCTTGTGCCTTGGAACCACTCCTAATTCCTTTTGTTACTACGGGTGAGCGGGGCCGCGGAACTTCGGGGACGGACGAAGGAATAGAGAGAGAGAGAGACCAATTTCCTTGTTTCTGGATTCTTTCAAGAGAGCGAACTTTTTTACATTGGGGAATCCGCCCTTTCCGGGATTAGTGTTCATAGCCTATTTCTCGGTTTGGGATGAGAGAATGAATGGATTTGGGCAAAAGGAGTAATCTTTTTCATGTCATATTTTCTTTCTATAGATAACGGCGCGTTGATTTGTGAACCCCTGACATCCTCCAGCTCTTTTCCATTTCTGCTACTTGACAATATACCGGTCTCCCCTTCATTTCTTTGGCTTCCCTTTCCCCAGCTGAACTGCCGAAGAAGTCTAAACAGTTGGGGTTTGTGTGAGCCAGGACGCAGGGCGCCACTAGAAACGTGCCAACTGATGATTTATGCATTGGCACTTGGGGTGGTCAGGCGGGAGTCGAAAAACGTTTTGAGGACCAGGAGAGGGTGTGTGCCTGATTCGGAAGAGCCACAATTCCGGCTTCAAACAGACAGCTATCAAACTCCAAGAACCCAACAGGGAATGCGAGTAAGGTTATTGACAAGCGTGAGAGGAGGTGGTGGGCCTGGTCGGAAGCCTAGTTTTCCGGCCGGTCGACAGGTCGAGGGTATGTAAGACCACGAGGGGGTCGTTGCATGAAGAACTGGGGCCGGCCAAACCAGGGGAGGTTTGTGGGGGAGGGGCCGCTGGGAGGTGATGCCGTCATGGGCACTAGAAATTTTCAATGTATGTTGTGCCTTGAACACAGAGGGGGTTTTTTAACAGAAACAGCTTTTCTCCTCGGTTGTCCCCCTGGATGTTTCAGGGTTCCGTTTGGGGGAACGGGGAGGGTGTGGGAGGAGTGGGTGATTTTAGCCTCGCTGAAATGACCATGAACCCACCAGCACCAGCCACCTCCACGCGAGGGCTTCATGCGACCACCTCAGTTCGCCCAGTGTCAGCCCACACCCCTCGACGTCAAAAGGCAGAATCAGCCCTTTTCAGGAACGATTCGAGTACCTCGGCGGGGAGATGGAACAATTGAAATGTTCCGAAAGTAACACCTACTCATTGAAGCTTAAACTGGTGCGGCCAACACGTTGAATTTTCAGGGTCGAAGAGAAACGAGCCGTGCCCACCCCCATTGTGGTTTCAGATACCATGCAAGAGAAGGGGGAAAAGAGCAAGTAGGGAAAAACCAGCCCGCCTAACATTTCCGTTGAAGATGGCGCGATTGAGGTGAGGGACTCCCTGCAAATCCGCGATCAAGGCTGCTAGCTGTCAATTGGGCCCTTATCTTTTTTTTTTTTTTTTTATAAGGGTCTACCTCGGTAATGACTGAGGGGATGCACAGACAAGGTATGTGCTGCTGTGTTAGTTGCAAGTGAGGATTGAGTTACCCTTCAGGACGGGAACGAACATCTCGTATCGAGCTAGACGGGAGCTTCATTAGACACGGCACTTTCATGATGAGTGGGCTCTGCACTAGGTTCCAACATTAATCTCAAGTTCATGGCACTGAAGCGGATGTCTCGCCTTCAGCTCTAGGGATGATGGTAACTATCTTTAATTGTAGTGCTTTATCTGATATCTTCTCTCCTTCCTTTTTTCCCCCTAATCTCTGATCCTATGTTTTCTTTTCCTCCAGTCCCTTCTTTAGAGCTTGTAATAGTTAGTAGTGCGGGTATTGACGACGCAACGTTTAGTTTTAGAAAGCCCCTCGGAGATCCGCTGTATATACAATGCATACGCAGGTGACGAAACAAATTGAGAAAAAGAAAATGAAGGAAAAAACGAGTCCCGAGCCTATATCATAATTCCATGTCATCGTCACTCTCTTCGCCCCCAGCAGCCCCGCCTTCTTCCTCCTCTTCCCTCCTGCTCGCCTCGGCGCTCGCCCCGAGCTTCCTCACCGCATCCATGACGTTCAGTACGAACCCGCGGTTCTCAGCCAGCTCCATCGCGCCCACACCGCGGAGACTCATTACCCCGCAACGCCCGTCTCGAGCTGGCTTGTGCTAGCGCGCATCTTGGCTGCCCTGATCTCCCTCAGGTCCCGTAGAAGGGTGCGTACCTCGGCAGCGGCGGTAATGTCGTCCCCGCGTGCGCTAACAGTATCTCGGAGAGCTCTAGCCAGTGATACGGCAGCGCCGACCGGGGGCGTCAGCTGTGCAGGAGGGGAGGAAGGGGGCGACAGCACAGGCTCTTTCGCCGGGTCTGTGGACATGGGGTCGACTCGCTTCGTGGCGCCCCGGCCGTCGGCGCGGACCGGAGGAGGCGGAGGAGGTGAGAAGGCTTCGGGATCAATCTTGGTCTCGTGGTGGATGATGTCGGCGAGGGATGCGGGTGCAGCCAGGGGGTGGCACGATGTTGGCTCGTCGCTGCTTCTTGAGGAGTACCGCGAGCCAAAGAGGGAGATCAGCTCGTCGCGGAGGTCTTAATACGGGCGTGGATCCCTGAGAGTGGGCACCATAGGTTGCGTGCGTAAGTTACCGTCATCTTTCAAGGCTCACGACGCGTCGGCGCGCGTCTATGTACGGGGAGGTGGGGGGGATTGGGGCCAATTGACTTACCCCAGCAAATCCATGCTGTCCAGCCTCTGGCGAGGCACGACTGTGACCAGCTCCATCTCGCAGAGGAAAGCAACCTCGGCGGCGGTGAGGCCAACTGGTAACGGGAGAGCCATTCCCGGAGACTGTCACCATGAAGACCAGACTTTGGCGATGCGATGTGGGAAAAGTTGATGTCGTCGTCGACAGTCCCTTTGGCGGGGTCCCAAACTTGGTTGGCTGCAGAATTGGCGGCTGTCGTCGCCCGCGCGCCTGCAAGACTTGCCCCGCGCCACGCCAGAAGCCAAGCTAAGACAGCCTGGGAGGCTCCTGCCGCCCCAGAAAATTAGTACCCTTTCCCAGTGCAGTGCCACTTGTCTGGCTCTTGCCATTTTCGCCTGCCGAGGATTAGCCTCGGTGGCTTCTCACTAACATTTGCGTTGAAAGACAAAATCTTATATATCCATCTAGAGCGAGCCTCAGTGCGCTCGGCTCAAATATCTATTCTTCTCCTTCCACCGCCTAGAAATAGACGGTATGCACACTGGATTTATTGTTTGGACTCTTGGGAGATATAATTAACCTTTTCATTTTCTTGCCTTATTCCCCTCGCCGGAAAGGGGCTACCGATGAGCTATTCTAGCTTGCTCATACGTTCCCAGTATCTCGCGACTTCTTGCGACTAGGATGGAACTAACTCATCCGCGGGATCGCATTCGTAAAGTCCCAGCGATATTGTAGAGTACTATCACTCCCGAGTAACCCGTCTTCCTTCCCCACACATTTCCATTATGCTCCCTTCGCGTATTCTCCGAGTAACGCACGCGAGCGCGTCGATACGTGCTTTGTGTGTGTTGCCAAGCTAGCCTCGACCCGTCAATGTTTATACCTCCATCTGGCCAGCGATATATTTGCATGGCGGCCGTACCGGCTATCCTTCTGAGTGCATGTCAAGCAGCTCAAGATCCCCTCATATCATACTCCATCAACTCGTTTCGGTATCCTGTTTCCTTCCATTTAGCCCCCTTTCAAATCTAGTCGCTGTGTCAAGTTGACGGAACATTCCTCTGATCAAAGGTCAACTTGTAAACCTTGCCTCAGGTTAGTTCGGCTCATTCGCGCTAATACGTCTCTCTTCTCTGAAGGGTAGGGAAAGCCCTCACCTGCTTTCGTCATCGCCCGAGCATCTCAATATCATTATCTAGCGGGCCCAATGTCGGCCTAGGATAAACCGGAGTGATAATATACTTTATCAGGTTGAAGCTGATATTCGACTTGCTAGGTGGGAGGATAGTGACTAGCTTTATACTTTGGGATTCGTTGAGATGTCGATCCTGGAACTCTCTGAAGAAGAAGTTGGCTCTCTCAAGTACTCGAATCCCGGGAGCCACCCGAGCATGTTTCGTACGCCTCCAAGGAGGTCAAATTTGGCAACTGAAGGCTTGACCTTGTGGCCGGCGACACCGTTGCTGATATGGGATGACACCTCGTTTCCGGTAGTGAGTGACATCGAGTCGAGCTTATTTTCAGCGGCTTTGCAAGAAGCCTGGACTTTTCCTGGGCTCGAGTGCCTTGATGTCTGGCTACCGTATCCCTCCTGGACGTATAGCTCAGTGATTTCGCCAACTTGGCTGTCCGACTCGGACCAGAGGCTCTGGGAAATGGCTTTCTCCGTGCTGACGCCCTGTTCGTGCACGAAGTGGCCCTTCGGCTGGGCCAAAATTCGATGGCCATGACTCTCAATGGACTGGAGCACATAGTGCCAGTCCCGTTCAAGAGCTGCAGACCACTCTGCGCCCATACAGTGGTGGCCATGCTGCTGAAGAAAGCGTCCAAAAGGGTAAATCTCCCCACAGCAGGCCCAGCCAAAAGTTGCCCATAGCTGTGTGATGACTTCCGCCTTTTCATCCAGAGTGACCGCATAGTCATCGCGGCTGACGTCAAAGAGCTGCAGACTTGCAAGATAAATGCGCTTGCCTGCCCACGCCACCTGGGTGGCTCCGCAAGCAACAGACCGAATGAGACAATGGCGGCATGTATAGTGGCTACACGCGAGCTGATGCAGTGAGTGGCAAGAATCCCTGTGGTCGCAGGAATCGCACTGACGCGTGAGAGCCTCTTCGAAAGCCCATGCGATGCAGTCGGAAAAGCCATCGTCTATTGGCGAGCTCGTAGCTGTAGAATATTCACCGTCCCCAGTAGAGCAGCAGGACAAATCTGAATCATCCGCGTTATCTGATCCATTAGTAGTCGAGTAATCTCCCACGTTGATAAAAACATCGCGGAGGACCATAGCCGTTGCACCGACATCGCATCTGTGGTAGCTGTCATGTTTAACTAGCTCTTCGTGCCGATGAATGTCCAAGGATGGAAACACCTCAAGGAGACCGGCGTCCAAGATATAGTCAACCATAGGATCGCTGTGGCTGTCGCACGACATTTTACGCGTCGTGCTGAAGAGGCGGCGTCCTGATGGGTTCAACTGCTGTAGAATAACTGTTGGGTAGTAACGCTTCTCTTCCAGGGCCTTTCCGAGGAATCGCCTAGTGGAAATATCATTAGTATTGGCACAAGTACAAACATGGGTTTTCTGGACATTGGTGCGAGCCCACCTTAGCTTAGCAAAGGAATTTCCCAAGTTTTGGAAAGAGAAACTTGGGGGCTAGGTTGTGCTGGCCCTTTTGGAAGTGTGAGTCAAGAATGGCCTCTCTTGATAATAGGGCGATGATCCTTCGTAGTCGAGAATCTCTTGTCGAGGCTGGTTCAAGTTTCAACTGATGATGGAGGGATGCAGTGATTCAAGTTCTTAACAGTAAAAATTGACATGGCAAGGGGAAGGGTGTAACATTCAGCTGGGATTAGGTGTGAGAGTTTGCGCTCAAAAGGAGAGGATATGTAGGAAAGGCAAGGCTATAATGTATATGGTAGGGAATAGATGAGTAGCGAGAAAGAGAAATGAGCAATAGCTAGTGAAAGCGTATAGTGTATCTGAATAAAGGTGGATGGTAAGCTGAGTAGAATAGGACGAAGGAGAGGAATCAGTGAAGGAAAGGGTAAAGAAGAAAAGGAAGAACATGAAGGGAAGAGAGTATATGGTGTGGATTGTTGCAGAATCTACTAAACAAGCTGTGGGAATAAAAGCATGCTTTTGAAAGAGGAAACTGAGGCCAAGGACATGATTCGGGAAGAATCTATGAACCTACTATTGTTCTGAATAAGAAAGGAGAGGCAAAGATACGCTATGAAAGAAGGCGCGATGCTCGCTTACCGGGGTCCCCAAAGCAAATCTTCCTCGTCCCGTAGACTCAATACCGACTCGATGAGAAGTTGACATCTGGTATACACTCGTAGAGATCTAGGAGAGGTGTAGGTAGTCATGATCACGACGGTGGACATTTTGCAGCTGGCGGATCAAGTATTCACGACGCTAGATAATGTTGGATATCGGAGCGGTGGCTACTACTTCCATGTCAAATGGTGGAAGTGCGTTCGCTATATTCGCAAGATATTTTCTTCCTTCAAAATGCATGTAAACCTCTCCTTATTGCGTGCCCGTATGCGCTGGATGTCAAGGCCAACAAAGCAATAGGAGTTGACTGAGTTTCATTCAACTGAGAAGATAAAATAGCATCTCTTTTGATCTATCCAGGTTCCCAGAAAAAAGGTCTATGAGCCCGAGGAGGGGAGACAAAGAGCCGCCCCTTGAAGTTTGAGAGTGCCCCACGGCAAGCCATCAAAGAAACATGTATAATGGTGGAACTCGAAAGTTCAAGGATGGACTAGTCGAAATATGTCGCAAGAAAAGACATTGACGTATGCGAAAAAGAAGGAGAAGATAGAATCGTCGACTCGATATGGCCTACGGTGTACTCCCGATTTCATCCAAGAGAGTGGGTAAAAGGTTGTAGTGTAGAATCAGCACACTTCCCAGAGAGGACGAGGTATATCTGGTCGTCGCCTAGCTCCCGAACGGCTAGAAGCCGACCTCAGTCCGACGTACACGACACGACGACCTGGATTGCCAACGGTCACGGACTTGGACTCTAGGCCGTAGTAATCCGATATGGAATGGGTCAGCCATCTCCTGTGAATACATTGGTTAGCAAGGATGGCGCTCAGGGGATTGAAAACGTCCTCGATACACGTACTTGAGCGCTGCAGTTTCGTCGTCGTGCTGGGACTCATATACCATGCCGACCTCGACTTTGCCATTCGCCATCTCCTTCCGAGCTCTTTTCCATCCAATTTCCCGATCTATTGCCATGGACTTCCTTCCGGAAAATAAGACTTCTTCCCCGTCTTCCTCTTCGCTCCCCTCTAGGCTGTCGCCCCATTGTTCGATGACAAAACGCCGAACCGGATCCTCCAAGGACCGTACCCATGTCTTGACAACGGGCAGCCGCTTAGCACTTTCGCGCAGATCTCTGGAAACCTCTCCTGGGCAAAGGCCGGTGGCGCTGCCGTTTTTCCTCTGCTGCTTCTTCCTTGCCGCCTGCAATGCTAGCGTCTTCTCCTCAATACGCTGGCGCACCCCTTTATCCCAATACTGAGCCACGTGGTATGGGACGTCGTTGACCGGGTGGGTCGCGCGGGGAAGTAGTCTATGGGCAAGGGGGTTGGGCATTCGGAACGCCAACAAGATGATCTGAACGGAAATTCAAGGCCAAGTTAGTCGCGCTCCAATACCATACCTCTCCAAGGCTACTATAGAAGGCCCAAGGTTCTCAGGTTGGGACCAGTTCTCACCATTCTCCCACCGCCTCCTCTGCCGGCTACCTTCTTTGCCTTTGCGTAGCTCCTCCCTCTTTTTCATGCTATCTCGGGCCGAAGGAGGCCGCCTCAGTGGCGTATGTTGGTCAGCATCTTCAGGTCGAGCTGCGCGAGGCTTTTTCTGGGGCTCGTCGAGGGCTATGGCGAGCGGGGTGCCAGTGCCTCGCGCTACCGGAGACACACTGAGCGAGGCGAGGGCCGAGATAGTCCATGCTTCTATATCAATCGGGGTCGTCGCGGTCGGGAATTGGTTGTGCTGCTGTAAAGGAAGGGCCGAATGTGGGGAGGCGGGGTGGCCGGCGCGTCCGGAAGGAGCGATGCGGGAGGGGGAACCGCAGCGTATCGCCCTGGTGCCATTTTTGAAATTATGATGATCTCGGTCGGTCAAGATGCAGAGCCTTGCGTCTTGAGGCCAAATTTGGGACGGGAAACTAGACGAGTCAAATAATTGTTGGAGGGGGCGTTTTCTCCTTGGGTCTGATTTTAGGGGGCTTGCGCGGGAGTAGTGAAAGGAGGAAGGTGGGGTTAACTCGCGACCAAGACCTGAATAGCCAGCTGTTAATAAGGTGGGAGCACCAATCCACAACAGAGAACAGAGACCAAAGACGACACTGCAAAAGATACGGGGCAAGGGTAGAAAATGGGGCTTGGATCAATTACTCGGCATAAAAACCAAGGTATGCGGCGAAGGCAACCTCAATCGCTTCCAAAGACCAAAGTGTTGAGCTGGAGAGGGCTGTCTGCTTCGCTCACGAATGCGACAGATTGCGCTCAAGTGCGAATGGGTGGGTTGGCGAATTGGCCAAAGACTGATGAGGAAAAGGCCCCACCTCGGAATAGCTGTTCCAAGTATTATTACATCCATCCAGATGTAATAGTTCAATGTTTCAACAGCAGCTAGAGCCATCAAAAACGACGCCAGTCTCAAGCCAATCGGATTCTACCTGAGAGCCATGCACGCACTTTACCAACGAGGTGCTCTATCTTCGGATCTCGTTGAAACGACTGCTGACTACTGGCCCGGCTGGTGGAAAGGCGCACAACCGCCGACTGACGTGCGCGCGATTAGAAAAAAAAAGGGCAAAAGAAACAGGATTCTTTAGTTTGTTTGTTTGAATTTCCTATTGTGTACACGCGCGGTAGAACCAACGACCGTCGTCGTTTGAATGCTATCTGAATAGGCGCGAGTCGATATTATGTACATCAAGGGGATCAATCCTCTCCGTCTTCTCCCCACAAAAGAAGCTCCCGAGTCCCTCATCTAAAGGGCTCCGGTCTCCTGTTCGGGGTAGGTGTTGTATAACAAAAGGGAGAAGAAGAAATGAGCAAAAGAAAAGGAAAAACTGGAAATGGGGTAAATAGGGGAAGAAAAATAAAAAAGACATGAAGAGAATACGAAAACTGACAAAGGAAGAAAGGGAAAAGACGAATTGAAACAAGAGGGGGGATGGGATCATAGCTCATCAAGAGTCTCGATCTCCCTCACCAATCTCCGTTCCAATTAAGGCCTGCTTTTTTGTTTTCCAGCTCCGCCAAGCCCAGGCCGTAATCCATGAAGAAAAGAAGAAGAAAATATGGATGGAGGATGTAGCTCCCCATTCGTCGCGTCGACCTCTTCCATCAGGCCCTTTCATCCTTGAGGAGATAAAGAAATGACGTGGGCGCAGCCAGCCAAGGTGACACGGTAATCATGTAGAAGAAGAAAAAAAAACCAAACTCCCTTCGCCTGCTATACCGCCCTGTTTGGTATCCTTTCGCTATGTTGGGAATCATCGTGACCATGCACACACACACACACACACACGCACACACAAGCAAGCCGAACAAGGTGCAGAGCGGGAGTTGGGGAAAGGGGACAGTCCTCGGGTCCCATTCCTCACCGGCCGCCCTTGACTTGCGCCGCTCAATCATTACTCCTAAAAAGCCCTGTCATTGGCCTTTGCACCTCGGTCGTTGTTTCTCGCAGCGCTACCTTGCCCCCTTGACTTCGTAGACGGGAACGGATTTGCCATCGCTGGAGCCTAGTCTCTGCATCGCGCTGGACCTGTTGGACCCCAAGATGCCTTTCTCGCCCTCCATTGGCGGGGCTCTCTTGTTCGACTTGCCAAACGGTGCCCATGATCCACCAGAAGAAGATGAGCGGGCGCTGTTGTTTTTCCTCTTGCGGAACATGATGATGAGAACGATGACGACCAGGATGGCGGCGACGCCACCGACGACAGGGGCCGCCACCCACGAGAGGCTGGCGCCGTTGCTGGTAGCGCCTTGCTGGGATTCCGGGCTTGTTCCACTGGGGGCGGTCACAACCTGGGTGACGCTAACAATGGGAGTCTCGTTCACGGGTGCTCCGTTCGGCACAGTGTCGCTGACGGGGGTAGGGTTCACGATTCCGGGATCAAGGCTGGGCGTGGCTACCGCGTTGTTGGCGGGAACGATTGTCAGGAAGCCATTGGGCGTCCCAGCGCTGGCTTGTTGGCCGGAATTCTACAACCAAGACTGATGTTAGCTCACGCTCTCAACTTTCGGCCGGCCAAAGGCAGGATGTGGCGGTAGGAGACAGTCAATTTCTTACCGCAGCGGAAAAACACCCGTATCGATGCCCTCAACAAAGCTCAAAGATCCGGTTGATGCGTCCGACTTGAGATAACAGTTATTGAACCCGCGAGCTAAGGAGGCCTCAAACGAGAAAGCTCGGCAGCCGTTTGTTGTCGCACAGTCGGTCGCGCAACCTTCAAAAGTGGTGTGATGCCTTTGCACGATGTCCGCGCCGTTGATTACCTGGCCGCACATAGCCTCGAAGGCGCCCGCGCTTCCCTGCGCAAGTTGCCTACCGCCCCGACACGAACTCTGGGATAGAGTAGGGTACTGGCCCCTTCCGGAGTCGACGAAGCGGCTAGGCTTGGTTGGAATCTCGCCGCCACCAGACGGCACGCCAAAAGCTGACATCCATCGGCATCGCTAAAGTTGATGCCCTCGCACCGGGATGGAAAGTGCCGCAGAAATCGGCACATTGTGTAAGAGTTGTAGCTTCGGGAACGGTGCCGATAACCTCGCCATCGAGGGCGACTCCACACGACAAAACGACCCTAAGAGGTGATCCTACTTCCTGCCCGTCCGCCCCCGGACAGGGAGGGCTACTGCGTCGCTCCAGGCGCATCGCGGAATGAGAGAAGATGATGTAGAAAGCGAAAAGAAGATTTGATAGAAAAGAGCGTCCAGGGGACTCGGTAAGGGAAGGAGCGACGTCGAGGCTGAGTATGTTATACTGGAAGTGGGTTGAGTTGGGGCCCGCGGGTGTCTAATGATAGGACTTCGTCAAGAAGAGAAGAGTTGGCAAAAAGAGAGAAAGGAGTATAAGCCGACAAAAAATGAAGCAAAGGTAAAAGAGTGTGAGATATCCAGTTGTACACAAAGGCAGCCCAAAGGTTTGGAAAGAAGGGAAAGAGAGAAGGAAGGGGGACACTAGACATCGAGGAGGAGAGGATCTAGGTAGTGTTTAAACGAGATATGCACCGCTGTCATGCATGATACAAAATGACAGGTCGTCAACCATGGGACGGGAAGTACGAGATGGTGGCCATGGAGAATTGAAACCCTTCAAAAACGGAAGCGAATGAATTCAATTACCCGCACGAGATCTGCACGGGTGGGTGAGAAAGCGACAATCAGAGAGGGAAGGGCATGGGCATACGGACAGCCCAGCAGCCCAGCAGCCCGACAGTGGAAAGTGGAAGAAACATTTGTGGAGCGGAAGCATGAAAGAGAGAGAGCGCGTGCGCCGGCTAGGAATGGAAGGGAGAGGAGGAGGAATGGGGGCGTGGTCACAACGTTATCCATCATCCACCAAAGGGTGTTATCGAGGGTTCGGAGAGAGCAAAGACGAGAACCCAAGACGGAATGGTGAGTGTGCGACAAGGCATCAAAGGCATCCGGTGGGCTTCTTCAAGCACCTACACCCCTCCATGGTGCCCTTCTCCCCGGGAAAGACGAGTCGGGACACTGGGCGGTGACTAGGAAAAAATGCCCGAAGCCAATAAGACAAGCCGGGACTCGATGATGCGGATGGCGGATCTTCACCACCCTCTGCCTCATACCCTCGCTCGAGGCAGTCGTTTTTGGGTTCTTCTTGACAATTGAAAGACCCGACGTTTCCTGCCGTCCCCGCAGCCTATGGGGAGCGCCGAACGCTAATACTTGACGAGACGAGATCGGCTCGTGCCGTGGGGATGGCGGGCTAGTCTATTTGCAGGACCCCTGTGGTTGGCCAGATTCGTCAACGCCTTGAGACGTTGTGGTTCCTGCGTCTTGTTCCACACCGTCGATCATGAAAGGCTGAGGCGTTGGATGTGCACACTTTGAGTTGATCAAGGGCGCCCCCTGGCTTGGTACCCATGCCCGCACCGTTTGCCAACCTGTTCCCTTGCCACACTGGCCTACCCAAGCGAGTATCCTGTCAAGCCTGTCAAAAAAAGTATGGAAATGAGGGGGCAAAGATGTTTCGATCTGACTTTTAGGTGTGCCTGAATGAGACTTGGACATTGGAGGGAAAAAGGAACGATCAACGAAAGCGATACGCGAATTCCTACTGGGTGCTGGATGGACAAGGGAGGGGTCAGCGGGTGGTGTAGCAAAAGGTGACGCCAAGCCACTGTCAATGCGGTCTAGAAGCCCAAGGTGCCTAGTCACTGACAGCGTCCATCAATCTTCCTGTCATTCAATGATGGAGTGTTCACATGGTCCATTGTTCGAGGCATGGGCCTAAAGAACATTCCATCAACAAGGGCCCTTGCCCTGTCTAGTCGAGTTTCCACACTCGTTCTTTTCTTTTTCTTTTCAAATGTTCTTTATGTGAAGCCCTGTGCTTGTTTTCGGCTACATCCGAGAACGTAGGAGATAAGAAGAGTTGGCGGGGGTCGCGAAGCAGTAGGGCCTGGCCAGCCACTTTGTCAACACCAGCGGCGGAGATTCAGATAGAGTTGGCACCCCCACTGACAGGCTTGGAGACTGTTTCCACCAGAGGACCCATTGTCACAATCAATATCCTCTTTCGCATTAAGTTGGACATTGCACCACCACCACCGAGTTTGAGCTTGAGCGTGTATACTTCCCCGCAGACGACGACCAGTGTACGTCGCTGGATCTTGCCAAGGGAAAGAACCGTGGAACGAGCGAGACGAAAGTGTCGAGGAAGGGCCACTATTTACACGGTACAAAACACAGCGCTGGCGCCACCAGTACGGCATGACTGTCGCGAGGCAATGCCACACTGGAGGAGAGATAGCGTCTGGACCCGCGATTGTCACTTTCGTTTTCTTCTTCTTAGCTTTTCCTTTTCCGACAAGCCTGTTCCAGGGGCGAACATGAGTTATGGCGATTGGCGGAGCGATCGGCTTGACTTGGCAAAGGACAGCACAGGAGTCTTATCACGTCAACTGTCAACCATTAACGCATCACCCAAACCACCAACAACCCCTGTGCTGGCCGGTTTGAACGTCATCCATGGATCCATGTAAGTCACCTTTCCCCTTCACGTTTTCCTTCACCTTCTTTCTTCTTGGTTCCCCACACCCCGAAAGAGCCCGGCGAGATGACATGAGGAGCATGAGGATACTATTAGAAGAAGAGCGGGAGTGGGAGAGATTGCCGAGTTGCGAAGCACAAGGGGGAACGCAGGTGAGCCAACCTAGGCTGGGATAGTCCTGGGAATGTAGCCGACCAGCCCATATGGATCTTTGATCAATTGACTGACCCATCTGGATGTGTGGGGACCGAGTCGATAGGGTATGTGCTGGTAATAAAGGAGCGCCTACTCTTACTCGCCTTGCGCACTCTCTTCCCCAGTAGAGCAGAAGAGGAACAAGGGCTGGCCAGACCATAATCCCGGCAATCATGACATTTGCCACACTATCGAGGGTGTTCCTTGATTTTAGTTGACGTCGAATTCGCCTGCCCTTCCCTCTCACCCCCGTATCCCTGCGTAGCGCAGCTCCCAAGTCGAGCCGTGATCAGTGTCGTTAAGAGGAGAGCAATCGACATAGTGCCAGTACCATTGAATCTTCAAGATGGACCGGCCGGTCAAGCTCCCCAGATTCGGACTTGGACAAAAAACATCCACCACGGGCGCTAGAGCCTGGGGAAGAGTCTTGTTTCTCTTCACCAACGCCTTTTCAACCCTGATCCCTCTTCTTCAAGTCCCCTTTCCGTCTCCTTGGATCGTCCCCAAGGCCCAGGCGCTCAGACCCTCCCATCAGACGATGTCCATTCCGTTCCACCTTCTCCTTCTACCCTGGGCCCGGACACCACACAGAAGAAGGGACCGAAGTATTCGATGTGGGAGTCGTTGGCCTTGCATGATAGGGCCCACTGGGTTTTCAGACGATTCAGGAGTCGGAATCTACTTTCATCAACTTGATCTAGCATGTCTTTTTCATCCTCGAGCGAGGCATCACAACAAAACCCTTGCCCTCTTTGGAGTGGCAGGTGGCAAGGGTCACGTCACGAGGAGTCTCTGACTAGGGTGAACTTGGTAAACGGGGGTGGAATTGGCAAGGTTCACAGCCAAGTATTCCTGCGGTCTATCAAAGAGCCGCATACAACACAGGCCCTCCTCGTCGGTAATCCATAATTCCGAAGTATGACGAGGAAGCTCCGCGGACATCAAGGTGCCAAGATGAAAAAGATTTCAAAGCTTTCAAAATTGAAGGTATAGAACTACGGTCGTTTGAGGGCTTGGGAAAGTTTGCGCGGCAAAACTAGACCAGCCAAGCGCCCCAAGAGTGTTGCATGCAATTTTTCCCCGTAATCATTGCAATCCATTGATGTAGATCCCTTGAACTAGCCAATCTTAGAGTTACAATACGTTTTACACCGCCATGATCTTGCTGTGCTTCTAGTCCATAGTGTTTAGAGCTCATCTCGGGAAAATCTTAGGAGATATTTCCCCGATCGTCCTCCTTGAGGGATAAGCCGATGAACGGCTAGGTTGAAAGAGGAAGAAGAATGGCGAAGTTGTGGATGTACAAGCCGCCTCAGGGCGGAGGTGCTGGAAACATCTAGGAAATAACCAGTTTACCCGCACCGTTCAATGATGATAACAAGAAACCCCGGGAGCAACGCAGCAAAGAAACGCAAGAAAAATAACCAAAAGAAAAAGAGGGGAAACAAGCCAGATAAAGCCAAAAGGGAAGGGGGAGGGTCTAAGAACGTGTCGAGTTGTATGAGGTGCGGTGTTTATGCGAGTTTCCTATGCCGCCAGGTTTCAGCAGAGGCTGGGTCTCCCGCTCCACCTGTCTCTCTTCCTAGCCTGGAGACGCTCAAATTCCTCGGGCGTCTCTGCGTACCGCTCTGGATGGGCGGTATAAGGCCCCGGCAGTCCTTCTTCCCAACCCTCCGAGTATGTTCGGCTCGGACCAGGTCGACGCGCCCGGTATGAGGGGCTACGACTTGGCGAAAGGGCAGCTTCGGTCGGTTTGTTATATTCGAAATAGATGCCCATCACAAGGAGACAGCCCTGCATGAGGGCTGTCAGGATATAGATGGACCAGGTGCTCCAGCCCTCCCAGCCAAGCCGCGTGAATAGACTGGCAGCGAACAGAAACCCACCAGGCGTCTGAATGCACATCATTGGGATGCTTAGGCTACCCACGTGCTTTAGGGTATATGTCGTACGGATTTGAGGGATATACTGAACGGCAGCAAGGGCACTGGCCATCACTCCGAGAAAATTGGCCCAGAGTGGCAGCTTCCCTGGGAGGGCGATGGTAAATACCCCAGTTATGGCGATGACGAGCAAGCCATGGACAAGGCAGCCGGCGCCCACAAGGATGGCTGTCCGCCAGTCAGGTTGCTCCTCTCCTAGCTCCTCCTCTGGGACTAGAGCTTGATCGTATCGAAAGAAGATGAGAAAAAGAACGAGACTATCGCGAGTGAAGAATACTGTTAGCAGGCAAAGAAGATCGGCAGCGGGACGGGTACAGAAGGGCCCGTGATGCGAGAGAAAAAGAAGAAGAGGGTGGTTTGCAGAGCAAGCATCCGGGCGTTGTTGGGTCAGGAGGGAGGGGGATCCGTTTGAGCTCACATTAGCGAGAAGCAGATCCACTGCACACCCAATTGTGCAATACCAAGGAGGCCGGCCAAGCATTCGAATGTTTCAACCTGCTTGCAGCACGCTATATCTTGCCGCGAGGGCTCTACCGTGAGAATTGCCGCAAATCCAGACGTGGCCGATGTCGTTCCTAAAAGGACAAAGAGGGGGAGATTCCCTCGGAGGTTCTTCGCGACACGATCCGATAATGCTGAGGTAGGTACGAGACGACGAGCCCGAGGAGGATGATTCTATTTCTTGCATTAGCCTCTTCTTGGACGTGTGAGTCAATAGGACGCAGTGGAAAAAAAAAAAGATCTAAAAAGGAGGACAACGGGCGGGCATTGCACAGAGTGCGCGTACATGGAGACAACGAGATTGACATAGTTTGGGTCCCTCATCTTGGAGCACCTATCGTCGATCCCAAAAGGGCACGCTCCATCGTCGGGGTTTGTGAAGCCATCTTTCCCCAAGTGGCCTTGGACCCCGCGAATCCAGGAATTATGGATACGGTCGCGGTCGTTTGGGAAATGTCTTCGGATACGATCGCAGGACGTTGATGACAGGAATGGTGGGCGGGGTCGGGGTGACGAACAGCGCGGCTGGTCCGTCAATGCAAGGCGAAGCCCAGGGTTGGCGCAGCTTTGGGGCAACAAAGGTCTCTGGTTAAGGGCACACACTATATCCGGGCGAGCGTGTGTGTTCCGCTTGTCTGCTGTACGAAAAAAATTACTCTCTCCTCTCCAATCGCCTGGGGTCGAGTCGGCCGTCGTCACGGGCGTTAATTGATGTTGATGATGAAGAATTGCTTGGGCCTCGTCGATGACGCTGCACCAGGCTAGGCTGAAGACGATGGGGCAAGGTTGACGAGCTGACGAAGAACCAGCTGGGAGTGCCTGCCCTTTACACCGACCGATTGCCTGGCGTCAGCACACGGTGACAACGTCAGAGCCAGCCAACCAGCCTATGACAGTGCGTGTTTGGCGCAGGTGATGGGACAGGAGCTCCGCTTGACCCACTGATGCTGCCACCTCCTCCAAGGTACAGGCCCATTGCACGTGTTGTCTTCAAACCCAGCCTGGAGCCGTCTCTGGACCGTGGACCGACCCACCGTTGGGGCTGCGGCTAGAATGCTTGCGCTGAGGACCGCCACAGTATTTTGATTCACCTCAATGCCACGCCACACCTTTTGAACTGCTCCATTCAATTGTAATCATCGACCTCTCCCTCCCCAACACCTAGTAACAAACAATTTCGATAGGGACTAGCAGGGACCGAGAGGGACGGACATCTTGCGAAAACTGCTCCCTCAATATCTTCTTGGGCTATATTCACATTTTATCTCTTTCGCCTTGGTTTTCGGAATTGAAGTCATCCTGAGTCCAGGTTGGCGAAGTCCAACCGCGGCTATTCGCTGAGGATTCTAGACTGGCGATTGCCTGATAGCCATAAATTGCTTTGTGATGTCTCGCTTGATCAAGGGGATTTATATCTACTACGACTCGGCATCACGGGTGCTTAGATGAAAGCTTGAATCCCTCAGCCTTTGCCTTCCCAAAACTCGTATCGTCAGTGCCTGCCTCACGATCTTGCCCCCAGGCGCAAACATGGCAGATGACTTCGCCGGGGAGTCCAATCCTCAAAAGCCCTATGTCTTCGTGACGGTGAGCAGTCCGAGTTGTATCCTCGCTTGCTCGCGTCTACAAACCCGGTAGACTGCAACACATTTCCCCCAGGACAGCCCACAAACCCCCACCACAATCACAGGCCCCCAGCTGTTCCGGACAGCTCAGTTCTCCGCGGACGGAACTTCGCTCATAACATCGAGCTGGGACCACACTCTCTCGACATATGTGCTTCCCCAGTCTCTACTCCAGGAAGGCGCATCGTGTCAATATCTAGTCTCTCACGGTAACACAAAGCTTCAGGCGCCTATCCGCTCTCTAGCTCCGAACCCAGACTTTTCTCTTGCTGAGCCCTCTACTCAGTCAGTCCTCGTCGCCACCAACGACCACCCCATCCAACTCCATCATCTCTTCCCTCACGAGCCAAACCAGTCCAAGATCGCTTCGTATAAGCTCATCAACAGCCAGACCGAGGCGTATATAGCTCCAAACTCGTTGCTTTGGCCGAGTTCCCGCTCCGTGTTCCTCTGCGGGTCAACTAATCGTCTTGATGTGTTCGACCTCACGCGTGAAGGCGAGGATGGCCATTACATGACGTTGCAGACCATTCCTCGTGAGCATCGCTCCGCAAGGGGGCGTCCTATGCATGGGTGGAAAGGTACCATATCGGCCCTTGCCGCGTCCCCGGACTGCTCCGGGGCCAAATGATTGCTGCCGGTTCTTGGAACCGCTGGGTTGCCCTCTACGACTACTTTCGAGCCCTGCTCCAGTCTCTCACTGGTGCTTGTCAGATGCGCAGGATCCAGAAACTGGCACCTCGCCGGTCGGCAGTGGCATCGTCCAGGCCCTATGGAGCCCTTGCGGTCGTTATCTCGCCCTTAACGAGCGCAACTCGGATGGCCTAATCATCTACGACATCAGGCAGGGCTCTAGGCTTCTCAAGATCTTGGGTCCTCGGCAAGCATCCACGCAGATGAGGCTTGGCTGCGATCTCTTTGCGTCTACTCCGGAAGCATCGGGGGTAGGTGAGTTCGAAGTCTGGGGAGGCACTCTTGACGGTATTGTTAAGATGTGGAATAATGCCGGCTGCTCACCGGATGACGCGCCTTTGAAAGCGCGTGGCTGGAAAGCCCACGACGCACCCGTGACCAACACCGCACTTCATCCTTCGGGCTCCGTCATCGTCACGACCGCGGGCACCTGGGGTCCGCCCACGGAATCAGCGCTGGATTCCAAGCTCGGGCACCGCGATCGGAATGGAGTTCCACAGATACCGCATTGTAATTTAACTGAAGATGTAAGCCTGCGTATCTGGGAATGTACTCTATGAGCTGTCCCTGGCTTTTTATGTGTCGAGCCACCTACAAATGAAGCCCGAACTTTTACATGCACCAGACTTTGCTGCATCTCTCCCTTGGATAGGTTCTTCCACCAACTACCGATACCCTCTACATATCAACTCAGATATCAGAATTGTTCCGATTTCGATGCCCGCAAGTCCAACTAGTGCCCGCCTAGATGGCGATGATCCAGCCCGCCGCCCTCGCTCACCTGGATCAGTTGAACTAGCTCATCCTCCGTAGGCCTCTTTCGCCCTACTAACTTGAATTTGAATCTCAACGATATCAAGACCTCCATGAGACAGTAATTTTCCCCAACTAGACCCCTCCAAGGTTAAGAACTAGGCCGCAGGACACAGCCTGCCTGCTTGGAATTTCGACCTCAAGAACATCACTTCACCTAGCTAGATTTCAATTCCTGCATGGGGTGTGGTGAACACTAAACCATATATCTAAGACGCTTGTGAGTGAGAGAGCGTCCGCCAATATCTCCATATCGCCCGCCATTCCATCGAGACCTCAAGTGCAGTGGGCCGATAAGGGAAAAAGTTCGCCGTGCTAGGGTCCGGGATACGGGCAAGGGCAGTAGTAGTATGTTAAAGATCAAAACCCCAAGGTCGAAATCTTAATGAGGGCTATGTCTTTTATATCTGCACCTGTCAAACCGCGCGAGTAACAAGCGGTATGCACCATGCCAGCCAACCGTAGGAATGCCTTCAAAGTGTCAAGCCCAATCGTGATGGAGACGATGCTTGCTCCTACGCGCTTCCCCGAGGGTTGACTAAGGACGGGTATGGTGGGATCGACACGTAGTCCCCTACCCTCTATTCCTACGATATGGAGCTCGGGTGAGTTTAAGCATGCCTGCTTCCAAGAGTTCCTGGCCCAGTCGCGGTTCCTCCTTTGAACACTTTGTTGGGCGCATTGCATCGTAGGTAGCTTGCGAGTAGTCCCCCGATCGCTGGCTCATCGTCAAGAAAAATACCTTGAACCTTCCCGCCCTCTATACGCGCTCTTGATTCGGCGATAACGTCCTTCTTTAATCGCTTAAAGGCAATTTCAGAAATTATGTCCCCAGTTAATCCCCTTTTGGAGCCGAGGGCGGTATTTAGATTTGGTCGTAGCGAGGGGCACTGTTGTGCTGATTGCACTAGACACCCTATCTCCCCTATGTCGTCCCACGAGGCGTTCGTAATATGAGAAGTCTTATAAGCGTCAATAGTGTGCGAAAGCAAGTCAAAATCCTTATAGATGATAGCGGCATTTGCACTTTCTTGGCCCATCGAGATATCGTCCTGAAAGGATGGCTGAGATACATCATTCGCGAATGGGTTCCATAGTAGAATCCTTTCCCGGTTATGTCCTATTAGAAACGCCCAAGATGTGAGAGCTAAACTTCTGTTTTCGTGTTGACTCAACCCCTCCATTACCTCTGTGAGGCCCTTGTGTTGGTAGGGTGAGATGCTGAAGTCCAAGACTGGAATCGGAACCCTCCTTCGACCTCTCCCTTCATCAAGATTCTCCTGTTCAACCCTTCTCGAAGCAAAGATTCCAGTCTCGCACAAATCTTGTATAAGCTTATCGTCGCACGTAGTAATGTGTTCTGTATTCAGGGTAGCAGCGACAGACTTAGTGCGTACGGCTTGTTTGAGGTCGGGAGCACGCTCGAGAGCAAAAGTGGTTGGCAAAGAAGATGGTTCCCTAAAGGAAACGCGCTTGTCTATTGTCAACGGGACTTCCACCTTGAGATTGGATATCTCGCCCGCTACAGCTTCGAGGACAAGGTCATCTTGTGGCCATTCAAGAAGGTGCCTCACGTCTCTATCATCCAAGCTCATATCCCTCTGCTCTTCGGCACCCAAGAGACACTGTTCGGCGGCCTCAAGATCCTCGTCGATAAGGCTCAATGGATCAGAACAACACTCAATCTTGCATGAGTCATTGTCCGGTACGAACAACCTCACGTCTGGAGAGGGTGCCAAAAGCGGAGGAGTGAGAGAAGGTTTCTGGATCCCGACCAAGTTGAGTATTTGCCCCTAGCAACTCCTCGCCATCGATCACATACCTTTGATAGCTGGGGCACCCAGTCCTCAAGGTGCAACAACCTAGAGATCGCCCTGGCCTCTCGGAGGCGTGCTTTCGACTCATCCCCACATGCATCATCGATATGGAGCGCTTCAGCACCGTACAAATGGTCTATCATCTCCGAACTTAAATCCTTATCAAGACGGCTTCGTAACTGCTCCGCGCAGGCTGGAAACGAGATACCCTCATCCCGTGCCTCGTCAAGAGGTGCCAGGGGCAAAATCATGCGTCTCCAGCACACTTCCCTCTTCTGCGAGATTCTAGTTGCCTCACTAGATATGGTTAAAAAGGTGTCGTCCGCTTGGATTGGCAACTCTAATGAGGGGCTTGGAATCTCTTGCTTCCTCTGGTTGACAAAAGGCCCGTCAGTCCAGTATACGTTCAATGATGATTCTTCTTCAGAAAGGCTAAGCCGTCTGTCTGGCTCAAGGATGGTGTCTTCGAGATTTGCAGGCGACGGTGACAGTTTTCTAAGACATGTTTCGTCCAGAATAGTGCTTCCGCAATCTTGGGAGAGCTTCCTCATGACATCCATTAACCTCTGATCGACCACCTCATTGAATGCTATGGCTAGGGAGTTCTGTCGAGCATATTCATGGGACAGGGTGATATTGGCGTGTTCGAAACCCGCCCGAGTTTGGAGGTCATTGGCCCCTTTCTGAGTGCTAATAAGCCTCTCGAAGGCCCGAGACTCGTGGCTTGGCTCTAGGTCCATTCTGACAATTCACTCTGTCAAGACATATATCTGCTTGGAATAATTCTCCTCTGGCTTTGAAGAGGTGGATAATAATGGATCAATATTGGATCCATTGAATTCTTTCTACATGTATATAGTGGAAACAATAGAGTTCTCAAAGGCTTGCTCTAGAGGAGGAATGTGGAAGTAACGACTGAGGAAGCCATAGTGGGTAATGGATCAATTAAACTTGGGAAAGTACGGCCTTGCTAGTCTAGCTGAGGATGTATACTATCGATTGGAAAGAACTTTTTGTCTAGATGAAGGTGTAATGGAGAATTTCGAGGAGCATATTGGTCTGTTCATGCGGCTTTCAATAAGGTGGGTTCTGTTTTTCTCCAAGAGTGCAGGGCGCGAGTGCGTCGCTTGGCTCATATTGCATTATCGAGGCTATTAACCCCGAAGTGATGTGACGTCGAAGCTTAGCTCCGCGACGCGGGACATTGGATTATTATTCAGACTCGTCGACGACCTGCCCCTCTTGTCGCTGGGATCTCTCCAAGTCCCCAAGATCGCCCTTCACCTTGCTCGCTCTTTGAAGGAGAAATTCTTCTAATACACCCGTAGAAGGTCTCCTCGATTTGATCACCCCTTGTTTTCGGTCTCATGATCCAACCCCAGCAACCTCGTCTGACAAGATGGCGTACGTTGCGCCAATCCACAAGCCTACCAGCATCCGACATGCTATCAGCGCCCAACTTCCTGGCGAAGAAACAAGGAGTCTTGTCCTCGCGTGAGTATTTCTGGTGCCAATACCTCTTAACTGTACTGCCGCCTGCTTGCTTGCCTTGGCGGCGCCAACGAGTGCTGACCCTGCCCACCCAGCAAAACGAACCGACTAGAAATATGGCGTGTCGAGGAGGATGGAATGACGCTCCTGCACTCCAAAATCATTTTCGGCACCGTATCGGTTCTCCAGCGACTCCGACCCAAAACTCGGAGTCCGACTTACTTTTCATCGGCACGGATAATCAGGAGTACTTCACCCTCGCCTGGAATGCCTCGAGGCAATTGCTCGAAAATGTTCAGGAATTGCATGACCAATCCGAACCCCACATGCGCGAAGCCGAATGCCAGTTCAAGTGCGTCGTCGATCCATCTGGAAGATTCATGGCACTCCATATCTGGGAAGGCGTCCTCAACATCAGCCGGCTGATAGACCGTGGCGATTCCAAACATTTTATCAAGTTTCTAGAGCAGGTCCGGCTCACGGAACTGTTCATAAAATCAAGCACTTTTCTTTACAGCCAGACGGGCCCGAGGATTGCATTCTTATACCAAACCAGAATTGACGAAGAAGATGCCAAGCTGGCCATCTACCGCCTCACGGGCGATGATCGCCATGCTACTGCTGCCAAGTTTGAGCCCAAGGAACGCCAGCTAGACCTCGCGATCCCCGACAGCTTATCGCGGATTCTAATACCTGTCCCCATTGTAGAGGATGAAAACAGGAGACATCTTGCTCGAAATGCCTCTTCTGCCAGGCGCACTCTTCCGCACCTTGGTGGTGTTCTAGTTGTTGGTGAGACGAGTGTTGTCTACGTGGATTCACAAGATTTCAGTACCGTCGAATTCTCTTTACCGGAGGGCAATATCTTCATCACCTGGGAGGCATATGATGTTACAAGGTACTTCCTCGCTGATGATTTTGGAAGGTTGCACCTCTTGTCCCTTGTGGTCGATGGCACGGCTGTGACCGGGATCACGGTTACAGCCCTGGGTCCTGCCACAACATCACGGGCATCCACGCTAGTTTATCTAGAGGACGGACTGCTGTTTGTAGGCTCGCACTATGGAAACTCTCAGCTTATCCGCGTTGATGTAGACTCTTTGAAAGCAGAGCTGGCCCCTTGTCCCCCATCATTTTCGAATAACGCGCCCATTCTAGATTTTGTCGTCATGGACATGGGGAACCGCGAGGGCGCCAGTTCGGGCGGTAACACATTCTCATCTGGCCAAGCAAGGCTTGTCGCCGGGTGCGGAGTTTTTGAGTCCGGCAGCCTACGCAGCATTCGGAGTGGAGTCGGCCTCGAAGATCTGGGAGTGCTTGACGAATTTACCAATGTCAAAGGCCTTTTTCTTTGGGCCCCGGAGACGGGTTAAAAGCAGATACGTTAATTGTGTCGTCTGTGACCGATACGCGCGTTTTTAAGTTCGACGATGAGGGTGGGATTGAAGAGCTTGGCTCGTTTGGTGGCTTGAAACTTGACCAACAAACGCTTGTTGTGTCGCGTCTCCCTACTGGCGAGTTGCTTCAAATCACGCCCACTGCGGTGAACTTGCTTGATGGTGAGGGTGGAATTGTCACGTCCTCGTGGGAGCCCCCAGGCTCGCTGATGACGGCCGGTCAGCGCCATCTATCATCACGAGCGCCTCGGCAAACAATGACTGGGCTCTTTTGTCCTTGAATGGCATGCAACTAGTCTCGCTAAACCTACGAGACCAGCTCAAGGGGGTGACCGAGACCTTGAATTCAAGCTCCGGCTCGGGGCCACAAGGTGGCGATCAGATATCATGTCTCTACGCTTCAGCCACGTTCCCTAATGTAGGAGTCATTGGTTTTGGAAGTCGGCATCGATCACCCTTTGCGACTTGGAAACTTTGAAACCTCTCCATAGCGAGACCATGCCTCGTACAGAAGATAGCGCCTCAGTCCCGCGAGACGCCGTGCTTCTCCAGATACATCCGCCCAATGTATCTGGCCCAACGCTACTAGTGGCCATGGAAGATGGACATGTTGTCACATTTAACGTGTCAAGAAAGGACTTTTCGCTTTCAGGAAGAAAGTCCGTGATCCTGGGAACCCGGCAAGCGCGCCTTCACGTTCTTCCTGATCCCGGTGGCTTCTATAATGTATTTGCTACCACAGAGAATGCGAGCCTAATTCACAGTTCGGAGGGTAGACTTGTCTACTCCGCCACAACTGCTGAGGATGCCGTTCATGTTGTTCCGTTCGATGCCGAGGCGTATCCCGACTCGATCGTAATTGCGACTAGTTCACACTTGCGGCTATCGCAACTGGACACCGAAAGAAGGACACAAATTAATGCCTTCCCACTTGGCGAAACCGTGAGGCGGTTGGCGTACTCGCCCACCCTTAAGCTATTTGGTCTTGGATGTCTCGTCAGACAACTTAACTCGGATCCGCCAGAGGAGATTGTGCAGACACGGGTTTGTCTGGTTGACGAAGTCATGTTTGAGCTTCTCGGAGAACCCTATCTTCTTCCCACCCCAGACGGGCACGAGATTCCAGAATGCATAATCCGGGCAGAACTTCCGGACTCGAATGGGGAGCTCGTTGAGCGCTTTATCGTGGGGACTAGCATATCCGCGGATCCAACGACGGGGAACCCACCAGCATATGGAGGCCAAATACTCATCCTTGGTGTTGACAGCGACCGGAAGCTGTTCAAGGTGTCTTCAAAACTACTTCACGGAGCCTGCAAGTGTTTGGGGGTCCTTGGGGACCATGTAGTCGCTGGCCTTTCCTCGTCCATCATCGTCTACAAATACACTGAAGAGTCGAGCACCTCGGCGCAGCTGCAGGCCCTGGTCGCTTATCGTTCCTCAACTTACCCGATAGATATTTCAATTCACGGGAATATCATAGGCGTCGCCGACGTTATGAAGTCGCTAACCCTCCTCGACTTCGAACCCGGCTCGGCCCAATTGCCGCCGGTGCTTCGGCCTCGGGCGCGGCACAATAGATCAGCGTGGGCCACGGCTGTCTGCCACATCGAAAGCGACGCGTGGCTGGAATCAGACTCGAGCGGAAATCTTATGGTATTAACACAGGGAACAGATAGCAATTTTGAACCAGCGCGCCCAACTCTTGAGGTCAGCAGCGCTTTGAATCTAGGAGAGCAAGTCAACAGGATTCGGCCTCTCAACGTCGTTACGAGTCAAAACGCTCCAATTGCGCCCAAGGCGTTCCTCGGGACGGTATGATATAGCACTCTGAACATCGTTGAGAACCATTTAACTAACAAGGATCCTATTTTCCTCACTTGATCACAGGCTGATGGCGGACTCTACCTCTTCGGCACAGTGTCCGAGACCCATTTAGATCTCCTCACAACCTTCCAGAGCAGACTGACGACGTTTGTGGAGTCGCCCGGCGGGACTAATTTTATGCAGTGGAGGACTACAGATAAACTGCCTATCGAACACACGGGGCCATGGAGATTCATAGATGGGGGATTTCTTGAGCACTTTCTGGATATGAGTGAAGCAACGCAAGAACTGGTCTGTGAGGGGCTAGGCCCAAGCGTTGAAGATATGCGAAATCTTCTAGAGGAAATTAGACGGCTTCATTAGCAAAAGATAGGAGGTGCAAAGACGCAATGAATCCAAGTCTGGATAATATCCTGACTTGGATAAAACATGTCGATGCTGAAATAGATTCGTGCGTCCTTTGTTGACTGTGAACTCTTGAGAATGCCAGGAATTGTCGGAGAATACCGAACGCGCTTCATCAATGGTCTGCCGGTTCGGGCTTGAGGACGGTAGATTCTCGGAAATAATGGTTTTGTGGGTCAAGGCTCATCCATCCAATTGTTAGCCGGAAATATCCGGGTTGACCAACCCTTCTTCTCAGTTTTGATCGGACCATCACAAGCCTAGCCAATCAAGGGCGTCCAATTCGTGAGCTGTCTTGTCGCCTCAGGCAAAAAGTCCAAAAATCATCATCCAAATCATTTTCGAACGTGCCAAAAGGAAAAGACCTCATCGAAGCCACATAACCTCCATCCCGACGACAAGCTCCCCAGCCCGCAACTCAATCCACCCTGTCATCCTCACAGCCCGCGATGGCGACTTTGACGAACGCATCTCGTGTCTGCCTCCGGGGCATGACAAGGCAGTCGGCTCTCGCGTCCGTCCCCGTACGAGCGCTGACCACCTCGGCAACCGTCCAGACTCGGCGCCCTCCGCGTACGGCTACCAGGCGACCTTCAAGGGCACCAGCAAGGGCTCCAAGATCCCCGACTTTGGTAGCTACATGTCCGACAAGGCTCCTGCTACCAACAAGATCTTTTCCTACTTTATGGTTGGCGGTTTGGGCGCCATCACCGCCGCCGGTGCCAAATCCACTGTCGAGGGTAGGTGGCGTGACAGCACCCATCAGGCACCACAACTTGCCGGAATCCCAACAATTGATGATGTGCTGGCTCGTTTTGGCTGAATATCAAAGCTGACTCGTTTTGTTTTACTCAATTCTACAGAGTTCCTCAAGAACATGTCCGCCTCTGCCGACGTCTTGGCCATGGCCAAGGTTGAGGTCGACCTCAACGCCATTCCTGAGGGCAAGAACGTAAGTTGATATAGCCTATCCACAATGCGTTTGCGCATCCCCCAACTCTGCCTCATCTACTGACATGGCTCTCTTTCTCCCTTTCTAGGTCATCATCAAGTGGCGTGGCAAGCCCGTCTTCATCCGACACCGAACCGAGGGCGAAATTGCCGAGGCTAACAAGGTCAACATTACCTCTCTCCGCGACCCCGAGAACGATGCCGACCGTGTGAAGAAGCCCGAGTGGCTTGTAATGTTGGGTAGGTGGCGCATCATCCCTCGCGTGCATGGTTCTTCCCTCTTCATCAATGTCAATGCCGAGCCCCTAAAATACGCCCGGGTTTCTCTCAGAGTTCTGTGCCTGCCAAGCCGCCGCAAGACCTGAATCTTGCACGGCTTTCGCTACGGGGGCAAACCATTGTGAAAGGGAGGGATTCAACCTGGGCTGGCATACAGGATTGCTCTCCGATTATTCATCACGTTTAAGCAATGTCACGAAACAGCAAGGACTAACATGTTGCTTTCATTAGGTGTCTGCACCCATCTCGGTTGTGTGCCCATTGGTGAGGCCGGTGATTACGGTGGCTGGTTCTGCCCTTGCCACGGTTCGCATTACGACATCTCCGGACGTATAAGAAAGGGACCCGCTCCTCTTAACCTCGAAATCCCCGAGTACGAGTTCCCCGAAGATGGCAAGCTGATCATCGGTTAAAGAGAAGAAAGAAAAAAGATTTCGCTGTATACTATCTGTCAAAAACGGAAGATTCATCCCCTAGGACACACCATTGCGAATAGAGATTTTCCCTTTTTTTTTTGTTATCTTTCTGGATCTAGTTATCGAGCGCCTGGCGGATAAGGTCGGTGTTGGTGCGATTGCCCTCCATATATCGTGTGTATGGGGCTCAGGTGGAAGGCATGGGAGAAAGCCCAAGGAGAGCCGAGAGCCGAGATAATCGATGTATAAACCTTGGTAGGACGCGTTTCTTATAAGTATCTACAGACATCATGAGATCCTCATGGGTCATTCATAGTTGATTCCATACTGTCAAAGTCCCACCTGTTTACATGCAGAGCAGATGACGATTGCCATCCGCTCGCCCACCTTTGATTCGATGATCGATGCGGGATCAGTCGGATTGCCTAGGGATGATTCACCCTCCCAGAGTCTCAGTGCCAAGTAGGCAAGATGGACTTCAATGCCTACATGTAGGCTGGGCGGTGGATATCAATACTTCGACATGCAATGCCACGGTCTCTGTCTTCACCCAACCACACATGTCACTAAACATGTAGGGCATCCCTTGCCTTGCTGTCGAGCTGGAACTTTGCTAGCCACTAAGAGCCCACGCACATCGCCATGGCACAACCTTATTTAGGGTAAAAGCCAAGTGTGGGAAAACGAGAAGCGACGTATCGCCGGGTAAAAGCAAAGGACGGCGGTCAACGCACCTGTGAAGATCCGTGCCAGAATTTTGACGGGGCAGGTCACAGTGACAAAGTCTCATGTGTGGTGTGTATCAAAGGTCGTGAATGTATGCGTGTGCGTGTGCGTGTGCGTGTGCTGGAAGAGCAGAAGCTGAATAGGACGGTGAGGGGATTCATATGATCAGATTCACTGCTGCAGTTTCTTTCCGGTTTCTTTCCCCATGCCATTGAAATAATCTTAGCGCAGCGGAGCCATCTCCCCTATTCAACTTCTCTCGTCCCTTCCTCTTATCTTTTGCCATCTGTGTCTACTTTCCCCCTCCCCTAGGGATCCAAGCGGCGGAGAGGAGGGCGTAGGGCCCTGCAGGAGACCGACGAGAAATCTGCATGGCATTGGGCTAAAGGGATATATGTCGATCATGCTGAGGCTGTCATTGTGCAACAGATCCTGCGATTGATACCCTGTCCGTATGGTGTAACAGAACGCATCCCCCACTTAATGGATCGCATAGCTGTGTCTATCATGAACAGTAATATATGTAAGCCAGGAAAGTCAGTTTAGACTCGGGAGACCATCTTTTTCTAGCCTGTATGTCGAGTTCTTCAAGGAGGGGAAATAACCGAAGGACCCCTCAAATCTTCCTCGAGTAATGGGAGGCTTTACTTCAGACGAAATGAGAGCAAAGGAGAGTGAAACACCCGGTTCGCACCGGAGTCGGCTCACCGGCTTCAACGAGGGAATCTTTTTCTTGGCTTCTCGCGGGAAGCTCCTCGGTCCAGGTCACGGCGGGCGAGGCATGTCGAATGAGAATCATTTGAATCTCATCATGATAAGATCATCTTGGGACTTTCAAGTGGGGACATGGTACGAATTTGGGACAGCAAATCCATGGGTCAGATACTGCGGCCTCCCCTCGTCTCTCTCGCTCTCTGTCGAGAGCGGTTAGCCAAGACGCGGTTTCCACAGGGGTGGTAAGCACGTAAATGGGCAGAGAAAGCGATAATCTGATCAGGTTGATCCAGAAAATTCGTCCACATCTGCTGGAGGGCTTTGGAAACATGGCATCAGCAGAAGGGATAGCCGGCCGCAAACGTTATCCTGCCCCTTTGAAGTGAAGAGCGACAAAGGGAAGGGTCACAAGGCCGCAAATGCAGGGGAGGCCGCGAAACCCTTGCCCCACGGACATATTTGTCCCTGAAGCTCGACCCAAACACAACCTAGCCGAAGAAACGAACAAGACGATAATACGGACGGAAACATCAACGAGAAGCGGTCTGTGAGGTACCCCAACGGCTTCGCAGTGCACCCAGGTTGCCGAACAAGGCGAGAGCCCTTGTCGTCGAAGAGTGTTATAGTACGCAATCACTAGGGAATGCCGAACAAGGGGGAGGGGGTGGGCTATCGGGACTGATGTCACATCTAGCTCGCCGCTGGGTGTATCAAGTTCGGGCCAGAGATTGGCCGGTGGGTGACAGGAAACGGGGGTTCTTAGGGTTATCGTACGCCAGCAGACGCCTGAAGAGATGGTGGCCGCTTGTCAATTACAGACCGAAAGAGAGTCCCCAAGCTCTTTTGCAGTCTTGAGGACTGGGGACAAGAGGTTGCTGCCCACTACATGTAAGAATTTGATGGGCTTATTGCGAGGGTGACAGGCCGAACAGGCTGAATGAAATCAAAATGCAAGTGAAGGAAGAAAAGAAACAGATCTCGCCTCCCCCAAAGACACAAAAAGAGGGAGAAGGGAGAGAATGGCACTTCATTTTGTTTAGCAAGGGTAACAAGAGAGTGAAAATAGCAACAGAGAAGAAGGGCGACGATTCCCCAGATGCTCGGAGTCACCTGCAGTTTTTGGTGGTATTGGAGTGTCGCAAAGTGCGTAACAGGAAATCTCCGATGGCTTTTCATAGGGCAGATTGTTTCAGTGTTTTTGTGTGCCCTTGGGACGGTGGTGCTTCTCTCGAACTTAGTCGACAAGCATCGAGAGTGCGTGCATTGGGGGCCAAACAAATGCCAGCTGGTGGAGGCAGGAGCGCTGAGGCTCTGAGGCTCTGGAGGCTGAGATGGCTGCTAATAGCGTCGAACCTTGATTCCGTGTTTTGGGAAGGAACGGTGCGTGCAGCCTCCGGTGGGGAAGGAGGTCTGGTGGCAGAAGGGAAGGTGCGTCGAAGGCCTAAACGGGACACAGGCGGAGGTTGCCTTTCGCGGTCGGTGCAGGGGTGCATGGTCCCTGGGCCAATCAAAAGTCGGCACAAAAGCGGCTTGAGCTTGTTGAGACGTCGGTAACACGAAACACCGTCTGATCGGACAAGATCTCCGACGGACCCGAACTTTCTCTCCCATCTTTCCTTGCCTTCTTCTTGCTGTTCTTTTTCGTTTGCTGCAAGCCCGATATTCTCTAAACCCTGTCCGCGTTTGGGGAACATGGCTTTGACATTTCTTCGGAGCTTTCCTTCCCCTTCCCCTTCCCCTTCCCTTGCGCTTCTCCCTCGGCCATGAGCTGTGGACTGTGGACTGAAATCGCCTCGCCCCTACCGAGGTAGACTTTTGCCCTATAGATTCATGACGCCCCAGGTTGAACAAGTAAACCGCCCTCAGGATTTCTACACGCATCGCACGCACGCTGCGGCTCGGCAGCCCGGCACCATAACCCACAAGAGGAGCTGGGCTTGTCACTAAATAAGGTTTGGAAGCCAGCTAAATCGATGAAGTCGCCAAGGCTACGCTTCTTGAACCCACTTACACCCCCTACGTCAGGAGGCTGTCTGCCGCGCCCCTCGATGCGAAAAATCACTCTGTACCGTAACCGTAACCCTTCAGCTTGAGGCCATTCTCCTAGTGGCTCTTATTGCTAGTCTTGCGTGCACAAAATTATGGCTTTCTTTAGCATTTCCCCCAATGACCAGGCCATTGACAATCCGGCCGTCAGACGGCTGGACTGGGGTGGCCCTGCTGCATGTGCACAGCGTCCAGGACGCATCCACGACCTCCGGAGCTGTCAGAGCCGGCGTATCGTGCACACCTACGCCCCCATAACACCGACTCCCCAAGTCCAGGGAATGCCAAGTAAATCCGTACTTCCCCTTCGTTCATCTTTGACGTTATGATCGACGTTCGTGGATGCAAGCAGAGCCGTGCCAAGGGCGTCATGAGACACCTAGACAAATCGTCGTTTCGCTTGTCACTCGATCCGCCATCCGGTGTTCCCTTCATCTCAATGAGTCTATTTCCCCCATCCCGTCTCTGCTTTTAACTCTACGCGAGGTTGGTATAAAGACATTCTGGCCGTCCTGAGATCGCCTCAGACTTTGCACCCCTCTTTCCTCTTCTCCACCAGTCACTCTTTCCTGTCGCTTTTGGGCCTAATCTCTCTTTCTCTTCGCTCAGTTCTGTGAACTTTTTTTTCAATCTTCTTTTCATTGTTCAAACAGCAGGGCCGGCCTCTCCTTTTGGACCCTCTATAAATCGTATTATTATTATTTTTGTCGATTTCTTTCTTAATCGCCGCCCAAACCCCCTACCGTCACCATGAAGCAATCCGCCGCTATCTTGGCCGCCACCCTCGTGGCCTTTGTCGCCGCTGAGGTCCCCCAGGAGCTGTCTCACGGCATGTTCTTGACCAACACCCAGACCGCCCTGCAGCTCAACAACCGCTTCAACATTGTTGACCCTGTCTTCGGTCTTCTCGGTGCCGCCGCTGCCGCCAATGGCGCCGGTGACGTGACCGACTTGGACTGCCTCCAGCAGATCATTGCCGATGAGGCCTTCACCAACGCTCTCACCATTGAGGATGAGAACCAGCGAATCAACAGCCTCGCCAACGCCCTCATCTACCGCACCCTTGAGAAGAACACCGGCAGCGTCGGTCTTGCCAGCGTCAACTGCGGTCAGGTTGCCAACAACCCCGAGATTGCTGCCCTTTCTCAGCACCAGGATCCCGCCTCCGACGGTGCTCAGCAGCTCAACAAGGACATCGCCCTCAGCCTCGCTGTCCAGCTTGCGAGCGTTGGTGCCGACCCCACCCTTGCTCTCCTCTCCGGCACCTTCGTGCCTGGTGATGTATGTATCCTCCTGAACATGGGACAAAACCCTCCCCCATTTAGAATTTGCCTCTTTCTGCCTTCTTCTTGGTAATCAGGAAGGGAGATGAAAAAGAAAACATTTGCTAACCCTCGCGTCGGCATAGGTCAACGACAACACCGGCGCTGGCAACACCTGCGATACTGCCCTTGACGAGGATCCCGTCGGCTGCATCTTCACCTTGAACCGCATCGTTGCTGATGCCACCATTGATGAGATCAACCAGGCTGTCAGCGATGCCATGGGTGCCGATGCTCCTCAGGCTAACGCCGCCATGGCTAGCAACCTTAGCACCTTGGCCGCCGGGATGGCCTCTGGGCAAATCTCTGCCGTCGCTTCTGGTGAGTACCGTGTTTCCAGCTCCTCGGGTGTGGGTGCCTGATTCTAACGTATCTCTGAATCTTCAGACAACGGCAACGCCCAGGCTTCCGCCTCTGCCTCCGCCTCCGGAAACCTCCAGGCTTTCAGCGGTAACCTCGGTGGCGCCGCCCCGCCATTGAGGACACCGGTGATGCCAACCGCCCCTTCCAGACCAACGGCGCTACCTTCCAGAACCTGAGCGCCGCCATCCAGCGCTCTTGCGCCGTCCAGAACAACGCTTGCGCCAACGCTGCCAACTCTGGCCAGATTGACGCTAACGTCGGTGACTGCAACGCTCAGGAGAACGAGTGCCGTGCCTCCGCCAACCTCAAGATGAAGCGCGTTGTCAAGGCCCGCCAAAACGGTGCTCTTGACTTCGGCTCTTGCTCCGACCCCACCATCCAGTTCGCTGATGGCCTTGACGGTCGCCGCGAGGCCTCCTTCGCCCCCAACAACAAGGGTGACTTCAGCCAGGGCTCCGCTCTCAACATCAACATCATCTCCAGCTTCATCTGCGGAAGGCTCCAAGACTCCTGCAAGGCTGATGAGTCGACCGTTGCCGCTTGCGAGACTGGTAGGGCCGCCGCTCAGGGCCAGCAGGGCCAGGCTGCCGCTGATGCTTTCAACGCCGCTCTTGGTCTTTAAGTCAAGCGTCGAGATTTTCAAATGCTGATCTCTCGGGCTCTGTCCGTTGGGTGACTCCATAACGCAGATCAATTTATTTGTTTATCGGTTATCATCCTCGCTTTTTATATACCATTTTCCCCTTCTCTTCTTTCTCTTCGCAGTCCGCTATTTCATGTGCCTTTCGTCATAGCGAGCTTTCTTCTTTTTCTTTGGTCTTTTATTTCTTTTTTGTTCCATATCTTTTCCTTCCATGTCTCCTTTTGCGCTTCTTTTATTTGTTTTTGAAGGAAAACTGAGAGGTTGAGTTGGCTCGAAACGACAGGAAAGGGGCGATTGCACAACTCCTCAAAGGGCCTCGTCTCTTTAGAGTCGTTCGTAACCTCCCCTCGTACTTTGTTGTATTTGTAGTGATGAGGTAACGGTCTTGCAAAGGGACTAGGATTTCAACTGTCCGTGGATAATTGAAAAAACAAAAATAAAGTAACCCCCATCTTGTGCACGTCTCGCGTGGAATGCAGCAAGTGTAGGCCCAAGTTAGTACACTACCTAAGAAGAGGGAGTTCAAACATAATGTGTGCCTGTGTACTGTCTTTGAGAGGTTTACCATTGCATTTCGACGTACCGCATCCCCTACCGGACGAGACATCAATCGCTCCGGTCGTTTCGGGTGCGCGGCAACCGCTGTTCTCCCATGCCCCGTGACGCAGGCGACGCACACCATCATTCTGAATCGGGTATCAGCAGGGCGCCTATTTAGGAAACCCGTCGTGATCCTACAAGGTGGGATTTGGGATGCGTCGCCGGATGGACCGCGCGGATTGCCAAGCGCGATGCTTGCCGGAGAGCCGAAAAATTACTGAATTTTCAACAGGCACGTCAAACGGGGCCGCTGCGGGTCAACAGAATGTTCATGGTATTGCAGATAATAATGGTTTGGCTAAACATAAAACTCCAAGTCGACAACATCATCGTTGGTAATTCTCGATGATCAGATACTACTAGCCTTCTTGACTAACTCCATGAGGACGAGCGACTTTCTCCCTGTCCCAAATTTTGCTTAGTAGCTGCGTCCAAACATGCACCACTGCTCTGCCTTGCGGCTGCATTCGGGGTTGAGGCAGTCCGTCTCGCCCTTTACAAGGCCTTCGGGTTGCTCGAAGGGGATGCAAAGACTCTTCATGCCCATGGTAGGGGCCTTGGGAGCGCCTCCTTCAGTGGTCTCCTCGGGCTTGCCCGTGGTGAGCTCCTTGATCCTATCCTCGCACTTTCCGTCGAGACAGAAGGGAATGAGAACAACGTTCTTGGCATCGAGAGCGGGGAGGACTTCATCCCAGTTGGTGATGTTGAGACGGTGCTCACGGAACGACTTTTCGGCTTTGTTGTACAGATCCTGCTGAATTGTCTCGAGAAGTTCGGGGATTTTGGATCCAATCTCAGCAATATCAGTGGTACCCTTCTCACCAGTGTCACGCCTAGCCCAGCTGACTACATTCTTGGCGGAGTCCTTGGGTCCGAATTCGATGCGAAGAGGAACTCCCTTGAGCTCCCAGTCGTTGAACTTCCAAGCGGGAGTGTACCCATCTCGCACGTCGACCTCGACGCGGACACCGGCCTTGGTGAGGGCTTGGTTGATCTCCTCCAGCCTCTTATCGAGGTTCTCTCGTTCCTCGGGGGTGGTGTTCTTTGTGATTCCGACTGGGACGATGGCAGTTTGAATCCTGGCAATGCGAGGGGAAGAACTAGTCCCTTGTCATCGCCGTGAATCATAACCATGACACCGATAACTCGGGTAGAGAGACCCCAGGAGTTCTGCCACACATTGATATGCTGGCCCTTGACCTCCGGATCCTCGACCTTGATGTCGAACATTTTGCTGAAGTTCTGACCAAGACAGTGAGAGGTGGCTCCCTGAATGCCTCGGCCATTCGAAGGGATGTATCCCTCGACAGTTGTGGTGTAATAACCACCGGCGAACTTTTCATTTTCCGTCTTGCGGCCGCGGACGACAGGGACGGCTAGAAGCTGCTCATACACACCGGCATAAAGCTCAAGGATTTCAAGGACCTCTTTCCCAGCAAGCTCTTCAGTAAGGTGGGCGGTATGGCCTTCTTGCCAAAGGAACTCTCGCGAACGGAGGAAAGGAGTGGTCTGCTTGGCTTCCCATCGAACAACGTTGTTCCACTGGTTTAGGCGGAAGGGAAGATCCCTATGTGTCCTGATCCATTTCGAGTAATAGGGGTACATGACAGCCTCAGATGTAGGACGGACCGCGACGGGAACCTCAAGTTCTTTATCGCCACTATAATTCCAAAAAATTTCGCCAGTTAGTTCAGAAACGCTACAGGAACAGCAACGGTTGGGCAGAAACGAGGCGGGAAGGAAGAGGTAAGTGAAGACGCACGCCTTTGTGACCCACGCCAGCTCGGGAGCAAAACCCTCGACGTGATCCTTTTCCTTTTCGAAAGAGGCCTGGGACAAGAACATAGGAAAGCTGGTTTCCTCGACTCCCATAAGCTCAATGCGCTCCTGGAACCACCTTCGGATCGTGTTCCAGACATACATCGCTGCGGGGCGCAGGATGTAGAAGCCCGAAATTTCGTTATAGTAGTCGATCATCTGGGCCTTGAGGACAACCTCCTGGTACCATTGAGGAAAGTCCTCGCTCTTGGAGACAGTTATGCCGATGGTGTTGTCGGCCTTCTTGGTCTGTACAGGAGCGCCGCCTGCTTGGCCGCCTTCGCGGCCTTCTCCGCCGCCATCTTGGCCTGCTTCTCAGCCTTCTTCAAGGCGCTCTTTGAAGGGCCCGTGGATTCACCGGCGTCAGCCATGGCGGTTGGAATGCGGATGTGGTATGTGTAGCGTAGATCTTGGTTAGGTTTTAAGGTGGGGTCGTTGGTGATAAGGGCAGAAAATGTATTATTAGCGACCTGAAGTGTTGGAACTGGTGTAAGAGAGGGACCCCGCGACACGTAATCGATTTGGGGAAATGGGGAAATTGGGAAAAAGAAGTCTCCCTCAAGTACAACCGAGAAGTGTAACCAAGGGGGCTTGTATGGGATTTATCAATCGATTTCTCTATATTTCGGAAACCCTATCAAGGAGGGAAAGAAGGAGTCATAAGTGCGTTTTCTCTCACTTGAGCACCTGAACCATTGACTGTGGAGGGGTAAATTCCCAGCGTCCCACTTTGACAGCCCGTCGCCCCTGGCGCATCGTGGGACTGAAACGCCACACTTCCGCCACATAGAGGGCGGGGTAGTTGCTCCCATTCGGGTGCTGTGTGTGGCGGAATGCTGTAAGGTAAGCCACTTGAGCCCTTTGAACTTTTGCTAGTGCATATTATTATGTGCAGCCTAGAACCAGTCAACCAGTCAACCAGTCACTCAGCAGTCCAGCGCAGGGTACATGTACATTGTAACAAATTGATCTTATTGGGGAAAAGTTCGGTGCAACTACCAAAAAAGGTAGAAAGCGTTCGAACATCACCGACCGCAAAACCGCCCGATAACCACCATCACCAACTGCCACTCATAACAACAAGCATAACTCCTGGTTGGGCGCTCTGCTGATCGCAAATATGGCGGCTATATTCGAGCAGCCTCGGAACGGAACCCTCTTCCTCGGCGGCCAGAAGATCTCTGGCTCCGACATTCGAGACCAAAATGGTTAGTGGTCTCCTCCTCGGCTCCTGGCCTATCCCTCAAGCTGCCGGATCACACTTGGAAGCCCACCAAAGCTCAGGTCTAAATTACTTTTACGCATAGTCCTCGCTACGCAGGCCATTTCCAATGTCATTAAGAGCTCTTTCGGCCCCAGCGGTCTAGACAAGATGATGGTAGACGAGATCGGAGTAAGTTCCTGACTGCCCCTCCATCCCCCCACCCTTTTTCAACACAGCAAGGCCTACTGGGTTTGTCGAAACTGACCCAACTTCTCTTAAAGGACGTGACTGTCACAAACGATGGAGCTACGATCCTGAGCTTATTAGACGTGGAACATCCCGCTGGCAAGATTCTCGTCGACCTAGCTCAACAACAAGATAAGGAAGTCGGTGACGGCACAACTTCCGTCGTCCTGATCGCCGCCGAGCTTCTTCGCCGTGGAAACGATCTGATGAAGAACCGCATACACCCCACGACAATTATCACCGGATATCGCCTTGCCCTCCGAGAGGCTGTCAAGTACATGAACGAGAATGTTGCTGTCAAGGTGGAGAATCTCGGCCGCGAGTCACTCATCAACATCGCCAAGACTTCCATGTCAAGCAAGATTATCGGCTCCGATTCTGACTTTTTCGCCAACATGGTTGTGGATGGTATTCAAGCTGTCAAGTCGACAAACAACCGAAACGAGACCAAGTACCCAGTTAAGGCTGTCAACATTCTGAAAGCCCACGGCAAGGGTCCCGTGAGTCTATACTCGTGAAGGGCTACGCTCTTAACTGCACAGTCGCCTCCCAGGCCATGGTCACGAGAGTGGCCGATGCTAAGATTGCCGTGCTTGACATGAACCTTCAGAAGGAGAAGATGAAGCTCGGTGTCCACATCACTGTAGATGACCCCCAGCAGCTTGAGAAAATCCGCGCCCGCGAGTCTGGCATGATTCTCGAGCGTGTGGACCTTATCCTCAAGGCAGGCGCCAACGTTATCCTCACAACCAAGGGCATCGACGACCTTGTCTTGAAGACTTTTGTGGAGCGGGGAGCCATGGCTGTGCGTCGCTGCAAGAAGGAGGACCTCCGAAGGATTGCTAGGGCCACGGGCGCCACCCTTCTCAGCACCCTCTCCGATTTGAACGGCGATGAAAAGTTTGAGCCCTCTTACCTAGGTTACGCTGAGGAGGTTGTCCAGGAACGGATTTCCGATGATGAGTGCATCCTCGTCAAGGGCACAAAGGCTCATTCTTCAGCTTCCATCATTCTCCGCGGATCCAACGACTACCAGCTCGATGAGATGGAAAGGTCAGTGCATGACTCCCTGTGCGCTGTCAAGAGGACGCTCGAGAGCGGTACGATTGTGCCCGGCGGTGGTGCAGTGGAAACCGAACTCCATATCTATCTAGAGGAGTTTGCCAGCACGGTAGGCTCGCGCGAGCAGCTTGCCATTGCCGAGTTTGCACAGGCTCTTCTCGTCATCCCCAAGACTCTCGCCATCAACGCTGCAAAGGATGCGTCCGAGCTCGTTGCTCAACTCCGCAACAGACACGCGCTATCCCAGAAGATCCAGGAAGGCGAGGCGAATGAAGATGAGAAGACGGTAGCCCGCAAGAAGGCTTACAAGAACTACGGTCTTGACCTGACTCGGGGCAAGGTTGTTGATGAGGTCAAGGCCGGTGTGCTTGAACCTAGCATGAGCAAGATCCGGCAACTGAAGAGCGCGGTCGAGGCTTGTATTAGCATCATGAGGATTGATACCCTTATCACTCTAGATCCGGAAGTGAAGGATGAGGGCGATGGCCACGACCACTAAAGCGGCTTAATGGGTTAGGACAATAATGATGACTGGGAAAACTTGTTCAGAATTTTACAGGGTGCAATGCCCGAAAAGCAAGGAAGGGGAGGTTAAACAAAAGGCATATATGTATGGAAATCTAGACGTATAGGCGTAAAGATTTGTGGTTCCCTAGGATCCGTGATGCTTCTTGAATCTCTAAAGTCCTATGCCTCACACCGCCTATCCATATGCTGAACCGATCAGTGCTTCCCATGACGCAGTGAAGGTATCTCTCGTATTCGGATCAGATGCCCTTGATATCCAATGTGAAAAGAATCCGAGTGTTGCGAAAAGAAAAGAAAAGGAAAAATGAAAAATAAAATAAAAAAGAGGTAGCAAAGGCCTGGCTTAAGCTAACCATTTAACGTTGAGCCCCAAAAGCACCGAGTATCGTGAGGAGGGAGGGGTGTGAAGGAGGTCATCAATACCAAGCATACTTCTCATTCGCAACCCAAACAACCCCGTCCATTGCTCCATCGCCGTACCACATTAGACTAGGAATACTGTCCATCTCCCTCTCCACAACCTCGTACGGCAGGCCAGCGCTAGAAATAGCGCCCTCAAGCCTAGGCGCAGGATTCCATAACTCGACATGCCCGGCTCCCCACTCAAACGCCTCTTTCCTGGCTAAACGTAGGATAGCCGCGACGCTTTGGGCGAGGTCTTCATCGGAGCAGGCCTCGTCCTCAACGACGAGCCGCAGGATATGTAACGTGTTACCTGCGGTCGGTTCGACGATGGAGGATGGTGGAAGCGAGGGGGCACAGTCTGGTAGGCTCGAGTCCAGACGGCCCAGACCCGGCGGCCCTTGGGCCCGTGGACGCCACCGCGGACGGTGGGGGCGCGGTCGAAGATGCGGTGCGTGATGAAGTCCTCGCGCATCATGTGCCAGAGTATTGCGTCAAGGTCTGGGGCGAGAGCGACAAAGGAGTGGGGGTACCTGGGGTAGTGGAGGAAGCTGGAGGGAGCATCCTCGCCATGCGCTTACGGAGGAGGGCCTCGTCGCAGGCGCAGAGCTCGGCAAGTTCATGGTAGCGGATTGGCGCAGCCGGGGAGGAGGCTGCGGTGCCGTCGGTAATGCTTTCAGAGTTCGGTTCCAGAGGGGGAAAGGCAAGGTGTGTGCTCGGATGAGCAGCCCAGCCGCGGTTTGCGTAAAAGGTCTTTCCAATGTCGGAGAATAGAACAGAGAAGGCTACGGGAGATAAGCCAGAGGGTCGTGGAGCGGTTTGGATTGTAGCTAGCCCATGTTGCTTTCCCATCTGGCGCCCGACGCTCATGGGAGACCCTTGGTGCGTCTTCAGGGCTTCCCCTACCATGACCATCAGTTTTGATGCATATCCCCTCCCCTATAGATGGGGTCCGTGTATACGGCGCCGATCCCATGGGCAACAACGTCTTTGACAGATTGTCCGGAGGAAGAGCTAACTAACGCAGTCTTCCTGATGGTGTCACAGGAAGACAAGATTGGTCTCTGGTCGGGAGGGAGGGATCGCACGGTGAGAATCCATTGTGTGACCCCGCCGCCTTTGGCAACGGGGACGGTTAAAAGATATTCTTCTCGGTGTAGATATTCCTCTAGGAGAGAACTTTTCCCCAGGACTTGTGGGTTAGAGCCCATATCCGTATGCGTTCGGCAGGAGTAGGGTGTGTGAGGATGAGAGTAGGAGATGAGCTGGCAGGAAGATCTATCTCCTGAGGAGCCCCCATTGTGCAAATCTGGCTGCTCGCGTCAACACCAGCTGAATCAGACGATGATCGAAAGGGCCGATCAAGTTTTGGGATGGTATCCCTCCGTGAAGTTAGGTTATCAAAGGCCAGCATTGGGAAAAAGACAAAATCATCAACCCAGGATGACTACGAGAGAAGGGAAGGGCCTTGGTCGGGGAGAGTAAAAGGGGCACGTGGTGGTGATATAACGGAACAAGTAAGAGATAGCCCATCCTGGATGGATCCGTCCTCCCTCTCAAGCCGGCGTTTAAGCCCTGATGGGACCAAGGACGTACCGTGAGCCTCTGAGGCCCCCGTCTCAGCAATCCGTGTGGCACCGTCCCGTCCACCGCCCGTACTTCCAGCCCAAGTGCCTCCCTTTTGGGGTTAATCCATCATCCGCGCTAGCAAGGGAAAACGAGGGTATACAGTCAAATCCCTAGCACCTTCCCGTCCTTCTTTCGCTCCCGGCCGGTCAGCAGGGAACGGAGAAGGAGCGTCCACTACAGTCTCCACAAGCTACGTCATGTGCATGCACAGTGCCACGACTTGGTCGTCGAGCAAGAGAGATTTATCACAAAATGGCCAATACAGCCAAGTCGGGCACTGACTCTGGGAAAAGCATAAAGCGGCGGCTTCCGAATGGGCAAAACATGTATCATTGACACAGGGCGAGGTCCCTTGGAACCGGGTGCTCGGGGAGCGATTTCAAGGGTGGAGCTAAAATGTCTGATCAGGTTGGTGTTAGTCAGAAGGGGTGGAAGATGGCTCGGAGCGGAATGGCGGGGTTGTCGCGGAAGATGGATCAAGTAAGCCGATGGTAGGCGCCGGTCTTTGGCGCCGAACGGACCCCGTAATTTTGTACATGTGCGCTTGTGAGAAAGGGAGAGTGTGGAACTGTGGCCATCACTGGAAACTGTCAACATATCGCACCACAATAACTGTAAACGGGTTCAACCCCCTTTTGAGGCTCTTTTCCTTCTTATCTTCTCTCGGTTTATAGTTGAAAACTAATCATGGATGTTTTGTGACCGTCTTCCTACCTCTATCTGGGCGCGCCGATGACTTTAGAGGCCCGCCCTAGGCATAAATACCTAGCCGGGGCCTTGTGGAAGCTGATCTCCTCTGTGCCATTCCCGACGGTAATGGTAGCGGCCGGTCAAGCAAGGATGGCACCGTCCACCGTCCCACCCGTGGACGGACATGCGGAAGATGCCCATCGTTACCTTGTGTTTTAGGAAACGAGACCAAGTCCCACCACCCGTAGCCGACGATTCCCTTTGGAAGCCTCTCAAGCTCTCTCCTTCCATCCAATGACCGACCGGCTGTGAATGGCTCTCCGTTCCTCTGCGTTGTACAATATACCTCTGTTGCCGCCCCTCGATGTCAAAATCCCCTCTCCACCGTGCCCCTCCCTCACCGATACAGCGCGGCTGATTATCCCCATGGATGGAACCATCCATCATATGCAACAGGCAGTGTCATGTGGACTCCACTTAGACCGACTGGCAGGCCAATCTTTATTACAGATAGAACCAGCACCGTGCCCTTCCTGCTTCAAATCTTAAGTCCTACCCCCTGTCACCTGTCGGTCTCTCAGCAGCACATATATTAACACCGCATCAGTCCAATACCTCTGTTGCCCTATCCACGGGATATTCCCTCCCCGTTGCTGTATCCGATAATGCATCCAATGGATGGATCTATCCATTGCATCCCTTAGCGGGGAGGGAGCTCTTCATCCCCTGGCCTTCCATTTCACGGAATGGGCAGCAAGGGGCCTCATCCTGCTAGTCAGAACGCGAGCAGCTACCTCCTCTTTGACGAGGCCTCACCAAGGTTAGATGTTGCGCCACACAAGCGAAGCATAAATCGAATACTTGCTACACCGGAGGTTGCTGTTAACACGATAAGCGCATGGCCCACACCACACCACCATTGACAAGATGGATGTTACTGGTTGAGGCGCGGTCCTCATAACTTGAAATACACCTTATCAATTCACATGTCCTAGTTAGTTTCTAATTCCAGGATAATCCCCACGAACCATTTTCCGGGAATCCCAAAGGATTCCTATAGTCCAGACCTCCCAAATCTGGTCTATCACACATATTCGTCGCCAGACGCCGTGATTGAGATCCGGGTTATCCAATCCCCAATGCAAGAAAAAAAAAAAGAAAGAAACTAGAAATGTACAAATCCATGGGTATACATGCAGGTCCAAAGCCGCCCGCTACTTGATTACACCAGACCAATTCAAACCTTGGTCATCGATTCGCCCCACGACTAACTATAGCCACATCATATTCCTGCTCTGCCGCCGATTTTGCTGCCAAAGGGAGTTTCCGACTCAGAACTCCCGCTATGGCCGCGGCTGTGGCCGGCATCCTGGCTACTACTGGCTCCTCCAGTTTGAGCCCCGTGGCCCCCACGGCAGTCTCATCCTCCTCCTTAATATTTTCGAGAGCTTCGCTATAGCCGCGGGGGTAGTCATCGTATCCTCCCGTCAAGGGCATCTGGTCCGAAGGGTCGTTGGGGTGCAAGCCGTACGCGACTGGAACCGGGGAGGGAGTCTTGGGGCCGCACCGGACATCGAATAAAGGCCCGTCTCTGCATGTTCCTGACTCGACGCGATGGGGTAAAGCCTCCGCGGCCGCCATGTGACATAGGGCTGCGATTTAGGTTAGTTACCGTGTTCTTAAAAACAAGGTCAAGTAGACGCTAGAGCCCTGCGTCTACAAAGTCACTCACCTAATGTATTTAGTATCAAGCATGGGAGGGCCGATGCGAGGATTTCGTTGCTTCCTCTTCCAAAGGTAGAATGCCAGAGCCCCGAGCGCGACAAGGACGGCAATCCCGCTAATCGTTCCTCCAATGATTGCGCCGGTCTGGTTCTTAGAGCCTTGGTCTTCTGGCGCTTCGGCCTCGTCTCCTTTATCAGCCGTCGATGACGAGGTAGAGGCCGACGACGAGGTAGTCGAGGTGGTAGATGTTGCCGTCGATGACGAGGATCGGGTTCCCGTACGGGTGCCAATAGTTATGGGTTCTGAAACCGTCACGACTTTGGCCGTGAATGAATTCGTGACTTGTAGGAAGCTAAGCTGGGAGGGCGCGCCGGAGACGGCAGTCGCAACACTAGCGGCGAGATCCGATGCGGTGCCACATCCGTATTGGGAGAAGCCACCAGCAAACATATTCCGATAGCAGACATTGCCCCCACCACATGTGTAAACATATGGGTTTAGCTCCGTCTGTGGTCCACTGTTGGAGTCGACGCATCCGGTGAAGATGCCGGTGGTGCAAACCAACTCGCCATCAGGGCAGCAGCCTATAGCGTTGTGTTCACGGTCTAAAACGCAGTGGGATCCTGCGCCGCAAGTAACGGGGATATTGGCGTCTCCTTGGAGATATCCGCAGACGGTATTAAGGTCTTGACGACGAAGGACGGCGTTGATCTCGGCGAGTGGAAGGGGCGCTTCGGTAGGCAGGGGCGGCCATGACTCGACATTTAGGGTGCGATGGGGGAGGGTTTTGGTCTGGCGAGGCAATATGTGCGCTTCCCCAAAAGCGAGGAGAGCCGCGAGAACTAAGCTCGCGGTCGGACGTGGGAGCTGTTGGAATAAGTTTGAAGCGAACATCTGGCTGTCGGTATGGTTGCCTCGAGGGCTCGAACTCTGACAAGAATACCCGCGCGGCGCTACTATTAGTGCCTTGTCCCAAAAGAATTGACGCCGATGTGGTTATAAGCGCATAATCGTAAGGATAGAGTGCTGGCGAACAACACGGGGCGAAAAGTTCCTTGCGACAAGGGGTAGTATAGGAAAGAAAAAGAAGGGAAAAAAAGGTTATGGGGAAAAAGGAGGACAAAATCCCTACTAAGGATTGAAAACGAGAGGTTGATGTTGGAAGACAAGACAGAATGTACTTATCGAGGGACTTGAACAAGGAATGTGCAGGGGTGGAGGAAGCACTCGAGAAATGAAAAGGATGTTCAGGGCTGTGTTTCGATCTCGCTGTGAGGCGCAGAGTTACATTAGCCAATGCCAATCTAACAGCGTCATCAGTTCGGGAGGGGAGGGCCAGGATCCATTGCCACTTCCGCCGAACCAGTAAGCGACGAGGAGGCGGGCTTGGAGCGACGGTCTGCAAGGGGAATTGGGGACTTTGGGCTTATTATGGCTGGCCCGCATGCATACCAAGTCCTGGACGCATCAGCCTGTGAGGGTTGTCTTCAGTTGTGCCACTTCACGGAGGTCTTCCCAGCTGATACCGCACATCAAATTCGAGAGCAGACTGAATTTCTTTTTTATCATAAAAAAAGAAGAGAAAAAAGAGGCCCGGGGAATGGTCGAATAGATCGAGTCGCCTCTCCTACCAAATACTGGCGATGCATAAATCTGGAGTGGAACGAATCCAAGACTCGTCGATCCATCAATGGATCAATCCCGCTGGATTAATACCCAGAAGGGTCGGCCGCGAGCCCAAAGAGGCCAGGCCTAATAAGCTGACTGGATCTTCGTCCCTTACCCGGTACATGTGAACCATCCAGTCACAAGATCCAGTGCTCTCTAGGGCTGTCAGTCGTCTCGTGCGTCAGGAGTCAATGAATGGAGACCAGCAGCTACAGGGGTTGGGCTTTGGGAGCACGAGAGACCTCGATCAATTGATGATACAAGCGACCCAACAAAGAAGAAGCAGGAAGTGCGGCCCAGACATCGGGGCCAGGACGATCTTGCCCCCAGAATTTCATGGCGAACCATGGATCGTAACAGGACCGGAATCGGGTACGAACCATTTCAGCAGAGAAAAAGAAGGAAGAAAAATCTCAAACCAGGAACAGAAAGAGGAAAAAGGAAAGGAAAGGTGCATCGGGAGGCTGATCCTTCCTCCGTCGATTGATGCTGCGTCCTTGGTGAGGAATGGGAGAAGAAGAGCCCTTCGGCCCCGCTCGGTTGGCGGACCTCCAAGTCGAAGATTAGAGCCTGGGCTTGCCTGGGCATCCGGCCAAGTGAATCAACATCTGGTTGTCTCTCCCTGATCGCCATCAGCCACCGTGCCCAGTGGCACCAGCGATGGGACGCTTTTTTCTTTTTTCCTTTCTCGACATTTCGATCAATCTATCCATCCATCTATTCCATTGACGTTCACTTCGCCAGCCATCGCCACCCCACTTGGTCGCCGGACCCTCATCCACTCATCCTCGAGTCACCGACATCCGGAGGCCCACGTTTCCGCCCCCGCCCCCACGAGAACAGCACCTATCACTATCAAGAGATTTATCTATGCATACATAGATCCATGGATCCATCAGTTGATGGTTGATCTCGAAATTTATAGTGCTGGAGAGAAGAAGTAGCACGTCACCATCTCTCGATTCATCATCCGGACGTCGTGATTACCCGCCATCAAATGTGACGCTGTGGCGAGGAGTCTAGAAATCAAGAGAACAAACCCTCCAAATTGACGTAGGCGATGGCCTTCTGATTCGCCTTCTAATTTATGAAGCGACATTGATCGATAAAATTAGCAACGTGCCTCGGCATGTACCTCCCTTCAGCTAGCTTAGTGGCAAGATCAGCTAAGTCGAGTCAAGTTTATTCGCGCCGTCTCTTCAACCTTCAATCTTCAACGACGCCCAAGGCGAAGAGGGCTACCCTTCATCACACCCTTCACATCCATCACACACCATCTTGTCCAGGTGAGTCCGCACAACAGGTCGTGGGGTCTGTGCAGAAGCCCGGCGCTTCTGCCCATGCACAGCCGCCGTCAAGTGCGCGCAATAAAGCAATACCGACACTGTTGTTCGTACCCGGAATATACGTGTTCTCACAGTGCGTGGATATTGTTGCATATCTTGGCGCTACTATTTTTAACAACTCGAACCAAAGGTTATTCGGGTTGGGGAAAAGGAAATAATAGTTCAGAGCCCATTCTCGAGGGGGTGACAGCACAGATATTTAGTACTCTCCGCTAGAGGCATGCTTATGGATGGGTGCATGGGTAAATCGGTAGAGTTGAAATAGCTCTATCTTCTCCTCTCATTAACAAGACCGCGAGGCCGGCATGTGCGTGCGATCTCCAAGGCACGCGCAATGCCTATGTGTGCGCCAGGTATGTTTGTCCCAGAATTCCAGGCCGGTCGTCCGCGGCCCTCTGTGGGCCTGTGGGATGGGCTACCGATCGGGTCATTCCAACCACGAGGTACCGGAGCCTTTTTCAGAGTTGCATCCATTGTCCATGTTTCCCGTGAGCTCGGGATAAAGGATCCAGTCGTCCTCCCGATCAAGACAATACGCAAGTCCTTCCCAACCACCGACTTCCGTTTCCACTGAATAGGGTTTGGTGAGAAGGGCGCGGGAAGCGTTTCAGATAGAAGAGTCCAGAGGGGTGGCCATCCCTTCTCGGCTGAAGTTGATAATTACTAATAGTTCTGTGCTCGGCCGGTCCTAGCTTTGACGTGTCGCACAGCTCTGGAGGGTGTTGTCAAATTGAAGGGTCTTCCTCGACAGGAATCGGAAAAGGGTTGTCGCATGGCGTTCGACGGTTTCTCACACCCCTTTAATTGTTAGTGGACTTTTGGCCTTCTTTCCTTTTTCTTTTTTTTTCCCTTCTCGTCGAGGACAAGGACTCGACAGCATATCTTGGATTATCCCCGACTTTTTGTTCTTCTCGTAAAGCGCTGTCTCGCCATCGCATGCAGCCCGAACAAGGAAAAGCAAAGTCGTCATTTCTCGGTCCGAGAAGCCCTGTCGAAACGCGCCGACCGGTTTCCGTGTAAGTCAACAAACCCGCACAAAACAAGCACGTCGAGAGATAGCCTGCGTCGCTAGCACAGGGGCTGGACCACCAGTCCCACTCGGTTCCTCCCATCACTGCAGAAAAGGCTAGCACGCAAAAGGCGCGACCAGATGGCGATCGCGAAGCAAGATGTTGTGGCAACCATGAACTACTACGATGACCCGGGCGACGGTACCCCGCCAACACCCGTCATTGCTGGGGCGTGAGACTCTCTTTTCTTCCTTTTTCTTCTCTTGTGGAGTGTTCCTTATCGCTCCCTCCCTGTTTGGCCTCTGGATTGGCTAGATTGGTACTCCCGCGGAACACAAGTAGGGCGGCTGGTGGAGCTATCCCGCGGTAAACCTCTGCCGCAACATCGGCGAGGAGCACGTCAAAGGTTGGATACTATCGGGGCCGCGTTGACACGAAGGGCCCCCGGTTTCCATTCCGCCCGTTTTCTCAACTCCTGCTACCTTTTCTTTTTCTTTTACTTTTTGTTGCACTCCCAATTTTGAGCCAATATGCGTGCGACGAACCGTGCTGACAGGTATGGGCCGTTTCGTTTCCCAATAGCAAGACCGTGGTCAATGAGCGGCCTGTAGTTGGCCATGAGGTCAACATCCGGGATATAACGGGTGACGAGGACAAATACCGCCTCGAGACGCACGGGTTCGAGTTTCGGCGGCATAAGAGCGCCAAGCTAGATTTCAAGAATGAGGAGGAGCTTAAACATGGCTACTTCGAGGAGATGGAGCGATTGATCAAGGACGCGTGAGTTGCCATCCACCCGCCGTTCTTGGAACCCGCGCAAAGCAGAGTAGGCACATCTAGAAGCAGATGGGTGGTTGAAAGAAAAGAGGAAAAAGAAAACGGCAGAAATGGCAAACAAGGAATAGATATTGACATACGTATCTAGGACTGGAGCTAGTAGGGTTGTTATTTTCAACCACCGAGTCCGCCGCGGTCCCGCTGACTGGCACCGTATCGGCGAGAATAACACGGCCCATCGCGGACCTCTCCACAGAGTCCACGTTGACCAATCCTACGACGGCGCTGCAGTCGTCCTTCGCTGGAATCTTTCGATGGCCGATGCGGAGCCCTATCTACGCGGCGACGCACGATACCAAATTGTCAACGTATGGAGGCCCCTCGAAGCAGTAGAGCAGGATCCGCTAGCGTTGGCCGAGGCGGGCTCCATTGCGGAGCGGGACCTCGTCGGCGCGGCTATAGTGTACCCTACGAAGAAAGGGGAAACATGGGCGGTGAAACACAGCCCTGGCCACAGGTGGATGTACAAGCCTAGGCAAACCAGCAATGAGGTTTGGGTGTTCAAGTGCTTTGATTCAAGAGTCGACGTTGCAAGAAGAGTCCCCACTCCGCCTTCAAGCTGCCGGGCCAGCGAAAGGAGGGCTCGAGACAGAGTATAGAAGTTCGAGCCCTCGTGTTGTTTGATACTTGAGCCAAGGGTTTATGAAATCTACAACAACTTTTGGGGACGATGGGTTCATGCAATTTCTACCTAAAAGATATATCAAAGGGAAGGGGGTAATAGAAAAGAAATTATGTCTAGGAAATCCAAAAAGAGAGAAAAAAAGCCATGAAGATACAAATAGAACCAACGATTATAGCGTTCCTGACGCCCTTTCAGCTCGCCCTTTCCACCGTAGTGTCATTAGAAGAATGCGGGCGAATCAGACACGCATGTCATGGTTCCTTCGCAAAGAGTCCTGGCTTGAACGTCCTAGTTCCATTCCTGAGGGCGAATTATCCTGGTCTGTTCCGCGCTGTTCTATGCTGTCAAGGTCGATATGATGCCACCCGCGACTGGCGTTGGTCTCGTCCGTTCGCCGCTGCTTCTTCTCCGATTTCCGGTCCATCCTGGCCTGCTTTTTCGCTTCCTTCTTTTCGCGCTTCAGAGCCTTCTTCTCCTTGCGAGAAAGGCGTGGGAAATCGCTCTCGGGCCCGCGTAGGACCAGGCCGGGGTGAAGGACGTTGAGGAGGATGAAGCAGAGTAGCATTGGGAAGCCATCGAGGAAGAGGACGTAGTACTCGCTTTTCAGGAGAGGGTTATTTTCGTTGGCTCCTGGGATAAACTCGACAAGGCGGAAGATGATTCGAATCTAGAGTGGAATTTCGAGTCAGAACAACGGACGGATCCAAGAAGGATGAGACAGAGAAGGGGGTGGGGTGGGTAGACGAAGTTCATACCATGATTAGAGCAAAGGCGACGAGCAGCGCCCAAGTCAGCTTTTTGCGCGAGAGATATTCCGGTCCGGATGGCCTTCAGCATCTAGCCTTCTATAAAATGATACAGTCATGACGCTGAAAGCAATGATGAATAGGGCTTGAACGCCCACTCCGACCACGTAGACCTTTTGGCCGGCGCTGACGATAGCCTTGCCACCTTCGTCTTGGTTGGAAAGCAGAGAACCTCCGACGCCTTGCACAAGGAAGGAAAAGATATCGAGCCAAACGAAGATCTTGGTCAGGACGGAGGCCTTGATGCCGTATACTTGCTGGCTAGGGAGCATGTAATGTATGAGTCGAGCCACGGTCATGTAGAGAAATGCATTGACCCCTACGTGTTAACTTAGGCGTTAGTTTGGTCACTCAACTTGGCAGCGTGCATGTCAAATGAAGCCCTTGACTTGGCGCTCGAGGCTACTTACATAGCGGGGCCAAGAGAAGTAAAAGCGTGCCCAGTACGACCAAGGCAAGCTGCTGTTGGTTGTGGGCAGCCACAGCTCTGAGGATGAAGGCGCCAGCTTCCCACAGGCACCCCATGAGCAGGACCCAACAGTACCTCTAGGTTTAGGTCAGTCAGTGTTAGCCAAGAGAAACGAGTGCGAACTCGGTGGTTTCGTTCTTTCTTCTTCACCCCCTCCACGTCTCCGAGGTATGGCGAGACATACCTTTTTATAGACGGCGGCCTGAATGATGTGGATGATTGCACTCAAGCCGAGGAGCACGGCGAAGGCGATGTTGGCGGCAAAATTGGGTTCAAACAAGTGATAGCTGTTGCATGCATCGATGGGAACAGCGCCGTACTTTCCAGGAACTGCCGTGGTGCAGGTTGGCGACGATGTCGTTGATGTGCCCGTGGCACTATCTGCCACGGTGGGAGAAGGGGTGGCCATCGGGCTGGCTTGGCTGGAAGTGAGGATGCTTGGATGGCAAGGAAGTCGACGTAAATGTATAAGAGATCAAGACCAAGTGAGCCCTTTCAAAGCACCGTGTGGAATAGTTGCGGATGGAATATCAAGACGAGGAGAGATTCGAAATGAGAAGAGGGATTCCGCTCGATACAAATACTTCTCGCCTCGAAGCCGACTGGTGTCGGGCCGCTGCCGGCCCCTGGAGCGGATGGGTAAGCGCATTCTTGACCGTGAGCAAGAACGGCTGCCACACTCTTACTCCCGAATGGCTCTAAATCCTGCGTAGGGCAGGGATGTATGAGATGGCTTGGGCTTCCAGAAGCCCTTCGGATGGTTACAGGATGGATGACCCGAGGCTCTGGCGCCGCGTAAGCTCTCAGCGTATCGCGAGGGATCGTCCCGAAAAGACAGTGGGAATGGGCCACGCGTGGTGATGGCGCAACTGGAGGCTGATACGGCAGGGGCTCGGTGCGCAAGCCTGAGATCCGGGGGACTACGAAGTCAAGGTTTCGGTTCAGGCCGAGTCACGCCCGCTCTTTGGGCAAGCCGGAATGGTTGCCCTCCATGTACCGATGCACGTCGATAAGATTTTGAGTTGGGAGGGGACCAATCAATTTTCGGAGCACATGGGTAGATCTATTTCTATCAGGAACTAGCTATCTGGGGTTGCGAATAACCTTTCTGTGGGTATCTACACCTTCAACTTATTCATTGTTCTTGGAGGGCCGTCTGCTCCCTGGAGAGACTGTCTCGACCATATCCTTACCTGGGGGTTTCCCATCTTGGTTTTTTGTTCAATTTCCAACTCTTTCGTCAACATAAATTCATATCATTGTTATTTTTCTAATTAGTGTATTGGTAGCTGGGGAGAAATAATAATAACAATAAAAGATAAGAAAGTAAGGCCACTCAAGTCTGTGCAGCCACGCTCGCGGGATGGATGTCGTTCCCATCGGATCCCGCCGCGTCATTCTCCCACCCGGACCAGGGAGTTTTTCGCGGCGGAGCGGGGCGCAGTCTCAAATGCCCAACGCGGTGACGGTGGCTTCTTGCGTAAATTTGTCAGCCACGCCAGGGCCTCGCAGTTTACCTCAGTAGAATTGGCCTATTGACCAATTGACCAATCCTGTCGAGTTTCGTTGGTCGTGAGGTGAAGTTGAAGCTGGGGCCGCGTTATTCCTCCTTCCTTGCTGATGCCAACAGATAGCCAGAGCTTCCTCGTCATATCACCCTCACCTCTGGTAGATAAATCTACATGTACGCTACATCTTGACGCACATGTATTATAAATGCTATATGCCGTATTCGTGGTGCAGATACAATAGCTATCGTCACTTTCTAAAAATGGAAGCCGCGAGGCTAGCGTGTCATCGATGGCAAAGCCTTTCGGAATCCCACCAATGTCACCACAAGCATCAAATATTTCTTCACTTTGACATCCTCCATCCTCTGTCTCCCATGTATGAAGTATTTTATAAAGATGATACAGGAAAATATATCTACCATCCACCAGCCATCGTTTGCACATGCTCACCGGCTCTTGGACGCTAGTTCTCTTCAACTCCCATCCCGTTTCATTCTTCTTTCCCCCTCTCCCCTTTTGGAGCCCAGTTGACGCGTGGACATCTATTGATGCTTACCACCCCCAGACCTCTTCGGTCAGGACCCGTAACCGAAGGAAAAAAAAATTGGGACGAGTAAAGTGAGCCCGGCTCGAGGTGTAGTCGGACTGGACGATATTGTATCTGGAGATCACTCATCTCGACAAACTAGACCCTCCTTGGAGACACGAGAGGATGAGATCATTATCAAATTCTCGCCGCGTTTGGCGAGCAGTGGATTCATCAATTCAAAGACGGCTTAGCTTTGCGCCTATCGACTCGATCCCTGTTCTGATCAATTAGTTACAGGGTCTAATCTAGACCCACCATGGACAAGGAACGCCACCATGTTAATTCGAGCTCCTCCTGCTTGGGGGAGATCCTCCTGGTCCTGTACTAATAGTACATGTCATATAACCCTTGGATATCCATAATTTAGTCCTCGCGGCCCCCGAAGCCCGCGATCTCAATCAAACAAGTCGCTCGCCAGTTCAGAAAACCCCGAGATTTTTGAGTCTGTCTCCCTACCAACAGAGAATCGTGTCCTAATGCCTCGCGGCGCTTTTCCTTCAAGACAAGCAAAATACCTCACAAACAGGGACACAGAATAGGACTTCGACCGTCTTCATTATCTGTGCCGCCTTGAACCGGCGAGGCGAGGAGGGAACCCCTCGTATCAGCTTGGTCGTCGAAACCGACCCTGCATTTTGCAAATTGCGTTCCCCACGTCGTTGGTGGAGGGTAATACAATCGATCGGTGTACATCCATCCATTGTGAATATTGAAGACGACACTACAACAAGACAAGGCTTGCGGTACGCCCTCGATCTTGCCTTGATTCTGAGGTAATGCTGGTAATAGATCCATTGGATCTATCTCATGCCTTCTTCATACTCCTAGTCTTCGTCTTTCTTAGCTTTGGAAGGCAGAGAGGAGTGCAGGCAGGATCAATGACCCGTGCCTACAGCACCTTCTGATCTCTCTCGCTCCCGTCCCTTTTTTTTTTTTTTTTGGTTTCTCTTGATTGATTTGTCGATGATTAAACCTTCGTTTTCATGGGAGGGTGGGTGTTTAATGGACCTGTGTACCTCGGACCACATTTCAACACCACACGGGCCACTAATATCTGACATGCGGCTAACAGGCTCTGTCCCATCAAATTGAAGCGTCTTTGGCCATCTACAGCCGCCCGAAATTCCAATGTGCCCCACGAATCCTCGGTTGATTCGAGGGCGAGGGTTAAGAGCTTCGAGACAGTCGACTACACTAGACTGGCCGAAGATGTATTTAGCGACGCAAGACGAGGCAGCATTAGCCACCGACCACCGACCCGCTGCACGACTCGTGGTCTGGGCACTTTTAGACAGACCAATCAAGGAGGCAGATCCGCTCGGTTTGGCAACTCAATCGCCCATCTTCTCCTATCTTTCCGAGAACTGGGCAATCGCAGAACTTGCCTCCGCAGACCGTAGATGTGACCATCTCTTCGCTTGACATTGACCACTCGGAGAGCCATCCTGAATGTTCAATCGATTCATTTTTTTCTTCCTTTCGTCGCTTGCCCTCACTCGTCTCGTAGCGTCAGAGATAAGATGAGAGATGAGGGCGCACTCGCCGCTGAAGCCAGTGCAGCTAGGGTCCGGTGAGCCTAGCCAGGCGCCAATGTTTCAATCTCCGACTACCTCCCGGGGGCGGGGCTGGAGCTTGGTGGGGGAAGGAGGTACTCGATGCTAGAGTATCTTTAAATGCCACTGTACGCTGGGCTCATCGCATGCAAATGCATACCTCGTGAACAAAATAATACCAGCCCCAGCCCCAGGTCGCCAGGTTGGGAGGGGCAAGCTCCCCCATGCCAGGCGATAGCGTAATTCCGCCCGCGGTCAATGTGTATGTAGCCTGCACATACATGCACAATGATCAACGAAGCTTGAGCACTAGTGTCGACGACACTTTCATGCCTCAAAACAATGTACCTCGATTTCTTTTCCTGCCACCCACTCTCCACCTGGTCATATATTCTCGTTTCACTCTTCCCCGCTCCTCTTCTTGGAGGCAATCCTCCTCTCCCGAATCCCCAACTCTTCTTCTCCTACCTTTTCTTCTCCCCAAGCCCCCTCGTGGATTGAAGCCGTCGTCGATTCACGGCGCCACCGAGTTTGACGCGTTCAGGGTCCAGCAACCATCCATTGAACCTTGGCTCCGCCCTTCCTCGACAGCTCCGACCACTAATAGCCAGCCGCCATGCCCATCCGCGTCAAGCTAAAGAAGGTGCCCAAGCCTCGCGAGCCCTCTCCTGGGCCATCGAACTATGTTTACGTCGACCTTCCCGAAATCCGCGAAGGCGATAGCTTCCGCGATGTTATCAAGGCTCTCTCTCGGTTAGTGCACATCGTTCCCCAAACCCGTCCTCCTTCGCCCTCTTTCTGCCCTTATCTATTGCTATTAGAATGCGGTAGCTGACCTGTGCTCGGCTGGTGACCTCAAGATATTTCACTGCCGTCATCACCTTGCCGCACACCCTTGAGCAGCTGAGGACCTCTGCTGCCGGCAGCGAACTTCGCTCGCTGGTTGATCATTTGGCCTTGAATTGTTCGAACCCGACCATTGTCAACGCCTTGCTGTACGTTTTTTACTGTTTTTTCCCTCTCTTTCTTTTTTTCTTCTATTCTTTTTCTACTTTTTCACATTTCCCCTCTCCCTTTCCCCTAACACTTTGCTTGGTCTCTTTTGTCCGCGTCTACGCCGAGACTATCCCTGAATCACCACGGGCCGTCTCAATTCACTCCTTCCATGGCACTCGAGGTGGGAGGGTCCGGAAGAGGTTTAGGAGGAGCTTTGGGACAACAGCCTCTCCAATGGTGGGGTCCGTACCGCTGTGCTCCCTCTTGGCAGGGATCTTGAAGACCTGCCAACCCCACTCCACCCCAACTAGTTGACCCATCAGCGATCCCTCAATTGGATTCATCCATTGATTCTGATTGCTCGAGAGCCTGCTGCAAGTTCAGCGATGCTCGATCTGATGACCGCCACCTGCATGCACTTTCGCGTTCCACTCTGTGTAAAGAAAAGAACAGGCGGCAACCCCACCTTCCCATCTAGACGAGCATGATGATGATCTCAAGCTCCCCCGCCCTCTCATGCCTACGACCAAGCTTCATTCAATCTAACGAAATCTCAAACAGAGCCTTGAAATGGCATTATGGAGCGGATGGTAAAACTCGCGACCTCAGCACCGCGCGTGCCTACGCCTGCGAGATCGTCGCTTGGCGATTCCTCTCCCGTCTCTCAGAGCGTGAAGCCGTTGACTACTGCCTCTACGAGATTCCCGAGCTTGACCTACCCGATCCCATACCGGAGACAATCCAGGAAGAGTTCAGCTTCGAGCACTCTCCCCTCCTGCCCCATTCCAATGGCTCTCATGGCAGGCGTACGATGACCACCACGGTCAGCTCCGTCAAGCGGGGCCAGCTTCTCCAGTCCCTGTCGCGCTTGACAGCTAGCTTCAACATCGAGGAGGGCCAGGAAGAGGAAGAGGAGGACCCAACCGCCCCTTTCCGCGGCCTCAATGCCCTTGAGATCGCCGCCATCTCCAACTCGAAGCAGTTCCTCGCCCAGGGCGTCGTCCAAAAGATCCTCACCGCCATCTGGAACGGAGACATCGTCTTCTGGGACCAGCTCTCCGTCTACGCCACCAAGAAGCCCCGCTACTACAACCCTGCCACCGCCGATCCCTTCTGCCGCTTGCGTGTCCCCAAGTACCTCAAGATTTGGGAAATCTTCTTTTTCCTCATGTTCATGGCCCTGTACTACACTGTTCTTGTGGAACGTGACATCGAAGTCATCACCGGCACAGAGTACATTCTCTACATCTTGCTCGGCGCCTTCCTCTACGATGAGATTAGCGCCTGGAGGGATGCGGGTTCCATTTTCTACACGTCAGACATATGGAATCTGTTCGACATGATTATGATTATCCTCGGTATCACCTTTGCTGTCCTGAGTAAGTCCCCTGATCCCCCATTATCTGGGCCTTGCCCTACTGTGCAAGCGGGTCGACATGAACTGCACCCCTTTCCGGCCGTGCACGCGTGTGTGCGGAAGATGCTAACGTATGCCTGCGCAGAAAACATCGGCATCTACACGCACACACCAGAAGCTGTCGAAGTCGCCTTTGATATCTTTGCTCTTGAAGCCCTCTTTATGGTCCCTAGAATTTGCTCTTTCCTCAGCCTAAGTCCTTACTGGGGCACGCTCATTCCTTGCTTCAAGGAAATGGCCAAGGATTTTGTCAAGTTTATGATTTTGGTCATCATCGTCTATTGCGGTTTCCTGACCACCTTCTCGCTTATCGGCCGAAATTCCTTTACGTTTTCTCGCATGACCATGATCCTCACCAAGATCTTTTTCGGCTCTAGCGGAACGGGTATTGAAATTATGGACGACATCGACCCCGTCTTCGGCCCGCCTCTTATGCTCCTCTTCATCTGCCTCAGTTCGTTTTTGCTGACTGGCTCCCTCACCGGTATGCTGTCCAACAGCTTCTCCCGCGTCATCACCCAGGCCAGAGAAGAGTACCTCTTCGTCTACAGCATCTACGTCCTCGAGGCGTCAACTAGCAACCGCCTGACCCACTTCCTCCCTCCATTCAACCTCGTCTCCTTCTTCATCTTCCGTCCTCTACGCTTCTTTTTCCATTCGGAGACCAAGTTCCGCGCAGGTCGCATCGCACTGCTCAAGATCACCCACGCACCCGTCGTCGGCGCCATCATGTTGTACGAGTCTCTTCGCCGCAGGAACGCGCAGGACGAGTTTGCCGGCTTCAAGGGTCCTAGCTTCAACCAGGAGGATACCCTCCGACCCAGCCACGGCCAGGGTTCGACCGGAGATGGCAAATCAGTAGAAGTGACCGAAGCCAAGGAAGAAAACAGTGGGGAAGCCTCGTGCTGAGCCAGATGGAGTCGCGGGTCAATGACATGGCGAGCAAGATTGATCGCCTCACATTGATAATCCTCAACATGCAGGAGAAGGAAGACGAGTACCGTCAGCAACTGCAACGGGAGAAGGAAGAGAGAGAAAAGAGGGAAGCAAAGGAGAAGGAAGAAAGAGAACAGAAGGAAGCGAAGGAGAAGGAAGAGAGAGAAAAGAGGGAAGCGAAGGAGAAGGAAGAAAGAGAACAGAGTGAGGCTAAGGAAAAGGAGGAAAAGGAGACAAAGGAAAGAGAGGAAAAGGAAAGGAAGGCGAAGAAGGAGCAGCAAGATCGAGAGGAGAAGGAGAAGAAGGAACAAGAAGAACGAGAAGCAAGGGAGAAGAAGGAACAAGAGGAAAAGGCAGAGAAGGAGAGGAAGGAGCAGCAGGAGAAAGAGGAGAAGCAGAAGAAGGAACAAGAAGAGAGGGAGGCAAAGGTGAAGAAGGAGCAGGAGGAGAAGGAGAAGAGGGAGCAAGAGGAGAAGAAGAAGAGGGAGCAAGAGGAGAAGGAGAAGAAGGAGCAAGAGGAAAAGGAAAAGCGGGAACAGGAGGAAAAGGAGAAGCGGGAACAGGAGGAGCAGGCGAAGAAGGAGCAGGAGGCAAAGGAGGACGATGACCAAAAGCCCTCAGACGAGTAAGGGCGCCCAACCTTTATGGCGTCTGCGAGATCGCACTCAACTTTACCAGAGTGCTGCAAGACCTTCTGATCCCATTCCCCACGCCACTGACGCCAATACGATTATGCCCGACATGTACGATCGCCGCGAACCACGGAGCCTTATGCCTTGACTGAAGTTGTTGTTTCTGTTCTTTTTCATTGGTTTTTCTTTGCCTTGTCTACCTGGCCCTATCCTTCACCTAGTTTGACCATATAAATACCGCCCGCATAGCCAGCATAATCATACACTTCTCCGTTTGATGTTTCCAAACTCATAGCCTCAAAGTCCCACTTCTTAAGAATGAAAGCTAGCGGAATACGTTCTCGCGACAGTAGATATGGCGGAGAATATCTCATGTAGACCAAATGCTATTGTGACTCAAGTCTCCGGCGTGGGCTCTCTGCCAATGTATTTTTCCAAAAGGCAAAAACTTCGCGGTGCCAGACCCGCGAGTTTTCGTGGCCTAGCACCCAATGTCCCTCGTCTTCGAATGTCAAAAACCGAGAAGCAACACCATGGGCTTTGAGAGCGCGGAAGGCAGCAAGTCCGTCAGCAAGGGGCACCGCCAGTCGCGCTGGCTATGAATGAAGAGAGTGGGTGGGGCGTCAACCCACCGAGCCAGCCGGTCTGGTCGGGCAGGGTTCCACTGGTCGATGAGCTCGGCAGTAACGGGCCCCCAAGGGAGCGGGGGCGCCGAATTGCGAGGGGCCGAGATGGTAATCGGACGCGAGCATTAGGCTGTTGAGGTTGAGGATGCCGTCGTGCCAGATGGCGCACCGGAACTATCGCGGAACACGAGGCTGTTAGACATCGGAAAATCTAGGATGGCCTGCGGAGTGACTTGGCCCTAGAGGCGTAAAGGGGTTCTCTCTCACCTTCTTCGCTAAGTCAGTGCCAAAGATCCAGCTTAGCATGTACCCGCCGTAGCTAGCGCCTGCAAGGGCACCACGAGTCATATCCAAGTAAGGAAGGTCTTCAAGATGCTGGACGAGATTGACAAGATCCTCGTACGGAGCACCACCCCATTGGCCGTCAATTCCTAGAAATTTGATGCATTGTCAGGCTCAACTTTCAACCGATACATGTTGATGTGGCCTGTGCCTCTTCAAGCTGAGGGATCTGGCAATCGCGGGGACTGGCTTACTCTGGGTGAACTTGAGACCGTATCCTACGCTGCCTGCAATATCGGGGCAGACAACAACGTATCCTTGTTGCGCCCAGAGGGCCATATTCCACTAATAGAACCCAGACATTGGTTAGAGATCAGATGGGCGACCCTTGAAAAAAAAACCGAAGCCAAAATCAAGTCGACAAAAGATATCTCTTGGCGAGGGTGAACATACCCGCGTACTCCATCCATCTGTCCATGATGATACGGGGCCCCCATGAGGCATCAGCACCCAAGGATACCTCTTTTCTTGATCAAAATCACTCGGGCGAACAATGAAGGCATGGACACACTCATTGTCCGCTCCTTCATACCAGATCTCAGTAACCATGGATCGTGTGAGCCCAAAACGGGAGCCATGTCTAGTAAATGATGAGATGACGATGGGATCGCCGTCCTCCTGCACCCTAGTATCAATAACTTGCCATAAACTACTGTCAATGAGGTTCGTGCTCGACACAAGAAGCTGGTCCCAATTTCCTGAACCAGCGGGTAGTGCGCAGTCACAGAGCCGCTACCTAAAATGGTCTCTGGAAGGGCGCCGGGTTGAAGGGCGAGGATTTGCAGCGCAACATGGCCGAAGGCGGGAACGGTTAAGAGAAGCGCGTCCCCGTCCCTAGCAAATTCAAAAGACCGCGGAGGCAGAAGGGGTTCTCGTTGGGTGATGGACCGAAATACGTCCTCGGCGGCTAGGGCATCTACATGACCGATGAAGATGCGGACGTCGACGTCCTTGTCGTACGAGGTGTAGGCAAAGGCGGCTAGGGCGCCGTCCGGGGATAGCCTGACGTTGGAAAACTTACCGGTGGCGGGACCGTCACCGATGGAGAACTGCAGGGGGTAGGAGGTGGCCGGAGAGGCGAAGGATGGAACGGCAGCATAGTAGACGCAGGTAGTGCCCCATTCTCGGAACTCGGTTTCGGCGCTGAGAGAAGTGGCGTTGAAGAGAATGCCGTGGTCGCCGATATCGTAGTGGTCGCGGACATCGGCTACATCATAGACGCCTGAGATCTCGAGGCTTGTGTGTTGTAGAATGTTGTTTAGGCCTGCTTCCATCTTCCATTTGCTGTCGTGCCTCGCCATCTGAGAGTACCAGAGCGAATACTTTTGCTCCCTTGTGACGGTATTCCACTAGTAACCGTCCGCCAAACTTTCAGTTAGAACCACTTGATCGCAGTACGTAGGTGTAATCAATCAACCCTGCCATCTGCGCGAAAGCAGACATAGGCAAGAAAAACTAGATCTGTTTACTTACTACCCAGACCCTCGGCGTGTCGAAGACTCGTGCGGTGCTCTTCTTTTCCTGCGCTACGTCGTTGTACAATTTTCCATCCGGGCCCACGAGTCCAGCAATGGCGACGGCAATGGTCCCGTCATTTAGAGCCTTCAACTTTAGTCCCTTTACGGGCGCGTCAAACTCGGCGACGGTGTGCCTCGTGTCGTCGGGAGACTTTGCGTCGAGGACCACGAGCCGGGTGAGACCCGTGTCCAGCTTTTGAAGGTAGGCGACCTCGGCGTCGGTCCCGGGAACCCACAGGGCGTCGAACACGTCGCTGTCGGTAGAGAGAACCTCTGAACGACCGGATGCGAGCTCCATCGTCTTGAGTTCCTTGCGGTCCTTCGCATCGTCAAAATTGTACGTAGATAGGGTATAAAGAGCGAGGGAGCCATCCTGGTTCGGCACGGCGGGGCTACGGCGTGGGGCGCCGAGCATGGCCTCCGGGGTGAATTTCTCGGAAAGACGCATCCTTTCTAAGCTAACCTTGGAAGGCTAAGAAAAGGAGGAACGGGAAAGAAAGAATGGGAAGAAGAAAAATGGCTGGAAGTGTCTCGCCCTTGGTGCAATTCATGGACGATTCGATACAGGCCACCAACCGCCAATGCAATTGTTCTTGGGCGAGGAGGAGAACTAGGGGAGGAGGAGGGGGAGATAGAACCGTCTTTGAAGTATCAAGGTTGGGGCTCGAGAACCGCAGCACGGCTATGGTGCAATAGTCAGCAGTGCTAGATCCAATCTCAAACCACTTTTTGCCAACCACAGGCTCAACTAGGAGAGGAGGCGAGAAGACAGGAAAGGAAGGTATCAACGGGCAAGATTTCATTCATTTGCATTGGGTTTGGGCTTGCGAAGGTGTTGGCGGTGCTCGTATTCCCCAGCTTGTCCGCGCGGACGCAATTGCTGACGCAAGCAGCTCTGACCATGTAATAGTAGATTGATGGTGCAAGCGTGGACGAGCCTGAAATCCTGGTGCCTATTGATCAAATGGGTCTAATGGGTGTCTACACAGTACCAGCTCATCAATCCCAGAGCGATTAACAGGTGAGACAGGACACTGTTTTCCCCCTGGGTCCTGAATTATTGAAGTGTGGCGACATTAGAGTCCCGCGCCACTCTGCTTGGCAAGGGGGAAGAAGGGGACAGGAAAACCCTCTGTATATGAAGATAAAATGCGAAACTATCAATTCAAAAGTAGTAAGAGTAGGGAGCTGAGTCGGCATAAACCCCGACATGTCCATAATCAACATGATTACTTGTCACGTCTTTGTCCGGGCATGCACTCCGCGGTGCCTCTCACTGCACTTGATACACTTGCCCTAGACCTCTAAATCACGTCGGCTAGCAAGGTTTCTTGAGACTATGCCCCTGTGAAGGCGTCTATGTTCTATTAGAGAAACCCCTGCTCTCTAAGGACTCTCATTATCTGCTCGGTGTCCTGAGCCTCCGGGTTCGGCAGAGGAATGATGTCCCCAGTGTTGATGTGGTTCTTCCAATACTTCAGGCCTTCGGCGCCCTCCTCTCGGCAGAGAGCCCCCTTCTCTTCTGCCATCTCAAGCTCCTCCTCTGCCACTCCAAGACTCCACCCAAAACGCTGAGCGGCCTCCTGTGCTGTGATCCCCACTCCAAACTGATGCCAATCCCATGGAACCTCCTTCTCTGGGGGAAATTCATGAAGATCTTGTAGCCACGTGAGAATGGCCGCGACGATGCTCTCGTCAGTGCGATCATGACCTTGCACCACCATAACCCCGCTCTTGAAAGTCCTCAGCCGTACTGGTAGCTTTAGCGTTTCCCATAGCCTTGCAGCCTTCTCAAAGTCCTTGGGGCTGACGAGCTCAACCCCGCCCCTCGCCCTGTTGAAGGTGGCCCAGAGGTCTACGAGGCTCACCACCCCGCCCGCCTTCTTGAGAACCCCGCGGGAGTCGTCCGTCAGGAACTCCGCAAGGTTGCGGGCCAGTTCAGAGAGGTAGAGGGACTCAGAGCTGCTTCCGCCCCCAACAATATCCTTTGTGGTCACCAAGCCAAGCTGGTTGACCAATGCGCTAGCCTCGAGCGCCGCGCTACCTCCTATCCCGTTGACCTGTCGAGCAAATTGCTCTGCTAGCGCCACGATCTCTTTCGCGGATGCCATCAGGGACTCGAGGTCCTCAAACGCATCTCCGATCACAAGCTCGTTGTTTCTTCGCATGGCCAAGCCTCGTTGTTCGAGTGCTGCGATTCCGGCTGCTTTCGTGGTGTTCCTCGCGTCACTAGCAATTCCGGCCGAGCCCGACGGGCTAAGCTCTTCATCGCCTCGGCCACCCTTAGGGATGGCTGGCGCACCGTGCAGAAGCCACTTCCTCTGAGTCATGGAGCCCTTCAGACGCTCATAAAAGATCTTGTCCCCGCCGCCCCGGAACGAGATCTTGATACTGTTAAGGGTATCCGTCTTAGATGGGCCGGTACTTGAAACTGGTCCCGGAGACTCTGTTCTTGTTACGTCTGGCCGTAACGGGGAAGCAGAAGGCTGCTGGGAGACAAGTGAAGCCCCGCACATTTCGCAGGAGAGGAGGGAAGGATGATTTAGAAAAGTGCAACGAGGACATTGGAAGGATGCACTGGTGTCAGTGGTGGCGGATTTCGTAGCGGGCTGCGTAGCCCTCGGGCTAGTTGTTTCTCCCGCTAATCCCGTAGTAGACGAAGATGATATGGGCGGGAGAGCTGGTCCCGCGCCGTTCGCCGCAGGGGATGCCGTGGCCCTGTTGTTCGCATTCGAGATTGCCGCCTTGAGCACATGCGTAAGACTAGGCTTGATGCCACATGCTAGGCAAGGAGGCAACGGACTATTCGCCGTAGCTGTAGTAGGGTCGAAGTTCGAGGGAACCGGGTTCGAGAAACTGCAGATGACGCATACCCAAGTGGCCGCGGTCACCGGAACCTGCTCCGGTTGCTGGGTCCTAGGGCTACCTACTCGTCGGCCTAGTGACCCGGGGCTGTTCAAGGGAGCATTGCCGCGCTTCGGTGGCTTCGGTACAAGCGTGACTTTGGGCGAAGATTTGAGGAACCTAGCCTACGAGTGGAGTTTACTGTTAACTCAAAAGACGGCACCTGGAACAAGTCAAGCTCGGGGTGGGCGACGTTTGCCAAGGAGATCTGCCAACGGAGGGACGGGGGCCGAGATAAGGGAGAGAGTAGGGCTAGGGAGGGCATCGATTCTTACGTATGACTCGTAGCGCTCAACATCCTTGAGCTCAAGCGCGACGGAATACTTGCGCGGTTCATTTTTGTCCACGTAGCATACCCGATGCGACGTCAAGTAGACTTGGCCATTCTGATGGTTGGGGAGTTTATACTTGCTAGGGCATCACCAGCTGTTAGCGCATAGCTTGGAAACGGCCACGGATGGTGCATACCCCTCATAAAGGCCGACATTGTCCTGAACGAAGAGGAGGACTTCGTCAGGAAGGTAGGACGGGCGAAGCGCAGTCGTGAGGTCTATGGTCTTAAGAAACATCCGTCACATTTAACTTGGAGATAGGTCGCTAGATCTCTGTTGGCTTGAAGACAAGCTAATGATTTGCTTTATTTTTCTCTTGAATGAGGGTCGGGGTCGCAATATCTACGCTGGGGCTGCCAATCTACCATGACCCCCACCCGCAGGTTGACGTAGTTCGTCGTGAGCCAGTGACCACTTCCGAGAAGTCTGATGAAGCTTCGCATGAAGGCCGTACCTGACAGCTGGTTACATGTGGTGGAGAGCTGGCATCAACCCACAGAGAGGTAAACTCCGCAAACGAAGCTACCCCATGAATACTTTGATATGAAGTCTCGTATAGATTATATACAGGTAGTATTCTTCCCTTTACTATTTTGTTTTGGTTTTAATTCTTAATTTCTTATTTTATTTCTCCTTTTTCTTATCCTTTGGAGCACGAAACTCGTTGAACTTGTTCGTGGAGTGAGGAGGCAAGGGAGGGTTTGCAGGCTTTATTATGTCAGCAGAAGACAGGTCATGTGCACCGTGGTTTGAAGTCATCAATGTCTCCGACGCCCATCAAATTGACCAAATTCCTCTCACAATCAATCACCAACTACCAAGACATTCAGCCCAACGGCAGGAACGCTGTCGCTCTCTTCTCTTGATATTTCTTCTCACCTCCCCTTCGCCGGTCGTAAAGCAAGTGACTCGTAGCCTTTTCTCCGAATACTAATCCCCTAGTTCCTCTCACCAGGGCCACACAGCAATCACGACAATGATGCCTGGATGGCAGGCAGTTTCCCCCAAGCGGGCGGACACCCTTCAGCAACCACCGCAACCACGACCCTAAACTACGCCTATCAAGCTAGTAAGTCTCCTCTAGCCAGCCCGTCGCCATCGGCACCTTGCTGTTGCATCTCATCAGGCAGCATGCTGACTACTGCTCCAGAACCCGCGTATATTCCCGTTCAAGTCCAACACGGTTTCTCACAGCACACCCCCAACCTCGGGTGGCATATGGATATGTTTCCTCCATCGCAGCTGGCGCAAAACCCGCAAACTGCTACTATACAAGCCCCTGTTACCCCCTCGAGTACACAAGCCCCAGCTCAGCAGCAAAAATTGACTGGCCCGACTCAGTTCGCTCCTATGTTCAAAGAACCTTTTTGAGAGAAATCATGACCCAACTATTCCAAAGGCGGATGTCGAAGCCAAATTGAAGGACGTGATCACGCAAGCCAAGGACAGCGGGCAGCTCTACAGTACAGACTGGGAGAACATGCCCCTTCCTCAGGCTTTAATAAAAGAGCAAAGGAACATGGGGCTCAGGCCGCACACGGGTATTGTATCCCCATCCGTGGCCGTCCCGGCTCTCTACCCTCTCAACTCATCGTCAGCCTCGTCTTCTAAGAAGCGCAAGTCAACGGATACGCTTGTAGACGAGAATCGCTCTTCACCCACTCCCCATGGCGGTCTACTAACCAGTCTCGAAATACCCTTGAGGATCGTATCTCATTCCGGCCTGCTGAAAAACGCCCAGGCCTTGATGAGCCGCTTGCAAAATCTAGTAAGTTCCAAAAACAACAAGAGAAGCGCCTCCGGCGCTTCGAGGGCGGTTACAAGTCAACCTACCGAAGCCCGAGCCCCCACCTTCAGACGGTCCTGTGGTAGGAACCTGCCAGGATTTGGAAAAAGGTACCTCCGCCTCACGGCTCCGCCCGTCGCATCGAAGGTGCGCCCTGAAGATATCCTGCGTCAAACCCTGGACCTTTTGAAGAAGAAATGGAGGAAGGAAAGCAACTACTCGTATATCTGCGACCAGTTCAAGTCCATGCGCCAGGACCTGACCGTACAGCGAATCAAAAATGAGTTCACCGTCTCGGTATACGAAATTCACGCCCGGATAGCCTTGGAAAAGGGGGATCTTGGTGAGTTTAATCAGTGCCAAACCCAGCTGAGGTGGCTATATCAGCTTGGCCTGAAAGGAAATCCCACCGAGTTCAAGGCATATCGTATCTTGTATTTCATCCACACCGCGAATCTTACCGGCCTCGTCGAGGCCATTGCAGATCTAACCCCAGCAGAGAAAAAGGAAGTACCCATCAAGCATGCCCTTGACGTTCGTTCTGCTCTTGTCTTGGGAAATTACCACAAATTTTTCCAGCTTTACCTAGACACTCCAAATATGGGAGCATATCTCATGGATATGTTCGTAGTACGAGAACGTCTTGCTGCCTTGTGCAATATCTGCCGATCGTACGTTTATCCCAAGTCCCCTCCCACACACTCAGTAACCTGAAGCTAACCATTTCTCGCCTTTCAGATATAAGCCTGACGTGAAGCTAAGATTCATCACCGAAGAGTTGGGATTCGAATCCGATGCAGATGCTGCCCAGTTTATTGTTGACAATCACGGCCAGCACCTTCTCGAAGAGCGTGATGACTCAATCGTCTTCCTCTCCGGAAAGGCTGGAGCGCTCTTCGAAGGCTCGAAAGCCGCCGCTTTCAAAAGAGTAGACATCAAGGGCCAGATATAGGGACCCGAAACCTGCTACACTTATTCCGCCCCTCGCACTGCCGACACCCCTCGTCATTGCCTTCACCCCTTCCCTTCCCCGACTCTCTTGCACATTCGTATACTCTAGCTTTGACGCAACCACCTTATCTCAAGTGTGGGAAAGAAGCAGCCGATGGCACCTTGGTGTCATCCGTTCTGGACCGACGATGGCTTTCAAAAGCAACCGGCTAGCATCGACTTGACCCGTCGGGTTTTGGCTGTATGCTGAGAGGCGACCTTGCTCTCAACCTGCTCACCTCCGTAGCCCCGTCTTTCTGCTTCGTTTCGACTGTGATTCTGACGGCCTGGCGATCGTTTCTTCTTTTCTACTTTCTTCGCCCTTTTACTTCTCTTTATCTTAAAAACCCTTGCGTTGTTTCCCTTTCCACCCGCGTTCGACGGTTGCCAGCCTGGATCAACGCGGGACTTCGCTGATAATCCTTCCCGGTTGAGCGCCCCTTAATATACACTGTGCTAGCTTTGAGCGAGCTTGGTGATTGGCGCCTTTCGTCGCAAAGATGCATGGCTTCCTGTCTCTAACAGGATATTCCGGTCTCGGTGCCAGGGGGAGGGACGCTGCTATTTATTTATCTCTTGTCAGACAGCTCTCAACATGATGTTGTTGGGATGCGAATTGGATCTGAACTGGCGTTTTTGTGGTTTCTGAAGGACCTAGGCGCCATTGGTTCGGCGTTCAAGGCTGCCATGGAGAATGCATCAATGGATGGTTTTGTAGACCTCATTAGATCATATCTCTGCGCACCTGGGGCAAAAGTTTGTCCTGTCTATGCCTGTATTTTAGGCTCTCGATAATTATTGAACTTCACGTTACATTCTAGCCTTCCCCTCGCGTGGTATGAGCCTACAACTTGCGTTTTGTGTCCTACCTGTGATCCATTCTAAGCCGCATTGATGGCAAGGAACGGGAGGTGGTGGGTACTCTTTGCAAGGCTGGAGAGTTCCTAGCCCGGTTCCGGCGGGAAGCACCACTGCATGTAGTCGAGTCTACCCGTGTGCCTGTTTTTAAACATGCCGGGCTCGCCGGTTTGGCTTCGTGTGAGATGTTTGGAGTACCGCATAAAATGGTATCCGTCACCCTCCTCTTCGAGGAATAGTATAGAAGCATGATGGAAGCTTGGGGTCTTGAAATGCACAGGTTTTTGCATAACGGTGTTCACGTCAGGTATTTGATTCGAAAGACCAAAGCCAGCGTCGCTTCATCGAGGACTTTGGCCCTTGTAAACTAAACGAGGGTATTCATAAGCGCGGACAGCAGGGAGGGTAGTTGAAGTTTCAGATTGCCCTGCTCGCCGGGACGGAATGGGCGGGATCCGACGTGAATGGGGCAGGTGTCCAACATTTATTGGGCACGACCTTGACAGGATTTGGGATTTGGAATGTTTTGGAAGAACCCAAGTTCCATCATCGATGCATTATCCGGCATTTGCATTGCATTCTCCATTTGTTCAACACCCCAACACGCATGGAAGTACAAAGAACAAGATGTGCATAGGAGATGAGCCTCTGAACTGCTCTCGAAAAGAGAGGCTAGAATCCTTGAGAAAAATGCGCCCGGTATATCTAATGTTCCTCAACAGCTTTTCTTGAATCTCGCTGAGCGGCGTCTCCGTGTTCATCAGCAACCTCTTCGGGTGGCTAAAGTCAAACATGTACAACAACTACAGCAGCTGCGAGCTCGAGACTCAACCGAGAGGATGAGGGGCGCCTCAGTCAGTGGAGAAGATGGGATGGATGTACTGTTTATGGCTCTTACTCCGCTGGTGCAGGTTATTGATGGGGGCCGAGGCGAAGAAGGTGGGTGACGGTTTTTTCCCCCTGTCCATGGAAGGAATCGAAGCCATCGAGCATACTTGCTTCCATACCCCTGGGCGCTATTTGGCTGTCTTCATCCCTTGGGGTGCGCCTTGGACCAGGGTTTAAAGTGGCTCTGTGCCAGTGTGCTGATGGAAAATCAAGGGTTCACAGGGATTTCGAAACTCGGGAATGGGGCCTGGGGGACGGCAGGCGCTGCTTGGCTGGCCGAGCCCTGGTCCGTTAGCAGCGGATTTCCCACTCCCGTGGACAGTGCTTCCCTGTGCTCCATTGTGATGGCGACGTCAGAATCGATGAGCGAGCCAATTGACGGGTTAAGCTAGGCCAGTGAGAAGCCTTTAGCGGCTCATCGATGAATTGATGGATCCCTTCTACAATTCAGATTGATCGGCAGCACTAGAGGTGGCGGAAGCACGAGTACGCTATATCTATCGCATTCAATGTTCTCAGTGATAAACAGACTTGACAGAATGGGTTGTTCAATGCCACAGTGACAATGTTGGCCAGCCTCAACAGGCCCCACCCTCGGATTGAGGTGGTACAGTGACCCACGAACGATCAATGCGGTCCAAGCAACAGCAACGAACTGTCAGGATCTCGTTGTGAAAGGGCCACCACTATCAAACCGTGTTGATCTAAATCGTATGGAATGTATGAACGCATGCTACTCACAAGTTGTAGCTATTCTCGGCCCTTTGAGCAGTCCATACTATCCCTTGGTCACTGTTATTCTCGCCACCCTCGTCTTGGTGATGAACGACAGCTAAGCCGCCTTTCGTTGACGCGAGTTTGAGAAATTCATTTATGCGGGACTAGATCTATGTCTTTGCTTGCTTGTTCGGCGCATTGGGTTCGACCTTCCCTCAGGTAAGAACAGGAGAAGAGCCGCGGAACGCAAGCAGGACGACGGGGAAACAACGAGCCACACAACTTCCAGAAGACAGAATCTTCAACTCTCGTTCCTGTCCCTGTCCCTGTCTCCGTCAGACTCGAGATCGACAGCCACTAGCTCTAGAACCTTCCCGGCGCGTTGAAGTGGTCGAGGCCGCCCGATCTAATCTACTATACTAGAAATTTCTCCGAACACCAAGTTTGATGCTCGCGGATGCCGGATAATTTTCACAAAAGCCCGGCAAGGCCACATCCTCGCGGAGATTGTCAAAACGCTTAACAATGGACGCCGTCATTTCAGGTTTTACCTCGAGCTTCGGGAAAGAAGGCATCGCTAAATCTAGAGATAGAGGCCCAGGGGCTGCGAATGCGCAACTTGGAGGCATGCCCAAACGTGTGCTTCAGAGCGTCCAACGAGGAGTTGTGATCGCATGCCACAGAGTTTCGAGCAAGAAGCCATCTGTTGATGATGTGATGATTCTCTTTTATTTTTCTTTTATTTTTTTCTTTTATTTTTATTTTTATTTAACCTTTTCCTTTTGGGGGCTTCTTGTCTTAGCCCTCTCCCTTATTTGTATTTGGGGGCAGCCGCAGCCTTCGACGCCCAGAGTTCAATCAATCAACAGTCGAAGAAGCCGATCCATTCATACGGTTTGATTCTGGATGAAATTGAGGGGCCGTCCTTGAATTGAACATCAATGGAAAGAAGAAGGAGGGAGGGGTTCCATCAAGGCGCCAGCGATTGCTAGCGTACCAAACCCACCTAATAAAACATCCACTAATACAAAAACAGGACCGCTTACCCACCGCTGGCGAGGCAGGATCTCGTTGGTCGGGACGCAACAATTGCTCAAGTGAACCTAGCCGGCGAGCCTATCGATTAGCGAAAGTGATGGCTAGGGTGGCACTAGGCGCTGATGGAGGGAGGGAGGAAAAAGAGTTGGGAGGCAAGGAGGGCATTGCATTGACTCAGCGGTGCCATGGTTTTCCGGATCGACGAGGTATTATTGCATGGATTGATTCATCGTGCGCAAACATGCATCGGCGCGAGATGTCCATCCGAAGTCACAGATAAATGCACCTTTTCCAATGCTAACTGAGCTGAATCTGACGCAGTTCCCTGCCCCCACCAAATATGAGTCTGCTATCTCACCCTATCCTGGAATCGCGTTGTCGTAGTCAACTTGACCCAACACTTTGGAAAAGCAAAGGGTGCAGTAGAACATAGCCTCAGCGTGCAAGCAAGAGTGCCTAGCCGGTTAGCGAGGAGCAGACTTGGTTTCTCCCTTCCCTTTCGCCTTTTCTATCCATGATGCTTGACACCTCCATCTCCAGCTTTGGCGCCTAGAAACGACTTGACGTTTTGTGCAGCCTTTCTAAGCGTACTGGAGTGGCGACGACCTCAGGCATTCCATGGTGCCGCGAAGAACCAGAAAAAAATGAAGGAGAAAAATGAAAGAAAAACTGACTGCCCCAGCCATTATGTTTTCGCGAATCGCAAATCTAGGCCTAAGTAGGTCAATGGAGAGTACCCCGAGGTGAGAATTGATATCAAATATTGTGCGCTCAACGTCTGCTCGATGCGTCGTGCACGTGGAAATGTAGTGCGCGGGCTCCGAGCTAAAATGGCGGATGGCGATATCCATAGATCCATCAGTGGGTCAAGTTCATGGGCTGGGGTTCGATATCCTTCATGGACAGATCCATGGGTGAGTGGGGTGGGATGGGTTGGATGGGTTGGATGGCTCAAGCGGATTCAAGTGGATGTCCGGTATCCCTGGTACCTAATCATGCTGCACCGTCTCGAGCCGCGTCCGCTTGGGCTAAGCACAGGCCACTTCAGACAACATGAACATTGGACTGAGAGAACATTTGAACTTGAAGGGGTGGAATGCTACGAGCCTAGGCCTGGACGGCTTCTCCGCCCTGCCTTGTACCCCTACACGCTTTCAACGTACCTCTGCCCCTCCCAGAGATGTTGTTTCCCAAAACGGCCCTCTCTGCCCCCTCCCACTGCCTAGGAATACCTAGGAATATGGAGAGGTATTGGGGGGATTGCTCAGATTCCTCTGAGCCTGCTTCAATGTTCTAATACCAGCGGCGATCAATCGATTGATGGGTTCCCTCACTCGCCAACGCTTTTCCACCACACGGGTCTCACTTCTCTCCTGTCCTTCCGACATGCAGGATCCATCCCCTAGCCTCTCTCTCTCTTGTTCCACCAGCGCCCAACGAGAGCCGCCGCCCGCGCCCGCCTCCCCTCCCCCAATCCACACCACAAAGTCCACCTTGACCCATGTCCCAGAGGAGACGACCGATCGATACTTGCATCCACACCAAACCCGCCAAAACGAAATCATTCGGACGTTCCAGTGCCCTGGCCCCAAAGTACCGTGTACCCTTTGGCTTTCGAATTGATATCATTGATCGCCTTCGCATCACCAGCACCCGCACCTGCCCCAGCTTCGTCCTGCACTAACCGTGACTCCCGCGAGCCTATGGAAAGGAAAGGGTAGACCCCATCGGCTTGACTGGTCCTTGCATTTGCTTGCCCCATCAACCTGCGCTGTCCCTGGTCTGGTCCCGTCCCTCTTCTATCTACCCACATCCATCAATCCAACTATTCTTCCCATCATCCCGTCCCAGGTCGGCCTCTCTCTCCACAAAACGCATTTTGCGCTCCTCAGTATCGCGTGATTTTCTACACAGCGAGTCCCATACTTCTATCTTTGAGGTCGTGGTCTCCTCACCTGCTCGAACCTGCAGTATCTTGCCTTCCTCGACTTGCGAGATTAATTTCGGCTGCCGCACCGTCCCACCCTCGATATCTCGACCTACCCTAGCCTCTTCGAAAAATCGTCGCTGAAAAAGCATTTACGCTACTCCCTCCAACTCAATAAAACCCACGAATCACCTGCGCATCAGTGCCCCAAGATCCAGTGTCCAACTCCCGACTTTAAAAGTTTTCAGTAGACGGCGACACCATTTTCATCATTAATTTGCCCTTCGATACGTCGTTAAACTCCAGCCGACCCTGTCCTTTTCCCCTCACCCCGCCGGTATCTCCACCCGCCCCCTCTATCCCGTGACAATAGCTCGCGGCTTCGCAAGATCGAGAGCAAGGACACGATAGGTTTTCCCACTTACCCACAGCCTCGTCTACAATTTGTAGCCCGTTGATCACTTCGCGCGTTTGTTCGCTTCAATCTGTTGATCCGCAATCTTGACGTTGCGACAGGCTTTGGGCTCAATACCATAGCCTAGGCTCCTTGTTCGTGTGGTCGTTCCTTTTCTTTTTCTTTCACTTTGCTGGGGGAAGGCGACCACAACAGTCTCCTCCGGGCACGCATTCGCTTTTCGGAAAGAGCCGGCCCTTGTCGAGAATCGTTGGTACGGCTGAAAGAGGCCATCCGCTTAGCCCCTACTACATTGCGGCTCTCATTGTGCGCAGGCAAAGATGAAGGTCGGTCAAGGGTCCCTGCTGGATACAAGACGTCCATGTCCTACACCCCTATCCAAGACCCAGAGAGCTAACTAGGACCACCGGATCAGGCCTTGAGGAGATCTATCAAGGGGAGAAGGATAAACCCCAAGTATCCATTACTCCCAAGTCCGCTGTAGCGATTGTCCCTCCCAAAAGGTTTGTGAACCCAATACTAGCCCTTCCCTCACTGGAGACGTGCTTGAGAACAACTCCCACCATACACCAAATATTAGCGTGTACCCGTCAAACTAACCGTTGCTCTTGCCCTGTGCCTAGGTAATCCGGGCGCTCTATGACTATAGTGCACGGACTGAGCAAGAGTTGAGCTTTTCGAGGGGAGACTTCTTCCACGTCATCGGCCGAGAAAACGATACGGAATGGTACGAAGCCTGTAACCCAGCGCTCCCAGATGCCCGCGGCCTTGTCCCTGTCGCTTTCTTTCAGGCACTTGGCCGAACCGAGCGGGAGAGTGCAGACGGCGGCAAGCCTGCCACCCCCAAGGAACACGACTCCGGATATTCAGAAAGCGGCGCGGCGGCAATGGCAGCGGCTGCCGGCATGACGAGTCCGCCCATCTCACAGAGCCAGCGAAGCTCCAAGTCCGGTGGGAAGTCTGGAGCCATGGTTTACGGCATCGTTCTATACGACTTCCAGGCCGAGCGAGCAGACGAGCTTGAGGCCAAGGCAGGAGAGGCCATCATCGTCATTGCCCAGTCCAACCCTGAATGGTTTGTAGCGAAGCCTATTGGAAGACTAGGCGGCCCGGGACTCATCCCTGTATCATTTGTGGAGATTCGAGATATGTCGACAAACACCGCCGTTCCTAACCCTAACGATGCAGTCAAAAGGGCCGGTATACCCAAGGTCGAGGAGTGGAAGAAGATGACGGCAGAATACAAGAATAGCAGCATCACTCTTGGAAAGTTCGAAGTGGGTGGTGGCCCCAACCAAGGCCTTGAGCAAGGCATGGACCGCCTCAGTCTTCAACAGCAAGCGCAACCTCAGCAACAGTACGCGCAGCCTCAACAGGCGTCTCTCATGAGCCCGCAAAATGGTTCATACGTAAGCCTTAGCCCCCTCCCCATCTCACCCTAGTTCGCTGGGTCATCTAACCTTGAAGATAGCCTGCCCAGCCGATGCCTTCTCCCGGATTCCCGCAGCAGGCGAACGGGATGCAACAAGGAGGAGCCTACCCGACGAGTATGTATGGGTTCAAGAGCGCCTCGCAGCTCTACGCTCCGATATCTGCCCATATTCCGAAATACTGCTTCGCGGATGAAAAGTATTGGTTCGTTATCGAAGCAGAGCTGGAAAATGGGCAAAGATGGGAGCTATCTCGCTACTACGAAGACTTTTACGACTTCCAGATCGCCCTGTTGACTGAATTCCCGGTCGAAGCGGGCAATACCACGGCTCAGAACCGAACATTGCCCTACATGCCCGGACCCGTAAATTACGTCACCGACCAGATTACCCAGGGCAGACTACGGAATCTGGACGAATACGTCAAGAATCTGCTCGCACAGCCGGCCCATATCTCGAGGTGCAACCTTGTAAAGCAGTTCTTCGCCCCTCGAGAAGGCGACTTCGAGGTGGAGCCTACACCCGTCGAAGAGGACTACCGCCTCTCGGGGAATTCCGGTCCCTCTTCGAACGGCGTTCCCGGCGACGGTGGCTCGCGTGATAATCTCAATGGGAATCCCTACGGCGCGGCGTCAGCCATGCCTCGTCAAGCAGGGGGCAGTGGGCTCAATGGCCAGCCAGGTAAGGCTATTACTATCCGTTTCACCATTCCCCTGACATGCTCTAATCATTGTTCCGATACTCTAGCTATGGGCCAGGTGGCATCATCTATGAAGGTCAAGTTCCACTTCAACGGTGAACTCTTTGCCATCCGCGTTCCGAACGAGATCTCCTTTCAGCAACTTTACGACAAGATTTGCGAGCGGCTTCGAATCGCGCCGGGCGAAGAACTCCAGCTCTTCTACAAAGATGAGGCCACAAGCGACAAGCCTAGCCTTTTGAGTGATAATGATTTGAACAGGGCGCTCCAGCGCAACGAGAAGCTTTTCCTCTTCGCGGAGATTGTATAAAAATGCGGCGCGACACAACTCCACGATCCCCAACATGGAACACCCTAGTGGCGGCCCCACGTCGATCTTATTATATTCGTCCCCTTTCCTAGCAAACCTGCTAGCTCGGCTTTGAGGGCGCGTAGTCTGCTAGCTTATGGATGCGCGGCAGAGATCCCCTATGCTACCACTCGACCTTTTCTATCTTCTTCCTTCTAGCATTGCTACTAGCAGTGTCCTTAAGTCATAGATGGGTGCCCGCCGTTGCCCGTGACAAGACACCGCTACAGGGGTTTTGCTCCTCCAGTTCTCGACCATGTTATGAAGAATGATGATTTATTTTGATGATGGGACACGGCCGGCTGTGAGAAGAAAGCTGAACAATGCGACTTGCCCAAGCATCGCTACAAACGAACCCTATCACCAAAATCTAAAGTAAAATACCCCCTTTATGCATTTTTCCCCGGTCCCCGGCTTTCTTTCTCTTGGTTCCTTCAATCTTGGTCCCTCCTTTTTCTCTTTATTCTTCTTCTTCCTCTCTTCTTCTTCTACTCCTCTTTTTTCTTTTCTATTCTGCTTCAAATTTCATCTATACCAATCTTCTCTTTTTTTCCTCTTCTCTTCTTCCTCTGCCATCCACGATCCGTGGTGCATTCCGCCGATTGTTTGCGAAAGCGCCTTGTGCGTGCATACCATCATCCGCGGTGCCACTTCCGGGATTAGGCTTTGCGGCCTTCCTGTGCGTGTGCTATCGTGTCAAGCCTCACTAGTTTTTCTGATGTATGATTGACTTGAGGGCCTACCCTCAAATCCTTTTGTGTCCTGTGCCTGGAGGAGATCACATATAGATATAGACCTTTCGACAGTACGACGAAGATGTCATATTACTGTTGCTTTCTACGTCTATTTCTGATCTTCTGTTCATTCGACGTCCCTTGCGGCGCCCGTTTTCAAATGATTTCCTTGCTTATCTTCTTGGTGGAAGGGGGAGTTGGTACTTAGGGTAGGAGAGGATGGGTTGCTGGGTCATGTACGGCTTTGCTTACATTGATATACTCTGTGTTTGGACAAGGGCGTTTAGGAGAGTTCAGAATGCTTCCGGCTGGTAGTTAAAATGGACACTTCTTCTTTTTACACCTGTGCGAATGCTGCGAATGCTAAAGTGGGAGGCGTGCCAAAAAGGCAAACCTTAACCTCGATCCCGAAGTGCGGCGTACTGTTGCTCACAGAACTGATGTAGTGTGGTGGGTGTATACACGCGGTCACCGAACAGAGTGTAGGAGAGAAAGGGACGTGATTCGGTCATTGTTTCTGCACACATGCGCGCGCACCTTCACCCCTAATGCTACTACATATTAAACTGCTTTGGAAAGGCCGAAGGCCGCTTCGGCCTCAACAATTCTCCTCCCAAACCTAGCCAACCCAACCTCCGAGGAGAAAACATTGATGATGAATGGTATACGCGAAACCAAAACCTGAACCGGAGAAGCCGTAGACAGAGAGAACAAGATGGGTCAAGGAAAATAATATATGCGGAGGAGCTTTGACAAGGGAAGCCGGAAGCGACAGACGGGCTCGAAGAAGGCAAAGCCAACCGGGAAAGGTGGGACAACGCGTATATCCTCGACGAGTCTGGCAGGGCAAAGAAGAATCGGGCAAAAACGGTCGATCGAGGTGAAGAAGGGGCACAAGAAGAAGGCTGTCAAGGAAAAAGAAACTAAGAAAAGAAAATGGAGACGGGCATGGCAGATGGAGAAAGAAAAGCCCTCGGAGTATGTCGTACAAACAACCCTTGCCAAGACCATGCGTGATCATACACTCGGCGCGCCCTTTGCGGACACATGTTTTCGAATCCTTCCCCCTCGACAAAAAAAAAAGGAAGAAACGAGGCGGGGAAAAGAAGCGAAAAGGAAAAAGGGGGAAAGGGAAAACACCGCCGTTTTCTTGTGCATCTTTCGATGTCATATGAGGAATTAAGACCAAACCAAGACGCCGCCGTAGACATTATTTCTAATAAGTAGCCGAAGACAAGAAAAGACACGGAAAGAAATCAAGGGAACGCGGACAAGGATGTCTAGGGATATTGTGGCAGCGTCATCGCGTCACTGCCGTCCCTAGGAAGAACCGAGCAAGATGAGGGAGGATGGCCGAGAAGGCCATGGGGTACGTATATGTGAGAAGTGGTGTGCTTTCGAAGGGAAGAGCGAAGGCTGCCCTCGGAGAAGGCACGAAGTGGTGGTTATGCGGGCTAGAGCTGGGGATAAATAGTCCACACTATCCACATGGATGGTGAATTTTCAGGACGATTGCTTCTTCGCTCCCTCCACTTCGAAGCCGAAGGGTGGTAAGGCTTCCATATTTGGCGTTCCTCTCTAAACGACGACGTGCGTTGAGAGATGCTCAACGGCTTCCTTAATAGTCCGCAGCATCCTCTGGTTCACGCAAAAGGGGCATAACACGGGCCTATCGTAGTTAGACACGGGCGCAGCGGAGCTAATGGGTTTGAGATTCAGATCCTCGTCGGCATTCGAGATTCTGGAGCTACTCTGGCGCGTCGGGGTGTTGATGGCGACTCCTGATTGACCCAGTTGCTCAGCGCGTTCCCGCTCCTGGCGAACGGAGGCGGCGCTGGCCTCGGCCTCGGCCTCCTCTTGCTGAAGCTGCCGTAGCGCGTTTTGGAGCACAACCTCGGGGTCGTCTTCGTTGTCGGCGTAGAGCTGAGAGTCGATCGGCGGTTGGTGCACAGGCTCGCCAGCACTGGCAGCCACCGCCGCCGCCGCCTGGCTAGCAACAATCGCGGCAGCGCCGCTATACGGGGCAGGGGTAGATTGGCGGCGGACGATCTCGTCGCGCACAAGGGCGCAGGTGTTGAGGAGGGTTCAACACCAACCACCCGGACAATCTGCTCCCTCATCGCGGCAGGGCTCGTATCGGCGACGATGGGCATGAACCGGGGTACGCATTCGGCAAGATAATCGATATCCTCGGCCGGGTTCTCGACATCACCGTGGCGGCGCTGGCGGCGGACCAAGAGGCCGTATCGCTTCTTGAATCTGTGAATCCAGCCAGGGGAGAACTCGGGGGCTGTTCGTCCTTGTACCGGGGAGCGCGGCAAAGATGCTCTTGGCTTTTCGGCCAATTCTTCGTTTGTAGGGTGGCGACCGCTAGCAAGGCCGCGCTGGTACCATAACAGTACAAGCCGTTCTACGTCGGGCCAATTGCCAAAGCGTAATCGGGATCCGCTGAGCTGAGGGTTATCGCCGTCGAGTCTCGAGTATTTCGGCGACAAGCTGTGGGAAACGGTGGATTGGCTAATGACTTGGCCGTACTCGCGCTGGAACCACTCGATGCAAGCCCGGTGGCTCGGGCGCGTCTGTTGCGTGTTTGCCCATCGCCGAAGAGCGCGTCGCTGATCGAGTGTCAAGGAATGGCGCTCCCGGGGGTAGAGGAGCGGGCTGGCCGCGCGGGAGCTGAAGTGGGTGTAGAGACGGCGGGTGGAGCTGGGGTATGCGCGGGCGAGGTTTCCGCGACAGGCGGAGGCGAGGTCGCAAGACCATTCGCCATCACATGGTCGGTATCGGCCATGGCGATGGATGTGGTGTTGATGGAAAAATTGTCGTGGTGCAGGGGGCGGCGGCAAAGGCCCAGTTGGCAAAGGCCAAGCCCAAAAGTCGGTAGGTCGAGGCTTGCCTTGCGAGCGCAGGTGAAGCTAGTCGAAAAGAAAATACTGGCCAACGCGATAATGCTAGTGATGGGATAATATGGACCTATTATCCGAGGGGTAAAATCTTGGGGGTGCGTTCGTGGTGATGCAATTGATGGAGTGGCCAAAGAAGCGAAATCGTTGTATCCGGAGAACCAAAGAGCGGTAGAATTTGGGGGAGGGTGGAAACTTGGTTGAGGTGAGAAGCGGAAGCGAAAATCGAGGTGGCGGGGCGGTGAGATTATTCGTGTTACAAAGGTTTTTTCTTTCTTTTTCCCTCTGCCTCCTTCAGCGACTTGTTGTGGTGCCTTGTTTCCAGGGCTGAGGCCACAGTCCGCACTGTGGACTCTTGAGAAAGCAGGGAGGGAAGGCAGGTGGTGGAAGAACGCGAGCTCTGTGGCGCTTTCCCCGGAGCAAAACAGAGCTAGCAGCAGGTTACATTGGGTGCAAAGTCATCCGATGGACCTCAATATTTCAACCCCCTTCTTGGCTTTCCTTCTTCCGCCTGTTCCACTGGGAGGTCAGGAAGGGATTGGCAAGGTGCTATAAGGATAGAAAACAGATTTGAAGGGAAAGGAGAAGGACGAGTCGAGGCGAGGAAGAGGGGGAAGAACAAAAAGAGAGAGAGAGGGAGAAAAAAGAAAAGAATGGGAGGGAGGATAGGATAGGAATAGGAGGGAGGAAAGAGTCAAGAGAAAACAGAGGACTAGGCGAGGTCTAAAGGCATCGAGGTCAAGGGTCTCGCGTGCAAAACTTGGTGTCAACAGGTTCAGATGCTGGAAAGCTCGAGGAACTCGGGTCCAGCTGCACCGTAGCACAGGTGGCCTTTTAATAGGAGAATAAATTCTTGTGATAAATGGAGCCAACATGGCGCTTGGTTTATATAGCATTAGATGCGCGAACAACAAAGAACCACTGTTTGATGGTCGTTTCAATCACCTATGACAGGCGCTCACCAAGTAAGGGCGGGGGATAAGGTTCCAGCCTTGACGATTCGCGTTAACCGAGGAGAGAACAGGAGCATGAGGAGGATTGATATATTCCGTGGTGGCTCACTCACCACTGCTCAGCAACTCCCTCAGTCACCCCTAGTGTAGGCGCCGGTAATGATCCGCACTTGAAGCCACCCAAGCCAGTCCTGTTAGCCAGAAAGGGACTGTCGAGCAGGGATAGGACGGGTCCTGCAAACCAATTTTGGCAAAACAAGGAAACTTGTCCCGGCAGCAACCACACCAATATGGGTTGATCTGCTGGGGCTGCAAAGGGTTCAGATATACAAGGGCACAGCTGCCGCTGCTGAAATCTAGATTAATGACTGACAGCGGGAGATGCAAGGGAAAAAGGAAAAAGAACAGAAGTGGAAGCAAAGTCGAGCGATCCGAGCATGCGGTAAAATATAATAAACACCACCTGTAACCAGATAAGCCCCCAGCCCAAATCGTCAATGCATGATTGATGTAGCCCAAGAGACCGAAAAAAATACTAAACAAGAGAAAGATATTTTTATGAAAGGAGAGAGAAAATGTGGAATCGGCGCCGTTGGCGAGACAAGTCCCGTAAGTGTGGGAGGAGTTTTGCGGTCTTGATGCCGGCTATGGTCTGTTTTCAGACCGACATCTTCATAGCGATACTCTTGTGGGGGTCATAGCCTTTACAACAAAGTCCTCGGCCAGCCAGCCATCGATGCTCCCGCCCTTCTCACGTTTAATTTCCAGCGTTGGGAAGTCACGAGGCTCGCGTTCTAGCTGGGACTTGAGCGCGTCAACATGGTCGAGGTAGACGTGAGCATCGCCCAGAACATGGGTAAGAGACCCAGGGACGAGGTCACAGACGTGCGCGATCATATGCGTGAGCAAGGCATAGCTGGCAATGTTGAAGGGGACGCCAAGACCCATATCGCAGGATCTCTGGTATAGCTGGCAATGGAGGTGGCCCTTTGGCCGTGCATTTCCACTATCCTGCCCATCTGCGGCGGGCGCCTCGGTCTTGCTGCGAGGAAAGGAAACGTAAAACTGGGCAAACATGTGGCAGGGGGCAGGGCCATCTTCTTCAGATCTGCAACGTTCCAGGCGGACAGGATAATGCGTCGGTCGTAGGGATTCGTCCGGAGTTTATGGATAACCTCGACGAGCTGGTCAACGCCCTTGTTCGTATAATCCGTCTTTGAGTCCACGTACTCGGCGCCAAAGTGTCGCCACTGAAAGCCGTACACGGGACCGAGGTCGCCCACCTCGCGGTGGGATAGCCCGACGTTGTCGAGAAACTCCCGGGAGCCGTTTCCGTCCCAGATTTTCACGCCCTTTTCGCTGAGCGCAATCGACGATGTGTTGCCCTCGATAAACCAGAGCAACTCGGCCACGACAGCCTTGAGGAAGACTCGCTTTGTGGTGAGGAGGGGTAAGACGGGCTCGCCATCGCGGTTGAGGGAGAATTTGAGGGGCGTGGGAGCAAAGATGGCGTAGGTGCCGGTTCCCGTCCTAAGCAAAGCAGAGAAGAAGAGCAGAGTCAGTTCAAGCTCGATTGCCGATCAAAACGGTGCTGCGCCCAGTTCTCTCTGTGGGCCATGTGATGCGCACTCCTTGGTCGTACATGTGCGATGCGCCGATGTTGCGATATGCGCCCGTCGTGCACCTCTCTCTCGCGACACATGGGAGCGCATGCAGGCCCGTTGGATGATCGCGTAGCTTCAGCGGAAACAAGGGTCTTTGTCTGCCTACCTGTCAGGACGGTGCTCTCCGTCGTCGAGGATGTCTCGCACCAGGTTGAGGTATTGATGCTCTTCGTGTTGCTTGGTATCGGAGGGGTTGTTTCTCCTGACCGAAACTTCGGCTTGGCTGAGCCCCTGTGGTTCGTTTGATGGCGACATCTGAACAATGCGACGATGTGCGGACAGGGGGATTTGTCTGGGATCAACCAATCTTGGAATCAAAGAAGACTTAAAGAAGGGCTTCTACGTTTCATAGAACCCTCGTCGATCAAGGGAACACGAGAGCTTTATTTTTCTTCTTTTTTTCTTTTCAGGCTTCTTTTCTCTTTCTTGTCTTCACGGGCAAACGAGGGAAGTGGGGAATGGAGGAAACGAGCCAAGATCAAGAGACAGGCCGACGAATTCACGAATTTCAGCAAGAGGGGCCTAGCCTCAAGTGCTCCGACGCGTCTGTGTCCCATTCCTTGACGCGCCGCCCCGCCTCTTTAACATTTGATGGATCCATTGGATCAAATCCCATTCATTCACTCTCCTCTCCATTCATCAATGTTTTCTCTTGTCTTTTCACCCCACCTTTCTTCAGCCACGACACAAAACTGGACTCGGAGGACAAACACCAGCTCGTCCATGTCATCAATACCCCTATTGATTAGCCCCTTCGTCGATGCTCTTTTTAATCCTGCTGCAAAGTGGGGAGAGCCATGTCCTCATCTGGACATTACTGAAACCTGATGCACCGCCTGCATTTCTCAGCGCTGATCAATTGAATCGAACATGAATCGACCAATTCGATCAGTCGTCAAGTAATACTAGCAAAGACGTAAATCGACGAGTCCCTGGTACCGCTGTGCAATCAAACATGTTCTTTTTCTTCTAACCAGCCACCCGTGAAAGCGTGCTACGAATCAACTACTTCGTACTTGTTCCTGTGCCATCGATTCAAAGAGATCAATTGATCTCCGTGAAAACATTGAATCCATTTATCCTCCTCTCTATTCACGCTACATGTATAGATTACATGTCGCTGCTGTCGTCGTTTCTTCGGATCATGTCATCTATTGCAGGGAGATAGATGGTGGATCAATCTGAAGGTGTGGGCAGAAGCGTACATGTAGGCTCTGGCTCTGGCTGTCTGCAGGCAGAATAGGCTACATCAACAATTGATCTATGGATATCGATTGTATCAATAGCACTACACCCCCGGCCCCTTCGCCGAGAAAAGAAGACAATATTACCCCCGCGGCACCGTTGTTCAACAATGTTGCCTTGCTCATCATCCCTTCATCTTAATATGATCTGAATCATCCCGTTGTCAGCAAGCTCGATTCCATACAGCGGGGCATGAATTTTAGCCGCTCGAGAGGGAGACCCGGGAACAAAGTTTGAAGATCTGTTGATGCGTCCAACCCATGTTCATGCAATCGTCCGAGGCTGGGTCTTTTTCTTCCTGATGAGCCTATCGCATCTCAACGCTCCTGCAAGGGGGATATCTTGGAGTGTACAGCAGTAGCTCACAGAAGCCTCGCATGATGAAGGCTAGGACGGAGGTAGGGCGATCCAAAGGCGAGGCGCAGCAGGCGCGAGCCTTGTCGTCTTGTCTTGTCTTGTCTCGCCTTTTGTTTCCTCCAAAGGATGGCAAACTAGACTCAACCATGGAACGGGTTGCTTTTTTGTTCTAGTGTCGTTTTCATGGGTGGGGAGGGACACTCGCTGCACCATGACTGAGCTCATAGTAGGCAAGGTAGGCAAGGTAGGCAAGAGCATAATAGGATGAGCGCAGATTGTTTGAAGAGCGTGGAGATGTTGGAAAACGATCGTACGGGCGTACGCCCGCTCCTCTCGCTTCTATATTAACTGCATCCCTGATTCGACCCAGCGTTGATGGAGGTGAGGGATGAGTTGAGGCTGATGAGACGTCAAAACTTTTGACGACGGGGTGATGGGCATAAGATGGACATGGGCGTCAAACAATTTTTGTCGGCCTAGATTGGTTGACGTGAGCAGCCAAGACAGCCTCGACCAGATGAAACGAGACGCTCGCAAGTGATCATCGTGGGCTTCAGATCTTGCTCCCCAGGTTTTGCCCGTCCTTGTTTCGCCCCCGACCCGTCACTCCGTCACTGGGCCTCTTTTCCGCCAACCCAGCCGCCATCCCGGCCTGCCTCTGTACCCCAAGCCTGCCCCCCTTTTTTATGGGCGCCAGTAACCTGCAGTGTTATCCTGGCCTATCGTGCCCTGCCCTGTCTTATTGACCCTGTCCTGTCCCATCCTATTGATCCTGCCCTGTCCCTGACACCGGCAAGAACCGATCGGTCCAACCCCCAGGAACGCCAAAACCTGCCAAAACCTTAATGCCTTGCCTTTTATTATCTGGCCCCTACTCCCTCCTCCCTACTCCCTACTCCCTGGGCAAAGCAGTGCCGCTTCAGCCGGCATTTCGTCCTGTCAAAGACTCGACGAAGCCTCCGATCCGCACAAATACCCGGCTGGACGTCTGGGTAAATCCAACGGCTATTTCCCAAGGCCCTCCAAAGGACGTCCGGATGGCTGTCCTCAAGCCTCAGCCCATGGAGAAGCCTATACAACTAGCGCAGTACCGTTGTCGGGTTGTCAGGCCCACGTAATCAGCACTTCTTCCCAAAATCCCGAACCTTCTTGATCTCTTTCGCCTCGTCACATCGGATGAAAGTCTCTCCTAATTTAGGCGGGAGCCGAAAAGCGAGTCGTTCATGCAGGTTGTGTTTCGAGCGAGTGAGGAAGGAGCGGGCATTCGCGGTTTGGCGGCACTGCTATATAAATCTCAATGTCCCAATTGATCAGACCTTGTATTACCTACCAACCCTGTGGCCATCGTTGATGCGTTTAGGCAGGGGCTGGAAACTAACGATATCTTCTCATAGAGGCATATCCATAGATACGTGTATATCGTGTATATCGCTAACTTGATGGAAATTATACTTGTCAACCATCCCATAATAATAATACAACCAGAGATCCCTTGACGGGGTTCTTGAGATCAGCCACAAGACACCCGCCACTCACAGGACTGAGGCGGCAAGCGGGCTATCCAGTTCGAATGGGTGTATGATTGCACTTTGGCCTGCGAGCCCCTTGCCAAGCTAGAACGATTGATGATAAAGAAAAATAATCCTAACGTCCGTAAAGTAACGCTCTGTTGACGGGCTTCTGCATTGATACTTTGGCTTTCTTCCTTGTAGAAGCGTGAGCTAATACTCGCTGTCGCCGTCACTACAGTGGGCAAAGGTCGAGAGGGTCACGCATGCTCCGTGCATTCTTCAAGTCCCACCACGGAACAAGCTCCAAATCAGCGTGCGCGGAGGAAGGGTGGATGGTGGGGGACGCCACTTACACGTCTGCATCCATAGTCAGTAGTCAACCTCAATTCGCGACTCGATAACACCACGCATACGCCTGCGATTCCGAAAAAATAAATATGAATCATTCCGAGAAGAAAGTAGCGGTGATTACCGGCTGCAGCAAGGGGGCATCGGCGATGCGCTCGCTCGAGAGTTCCATGACCGAGGGATACGGGTGCTCGCCACGGGCCGAAGCTTGCAAAAGCTATCTCACCTCCGGGACTTGGGGATCGAAGTGATCGAGCTTGATGTAGAATCAACCGAGTCCATCAGGGCAGCTGCCGAGACGGTCAACTCATTTACAGGCGGCAGACTTGATTTCCTCATCAACAATTCTGGGAGCGGTAGGTCACCTCACCTGGGCACGACGATGCTCTCGTCGCTCTCCGCACCCGAATATCTCATCTGGCACGCTCACCACTAACTTATCACTCTCCTCACTAGGCTACAACGCGACCGTTTTAGACACGGATGTGCAGCAGGCGAGAAAGATGTTTGACGTTAACGTGTTTGGCCTCCTTGAGGTCACCCAAGCTTTTGCTCCCCAGATCATTGCCGCCAAGGGTCAAATCATCAACATTGGTTCTCTTGCTGGCGTGATTCCTGTACCATACCAGGGACTGTATAACGCATCGAAGGCCGCAATTCACTCGTTGTCTGACACCCTTCGGGTGGAAATGGCACCATTTGGCGTCAAGGTCATTTGTGTCAGTCACTGCCCTTTGCCTTTACCCACAACACTGAAATCTCCGTCCGGTCGTTCTCGCATCGAAACTGACCCATGCTTTGTATTCTCTTGGGTACATGTAGGTTGTTACTGGAGGAGTGAGAACCAACTTCTCCCGCAATACCCCAGCGTACCATTTCCCAGAAGATTCCCTCTACAACACTGCTAGGGATATCCTCGAACCCGTCATGGCTGGTCGCAGCACCGACATGTTTCATAGTATGCGAATCACTCCAGCACCCCATAGTCGGATGCCTTTAACTGATAACTACTTGAATAGCGACGCCGGAGGAGTTCGCGAAGTACGTAGCCAAGAATTCGGTGAGGTGGTCGCCAAGCGCCCGAATCTGGCCAACCTTTGAGCCCCTTTTCGGATGGTTTGTTTCCAAGTTTCTCTGGCATACTATACTCGTGAGTCGTTCCACCCAAAATGATTCCTAATCCTCGTTATAATCTATTGTCGGCCATTAATGATACCCTAGGACGGGCCTATTTCTCGCCTCTTTGGTCTGAAGCAGGCAAAGCTGAAGCTAGGGCACATCGAGGCATAAAAGGGGCAGACCTGCGGCAGAGTCGGCATTCCCCGGCTCCTGAATATTACAGCTTCCAGAGCAGGACACACACCAGATAGTCCTGGCCAGAACGTATAGGACCCAATTGGTATCTCCGTATGCGATGTACTAGATGGTGTCATCGTAATGAATAGCTAGCAATGACACACCAATGTTACAAATTTCACGGGTTCTTTCATATCGCTGATATCTTTCACTGAACACCCTTCCTCCTAACGCCGTCACCTAGGCCGGGAGATCTGGAAAGGGGTGGCTTGGGATCCTGAGCGTGAATCTGTGGTTCCGGTAGGGAGACGAGGCGTGCCCTGCACGGATGCCTAGCGTGAGGATGTGGGAATGAGGGAAAAGGGAGCCTCAGGAAAGCGTTCCTTAATTTCGAGGCGAGCAAAGGCTCTGCTATACATGTCCGGGAAGTTCAACTGCGCATCCGGTCCCATTGTTGAAACTAAATTTAAGTTTGAGGGCCCCGGGAAGTGGCCATGGGCAAAGGTCCTGACTCATTAGAGGAAGTAGGGATTAAGCCGTGGACTGAGTGGTTGAACGTAAAACAAAGTTTCTAGACACGCCCTACAGTGCCGGTCATACGGCGTCATACAGCATCATATAGCAAAGAAACAAGAGCTGTCTACGGCGTAGAAGTGAGTGTGTTTGCGGGTGTTCACATTGGGGTTGGCGCTATGCGATGCGGAGGCGACACACGTCCCTCATCATACCGTTCGTTTCAATGATCAAGACTTGATCTGTATTGCAACAAGGCGGTGGAGCGCCTGGTCGTCATCTATATATACACTATGCCTGTGCCAAATCGCTTTATGCATGAGTCTTACGCCATGGAGATAGCCGAGTCCGCCACGAGACACTAGATACAGAGGGGTTGCAGAGCCTAGTGATGAGGCGCCGAGTTTGGATTATTCGAGACAGTTGAGTGGATCGGGGTCTGCGCCCTTTAGTGCTTCGCCGCCTTCTTCGAGTCTCCGTCCGCCTCGTTCAAGAATTTCCTAGGGTTCCATTAGCACCGCGGTTCCCGCAAAGGGGGAGAGGATCCGTCCGTCCAAAATAACGCACTTGATGAAGTTCTCCTCGTCGGAGCTGGAGGCATTGATGGGGGAGTAGTGGTCGACTTGGGCTTGTTGCCACCGCCCGAGGTAGCGGCATAGACACCGCCAAAGATGGTAGTAAGGGTGGCGATCGAGAGCTTCAAGTTACCCCAGAGTTAGCAAGAGAAGGATGGGATGCAGTCTCCGCGGGTCGCGGCGGGTTAGCGAAAAGTGGAGGCGTCGGAGTGAAACTCACCCAGTGGGAGCCGACCTGGCGACCGAGAACAGTGTACATCTGAACCATTTTGACGGTGAATTGAAGATTGGACCACGGGGGAAGAATTGGCTCGATTGAAAAGGATTTGATAGTCGTGTTCGCTGAGGGACAGACGGTCTTGTGTTTGCCAAAGCTCACGAAATCAAACTCGGTTAAACCAAAAAGTAGACACCTTGAACATCAGGAGAAAATTGAAACCGTTTAATCTTCGGCGAATATTCCGGTCTAAGCCATTTCTGGATGTAAGTGACATCAGCGCCCCGGCATTATCCGGCTCCTTGCCTTTGCTCACCCGGATTTCACGTCGAAAGACAAAGAACCTGGCTGTGAGCTTGTTCTTCTAATTCTTTGTTTTTTTTTTCTTTTCCCCTCTATACTTCTCTCCTAAAGGTGCCCTAAATATCCGAACAGTAGCTCCAAGACCAATATCTAGACAAGGCACCCTTCACCATGGGCTGGTGGAACTCAAAAACGACACCCACGCCCCCGGCGACAAAGGACGAGAAAGATGCGACCGTAGCGACAGCGTCGACCAACGCTCCCCAATCTCCCATACCTCCCTCCGCCAGCGATGCCACACACTCCTCGACTATTTCGGCGCAGGCCGAGAAGAAGTTCGACCACCTCATGGAGGATATCGCCGAGGGCCAGTGAGCAAAACCCTCCTCAAAATTAATTCCGCCCTCTCTAGGATTTCTAGAAGAACGAAAGTCTTACACACGGATCGTTGAACAGCACCGCGGACTCGACCGAAAGCAATATTCGCTATGCCGCCTACACCAACCGCATACGAACGGTTCTATCGTCGGCGCATCGCTATGTCGCGTACACCTCGGATATCGGCGAATCCTTCCGACCTGTCGCGCATCCGAATTTCGTGAGAGCCGCCTACGGAGTTTCGTGGCTCTACATATTGGGTGACGTTTCCTATGAAGGCTACAAGGCATACCTGCAAAACCAGCGCGTGCTCCGGGGTCTCGTTCCCGGAGACAAGCCTGGGGAGCTAAAAACAGGAGAACCAGGTGTGGTCACCCCTCTCCAGGACTATCGAACGGTCATGGTGCAGCGAGGTATCTTCCAAAGCCTCGCCAGCATGGGACTCCCGCCTTTACTATCCACTCGGTTGTCAAGTACTCCGGCAAGGCTATGAAGGGACTCAAGAACCAAAGACTCAGGGTTTGGGGCCCCATTGGCCTCGGACTGGGAGTTGTCCCCTTCCTGCCCTCCCTCTTTGATGAGCCTGTCGAAAACGCCGTAGAGTGGGCTTTCCACACGGGATTCAAAGCTTACGGAGGCCCCGGCTACGTCGGAACAGCCCCTACCACGGGCAGGGAAGACTTGTTAGGAAAGAAGCCTTCAAAAGAAAAAGAGTTATAATGAGGCGAGCGGAGGAAAAAAAGAAAAAAAGAGAAAAAAGATCTTTAAGAAGATGATGAACAATGTACCAAGACAATTCCGAAAAACTCTGCTTAATCCAATGCTGCAAATCAGCACAATTACAAATTACACCTAAATACAGAGCCTGAGTATTCACTGAGGCCACGCCAATTTTGGGCAGTGGCCAAGCGTATCGATCTCACATGAATACGATGGTGACGTGGAAGATTGTATGCGTCGGGTGTAAGCTGAGTGAGCGGCGGGTTTCGGTTTATTGAAATCCGCGGCTAGCGCAGCCTCGGGATTTTCAGGTTTCGCTGGTGCGTGGCGGACGTTCGGGGCCAGCAAGGAGAGAGGTGGGACGCCTTGCTCTCGTGTGAACCCTTCAATTGCGAGCCAGCACATTAGAGAGATACGCGGTGGCGCAGGTCCTGGAGTGCCCTGATAGCCTATCCCGAGTTTAGTACCTCGGTAACGAATCGCGAAGGGTGCTGGAAGCCCCCATCAACAACCCCAAACTACCCTGACGAATGGATTGATGGATCCATAAGAGGAGATGAAATTGATCTTGGATCAATCTAATGGATGTCCTTTGGGATTTGAAGAGGGCCGCACAACTTAAAGAAACCCCCTGCACCGGACTAACCATCTTAGGTGTCTGCGGGGCTAACCTAAAATACCCCTCCACTAACATTAAAAGTGCCACGCGTTGAACCCTTCAATGTTCTAATAACACAGTGTTGAACTTACTGAGAGGTCCATCCCGATGGTTCTGGAAAGACCTTTGGGGGTTGGTCAGCAATTCGGCTTGGCGATGCATTCCCAGGCACCTCGCGACACCTCAGCTGCAGCTCCACTCGCAAGGCTGTCGCCTCCCCGCCTCACCTATCTCCCTCTCCCTCTAACCCGACCGTGGTTTTTTGATTTCAAATTCGAAGCATAAATATCGATATATATTCTTCCGATACCGCCGTGCGCCTTCTTCGAAATCCGATGGCGTCCTCATCCAATCCCGTCTCCCAGGAGACTAGCTATCGCACAATGAACGACCAGGACGACGCAACCCTCACAGGGAAGCACTGCCAACTAGAATACTGCAACCAAATCGACTTCTTGCCATTCATATGCCAAAGTTGTAACAAAACCTTTTGTCAAGAGCATCGGATCGAAGATTCACACAAATGCACCAACCCCGGCGCTTGGGCGCGACGGCGGCGCGAAGCCGAGCTCGCCAAGGCAAGCATCGGTGAGGGAAAGCAGCTCCACTACCGGGTAGCAACGAAGCCTTGTGATTCACCATCTTGCTCGACCATGGTGGGCACGTCAAGGAACCCAGGAGTACACTGTCAAACTTGTCGGCGAGATTATTGTCACACCCATCGATTAAAAGAGGAGCACAACTGCAAGAATCTCATACCCATAGGGGCAAGGCCTGCTCTAGTACAAGTTGACGTTGCCGAGAGGACTAGGGGCGCCTTTGCAAAGCTCCGGGCGTGGGGCAGCTCTAAAAGGAAGAGATGGGCAGGGTGCTGCCCAAACCGAAACCCACATCGGCCGCTCAGCGGATAGTTGCCGTCAACACCCTCAAGAAGACGGCCAAAGGAGACGAGAAACTAGCTCTCGACAAGCGCGTATACATTTCCGTCGAAGCAGAGGCGGCGACGGCCAAGGCAAAGTTCCCCAAGGGCGCCTTCTTCTACAGCAAAGACTGGGTGATAGGGCGTGTTTTGGATGCAGCGGCTAAAAGCCTGCAGGTGGAAAACGTCAACAATCAGTCTTCAAGCGAGAATGACAAGCTCAGGGTGTTCCATGTAGAGGGCGGGCGGCTGTTAGAATTCAACGAGAAGGTCGGCACCGCCCTTGTTAGTGGCAACACGATTGTGTTGTTGAGAGGCGTAGGGCCACCACCGGATCTTATTGATCTCTAGAGATGGACTGCAGCAAAGGGGGATCCCAGGATAATCATGTTGGTCTGGAAGCCGGGATCTACGTGGTCAAGAAGTTCCATGACGGGAGCCGGCGATGGGAATAGATGCATTGAAGGTTAGCGGGGTGGGAGCTTTTGGTTTTATATATACATTTTGTAAGCCTACGAATTATGAAATTAGTTATCCGTGGCCTCATCATTCTGATGATCAGGATGATGACCTTTGCTGTTCCTCGAAGCCCAACTTTGAGTTGACCATCCATAGGTTGACGCCGATATAGCAAGGGTTCCACTAAAATTGAATCATTGATGTTTGTCACGTGTTACCGCGTTGTCTCTGGCAGGCTTCGTCCTGTTCCCCATATTTCGCAAGTCGCGAAGGCGTGGCGGTTGGGGTGAGCATTATGTCATTAAAAAGATGCGCATGCGACTGGTGTGAGAGATGACCCTCGACCACCGATTTTCCCGATAGGCTGGTGCAACTGAGCGTTTGATACTTGGCCAAATCCTCAGAAACCCGAAAATACCAATGGCACGATGCCTCCTAAGGCTTCGCGCAAAAGACAGCGTGCAGAGCCTCCCAAGGCATCCAGTGCGAGCCCCGCCGTTCCCGATCGCACAGGCGGCAGCAAGCTAACACCCCGAAAACGTACCCTCTTCGACGATCTCGATTCCGCGGGGACGCCAAGTGGCTCCACCGCCCAAATTTTCAATGATGATAGCAGCGGAGATGACGATTCTGAGCTTACCTCGTTGTCTGACATTGATTTCGAGGACGAGGCGTTGCCCTCAAAGAGACAGAGGACAGCGGGAGCTGAGAGTGAAGAGGAAGATGGTGATGATGATGACGACGACGAAGATATCGAGTTTGAGGATGTCCCAGTCCATCCCGGCCCCGTACCAGTTCCTTCAGGAGACCTTGAGCTGACATTGCGCCGCGATAACCGGATCTCCCTTACCGCCGCCTTTGGAAAAAGGGCCCCTCCAAAATTGAGCGAAAGATCCGGATGGCGACTCATTGCGTTCATGTCCTATTATTACTATGGCATAACGCCATCCGGAACTCTTGGATTTGCGACGAAGAGGTGCAAGCCATCATGATTTCCCACATACCGCCGCGGCTGTGGGATGAGGTTGATCGGTGGAGACGCAACAGCGGTCTCCAAAGAAGGCCCCAGAGTCAAGGAGCTCTGGAAAAGGGGCTTCCAGCTCTAGCGCTAGACCCAGCGAATGGGGGCCTAATACAAAAAGCTCGAGGAGGGGATCCCGGATACGAGTCACGGGGACCCAATATTTCGGTTGATGCAGTCTCTTGTCGGGTGGTGGAAACAACGCTTTCGCATTACCGCGCCCGGCATTCGGAAATGGGGCTACATGCCGCTTGAAAGGTTAGACAGGCTCACCAAAGCCTACCGCGCCGATCCCAGGGATGCCGCAAAATTTGGAGAGAGAATCGAGAACCTTGATGAACTCCGCCGCTGCGCCCAACGGTGCGAGGGCAGTCGAGACGTGGGCGCCCAACTGTTTACTGCGCTTCTGCGCGGAATTGGCATGGAGGCGCGGATGGTAGCCAACCTGCAGCCTCTCGGCTTTGGATGGACCAAGTTAGAGGAAGCTGATGCGGAAAGGGGGACAGGTACCTCGAACTTCGACTTAGCTGCGGACGGACCTTCCGCAGTTACGGCAAGCGCAACTGCAGGTGGTCCTTCCTCCTCTAGCCACTCAAGCCGCAAGGCGATGCCAAAGAAGGGGCGGAGCGCCAGGAATAAGCCTGCCGCCGACTCCGACTCCGATGACAGCTTGATCGAGACCTCGGCCATTGCGCGTGAGAATGCGGTCAAGACGTACGACAAAGACCTAGACTTTGCCCACTATTGGACCGAAGTGCAGTCTCCCGTCACGGGCAAATACATCCCAGTCGAGACTCTAGTCAAAAAGCTTGTTGGCACAAACAGAGAGCTTATCGAATCTCTGGAGCCTCGGGGTAGCAAGGCAGAGAAAAAGAGACAGGTGATGGCGTACGTGGTTGCATTTTCGCAAGATGGCACTGCCAAGGACGTCACCATTCGATACTTGAAGAGGCAGATGCTCCCGGGGAAGACCAAAGGGGTGAGGATGCCCGCAAAGAAGATCCCAGTCCATAACAAGCATGGAAAGGTCAAACGCTACGATGAATACGACTGGTTCAGGCGGGCAATGGTAGGCTACGAGCGGGGTGGCCCCCAGCACCCCTCACGGAAGCCGATCAAGCAGAAGACATGACCGACTTGAAGCCCACTAAGATGGAGAAGAAGGAAGTGAAAGAAGGCGAGGAAACACTTCAATTTTACAAAACATCTCAGGAATATGTTCTCGCACGACATCTCAAGCGAGAGGAAGCTCTTCAAGCAGATGCTCTACCTGTCAAGATGTTCAAATCAAAATCAAAGGGACAGGTGAATGAGGAGCCGGTCTATCTCCGCTCTGACGTTGTTCAGGTCAAGAGCGCAGAAACGTGGCACAAGCAAGGCAGGGTCCCCTTGGTAGGAGAGGTACCGCTAAAGCGGGTCCCTTACCGCGCGGCCACGATCAACCGGCAGCGAGAGTTGGCAGAAGCAGAGGCCGCGACCGGGCAAAAGGTTCTCCAGGGCCTTTACAGCCTCGAGCAGACTGACTGGATCATCCCACCGCCCATAAAGGATGGCATCATCCCCAAGAACGAATATGGGTAAGTTTCACACTACATGGGGCGATTCTGGCACCCTCGCTAACTAACGGGACTCGCAGCAACATCGACCTCTTCGTAGAACACATGTGTCCAGAAGGGGCAGTACACATCCCGTACCGAGGAGGGGTGCGGGTTTGCAAGCGACTACAAATCGATTATGCAGAGGCTGTGATTGACTTTGAATTCGGCCATCGAATGGCAGTCCCCGTGATCCAGGGGGTAGTCATTCCCGAAGAGCACTATGACAAGGTTATGGAGGAGCTGCAGAAAGACGAGGTAGAGCGGGCGAGAAAAGAAGACGAAAAGCGAAGAAAAGCGGCGCTCGGCATGTGGAGGAAGCTTCTCATGGGCATGCGCATCGTACAGAGGGTGCGGGAGGAGTACGGGGAGCTCGACGACTCGATCCACGTCTTTGGGCACTACAGGGATAGCTTTGGGGCAGCAAAGGTACGGGCCGAGGACCCTCCTGGCCACCGGCGATAAGGCCGGTGGCGGGTTTCTGCCGGAAGGGTTTGAAGAAGACGTGGACGTCGAAGAAGATGTTCGGGTCGGCGGCCTCACGTCCGGTTTCTTCCCTGTTATGGAAGAAGACGACGAAGGAGAGGACCCGTTGGTCATGCAGGATGAGCGGCCGGGGTGAAACCATACACGTGGCGAGCTGGTGAAAAGAAGCTCAAAAACGTTAGGTATGGCTGCGCTGGGGGGCTTGTCTTCCAAGAAGGGGGCCTGGGAAGGAGGGGGTGAAAGGAGGGGTGAGAGGACGAATAGAAAAACAAAAAGAGACATTAGATTCAGGGAAGAACGGAGATAAACCCCTAAAACCACCAATCTCTTGACTGTTTTTTTCTATAGACTCACTCTACATGAACGAGAGAAGCAGGCTTTTGGCTCGATGAAATTCCTGTACTACTGTCGTACAAATACCCCAACTTGAATAGAATCTTAGTATCTACCCTCTCATCTTGACCTTTTTCTTGCCTCAGCACTAATAAGAGGCGGGAATAAAGGAGGAGCCTCTCTCTCGGGCCCCGGACTAGGGAGGACTGATCGATATTGCCTAAAGAGATGGATACAAAAAGAAGATATCAACTCTTGTAATGGCACTACCGGAGTATGGGGGCGAAAGGACAGGGAACGCGGACTATGCCACTATCCCGTCATGTGCAAGCGATGGGCAATGGCTTTGTTGATGTCAATGACTACTGAGCCTGGTAATGGCGCGGGCCTCATTCTAAGAATGCTTGGTTTCAAAGAGGACAGAGGAAAGGGGGTGTGGAAGGGGGTGTTTCCGTAACCACCGGTGGAGCTTCCGGAGATATCAGTATTGCCTCTGGATTTACATCCCCGGGACCACATGTGTTAGTCCCTTTTTTTCCCGCCCTCGACGGACAGGATTCAAAGTAGCGCACCCTGTTTATGCACTCTTGGAGGAATCGTCGGAAGAAGTTGGTTGGTCTGCACCATTGCGCGCATCGAGACGATTTACAGGTCCCTTTCGGGAGAGGTACGGTAGGGGATGGACGGGATGGAGATGCGCATGCTCCCGAACTTGGTCACATCAGGCAAGTGGACAGCACTGAAGATTTGAGCAAACTTGGATTGGTAGGTAGTATCCAGCCAAGTCTACTTGTACTTGGATCCATCGATGAATTCAACTAAGTGCACGTGTAGATTGCACGCCTCGCCGACCGATTATTTCGAGCAAGAGTATTACCGTTGCCAAAGTTGATACTCGCCCACGTTTCTGAAAATTGTGGCAGGCGGATTGTCTCAGACAATCCAACGGGACTGGGCAGTATTTACGCCAACCAAGTCCGGGATTTGGAACCGGTTGGCGGTGTGGAGAGTGGCGATCTGTTCGAGAACCAAGAGGGCCCAATCCAGAGGGGGTTCGTTCAAGGCATGGTGGATGTGATATTGCCACGCTCAAATGTATGTGACCAATGTTACGGATTATGAATGTACGGGAGCGAGTACTTGATACTACCTTCAAGGTGGGCTCGGCAAGCAAGGCCGGGGAAACACGTAGATTTTAAAATCTTTGCGCTGGTTCGCCGGTGTGAGGAATTGGTACCGGAGATAGTGAAGATGCTGACGATAGCGCCGGCTTAAGCCGTGAAGGGGTGCCCGGGTGCGGAGGGAGCCGTAGGATAAAGGGCAGCATACGCTCAATAAATCAAGAGCAATTCATTGATGGACTAGGCGGGTATAGCCATCAATGATCAATGGCTATGGCTCTTTCATCGGGAGTGCTTGAGGCCATATGACGCAGCACACAAGAAGGTGTGGAAATGCATTTGCCCTTGCTCCGCTACCCCCTCCCTGACATGCACTACACTATGTAGGCGCAGACGGCGGCGGTCTGTTTTCACGGTGCTTCTTCTTCCCGTCACTGACTTGCCGATCGAGATCAATTGATCCATGGATCCATGCGAGGGATGATGGCTGGCTCGAAACTAATTTGGTCCATTTTGTACCCAGCCTGCCAGCCAGCACAAGCACAGCGCAGCTGGCCTGGCGCTAGGGAGAACTACCCACCGGCGCGGATTTACGTGGAGGTACATGTATCCATCAATATAATACTTTCATGTTGGTACTGGACACGAATGAAATGTACCGAGGTATCAACAATCGATTGACATGGAGGCATGATCTATGCGAGCTGGTCAACATCGGTGGGGAGATCAGCCACCAATGCAGTTGAGTATTAGAGCATTGATCCAAGAGACGAGGCGTGCGCCCAGGCGCCAGGCTGGAGATAAAAGTGCAGGCACGGATTAAATGTGGGGACGATTCTGGGACTTGCCATCCACTGAGCGGCGTGGGACGGACTCGGGGGCAAGCCCACATCGAAAGCCGGCTTCCAGATCATTCACGCCACTTGCTCCAATTCTGCCTCGTGTTCACGGATCAACGGCGGAAGAGAGAGAAAGGAGTCTCGACAGGGAGCCAAGCATGAGGGGAGAGAAAGACGAGAGATGCGAGACGAGAGAAGAAAAGAAGCAACAACGAGAACAGAAAAAGGGAGGAACGGGCAACGCAGAGAAAACGCAAGAAAGCAGGAGGAAGGGTAGGTAGGTTGAGATGAGGCTGAAATTGCTCAGGTACATTCCATAGATCCATGGCTACGAAGTAGATCTCTTGCCAGAGATGAAGAACAACGTTTCCAGCGAACGCTCGAATCAATCGATCGATATACCACGTCCTACTCCGCGCCACAACGGAATAAATTGACAATTAACTCCCGCCTTTTTACTTTTGCGAGGCGGCAAGCACGACTGCCTGCCTTGGAGAGATTTGGCCGGCGAGGTAGAAATAGGGTAGGAGAGAACAGAAACTTGGGAGGGCATCGTGCATATGGGATGGGCCCATTTCCAGGATCCATGCGTCAATCTGATGGAGCGAGCAGTCGCAGTTGCAGTTGCCGTCGCCAGCCTGGGTAGAGGCAAGGTTACACCGGGGATAGAAAAGGGTGTATGTGGAGATGGAAAAGGGCGCAATGGGTGGGATGGATGGGAGTGCAATAAGGTTGAGTTGAAGCCCGAGGCGTGACGGAGAGAAGGGGAATCCGAGGGCTTGGAAGGGCCAGACCAGGGGTGCAGCCCCAAAGGGTAGCATAAGCCAATTGGACGACTGCTCGATCGTTTTGAATGGAATGGAGCTGTTTGAGTCGTCCAATTGGTGCTGGCTTTGAGGCTCCGGTGCCATTCAAGGCATGGAAAAAGCAGAGCTGGTGTGCAAGTTGGGAGCAGAGCAGAGGGAAAAACGAGGAAAAACGAGGAAAAACGAAAGTTCCGTGGACCTTCTTGTAATGCCGATCTCATGCCGTCACTCACTTTACTACTGTATCCTCACCGACGCCGTGTCCACTCAACCGGTCCTTGATCCATCGTTGCTCATACCCACAAGTCCCCTTCCGAGCTCAAGCTGTTTGCTTAGAAGGTGGATAAAGGGGCGCTGGCGTTATTAGCGTTGGCCGGGCCGCCATCTTTGTTGGTCCCCACGAGGCAGCATATCGATCTCTCGCGGACTTGTACCGAGGATGGGAACTGTTGATTTGTTTCATTCAAGTCTAGACCCGAAATGGTAATGGTAGGCCAGCACGCCTCACAACAACCGGCGTTAAAGATGAATGTTGAAGGTGACGGTGTAGACTGTCTACGGGGCCCGCCTTCTTGTCTTTCCTCGAATACTCTAAAAGGTATGTAGGAAAGAACATTGGAGGAAGAAGAAAAGAAAGAGAAGCCCGGAGTTTGATATTTCCGTACCGCCGCCGTTAGAGGCGGTGTTTCACACCCTCATAGCACCGCCTTTTCTTTTTCTTTTTTTCTTTTGTTTTCTAAGCGTGGCCTGACCTCGCCCGTTGTCGTTCGGACAAAACTCACTCGGGCTTTAAGACTCCAATATCGCCACCCCTCCATGATCTATATTGATCAAATTCTATGGCATTGTCACTGACTGCTTCTTTCCTGCCCGCCAACTCTATTTCTTCTCCCAGCACCCCGAGCATGGTTTTCTTTTTTTTTCTGTTTTCTTTTAGAGTGAATTAATCTTGTCAGCTCAAATCAGCCTTTCGTAGATACAACATCCTCGAGGATTCTCCAAACGCTTTCTTAGCTTCCACCCAGCGGGGCCCTTCATTTCTTTTTTCTTCCTTCCCTTGATTTTTCCTCGGGCTAGCTGTGTTGTTCCCCTCTCCAGCGCTTTACGATTCGGGAGCAGGCATACCGGTTGGCGCACGCCTTCTAAGATTTAGCTCGGGTTAATACTCTCAGCGTTTTAAAAGTTGTAAGTCGTCGTGCTTCATGACGGGGAGTCGAACTCAAATATACTTTCAACAACTTTGGTGCTAACCGGCCCTCAAAGGCAAAGAAGGAACATTGGAGGTCGCCCTTACAAACTTTCACGGAAGGTGCCGGTGGTTTTCAAACCTAGCCCTGATCTATGCAGTCCTCACCACCTCGGTGCTAGTAGACGCGTGACTGTTCTGCTCCATTCCAACCGGTGGCATCTGAGTCTATCCCGGTATCGCATCGCCTCATCTCAGAACGTCTTCGAATGTATCCCTTCTCTTGGGTATAAAAACCCTGACGGCCGCACCTCGCTAGGCCCTACGAGGGTTGACAGAGCCAGGTGCCAAACAACGACGACATATCTGTACGCTTCTTACAGAGTCTCTTTCTTTGAACTGATTACCCCAAGGTGGCTTCTCTATACCGCCTATCCTAAGTCATATAAGCGACGCCCGATCCGCCCGTAACAGAGAATATGTTGTCACGGTCCCCACCAATCAAGCAGCTCTCCTCTTCCGAGGCTGACGTTGGGATCGACGCCGATAGTTCTCATCGCAGCACTAGCGACAACGACAGCAAGATCAAAGATGAGGAGGCCGTCCTTCAAGAAGCCATGCTTCGGGACTGCGTCAAGAGCGTCACTTGCGTTCTCCCGAACGTGTGCCCCGACTACGCGACTAAACTAGCATGGGAAAATAAGTACAACGCGCAAGCAGTCATTGACGTAATTCTCAGCATGGAGTGCAAGGATACTCCCTACCCTCTGAGGGGCGAGTCTTCGAACCCGCGAAAGCGTAAACGCCCACACGATTCTATAATGGAGATACTCGTGATGCCTTTAGGTGAGGTGACCCACACCCATGTAGAGTCGCTACAGACACATTTTGGGGGCTCTGAATGGGTTCGGGTCACCGCGTCGGCTAAAGAGTACCATCGCCTCAGGTCCGTTAACCTTTCCTTCCCCCCTTTTCATAGTTCCCTGATCACACTAGACCTTCATGTACACGTAGCATTATATTGCCCACAGCTGCCCTCCCTCTCCACCTTGAATTCAGTTGAAGCCTGGGCTGTCCATTGCTAACATCGACCCTCGCCCTCGCAAAATAGCCACAACGCCTTAGCCACTGCATTTCCAATGTTGCCGCCTTCCGCAATTACTCGTATTTTATCATCTTCCCAGGACTCTCTCCTCAGGGCTTACCAGGTGATTGCCGATCAAGGTGATGCGGCCAACCGGTCACTAGCGCCACAACAGAATTGCTCGCTACGAGACCAAGATGGGTTTGGCGAAAATTTCCAGTACGCACTCAAGGCCGCTGCGGACTCGGACCAAAAGTACTACATTGCTCTCGAAATGCAGGCCGCTCGCCGCATCGCTCGTTTCCTTGACCGACGTGGCAGGCAGGTAGGCGTTCAGCTCTCATCTTCCGCGGGAGCGGACGCTGCCGATGTAGCAACCCTAGAATGCGCCTGCTGCTACGGCGACGAGGTCGCTGAACGCATGGTCAGCTGTGATGGTGAGGCGGGTCATGTACGTCTTTTCCTCTTTCCCTTTTCGCTACATACCTGCGCCCTTGCTTCGTTCCAATCTTGTGAACTAAAGCTGACGCTGACATTGGCGCCTGCTATAGCTGTTTTGTTATAAATGTGCGCAAAAGCACGCGGAAACACAGCTCGGAGCATCTCGCTACGAACTAGACTGCATAGCTATTGGAGATTGCTCAGGAAGCTTCCCGCAGCTCAGCGCAAGCTCTTCCTTTGTGCCAGGACCGCCGCCGCTCTCGATCGTCTCGAACAACAGGCATCGATTCGCATGGCTGGGCTGGACAACCTCACCTCGTGCCCCTTCTGCCCTTATGCCGCGGAATATCCACCGGTGGAGTTGGATAAAGAATTTCGTTGCGAGAATCCGGATTGCAAGGCCGTAAGCTGTCGGTTGTGCAAACAAAAAAGCCATGTGCCCATGTCCTGTGAAGAAGTTGTCAGAGGGGAAGAAGGATCGTCTGCGCGTCGCAAGATTGAGGAGGCAATGTCGGCTGCTGTGATTCGGACGTGTAACAAATGTAAGACTCTTCACTTCTTTCTTTCCCCTTTCCCCTTTCCCACCACTGCATTCACCCCGCCTACTTGAAATGCTAATTCTGTCTCTAGGCCAGGTTCCTTTTATAAAGGAGGTTGGGTGCAATAGAATGCGGTGCCAGACACCTGGGTGCCAGAACGTGCAATGCTATGTCTGCTCGAAAGTGTGTAATTACGACCATTTTGATCAAGCGGCGACCGGGACATCCTCGTTGTGTCCGCTGTACGACCAATCGATTCATGCACGACACCAGGCGGAGGCTGAAGCCGCGGAACAGGCTGCGATGAAAGCTCTTCTCGAGCAGAATCCCGAACTAGACGAAAATTCTTTAAAAATTAGGGTCTCGAAGGAAGTCGAGGCCAGCGAGAGAAAAAGGCTAGCCGCACGAGGCGTCGGCCGAGACAGGCCCCTAATCCAATCGGGCCCAACTTCGCCCTCGGAAATCCCATGGCGGGCATTATGGGGCCCACAGGCCGCGGCGGCCATGACCGGCCCCTCATCCCAATGGCTAGGCGCCGCAGGTCTTTCCCGCGACAGCCATTGACCCCAGAGCATATCTAGGGCAGTTTGGCGAGACAATTGGCCAGATTCCCGCCGATAGACAGGCTCAAATCGACGTTTTCCGGGATGCAGCCCTGAGATACTGGGGGGCGATTCCGGACTGGTGACTTTTCCTCCCCTAGCACCCATCCAGTCTGTAACGAACGCAACGAACGCAACGAACGCAACGAACGCGACAAATGCAACGGGCGCCGCGACTCTGGGGCTGCCGATGCAAGACAAGGCTTCGGGGCTTGCCAAAGAACTCGATGCGGTATCCGTATCAAGGCCCTCGGCCCTTATCCCGCAGGGGTGCGTGCCGGAGGGTCCCGCCAAGAACCAATAGTCCTGGACGACTCTGACGGGTCTGACAGTGAAAATGTTGGTGGGCTTGCCGGTGGTGAAGCCCAAGAAGAGGATGATGGTGAAGAACCCAAACCGAAAAGAGTGGAGACGCAAAAGGCGGTTCATCAACTCCGGTCGAGTTTGCCTTCCCGAGGGCCTCCTTCTCGGGGCCGTGCTTCCCGAAAGCTTGTTGACAGATTCAACAGTTCCACCCTTGCTACCCATGCGAAATTATCGAGTAATCTTCTCAGTGATGATACGACAAGTTCCTATCTGGGTAGGCTGGAACAAGAGCTTGCGGTGATAGAGAGAGAGAGGCGGGGAGGCGGAGATGTGGGGTTAGAGTAAGAGTGAACAAGTAAGGGTGAACAAGTAACACCCGCATACCGGATCTGCTAGAGATCCCCGGAGGCGGGGACTTATTGGCGAAGGAGTTATGGCGTTGAATGGATGTTTGGTCAAGCACGACCCTTTACTTTGCTTGCTTCATGGGAACCGGGCTGGCGCTAAGCATACACGATACGGGACTTGATGTATTCTAGGGGCTCTTTTATAGACGGACACTGGGCATCAAAACATGGACTTAGAGGGAGCCGTAATGATGAGATTTAAAAGCATCAGTTATAACTTTTTGTTCTTGTATCAAGGCGTGACGCAAGCGTTGCATAGGGGGACGACATTCAAAAGTGCCGACCAGCGGAGGAGGAAAGCGAAACAGGAGACAGAGGGGCCCCAACGTCAAGGACGGGGGTGAATGGGTGATAGTTTAGTGCGGCTCAGGAACTTGCTAGTTCGTGGAAGGCTCTGGCGCGATTTCTATCGACTCATGGACAACACCAATAATGTGTAGACCCGTGGTTGAGGTTGAAGGACTAGGCTGGGCGGGGCTAAGGAAGATGAGAGAGTTTGAGGTGTTGCGTTGAGTAAGGATATACCTCTTCTCAGGGGTAACTAGCACAGCATGAGGATTCCCTGGCTCGAGGCGGAGTCTAAAAGAGGCCGACCCAGGGACGTGAGGAGGGCAAGGGTCAGTAGCGTAGACGGGGAGGAGAAGTGGGAGGACGACAGAAGGTGCTTTGGACAATAACCTACAGAGGGCATTCGTCACCTTCTAGAAGAGCCTGTAGTTCCGGGGTCAACTCAAGGAGCCGGTAGCTTTTGCTGTCGGAGACGTGGGCCAGGGGATGCCCGGACGAACAGGCGCTGGTACCGGGGCGTTGTTGTTGTTGGAATCCATAGCGGTGGTTGTGGAGGAAAGTGGTACGTAGTGGTTTGATGGAAGCTTCCGTGGGGTATGGACCTCGCGTGGTGCTGGAAGAGAGGGGAAGGCCGGCGCCGATAGTTCCAGATAAACCGAGACACGGACCCCTGGGATTTCGGGTTGAAGAGGGCGGGCAGAGACGGGAAATGCGGGCCAGGCCAGCGATGTGGGTGGAGCGGAGGGTAGATACCGGGCCTTGATGCTGGTGGCGGCTCAAGGGTGGTGGTGCCGAGATGCTGGTCTGGGTCTGGCTTGAGTCGTTTCTAAGTTGATAGTTGAGGCTTCCGGATGTGCATGGAAGATACGAGTTGTGAATACCGAGGTACTCGATGGATTATGATTACTTGTACGATGCGTTGGACGTGATGTGTTTGGGCATCGGCTGAAAAAGCTTTTTCTTATTATTGTTCTCATCATCCACACGACGGCTCAAACCAACGACAAGGATCTGTGATCATTCGATCACTTCACAGAGTTTAATCTGGGTAAAATTCTAGTTTCGACAAAACGCGGGCGAAGCGCGCTAGGCTTGATACGGGGGTAACCTTGAAGCCGATCAACTAGAAGGGGAGGGCCAAATTTTAATTTCTTAGCAAAAGAACATTCGAAAAGCCTCAAGAAGACCAGGCAGTGTGGCCTGGCTGGCCCTGCACGAGCCATGGGCTCCCACTACCGCCACTGCCGAAGGGTGAATGCACCGAGACGGGTTGTGAATCTATTGTTGTTGGGGTTGTATTATGGACCTGGCCGGGTTCGCTGATACGTTGGCACACCCACCCAAAAGCAACCCTGGAGTGATCCTCGAGGTGGAGGCAGAGTTGTTGATCTTGGAGCGTTTGCCCGACGCGAATTTGTTATGGGCTCGACGCGTCGGGACAAGGGTTCTCCACACCATCTCGATTGCAAGCCAAACCCACATGCCTTTTTAGGTGACGCTCGGGTAGTGAACTTGTAGCACCCATTCCCATTGCCTGGTCCCCGCTGCCTGACCGCTGGCACCTGGAGGAACAAACCTGGCCCTGTTTGGAACAATAGGGAGAATAATTCGAGGGATACTAATGATGATAATAAGCCCTGCATTGCATAGAAAGGTCTCCCTGAAACAGAAAACTCTCTTTCTCTGGCGGAGGACTGACCTGCATCAATTGATGTGGTGCACTGTTGAGATTTTGTGGTGGAGGACCTGATCAAGATCCCCTCGCTTCGCGTGCCTGACATCAATTGCGCCTTCCCTTGACGGCGACCGACCTCTAAACGAGAGTCCAACCTGACCAGCACTTGCTCTTGCTTTTTGATTCTATTTTGTGGTTTCCATTTCTTTCTTCATTTATCTGTTTTACCTTGTTATCTTTCTTTTTTTCCTTCAAAGCCCGGGATTCTCCCTCATTTCTCTATATCTTGCCCTTTCCACGACCTCACACAGATTCCTCGAACGGCAACTACGCACGCATAGAGCGGGAAGAAGAGGCAAAAAGAAAAAAACCCTTGTGCTGCAGTTCTGCAGGTGAACCAATAACAACGACCCAGACTTCTGCATCCTGCCGCCTACCGCCTACCACACGCAACGCGCACTGAGGTGCTGGTGGCTGTCCCATGTTTACGACGCCTTGAACACCACGAATACACCGCCTGCAGATTTATTTAGCGTGCCTTCCTCCATTCTCACCTCATCTCTGCATCCCTCCTTCCTCACTTCTCGCCCACCTCCACACTGCCGCCTAGTAAAGCGGCCTCGCGTTGTGCGGCCAGAATTGTGCGGCCCTGGATGATCCGACGACCCTCTGGGAGGCCGCTCTCCGCATCGAACCCACGCTCGACACCCGAAAAGCCGAAGTAGGAGGCCGGGCCTCGAATCTGGCGGGCCGATCGATCGCCCATCACTGTGATCGCTGTCGCGGTCCCCGCCGCCATCATGGTCCGCGTTACCGAAGAACTCGCCCTTTCCCCCAGCACGTCACTCTCTACCACGCTACCGATCCCCTCCTCGGCCACCTCCCCGTCCTCATCTTCCACGGTCCTTCGACCACGGCAAACTATACCCTGAACAGCTCCAGAGTTCAGGTCCACGTCTACAGCCCTGCCGGCTTCCAGTCCTATCCCCGTATCACGATATCCCCCAACTCGCCCTTTTACGGAGTTGTCAATCACCTACCGCGCGAATGGCAGGGTGACGAAATCTATCGAGGGCTGGCCTTTGGTCTGTTCAAATACTTTACGGAGCTGCCCGAACTGGTGAAGAATTACCTGCGAAACCAGTACCCTACGACACGGGCGAGGAGGCCAGGCTCGGCTCCCGCCCTGTTTGGTGAGCAGCATGCTGCTGACCTTGCGAGCTCCATGCTCAAGTCCGAGGTCACCACCGAGGTCGTCAATCAACTGCACGATGCCCTCCAAACCCAGCATATCAGCAATGTCGATATCGACTTTGTCCTCCCTCCCGGCTCCATAGTTCCCCTCCAACCCGAAGATTACTCCGATGTTCCCGAGGACGAAGACGATATTATGGACCCAACCCTTCGGCAATATGGAGGATATACGCCCTTGATCCGGCTCTTTGGCGAGCCAATCTTCCTCCCGACGGCTAGGCTGCGGCGCGCGCCTTCGAAGCCTACCTCTCTCAATCGCAGCAAGTCCTTCACAAAAGACCAAAGGCAGAGCTCCGGATGAAGCTCGGCGAACTTCTCGACACCGAGGAGCGATATGTCATGAAGCTCAATGAGTTGGTAAGGCACATTGCCGACGACTTTCGGCAGCTCGCCAAGCAACAGGCTCAAGGGAGCTTGAGCCCGTCCGAGGAGGAAGTGGGACGGCTCTTTCCTACTTCTGCCGACCGCATTCTGCAGATGAACTCGGCCTTTCATATCGAATTGCGTAGAATCATGGAAGAGTCCGAGGAAGAGGCGGTGAAGGACATCGAAACGCCCACGGTCGCTCTGGCAGGCTCGAAGCTGGGTGGGTCGGTCCGCGTCAAAGACCCCAGCGGTGCGCTTTCCGTCGCAAGGCTGTGCCTTGAGTGGTTCCCGAAATTCACCGACAGCTACCAGGACTATATCAAGGCTAGCCAGCACTTCCCGACTCTGCTGAATGGCTTCCTTTCGAAACAGTCATCCTTTAGGCAGAGGGTGAACCAGGCCGGAGAGCAAGCCATTCGCTCAGTCCTCATAGAACCCGTGCAGAGACTGCCCCGTTACAGCTTGCTCATTGACCAGATAGTATCGTCACTTCCCATCACGCATCCCGCACTGCAGCCCATGCTGAAGGCGCGGGACATCATTGCCAACATTTGCTCAATGGACGACCCCCTCCCCGATAAGCCCCAGACGACCACGCGAATGCGTAACATGGTCGAGTCATGGCCCCTGGATCTCGAACCGCAGGGACGTTTGATCCTCGCCGTCGACTTTATCGAGGTCCTCCCACCGTACCAAATCCCGAAGCCCGACGACACCGAAAACGCCGGAATGTTCCTCCTCTTCTCGGACTGCATTGTCATTTTGAAGAAAAAGGTTATGGGGCTGACTGGCCGAGACCTCCTACGCGAGCTCGACAAGCCTTCCGCGGCAGGTCTCATGATGTCGATGACCAACGCCGCGGGAGGGCCCCCTCCTATGAGCTTGCCTTTGCTGGGTGGCATAATCTTGGCGACGTTCGCTTCTCCGAATCTATTCATGGGCAAATGGTGTGGATGACGTCCACGCAAGAGATGAAGGGCGCCCACGTCGGGCCTTATGTTAAGAGCACCGCCGTAACGTCTCGGTGCTTCGTGCTCCAGGAGGCTTACGAAACCAAGGCGTCTAAATGGGGGAAGACGTAGTCAAGGCCCGCGTCGAGGGTCGCTTCTCCGAGGCAGAACGAGAGAACCCGTGCTGGACTCTGCGGTCCGTCCGCATGCCTGATAACAATCTAGGCTTGTTTGCGGCCGTCTTCCAGGAGGGGATCGGTCAGCTTACCGAGGGACGAAGAGAACCCGCGCCCATCCGGGTCGTTGTTGACCGCGAGAAGGGCACTACGGGCGCCCCTGTCGGCCATTACGGCGTCGAGATTGTGATCAATGTCAGCACGAATGATATGCAGCGCATCTCCATGAACACGGTCGGGTTGAATGGCAAGCTCTTTACTGATGAGATCGCGTTGGAGGACTTTATGCCGACCCTGTCCCGAAGAAGTAAGTCCCCGCGAGCTCTAGTTGTAGCAATCTTTGCGTCATTCGGTGTGTCAAAATCAATTCGGGATGCTAACCTGGCCAAACTTTCTAGTCGTCCAATTGTTGAGTAGCCAATTCAACATCCTAAACCTACGGTTGTCCCCGGCCCTCATCTCCTACCACATTAAAATTTTGAAGGCGATGAATCTTGCCAGCATGGGGCGGGAAAAGTCTAGGTCCTTCTTGGCCAGCTCACCAGTTAAGCTGTTTTCAAGCTTTTGGGGTGGCGGCGGCTCTGCTGCCGAACCCCGAGCCCCACGAAGCATGCTCGAGTCCCGGTGACCAATGTGTTCCCACCGCCTGCGCTCCCGCGCACGAATAGCACACATTCCATATTCGGCTCCACGCGCGACAAGGACCGAATCCCGCTCGATGATGGGAAACCGGAAAACCCTCTTGTTCGTCTAGAGCAGACATTTACTGGATATGTTGCTGCGCTACAGACGAGAAAAGGCTCCATCATCGGGCGTACGCTCCTCAACCGATCCGGCGTCGATGAGCTCGCAGTCAATGACCTATACAACCGGCTCATTGAGTCACCGTTTGACATTGATTCAGCAACTGAATTGACAGCAGACATCATCTTTGTGGCCTTTGAGAAGTTTCTCCGCATCGCCTGGTCGGAGCAGATGGGGCCCATCATGACAATCCAGGCACTCGACACACTACAGGCGCGGGCGAACAAGCGGGTACCGGGAGACTTTGCCGACTTTGTCAACTATCTTTTTGGCGACATGGCGCCGCAGAACCGACGGGCCTTCACAGCCCTGATCAAACTTTTGGCCGACCTCCTAGAAGGCTGCGGAAACGATAGCGATCGCGGAGCCCTGACTCTTGCGTTTGCCCAACTCCTCGTTCCCGACGGAACGGCGCACAATTACATCAATCTGCTTGACATGCTTGTGGATGACTGCGATCGCATTTTTGAGGAAATCGCATTGAGCAACAGCATTCAACTTGGTGGTTCGGCGTACGAGTCGGTCAACTCGATGACGCGAAGCATGAAGTCGCACACCGGCTCACTCACCTCGAACACGTCGTCTCTGCGACGCAAGTTTGGGTTCGACACTCTACTGCGACAAAACAGCAAGGATTCTGGGCACGGGTCCGTGTGGCGCAGCCTCAGTAAACACAACCGCAACGCGCTCTCTGGGGACATCAGCCAAAGTTCTAGTTTATCCAAGGGCTCGCTAGGCCGGGCGAGGTCCATTGATCTTGGCCCATCCCTAACAAACTCCGGAGGCCGGCATCGCGCGATAGGCCGCCCGTAGCCGGCGCTTTTGACGAGATTCCACGGCCGGCAAGCTCCCACCGCCTCGAGTCCCGGCTTGAGACGATTGGGGAACCAGAGGTGGAGGCAACGCCAGCTCCCAAGACGCCAAAGAAGAAGAGGAGAAGCTCGCTCTCGGATCTGCGGAGCCTGATGGCCGCCACATCGATCGAAGATTCGACAACTCTGATGCCTCTTGACCTGAACAAGCAGACGTCAGAAAAATTCAACTCGGCACCCAGAATCCCCTCCCCGTCGAGAATTCCGATCAGTCCAAGCTCACAGGGTCTGAGGGCCTCGCGTCAAAAGGAGAATCTCGGGGGTCCCTGGGCAGTCTGGCAACACCCGTCGCATCTGCGTCGCAGGCTGCGGCTGGACTCGAGGCAGAAAAATCCAGTGCCGGCCGCTCACACGCGAAGACGTTGTCATCCTCTAATATCCCAACACTGCGGCGCCCAACCACGGCAGGAAGCTCAGGCGAATCGCATTCAAGACCGACCAGCAGCCCGACAAAGGCTGGCACCAGCCAGAAGCTCCGTCTCCAGTCGCCGCAGAAATTGCGCGAGAGATTGCAGACGGAGAAGCAGGCTGCAGACGAAGTCGACGCATCGCTCAAGTCGGAACTGTCCAAAATTGCGGAGGACATGGCCCGAGTCAACGGAGGCGTTGGGGCGAGACTAAGCACGGTGGACATTCGCAAGCTGTCTGCTTCAGTCAAAGCACTCGAAGATCGCGTTCCCAGTGTGCTAAAAGATCTTGCAGACCAGCATCAGGCTCTCCGGGGCGACATGGAGACAACTCTCAAAGCCTCGGACGCCAAGGTCAAGGCCATCGACCAGCTCTACAAGGAGGCCATGGCGGAGAACGAACTTTTGTACGAAAAGTTCAACTCGGAACTTGGCAAGATTGTCAAGGCGTTGAAGGGCAAGGGTAGAGATGACAAGGAAGAACTAGTGACCAAGCTCAAGGAGCAGAGTGAGGAAACTGCAAGGGTGAAGAAGGAAAACGCGCGACTACGGAGAGAGATGGCGAGCCTGAGAGCGGCCATGAAGGGGACCTCGGACAATTAAGTGCCCTAAAGAGGGGAGACGACGTGGAGAAAACGAGGAAGAGGAGAGAGTGTGTAAGCTTGGATGGGAAGATTCCGATAAAGACGCGGCGATAGGGAGGAGGACATCACGATTGTTTTCCATTTTTAACAAGTCACATGGCACATGGCGTTGAAAGGAGGGTGGGTAGGTTGGCTGGAAGCAAGCCATTAGGCTACGGAAGGGAGGCGGTTGGTTGGTTCTGATTTGTATGAATATTCGGCCGCGGTTGAAGGCGAGGGAGGAGAAGCTCCGTGCTCGTGTTAGGGCGTCGTTTCCATGTCGGGATGCCGTGTAGTGTTAACTTTTTGAGACGCCCGCTCTTTGTTTGAGAGGCACGTATATAGATATCCGGTCACGAATGGTGCAAATCCTTTTACAACAAAAAACACGGTTGGAGTCCATTGGGGATAAGCATGCCGTCTCTTACCCACCCCCACCTTCGGACATGAATGAATGGGATGTGAGAGGGGGTTCATCGCGCAATCCATTAGGCGAGGGCATGCCCTGTGATTTCGGCTGGCTGGGGCTGGAAAGCTGCGACAAGGATGCTTTGAGGCGGGTTTGAAGCTCAGCATCACCTTCCTCGACCCAACATTCAAAGAACAGAGGCCCAGCTTGGACAGACCGGACGGGCGTGGTCCTCCCCCAACATCCTTGCCGGGTTGAGAGCGTGAGCGTGTCGCAGGCTGAAGGTTCGGCTGTGAGGGAATCCAAGCTTGCGGATGCTAATAGAGTGTATATCTGAGCATGTTTCATCAAAAGGGAGGGGGCAAGCACGAGCACGAGGGAAACAAACCTCTATAGGTGCTGGGGCCTCGTCATTGAGTTCCACGGCAACGGTGAAGGTGCAGTCCTTGGGCAAGGGGCCGAGCCTTTCCGCAGCGTAGGAAACCCTCATCAGCGCACCCCTGAGTTGCTCCTGAACGTCGACCCAGTTGACGCTGTCCTCCGCAGCTCCGGGGCGTCGGTGTCGGCGGCGCCGTCGAGCCCGTCGACCACGTCTTCCTCGTAGGGGCCCGTTCCCGACCTTTACCCTTTGGGTCGTCCGGGGCGTGCGCCTGGGCCTGGACCTGGGCGTCGGGGAAGCGGGGCCAGCCGTCTAGGTCAAAGACCCAGCGCTCGACGACGGCGGCGGCCAAGGCGGGTGGGGCGTGGAGGACGAGGGCGACGCGGCGGACGGAGGCGGAGCGGATCTGGGCGGCGGCGGCGGCGACGGCGTCGGCGATCCAGGCGCAGAGGGCGGGGTGGCGGGACTGGTGGATGGGGAGGTTGTGGGAGCGGGTGGTGAGAAAGGTTTCGGGGGTAGAGGCGGCGGTGGTAGAGGACGGTGTGGATGGCGGCGGTGAGGAAGGTGGTGAAGCGGGTGAGGAGGGCGGAGGCCTCGGGGGCGGGAGGTTGGTGGAGGCCATGAGGGGGAGAAAAGAAAAGAAAGGGAATTAGTATAGTGTAAGGATAGGGGGTTACCCCTCGGCGGGGGCGAGATTTATATTTGATGAGGGTCGGGCGATTTAGGCCGAATGCAAAGAAACAATCGTGAATCGGGACCGGTGATGCGATTTGACGCGGGGGCTTGGTGGGAAGGGGTGCGTCGTGTTAGGCCGGAGTCGGGAATGTTGCGCGTAATCACATGATGGCAATGAGGGACCTCCAGGCTGGCTCTTGGACGGGGAGTTTCCTTTCATCCGCTTTCATGAATACTTTTGAGACTATCGAGGGTTATCCGGGGGATGAATTACACAAGATTACCGCTATATCCGGAGCTGCCCCTCCAATGACGCATGTCAAACCGTTGCCTTCCATCCACCCCACCCACAGCTTGGAGCTCCCCTCCGTCTTGCCACCATGCAAACTCCCTGACCTTTGCGACACAGCTCCATCTTTGGTTGAGCTAAGAAGGATTTTGCGCCGAGCATCATGACGGATTCGTTGGGAAAGAGGCCATCCTCCAAGGGATGGCCGATGCTATCCCACCTCACCCACAGGGCGACTCGGGTTCTGATTTGAGCTCGTCCTACGAGGTGCTCGCTCTCTTGATCCATGCCTACATGGCGGCACTCAAGTTTAGACTTCAGGGATTTAACGAAGACACGAGGATCGGTATGCCTTCGCTTACCTTGTTTCTTCTTTCCTTCTTTTGAAAGCATGTGTCGTCTCGCAGACATCAACTAACTGCTTCTCATAATCTTACTAGAGGAGGAATGTACCGCGCTTGCTCCCCGACTCCCACCTTCATGGAACAACTCGTTTGGCACCCACAGCTTCGTCTATGCCCACAAGCAATCCGCCATGACCTTTGTAGTCAAGGTGGACCGACTCGAGCCAAAGTCGAAGTGCGCGGTCTTGCGGTTGGGGACGACAAAATCTACCGTTTCGAGAGGAACATTCGCGATGTCGTGCGCTCATCCGGCCTGCCGGTTCGTATCAAGCTGAACGAGGACGGCTCCGAAGATCGATCTGGCCTGGCCGGTGAGCTGAAGAAGCTATTCGTGTCTGACCAGGCTCTGGAAGGTGAGAACAATAAGAAAACTTTTAGCTTCGTTGGTCCCTTTCCTCCTAGCCATTTATGCTTACTCCAATCCTAGAAATCCTCGATGAGTTCAAAGTCAAGATTGTGCAAAAGTTTATTCCAAAACTCCAACTCGATGGCTACGAAGAGACCCCTGATAGGGATTCCGGACCTTCCGGGACGGACCGGCCCCGCCCGGCTGACAACTTTCCCCGCCATCCCCGCCATCCCCTCGAGGATCCCCGCCCACAGCCCGGCCATCCTTACCCCATCAACGACCCACTCGCGGCCCCGCCACCCCGCCGGCCTATCCCAGGCGACTTCCCGCCTCCGGATTTCGAAGACGAGCACGAGATTAACACTCGGCCGCGGGGCCCCATCGCCCCAGGATCATCGCCCTTCAATATCGGCCACGATGACCTCTATCCCAGTGGTCTCGGACCTCACGACCCCATCCGCTCTTCCCTGATCGGCCAGGGTGGGCTCCTAGGCCGGGTGGATTTGGGGGATGCATCCAACTTTGACGATCCATTGTTCCAAGGACCGGGCGGGAACCCAAGCGGTGCGCAGGGGTTCGACCCCAAGCACCTCCCGGAGCCAGGTGGGATCCCGTCGGGCCTGGTGGCGGGCCGAGGCCTAGACAGGGCGGCCGCGGTCCCTTTGGAGGAGGAGGAGGTTTTGGGGGAGGCTTTGGGGGAGGTTTTGGCGGGGACATCATCTGAAATTGACAGGGATGGATTGATGCTTGTATGATACGTAGTTTGACACGAACCGTGCCCTCATGTGTTTATGATATCGGTAGAAATGTAGTTTTCCTAGGGACATGGACGGGTGACCGCTTCAACCTGTTCTCCAGGCTTCTTTGACGGTAAATAAGCAAAAGTCCACATTCGCTTCACAGACAGCCGGGAGACATGGAAGCGAACTCTGCTAGGAGAAAATTCAAGTATTCTTTTCATAAAGATGATAAAAATAGGAACAAGGATAAATCAAAATCCACTCCCGTCTGCCCCTTGGAATAGTTGATTTTCCGTCTTGCCCGTTACGAACACGGAAATTGATAGTCCCTAGAACGCCCTCGCACAGAAGAAACAAGTGTAGAGATGGGTTGGCGACACCTCCTGATTCTAACAAGTCCTGTTGGGTGCCCTGAGATCCTAGGTCGTTTTGCGTAGAATTCTTTTTTTCTCTTCTCTTTTCTATCTCCCTTCTTAGTTACCCCCTACCAAGCCTGGCCTACCTGGCCAGACCATTAGACAGAGGCATTTCCATCTTGCCAACTCGGTAGGCCTCCTTTCCTTTGTGTATCCCCGAGAACTTGAGCTCGCCTGTTCCATCCGCCATCTGTTTTGTGTATTCGGCCCTCCTTTACAACTGCAAAGGCCATCCATCGAACACAATATCCCGGCTTGCCCCTCCCCCTTGGTCTGGAGAAAGTGAGAGGAGAGGGATGGGGGCAGACCCGTATTAGACAATTTTTGTTTCCTTCGCATTGCTTTTCTCTTTCTCGTGTCCTAGCGTTAAAAAGATTTCTTTGTTTTTCCGCAGTCTCGTCCCAAGAGTAAATTTGCTCAGCCCCAGAGATGCTTTCGGAGAGTACGTGTCCTCGCATCGCCCGGACTTTGGGCCCCACCGGGGACTAACCGCGGCGTCCCCTAAGCCGAGGGCTGGGATGCTAATTCCTGAAGCTTGCCGCGCTCCTCATCCGTAAGCATGTTGTACCATTCCTGGAAATTGGCTACGTTGTCGCGCGCTACTGTTATGAAGAACTCGGAAAGGTAGGCTTGCGTCTCGTCGTCTTGCTGACGGCTGCCAGTGCTCTCGATGAATGCGTAGAGGTCAGACTTAGAGCCACCAAGCCCGAGATCAACGCTGTCAGGGTCGTCCTCCCAGCTATCGTCGCCGTCGTCATCATCAAGTTCGGCAACGGCAGCCATAGCAGCAGCAGTTGAGGCAGCCCTTCCGCCACCCGAGGCGGAAAGAAGCTCCTGGATGAGAACCTTTAGGATCTTGAGCGAGGCGGGGATAATGGTGAACTGGTCTGGGTCTGCTTCAAAGTTAACATTATAAATTTCTGCTAATATGCAAAAGAAAGGAGGAAAGGGGAGTGAATGGAACAAGGAAGAAGAAACTTACTTTGCTTGGCCCGAGAGCGAGTCTTAATACGCTCGGTATCGGTGATGATCAGGTCACCCTTCACCATGGTTTGAGCGAGGCGAGCATCGTTTAGCGAATAAAGCTTTGAGAGGGCAATGACACTAATAGGGGAAATGTTAGCGCTGCTACTAGAAACTATGCAAACCCCGTAGGGTTGGGAGGCTGTTGATACTTTTGGCGAATCTCGTCATATCCAGCAAAGCTGACCGAATTCTCGAGCCACTTGCCGAGGACGACGTCAAGGCCATTGTGGTCACCGATTTGGGTTTGCCCGAGGAAATCAACAACATCGTGAGCGCCGACGAGAGATAGGCGGGCAAAGACGAGGATGAGAGACTGGATGAACGGGGCAGTCTGCGCGCTGCCCAGACGAGTGGCCACGGCTCGCAGAAGTTGGGGCAGATACGGCCCCAGGCGTTCATGTCCCGCCTTCTCCACAAGTTCAGCAGCCAGGCCTCCAACCTCGGAGGCCGAGTTATCCTCAATGGCTGCGCCGAGGAGCCGGTCAATAACGAGCAGACAGATATCCAAACCGCTCTGGCCCGACTCGTCCTGCCAGCCAAACACCTGGTGGTGATCATGCATGAGCAGGTACTTCAATGACTCGGCGGCGGGTCGCAAGACTTCTCCCTCGACCGCTTCCATCAGCAGCCTCTTGAGTTTTGGAAGAGTGGCGGCGATGAAGCCGGGGGAGAGGCTCAGTTCCGTGCTGAATCAGCACGACAAGAAGCTCTACAGCGACCTAAAGGGCAGATGATAAACGGTTAGAAGCCTTCTAGGATGAAAGGGTACCCGGGTCATTGAGAGCAGGGGCGAGTGGATTAGTTCACGTCAACATACCGTAACCAAGGGGTCGTCTTGGGTGAGGTTAGCCACGTCAAAGGCGGCAGTGAGGATGGGAAGTACTTTGGCGCTAAGAGCGGTATACGAGGTAGGGTCTGTCAGGTTTTGGACAATATCCTCAAACGCCTCGGTGACAATCATGGTGACTTGGAAGTTAGAGGCTCCGAGCCTGGCAAGGGTAAATAGGATGTCGACGGGCTGGACCTCGGCTGCCAACGCGACGCGGTGGTTGACATTGATGACGAGGCGAAGAGACTCGGCCAGCGTCACTAGAAGCTCATCAGCGTCTTCAAGCTCGTCTGGGTCCTTGTTCTGCATGTACTGCGACATGGCGAGAATGATGGGAATCTGTTGCTCTGGAGTCACGCGCTTAGCGCGGACCAGGTGCTCGACAGCCTTGATGCAAGCAACCCGGACAACCTCGGCCTCCTCGCCGTTGATGCATTGGAGGATTCGCTCATTCAGAGTATCCGGGGTGGTGAAGGCCCGTGTTAGAGTGCCACCGACCAGATAGCCTCGGGCACGCAGAAGCGGGCAGTCGGCCTGGTTGATGGAGAAATCTACAAGGCCGAGGTAGGCACGAGCTGTGGGTTCCGGAACATTCTTGCCCATGTCGTCAAAGTCGCTCGCAAGCATATTGAAGAGGTAAAGAGCGGCTTCCTGGCTCCTCCAATCAGAGGCAGAATCGCCGGTGAAGAGAGTCTGGGTGTATCCGAATAGACCGTCGAGGGCCGCCTGGCTGTAGACCTCACCAAGTTTGATCAAAACGTCTCCGGCGGCAGTCCTAGAGGTATAGTTGGCTGAGGCGGAAGCTTCCTCGGCAAGGTATAGGGAGCAATCTATGTCCCACAGGCCTTCCTCTTCCTGAGTGATGCGGGAAAAGGCAACGAGGGTCTTCATAATCTCGGTCAGCCAAGGCGTTTCCTGGGCAGAAGGGTGAGCCTTGAGTTGGCCATCGAGTTGGGCGTGTACGGGCGGTGCTCGGAGGAATTGGTGAATGAGGTCAAGCTCCTCGAGGATGAGGAAATCCAACGAGTATGGAAGGCTGTCAATATCCTCCAGGCGGTCCTGGGCGTTGTCGTCGATGTAGAGCTCCCTGTGGGGGCCCTGCAGAGCGAGGAGTTCCTCCCAAACGGCACTAAAGTACTCAAGGGCCTGGTTGGCAATCAAGCCAGGAAGAACCACCCTCACCTTGAGGAGAGTCTTGAGAACTTGAAGCTTTAGCATGATCAGCCCATTCCACGACTGTGGCTGTTTCGAAGCGGTCACGGGCTCATTGGGAAGCCTGGCCTTGAGTGCTTGCAGGAAGAAAGGGCCCCATTCCTGGATAAGCTCGTCACCAAACGCCTTGACTTCTTTGGGATGTTCATCCTTGACAATTTCCAGGAGATCGAAGCACGAGCGGAATATGGACACGGAGAGCGATCGAATGGTGGGGGTTCGGTTTTCGTCGAGGGCAACGGCGGTCAAGGCCTTGACGATGTCGCGGGCCATGGAAAAGAATTGATCCTCGCTTAAACTGTCCTCGACGATATCGGCGATGGTGCGAAGCGCGCCATGAACTTGTGTATCGGTACCGGTCGTGATCATAGTAAGGAGACTGGGGATGAGATCGGGCCACTTGTCTGGGATATCGTGGATGGCCATTTTACCGAGAGCATAGCTATCAAGAACGAGAGCGCACCACGGATTAGCACAACTTTTTTTTGAAGAGAGGGGGCGACGCGCCTACCTCGCAGCAATTTTGACCTTGCGGTTCTTTTCAGGGCTCAGGGTAAGCTCGAGCATGGTGCGCCTCAGCTGAGCCCTGGCCTCCTCCGAGATCTCGACGACGGGCTCGCCATCCGCGCCGTCAGGATTCCAGTTGGCCTCGATGAAGAGGCGGAGAGAAGTGAGGGCCGCCTGGCGGACGGCGGTGTCTACGGCGGCATGGGCAGCGACATTCGCGAGCGAGACGGGGAAGGCGGGGTTATCTTTGGCGTGGTTCAGGGCGAGTTCGGCCTGGTGGCGAACGGCCTGGTCGGAGGATTGGGTATTGGTGAGGACCTGAACGAGTTCGTCATCCATGGTGCCGGTCCTCAAATGGCAGGAGAGACTGGCGGCGAGGCTCTTGTGGTGCTGGGAGTGGGCGGCGGGTTGGGAGAGCAGAGTGGGTGGGATGTTCAGGTCAAAGTCGAGGGGCGAGAAAGGCGGGGAGAGTGGGCAAAAGTCGGCGCGTGTTGTCTCAGGCCCGTGAATTCAATTTTTGGTGGGGTCCGTGGTTGCTACTTATGTTGGATGGATTTGACACAAAAATGGCCCTCCCCCAACGCTCACACAACGCCCACACAGACCCAGACACCCAGACAGACATGGGCTCCGGCTCCTCCTTGCCATTCCTGACCCAGCCAGGGGTAGCTGGAATCATCAACAATTGCCATGGACGCCACAGCACAGGCTGCGTGGGAGCAGAGCACCATTTCCCACCCATCATGGAACCCTGGAGCCATTGAGCTTGCACAATCGATCCATTGGAATTGGCTAGACAACGCCAGAAGGAATGAAGAGAAACATCAAGGGACCGCAGCAGTGGAATTTCCCCTTGGCGTGTTCGGAAATTGAGACAAGCATACAAGCATACGCAGGTCTGGTATCCGCACGTGCAGTGCAGCACAAGCACAATCACGGAGATAGAATGAATGACATCTCAGGCCATGCACTAAACCTCGCTTTGGTCCCAATTCAAGACGAAAACACCCTCTCCCGGCTATGGATGACGGCAGACGGGTTGACTGACTCTAGTCCTTCAGCACAAAGGGGAAAATAGTTACAGACTGGCCCTCCGCTGTCTCAAGACTGAAATAGTTAGCACGCGGTTTCGCTGGTGACGCCTGAATGCATTCATGTAGTCCAGGCATGCCGTCAAATAGCTTTGGTTCACTGTGTCTTGTATTTCATCATTATGGTATGCTTAATCCTATAGACAAACACTCCATCTTCTCCTCTTTCGACCCGTCTCTTCAAACTTGGCAGGCTGGCCAACACAACTTCATTCGAAAGATGTTGTGGAGGAATGAATGCACGTCGTATCGTGCTCCTCACGTGCCAGTCCTTTGTGAAAAGACTACATGTAGAGACTAGAGGGACCGAAACAGTTCCCAAACGCCTAGCGCAGAAATGCAAAACTAATCTTATCGAAATGGCCGCTTTTGCAATGGAACATTTGGAGGCTTTCCCTGACCGGGCATTACCAATTACCTCAACTTCTAAGCAAAGGAAACCAGATTGCACCGTAGGAACTCCATCAAATCAATATACTATACAATGATACAAGGCCAACTTGGCTCTCAGATGGCGGCATCGGGACTAGATGGGTGACCCAAGGCACAGGAGGGCAAGCGGTTATCGCTGGCCACATGTAGCACATTCGAGACTACATGTAAATCCTTTTACGAGTAGGACGAAGCTTTTCGACGTGTTACCATCGGCGGCTGCAGTCCAAGTCAGTACAAGCTGATCTTAAGCTCAAGAAAGGAAAAAGAACACACGGACGGGGGATTGGGATTGGGGAGGTTCAAAACTAACCCAAACGCAGAATTCATCTTCACTTGTCGGCGTTTCATCCGAGGCGCCGAATCAAGACTCGAGCGCTTCTTCTCTTCACACTTTTTCGTCTCCAGCTCGGGCTTGTCCTTTTCCTCGTCCAATTCTGGGGAAATGCCAAGTAATTCATTTTCGAGAGAGTTCAGGTCCGACTCTACCGAGCCTTCACGTGCCCCTCCCGAGCGCCCTCCCTCTCCCGCTCCTCGAGGGCCTTCTTGAAGTTTTCGGCATGCTCCTCTAAAGCGGTGTGAGGCGTGGAGGGTGACCGACTCCGGTCGTTTCCCTCATATCTATGCTTGGGCCAGCCCCATTTCCATATTTGGGTCGGTAACTATCAATTGCAGGCCGATTCTCCTTCTGGTCGTGCGGTGCCAATAGTTTTGGTGACGTAGACTCCCGAGACGCTCGGTTGTCATCCTGTGAGGGCAGCTCTTGGCTACTTTCAACCCCAGCCCCAGCCGGGCCGTGCTAGAGGGTTCTTCTGGATGCTTGGCCTCTGGCCTAGGGCCGTCTTTGGTCGTTTCCTCGAGAATGCGAGTGGGGCTACGGTCGATTGAGACTTTGTTGTCTTTATCCTTCAACCAAGCATTTGCTACTGGTAGGCTCAGGTTGATGGCGCCGTCGGCGTTGACGTTTCGTTGGACGGAAACCTTGGGAGGTTTGGGTGATGCCGGCTCTATGATAGTATTCGTAACTTGAAGTATTTTCGTAGGACGAGGCAACAGGGGTTCATCCTCTTTTGACTGGCTGCCTTCATCAGCAACCTCCCCTTCCTCGGAATCATCCCCGGCAGCCGATCCGCCGTCTACATTGTGGTCGGCAGAGTCCCGGGGTTTCTGGGGATTCCTGTAGGTAAAATCGTGCTAATGGCATCGTTCTTGGTAGGCGTCGGAGCAGAGAGCTTCGCTGTGGAGGCTTTGCTATCAGGAGCTTTTGATCCATCCTTGGTCCTATGAGCGTGGTCGCCCTTCGTTCGTGGGCGGTTATGCTGAGGAGTCTCGTCCTTGTGTCCTTTTCGGGGTTTCCAGTTTTTATTTCGCTCCTTCCGCTGATTATGACCGAATACCCCGGTTACCTCAGCTGTGGGCCTTGGAGGGAGGACTCTTATTCCGGATCCGGGCCCAAAAGGGTGGCTTGGTCCTGGGCTGATTGAGCCTGTGACCACTGGGGGAGGTATAGGGTATGCGTGTGGCGGGGGCACTGACGGCTGAGGATGATAGGCCGGGCCAGGGAAGGGCGGATGACTGGCAAAAGCAGGGGGTATGGCTCCCTAGAGGGGCCTGGAGGATAAGACACAGGGTAGAAGTGGCTCGGCCCTGGTCCCGCTACGTGCGGTGGAGGGGTGGGAAGCGATGGATGTGGAGGAAGAGCCCTTTGGGGTGGCGGGTACTGATGGGGCGCCGTATAGGGTTGTGCAGGGGGTGGGTGAGGGTGAGGATGGCCTTGGTGAGGTGCGCCTCCATAATACGGCGGTTGTGGCGGGAAGTAGGAGCCGGTCGGCGGTGCATTCGGGGGCTATTGAGAGGTGCTGCTGAGCCCGGTCGGAGATGATGTCCGCCATACGCGTCAGGGGTCCCATAAGGGTGACTATAGCTTGGCGCTCCATAAGGCGAACTTGTCGGGACAATATTCCCAGGCGGAGCAGAACCATGAGAAGAATGCGGGCCATAATAGCCGTGGGGTGACTGGGGCGTAGGTGACTGATGTCCGCCATAGCCATGATAGTGCGCACCCGGAGTAGGCGGCTGGTACGCCCCATATGGAGGCTGGGGTGTTGGAGGGCCACCGTAGGGTGAGGGATGGCCGTGGCCTCCATGAGGAGGACCGGGAGGAGGTCCGTACTTGTTGATGACAGCACCCTTGTGCTTCTTGGATGAGTGCTTATCGGTAGAACGCGAGCCATCTTCAGATTTTCTCTTGCGAAGGCCGCTGTTGGGCATGTCAGAAAAAGAAACCTGAGGAGAGGGGAAGCGGAAAAGGGGAGAGGGGCTCGTAGATATGATTAGACATACGCAGGGATTTTCCGAGTTGGCTCATAGCAGTCAATGGTCCAATGGCCCTCTGCGCCACAGTTTTTGCAACTGGGCTGTTTAGACGTGCCTCCGCTCGACATCTTGACACAGCAAGAGCAGCCAATGGCTGGAGCAGGATGGCGGATGATTGAAAGAGACGGGTGGAGAGGAGAGCCAGTAAACAGAAATGACGGGATAGTAAAAGCGGCTTATAGGGGAAAAGGGTAGGTGGCGATGTGCTAAGATGAAGCGTCCATGACGAGGAACAGAGGATGAGGACGCGGGGTGTGGTGAAATGTGGGTGGAGTTGCCCGTTGATGTCAAGATCAAGCTCTAGCGACCTTGGTTACCCCTTGGATGGTGGTGGGAAGGGGGCGCCTTCCAAAATAAAGCGCAGCGAGAGGATAAAGGGGATGGGAAGAGGGTGGTTTTAAGGGAAAAAGAGGTCACTAATAAGACCGAAGCGATGATACGGTGGTGGTAGGCCACTGCAGAGATGACAGTCAAGCATTGGAGTCCCGAAGGTTGATGATAAAAGGGGTTCGCGGAAGGTTGAAAACATGCACGGTAAGGATCTGGTATCAGTCCACCCGAACTTTCATCAAGGATTTAGCAGCAACGTCTTAGACCTGACGCGCAGAGACGACGCTGAGAGACCGCTTCCGGCGAGACGTAGAGCAAGCCAGCTAGCCAGGGCTGCCTTGGGAGGTTAGCACTCCTACTTCTGGGATGACGCGTCTGAATCTCAGCAAGGAGGCCCCCGAGTACGCAAGAAACCGTCGAACCTGGGAAAGTTTTCGCGTGTGAAGGTCATGGGCACTGGGATCTTGTTCTACTCACGTACTCAACATACGCCTGCGGGCAGAGCTTGGATGAAGAAACGATGCCTCCGCTACTCCACCTTGAGAATGTAATGACCGGGGATCATGAGCACAAGCGGGATTAGGATCTGAAGATTCCGGGTTAGAGAGAGTATCCCACCCGATAGCTTCAATCCGGAATCGGAACACCACAAGAGGGGCCCTGGGGCGCGAAGTGGATGATGGAAGCACAGAGAGGATGATGCCCCACAAATAAGCAGTATTTCGTCCACAAGGCAAAACGGGTCATGGGCCGAGGGCGACGGTTTCACGATGGCTTAGTCCCAACCTTAGCCGTGTGCTGGTCGGTTATTCTACGCCGTGACTGGAATCATGGCTGTTATCTGCTGTTCGATATGGCCTCTGAGTGAGGCTTGGGGCGAGAGGGATGGATGTGGATGAGTCGAAAATTGGGGGTGAGGCGCTGCGCTGTGCTGACAGCGAAGGTTCGCCTGGTCCGGCTAATAATCGGTAGATATGTTTGCACAATCACAGGCCTCACCTGACAGGAAAGAGCAAAGGAGGCCAAGTGCTGCGAGGTTTGGTCGCGTCCACTCTCCTCTCGACAGAGAATGTCGTCTGAACCTTGGTGACGGCTGACCTTGGGATGAAGGGGGTTCACTCCATCATGACACGCACGTTTGGCTACGGCATTGGGTGCATAGGGAGGCCGGGTATAGCTCCACAGTGGTACTGAGGGCATTCCGGGCACAAGAGATGGATAGGGCTCAGGGAGACATGATGTAGACAAGATCAAAGTCTGCGTCACGGTAGGGAGTTCTAAATACGTCGAGTTTCTCTTCAAATCATTGGACATATCGAGATGTCTATTAATATAGAGCGCGCGTTCATAGTCCTTGACAGGAACACGTGGAAGTGGATAAGGGCAAGGCAAAAATGAAGCCACCAAGTCTCCGGTGCTTGGATATCTCTTCGAAAGGCTCTGTGTTTCACAAGTCTTAACTGATGGGGACGAAGATCGGGCAGGAAGAGCCAACATGACTCTGCGATAGAACGCTTGGGAATGAAGATTCCGGAGAGCGGGGAGTAGTAAGAATATATTGATGGGCATACAACATGGGCGTTTCTTTGACAGGGAAACAAACAGGGGGAGGTGATCCTGAATGACTATGAAGATAAGGAAGAGAGAATGGAGAGACGGATGTATCAATCGTGGGCGCTCCGAGGGAGCGAGGAGGCGATGACCACAAAGGGGAAATGTCCTGGGCTTAACGTAGCAGAGCCCAGGAAAGGATCTGCCTGAGTCGCAAAGAAGAGGTACGGCTGTTCACCGGAATCCCCAGGGCGAGAATATGTTGCAATATAGCATTGGAAAGGTTTCAAAGAAAGGGAGCGCAGAGCGGGGAGCTGGAAGGGGAAGCGGGCCAAGGATGGAGATGAAAAATGGAGGGTGGTGTTTGGAGGAACTGATGAGACCAAGGTGCTTCGAAGTGTCCCGAGTTCGTTAGTGAGTATTATGGGGGAACATTGATCGAACGTTTATGTCAGCAGCTTGCCGCCCACAATCCCCTATATGCCTTAGCCGGCCTAGCCTATCAGTGCTCAGAACACGCAAATAGTGATCCAACACTGCTTGTCAGAGGGTCTCAGCAGTGCTGTTTGTCTGACAGCAAGAGTCTTGATCAGTGCTATTGGTACGTTCTTGACACCTGAATATCTCCGTTCTCGGACCAGTGACCAACCCAGCCAAGATTCCGCTCTCCTAAAGAGCTTTTTCAGGACCTAATGCCGAAATATCTACTTGGAGCTACGTTCATAGGTTTTGTGTCTTGATTTATCGATTTTTATTCTCTACAGTTTGAAATGGTGTGTATTTCCGAGGCGCAAGTCCCAAGAGTTTGTTGCAACGCTTGTTGTCCTGGTGTGTAGCCTTATGAGGGGTGGTGCTAAATGGGGTTGACGGAACTTGACAAATTGATTCACTCTTTGCGTTGACTGTGGACCAGCCAATGCAATTGATGGCGGGTGCACGGCTTTAGCGTGAAGAGAGGTCCTGCGTCAGCCACGGAGCAAGCTTTCAAATCAGTCAAGGTGACCCCCCAAAAAGGCTATCTCTCTCTCCCTCCCATCGCGTCACATAATCAAAAATATTTCCGGCAACCAGATCCCCGCCATCACGCTTCCTCGAGGACGAGAACTAGGCTCTCATTGCGCCCTGCCCCATGCGACTCTAAGTTTCGAACATGTTGGTGAAACTTTACCCACCACCAGCGTCTCTGAGCATCGACTTTGCACCTAGTGGAAGTCGGCGAAGGTAGGAGTGAGCGCGGCTACCAATCTACCCACGTCTACCGCGTTTGATAGCGCTCCCAGCCTTAGCCAGAGCATATTTTGCGAAACGACACCCATCTATACCTTCACATAGTCCCTGAAGATGCCCAGTCTACCAGGTTTGTTTCCTGTCGCACCCCCATCGTCTCCCATCCCTGCCACGCATGACAGCGACAGCGCTGACCTGCGGCTCCTCACCAGCATCCGTTGATCTGGACGAATGCATATCTCGTCTATATAAGAAGGAGCTCCTGGCCGAGTCCGTTATAGAGGCAATATGCGCGAAAACCAAAGAGCTTCTGATGCGAGAAAGCAATGTGATTCATGTCCAAGCGCCTATTACCGTCGTCGGTGATATTCACGGCCAGTTCTATGACCTTATAGAAATCTTCAGGATCGGTGGCCGCTGCCCCGACACCAACTATCTATTTCTCGGTAAGTTCAAAGCCCTCCCCGGTAGCAGAATTGGCGCCGACGATTACTTTTCCTCTCTTTCTAACTTGCGACGCCTTTGACATTAGGCGACTACGTTGACCGTGGAATGTTTAGCGTCGAGACGATCTCTCTCCTTGTGTGCCTAAAACTTCGATACCCGAGTCGCGTGCATCTAATCCGAGGAAATCACGAGTCCCGTGGAGTTACCCAATCGTATGGATTTTACACGGAATGCTCGCGAAAGTACGGAAATGCCAATGTATGGCACTACTTCACAGACATGTTTGACTTCTTGACGCTGAGCGTTGTCATCAATGACCAAATCTTCTGCGTGCATGGGGGTAAGTGCCGTTTCCTCCTTGGCAATTCTTGCTCATGCTGTCAATCAGAGCTGACTATTACGTCCTAAACAGGCCTGTCCCCCTCAATACACTCGATCGACCAAATAAAGATTATCGACCGTTTCCGCGAGATCCCCCACGAAGGGCCTATGGCTGATCTCGTTTGGTCCGATCCTGACCCGGATCGTGACGAATTCTCCCTATCACCCGCGGCGCAGGCTACACGTTTGGGGCACAAGTTGTGAAGAAATTCCTCGCCGTCAATAATATGTCACACATTCTTCGGGCACATCAGCTCTGCCAAGAGGGATATCAAGTACTCTACGATGATCAGCTTAGTACCGTGTGGAGTGCGCCCAACTACTGCTACCGGTGCGGCAACATGGCGAGTGTGTTGGAGGTCAGCGACACCGGAGAACGCTTCTTCAATGTTTTCGCAGCTGCGCCTGAGAACGACCTGCACAAAGACCTTTATCTTGGCGGCGACAAATCCGCTGATGGAAACGCACTCCCTGACTACTTCCTCTGATTCGCATAGCTGTTTGTCATAGTAGCTGGATATTTTATCGTTATACTAATTGCATGATGCATGGCGCATGAGGACCCTCGACGCCTCCAATTGAACAATCTTTTTTTTTTTTCAACCAGATTTATCACCATCCTCTTTCGTCGTTAGGGGCTGTTGCGCCGCCATAACGCAAGGAAGCATGCGTGTGGAGTCACCCGCCTGCCTGTGCCTGTCTCGAGATCGAAGTCAACGTGTGTCTGATCTTGAAGTATATTGTTTAATGGAAAGGCCCAATCGTAATCATAAATAGCAACGCTGCAGGGCGAGGGGATCCCTTGCATCCGGCATATTGCTTCTTTTTTTTGTTTGTCTTCTCCGTGCCTCTGGTATCTCTCTACACCCGTTCCTAGTTCCTAGCCACCGTAGTGGAATAGATTCACATTTCCTTTCCTTCACCCACGTAGCGTATTGGTTTTGGTTTTTCTTTTTCCTGTCTGTCTCTCTCCTTTCCGGGGGTGCGGGCGTGTGCGAATGCGTGTGTTTTGGTGTTCGGGGAAATATGGGGCGAATTGTTGGACTGATTACCAGTCCTTGGAGATGTCGAAGCTCCATTCGAACTCGAGATGCTTCTTCTTGTCGTCGTCGACGAAAGTTGAAACAGCGTTGTAGTGGCCACGGGCGAGCATTCCGCTCGGAGCATCTTCTTCGGTGACTATAAGTGTTCACACGCACGTGGTTAGTAAACTACAATACCCCAATGTGCCGCTTCTTTCCATTCAATTATGTTCTGGGGAGTAGCCCGTGGGGTATGCTTACATCGCTTCTCGTACACTCGCTGCTTGTCGGTGTTGGGGGCGTAGCTTCCTATATCGTGAGTAAGCAACGCTGGTCTTGGCCTCAGGCATTTGGGAGAGGGAAGACCTTGACGTACAATCATTTCAGAGTCCTTGCTAACCCTGATGCCCTTCCGCTTCACGACCTGGACGTAGTGGAGGCCGCTAAGGATCTCATGCTGGACCTTGAACGTGGCAACCATGGTGAACTTGGCACCCTCCTTAATCTTGAAGGGCTTGTCCTTGAGTGCGAGCTCACTCCCGGCCTTGGAGAGGTCGATGCGTACGGGATCGCGGCCGGGACTCTCCATAGTCAGGGCGAGGATGATGCACACTCGAGAGTCCTTGGGGTCGGAAAGGTCGGTGCCGCCACCGAGGCCGAGTGACTCCTTGTATCGCTGGAGGGATTCGTCATTGGAGTCTGCAAGTCGGGTTAGCAGGAAAGGGTGGGTTATTTAGATCAGGGCGGATAGGCCCTTCGTCGAGCAGCAACGCGGTGATGGGGATAGAAAACAGGCGGGGTAGCTCTTGGGTCCAATCCCCCAAATCTACCAGTGTGGATTGGTGCTGGACAGCAAAAGAGCCATGGTTCAAGGGAACCCCAAGATGACTATAGATAGACTGAACAAAACAAAAGCTGGCATACCCATATTCTGGTAGTCTGCGAGACTCTGCTTTGGCTGGGTGAGCTTGTAGCCCTGAGTCTCCTCGGGCATGGTCTCGTCATCGTGGGATGCCATGGTGGTCGGGTTTAATGATACGGTATCAGTAAATTTGCTCGATGATAGATGCTCAAGCACACAAACGGGAGTGCTTTGGAATTAATGAGCTATATAGAAGAGGTCTTCGGGCGCCTTGGTGGAGGATGGAGTTTGGGGAATGCACAAGGAAAAACAACAGTCCAGGCTGGACCGGTAGGAGGGGTATTAGCTCATGATGGATGTTTCGAGAGCGGAGTGGAGGCCGGCAGGAACCTTGGCTTGGTGGGGTCGACCCTGGGCTCGAGCGAGCCACCCAGGACGGCCCAAGATTGAACTGAATGAGTTGAGCTGGGGTTTGACACCTTAGGGGCGGGGAAGGGGAGGTCTGGGAGGTGGGGAGAGGATCAATCGATTGATCCAACATGCCTCAGATGCCTAGGGTCGCGCATCTTTGTTAACCGTTGGCAATCAATCCGTCTTCTGCTTTCACAAGTGAGGCTGGAACGGTTTTGGAAAACTTGACGGAAGGTTTGTTTCAATTTCGATGCGAAGGAGTATGGAAGGGGATGCTCCTTTTCCTCCTTCTCCCCAAGGCTCACGCTCGTTGCCATCTCCTTTCCATGTTCAAGTGTTGTGGCACCCACGTATACAGTAGATCCATCAATAGATCCATGGACGATACGAAAGGACGCTTTCTCTTCCTTCATCTTCGAGCTGCCGATGCGAACTTCCAACATCGGAGGGTGCTCGGATTTTTTCCTTTTTTTTTCTTTTTTCTTTTTTTCTATTTCTTTTTGCTGGCTGCATCCTTCAACCCTCGACCTCTTTTCAGAAGAAAAAGGGGTGTAATATTAACTAGAGCCCATTTCACCGTCCTCCCAAGTGGGTTGGAGGTGCGACGGCAACTTACAAGTAAATAGTGGGCGCCCGAGGTGAGGTGGGCCGGGCCGCACGGCCATAATGTGCCCTGGCTTATCCCCTTTGACAAAGGAAATAGTGCAAATCGGCCATTGTGCTTCATAGTGTAGTACTCTTTTATTAGGAACAGTGTGTTCCGTTGCCTGAACTACTTCGTATCAAGCTTGCCTAATAAACCCGTCACTCTTTGAACAAGTACGCTGCAACTAGGACCGCTGGGTCACGGTCGAAGATTACATCAACGTATAACCAGCCCTTACCCAATTGCCTAACGGTGAGCAGCAGAAGCCCTAGGATTCAAAGAATTGCATAAACAAAAGACACCAAGTCCCGTCTTCGGAAGCAAGCTCGGCCAGGTCTTTTGATGTGTAATCTCTGGGAAACGCACGGGCCAGCTCCCTTCAGCAAACCAGAGGTTCGCGCTTGTGTTGTCCGTCCCTTTCTTTTCTACCGAGACGCTCTTTGTAGTGTACTTATGCCTGGGGCAGCTTTACGGCGGCGGTGGGCGAAGACACGTTGTAAAAGCTTGAGGGAAGCATGGAAATCGCAATGTCCCAGGGAAGGAGGGAGAGATCGCTTGGTTGATACAATACAGTCTGTACATGACATAGTAACACAGTACGTTTGGCCTGGTACAGCTACCAAGGCCCAGAAAAGTACGAGTGTCAGTTCTCGTAGCAGTACTCTCCAGCTGGGGATAGCATGGGGCGGATGGGTTGTAGCTTGAGCAATCTTGAATTCTCCTCGTGACCCGCTAGGCCTAAAGAAGGGGTACGGTACGAGGCGAACCATCTTCTCTCGGTACCCCATACATTTGGAAGGTTCCGACAGGTACAAGCTCGACACGACCTTACACTTTCATCTGTTAAAGGAGTACATGCGTCTAAGCGCAAGTCTAGCTTGTCAAAAGGTATACAGATAACCCCCGATTGCCAATTTACCGCCAGCGCATAGACCAGCGCATCCAGAATTGGGCTGTCTCTTGAATGCCCCTGACGCCGTCAATTCCTTAGCTGGACACCCACCTCCAATGTTCCCAATATTCTTCCGCGTCTTGTTCCGTCTCCCGTCCCTCCTCCTTCGCCGAAGGGACCCCAGGCCAGCACAGTCCCTCACAACCCCCATCCCACGAACGCCCAGGGTCTCCCTTCGATTGGAAAAAAAGTGCACGGCACCCTTCGCGTTCTTTTCAGTCACCCACCCAGTCTCATCTCACAACTTAAACCCATTACCTTGCTGAATTTCCCCAACACACAGGCCAATCTTCTCTTTCTTCTCTGGTCGCACACGATTCTGCGACGGTTTTCATCCTGTTGCGCCTCTTCTTTTTCCTCCTATTTTGATATAATCCTCCATCCTGTGATGGAATATTGATGCCTCTAGTCACTAGCTTGGTAAGTTCTGACCCAGCAACGAAATGCGCCAGCTGTCGAGCTTTTTTCTTTTTTTCTCCCTCTCGCCTTCCAAGGCCTATCATCGTGTTTTGAGAAAATACTCTCTCTTCCCCTCCCTCATCCTCCCTAAGAACACCTTCATGGCGACGGCGCAAGTCAATTTTCAAAATAATTCGGGGACAAGCTTCTAATTGCGCGGGCTTGCCGTTTTATTCAGCATTGATTACGATTCTTTCAGCGGTCGCGTCTGTGGGCTTGGTCGTTGCATCCTAGCGTCTTGCGACCACGTTTTCGAAAATTGACCAAGTGTCATCAGTTTCATCCTTTTTCTCCCACAACCACATCAAGAAGCGCGTCACCGCAAGGTATTGATATCTACAATGTCTCCCAAAGCGCAGAGGAGTTTGCCGGAGAAGGTAAACCCTCTCCTGATCGAAAGTATTCCCGAATGTATGATCCATCTTCCGTCGTCCTCGCTCTGCCTCTCGCGACTAGTCACTCACAAAAACACGTCTTTACTCCAGACTCGGATCTCGTTTCGCGTCGTCGACTCGGCCAAACCCAACTAACCCCTAAGATGGTCGGGGTTGGCGCCGCTGAACAGACGAGCCTAGGCGCGTTTGACTACGCTCACCTTCGCGCGCCCCTACCCAAAGGTATCGTTTCGGGCATCTTCAAGTGCAGCCCCAACAGCTATTTCCTGATGCGCCGCAGCCATGACGGATATGTATCCGCCACTGGCATGTTCAAGGCCACGTTCCCTACGCCGAGGCCGAAGAGGAGGAGAGGGAGCGCCAGTATATCAAGACTCTGGAGACGACGAGCCCCGATGAGACGGCCGGGAACATCTGGGTGCCGCCTGAGCAGGCGCTGGGCCTTGCGGAAGAGTACCAGATCACCCCTGGATCCAGGCCCTTCTCGATCCTGCCAAGATTGCCGTCTCTAGCAGCGCGTCGGAGAATCCCTCAAAGAACATCAGCGCCCCTCCCAAGTTTGACATTGCTAAGCACGCGCCAACGCTATCTGCTGCGGCCCCCAGCCTCGCCCCCTACCCCAACTTCGCTTGCTCGATCGCGTGGCCGCCGATCCGTTAGCCCCTCGAAGCTCCCCAAGAAGGTCGTCGCGTCGCCGCGTAAGCGTTCGACGAGGGTCAAGTCAGAATCAGTCGACCCCCGCGAACGAGGAGCCGCAGTCAATCGGTAGACGTCGAGGAAACGAGCGCGCGCGCTTCCAAGGAGGCGGAAGCCAAAATCGAATCCCTCGTGATCCTTCAGTCGGTCGAGGAGGAGCCCTCGAAGGCCGGCGCGGAAGACGACGAAGAGTCTGCCGCCCAAGAAGAAGAAGCCGGCGAGAAGAAGTCCTCTGAGAAGACGAGGAGGAAGAAGAAGTCTGCGGATCTGGGCAAGATTCACCTCTTGACCGCTGGCGAACCCCCTTCTAAAGAGGAGACGTTAAAGATGCTAGCCGAAGCCAAAAGATGGTTGAGGAGGCGGTTGAAAGCACCCCCGTCTCTCCTTCTGACGAGACTTCTATAGACAGCCCCGTTACAAACGGCGACGTTGAATCAAAGAAGAGCAAGCGCAAGGCGCAAGATATATCCGTCTCCGACGAAGCCGACGAGAAGGAGGAGGAGAAGGAGAAGGACGCCGAGCAACCTGATGAGCGTCGCACGAAGAAGGCCAGGACCGAAGTTGAAATCCGCAAGGAGCGTGTCAGGCAACGCGCGCTAGTAGGCATTTCTGCCGCTGTTGCTGTCGGGTAAGAATACTCGGCCACCCCTTTGTGCTTTGGTCTTGTTGCGAAATAACGTACCTTGTGCTAACGATTTGCGTCCACATAGTGCCGTCGTACCATGGCTCATCGGGCTGATATAAATCGACAACCCAAACGGGTCGGGGGTATCCCCGTTTGGTTGACTTGCGGATGTAATATGGATTGGAATTCGATGGGAATGTCGAGGCCGGTGTTGATCAGGTTTCTTTATCTTTTTGGTTTTTGGGGGTACCACCTGCGCATGTCGACGATAGAAACCTCTCGACGGGCTCCTTGCCACAGTTTCTCTCTTTTTTTCTTCTTCGCTTTTCGTTTCCCGGCCCTGTTTCTTGGTTCTTCTTGTCCCTTCCCCACATCTCTTCATTCTTCAATATTGCTTTATTAACCATACCCGTCCATATCATGACCACCTTCCTCCCACTCTTTTCACTTCTCAATCCCCGTGGGTGGTGCACTGTTTATTCTTGATCCTCAACTTACCTTATCTTTTTAACACTATTCTCTCTCTCTCTCTCTCTCTCTCTCTCTCTCTATACTTTATTGCCTCATTTTCTTACTACCGTCAATTGATTCCAACACTACCAGATCCCGCAAACCCCTTCCTCCTATACCCACACACGCGACACGCTGGTGGAACCTCTGAGGGCTTGGCTTGCTTGGGGATCACGTCCCCTAGAATGACATGGCGAAGAGAAGTCGTGAAGGGAAGAGTAGGACGTTGATCCGACAAAATCCAAGGTCGATCGATAGAACAGTGGAAAAGTAGATAGACGTGTAAACGTCGCATCATTAGAAGATGTGCCGCGATTGGCTTTACTGAGTTATGCCAGTCGCTATCCCCGAAGCCCGAGAAAAGCACGCTCGGGTTCTCCTATTTCGAGTACCGGATGCCAACCTAGAGTACATGTACGTGCGTGCTAAAGGGCGGGGAAAGGGGGCGAAATCTCGATTTTCGGTGCTCAGCGAGCGCGACTTGACCCAGCCGCCGTCACTCAGCAATGAGCGATATCGGTGGGCTTGGGGAGTTAAGTCCTTATCAAAGCAACGATGGGCTCTGCTCCGTTCTGGCGGTTCCTCGACAAAGAGGGACGCAGTTACTCTACTTGGTGGTGGTGGCACACAATTCCGCCGAAATGGGTAGGACCGGCAATGGGCGGCTCACTAGTCCGAGGAACCAGCTCGGCCCTTTGGTCTCACCCCGTCTCACCCCGCATTCACTACTACAAATCCCCCAGAATCGAAATCCGGGGTGACGTTGGCGAACCCTGCCGCTCTAAACCCCTTTGCGACACCTTGAACACTGATTCCTTTTTAATGCCTTCGTGACGTCTTGGATTCCTCCTAAACTATCAATCGATCCGTCGACCAACCTCTAGCCCCATTACCACTAAATAAACGTATCCACGCATCTCATCACTGCACTCGTACCAGTCTGTGAAGGAAGCCCTCCTTCTCGTACCAAAGGCTACCAAGTGATACCCAGCGATGGCGAGTCTAAAGATATTACGGGCGGTGCCGAGCCACCGGAGAGCATTCTCTTCCACTACCCGGCGGCTGGATACGTACGGCTTCATCGGGCTGGGTCAAATGGTGAGTCGGTGTTAGCAGATGAAGCAGGAGCAACTCCGATCCTTGAGGACTTGGGGTATCCTACCAGGCGTGTCGCCTACTGCTTGCTCATGACTTCAGACTAACGCGACATTTCCGTTCCACGATGTTTAGGGATTTCAAATGGCCAAGAACCTCCAGAAAAAGTTCCAACGACAGACACGATCCTGGTCTTCGACATTAACCAGGCCGCGGCCGAGAAGCTCGTGGCCGAGGCGCAAAGTACGGAGGCGGGCGGTGCTAGGATACAGGTGGCATCCAGCGCGTTTGAGGCTACCAAGGACTCGGTAAGTCAGGACATTGTCAATCTGTCGCTCCCTTCTACGCAGTAATTTTTTGGCCTTTGCGTATACGCAGAAAAGTGAAGAATAAGGAAAAGAAGGAAGTCCCGAGTTGGGCACAACCTGGGCCGCGAGGTTGAGGAGGGGAAAAGGGAGAGAGAGAGAGGTGGAAGGGGGCGGGGGAAGTGTATACCATGCGTCCTAGAAAAGGGAAGCTGCGAGTTTGGCCAAAACTAGAACTAACGACTTCCGAGTTGGCAGGATACCATCATCACTGTTCTCCCTGAGCCTTCACACGTTAAAAAGGTCTATTCGTCCATCCTCGAACAATCCCTCCCTCAGCGCGACCGACTTTTCATCGATTGCTCAACCATAGACCCATCATCATCCCAGGAAGTAGCGGGATGGCTAAAGAAATCCGGTCAGGGTCGCTTCGCGGATGCTCCCATGTCGGGAGGGGTAGTCGGCGCGACCGCGGGAACGCTAACTTTCATGTTGGGAGCGGACGATAACCTCGTCGCACGGCTAGAGCCGATCCTGCTCCGGATGGGCCGCCGGGTGCTGCACTGCGGGGCGCAAGGAACGGGGCTGTCGGCGAAGCTCGCAAACAACTACCTGCTCGCCATCAACAACATCGCGACCGCGGAGGCGATGAACTTGGGTATGCGCTGGGGCTTGGACCCGAAGACTTTGGCCAACGTCATCAACGTGAGCACGGGCAAGTGCTGGCCATCTGAGATTAACAACCCGGTCAGCGGAGTAATAGAGGAGCGCCCGCCGGGCGTGACTATGCCGGGGGCTTCGGGGTCTCGCTGATGAAGAAAGATCTCAAGCTCGCCATCCTCGCGGCCGAGGAGGCGGGTGCGCGACTAGAGCTGGGCGGCAGGGCCAAGGAGGTGTATGAGGCCACAGAGAAGGACGAAAAATGCGCCGGAAGGGATTTCTCGGTGGTCTACAGGTATATCGGCGGTAAAGAAGTGTAAAGGTGCAAGCGACACAGTGAAACGGATGGTCAAGAGGGTTTGCGCGGGATGCAGCCGCTTTTGTGGCCTACTAGTTCTATACCGCTGCATGAAAGTGCTTCGTCGCTTCGATTATGAATAGATTAATTATCGGCCTTTAGTGGTGCCGCCCCTCCGGAAGCGAGTCCTCAACCTCTACCTTATTTGTGGTCGCCCTGATGTTCCCCGGAATTTCATAGGACACACCAGAACAAGGCCTCTCCCGGCCAAAACCACAGCCCCGAAACAAATCTGGGCCACTCCGTTTCAGTAGCAGACAATGTCGGAGGTATCAAACCAGCTTTGCTTTACCCATTATCCCTATCCCATTCCAGTCCTCGGTGATCCATAACCGTCTTCGTTCTTATTGGAGCTGTGCTTCCAGTATAACACTCATTTCGAGTCGCGGTGGTGTGATAGCCTTGTGCCGTCAAGCAGGCAAAGACGGCCAAACCTGCAAGTATCTAGATGAGAGCTATGATCTGATGGGTTGCCTGCTCGGTCGAAGAGGTCTTGGCTGCCAGTCGCGAAGCATTCTGGCGATGCGCGCCGCCAGAAACAGCGCAGCGTCGCAGCCTTTGGAACCAATTTTGAACACTTTCGGAAACAACCATCCGGCAAGCCCGCCATCTGGACCCGAATACGACTTGCGTGCGACCATGTGCGGGAGCCGAGTTCTCTATTGCTCGACGGGCCTGAACAGGAACGAAAAAGAGAATGCGGGCAACGTGGTAAGAGGGAGAAGCGCCATTTTGCTCTAGCTGCTTCTGAGGATGTTTTTCGACACCCCTGTCGTAGCTCCCGCCCGCTTCCACCATTTCGGTTCGCTCTTGTTTCCCATTGCGCCTGACGAGGGTTCGCGATCTAGCGCGGTGCTTTCATCTTATCTTGCCTTTTTTTCTTATTTTTTTCTTCGCCCCTCCTTGAGGTTGTTGATCCTTGTGTGCCAACGATTCCAAGTTTGCGATCTTCGAGATCGTCTTACACCGGCGCAGCAGCACTTTTAATCTTTTTTCATTTCTACTCTTTCCTGGGGGTCGCTTTGAAAGTGAAGAGGAGAACGAAGGAAAACAATACACGACAAGGGCTTGAGGAAGAGCTGCCTCCAAGTCTTTCCTTTGCGCGGCTTAAAGACTCGACAACGCCACTAGAGATACCGCATTGAGACCCAATCTTCTCCAACATGTCGCAAGATGGCAACCTACGGGCCTCTTTCATGGCCTGCGAGGAGCTCTCCGCCTATTGCCCAGTCGAGGCCACCGTCCTAGGCTACGCTCCGAATATGGGCGCCAGCATTTTCTTCGCCATCGCCTTTGGCCTCGCCGCCGTCGCCACCATCGGAATCGGCATCTGGAAGCGGACGTGGACCTTTACCGCCGCGGTCGGCCTCGGTGCTGTTCTTGAAACCATGGGTTCGTTCACCCATCGTATCGCTTTGCTCCGTACTCTTCCTTTTAGCCTTCCGTACTTCCTTTTGTTCTTGTGACCGCAGCTTTTTTCCAAGTCCTGCACTTCTTCGGCCATTAATGGAACTCTGAGTGAGGAATATAACTAACCAAGTTTGGCCAACGCATAGGCTACGCTGGGCGTGCCATATTGAGCAAAAACCCGTGGGACAAAGATGCCTTCCAAATGCAAATATGCGTCATTATCCTTGGCCCCACCGTCATCTGCGCCGGCATCTATCTCATCATCAAGCACATCGCCCTCAATGTCGACCAGTCCCTGTCCCGGGTCCGGCCCAGGTGGTACCCGCTCTTCTTCCTCCCCGCCGACGTCTCATGCCTGCTCGTCCAGGCCATCGGCGGCTCCTGGCGGCTGCCGCCGGAAGCACCAATCGCAAGCTGCTCGACGGAGGCAACCGTGCCATTATCGCGGAATCTGCCTCCAAGTCGTCGTCCTCTCACTCTTTGGGCTCGTGTCCGGCGAGTACATCTTCCGCGTCCACCGCAAGGTCAAGTCCTTGGGCCGGGAAGAGGCCGAGAGCCAGGGTATGGGCTTGTGGTTCGAGAAACGGTTCCGAGTCTTTTAGGGGCCGTCTCTACTGCATACCTCGCGGTGCTCCTTCGTTGTATCTACCGGTGAGACCCCCTTTGCCCTCCCTTCTCTCGCTTTGGCGACCGACTTTAGTGACTAACGTCTGGCGCTGTTATCTCCTCTTCAGTATCGCGGAGATGGCTGGTGGATGGGGGTAAGTTGATCCTATTTTCGCTTTCAAACGTTTTGTGTTCCACGCCGCCATTTATAAATAGAAAGAATAAAAATGAGCAACGGCTCTGCAGAGTCCCGCTGAAGCTAACCTATCCGCAGTAACCACATTATGCAAGACGAAATCTCCTTTGTCATACTTGACTCTTGGTGAGCTCCCCGAAGACCCCTCCCCCACCTCATCGAGATGTTTGCGCGCGTAACTGCCGACTAGCCACGGCATTGGGCTTCCATCCATTCTTGTTCAGCCGAGAATATCAGGTTCAAGATGGGCTGGAGGAGAAACCTTTGCCCGCGCTTCCTAGAGGGCGGATAAACTGCTAACACTCGTCTTCTACTTAAGCCTCTGCCTCATCGCCGTGTGGCTTCTCACTATTTTCGCGCCCGGCATCTATTTTCCGGAAATGGCTATGTCAAGAAAGAAGAAAGACGATGGTGCCGAGAAAAGCGCGGCCGCCACGGAGGGTGTTCTCTCGGAAGGAGCCGCTACTGAGTAACTTGACAGCCGCCTTTGGCCTTTTCATCGTTTTTGCTTCATCAATAGTTCCGTGTAAGACTTTTCAGCAGGAGGCGTATTTGGCGTTCTTAGCACGTATAACACGAAACGTGCCGGCTCCTGGGACAATGGAAATGTAGCCCTTTCCCCTTCTTTTATTTTCTCTTCCCTTCTTCGATGTTAAAACCACGCGTCTGTACTTTATATTGAGCTTCCCCAGTCTTAGTGTCTATCGCTCGTCATAACTATGCCATATGCAGACCGCTAGTAGCATGCCCTTTTCACCAAAAAAAACGATCCAAGGAATAATGTGCCTCGCAAGACGACTGACTGCATGGCCATTTATCCAGACTACCCATTAGCTCTTGACTAACCTATCATTTTCCCCACCACTCTCCTCTTCGTAGTCTTCTTCACCAGATTCCTCCTCATCCTCATCCTCACCCTCTTCCGAGTCTTCCTCCTCCTCCTCTTCCTCGTCGTCATCGTCGAGTTCTTCTTCTTCTTCGGAGCTCTCCTCCTCTTGCCCCTCGTCTTCCGCCAACCAATCATCCAGCGTCTTTGACCCGACGGCATCGCCGTTCTTAATGGTAGGCGAGACACTGCTCCCCTTGGACGCCATATTGTCCAATCTCTGGCTGGCAGGGACAACACCTTTACTCTCGCCATAGCTTTCTGTGGGCAGTCCGTTATTCCGCAGGGTTGGGTCAGGCTCGTGGCCCGCTTTTACCCAATCTGGCAAAGGGGTGTAGCCCTTGAGACCATGGATTCCACCCCCACCGGCGAGAACTAGTGCCGACGAACCAAGCAAGAACCCTTTACGTGTTTCAGAGGGACTGGGCGCTTGTGGCGCAGGCTTTGGGGCTAGAAGCATGAGCGTAGCGAGCTGCGGGACCGCGAGAAGGGCTCGATACATCCTCGCGCGGTCTCGGAGGTCGTAGGAAACGTCGTAGCGGACGAGGAGCAAGGCATATTCCCAGAGCTTCGCGAGTTGGTTATTGTCTTCGTCTGGAGATACTGGCGGGTCGAGTTCCGTAATCTTCTCTCCTGATCCCTCATCTAGCTCCTTTTTCTCGTTGATACGGTTGATGTGGTGGAGATAGACCTTGGCTGCTAGCAGGACAATTTGTTGTTTCGCTGCCTCTGATTCCGTCGCAAAGTCTTTGAGAAGGATCCGAAGGACGTCTGCTGCAATGTTATCCTCCCCGCGCAAGCCAGCAAACTCGCCAACGAGCCAGATGATTGTTGCGCGAGCCTGGGGATCCGTCGCGCTGTCAAGATTCTTCGCTAGGCGAACTACAGTGCCTACATGGCCCTCAGGGTCTTGCTGGATAAGGTGTCGGATCACGGTGAGAGATTCAGCTGCTAACCGTCCGTCAAGGCTTGCAATTTGGCCCAGGAGAAGCCGAAGGCACCGGGTCGCCATAGAGCTGTCAGCCTGCGCGCAGCGTCCTATAGCTCGCACAGATTCCCTTACCAACAAGGGATTTGAGGAGCCACGGGAAAAGTGTTCTAGCTCGTGAAGAATCAGGCTCTTGATATGAGCGTTGCTGTGTGGAAAGATGAGGGTGAGAATCTCAAGCTTGAGTTCCCATACGGCCGTGCTATCCGAATCGCGAACGAGAAAATGGTTCGCATACTTTACAAAGTCCTCTGGCCATCGAAGGCAAATTGACACCACGTTGTAGAGGGCCACCTGCTGGATATCTGAGGCGCCGCGTAGGAGCGCAACTAGGGGCCCGATGGCGAGCTTGACGTACTCCCTGGTTCCAAGTTCGGCGTAGCACCTCACCACCGCCACTACCACACCCGAATTTCTGCTCTGGAGGAGGGGCTTTATAGAGTTTAAAAGGAGTTGGAGGTCGGGATCTAGGATGACTTCGGAGCTGTTCGTCTCGACCCCCGTATCATCATAGAAGCCTTGCAAATCTGCCGCTTGGCCAGATTTCTCAGCCAGACCAGCCTTTCGGGTCCGCCTCGGGAAACATTTCCTTGCATAGTATGCCGCCATGCGAAGTGTGGCGAGCTGTCCCCACTCATCCATGTCAACAATCTTTTTGACCAGGCTTCGGTAATTTTTGTGGATGAGATCGATGCGCTCAGGGCACATCTCCATGAAGGAGATGACGGCGGCACCAGCGACATAATACTGTTTATCGCCTAGAAGGGTCGTGAGGTAGTCTACAAGCTGCGGTTCTTGGCTTGGATCAAGCCGATAGCATTTCGGTATCGCTAGTGCAGCAGCTCGACGAACGTAGGGACTCATATCGGCGACGCCCTTTTTGATGGCAAGAGACACGATCTGACTGATTACGGGGACTCGAATACCCGACATGGTCTTGAGGGCTAGGGCTCGTACTTGGGCGTCTTTGTCCGAGAGAGATTTTGGATCGTGTTGATCGAGAGGAGTGCTAGGTCCGGCTCCTGCTCGGCGTGGTGGATCAGATAGATGTATACGAGCTTTTTGATCTCGATGTTGGGTGACGCGACATTCTTTACAATGGATGAAAAGAAGGGTAGGGTTTTTGCGATCGGTACATCATCTATTGTCTAGCGATTAGTTCTCTGTCTGGGACCCGGTGCGCAAATCTAGACAGCGACTTGAGAGTGCTAGATATACCGCTAGGACCCGGCGCAAACCGTCGAGGACATCTCGCTCGTTTCTACTGTCGAGCAGTTTCTTGATCTGGGTTCGGTCGAGAGGTCGCGAGTTTCGGGAGCTCCGTGTCGCCTGCGCGGCATCGAGGGTGAGCTCCCGGGCTGGAAAAGAGCGCGGGTTAGCATTTGGGATCGGAGCCCTGGCCTGATTCCGGACATGGGGAATGTTGAAGCTATCATACCGCTCTCGAGGAGCGAGGAAATCCTCGCTAATGACTCCATACTGGGCGTCGGAAGGGAGCGCGTGCCGGTGGTGGAAGCCAGTTGGAGGTTGAGTCTTGTGCTTCTGGCCCGACCTTGGCTGGGGTGACGTCTTGTGCACTTGATCTTATTGGGAGTGGGCAGGACGTGTAGGCGGGGCAGCTATGAAGGGCAGGCAGGTGCAACTGGCAGTGGCAGAACTGGCTCGCGTCACATCCTGGCAACTGCTAACTGAGGGCTCCAAGCTCCCTCCCAGCCCCACCACCGTCCTTACCTGGAACCAAGCTTCGGATATTAGCAACAGGAGAGTCGACTCGTAAAACTAAAGTCAATTCACGCCTCCGGCCAAGAGCTCCGGCGAACACCATGCAGAGACGTTAGATGTTGTGCAGTTAACCCTTGCACCCCTTCCCCCACATTTTCGTGTGCGTTTGAACGACTTTCTACAGGAACTCCCTGACAGGACTCTCTACTTCTTTTATTCATTCACTGAAGAATATAATGAATTGAGATCTGGAGACTGGGCCTACCTCGGACATTGGAGAGTCAAGTAGCAACCCTAGAAACAAACCAGCCCAGCCATTTCACCGGAAATCTTTACGATGCCCACCCTCCCCTTTGCTTGAATAATAAACCTTCTTCCTTTGGTTGGGTGGGCTTATATTTCTTTTGGGGTCCCTTTGACTATCGTTGCTGGCAGAGCCCTCCTCGCCCGCGGCCTTCCTCGCATATCCCCAGCTCAATGACACACTTCCTGGCACCGGCAACCCCTCGGAACTCCTCGCTTATCTTGTGGCCCACCAGGCGTACCCGACGACTCTCATCCTATGTTGCCCGCGCCCCGAGTTTCAGCAGGCACTGTTGCACAATGTCGCTGTCGCATTGAACCCTACTGACCGTTCGGTGGATGCTCAAACCGAAGGGCCAAGCGCTTCGCCAAAGGACGCGAGCCTGGAACACGCCCCTCAAGCGCTCGTATCTACCTCATTACACCAAGCAGCTATTGCAAAACATATACGGGTGCTTTTCGCACCGACAGTCTCGCATCTCCGAGCTTGTCTTGCTGCCTTTTCGCCTTTAGGGTCTGGCAAAGTCCCACCACCTCCTCTTTACGCCGGCGTTGCGCTTGGTGACCCATCCGCAAAGCCATTTATAGTGCTCTACGGCCTCTTGGATGCTCATAGGGATACTAGCGAATGGAACGCTCAAGGTATCTCATGCACTGCCAGCATTCTAGTAGATACAGCCCACCGTACGAACTACATCCCCGTCCTTGTCGAGCCAAAGGACGACGACGGCCATCCCAGCCTCGAGACCTTACTTGCGGAAACAGTTCCCTTGCTCGACAACACTACGACGAGTCAAGGGGCCTGGTCAGGAAGGAGAGTTGATATTCGCCGGGTTCTTGAGCGATGGTTTGACTTTCATGATGGGCCGCTGACGGAAGATCAGTAGCGAAACGTGGGATGAGATGATGAAATGTTCAAGAATTATGGTCGACTTTATGATTGGGTTTTGTCCCACAAGATGGCCCAACAAAGCCAGGCTAAAGAACCTTGAACCCTCCTTCTACCTCGTGAAATATGGGATGCGATTCCCGAGGTGCGCCGCCTTTCGCCCATCCCTAACGCCAAAATAACATGGTATTCCTTCCTCCTTTCCTCATACAATAGTCGTTATAAGTACCGGCGTTCTAAACGGACCCGCGTGGTAGAAACAAAAGAATATGCAAAAACGAGGCACTCGTCGGCATCCACAAGCCTAGAGGGCCTGCTCCATCTCGGTGATGTATAATTTGATGTGGGCCTCCATCTTGAGGTATTCGTCGTAGGCGCTGTGAACTTCGTTTTCGATATTCTCCTTGAGATCAAGCATCTAAAGGCACATCAGCAAAGGTTAGCAAGGGCGTCTCTCAAGCGACTGGGTCTGAGCTGAGGCATGTTTCATACCTTCTTTTCTGTCTGCTCGATCCTCACGCGCCTCCTCTCCATTTCTTTCGACTTCTCCGTCCGTTCCTCCGTCAGCTGCTTATGGGTCGCGCGGAGCTCTTCCATCTTCTCCTTGGCGTCGTTTGCCTTTGCGGCAGTCTGCTCGCGCAGTTTCTCTGTCCGCTCGTTCCAACGGGCTAGCTGGCGCTGGAGGGCAATCTCTTCCTTTTCCACGGCGCGAACATTATTACCCCTCTCGGAAAGCGCCTCGCGCTGCCGCGAGTTCTTGGAGTTTTCCTCTTCTTCCTTGCCCAGCTCAGTGGCGATGTCGTCGAGCATCTTGATACACGAGGCAACGTCCGTGGACACGACCGAGAAGGAGTTGGCCGAAGTTTGGAGGGCACGCGCCCGCCTGTCCAGCGCATCAATGTGCGCCCTGTCGTTGGCTAGGGTCTGCCCCAATTCGTGCAGACTGGACTGGAGCGCCGCGGGCTTTGCTGAACATATGGCCTCAGCTTTTGGCTTTCCTGCTTCATGGCGATCTTGGCCGCCGTCTTGTCCTCGAGCGCCGTCGCCAGCTCATTCTTCTTGATCTTGGCCTCCTCTAGCCTGGCGGCAACCTTTTCTTGATTGCGGCGCAGCTCTAGGAGCTTTTGCTTGAGCTCCTCGTTCCTCATTGTCTTCTCCCGGACCTGCGCCTCCATCGCCTTGCGTCTATGCCTCATCTCCTCGAGCTGCGCTTCCTTGTCCTGGTTGTCGCCGTACAGCGTCTCGATCCGCGTCTTGGTGGTCTCGGCGCGGTTAAAGTGCTCGTCGATGATGGATGTTTGGCTCTCGCGAAAGCGGACAAAGTTGATTAGGTACGAGAATATCCTGATGAGGCGCTCGCGCGTCGGTCGGTAGAGGTCGGCAAAGCAGAAATCGTTAATCCCACACTCCAACAGCAACCTCCGGAGCGACACATAGAAGCCCATCAGGTTGCGGGTATCAGGCGGGATTATGTCCGAGTACTCGCCGCACACCTCTTCGGCGCCGACGCGCATGGCAGGCTCAATGACATCTCGTGTCGCGTTGAGGAGAAGCTCGGCGAACCATTCGAATATCATCTGCACCTGCACCGGGTTCGGCTTTTGGAGATCGGCAATCGTGAAATTGATGCCAATATCAGTGATGCACCCCACGATCTCCTTCTCTGACAAGCGCATAAAGGCATCGGCCTCTTCTTCTTTCTTGCGGGTCCGGGATTGTTGTTGCGATGGCAGGATGCTCATTCGTGCGTTGTACGCCATCTCGCTGTGGCCCGGATTGGAGGGCAAAATATCTCGTTCGTGTGTAGTCGAAAATTGCTAGGTGAACCTTGATTTCAAAGAATACCGATCTTGGCAGGAGGGTGGTCGTCTTCTGGTGTTCGTGTTCAAATTTTGGGTTGAACGATTTCCCCCATCCCACCCTCCTCGGAAATCAATAAACACCGTCGCGTTCCTCAGACAACTTCCCACGACGAAGGACTGGTTGTGCTTAGTCATCGCGTTGGGCTGGGACGCTCTTTTGTGAGACTCGCACTGATCCCCGCTATTTTTTTCGCTGCACTGGATGCCATCAATTGAATTGCTTCAAAGGACCATCCAACGAATTGTCTTTGTCGGCAGGTTACACGTGATCACCTGCCTTTTGATTGGCCCTTGAACTCGCATCTTGGACGAACCGGATGTAATCCATAATGCCTCTCGTCCACTGTTCCTTGCTTGATTTCATCACCCCTGCGACTGAGGGCTGAGAGGAAACTTGTTTCGAGTGAGCGTTGCTTGATTGCTTGGCTTACCGAGCACCGAGTTTGTGCCTAGGTGCCCTTTCCTTCCACGAGGAGAGAACGTATTTCGGGGGCAAGTGAGATTTTGGGAGGGGCCCAGGGTTATCGCCACGCCGTCACCTCCCCGGTCCTTCACCCCCACTTCATTGCGCCAGCCTCATTCCAACAACTCATGGGGTGACGCAAGACCTGACATCGAGAGGCGACTCCAGCAGGCGCCAGAGTTATGTTGGCAGTATGAGGGGTGAGGGGTCAGCTCCACACGGCTTTCCTCGACGGAGGCAAAGGAGGATTCAAAGCAGGCATAAGTTCTCTGATCTCGGTTTGTGGCTGGGGTGCAACCCTGAGGTGAAGGAAGGTGTGATTGAGAGTACCTGGCGATGTCATTCTTCGTTAGGGCTGCTTGGAAATCTCTACTATGATCGACATGATTCCCCCAACGTGGTATCAGTGATCTACAAATATACCCCCGGGTTTTCACGCGGCCCTGTAACAATGGTCGTGGACCACCTCGAATCACCGGCGCCGAAGCCGGTCCCTCGATCGCCAAACGGGACCTCATCATTTTCTTCTACAATTCGAGTCTAAGTTGTTCTCGTGGCCTGCAGACTTCGGGGTATTGAGCCTTCTACCATGTACGGAGTACCTTGGTATGAATGCCATATTCCTCGGTGACTATAATAAGCGTTGCCAGTGGAGGGTAAACAGCACAGCCTCTTCATGGACCAAGCCTTCGAGTTTCGCGTTTGCGGTTGTGAAGGCATGGACGACGGGTGGCGTCTGCGAGGGGATGACATTGACGGCAGCTACTGGGCATTCTTTGCGACTATTATGTTCGCTTCTGTAACCTCTGTAACCCTTGTAACACCACACCATTCTCCGTTCCCAAACCGATGACATGGGAGCCGTTTTCTTGTGGGCATCCAAAGAGCAAGCACAAGTGCTACAGGTATTTTACGACAAGGAAAGCCGAGTAACTTTTGGGTTGCGCGACCCGCCCTAGTTAACCCTCTTCGGTGACATGTTCACTTGATCTACAAGTACGTGGATGGCAAATCTCCGACTTCTGTGCTGCTTCTCATCGGTGCAACCGCAGTGACTATGTCTGCTTCGACCACCCTTGCATCGCACAGGAGGCCAGGTCTCCAGGAAGGGTGGGTATATCATGATGACCACTGGCTGGTCTAGGTGCATCAAGGAAGGCTCATGTTTTCTTCTTGATCAGCCGAAGACAAGCCACGGCCCGCCAGTTCGATTGGTAGGGCGGAACGAGCGACTGTGATTAGCCGGGAGCACAAATAGCCTCACATAATTTCTCCCCCAAGCGCATTCCGCGCAAGGAAATAGTCGAGCTCATCGAGGGCGATTCAGTCGCACCGATTGGCCTGGGCTTAATCTTGCTGTTTCAATGCAGTCACGTCGCGCATTTCCGTCGTTTGGGGGTGAAGGAGAGCGGGGAAAGCACGCTAGATCGATGGGAGAGAGGAAACGGTGATCCGAGCCCGCGTTGGAGTGAGCGCACCGGGGCTCGTCAGCCATTGATTGGACAGCTGCTCGAATGACAAGTTGGCCGGGCTTTGATTACCGGCATTCCAACCTGTGCTGCTTTCGGAAGGCCAAGATTGTAAGACTCGACAAGGGTAGAATCATGACGAATCGGCAGCTCGGTTGGCATTCTTCGGAGTGAAATGCAATGTCCACGAAAAAAAGAACATGAAGGGAGTAAGAAAGAAAAAGAAATTGCCTTCCGACGAGCAACTGAGGAAATCATTGCCTCGGTACCTTCGCCCGGATGATAGCTAATTCAACCAGTGCCTCCGATGAGATAAGTGTGTGTGGGTGTGTGTGCACTTCGCACCAGGAATGCCACCCAATGTTGCAACGGGGTTGCTGCACCCGCGAAGACCGCGGATGGATAATGGGGTCCAGGGTCTCGCTGGTGCTGTGATGTGACGGCTTGGCAAGAGCAGGCGTCGTCGGAGAGCAAATAGATTGTTTCAAGACTCCCGAGCCAAAGGAGACGCTCCAGCATCACGCTGTTTCGTTGACAAATGATTGATGGGCACATGGGCCGCTACTAACTTGGTGGATGGATCTCTGGATCAGTTGATGCGGGTGCTGCCCCAATTGATTTGGCGAAATCATTCTTGATGGACGCGGGTTACTTCACAAACATTGAACTCTTCCACCCCCGAGTATGTAGTCACTAAAGGACAGCACGCACTTGCTTGAGTGCACATGTAAAGAGATGGATCCGGCCTTGATCCTTGATCAAGGCATCATTTCCACTCAAGACAAAAAAAACGGGCGAGGGGCGGGTAGAAGGAAAAAGGAAAATAAAGGGGGAGGAAAAGAAAGAAGATGTGGCCTAGAGACAGCGTTAAAGGCTTTGTGGTGTATCTACGGCGACTGCTAATCGCCTTTACTGTAAATACTGGATTCGTTCTGGGAGGCGGGCCTGGCGGATTGGAATAACTAGATAGGCTACAATTCCTTATCAACGCGTAATCTCATACAATTAGAAGGCAACGGGGAAACAAGGGCGTGGTCCTTTAGGTAAAGGCACTCTTACACCTTATAGCCATTTCAGGAGCTTTTATCCAAGCCGGGTTCAATATCTCAGGCGAGTAATGTGCGACATATTGTCTTCTGTTCCAGTCCTCTCCAGGCACGATCAGATGTACAGATGCTGGGTATCAAAGGAGCGGTGGGACATTCAAGCAATTTGAATATGAGACCCCCACTATGACCTTCTCCCTCTCGATCGAGGAGGAAAAATAAGAGCTGACAAGGCGACACAAGGAGAGGGAGGAGACGGGGAAGGTGGGGAGATGGCATCGGGGCACTGGACTGGCTGGAAGCATCGACAAGCTTTCTCGTGCAGGGACGTAGAACCAATTAGTGACTAACTCCCACCTATCTAGAGATAGAGCAGTCGTAAGTGTTCAATCGCTTGAAGAAATTGACCTCTGCATTGGAGCCGATGGATGCTGGAACCCAGTTGCAGGAAGCGGCTGGCGGAAGAGGGGCCAACTTTTGATGCTCGCGAAAGTTCACAGGCCCCAAGCGACCAATGCCGAAGCTGCTTTGGACGAATATAACCCTGGGTGAGCAGGGATTGATGCCACGCAGCACGCACCACGGTCTGCTTAAAGGCTCACTTGCAGGGGGCGATCGACAAGACGTGGGCGTTCAGGTCCCGAAAATTGCGTACCCCTGTTGGGACTGGCGGGCGACCCTGTCTCTCTGGCTGGCGGGTTTCTTTCCCTGTCAGGTTTGGGCGGGGGAAAGGGAGGGCTTTCTCGAGAGAACACTGTTGCAAAGTGACAAAAATGATTCACGAGGGTTTCAGCCTCTAGAATGCAATTTATCGTAGAAAAGAAGCAACGATGGCTGTCTCCACGAGGACTCAACAGAGCGACATGGGGCCGAGAACGCCCTCGGTCAGGTGGGGATGTTGCACCCCCGCGAACCTCTGCTATACCGGGGTATAATGTCTAGAATTGCACGGGATGCCAGTATGCCAGATGCTGCTGGCAAAGACATCGCGTACGCTTGTCGCGGTTTGGCCAAAGGTTGAACACGGCGTCTCCATCCATTTGTCACTACCTACATTGATGTAAACGGATGTAGGTAGATTGGCCGGCCCAAAGTGAGGAATATCAAATTGGCCAATTGTCACCCCATTAAACATGGGCCTTAAAACATTGAATCAGCAGGCAAGGGGTTATTGAGGTATATCATCCAGATCGTCACAAGCCTGCTAGAAATTTTGCGGCGAGGTCACCGATCATGCATTCCAATCAAAAAATGGTCGCTCAGTGTCTAAGGCAAGGCATGACCCCGCGATCTTTTAGTCTTGGGGCGTGGAAATGGGCCACCGTCCTCGCAAGACATCCATTATCCATTACTTGGTTGAGGTCGCTTGGGCCAGGCCCAATTTGGCTAGATGGGTTGATGCACAGTTGACAATGTGGACGCGGCCTCTCGGCAGTCAGCCTTCTTCCCGTTGACATGTAGAGCAAAGTACCTCCCGATCTGGATAACGACTGGCGGGGCCTGACTCGAGACGGATGGGTGGACTCGGGGAGGCAAGTGCCATCCGTCGAGCCCCATCAGGCATAGGCGGCGGCGGCTGGGTTCATGGAGGCCCAAAAAGGCGAGACCAGAAGGCGAAGAGTTTTCCACCGCACGAGGCGAAAAACGAGCCGGGCATCGGCCTCACCAGCACGAACCGATTCTAAGGGGAAATACCTGGGAAATCGCATGAGCGGCCAGCTGCAGAAACTAGTGATATATAACGGTTTCGGGACAGGAGGTACTTCCAGGTTCTCCTCGCTTCTACTTTGGTCCTTTGTCCAGCGCGGCTTGGGAGAGCATTTTGAGTTGGGCAGCCGTCCTCACTTCGGATGGGGTTAGGTTACGTGAATTTGCCTCTCAGGCACCAGAGAGAGAGGGTTTTAGCATGCATGCTTTCTTCCATTCTCCCTTTACCCCTATTAACGTCGACGTGAAATTTGCCTCGCCTTCGAGCAAGACAGGGAAAATCGCAGGTGCGCAGTTTTGCGGAAGTGGCTTGTGTCCCTCAGCCATCAATTGATGCCGTTCCTGGCCCCGGCATTCGAACGAGCATCGATCGGACACGGGTTCCACTTGAAAAGTGGACGGACACCCACAAAATACAGCCCACAGCGAGCGCCCGCCCCAGGCTCAACTACATTCGGTCTAGGGCTGGCTAGATTCGTGTCTGGCTCTGACGTATTATCGCGCTGGTCTTAAACCCCCAGCAGGGAATTTCGAACTTCAGTCAGTGTGTGTGTGTGCTGCTCCCATTCCCTTGTCTCCTCGGCCCCTTGACTCTCTCTCTCTCTTTACTCTCCGATTTCTTCTCTTTTCTTTTTTTCTTAACGGAAGTGTCCCTTGTTTGTCCTGCACTGCACCGATGTCCTGCGAACATGTCTCGCATCTCCTGCCCAGGGTCCACGCTGAACCACAACGTATCCTGAGCCTTGAGTCTTGGATATGCCATTTGATGAGGCAGCAGCCCTGATGATAATGGGGTTGAATGACCGGAAATATAGTCCGTCCATCTCAGCAATGGCTTCGGCCCCCATACTAGGGGCTGCGGCCCGCAAGCTCGTTAATTCGCTATGTGTGCCTTTGCTCAAACCAGAATTGCCCAGGGGGTGTATTAATGTGATGAGCGGTTTTCATGAGTTTGAATCTCGGAGCCATGGCTCGGCCAGGGAAACAGCCCGTGGAATGGAGCCACGTTTGACACGGGCGCGAGCGGCCACATGCACCTATATAGCAACCACATGGCGTCGGCCACTGGCTTTGAAGTATGGTACTGCAAGGTGCCGCATCCTTCATCTGCTGCGGATAGGGGCCGTGAGATCCTCTTTTTATTTTCAATGTTATTTTTCCTGTCCCAAAAGCAGTCCAGCACATAGGTAGGATTCAGGGGCGAGGATGGCGCGAACTTGCTGCCCCGAATTGTCAACGGCGCTGCATGCACCACATCAAAAGAATTGGAGGTTGACCGCCAGGGACAGAAAAGGTACCAGACACTCGGCGCGGGGCGATGAGAGAAGCCAAATCCCGCGATTGATATTTCGAGAGAGACCAAATTCGAACTGACAACACTAAAAGGGGAATATAATAGAATTAGGGTGGAAAAGTCAAGAGACCCTGCTTTTAGGCTTTGGTTCTGAGACATGTATCGACCTCTCAAGGTCAAACAGTGCCCATCAGGAACAACGTCTTTAAACCAACGACCTCCACCCTCCTTCCTATCAAACCAAGGTCTAAGAGTGTGAAGCCTGAGTGGGGCCGGGACTAGATATATACTTTTTTGGAGTAAAAGGGGAAAACTTGTGGATATCAAGAGAAAAGGAGTGAGGGATAAAACGAGCAGCCCCTAAGAGGGGGAGAGAAAAAGCAGCATTCGGTACATCCATGGATCTATGGTGGATGTATGATCTCGACCCAGCGTGGCTAGGTTGCGATGTGTGAATGATATTTGGGGATAGCGACCTCGTGGGATTCACTAATATCGCGGCCACCTCGAGGAGATTAACTAGCAACTAGGCGCAGATGGATATATATAATCCATTGCTGCGAATGTTATGTAACTTCACTGTAGCGAAGGAAACCATCTTCTCCTCTCTGGCTCAATGGCATGCAAGGGATATACTAGCTGGGGCAGACTTGTGGGGAAAGTTTCAGAAATGAGTAGCAATGCTCACGAGATAGTTCAACTAGAACTTGAATTTGATGGTTGGGGTTGATCTATTGGTCTAGGTGCACCTGGTCCAGCGTGTTCAGTGCTGTCTTGCGATCTGGCTGACAGTCGAACAGTCTAACCCGATGCCGTCTATGGATTGATCTATCTGGAAAATGCGGAAAAGATGAATTATCCTATATCTACAGGTACATGTGCATTATTACCTAGAAGCCCCAAAGGGGCCTACATAGGTCACCATGGTTCGGCCAGATGCTCGTATTTTTGGGAGGGGGAAGGTTGTTTCTTTTTGCATTGCTCGTATTCTACCCATGTGGGGAGGGGTTTAATGCCGGATGTGCTGCACTGAGGTGCGACCCTAGCTTCACGAGGTGCGGATTACTGCCGCTAACGAAGATTTAGGGCCTGCCTCATGTTTAGCTGTTGCGGTCTATACATCCATGTAAACTTGAAGGTTGTTGAGAGAACACTAGATCTCCACATGTAACGATGATTACCAGTGGGATTGTGTGGCAGACGAGATGCGCTCCAGTGTCACGACAAGAGGGCGTTGAGAAGAAGGAGGGAAAAGAAAAAAAGAACCCCCAAAAAGGAAGAAAAAAATGTATGTCAGGGAGGCAAGCGTCGGGTCTGGATCTACATACACAATGGTGGAATTGATGGGGATCTATTCATGGATTCATGGGTTGGGTGTACTTGAATGTTAAGAGTGGCTTAATCGTTGGATGACAGTGGCTCCCGATTCCACACGCTCACCACCCCTGGGAATAATCCAGAGACATCATCTATCAACCCTCTGCCGGTGAACCTTGGCTCCTCGACGAAAAGCGCGATGGATGACGGTTGCAAGAAGAAGTACTTTGACAGGGGGTTGAGACAGCCCTCTCTTTGTCTCCCGCTCTGTCTCTCCTCCCTCTCCCTTCCCTTCCCTTCCTGCCAATTGCCAATGCACCTTGGCTCTTCCAAAATGCCACTTAGCCTGACTAAACCCACCCCTCCTCCACACCCCCTCCTCCTTGCTTCCCTTTGCGACTTCTGCCCTTGCCACAAGCCCACTCCCCGGTTGTAACCCAGTCATCGTCCTCGATTCTCCCCAAGTCGCCCCTCCTGCATAAACCTGTCTCGTTCAAGCCTTCCTCGTCTCACTCCCTCTTATAATTGTACCTGCTCCCGATCCCATCGACCCTGCTCGGCTCTGTCGCCTTTTTTTTTTCTTATCCACTTAATCCTCTCTAAGTAATGTTCTGTACATACTTCACCACCGGCACCCGCCCTTTCCGATATCGACGGGCTTGAATTTTCTTGTTCTTCTCTCCTTCACTCAGCAGGCGAGCATAGTCCATACGAAATAGACCCCTCCGCTCTGACGAAGCCGTTGCCTACGCCAATATTCCCCAGTACGGCCGCCCCGTCCTGCTTACATGACGTCTTTTCCTCTGCTCCGCGTAGCTTAGTGAAAAGGATGGCCTCGCACACAGTCTCTCTCGAGAATGACTGGTAGCACTAGCCGTTGTGCTCGGAACTAAGAACTAATCTCCTAACCTCGTTTATCTTCTTGTTGTGTTTCTCGTTTCCTTTATTTTTTATCATCAGATAATCGACATCACCCGCATTCCAGTCATGGCCCTTTGGCCCTTTCGGCGCAAGTCTGGGCGGAAGCGCTCGCGAAGTGGGGCCACCCTCTCCGACTTAGAGGCCATGGCCCAAGTTGACCGATCAGCACGTCCGAGAAGCCGTACAGCAAACGACATGTCCTTAAATCGAAAGGGCACATTAAAGAAGCGGCGCACGGAGCCTGCACAAGGTCCGCGCCGCTCAAGGAGCAATAGTTATTCCCCAGGCCGCCGGGACTCTATTACCGTCTATCCGCATAGCCACGCCCGCGCTTGGCTCGATCCTCGATGCGCCCGAGCGTGCGGTCGTTCGAAAGGATAGAAGAAGGATACGGCTGGGATCAGGCCCCTACCCTCTACGGAAATCGCGGCTCCGTCCGTATCCCACGAAGAAAGAGCAGCAGACAGAAGCAGCCTGGTCATGACCGCGAGGCCGAAATCCGAGCGATGGCCAGCTCAATGTCTCTTCGAAGAGCGAGGGATACGCCAACACCGCCCATGCGCCTCAGTAGCAAGCGGATCAAGGCTGGTATTGGGTTTAGCCAACATTGGGACGGGCCTTCAACGGAAGGCTCCCTGCCCGGCACGGCATCGATACGCTCTGAGATGTCTACAGATTCGGAACACGGCGCGTACCGTCTTAAAACTTTGGAGGCATTAGCGCCTCGCCCTATTCTTCGCTACGAAGCCAACCCCGCTGGCGACCTTCGAACAGCTACGGCCCCTCCCGTACAACCTCCCAAAAGAAAGCGTTTGCTGAACGCCCTGTAATACCCGAGGAAACATTAAAGGCCCACAAACGGGTTGATTCGCTTGCGGATGGTCTTGACGCAAGTGACATTCGTGAACTTATGGAAAGGGACAAGCGGCGGCGCGAGCGAAAGAGATTGACAGAGCAGGCTCGAGTCGAAAAGAGGCTGGCACGACTCGCAGAGAAGCACCTTGCCGCTCAAATCTCGGCTGCCAAGGATGGAGCCCCCCTCCTCAGAATCTCGAACGAGGCGTCGTGGGTAGGGAACTCGCAATGCTCGGTCTTGACCCCGCGTCTGCTGTCGTCACATCTTCAAAACGCCGAACCACCTCCACAGAACCGTCGACCGGGGATAATCGCAACCCATCGAATGACAGAATATCCCCGCAGATTGGTACAAGGTCACCGGTGAACGATTTCCACCGAACCAACAGTATACCTCTCGAGGCAATGACTCCCACGTAGAGGAGGAGAATCCGCCTAAAGATATCCAGTCTCCGCCTTCGATGTCTTCGCACTCCGGGGCGTCTGCGAAGAAGGTTTCCAAAGCCTCCGACTCGACGGCCAAGCCCTTGTCTGATGCAGCTCGATCGAGGTCTACCATCTCTCCGCCACCAGCAACAGTTGAAGAGATTGAGAACGCGCGCAACTCTGGCGGGATGCAAAAAGTCAGGCTGTCCTTTACATCTTTATTCAAATGGGCGAGCAAAAATAACCGCCGCGGCTCTGGTCCCTCGTCCTTTTCCAACGCATCTCGGGAAGAAATGCAAGCCGCAATTCGAAATAGGTCGCCCGTCCCGCCCGAGGAGTCCCCAGCGGTGGCGGTGGGCGTGGCCGTTGGGGTAGGGCGAACGCCAACTCCGACCACACCAATCCCACCCGCACCAGCACCCGTAAGAAGACTTAGCTCGGGTGTGCCAAAGCGGACAAGGTCCCGGTTTAGGGAAGACTTGCCAGAATTACCCTTATCCCCCGGATTCGCGGCTTGCTTCCCCAGATGTGGTGGCCGCGCTTGATGTGGATATCCCAAAGCGGGGATTGGCCTCGCAATCACCTGAACCCCCTCTACCCACGCCTATCGATATCCCGACTCCGACGAGGAAGGCGGGCGACGACGGCTCCCGATACGGCCAGGGTTGGAGGCAATACAATACCTCCCCGAGCCCCACACGATGTCCCTGGCCTCGGTTGACTCAGAGGGGTCATGGCTGTCGGGGCGCCTGGCGGGTGCTGGAATGGGTTCAAGAAGGCCGGCGCGCCGTGATCGCGCCGACTCTCAAGCCACAAATACGAGCGTAGAAGAGGAGCATGGGATTGCCGAGGACGAATACTTCTCCCGGTTAACCCCTGCTCGGTTGATGCGCACCACTTCTAACCCCAGGCTCCGGAAGTCGACTGGAGAAGCTCTTCCAAGCAGTGACGAGGATGAGCCGATCATAGAAGGCGACATGAAATGGGGTTCTGTGCAGGCCCGCCAACACCCAACCCTTGTCCATGCTACGGACCGCCTCCTAGAAGAAGATCTCAAGAGTCATGACGGAGTAATGAATTCGGGCGACGAGGAACACGACAGCGAATCCGACGATATCGTGGATACAGAAAATCTCGGAGGGCTTCAGAGGGCCACGAGTATCAACCTAGGAAAGATGGCGCCCAGCGTATCAGCGCTGGAAGTGCCAAGCTTCTCGAAATCTCCCCGCGAGTCCGCAGATAGTCGCCAGCGGAGCAGTGCGGTATTCCTGTGAGGGAAAGGGACCGGGCGAGGGATGCGCGTTTGGCGCTGATCTCTCAATTTCTCCAGATGACGACCAAGGGATGAAACACACATTCCTTTGATACCATAATTTTCTTTGTCAAACTCTCCAGCTTAGCACTAACTGCTATGCCACCTCAACCGACCACTATTCGCTCATTTTCGAATTTTCCTTACTGTCAACCAAAATAATTCCGCCGAATATCTTTTCCCGTGGAAAATAGCCACTTGGGAACGAGATTAAGGAACACAAGACAAAAAACGTGGAAACCCCCAAAACAGAAAATCCAACACTTCCCAGTCGTCATCTAAGAATATCTATCCCACCCTATCCTCTCCATGCACTCTTCGCTCCTCCCTCCCTCTTCGCTCCTCCCATACGAGCGAAGAGTTAGTCGACACGCCACCGGTGCGTTGGCACAACATACCCGACCTCCTCCCTCCCGGCACAGGCCGACCATGGTGGTTTTAATTTTTCTTCTTTTTTTCTTCTTTTTCACTTTTGTAGGAGGGCGTAGGGCGTTGGCTTTGGCAGGCTCTTCTTATCATCGGGTCTTCTAATCACTTATGAAACACGTCTGCTAGCCATGACACTTTGCGATGGGACGGTCACTGCCTTCTTTCCCGAGGAAGGGAATCTGGTTATGGCCTGCTCCCCTTCACCGGAAGCCTTTGATAGACGGATCGGCTTGGTAGAATTCGCCTGGGTTAAAATGGCTGGTCTATCCATTTTATACCAGCTTTTGGGAGCCGGTTAGGAAGCCTCAACTGTTTGTTATTATATCCCCTTTATTGATATCTTTGGATGCATCTGGCGTTACGGCTGTGGGATAGAAGAGGAAGGTAGTTGAACTATTGGGATATCTCACGTCTTCCCAAAAAGAAAATACACCAAGGCTTTTGAACATGCAAGAATAAAACTGAAAACTATATGCATTGAAATATGGTATGGCGAAGTGAAGAATGAACAGGAATGAAGAAGAAGAAAAATGAAAACATGACGAAGAAGTGCGAAGGATGCAGCTTAAACCCTTGCTCCTTGCGGGCCTTGCCTCGCAGGCCACCCCTAGGATCCTTATTCAACCACCACCTTTTGTCCCGCCCATTTTCTACATTGGGCTCATGCTACTTGACGCCGCCCGTTATTCTTGGAACCGGCATCGACCTCGCGGTCCCGCTAAGCATTCGGCCGACTAGTATACGACTGGCTTGCAGCGCGCGACGTTTAGCACTTGGCGGAGGTGAGCTGGATGTGCTCGGAGACGGCGGAGCCGGCCTTCTGGGGGCCAAAGGTGACCTTGCCTCCCTCGGAGAAGACGCGGAAGTTGAGGTTGAGGATGCCGACGTGGCCATCGCTGCCGATGCAGGGGGAAGAGAGGCCGAGGTTGGCATCGATGGCGACGTTGCCGTTGAAGGCTGAGGTGGTGCTCGATTCAATCTTCTTGGTCACCTAATTGCGTTGTTAGTAAGAGGTGCTTGACCAGGGGTGGAGAGAGGGTGACGATGTCAAAACAGGCAAAAGGGAAAAAGAAAAAAATAAATAAAGAGAGAAATCATTGCGAGAAATGGGAACAAGGTGATGTCAAGAAAAAAAGAAAAAAGGATAGAACATATAGGGGCAAGCGTACAGGAGAGCCAGCATCTTCGGACCAAAAGGCCGACGTGTAAAAGGTAGTGGCGCCGTTCGAGGCGAGGCCGAGGCGGCCCCACACGGAGACCTCACCGACGGTCACAGCCTCGCCGGCCTTTCCACCATCAATGACGAGGTGAAGCTCGCAGGAGACGGTTTCGCGGGTGTCGAGGGAGACGGAGTAGTCGTTGAGGTAGAAAACGGGGTCGGTAGAGCTGCCGTTCCAGGTGACGGAGTCGCCGGAAGGGCAGGCAGGGCCAGAGTTGGTGAAGCTAGAGATCTTGAGGGCCGAAGTGGTGGCGGCGGCGCACAGGGAGAGGAGAGCGGTCCGTACGAGAGACATTCTTTCGGACTTTGTTTTGGTTTCCTTTTGGAAGAAAGAGAGAAGGGTTTTGTTAAGGAGAGGTAAATTGCAAGCGTAGCGTGGGTTAAAAGGATTGTGTTCGACACAGCACGGCTTTCGCGGTGATGAAGAGATGATGATAATGAGAGGAATGATTTGCGATAGGAGACTACAAGCAGAAGAACATAGGCTAGTCACTGAGTTGGAGCGGAGGGGGCTTCCAATCTATGATATAGGCACGAACAAGGCATCGTCAACCCGCCAGTTGGCTTGGAAGGGGGCGGGCATGTGGACTAGCTCAGGTGGCGGCTGGAGGCCCCGTCCGGCAAAGGGTTGACCTATTTTCTGACCTCTCTACGTGATGGATATAGATTGTATTCCCAGTATTTGGAGCAGTTTGGCGAAGTTTCGCTAAAAGGGGGAAATAGATGATGGGGACGAAAGCAGAAAGAATTGAACCCTAGGGAGGGGGACGAACAATTTTTAGAAACCCACGAGCAGTCGATAGTGACGGCCCCGCTGGGGGCAAACTCATCGTCGCCTGTAAAAACGGGCTCGTTCGGTTGGAGTCCTCAACCACGGTGCCTCCATATTTATTTCTGAACAGATGAGGCGAGAGAGGCCGAGAGAAAAAGCCTGGGACGCAGAAAAAAAGAGGGAGCGAGCTACGTAGGGGGATGGGTTGACCAGGCTAGGCGGACGGCATACTCATAGAGTGATCAATTGGAAGGGTCGTTGACTGGTGCGGACGCCACACGGGAAATAAGAAATGGGCACAATATATCAAAAACAAATTAATAGCCACACCTTAGCCCTGACGTGATATTCCGGGCTTCTGGGATATGCCGCCGAAGCGGTAAACAGGAGACTGGAACGAGAAGAAGGCGGGCGGAAGAGAGATGAAGGGGACGGGGAGGGAGGGGGAAGGAAAGACAGAGTGAAAATGGGGAGACGCAAAAAAAAAAAAAATGAAAAAGAAAAGAAAAAGAAAAAGATAAAAAAAACTATTAACAGAAGGCCGCATAAATGTATTCGGACAACTGGAGAGGAGGGGAAGGCGATTGCGAACGAGGACGCGGCCTAGCATTGGCAAACATCTACAATGACCTTCAGGTCGGCCCTTCCGTTGTTTGCGCTATTGGGCCTAGAGAAACCTTGGGCTGGTAATCTTTCCTTCCTCATACGCAATCCCCAGACCTGGGAGGCAGGGACAATGGGCAATGGGTTTAGGTGCGATGGTGCATAGCAATGGGGGTGTGATTCAGTCTACTTGCCACTATAGGCTAGGGTGTGGGCCGTCGCTCTTTCCCATCTCAGATTTTAATGGCTTCTATTTGGGCCCATGTTCGAGATATTGTTCGCAGGACGCAACGAGAGGGAGCCTTGGATGCCAAGAACCATGTAGGTCATGCTTGGACTACATACAGCCTCAATGGGAACCAGAGTCACCAACGTTAACCTCGCAACTCTGCAAGGGCCGGTCGGCCGAAATCCCCTTGTTAGTGCCGGGAGAGCAAGCCGGAAGGTGACGCACATATAATAGAGAGGGAGACGACACCGGATGTCTTGGCTCTCTTGGTTCCTCTCCCCTCAGGATCACGGCGCCAAACCCAAGAGGTAAATCGAGAAGGATTCTCTTGTGCTGAGCAGGATAGATCCCAGCACACAAGCAAGTGTGTGAGAAGGACCGCGTCCGTGCCTGTGGATATAGATGCGCATTGGATGAGTTGAGTTTGGGATGGGTGTGGGCGTGCCTGTCAGCCCATGTGCGTATGCGTGTCAGGTTGAGGCAAGGGGGTTCGTTCGTTTGATTAATGAAGACTCGAGTCTACGAAGCTTCTCTTCCTCAGACGTGCCACATGTCCGGAATGCATATCGACCATGGTTCTCACTGGGCCCAAAATAAAATCTTGAGGGGGAAAGGAGAAGGGGAAAAACGATAATGGGGAAAGATAGACCGAATGGATTCATCTATCCATTCTATCCATTCTATCCATTGGATGGAGAGAGTATATGCTGGCGTTATGGCGGCGTAAATCCCCCGAAGGTGCGACATCGCCGTATGTTAGTGACTAGATAGATGAAGTGTAGCCGGCAAAACTGGGGGCTCCGGGAGCACGGCGAGAGAAGCAAGATGGAAAAGTGAAAGAAGATAGTGGACTAAGAATTGCCGGAGGCGGGCAAGGAGCAGAAGGAGAAGAAGAAGGAGAAGAATATGGGTCAATAAGAGACTAGAGAGTGAGAAGAAGGGAAGAGGCTGGTCGAAGAGACGGACGCTCGAGCTCATTAGGCTACTCAGCCTTTGGCGAGAAAAAGTGAATTATCAAGAATACACTTGCCCGACCCAGACATAAGCTCGCTCAGCGTCAAAAGCCAGCTGATCTTCTAGGTTCTCTAGAAACAGCCCGCTGCTCTTAGAGGTGAGTCTAGGATGTCTTTTTCTTTGGGTGGCGCTCGGGGGCTACGCGACCTCGAGCAGAAAACAGCACTGCAAGCAAAAAGAAAATCAGTGCAAGAAAGGCAAGGGACATAGGAACGAACCATTCGATGCCCCAAGCACATCAGAACCACAGACGCTCCTCTTCACCTATTCTTTCTCCGCCAAGGTCTTGGAGCTTTCGGCTGAGTGCTATTTATATCTCGAGAACCTTTCAACATTGGTTTTATCTCTAATATGTGTATTACTCTTTCTTCTCCAGTGTCGTGCCACGCATCAACTAAATTCGCCCAATGGGAAGTGAAGCATGCTCTAGGAACGGCAACCGGCCTGACTGACGAATCACCCCTCAAAGATTAGATGAAGGGGCCCCAGGTCGAACTTTGAGCACCCCATGTAAAGACGCCCCTTCCTCCAGTGGGCTTAATTGTCCCCACCTCCTGGCTGCCCCTCCTGTTGTAACCATCCAACGACGGTTCAAATGTTCCTTTGCCCTTTTGCTCTCTCCAGGATAAAAAGAGAGCTACTGATATCGGAGGCACTTGGATGCGTAGTATGGCTGGAACGCTTTGACGGGTCGGGAGACGTCCCGATCGAAGAGTGCCAGGTTTTGACGGGCAAAAGGCCGGTTGTGCATCTTCTCGTCCATCTCCCATTGCCTTTCGCCCTGCAGGTTAATATATGGATCTCTTCGGAGAGGGTCGAAGAAACCGTGCCGCAGTTTGCCGTTGGCGAGCGAGGAGAACTGCCAACCGGCTTGACTTGGTTTCTCCCTTCTCCCTTCTCCCTTCTCCCTCCTCCCTCCTCTCCTAGGCGAGCCTGACTGACACACGGGGCTTGGCGGGAGAGCCCGTTCCGTGAGAATTGGCGTTAGCGATGGAGAGGAGGAGAATCGGAATGGGTGTGTTGGGGAGACGAGAACGCGCGACTTCCACACGCCCAAAGCCACACACATGCACGCACCCACGGCCACGAAAGAAGGAGGGGTGGGAGAGAGGGGAACGGATGAGGGGAAAATTCCGGGGAGGGACGGAACTGGAGGGAGGGAAAAGACTGAAAGAAGCGGGTGGTGCATCGAGGGCAATGATCGGCCCTCGTCAATTGATCCCTCCGGCTGGCATTAACCAGGCCAGGCGCTTTCAAGGGCCAGATCTGCACCGCATCGGTCCCGTTGATTGAGCCCTGCCAATCTCCATTTCCGGGCACTCCTAGTTGGGAATTGGACCCTCTGAGCCTCTGACCCCGGAATATCCAGACGGAGGGAAGTGCCAGCCTGCAGAGTCTTCGAGCAAGACCTGGTTAGAGAATTGAGAATTTGGAGAATGGTGGCGACTCCTTTCCCATCCCAATGTCGCCCCATCCCGTCTGCCCTCTGGCGTGATGCTACATCACCCGTTCGTTTCCCATAGCCCGTCCCATTCTGGTGCGGTGCTGGTTCACGTCAGGCCGCAAGCACAGCGGCGTGGGTCACGAGAGGATGGCGGGGAAAGAAGAATTGATGGGTAAAAGCGACAAACGCAACAGGCACAAAGACTCTTTTTGTTATCATGTGCGTGTGTGCGTGTGTGCGTGTATGCCACATGTGGTTTCCTCACCAGGACCGGAATGGCCGCTCTAGGTGAGGCGAGGTTCGATGGAGGCGAGCCTGTCCTAGGCTGCAAGCGAGGTAGGCGAGGAGCGAAGGCAGATGCGAGAGAATATGAATCAGCAATCAACAATCATTCACCTTTAGCCCTATCGTCAAGTGTTCTCTCTTCCACACGCGAGATGGGAAAGGGTCTAGAATCGCCTAGCTTAAGTATGTTTGGGCTCTCAACAAGAAAGATGGAGAGCCGGCGCATGGCGTAAACCCCGAAAACCTTGCCCTGTCACACTATTCTCTTTCTCCTGTTTTTTTCCCTTTGCCTTTTCCTTTTGTTCTTCGAGGAGATCTCCAAGTTGCACGGCACTGGAGAACTTGAAAGAAAAACCTCACAATGGTTGTGGTGGGCTAGGGGATAGATGGGCAAAGGCAATAGCAAAGATAACTTGACCCTGCTGTGGTTGCCGGTAACAACATTTGGTCAAGATTAAAAAGACGTTTGACACGCGGCTCCTTATTCAGGTTGCACACTACATTTCGCATTTCCTCCTAGATGAAAACGGCTATCTTTAGCAGCATCTAATAACGACAAGGGAAAAGGCCTCATTGAAAAAGGGAGAGGAAAAAAACAGAGGTAAGACGGAGAGAATGCAAGCGAAGTTGCTGCCATGCCCCAAAATAGGAAGAGTTCAGCACAGTTTTTCTGTGTTTGCCTGCTTTGCTTTATTAGAGAGTGCTCCAAATGGTCTGACCCGCGGCCATGTTTGGGCCTCTATTCACGACATGGCAAGAGTTTCTTCATTTCGCTTTATATGATTAATATACACATTGCATTTGTACAGATATCATGCTGGATACTTGGCATCGCCCCTTGGTGAGCCCCGCGGACCACCTTTCTTTATGGAGATTGTTCGTCTAAAGGCTCCGGGGGTTTTTTGCTGCCCCGGCTTCAAGCTTTCTTGGTTCCCGACCCAAGGGATCTTGGTCTCCTACTTTGCTGCTCCCTCTCGACCACTTCTGTCGATTTCTGCATGCTATCCATTGCCCCTCCTAGCCCTTGGCTCCGCTCCTTGGCCGCATTGGTCCAAAAATAGGAAGCTCCCCCATTGGGTGTTGACTTAGTTCTTCATCAACAAGACCAGTATGGCTCCCTGCAGCCCGATAACGACCACGTCCTTGACGCGCAGTTCGGCCCTTACCGCCTCGTAAGCCCTGCCGATGGGGCCGCTAAGAAGCCGTGGGTCTCGGAGCATGTCGGTCCAGGTCGCTGTGACCGCCCCCGCCACCTCTTCGTCTGCGGCCGATGCTACCGCCGGCGCTAGGACCGAGGCCGAGTCCGGGGCCGCGGCTGTCGCCGGGCCATGGCCTACGCCAACCACAGTCGCCTTTAGGGTGTCCAGGCTCTCGCGCAGGTCGCCCCTCAACTGGCTAAAGCATTCGTCGATGCGGCCATCTACCGTGTCGAGCAGCTTCACCTCCCTCTCCTCCATGCTGTTGAGGAGCCGGCCTCTCTTCCACGGCTCGGCCACAAACTGTAGGGTGAGGAAGAGCAGGACGTTGACGCCCATGAGGCCCCACGTGCCCCACGTGCTCGCCCTCCGTATCCTATCGCTGTAGACCTGGTGCTCGTAGTACTGCCTCGACATGCCCGTGACCCACTCCGACAGCAAGCTCTGCTCCTTGCCCTCGGCCTCGGCAACGGCCTTGGCGGCGTCGCCGACCTCCCGCTCCAGCTTGTAATCGAGGTCGAGCAGCTCGGCGAACTGGTTCTTGTCGGACTGCATCCACGACGCCTTGCGCGCCAGCAGGGTCGCCATGTCGCGCTGGGTCTGCACCTGCCGCGACGAGGTGTCTTGGTACCGCTCACGGGCGTCGCGCATGTTGGTGCGGGCCTCGCCGAGAGACTTTTCCAGGCTCGCGTTGTTGGCGGTGATGGCCTCGATGGCGGAGTAGCCTGTGATGGAGTTGAAAGCCTGTAGGCCGTCTACGTAGCGGTCTTGCAGGTTGTCCATGAAGGCGGAGAAGCGGGCCGCTAGCTTGGAGCGCCGGCTATCGGCGGCGGAGGGGAGCTCCCCGCAGGAGTCGGGGAGGCGTGGGGAGCTCTTGGGAGGGGGCGGCGATTCCTCTTTGGCGGGGCTGGCGGACTCGGGTTGAGGAGGCTCGGCGTTGCTCGAGGTGGGGGAGGAAGAGGAGGGCTCGGAAGGCTTGGGTTCAGGCGATGACGAGGATGTTTGATTCGTTGTAGAGGGTCGGTCTGGAGGGGTGGTCGAGTATCCCCTCGCGGAGAATATTGATCTTTGGGCTCTTGACGCCGGGACACCGGGACCAAGACTAGAGGGTCGCCAAGTATTTTGCGAGAGCCGTAGATGAGGACTGGTAAAGGCGGTCCTAGCCGGGAAGCGCATGGGCTCAATCACCGTCCGCAAGGGACGGAAGATGGAGGCGGCCATCCCAGGGGAGGAGGAGGACGGAGGGTAAATCGAAGATCGACCCGTTCTTTTGCGCGGGGCGCGCTCACATCGGGGAGGGGGTGGCAGAACTTGGAACCCCGTGGTGCATGCGTCCCAAAGAGTGTCGTGGAAGAGGGTGTTGAGGGGAAACGCTGGGTTTCGGCGCTGGAGGATTCTGGAGCGTAAAATGCTGTCCAAAGGACCGAGAGCGGAATTGAGCTTTTTCCCCTTCAGCCCGAATTCTGCCGGGGACCGAACAGGGTCCGGGGTTGGCCTTCACCGCCTTTACGACTTTTGAATTTGGAACACCCTGCCGCTTGCCAGCGATTGCTAATAATGCTTGAACCAGGCCTTTTAGAAGCCTTGAGAGCCTGGGAAATGGTTGAGAGTAACTATTGACCTTGGCATAAGCAGCATTGAAGCTCCGCTCCAACCTCGATCTTCTTGCGTCTAACTCGGCTATGGTGCACTACCCTCTTGTAATTGATTCCTTGCCCCTCTCCCCGACCCCAACTGCTGTCTCCCCAAGCCGAGTTCAAACCCGAAAGAGCAAGTCTAGGCCCGCGAGGCGGTGGTTCACCTTTCCACATTGATGCTGGGTCGGTGGCTCACTTAGGCACTGCGCGCGCGCGTGGGGCTGTGTGGTGGGCCAGCACGGAATCCAACGACTAAACCTGCCGGCAATTTCTTTTCTCCAGTCCGAGTTGCCGACGACGGAGTCACGGCGCCTATCAAACCACTCGAGCTAGCACGCTTGGAACTTCTTCTGAGTGCACTCGCGCACTCGACCACGGGCGCTGACTGGGTCGGGTGTGAAGGAGGAAGGGGAGGTGGTTCTTGATTTTATTAGCCGTCCGTATTATTAGCCCAATTTTTTCTTTTCTTTTTCCATCTTAGGCTTCCATAAGTACAAGTCGCTGCCACCGTCACTTTTATCGCGCGTGCAAGCATACATACAGGTCCTATTCCGACATCGTCGTGGGTGGTTTTTCTTCCCCTCTAGCGATTAGTTTCATATAGGTAGTGTTTGATCTGTCGCATTGTAAGCCGTGAGTCGTCTCTCTTTCGATCTCGAGTTCTATATACACCAGGACCGGATTTGATTTTCTAAGAACGTCGACCCGTTAGGCACGCCATCCTTTTGGCCGTATTATTTTTCGTAGCCCGCCAGGAGAGAGAAGAGTAGGGAAAGATCGCAAACATGGTCCTAATCTCGCCCCTCCCCAAGTTCATCTTCTTCACCGATTTCGACGGCACCATCACCCAGCAAGACAGCAATGACCACATGACGGACACCCTCGGCTTCGGCCGCGAGCGTCGCTTGGCGCTAGCCACCGAGGTCCTGGCGGAGCGCCTGTCCTTCCGCGACGCCTTTGACGAGATGCTCAACTCCATCACCACTCCTTATGACCAGTGCATCGACTTCCTCGTCGACCACGTCCAGCTTGACCCCTACTTCAAGGAATTCTTCACCTGGTGCCGCGCCAACGGTGTGCCCATCGTCGTCCTGAGCGGCGGCATGAAGCCCATTATCAAGGCCCTGTTTAGAAAGTTCCTCACCGAAGAGGAGGTCGAGTGGCTGACCATTGTAAGCAACGACGTTGCCGCGCGGGAGGAAGACGATAAACGACGAGGCCGGGTGGAGGATCGCCTTCCTTGACAACACGTAAGTTACCACAACCACCTACCGTGCTGTGACAAGAGCAAGCTCGCGTCTATCCCCTTGGGCTACAGGGGAAACGGTCCCTTCTTTCTAGAACGGCTCTAACCACAAGGATTAGCCCGCACGGTCACGACAAGTCTGTCGAGATTAGAAAGTACTCTTCGCTCCCCGAGGGTCAGCGACCGACCATGTTCTACGCCGGCGATGGTGTGTCTGATCTCTCCGCCGCCAAGGAAACGGACCTTTTGTTCGCTAGGGCAGGAAAAGGTAAGTGCTGAATTGCCGAGAGATGAGGGAGGATGAGGATGGGCGACTTATAGTAGTTGCCCTCCCTTCCTTCCTTCCTTTCCTCACGTTGTGTGTTTCTTCTAACGACACCCTGTAGACCTCGTCACCTATTGCGAAGCTCAAAACGTACCCTTTGTCACCTTTAACGACTTTTCCAGCATTCACAAGACCGTTGCGGCCATCGTTGCCGGCCAGACCACGACGGCGGCTGAGGCAAAGGGAAGGTTGGAAAACTAGGTTTTCGCGTGCTACGTTTGGAAGGGTACGGGGAAAGGCATGGCCGTGAGAAGGCCTCAAGACGGCGAAGCTGCCAAAACAAAATAAACATAGGTAAATAAAGGGGAGCGGAAACTGAAAAGAAGGGTCACCTGGAAAGCATGAATCATGGCGGTGTAGCATGGGTAGGCAAGTAGGAAAACGTATATATGAGGATTACCTCTCTCTTCACAACAGGAACGCAAGACAAAACGCGCTTCGGTACAATAGAGCATTGCATACAGCTAACAGTCTTGGATACATTTGGGGAAATAGAACTCTGAATCTACCCTATGGCGCCTCACAAGGGCAGGATTAAAAAAAAAGAGTCATCAGCAGCAGTAGACCATCCGTCGTGCCTATGCCGCAGCAGCCTTCGCCGCACTCTGAATCTCCTTGACCAGCTCAACGACCCTCTCCGCGCACCCAAAACTACCCTGATACCCCCACCCAGCATGTCCATAGTTATGCACGACGGAGACGCTCCCCGCGCCGTCCGGGCTCGCCACCGACTCCGCCTCGATGCGCACGCCCTTGGTCCTTAACGGCCGCAGCCCGACGCCGTGGCGGATGATATCGAGCCCCGCGACGCCCTTGCCGCCCGCGAGCTCGGGACACAGCTCCACCGCCCTCGTCATGATGCGCACCGCGACGTTGGGCTCCGGCGTCGGGTCCCAGTTGCCCTTGTCGTAGGTGCCGCCGAGCACGGTGCCGCCGCCCGCCGCCCTCGTCATGGCGTAGCACACCTCGACGCCGCCGTCCTCGGTGCCCGACGTGGCAATCATGTAGGGCGCCTCGTTGCGCACGACGACGATTTGGCCCCGCGCGGGGACCATGCTCTGGTCCTCGACGCCGCCGAGCTTGAGCGCGCCTAGGCCCGTCGCGTTGACTACGATGGTGGGCGGCGGCGGCGAGCTGCTGGGACTACCACTACTACTGCCGCCGGCGAAGGCGGCGGCGTCGGCGACGTGCTTGACGACGGCGCGCTTGAACACGACGCCGTTGGCGAGGCAGCGGCTCGCGAGCCAGGGAGGAAGATTTGCGTGTTGATGCAGAGTGAGGTGAATTCGCAGCCCGAGTCGTGCCCGGCGGGGATCTCGTCCGCCGAGTTCTCGGTACCCGTCGAACATGGTCTTGTACCACGGGTCCTTGGAAAATAGGGCATCGTAGAAGTTGCTGCTGGGATACTCTGGTGCGTCTTTGTCACGACGGTACACTCGGGTGTCTATTGTTCGCGCGATCCAACGAGTCAGCGGCTCAAGAATCTTCAACTATAGAGGGGCAGATGGATCGGAGACATCCATCCATGGATGTAAGTGGGGAGGTGGACTGACTTTGGAAATGGATGCCGGCAGAGGGCTCATTCTCGGTCAACTTTCGAAGGTGTTCCCAGGTTCGTCTCTCCCATCGGCTGTCTGCCTCGGCTGCCATACTTTGAGTAGACGTCCCCCGCGGTCCCAAGGGGGCATGTTAGCTTCTTCGAAAGTGGCGTCTTTCCTTCCCAACTCCTTCTTTCATGCCATCTTGGATGTCATCTTAACACCCTAATCTTCTCTCTCTCTCTCTCTCTCTCTCTCTCTCTCTCTCTCTCTCTCTCTCTCTCTCTCTCTCTCTCTGTCTTTACAAAGGGGAAGTTTACGTACGGCAAAACATTGGCACCGGCCCATGGCGACGTGTACTCGATATCAAAGTCGCCGGGCATGAACTTGGCCACCACAGTCACTTGATTCTCGGGGTCATCGGACAGGAAGAGGGCGCTCGAAAGGCCAACAACTCCGGCACTAAATTCGTCCTCTAGCCGTCAGCCAAGATAACGCTTTTTGCACCTTGATTAAAAGAGAGGGGGAAAGAAAAAGGAACTTGCCCGAGAACTACGATGGGTTGCCGTTCCGGTACGGACTGCTCCGAGTTGAGGGCCATGGTTAGACGTCTATGTACACCAAATTTCGCTTTCTTCCCTTGTTTCTTGGATAAAAGATGAGCAAGTTTCTGAGTCGTGAGCGTTTGATAGAAAAGCGTCTAGGCTGCCACGGAACGAGGCGGGGAGAAGTGGTTGGCTTTATACTGCGTGTTATCGGTCGGACGATGATTGTGCGAAACGCTCATTGGCACCATGAATTTATACACTTCCGAACACGGCAAATACCACCCCCGGCTCTGGAGAGGGTGTTGACTGGTTGACCAAAACTCTCGTCAAAGGAAAGAAATAAGCAGGGAACAGAGACGGAAGCGAGATGCAGGGTAGATGTTTAAATACTTCTTCCTCTTTTCACCGGACACGAGGAGGGGAGCGTTTTGAAGCGATTCTAGCCGGAACAAGAGGTCTAAACGAGACTTCCCCTCCTTAAATGGCACATCAAAATTATCACCATCTCCACTCGCCCGAGCTCTCACGCTCTCACGCTCTCACGCTCTGCCTCGGAGTGCTACACGTGCCTGGAGTCAATGACATCAACAAATTTATACTCGCGCTTTGTCTACATCCCTCCATTCTCTAGAAAACTCGATACGCGGCACAACTACATCTTCGTTTACAAAGGATCTGGTCTAGACGACATAGCATCGAATGGAATCAATATAAAGATATAAAAAGTTGTATTTTGACCATCTTGCATGGTTCTAGGGTATTATGTCGGGCAATTCCCTCCATTCCTCGAGGCAACGGGCGGAATTTACCACTCTCCCTCCCCATCGTCTACATGATATTCTGCCCGTTTCTACCAGAGCTTACAAGACACCGTTCAAGTCCGGGAGGACAACCGAGTCCGAAGCAAACGGTGTGGGCTACATCCATCGTCGCCCATCCATCTCTCACGTTCTATCGTTGTGGCAGATGTTTGGCGTACTGCGCATCTTGGGCGTTTAGGCGCTGGCCTCCTTGATGAGCTGAAGGAGCTTGGGGGTTAGCACCCTGGACCTCGCCGGCCTTGGAGCCGTTCTTGAGGAGGATGAAGGTGGGCATGGCAGTGACGCCAAGCTCCCTGGTTACGTCGGAGACCTCATCGACGTCGATCTTGGCGAAGGTGACGTTAGCGTTGGCGGTATCCTCGGAGGCCCTGTAACATTTTCAAGTCTTGTTAGTGAATGGAATCAAGGTTTGTCTCTAGATATATCGAAACTCACTTCTCGTAGATAGGAGCAATGGCCTTGCAAGGACCACACCAGACGGCGTGGAAGTCGACAACGATGGGCTTGCCCTCGGCGAGGAGAGCCTCCCACTCTTGCTTGCTGTTGTCATGGTTAGCAATTGTTCAGTCAATATAGCGTAGATAGCGAGGTCCTGGCATGTAATGGGTATATATGAGGTCATATGTGTAAGGGAGCAGCGTTGTTGCCAGCTAGCACAGCTGCTGTCCTCGTCAAGATGTGACGGCACTGCAAGTGACCAACGTCTGTAGGATGCAAGATATAACCATGGATCAAACGAGGAAGGGGGAAGACGGGCAGAAAAGGATAAGTGGACGAGAGCAAAGTGGGAGCAGACAGATGAAGCTTGCTTGGAATCGCGCGGTTGGTGACGAAGGGGGGACAGGGCGGTGGCTCTGGGAAAGAGGCAGAAAAAGACAAGAGGGAGAGAGGAGGGGCTAGCTTGTGTGTACATACCTGTGGATGTGCTTGATGCCCATTTTGGATGATGTGGAATGAAAAGGCCTGCTGGTAAGAGCTACGAATCGCAAAGGAGAAGCGGTAGGTTTGGAATTGGCAACGATGCGCTGAGCGGATCTGAAAAGAAGATTTCGTGACGCGGACATGAGGGAGGAGAGTTCGGGTTTGATCGGGGGATGAAGGAACGCGCTTTTTAAGTACTCCCGGAGCGGAGGGTTCAGTGACTTGAGCTGTGTAGTAGCCTGCAGACGGTGGCCTCCAACGAGATCAAGCGGCGGGAAGGTGCAATGGGATGGCAGAGCGTTAAAACGACGGCACACGGGGGTAGATTACTAGGCAGGTTGGCAGGCTGTTTGGTAATAGCGTGCGCTGGCTGATTTTCTGTGCTGGCCTTTGTCCGGTGCGGTGCAGGAAGGGTGCTAGAGCGAGCGCTGCAAAGGTTGTGGTGTGGTGTGACGGTTGTGGTTTGTGAGCAAAAAATACCCGTCTTGTCTATCCAGCAAATGTTGTTTACTAATTCACTTCGAGTTTTTGTTACGGAGGCGCCGCTCGTCCTCGGATTTGACATGTCTGATAAATTTTCCTCCCCTCTGACGTGGGGTACCTGGGCCTCGGTCTTGCTGGTGAACCGGGGACAGCGCAGGAACTTGTCTGTGCGTGAGCTCTGCATGGCGTCGGCAGGTATCTCCCCAGTACTTGTCCTTTTCCAATTTACCCCGCCATGACGCCGTCTTGTTCCTTTTTTCTTTTCTTTCGAATACTTCCATTTTTTCCGTCCCTCTGATAGTGGCTTCTATGAATTTGCGTTGAATCCCACAGGGGAGAAAGGGGATCCTACGCGCGAGTTCTAGAACTGCTTACCCAATGGCGCGGGCTCGCACAGAACCTTGTGCAAACACCGATGGCGCAATCGCCGAGCACTGGGCTCAGCGCGCAGTGCATCCCGGAAAGGGGACGCCGAGTCGGCGAGGTGGGATGGTAGCGGTGCGCGTGCGCGTGTGCTGCTTTGTAAACGTAAACTCGACAGTTTGACAAATAACTGTGCCAGCCCCTTCTTGTAGAAGAGAGCCTTTTGTGAAACGGGGAACAAAAAGGAAATAGCTCGGAAAGAGATTCCTTTGGCCTGATTTCTCAGCGAGGAATCTTCTTTTTCTTCACATGGAATCAAGGTGGCTGGAACGAGAAGGAGCTGGAGGTCGTCAGGATCCATTCAAGATGATAAATCTATTCCTGGATGGAATGGATCGGTTCATCGAGTTCGTAGCGCCGAGAAATGCGAGGGATTTCATGCTTCAAGTCTTAGGGCGGGGTAGCGCATCAATTGCGACTACTTGATGTCTTGAGCCTTCAACGTTCTTTCCAGTTCAGTTGGGTGAATTGAGGTTTTTCTCTGGCGCGAGACTGGCTGGTGTACCCCGCCTCTACACCAACGTATTTGTACTGTCTGCCCTTCTTCTCTATCCGCCCGGACACGCTTCGGATCCGAGGACCAGAGACTAACTTGGGCGCATCCGTCCGCTTCTCCTCCGTGAGGCACCCCTGCGTACTCTCAGCCTTATTTTCATTTTCATAGGTTTTTTTTTTTCTTTCCTATTCTCTTGAGCTAGTGATTTTCTTCAGTCTGCTTACACTTCTTTTTAATTCCTCTTCTCCTTCTCTCCTCCCCCAAGAGCGTACTGACCTACTCTGGTCTACCTCGTCATTTTTCTCCGTTTCTCTCCACCACCCCACCCCGTTCACAGCGCCCACGATGCCACCTCGCTCAAGAGCCCAGATCACTCGAGCCCTCGATTCTCTCGACCCGCCCGACTCTCTCGAAGCCACTCAAACCGTCGCCCGAATCGAAAATCCCTAGGCCACGGCCGCTATAGCTGCCAGCTGCCCAACAAATCCCTCGTCACCGTCGAGCTCGACGACCGCTTCCGTCAGACCGTATGGGTTGAGCGCGGAAACTACGTCCTGCTGGAAAGGTATCCGCCCAAGGAGGTCGAGGACGAGGCGGTTGGTAAGATCATCAACATTGCCAAGGACGAGAAGGCGTGGAGGAAGATGCCCTACTGGTAGGTAACCCGCGAATGCGCCCCCGTGTCTCCGCCATGTCTCCGCCACCCTCCCTAGCTCCGTCTTGCGTCTTGCGTCTTCGTCTCCATCCAACCCTGGCTTACACGTCTACCTTTCCCCCACAGGCCCAAAGAATTTCCCAAGTTTCAATACCCCGAATCCGACGAGGAGGATGAATCCAACGCCGGCAAAATGCCGCCCAGCGACTCGGAAGACGACGCCTAACTTGATAAGAATGGGTTCCTCTGCGGCGAGGACGAGAAGAAGGGGAACACAGGGAACAACAAGTCTAAGGGGAAGGTCAGACAAGAAGAAAAAAAGAACACAAGAACCAAGTAGAAATGGACTATCAAGCCTTCTTCGACTTCTTCAAGCCCTCCACCCCGGTCCCTGTCCCGCTTAACTGCTCCTCCGCCCGATAACCCCACATCCATGTGGCTCGGTCTGCGAGCAGCAAAACAAAGACCACGGCGCTTGAGCTGGCTGGTGTGCTCGGGAACACGTTCCATGCCCACTCCTGCAGCCCCCACGCCGCATACACGACAACGGGGTGGAGGCCGGCGTTCCAAAGGAGGAAAGGCGTGGACCAGGCAAGGTACGCGTAAAACTGGTAGTGCAGGGACCTGGCGAAGAGCATGCCGATATTCATAGCCGCCAAAATCGTAGTGAGCACGAACCGCGGCGATATCTTTTGCGATATTCTGCTCTCTTCTTGCTCTGTAAACGGCGACTTGGCCCGCAGCATCGGCGACACAATGTCCTTGAGCGGTTTCTGCGCGGGCGCGAGCCATCGCCTGGTTACGAACAGCGACAGGTCAGCCGCGTGGTACGCGAGCAAGGCCACCGCCAACGTCTTGCTCAAAAAGGCTTCCTCGCTGAGCATCCGCATATTGACCGTCCACTCGTACTTGAACTGGCGCGTGAGCTCAAACGCCCTGCCCAAGTACGCGCCGGGGTTGTGCAGCAAAAGGGGATGGCCATGGCGATTTGCGTTTCGAGCATCAGCATCGCGAGCCGCAAGCTGCCGAAAAACCCTCGCCCGAGGAACAAGACGACCCCGACCGCGGGAGGCCCAGCAGCAGCGACATCTTGATCCCGAGGCCCCAGGTATACGCGAGGCTCCCAAACGTCCAGTACCGCCGCTGGAAGAGGAAGATGGCCAGCCAGAGGAAGAAGGCCGCGAAGCAGTCGTTGAAACACCGGAGCATGAAGACGCTGTGCAGCCGTTTCGAGAGCACAAGTAAAGGCAAGATGTAGGGAGGTGCCTAGAGACCAGGATACAAAGTTCCGTATTGTTAGCAGTAGCCCCTTGTCACCTCTTCCAACCCAAAAAAAAAACGCACAATCCCTAGACCCTCTCGACCCCATGTTGATGACGTGCGTTTGCACACAGACGAAACCCACCTTTGCCTTTTATAACAAGCCATGACAAGTGCGAGCGTAGCGAGGTAGAGCCCGCGAAAATCCGCTGCGCAAGGAGAATGTTTCTCCCTTCATCCGTAATATGGTACAGCGCCGTGTACGTGTAGACGTGAGCCGCCGGGTACACGAGCGGCCCGGTGCCGCCCTCGATTCGGGCATAGTTGCGCTCGCCGTCGAGGAACTGCTTCACCTGCTCCATGTAGGCGACCCAGTCGATTTCGGTATCTGTGTCTCGGTTTAAAAGCACGGTATTAGCGCAGCCGGTTTTACGGTGATTGCTCATAGCCAAAATACTTACAAGGTACTTTCCAAATCACCAAGACACAAAGGGCCGCGTCAAAGATCCATAGGAGCGGCGCGATGAGCTTCGAAAGCGGATGGCGACCGCAGGCGATGTCCAGGCCCACACGGTAGGCCTGGACAGGAAGCGAGGTCGACTTCCATCCATGATGATGGCGGCGGAAGGGTGGATAGAATTGTCAAACACAAAATTTCCGACCTTTGCCGTAGCTTGCGAGCGAGCTCTCTCAAAGCTTCGAGCCTGTAGCTTCTGCATGCAACGTGTCGGGATTCAAGGAAACCGCGTGGGGCCTGCATGTGAATGTACCGCAGTACACGTAATCACGTGTACGGATCTATTTAGAGGGGGTACTTTCTACTCGCTCAAGCCTCTTGACGCGAAGGCGCAGACCGGACTCTATTGATGATGAGAAATCAACCCTTCGTCAACGCTCCCAATTATAGCACCTTCTTTTAGATATCCAAGATCATTGATCACCCGTGTTTCGATTCTGGCCCTGAGAGGCGGGCGGGTGCATCGTCCCAACCATAAACATCAGGCTCCACTAACAATTCCTTCCAGGCAAAGGCTTCACTCGCATCACTACAATATTTCTCTCAACAAGGCTCATGTTTAAAGTTCAGGCGAAAGTGAAAACAAGGAAACAAAATATTCCAGCGAGGCCGATAGGTATCATGATGTCTGCTCTTCACCCAATAATTAAAGACTTCGAAACAAGAAACAGAACGGGACCTGTCCGTTACTCGAACTCCGCGGTGTAAGAGAAGCCTCTGAACTCTTCCTGCATGGCTTGCGACAACACTACACGATTCAACATCTTGTTAGCCAGGTCCATTTTCTCCACTTGAACACTTTATGCTTGCACAACAACTTACCTGACTGGACGGGAGTAAGAACGGGAGTAACGCTCGTGAACTCGGAATCGAAGTTGCTAGTGTCCGTGGGGCTCTTGATCGTGGGCAAAAGGGAGGTTGGACTCTCTTGTGGTAGATATCATCCCAAGTAATGGTGCGGAAGAAGGGCTGGCTCATGATTTCTTGCGCATCCGTTGGGCCACTGCCAAGTCGCTGATCTGGCTCCCGAGTGAGCAGCTTTTGGAGAATCGAGACCGAGTCGCGAGGCATGTGGATCGGGTACAAAGGCTCGTCCGAGAGAATGGCGTCATAAATTTCCTCCTCGTCTTCACCTCGGAATGGTGACTGCTGCAAAAGCATCTGGTAGATCAATACACCAAACGCCCACCAGTCTACGGCTCGTCCGTACTTCTTGTCCAACAAGATCTAAAGCAGGCCCGGTTAGTCCGAGCTATCGCCATGAAATACGGAGGAAGAGAAAGGAAGAATGGAGAACGGAATAGGACGGCCAGACCCCGAACTAGAGGTTCGACGTGCAGTCGCCGGCAAAGGGGGGCAAAAGGTGTTGAAGAGGAAGGAAAGAAAGGTACACCGCCACATACCTCCGGCGCCATAAATTCAGGAGTTCCGCAGAAAGTGCTCGTCGTCGACCCATACCACATATCTTCCTTGCAGAGACCGTAGTCACCAATCTTGATATGTCCGTCAGGAGTGAGCAGAATATTGTCAAGCTTCAAGTCTCGATAGATGACTCCGTTCTCGTGGAAGTACTTGAGCGCCAAACAGACCTCGGCCGCGTAAAACCTGCAAAATATTAGCTATCAATGACGCTACTAGGTGACTTGGGTCATGGACGGAAAGTAATCAACGTACTGGGCGCGCTTAGTACCGAACTGCCCGCGTTGAATGTGCAGCATGAGATCGCCTCCGCTCACGTACTCCATGACGAAGTAGACTCGGGTCTCGGTTTGGAAACAAGCGTGAAGGGTGGTGAGGAAGGGGTGGCGCTCTCGGTTCGCAACCAGGAAGACTCGCTTTTCCGACCTGATGCTCTCAACTTCGTCGTTTTCAATGATGAATTCCTTTTGAGAACCTTGATCGCATAAAGACGCTTGCTCCTCTTCGTTTCGGCCAACATGACCTTTCCAAAGTTACCTTTGCCCAAGACAGCGAGGAAGTTGAAGTGGTCGAGGCCAATCCTCTGTCCAGTGCCAGGATCCGTTGCGGATGGGAGAGGCTTGCGTTGGGCCACCGAGAGGTCTACAGGACTTGTTGTATGTGGCGACGGGAGAGGTTCGCCCGCGGGAGGCTTTCCATAATGCTGCTGTTGCTGTTGCTGGTGCTGAGGAGACAACGGCTGCTGCTGCTGCTGCTGCTGCTGTTGTGGCTGAGGTGTTTGTTGGTGAGTCTGCTGCGCATAGTACGGCGATTGCTGCTGCTGATATGTCTGGTGGGAGATGGACTGCTGGTGCTGGATTGGCTGCTGTTGCTGTTGCTGCTGCTGCTGCTGGGGCTGTTGAGCATACTGCGGGGCGTTGACGTTGGCATAGTCCGCCGGATTATACTTCCTCTGCTGAGGTGCTGCGCCGTATTGTTGGCCCTGGCCGTAGGGGCTTTCTGGGGATTGCTGCTGCTGCTGCTGTTGCTGCTGGGGCTGTTGCGATCCGTAGCTATAGCGGTCGTAATCCTGAGACTGTGATGTGCGGGCTGTATTTCCAGACATGGCGGCAGAGGCGGCGGCGGTTGCCGCAGTAGAGCTTGAGGAGATGGATACGCGATCCGCTTGGACCTGCTGAGACTGATGCTGGTTGGCGAATGTAAGTTTGGCGGCTTCCGCAGCTTCTGGTGATGGGGTGCCGTAAGCCGGGAATGTGGTGAAGGGTACTGGCCCGGTTGGCCTAGGGCAGTCTTTTGCGGACCCTGTCGTAGGGTCCTCTCAGCCATGGACGCCCTCTCTTGCTTTCGTTGCTTCTGAGTTCGGATGCCCTCCAGGATCTGGTTGGCCACAGCCATTGACATGCCGCAGAAGTCGGGCACAAGGTGCACGCACTGGGCGTGGCAAGTGAGGTTGCATTCTATTTTCGACACACACTATGTTATTGAATGCTCGGGGACGTTTGCGAGGTGAAGGAGGGCGACAAAAAATCAAGGCTAGGCACCTCAAGAGTCGCAACGACTTACCAGAACATTTTCTACTATTCTTCTTTCCAAACGGAAGCATGTAACCACAATGACAGCACCAATTGGCAGTCATGTTCGAGAAAGGCTGGAACCTATGCGGGATGCGATGGTTGATCTTCTCCTCGTCCGGATCGGTTTCCGCGTTGCTCTTGCTGATGCATTTGGTGACAACGCTTGCATAGCATTTGGTATGGCAAGTGTACTTGCAATCCTCGCACTGCATCCCTGCCGAGTACTTGAGGAACTCGCCGCAAAGAGCACAGCGCATAATGTTGTAGAACTGCTGCTGCACAAACTTGTGACCGTACATCTCGTGGACCTCCTCCTTCCGCTGGCGGATGGCGCCCTTTCGCCCAAGACCAAGGTCAATGGGCCGGCGATCCTTGTTCTGCTTGATAAAGCTCAGGGACAGCTGCACTCGGCCACTAGGCTCTAGGTTGAACCATCCGTCGATCGGTCCGGAGTTGGGCATGGGCGGATGAGCGCCCGCCATGCCGCCGCCTCCCTGAGGCCCGGGGCTATTCTGGCCAGAGCCGCCGAACTGCTGTTGCTGTGGACTCATCGGGAACTGCGGAGGAGCCTGGCCGCCCTGGCTAACCATACGATCAGCGGAGACCCAACCCGAGTTGTTGATTTCGGCCTCGATCTTCTTCCGTCGCATCTCTTCTACAATATCGGATATTCTGATCCACAACATGCCGATTGGCAGGGGATGCTCTCCAGGTTTATCGTAGACGGTGAGCTCGACCTCATTCGCCTTGTCAACGTCGAGGCTATGATATTCAGACTCCCATCTATCGTTACGGGAGGCGCGGGTTCTGGCCACGACATTGTCCTCAACCTTGACCGAGACGAACGTCTCCGGGCCTCTAGCGAAACGACTTGTGGCGGCGTGGTCCACATCCTTGACGGCAACAATTCGGATGGTGAGCTGGCCGGTCAAGGGCTTTCGGAGATTGGGCAGGTTGATCGAGTCATCTGAGTAATGGGGGAGAGAAAGAAGGAGTCATGTTAGCGCTTGACTCCAGCCATACCCTCCAACAGGGAGTAGGGGGCAATGATAAAGAGGCATATCAAAGACAAGGTGAAGCTCTTACCATCAGGGGACTCGGCGGAATCGATATCGATATGTAGCTCTTCGTATCTCTTCAAGGCCTGCTTGAGCAGCACAATCTTCTGCTTGCTCTCAACTCGACGTGCAGCCGCATCAGCTTTGCTCTTCCTATCGCCTTCCATACTGTAGAGCTGCACCATCTTCTCAACGCCCTTTAGATACTGTTCCTCGACGTTGAGCTTGAACTGGATCTGGGACAGCATAAGCTGGATGCGGGGGCCTAGGTAGGGCGTATCGTATTTGATCAAGTCTGGTAGGCATGGGAGGGTTAGCCGTCAAGCATAGAATGAGAAAGGGCAGAAATGCGTTGTTAGCAGGGGGCCCGGGAACGCATACCTAGCTTCGTAAAGTTTGGCCTAGGCCGCGAGAGGTTGCCAGAGGGGCCGGGGGCGGGAGGTCCGTAAGGATGCCGCGGTGGCATCAAGTCGTTGTGTCCTCCGATTTGGCTGTACTGCTGGTTCCCATAGCCGGCCTGTTCACCGTCCTTGGGAGGGGGCAGGCCCGGACTCGCCATACATTCCGCCGCTGACAGGCCTGCCATCTGGGCCAATAGCCATGTTGTCCATGCCCTGGTTCACCTTGCGCATCTGAAGCTCACGAAGCTTCTCCTCGAAAAATTGCAGATTGCGGCGGCCATCGCGCATCTGGGAGTCGAGTCTGGAGCGAACGGCCTCATTGTTTGTCTGCGATCGCATAGCATTGGCGGCATTGATGAGAGCCTTCTCTCTCTCAATCTTCTTGTAGATATCTTGGATCCTCTCATCTTCGTTCATTTTGACGGTGTCGAGCCACACTCGAGCGTGGAGCTAATAGGTGGGAGGGAGGGGAAGAGGGCGGCAGCGCCGAGTTGGCTGTCGAAGCGGGGTTTAATTGGGAAGCGATGGGCGTGGCGGGTTTGCCGTCCACGACCGTTGTTGCCCGTGTTAAAAATCCGCGTAGTGTGGGTGAGGTAGAAATAGATGGATGCAAGGTTTTGGTTCTGCTGAAGCACCCGCGACGGCCCTGCGGGGTGAGGGGTGAAGAAGTGAAAGAGATACGGCGTTGGAAAAGTGGGCAGACTGGAGAGAAACAAATTTGAAGCAAGCGGCTGCCGGTGGTGGGTTTGAAGAGGGGCAAAAGGCAAGAGCTACGTATCGGCGAAAAGGGAAAGAACAAGGCAGAGATAGCTTCGGGAGAAGACGCGCAAAATTAAGAGACCGAACGGGAGGGAGATGCAAATGCAAAAAAACTAGATGACCTCTCTTCGACCCTATTTCGCTCATGCAAACCCAACAACCGTCTGGAGGTGGGTGGGAGTAATCAATCTGGGGTCGAATCTCGAGCCACGGACGCTGCGTTGAATTCTTAGCGTCGGCTGGTTGGCTTTCCCTTCTTTTCTATTATCGGTTTTGCCGGCGAGGAGGGGTTTGTGTCATCACTTCGATGCCCGTGGGGACTAACTAATCCAGCAGAGGGCAGGTCCCTCGAATTGGTTGAATCATATACTGATATTCTGTGGAGACAATGCAACATCTAATCAAGAAAGTAGCGACTACTAGCAAGTTCAGGACCCGACTGTCTGAAGCTGAAGGTTCTCCGTCAAGAGGGACAGCCACGAAGGCAGCCCCTGATGTAATACGAATAACATTGATTTAATGGCTGTTTCGCCCGTTCACGCCATGGGCCCTCGGTGAGGTGGATACAATGAATGTATTTCATAAAGACGTGAAGGCTACCTCGGAACACCTCAGTCCGTTCTTTGCTCTTCATCGACTCGTTTGCAACTTTCTTGGTGAGGCCTCCTTTCTTCAACTCCATGCTCGGGACCGTAGGCCGCGGACCCGGCGGGTCTCTTTCTTTGGGCATCATCCCAAGGCATCAGAGAGGACGTGCGCTGGTGCCTTTCTTGGTGATTCTTAATGGCAAGGAAAATGCACTAGGGCCGCTCCCCACATCATCGTGTGCCTTGGTGTACAAGGCAGTCAAGTGTTTCATTGATGCCATTATCAACTTTGATATCCGTCAGGGCTGGTGAGGCACCTGAAGTCTGACTGTGAGCTGAGCTCGCTGCCTAAACCTCGCGACGCCTCACCAAAGGAAGGCAATTATCCTCGCAAGGAAGGGGGATGTTACATGCTCTCTAGTCTGCACGTCGAGGAACAGTCGGGGACGCACTAGGATGCGGGTTTGGGATATGGCGGAAGCTGGTGGGTTTAGAGGCAACGGTTTTTAGCTCTAGGAGCAATCTGTACCTGGGGCACGGGTAGGACAGGCCTCCAGGAATCTACTCGATAACTCATCTATCAATCAAGCACTGGGCACTTGGAGGGATCCATAGATCCATGGATGTGCTACTCAAGGCTGCTTAGAGCTGAAACTGCGTGAATGACTCAAGTGTCAAGGGCCAGGGCCGAAACGGGAGATCTCAATGGAAAAGTCCTACACCACCGAGATGGACCAGTTGACCCTAGGACTTTCCACTTGGTACTACACTACATTAGACCCAGGCACACGCGCACTCACACACCACACACTCGCACGCACACGCACACAGTAAAAAAGAAAACAAAAACCCAATTGAGGGTGGGGTAAGGCGAAGCACAGCCTAGCCCAGCCCAGCCGACCCCACGGGTATTTGAACAGGGTTCTCCCTTCCGCGGGTCTCTCTCGTGGAACCGCAAAGTTAGTTTGAGAAAAGATCGATACGAGATGGGAGTAGCGGTTTGAGTTCGAGTGCACTGGGTTTTGAGGCGATGTTCAACAGCGCATCGCAAGCCGCATCAATGTGCCGTGCTCCAAGGTGTGAGCATGGATTTCGCGAAAAAGACGAACCGGACAAAAGAAAGAGAGAAACTGACCCGTCATTTGCCGAAATCACAGGCGCAATCTGGTGATGTTCTTCCAAGAAAACACGGTTTCTATCAGGCTGGGTTGGTACAGGGGTAGTGCCTTGGGTTGGAGGTTTTGGGTCCTCAATGCTCCAAGCTGCGGTCGCGCAAAGGAACGTTGGCAACATTGAACATTGAACCTTGCACCTTGGCGGGGTTCAAGTTGTCTGGCTGCTGGTTGTTGGTGGGGTCGCGTGCGGGGTGCCCGTGGAGAATGAAAGCGATGACGAGGCCCTGGTGCATGCGGATTCCGGCGGCCTCAAGCGTGCATGGGCGAGCCAGGGATGCAGCTGCAGTAACCCAGAACGCCAGAACACCAGAACACCAGAACACCAGAACCTTGACTGCCAGATAGCCAAGAGCCAGCTTTCAGGGCTTGTCCATCAACACTGATCGACAAGTTTGCATCAGCGTCTACAACTCCAGGGTCTATGTACAAGTTGGAGCTCAAGTGCTTCTTCATATTTGTCAACAGAATCGTTTGGTGTTACCCATCTGGTTTGATCCTGGCTGGCTGCCCAACGCTCTCCAACCAAGTACGTGCAACAAGTCGAGAAGCCGTAACCGCAGCCACTTATCTACATGTATTCTCTGGATATCTGCTCCCGTGTATCCCCATCCGGGGTGGATGTCACTAAAAGGCGAAAGACGTGGAGAGTTGACTTCTCACATCTAATAAGCCGCGAGCCTCGCCAACCACATTTTTGTGCTTGCACATGTGAGGCCACATTTGTAGGTCATCCGCAATACCCCGTTCGACGTGGAGCGAGTGGAGAAAAGAAAACGAAGTAAAAAAAAAGAAGTCCCACCTCCTCTTGTGTACCGAGGTTGATGAGAAAACGAGTAAATTTTACTTTCTTCTTTTATTGATATCAACTCCATATAATCAATACCTGTCAAACCTTCCGACCCAAGCCTCTCTTTAGCAAGGGGGAGGAAAAAGACAATGAATGTACATCCAAAGCGCCTCATGATAGCTGTCTACAATTTTTTTCTATGAAACTATCCCACACGCACAAGCACACGCCCGCACTAGCGATTGTTGACCTTCTACTGAGTGTAGTCCTTCTGGAGGAGTTTGGCGATCGTGTTCAACCTGGAACAAGATGCGGTTAGCCCATAGTCTCCTACTTAACCTGCTATAGGGAATGGATGGGGACTAGGAAGCAGAAATTGTGTCAGGGACAAGCAGAAACTTACTGGATGTTGCTCGTGCCCTCGTAGATAGCTCCAATCTTGCTATCGCGGAAGAACTTTCGGCGAGGCCTTCCCTCACGAAGCCCATGCCGCCCATCCACTCGACAGCCAAACCACTGACGCGGCCGGCTACCTGGGACGCGTAAAGCTTGGCCATGGCAGCATCCCTGATGAACTCCTCACCAGCCTCCTTCTTCCTAGCCGCGTTGTAGACGAGATGGCGCGCCGCCGTGATTTCGGTGTATGACTGCGCAATCTGGTGCTGCATGCCCTGGAATTCGCCAACGAGCTGGCCGAACTGCTTCCTCTCGTTCCAGACGTACCTTGGATCGCCGCATGTCAGAACCATTTCTATTCTTTCTCGTACCATTGAGGGACCGGGGGAGGGATGGTGGCAGAGGTTTACTCACTTGACCGCGTTCTCAAAAGCGCCGAGAGCCAAGCCGGTCATTTGCGCGGCAATACCGATGCGGCCTTCGTTGAGGATCTGAATGGCGTACTTGTAGCCCTGACCCTTCTCGCCGAGGACGTTCTCCTTGGGAACAACGACGTCGTCAAAGTTGAGGACGCAAGTGCTGCTAGCTCGGATACCGAGCTTCTTCTCCTTCTTCGCGATGGAGAAGCCCTTGAAGTCCTTCTCCACGACAAAAGCAGTGATACCCTTGTAGCCCTTGCTGGGGTCGAGGTTGGCAAAAACGATGAAGAGATCGGCCTCCAGCGCATTCGTGATCCACATCTTGGATCCAGAGATCTTGTAACCGTCGCTTGTCTCTTCGGCCTTGGTTGCGAGGGCAAAAGCGTCAGAGCCGGAGACAGGCTCCGACAGGCAGAAGGAACCTAGGATCGCGTGAGTTAGCGGGCAAGGGAAGGCCTTCATTCGAGGGAGCCAAAAATAAAAATAAAAACATACCAACGGCGTTAGTGGCCAGCCTGGGAAGGTACTTTTTCTTGAGGGTGTTGGATCCCCACTTCATAAAGGCCGTGTTGACGAGGGTGTTGTGGACGTCAACCATGACACTGACACTGGGATCAACGCGGGCGAGCTCCTCAATGCCAATAATGGCCGACGTGAAGTTCATCCCGGCGCCTCCGAACTCTTCGGGGATCTCGACTCCCATGAATCCTTGCTCAAATAGTTGCTCTACAATGGTGGGGTCCATGGCCTCCGCCTCGTCCATGTCGCGGACCTTGGGAAGGATGACATCGTTGGCGAACTTGGAAACGGAATCCTGCATCGCGGCCTCGACTTCGGAGAAATGTGTGATGGGCGTAGGGGAATGTCGCTGATGTCAACATCGTCACTGCGGCGGGCAGGAATCGCGCTGAACGACCGGACGCTGTGACAATGGTGGGGTCAGCAAGCCCCCAAGGTAGACAGACCCATTGATGATTGCGAAACGACGTAGGGACACCTTACGAGCTTTGGACTTGGGGAACCCTCAAAACGGACGAGGCTCGAAGAGTGGGCACATTTTTGGGGGCGCCCTGCCGGCGGCGCGGAGGGCTGGCCGAACAACACGAGTGATCGAAGACATTGGAACTTCTCTGGCTCAACGTGGCTAAGAGACTGACGCAGGTTTTACGGACAATCCGACCAAAGAAGACTTTCGCAGCGGTAGCGAGGGCTTAAATAAAAAGAAGAAAAAAATTGGAGCAGAGGAAAAGAGCAATTGATGTGCGTGAGCTTGCGGAATATCCCCCACCGACACAAGGCGATCGAAGTTGCTGTAGACCACATGGGGCAGGTCGCAGTTGTCAGGGCCTCTTCTGCCGAGGATATCCACTCTGCGCCGATCGGCTACTTCCGCCTTAAGACGTCACTCCAGTTCCCACAAGCTAGGCACCGATAATTAGCCGCGAATACGCCTGAGTTCTGCCCGGGATTTTACGGAACCACGCTCGCGAGACAGAGTTAGCGAAACTTTTGAGGACGCGAAGCATTGAGAGATTGATTGAAAACCGGAGCACCGAGCATCATGACGGGGTCAATTCTTCGATATCTGGCGGCGCCAATTCTACGGCAGTCCATGAGGCAGCCGCTATCGCGACCAGCCATTTCTCCCGTCCTCCCAGCCTTCCAGACGGCTTTCCGACCAGTCTTTCGCCCCTTTTCCTCAACACCTATCCAGAATGCGACACTGATGCAGGTTCTTCGGGTATGATTGACGGCAAAGCACCAATGTTTTGTTTTCTGGCCAGCTTCTAATATTCGAGGGTGAATAGGGTTGTCGGAAGGGAAAGAAGGCGCGCCACGCCGTTTCTCCAGCACTCGCCGAGCGAGGGTCGCCTTTCCAGAAGGGAGTGTGCCTCAAAGTCGGCATCACGAGACCCAAAAACCCAATTCGGGCGAGCGAAAAACAGCGCGTGTGCGTTTGACGACCGGAAGAGTAGTGACGGCCTATATCCCCGGCGAGGGCCACAATATCCAGCAGCATAGCGTCGTGCTCGTGCGCGGTGGACGCAGTCAGGATTGCCCCGGTGTGAGGTATCACTTGGTTCGCGGAGCTCTGGATCTCGTATGTCTTCACCTAACGTGCACATCATCACAAAATACGAAGAACATCGCTAACTACGTTTCAACTACAGGGTGGTGTTAATGGACGAGCTACTAGCCGTAGCAAGTACGGCGCGAAGAAGCCCAAGAAGGCTACCGTCAGCTAAATCTGGCGACTCCCTTGTTTTATCACCTATACTGTACTACCATAGAAGTGTTTAAATTATAAAAAAGCATTTTATTTTCCGACTGAAGGGCGGCCTAATTTTGGATTCGTGTTTGGAGGGGAGCTCATGTCGTATAGGTCCATCAATGTAATCGCAGCTACCAATCTTGGCTGCCTTCTCGCGCTACATGCTACGCAAATAGCCACATCTAAAACCTGGGGCGCCTCCTCCCCTTTCCCTCGCCTAGAAATAAAGTTTTACATTATTTCCCATTTTCAGCATTGAAAAGAGCTCGCTGTCTGCTATGCAATTATCTCGAGAGTACATGTAGCACATGCAAGCGAGAATTGTCGTTCGCATCCGCCTGTGATTTTTTTTTTTACCTTTCTACCCCACCATAAGCTCTCCGCCATCAACTTTTTTCTTTGCTTAAAGCCGTCACCCCTCCCACCACGACATTTCGCTCCCGCACCCGCTGTTGCCCAACCCTCATTGCCCACCATGCCGCCCTCTCGAGACGACGACGACGACCCCGTCGTCGCCACCTTCAACGTCTTTCTCAACCCAGCCCTCCCGGAAAACCAGAAAATCATCGCCTTGCACCAATCCGTCCGGTACGATGAGGGGCAGTCGCCCGCCTTCCCCACCCGCCCACCGAGGTACGCATCAAGCCTGACTCGGGCATAATAGAAGTCGATGTCCCCTCGACATGCTCGACAACTACGACCGCGAAAAGGGCATGCAGTACGGGCGCGCCCTCCGAGAGACCATGGAAGCCAAGGGCGGCGGCTCGCACGGTTTAGCTGGTGGCTTCGGCGTCGGAGCTCCGCTGCGCCGCTCAGCCGGAAGAGCGAGCGGGATAGGGATAGGGAGAGGCGCTCCGAGTGGGTGGACGAAGTGCGTGCGGATAGGGTCCTCCGGAGCCAGACTCTTGGAGGCATCGTCCCCAAGACGGAACCGGTGAACTACATGATTGGTGTCTTCCAAGGAGGTGTGTCGAATCTCCCGCTTGTTTTGCCCCAATTCTTCTTCTTCTTCACACCCGGAAAAGGGTACTAACACAATTCGCTCTGCTCAGGAGACCTCCATCTGACGCCCGCCTCCGCCTTTGTCAACCTTCAGCCGCAGCTTCACCACGTCGACGCCAACAACCAGCTCGAGCGGGCCACGCCCTCAGGCCCAGGAGGAGTCAAGGACCCTGGATCGAACCCCAGCGGCCCCAGCGCTAGCACCGGTCCCGCCGCGAGAGCCATCCACATGACCATCAAGACCGCCGGCAACGGCGATTCCGTCGTCACCGAGACCATGGCCGATCGTCTTCGCGCTGTACAGTCGGAACCCTGGCGCAAGCTGCGCTTCGTGGACGAAAACGAGCTCGAGGCCTGGGATGCCTTCACCCAAACCTTTGTCCGCTCCGCGAGATTAAAGAGCCGGAGGGCGACGCAGACGAGGAGTTGACGTCTCTCAATGCCGACCTGGACAAGGTTCAATGGCTGGAATCCCCTGGGATGTGGATAAGATCGAGTCAAGGATATCTAGGAGACGGTTGGAATCGGTCCACCAGGTAAAACATGAGGCTGTCCCGACCGACGCCAGGAATGTCAAGGCTGAGCCACAGGATACGCCCATGTCTGATAGGGCGCGAACGAGAGCGCCGCTCCCGCGGCGAGAAGCGGAAGATCGAAGGCGGGCGGGAGGGGAGGGCCTCGGTCACGATGGAGATAGACTAGAAAAGAATGCATTAGACGTAACATGAGCACGGAGGTTGAGGGAGGTTGCAAATGTACATTATTATACCCAGGCCTCCTAGCAAAAGGAAAAATTAAAAGCCAAGCGATATAACAAACGTAGAAAAGAGAACTCTGCCACGCACCTCAAGAGGATATGACGCCTGATGACGAGCCATGCTAAAGGAAGACGAGTGAGAGGGTGGGAATGCCAGTCTTTGAGTAACCATAAAATCGAGATTAATTCACTAATTTTGTCTTCCGCCGGCTATCTAGACTCCTCATCACATATTTTAATCATCTCCCAGCTCTCCGACCCAGTTGCCTCCTCATCTGGTACAAAGATCATACATCCTTCCTCCTAAGCTGTATGGAAATCAACAGTGAACCGAAAAAGATAAATGCTTTGCAGGGGTTTCACGCCAATGCCCGTCCACATCCAGCCACTGCAATTCGTTTGGCGCATCCTTAGCGCCCACCTCAACGTGAGGGATTAGTTTAGGGAACCGCTAGATCCAAGCCTTAATTGAACGGAAAAGTGCAGGTCTTAGCCTTCTATCCTAGTAGCTCAACGTCAAGACCGATCGAAAGCATAAACAGGTTGACGTTTGAAAGTCGGCCGGCGGCAATCGCAGGCGGTAATGTTTTGGCATGGCTGACAGTTCCCATGACCCGGTCCTTGACGGCGAGCACAAGGCGTTGCTGCTGGTCGGGAGAGGAGCTGACACCGATTGCGGCAAGCAGCTGCCACACATAAATGTCCTCACCAGAGTTGATGCTTCCTGGGAAGATGTGAGGCAATGTGGGCTCGATGATGTTGAAGAAGGTGTTGAATGTATTTTCCCTATATGCCGCGTTAGTTCGTGAATCGTATTTGCGGGAGATGGGCGGGAGCCCCGCGTTTTTAGATCGAACTTACCATTTGCTCCATTGCTCCGGCGTCGCGTTGCCGGCCTGTTTGATAAGCTCGGCTCGACTCAAGATAAGTGTCAATATCGACGTGCCAATTCGGGTCTTTGCGATCAAGTCGACATTGAGCTTTTCATTGATCAGATCGAGCGCACCGTCCACGATGTCCAAGTTGGTGTCGTTGAAGAACTGGAAGATGCTGGGCATAACCACAACAGAGAACAGCTCAATGTTCTCACGCAAAGCTGCATTTAGGTCAATCTCCCCAGTGTTGACCTGCGCCCCCTTGACGACGTCGAGCTGGTCGAGATGGAAAATGATCATGGTGAGGATGGTAGCCCGCTGCTCATAAGTGAGGTGGCGGAAAACACGGGGATGGCCTTCTTGCCCTTGTGGAAGGACAGGAAGGCGATGAAGGGGTGCAGTGTGGTGGCGCCGATGGGCTCGTGGACCTTGAGGTCATCCCACAACTTGGCATTCAAGGCCTTGGTAGTGCCAAGCCATGCCTCGTGTTGGGCTTGGAGGGATGGATCGGGAGGGGGCATGTGGCGAGCGTGGTCCTCCAACTTCATAAGAGTGGAGTACACCTTTTCGATATTTCGAAGGACCGACCTTCTGTCCACAGTGCCGTGGGTCTTCTTGGAACCAGAATGACGTGGGGACTCGGCAGCTCCCTCTTGCCTCTTGAGGTTGAGGAGCGGCTTAGGGGTTTTGGCGTTACTGTACGAGATTTTGCCCAAGCTGCCCGCAATCACGAGCTGGGGGTTCTTTGGCTTGTTCTTGGCGGCCTCCACGGCACGCTGAACCTGCTGCTCCATGCGTTGGACGTGGTTCTCTGCCGCACGTGCATGACGACGTCCACCACCGTGGCGGCTACCAGTCTGGAAGAGGTACGTCTGGGCAAAGTTGTGAAGGGGCTGAGTGGGATTCTGTCGATGACCGGCGCGGATGGACGCATGCACCTGATAGTAGAAGTCGTCGTTGAGGGATGTTTCCTCCCCATCCTCGGTGGCAATCCCCGTAGCAGTCACGAGCTGCTGGAGCTGGATGCGAGTAATGAAGTTCTTATCTTGGGGGTCATCAAGCCATTATCCTTGGAGAGAAGCCAAATCTTGTGGTTTCGCTTCGCACGCTTTGTTTCCAACTCGAGGAATGCAGCCTTTTCTTCTTCCGAGAGGTGGGGTTGAGCATGGATGGGAATGTGGAGAATGGCTGATGATGTTGAACCGTGAGAAACATGCATCGGGTGAGTCGGGATACCCGCACGAGAAATATCACCAGACAGGCGGTTGGGATTCTGGAGGATCTGCGTCGGCTGAACCTGTCCTTGGTGCTGCTGAGGACTGGGGCCTTGGCGTGCAACGGCAGCCTGCTGCTTCGCATCTAGGCCCTGGGGTCGCTGAAGAATCTGGACCGGGTGGCCGTGACCGGGCTGCCCCATCATGGGCGGGCCGGGGTCACGAACCTTGGCATAAAGGAAATCGCCATTTTCCGGGACAAGAATTTGGGTCTGGGGCTGCCCTTGCTGGGAAGAGGTGGGCTGCGGGGTGCTCTTGGCTTGCGCGCGCATAGCAGCCTCCACCTCCTCCAGGCTCATCACCTTGCGTCCGGACGAAGGGGCCTGCTGTGCTGCGGGCTGGGGCTGAGAAGTGGGCTGGGACGCGGTCTTTGACGGCGCGGTCCCCCAGATGCTATGATCCACATGGAGATCAGGCACGGCTTCAGTGTCCTTGTACTTTTCGTATCCAGTCCGCGCGGGCTTCCGGCTGGGTTGAGGTTGCGGTTGGTATTGGTGCTGGTGTTGGGTGTACGAAGGAGCCAACGCAATTCCAGCCGCAGGGATGGGGGTGCCGAGGGTTTGACGGAGGTAGGCTGCTGTCTAGAGAAACGGAGGTGCTCTTCCTCGATGGCGTTGGAGACCTGGGCGGTCCGGCCAAAAGTCAAAATCTTTACCAACGTTGCTCACCGGGCCAGTGTCGCCGAAAGTGTCGTCATTGAAGGCGTCGTCGGTCTCGTCGAGCTGGTCGCCCAAACCATCATAGGTATCATCGAATTCTAGGGCACCTTCGTCGCCACCCGCATCATTGGAAAGACCTGAGAAGGGGTCATGGGCCTGCGAGAATCCCGGGGCGGCAGTGTTATGCCTGGATCCGCTGAACCCTCCGAAAAAGACATTGTCGTGTATCACTAACAGTGACCGCGTTGGTTTTGTCCAGTCAACAAAATTGGAAACTATCTAGGCTGAACCATTCAATGTGAGCATGGGCTTATCACAAGGAGGCGGAGGTGGGTGTCTAGCTCCTGTTGAGTTGAGGGGGGATGGGTGCGGGGGAGGGCATAAAGAGCTTGTTCAAGCGAGGCGTGGACGAATCCGAGGCCCCACCACGAGCTCCAAAGAGCTCAAGAGAGCGTACATGGGCTGTGCGAGATAGTGCTGGCTTCATCGTGCAATGTAGGCCCAAGGAGATCTCCTAGAGATATTGCGATAGGAGGCGAGACTTACCTTGAGAGAAACGAGTAACGGTGGCTAGAGGTTGGCTCGGAATTACCATGGTGAAAATGGAACTTGACAACTAAGAGGAGGGCGCAGCACAATATAGGTGCAGTCGGCTCCGTTGAGAGAGACCGAGAAAACGGGTCTAGACGTCAGGGGATGCCAGAGCGGTCAAAGGCTTCAACAGTAGCTGATTATATTGAGAGATGCTGCCACTAGGCGAGTTGTTTCAAGGCCAGGTTGGTGGCCACGGCGTTGCTGAGCAATTGGCGGGACCAGCACTCAATCGCAAGGCCTGACGAAGATGTGGATCAGAGCTTGCCCAGGCTTGATTAAGTAACTCATTTGCACGTGACCTACTTTTCTTGCGACTCGGGAGCCAGACCCAGTCTTTGGCTCTCAAGTGCTCCGTGTCTCTACCGAGAGGGCTCGCCTGGCTTGTGCCATATTCGCACGGCCAGCCAACACAGTCCGGGAAAAGCGCAGAGCTGGTCATCCATGCCGTCCAAAGTTCAAGTGTTGAATCAATCAAGCCATCACAATTCCCGATGCCCCATAGTTTTTGCATCGGAAGCCTTGAGAATATAATAATATCTCATAAGCCTATGGTATACAACGATTCGGGCTCGTCCGCTCAGATTGTTCGACTCCTTTCAGATCTGTCAGCCAGGTTATCGCAGAGCTGGAGAAAGCCATAAAAAGGCAGTCGAAGAAAAGCAGGGGACAGGCAAGGACCGAGGATCAGGGAACAGTCCGCTGGGTCGCGCGCAACCCAAAAATAGTATATTACACCCTGTTTAGGATTCAAAATTCAACCATGCCGGCCCACTCATCCATGATAGATCAATGGGTTATTACTTGTAGGTTCAGGACCCCACGAGCGCGGCGAGCAATATCATGTACAGGCAATGAAAATGGACATGTCGGATGGGAGATTAATGTCAATAGTGCAGCACGAAGAGGGTATAATCGATCGAGGAAATAAAATTCAACGGCTTCAAGCAAAACTTCACGGTTTCTGCCCCTGAAGTCGGAACAGAGTCGATCCAGTGCGGGTGCAACCACACACCTCAGACATCTACTCTGTGTACTGAGAAAATGCTCGATTCACCAATTTCACTTGCATCCAGGGATCCATGATCAAATATCTGGTCTGTACACTCCACTACGTGTCGTGTCTGATGCACACCCATCTGGTGTACTCTCTTCAAGAGAAGGCTATCCCTGCAGTTCCCCGTGCGCCCTGGAGATGCCTTGTTAGATAACGTCCAAATACCGTCGTAATCAATGTCGTGTCCAGCAAGCAGAATCAGTGAATCAATTGATGGAATGGACTTGTTGCGCGTCCGGCCCCAGGAACTTCGTGAAGTGTGGGGCGGCCAACCCCACCCGCTTCGCGTTGGACATGGTTGATGCAGCTCGTGTGGCACATTTAATCTCAAGGTCTTGAACCCAGCAGCCTACGTCTTGCGCCAGCGATGCTCGGAACGTTAAATAATGAGCTTCCCCGAGTACATACTTCTTGCTGCTCTGAACTAGTGTAATGTGACACTTGGTTGACTTATTTGAGAAGAAGGCTAGCTAAGACATCCCGTTGGAACAGGGCAGAGAAGGGGAAAAATAGTTTAAGAAGGGAAAGAAGAAAAAAATAGTAAAAGGGAACACGTAGCTAATGATGCGTGATCGAGGTGTCCTCGCTCCCCACATCCAAGCCCTTGGGGACTGGATGGAAATATCGCAGCGTTGTAGCGGGAGGATGTGACAGAGTATGAATTGGCAAGGTTCAAATGCAACAGTTCAAGCGTGGAACTCGAGAAGGAAGGAAGAGGACAGGACCCTGACGGTCTTGAGACGAAGAAGAGGGGTGTGGATTGTTGGTACTGCAGGTCCTTGTCATCCCAAGGACCAAGCAAACTCGGAACACACACTTCGCTTTTCTCTATTTGTCGACCTTTCAGCCTTTGTCGAGAGTTTCCTGCCGGCAGTTTTAGTGATAGTCGAGAGCCAAATGAAACCAAGCTCAACTTTGATCTCAGAGAAAAGGGCAATGATCGCAGCCCTCCAGCAGGCTCGGGGCGGTATCAGCAAAAGTAAAACCTGCCCTGCAAGGCACAACGAAACACGAAAGATGTTGCCACTGACGCGCAGTTGTCAACGCGGTGGAGCTCGGGACGAGCGGCAGAGAGCGAGAACACTTTGTATCTTGTTCTTTCCCTCTTCTTGACGTCGTTGTCATGGATCCAAGTCACCAAGGTCAGTCGGTCAATTGAGTGGGCGCGTGCCCTCAACATACACTAATAGTTCGGAATCCGAATCCCCTTCCTCGCCTGCCAGTGTTGGATTGAAGGGCGAAAAGTGATGTCCAGAAGGCTGGACGTGCGCCATGGCTTCCGCGCTTGACAGCCACTGGCACCACGCAGCATATTGTTACGGCAAAGGATCTGCTCCCGTCCCAATTCAGCCCAGGATGCCACTTTATACGGGGCTTGGCGTAGTGTGGGAAAGACACCCTCATCTCTATTGCTGGAAACCGTCTTGGCCGGGTTTCTTGATGAGGACCATCAACAGTCCAGCCGAACGCCCAATGTCTCGTTAATGTGTGTTTGGCAGACGCAGACGCAAAAGCAGACGGCCATGAGGCCAAATCTTTTCCTCCACAGGCAGAGGACGGACCCACGAGTCAGGGGTTGACTTGGGCTAGCTCCATGTGCAAGTATTGATCAATAGACCAAAAATGGAACTTGCATGTACAAACAGGAGCAGCCGCAGCTGAGTGGTCCTTGGTGTCGTGTATACATGTACGATTTGAAGTTTGTGACCGGCCTTGCTCCACCTAAAGACCTAAAGGGGGCGCAAAGGGGGTGCAGAGAAGCGTGCAAACCGGCCAGAAAGGGGGCAATGGACAGCTCGCCCAAGTACACGTAACGCCGCCTCACCTCGTATTGGGGGTTTCTTTTTCTGCTCCCCTTTTCCTTTTCGGAATAGATATGCTCTGCTTGACCCATCGGCGCATTTTCTTCCCACACCTTTCCCCATCTTCTTCTTCTTAACCTTTTGCCGGCGAACCTTGGACGCTTCCTTGCTTGCGCGGCACCGCCTTTCCCAAGATGCGTCGCAGTTAAATCGGCCGCCCTTCGCAGATCAAATCACCATTGAGCACGCTCTCTCCATTTCGTCGAGAATCCTTTTGCCGCATCTCCCTCCTTGTCGCCGCCCGACGCACGACAACGGCTTCTCTTGCCCATCGTCGCCGACGAAACCCCAACACCGCGACCGAGATTGAATTTTATTTGACGTCCGCGCCACCAACCCCATCTAGGCTGTTACCCCATTCTACTCGCCCAACATGATCGCGGGCAGTACGCGGTATCTGCGGTTTATCCTGTTTGCAGTATTTGTACGATGCGAGCCCTTCATCCCCCTGCTGAGCTTCCTGGCGATTTTGCACAGTCTAGTCAACACGCAACGAGTCGTCGGGCCGGGGAAAGCTCTCCACGTGGTCAATTATACTTTCTTTGCTAACCAATCTCCGTCTCTGTCCTGCTTCTAGGCCTGCCTCGTCCTTTATCTGATCACGCAGTCCAAATACAATGACGCCCAGGAATTTGGCACGGGCGCTCCGTCGCAAGCCGGCAACACCGCTGCCTCCTCATCGAACCTGAACAACCAGAAACGCCCGGCTGTCGGCGAGGCTTACAATCCCGCTGATTATCCCATGCCTCTGACTCCCAACGACCCCAACTGGGATAGCATCCTCTTCGACGGACGTGCCCCCGGCCCCCGCATGAACGCCACCTTTGTCACCCTCGCCCGAAACAGCGATGTCTGGGATATTGCTCATTCCATTCGTCAGGTCGAGGATCGTTTCAACAGGCGCTACAACTATGACTGGGTCTTCCTCAATGACAAGCCATTCGATGCCACCTTTAAGAAGATCACGACCTCGCTTGTCTCTGGTAAAACCTCGTATGGCGTCATCCCCAAGGAGCAGTGGTCGTTCCCCGAGTGGATTGACCAGGACAAGGCCGCCAAAGTCCGCGCCGACATGAAGGAACGCAAGATCATCTATGGTGACTCCGTCAGCTACCGACACATGTGCCGCTTCGAGTCTGGCTTCTTCTTCCGTCACCCGCTCATGCTGAACTACGAATACTACTGGCGTGTCGAGCCCGGTATCCAGTTCTACTGCGATGTCCACTACGATCCTTTCCGCTTCATGGCAGAGAACAAGAAGAAGTACGGCTTCGTCCTCAGCTTGTACGAGTATATCGAGACGATTCCTACCCTCTGGGAGAGCACCAAGAAGTTCATCAAGAATTTCCCCGAGCACGTTGTTGAAGACAATGCCATGGATTTCCTGAGCGATGACGGTGGCGAGACCTACAACAAATGCCACTTCGTAAGTTTTTAGCGTCTTTTTTTTTCTCATATGTCGTTATCTCGAGGGTTCGGCTATTAACCAATCACCCATGTAATAGTGGTCCAACTTTGAGATTGGCAGCCTCAACTGGCTCCGCTCCCGTCAATATCTTGATTTCTTTGACCTGCTTGACCAGGATGGTGGCTTCTTCTATGAACGCTGGGGAGATGCCCCCGTCCACTCGATTGCCGCGGGTCTCATGCTGAAGAAGGACGAAATCCACTTCTTCAACGACATCTCGTACAAGCACACGCCCTTCACCCACTGCCCTACAGGCGAGAAGCTCCGCCTTGATTTGAAGTGTAGCTGCAACCCCAAGGACAACTTTGACTGGAAGGGGTATTCTTGTGAGTAATCGCTCTATACTCATCCTTGAGATTGATCTATTTCCTAACGCTATCTAGGCACCTCGCGCTACTTCGATATCATGGGATTAGAGAAGCCCGAAGGCTACGAGAATCAACAAGATTAAGAGGATTTTTTTCTCTTCACTCGTGTACTATTTTAGACTCGCCATTATTACGATACGGATGGTAGCAGAGATCCGATGGAATTTCTCCCAACGCGTACGAATATGAGGGACGATAGGAGAAATATTGCCTTTAGGTAGAACAAAACAAAACCAAGGGAATGGCGTTTCAGGGTTCTTGGGGATTTTGTGTATGGCGAACGATGTCGCTCTTGCTCGAGTCGTTCTGCGTACATATGTACTTTACACAATATACAATGGATGTAAATCTGGCTTGCGTACATATATTTTACAACGTGAAGACTCGAAAGGAGCTGGGCAACGTACGCATCTGTCGGCACTCTGTGCTAAGAGATACATCCATTGGGTCTGGGTGGCAGAGGATGGCTACCAAGTAGAGCATCTATCCTTCACAACGAATATTGAACACCTATTTACAATGATCCTTGTCAAACCAACGTGCAATTTGATGGGCTGTGTGAGGTTTTACTCTCATGAATCTCGGTCATTTGACTCTATAACCAATGCCCTTCTCTCTGACATAAAGGCAAGGAGAAATAACATAGATAGAGCGAGAGGAGGCGAGGGGCCTGCTCAAGACACAAATCGGCAAGGGGTGGGAGAAAAATGGGAACTAGGAGGAACAAGGAAGATACCCGCATGAGATATCATTCTCCTTGCCTCTACGTCCTAGCCACGATTGCCTGGCCAATCCTCCCAATCCCGATCCTGTCTTTTTCTACAACCCACCCTGCCCACGAATACGCCGGACAGATGACGGCGAGCTTTCTAAACTGCAGAACCCTGCTTACACCTAGCCTTGGATGTCCCGCAGTCGCTAGCTGCGCCGTAGTCGCAGCACCCGCCACTAGAGTTGCATTCGTAGGCATGGCTGGCAACGCGCTTGGCGGAGATGGCGAGCGTGCCGGCGCCGACGACGCAGTTGCCGCAGTAGACGCCCTGCTTCAGGCCCTTGACGCACTTGCACCCGTTGGCACTGCAGGCCCTGGGCACGAGCTCGGCGGGGAGGGCCTCGCGCTGGGCCAGGCCACCGGCAGAGTCCTCGGCGGGGAGGGCGCTGGCGAGGGCCACGCTGGCGAGGGAGAGGATGAAAGAAAGGCGCATAGTGGGTATTGCGTTGGGGTCTTATGGACGTAGGTGCAAGGTCAGTAGCGTCAATGTCTGTGATGTTTGCCAAATTTAGTAAATCACGGTCAACAGCTTGTCTCCTTGTAGGAGTTTGGCACTAACAAGAGTTTCTGTGTGTGGTCGGGGATGGTGAGCTACGTCGGACGGGCAGGATTGATAGACAAGGGGATGGCCGGCATCTTTTATGAGTCCGGTTATTTTGGTTTCCCCGGCCGCATTCTTTTCGTTCTTCCTCTTTTTCTTTTTGTTTTTCTGTTGTTCATGTCGCCAGTTCCGTCTTTTTCGCTAGCCACTGTGATGACGCCCACCCTGGCGGCTCCCGATCGAAGAGTTGCCCCGTCTTACATTGGCAGTGTTGTGTTGGGGACGGGGCTCGCATGCACACTAATGTAAGTCTTTATTAACTGCCACATCACGGCCCCAAAAGGGGCCAAACCACGACCCAGGCGAATAGTAATCGTATTCAGGGGAAATCTATCCGAGGAGGGATCGATCGAAACCGCAAGTCGCCACTGCTGTGAAACCAATCCAGACCCCAAATTTAAAGGGCGAGTATCAACTCACGACCTAGTGTAGTAGCTCAAGGAGTCGCTAGCACTAGAAGAGTGGAGGAGAAGGGCAACTACAATTTCACGAGTGACGACACATCCTGGCCTTCTCTCGTGTGTGGATGCGCAGGGCAAGCTCATTGGGACGGAGGTCCTGAATGACGCGCAAAGTTTCGGTCCATCATGGAAGAGGAAGTTGCCCCGCCATTCTGTGTCTGTCGCTGAGGGAGATGAAAGGCGCTTACGGGGTTTCTTGGGGGACAAGTGAGCATCGAGGATGATGAGTGCTTTCTTTGGCAGGATTACACCGTGAAAAACTGAAAGATAGTTACATGACGGGTGTGACGTGCCGAGAGTGACGCTCCTACTTCCTATTCTTGCCCCGATCTCTGCGTCCGGCCTCGAGAACCTTGAGTCGCTTATTGAAGCGTTCACCCATCTCGACTCGGGCCCCGCTTTGCCTCGGCCCATCTGTGCTTTCATGCTGACGCTTGCGACTCTTCTCGAGCAGCGCGCGGGTTCCTGTTGACCCGCCCTTCTTCTGCGTGAGGCGGTCGATTCGATTGACTCCCTCTCCAAGGTCCCTCCACTCTTCTCCGCCAAAGACCATGCGCCCGCTCTTTCCGGCCTGCTTGGCCTGCTTCGTACGCTCCTTCTTCCCGGGGACGGGCAGACGAGTGAAGTTTCGTTCTTCGTAATCTCGTCTCTCATCGTCCCGTTTGCGTTCCTCTGCCGTCTTGACTGTCCTGCCACGGTCGAGAATCGTGGTTCCCACGCTAGGCTCGGCCATGGGACCAGAGATGAGCTCGTTCGCAACGTACTCCTCCACGGCTGAGGATCTTGTTGGTACTCTTTCCCTACGCTCGCGCTTGTCAAGCTCGGGCATGATAACACGCCTTGTTTTGGAGGGACGCCAGACGCCCGGGTTCTCGTCCGACGTTTTGGGAGGGTCGACGTCGATTAGTTTCTTGAAACCTGCGAGTTGGGGTCGTCGTGGTTTCTCATCCTCATCTTCGTCCTCGTCGTCTTCGTCGCTGCCGGCATCCTCGTCGCTATCTTGTTCGCTACCACTTTCTCCGTCGCCTCTTGACTTCTTGCTCTTTGACCTGGCCGATTCCATTTCAGCACCCGCCTTCTTGCGCTCAGCGTCGTCGGCAGCTCGAAGCATGTTTTCGAGCGAGAATCGTAACTTTTCCTCGAGCGGCCGAACGCCTTTCTCGAGGTAGAGTCGTAGTTCCGTAAGCTTTTTCACCACATCGTTGTATGTTTCAGTCGAGTCTTGCTTGTCCTGGGTCTTGGAGTTCCGTAGCTTGACGAGGATAAGGAACGCGAGGTTCTGGAGGTAGCTGAGCAAAAGCTCATTCTTGACATCTAAGAGGGAAACACCATTTTCAGGGACCTCTAAAGCCGAAATTTTCGGGCCAATCTCGATGGCGGACGTTAATGATTGAGTCAAAGACTCGATAAGAGCCGGAATGCTCTTGGGTGCAGCCATTTTTCCCTTTGCTGGGTCGTGGGTGACGGTAAAGAGTTGGTGGAGGTGAAGGCGGATAGGTTCACACAAGAGCCTTGTTGGGGTCCTGGCCTTGCATTTTTTTAAATCCCAAGCCGCCGCCAACTTTTTTTCGTCTGCCCCACGGTCGGGCCTTGACCACCGATGGGCCGATCCTTCCTTCGGGCAGTTTCCAAGAATAGCCGAGAATTACCCACTAGCACACTAGCACCCAATGAAATCAAGTTCGTCCCTGGAATCCTGGGTGTCAACTGGATTTTAATCTCGTTGGAAGCTACGTACGTCGACCTGTCCTTGCGCAAGCTATTACCGAATTGCCCCTAAAACAGATATCTCCCGCGACGGGAACCCCACAGCCATCGCGGAGTGATATTTTTACCTCGTTGGGATCAGATGGTCCGTTAATACCAAGAATCGAGGAATATTTCCATTCACCCCTAAGCCTAGGTTTGTTTTTCTATCCCTGCCATCGCCAATCCTCCCTCCGAGCCTGCCTGCTGACCCAGCATATCTCGTGTATTAGATAGCCTCGCCCAAGATGCGATTCTCCGAACTCCCGGCATCGTCGGCCATCGGCGCATGCCTCCTCGCCCTACCTCAACTAGCTTCGGCATTTTATCTTCCCGGTGTCGCGCCTACTTCCTATAAGCAGGGCGATATCGTGCCTCTTTACGTGAACAGCGTCAAGCCAGGCCCGGGAACGAGTAACAACCGCTTGCACTCCGTCATATCCTACGATTATTACAATCCCGCCTTCCAATTCTGCAAGCCTAGCGATGGCCCCCAACCCATTTCCGAGAGCTTGGGTAGCATCTTGTTTGGCGACCGCATCATGACCTCGCCCTTCCAGCTCCAAATGCGTGAAAACCAGACGTGTCTAGAGCTTTGCAACCAGGCTTACGACCCCATCAGGCTCAACTTTATCAACGCTAGAATCAGGCAAGGATACACTCTCAGCTGGCTTGTCGACGGCCTCCCGCGGGACAAATCAAGGAAGACTACTCGGACGGAAGCACCTATTACAGCCCTGGCTTTGATCTTGGGATGCCCAACGACGACGGCACCGCGTGGTTTTATAACCACTACGAAATCGAGGTCGAATACCATCAAGTGAAGAACAAGGTCGTTGGCGAAACCGAGCAGGTGTGGTCTCGAGTTGTGGGCGTTACTGTCCGTCCCGAATCTCGTGATTACGGCTCGGATGCGCCGGGTGCCGACTGCAATTTCGTCACCGAGCCTCTTGTTCTCCACGAGGGAATGGAGGGCGTCAATGTTCAATTTACCTACAGCGTCACCTGGATCGAGTCCGAGACAGCCTGGGCGACCCGCTGGGATAAGTACCTTCACGTTTTCGATCCCAAGATCCACTGGTTCTGGCTCGTTGACATCGCCGTCGTTGTCGTCATTCTTATCCTCACTGTGATGTCGATTCTCGTTCGCACTCTCAAGAAGGATATAGCGCGATACAACCGCCTGGATGAATTTGACCTGGATGACTTGAACGGCACCTCCGCCATAGAGGAAGGCGTGCAGGAGGATTCCGGCTGGAAGCTTGTCCACGGTGATGTGTTCAGGAACCCACCGCGGCCCCTTCTCCTTTCTGTCCTTCTCGGAAATGGCGCTCAGCTCTTCGTCATGGCTGGCTTTACCATCATCTTCGCCCTCCTCGGCTTTTTGTCGCCTTCCAATCGTGGATCTCTCGGCACTATTATGATTCTCCTCTACACGGTCCTTGGTTCAGTGGGTGGCTACGTCTCTGCTAGAGTCTACAAGTCCATGCAGGGTGACAGGTGGAAGATGAACATCGCCCTCACCCCGGTCCTTGTCCCCGGCATCGTATTCTCGTCCTTCTTCCTGCTCAACCTCTTCCTGTGGATCAAGCAGTCTTCGGGCGCCGTCCCCTTCACGACCATGCTGCTCATCATCTGCATCTGGTTCGTCATCTCGATTCCCCTCTCCTTTGGTGGGTCGTGGCTTGGCTTCCGATCAGCAGCTATCGAACCACCGGTGCGCACAAACCAGATCCCTCGCCAAATCCCGCCTGGTCCCACCCATCTCAAGCCAATTCCCAGCATGTTCATCGTCGGCCTGCTTCCGTTCGCCGCCATTTTTGTTGAACTTTATTTCATCATGAGCTCGATCTGGTTCAGCCGCATTTACTACATGTTTGGGTTCTTGTTCGTCTGCTATGTTCTCATGATCTTGACATGCGCGGCTGTCACCATCCTCATGGTTTACTTCCTACTATGCTCGGAGAACTACAACTGGCAGTGGAGGGCCTTCCTCGCCGCCGGCATGACTGGTGGTTACATCTTCCTTAATTCCCTCTTCTACTTGGTCACCAAGTTGCAGCTTAGTAGCTTGGCTGGCGCCGTCCTTTATATCGGATATAGTGCCTTGATCTCTGTCCTTTTCTTCATTCTTAGTGGTAAGTGGGATCCCAGACAACCCATCCCTACAAAAACCCCAGCGTCTAACATGTCTTTACTTTATAGGCTCCATTGGCTACTTTGCCAGCTGGTGGTTCGTCCGGCGCATCTACTCATCCATCAAGATTGATTAGATGGATCGATAGGTTGCCCTGATCTCAGCTTTTTGTGGCTGGCAGGGGTGTCGGTCTCGTTTGTAACATCACGGCTTCACGCTTGTTGGGGACAACTGGCCTGTCTTTGTTCCACATCGTTGTGGCCCCTTTTTTGTTTCTCATCGTTCCCTTTCTTTTTCTTCATCTTCCATATCTTGCCAACACTCGCGGACAGCGGTGTTGCGGTGCACGGCTTCGCACACATCATAGGGGACGGCTCCATGTAAAGTAATCCGGAAGAACAAAAGTTGAACAGTTTGGGTGATTTGGTTTTCATGTCATGAGGTTATATGGATATAGACGACTCCGAACATTTTTTTCTTTTTCTCTCTCTCTCTCTCTCTCTCTCTCCCTCCCTGACCCTTCTCTCTCTTGTTCCTCGTTTTACATGCAGGGCTTGATCCCTTTCTTTGGCCCCTATCCTACTATCTAATTGGCCCCCTTTCGAGATGCTTTTTATATACACCCCACCCTGACGCGGACTACATTCCCATAGCTTCGTTTGGCGCAGTCTCCTTGTAGCCATCATTGTAGCCATTATCAAGAAAGTACATGCTATGTCATACTGATCTGAAGCATCGAGTTGAGCCTTGTCTAGTCATCATCATCCATATCGTCGATGCTAGTAAACTGAAACTGCTTCTTCTCTCCGGGCCCAGCCGTACTGCTCGCCGGTTGGCTCGACGCGCCTCCGGCAACACTGTTTTTCCTCCACCCTTCGGCCTGTTCCTCTTCTCTTCGCTTTGCACGCTCGAGTATGGCACGCTCCCTCTCCTCCCGCAGCTTGCGTTCCTGCTCCTCGCGGCGGATCCGCTCCTCCTCCTCACGCTGTCGCTTCTCGTCTTCTTCCCGCTGCCTCTTCTCCTCTTCCGCGACGGGATCGTAGTTCTTGGGGTCCACGCCTTGCTCCTCGAGGAGCTGATTGCTTGACAATGCGCCGGAGCGAATCTTGTCTTCGAGGGGCCAGGGGAAGAAGAGTGCGCCGGCGTGGGGGTTTAGGTGAAAGCTCAAATTTTCGGGGAGGGTGGTGTTTGTCGACGCAATGGTCTGCTGGGACGGTATCTCGTTGGGCTGCTGGGAGATGGGGGTGGCGGGTTGGGTGGTAATCGGGGTTTGTCCCGCGCTTCTGCCGAGGGCTGGCCGTTCAAGGTGGGTGTCATGTCGCGATTGGCGCCATCAGAAGAAGACAACACCACGCCGTTGGTGACTCCGGGGGCGGCATGGTGGTCTTGCTTATCCTCCTGGCGTAGTTTAGCAGCTCGTCGTAGCTGAAGGAGTAGCCTGGTTTCGAGGGGAACACCGTCGCCTGCGTGGAGAGGACATCTTTGCGCGTAGAGGCAAGGCCTGTCAGGCATTCACGGATTTGATCGTCGAGCGCCTGGCTTTCTTCGCGGAGCTTTTGGATTCGGAGATAATTGTTCTGGTGAATTTGGACTAGGCGTATGAGGTCAGCTTCAACTCTTTCTTCTCTCCGAGCCAGCCATCCGGATGATGCGGACAAAAATTACCTTCAGCAAGCCCCTGACATAGGTCACGATCGGCATTATCGAGGTCTCGCGCTAGATTCAGGGAGGGTTGTATTTGGCGACCGAGTCGATGAGGTTTGCGAGGGCGCGCTCGAGTCGCTCAAATCGACTATCGATGGCCTTGTCCATTGCGACAGACGAGAAGAAGAGACGAGCAAACTTCTTTTTAAGATTTGGGAAACGGCTGCGGTAGCGATTCGAAATTTGCAGCCGGACCTGTGCAAGCGGGAGAACGATGAGGGATGAAATTGAGCTCGAAATTGAGCTCGGATTGATGAAGCAGCTGGCGACGAGGCGACGAGGCTGTAGCCATTGAAATTCGATGGGAGTAATGAAGCGCACTGTGATTGGAGGATGTCGAAAAAGGTGGGTCCTGGCCATCTGATGGTTGTGAAGTCCGGCTTTTCCCGCAAACTCAAGATCCTCACTGAACAAAAAACATCACCTTGCGATTGCAGACAACACTTCATTGCCCGGATTGCCTCCCACCCCAAGCCGCCGCCAAGATGGTCTCTTCTGTATGTTTCCTTAGCACAAAAGTCCAATTGTTTCCCTCCGCGTGCCCTTTTCTCTCCATCGCTGCGTCGGGCACGCCCGCGGCATTTTACCTTGGCTAATCGCTCTTCTAATCGCTCTTAGACTCCTCGTTTCAACGCCTACAACGCCTACAAGAGCGTGTATGGCCCCAAGTATGTCCTTGCCGCCCCAGCGATCGACGAGTTTACGATTGATTCCTCTCCGAGCGCCGAACCTTTTGTCTCTAACACTGGTGTCGCAGGTACCACTACCAGCCTAACTTCAAGGGCTTCACTGCCACCCAGGCCACTCGCCTGTGAGTCTCCTCCCGGTCGACCTCTTCTGCCCAGCTACTCCCATGGCGGCCAATCGTGGGGAACTGTCATAATTGAGCCATCCTACCCGCCGAACGATGCGTTAAGGAGCCCAACTTCGGATCTCGAAGCCGCGAATCACGCCGCCGCGTGGGCTGTCGACTGCCACGCCGATTTGTCTATTTGTCTTTTCTTGTCTGGAGACGGATGCTAACACCTCGTTACCAACTAGTGGTTTCGGAATTGGCAAGTACGGTGCTGCCGCGCTCGTTGCCGTCCTCTTCCTCGCTTCCGGCATCCCTAGGGTTCACAAGGACGTTCTCTCCGTAAGCCTCTCCTGACATTGAATTGCGCAACAAAACTTTTCCCTCCGGCTAACTTACCAATCAACAGCACGTCCCCGTCGTCGGAAAGCTGACGGAGAAGCCTACCGTCCCCGAATCTGATAACCCCTTCTAAACGATGGGCGTGGATTGTTTTGGTTACCCAGCACCGCTCGGTGGCTAGGTCGTGCCATTCCGTCAAGCTGTACAAAAGAGACACTGTCCATTTCCTTTTAAATAGAGAGCCTTAGACTTTGATATTGGTCTACCACCTTACGCCACCTTTGCTGCTAAACCCTTTTGCTTGATTCCCTGTCGATAATTTCATACCAATCTGGCGAGAACGTTGGTCTCCAGCTTGGAACAGTATCACGAGACAGCCGCTCAACCCACCCCGACGATATGTATAACCCACGGACTCGTAGTATTTCCAAGGTCTAGGAATCCTTGGGGAAAGAGGACTTGACCTTTTGGCTCCATCAGTGATGTTAGGCTCTATATCTTGTTCCATCAGGTCTTAATTTTACTATCCTTCTTTTTCTTTTCTTATTTTTCTTTTTCTTATTCTTGAGACCACCTCAATAACTGATAAAGGGCATGCTATTCCAAGTCATATTGTTAGGACATGCGACCTGGGGTTATGGGGGTTGAGGGTGCTGGGATGATCGATAGAGATTCATCCCAGAGTCGAGGGAAGGAGGAGATGGGTGCATATATAACTTCTCGCACTGTACGACATATCCAGCTTTTTGGGCGCGACGCACACAGTTAGTCTTGCCACGACACGCGTAAGAGCTTACTGAACGGAGATCCAAAGATTCACCCAGCCAAGGTGCTGTGCAGCATACGGAGTATCGGCATACTTTTGTAACCATACCATGGGTGAACCTCTTCAAAGTGTATATCCCCACCCTGTAAAAACCAGTCCTGATTTTAAAGGGGCCACTCCCGCCCGCCTCGGCCACGCTGTCTGTCACGATGGCTTCGAAAGTAAGAACATGTTGGTTTGTAAGGGTTGCCAAGTGTCTAGTCTGTTACTGACAAGCCTTCCCTTGAAAACAGGTGCTCAGCGTCGCTCTACCTTTCGCCCTGCTTTTTCCGCAGGTTGGCTTTGGCTCTGGTTTGTAACCCTGCATGTGCCAGAACCGTATCTTGTAAGATATTGAAATCGAGGGCAGAAATTAAAGCACTTTCTAACACATCCTCATCAAAGGATGAGATATTTCACATTCCGCAGGCTCAGAGGTACTGCGAGGGTAGATGGACGGAATGGGATGACAAGATCACGACGCCTCCCGGGCTGTATGTCTCGCCGCCAACCCCCACCTCGCTCCCTCCGTAGTGCTTACCAGTGAACAGCTACGCCGTGTCCGTGTTTGCTTCCCGGGTGAAGATCCTCGGCTTCCAAAACGCCTGCTCTGCCCGTGCCCTACGGAGTGTCAATGTCTGGTGCATCAGCCTTCTCGGCGCCGTTGCGGCGCTCTGTCGCTCTCGGATTGAGCAGAGCCTCGCCAATGCAGCCTCGAAGACCAAGGCCGTTTCCTTTTATTCCTTGCATTCGGGGTTCAACATCGCCTTGTTCCCCGTTCTCTTCTTTTTCTCGGGACTTTATTATACCGATGTCTTGTCAACACTGGCCGTCTTGGTAGCGTATTCGAATCATCTCAATCGCATGAACCGCAGGGATAACTCGCTTGTCAGCGATGTCTGGACCGTCGTCCTCGGTTTGTTTTCTTTGACGATGCGTCAGACTAATGTATTTTGGGTTGTTGTCTACATGGGTGGACTTGAAGCTGTCCACGCCCTAAAGACTCTGTCATCGCATCGCGTCCCCTCTAAAGCAGGCCCCGGCTCTGGTATCCGAAATGTCGAGCAAGTTGTACAGGGCTACACGCAAGGGGCCATCCATGACCTACCCTCAGCAGGGCATGGCCAGATGGTGAGATGACGAAACCGCGACCCTGACTGTATCCTCATTGGGCATCTAACTGACACGCTTAGATGTTTTCTTCACCGTTGTTAGCCTGGGTATCGCGGCGTGTGCCAACCCACTTCGCCTCCTAAGACAAATCTGGCCTCATATCGCCATCATGATGTCCTTCGCTGCATTCATAGCCTGGAACGGTGGGGTGGTTCTTGGTTCGTTCTATTCCATTTAGGCATCGGCACTTCGTTTAGGCCATCTGTTGAACTTGACTGACCCTTGCTTAGGTGATAAGTCCAACCACGTTGCCACCGTTCATCTTGCGCAAATGCTCTATATTTGGCCCCTTGTCGCTTTCTTTTCCACACCCCTCTTCCCTGCTGTTGGTATTCATCTGCTTGATAGCGTTTTTGGCTGCAAGCCCTCGGTGCAAGCCCCAAATGTAGTCTTCAAGTCGGAGGCTGCCGTAGGCACACATGCATATACAACCGGGGTTGAGGGAGCATCAAAGACGACTTCTAAGCGGTCCAAGGGCGCCGGGAAAGCGGATCTGAAGCCGTTAGCCGAGCCACAGTTCGTCGACATCTCGGCGAGTAAACTAGGCAGGTCCCCGCTGAGACAGCTGAGCTGCGCAGCCTCGTCGTGTTATTCGCTGGGGTCTCCGCCTCCATTGTGAAGTACAATACTATCATCCACCCCTTTACGCTAGCCGACAACCGCCACTACATGTTCTACATATTCCGGTACACGATTCGAAGGCCGGGCCTATTCCGCTTCTATCTCATCGTGCCCTACATTGCGTCGGCTGTTTTGGCCTACACAACACTTTCGCTCGGCGATAGTGGCGCCGAAGCGGCTCCATCCCGTTTCGACAACCACCCATACGCTCTAGTGTCTAGCACGTTCGTTTCCAAAGGCGACGGAAAATCGCCCTTCAAGAGAGGAAGCCTATCGAATGTTACCACCCTCGAAGATGATGAAGGGTCCCAACTTACTATTCCAACCTCTAACGCGCTTCTTTTGCTTGTGGCTACCGCCCTTTCTCTTATCACGGCGCCACTCGTTGAGCCTCGCTACTTCATTATCCCATGGGTTATGTGGAGATTGCTTGTGCCGGCGTGGTCTACTCGGAAGTATGCCACGTGCGTGCGCAGTGTGCCGCTTGTAAACTCCGTGGCGAGTGTCGGCACTAGGTTCGACCTGAGGTTGGTCTTCGAGTCATTGTGGTTCCTAGCCATCAATATTGCGACCATGTCCATATTCCTTCTCAAACCGTACCAATGGCGCGCCGAGGATGGAACGCTTCTGGATGAGGGCCGATTACAGAGGTTTATGTGGTAGACGGACTGAGAGTCACCCAGGTGTAAACAAAGTGTGTATGTACGAAATACAGCGTTAAATAGTTTGCAAAAGAACCACTTATTGTAGTTGTATTCTGTATAAACTTTCCCATCAAATATGTCTATGCTACCTAGGGAGAGCATATGATGTGTATATCATTCGAAGTTATGTATCGGTTTAGAAAAACCCAAGGACGGCCGAAGGCTTAAGGGAGGTAAAATCCCTGCGTGGGCACCGTAAATCTTCCTTCCTGAACGCCGAAATCCCAGATGGAGCCTTGATCCCAAGCAAATATGTGCCCCTAAAAGAAGATAAAACGGAGGAAAAGAAGATAGAGAAAAAAACCCCCTTCAGATCCCATCCTCGGTTCCTTCGTCGAACCTCGTCATTCTTTTTAGTCGTTATCTCGTGCACTATTCTCTCCTGTAGAAGAAAAGAAAGGAAGAAAGAAAAATGATACAAGCAAAAGGATTTAAAGAAAGGAAACTACAGTTGAAGTAGCGGAAGACCTAAAAAGTTGACGGTCTATGTGGAAGAAGGGCCGAGGCCGTTGGTCAAGCCGGTGCCGGGCTAAAGACTCAGCTTGTCAAGGCTGAAGCCATCGTTGCTCCGTACGCGCTTGATAACGCCAAGTTTGAAGTACTTCTCTTCTCCTGTGGCGGTCCTGCCACCGATGTACCATTTGTCGGCACCCATGACGTCCCTGAAGCCCTCGCTACTGCTGTCGCTGCCCCGACGTCGGCCGCCAGAAGGAACGGGAATAGGGACACCGCCTCGAGGTGAATGGAGCGGCAACTGGTTCACGACACCACTCGCAGAGTTGCGCGACGCATGCTGGTGGGCGTGTGAAGCAGATGGAGACGAGGATGATATCGTTCGAGCCGCAGTGTTGGTCGTAGTGTGACTCGCGGTGTTGGAAGATGAGGAGGTGGCGGTGGAGACATGTTTATTTGGCTGTTGGGAGTGCTGCTGTTGGCGAATAGCGGAGAAAAAGGTGGAAAGGAAAAAGGGCCGCTGAGAAGATGAAGATGACATCTCGGCCGCTGAATATGGGCGACAAAGGGGGAGAGGAGAGGAAGGGGGAAAAGCGAATAGGCGGGTATGAAGAGCCGGAGGATGTGGCGATCTATGCGACAGGACGGAAGCCAGCCGCGATATGCTCGGGTGTCGCAAGTGTGACGACGAAAAGGGAGAACTGATGTCCGAGAGGATGAGTGTCGGTGGTCAAAAGGACGATGTCGATAGGGACGGGAGGAGGGGCAAGGGCTGCGCCGAATTCTTATTCTCGATCGGTATGCAATGCGAATCTCAGGCACACTTCGGCCTGCCTATAGGAGACTCTGATTTATTACCCTCGGCTTGAGCAGGGTGCGTCGCTATATGGGCGGAAGATGCAGCAACCCAGGCGCCACTTTGTTGTCGGAAGGTTTGTGTCGTTGGGGTAGGAATGGGGGACTGCAAAGCGGTGGGCGCGTGTGGATGTCGGGAGGGATCGTCCGATGCGGCGGGAGCGAGGTCTACCTCGCCCTTGCTTCGATCGACTAGAAATGGCAAGAAGGGTTGAGGCGATGGGAAGAAAAGCAGGGAATAAACAATAATGAAGAAAGGGAGAGAAAAAATCGCAAAAGCCGTGCCGGGTATATTTTTCCTCTCTCTCGTTCGTCGGGAGTGTGGGTAGGTGGTGTGGATGTGAGCGAAATTTCGCGAGTCCCTGACGTATTGATGTTACCGCAGCCAACAGTGCTCAGAACTAGAGGACGTGCGACTCAAGGACCAAAAGCTCGACCAGCCAAACAGCCAACAGGGTTTTCAATACGGAGTACATGAGAAAATGGGCTGGTGGGAGCGAGGAAGGAGGGCGGGGACAACGAGCATTTGCCCATCGGAGAGCGACTGTTGCCCATTCCGGCCAAGGGTGGCCGCCCAGGTGCACGTGTCGGCCAATGTCGGAAGAGAGGGTCGACGGAATTCACACAGTGGTGCGTTTGGGCATGCGGTGGGGACTGTGAGTAATGGAGGGGTTGTCATAGGCCAAAGACGCGCCCCTCCCTCCTGCCCCGGAGACCGAGCCCACCATGCGGGTTTTGGCGGCGATTGCCTGCTCCTTCCTTCGCGGTCTAGTGTCGCGTAGTGCGATCCCAAGAGGAGGGGAAACGAGAAACAGGAAACGGAAACGCTGGGCACTTCTTCTACATCCATCCACATCCGAGGGCCAGTGTGCTGCCTTACTGCTCGGGGTCGAAGAGGAGGGCGGGAAAATCAACCCATCCGTTTGTTGGCGCCAACCTCATGTCCGTTGTATCCTGGCCAGGATCAGGAGGGCTTGGTCTGGTGTTTCTGGTCTCGATAGGAGCCTGGCCGATCAGCTCACTAACCCCATTACCCCGCAAAGCCTCGGCCATGGGAGCCAACGGCGATGGTAGCTTCAAGCGGGTTCCTACAAAGTACTAGATTTCCCGAGGGTGCCTGTGATGGGCATGACGATCCATCCTCGCGCAGATGGCACTTTGATCCATCACGTTAGGGTCTGGAACATCCGAACAAGGCGGGGAGGCGGCGATGCGAATGCGTTGCTTAAAGGGGACGAGTCAAGTACTCTTAGCACTTTCAGCACCTCGCTAGTATGAACTCGGAGCTCTCCTTGACGAGCTTGAGTTCGGACTACAATATCAACATTCGATGTATTCTTATACTGCTTCCACAACTAATATGGGTCTATCAAGGCCAGCGAGATCGATAACACGGTGCAAGAGCTGAGTTATGCTGAGAGGACCTCTTTGAGGGGCCATCTCGTTCATTGTCTTGCCGGACAGGGGTCATGACCCTCAGCGCCGCCCCGTGAATCTGGCGGGGCGCTTCAGCCCCTGCTCCTCCTCAAGCAAGCATTATCCGACACACTGGGTGGACTTGATTGCCATGCTTTCAGATCTGCCAGGGCAGTTCACATTCATTCATCCCGCATACGGCATGTGAGGGCATGGCACAAAAAGGAACATGGGCCCTCGAATGGGAGGACTCGCAGCCCCGAGCACATGGTGACAATTGGGCTCGAGTCCAGTTGCCTCCCGGATGGATGGGCGGATGGAAGGATGGCAGGCAGTAATAAGAATCCGCCCTCACGGCGTGCCGCTATTAAAGGTGACTCGGAAAGGTGACTCGGAAAGTCATCGGAGGACATTCCTTACCCTCACGCAGCTTGATCAGTCAGCTCTGGTTTGCCAGTTAAGCCAGTCAGCGGGACCGGCCGGACTGAGACTGATCATGTCTCTTGCTGGCCAAAAATCCACCGCCCGCCTCCAAGTGGCTACAAATGGGCTCTACTTGCAGCATTGCAGTGTGATGAGGGACGTCTTGATCACTGCTTTGATTTCGAGATTCATTGGTTTTTGAGTGATGCAAAGGACGCGGCCAGGTTGGTGTTCGCCCTGCCTGGCCCCAAGTTAGTCCTTCTATGCTGTTTGGTTCGAGGCCACGCCTGGAACAAGCGAAAGGGGTCGCCGAATGAACTGTCAGCAGTGCGGAGATTGAACATGAACCGAGCCTGGCAACTAGAAACTTCCAGAAGGCTGGCCCACTCGAGGGTAGGACATCCCCGAAATGGCGCCTTGGTGAATTGATCCTTGAGAGAATTCCACGATTAAAACAGAACACCTTTGTTCACCCGCTTTTTAATCGCCATATAGCGGCCGAGCCACCAAACTTGCATTCTTAGTCGAGTCGAGAGTTGCCTCATGCAACTCTGGTGGGCTTGAGTCTTGTGTTGCACAGTCGGGAGAAACTTTCACAGAGGTTCATTTGACAGCTGTGTGTGGTTGGTCTTCAATTGGGTTGGCTACCCCTCAGATACCACTTGCCGCGCACTCGATATCGTGAGAACGACCGCACTCGAGAGGCATTGAAATCTCCGAGCTCTGGTAGCGCATTGTATAATTGGCTCGGGGGCCAAAGTCTATTATTCTTTATTATTCACCCTCTGCACGAAGCCCACCCCCACATCTTCAACCGAGCAGCAGGAACCCGACAACGATGGCATCAGGCGCTATCCAGCTCAAAGACCAAGGCAATCGACATTTCCAGGCTGGAGACTACGTCGGCGCTGAAGGCCTTTATTCTAAAGCGTGTGCCAGACCCCTTTCCGCCCCTTTCTCCTTAAAAGTCCCTTACCCTGAGAAGCGTATCGCGATGAAGGGAGATGCATCTGCCCATTGACTTTAAACCTCCCTATCGCCTCGCCTTGAATCGCTGGGTCGATGACATTGTTACTCAGACTCTACGCGCTCGTTGGCTTTCAAAATACGGATTTAATCGTATTCCCTTGACTGGGGATAACTAGCTTGAAATAGGCCCATCCCACTGTCGTCTTCCTTCGCCCTGTTGCTTCAAATCTCCTACCTCCTTTTCCTCGCTAACCTTTTGATAATACTAGCATCATTTTGGATCCCTCTAACCCAGCCCTCTATACAAATAGAGCACTGACGCGTCTGAGGTTAGGATCATGGGAATCCGTCATTGGTGATTGCGAGCGGTGTTTGGAGCTGAAGTCAGACAATATGAAAGCCTTCTATTACCTGGCCCAAGCCCAGCTGGCGATGAAGGACTATGACGCCGCGCTCAGGAATGGTTTCAAAGCCCACGACATGTGCGCTAAAACTGCCGACAAGTCACTATCTGCGGTCACCAACTTCGTGCTGCAGTGCAAGAAGGACCGCTGGGAGGCCTTGGAACGCCGCCGTATCCGCCAAGGAGCCGAGCTGGAGAGCGAGACGTTAGACCTCCTCGAGCGCGAAAAGGAGCAGGCGTTGTCCGAAGCGCTGGACGAATCTGACAGGCGCGACATTGCGGCGGAGTGGGATGAGAAACTCTCAGAGCTTCGGCGCACCTTTGAGCAGGCCCGCGCAGCTGATTCGAAGCGTCGGGTCGTTCCGGACTGGGTCATTGACGACATTTCCTTCGGCATCATGCTTGATCCCGTAATTGTAAGTGACTCTCTCTCCTCTCCCTCCTTCTCTCATCTCCTTTGGACGCCCTTTATGACTGATGACCTACTGTGAGAGTGTAGACCAAGACTGGCAAATCGTACGAGAGAGCTTCGATAATGGAGCACCTTCGGCGCCATCAAACGGATCCTCTCACCCGAGAACCCTCCTGCCCTCGGACTTACGACCTAACCTGTCGCTAAAACAAGCCTGCGAAGAGTTCCTGGATGAGAACGGATGGGCCGTAGACTGGTAGCCGGTTTGGATACCCGCCTGGATTTTGTAGTTTAGACTCGTTAAGACGGGGGTTTCTTTGCAGCATTTTCACTAGCACGTCTTGGCGTTTCTGGAAGTTTACAATTGAGAGACACATGGTATTAATAGGAGCATGGCTAGAGACAATTTGGAATGACATTTCTTGGGACTACGACCGATGCCCCGTGGCATACTCATTACAACTAGACGCTCGTACCGCCGGCGACCTAGCTCTCTCAAACCCCCTTCAAGCCCAGAATTGGCAAACTGGCAAAGACAGGTCCCCTTTCATTCTCGCTCACGTCGAGATACGCTCAACAGGCTTTCTCCTGCCGAAAATACTGCTCATTCTTCGCAGCATACCCTCTTTCTTCGGCTTCGCGACGACCGGTGGTGAATTCGGCTCGGTGTTCAAGTCCGATGCCTCTGGGGATCGCTCTCGCACAAAGGCGGAAGGCCACTCGCCGCTGCTCCTGGTACCATGTTGGTTGTAGGCATGATGGATAGCCAGGCGGCCCTCTGGGATAACGTTGGTGGGGCTGTTTGCGGCGCTATTGAATTTGCTATCCATCGCCGCATGCCGCTTGCAAGGCGTCGAATCTCGGGGCAGCACGCTTTCGCGCACGCGGTGTCCCTTGCTCGCCAGAATCTCGCGCAATATCGCCTCGAATAGCTCCTCGACGTTGTCCCCGCTCTTGGCGCTGGTCTCGAGGAACGGAATCTGCACCTGGAGCTCCCGCGCGAGCGTCTCTCCTTCGGCGGTTTGACGCGCCGCGAGTGCGATTTGAGGGGCCAGTCGTCGCTAGCTGGCTCGGTCTCGTCGGTGGAGCCTAGTCTGGAGGATTCGCGGTTTGTCGACTCGGCCCGGAGCCACATGTCGGCGAGCTCGCGTTCCGACGCTCTCCTCGACATGCGGGGGAGGTGGCTGGGCTTTTCCCATTCACCCTTACGCTCTGGGAAGACTTCCGTTTGAGCAGCTTGCTCGGGGTGCGCACGATGGACGACTCCATGGACATGGCTGAGCGTCTGCCGTCGGCGACGAATTCGCGCATCGTCATGCTGAGAGAGCTCGCTGACCTGGGGATCTCGCCTCGAGGCTCTGATGAATTCGATCCGGATCCCGAGGCTTGTTCTGGCTCGGCGGGTTGGATCTCCCGCCTCCTTGCTCTTGGGCTGGTGAGTCTCAATCCGTGCCTGGACGGGGCGGAGTCGACATCCGCCTTGTTTCCCGCCAAGGCAACAATGGGGCCTTCTTTTGGGAAGCGGGCTGGGTTCTCCGGCTCGCCCTTCTCCCGCTTGGCCGGCCCATCAAGGCGACTTCGCTGTGGAGAATAGGTAGAACGTCGAATGTTTCGCGGCTGGTGACATCATACACGAGAAGCACGGCATCGTAGTCCCCGGCACTGAGGACGTTTGCCCTTTCCTTTGCTAGTTCGAGCCCGGGATAGTTGATCACTTCGATCATGAAGGTGTTGGCGGTTCTTATGCACTCTGCGCATCCATCCGTGCCGCCTTGAGAGCCGGAGTGGGTGGCGGTAAGATCGGCGGGACCGGGGATGCTGACAACCCCTGGAGCGGACTCCCTTGAGTAAGTAGACGAGCCGGTTTGTGGACGGGGTGTCTCGGGAAAGCCCTGTTCACGGGAGTCGCCGAGAGACGGGCGTAAAGACAAGGTAGACTGAACCGACGGCGTCGAGGGCTGGGATCCTCTCGAGGTCAGCGTAAATAGGCGGCGGCTACTCAGCGTGAGGGCAGGGTTGTATGGGGGCGGAAACGTCATGGTGGTAAACTATAGAAACTGGAGTGTTAGCTGTGTCTGGTTCTTTGAGAGTTCTCTGACGGGAGGCTGCTTACCCTGGACTCGAGACAGTTTTTGCCTGATCCTGGCGCTCCAAGGAGCAGAATGCGCGCCTTGGGGTACTCCTCGCGGCCCATCTTGACTTTGGATTATAGAGGAATAACGCCTGGGACTCTCTTGGCCGTGGTGTTTTGTTTCTTTTTTTTTCTTTTGGTGGGCTGGTGATGGGGCTTTGTATTAGCTCTGCCTGGTGACGATTGTTGACGCTGCACTTCGTCACTCGTCGCTCGAGGCGGAGGAATGATGAAATCAGCAACAAGGCGTCGAGGAAGGGAGAAGGCGCTGGGTTTGTGTAAGAAGAAACACCGAAGGGAGGTTTATCGAACCGGGCCGTTTGCTGTTGCGTTGGTCCAAGCCACCTTTTCACGAGCTGTGAGCGATGTTTCAGTGCATGTATGTGTGAGATGGAGAGTAAGAAAACAAGACAAGTTGAAGGCAAGGAGGTCCTGGGGTGTTTTCTCAGGTTTTTTTCTTCTTCCTTTTTTCTTCTTCTCCGTCCCCTACCCGTTTCTAATAAGCCGATGAGCTAACCTTTGCGTTCCTGCCTTTCAAGGTGGAAACGCGCGAAAATATCAAGAGGAGGGGCGAGAAAGGGGGAGGGGTGCGACTATCTCTTCGAAGAGGGAAGAAAAGATTGGCGTCGCTTGCGTGTCTCTCTCTGCGAGGTACGCAAGATCTAGAAACGCATTCAAACTAGCAAGGTACCACGAGCAAGAGCCGGGTTGGGTTGGCTGGCCTGGCCTTTCAATCAACACTGAGCCCTCTTGTCATCTATGCTAGACTGGCCTCCGGTTAACCTTGTTTCCACCATTGCACGTCTCGGGTATGGTGCACGTCTTCTTTTTTTCTTTTCTGTGTCTTCTTGTACCTCCTGCCCTCTCTTTATTCGCTTTCCGGGAGGAGAAAAGCGGAGCAGCGATTCCCACTCTTTTCGGCTCATCGCCCGATTCAAGCCCGTTGCCGGGAGTGCCTTTTTTCCTTGGGTGGCGTTTGGGTGCGCCGGCCAGCCACCGGAGCGAGGGCGAAGGGATTGGGTGGGCAATGCCTCGCCTCACTTGGGCCCGAGGACCGGCGAATCTGGTCTTCTAGCGGCACCCCCTTCCATTCGGTCAGAATCTTGGAGCCTTTCCCCTTCCATTCGGCCAAATTTTGACATTTTTCGAGGGGTAGAAGAATGGGAAACAGAACGAAGAATGCAATTGATCCATTAGGGCGATTTGCTGCTCCCCATAAAAAAGCAGCATAACGCTACATCTTTGTAATGATTGTTCACCATAAAAACTACCTGATGTACCCTTCGGGCAGCATTCCTCAACTAGGCCGGGCTTTGGCAGCTATATCATGAACCCAGACAACGAAGCGAAAGCTGCTATGGGGGTGTGTGAGGGGCAACAAAGGCCCGCGTTCGAGGACTGCCAGCGGAGAAAGAGATGGAGACGATGTGGGGTACATCTACTCTATCGTGGCATCATTCGGGGAAAGGGACCCTATCGTTCGATTTCTATATAGGGAGCGGGTGGATGTGGGAGGGCATCTAATTAGAATCGTGTCCAGAGTTTGGGAGAGCGGCATTGATGTGTCTGGATGGGGGCTGTATAGCCTAAAGCGGAGGGGTCGACGACCTCGAGAGCTCCCTTTGCTCGCTCGTTTTACTAGAAACAAGAAACAGCCCCCGGGCCTGTCATTGATTCCCTTGCCCTACATTGATCGGGAATTGGCTATCTGCTCGCTTGCGGGCAAAGCAAGGTTACTTAGATTGTACGACCATGAAAGCATCTAGCCTGCTCTCTTCGAATCTTTGAATGCCGCTTCTAACCCCTTTCCGTATCTTGAATCACCTTGGCTTTGAAAACATGGCTGCACACACAATTCTCCCAACCGGAGAGGTGGGGTCCGTGACTTTGTGATTCATATGCACTGGATCGAGAGATAAACCCCGCCAGAGACAGCGCAGCTGTCACAGAGACAATTCGACCAGTTTAGTAGTCTACGGGGGCCAGATGACCCAAAACCGGGCTGGGGATGATGTTTTGAGTCGTGGGGAACAAAACGGCACGCCATACTTCCGTACCAACGCTGCGAAATCTGGGGTGCGTGCCGGCACGGGCTGCCCAGGCGGAGGGAAGACGGGCAGATGCGGGGGTGGGGGCAGAGCAACAACAAGGGATCGATCGATTTGATGCCTCTCGACAGCGGCAGGCCGGAGATTGTGGGTGGATGGGACTTGCTCCTCGTACACCAATTCCTGCTCCACGGTCCATCAAAGCCAAACCGGCCGCGCATCGTTGAACCGGTGTGATTGCTTTTTCTTGGGGCTTTGATGGCATTGCGGGGAGACGGATGGGGCAAAAGAATAAATGAGGGGAGGGTATGATCTGGAAAGCTTGATTGAAATTGAAGTTGCTTTATCTAGATTGCGGCAGCAAGGCGCACGTAGGTATCGTGTCTCCTTCGATGTTGCGCGTGGGGCATGGAATCCCGAGGTACATGTATGGAACATGCGTGTTTCCGTTCAGCCCATTGTCTTTGTAGCCTCCAATATGTTACTTGTTTATCTCCCAACTGGGGTCGTGTCGGTGACGCTGCAATTCATCATGTTTGACCTGTATCCAATCCCCTTTAGGCGAGAGCTGTCCTGCAGCGCCTTTGAGCCCTGTGACCTCGAGTCTTGTTGGCGGTCCGTGTCAGACAAGCTGGCTGGTTCTGCTCCTTTTTTCTTCTTCGCGTACATCCATCTATGGATAGAATGGATCCATGGATGTATGATCCAATGTATGCTAGCTCCCCTTTACAGGCTTTGCAGCCGGTATTGGGGTTCAGAGGCTAACGTGCCAGACAATGGTCCATCGAACCATTTGCGGGAGGTTGATGCAAGGCAATGTGTCGAGGGCTTTCTCTGGTCTCTTTTCTCCTCTGCCCCCTCATCCTTCGCTATGCTACGGCGTATTCCGACAAGAGAAGCATAAGAGAAGAGGGTGCGCTCGAGGCAGGGAGGCTAGGGAAATTTGGTGAATGTGATGCTGGTCGACCTGTGATGTATGGCCTGAGGGGGTGAGATTAGATAGAATTCTGCGGAGTGCACTTGCCTTGCTTATGCCCACGCTGATTAATTTCAAAGGGAAGTCAAGTCGGGAAAGGGAAAAAAAAAGAGGAAGGAAGGACGGAACGAGAGAGAGATGAACAAGGTAAATGGGGCAAGAAAAAGCGGAAGGAGGGATCGGCCTGGGGTGAAGCCCATGGTAGGAGCAGCCCGCAGCCCGGCTTGAGAGGGGATCAAATGTGATGGATTGAATGTGAATGTGTACGAAGCCGCAAGCAGTCACCTCGGATGAGACCTGCGTACCATGGTCCTCCAGCATCGCCCGCTGTGACTTGAATATTGTCGAATCACACAGGAGGAGATTAAACAGCAAAGACCACAAATAATATAGGGATCACCACGTATTATCCTCACCCTTGCCCTCATCTCCTCTGCCTCAAGGCACGCCGAAGAGTTTGCTCATTCATCGCGGGCGGCAGGCAGGGGCCGCACATGGCAACAGCAGATCCGTCCGGGCATGGGTTGAAAACGCGCCGCTGGTCGGAGCAGTCCGAAGAACGCCAGCGACAGGGCTGAAGAAGCTACGTTATGCCGCTTCTTTGCAGGGGCCCCTGGTTGGAGGGACGCTGAGGCTTAAGCCATCAACCTCCCCTCTTCCCTGACCGACCTCCGTGGGGATGCTCCGTTGGTTGAGCCGCCTCTGTCAAACGCGAAGGAATCCCAACCCCGACGCTGTTCTCGGCGGGATCGACTCGGCCAGGTATCACGATGCGGTGCGCATAGCAGAGATGGAGACGAGAGAGCACCGATCGTCCAGCGGGTCTGCTTAGTCACTGGCTCATTTCCCCCTTGGCAAGCGTGGATTGCCGTGGCCTGCAATTTCCAATTCCACTGGTTTCCACCAAGAAGCTTGAGCCTCCATCGCCACGCGGGCGCGAGCGGAGCCGAGGGCAACGCCAAACTACGCCGGTCGCATCATTTGAACGCAACGGTTTACTTCCGAGGATGAGAGGGAAAGGGGAAGGAAGGAGATAACCAAACCCCCTCCCTCTTCCCATTTCTGATCTGGGGCCAGAGCCCATTGGTGATCCTTGCTATGGGTAAAATTCTTCTCTAAAAAGAGACGTGGCCTGCTCGTCTCCGCACAGACAACCCATCGAACAACACACAGTCCTCCACAGCAGCGCGTTCAATGGTTTTTCTCAGGATTGAGGACTGGAGCAGCAGATACAACAACCGTCACCTCACATTGCCGATGTAGATCCTCCGGACATAACTTGCATTGCCTGAGCTGAGCTGTTGCCCCAGCCTCGGAAATAAAATCCCCCAAAAGAGAAAAGAAAGCACTAGCCAACCGGACTTGCCCGTACGATTTTCGCCTCTCTCTTCATTTTCCCTCCCAGCTCTCGCCGCCCACTCGGTGCCCCTTTCTATTATATGACGGTGGAGTACAAAACTTGTCCTCAAGTTGGCCTCTTTGAATAGGACATCCTAGCAGCAAACCAGCATTGGAGAGGAGGGGGAAAGTCAAAAGGAAAGGAACAGACGGGCGGAGTGCTAAAGCCAAGGAAAGAAAAGAAGGGGAAGTAAACACCCTAAACGCCCCCAAAAGGAAAGGAAAAACAAAAGAGAAAATGCTGGTCCTTCATCATCCCGCAACGCTCGACCACTGTATCATCGAAATTTTAAACGGAAAAGTGATCCCAGCCTATGAATGCCCTCAGCGAATCTCCACCATTCTGAACACCCTAGAAGTGGAAGGCCGTCATGAATTGCGCGACACAAGCAAGAACCGGCAGAATGGGGAGATTTTGAGTGAAGAGGGACCGGGCCAAGAGGGAACATGGCTATCGGCGACGACACCCGTACTTACGCGCCGGTTCATTGCCGAATCCCACGACCCTGGCTATGTTGAGTACCTGAAAACGATCCACCATGAATGGGTAAGCCGAGGGATTATCAATGAAGACGAGGGCATCCTCCCCGAGTGCTTTCGTGTTCCCTCGGTTGCCGGGTCTGCGGGCAAAGGGCGCCTCCGAAGAATCCCCTTGCTTTGCCGGGGTATTATTCGTTTGATCTCAGCGCCAGCATCTCGAAAGGGAGTTGGCCTTCCATTATCGCCTCCGCAGAACTTGCAGTGGAAGCCGCGAAGCTATCCTTCCTACACACGGCCATCTCATCCCCGCGCGAGCCCAAGGACATTTTGGCGTTGAGCAGGCCTCCAGGGCATCATTGCACAACAGAGATGGCGGGTGGTTACTGCTACTTGAATAACTCGGTCCTCGCGGTTCACGCCTTGCGCCACTTCCACGCGACTGGACCCGGCCATGACTCGGTGGGTGCGCCACCCAAAATCGCCATCTTGGACTTGGATTTTCACCATGGAAACGGTACTCAAGACTACTTTTACCGCGATCCTTCGGTGTTATATGTCAGCCTTCACGGAAAAGACGAGTACCCTTATTATACGGGATTTGAAGACGAAAAGGGCGATGGTCCTGGCAAAGGCTCAACCTGGAATTTTCCCTTATCCGTCCGGACTTCGGCCGAAGTGTACATAGCTACGCTGAGACGCGCTATGGGTATCATTTCGGAATCAAAGCCTACCTACCTCGTGGTCAGCCTTGGGTTTGACACGTACCGGATGGACCCTCTTGGGTCCTTCGCCATCGATACTGAGGACTATGAGACTATTGCACGCACGGTGAGCTCGGATTTGTCGTTAAAAGGGGTGCCTGCCGTCATATTGCTCGAAGGGGGCTATGTACTGGAGGCTTTAGGTCAAAATGTTGGCTCGTTCCTCAGGGGTGGGAGGCGGGCCGAGCTCAAGGACTCTGAAGTGAAGGTTCGTGACAACTTTTCAGAAATTTCAAATGTCGTGTCTAGACGGGGGCGTTTTTTTTTCAAAAGAAAAATCAGAGGCAATAGATTCTCTTCTTCTTGTTCGCATTCTCTCATTCCCCGTTTTCACCTCGTGAGAGTTAGTACTCGCTACACGGATATTGGACTATTCCTCGATCTTGTCATGCTATACACGCCTGCCAGTGAACAAAACCATGTGTTTGTTGACCCGAAACCGGCCCTCCTCCGCGATGGTGTCCTCGATGATTCTACGCGCCTTTGCCTCGGCCTCGGCCCCGAGGGGTTCGTCACCTATGCTGTTGATGTACGCTAGGACGGGCTCGTACTTGGGAACCTCGAAGGCCCCCGGGCACCTCTCCCACGTTACGTCGGTAAAGTGCTTCTCGAGGTACTTGGCCGCCGTCTCCGCCACCACCCTGGCGCGGTCGCGGATGACGCTGGGCCGCCCCACCTCGGCCCCGACGTTGAGCAGCTCCTCGAGGTGGTCCATGCCGTTGAGAGCGACCTGCACCCTGCCGCCGGGCGCAGAACCCTCGCGAACTCGGCGAGGGCGGCGTCTGGGTCGTCGACGTGGTAGAGCATGTGGTTCGCCACGACGGAGTCGAAGCTCTGGTCGGGGAAGGGCAGGGCGGTGGCGTCGCACTGGCGCACTTCGGCGCCGGGGACGCCGCGGAGGTTCTCGCACATGGCGGCGGAGAAGTCGGTGAGGGTGAGGCGCGCGTCAGGGTGCGGCGTGCGGCGCCATAGCTCGCCGGTGCCGGCGCCGACCTCGAGCACGTCGCCGACCTTGACGATGCGGTCGCCGGCCCAGGCGAACCAGCCTTGGTCTGAGGTGTTCCAGTCGTGGATGGCGAGGCGCTGGGCGAGCTTGTCGCTCGTGCTGGCGTATTGGCTGACTGCGATGGCGGAGGGCTCCATTGAGGGGATGAGGTTCGAGTGAGGATGGGGTCGGTGGTTCGGAGGGTTTTCTTTTGGGGATTTTGGGAGGTGGGAAGAGGGATGAAGGATATCAATAAGACAAGGTGGAGAAAGGAAGGGTCGGTGGTGTTCAAGCTTTGGGGATTTCGATTCGGTCTACCTGCGATGGTGATCTTGGGTACATGTACAGTTTGTTCGAGGGGGCCGCAGTGTGTACCTGCATTATATCGAGTCCGATGATATACCCATAATGTGATGAGCCCACATGCTACTGACTGGACGGACTTTGGCGGATGTATGAGAATCATGGCTGGAGAATGTATCCCTGCACTGTCTGTTCCCTTGTTTCAGAGCGGAATATGTACGGCAGTCCATCAAGGTGGGCAACAATTAAGCCATGTTTCCTCCAAAACCAGCCTGTCCCATCTTCTCGGCCTGTGCTGCATGTCAGCCCCGAGGGGGAGCGGGGAATCGATCGACGCCCGCGGCGGGCGGCCCCCACGTCTTGAGCTCATATGAGCTAATTTGAGCCTGTGGATTCTTCATACTGCGTGCGTACTACCCCCGGCTGCCGGGGAGATCCACATCGGCACGGCGGAGCATTTTTGCGTGCATACATTTTTCTTCAACTTTGCGCATCTCGCGCCTTAAACGGAACCTGGATGTGGAAAACGGTTCTGAGTTCCTGCAAGAGCTACGATGCCCCTCCCTCACATGTAAATGAGGGTTTTTGGGCGTCCTCTACGCGAACTAGGAACAAAAAGAGGGGAAAGGCCAAAGGGGTGCCATGCCATTGGTTACGATTCTTGGTGCCTCATGGCAAAGTAGTTTACCTGAATAAGTATTTTTATGTTCTATTGCTTTCTTCTAAGCTTTTATGTGGACTGAGATTACTGCTATTGTCCTACGGGAGCCCCCAAGGATACAACTTATGGAACAGGCAGTATTCTGTTCTGCTACTATTACGCCGCCTCTCGGTCTGGAGTAGTCTGCACCACGGAATCAGACTGGCTCCCTTCTTTGTGATCTAGGCGGTTCAACTCAGCATCCATGTCATCATACTTGCGGAACCTCCACCAAAACGCCACTGCAGTGAGACCCATGGCCCCGGCCAAGCACGCGTAAAAGATGACCATGTTGGGGTCCTTGGCCGCGGGGCTAATAGCCATGCCCAGCACGCTGGCCAGGCAGGCAGTCAGCTGAGTGAGGGCCTGGACCACAGTCTTCATGTCCTTGGGCGCCTTGCCGTACGCGTACTCGAACGCGGTGACGAAGCCAAAGATTTCGCCAATGGCGAGGAGCAGATACACGGGGAGCTGCACCCACACGTTGACGTCGTTGGGCGTCTTGCCGCCCTCGGACGCGGGGCACGCAAAGGGGTGTTCGTAGCAAGGACCGGAAGAGTAGATGAGCCGCTGCACGCCGGCGGCGTAGGCCATGCCGGCGCCGCAAAGACAAAGGCGGCGGCCATGCGGGCGATGGGACCGAACTCGATCTTTCGCTTGGCCAAGACGTCGTACATGCCCTGGATCAGGGGTCCAAAGATGATGCAGGCGACGCCTGAAAAGGCCTGGATCATGTCGTTGGGCACGCCGTGGAGGTTCATCTGGCCGGCTTGCGAGACGAGGTTGTTGTACATTTGGTTGATGCAGAGATAAAAGACGAGCAATGAGAATCTACGCGGTTTTGTTTTAGGGGGCGGGTAAGATTATTGATCCGTCTGACTGAGTTGAAGTGTTGTGGAGGGATTGGTGTGCTTGACTTACATGACGCGACACGCGATCAGCCCACGCTTCATCTCGTCCACAAAATGGTCTGTCCAGGGGACAGTCCGCCCGTGATGGGAGAGCTGATAAGAGGGTTTGGCGTGGTCTAGTTTGAAGCCGCTTCTAGCTGCGCAGTGCATCGTCTTCATGGCCTGGGGCAGGACATTGCCCTGGGGCGCAATTTTGACTAGCGTGTTCTTGTGTCAGTTGGGGTGTCGATGAGGGACGGGAGCAGACGTACTGAGCTTCTTGGACCAGACGATGAAGAGGAGAATGGAAACACAAAGAGCCACGGTAGTGAGGAGATATGCGGCCCAAAAGTCGTAATGAAACTCGAGAAAGGTGACGGGTATCGAGGAGAGGGATGCGACGTTTGTGAACCTGGCACGCAAGGATATCACCGTGTTAGCTGACTTCATGGGGGCCCTTTACCTTCTCTTTCTCTTTTCTCTTTTCTGAGTTTGCGGCGGCACTCACCAGTAGTAAGCGTTGTACATGAGCTGGATCGTCCTTGGACCATCAATGATGACTCGGCTGCCGTCTGCCCGCTGCACTAGTTGCGGTTTCTTCTGGACGTATTGGTCACCTAGTGCGAGAGGACCGGAAAAGATGGTTTAGTACAAATACGTGCTCTAATGATAGCTCCCCAGGCACTCTATGAGGGCGGACTAGGAAAGCCAAGGGCAGGATCCGTACCAAGAAGGGGGAAGAATGTTGCCTTGACGGCCCCAACACCGAGACCGACGAAGATCAGGCACGTTGCTAAACCTCCCACCCCGGCGCCATTGTTCAATGCTATGGGGAGAGAGGTTGCAACTAATACGATGCATCCCGCGAGATAGAGCCTGTTTAACGTTGAGTGTTTGTTCTTGATTAGGGAAGGGGATGAGAATACTAGAGACTAGACTTACGAAAAACCAAGCATCAACGTCTTAAATCTTCCCAGCCAGATGTCTGATATGAGTGCAAATATCATGGGAGTGAGGAATGAAAAGAGGAAAAATGCATTGTAGATGTTGACTGCGGTTGACTGTCCCAGACCGAGGGCGCCGGGTACTGCTGGGTTATCTCTTGGATTTTGCATATAGTTTTCTGTGTTGCTCGGTTGTCAGTTTGTCAGTCCGCTAAGCCAGGCCGAATCCTGTCTAGATGGACTCTTGAAACTCCTCTTCACTTTCACTCTTCCTCTTCTATCTCCGACTTACGCCATGGTGCTATGAGGCCAAAATATGTGAAGCGCTCAAAAGCGCCAGCCACGATGACGGCCCACGCCGCAAAGGGAAGTTTATCGGCGACATGGGGCAGGGCGTCAATCTCTTCCTGGGTAGCATCCCTCGGCAGCTGACCGTCGTCGGCGTCGGAGCTTCCTGGTGGTCGCTGGTTGAAATCGTGGTGTCCTGGGCCTTGGTCGGCTCCTCCTTGGTGGCGGTCATGGCGAGTGATGACTCGCTCGCAGGGTGAAGGGGCTACACGGGTTGCGTTATACGGCGGGCGGCAACTAGGTCTTTTACATTTACACGCCAGGCTGGAAACAAATATATGCCTCGATATGTACCATTACGATGCTCAGAAGCTTGCGTTTGTGTGAGAGAGGGTAAGAGGAGAAAGAGTGTGTGTGCGTGTGTGTGATCTTCAGACTCAACGACCATCAGGGTTGGGCGCAAAGCAGAGAGGCCAGCACATTTTCAAATGCTGGCCTGCATTGCATCTCACCGATATTCCATGCTTCCACGGGTTATGTATGCACTTGTATGGTCTCCCCTATAGGCTTGATTTTTTCTCTCGCCGTTTGGGACAAAACGGTCAGAGCTCGCAAGACATTATTTTGGGTGAGATCACAGATTGGCCAGAAGCACAGTTGCGGCACTAGCCCACACTCCAGCTGCAGGGGTTCTCTTCGTGACTCGTCTCGCGCGGGTCGGGCCTTTCTCCCTCCTTCCCTTTTTCTGATCCTTCACAGACAAGGTGGTGGCTTGGAACGCGGGATTAGAGGGTACAAGTAAAGTGGATGGGATGGGAGGGGGCATGGTGAGAAGGACGAAGAATGAGTGGCTCAATCTGGTGTAAGTGATGGGAAGCGAGACGACAAAAACTTTGCTGGGCTGGCCAAGACCTTTTTGGTAAACGTGCTCAAACCTGCTCGAGAAATAACATTGAACGCAACAACACTGTACCCTCCTCCACGCGCACATAAAGTCTGGCAATGTGAGCCAGTAAGTTTTATGCAAGTCGCGGGGAAAGATGAAGAAGGAGAAATGCAACCTTAATTTACTATAAACAAGCTTAAAAAGGCGCCTTCTTCTTCAAAGCGGCAATTGCACACAAAACGTTGGAGATTATACATTCAACGAGGAATCAATTTATAAACGGTACCGAGGTACATGTACGTCTTGTCTTGTATAGGGAAAAAAAGAAAGATCAACGCTTGACTGACGACGTACAAGTATGAAAAAGGCACAGCTAGCAAAAAAGAAAACAAAAGAAAAAAGGAAGAAAAGAAAACATGCGCAAACCCCCGCCTCCATCTGCACCATTTCAGATTACTCTGGCACTATTTGTGAGATACAAACGGAGTTCGTTGTACCCCCTTCTACGCAATACGCCTCCTGCCCTCTAGAGCGCAGGATAGACGCCGCCATCTTGCCTGATTCGCCGTCGCTGCACAGGACAATGACTTGACCCGGGCCCCATCCCGGCGGAGACACGGCGAGCGTCGGATCTGCATGCGCGAGTTTGGTGGCGGGCCCTCGTCCGTGGGGGATGTGCGGCCAAGCATCGCCTTCCACCGCCCCTGCAGCTCCCTCCACCTTCTCTCTACCGCGTGGGCGTCCCCGAAGAGGTCGGTCGGCGCCTCTGGAAGCGGGCAGTTATGCGAGAGTCTGACGTGAGACTGGTTAAACCTTCGTGCCGGCCGTATGTCTACCACCGTTGGCGGCGCAGGCTCCCTTGCAAAACTGTACGGGACGTCTTCGGGCAATGACCCTGAGCTTGACGAGGGCGCCGTTGACCAGGTGAACTCTCCGATTGTCGACGGTGAGCTGTTCCCGCTACTCGAGTCGGAGACGAGCGGCGATGGATTCTCGGAGATGGCGGATGGGGTATGTCCACACCCGCAATGGCCGTTGTCCGTGCTCGAACACAAGCTGCCGGGGGCGAGTCCGAGCATCTCGGCTGTTACTTGGGGCGTGAGGAACCACCGTTCGTCATAGGGACTTTGGTCGCATGAGAGGAGGTTCTGTATTGCGCAGTTTCAGAGTTTAGCTTCCGTCGGGCCAAGCAAACAAGGGGTGAGAAAAACAGAGAGCACAGAGCTTGGGGACTACCCGAAACTACTCACCTCGTTAAAAGTTGGAGGGAACTCGTCGATCCCGAGCTTCTTAAAGTACAAGTCCATGTATTGGTACGGCAGATCAGCGCAGACGAACACGCAGTGAATTTCGCCCGTACTCGTTTCCGCGAGCTCGCCGAGCCGGCCCTGCGCCTTCAGAGTATGGAGGTGAGCTAGGAGTCCACACAGAGCCTCGCCAGAAGAGGGCCCGGCAATAATACCGTGCCGCGATAGGTTCATGGACATGCGGAAAGAATCGACGGAGGCGACGGTCTCGAAAACGTCGATTGTTTCCCTCCATGGGAAGGGTGACGTGTGGAATCCTGGAAAATGGCGTGGCCCTGGTGTCGGGTCTCCGAAGACATTGCAGACGCTGAGATGAGAAAGCGCGGAGCCCGTTAGCCTTTAGGGGGACTGATTCATAGTGGCTTGGACAATGCTCTACCTTACCCTATGGTTCTGACAGAGGGCTTTTGCTTCTTGAGATAGACCCCGGCGCCTGTTATACATCCTGTATGATTTGTGAAAGAATAGCCAAGTGAGCGAATGTTCATCGAGAGAGAGTAATTTGGGGGCATGCAAGGTTGGCTGCGGGAACGGGCTGAAGAACTTACCCCCAGTACCGACTGTTGTGCAGAAAACATTGATCTCGGGCAGTTGTTTCCAAATCTGCGCGCCGGTCCATTGTTCATGGGATTTCCAATTCTTTTTCGGAGAGGCGTCTCGGTCAGTGCCTTCTGTGGGCCGAGGGCCGTCTCTTCGGAGGGTCATTCAGAAGGCTGGATGGTTCTCAACTTACATGGTCGTTGTCGTACTGGCCAAGATAGCTGATACCGGGGTCTGAATTTGCCTTTTCTCGGAGTCGGTTCATAATCCCCCGAGGGTCTGAGGGCTCTTGCTGCGCTAGCCCGCCATAGAGAACGCTGTCTCTCGCGAGTCCAGTCAGCGACGGAATCACGGCGTGGGACCCTTTGATAATGGACAATAGAAAAAGAGAGGGAGGGAAGGGGAAACTCGCTGAATATCCCATATACTTACGTTTTGAGCCCAAAGAATTTGAGTAGCTTCAACGAGTCGGGGTGTTTCTTGTTGGTAACGTACGCGTGCACGTCGTTGTGTCCCCAGAGCGCCCTAGCTATTATTCCTAGGGATATCACCGTCGACCCAGAACTCGCCTCGACGATCGCCGTGTCTCGGGCCTGTGGCTCATGCTGCAACATGCGAAGAGCTGAGGGAAAAGAAGTGGTGAAGAGGAAGCAATTAGCACTCCTCCACGATTTCTTTCACAAAACTGAACTGGCCCGCGGGGTACGAACGCGCCAAAGATGTAGATGACGAACGCCTGCGGACTTACCTGGAAGTGATTTGACATTGTGCGCTGGCAGCGCGGTGAGCATCTTGGCATATATCCGCACGCCATCTTCGTAAAGAGGGTTTAGGGCTCTGGGCAGTTCGACGAGAGGAAGCGGCGGATTTTGGTCTGGATCGAAGTACTGCGCGAGGGCATCGGGCCCGCGGAAAATATTGAGGGGATTGCTAGCCATGACTAAAGTGATCCAGGCGATAAGAGCAAGCGAGTTCTACATGTATCGAGATGGTGAGCTGTGAAAGTTTACGCAAACAAGTACTATCTAATCGGCTACTAGTAGGTGTTCTGCGGGTCGCTGCTTCATATGTAGCCTGGCTTTCTACTCCCGAGTCCTAGGTATCGGAAAACAACAACTCTCCTGTCCTCTCATGAAGATTCAGGTGGCTATGTACGGCCTGCTTCCGTGCCCTCCTTTCCCCAATTATGGCTGTTTCACCCTCCCACATCGCTGATGGGGGACGGGGATGGGGCCCATAGAAGCAAGGTGTCATCGGTGATCTTGTCCTGTCCGGCCAGGCCCGCTCATGGCCAAGGAGAAATTAAAGCCAGGAAAACCTTGTAGATAAAGATGATCCGTTCGCGTAGTGCATGTACACAGTAGAACCGGGACCGCCACCATTGTCTGGCTCGTGGTTCATCTTAGAGCCCTAGTCGTTGAATCGATCGCGACTCTAGTTGTAGTGCCTACCTAGAACTTCTAGCGCTTGTTTCCCACCGTTTCCGTTTTTGGCCCGTTACGGTATATAAAGTACTCCGGGATATTGTTGACACCTCTTTGGCCTAGAGAGCTGAGCCGAGCTAAGCAACCACGCGCGGGACGATCCGATGTGACATGGGGTAGGTACATGGGGGCGAATGAGCGGTTCTGCGAATTCCCCACAAACTTGCTCGTTGGGGTGTTGAGAGCGTGAGCTGCGAGCACGAGGGGAGCCCCACATGCGTGACGAGATGAAATTATTGAGCTATACCGTATTTCTTTTTACTCATGGAAATGGGGTTCTTGTATATGTAGCCATTCGAGATGTTTGATTGGTGGCAACACGTTTGATATTGCTCAAACCCGGATGGCGAGGCAATGCCATCAGGTACAACGTGCACTACACGGCAGCGATAGTCACGCTCCTAAAATAAGCAGCCGTAAAAGTTCAATGCTGGCAGTCACGCACGCCATGCCATGGAGCTGATTCTTCTTGAACTCGCAAAGACAAGGTAACCGGGAAGTGAGAAGAGGACAAAACAGGTTTCGTCATACAAGCAGTCTTCGTCCTTCAAAAGGTTGGCTGAGGAGCGTCTACCTCAAGGCACGTCAGAAATATAGTCGGCAGGATGATGAGCCCCGTGGATGTTGTAGCGCACGTCCGACACACACCCGTACAAACCGGCACACCCTTCTGGTCACTGGACTTGACCTTCAAGAGCAATGGTGGTGGGATACCGGCTGTGCCCACGGCGGACGACATCATTTCCCATCTGGCAGTACCTTCCGACCATGCGGTCGCCAACTTTTTCCGACAATGTTTTCGCATACAAGAACACGAAGGGGACCCCAAGAAACAGCCGTGGCGATACGACTGATATTTCCACTCGAGGCCGGCCACGTAGCTAGGTCGGACTTCCTGGAGCGCCGATTCGAGGGTTCCATCATCGTGGACCACGCGCAGTCTTTTACCACCCCGTGCGAATCTAAAGATGCCGTCGAGGTTTTGTCGGACCTGTCGCTCTCCCACCTCAGTCCAGCGATTACCAAGGCGATTGGTGGGATAAAGCTTGCAGGCTTGGCCGCCGCAGATGCGGACGCCGTAGACGCCGAGCTCGTCGACAGACTATCCTTTCCATGGCTTGTCCCGAACCGACTAGAGCCCCGCCGCATCGCCTGGGTGCAAGGCCGCGAGGACATCGACTGCATCGCACGAGCCCTCGACGCCGCCTCAGCCCTCGGCATCAAGCTCGTCGTCATGGACGAGCCGGGCCACTGGCTGGAGAACCCCGCTTCTCCTGGGCGCACCTCCGCGAGGATTTCGTAGCCGTGGACATCACCGCGGACGCCGGTCTGCCGCAGCGCATCGTGGACGCCGTTCGTTCCTACCGGCTGCCCATCCACGGCGTGGTCACGATCAGCGACGTTCGGCTCGCAGCCGTAGCCCGAGCGTGCCAGGAGTTGGACCTCCCCACCGAGAGCCCGGAAGCCTACGAAATCGCGGCGGACAAGGGCCGGACACGCCTCCTTGAGACCGTAGGCGCGGGGGAGAGTTTCGTGCTTCAGAAAGCAGGAGACCTCGCGGGGTACCTCGCGCGGCGGGAGGAGGAAGGCGCGGCCCCCTTGGCGTTTCCGATGGTGGTGAAGCCCGTGGTGGGCTGGTGCAGCGACTGCGTTTCCAAGGTGCGCAGCCTCTCGGAGCTCGAGATGGCTGTACAAAGGCGTCGGACCGCCACGCGCAGTCGGCGAGCCCGAGCACCGTGGTGGTGGTGGAGCCGTACGTGGACGGACCCGAGGTGGACGCCAATTTCGCGCTCCTGGACGGGAAATCGTGTTTTGCGACGTCAATGACGATTTCCCGAGCCCTGCGGATGTTCCGGGGCGGGCTACAAGGCGAATTTCCAGGAGACGCAAAACGTCATGCCATCGGCGCTGCCCGCGGCAGAGCAGGCCGCTATCAAGGAACAGCTGCTGCAGTCCATGCTGCGGCAAGGATTTCGCTCGGGCCTTTTCCACTGCGAAGCCCGGGTGCGCAACTCGGCGGTACGATACCAAGAGCGCCAGGGTATCGTCGACCTCGCGCCAAAGAAAATGTTCCGCAGCAGGCGCCCGAAATCTACCTACACGAGGTCAACGCCCGGCCGGCCGGCTACCTCGAGTCCGTCGCGGTGCTCCTCGCCTACGGGGTGGACTACTACGCCCTGCGGATGTTACTAGCTCTAGGCCCGTCGGAGCACGCGCGCTTCCGCGCGCTGGCCCAGCCGTTCCGCGGGGGTCCCCAGTTCCACCTCTCCGTCATGATCATTCAACAGACCAAGGCCGGCATCATGAGGTCGGAGGACGCGGCCAAGGAGTTTCTGGATCGGCACCCCGACGTCCGGCGGAACGTGGTGGATTACTACTCGCGGAAAAAGGCTGGGGATGTGCTTGAGGGGCCGGACGCGAGCGCGTTGTGGTGGGTGGCGTTTCTTTCCGTCATCTCGAGGACGTCGCGGGAGGACTTGCTTAAGAGAGTGGCTTTCGTACAAGAAAACTTTGATTATGAGATGGAGGAAGCGTAAGCAAAGCGTATAACCAACGCTAGGTGCTAGTAGACTAGTCGAGCTAGAATACAACCCGTGCTCGTTTTGCATGAGGAGAACGTCGTAGACGCGTTTCGACAAATCACTTTCTCGTTCCTTCATTGCTCTTTGGTACACATCTCCGTTCCTTTTACGTCTATTTTCTCCCATTTCACCTTTCTAGTTTCTAATGTAAGGGAAATATAAAGGAGGGTCTGTACAGATACGGTGTATAGTGTCTTTGTTTATCTCTTGGAGCTCCGTAGTTCTGAATAAGGCGTACAAGCATGTTGATGCCCCCATCCTCCCACCGACGAAGAAGATACAAACTAGAGATCCGGATACGCACCAATATTTCCGGGCACAGCCTTGAATAGGGACTGATACTTTGTACCAAGGAACAAACTGACCAAAGGTCTCCTACCGCAATGAAGAAATACTAGAGGCATGGATGACTGGGGAACCACCCACGAAAACCGGGGCTACATGTACGTTCTTGGGTGCTTACTCTACTTTCAAGAGGATCCGCAAGCAGCCGTATGTTCTATATCCTCAGACCCCTGCAAGTGAATCTTACAGGAAGAATATTGGGAAAGGTGAGTGGTCAAATGTCTAGATCAAATGAAGAAGTGCCAAAACAGACGTCATCGTTCTCCAACCAGGCCTCTTTCTCGGAAGAACGGCCGACCGCAAGACAAAGAGGTAGGGGAGGCAGACACACCGATTCCGATAGAATTCCCTCAAGAATCTACGTTTGCAGAACCCCATAAAATTGTTATTCTTGCCAACTAGCGCGGGGTGTCTGGGAACAGGATGTGAAATTGGCCGGCCCCCAGCCGTTCTTTTCTAACAAGAAGCGCTCTTTTGGAGGGTCCGCATCTTCAAATGGCTGGGAGGGCAGCTTGTCTCCGACTGTCTTGCTCCCCTGCCTGCCGTTGCCTAGTCTCCTCAACGGCTTTTAGTCGGGGTAATGGAAAAGAAATACCACATGTTTTGTACCAAGCTGTCTTGAAGTTATTGATCGGGAGGGAGGCGGGAGCAAAACGGCCGCTAGCGTGGCAAAAGAACTCGACTGAGTAAGAAAGGCTCCTCCACCTCGGTAGAGCTTCTCCGGGGACCCGATGGCTGGGCTTGCATTGCCATGAAAGGGCCGGAGAGCAGAGACGGATGACGTCGACGAAGGAGAGGTTGGCTACGAGACAAGACTATGCACTCGTAGCTTTGCCTGCTGGTGGCCCATCAAGGTTGGGGACAAAGATTTAGGTTTTGCCCATCTCAACATGTCTTCAAGCCTCGGGAAACCTCAGGACGAGTAGACGTAGCACGGGGTCGCGGAGAATCAGCGTGATTAGCTGGCGTGGAGCTGAGCAAGCATAAATCTACTAAGAAGCTGTCATTTCCTTAAGGTTCGCTCTCTGTGGCGCCATGGTTTTCTCCCCAGTTGGTCCAGCTGGCTGAAGAAAGCACATATCTATTCAATGCTGTAGTTCCCACAGTTTGCGGGCCTAGTTTGTCTAGTGTGTCTAATGTGTCTAGTGGGGAGATGGAGAGGGTTCATTGATTCCCCAGTCCTCCATGATGAAATCGATTAATGCTCGCGGGCCTCAAAGAGCAGGTGATTAGTCGGCCACTTTCGGCGTATTTCTATCGGTAGCTTAGCGCGGTAGTCAATTTTCATAGAATCTTCCCGGGAAGAAGAATGTAAGCTAATTTGAAGAGGGTTGTGATGAGCGACAACGGTCGGTATCAGCGTGAACACCCTGCTCCCAACCCAAAGCCGCCAAGGAGAGATAGGAGCAGCAGGGGTACGGCTTCCGTGGGGCGTGGGGTCTTGGTATGGCGTTGATCGCATCTTTCCAACAACCTATCAGCAGCTGCCCTCGACGTTTACTCGAGCGAAGAAGTCAAGGAAAATCCCGCTGAGCGGGAGGTGGGCAGGAAATAAGGGGTGGGGGAAAGAAAGAGAAAGAGAAAAAGCAAGTAGAGGGCAAAAAAGGATTGAGCACCGCGAGTTATTCAAGGCGGAGGCGGAGGGGCCATGGACCGGAGATCAAGTCTCAGACAGGCTCCCTCGTGGGTTCGGCCTGGGAGATTCTGCATTGCTTCTGTCCCACAAAACCTTGGATTTCTGTCTCAACCTGGGGTTCGGCCAGAAACTGCAGGATTTCAGTCCAGAACCAGCGTCGCAGCGGATGCACGGCGGAGGCGGGCAAAGCAGGCGAAGCAAGCTTGATGCGTCTACGATCATCCCCTTTCTCATATGGTCATATTATTCTCGTCAATTATTTTGCCTGTCCCGACTTTCTTCTGATTCGGTTCTTTGGGTGCGGGAAACATGCAGCGCGACAGGGCGCCGTCCTGTGATTTCCCCTTTCGCATTTACAGCTTGACCATCGTTATTCGGTGCTCGTCTCAGGATTAGATGCTCCCAATATCGATGGCCTAGGCTGACAGCGGGAACTGGGGATCGAACAGGGAGGAAATCAAGGTGAAGGATTCCGGCGAGGTTGCACTATGCAAGGAACAAGATCAAAGGGTCAAAGGGGTCAAAACGCATTCAATTGATGGGCGGGAGGGGCGTCCGGGGGGGCGGAGGAGCGGGTGGCTTGGATCGGAGGCGGGCATGTGGCGGGACCACGAGGGGAAGGAGGGAGAGGACTGAGTTGCAGGGAGATCCCAAGGAGGGCGAGGCAAAAGGCCGATGATGGTGCATGGCATGTGGTCATCTTCTGCCCTATCTTTGGATTCGACACACCCGTCACTAGTTTTTCAGCCGTTGCGATTATAAAATCAAATTGCAATGGAGATCCTCTTGGTTGGTGAATCTTGCCTATCTTCAGCGTGCGACGAGAAGATTCCAACGTGCGCCATTCAGGTCCCGGGTCAGCGCAAATGTTCTTTTGGGTCCAGCCAGTCCAGCCAGGCTAGCCAGTCTAGCCAGGCCCTTGCTTGAGTCGCGCGCGCCATCCATGCTTTCCCTCTCTCTGTCTGGTGGACAAAGACGTGGAGCCCGGCAATGGCGCCGCCCCCAGCCGATCACTGATGGACAGGAAACTTGCCGGATTGGGCCATCTCTTTTCCGAGGACGACACAAGATTGGTCCGTTGGTTAGGCCGCTGATCGGCATTTTAGTGCCTCGATCATCGCAGGCCAGGAGATAACTTATCATGCGTGGCCGTGAGATTTGGCTGTGTCAGAGACGAAAATGAAAAGGGACGACTATCTTGAAACCGGTGGGAGAGACAAACCCGGGCGCCCATATCGTCAGGATGCGGGAAAGGAAGAAACAGGAAAAAAGAAAAAGAAAAATCCACTCATGGGACCGGGACATAACAAACAACGCTGAAGTGAAGACAAGGAAAGAAATCTATAAAAGGGAAAGCATCTTCTCCTGTTCCGATTACCTTTGGACCACTTCTTCATCACACAGCTTCATCTAATCTCTTCAAAGTCCCTTCCTTTAATACTTCTTCGACTTCTTTTGTTGCCACTCCTTTACACAGCTTTTGCACGCTGCCAACTCGTCACCTCTTTACTATATTGTAATACCAAAACACTTCCAAGGACAAACCACAATGAAGTTCTTCAACCTTCTCGCTACTGCCTTCACCGTCGCTTCGGTCTCCGCCTTGACCGTGCCTGACGTCGGAGGCACCGTTGCCGCCACCATTGACGATGTCCGGGGTGAGGTCAACGACCTCCAGGAGGTGGTCGACTCTGGCCTCGCCAACATTGGTAAGTGCACATTTCCACGAGCCATCTTGCCCCGATTTCCTTCATAAGCCCTTCTGTAGCATCATCGGCTAGATGCACTCGCTAACATTTCGTCTTCCCTCTCCAATAGCATCCGTGCTCCAGGGCGGCGAGCTTGATACTGCCGCTGTTGCCCAGATCGTGGCCGAAGTCGAGGGCCTCGTTGCCGACGTACAAAGTGCAGTTCCTGGGCTTCTGAACAGCATCCAAGACGTCACCGGCACCCTGGCCGAGGGCGACCTCGAGGGTCTCGTTGAGCTCACCACTGTCGTGCAGGACATCGTGGACAAGGTTGAGGACACGGTCACAGGCCTCGGTGAGGCTCTTGGCGTTGGTACGTCTCAAAGAACCTCCCCTCCAACAGAAAATGATAGAAGTAAAGAAACTTACTAACATGTACGACAGAGGGCCTTGAGACTCTCCTTGGCCCCCTCAACTCTCTTCTTCACGCTCTCGACGATGTCATCGACCAGGTTGTTGACCTCGTCCTCGGTCTGGTCGCCGGCCTCGCCAACAGCAACCCCCTCGTTGGTAAGCTCCTCGGCCTTGTCAGCGGTCTTGCTGGAACCCTCGCCGGCCTCCTCGATCCCGTCACCGACGTCCTTAACAACCTTCTCGGCGGTCTTCTTGGTGGCGATCTTACCGGCGGTCTCACTGGTGGCCTTACCGGTGGCCTTACCGGCGGCCTTACTGGCGGCCTTACTGGTGGCAGCAAGGCTTAAAGGGTCTACCATCGCCTACATATCAAGCCCCGGTCCCCGCTAGCTCGGGGCCCCTATTCAAGTGTAATACTCTTTCTTTTGTTTCTTCAAAATTCGAACGCGGTTTGGGTATATTCATGGATCTCATCCCCTCCCGCAATTTAGTGTGTAGTGCTCCTGAGACTGGGGCGGTTTGTGGAGAAAAAGAAAAGAAATAGCAGATATTAATACGAAACTAAATGTACCTTTTGAACGGCCCTCGCACTGCTAGCATCTTGTAATTTGATAAGCGTGACTCCATTGATATGTGCATCGTTGTGGCCATGGGCCGAGGCGCGGCAAAGGAGAATGGACCTTGGGAAGCACCGAGAAACCCGCCGTCGAGTGAGGACGCGGGTGTTTGACCTCGAGTTTATAGAACCACGGGGCATGTCTCATGCACGTGGCTACGCTCGGAAAAGATTGGCGCTCTCTTCAAAGGCGGCCAGCCATCAATTGATCCGTGGGCGGAAAGGTGGGTGAGACCTTTCCTCGACATTGAGAGACGACACTCGAGGATGACCCCATAAAGGTGCACCAAGTTCTGGATGATCGGCAGGGTGCGCGGGCAGTGGCTGCCAGCGATCAATACCCTTGACCCTGTCAGAACGACGCGACTACGGCATACATCTACATGTACCTGTATCATTGATGACGTCAAATAGTTCGCTCATCCCCTGAAACCATACCCACAGCAGTACATCTATGGATCCATTGGATCTACTATTCAATTGATCCAATGTTGATAGTAAATCCCCGCCAGGTGAGAGAGGTCACCGACCACGAGAGACGATATGTAGCTCGTCCCGATATCCAGGCTGTAGTGAGGAAACTCAAGTTTAATTGAAATTTCACGGAGTTTAGACAGACCAGATGCAAGAAAAGAAATAAGGGCGATGGGTATCAATCAGCACTTGCTCTGCTCTCTTGAGGTTACATGTACTCATGCACCGGCGACTATCGCCTCCCGGGAAACTACATGAGGAGTGATTCAAACTATAGGCGACCTGCGAAGATCTTCCTCAAACTGTCCTGACTTTGAATACCAGGTTCCGATTTTGTTAAGTCGAGCTTGACCTTTTAGTCCTAAATCCTTTCATGAGTTTGCGTCAACGACAAGGATACCTTCTCTGAAGTGCGCACATGGTGCACTATTAGAGGCGGTATCGTTCGTTTATTCTTATTTGAGGGAGGGAAAAGAAGATGTATCAACTCCTTGGTTGGCACCGTAGTTTTCTATCTCACCCAACCAGCCAAACAGCATCAAATCCAACCCAGATAACCCTAATCAGCCATCAGCTATGTTGAAGGCCTTCACGGCCTATGCGTCAAAATGGCTAGAAATGTGATGCGTGACCGCCGCTTCGTCGCCCTCGAACGAACCACAAACCGGACACGTCACGGTCTCGCTGCCAGCAGGACCATCCTGACTCGTCCTGCCGCCTTCTGTGGACTGCTCTACTCCCCGCCGCTGCCGTCGATTGGGTCTCGGAGGGCGTATATAGGCGTCTAGCCCGACTTCCTGCCGCGGCGGCCCTTGGTTCCCGTCATCGCCGCGCCAGCCGCCACCTTCCCGTCGCAACCGCTGGCCTGGTCCACCACTCTCCGAGCGCAGAACAGTGTCCAGGATACCTTGCGCATCTCCGGCTGCTGCGGTCGGAGCCTCCTCCGCTGGGGCTGGGCCCGTTGCGAGTGTCTGCACTCTCCCCACGCGTCCATCCGCGAGCCTTACTTTGATGCCCCGAGGGTGATTTCCCGCGTGAGCACGTCTCGTACCGTCCCCGCTACCGTCCTGCCCGTGGGCTGGTCGGCCTTGAGCACAATGTTCACCCTGGCCCCCGCCACGACTTCGGACACGGTCGGAACGCGGCGAGCAGCGGCGTTGGCGAAAGGGCGGCTCATTTTGATCGGCGGCCGGACAGGATTTTATTAATGGTTCCTTCACTTGGCGGGGACAGCTATGATAATGCCTCGATTCCGCCAGTTTTTCAAGTATGTGGCGGATGAGTTGGCTCTGGCTCGATGATGAGTTGAGAGGGGATGTGAAGAATTCAACAGTTCAAGTTGAGCTCCGCGATGACTAAAAACAGGTTTAGGTATGACCTGTTTAGTGGCACAGTCACAGAATCAGAGCTTGGATTTTATAGTCTGACTGACTCTGATTAACTAGTCGGTAAAAAAGCGGGGTCGGCCTCATAAGGCACACATGGATGTCGTGTGGAAAGGTCCATTTAACCCTAACCCGAATGAATACATGCTGCTGTCTTTGACGACTTCACCCTCTCCCGGCCAACTTCACATCTCAACGCTACGAAAGATCTTACTTGACTAAGAAGATAGTAAATCAAATTGAACGCTAAGATTACCATCGGACCTAAAAATCCGAGAATGTTCGAAATGCATAATCAGTGATGGTGTGGGCTGACGCCTCGTCGCATAGCCCCGAACGCTTCGGCCCTCGGATATACCAGTCCGCTCCGAAGCTGAAAATGCCGATTCCGGGCCTCCGGCTGAAAGGTACTGGATCACATCTCAAGAAAACCCCTTCACCATCTCCGTATACGGGTTGAATGTATCTTAGCGTGTATTGTGACTCACTAATACACACGGCCCTACCAAGCCTACTCATCCGGCAAGTACACGATCACCTGAGCCCTCCGGAATAAGGGACGGTGGTAGTTTTGAATCCATTCTTGGTATCATAGACATAAGTCATAAACTCCTTGTAGAGACTCTTGGCCATGACCGTATTGTCGGCTAGGATGAGAGCTCCGCGCCTCAATCGAGGGCGGACCAGCTCGAGCGTAGGAAGGGCTAGGGGAGTCCAAACTAAGATGAAAGCTGTCAGACAAGGCGAGCTCTTTGGCAACTGGTTGCCTTTATACTTCATCTCTTTTTTCTTTTCCCAGGTTAAAGGTACTTACTATCGAGCAGGAGCATGTCGATCTGGTCCGGCATACCCTCCTCCACCTTAAGCGTCTCGAGTAGGTCACCAACCCTTAGCTCAATCCACGGCTCCACCTCTTCTCCAGCTTGCTCCCAGTGCTTCCTTGCCCTCTCAGCCTTGGTGGGCTCCTTTTCTGTAGCAATCACCTTGCCTGTGGTGATTTGGCCGTCCGCCTTGGCACCCGCGACGTTTTGCCCAACGGCGAGGGCTAGGTAGATGGTCGACACGCCAAAGCTCGTCCCCGCCTCGATGATGTTCCTGGCTCCGGTAGTACGGGCGAGCAGGTACATGAATTGGCATTTATCCTCCTCCAGGCTTACGAATTTATCTCGCATATGGTCGTCGGCGGACGGGCCCCATGGGTTCTTATGCAGGTAGTACAGGGCGATTCGCGATATGTAGAAGAAAATCTGGGAGATGGAGTTTTCCTGCGCGGCGGACTCGGCGTGCAGCTTGACTAACAAGTCGTGTACACGCTGGCTCGCCGTGACCGACTGTAACTGAGCTGGAGTGGGCGCCATGCTGGACTTCGTGATGATGAGTTCGAAAAGAGTGGGAAGAGGCGGGAGAGGACTCAAAGTGTCAGTGAGCGTCGGTGATCTTGGAAAGAAAGCCAACACACCGGGGCTATTAATGTGAAAGGATCTCCTCGATGAATCTCCAGCATCAACTATTTATACAGCGCGACATGGGTGGGGGTGAAGCAACAACCCGAAAAGGGACGTCGTTGCACTACTCCGTCTGCATGAGTCAACTGGCTGGGAGATGGCCGACTTAACCGAACTTCACGCCGCTACTGCATCTATGGATCTCTCTAGCCACCGACACGTAAACAGACATGTACGCCCTTGGCATAGCTTCGGAAAAATTGCCAGGGTGGTGCCTATGATTCTAAAATTCATTACATGCTGACATATCCCGTTTTATGTCGCCCTGTATTACATCGATGTTTTCATCGATGAATACATCGAATCCGTTCATTGGATCCAGGATGTATATATACATGTACGAAGCGAATCACGCTGAATGGCGCACAGACTGAGACGTGGGCGGTTGGAGTGGACTAGCTCCGCGGCCATTCCCGGCGGAGCGGACATGCAACGCCGATTTTAAGACCGATTGTTTGCGTCCTACCTTCAAACTCCAAACACCAGCCGTAGCGACTACAAGCCTACCATTGTGTGGCGGAAATACCAGCCTCCATTTGAAAATGATAAGATAGCCTTTACGTTACCCTAAGGCTAAGATGTCGTGGAGGATGTGTTCGACAATGTCAATGAGTGACCAGTGTCTGTTGCGCTAGCATTTGATCTAAGTAAATTCATGTTATGGACCATGTCAGGAAGCTGTTGCTGACCGACCTCATATAGGTGATAAGAATGAGGCCTAGGGTAGCGTATGTTCGGTATTTCACCTTGATGAAGACACTTAATAGAAGTAATTGATGCGCGCAGTCTCTTCATTTATATACTTGATATATCTATCATTACGGTCATGAGCCAAAGAGTCTTTAGCTAGATTTGTTAGGGGTAAAGTAAAAGGGCAGGATCACGGAAAAGGGTCTAGAAGGCTGGATTCAAAGCCACTACTTCTCAGCTTTTTATCTTATCCCCGGTATCAGATGCTAATAGTTCATGGTCGGACTTGGGCGATGCAGTGTATGGTCTGGTTTGCGATAACCGCATCATCGTCGCCCTCGGATGAATCATACATGATAAACATGGCTTTCGGTGTGACCGGCTCCTTGAGATTGATACCGAAATCCTGGTTGGATGGGGGCGGGATTATGGGCGGGACAGACTTAGATAGAACCGTGAGTCGATCGTCTACCCATCTTGTCCGGACCCTTTGCTCAGTTGGCGAGAGAGGGAGGGTGCTGGCACTCCGGGCCGGCCCCGAGCCACCATGTTCCCCTAGACTGTTCGCTCCGCTGACCGAGGTTAATCCGGAACAGCGAACCCCTAGTGCCGAGGAGGGGCTTTGAGAAGCTGCAAAAGACGGGCCGGACTTTTTCCTCCGTAGATTGGCGGGATTGTTCGGCTTCTGTGTCCCAGGCTCTGCTTTTGATGGGACGGGCTCGGTAGTAGCCCCCGGTGTGTTGGCTTTCTTTCCAAGAGCTGATAGGGACCTATTTCGCTGGGGATTTGCCGCAGGAGACCTTTTGATCGGCCCATGCGTACGCGAGTTCGATCGCGACCCGTGTACAGGGCACTGATCGGTGTTATATTCTTCAATAACGCGAAACTGGGTGAGATCGATGGGTTCCCGGCCATCTGTTTCTACGCCGACAGACCCGGCCCTCTCTGGCTTTCTCAGTGCCCCATCATATCTTGCCCCTTGATGTCGGGGTCGGCCGAAACTACTATGCTCGCGGCCTCTTGGGCGGCCTCGGCTCTCCTCCCCCTTCGGCCGACTTGGGCGCGGGGCTCAAATTGTGGGGTAAAGAGATGCTTGAGAGTGCAGTGGCTGTTCGACCCGGCTCTCGTGGGGAGCTGGTTCCTAGGCGTGAACTACTTACACTTGCCTTGCCGTCTCTTGGCCTGGAATTCGGGAGCCACTCCTAGATGGCTTGTTTGATGTAGTAAGCGCAGGAGGAGGGGTAGCCGTTCCCATCCCCAGCTTATTCGGGCCTTGGTTGGCCTGCTCTTGGGTCCAGCAATGGAGACCTTTTGGGCTGAACCGCCCTTGAGGGGTTTGTGCGCTGACGGGGTGCCCCGCGGGGTGGTACCCCGGATGTTCGCTCCTCTTCTTTTCTTCATCTCTTCCATTTGGAGCTGGGCGAAATCAGCACTCAACTGTTCCATCGTCCGTACCGGAGGAACGACTTCTCGCGTTTCCTGCAACTTGGCAAATATGGATGGGCGAGGCCCAACATTTGAGCCTCGGGCGGGTTCAACTCGTTGGTAGTAACTCGCTGGGTGGCCGCTCCTGCCACCCGCGTCCATTGGGCTGAATCCGGAAAAGTGGGAGAAGTCAGAGCGCGCGATCGACTGGGCTGGGGAACGCGGGGAGAGTATTGCGCGTGTGTGGACGCGTTATCCATTTCCCAGTTGAAGAACCGACCCCGCCCCTCGTCGATAGACACGGCCGAGGCGATGATAACTTCGCCACCGAGTATATGGCCGGCTGCGGTTGCCTGACTCGGAGTGAAAACGTTAGGATGTGGGGTCGGTATAACGTGCTGATCGTCAATGTATCTATTGGTCCAAGCCTCGGCGGGTGGAATGGAGAATAGTGCACGAGGGGAGATGGGGGTGGGAATAGGGCCGGTATATGTCGGGATACCAGGAAGCATAGGCCGCCCCGTCACCACGGGGCCGGTATTGAGTGATAGCTTTGGGATCTCCCGAGTTCTCTTCTGAAAGGTGGTGTCTTTGCCATTCATCGGGGTCACATTGGTCCCCGCCTGGTTCTGTTCATGGCCCCCTTTGTCCTGACTCGTGTCGAAGTCGACTCAACTGCTGGACTTGCCTTGGCCCGGCTGGGGGTGCCTGGTATGGTCTGCGATGATGCTCGAGGAGGACGTGCTGGAGGAGGCGGTGGAGGGGCGGGCTAGGTTCAAGTTTTGGATGTTCCTCTGTGGGGTACACGGTCTGCCCATGGACGAAAGGGCCGTCTTGACGATATACAAGTTTTCCCAAGGGCTCTTGATTGGTATCAACAATCAACACTTCCTTGTCCGACCGCCCGAGGATCCCGTAAACGTTCACCTCACCATCGCGAATACCAAGAACCGCGCTTGTCCCCGCGTAGGTTATCTTGTCGTCGACGCCGGTCCGGTTCGCGAATACGACGATGGTCTCTTGATCAGTTTCCCGATGAATGATGGGGCCGAGCCGGGTCATCCAGTACATCAGGGTTTCCATATCCGGCTCCTGAGGTGCTCGTCTAAAGAGGTGAGCATCCTGGCTTGTCGGCCAAGCTAGGGAGACGACGACAAGATTCGAGTGACAATTGAGGACGTGAAAGGCGAACTCGTGGTCCGTGAAGGCGCTGCGGAACCGATACGGGCTGTGAAGCAGTGTGTTAGCTAAGTGTGAGATTACTCTTACCAGCATGTTGAGGGAGAAGGGATGGATAGGGCGGCGGTGTAGGGTGACAAACGCGAGATCCGTCGAAATCCCGAGGGTCACATTCTCGACCCCCGCAATATCGCCGCAGAAGAAGCCATCCTGGCCTTCCAGTGCCCACGTCTCGTCGACGGTATAGAGGTGGGTTTTCCGGTACCCTCCCGCTATTTCGCCATCGGCATTCACTATGATAGAAGAGTTGTAGTACTCTGGAGAGGCGGGCCAGTTTTTTGACATGTCCACCTTTTCTGGATAGCCAACCACGACGGTACACCCATATTTGAGAGCGATTGTCCGTGCCCACAGACTACTGATTCCAGCTCCAGTAGGCTCTAGATGGGGGAATATCTCCTTCAAGGACTTGAAATAATAACCTATTGGAGACGCTGCCTGTCAGTAGATGCACCGGCACAACAAGAAAGGTATTTGGGGGTCACGGTCGGAGCTGTCTGTGCTTCGCTAGTTTTCCCCTCCATATTGATATTCGTCTCGCTGTATTCGCCGACATCCCCAGCACCTCGGAGGCGCGCTGTGCTCCACATCGCGGTGGGGCCCACTTACCGGAAAACGCGAGTTCGGGGAGGACAAGAAGATCTAAGTCCGCTAGCTCACTTGGGTCGCATTTGAGCAAAGCGCCGTCTGCGCGGGCAAGGTTATTATTGACATCCCCTTTAACAGGGGCGAACTGGAGACAGCCGATTCTCATTCTTCAAGAGAGCTCCGGTGTTTTTTGTCGAGAGCAGAAGGTATTGAGGGGTGCGGAGTGGACGGCGCCCTTGTAAGGAAACAGATGCGGCTCGGGCGAGGCAAGATACGTCCCGCATTCCAATCGGAGAAGGGCGAGTTTAGGGGAAGAAGGGAAGAGAAAACGAAAAGAAAAAGAAGGCAAAAAAAAAAAAAAAACTCCGAGAGAAGGAAAAACTAAGCGTCGAAAAATGCAAAAAGATCAAAGATCAAAGACAGGAATACAGGAGAAAAGAAAGAGAGAATTTTGTAGAAGAAATCGGTCAATTAAGTACGTAAGGTACATGTACATTGATGCAAAAGCAGGGGAGAAAGAGTGTGCGAAGGCTGTCAGCTTGGACTTGATAATAGGCCAAAAAGGCGAGGACAACGCCCTGGTGGCTTGGTCCTAGTCCAATACTAGTCATTTTAGAGACATCACCGTGAGGGTGTTGAAGCGCAGTTGGCGGACGCAGTATCAGAGGGCGGTTCATATGCTTGGTGTAACCGTCAACCTTGGCAGGATCTCGCTTGTTGCAGCTTGCGCTGCGTTGCATGGGGGCCAACCAGCTGAGAATTTTGGCCCGCACCATTGGGTCGATGCCAGGGACAAGCCATGCACGCGAAGTCGAGCCTGGTCACGCCGCGAGGATTGCCCAAGACAAGACCAAGGTGTTAAACCCAAAAGGGACAAGGGAACGGCTCCCCGGACCCTTGAGGTCTTCAGAGACTTAGATTACCAGTACCACAAGCAAGATGTACACGGTACATGATGAGCACACCGCTTATGCTCCTTAGTGGCACGGAAGCTGTGAGCACTGCGGCACCCGGAAAGGAGTTCATCAATGGATCCGCGGACGTGTTGTGGTTAGTATGGTGGAGATATCAATTAGTGATACACTCGAGGGAAGCAACATAATTCTCACTTCGGGGCTGACTGGCGGCATATCTCCGTTTAGCAGGCCCCGATTTGGCTATGGGCCTGCTTCTGGCCTCAAGAATTTGCCTAAAAGGAGGAGAAATGATAACCAAGCCATCCAGTATTCCCTCACATGACTGTGGTGTTTGGCGGATGGAAGACCTGATCTATGACGGAACAAGACCAGGGGAGTAAAATGAAGAGAAAGACCAAAAGAAATTAGAGGGAGAGAGACAAAGGTTGGGAATGGAGAAGAATTGACGAAAAGAAAAGAGGATAACGCCCATGAGGGGTTTCTCGGCCAATACACTTCTAATTTCGTGGAGGATTTCAGAAAGATAGTAATACTTGTAGAACGTGCTATGATGGTCGTGCCAAATTTTGCTCACTGGCTTCGTCACCCTGGTCCCTTTTTCGAAAAGAAGAAGTGCGGTTTTTTTATCATTGCTTTTCCCCAGAGCCTGGTCTTCCTTGCTCCAGAAGCGCTTAATGTTGCTCTCTCATTGACTGCTGTTGGCCGCCCAGAGCGACCCTGGTCAAGTTCCATGCCCTGATACGCACTAGTGTGAATATGTAGTTACCGGCGGATGTGGGAGTGCGTTGCATAGGCATTTGGAACCTTGCCATGAATGAAGTGCTCGGCTCTCTGGGAGGAGGAAGCGTCGCGAAAGACAGGCCCCGTAAGGAAAAAGCGTTGGACAGTACATGTATGCTTTGAGTTCCACGACACGTGGTTGACGCTGCCCTTTACCGTGGAGATGTTCCGAAACCGGTATCGCGGCGTGGTTACAATTGCGATCTGTCGGCCCCGATTTCCGCCATGTTCGCAGACCCACAAACAGCCGCGTACCGTATCCGTGGCAGTGGCACCAACCGAGCGGGGAATAAGCAATCGAGCTAAAGGGGTATATTATCTACATACAGACACAGACCAATGGCGGGTTCGCTCACGCCTCTGGAGAAAACGGAAGATATATAGTCACCCTCTGAGCCAACACCATTTACCCGGAGGATGGATTGGCGGTGTGATACGGTCCTTGTAAACATGGTGAGCGAAGCAATTCAGTAACCTTCCTCGAAGACTGATATCAACGGGCAGACTGATGGATTTATGTATGCATCTCCGTCACTCGCGGTTCCGGTGTGCCTTGGTTTCCTGTTCTGAAATCTCAATTCTCTCTCTACGGCCGCATGCTCGTCTTTATCATAGAGCGCCCGCCTGTAACATTTCACATGCAAATGGTGCCTTGAGCTGAGCTAAGAAACCGGTCTTTCTTCAATTAGGAAAGATTAAGGTATATTATGCATAAAGGGGTATCCAAGCTATCCAGCGAGCAAAACACGGAACATCGTCTTAGAAGGAAAGAAAAGAAGTATGCGGGGACAATGAGCGGAATACAAACGAAAAGAGGCGAAAAAAGCAAGATAAGAGCTGAGCAAGAGGGGCCGCAGGATATGGAAAGCTTTAGACTCTCTCACCGCATGCTCACTCACGACTGCTCGGAAAGGGACCGCCTCTTAAAGACGTTCCTCTCCCATCCGTCAATATCGTCAATGACCGTCTCCCTTACGAGTTCGTATCCGCCAAGCTTAGGCAGGATGATTGCCCAGAAGAGCCAGTATACGCCGCCAGCCGCAATGATAGCAATACCTACGACGCAGTGAATCCAGTAGGGCAAGCTCTCGTAGATGTTCTGTCCCTCGCCGGGGGTACGAAAGGAGCAACGGTCAAATAGATGTTGCTGAGAAGGAAGAAGATGACGACGGGGAGGGTGGCGGAGATGGGAGGGTTCCAGTTCCATGCCTTGCGGTTGAGGTATAGATGGACGAGGGCGGCGGCAACAAAGAGGTTGACGATTGCCAGAGGGTACGAGATGACGCTAGAGAAAGATTAAGAGTTAGCAAGCTTTGAAGGAAGTCCGAAGGATGAAAAAGAACGAGGAAGGTGCAGGATATTGAGCTTAGCGAAAATGGATATAGAGAAGACGTACTTGAGAATAAAGTTGTAGGCGTCGCCGGGGGAGGTGCCAGCATGATGATGACGGAGACGAGCCAGTGCTCGAACAGGCCGGCGAGAGGGGCGTTGAAGGGGCGGTTACTAGCCCAGAACCTCGAGAAGGGCAAAACACCTTCGCGACCGAGCTCCTGAACCAGGCGACCCTGCGAAAAGATGACACTAAGGACGTTGCCAAAAGCAGACAGGGCCACAAAGACGGACAGCGCGCGCTCGGCGGTGCTGCCAAACATGTTTCGGAAGAGCGAGGCGGCGACGAGGCGGCGGGCGGCGAGGATCTCCTCCTTGGGCACGGCGGCAAAGTAGGCAATGTTGACGAACATGTAGAGGATGGAAATGACGCCGACGGCGAGCGGGGCGGCGATCTTGAGGGTGCGGACGGGGTTCTTGGTCTCGCTGAGGGCGTAGTTGGCGTTGCTGTAGCCGATGTAGCTCCAGATGACGTTGTACAAGGCGGTGACGACACCGTAGGCGCTACCGGTGGTACCCTCGAAAGCATTATCAAAGTTGTTGGGCTTCTTGTCGAGTTTGGTGTGGCCGCCCAGGGCGACCCAGCCGGAGACGACGATGATGAGGATGACGATGACCTTGATGGTGCCCAAGAGGTTCTGGAGGCGAAGACCCCACTTGAGAGCGAGGCCGTGGATGAGGAAGGCGGCGGTGATGCAGGCGAGGCCGACGCCGCGCTGGTTCCACCGATCGACCTCGACCTGGGCGGCGTGCAGGATGTATTCGCCAAAGACGACCGAGTTGCTGCTCGCCCACCCGAGGAGGACGACGTAGCCGGCGTAGAGACCGGTGGTCAGGAACTTGGGCTTCCGGAACACGTATTCGAGGTAGTTCTTCTCGCCGCCGTTGCGGGGATCGCGGTGCCAAACTCGAGGTAGACGGCGGTGCCGGCAAAGGCGATGAGCATGCCTGCTACCCAGATGAAGAGGGAGAGGCCGACGCTGCCGGAGAGGGCGAGGATGCCGCTGGGGGTGGCGAAGATGCCCGTTCCGATGATGCGGTTGACGATGAGGAAGATGGCGCTCGGGACGCCGATTTGCCTCTTGGCTTCGCGGGCTTGCTCGATTTGTCCAACTGTAGTGATTAAACAGCGTTAGCGGGGAGCTTCCAGAGATGTAGAGCAGGGGTTGTTTCCGGGGCCCATAGCTAGCTTGCTGTACTTACCTGTATCGCTGTCGTAGCCCTGCGCGACGGCTGGGAGGCTGCCGGGGTCATCCTTGTGACTATCGTCCCCCTTGACGGGAGACTCCGCGGCGTCCTTCACCTTGGGTGAGAAGAGGCTAGCCATTGCTAACGGCGCTGGCGCGTTACCGGGAGGGAGGCCAGTAGCTTCGAGTGGGGGTGGGGACGGAGACGGAGAGGAGAGAGACTGTTGGGTGTCTCGTGTCTGGGGAAGATGTGATTTCTATTTTCCCAGCGGGACTGCTGCCTCTAATTTCAGGAGCTGGGTGTGTTTGGGGTTGAAGCTTCGAGGTGTCGAAGAATGCATGTAGAAAAGGGAAGAGCGGGCCATGCACTTTTATGAATACTGGAAATGCTATATCATCAGGAAGCTGGATCGGCGCTCTCCCGGAGTCACTTCCAGAAAGGGCAAAAGAAAGCAAGCCCGAAACGGAGACAGCCGGGCCACAGCGCGCTCCTTTCTTCCCTCCCATTCTACACTTTGGGACGTCTTCTTCCCTTTCCGCACCATCTTGTCACCCGTCTCTGCCCTCCGCCCCCTGGGTGAAAGGCGAAGGGGGCGAACTTTTGCAAAGCGCCAAGGCCCCGCTGCACCTGTGGAGTGGTACTTGCACTACACCGAGGGAAGCTGGAAAAAGAAAAGAAAAAAACAAACGAACAGGACTGGCCGCCGTTGGATTCATTCCCCCTTGATTTGTTTAAAATTTTCTTTTTTTTTCTTTTCCTTAGCGGCTTTCCACGGGGTTGGAGACGGGCGGGGCGGCCTTGGTCGCGGGCGAGTTCAAGGGACCACGGAGGACCCGCTTTGGGCGGCTTAGGGGGTAACTCGGCCGATGACGCCATTCGACGCGATGGCGACATTGCGTGCTGTCAAAAAATTTGCAACTTTTTTTTCCTGTGCAGACCCCGAGGTACGAGAAGGCTCTTTCTTTTCGTACCTTTTTGTCTTCTTTTCTTTATGCTCTTTGGAGTGTTTGGTCTCCTGTGCATACTGAACCTACTTGCCAAGCTCAAATATTGGGCAATTCCTAATAGAGCATCTCCCCATCGAGTCAATTCATTGCGCACCCTCGGATCTCGCTCCGAGATGGGCCATGTCTTATTCCTCGCGCATCCTTCTCTTCGGGCTTCGTTGACCATGCTCCGCTACCCTCACCTGCCGCTTTTGGGCCGTGACGCCCTCGCGTTTGCCTAAGCTAACGTATCCGTACTGGATCGCACGCACGTCGAGGGCGATGGCATCATGTAGCGTAGCTCGCCACCAAGATGGACGACTTGCCAAAAGGACCCAAGGGTAGGCAAGAAGAGAGTAAAAGTCCGTGGGCTCATCTACCCCCAAATGTCCGACCAGGGTCGGAGTAAGCTGGCAGGTGTGAGATGATTTCTAGCGGGCCACCGCGTGCTGGTGGCGGACTCTCTTTCCTCCCGAGCCTCCTTTTCTTAGGGCAGGGGAGTGAGTTACTGTTTATAGTTTGCGAGGGGGCATGGCGGGCTTGGCTGACCAAGGGTAGCAAGCACTAATCGCAGCACAAGGTTACTTCCATCTAGCTGTGTGTCAAATACTTGTTCGCCTTTGGAATCCGAGTTCGATGCTCAGGCCGTAGAACTTTAATCCTTCCATGAGCTACCCGATCCTACAGACTAGTCCGAGACAGGCAATCCAGCCACTGCCGGCCCCGAAATGTCCCCGTCCCGGTCCCAAGTTTATTGGCCCGAGTGCCGCTCCCGTCGCCTGTCCTCACCTGCAGCACGCCAGCATGATCAAAAGAGCTGCATCCATGGATTGAGTGTGGGGGTTCGGGGCCTAACAACCAGGACACGGCCAGTCTCCTTCACTCTCTCGTGATGTTCGATTTGACCGTCTGCATCTAAAAAGGGCCCGCTAATACTTCGCTGCACATTCCCCATTTCCCCTCCTACCCCAGGCGAGGCTAGTAATAGCCCAAACCTCCCCCTGGCCGCAAGCTCACATGTTAAATCTTGGTGTGGAACAGCTCATTCCCTGAGTCTTGGAATCGAACCTTGGTGTGGCTATTGTGGCGAGCCTTGAATACCCGTCACGACTAAAAATCGATGGACGATGGGGATCATAGGGTCCGTTTTGATGGTGCAACGGGGCCAAGCTCTTGCGTGCTCGACCCAGAATGGGGGTCTTTGGCGAATGGGGCACGCCAATGACAGAAGGATGATGTGGATCTCATCATTGAAGGAAAGGAAAGCTCTTGGGCCCGTCAATTGATACTTGAAAAAAAAAAAAAAAGAGAGAGGAAAATGGAAAGGAAAATGGAAGGGAAAAAGAAAAAGAAAAAAAAAAAAAGGAAAAGCACCGTCTTCACTGGTATGCTCGCACTAGGGTACGCTTCAAACTGCTGCGGGCATGGTGACCGACCATCCAATGGGAACCTCTTCATTTGATATGCCATCCATTGGGCAAAGCGAATATGATTATCGATTGCATGAACGGTTAACAATCTCATCACGAGATTGAGAAGATATCATCGTGACTTTGCAAGGGGTTTCACGAAAGTGGTACGGAACTCGCCGCACATGTGTTCCTCGGTTACCGTCGTCTCGGGGAGTGCGGCCCTATTTGGGATTCCCAAACAATCAAACCCCCAACCCAAGGGCCTTTTTAGCTGTCGTTGCCTCCTTGCTACACCTAGCATCTAGTGAAATTATCGACTAATAGTCAAACTGCTGATAGCTGTTTGCTCTCGCAAGAGATCTGCCAAGACCAACTAAGCTTCAATCCATCAAGGATGCAACTTCAGAGCCAATCAAATAGCGTAGGATGTGACTGTTAGGTTCACAGCGAACAGCCTTCATCTCTTATAACCCCTCGCCTGTCGCCATCCACGGCATCTTCCCCGAACTTGGCTAGTACTTCGTATTCTCTTCAGCATACGAGGGTGGCTGCTTCTCGTCTGAGCCCTCTTCCAAGCATATGGGATTCCCTCCTACCTCATCTTGTCCTTCTAGACTCCCACGAATGACCCCATTTGGCCATCTGCTTCCGTTATCCCTCAGGAGCCGCCAAGCCAGGAGCGACACAAAGGGCCTTTCCCGGCCTCAGATGCTTGTCTTTGTTACCTGTCAGACCCCAAAAGGGACTGGTCGAACCTAGCCCAGTGTGACAGCTCAAGTTTATATACTAAAGGCGGGCAAACTTAACACCTCCCCATCCCACTCGATCAAGCCCGACCAAGTATTCATGGCCTTCCATTCTCTCGCCTTTCAAGAAAGGAACAACGCAAAAGCAATCCGATGTTTGGAAGAAAGCAGTGAAAGGTTTTATTTATCTGTTGTATTCGCCATACCCATGGCCAAGCTATTTACGACTCCTTCACATGAACCCGATATCAATCTCAGTCAATGAACTAACACCCCCTAGCCTCGCCGGAATACTCTCACGCGTTCGGGCCAAGCTTGGCTACGGCCTCGTCTTGCTCCTTGTACACCTTTTGAACAGTCGCTCTCGCTTCCATGCGCTCCATCCAAGCCTTGGCCTTGGGGAACTGGTCGTAAAAGTCGGTCCCGAAGAACACAGTCACCCTGCGCTGCCACGCAATAAAGGATAGATCGGCGTAGGTGCACTTGTCTCCGACAAGCCAATCCCTGTCTTGCAGAACCTTGTCCAAGACCCCAGTGACCCTCACAGCTTCGTTCTTGTAGCGGTCGATGGCGATGGGGATCTTCTCGGGGAATACCGGCTGAACCACACAGCTTGGCCGTAATAAGGACCTTGACCGGTAGTTTGGAAGAAGAGCCACTGCTGCGTCAGGTACTTGTTGGGAGAGTCGGCATAGCTAATCTTGTGTTCCGTATCGTACTGTTCGATGAGGTACTGGACGATGGCGCCGGATTCCCAGAGGGTAAGGCCCGTGTTGGGATCCTCAATGGCAGGTAGGCGGCCGTTAGGGTTCAGGGAGATAAAAGGCTCCTTCTTGACATCCTCGAACGCGACGAACTTGGTCTCGTACGGGATTCCGAGCTCCTCCATGATAAGGGCGCACTTCCAGGGTTCGGCCCCCATGGTGAGAGTGCAAGACGATGGGCAACATGGCGGCAAGTGAACGAGGAAGAGAGAATAGGGGGTGAAGCACAAGAGAAAGCGAACACACGTGATAGATGAATGCCGGATGACTACTCGTAGATGTGCCCAAGATGAAGAAGTTTCGCGAGCTTCATTTTCCGAGGCTTTTATACAGGAGACGGACTCCTCACTTTGTCCAAACCTGGATTACTAATTGCTCGAAACGCGAAGCTATCTGAAACTGGCATTCTCGAACTTGATCCTATTAGAAATCAAAATGTGGGGTAAGGTTGAGGTGCCTTGATCAGGTCCACTTCAGGCTCCAGAATTAAAAGCCAAGCCAAGCCACGATCGTCGCCGAAGCCGCCGAGGTCGCCGCTCAGCGTTTAGCGCAGGTTTAGTTTCAATCTGATATATAGAGTCCCGGCATACGTGCCGTGCCCTTTGAGGTAGCTGGCCAACAGCTGCAGCCGATATCACTGAAAAACATTGGTGGAAGGTCAGTTTGGAAGTTACAGCGAACCCAGAGTTTTATCGATGTATCAATGCCGTTCAAGGCCACGCACATTTCACAGCCGGGAGTGAGGATTGGAACTAGGATTGATGCATCTCTGAATTATTGGAAGCAAACATCGTAGCCTATGGCTTATAAATCAACAGCGGGATCCTCCTTCTAGCAGAAGGATTTCCAAGGGCAGCCATAGAGAGATTTAACTCGGTGGGGGTGGTATCAAAGTTGAATCAGGCCCGCGAGAGGACATGCACCCCACACGCGTAGCGCAGCACGCTTGCTCCGCAGCCTTTGGTTACCAAGTGGCCTAGCTGACCATCATCTCTCGCATTTGGCGAATTTCTTGATGGCTGCAACCTGCTTTCCCCTCATCTGTGCCGCCTCCCTTCTCTTCTTGCGCTCTGCATTCTCCTGGGTACTATTTTTCTGGCACCTCTTACATGTGTGTTTGGTGCCCTGCCGGTATTCTTGGTTGCACTGGTTGCACAAGGAGAGGTTATTACTGGTTGCCATGGCTGTGGATGGGTGACTTGGGTCGAACGAGTGTTGAGACAGGTGAGAATGCTGAGATATTCTGTGTAAGATCGACGATTCTGGTAAACGAGTGAGCCTGTCGGATGGTTTAGAAAAGAGTTCCCAAACATAATCCCCAACACTGAGATCCAGCATGATTTTATATTCATATCTACCCACAGGCACGCCATGATAGCCATGACAGATCCTTTGTTCGCCATCAGGCTACCGCTGCAACCCGCGCCTTCGCAGCTCGGTCGAGTTTCCGTGATGCGGCGTTCGAGATGTAAAGAACGGCCGTCATGCTCCCGGATGAAACATGCCTAGGACTTGACAAGGTTCTTGCCACACTTCTCTTCCTATCCTTTGTTGCTAATAGCGAGTGATGTTGACTTTTGGCAAGGTTGTCCCTAATCGATATGGCATAATTGGCTGGCGAGCCTTGTAGGATGATGAAGTGTATTGATCAGTGACCTGGTGACCCCCACTTTGTTTACTTTTACTAGCAAGGCTGAGCTTATAGCGGCGATTTCCTAGAGCACAGAATAACAGTCACCAGCGCAAGGCAGAAGCTGAAACCATCGGCATATAAATGTCTTTGTTCGAGTCTGGAGCTGAGCTCGAGGTTCCCCGCCCACGAACAGTGCGGCGACGAAGGAAATAGAGATGATGAAAGAAGCCAATAGTTTGACCATACACACACTGGCAACGAGCTGTCAAGGGGACGGCACAAGGTTATCTCCACATTGTATTGGACTTGATAAAATGCACAGTTCTCTTGTGCGTTTCAAACAGAAATATCTCGGACCAGCCGGTATCATCCATCTATACGGGGCCTCATACACTAGGCAAACCAAAAGAGCTAGTAATGTTGGCTGACGTTCGTTCATACAAAGCCGCATGCGATAAGGATCTCGTTGACATCTATGTGCGACCCAACTATTTAGCACGCTACCATTGCATACGAGCTTCCATTTCCGCAGAGGACTGAAGAAAAAAGGGGGCCATCGAATCTTACCTTCCAAATCATCTCTATCGATCGCATTTTGTCCGACGCAGACAGCGCAGTCAGCCGTGGTGGCAGCGACGTTGAATGTGGTGTTACCGCAGATGCACTGCCGCTCCAAGAGCTCCTCCTGTCGATCTCCGACAAGGTCGTCGTCAACGTCGCAGGCAAAGCTCAGCTGCACAAGTGGGCCGCAGATGGCGGCGCATGTAATAGGCACATCGTCGGCATCCAAACCGAGGGAGGACACCAGGACCGGGACGAACCCGAAAAACAGGGCCAAGGCTGCTCCGGAGCGCATGATGCTGTTGGCGGTTTGGCGGGGAACTATTGCTTGAATATGAAAGGGAGCGATGAGGCTATAATTTGGGAAGCAAGAGGGAGTAGAGACAACGCCACGACTGATACGGAAAGGGAAAGTGTTATCAATCTTGAGGGAAGAACTAAGATGTTATTCAACGATCGTAACAATAAAATCTGCCATCCTCCCGCCCAAGTCTTATATAGTTTTTATTAGCACTCGGAGGAGAAAATCAAAAGATAGTCTAAGAGAAGAGGCTATCGTGAAGAGAGTTATATTTAGGTTGCTGATTTTCTTGGCCTCTGCACCTCGGTTTCAAACATGAGCCTGAGACGCCTCCTCGGCCACACTTGAGGAGTGTTAGGCTCATTCGCCCCACAGCCTTGAATGTCGTCTGAAGATCCGGAAGACGACAAGATCGCCCTGATTGCCCCAATCTTTCTTTTTCCCTTCCTGCTGTCAAAAAATAGCATCTTGGTCGGAGTGCCGGCAACAAGGCACGCTTTTCGCTTGGCTTGGCGCGACTAGGATTCTGGAAATAGCTACACTTCAAACGTGCCTCTGGTCTTGGTATCCGTTGCTGTCACAGCAAAATCGACCGCGTTCGTGATGTTCCATGCTAAAATAGAAAAAAGGGATTTATTAGAAAGGAATTTTCTCGGGTTATTTTGAAGGGAAGAAATACCTTTTGGCACTCCACGGGCTGCCTTTTCCACATACTCCGTGCAAGACTCCCCTCAGAGTTACTAGGTTCGATCGAGGGTGGATCTACACTTCAGGCGGTTCGTCCCCATAAGCAGCTTTGAGAGAGGTATACCAGGAATGAAGACTGCCGTATTCAGTGCAATGAATTCTCCGGATCGAAGCTGAAATCGAGCTGTGAAAGCAATCTTCGATTTTGCGGTATGATCTGTCGACTGTCTTGAATAGTGTCAACCTGAGCATGATGTCGTCGACGGCAAACCGGTAAGCAACCACTCCTTCCTCTGTCAGCAAGTGGAATATTTCAGAAAAAGGATAGTCTTTTCCTCTTTCAAGGGATTCGGGAATCTCCTTTCCCGCAGCGAGATAGTTATCTAAATACACCCAGATGTCTGGCAGCTGTGGCATCTTTGGGCGAGCGGCCGTGCCCTTGAGGATGACCTCATCAAGACGAGCGTAGTGTACCATGCTTCGAATCCATTGATTCCAGCCATACCAATCTTCAGGTCCTTCGAGTGTGATCATTTGACTCTCGGCACGAGGCTTTGTCGATATTTTCTAGTGTAATTTTGGTGGGCTTGGAATCCGGTCGTGTGAGGTTCGTAGATGACTCAAAGGATATGTGAGGGACTCTTACTTGTTGCAGTCACAGGGCGTTATGTATTGAATACGGTGATTCATCATGAGTGAGTCTTTAGGGCTATTTTGGAGGGAAGAGACCCTTCGTTTCGGCATCCGATGGGGTGCTCCAGTTGCAGGATCGCTCCCGCCACGTACTCCGTGGTCCAATACGGAGCGGCGGGTTTTTCCCCTCTTCTCCTTGAGACCAAACGAGGGTATTCAAGGGTGCAAAAACCGGTGAAGGGCACCACGTAACGGCACCTAGGCGAACACGTCGAGACCTGGGTTCACCGCTTGGCACTGGCACACCATGCGGGTAGCCTTTGGTGAAGGCTTCCTGCCTTGGTCTCATACACTTCAACCCTCTCCCTCTTTTCGGAAATTGACCGACCAAGGATATTCTGTACAAGGCTGCCATAATAGTTGATTGTGGAGATGCTTGACTGACCGGCCAGATACACACTTGCTCGGAATTCCTGCCAAGACCTAGTGACGCCAGCATTGGATCCTTTCAGCCCTACATGTAACAACTTGCGGAGTCGAGTCATTTCGCATCGATGCTTAGCCCAATCAGATATCCAGGTTAGCCCCGAAAAGGAAGCGTAGATTCAATCGAAGGCAACTATGTATTCCGCATCCTTCTTCTCTCTCAACAGGATACATGTACTCATTTCCCCATCACGCAGAAATTTGAAATGTTGGAAGAGGGAATACAAGAGGGAAATCTCCAGACAAGAAAAGAAAGAAAAAGCCATCAGTGGTGTTTAGCAAGACTAACAACACGAAGGTAGATCCACTACCAATAGAGACACCCAGTTAGTCGACGATAATAAAAGCCCTACGAAGAGGATCCTCCAAACTAATGTATTGGGCAATTTTGTGCCTAGCTACACGTAGTTTCCGTTTTTGTCATCTTTGTCATTCCTTGGTGTGGGCGGATTCAGACCAAGACCTTTCTTCCGCTCCGATCCGTCCGACGGGTTTTTCGCAGGTATTGGTCTTCTTCCGGCACTGACCCGCGGCTCTGGCTTTCCTGGATGGCATAAGCTCCGATATTTTTCCGATTATAGTAGGTTGTTTCCGAGACTATAGCAATCTCTCTTCGTGTACTATAGCTTTCCCGTCTAAGCCAGTTTACGTAGAAAACGATGGGTGGAGTGATACAGAGTGACTTTGCAGCATCGATCTGTCGATCTTGCTAGTACATGAGAAGAATGCCTCATCCCCAAAGTTATATATTTTTACCCTTCATCCTTGCCACTGGGGCACAGAAAGGTAATGCTTGCGCCCAGTCAGTACGGAGATCCCCATTGATCTCGACGGCCCCATCTTGACGACTCCGCATCTTTCTTGTTGCAACGAGGAATGGACCTGTTCATTAAAGCCTATATGGATCAAATTAAACCAACAAATATCGTGTTTGGAGATCTGATCTTTCCAATAAGCAAAGATTGAGATGGGCGCACGCCGGGTCCCCCTCTCGAGCCATCTCTTGTAATTTTTCCCTTTCTTTTTCCTCCAAGTAGTTTCTGGCACAATTCCCCCAAGGCAACGTGAGAGCAATCTTTCCCACCCCGCTTAGATCAACATGGGGAAATCGAAAGTTCCACGCTCGGAAATTTCCCCGTCTCGTGCGGGCGGAGGGCAGCAATTGTGGGGAAGAAATACACCCGACTGGCCAAAGACTTCCGGCTGAAGACGCTCGACGGGAGCGTTACGCCCAAGTGCCGGCTGTTGTTGGTGTCTGGATTATATTATGTGCATGCCGCGTGCCAATTTCTCGAGCCAGTGACGTTGGTCGCGCACCGGCCCTGCGTGAGTGGAAATCGTCCACGGAATGAACGACCTCTCTACGACGCGCACGCTCGCCCTCAGGCTGGGCTCGCACAACGCTGAGGAGAAATTGCAAAATCAGGAACAGCAACAGGGCCGTGAGACACCGCCCCGCCCCTCTCCAAGCTCCACAGCCAGTATGGGCAAATCAATGTAGCCATAGACATCTCCTCAAAATATATTATAAGCGCAGGTCGTGAGACGTCGAATATAACCATAGTATGTGGAGAATCGCGGGGACTCCGCAGAAAAGGAAGAGGGAAAAGGGGAACTGTCGTCGCTGTGGGTATAAGTAGTTCAGATGCACCGCCGCCTGCCGGAGCCAAGGGCTTGGTATTGTCTTGGATTCTCTTGGCCAATATACCAGTCATCAGGGGATCTGCAACCTTAAGCTTGAACCGGGTTCCTTCAGAAGAAGAAAAGTAAAAACCCCTTAAGAGAAGAAGGCAAGCAAGACTCTTCCTCTGACCGACAGCATGGTCCGCCTTTCTACCGTTTTCACGGCCCTCACCGGCACCGTCGGCGTCTTGGCCAGCCCGGCCGGCTCCAGCTCGGGAGATCTCATGCAGAAGCGTGCGGGTACTCCCAGCGCCACCGGCACCAACAACGGCTACTACTACTCGTGGTGGACCGATGGCGGCTCTGATGTGACTTACACCAACCTCGAAGGCGGCGAGTACTCGGTGAACTGGGGCGGCGGCGGCGGCAACTTTGTCGGCGGCAAGGGCTGGAACCCCGGCAGTGACAAGTACGTCTTTTCCAAAGCACAGATCAACAGCACCTTCACCCATCTATCCGTCTATGAGCCCATCACGTCGACGCAAGGCTAGATAGCGCTAACACGTTTATTCAACAGGGTCATCTCTTACTCCGGACAATACAGCCCCAACGGCAACAGCGTAAGCAGCAGCGCCCATCCTCAAGCACCTCCTCCCGTCACATGGGCCCGCAGACCTAGATGCTAATCGTATTATAGTACCTCGCCGTGTACGGCTGGACGCAGAACCCTCTTGTAGAGTACTACGTCGTTGAGAACTTTGGCACCTACAACCCGGCGTCCAACGCCCAGAAGAAGGGCCAAGTGACCACGGACGGCGGTACCTATGACATTTACGTCAGCACCCGTACCAACCAGCCCAGCATTGAGGGAACCTCTACCTTCCAGCAGTACTGGTCCATCGTAAGTTTTGCCCTGTTTCTCGCGTCGCCATTTAATCCCAACTCTATCGGGCACCGCGCTAACCGTGTTCTCTCCACCCCGAACAGCGTACCGAGAAGCGCACCGGCGGTAATGTCACCACTGGTAACCACTTCAAGGCCTGGGAGCAGGCCGGCCTCAAGATGGGCAAGCACAACTACATGATTGTCGCGACGGAGGGTACTTCAGCAGCGGTACCGCCAAGATCAAGATCGAGACCCCTCCTAAATCAAGCCAAGGTGTTCTCAGCGAGGAGAAAGAAAGAGAAAGCCCCTACTTTCTATTCAGCTCTTTGTTAAAGGGAAATTTCGTTGGGACTTTGCTCCGCGAGGCTCAGGTTGTGATCTCGCGCCTCGCGGGAGGGTTCCCCTGTATTTATTGGAGATTTTTAAACTTCTCTGCGGAGGAGAATGATGAGCACATATCCGTTTTCTACAGACAATTTGACTCTCCGGAACTGTGCCATGTGATGAACTCATCTGTAGACTAGAATCACGATTAGGATTGCTCGATGCCTGTCCTGAGGTTGGACGTGTTGTGGGAAAGAAAAGGCTAAAATGGTGCTCACCCAGACATGATCACCAATCTTCCTTGGTCTAGTGGTCAGGATACCTGCTTGTCATTGAACAAGTCGCAGGTGGCCGGGGTTCGATTCCCCGAGGGAGAGTTCATTTTTGCCTTTTTCTTGGTTGTCATCTCCCCAACCCATATTTTAGTGGAAGCGCCTGAATCTCCATTAAATTTGTCGCCTTCAATTTTCCCCTTGCTCCGCGATCCCAAAACGCAAATGTCTCTCTTCTTTTTACGTGAGAGGGTGGTGGGCTTACCTCACGTCGTAGGAGCCCGGGGAGGCGGAAATCCGCCGCCGATGTGCTGCCTTGCAGGCAACATCCCCAAAACCCCACCATCCCCACAGTTCGACTCACCTTTAGCTCGACCCTCCTGAATCCTTCTCGACGCCCGTCGGGTATAATTCAAGCCAGCTCTCCCGGTCCTCTCCCTCTCTTTCCTCCCATCAATCTCATCAACTCTCCCCTACGTCGCAACCCTTCACACCATCCATCACCTTATTCGCCCTTTCGCATTTCCCCCCAACTCACCTCCACGAAATTAACCCACGACCGACTGAGCTATGGACAGTATCAAGAGCGTCGCGGTCTTCGGCGCATGTGCACCCTCTCTGCAACGAGGCAGGCAAATGACCCAGTACTAACCTTTTCTTCTTTCTTTTTTCCTTTGTTGTTGTTTTATAGGCTTCGGGTACTTTTGGCACCCCCATCACCGCCGCGCTGATCAAAGCCGGCTTTGACGTGACCGTCATCAGCCGTGCCGAGTCGCAGGCGGCTTTCCCCGAGGGGATCCCCGTCAAGAAGACCGAGTACACGCTCGAGAATCTGACAGAGGCGTTGCAAGGTCAGGATGCGGCCGTGTGTGTCGTGGGCCCTGCTGGCATCCCCGCCCAGTCCATGATGGTGCAGGCGGCGGTTATCGCCGGCGTGCGGCGATTCATCATCAACGACTTTGGCTGGGGCCTCACGGTCCGCGGTTTGCCCGAGTTCGCGGCGGTCCACGCCCTGCGGAAGTCGGGGTGGGACCATGCCAAGATCAGGGCCAAGACCACGCCGGGATTCACATTTACGGGCATTTCTTCCGGAAATCCGATTGACTGGGTAAGCCTGTTCACCAGCTGTCTGCCACACACAAACCTCTTCCCTCTCCGCCCCCTTAAAACCAATGGGAAATATTTATTGCTGTTCTCGATCTGAAATTTTGCAATGTCTCGCCTTTTTTTTAACAATCCATGGAAATTGTAGGCGCTCAAGAAATTCCCCACCATGGGCTTCAACCCTTCTGCCCGCAGCGCCATCATTTACGACGACGGAGACGAAGAATTCACCGGAACGACACTCCAAGGCATCGGCCAATCCGTGGTCGGCGTACTTCAGCACCTAGAGGAGACGGAGAACCGATTCGTCCAAGTTCTCTCGATCCGCACCACCCAGAACGAACTCCTCGCCGCGTTCGAGAAGGAGACGGGGAGAAGTGGACGGTGGAACGGTCCACCACGGCGGAGCTCTTGGCGGGCGGGAGGAAGAAGATGGAGGACGGGGACAGAGGGTGGATTTTGGACCTAGCCGTGGGCCAGCTCTTGGAGAAGGGCGAGGCGCGCTGCGTCGTGGCGCCGTCGTGGGAGGAGTCCGACTCGGGACTGCTGGGCGTCGCGAGCGAGACTGCGCAGGAGATTGCCGCCAAGGTTATGGGGTAGTAGGAAGCGAAAAGGACCTCCTCCTCAGAGCAACTAGGGGCTACGGGGGCTTGTGATAGCCTGCTTAGGACAGTATCATTCTAAAATTCGACAACTTTACGCCCATGAGATTCTTTGCCATTATGTCGTGTCACGTCCAGATATATAAGCATGCCTACCAGCACAGTTGGTGTAGGAACTCGAGTGTACAGTGCTCTTATTAATCTGTGTTTCGGTGTATTAAATAAAGAGGAAGAAATAAAACTATACAAAAGCCACGTTCTCTTTGATTAAAACACCCAGGTCAAAGTGACCACCACCTCTTTGCCTCTTCCACTCATCCCCTCACTTGTCATCGTCGCTCTATTCACCCTGCTCTTCCGCAGTCCTTGTTTAGAGGACGGCAACGGCAAGGCCGGCGAGGGCGATGAGAGCGCTGACGCCCTCGCGAGTGGCGGCACCGCCAACCTGCACAGGCGGGGTCTGGGCGCCGGAACCGCCAGTAGGGCTAGATCCGGAACCCTTGGTGGGGAGGGTGTGGTCTCGTCGTCGTCGCCGGCGGTTCCGGTGGAGCTGGGCTCGGGCTCGGCGGGGAGGTGGGGTTGGAGGTACCGCCGGGGACGAAGTCATCAGGGAGCTCAACGCCATTCTCGACGGCGCAGCTGGCGGGGTCAAGACCCTGGAAAGCGAACAGTAAGTTAGCAGGCGTTCCGACCATTGCTCGATGGAAGGAGAGAAGAAGCGAAACTTACGTCGGGGCAGCAGAGGTCCTGGACCAAGCAGAAGGATCCGGCAGGGCAGCCCCTGTAGTAGACGAGGAAGATTAGTGGAGCCGTTCACAGGGAAAGACACTCGAGGTGGCATTTAAGGGGACATATGAGAAGGTACGTACATTTGTTGTCGCAGCAAATCTCGCCCTCGCTGGGGATGATACAGAGCCTGTTCTTGGTGGCTGTGGCGGGCGCGCACTCGATGTAGCCGGGGCCGAAGGCCTCTACACAGGTGGAGCCGCTGGCGGTTTCCTCATCGGGGTCGAAGGCCTGGCGGCGGAAGATGTGGACGTTGGAGGAGTCATGGTCGAGGGCGGAAGCCAGGGCCACGGAGCCGAGAGAGGCGGCGGCGAGGGTGAGCTTGATGAGGGTGGCGCGCATTTTGAAGATGGAAAGGAGATTTATGAGGGGTCTGGAGAGGATAGAGAATGGAAATAAAGAAACCTTCAAAAGAGTAAGGATGAAGTGAACGAGTGAAGAGGTAGATGGTAGGCAGGGTGATCAAGGGTGGAATTGGGATCGATGGAAGAAGGGCGAGATGCCGCGGGTCATATATATATTCACTGATTCATGCTCGCTTGCTTTGGACGGCAAACGCGGACTGGGATATTCAAGCTACGGAGCAATGACTCCCCATCACACACTACTTTATCTCCAAGGACCCATCGAACAGAGACGCCCAGGGTATGTGCTTGAGCCCACAAATTTAGCATCCCGGAACCGGGGGGTAGCAGCGAGGATGGAGCGTATCTCTCGCTTTGGTGCCTAAACATGAACAACAAAGAAAGGGACAAAAAAACTTCCATGGATTGCTCCGCTTAGAGCATGATTGCTGGGCCGTTGGTGCTCCCGCCCGTTACAGCAAGCACACTCCCACCAGGTCCCGGGGAGAAGAATGAGGCGGAGGGGGCGTGGAGGTGGCGGAAGGGCGACCCAACGCACCTCTGCTGCACCTCTGTTTCCGCGGTCAACGAGACAATGATTCTCGGCCGCCGAGCCCAGCCTCTGGCCCATGCCCTCCACGACCCAAAGACTACTTGGCGGAAAAAGTCCCAGCCTATTCTTTTGTGCTGTGCCAACTGGGAAGGGGAGATGCGCGCGATAGGGGATGGCACGGGACAAGGTGACCCCTGACATCGTGAAGGGCTTGGATTGGATTAGTATTCGGACCTTGGCAGGGCTGGCTGCATGTGGAGGGGCGTGGGGATGTGAGGATGGGCGTAAGGAGCGATAGCAGATTACAATTCATCAGCCCTAGAGTAGAACTACAGCAGAGTTTAGTGTCCATCCTAGTGCCCATCCTAGTGCCCATCCCACTGGTCCAAGCCAAGACCAGATCGTCGATTGAACATTGAAGGGGTTTGAAGAGCGTCGCCGTGACACTCGATGATTGCTGCCGACCCAAAAGGACCATTTCTGCATTCCATGCTCTTTCTTGAGCTTTTCTTTCCTTTGCTTTTCCCATGCCACAAGCTCGTACTTAAAGCTCCATTTCTTTTTCTTCTTTTTCGTTTGTTTCGGTGGTGGGAAGTGGGCGAGGTGCATAATAATAGCGCAAAGCGCTGAATCAAGGTACCACACCCGGCAGCAGAGGTGGTGTCGTTGGGTGATGCTGGTTGGACGACAAGGCGAAACAAGCTATTCCCCACGCCCGACTCTTTCATTTCCCTTGGAAGATGAGTGTAATAATAGGCTCGATCCAAGGATGGGCACACACACTCAAACCGGGCTCAACCCCCTTCAATCTTCCTTGTTCTTCCTTCCACAAACCACAAAACGGGAAGCTCTGCGCGGAGAAGGTAAGCATTCTGCGCGGAGATCCACCCTGACGCGACGGAGGCAGGTGCCGACGGCTACTTTATTTGGTTCCGATGATTCTTTGAATAGATCTACATGTATTATATTCAACGTTATTTATGGCGGCGGCACAAAATGTGTAAACGAACTGCTGCCCATGCATTCAATGTTGCAAGCAAATACGTCTGGTTAGCCACACTGTGGATTAACCATTAATCAGAATCCCTTTCACGCGAGATAGCGAATACTAGCGCTTCAATATCTTAATTCTTACATCTCGTGATGTCTCCATCGGGAATGTATTGGGCTAACGTCGAGTCGTTCGCGAAGAGTCGATGGAAATGGGGCTGGGGAAGGGACAGCGCCAAGCATCAAAAGTAGGACTCGAGTGTGGCGAGGCATCGAGACCAGGTGCAGGTGTCGGATGCGCTACGTGCTGTCACTCGACACCATCCACAGACATCTCCATCAATACTAATCGATGCTGGTGACAGGCACAGACAGGCAAAGTGTGGCTGTGGTTGGGATGAAATTGTCCAGAACAACAGCCGACCTCAACAGTCTCCAGCCGATTTGGCGGTTGTTGCCAAACCCCGCAACCCAAGGCAACACAGAAGACGACATGGAGACCACGACACAGCCACACAGTCGTTGAAGATTGGCCATCAGCCCTATCCCACCCCCTTTTCACTTCAATTTCCGCGCAGCGTCCTTGCACTCTTGCTGGCAGTGGCCTTTGTTGCTTGTCCATTCCAGGGGCCCAGTCGGGCGGGTCCTTTCACAACATTAAATGAATTACCCCCTTACCCGTGGAGGGCGAGTTTGATTGATCCCGTCTTGCCCGTCTTGCCCGTCTTGCCCGTCACTCGTCCCAAAACAGCAAGCTGGGCGAGCCACCGAGGAACTCTGTCCAATTGGAGACATGCATGCACCACCCTTCGCCTTTCGGAGTGCGACGCCGCTGGCTGCTATTGATGCGTCTGAAATAATGCGAGTGACTTTGAAAAGTCATGCTCCCGGGTCTTGATAGGACGATCGATCGGGCAAGCACTCCCCTCCCCCGCCGCTCTGACACCCGCTAGAATGGATCCATTGACACTCTTTCCGTGAGATGGCCTTGTTTTTCCCTCTTCAATGTTCTTCTATCTAGGAAGGGATCGACAAAAATGGAGGAATGGAGCGAGACGGGCAACCGTGTAACGCGCCACCAGGGGCGCGAGGAATAAAAAGAAAAAGAAAACCAAGGCTAGAGAAAACCTCAAACAAAAAGAAGGAATTATTGCCAATGATCGACTCGCCAGCGTTAGATTTCACGCAAGCGGAGGGAGGCGGTAGGCTGGGTTCCTTGGTCCCCTTTGCGTCTCCCGTTAAGCTTCCTTGCCAGCCCGTTCACGATCAACGAGTCGCTAGTCCCAGTCTTTGCATGTTGATATCTTCCGTCACAATTCTAGGCTTCCACCATTCGACGGTGTTCACACGCTTCTACTCTTCTTTCTCCGCCATTCTATCTCATTGCTTCTTTTCTTGGATCAGCCAACCAAGCAGAACAGATAGGGGGAAGGTAGACTGATAGTCGATGGGACCAACAATTACAACGCCCACCCATGCACATATGTGGCTTGTCATAAACAAGAGTAGAAGAGCCCACGGCACTGCTATCCGTGGCCAAGGTGAAGAAGAAGAAATATGAAAAGGGGAGTTATAGGTCTTCAAAAGATGGTATCAAAATCAAACAGATGGCCTCGGTTATAAAACAAGGATGGCCACATTTGTCTCCTCGTCCATTGTCGTGTGCCTTATCATCCATGCATGTTCAACATTTGATTCAGCGTCCTGTCTCCGCTGAAGAATACCTTTGTTTCCTTGCTAAGACAGAAGCTTAGCTTTACGTCGTGCCGGGTGCCAGGTGCCATGAATCCATTGGCCAGGAAAGAGAAAAGAGGACCAGAGCTATCTCGGCAAAGCCTCTTGTTTTCCTCCCCTTTTCCTTCTATTCAGTAGCAAAGGGTGTGGCTGAAGCTAGGCCAAGGTCGGAACTCGCCCTCCAGTTCAATGACACGGCCTTGTCAAAACTAGTGGTCGAGGTCAACCAAGGACTCTCTACGGCTTTCTCAACGGTCACTCAAATTCCATATCCACCGGGGACAAGGCCTCGGGCTTGAGGAATGAGAAGACGTTTCGTAGGGATATGTAATCTCGCTTTGTGATCCATTGTTCTTCATTAGCCTCAACAGACGACAAATCACAAGTGGTAAGTGTGATCTTGAGAAGAACGTGTGGCTTCATAACAGTCATGATCTATGGGCTCCCCCAAGATGAGAAAACCTCCCAATTTCTCTTTTCATACCGTTTCTCACCTCTCCGGTTGCACTACGCCTTTGAGGAGTTCTCCATCGAACCCCTTCTCATCTCATGAAAGCCATCAACTTTTTCCAAGGCAGTGCCGCATTCTTCACCTGCACCGTGCGTGTGCACCGGGCGCCTAACAAGGGGGGCTTGTTTTCCGCCGATCAATGTGATCTAGCGCATATTCTCGAGGTACACACGCATCGCTTTCCTCCTCTGCTTCATGAAGGGGAGGGGTGGATATACAATTTCTTTGGGAAGCTCGCCTGGGAATATGGGGCGGCCAACCAGCGGGGCGTTGCCTGCCTGTCTGAGGAATAAAGAAAAGGAGCTGGATCATGGAGAGGCTTGGCTGGTCGTCAGGCACATGTCCCCTTCCAAGATGAGAAACACGGGACTGGGCCACCAGGACTTTCATGCCAGGCAACGACGCCCGGTCATGACCCTTGGTGTTCGCCGGTGCGCTACCCCAGGCCTGTGGCGCCTTTTTCTCCAGAAACAAGCCCACTAGCCGTTCGCTGAAGTCATCCCCATTCCCGGTTATCCGATCTTGGCATAACCCAACAGCGCAACTGTCTGTAAGAAGTGTTAGTAGTGACGTCCCACCTGGCTTCTTATCATGTATTCGGGGACCAAGAGCTGATGGAGGCCCGAGATGAACCAGGGCTTGCACACGGCTGAGCCTGATTCCCTAGTTTGTTTCTCCAATAATCCTATCAAACCGCTATGTGATGCTATCAACTTTGTTTTTCTTATCAGGAGAATATCAAGAATACTTCAGACTTCCTAATTCTGCGGTGTATTTCTTTGGCCCATGGGGCATTAGGGGAAAGACACAGGAGCGCAGGCCGGCGAACTAGCAGCGGCGGGCTAATTCCGTCTGGTCCAATCGCCGGCGACCAAGATGAAGAAGATGCTCATTCGGGTGAGGTTACAAAAGATTAGACAAATGGACCGCGACGCTAGCTCACAGCTCCTCACGAGTTTCAATTCCGCCTCACTCATATTCATACACACTTGCTAGGTGCGTGGATATATATAGATTGTTGTGTAGATGCCCGAACTTCGGCTCCTCTGCCGACCCTGCTGGCCCGTGGGACCGAGTATGAACCCTCCTTGGCCAAGGGACGCAATTTATTCGACTCGCAAACAGGTAGATCTCATCTCAAGCGAGGGCCAATGGGACTGGATGTTCGACATTTCTCTGCAGGAAGGGTCTCGCACGAAGCGACAAATGGTTCCCATGGCAGCATTCTCGTTGTGTTGCCCCCTTCTCAACAACTCATCTCACAGCCACGGTGTGATTTTGATTTACCAAGGAGAAACTGGATGGGAAAAGACCCATTTATTTGTGATACATGTTCGTCGCGAAACTTATTTTTCAGCCTGAAATGTGTTTCTTTAATAAAAAAGTGACGGATGCTAGGCTAGTATCACGGCCCCACGTCACGGGAAATCACGGCAATTGTGGGTCTCGCGGGGCCGAGGTTGAAGGTGTAAGCACTTCCCCAGGAAATACGAAGTATTATGCAAAACCCTCCCCACATGGTAGCAGCAGAAATGTGCGGAAGATGAATCTCAACCCTCTAAACGAATAGAACGATGCCTTGCTCCAAAAGATGACGCTTCTTCGTGGTGGCGTCACTCATGAGCGCCAAGACAGACGCAGTCAGGGCGACGAGGGACTCTCATGTGGACTTATTGAGCCCTCCTTATCAGCGAACACATTCCATTTCATTACCCTTCATCTTCTAACTAGGAAATCTATCTGCAAGCAGCGGTGCTGAGACATCCTGGACCTATAAGGTCGGACAGATAGGTACAATAAAACCGGCACACAGCTTCACGATCTCCGTGTCAAAAAGTGGACTGATCAAGCCATTCAAGAAGTGCTGCAGGCTAGAGCTCGAAGATACCGAGAAATTTCTTGGTTATATTGGCCAAAATAAAGCCTGACAAATTAAATTCGTAAAATAGGACTAGGATATCATTATGCGGGTCGGGTCATACGCATCGTTTGCTTTAGAAACCAGGAAACCGTGACCTGAACAAGAGAGAAAAGGAAACGTGAAAAAGAAAATCCATCAGCTAAAGGAAAAGAAAACCCGGAGCCATCTCATAATATTACACAGAGTCTGCCGCCGCGCAAAAACTCCTCAAGCACTCTTCCAAGACAGCGAAATCTTTCTCGAGGGCTTCGCAAAGGGCTTGCTCCAGTTTTTCAAGTGTTTGCGTATCTGAGCATCGTTGGCCATGTCGACGGCCGTCTGCCCGCTCGAGTACCGGACGGTCGGATCCGCACCCTTGGCAATGAGGGCCTTGAGCGTCGTGAGCTTCTCCTCTTGCGTTTTCGAGGTTGCCTGCACGGCCGCCATGAGCGGGGTCCACCCTCCCAAACCCTGGATATCGGCCTTGGCCCCGCAGTCCAGGAGTAGCCGGACCATGGGGAGGTTCCCCATTTCCGCGGCGAAGTGGAGGGCGGTCTGCTGGCTCCAGTCGACGGCGTTGACGTCGATGGCGCGGGAAGGGTGGTTCAAAAGGCAGCGGGCGACCTTGGTGCCGCCTGTGCTGCGCTGGCAGAGATGCAGCCCGTTCATGTTTTGCTTGTCGGTGACGTCGACGCGGGCGCCGTGGGCGAGGAGCAGCTGGAGAGATTGCGTGTCCTGGAGAGAGCAGGCGATGAGCAAGGGGGTGCGGTGGGTGTTGGAGTCGGCGATCTCAAGGTCGAGGGCGCACTTGAGCATCAGGGGAGGATCTGGAGGTCGCATAGCTCGGTGGCGACGTGGAGAGGAGACGCCGCGGGCGGGGTCGCGCTTGTCGAAGCAAAAGTCCTCGGGCTCGATGTCGAAGCCGTTGTCTTGGCACCAGGCGAGCGCCTTGAGGGAGAAGTCGAAGTTGTCCGACGAATACTGGTTCAGGAGCTCGGCGACCTCGTGGTTGTCCTGGATGGTGCACGTTTGATAGAGCATGATGCCCACGCTGCGGATCAGGGAACTGGACGGAGGCGACTGCTTCGCGAGTAGATCAAAGGCGTCGGTGAGGTAGGTACGTGCGGCTTCATGTTTCTTTGATTCGATGTAAATGCGCCCGAGATCGTGGTATAGCTCGGCAAGGAGGAAATCCTTGCGGGTGACGGGGTCGATCTGCTCTGTTTTGACGCGGTCAACGGCGTTGAGAAGCGTCGTCTCGGCGGCGTTACGGCCCTGGGGAGTGGCCATCTTGCGGTAGATATTCGCCAGCTGCATCTCGTCCTTGCACACGACGATGGTATCGAGAGGCCTGTCGCCGGCGTCCTCGCGGCGGTAGAGGATGGCGCGCTGCTGAAACCTGGCGGCGCCCCGATAGTCGCCTTCCCGCATGTACTTGGCCACTTTCTCCAGCGTGACGGGGAGCATCGCCGCGCGGAGGACGGCGGGGATGGGCATGTGCTCCTGCTGGGCCTCGTCCAGATCCTCTAACATCCCGAGGCCGCTATCGACGTCGCTCTGGTAGGGCGGGGCGGGTACGGAGATGGAGGTTTGGCGGCTATCTCGCCTCCCTGATACCTGCGGCAATTCGGGAACGGTGGTTCGCCCGTCCGACGTGCCGGCGCTCTCCTTGAGGGAGCCGAGGAAGTGCTCGATCTTGTTGTCCCAGTCGATGTCTCCTTGGACGAAGCCGCGATGAGAGAGGTTCCGCTCAGCTTCGGCGACGACCTTTTCCCACTCCATCTGAATTGAGGTGTGATCGCATCGAGGGGCCCTTTCCCTTTCCATCTTATAGCTAATCACGCAGCAACGAGAACTCGGTTAGCCAGGTGCGCAAAAGCTAATACGCCCGCTTCCCACCTACTATCACAGCCGAAAGCGGAGAAGGAAGAGGGACGGGAAGGGACAGGGCAAGACAACATACATGGAGAGAGACTGCAATTCGCTCTGAAGGGCCTGTGTGTTTTGAGGGTTAGAAAGGTAGACTCGATGGATGGGAGGTGAAGGTGGTCATGGTTGCTTACCAGATTGCAGAGTGTGATACCCGTCACAATATCACGGACGTTGTCCTCGTTCAGCTTGCGCTGGAACTGGATCCTCAAGCGGGCAAAGGTACCCTCATCATCATCGGCTTTCGGTAAGATGAGTTGAAGCCTGATGAGGTCTTTCTCGCACTTCTCCACAAGGCTCACGATGGAAAGGTAATTCTTTTTCTCGGCATCGTCGAGGGTATCGCGCAACAGGAAGCGATCTCGGACGCTGGTGACGGAGGTCTTTAGCAGCTCTACCGTGTCATAAAGGCGTTCTATATATGTGCAAAGAGGCTGGGGTTAGCTCAGTTAAAAGTGACGTCAGGGGACAAGAGACGAAAGAAAGAAGAAGAAGAAGAAGAAGAAGAAACAATAAGACAAAGGGAATGAAACTAGAGATGCGATATTTGAACGGATCATCAGGGAACAAAAGGGGGGCAGGGAGTGCTCGCCAGATCTAGCCGGCAACGTGACAACTGCAAACTGAGAACTATGAACTATGAACCATGAACTGGAGACGTACGGGCTTCGGCAGGAGCTGTGCGTGATTCTCTCCAAAATATGCCAATGTGCCAGGCGACTTCGGAGGCCGCCAACACCACGCCCGCTACATTCCAAGGGTCGAGCATGATGGGCGGTTCATGTCCGAACCATTCTGTGCTGGAATAAGGGCGTTGGAGGAAAGCGGGAATATGATGAGACGAAAAGATGGAAAGAAGAATAAGCTGCTTGTCGTGAACATGTAGTACATGTAAGAGGGAGAACTTGGGCGAGCATCGAGACGAGGTGGAAGTGGGGAGGTGGGGGGACGTCTTTATTCAAATGGACGGCCTGCAGCGTTCATCCATGGACCGTCACTGCAATTGATCAGTGTAACCTGTGGACGGGTCTATAATAATAAGCCCAGGGCACAGAAACAACTGGCGTACCTTGTACTTGGTAGATCATGACGTCCCCTGCACCGGACTCGAGAGGTGCGGTGCACCACGAGTGTCGAGTGTGACTGGCTGGAACTGGGGAACAGAGACTTACGACTTTGGGGTTCCGCTGCGAGAGAGCGGCACTTCGCCGCCCGAACAAACCCTTAAAGTGCAGCAGCTATTACCTGAAACGAAAGAAACGGGCAGCACTTTCTCATTTACTTTTCGCTTTGGTTCTTCTTTTCTTCCCTTCTTTTTTTCTCCTTCCTTTTGGGACAACCTGCCAAGCCATCCTGGAGGAAGTAAGCTCGTGACAGGGTGCCAAATGCGCCGCCTTGTCTTCGCGTTTGAACACACCTTGGGACCTGGGGGCCACACGAGATGCAAGACATGCAAGCGAAAGAAAGAAAGAAAAAGCCCTGGGCCGCGACGTCTCATATCCTCTAAACAGGATGAATTGCCGGTTGAAGGCTGAAAAAGGAGGGAGAGGGAGGGCCGCGTGTGTGTGAGTGAGTGAGTGAGTGTGTGTGTGTAGATGCGTGAGGGTCATTAGGAAAGTCTAGTATCGCAGCAGACCCAAGCCAAGGGTCGAACAAGACTGAGTGATGCACATTTGTCTGCTCAAGCAACATTTACAAACAATAAAAACAGATTATCAATCTGCCTTTCACCCAAGGCATTACCCGAACTTCAGCTTCTCGCCATGTTCATTTTTTTCGGCATCAGAATCAGCCACCAGAGCCCAAAGTGTCTTGCCTGACGGGTGTCAAGTTTCAATAATTCAAAAATTCCCAAAATTGCCCACACCGACACCTCGTGTGTGTGTGTGTGTGTGTGTGTGTGTGTGTGTGCTATCCCGCGAACCGCGAACCCAAATCACCTTGACTTTGGCGAGGCATGCGTGGGTGGGAGACGGTCCTGCGGTCTGGAACCCAGATAGCTCGTGTGCATCTCCAGCGCGACTCCAGATTTGCTGCTTCTTAGCGAATAAATGCAGGGCGAGAGGTTCTTGGGCCATGCACTTGTCGGCGAGCACCAATGAAGGAGAAGTGCAGATAGACATGTGCCGGGGAAGAGGCAGCATGTCTGGAAAGCCACGCGTGGTTGACAGCTGAAAAGAAAAATGAAGAAGAAGAAAAAGGAAAGCAAAAGGAGGAGGGAGGCAGAGCTCGCGTGATGTGCATTTGCTACATTGATTCATTCCATGTTTGCACTTTGGCCTTGCTTGTCCGTTTCCTTCCCCAGGCTGCGCTAAGAGATCGGGTCGGATCGGACGAGGGAGAGGGAGAGGGGCAGGAAACGCTATTCCATTTTCTGGGACATAGAAAAGTGAGGCTTGCAAGCCAAAGTCTACATGTACACAAAGAAAAGGAAAAGAAGAAGAAGCAGAAGAAAAGAAACGGGGAGCCTGAGCAGACCTGGAGTCACTTGCAGCGCTCAGCCCCAACAGCGGCCCTGGATTAGTGGTCACCCGCGTCAACTCGACCCGTCGTCATGTCTGTCCGGGGCGGGTCATCACAGGCACCAGTGAAATGAACGCTGCAGGGGGAGACTGAGGGAAGACTGAGAAAAGGACATGAATGGATATGTTTCTCCATTACACTAGGGGAGGAACGGCAAGAACGGGTCCAGGAGGGAAGGGGCGATGCACAGTTGATGGCTGCACGCCACGCTCCATCCTGAACCGGAAACGATGGGATGTCGACGCTGTCGTGGAGCGGCGAGGTAAGTGTCGACGAATTGCCGTCGACGACGCAGTTCTAACCGTTGCATGCACTTGATTTTGTACATGAAATATTTGCTCGCACTTTGGCTTTAGGCCTCAGCGCGAGGAATCAGGAATGAGAAATGAGTGTTTTATTTTCAGCTGGGCACCCGCTCTTGGCTCGTTTCTGCCTTGCACGATGGCTTTTCGTTTTCGCTCTGGGCTGCTTGCAATATTTCTTTTTCGGGGTCTCTTCGTGCCGCCTTGGTTTTAGGTTTTTGGGGGAACATTGAACGAACGACGGGATTAAACATTGATGGGCGGCAATGTTGCCGTGAAGATGCAGACTTGGCAGAGAACTACACTACGCTTGCTCCAAAGCCGGGAGAGACATGGGGAGCATTGAGCGGGGAAAACGGGCCAAGAAGCGCCATGTTCCGCTCTCCTGCATCCCCGCCCACTAATTAGTCCAGTGTCCCTCCGCACCCTAACCCAGTTTGCCAGTTTGCCAGCGTCTGTCCAACCCCGAACGACAGACAGCCACTAACCACCCACCATCATTGATCACTCCGACTGCCTTGCCACCCCCGACCCCCGCGGTTTGAGTGGAAACAACGTAGAAACTCCAAGTACCTTGGTTTAAGGTTGCTTTTTGAGAAGCCATGCTGTTTCGTGGCTGGTTCTCTCTGTTTTGTCTGTTGCCCTTGTTGTCCTTGGCTGTCAAGACTGGTCTTCTGGCATCAACTCTCCCCCAGCCTCCAAAGCCAAGCCTGGCGTACATGTATTTTCGTATCCGCTGGCAAGCCGGCACTGTCCAGTAGTTGATTTCGAAGTATTATTCCGACCGCATGTACTTTGAACCCCGGACTTGAAAGCCCATTTGGCTTGTTTGATTAATTCTAGAGAGGACATGTTGAACACGAGGCCTTTCCAAGTATCCAGCACTACGCCGCAATATTCTAGGACTGCAAGACCGGCAAGGACTGCATGGAAAAGCCAACCGCCGAGACTACCATGGTACCAGCAACCCCGAGTCCGCAAGCACACGCACACGCACACGTTGATGACAACGATGGGCAAGACGGGGTATGCTGAGCCACACAGCCAAACAACATTTGTCCACACCACACACTGTGACTACAATGACAGGAATGGATTGAGCCAGTCGATGAACATTGAAGACGTCGAGTCGCCCACGCCCACACCTACGCCCACACACACACGCACGCACGCGCACGCGCACACGCAAACACCTTTCCAGGCCCGGATTCAGATTCATACTGGGTACTTGGGGAAATCCCGCCTCCTCAAACCTCGTGTTGACGAAATAAAGGATAACAGATTTCAAACTCCTTGACTCAGTCTGACCCTCGATTCCTCGAATCTATTAATGTATCCCCTTTGCCCAGCCTGCTTACCCTTGCCCCTTCCGCCTTCGCCTTCTGCCTCCTCCTGTCACTTGACTTGCCCCTGGCTCAGGCTCAATGTCGGAGTCCTCCCAGAAAGGCGTCCACTACGTTGTGATGCTACATGTAGCCCGCGGATTCCGTCCTCCGACCACAACATTCTGGTATTAATCCAAACTAAAACGAACACGGCCGCCTTGTTTTATTTTTCTTGCCCTATTTGAGGCGGCCTACAACGGTCTCTACCCCTGTCCGCACACCTGCCCGTGTTTGATGTCCGCCCTACACTGCACCTCGCCGGGCCTCATTCCTTTCTGGTTCCTTTGGTCTTTCAAGCTGTGCGTCTGAGAAAGAGAGAGAGAGAGAGAGAGAGAGAGAGAGAACCGCCCGCATATGTCTTAGGCTGCTGTGGGTTAAGCCACGCTTGCTCCCGTCTTCAATGTCCTCTATTGGATGTATTGAATGTAGCCTATAATCCTTTGTGTATCCGTGGTGCGTCCTGCACCGCTGCACCCAATGAAGCGATCTACCTATCCATCGACGCATGTATGTCTCTCTATCAATCCGGAGTACCATGGGGTCCGTACCTTGCTCGTAGTCTTGAATGTCAGGCCCGGTAGGTTGATGACTTATGAATCAATGCGTTGTATCATTGACCTGCCCCCAACTTCGATGGCCACGGTCCATCATCCTCAGCTTTCCTTTAGCGGAATGATCCTGAGAGGAACCAGACAGCTGTCGAACCCACCCTCCTTCAGTGTTCCCCCTTGCCCCCTTCCACCCACACCAGCATGACCCCCTCCCTTCACAGCCTTGTGCCAAGATGATGTGGGTGCATGCAGCGCAGTGGGGCCGTGTCCAGTCCTGGATCGCTGATCCTCTCCTCTCCGCTCAAGTGCTCCAGGACCAGCGGGCACAGCCAATGGCCAATTACTTGTACGGAAGCCAGAGAGATCATTCAGTTCTCCCGCGTTCCGAAGATCCCTCATCATCGCACATGCTCCTTGAAATTGTCAAGTAAATAAACCAAAAAGAAACAACGGGAGAACAAAAAGAAGATTAAATTCTTTTGTTTTAATTCCTCTCCCCGTTTCCCTCCAAAGATCGGCCCTTGCGCCCATAAGTCAAACACACACCCCGCCATCGTAGCGGACGACTGGATGAAAGAAACCGCATCTCGCAATGTCTCTCGGCCGGTGGAAAGTTGAGGACCGGGTTCGGATCGAGAACCCCCTCAGTGCGTTTCCCTTCACCCATTTCCCAACATCGATCGGGCGCCCCGTGGCCGTCCACGCCGGCAACGGCCGATACTCTGAGCGCGAGACCGGGTGGGGAGCGGCGTTTTACTAACAGCGCGTAACCAGGTTCCTTGACCGATGAGCAAGTCACCATCGACGTCACCCGCTTCGTCAACAGCCGGGCCCCCTTCCTCTCCGACCGCGTCGATGAGGTGTGCAGGGCCGCCCACGTCGCCAAGCACATTCGCTTCTACGAGCAAATCGCCCGCGGCTACAACACGGACGGCACCAGCCCGCCCATCACCCTGACCAGTGAGGAGAAGACGGCGCTCGTGCGCGAAAAGGACAAGATCATCTCCGAGCACGGCATGTGGTATGTCTTTGTCACCGTCTCCTGGCTGCGTTTCTGCAGGGCTTTGTCCAGAGCTCCTTTGGCGGCGCCAACGTCTACGAGGGCTACTGGCGGCGCGTGAGCCACGAGCACAAGAACGACCATGCCATGGGAATCTCCAACGGCATCGCCTATCTTGCTGCTGCTCTCATGTAAGATGCCTTTACCCCTCCTCTGCTCTTAGTGAACAGCTCATACTCATGGACCTTTGGCGTGATAGAGGCTGTCCACTCTCAGATCCCGTAAATCAGATCGCCGGGCGACGCGGAGCTATCTTCTTCGCGTCTATCCTCATCATGATCACGTCGATTGCGGCGGCCTCCTGTCTAATTTCGACGAAGATGGCACGGGCCATTCCGATGCCTGGAAAACCCTCGTGGCCCTGCGACTCGTGAATGGTATCGGAATGGGTATCAAGGCCGTTTCGACACCCATCCTGGCCTCTGAAACGGCCATTGGGTACTGGCGAGGTTCGTCTTGAAGCTATTTCCTTTTTTCTTTTCTTTCCTTTCGCTTCCTTTTCTCGTCGGTGATGCGCTCGACGTGATCCACCGCGTCTTGTCTCATGTGGTCAAGTTCCCCTTCTCCATGAAGCCTCGCTGTCTTAGCTTGTCGTCAGAAGTGGGGATATCCCTTGGCAACTTAGCACTCCTGCTAGCGACACATTATGCTTTGACAACCGTGCCGAAACTTTACATGGAGACGCTAAGAATTTAAGAATTGACATTGACTTAGGAACCGCTTTACTCGTCTGGCAACTCTGGTAAGTCCCGGCCAAAGCATTTTTGCTGTGGCTTTCCCCTCCTCGCAACCCCCTTGACTCCCACTCACGAAGACTACTGCAGGGTCGCTCTTGGAATTTTCGTCTCCAACTCCTTCAATCTCATTTTCTACAAGTCGCCCAAGCCCATCATCTCCCTCAGGCTCATCTTGGCCTCGCCCATGGTACCCGCTATCCTTCTCGCCATCTCCTTGTACTTTACGCCCGAAAGCCCCCGGTTCTACCTCCGGCCCCACCGCGGCCATTATAAGCCCGAGATAGCGTACAGAGAATTAAAACGGCTAAGAAACACAGAGGTAGGTAGAAGTTGTTATCAAAATTCATCGGTTCTCCTTCCACGATGCTTCTCGCACGCTCTTTGCCGTCATTAGGATTGCTTATTTTTAAGTCGCGTCGTTTTCATCTGCACAGCTAACATGAGCACGAACTATGATAGCTCCAAGTTTTGCGGGACCTCTATCTGGTCCATCGCAGCGTCGACTTCACCGACGAAACCGCCATCACCTCAATTGGGCAAAAGGGGAGCCTATAGTCCACGCGGACGGAATAGCCGCCGAAGCTAGGCCCAAGCTTTCCATCCGGATCCGGCAGTACTTTTCGCGCTACCGGGACCTGATTGCCAATCCCAGGTTGAGAAATTCCACGATCTCCTCGTGCACTGTTGCCCTTGGCCAACAATTATGCGGGAGTATGTGTGTCACCGCGCGGCGCGCTAGCCGTAGCGCAACCCAGGGCACCCTTGCTTTTTCTTTCTCATGGACCCCGCGACTAATATAGCTATAGTAAACATCTTTGCCTTTTATGCAACCACCCTATTCCTCAAAGTCCTTGGCGGGATTGAATACACAGGTAACGAACAGGAAAACAAAGAGGCGTGGAAGCAGGCAATGCTATATTCATTCGGCTTCGGTAAATATATTCCCCCTCCCATGTTTTCCACCTTCAAACGTTGTAGCTTGTAGTCTTGAGTACTGATCATGCTCATCACCTCGCCCCACACAGGCCTCGCCAATTTCCTATTCGGAATCCCCGCCGTCGGCACCATAGACACTTTTGGGCGTCGCCGCTGGCTTCTGGTTACCATTCCCGGCATGGCTCTGGCCCTGATGGCAGCCGCCCTAAGTCTCGAGCACGTGAACGCTTTTACGAGGAGAAACTTGGTCTTGGTGTTCATGCTGGGTGAGGAATTTCACAATCTTTCATCCCCTTCCACCGGCCCCCGTTGCCGCGAAATTTTCTTGCTTTCTAACTATCGTCTCGTAGTACATACGGCATTTACAGCCCTGCCATGGGGCCTGTCCCGTTCACCTTGGCATCCGAAGCGTAAGTGGTCCACACTCTACTCAGACCCTTCCAGGCAACCAACTTCCCGCTAATCAAATTTCCGCCTACAGCTTCCCTCTTAGCCACAGAGAACATGTAAGTTTCTCGCCTTGTTGCTTTTCTTTTGTTCTCGAACCCAAAAAAAAAAAGAAAAAAGCCTCTTCCCTACAAGGCCGTGAGCCACATACTAACGTTTGTCCGGAACAAAGGGCTGCTCCGTCGCCATCATGATCAACCTCTTCTTCGCCGGCCTCCTCGCCTGGTTCTACCCCTCATCGACGCCGGCCTCGGCGGCGTGCGCAACAAGGACGTCGACGAGCGCGGCGGCGGCGGCGCCCTCGGCCTCTTCGCCGGCCTCAACGTCGTCGCCTTCATCTTAGTGTACCTCCTCGTCGAGGAGACCAAGCAGCGCGACCTCGAGGACCTCGAACAGATTTACGCCGTCCCGAAGCGCGAGTTTGCGCGCTTCCAAGCCACCGTCCACCTGCCGTGGTTCCTCCGCCGCGTCTTCCTCTGCTCGCAGGAGCCCAAGCCTGACCTGTACGACGACACGACGGGCAACGTCGTCCCGCCGGATGAGGGGGCTAGAACTGGGGGTCCATGCCGGGTTCGCCGATGCCGACTGGACCAGCGTTCGGTGACGGGATCCGAAATCCGGTGGATGTTACGGATGACCGGCCTGGGTCACCGAGTCGTTACGAATAGAGTAGCACACACACCCACCTGCCTCGCTCCACTGCTTCTCTCTCATATCCTGTCTTGTTAAAACTGCACACGTGCAAGTAATAATGCCCTTTCTAGGGAGTCTGTTGGGGGATGCTTATGAGTCGGCCCTTTGACCGGTACGATGAAAATATATCTATATCCAGCTTCATGATAAACGCATGTCGTTACGCCAATGAATCTCAGCTTCTATGATGAACCAAAAATAAAAATAAAAATAAAGAGTGGTCCACCTTCCCGATCCTTTCCGGGTCCCTTTGCCTTGCTCCTTACCCCTTGCCCCAAGATAAAACCCCGATCCTACTCATTTTCATTTCCGTCGTCATTCTGGTTGGGAAAGTGGAATCCCGGCTCTTGTAGCATACCAATCATCTGTGAATTGCTGTATAGCCAGTCATCAAGCTGTGCCGCACCGTTGCCCAACCACGCCATCGGGCTACCCGTCCGCACGGCACCATCGAATCCTGGCTTTAAGCCCCCTCCGGGCACTCCCTCCGGCCCAAAAGACGACGCCATAAAGTTGGCTGTCTGGGTAGGTTCCGCTGAGGGAGCAGACGGGAACCCGAGCACAGAGAGGTAAGCGTCCATCTGCGCGCTAGCCTCCATCTGATCCGGTTGTGGGGTGGAAGTGCGGAACTCGACGTAGCGCAGGGCTACCGTGTATAGAACCTGGAACAACCGATACATCTTGCCTGCAGCCTCTGATACGGTCGGCGATGTTTGCATGGATACGTTGAATGCGTGAAGGCGCGCCAGATCCTCACGATCTTGCGTTTCTATAACGTGGCAGAAGATGACGATAAAGGGAATAAAAGGGGCGTAAAGTAAGGTCCTATATTCGTATGTTATTTTCATTCTCCGGTCGCCGTTACAATTCGAAAGAGAAAAAAGGGGGCATAGGCATTGCTTTGGCTGATATGGGGTTTCTTACCAGTGGATATAGATGGAGAATAGAGTAGAGTTTGCCCCTTCAAGCACACTCATGCAGTCCTGATGCCTCGAAAGCGTCGCTCTTGCTGCTTTGATGCACTCTTGGGTAAATGTTGTGCGGGATGTTTCGCTACGTGGGGCAGCGCGCTGGACGAGCGTGAGGAGGGAGAGTCGCAAAACATCATCCGAGATGTACAGAAACTGCATGAGATGTTCTCCGAGAGACTTGTTGCTTTCACTCAGCCACAAATCCTATCACAGGTAGCATTGTCATTAGCTCGTACTGCTCCAACTTGGACTGCTGGTTTCGCGACGGTTGGGATAAGGAAAGGATCGGTCGGAGAAGGGGAGAACCAACATTTGCCTCGCGTGTACGAATATCCACTATATCAAGCTCCCGAGTGAGGGTGTCCACCCGAGACTGACGGACATGGGCCGGCTGGGTCACGGATTCTGGACTGTACAAAAGCTCGTAGATTCTGCCTTGTACGCGGGCACATAACACCCACAGGGTGAAGTAGTGCCAAAGAGGGCCACGCGACCGCTCGGGCTTCGGCAGAGGAATGGTAATGTCCCAATCCTGGATAGACGACGCTCTTCCCATGCGAAGCGCGAGACCTTTGTCAGCCATATACACACCCCAGAACAGGGCCTGCTTCCGAGCAGCTTCGTCAGGGGGTCGTTCTTCATGGAGACGGCCCTATGGTACCCGAGAGTTTGGCAGAGTTCTGACGCCTTGGAGCACAGCGTCCAACAGAGAGAAGGTTTAGAGATCTCGATCGTATAGAAAGTCTATAAAGGGTTTAGTTTGTCAGCTTCGAGGTAACAGCCGGAGCCAAGGCGCCTATGCAGGGTTGTAGATGAGGGGGCGGGGGCGGGGGGGTCAGACGTACACCAAGTGCCAGCGCGAGAATCATCTCGTAAGTCGCTGGCAGATGAAGTGGCAAGTTCGAGAGGGCCGTCTCGGTGTTGTCCCGGCACATCGCCGCGTAGCTCATGTACTCGTCGCGGGAGGATTCAGGTGCTTGATTCGCTTGGTGGATAAAAAGGTAGTAGAGGCCAAAGTTGGCGACGATGAAGTCGGCCTCTGAAAAGTCTGGGGAAAAGTAGACTCGGAGGCATAATTCAGAAAAGGTAGGAAGACAGAGGTTCTCGTAGATGGATATAGCACCAGAGTTGTACGCTAAGCGGGGACAGGGTTAGTTTAGCCTGCTTCGCCAACAGGGATAGAAAACTGGCTTAGCAGGGCAAGTATACCTTTGGCGGCCTGGATAACCTCGACCGATTTTCGGATGGGGGAGGTCGTAAGGGGGAATGGCGACCCGGGTGGAAGGGCGGGAGTTTGGATAGGACATTTCGCTCGCCGCAGTTTGGTGTTTCAGGCTATGGACCATGTGACGGAGGGCATCCAGGGTCTCTCGCATCTCCAGACTTGAATCTTGCAGCTCATCCGTACTCACAACCTCCTGGAAAAACTGGTTGGCGAATGCGGAGTGGGCTGTCAGGGAGGAATCGCCCTCGACAACAGGGCCGGTCGCCTCGGGTTGGGAGGGGGCGCTTCCCGGTGTCGACATCGAAGATGCAGGCTTAGGAGGCGGGGACAGTTGCTGTGACGGATTAGAGGGCCCCGGCTGCCAGTTCATCTTGAGATCCTCCAGCAGCCGGATGACGCCATCGAGACGACGGTCGATGAGGTCAATTTTCCTCTCACTAGGGGCAAGAGATGCAAGGTCAGGCACACAAAGAAGGGGAAAACGCTGACGGAAGCCAGCACGATGCATGAAGGGGGTAAAAAACATACTATTGAGGAGTGATGAGAATGCGGGTCCGCTTCTCTCTTGGCTTGTTATCGGCATGTGTGCATTGGATCTTGGCCTGTAGGCAATGCGAGCACGGGGACTCCCTATTGCAGCGAATCTAGGCCACAGACAAGTTAGCTCTTGAGCCGGGGCGTCATGGGTGGTCTCTTGAATGCTGCACGCCAATTTGGCACGTCTCGAGGTGTAGATACGTAATCGCTTGCGGGCCGTAGGATAGGCCGAAGTCGAAGATGGGATTTGGCAACACATAAAACAAAACGAACTAGTAAAAAAAAAGAAGATAAAAAAGACAACTAGGTAGCAAAAAGAAGTGAAAGAAGAAAGAAGACAGAAGGAAAGCCATTATCATCATACCTTGCGAGACCGGCATGCATCACACTAAGTCAAAAGTAATTTGGTCAGTGCCGTGGAGCAAAGAAGGGAAAGCGAGATAGATGTCTCAGGGTGAAAGCTGCGGTTAGGCCAGAGAAGCTTACAGCTCGACGGATAGGGCCAGCAGAACCTAGGGCGCCATCGAAACCATCGTCGGCAGCATTAAGTTCCCCAACCCCTTCACTACCTTCATACCCATCTTCCATCGTGAGAGGCTCTTCCCCTAGCCTGCAACGGCGATACTAACGCACGGGGGCGTGTGAGATAGCGTCGGGTCGACTATAGTAGAGGGGTGGTGTGACGCAGCACTTGGGGGAGAGAGAGTGATAGAGAGAGACGGGGTTTGGGGGTGTGGGGAGTTTGCAGGTGGAGTGACCTATCGGAGGCAGCACAGTCCGTCTCCGTCCGCCAGAAGTGACAAAGGGAAAGTCGACGGGCCTGTGTGTCGGGATCAATGGGGTTTTCTACGTTCCGTACGCCGTCTATAGGGATTAAAAAAATCAAGTATGGGCTGCCGAGTCGTCGGAATCAGAAAGCAGATGGAAACCGCCCGGAGGCGGAGCCCGCGGAATCCGCCTTAGTCATCGTCGTAGGACCACGCATCTAGACCCAATTCGGCAATTCCATGTGGAGACACGCGGAAGAAGACGAGACTCATGGCAATGCAGAATCCCTCATCAGACGAAAAAGGAAAGGGGAGTGAGCATCGCTTCCAACCTGGTCGAGACCAACGAACGTCACCTCACTCATTTTGAATTTGGGAAACCGCGCCTCGGGTTTTGCTTTTCCCCAGTTTCAATTTTTTGCCTCTTTCGATCCACATTACTCTATATTGATCACTTTACAGTTTCAGAGCAAGTGCTGGGACTCAGCTGTTCTCCTCGGGTCATCTCCCTCGCCGACGCCGTCGCGCAGTGGTGCGGTTTGATCCGTCTGTTTGACGTCGGGTGTGAATGTTGTCGCAGAAAGTTGCCTGTGGAGTGCACCCTTTGCGTGATAGTTTGTGAAAATAGTGATCAAGTGCGCTGCCAAGGGAGTGATGCGCGCCGCCAAGTCTTCCCAGGCGACCGCACACCAAAAGGCCCAACTATAATGCACCTCTTGTTCAATGCCATTTGAGGGAATCAAAGAAAGAGCCGGGCTTGCAAGCCGCCGCAAGGCCAGTCGCGAGAGGGATCGATCCCCGTATCTTTCGTATTTCTAGGACTTTGCTCGCCGAAATGCAACGCGCAGGAAGAGCAAGGAGAGTTCTCGGCGCGCCAAGCCATTCATTCCCCAAGAAAATTAAATCGAGTGACAAGGCCAGGCCCGCTAGCGAAGCGTAACCTGACGCCCCCAGTCCGCACATGGCATTGGCACTGATTGATTGATTGGATCCCGGTCCCAACCCGTCCGCCCACCAAGATAACCTTGAACGCACCACCACCCACACCCCCTCTTCACGCGAGCGGTTTTGGTGAGCGCACTGGCCCGGTTTGCTTCGCCTCACTTCAAAATTGGATGGGCGAAAGAAAAAATGCTCCGTTTCCGCGCCCGTCCCGCAAACAAAAGAAAAGCGAAAACATACTCCTTCGGCCCCCGTCACGCACTCTCCGGGACACGATCTCGGGGCCTCTTCCGAATTCTCGCATGGGAAAATAGAGAGAGAAAACAACATAAGAATGAGGTGAACCCCAGCCCCTGGTTCTTTTAACGACTTCCTCCCCCATCCCTCTGCGCGCGTTTGTTCACCTTGCGGGACGTGTTGGCTGTTGGCGGCTTCGGCATCAAGGACTCTCCGCCTCCGCAACCCCCTTGTCCCCCAACTGCCCCAAAAATAAAGCTCACACCACTCAGCCCCCACCCATCACTTCCAACGTCAACACACGACATAACACTATTCTGATGGGCTCCGAAATCGCCAGCGAGAAGGGCGAAGGGCCCAAACCAGTCGATTCTCCCATCGCCAAAACTTCATCCGAAGTTGCGACCGCTGGTCTTCCTGAGGAAGAAGACACCTGGGTAGCATACAAGGTACTGTAAACCGAAAATGATTAAAACAAGGCAAAAAGTTTTCACACAATACTTATTTCCTTTATCTAGAGAATCTTTCGATATGCTGGCTCGTTCGAGTACACCCTCCAGGCTATTGCGGCCATCGCCGCCCTTGCCTCCGGAGCGGGTATCGCCCTCCAAAATCTCATCTTTGGCGAGTTTGTAACCGTCATCACCAACTTTGCCATTGATCCAACCGCCACGGGAAAGTTCATGGACGATGTGGCCGAATTAGCGTCAGTCTCCTCCTCTCACCTCGCTGCTCTTATTCCTCTGCGTCACTGTTCATCCCCTTCGCCCTCGCTTCGCTCTGTGTACCCCTCATCTAGATTGCTGGCTAGGTTCACTGTCACCCGACCCTATTAGCTAACGGCAGTTCATCCATCGTAGACTTTACTTTGTTTATCTCGGCATCGGTAGATTCGTTCTCTCCTACGTGTACAACGCCCTGTTCACCTACGCTTCCTACCGGATCGTGCGCAACATCCGCCACGAGTATCTCCGCTCCGCCCTACGGCAAGAGGTGGCCTTTTACGATGTCGGTTCCGCCGGTTCCATCGCCGCCCAGGCCACGACCAACGGCCGCCTGATCCAGGGGGCATTTCCGAGAAGCTCGGCCTCACGTTCCAGGGTCTCGCTGCCTTTGTCACGTCCTTCGTCATCGCCTTCGTCGTCAGCTGGAAACTGACTCTCATCTGCCTGTGCATCGCCCCGGCCACCATGATCATCATGGGCGTCGTTGCCACCATCGAGGCCGGCCACGAGACCAAGATTCTCGAAATCTACGCCCAGGCCAACTCATTCGCCGAGGGTGTTCTCTCCAGCGCCCGCACCGTTCACGCGTTCGAGATGCGCACCAAGCTCGTTGCCACCTTTGACCAGTTCCTCACCGACGCTCACACCGTCGGCAAAAAGATCTCCCCGCTCTTCGGTGGCCTCTTCTCTACAGAGTACACAATCATCTATCTCGGATTCGGCCTCGCGTTTTGGCAAGGCGTCAAAAGACTTGCCACCGGCGAGATCCAGGACCCTGGCGACATCTTTACGTAAGATTACCTTTCATTTTCTCCTTGTGGCAGCACGCCATGTCTACTCCCCTTCCTCTTGTCTTCCGCGACCAGACCCGACTCCAAGCTAACCGAGGCCCTCCTGTTTCTGCTTTTCTACAGCGTCCTGCTTTCCGTGGTGATGGCTGCCATCAACTTGACTATGCTGGCACCCTATTCCATCGACTTTAGCAGGGCTGCAGCCGCCGCCGCGAAGCTGTTCAGCATGGTGGACAGGGTATCCGCCATTGACCCCTTTGACCCGTCCGGCGAGATTCCGTCCGAGACTATCGGCCGTGTAGATCTCGAAAACATCACCTTTGCTTATCCTACCCGGCCCGGCGTCACCGTCTTAGATGACTTCACCCTAGAGGTGCCAGCGGGCAAAGTCACTGCCCTTGTTGTAAGTACCCTTGTTAAGATAGTTTCCTTCGCGGTGGTGCGTTGTCGTACTAATTCCTCGACTACAGGGCCAATCCGGATCGGGCAAGAGCACCATTGTGGGTCTCATCGAACGCTGGTATAACCCAAGGTCAGGTTCCATCAAGTTGGATGGCCGCCCCATTGACACGCTGAACCTGAACTGGCTTCGAAAGAATATCCGCCTCGTGCAACAGGTATGCAACTCTCCAGCGTTCTTCTATGCGAAGAAAGAATGTGAACAGAGAGGAAGAAACTTTTTATAGGCCAAGTCGCCTTGAAAAGAAAAAAGGGAAAAGAAAGGAAAAATATTAAACTAACACGTGTATATAGGAGCCGGTTCTGTTCCAAGGAACGGCCTTTGAGAATATCCGACACGGCTTAGTGGGTACTGAATGGGAAAACGCTTCCAAAGAGGTCCAGCTGGAAAAGGTCCAAGAGGCTGCCAAGATCGCCTATGCCCACGAATTCATCACGGAGCTACCGGAGGGCTACGACACCGAGATTGGCCAACGCGGCGGGCTCCTCAGCGGCGGGCAGAAGCAGCGCGTAGCCATCGCCCGCAGCATCATCTCGCAGCCCAAGGTCCTGCTTCTCGACGAGGCCACGAGCGCGCTCGACCCCACGCCGAAGCCATTGTTCAAAAAGCGCTCGACAACGCCGCGGAAGGGCGCACCACCATCGTCATCGCCCACAAGCTCGCCACGATCCGAAAGGCGCACAACATCGTCGTCATGGCCCACGGCCGGATCGTCGAGCACGGCACCCACGAATCCCTCATCAGCCAAGACGGCACCTACGCGCGCCTCGTCAAAATGCAGAACCTCGCCGTCTCCGAGGAGGCGGCGGGCACCGAGACGGAGGAGGAGGAAGCCAAGGGCGACACCAAGGACGATGGGCATGACCTCGCGCACCCCCTTACTCGCTACGCGACGTCTGTCCGGGGACGTATGGACGCGCAAAAGGACCGCGATGACTTTGATAGCTACAAGGGCCTCGGTATTCTTGCTGCCATTTGGCGGTTGGTGGCCGAGTCGCCGGAGCTGGCCTGGGCCTACGTCGCTCTCCTCGCTGCTTGTGTTTTAGCCACGGGCCTATATCCCGGCCAAGCGATCCTGATGGCCAACGTGATGGACGTCTTTACCCTGACAGGCGATGCCATGGTCGATCGGGGTAGCTTCTTTGCCACAATGTTCATCGTCATGGCGGCCGGTGCCTTTATCGCCTATTTTGCCCTCGGCTGGCTCACCAACACCATCGCGCAGGTATATCAATGCCCTCCCTATCCCCCTCCTTCATTATTATCTCTACTCCCATGGTTTCTTTTGCCGAAGCACACTTTGTGAGACACCGTTTCTTTTCTAACTAGGCGTTACTCCGTAGCAACTCAACCACACTCTCCGTAGGCAGTGCTTTAACGACATGCTCCGCCAGGATCTCCAGTTCTTCGACAGACCCGAAAACAACACTGGTGCATTGGCCAGTCGGGTGGACTCGTACCCGCAGTCCATCCACGAGCTCATGGGGTTCAATATCGGCTTGATAGTCATGGCCGTTCTCAATCTGGTGGCTTGTAGCATTTTGGGGATCGTGCACAGCTGGAAGCTGGGGTTGGTCGTCGTGTGCGCCGGACTGCCTCCTCTGGTAAGCGCCGGGTATTTCAAGATCCGCTCCGACGCGCGCCTCGACCGGACGACGTCGAAGAGGTATTCGACCAGCGCCTCCATCGCGTCAGAGGCCGTGACCGCCATCCGCACAGTTTCGTCCCTTGCCATTGAAGAGTCGGTGCTGGCAAAGTATACGGAAGAGCTTGACCATGCCGTGACAGGCTCCGTCGGCCCGCTCCTTCGTACCATGGTCTTTTTGGCTTTACTCAGTGCATAGAGTACTGGTTCATGGCCCTCGGGTTCTGGTAAGAAATTGTTCCCGCTCCATCCCCGGCTCGCGGCCTGTCAGACAGGCCCCTGCTAATGTATGTCGTCTTTAGGTATGGGTGCCTACTCTTATCACGCAACGACCTTGACATGTACAACTTTTTCGTCACCTTCCTCGCGGTCTTCTTCTCGGGCCAATCATCGTCTCAGCTTTTCCAGTTTTCCACCAGTATGTCAGGCTCTTTTGCTCTCTTTTCTCCTTTGACCCCCTTACTTCAAGCCCGTGACTCTTTGATAAAGGGTAACTTGACCCTCGCGAAACCCCCGCTAAACAGTTTTCTCTCCTTGTTCGTATAGGTATCACAAAGGGAGTCAATTCGGCCAACTACCTGTTTTGGCTCAACCAGCTGCAACCTACGGTCAAAGAGACGCCAGAAAACCAAGACCAGGGACCCGAGAATGGTCACCCCATTCAGCTAGGGGACGTCAGGTTTTCTTACCCTCTGCGGCCCGATGCCACCGTGCTTCGCGGTGTGAATTTGACTGTAAGTTCCCATACGCATGCGGCCCTTGTTCTGTTGGCTCCAGTCCGAGGCACCGTGCTAAAATGGTCTTTTTCGTTGCGGCGCAGGTCAAAAGGGGCAGTTTGTTGGACTCGTCGGAGCCTCTGGTTGCGGCAAATCCACCATCATTGCCATGCTTGAACGATTCTACGACCCGACGACAGGCTCCATCTCCGTATCGTCTATCAACCTTCCCGATATCAACCCCCGACTATACCGGAGAATCGTGGCCCTGATCCAGCAGGAACCGACCCTGTTCCAAGGATCGATCCGTGAAAATATTGCGCTCGGTATGAGCGACTCGGAAACAGACGCCGAGACCGGATCGACCAACGTGCCGGATGCCGCCATCGAGTCGGCGCTACGAGCAGCCAACGCATGGGATTTCGTATCCTCCCTTCCCGAGGGCGTCGCGACGGCGGCGGGACCCAACGGCACGCAGCTCAGCGGCGGGCAGCGGCAGCGCATCGCCATCGCGCGAGCGCTCATCCGCAACCCCAAGGTGCTGTTGCTGGACGAGGCCACGAGCGCGCTGGACTCAGAGAGCGAGAAGATTGTGCAAAACGCGCTCGCGGAGGCGGCCAAGGACGGGGACCGCATCACGTTTGCGGTGGCGCACCGGCTCAGCACGATCAAGGATGCGGATGTGATTTGCGTGTTTTACGGTGGCCGCATCACGGAGATGGGCACGCACGCGGAGTTGGTGGCGCAGGGGGTCTTTATCGAAAGATGTGCGAAGCGCAGGCTCTCGACTAATGGGAAAGGCGGCACAAAAGGAGAGCACGCGAGGCGGGCTACGTTTTGGCTTGTTGGTTAGTACTTCGTATACTTTGGTCACATTTCCCTTGCATTCTTGCTCTCTTATTTTTGCTCGTCCCCCTTCTTTTGGGAGGAGGTTTCGTCTATGCTCCTCCATTCTCTCTCTCCTTCTTGGTGTGTCTTTTTTCGGGTTCTTCTTTGCAAAGTGCATTTGAGCGATGTGCCTTTTCGGTTTATTAGTTGAAGTGGAGATGGATCAAGAGACTGAGTTGTCTAGTGTTTGAGTTTAACTTCGTAATTGTATAAATAGCCAATCAAAATAGAAGTTTTGGAGAAACATATGCTCGAACCTTGTCCGTAAGAAAACGGCACACGGAGCAACTTGTGCCTTCCCCATCCCCCAAGTTGGACGAGTTGACTTATTCATCAATTGATGCATTGCATTATTTGGCCATTCCTTGCTCCAACATCTATCAATGATACCAAGCTAATTTCATCAAAGATGGAATTGAAAAAATTCAGATGGGGCACGAGAACGAAATTTCGGATTAGAGTTTTGCTTCGTTCCTTTCGCCCAAGTCGTCCTCTCGTCCTCTCGTCCCCTTGTCTTCGGTTGCGGGTAGAGGAAAAGAAGTGCGGGCAGGGATCGAGGTGATCAGATGCTGCACGAGGAGGCAACAGGCATCGGAGTGGCGTCGACCTCCCGCACTATTGACACGGGGTGGAACGGAACGGCTTCACGTTGGCTTTCAAGCTTTTTTAAGGTATCTCCGCATGACCTGGAGCTGTGAAAGCGAAGCTATTCTCGACCAATATTTATGGACTTCTTCACTGCTCTGCTAGTATGAGCGTGGGACACTAGCGGGGAAGGAGCGCCATGGAACAAGGCGATTGAAAATGAGGATCAAAATTGCTACAAAAAGAACACAAACGGTGCATGCCAACCCAAAAGTCGCTGCTCAGCTCTGCGTGCGCCAGCTCTGCGTGTGTTCTGGTGTGCAGGCGTGCAGGCGTGATCGATTTGTAGGTGCCAGGCTACGATGACGTCAATCAATGGTGCGTCGAGGGATTCGGGGGTCCCCACAATAGCCCCCACAAAGCCAGCCCCGTCGCCAGGCTTGCAGCACTGGCTTGCAACATTGAAGCTTCAGATGCCAGCAGCGCCTGTTACCCCCTTGCCCCCAATTTGGGTGGGCGGTTGTGGTTGGTCGGGGCAGACCAGGCCACTGACACCCTGCTCCGGACGGCACTCACGGGCAGAGGCCGCACAAAAGCCAAGCCGCACCACGCTTCAAGCCATCCGAGCCAAGCGTCAAGAGGCGGTTCGCGGCCTTGACGAGATTTTGGGGTCTCGGCCGTGAAAATGGTCATGGAACATTATCTCCAGGGGGTAATTGAGAGGCACACCGAGTCATGTATCGCGACTAAATACTGACCGAATATTTATCCTTGCACAGAGATCAACTGCATGAGTTCCAGTGAAGGTTAGGCGGGTTCGGTTCCGGTCCTCGAGACAGCTTCCGCGCAGAACCCAAACCGAGCAGGTGCAGACCAGTGCTCGCAACAAAAGACTCAGCAGTGGGAGGTCCAGTGTCTCTCTCCCATCCTCCGGAAGCAATCATTTCTTTTCTTCAATGGACTGCCATATCCAGCAGCACGATGGGCCCATTCTGGCCAGGGTGCTCCGGTCCGATTGACCTACACCGGACAATCCTGACTGACAATCAAATTAACCTGATATCTGACATCTGATCTACCCTACAGATGCTAGAACCACATGAGGAATGTCTGCTCGACAAACCCCAAATAGGAAAACTAAGCATGACCATTTCATCTGTATTTAGTCTCCTTTGCCAAGCGAGAACCAGGGGAAGGCAAAAAAATAACAGAGAAAAGGAAGAAACAAAGGTAGAAGAAAAAAACATTACTCCCTGCCGTTTCCCCTCCTCCTCGAGCAGAGACTAGATTAATACCAGGATTTCCTGAGCTACGGATCGGTTTAGCGTGGGGTACATGCAGCACAATCGCCCAATGAGCTTTTTCCTCCAACCTTTTCCCTTTGCCATTTCCTCCACTCTTTAGCAAACGCCAAAGGGCAGCCATCGATGGCGCAATCCCTGAGCCTCGAACCGTCATCCCCCAAAGGCCTGGTCTGCTCTGTTTCCCTTTTTCCATCACCAACGAAATTGGAAGCATGGGGGTCACGAGTCGCACAGTTCGTCCTCGCAACCCGCCCAATTGGTATTCTCAACTGAATCCCAAATCCCCGTTCAAGCTTAAACGGCAAGGTGGAGGAGGTCCAGGCGGAGACGCCGCATAGCAAGCTTGCAAGTAGTGGCAGATAAAGATTTGATGGGATGGGGAATATACCGTACCGCATTTTCACCAAGCTCTCGACGATGTCTCTCCTGCCCCCCTTGTGCATGCCATCAAAAAGATCCCTAATATCCTCCACTTCCATATCATCTTCCCCATTTTTTTCCCACACCTCCTCTCTCTCTCTCTCTTCCTCTTCTCGCATTCTCCTCTTTCCCTGCTTTTTCCACCTGCACTCCTCCAGCTCCATCCTCGCTCTGGGAGACTGACCCTCACCCCTCGAGCGTCGTGCGAAGCGTGCAAAGTGTGCAAAGTGTAGAACCTTGTTTTCTCTTCCTCTCTCCCCGCCCCTCTCCCCCTCCCTCCTATCACTTCCCCCAAAAAGCCGCAGGCTCCATCCGGTCTCTGCCGCCTGCTCCGAGAGTCCCTGCATCCATCCTGTTAATCAACTCTCACGGTACCACTCTGCCGGCGTCGACAGGTCGTTTCCGGGCCGGAGTAAACACACACCCACACCCACCACGCAGACTTGTCATCTCCTGTGCTGCGTCCTACCTATTTTTGGGGCCAATTCTCCTGTTCCCCGTTGTCTTTTTCTGTAGATCCTTTCCATCTGCGCGTGTGTACGTCAGCTAGCACACGCCCCGCCCCAAGGCAAACTCTCTCCGACGCGCCGGTACCCTACTTGCCTACCCACCCAGCATGACCGATATCACAAACAAGCATCCTGCGGTCGAAACCGCCTCAGATGATGACTCGTCCTCTGACTTCCGGGCCATCGACCCGCACAGCGGCGTGAAGCGCGGTCTCAAGACCCGCCACTTGAGCATGATGGCCCTTGCCGGTATCATCGGTCCCGGTCTCCTGATCGGCTCCGGCGGTGCCTTGGCGAACGGTGGACCCGCCTCCCTCTTGATCGGTTTCGGTGTCATCGGTATCATTGCCTTTAGGTACGGCCCCACCCCTCTCCTTCCCCTTCGTCAAACAGCCCTGGCCCTCCTCCCCTCCGGGGTCGTCGGCATTCTTCCCTCAAAAGTAACGGAACCGGGCTGTTTCGTGATGAAAGAGAAGAAAAGAAAAAGAAAACACAGGCCCACCATGCCTACATATAACTAAAACTAACCCGGTGATCCCCATGATCAGCATCATGCAGAGTCTCGGAGAATTGACTACCCTGTACCCCAGCGGCGGCGCCTTCACCGGTCTTGCCGACCGCTTCGTCGACAAAGCCTTTGGCGTGGCCGTGGGCTGGAATTACTACATCATTTGGTTCTGCGTCTTGGCCAACGAGTACAATGTCATCTCCAGCATCTTCACCTTTTGGGGTCCCCAGGTTCCCGTTTGGGGCTACTTCCTCATCTTTTGGGTGGGTCTTTTCTTCCGATCGAAGCTCCGCTTTGCCCCCGTTTCCTCCTTGCCAACGAACAAAGCCTGCTAACAGCATACTCCACCGGGACTCTAGTTCGCCTTCCTTGCCTTCCAACTCCTCGGCGTGGAAACGTTTGGCGAGGCCGAGTTCTGGCTCGCTCTCGTCAAGCTGCTTGGTCTCACGGCCTTCTTCATCTTTGCACTCACGTAAGTTCCTCGTCGGTCGGGCCCACGCGCGCGCGCACTCTTTCCCATCCGGCACATGCCGAAGTCTTCCGCAAATCTAACCAATCGGCGCCCTGTATCAGTTACGTAACCGGAGGCATCAAGGGCGTAGATGCCCTAGGCACCTTGTACTGGAGGGAACCCGGCCCGTGGGTGTCGGGATTCCGCGGAGTGGCCACCGTCTTCGTCTTTTGTTCCACCTTTACGCCGGCGTCGAGTCCGTCGCCGTGGCCGCCACCGAGACCAAGAACCCCGCGTCGCCGTGCCCCTCTCCATCCGCCAGGTCCTGTGGCGCATCATCTTCATCTACATGGGATCCGCCCTCTTCTTCGGCCTCACCTGCCCCTCCGACGCCCCCGATCTCGTCAGCGGATCCAGCCGCGCCATCAAGAGCCCCATGACCGTCGCCATCCAAAACGCCGGCTGGGAGGGCGGCGTCCACCTCATCAACGCCTTCATCTTTGTCACCTGCCTGTCCGCCATCAACAGCTCCATCTACATCGGTTCCCGTACCATCCTGTTCATGGCCCAGGACGGCAAGGCGCCCCGTTTCCTCGGCTGGACCAACAAGCGCGGCGTGCCCATCCCCGCCATCGTCTTCACTAACCTCTTCGGCGCCCTCTCCATGATGAACGTCAGCACCGGCGCCGGCAAGGCCTACGGTTACATTGTGAACCTGAGCGGCGTGTCGACCTTCCTCGTCTGGGGCGCCATCTCTTTTACCCACATCCGCTTCCGTCGCGCCTGGATCGCCCAGGGCCACAGCGTCGACGAGCTGCCCTTCAAGGCTCTTTGGTACCCCTGGAACGCCTACTTTGGTCTCGGTGCCAACATTTTCCTCGCCATCGTCCAGGGCTGGTCGACCCTCTCGCCCTTCGACGCCGGAAACTTTGTGGACGCGTACATTCTCCTGCCGCTCTTTGGCGTCATCTACTTTGGCTACAAGTTCATCTTCAAGACCAAGTACTGGAACTTGCACGAGATCGACCTGCAGACCGGCAGACGGCGTGATCTTGACGAGGGCAAGAGGAGCCACGATGAGAACCAGGAGGCGGCCTCTCTTCCCTTCTGGAAGAAGCTGTGGAGGAATTTCTAAAAGGTCGGAGGTACAATGGTATTCTTAGTTGTAGTAGCTGCGTCGTTACCGGCCTAGCCCTTACTTTATATATATTTACCACCATAGCTCATCTAACTCTTTTCCCCTCTTCTCAAATCTCGCTCTACAGATCCAACTTGTCTTGTTGCGTTGGCCAATCCCGAGTCTGGCATACAATAGATCCATACATCAGGTACAGGATATGTCACTTTACCACTATTTGTTTCCGGATCTAGCGAGCGTGACCAAGCGGGTACATTTGTAGATCCCTATACAGCAATAGAATTTGCGTTTGCGCCCCAACTGCCGTGTTCTCCAGTGATTCAGCAAAAGTTGCGTTGTTAGTGCACCTTGGGTTACACAGTATCTAAACCTTGTTCTTCGTCACTATGGGATGGGCCGGCCCCATCAAGGACGTTGAATATATCCACAATGTCGTGCTCGCGGTAGCAGCAGAAAGCCTAGGGGCCAGCGAGGTCAGGTCTGTTTTCCGATTATTGATCGGTCCCAGGGCGCTGCTCCGACGGCGTGATTACTATTCGACGCCCGGCTTTCGGAGCCAAAAATGGCGTGCTAGCGCGACGAGGTTGCATTTTATTCGCCGGCCGCGACACCGGGGAGGAGGGTAGCCCTTGAGCCCCCCTTGTCCCAGTCCCGACTCTCATTGATATTATAAAACTGCGCGCAGCGTAGCGAAATCCCATTGATTACTTATCAGGAATCACGTTTTTTGGCTGCTTGTGGAGCGAGTCTATTATGTCGCTGGCACTATCTCATTTCTGTCTTCCTTGAGGAAGGCGGACCGGAATGTCCCCAAATTAGTAGAGGTCGATGTAATCGCGCTATCGCGTCATCGACTGCTAAACGTCGTGCTCGCTCCTTTTAAGGTCGAGCACGCAATCCGTGTCCCCGCACTCGCCGAGCCAAAGACTATCCGAAGTAAGCCGGTATGGAAGAGTCACGGCTGTCTATCTTAATAGAAAATATGGAACGATCAATGATGGGATCATTAAGGGGTGTTGATCGTCGATAGCCATCGATTATATAAACGGATAGCACGTTCACACTGCTCTTTTAGATCAAGTGTTTTCCATTCTACATCGCGCGCTACCGCAGGTGAAATAACGATTTCTTCGGCTTAGACTACGCTCTCTCCTGACAAAAGGGATTATACATCTGCCGCAGAGGCCCATATCCCTCTAATACTGTCCACCTGCCCACCTGCCCCCTGTCACACCCTCACACCTACCCGCAGTCATGGCTCCCGGAATCCTAGTCGATGACACTTACCCTTCCCCTATCAACCATGTTGTACTGTCCAAGAACGAGGACGCCCCTAGGTCCATCTTTCCAGATGGCATCAGGACCTCGGGCCAACACCCACCTCTCTACGACACACTAAAGCCCTATTCTGAGTTCCCTAAAGAGATCACCGGGCCTACCGTATGGCGCAAGGAGGACTATGAAAACAATCCCGAGAGGTGGACCCGTCCGTTCACCGACCAGGAAGTAGAAGAGCTAGGTCGTGCCGCGGACAATTTTATCAACAGCGGCACGGCCCTTACCGGTATCTCCAAGGTGCGTCTTTGGTTTGCATTCGAGCTATCTCCTCCCTCCCTTGGATACGGCGCCGCGGATAGCTGCCCTTGCCACTTTGTCAATACTTGGTGAATTCTTGACTAACGGTATACTTACAGGCCCTCTTTCCTCTTCCAGTACTCGGCAAAGTCCTCGCCACCTTGAGAGAAGATCTCCTCAATGGTAAGGGCTTCATCCTCTTCAAGCGCTTCCCGCGGATGCTTGGGGCCCTCACAAAACCGCAGTCGCCTACATGGGCCTCGGCACGCACTTGGGCTACTTCCTCTCCCAGAACGGCCGCGGCCACGTCCTCGGCCACGTAAAGGACGTTGGCGACGACCCTACCCAGATCCACAAGGTGCGCATCTACCGCACCACCGCGCGCCAATTCTTCCACACGGACGACGGCGACGTCGTGGGCCTTTGTGCGTCCACCGCGCCGCGGAGGGTGGCGAGAGCGACATCGTGAGCTTCCACAACGTCTGGAACACGCTCGTCCGGGAGAACGCAGACGTTGCCGAGCTCTTGACGAAACCCGTCTGGTACTTTGACAGGAAGGGTGAGGTCTCGACCGGGCAGGAGGAGTGGACCCGCCAGCCCATCGCGTACCTCGAGAACGGCGGCAAGAACCGCGTCTACGTCAAGTGGGATCCGTATTACGTTCGGTCCCTCAAGAGGTTCTCTGACGAGGGCCTGATCCCTGCGCTCAGCCCCGAGCAGGAGCGCGCCGCTCTCATCCTCGAGGAGACTGCCAACAGACTTGCCCTCCACATGGTTCTCGAGGTTGGCGACATCCAGTTCCTCAGCAACGCACACCTCCTCCACGCTAGGACGCAGTACAAAGGTAGGCTCCCGTAACTTTTTGAACTTGGAAAAAGAACATCCAGACTAACCCAAACCTCGCTTCACAGACTTCCCTCCCCGGCTCCGCGCCGCCATCTCCTGCGGCTGTGGCTCTCTACTCCCCAAGGCGAGGGCGGATGGGCGCTCCCCATGCCCGATAGTGCGCAAGCAAAGAGGGGCGGCATCCAGGTGAATGACACGGCTCCGAGTGCCCCACTCGACGCTGAATAAAATGGTGTACGGGAGTGGGCAGGAATGCTGTTGGTGCTGCTAGTGCTGCTGGTGCTGCTGGTGCCGCAACGTTTATGTAGACGACGCTACGACATGTATATAACGGGACATCCTCGGGGTGATCCGAGAATGATATAGTACGAGTTCATGACAACACAATCAATACTTTCATCATAGCCTAGGGTTCCTGCCTTCATGTTTATAACTCGTGACCAAGATAGGGAGCGAAACGCGCCTTCGAAGGCGAAAAGTGAGACAGAACTCACTCGCCCCTTGATGCTTTTTCAGCCCATGGTATGGTGAACCCCCACCACACAAGGCTTCTTGAATCGTTACGGTCCAGTTGAAAGGTAGATATCGTCGTGCATGTCGCAACAAAGTCTGCATAGGATATAATACTGATAAGTCAAGCAAGTTTCTTGACATCGGATCGTTCATAGGATCGTCAGATCCTAAAAGATGATGCGGCTGTGTCCTTAATAAGCAGTCATAGAGCCCGGGATCAACATTGAGCTTTGTTGAATGAGAAATCACATCTCCTCGTCGGCCGAGCCAAGATATTGGTTCGGGTTAGGGCTCAATGAACAACGGTCCCGATGTGTTTTTGGGGAGATATTCTGTTGGTCTACCTTTCCTTATGCATTCTTTTCTCCCTTTCCCTCTCCCTCTCCCTTTGCCGACGAATTTATCTCCTTACTTTCAATTTTATCCCCCACAATAGAGGCACATGGGACTGAGTGATCGGGTGCTCATTGCAGCTTGGGTTCTGGCTGTACGAGTCATGGGAATGAAGCTGCTGCCAAACAAGGGACAAAAGTTCCTCGGGACCGAAAACGGCTCAAAGATCAAGTAAAACCGACCCCGAGCTTCCTCAATTGGTTGATCTCTTCGAGGAGATGGTTACACCCTCTATTCGACCTCGACCCAACAGGAGACAGGCACTGTCCTCTTTCAAGGTTCTTGTGACAAGGGACGTTTCGTCGACTATAATTAGTGGCCGCTGGCGCCACGAATCTGAGACAGGCAGAGATAGAGGAGCGTGCGCAATCTACGGTCACGTGCTTCCACATGTTGCCGTACATTCCACATGTAGTCGTTCGGGGCATGCGACCTGGGGGCCTCCCAACAGATTGAATATTTCGCTCTTCCGGATACGAAGATAAAATGAGACTAAAATCGAAATTGTTGAAAAGAAAAAAAGAACTGAAAAAATAAATAAGTAAATAAATAAATAAATAGAATTGAAAAGGAATATTGAAAATATACCAAGAAGGAAGAACATGAGGGGACGAAGAGATGGGTCCAGTCGAGACAAAAGAAGGCCGACAGCCGCAACTCGGCCTCGAATTGCCTTGTGAGGAACTCCAGCTCCAACTCGAAAGTCTAAGCGATCCCGTCTGTACGAGCCCGAGAGGCCGGATTCGTCGAAGGATGCCGATCGAGGGGGGTACTTTGCTCGTTCAGACGTACGTACCAACAAGTGTAACTTGCTGGCGCAGCCCGTGTTCCATACTCACATACACAGACTCACTCCATCGCTGCTGCGATGAGAGTCTGCAAGATGCACTGCGCCCCGTCAATAGATTGACATGCCAACGTAAACCCTCTAGGAATAGCACTTAAACCCACTTTTAAAGAAGCTTTTTCTTCTGTTTCCGCTCGTAAACGACCCATCCGGATCCCACCTTAGGGCCTTTTCGTAGCCACTAGCGAGGGAGCGAAGCCTCCCTTCCCCCATTCCCGCATTGCTAACCTCAATCAACCGGACTTTTGGTCCCCTTTCGAGTGCCAGATCCGTCGACTAGGACCTGTGTCCAATAGATCCAAAGGCCTCCTGTTCGAACAGAGAGGGTTGCGCGATCGACGGACATTCGGGGTACCAAGACGGGCTGGTTTCCAGCAACAAAAAATGAGCCGAACTTGCAGACCATTTTCAGTTCATACCGTCATTATGAAACTTGCCGTACGATCACCCAGGGTTGTGAGCCCTCCCATTTTTCGCCCTTGGGGAAACGCTGCTCCCTGAAAGGTTTCGTCGCCGAGGAATGACGATAAAGTGATCCGTTGGGAGGGGCGATTCTCTGGACCCCTGTACACCCCCGTCCTGTCGACCACGTTTGAGGTGCTGGGGGTGTGGGGACATGTCGAGCCAATCAAGATCCATCAGCCTGCACGCCGATATTTAACCGGCTCATGTTGGACGGCTCCTTCCTCCTGTGGCGCTAACTGTGCCAACTGGCAGAGAACAGTACAGTGGGGCCTTCACCTGTCGTACTGCCTGTCAAAGGCTGGTCCAGCGCCTGGGGCTCTGGGACTGAACAAATTCATCAACAATTGATCGTGGTCGGCCCGCAGCTGAGGGTGCATTAGACCCCCTCCCTTCGGGCCCATAGCCCATAGCCCATGTCGCTTGCGTTATCTCGTTGTCTCGAGCAACCTTCCCCCATTTAGGTTTTCCCGCTCCGTGATTAAAATCTCTTTTCGGCGGGCTGGATACCCTGAAATCCCTTGATAAATGTCAATATGTATACAATTCCCTCAGTACCGTTCCCTCGTTCTCATCGCTCCAAGTTTTGTTTATTGTGAATGACATCTGCTCCCTCGCGCAAGCTCTATTCTCTCCCTGTCGGGCGAGAAGACGAAACGGGCTTAATCCACCAAAACACAAGTTAGAAACATCACCTTACGATTTCCTTTTTCGAGACGGCCAGTGTACGGCCTGTTCGCTATCACGGACTTGTTGCTCCCTCGGTAAAAACCAGGTTTCTCACGGTGGACGTCTCAAGGTGGAAGGTCTCGACTGCTCGGCCCCCTTCCTCGTTACCCTCTCGGCGCCTACCTGTGACAACAAGTCTCCTCGCCAGAGGGGAAGATCCCCATCCTTGCCCCGTTCACTCCGACATCCTGGCCCTCATCACTCGCCCTCGAACAAACAATTCCGTGCAATTGTCGAATTGAGCCTCTTGGCTCTGACCTGCCAAACGGCTTGACCGGCACAGGTCCCACACATCCCTCTTTCTTCATCCCTTGGCCGTGAAGATCCCCGGGAGAATCGAGCCACAAGAGTAGCCGCACCCTTCGCCATCAAAGCCAAGCCTACCATCCCCTGTCTCCCTCTGTTCCCTGCCCGCCCGATAATACCCCCGATCTCCGCCTCATCCACGGTCTCTCTTCCCAATTTTTCTCGAAACCAACGTCCCCGACCTGCCGCCGTTATTCGAAAGTCCTTGATTGCGCGAACGACTCCCTCTTCACCACCGGCGCCCGGTCGCCAACGACTTCTCCTCCGCCAGCCACTATGGACACTACAACAGATATACTCGCCTCCACGAGCGGCATCTTCGCGAGGAACGGAGTATCCGACCCCAACGCTGCCGAGAGACCGCCCATATTTCGCGTCGTCGGTATCATCTTGGCCGTGTCGTCCGGAGCCTTTATTGGAACATCATTCGTCTTGAAGAAGTTTGGATTGCTCAAGGCCAACGAGAAATACCAGGAAGTCGCGGGTGAAGGCTATGGCTATCTCAAAAACGTTTGGTGGTGGTCCGGCATGACCTCATGATCGTCGGAGAGGTACTCAACTTCGTCGCATACGCCTTCACCGATGCCATCCTCGTCACCCCCTCGGAGCACTCTCCGTCGTCATCGCCACCGTCCTTTCCGCCATTTTCCTCAAGGAGCGGCTCAGTTTGGTCGGAAAAGTCGGCTGCTTTCTTTGCATTGTCGGCTCCGTTGTCATTGTCTTGAATGCGCCGCAGTCCTCGGCCGTGGCCAACATCCAACAAATGCAAAGCTTTGTCATTGCTCCCGGATTCCTCAGTTACGCTGGCGTTATCATTGTGGGATCCACCATCGCCGCCCTCTATGCGGGCCCGAGGTGGGGAAGAAGAACATGCTTGTCTACATCTCGATATGCAGTTGGGTTGGAGGTTTGAGTGTGGTTGCCATTCAGGGTCTTGGCGCGGCTATCATTGCGCAGGCGGGTGGCACGCCCCAATTCAACCAGTGGTTCCTCTATGTCCTCTTGGTGTTCGTCATCGCCACGCTCCTCACCGAAATCATCTACTTGAATGTTAGTCCTCCTCCAACACCACACCCCCTTGACCTCCCTTACCATTTTAACGACGACAATATTGACTAATCTCTTGATAACAGAAAGCCTTGAACCTTTTCAACGCTGCGCTCGTCACCCCCACTTACTACGTTTACTTTACCTCGACCACCATCATCAGCTCCATTGTTCTGTTCCGAGGCTTCAAGGGGACACCGATTCAAATCATCACCATTGTCAATGGTTTCCTTACCATTTGCGCCGGAGTCGTGCTATTGCAGCTCTCCAAGTCCGCCAAGGATGTACCGGACACGGCCGTCTTCAAGGGCGACCTTGATCAAATCCAGACCATCGCCGAGCAAGAGCAGCCCGAGACCGAGCCCAAGGCGGACGCCATCCGCGGCACTGCCGCCATCGTTCGGCGATTATCACAGGCCCGCCAGCAGCGAGAGCTCGAGGAGCTGCGTCGACTTCAAGAGGAAAAGAGGGCGGAACAGCTGGAACCTGTCAACGAGGATGGACCCCTTTACGAGTGGGACGGCTTGCGAAGGAGAAGAACAATCGTGGTCGGCCGCGCGCCTGGCACTGCGTCATCCTACCGGTCTTCGAACCTTGCGGTCCCCTTCTCCGAACCTCAGAGGACCCCGCATCCTCCGCTCGGCATGTCCCACTTCCCTTCTCCCGGCGAGGAACCCGAGCGCGAAATTATCCGCACGCCGAGCATACTCTCCAGCATCGCCGGCACTATTCGTGGCCGCGCGCGCACTACAACTCCCTCCAAGTCAGAATTTCCGTCGGACCTTAAAATGCGAAGCCCAATGCATCCCGTGCCTTTAACCGAGATTGCGGTGCATAACCAAGCACCGGGACAAGGCGGTCTGTATCCGAGGTCCCAGGAGCACACCTATGGTCTCCCGTCTTCCCAGGACTCTCAATACCACGGGGCGGGTGGCATGCTTTCCGTACCCGGTTCCGAAAGTGCTCCAGATCTCTCACCTCGACGCCAATTCTCGTTCCAGAACCTATTCAAGAGGCATCACTCCCACTCACATGCCGGAGACGAAGAGCTAGCGCGGCAACGGCCCACATCATCGGCTCGCGGTTACACCACCATCCAGGCCAAGTCGGCGACGGAAGAAGAGCGGCTCGGCCTCGTCAAGGGCGATTCTCAGGTCACGGTCGCGTTCCCTCCGTTCGTTGAAGAGGAGGAGGAAGGATATTTCGATGAGGAGAAGTCTCGCGCCGCGGCTGGAGGCGCCGCTGAATCCTCTCGGTACGGTCGAGGCATTACAACACCGCCGCGGAGGAAGTGACGGACGAGAGGAAGAGCAGTCAGCCAGACGGGATACGCGTGCACGACAGTATACCAGCAGCAGGAGCGGCAGTGAATCTTCCTCTTCCTCGCAGGCAATGCCGCCATTACCAAAGGAAAGAGCCAGGCCTCCGCGTGGTGGTCAGCCTGGGGCCTTTATCTGATATGGCTATGGCCTGCATGGCGACATCGACATTTCAAAGCATGGCGAAGATGCCTGTATGAATATATAACGACCTGACTTTTTTTTTCTTGTGGGAGAGTGGCTATTTTGCAGGCCCTTAGTTGGGGGTCTCGTGTACACTACCAACGTTTTGTTTTGATGGAAGCGATCATTGGTTTTTCTGTTTCTCGCCTACCTGGAATGCATTGATGTTTTTTTGGACATTGCAATTGGATGAAAAAGGGAGGGGCTCATACTTGGGTAACGGGATCACGACCGCATTCTCTAAGGGAAATGGCTCTTAGGGGGCTTTGCAGGATGGGAATCTGGATTTAGGCTTATAGTCTGGGGAGATGTCTGTTGCTCTTTTTTTTTAAGCCTTCCATTTCAGATAGGCTGTCTGCGGAGAAGGCCCTCTTCATCTGGGATACCGCAGCTTCCATTCATAGAAGATAGCTAGCTTTGAACGAAAATAAAATGATGCGGGCGAGGAGCCCGGATCAGTTCCATTTTCAAAATAACGATGATCATTTCATCTGATGAACCTGTCGCAGCTCTCGCCATCCCAATTGATGTTTCTCGCCACTTCTATGGTCTCCTGGGCAATGGGCATCCGAGACATCTTGATCAAACATGACCAGGTTTACGTTCCACTGTGAGCCTCGACCACTTTATGCTCCCCATTATCGCATGTGGCAAGCATCTCTTGCCGCAATTCCGTTTTTACTTTCTTTCCCAGGCCATCAATTACCTTGCCATCTACCTCGGTACACTACACTCCCTTGTCCCTTTCGTCGCATGGCAACCCCATTCACCACGGGCCCAAGGTGCTACCTCAAAGATTTTGCAATCTTGGATTGGACTTCTCATCCGAGGATTTCCCTCAATCCATTCCGCCATTTCGAAATTTCAAGGTTCCTAGCTAGCTAGTTTATATGTACAGCTGTTTCTGATGGGCGAAGACATGAACGAGTCACTTTCAATTACCATGACCCTGCCATCAGGGGGCGGAGAGATTAGGAGCACTGAGTGCCAGCGTTTCTCAAGTAAAATGCATGCCACATAAAATCTGCTACTAGTCCACCGTTTATTCCCCATTTTCTCGCCCACATACCACTAGTATTTTTATCTTGTTTCCAGACCAAGTTTGCCAGCCCTTGGTCAATTCCAATGAGAAAATTGCTAGCATGAATTCTGCTTCATCAGTGATGTGATGCAGTAGTGACAGCAATGGGGTTACTGAAGAGTCTACATGTAGTGACAGAATAGATTACATGTAGAATCGCGACTTCCCCTATCCACGCGCACTGCACTGAAAGCGCGTGTGAGACCAAGCCAGGTACGAAACGAAAGAGCGATTCGAGCTCCAAAGATCTCCAAGCGGCGCGAAATGTCTCTCTAGCCAATTGGGCAACCGTGTTTCAGCCACTCAAGGCACTCGCACCAGGATTAAGGTGCTGCCGCCCATCATATTCTTTACACGAGCTAAAGAATGCAAGGCAATGGCAAGACACATCCAGCTTGCCAGCCGGTGGAGTGCATGTTTTCGTTGCCAGATCGACACGAACTCGTCTACTATAATCATGCCACTCGGTAGCGGATAGAGACGATGACAGCGCCTCTGGCTTATCAAGGTTACAGCGGGAAGGTCAGGTCAACACATTAGACTCAACTTTTCCGTCCCTCCCGCTCTTTGTCGAGTCCGCTTCGAAGCCACATCAAGACCACATCCACTAACGCCAAACCCCCTCCAGTGCTCTCTCTTCCTCCTTATGGGACTTTGTGAATAGTGAATGAGCGACTGTTGCGGCCAACCTTGCCCACCATCTACAAATGGCCGAGGCGGTCTCAACCCAGCTTGGCATTTTTCCCCTTGGAGATTATTTACTCGTGATCCTCCGAGATAAAATTTCGCTTTCTTGCTAGTGTAATAAAATGGCCTGTACAACTCTATCTCCTTCCAGCTTTCTCTCTAGCACCCATGTCCCGTCTCTGTCTCATCGCCCGACTGCAAGTGAGACTTGCTATGTAGAACGGATCCCACTTCTGGTTCCGCAAAGATTTTGACTTTTAGAGACCTCGTAATCTTCACGTCTTGGAAGGTGCTTTGGAATTGCACGTCCCCGTGTAATATACTATCCGATGGTTCCTGATCTAAACGCGGGACTACGTTCCACATGGAGCTGTTCCGATATGATGTCCTAGAGCCCCGACAACCGTACCTCCTTCCCAACAACCCCTTTCCCTAGCTTGCCTAGCTACAGATCGACCCTTCTTCCAGGAAATCAGGAAGAGAACAACATCCAGTGCCCCTCGGGAAGAGGAAACAGCAAGTGACCGTGCTGTTTGTATACGAGGAAGCAACGCCATAAACACCCCTCTATTCCTATCCCAGGGAAGGAAGTCACGCCGGGCCCCGTTCCTACCAAACCTTCCGTTGTTCTATCGTGCAAAGTTGCTTTCACGAGCTTTTGTTTTCTTGAGCTTAGCCCCTCTCCCCTTCATTCCCCCTCTGCAGCATTCAAAAACCGGCACCATCATACGTATATCATCCCTCTCATACTCTCCCATTTGAACTTCATGACGTGGTAGACCGTTCTCAGGCAGCATTTCTATATCCACTCTCCCTCGGATTATCTTCTACTCCCAGCAACATATTCTTTGCATTGGCCTCAGATACTGCCCACAGTCGCTTCTGCAAAACGGCATCATTAACCCTTGACAACACCAGTGTGCCTTGACGTCTCGTTGTATAGACGTTGAAACCTCCAACCGTCACAATGTTGCGCTTTCGCGCTGCCGCGACTGCTCTGGCCCTAGCAAGCACAGTCGCCGGGAAGCTGCCATCCGTGAACGCCGTTTCTACCGAAGCCAGTCTTGAGCTGCCTAAACGAGACGCAGGGTGGTCCTGTGGCCCTGGAGTTGGCACTTGCGGCGAGGGTTTGTGTTGTTCTGTTGAGGTATAGTGGTGCCGTGAAACACGAAAGACGTCCCTTCTCGCTAACGTAGGTGCATTGACAGGGGGTATGTGGTACTGGAGGCGAATTCTGTACTGCCCCAGGCTGCCAGCTAGCACACGGCCCTGCCTGTGACGGAAACTTGACTCCAGACGGCCCTGATACCTCGAGCTTATCGCGGACCAAGTTTGGAAAAGTGCCATATGGTGTCAATGTTGACAAGTGCACGACACCGGGGACCATGGCCCTCAGCTTCGATGATGGCCCTTATCACTATACCACCGAGCTCCTCGACCTGCTCAAGGACAACAACGCCGTTGCAACTTTCTACGTCACAGGCATAAATGGGGCCAAAGGCGCCATAAACGACCCTTCGACTGGATACCCCGCCATCCTCCGGAGAATGCTGGCCGAAGGCCACCAGATTGGAAGCCACTCTTGGAGTCATGAGAACATGGAGGCTGTTGGCTCGTGGGAGCGTCATAATCAAATTTTCAAAAACGAGATGGCCCTAGCGGACTTATTCGGCTTCTTTCCTACCTACTATCGTCCCCCATACACGAGTTGCGGGGATGACTGTATGGCAGAGCTCGGTTCTCTCGGATATCACGTCGTAGGTCATGCGAACAAATTTCGTCTCGCGGTGTTAGATTCCTGGCTAATTTTGTTTTCGTGGGCTTTCTTCAGACAAACTATAACCTTGATACCAAGGATTGGCAAGTTGATGGGGGCAAGCCAAGTATAACTTCGAATCCCTTCTTTCTAAAGTCTCGCCCCAATCTTCCGGCGTGATTGCCCTTGCGCATGATATTCACGCCGAGACGGTATACAGCTTAGCACAGTTCATGGTCGACACTGCGCGCGACCAGGGATACAAACTCGTCACAGTTGGCGATTGTCTCGGCGACCCGCCATCGAATTGGTACAGAGACGCCAGCACCGGGGTTCCGTCAGTGACTCCTGATCAACAGTGCGGCTAGTGATTCCTCATCGTCATCTTCTAGTTCCGGGGCCACCTTAGACCGAACAGTCCAGAGCGTGAACCAAGACAAGGCGGTTCAACCTGGCGCCGGCTCTGGTAAAATCACAAAGATACATGCGCCTGGTGGACCTGGGGGCGACCGAGCCGCGTCTAACAGCGACCACGACGACGATGATGGTTCGCCCAGAGGCGAAAGCGCAGCAGCGAAGGGCTTCCACGTTCACAGCTGGATCCACATCCTCCCTCTTCTCCCTTCATTAGTGGCGTGCTTCGTGTAATATGCTTGTCGACGAGCATACGAGGTCCTACGCTTCGAAATCAAGGGGTTGTTCCCCTTCATATCTACCTTCCTTTCCGGCATTCATTTTTGAAAGTTTCCTACTAGCTCTCTTTGTAATATTCTATTTCATCGCATACGATCAGCGGACGCATGTTGGGTTCTGAGGCGTTTGGGCAAAATTTGGCTTGGTCCGGTCTTGTTTCCCCGGTGGATAACACAAAGGTGCCTTCAAAAGATTTGAAGTCTCTTCTCCCGCCAGGAGTTTGAAAGTCAAAGGCGGATAAGGGTGGGAAAGACGACTCCAAACATTTATTTGACTAAGCGAGGCGTCACTAAAAGGCGCGACGCCCAGAGATAGCGAGTAGACTGAGGCCAATGGAGAGATACAATATCCCCTTCCACCTGTCCATGCGACGGCTCCAGATATTTCCAGGTTCCAATTTTGTGCATGTTTTAACACGTCCAAGGATAGCTCAGTACTCTGAATAGTTCTGTCAGGTGAGTGCCCCGGCTAACCGGCAGAGACCTCTGCATCCCAGGCTCCTAGAGGAGATGGGTGTGTAATCCATCCGGTTGTCAGACCAGCCTCGTTTTTAAAGGGTGCAAGCTCATCCTAATCCAAGGAATAGCGGACACCATCACCTCTAACCTCCGAGATCCTGGTAGTAGAAATCGGGGGCGCGGCGACAGAAACTCCGAGCAAGCAATCATGCCAGTGTCAACGAACGCTGCCATACAATAAACCACTCCCACAGCCCCCACGATCCTTGCACTAGCCCGAAACATAGCCATACGTCTATATCGGACAAATAACGAACGCCAAGTCCCGCACCCACAGAGGTCACGGTCGAATCTAGGTAGGGAGCGGTGCTTCCCGACATACTTTAGGTGCCAGGGCATGAGTGGTTTGCACTGGCCGGCCATTCGAACCAGTATGCGGTTGTTGAGCAGAGTTATGGAAAGTCATTCCCGATTAAACCGTGCTTATCTTGATTGGTTTATTAGACTACTCTTGGTGCTATCGGTTGCCTTTGGTCTTGACGGTATTAGTCTCCGACCTGCAAGCCGCGTAGACTGATGACCCACCCATTGTTGGGGACTTGCTTTCTTCCCGCCCTGCTAAACCTTGAGTGTCCAGTAATAAGCTTGCTTCGCAGGCTCCTGCCGGATCTCGGTGGCTGGATCAGCAACGAGATCGGATGGGGAACAGGGATGGCGTCCATGATCCGTGATCTGTGTGCATGGGTTCAGGTCATCTCGTACCCCTGTCAAGCCCTCGAGGCAAGAGATGTGCATACGCTAGGCCACTAAATTCCGAAATGGAAGATCCTTGACCATCCGTGGCTGGGTTATCGGCAGTATTTGACGACATCTTGGGCGCGGATAGGAGAATATGCGACGTGTCAGATTTGGGTGTACGAAGTACGCGCTCCTGAGAAATCTCGAGCAAATTATCGTCGGGCTCTCCGCAGGGCACGACGACGCAGTATGGAAGTTATCTGGGCCCATCCGTAGTGACCCCGTTACTCCTTACCTTACCTGGGCCACCGTGGCATGTCTGCGGTGAGCGTAACGGGGCAGTCCGCCAAGAGGTCCCCCGACTCTGGCCAATCATCAGGCAGCTTCGTCAAGCCGGGGTCGACCTATAGCTCGAAGCGACCCAGTTTCAGATGTTTGCTTGCTCTTTGCAGCTGTATCTAAAAGTTCCAAAACATCCAATTATAGCCCAGGCTTTTGTCCCAGCGTCGTTTTCGGCATCGATAAGATGCGCCCTTGGCGTCCAGTGGTGGTGCTAGCATGCCCAAGTCATCCTGTGGCCTGCTTGGTCTGGGTCAGGTGTATTACGAGACTGGTTCCGCCAGCGCGGGTCATTCAAACCTAAAAGGGATATAGACAGGGAGCGTCCCTGGGGAGCAAAGTTAAGTTTGACCAAACTACAACCAGAGCTGGGAGTTGCTGGGATGAATACGTGCTTTGAGCCGACGACGTCTGTCCCGAGAGACCAACATCGGCCCGCGCCCCCTGTGCACTGCATATCTCTTTGATCTCCGTCTTTCTCTGTCTCTCGTTCACTCTGTCTTTATCTCTCTCCCCCATTCAGAGCCTGCTCCGGGAAATGGCGTAGCATGACGGAGCCCGATCCCTTCCGCGGCAGTCCGGGATGGATCCAAGGAGAGGCACCACGTACCCCATGACATACATTTTGGGCATAGTGATAGCTACCGCGGCCTGATGAAGACCCCCATCCTCTTTTTTATCTCAACTTTGACAAGTTGAATACGGTTAGTCCCGCTAATACAGGGTTACTTTGGAATAGCCGAGACCCTTGGGGGTATGACACGTTGCCCTCCCCTGCTGAGGGCGGAGAGGTGTTTGGCCCCCGGTCGGCCACCGTGGAGTATGGTCAGGCCATGAGTGCCCAGGGTTCCTGCTCCTAGTTGCCAACTGTAATCCATTTACGGATTATCACGGCCGAAGCAAAGGTGGGGGAGAAGGTTCAGAGTTGTGCAGGGAGACGCAATGTGTTACCCAGCCGTCCCCTCCTTCATCCGCTAGTCTTCAATGTGCAACCTCTACAAGTTTGGTTTGTAAGTCGGATCTATATAAGGCTTGTACGTTCCTGAACTAGTTCCTTGGCTTGCTTCTCATCTTCTCATCACGGGAGAAAAGACACACAAGTTCGCAACGCGGACACAGTAAAAAGGGGGCTCGCCAGACCTACTTCTTCACTCCTTAACCCACAATCTTTTGTCTTTTGTGACTCTCCTACTCTCTCATATATTCCCTCAAGTCAAACATACAATGACCAACCCACCTGCCCCTCTTCCTGAGAGCCCTGCCCTCCCTCCCTCACACTGGCAGGCTCGATGCCACCCCCTTGAGCCCGAGGTGTCGAGAAACGTCCATAACTACTTTTAGCAGGCTGGAAGTTTCGGAGCGAGAAGGCTCGTGTCATGTTTCCTCTCCAGGGGCTTGCGACGTGGCATTGTTACGCCTACCCCAAGTCGAGAGATGACCGTATAGAGCCCGGGGCCATCCTCACCACCCTTCTCTTCCTTGTGGATGGTATGTCGTCAGATTGTCGCCCCCAACAGACCCGCCGATATAGAAACCTGGGCAATAAGTGCCCACATGTTAGAAAACCCAAGCTAACGACAGAATACTTGCGCTGCAAAATTTGATAGATGAGCTGGAGCACATGTCTCTCGAAGAGGGCTCTCGCTTAGTGGAGAGGATCATTTCCATCGTAGGCGGGGATCTGCAACCCGACACCTCCGTCCCAGCTGAGTGGATGACGAAAGAGGTGTGGGACAACCTCGCTGCGATTGACGCCGAACTCACGGAACAGATGAAGGAGCCGGCGTACGTGTTTTGGCGCTCTCAGGTGGCAGCCGAGCGCCTGGCTCCAAAGACGTTGAAGTCATACCTACGCTATCGAGAGGCAGATATCGCATCCGCGTAAGAAGATCCGAAGCCCCGCTACATCCATTATACCAAAAGTCTTTTGGTGCGAAAACATGGGAATCCCAGAGGTATAGATGCTGACACGTTACACATGATACAGATTCCTCTGCGCGATCCAGCGCTTCTCCATGGAGCAGCACATCCCAACCGGCGATCTCTCACGCCTCGCAGCGGTCGAGAAGAATTACAGCGACTACATTACGGTGGTCAATGATATCTGTAGCTACGATAAGGAGGCGCGGACGGCGGAGGAGGGTGAGGCTGAGGGCGCCACCATCTGCTCCTCGGTGCAGGTTCTCGCCGAAGAGACGGGCTTGCTCCCGGAGATGGCTAAGCGCGTGCTCTGGGCCATGTGCCGCGAGTGGGAGACGAACCACGACCGCCTGGTTGTGGAAAGCGCGGTGCCGAACCATGAGGGGCCTGAAGGGCAGGTCTTGATGGAGTATTTGGACGGACTCAAGCTTCAAATCAGCGGAACGGAAGCTTGAGTCTGACGAGCTTCAGGTACAACTACACAGTGGTCTAACAAGAACCTGCATGTCTCTTGGGGAGAAGAAGGGGCCGAAGAAATCTAGTGCTAGTCGAAGTTGAACGTATTGAACCCTCCGCAGGAATGATGCTAAGCCTTGCAACCGCTCACTATTGATCACTCGAATTCGTGGATTCGTTGACTGGACTGGGTATCTTTTGTCAATTGTGCCCTATACTACTCGGTGGAGATCCCACCACTGATGTGATGAACACCCCCAACTTTTCAGGAGTTTTCCCGAATCACGAGCATAGAAGCGCTTGTAAGTCCTATACAGTCATTGTGAAGGCTGTCAAGAGCCGATCTCATCGCAGTCATGCGGTAGTTGTACAAGAATATTTCCCCTCCCTTTCCCCAGCAGTCTCCTGCTCACCCCACAACCATTCTCTCGTGACCACTTGATGCCCTCCTCCCGATCGTTCTCTCTTCTCAGGGGTTGTAGCTGATGACCTGTACATTTCTGGCCGAGTATTCCGTATCTATCCGCTCGTATTAGTCACAGCACAGATGATCATAACCCAGGACCCTCGCAGTGAGGACCCCAGTCACGCATCGAGGAGTACTTCGTCTCGCCTTACCTTGCTCGGGGCCGGGACTTCCGGAACTTCCTTCCATCTGTAGATTGATAATCCTGCAACACCATCCATTGTCAGCCTGATTCCTTGTTGCCCACCATCGACAGCACAAGGTAACGATAGCTCTTCTGGGAAAAGAAAAAAGGAACTCAATCTTACAGATACATAGTCTTGCCAACGTAGTCTCTGCCGACTTGTTCAGCAACAACATTGTCATCCATATAAAACTTGACGGATACATCGCGGCCATTGATATCGCGCGTCTCGCACTTGAAGCTATGGAACTCGTCCGGGTCCGGGTAGGCGACATCGAGGGCCGAGACTTGCGAGCTTGTGTTAAAAGTGTTGAAGGAGATCTTGCCGGTTCCCTTCTATAAACAGAGTTTTGTTTAGCACGTAAAAATGTCTAGAAGGGGGTTGAAAGCTGCTCGCCACCACCGTGGCGTGTTTAACGCACCCATTCAGCCATGTCAATCTCAGGGGCCATCCTCAGTATAGGTGGCCCAAAAGGCCGGCCACGACCCCTTGTACGCCTTCACCTTGAGGTCGGCGATGTAGTCGATTCCGCCACCGGCCTGAACGGCGTAATGCTCCAAGGCGTGGATGGCGCCGCTCAGGTAGCGGATGTCCAGCTTCTTACCACCGTGAGTGGCCTGGGGCTCCCCGTTGACCCTCTGGGCTGTGATTGTGACGGTGCCGTTTTCAAGACGGACCTGGGAGTCGCGCATGCGGGCGGAGCCGTTGTGGTCGCTGCCCCAGGGGTATAGAGGGCCCCAGTACTTGTCAAACTCCTCCTTGGAGTCGAAGCTGGTCACCGGGATCAACACCTTGCCGGACTGGGCAAAGGCGAGCGGCGCCGCTAGGAGGGAGAGGAGGGGTAGGGCGAGGTTCTTCATCGCGTCGGAGCTGGATCGATGCTGTATGAAACTCGATTATTACACGACTTGGGCACCACGCGGGGAAATCTGAGCGCTGCGGTGAGAAGGCAGGAATCGGGGAACGAGGGTAGTGCCAGCAGAGAAGGACGAAGGTGGAAGGGGTTAGCAACCGTTATTATAGGATCGGATAGAAAGCTATCTATTCGGTTCGAGAGTAATAATCGAGATATTGCTGAACCCGCGGCATCCCCGTCCGATGCAGCGGCATGTGGGCAGCACTCGTCTCCGCATCGTCGACCACGGCCAAGGACATTGTCAAACCCATACCAATCGCGCGCACCCCGGCCTTTCTCAATACTATGGGATTGCGGGTGATTTATCTGCAAAACGGGAGATGCGGGGAGGATGAGGAGAATAGCCGGAAATGGCACAAGATGCAAGATGGGCGGAGCGTGGGTTTATTCTTCGTTCCGGGGTTACTAGATTCGGCTACTCATTGCATCCGCTAATGTCTCTGTTTTCTCATTCTCTGTTATATTCGTGTGCTCTTAATCCGCAAATCGCGAGCTTGTTTTATTTATTCTCTTCCTTTTTATGTTCTCACGAGAGTAAGATGTCAGGCGTCTATGATATTGGCTTGGAACAGTGGCGTTGCGTCGATGGCCCTGCATCAAGATGGTTTTAGAGAGGACGACCTTTGTCCTTCTACTTTTCAAATTCAAGTGTCTATTTACAAGAAGAAGCAGCTAGACACACATGTTCAATGGCAAATTCCGATCTCCATCGAGAGCAACCCAGGTTTGCGAGCCTGGGTCAATTAATCGGCGACACAGTCCACCCTAGAGCCCGAACAATGCTCGTCACGCGGGGGCCAGGAGCCCCGCCGACTTGGGTCGGATCCGTCCCATCCTTGACAGAGCAAATCCGGCTCAAAACCCGGGAATCTGGCAGGCATCCGCTTATCCAGATGGAGGGGGATATCACCCGGAAGCACATCCCATTCCCTATCGGGGAGTGGTTTCTCCAAGCACGGCCGGTTGTAGGCTCCGCCAGTGCATGTTTGCATGTCAAGCGTTTGGCAATCTTTTTCCCCTTCAGAAAATCATTTGCCACCATTTGATGGTCATCCAACGTCAGACGAGTATCTAGAGGTTGCAATGGAAAGATACTACGCGAGACTAAATCGCAGTGAATACACGAAGAGCCCTCCCTCCCAACTGGTCGGAGAGCCAGCGGGAGCAAGAAACAAGCTTTCTCGAGTGCTCGGCCTGATTGTCCAATATTACAGCACGGCGGCATGTTGGCATTTCTCTAATTCGGGTTGGAGGCGCAACTCATTGGGCCAGGAAACGAGATAAGGCGGCCGAACACCCGCCCGCGAGCTGGCTCTTTTTGTTGGCAAGCGATGGTTGGGAGGGGGGCATCGGTCGACTCAAACCCGGGCGCTGACGCCAACGCGCATCGACTATTATTGGTCACCACCAATTGATCAATCATTGCCCTCTCGATGGCTCCGAAAGGAGGGCGCGGAGTGGATTAGGCTCGCGCTAAATTTACACGGGCAGGTGGGCAGGTGCAAGAGTGGTGCGTGTGCCTCTCTGATTCGTACGTCTGTTTGGCATATCTCCTGGTCACAGGAAGATGATGAGCAGTGCATCCATCTGCGGCGATGAAGGAAAAGAAACCAGGACAAGACCTTGGCTAGGAGAGGACAAGAATGGCGGATAGCATAAACGAGGGCACCCTTTCACCACGGGGAACCAACTGGCCGGGAACGTAAAGGGTCCCTATATCTGGTAGAACCTAAAACTGTATAATCAAGGGATAATGCAGCGGCCGAGGGCTGGTAGAAAGAGAAAGTAAGGGTTTGCCACAGCGGTTGCAGCTGTCGCTTCGTTCACGAGTCCGTGTTCTAACTGGAAAAATATACATACAAGGAAAAGTGGAGGAACTGGAGAAGAACAAAAGAAGAAAAGAAGAAAATTGTGAATTCTTGGCAGAAGCAAGGCAAGGGAGGATTCACGGACCGTGGATGGAGTTGGCTGAAGAAAGGAAAACAGCACAGCCATCGATGGAGCGAACCCATCTCCCTACAGGGCCGCCCGTCCCCTGCGCAAACATAGTGCAAGGCAAAAGACAGTCGACCATCGTATTAGCGTGATGTGTCGGCCGTATCCCCGTCGAGCCTTTTTGCCTGCGCGTATCACTCCCCGATTGATCTAAGCTGCATGCACGCTCCAAGCCTAGCTGAGGCGGACAAGTTGGCAGAGCTGCAAGCTTGCAGCCAAGCTTTCGACTATCGAGCGACGATCACGAATGGCCCGACTTTTGTTGGAGACGTGGTGAGGGGAAGCAAGCAGAGGCCAAAAATAACACACAATCAGAATTCGCGGTGTGGTGGCAGCCGAGGAGCGTGAGGGGAAAAGAAACCCCAAGCCTTTTCCAGTTTTCCTTCCCCCTTCCCCCTGGCGCTGTCTGACAGGGGTTTTGGTGTGCAGTCTGGGTGCATTGAGGTTGATCAGCACAGCACCATGCCGGACGCCACCATCCAGCTCTTTCCATTCACTGGGCCAAGACTCTTGATGGAAAATGAAATAGAAGAATTCCCATTCGCTACCACGCGCATCGGCCGACATGGGAAATGTGGGGGAAGGGCGGATACGAAATGGTGCACAAAGCCAAGATCGAGTGCCTCAAGAATTGGGACTAACCTCTCGTCTTGGATGCGCAGCACAAGACAGGCCAGGCCCTGGAGCTCCCGCGGTAGCATTGTCCCATTCAGCGTGCTCTGGGTGCGGCTGCCTTGCCGTCTTGACACTCAGTGTCGATGACAAGCGAGAAGCACCGTTCGCGGCCCCTTTCGCGATCAAGCAGAGGCTTACTCACCACCACCACCCCTCATCAGGCACAGACAGCGAAGAGATCAGCTCATTAGTTGGACTGAGTCGATGGATGGATCTGTTGGTGCCCGGCGCAAGGTCCGTCGCTCTGCCGCCTCAGAGGAAGTGAACACTCGGGGCATTCGTCCCGCTCCTTATTTTAGAGCGCCCCTGATGAAGGGATTTTGGCTTTTAACCTTGTTTTGCAAGGTGTGCACGACTTCCCCTTCTTCCCCCTTTTTTTTTTTCTTTTTCTCCATTCTTCGATAACGTGAGCTCGCGATATTGTCTGAAATAGGTATTGAACTGACTAAACCCCCATCAGCACGAGGGCAGCAGGGTCTCAAGGACTGCAGGGTCAGCGCAGTTCTCGGCTCGGCGACACACCGGCCGCCTCTTGGCAGGGCAAGGGCGGGCAAAGCCATTGCCCTCTAATTCCGCACTCTCGTATCTCGCGATGCTCGCCCTCGTCTATTTCTCGACTCTGGATGCCTCGTGTACAAGTAGGAAGAGGTAGAGGGCTCGTCAGAACCGAGGGTGGCTTACCTTGCCTTGTTGGATCCCTCCCCCACCACCACCTTGGGAGTGACGGAACAACAGAACATCGGATGGCCCGGCACGCGCCTCAGACTGATGCTGATGGCCGCAAGGCAATTCCGTTTAATTTCGATAAGGCATCAAATGCCGTCACCCGAACCTTGTAATAGAGCGGTGCTTGGCCCTGAACTCAGATAAAAGGGGATGATATTATAGCATGGGTTGTAAAACTAATCTGTAGCATTCTTCTGAGAATGAGGAGGGCAAGGGCGGGCCTGAAGGAGCCGCCGGGCCCTTTGAACCTCAGGGGCCGAAATGAAGGCCGCGTTTCCACGTCCCCCAAAGGCGCACCACAACTTTCCAACGGCTTTCATGTGTCTTCCATCATCGTGGCTGGTCTAGGTCGGTTCGGGGTCGTTTGGTCAAAACCTCTGGATGTTACCGTCGCACTCCCGCCGCACGGCGATTACGTACGCCGCTCGCCCGCTCTCGACCGTGACGAGCCGCGACGGGCCCTTGCTTCCTTTTTCTTTTCTTTTCTTTTCTTTTCTTTCCTTTTTCTTTCTTTTTTTTCTACCTCTTTTTTCCTTCTGTTCCCCTTACCTCATGTAAGTCTTGTAGAATAACCAGGCCTTCCACATCATCGCGCGTGAGAGGCAAGTGCAAAGGAGGTAGAAGGAAGGAGGAATCGAGGGAGCCAATATGCAGTATTGGCTTGAACCTTCCTCAAGCGCCTCCCGTCACCAGGTGCTTACTTCCCTTTCAATTTGCTGGAAATCATCGTAACCCTTCCACTCTCTAGCCTAACTTGTGCGCATGCCAACCCTTCAAGAGTGACGAAGATAGGCTTTTCTTCTTCTCTAAATGTCTCTAGCAATAGATCCAGAAGTGACCGGTGATAAGGGGAGAACCCCCCTCCCGGCTCCAGTTTTCAACTGCTTTTTCTTCCTTTTGCTACGTGTGTGCTCTGTTCGCGCGTGAACCAAGAGAGAAATGAGTGTTACCACAGGGGCAGATAGAGGAGGGAAAGAAAGAAAAGGCATGGACCATAAAACTCTTCCATGCGCTGCGCTGCAACCCCAGGTACCGGATGGAGTCAGTCGATTCGTCCCACCCATCGACTCGTGCTCCCGACTTATCGAGACGAACGCGTGCTTACGCCAGCACCGCGTGAGTGGCGTCGCTTCGAAGCCTTGAGCGTCAGTCGTGCTCCACGAAGGACCTGCAGTTCCGGGCGCCTTTGGAACCGCGCAGAGACACCCATCCATTAAGGGATCGCACGGTACCAAGGTAGTTGACCATCCATTGATGGATGGAGAGGTGGGATCGAGTCGGAGTGGCCTTGCAGCACCCCAGTCCTAAGCAAGTCGGTCGTCATCAGTGGGATTAAAGTCCATTGATATTGATACAAGTAGGCTATCCATCCACAGTATCCAGCCACTGACTAACGAACCCAGGCGCTGGAAAGGTGGCCCCGCCCATCGCACATACCCTCGAAACAGAGAAATGTCCCGATGGCTACAACAACACCACGAGCGAACATGCGCTCAGTGAAGCTCTGAATGCTTCAACTTTTTGGGTAGCATCCGGCACTAACAAAGGCCCCACTACAAGTGCAGCGGGATCCTCCACGACACAAAGGTGAACTTCTTGAAACTGAGGCCGAAATACCGCTCTGGGCTAGTTATGTCTTCGTCGAGGGATCAAGCCAAGGCCCACAAGTGGTCGATCCTTTGGGCTGGTGAAGGTAGTCAAGGCAGACAGCGAGATGAGACAGCGAGATGGGCTCGGTGGCTCGAGCAGTGTGGTGTTGAACGACGGGTGGTTCATGGCATCATATGGTTCAACAGGCCCCTCCTCCAGTCCAAATCAAGCGCTGCAAATCATCCACCATCGGCCAATTGATGACTCGAGCCTATCGAGCTGCGGCCCCTAGGAGCTAACTCCCTGCCCCGCTCCGAATTGGTAGGTCAGTTCCGATTTGTCGCGTACCGGCGGGCGTGCGGTGAGTCGGTCGACCTAGTCAGCAGCAAGCACTCGATTCTCCCGTCTTCAATGGTCCGTCAGCAGGCAGTTGGCCCAAGCTTTCTATGACATCGATTGGCTCCCACGTTGGCATCCTTTCAGTCTTTTTTCCCAGCCACCATGCCCAACGCCGATGCCAACACGTCCTGGTCGAGATGGGCCGACATGGGCCGTGTATGTGGGTGTGTGTGTGTGTGCCTCTCTCTGTGGTGTGTGCGTGTGTGCGAAAAAGGTTACATCAACTGGCGGCAAAGCAACGACATCGAATACGGGGATCGCCAGTCTCCACAATCCACCTGAGCTGGCGGATTCATGAAGACCTCTCCAACATCCCGGGCCCCGTGTTCGTGCAGACCAAAGTAAAAACAAAAAAGAAAAAAGGATATCTAAAGTGAGGGGGCTGACTCGCCGCCTGCGCTCGACACTCTCTACCCACCATGCAGCTTGGTCGTGACATGTAGCACCCTTTGGTTGCTGAATCTTGAAATCAATCTCGTGCGTTTTTTGCGAATTCATGTTGTTCCTCTCGCCGCCTAGCATGCTACCGCCTTGAGTACCGGCCGGTCCGAGCTCCAAACCGCCCGCCCGCACGGCCCTGGTCCTCCCTATCGCCCATTTATTCATCCCGCCCCTGATCACGGCGGCACTCGGAAGACAGAAGAAGCCCTCAGCGAAATTGGCGAGAAGGTCGCTTTCAATGCGACTCTTGTTACGCGTTCGAAGGAGAAACAATGCCCATGCCCATGCCCATGCCACTCAGACCAGACGCCCGTCGCAGTTCAGGCTCTTTGCTTTGCTTTTGTTGACGAGTCGCCATTGCGCTGTCCAGTCCATCCTCCAGGCAGGCTAGCCAATCCACCGTTATGGGTTTCCTTCCAGCGGGATTGAGGATTATTGATACATGATCCACCGTGGATGCACTACTACAGACAAGCCCTCTTGAGAGTCTGGAACCACAGCACTGGTTTGGAGCTGGTCCTTTTCATCCTTGGCCTTCATCCTTTGCCCATTCAACCATCTGAAATTTCAGAGGTGGCTTGGTCGAAAAGGGTAACCAACCAATCCTGTCGCGTGTCAACCTTCTTTGCTTGCAAATGTTCTTATTTGGACGTATTTCCATGCCCTTTTGCAGAGGGCGGCGCATGCTGACAGACAGCTCCTCGATGGATGGCTCCGTTGTTCTATTTTCGTGCTACCCCCTTCCTCTTCCCTGGTGGTGCCCCATCACCTTAATAGCAGTCATAATCTTTCCCCTTTCTTACCCATACTCGACGATCGACCGGGGTATCCGATCGTTTCGTCCAAAGCTGGTGTAATTTCTCGAAGTGGTGTTTGTTGGTGTGCCGAGTGCCGTTTGGTTTCCACCCAAGTTCTCCCTTCGTTTGTTTCTGGCTCCGCCTCGCATGAGCATTAAGCTGCCCATCGTTCGCTTTCCACCATGATCTCGCTACCAGTCCCCCACACCGACCGAGCCTCTGTGAAGGATGGGGCAGGACCTCGTTATACTTTTTCATATCGATAGGGCCAAATTTCCCGTTGTTCGAGAACCCGGTTCGGGTCTCCCGTACACACGCGCGGTCCTGCCCAACCAAGAGGCCTAATTTCACCTTGTCTGCTGGCTGTGACTCGGTGCTGACTGTAAAGAGGCGATCAAGAGGACGCCTTCATCGTCTACTGCTCACCATAAGCCCCCTTTCACCTTCCAAACTCGAGTGTTGTCGTGCTCCACCACCGCACACATACACTTGGCTCACACGCCACACCCACAAGCTTGCGCGTGCAAGTGGCCAATCTTTGTCCTCTTGTGGGATGGCCAGGCTAGGCATGCATTCACGGCCTCCTCCTGGGGGCGTGTCCAGATCCCCCACATCTATACCTACCTACATTATGCCCGTTCCCTTGCCATCTCCACCGAGTCCCTAAACGCCGCGATACCCTACGCCTGCGGCGTGACCTTTGCACCCTATACCTGTGAACGATGAAGCTTCCATTCCGCATTCCTCGTAGCGTAGCCGCTGTTCCTCACCGCTCACTCATACCCATCCCTGCTGCTGCCTTCCCTTCCCTCCCCCTGGCTCTCGTTTTCCACTTCCTGGCACCCCTTCCGGAGGGAACAGGCGAATCGACCACCCTCTCCTTTTTTGGGTTGGCGAGAGGTGATGTGAATCACTCACACCTGCAGAAAAGCCGGACCTCGCCAGGTCCAAACTAGCATCGTCTTACCGGGTTTCCTTCCAACGTCGCAACGTCATAGCCCACGAGGGGACGAGCTCACCTCATCCCCATCCGCATCGAGGCCATGCCGAGGTCACAAACTATTGATTTCTGCAACCCATTCCCCACGAGGCGCCTCTCGATGCTACCTGTGTGAACATTCTCCCCATCAGACCATCTTTTCCGCCCGAGAGTGAGGCACCTTTTCTCCCCATCGTTAGCCCCGGCGCTCCATCCCGTGCTCTCTCGTCTCGCCGTGCCGTTTCCGTCTTTGCCTCTCTCCCACATCTTCCACTTTTTCCTCTTCCTCCCCAGTACAGGAGGAAAGGGGGCATGTGTAATCGCCTCGCGTTCTGACTGTTGTGGTTACTTCCATCTACCCCTTTTTGGTAATCCTCGTCCCCTGCGAACCCTAGCACCTCCGGAGTGAGGTTTGGTTGATGCTTCCTCAGCAGCACTCGCCGTGACCATCTTCGTCACAAGGTTGCGGGTGAGGCTGTGGAGACTCCTCCGTGCCCCGGAATTTGGCACAAAGTGCCTCGCAGCACCAATACGAGCATCCTTGCCCTTCATATGTGCCTTGCAGGTCGGTTTACCTGGACCCCTTCATGACATATAAGAAGTCTGGCAGCCCCCGCCTTCAGTCCTATCTCGATCTATCTCAGCATCCAGTCCGATCCAGTCTAATCTGGCCACCTCCTTCGTTTCTTTCATTCGTTTCTTTTCTTTTCTTTCCGGACCTTCGTTTCTCCCCGTCCCCTCCCCTTTCTTCCATTCTTTAGATTAAGCCGTAACCCCCGCCCGCCTCCGCCATGAGGCCCATTGCCCTCTTCCAAGCCGTCGGCCTCTTCTTGGGGCTGACCAATGCCGCTCCGTCGGCTGACGTCTCCGTCGCTTCCCGCGACCTATTCAAGCGTGCTCCCACCTGCAACACGCCTTCTAACAGGGCCTGCTGGTCCAACGGCTTCGATATCAACACCGATTACGAGAGCAGCATCCCCAACACCGGCAACACTCGTCGTGTAAGTCAACCTTTCTTTGGCATTACAGCCAGGCAAGCCCACGCTTTTGTCACTGTCGACTAACCCCCTTCGCCCTTCTAGTATATTCTCGATGTCACTCAGACCGAGAACTGGGTTGGTGGCGATGGCCAGGTGAAGAAGTTGGCCATGTTGTTCAATGGTAAGCGGTCACCATGGCTTGATATCCCTCGGCCTTTGTTCTTTACTTGGCTCCTCGGACCAGTGCCTAACCGGTAGTCTTTTCGAATAGGAACTTTCCCCGGCCCCACCATTCGAGCTGGTAAGTCTTCTTCAACCCATGTCTAGGAAAAGCGAGGAGGGGAGCGCTAACAGAAAATGCAGACTGGGGTGATTGGATCGAAGTGACTGTGCGCAACAAGCTCTCCTGCGACGGGTAAGTCGAGTGGAAACCTATCTCTCATGCAGGCAACGCGGGTCTAGGTTACTTCTGTTTCTAACTCTGATTAGCACCTCGGTCCACTGGCACGGAATCCGCATGCAGAGGAACTCCGTCAACGATGGTGCCAACGGTGTCACCGAATGCCCCATTGCTCCCGGCACCAGCAGGACTTACCGCTTCCGCGCGGAGCAGTATGGAACCGGATGGTAAGCAACATCTGGCCCGATCACAGAGAGGGAGGCTAACGTTCTTCTCCAAGGTACCACTCCCACTACTCGTCCCAGTATGCCAATGGTCTTCTCGGCACCGTCGTCATTGACGGACCCGCTTCTCTCCCCTACGAGGAGGATCTCGGCGTCTTCCCCATCAGCGATTGGTACTACGGCGACGCCGAAGAGATGGGCAAGGCCTTGATTCCTCCCCCGGCGCCGCTCCTGCCGCCGACAACGTCCTGTTCAACGGAACCCACGTCTCCTCCGCCGGCACCGGCGACTACGCCCGCGTGAAGCTAAAGGTCGGAAAGCGCCACCGTCTCCGACTCATCAACCCTTCCGTCGACATCTCGTACACCGTGTCCCTGGTCAACCATGACATGACCGTCATCGCGACCGATTTCGTGCCCGTCAACGCCTTCACTGCGCCGTCCGTCCTCCTGACCCCTGGACAGCGTCTCGACGTTACCATTGACGCGTCCAAGACCCCCGGCAACTACTGGTTCAACGTGACCTTTTCCTCGAGCCCCTGCGGAAGCTCCCGGTTCGCCAAGCCCGCGGCCATTTTCCAGTACGATAGCGTCGCGGCCGGTATTCCCACGATCCAAGGATCCGCGCCTACGGATACGCTCTGCCAGGATAACAACAACTTTAGCCCGGTTGTCAGGCGTACCGTTCCTTCTTCCGCCTTCAAGGTCAACGAGACCAACACCATCGGAGTCGAGCTCGTCCAGAAGGCCTGGCAAAATGTCCCTAACCGTGTGTACTGGAACGTCCACGGTCATGACATGAACGTCACATGGGAGAACCCCACGCTCGAGTATGTTGCCAACAAAGACTTGACCTTCCCCGAGAGGTACAATATCCACACTGTCGACAAGAAGAATGGCGATGTAAGTCAAACACTCTCCCGCTCCCGCCCCCTCGCCCTCGTCCCCTGTTGTACAAAAATTTCTTTCGTGCTAACGATCACATCTACAGTGGGCTTTCTGGCTCATCGAGAACACCAGTGTTCTTCCCCACCCCATGCATCTTCACGTAAGTATCACATTATCGCACCCACCTTGAGGATCTTCCTCATCCGGCCAAGGCGCCAAAGCTGACTCGGTCGTTCAGGGCCATGACTTCTACGTGCTCGGCCATTCCACGCCCCCGCGAACCCCTTCACCGCCCCGATGACCAACTTCAACGCCGCGACCGACATGGGAAGGCTCAACTTCAACAACCCCACGCGCCGAGACACGACCGTGATGCCCGCCAAGGGTTGGCTCGCCCTCGCCTTCCGCGTCGATAACCCCGGCGCGTGGCTCTTCCACTGCCACATTGCCTGGCACGCCGGCCAGGGTCTCAGCATGCAGTTCCTCGAGACCGTCTCCGAGATTCCCGGCACGGTCAACCTCGCTGAGCTCGAGCCTACCTGCAGCATCTGGACCCAATACTACGCCACCTCTCAGTGCAAGCAGTGGGATTCCGGTCTCTAAGGGATTACAACGCTTTGCAACAGGCTGGCGTAGAACGGGGTCATGGCCCGTCGACAGAGCGAGCGTGATTGCCTCCCATCCTTGATGATGTTGTTTTTCTCTCTTTTCATCCACCTTTTCAACTCCTTTCGTTCTCTCTCCCGCCTTTCTTCCCTTCGTTTGCGGGTCGAGGATTTTGGTCTTCTTCTCGACATTCCTTCTGACCTCTTATTGAGGTGCCTTATTTTTCTTCTTCTTCTTTCTCTTCCGCTTCTTCTTCTTCTTCCTTTATTTACAATTTTCTACTTGAGGAGCCGGACCACGTTTCGTTAGCTTCAGCCTTTTCTTCTTCAGTTTGGCTAAAGAGAACTTTTCCAAGTGGTCGCCAGGCGGGTTTGGTGCGGAGCTATGAGGTGGTGATTTGGAGCAACAAGCTCCACTCCTTCAATTCTTCTGCATTCTCTGGCTTTTTTTCTCTTCTTTTGGGCCTTGTCCCTTCTTTCTCAAGGGATGGACCTTTTTCCCCTAGCTTCTTTTCTTCTTCTGTCGAAGCTAGAACTTGATCATGGCCTTCTTTTTGGCTGGATTGGTGACTGGGATCGGGGCTGGATCAAGGCACGACAGCCTGTCTGACAATCACGTAGTGGTACAGAAGGAAATAATACATCCTCCTCTCTTATGCAACAAAGTTATAGTTATAACATGATTCTTGTGAAAGAAAGTGTGGCGTAGATGCTTGTAGATTGGCAAAGAGCTATCGAATCAAGGGCAACTGCGGGAGAGATTGTGCGCGTTCGTTTCTATTCTATAAGTCGTCTCTTTTTCTTCTTCTTCAGCTGTAGAGCCCATCAGCTTCCGTCTTTGATATGACATGACGCTCATCCGGCCGCATCTCAAAGAGAAGAAGTATTGGCCCGCCTGCTCTTCTGGCGAACCGTTCACCGAAATAATATGAGCAACCCCAGTAAAAAGTGCAGGAGAAGTGTAGTACTGTTTGATTACATATGCCCACCGATTCAATGGACCAAACGGACACGGCTCCCAAGCAGAATAATCTATGGATGCTTCACGATGTTGTATTAGTCATCCAATTGATTGAAGACTGTAAGGAGCAAATCTTTCATGTTGCGCGTTCTCTCCCACGCTGCCTCCTTCCAGATACAAATGATAGTCAGCCACACAATCCCCTACAATACAGGCCATATGAGTTACCGCCATGCGATGGGACCAGCGGTTACAATGAATCTATGCAACTCTTGCTCATGTCAGTTGACGTTCGTTCAGGCGATGATGTTGGGCGTTGAGGAATTTTTGTGGCTGAAACTAGGTGCGGCTTCGTGCAGCCCCCACTGGAAATGGCTTTTTCCCCTGCAGTAGTAACCGCCGCGCGACGCGTCGGCAGTGGACGACTTTCGTCGTCAGCAGCCCACTACGACCCAGTTCCTCTGCTCAAGAATTTTTCTTGTAGAAAGCGGATTCGTGTGTCGATGTCGATAAACCCTACATCTTGAATGGCGCCTTTCTCTTTACTTGTCGGTTAGCCCGGTGGGTGAGAGGGGCGTACGACTCTAAAGTTGCGCGGCCTTAAAGATTCAACCCTTTGACGCGCTCGCTGGCTCCATAGACAAGGCAACGCAGAATATTAGGACTATGCGATTCAAGTTATCTCAGCAAGTAAGCTGAGCAAAGGGGCCTCCCAGTGGGAAAGATAGCCGCCCAGAGCGAAAGGCTATCCTACACTTCGTAAGCTCCGGCATCAGACTGTGGCTGTGCTCCTATTCGCGAATCGTCTACCGAGGGTAGGTACCTCTCTCGATCTTAACTCGCGCTCATGGGGAAGTGCATTTGTGGGTGGCAGCAGAATTAGTACCCAATATGCAACCGGGAAGCCAGGGAGTGCAACGTCGCACGCCAATCTTATGGTAATCGGGACGTCGGGGGCAAAAAGCCCTACCTGGATGACAGTCGACTCTGATATCATCGCTTGAGCGAAGTGAAATCGAAACCTTGGATAACTTGAGACTCTGAGGATCTTGGGAACATCCTTCCCACAAATGGTAAACGGTCCGGTTTTGCGCCAAAGCGACAGCCTGCTGGGCCCGAGACGGTGGGGGCTGGCCCTTCAAGCTTTGATGAGTGGTGCCATCCACACCTGAAGTACAAAAACCCAGGGCCGCTTGCATTGATTGATCATTTGGGCGGGACGGGGTGTATTGTGTGTTATTAGGGGCTGCTTTTCCCATTTCCCAGCGCAGGGCGGCCAGCACCAAGCGGAAGTCCGGGGTCCCAAATTGCCAGGTCCTTGCACAGGAGTGGCTCTTGAGACTCCGACCCATCAGTGTCCCCTTTTCTCGTTGAGTGATTGATTGAATGGAGGCTCAGATGGGTCTGGCGGCCTGTCCGGAAGAATGTGGAAGAAACAGTCGCTTCGAAAAAGCACGCCAATCAACTCGTTGAATCATCCATGTCTTGCTTTGGCAGGCAGCGGGGAGGAGCCCCAGCCAATAAAAGAGAGTCAGGTGGCAAAGGGCCCTCCAACCTTTGATCCATGATGAGAGAGACAAACGTTGGATTGTATTGTGCCGGCGTGAGGTAGTGGAAAGTGTGCTGTGAAGAAGTCTACAACAGTCCCTCCTTGTGCAAGGAGAAGTTGTTGATGGACTCGCAGACGCCTGCGCTAGGTCGAGGGCGCTGGTCTATCTCGGTATTGAGCAAGCGATTTATGTGTTCGGTGATTTAGTTCAGGCTGCGCGGGAAATTGAACCGTTGAAGCGCTCCAGACCCTTCTTCGGATTGATCATTCACGACTGGATACAAGGCGGCTTTTGCTTGGGACTGTGAACGAACGATGAGTGAATTGCGGGATGCGTGGCGGATCCATCAACCGTCGATGTACATCAGAGCCTGTATCCACTGCATTGATACAATCCAAGACCAAAGATGATCGAGGTGGGGGAGGGTTGGTCGCTTCTGGACCGAGCGGCGGTTTTTTGTTTGACGAATCTGGATACGAGGTGTTGACGGTACATCGGGAACAGAAGGTCGTCACCAGAGTGGCAAGTACCGACACCCTCCTCCACTCTTCCATCGTCAACAGTCAACCAAGTCACTCCCCATCCCGCCGACTCTCCCCGTTTTCGTTCAATCCGTGACACCCGACCACTCATTCCATCCTAGTGAATTTCCCGCCTTCTAGACTTCGCTTCCGTTTCATTCACCAATCTTGAAGTTTTCTCTTTCACCCTCTTTTATTATCTTTATTCCCTTTTTTTTTTCGAACCCTCATTTCCTTCGACCCCCTCGCTCTCTCGTTTCGGCACATACCTATCACCAACTGGGTTGTCACGTTCACCTCGACTTATTTTTTTCTGGTTGCCAACCTCACCTCGAAGCGATCTCCCGCTGTATTCTCTCTTTGTCCCGCAAACGTGCCCGTTCCACTGATCCGGTACGGCCATTTACCCTGATCCTTCGCAAAACGCCAGGCCAAAGTTCAGATTGGCTTCTTCTTTCGTTGTTGCAACACATTCTCGAGATCGACGATCGTTTTTACTTTGCGCCCCCCTCGACGCATCTTGACCCTGAAAACAAACTTTCAGGGCGTCGCTTGACAACGACGCTAATCGACCAAAGACTGGGCGGTTCCTGGATTGGATCGAAACTTTGTTGCTGCCAAACCTTGATTGATCGAATCCGTGTCCCTCCACCTTTACACAATGTACTACACCAGGTTATTGAGGGTCCTCCTCGTCACCCTTTCCGTGACGAGCGTCGCGCAGGCCACTTTCCGCAACGATGGCCACAGGCCCAACGGCGCTCTCGTCAAGAGGCAAGGAACGAGTGCTAGCGCCAACGAAGAAACAACGCCGCCCCCTACCACGACGCCTCCGACCCCTACGCCAACCCCGACAACTCCTCCCGATGATGACGGTGACGATGACCCGACCACCAGCACCCCTACCAAGACGGACACGACGACTTCGAAGCCGACGGACACCAAGACTACCACGTCCAAGGATGACCCCAAACCCACCGACACGAATACCTCGGATGACCCCATCACGGAAACGTTTACCGAAATCATCACCACGACTAACTCGAATGGCGAACCTACTTCCTTCACCTCGGAGGGTACCGTGACCAAGACTCCTGGTCTTTCTCAAGGCGGCTCCGGTGGCGCCTCGGGCATGACGAAGGAGACGAGGAACATCGTCATCGGCGTTGTTGTAGGCGTCGGCGGTGCCATCGTCCTCGGTGCCCTCGGCTTCGTTGCCTGAGGATCTGGGGCCGCAAGAAGCAGGCCGAAGAGCACGACGTCCTCATGAGCTATGGCGATAAGCACGACGCAGGTGGTAGCTCCTGGCGGTACCGCTGGTGGCCATGCCCGCAACCCATTCCAGTCTACCCTCGAGACGTATCACGCGCCGACGCATGTCAATGCCTCGTCAAACTTCTAATCTCCCCGGAATGCGGACCCGATTTGAATATTCGGCGACAAAAAGTGTGGTTCGGTTCGCTTTCGCTTTTCCGCCCCTCGTCCGCTCCTTTCCAAAACCTCTGTCAAGCTCGACAAGTCGAGGGAGCAAGTGACCAAGGAAAGGGAATAGCGGACTGATGGACAAAAAGGGGAGGGGAACAAAAGCCCAACGCCTGTCCGCCCAATGATTTTTCTGCTGGGCTGACGATTTTCGAATTTTTGTTTTTTTCTTTTTTGAAAACCATCTGCGCTTTCCACCCGTTAGATACAGGCTATTCGGAGTTTGATGGCTGCGTTCCTCTTTTTCATCTTTTTCTTTTTCTCAAACTACCCACGCCGTTGATAATACTCGTACATTCTTCTCGCGCGCTTCCATTGCTAGTCGCAGATGGATTGGGTGTACCTCGGTATGCTCAAGTTTCCTTTGTCACACCTGTTTTCCATTTTCCTAGGCGTGTCCTATGCCGAACGCCTCATATAACCAAGCTCGTCGCGTTTGCCTTGCTATTCAAGAAACGAACGAGAATCTTGCTTGTCCCCAGCGAAGGCAGGCCTTGATTTGGGCTGCTTTTCCCCACGAAATCCGAACCAGCCTTCATGGTTCCTCTCCCGGACTCGAGGGTATCTTTAGGAGCTGTACAATTTCGGTTACTACTGTTGTCTGCATCTACGCACAGTTTAGAGCATTTTTCTTTTTAATTAATATTACGGCCTTTTCCCGCATTCGCTGCTGTCTGTGCCCTTTTGATTAACCCATTTTTCCCGTTTTGACATTCATCTCCGCCATTCCCAGCCGAGACCGTTCCCACCTCATTAATCGAGTGACTTGGGACAAGATTTCATTTGGGGGCCGCTGCAGTTCGAATCAAGTCTGCGCCAGTGAAATCACGTGATCTACCATGCGGCTGGCAGGGGGTTGTCCAACGGCTGGGGCGGGTGGTCAAGGCTCGCGTCTCAGTGTCGTTTCGGCCTGCATCTGTACAGCGGCCTTCATGGGAGATCCCCGTTTCACCCCGCCTAACTGGGTGCTGGGTCCTCCCGTGAAGTGAGGAGGAGGAGGAGAAGGAGGGAGGGAGCAGTTCATATCTGGGGAGAGGAGAATCCACGACGGAGATGGAATTCATCCAAGCTTCGCTGGTTATCCTCCTCATCGCTCATTGACGAAATTTAGACCGCCGTGATCTTGTTGTTTGATACTATATTTCTGTTTCCGTCTGGCACGCACTCTCAACCCCCACTTCTGTGAACACGAACAACGGGTCCGCCCTCACTCACCACCTCGACTAGACGCCGTTGATTAACTGTCGTCTCCGGACCATATCCGCTCCCGCAGCCACTCACAACGACGAAGCTAGAATACCTCGCCGACGATGTTGACCACCCGAATGAGCATCCTGGCCGCTGTGTCGGTCCTGATTGCTAGCGTAACGGCGATAGATCTGACGGCAGAGCTGAACGCTGGGTGGAGGATGGGTCTTCATCCTAGACAGGCGGCGCAAAATCTTCAGGCCTTTTCTGGCACGCTCGGCGGTGTACAGGCGTCTGCGGTATGCTTCTCGGATTTTGGGGCCTCGTCACGACTTTTTGTTCGAGCATCGAACTAATGGCCGATGTTTAGATTACAAACTCTGGGAACCCGGAACGCCCATTTTCTGTTGACGGCGACACTTTTGTGAGTTGCGACCCGTCTAGCTAATCCGAGTGGGCGCATTAGCAGGAGGCCAGGAAGCGCGGTTGTCCGTCTGGGAGAATCCGAGTCATTGTTTTTGCTAACCAGCCGCCCGTCTTCTCCCTAGAATGACTTCAGGACAGCCGCCGACCGGTCCTGCGATAACCAGAAGAACAACTGTGCCGAGATTGCCAACAGCGGTGGTCCGTTCAAGGTTGGCGATTGTGACAAGCAGAATGGTGAGTGCATTTCGCGCAGGGGGCGAGAGAGCGATCTCCTCTCCTCGTCCGAGGCAAGGAACTCGTTGGATTAACCTTTACTCGTAGAGCAATGCAAAGCTTCCATTTCCACCGCGAGCCGGACGACGTTTGGAGAGCCAGCGCTGGTCAGCTCGAGCGCCGAGTTCGACTTCATCTGCGACATATGACGGATTCGTCAAGTTTTAAAACCGGAGCGAGGCAGAGATGTTCACCGAGGACCGGGGCCGAGGGCGGGACGGAGTTCGTTTTTCTCTTATCGTAGACAGCATCTTAGCTGATGGGCACTTCCCACGGCCGCTTGGGGTCACTTGTGGCTGACCAAGTTTTCTTTTCTATCTTCTCTCCCCTTTTTCCTTCTTGCTTCTCTTTTTACTAATGGATGAACGGACGGGAAGGAGACCGGGTATGGCGTTTAACTTGCTTTCGTGTGGTGCTACTCGAGCTTTTCACTGGTACTGAATTGTATTGCGGATACCTCAGCTATTTTGGTTTGTCGCATGCTCCCGATTTTTCGATGTCCTCCACATGCTGGGACTAGCTTTCTGAATCAAAGTAAAACCTTAAAAACCAAATTCACGTATCAGGGGATGAGGCATGGATGATGAAATGGATCGATTCATTGGGTTTCCCCTGCTTTCAGACCCAATGGCTGTGAGGCAGTTCCCACTTGCCCACCAACGTATTTTCCTTTTCCTCGCCCCTTTTCAGCATAATTTTCAACCAAGCCACGCAAGTGGGAGGGGCCGTGTCTTAGGTGAGGAGACCTCGATCAACGTGTTGCCTGAGGAGGCCAAAAGGGGATGCCGTTTTGGGAAAAGTTGACGAACGGTGATGAGCTATACACTACTGGAACGCTTGTACACGGGGACTCGTGGATCAATGTGTGGACTTTTTGTCAAAAGCCAATTGGGAATAAGTTCTTGATGAACTATTTTTCTCAGGGTCATCTGAATGCAGTGGCGGTCAATCTTCCACGTGTAAGTACATACAGAGCTAACCCAGTCTTGAGAACGTACCGAGCACCGTTCCAGGCCATGATGCACTCCTTCTCATTGAAGCACTCACTCTAGTTGTAGTCTAGTCGTGGGTGCATGAGGCTAGTGCAGCACAGCACCTCTTCGGACTTGGGACCAGCACAGCATTGAGGGTTCTAGCCTGCAAGTATACGGGCTTGACGGGTCATCAGGGGATCCGTTGAGTTCACGCACAAATGAAGATGTACCTTGGTGTACGAGAGAATCGACCACAGTCCGATTCCATTGGCTGTGCGAGATAGGCGACAGGGGAGTGTTTTGTGAAAGGAGCTCTTTGGGCACCGATACTATTAAGTGAGAACCGAGAAGCCTGAGTATTATTTCCTGCCTCAGAAGGCTGACTGTTCCCGTCCGTCATAGCTCATAGCTTCTCCGACATGAACATGCTGCACCGTTATCAATGGTCTCAGGGAATAAGGGCACTGAAGCATTGTTCGGGCCAGGGCCAGGTCAGCGATCATCAGCATGTGGCGTTGTCTACTTTTCGTTGAGCTCATGCTACCACCAGACTGTCTTGGCCGTTCTGCCCAGACTTCGGCCAGACGGCAAGATCAGTCGGTTTCTTTTCCTAGTTTTCCCAGAGAGGACCTACGCTCATACAAAGGCATTTCGTCGTGTAATTAGTTCAATCAATAAAATCGTGCTGCACGGGAAAGGCCCAAGCCGTTAACAAAGTGCGAAATCCAGAATCAATGTACTGTATTACTTCTCCTGATGGTACTTGACTTGATGCTTCTTTTGAACGAGCTTCCGAACCCCGAACTTGCAGCTGCTGGAACTGAGCACTGATGTATCCACGATCAATCTTAATGCCCCCTCTTCAGAGCTCAATGTGCTAGAGTGCTAGGTATTATTACGATGGGGCTTGGGGAACATGGCCGAAAGGATCAATCGACTGCTTTCCTTCCTCATCCTCCGCGCCAAGATTTTGAGCATATCCTCGGCTTGCATGCTGTAGAAGAGGGAGGGTCTTGACTTGCCTGAGCGATTCTTGCCTGCTCCGACTAATAGAAAAAAAAAAAAAGAGAACACGGCGAGAGACGAAGCATCTCGTGGCCGGCGATAGAGAAACTAACCCAGACTTTTGTGCAAGACTGAAGCCAGAAAGGAGTGATACCTGGCCGTCCATGGCTCCTGCCCGAGGTGGCAGCGTGGATTGGCGTGGGTGATCCGTACAAGTAGTACTTCGTAGATGCAGTCCCAACCCCGATCCCGACCCCAACCCCAGCCCCAGCCCAGGGATTTTCATTTGACTAAATGGATTGATCCATCGATGGGTGTAATAACCTGGTGGATCAATGTACTACTTGTGGCAAGTGCACAAAGGTAGGTACCACAGTGCGGGGATTTGCCATGGCACGCCTCAACCCATCGGTCGATACTTGCGCTTCTCCCGAGTACTTCGTACATGTGGTCAACCGTGGCAGCACTGAGCTTGCTAGCTTGCCATAACGGTGGCCTTTGATTGCCTGCGAGCCCCATCCAATTTCTTCTGGACTTTCCCTCTTTGTCGTGTCCCCGGTCGCCCATTTCTCGCGTTGACCCCTTTCCCCCATGCTGCCCGATGCCAACCTCGACCAGTTCATCTTGAGAAATTCTTTCTCTTCCACGATGAGAGTGTTCCTTCCCCAGTCAAATTGACCGCGCGCTTTTTTCTTTTTGCTTCCGGCTTCGTCTGTTTCCTCGTAGCTTCCTCGCTAATAGGCCATTCGCCCAGTTCTTTTTCGCTTCGTTGCTTTCCCTTCTCTTTTCTAATGACCCTTATTTGACGCTCCTTTATAGCCCATTTATTCTTTTTACCACTTAATCCGCAGACTTTCCCGGCCGCCAGCTCCAACCAAACGCCACTCCTAATCTTCCACTTTGCCGGACAACGCGTCGCGCCTAACCCGCCGCCCACCACCCTTTTTCTTCCCTTCCACCACCACCCGCGCCAAACTCCACGTCCTCAAATGGTTTTTGCTGCTGCTGGACGCAAAAGTAAAACCTTTTGGTTCCTCTTTGCGCGGTGGAAAGGTTCAAGGTTTCTCGTGACGCGAGTTGAAGAGACTCAGCTGCAGGCGACTCGACCTTCGTCTGCGCTGATCTCGTCGTGGTGAGTTCCGGCCCCCCGTTTTGTTTGAGGCGAAGGGTAGAAGTCAGGGACTCGATTCGACGTTGTTTTTCTCCCCCAAGGCGAAGCAAGTCGCGCTAGTCTAACCCCTCCCGCCTTGCGCGAGTGTAGGTTCTCGTGAAGACGTCGCCTCAACAGTTGTCTCCGTCCCGTCCTGCAGGGGACGGCGAATCCAGGGCTCAGTCTCCAGAGCAGCCTCATTCCCCTGCCCTCTCGACCACCTCGACGGCCGACTTTGACTTGGACTCTTCTCCCATCCTACCCTCTCTACCCGCCCCCACCCTTTCCAACAGGGCGTTAGAGTTGCTTAGGACCCCCACCCTCCGACGCACCCGAGGATCGTCGCTTTATCACGGCGAGCTGGGGATCCCCTTATCCGCACACCCATCGCGGACACCTTCGAGAAGAAAGTCTGAGTAGCGAGGCTTCCGAGGACTCGCCCATTCACCAACTCGACCTCCACACCCCCTTTCTGCGTCCGCCCCTGAGCTCGCACGAGAGCTTGCGAACCAGACCGAGTACGCTTTTGTCAGCGCTGCCGTCCTTGCCAACCGCGCAAGGCGACCAACTAGGGGCCTCACCGAAGAGTGGATTCGCCAACATACAGCTGCCGACCTTGCGGAAGGCAGACACTGGCTTAGCGACGGTACAGGAGAAAGCGGGCCCTCTTCATTGAGTGGCTCAGTTTCTGGAGAACTTGACTGGCTCGAACCCTACGATCTGCAAACGCCTCGAGCCGTTCCCCACCGATTACACTCGCAACAACACCCTCGGAGACACCCGCGCGGTCGCTCGAGTGTGGAAACTCTTACCCCCGAATCCTTAGCGCGCATGACTGGATCTCCCGTCAGCACACGAAATATGACTACTACCGAGGCCGATCAGGCCCGCGGGCATCCGCGGCCGAGGACGTGCCACCGCCTCCTTTGCCCAAGGACGATCCCGTCCCCGCCACCCCGCCGAGGCCGGCTGCTGGCCTAATGAAGGAGGGCAGGAGTCCCCGATCCCCTGCCAAGTCCAACCTTTTGAGGGCAAAGTCGAGCGAGGCCGCATCACAACTTCGAGCCAAGAAGAAGGTTCCTTGGAAGGGAAAGAATATCCTTGTTCTCCTCCCCCTGATGACCTACGAGGCCAGCCCAACCGCCCTCCCCAGCCTCTGAGGCCGGAAGAGGTGGAACGCATGTTCCGGGATTGGGAGGAGCTCGGCTACGACGTCCATGGCTTTGACCTGAACCAAGACGCGCCAATCAACCCTTGCGAGACTTCGCAGAGCCGGGCATTCTGGCCTGATCACCAAGACATCGAGAGGGCGCATCGCAACCGCGAGTTCACAGTTACCCTCCCCGATCTAAATGGTAAGTAAAATCAATCCTTCCGCACCTCACCTGGGTGTTAATTGTAGGCATGGCGGCTAACGGCTGGTAGCTTGGCGGGACTACGTCAATGAACTGAATGAGGCAAAATTGCGCGCTCTGGGCGTGTCCAGCACCGACGAAGAGGCTGCGCCGCTGCCCTCCATTTCACCGGCCACTTCGAACACGAGCCGCAACCCTTCAAGTCAGCATCCAGGGCAGCCCTTCTCCCCTCCGATCCCTCCTTCATCGGCCTCGAGCAGCCACTTCCCATTCCCAGCGCCGTTTATGCCCGGCGGACGTGGCTCTGCGGTTACGAGTCCCGGCATACCATCCACCGCCTCGCCCGTGTCGTTTGGGGCAATTCCCGGAAAATACAACCCCCGCCAGTCCATTTCCATTCCCGCTGGCGCATCGCCTTTCAATTTCCTCCGCAGCCTTCGCCGCAGAGCTGGTCTCAACAGTCTCTCCTCATGCAGGCCGTTAACCGTGGTGATTCACCTTCCTTGAGCATGACAGGCCTCATCTCCCCGTCCTCGCCGTTCCAAATCAGCGGCAGCCCCGCCTTCAACACGCACCAGAGGCACCAATCTTTGCAGTATCCGTTGTTGCCGCATCAGCAGGTGATGCACTTCCCTGCTCGAGCCACCCCTACTCTTCACGAGCTTAGGGAGGTCGATGAGGAGGGACTGAACAAGAGTCCTTCCAAGACGCCCGAACCTCTCAAGGACAACCAAGACGAGCTTCAAAGGGAGATTGACGAAGCTGAATACCACCTCGAGGAGCAGCTGCGTAACGAGCTAGAGCACGAAGATTACAGCCCGCACAACCAAGACAACCGCGTGGACACGGGCAACGCCTACGGGTCGTCTCACGGGCGACACCAGTCGGTCCAATTTGCTCTCCCCGAACAAGTCGTCGGCAACACCGGACCTGACCCTGTCCTGCATCATCCCCGGCCCCATAGCAGAGGACACTCCCTCTCTCATAATTTCTTTATGCGCCACGACGAGCCCCAGAGTGGCAGCGCCGAGAACGCTTTCGCTCGGTTTAACGCCCCGGTTGAGCCCAACCCTCATGCGGTCGAGGAGGCATACGAGATCGAAACAAACCCCAGCAACCTCGGCACGCCTGTTCAGGACTTTGACTTTGCAAGCGTCCTCCAGCAGAAGGCGCACCAGCGTAACTTCTCTACCACGAGTAACCCTTGGAACGACTCTGCCTCTGTAACGAGTCACAACGGTACCCGCCGTCTAAGCCATACCAGTAAGCCGTCAATTTCGAAGCTCAATGTCGAGGCCCCCGAGTTCAAATTCAACCCCGAAAACTCGTTCCAACCTACCGGTGAATTCGTCTTCGGAGGAAACGCCTTCCAGCCTCAGCCGACTTTGCTGCAGATGAATCCTCTCTTCCAGGCTGCTGCCCCTTGTCAGCTACCTCGAGCCAGTTTAGTATGTCGACAACGTCCAAGATCAATGCCAATGCCCCCGTTTTCTCTCCGGGTCGAAGTGAATTTAGCTTCTCCGCCTCTGGCCCCAAGTTCCGACCGGATGCACCAGCCTTTACTCCCTTTGGCAGCAGCACCTTCTCCGACACCGTAACCAGCCCCCGCTCTGGATCGGAGAGTGTGGGCAAGCGAACCAGCTCCATCTTTGGCAACATCGAAATCCCCGCCGCTGATATCATCAAGCCGGCCAAGAAATCAAGGCTGTGCCAATTGTGCGGCCCTCGAGTAGCCAGTCGCAGCGGTCGTCATCCCCGATGGCGTGCAAGAGGATGCGGATGGGCGCCTCGTAGATAACTCTCGTGCCAAGAGAGCTCGCGCTGCAGACGCTGGTGATGGCGATTCGGTACCTCTATTTGCCGACCCGACCAGCTTCCAGGAACATGTCGCTTCCCCGACCAGCGAAGGCCAACAGCTTCCCTCCGATAATAGGTCTGGTGATGAAGGTACTGGACTTGCCGATACCTCGATGTCTTCCATGTTTACAGCGGAGGCAAATGACGCCAAGCCTACTGCTGCTACCTCGGCAGTTGCGAGCCCGTCCGAGACCTCCCCTTACTGGGGGTCCTTCGAATTCGAGAACAGGGCCGATATCCAGAACTTCAACAATGCATTGCCGCCTGGCGAGCGCCCGCCATCGTTCAGGGGCCACAAGAAATCTCTTTCTGCTACCGCGAAACCTTTTACGCCCGGAGGCTTTGGCTATAGAGATATCGTGAGTGATGGGGAGGCTGATGAACCAGCTCTGATGACCGATGAGGAAATTGTGGGTGAAGAGACCCCCTTGCGAGCCATCAAGAGCCTAAGCTCCCCGTGGAGCCTACCGAAGAGGCTGAGGACATCTCGCAAGTGGAGGAGGTTGACACTCAGGAAGAGCCCGTCGCCGCCGAGAGCGACGAGGAGCTTGCGGTGGAGAGCGAGGGCGAGCCAGCTGATGCCACGCCCATTCGACAGCCGACCCCGCCCCTCTCCTTCATCGGGTACCCCATGGTCTTGCCGCTTCTCGATACGCTTCGCCGCCACCTAAACCCAGAGGTCTTGCCGCCTCTCGGTTTGCCACTGCTTCGCCCGAGCCCCAAGTGGAAGAGATTCTGTCCCCAGAGTCTGTCCACGCGAATGACTCGGATCGCGCATTGTCTGTGGCCCGTTCGCCCTCGCCACTATCAGCCCTCTCTGCAGAGGAGGATGTAGATGCGGAGCACTTCAATGTGGAGCCCCTACCTGCTGAAGAAGATAACTTCATTGACGAAATTCCGTATGAAGCAGAGCCTTTGGATGCGACCACCGATGCCTCTGCACTTGTTGAAGAGACTGGAGAAGCGGCCGAGGTGCCTAGTCTTTCCTTCGAGGAGATCGATGCTGTCATGCGTCATATCAACGACCATGACCCCACCAAGGGGGTCAACAGAATACAAGATGGATCACCTCAGTGGCATCAGCCGAGCCCGACTCGCCAGATTCCGCTCAACATCGTCAATGCCGAGTCTCCCTTGCATCTGCCTCCCAGCCAGCACTTCCGTAGCGACGCGCCAAGCCCTAGCCCTCGCCGCTACCACGCTCTCCCTGGCGAAGTTGTCCATCCCCAGATGACGACGGAGCTGGATGACCCGTTCGTCGATGGCCCAGGAAGCATCCAGTCCTTTGAAGGTGCGGTGCAGCGTCTTGGCGGTAGCCACACCCTTCCAGCTAGCGACTGGGACCAAGACTTTAGCGATGCTGAGCACGAGAAGCTCGAGGGGCGAGTCCAGTTCTTCGATGGCCGCGTCAACGATGTGGTTAGCAACATCTTGGCCTCCCGTCTCGATCCCGTCGAGAGGTCTCTGGAGTCTATCCAGCAATTGCTTCTCGATTCTGCTACCCGCCGCGGTACCTCATCTCGCCGCGAGCGTCGTAGCGTGTCCCAGGAAAGTGATGCAGACGATGAGGATGATGAGGAGCCTGCCCCTCGCCGTTCCATGAGCCCTCAGCGCAGCCGCCGTAACGACCAAATCCGTACTGCCGTTCTTGATGCCCTCGTCTCCCACCAACGTGCCCAGCCTCAACTTACCGTCCCGGATGTCCCCGTTCCTGATAGCTCACAGGTGCTCCAGGCGCTGGAGGACCTCAAGGATCACTTGGGCAGCTCGATGAGGCTCGACTTCCGTGGCGATGATCTTCGCAACATTGTCGAGGAAGCCGTTGAGCGCCGTATGCCTCAGACTCCCCCATTGATACCGACACCAACGCCAAGCTTAGTGAGTTGCAAGCCAAGGTCATTGACCTCGAGCAACGCCTTCATATCGAGCAGGTCAAGGTCGAGAAGGAGGTTGATGACCGCCGTGCCGCTCAGGACCGCGCCGCCGAGCTTAGCCGTACTCTCGAAACCGCCGAGACCAAGCTTGTGGTGGAGATCTCGAACCGGAGTGCCTTTGATCAACGCATCGGCGACCTCGAAGAGAAGCTGCGCACCCAAGAGGAGCAGACCGAAGGTGAACTCAAGGGCCGACGCGCGGCAGAGGATAGGCTCTCTGAGGTCCAGCGCCTCCTCCGCATCTCCACCGAGGAGGAGACGAGGCTACGCGAGACCCTCGATGAAAGGGATCAACGAATCAAGGCCATTGAGCACTCTAGCGGAGAGGCGACGATGCGCCTCGCCCGACTAGAAGCCGCCGAGACGAACTCTACCCAATCCCGTTCCGAACAGACGAACCGGATCAACGTCATGGAAAGCGATCTTCGCAACGTGAAGCAAGAGGCCGCGCATTGGAGGTCGGAAGCAGAGCATGCCGGAGAAAAGGTACGACGCTTGGGCGCCGATCTCGACCAGGCTCTGAACGAGAAGAAGCACCTCCACAAGGTGCTCGACACTCTGGGCACGCAGCTCGAGGAGAACGAGCGTGTTCGCGAAGCCTGGAGGGGCAAGTTCATGTCCATCCAAGAAGATATGGCTAGGGCGGCCGCTCAAATCACCGAAGAGAACGCACGCCGGAGCAAGAAGGAGCAAGCCCTCATTGCTCGCCAAGAAGTACTCGACGCCAAGCTGCAAGCGGAGGCTCGAACTCGGGAGCGATTGGAGACGGAGCTCGAGCGTCTCGAGGGCATCGAGCGTCAAGGCATGCGCGCCGTGAACGAGTCTAAGCGGCTCGAAACAATTCTTGGCGAGCTCCGAAACGAGAACCACCAGCTGCACCAGACTGCCACGCGATACCAACGAGAGTTTGAAGAAGCGCGGGAGTCGGGCGCTAGCGAGGTTCGTCGTGTCCGAGTGGCGATGCAGGCCCAGCTTGACGAGGCCAACAATCACGTCAACATGGTGAGGGAGGATCTTGAGGAGCAGATCTCAAAGCTCAGGGGTGAACTTGACCACACCCGAATCGACGTTGACTCGGCCAAGGCCCAGAGCGAGATGCTCTTGGAGGAGGCTCACTCCAACAAGACGACCGAGATCCAGACGCTGATGGAGAAGCACCAAAACGAGCTAGAGGATATGCAAACCCGCCATGAACGACAACTTACCAACGCCGTGGACGATGCACAGACGAGGGAAGAGCGCTTGCTAGAGCGCTTGAGCTTGTCGAGCTCGAGGACCGAGCACCTACAGGACCGCATCATCCACCTCGAGGAAAAGCTGGAGATTGCCAAGGAGGCCGCCCGTGCTGCCGCTCAAGCTGCAAAGACGGCGCCTGTAGAGTCCGTCGTCCCGTCATCCCCGTCAACCCGACGCCGGCCCAGCGCACTGCCCGAGAAGATTTCCCCGCAGGCCCTGCGCGAATCAATCATGGTGCTCCAGGAGCAGCTGCAGGAGCGTGAGCAGAGGATCGAGGAGCTGCAGCACACGGTGGATGGCCTTGACCCAGATGCCGAGATCAAGATTACCAAGCGCGACGAAGAAATTATCTGGCTCCGAGAACTCCTTGCAGTAAGGCACGGCGACCTACAGGACATTATCGGCGCCCTCTCGGCTGGTAATTATGATCGCGCTCGCGTCAAGGACGCGGCTATCCGCCTCAAGGCCAACCTCCAAATGGAGGAGCAAGAGCGTGAGCGCGCCATGAATGGCGGGTCATCGGTTAACCTCCCGAGTATCGCGCAGACACTCCGAGAGGCCGCGACCCCCGTGTAGCCCAAGCTGTCGGTCCAATTGCCGCGGCCTGGGGAAGCTGGCGCAAGGCGCAGCCCTCGCTAGGCAGTCTTTCTGGCGTGCTCTCATCACCGGCGTCGGTGAACGGCCGAACTCACACGCCCTCAAAGGTTGGACCCTCGACCCAGGGCAACAACAGCCTCCTGGGTGGCCTCTTGACACCTCCCGCCTCTGGACTCCGTCAGACGCCACCGACGGCGTTCCCATCCGCCCAGCCGGCTGCGTTTAGCACTGGCGGCCGCCGCTATACCGGCCAGCGGAGCGAACACACTAGCCGTGCATCCATTTCGTCCAGGCGGTCAGAAAAGATGCCCGCCGTCGGAACACCCCCGCCACACGGAACGCCCAGAGCCAGTCACTCCTCCAATGATGGAGCGAAGCGGCTACGACTCTGATGCTAACCCTGGCGATTTCGACGACCATGGCTTCTTTGACGACTAAAGGAGACGATTAAACTTACTTGACTGTCTGGTATCAGCCTATGCTATCACAAGCCATGCCCAAGACAAACAAACACATTTTATTTTTCCTTTGTACACCGAAAACTAGAGGAGGACGATCGACCGCAAACGAGGGGTTTTGCCACGGTACCCTTGGTATCTCGTGTGCTTCTTCCCCCTCCCCCAAACAAAATCTACGAAAAAAAAACAAACAAACGCCCATGAAATCAAGGGTCTGAATTCCTCGCTGCCGAAGGCTTGGATTCGGAATGTTGCTGGAAAGACGGGAAACTAGAATGATACCCATTGACTCGCGATGAAGGTGCCGAAAGACTTTTGCGCAGCTACCCAAATTGTCTGACTGTTTCTAGCGCGTTCAAGCTCTTGCTTTTCTTTTCTTTTTTTTTTTGCTCTCCTTGCGTCCTTGGTTGTTGTTTTCTGCATCAAAAGTCGATTACGAGGCAATACCTTTGACCTCTTCTCACTGTTCCATTCTTTCCTCGCACATATGTTGTCTTTGCTTTTTTCTTTCTCCTTTTTTCCTTTGTCCAACTATTATGACGAGACGGCGGCATCGTCAGGTCGCTCGCTCTGAGTGGGCCTGTTCTTCACAATCGTTTTCTTGTCTCCTCATTCACACTCGTTCGCATGCCTGTTTTCCTGCTTGGGGGCTTGATCCCACTCTTTCTTCTAGCTCCATACTTTACCTAGCTCTAATATTCGTGATAAGCTTTTACTTCATATGCTTGCCTTCCTTGCTCTCGTGAAGCTGTGATATGCATGTCTATGGAGAGCCTCTGGATTGGTGGGTTTGACGCCTGATATGAAACTAAAGTCTGCTCCATCAGGCTGCCACGTATTGACTGACGCTTTGACGCGCGGTATTAATAGCAGTGACCAACTGCCCGTGCGGATAAATAGGTGTGGGATGATTGATATCCAGTGTTGGCGCTTCTCGCTCTTCTCAAGTCAACAACTCATCGTATCACGTGACTCCGCCCGTGCCGACGTGTCGCGGACTGACCACCACATTTCTCAGTCGCGTCGTGATGTAGCGCAGTGCCGCCTTATGGTTTCTATTCACTCCCCTGTCCATTCCTCTCTTCTCTTCTCTCTAATTTGACTTCTCCTTCGTTCAATTAGTGCCCCATTATTAAAGGACAGGCCGCTTCCGACCAGCAGGTATATAACGAACCAGGGGACCACCATTCGGAGAGCGGAGCGCGGAAGTAGCCGTCGCAACGAAATCGCCTTTCTTCTTCCGTTTAAGGGAAGGATATATTAGAGCTTGCAGATACACGTAGTCGGGACGGATGCCCTCATGCCATACTCCCTGAGCTGTACAGGCCGGGACGGCTCTAATGGCTGAAAGTAGACCAAGATGGACCTCTTCAGGGTCAGGATCAACTGCATCGACCATTACCAGGCAACGCCAACGCGATACGACCCCCAGCTCCGCAGCGATGTTCGCTCGTCGCAGCTGTCCAAAGGGCCCAGAGTTCCGGTCGTGAGAGTCTTCGGCTCCACAGAGACGGGCCAGAAGGTATGCGCGCACATTCATGGCGCGTTTCCCTACTTGTCGAGTACAACGGCAGTCTTGCGCAGGAAGCAGGTGAGGATTTCCGTCACAGCCCCCGCACGCCCTCTCTGCGTCCCGCCTCCAAATCCATAGCTCGTAGACTTGTACAAGTAGCTAACCGCCGACGTCGTCCCGCTCTTTCTCTGCAGTCGGCGCGTACATGTATCGCCTCCACATGTCCATAGACTATGCACTGGCTGTGAGCTACCGGCGCGACCAGTCGGGAACCAATGCCAAATTTGTAGCCAGGATCAGCTTGGTCAAGGGCGTGCCGTTCTATGGATTCCACGTGGGCTACCACTACTTTCTTAAAATTTACGTCTTCAACCCTGTCGTGATTAGCCGACTATCCGACCTGCTTTTGCAAGGCGTCATCATGAAGCAAAAGTTTCAGCCCTACGAAACGCACCTACAGTATATTTTACAGTTCATGTGCGACTACAACCTCTACGGGTGTGATTACCTCGACGTCTCCAAAGTTCGCTTCAGGGCGCCTGTGCCGCAGTCGGCGGGGAAGGCGGGTCGTCGCCCCAATGGAGCGACCAGACGATTCCAGAGGCAAGCATAACGGACTGCGTGGACCTGCCGCGACTCAGCCACTGCTCCATAGAGATCGACATCTGTGCGCAGGATATCGCCAACCGCAAAGCTGTCAAAGAGAGGAGGCTGCACCACGACTTTGTTGAACGAATCCAGCCCATCGCGCCAGAGATCAAGCTCTTATCAAGCATGGCCGGCCTCTGGCGCGACGAGACGAGGCGCCGAATGCTAAAGCTGCCGGCGCTCGCGCGGAAAACCACGAGCAGTCCCTTCCCTCCCGGTGCCCTAGTCTCCATGTCACCAGGTTCACGGAATCCCCAGTCCCAGGGCTGGATTCATGAGGAAGAGTACAAGAGCCTCCTGCGAGAGCTCATCTCCAATGAGAGATCGGCAGATGAGGACGGCGCCGGCCCCGACTTTGATACTTTTGTCGAGCCCCAACCCGGAGATGAGGAGATTAGAACAGTTCTAGAGTCGGTGACGGATCTGTATCCAGACACCCTTCGAGCAGCCCTTGGGCTCGTGGACACAGCGCAGCAGCCTGCGGAGAATGGCGCAAGCGACGTAGAAGTCAATGCGCAGGAGATTTTGCCCGCCCAGCCAACAGACGAGGATTATTTCCCGCATGACTCGGATGAAGACGTCGCTGCCGAGACCGCCATCACCGCAAGCCAAGAGGCTCGCAACACCGCGACGATGGAGGCTCTAGGACCATTAGATACAATTCCTTTAGGTCTCTGCGCCAGTGCTCTGAGAACGGGCAGGAGGGTTCATATTCCTATCACCGCGAAGCTTCTGGCGGCTGCCCAGGACGGACATTTCATCAGCCAAGAAGACGACGAAGTGTCGGAAACGGATAGTCGGTCCTCTTCGAAGCGGTCGAGGACTCCAGATCCCAGTCAGCCTAACGGAGCCAAACCAGCAAAGCGACCGAGGCTGGAGGACTCGCTTCCCAGGCTTGTGGCGCCCGATGGAAGACCTTTAAGCCTTTCGCAAAAGTCCCAAGCGTCCTCTCGCAGCTCGGGGAAGCGTAGACCGAGCAAGTCACCAATCTCGTCGCAACAGAAAGACAAGGATCAAAGTAATCTCAATTTCCCCATCGTCAAGGATCCCAGCGAGCCTAGCTCCCAAAGCAGCTCCAGCCAGGCAAAGCAGAAACTAGGTGTTCCTTCTGCAGATGTCACCCACACTGCCGGAACAGGTCCTAGTAGCAATACGGAGACTCCCCGAGAGTCCAAGTCGGCCCGGAAGCAGGTTCGCTTCGGCATCGGGTCCAAGGATTTGCTTTCGCCAATCTCCCCAGGCCTCACGACTCCATCTAAATCTGCAGTACCGGCTCTATCGTTTTCTAGAAACAAAGCTGTCGGGCCATCGTCGCCGTCATTGTCATCGTCATCGTCATCCTCGTCCTGGATCTCAGTACTACCTACCTTGCCGCCACCCGCATTTCAAGTTTGCTCGTCGATGAAGGATTTCGGCCTTCCAGATGTAGTGTATCAGGAGCCGTTCTACAGCAACGAAAAGGATGTCCCTGGTCGTCCGATCGAATTCGCCGGTCGAGAGTTCCGTCTTGAGGGCAACACTCTCCCTTATCTTCCCGATTTTAATCTATCAGGGGCCGCTGGTGAGCCCTCCGATGAGGTGGGTGGCCAGGCCCAAATGCCCAATGAGCTCCCTGATGCAAGACGCCGACGAATTTGCACGCAACGGAGCTGGGAGTTTGCGAAACCCCTCCAACCTATGATGAGGTCCGCGAGTGGTGGCAGGAAAGGATACGACGGAAAAAGGAGTGGGAGGCGGAGTCCACCAGCTCCGGGACCGTACCACCGCCAACTCAGCGCCCTCGAGAGCTATCTCAAGTTGATGGGCCGACGCAGAGGAACAAAAACGGGTTCAAGTACTCGCAGAAGAAGAAGTCTACCGGCGTGGTTCATGAGACTCAATACATGAGCACGATGAGCGTGGAGATCCACGTTAACACTAGAGGCAAATTTGTCCCGAACCCGGAAGAGGACGAGGTCCAATGCATCTTCTGGTGCGTCAAGTCTGACGACTCCGGAGAGGACGAGGCCGGATCGTTTCATTCTGGGATAGTGGTTCTCTCAGAGGACGGCTCTACCACGGAAGCCCTGCGCCGTATGACCCATGCGGAAGTCTTAGAGGAGACGACCGAGCTCGATTTGTTCGTGCGGATGATTGGGATTGTGCGAAGCTACGATCCCGATATTATGACAGGATACGAGGTGCACGGAGGATCGTGGGGTTACCTGATTGAAAGAGCCCGTCTCAAGTACGACTATGACCTTTGCGACGAGTTTTCGCGCATGAAGAGCAACTCTCACGGCAGGTTCGGCAGGGAGAATGACCGCTGGGGCTTCAACACCACATCCACGATTCGCGTCACGGGAGGCACATGATCAATGTCTGGAGGGCCATGCGGGGAGAGCTAAACCTGCTCCAGTACACGCCAGAAAACGTGGCGTGGCACCTTCTCCACCGCCGGGTGCCGCATTACCCCTGGAGGGTGCTGACGTCGTGGTACAAGAACGGGCGGCCGCGAGACCTCTTCAAGCTCATCCGACACTACCTCGCCCGTACCAAGATGAACCTCGAGATCCTGGACGCTAACGAGTTGATCCCCGCACCAGCGAACAAGCGCGCGTTCTCGGCGTCGACTTCTTCTCCGTCTTTTCGCGAGGCTCGCAATACAAGGTCGAGTCCATCATGTTTCGAATCGCAAAGCCCGAAAACTACCTGCTCGTTTCCCTAGCCGGAAGCAGGTGGGCGGCCAAAACGCGCTCGAGTGCCTCCCGCTCGTGATGGAGCCTCAGAGTGCGTTCTACACCAACCCCGTACTCGTGCTGGACTTTCAGAGTCTTTACCCGAGCGTCATGATTGCGTACAACTACTGCTACTCTACGTTTCTCGGTCGAATCGTTGATTGGCGGGGACCAGCAAGATGGGATTCACCGAGCTGCACCGCCGGCGCAGGCTCTTGGAGCTGCTCAAAGACCATGTCAATATCGCGCCCAACGGTATGATGTACGCGACAGCCACCATCCGCAAATCACTGCTCGCCAAGATGCTCACCGAGATCCTGGAGACGCGCTTCATGGTCAAGTCGGGCATGAAGCAGGACAAGGGCGACCGGAGGCTCCAGAGGCTCCTGAACAACAGGCAGCTGGCGCTGAAGCTCCTGGCCAACGTCACGTACGGGTACACCTCGGCATCGTACTCGGGCCGGATGCCGTGCGCCGAGATCGCGGATAGCATCGTCCAGACGGGGCGCGAAACGCTCGAGAAGGCCATTGCGTACATCCACTCGAGGGGAGACTGGAACGCCGAAGTGGTGTATGGCGACACCGACAGTCTGTTTGTGTCACTAAAGGGCCGCACAAAGGACCAAGCCTTTGACATTGGCGCCGAGATCGCCCAGGCCATCACGGACATGAACCCACGGCCCATCAAGCTCAAGTTCGAAAAGGTCTACTTCCCCTGCGTGCTCTTGGCGAAGAAGCGGTACGTAGGGTACAAGTACGAGTCCAAAGATCAAGTCGAGCCCGAGTTTGACGCCAAGGGTATCGAGACGGTGCGGCGCGACGGCACCCCGGCCGAGCAAAGGTGGAGGAAAAGGCGCTCAAGATCCTCTTCGAGACGGCGGACCTGAGCCAGGTCAAGGCGTACTACCAATCGCAGTGCGACAAGATTATGCGCGGTGCTGTGTCAGTGCAGGACTTTTGCTTCGCCAAAGAGGTGAAGCTGGGCGGGTACTCGGACAAGGGCCCGCCACCGCCGGGGCCCTCGTCGCAGCTCGGCGCATGCTCCAGGACGCCCGGGCCGAACCGCAATACGGCGAGCGCGTCCCCTACGTCGTCGCCACGGGCGCGCCGGGAGCCCGGCTCATCGACCGCTGCATCGCGCCCGAGGACCTGCTGCAAAACTCGCACGTGACGCTCGACGCCGAGTACTACATTACCAAGAACATCACGCCGCCGCTCGACCGCATCTTCCACCTTGTGGGGCCAGCGCCCGCCAGTGGTACGACGAGATGCCCAAGGTGCGCCGCGTGCGCCGCCTCGACCCCGCCGCGCACCGCAAGACGCTCGAGTCCTACATGTCGTCGGCGTCGTGCGCCGTCTGCGGCGCCAAGACCCGGGCCGCCGACGAGCCCCTCTGCGATCCCTGCCGGTCCAACGTCCCGGCCTCCGTGGGCGCGCTCAGGACCAGGCTGGCCAGGCTGGAGAGGAGCGTGGTGGACGTGGATTCGGTGTGCAGGTCTTGCGCCGGACTGGGCCCCTCGAGGAGGTGCTGTGCGATAGCAAGGACTGCCCGGTGTACTATACGCGGGTGAAGGAAGGCGTGAAGCTGAGATCGGAGCAGGCCACCGTGAATCCTATTATTGAAAAGTTGCTAGACACTCCTTCTCGACTAGAGTGGTAACTGATGACGAACCCCAACCCCCTAAACAACAACAACGGCGTCTATAAGTTCCCGATACCCAATTCCGCAACGGCCTTGTTCTTCTTTATTCTTCTTTATTATCCCCTAGTCCTGCAAAGTACGGTGCCAGGATGGTACGCATGATAGGCCGAGCGTCCTTTTGGTACCCTCGACAGCATGGGACCATGGGCGCTCGGAAGGTTGGAAGCTTGTGATGGCGTGGATGTAGCAGAGGAAATCGGTCACTTGCTGCAGGAAAACGTTGGAGAAACGAACTGATTGGGAACTATGATCTGAGGAAGTTGTACGGAATGGATGGCTGCAAAGGCAGACATTTCTTATGCTTGGCGTACCCCTTTACCAGCAAATTACGGTGCCAGGATTTAGAGTCTTCTAGTATCCAGCAGTCCCCCAATAATATTAGACACATGGCATTGTTCCATCCTCATTCTCTTACTATTCACTCGTATATCAAATAGTGAGCCGCATGATGCGACCTCAATGGTCTCGGGGAGGTGCATTCACAAGCATAGGCACAAGTATAGAAGAAGACCAATGCACGTTCGTCTTGTTTTTTATCGTGATGGAATAAGTGTTCTTGGATTGGGTAAACATCAGGCCTAGTCTAGCATATTAGATGTCGACAACATATAACTAGTGATTTATATAGTGATGAGGACTACACGTAGCCACGAGGTTTCAGATATTCTCGAAAGGAAAGGAAAAAGAGTATATTACCATTCACCCCTCGACTAATCTGTCTCCCTTCTCATCATACAAAAAGAAGAAAGCAAACATCCTTAGGTTTCCAGTCATGAATGGTCATCTCAGAGTTAAAAGGGAAAAAGAAAAGAGAAAAAGGACAACGGAAAAGGAGACGGGAAAGAGAAAAGGAAAAAGACAGGGAATGGGAAATGAAGGACGAGGCACTAGTGCCTCTTGGATTCTGTTCCATGAAAGAGTGTGGGTATGTGTGCAACCCGTAGGTGCAGGAGAGCGCTTTTTTTTTTTTTTTTTGGCTTCGATTAACCTTGAATCAGCGGTGATTTCAGGTGTAAACTTTTTCTTTGGTTTTTCTTCTAGGACAAGGAGAAAAACGTGTGTCCGCGAATGTTGTGCGAGGTCATGACGCCAACTCCCGGCCTGCGCGGGCCTGGTACTGTTTTCTGTTTCCAACCGGAACTTTCAAAAAGCATTGATAGACGATGGTGGTGGTGGTATAGAGACGGAAAGACTTGAGTGAAAGAGAGAATGTGGGAGAGGAAGTGTCTTGTGACACTTAACCTCGAGTTCTTGTTTTGACAAGGTCGGACGATAAGGAAATCAACGCGTCTGTGGCGTGTAGTGGTGACAAGGAAATTCGTGGAGAGTCATCAGAGTCGACTAAAAAGCAGTAGAGCAAGAGGAATAATAAGAATAGACAAGAATGGGGGTGGTTGTCATAAACGAGCGACTTGAACTGAAAAGAAAGAGCAAGAGATTACAAGGCAGTCTAGGCCCGTCGAAGAAGTGAGAAAGAAGAAAAAGTTGTGCGAGTGGTCATGGGAAGTAGAAAATGAAGAAGAAAGAAGAGGACCGAGACTACGCTGCGTCGTTGCGTCGTTGCATCGCCGCTGCGACTAGTTGGAGCTCTTTCGTATTCCTTCAAACCTAGACGCGAGATCGTGTCGTGCTCGAAGGAGTCGGCGCCGCAGAAGCGCTGGCATGTGAGTGGGTATGAGGCAGCCCGCCCCTCTGGCGCTTCGAGGTTCGAGGAAGTGTGCCGACGTCGTGCTTACCGTCGCAGCACGCTCGCACGTTCTCCAGCCGGTCCGACTCCCTGTCCTGCCTCTCAAAGTAGGCTCGCAGGTCCTCGGCGCTGTCATGAACTTCGCTCGTCTCATAAATGTCGGGCGTGATCGTGTGACGACTCCGCAGACTGCTAAACACCTGCCCCGACTTCCAGTATCCGCTCAACCGGGTCAAGGTCCCGTACGATGGCCGCTGCTCTCCGACACGGTTAGCCCTGGCCGGCGTCAGCGTGGGGATGTTGAGCGACATCTCGAGGGCCGAGGTATCGGTGCGCGTGGCTCTCGAGTTGTACGACGACATGGACAAAGGCGGCGGTCGCCTGCCAGCAGCCGTGCTGACGCTAGGGGAGCCCGGCGTTGGCCATACTGCGGGTTGAACTCGTCCACGTCCTCCTGCGTGATCTGGCCCGCCATCTCCTCCGTATCCGATTGCGCATCATCCGTGGTGCGGAGGAGAAGGTACGACAGCGCATTGAACCACGTTTCGTGGCGTTGTCCCGTTGTGCAGGTAAACTTGATCGTCCTGCCCGGTGAAATGACCACGAGGCTCTTGCGGTGCAGCCCAGGAGGCATAGGGTTGTCGTCCGTCACCACCCTGACCGCTTCGATCGGGACGCTCTTCGCCTTGAGCTCCGCGCGGCCGGCGGTGGTCGGATCCCTCTCGCTCCAATATAGCGTTCGCGTGTACGGGTGAACCCAGAAGTAGCGTCGGTGACGGTTTTCGGAAAAGTCGCCTCGACCCGTCTTGCGCGTGTACTTCCACAGGAACTCTCCAATCATCGTCTGCGTAATGGCCTGGATCATACGAGGATCGGTGTTGGGGCCAAAGTCGGGGCCCATAACGCCCATGCCGCCCGTGCCCGTGCCGGGCGCCTGCATCTTGAAGCGAGAATCAAGCTCCGACGCAAACGAGGTGACGGATGACTGGCGGCTTCGGCGGTACTTGGTGGCGGTTTGAACTGCGGCCGGTCCCGCGGTTGCCACTCCCGCGCGCACTGCACGAGGTGTTGGGGAACCAGGTCTGGAGCCCTTGGTGGGGTACCAGGCTTGGAAGCAGTGGGGGTTCTGGGCCTGGCCTTGGCGGCGGATGCGGGCCATGCTGGTGGTCCCATGCTGCCCGATGACGTCTGCGCGCCGCCGGAAGATCCTGACCTCGCGGCCTCGATAGCCTGCCTGTGGTTGGCCGGTAGCGGCGGCAGATCAACAGCCATGGAGCCCATGCTGGCGGGGCTGCCAGGCCTATCAATCGTCGCGTCCGCCAACCTACCCCGGTATCGGATCACGCTGCCCGTGCTGTCCGAGGATCCGGGCCGGATCCTCGTCGTGCCGGGGTGCCCATGGTGCTGCCGAGCGAATCTTGTCGGGCATGGGCGTAGCTACCAACACTAACATCTCTCACCCTCATCATTTGATCCAGGGCGTCGGACGTGAGCGAGGTCTGCGCCTCGGAATCCGACGTAACGGCCCTGACGATCCTAGCCGGGCGCACGTTCGAGTTCACCGACACATCTCGCAGGGGCCTCTGCGACTCGGGGTCTCTGGTTGAGGAGTATCACGGGGCGACTGCCGCGTCTCATCTTCGGCAATCATGGGAGGCGTTGGGCTACGCTCCTTGTCCCATCCCAAGACGGTTCCCCGGACGAACCCGGACCGCGGCTTGGGTATGTCGCCGAAAGCCAGACTAAAGTCTCGGGGCAGAACGAAGCCATCTCGCTTGGGGCTTCGAGGAGATACAGGACGTGTCTCGATCGATTGAATAGAGGTAAATCCGAATTCGGGCAAGGCATCCACCGAAGGCTTGGGGCTGATGGGAGCGACGAATTCAGAGCGAATCGATGAAGTGCTGAGGACCACAGGTCGAGGCTCGGGTAGTGAGATGGGCTGAATGTGCTCAGATCGGACCGAGGAGAATCCCAGAGCCGCGGGTTCAGGAATAGGGGCTCAGGCTCGGCCTTGGGCTCGAGAGCCTGAGAATTAATGTGTGTTATAGTCAGAACCGGAAGGGTGACTGGCTCCTCGCGAGGCTCAACCTGGAGAGAGTTGATATCAACCAGGCTAAGCGAAGGAAGGACCTCGGGTTCGGCCTGGGGCTCCAGTGCTTGCGAGTTGATGCCAGCAAGAGTGAGGGCGGGGAGGAAGTGCCGGCTCCTCCTTTGGCTCAACGTGTTCGGCATGGATAGTGGTCATGCTCAGCGCTGGCGCAATCTCCTGCACCGGTTCGAGGTTCTGGGAGGTGATGGGCATCATCGAGAGCACAGGCTGAGGCACAACGATTTCCGGTTCGGCCTTGGGGTCGAGTACCTGCGAGGTGATGGCCGCCATGCTAAGCTCAGGAGCGGGAGCGGGGGCGGGAGCAGGCTCCTCCAGGGCGCGCGAGCCAACTGCGACGAGGCCAAGGGCTTCGGCGACAGAGAGATCCAGAGGCTCGTTGTTTGGCTCGAGATCCTGCGACTGGATCTGGGACACGCTCAAGGTGGGAGCAGGAGGTACCACGACGGGCTCGGCTCTGGGCTCCAACTCCTCTGCGTGGATGGAGGAAAGGGCAAGGTCGGCAACAGGCGCCGCAGGTTCCGCAATGGGCTCCACATGCTGGGCTTCGATGAGCGCAAGACCAAGTACAGGCTCAGGGGTGGCAACAGGCTCGAGATTCTGGGTTTGAATTGGGGCGAGGCCAAGAATAGGGTCAGGAACAACAATGGGCTCCACCTGCTGCGTTTGAATAGCCGCGAGGCCTAGGGTAGGCTCGGGCTCGACCACAGGCTCGACATGCTGAGTCTCGATGGAAACCCACCCAAGCACAGGCTCGGGTTCAGCGATAGGCTCAACGTGCTGAGTCTGAATCGAGACCAACCCAAGCAAGGGTTCAGTCGCGGCGATAGGCTCCACGTGCTGGGCCTCGATCGAAGCGAGACCAAGGACAGGCTCGACGGCGGCAAGGGGCTCCACGTGCTGGGCTTCGATGGAGGCAAGGCCGAGAACAGGTTGGGATGCCGCCACGGGCTCGACCTCTTGGGCTTCGATCGCAGCCAAGCCCAACACTGGCACAGCGGCCGCCTTTGCCGCTGCCGCCGAGGGGAAGAGGGAACTTGGCAAGCTTCTCCTCAATCTCGGCATCGTACTGAGCACCTGAATCGCTATACGAGAGCGTAGACACAGGGCGCGATCGTTCCGCATCCGTGCCCTCGTCAAGAGACAGGAATCGACTCGAGGCCATGCTCACGGGACGGTCAAGTTCGGCCGCCTCTGTATCAGCGTGTCCCAGGTGAATAACACTAATGGGCGAGAGGATCGATTCTTCCACCTGCTCAGTCATCGTTCCGGCGTCTACCATGACAGGCTTGGGAATGGCGGTAGGCGTCTCGATACTCTCCATAATGTCCTCCTTGGACGGATCAGCCTCGGTCATGACTCCGCTGTCGACCATTGCGAGCCGCAACGCAGAGGGAAGGCCCGCAGTGGGGGCATTCCGGGAAGGGAGTCGGAGGAGCTAAAGGGTTGCGGCTCGGGGTACCGCTATACGAGTCGTCATCGCTGCCGTTGAAGTCGCCCAGCTCGGCAAAGAGGCTCTGGGCGGGCTGTTGAGGCGTGTTGCTGGCGCTGCTGTTGGCAAAGCTCGCGGGCGAGCTCTGCAGATTCGGTTCTTCGCTAGTCTGACGCGAGCGGCGGAGAAGACCCCGGCTCACACGGAGCCGCATACGAGGAGGAGGCTGGGCGGATGTCGGGGTTCTTGTCTCTTCAAAGGCATCATCTTCATCGTTGGATGTCGATGCGGTACTATGGAAGGAGTCGCGGTTCGGGTGTTTCCTAAAGTTGAGTGGCATGATGAGGGCGGAGCGCTTGTGGCGTACACCCTCGAGGGGCTCTCCGTTTCCGTGGCCTCGGACTCGCTTCCCGAGAATTCTTCGGCTCCGGTTTGGAAGTCTTCCGTCTCCGTGCCCCTTTCGTGGGCGGTTTCGAAAGCGGCATCACTTGTCTCGTTGGCAGTATCAAAATGATCTGTCGACTCTTCATCGCGCGAAGGCGAGCGAGGGGTCCCGGGGAGACCGAGCGCGATTGCGCTTAGCTTAGCTAGGGTGCCCAGCCTGTTCTTCCCACTCGGCATCGTCGGCGAGGATCTCCTCGCGGCTCGCCCTGGCACCTCCGAGGAGGAGCTTAGAGAATCTCTTGGCATCCTTGGCGTCGGCCTTCTTAGTGCGACGACTGGTGACGGCGCCGCCCTCGCCGCGGAGGCGCTCGACCTCGTCACGGGCATCCTGAAGCATCCTCTTGAGCTCGAGCTTTTCCGTCTTCTCGCGGTGGAGTTGGGTACGCTGGCTTTGGATGGTGCGCTGAGCGTGTTGGAGGAAGTCTTGAGAGTTTCAGACTCGAGGATGGAGTGCCTAGGCGTGCCCTTGACGGGAGAAGGAGGTGGCGAATGCTCGGGCGTCAAATTGTCGGTGGCCGTCTCGAAGTCGTCGTCGCTCATGCCGGAAATGGCGCCGCGCTCGGAAATCTTGGAGCGCTGGGAGGAGAAGGCCCTAGCCAGCTCCTGGTTCTGGCTCAGCAAGTCGTCGAGCTTGCGCTGCATGGCCATGCGCTCATTCTCAGCGGTAGCAATGTTTCGCTTGGCAGTGCCCAGATCGATGTCATGTTGCTTAATAGAGGCTGCATGCTCCTCGGTGAGCTTGGAATGGGACAGCTTCACTTCATCGAGGTCCCTTTGGAATTTGGTCTTTTCCGCTTGGAGGACGTTGAGCGACTGGGTGAGGCGTTTTCCCGTTCCGAGGCATCTTTTTGCGAGCCGTAGAGCTCCTGCATCTGGGTCTCCAAGTTCCAGTTCTCCTCCTTGTACCGATGCTCGCTTTCATCCAAGGCCTTTAACCTTTGCTGCAGGCCTTCAGTATCAACCTCGAGGCGAGCATTATCCGCCTTGACATCGCGGAGCTCCTCGTCCTTTTCGGCGAGCAAAGCTTGGAGATTCCGCACTTGTGAAATAAGCGAGGTGCTGATTTCGGCGGCGAACTCTATGTCATGGATGCGGTTCGCGGGTTGGTTTCGAAGTTTGCGGTTCGGTATGCTGAGTTTGGTGGGAGAGCCCGTGGCTTGGCTTTCAAATTTGGAGGGACTCACGGATCGCTGTCAACACACGTGGTTAGAAAAAGAGAAAAAACGGACTCGAGACGGAAAAAGAGGATAGGATAGGGTCAACATACCCGTCCTCCTTTGCCTTCAGGAACATAGGGTGATCCAGCCGCAGCCTCGTTACTCGGTACCCTCTGCTTGGGCAGAAAAGCCCGGGCTGTCTGCCTCGCAACATCATTGTAGTCTCTTTCGATTTCGGACAGCTTTTGACGCAGCTCGTGGCTCAGCTCGCCTTCCGTCTGCATGGACTCCACCTCGGCAAGTCGATCGCGGAGCTCCTTTTGTTGCTGCACAAGCGCTGTCCCGAGCTTGCCAGCTTCGGCCATCCGACGCTCGGTTTCCACAAGATGAGCTTCCAGGGCTCTCTTCGCCTGGCCCGGGGATGAGGCCGGGCCTAGGGCGAAGAGTTTCGAATCAAAGCCGGAAAAGCGGAGGGGCGGCTGACTGGAGACGGTGACGAAGGGGTCATTTTCCTTATCGGACGATTCCACCAAGAATGGCTTGCCCGGCGAAAGGAGGAAGCCATGGTGTTGGTGTGGTCCGGAGAGCACGCACTCCTGGGCTAGGCCAGGAGTGACAGCCAGACTTGGATCGTATGGGCGGTGTCGAAGGGCCCTTGATTGCGAGAAAACGCGTCGGTCCGACACTTTCTCGGGCGAGCCCTTTCGAGCAAGGTCAGAGGGGGAAGCCAGCACGCAAGCGTTTTATGATTATCTACGCTCAGCAAGCCGTCAGGTGTCTTTGTAAACGCGTTAGGAGGGGTTGCCGGTGAGCAGAGCCGGCTGCGGGAGATTCAATCCCAAGATGGTGTGTTCGAGGTTATAGTCGTCCTGCGGTGAAAAGAATTTGGGCGAAGGGAAATTACAATGGAGAACAGGAAATGGGAAGGGGAAGAGGAGGGAAGGGAAGCGGAGGAGAGAAAAAAAAATAGCAGGGTTCAACTCGGGAAATGGGCAGTCGAAGATGTCGGGTTCGAATGGGTCGACGAAAAGAATATTAGGGAATAAAAACAACGACGTGCACGACTGAAAAGAGGACTTGGAGCAGATTGGAGCAAATGGCAGCAAAGCCCAACAGAGTTGTTGTGGTTCAATGTTGCCAAATGCAGAAGCCAGCGGACTGCAGGTTTAGTTGTCGACAAGACAAAGGAGGCACACAAAATTGCTCGACGCGATCTGGTGTCTTTCTTTGTTTGAAGAAGGAGCCAATGAGAGATTAGATGGCCTAACCTGGCGCTAACTGCATTAGCACAAGTACCTCGGGATGGAGGGGAGCAATGGGCACGAAGCAATCATCAACGAGAGCAATCAGAGGACGGGGCTTAGCGAACCTGGAGTGGGGAGCAAGACGGCGTAGGCACTGGACGGGCGGCTTCTGCACTGAAGCAAAACAGGCACCTAATACGCCAGGCCAGGGGAAGAGACCTTGGAGGGATCTATGATCTAGGATTGATGCAGCACTGAGCACTGAGCACTGCGCGTGGTGGGGTCTCCTGTCCAGGAGCCTAGCACAAGTCGAGGCGCTACACAGGAAATAACGCACTAGACGGTCGCAAAAAGAAAGTCAGGAGCCACTGCCATCCGTACCTTGCAGATTTCCCCTTGTGAGATTGGCGCTGGCCTCCGCCAGAGTTTCAGCTTCCCGTGATTTGATGCTACAGGTAGTATTATTCAAGCTGCACGAAGAAGCCAACGGCGGGACGAAGAACCGAAGATAGCGTCGCTCCAGAAGGGCCCGGCTGTTCATCAAGTGTGCCACGAAGAAAAGGAAAGCTTCAATGACTGGTGCCAAAAAAATCTACAAGTACATTGACGGGTGGCCTTGAGTGAATCGGACCCTTGCAGAGTTTGGGGAACCAGTCTGAATTTGTTACAACCAGTTGGTGCCCGAAGTCACAGCCAAAGCTGCTCAAGAACTGGTGCAAATCTCTCAGCCCAAAGCAAGGCAGGAAAGGGAAAAGAAGAAAAGAGAACAGGCGGGAACGGGAAGAAGGGGAAGAAAAAGAAAAGAAAAGGGGAAATGGGTTGTCCAAAGCGAGACAAGAAGCAGTGATAAAAAAGCAGGCCTTTGCACGAAAAAAGAAACGAAGAGACCAAAAGGGGAGAAAGCGGATGAGCTGGGAGAAACACGGCGCAACGATGCCGAAGAACAATGCTTTATGAAGAGAGCCCCAAACTACGCGGGCTTGTCTCGGATGACAACGGAAAGGGGAGATTCGAAGAAGAAGAAAGTTGATGCCGAACCCCAAAAATGGAATCATAGGGAAGATGGACTTGGAAAAAGAAAAGACGGCCAAGGGGCGCCGGGAACGGTGGTGAAGCAGATGGACGAAGGCTCCGTCCTGCCCCTTCACCACAATTCGAGATGCACCCTCAGACACAATACAACGTTTTCTCGCCATTTTCCTCTGGCTATCGCATCAATACAAGTACCTCGGCATGGCGAGACAATAAGAAGCATACATGCACTGCTGCGAAATTAACAATCTGTTCACAAAGAGAGAGAGGGAGTGAGAGTCTGGTCGAATAGGACGTGGTGAGAAAACAAAAGTTTCAAACGATTCAGAACACCCAAGATCGAAGACAGAAGAACAATAACGGCACAGGCTTCGCATGGTCTCGAGAAACAAAAACGGTCATCGTCCGTGAGTCCAGGGTCCGTTGATCCTTGGCTCCACAGCACGAGCAATCCCGTGGAGAGATGAGATGAGATGAATGAACGATGTGAAGCTGACAGGGGTTGTCAACCACCCTTGCACAACATTTGAAGGCCCGACCATCCAGAACATTGGATCCCCCGGGCCCCTCCCATTGCACGTGGAGGCTTGGAACAAATAGTGTACTCCCGCTCGAGGCGTCAAAGCCCCAGTCCGAGACCCAGCAGCCCAGCTCTCTTGAGAATCCCATTTCTAAATCGAGTGGAGTCCAATTCAATGCAGTCATCCACCGGGGGAGGGAGGATCTGGAAGGCGGTAAACCACACAACCTATCTACAAGTACAAGTAATGGATCTCTAGACTCCCGTCACCGTCGTCATATTCGCGTACTTGGGACGCATGTTCTCCTGTCCGTCGCAGCGGCGGGCAGTATCATCCGGCGGGGTGAGCCTCCCCTCTGCCCCTTACCTTGCATCTGCTTCTCCTTACACCTGCGCCTGCCGCTCACCTGCACTACGCTATGCTATCTGTACTGCAACTCCTTTCCCCTACATGAGGAGACACCGGGGAGATGCAGGACGCGATGGCTAAAGAAGAAAATTTGTAAACATACCGATCATCCTCTTGGTGAAGACCGGAGCTACTCCTTCGTATTGAGTCTGCCAAAATTCTCGCATGAGGCAATCCATTGCTCATCAGTTCTTAGCGCAGTGTCGGAGGACACGGTGCAACGGTTCGTACAGCAAGTAATTGAATGGATGTACACTACTACGTACTTGCAAGTTGATACGGGCTCAATCGCACACCAGAGCCCCAAGCATCTGGTTACGAAGTACATTGTCAGTCCGCGTGTTTTGCAACGCGACAGCTATAACGGGAAAGTCAACAATGGACACGGAGCAACGGATTCCAGTTCCTTTTTGTTTTCTTTTTTTTTTTTTTTAATTACTCGTACTTCTTTTCTTGTATCTCCAGCATGTCGAGACCAGGCACTTGGAAGTCGGTCGTTCGTTCATTCGATGGATCCCATCGCTTCTGCAGGTCGCGTCAGCTCGCAGTCTCGCGTCTGACCCTCTAACAAAAAGCATTGGTCCTGAGTCAACAATCCGCGATAATTCAGTCGGTCGAACCAGTGTCTCATAGATTAATTCTTCTCTAGCGTCTCCAATTCCTTGTCGCTGCCATGCCATGGCATTGAAGAAGGCCGGATTTGATCGACACCAGGGCCAAGACACCCCACACTCCAAGTAGCATCATTCATGTTATGTTCCATGACCCGATCTCCAATTTGATATCAGCCAGATCGCCCACCGCCGGCCGCTTCCCCAGCCCAGCACGGCGCGCCAGGCATGTCAAGATAGATTGGACAACAATGCCGTCCGCCTCAAGTGGTCAAAAGCCGTGCTGTTCAAGGCAATTGACCACGATGAAGTCAAACTTGGCTACCATTCATTCTCTTCCCCTCTCTTACTTTTTGGATTCTACAAAGTAGAGCAGACGTTGAGGAGAGCAGGTTGCAATGAAATGAGGACATGTCCAAAAACGGACATGGGGAGCCCGGATATTAATCAAAACAAAAAAGAAAGTAAAGTCTGGGCCCGCACATTGACGCGTTTTGCTGGGCCGGAACTCGCAGGCAAAGGGCCAAGGCAAAGGACCGGCTTTTGTTCTCTTTTTTCTTTTTTTCTTTTTTTTTTTGGTAGCACTCCTGCTCTGTTTCTCTCTCGTCGTCTTTGCGCATAAACTTCATCTCAACGCCACCAATCACAAACGTGTTCTCGAGAACAAGCAAGGATCAATCGATCCGTTGATCAATGCCCTCAACCCTCTTCTTTGCTCAGACCAAGCTCCAATTTCCGCCCCATGCGATGCAAAAAGATGGGAAAGATGGGAAGCAGAGACGAGGTCGAAAAACAAGAAGTAATGGATTATACAAATAAATAAATCAAAACAAAAATAGAAATACAGCGAAATCCAAACCACACAAGATGGTAAACACACCCCATAATAGACCTAATATCCCTGTATGGAAAGCAGAACGTTGCTTTCCAATCCATCCATGGATCCGTATACTAGTAGTGTAGGCATAGCGTAAATATCCACGAGGAACCCCTATGGCGCGATGTGCTACACACAGAGCCAGTGGCCTCCTTGTCCATATTCTATCCACTTCTCTCCCTCTCAGCCTTCCACTCAGTCTTCCATCTGTCCTAAGTGCAAAGTAGAGATGCAGCCTAGGGCCCTTCCCAGCTTTCCATGTCTTCTCGGCCTGCGGTAGCGGTACCCATTGCTCCTCGACGTTGAACATGAGCCCTCAGAGTTGAATCTTTGGGTATGCAGATATAGATCTATCTATATATCTAGATATATAATGCCGTCATAATGTATCGATCAGAACAGCCGTCTATATGCTGGGCTAGCTGCCCTACAAGTCTCTAACTAAGTCACGATGCTGAAGGCTCGCTTCACATGGGCTATCTTGGACCTTATATAATGGGTTCTCGTCAGCCCCAGAACGGTCAATCATGCTGGGAACGAGCCAGGCCACTACCGCGTCTCGTCCGCATGTTCTCTCTCGCTATTGTACAAGCCAATACTCCATGGCTAACTATATCAAGCTGTGCCAAGCTCTTTTTCGCATCCCCTTCCCTAACATCTATAAGCTATTCCTCGATTTGTTGCCTTTACATGGTCGTACACCCCAACACTTCCCAGCTTTGCGGTATCCCAACATGCTGTTGAACGCAGTACGTTCGGCTAGACGGGCTACGTCTGAAGAAGCCTGACGAGCCCTGGCGTTCTACGGGCCTCATAAAGACGAGGCTACCTGAAGAGCCCTTCATCCTCAGAACCATAGAGTTCGTCTTCTTACTTCCAAAGATACTGTCGCCGACTCCAGAGCATCTTGAGTCTGTCTTCCCACGAGTTCAACCTTGGGCGTAAAGTTGCGTCATGGACAGCTCAGGGCTTCCTTTCGAGCTAGCCCTCGTCTTACGAGAAAGAGCTCTCACCTCTAGAGCTTGAAGAAGCGGCCGCCGAGTCCACCACCGGTAAATCCGCTGCCGCCCATGCTCCTCGCCTCCTCCCGGATCCAGTTCGTCAGAAAGGCCTCGCTCGTTAGTTGAGCCGGGTCCATGACCCTTGTGCTCATGCGCCCGCCGTGTTCGTTAAAGGCCATGAGCGTGGGCACTGAAGATATGACATACATGTGGCCAAAGCCCTCCTTCATGATGTCGGGTGAGTCGTACTCGATTGTGCAGAGGGCCACGCCCCCTTCGGCCTCGCCGACGCCGGACTCAACCAGACGATACAGAAGCGGTGATACGGTCTTGCACGTAGGGCACCACGATGTCGTCCATAACGTGAGAAGAGGCGAATTCGAGGAGACTGAGAGTAGGTGGTACGTGTTGAAATCAGAAACCCGTGTTACCCTAAGAAATGCTTAGTACAAGCCAGATAGATGCACATACAGAACCAAGCCGATGGAAGCAGGTAAGGCATGGATTCTGGATTAGGGTTATCATGAAGCACACATACGGGTCGTAGATTTGATTCTTCCCCTCTGGCCGCCCGTTAGGCGGAATCCTCGTCGCACGATTGGGGAGGGTGACTGCAGGCCGATGGGAGATGGGGATGGTAGCTTCCGCGCCAGAGCACGCGCTCCGAGAAGGCCACCTGCGAAGTTTTTCACGCTCATCGTTTTTTTTTTTTCAAATGTTCTCTTCCTGTGACTACTTGAAATAGAGAATCTGGTGAGCAGTCGATCTTTCCCGTCTCTAGGTGGTTTTTGCTCTCGTTTCAAGCCATCAGGACCGGGTGGTACGTTTGCCGTGGTTTTTTGTCATCGTTATGGTCGGTAGTGCTCTTCAAGGAGCTGAGCTCCGTCAACTGCTAGTGAGTAAGGGATGACGTAATTGGGTAGTGAGTTGAGGCTCTTTTCCTTGGAGGAATTGGGACATTGTGCCTCGTTCACCACATGTCGAATCTTATTCAAGATGCAACCAGCAGATCAATTGATTGATCAACTCATGGCAAGCAGTCAACCGCTCCCATACGGAAACCCCGTGCTTGACTTCTAGCTCTATTTTCTTTTTGGCTGCAAGCATCAAGTGCTTGAGGGTGCCTGCATCGCTCACTTGCGGCGGTGGCTTCAAGTTCCAGTGTTTGCCTGCATGTGACCCAGACATATGCGCGGACGGGGACCGGCTTGAACACTGTGCCCACACAGCAACACAGCAGCAGGGACGGGCGAGTACCTCGAGGTACACAACATGTACCCGAACCTGTTTTCCTCGCCCGATGATAGAGCACTGCAGTCGTCTCTTTGCCTTCGCCATGGAGAATTAATTCGGGATGATTTGATGAATTGGGCGCGCAACCGCGCTGCCCGTGCTCGCATCCCCACTCGCTCTCAACGCCAAGAGGCCGATCACCTTTTCTTTCTTAGCAGTAGCCCGTGATCACTATGGGCGGTGAGAAAGTAAAGCACATGGGCTTGATGGGCTAGAGCGGCTCTAGCAGAAATTCTATGGAATGGATAGATCCTTGTCTCCAGGGCTCTCTGCTGCGTCTATCCCCTCTTGCCCCTCTTGCCCCCTTAGCGGTGGCCCTCGCCACCAAATGCACACCAGTTCATGGCATTAGTCACACTCAGGAGAGGTGGGAGACGGGTCTCGTGGCGCCGTCGCTCCCCACACTCCTGTCCCGCGGCCGTGAGTGTTGATGTCACCGACGCTTGGCGGGGCTGCTAACAACCCCGACAGCGTGCACGGGTCAGAGAGATGATAGGGGTGATTAACCCACGATGGTCTGTCCAGTCTGCAATGGGTTGGAGAAAATATCATTTCAATATTTTCCCTCGACCTGGAGCACATTAAGCGCCAGTTCGGCCTCCGCGCGGGTTCAAGCGGGACTCCCAGTGCTGCGACGATGCTAAAGTGAGAGGAAGGGACTTTTGGCTCGCTGGCAGAGATGGGCGGCAGGGGATTGATATTACGAGTTCTCAACATTTCCTTTCATCTCTGTGCAGCAATCGGCCGTGTATGCAGCCTTAGTTCCTAGCCTGGATTTGTGGACAATCGGTTCGATATCTATTAGGCGAACAAATCCCCTTTTCATCCTTGGTAACGAACATATACTCGGTGACAAATGCTGGAGAGCCACGGGCTGTCTTTAAAGGGCTTGGAACAGCACCATTTCCTTTCTCAAGCTTGCAGGTTGAAACAACCAGCTTTCGTCTAGGCTCTCTAAATTGCCACCAAATTAGCTCGGTCTAGACCGCCATAGCTTGTCCACCCTCCAAGAGTCGTCCTCTCCTTCCTTATTCAATAAGAGCCTCGGGCTGCAAAGGGGGTCGGCAAGGGCGCCCACCCTTCTGCTTGCTGACAACTTGATTCATCTCTTCCTCTTCGCCATCCACGGGTGGCATCAATGATGAGCGCGCCTTTGTCGAGACACGTGCATGCTTGAATGTCTTGCACCATCGAGAAACAACTCTCAAGGAAAGTCGGGGCATATATGGTGTCCATATGCCAAAAGGACCGAACTGCAAGGTTTTGGAGGCTGGAATGCACCTGCCACATTTCAGTGTGAGCGGAGGCGGAGGCGGAGGGGCAAGGGCAAGGGCAAGGGAGTCAAGCAGTAAACCGCATGTGCATTGCAACTATAGGCAAAGGGAAGTCTTGAGGATGAGAGCGCGCCATGACCGGATCGCCTCCGATCTTGGAGATCAATTGACCCAGAGATCCTAGCCCCTCCTCTTCATTGATCCCTTAACCCCCGCCCCGCCCCCGCCTTTCCCCACTAAGGAGGACCCTGAGATTCTGCACGATCATGATATTGTCCACCGTCAACAATGGAACGAACACCTGGATGGCTTAGATGGACCAGCCTCCAAAAACGCAAGCATTAATACTCCAAGTGCAATAGCTCCACCAGCCAGATCCTCCTGCTCCCCACGAACGCACATGGCGTTTGGCTATGCATGGATTTCGCACTGATGATAGCCTCCGAGTGACGCTGTTCGCTGCACGTTAAACGCTCTTCAGCGAGTACTTGTACATCAATTGGAACGTTGATTGTTGGACTGCTTGATAGATTCAACATCCGCCGCTTGATATCGTTGATCCGTGAGGGGAAAGACCCGCCAAAGATTGAACTTGGGGATTCGGATTCCTCAGACACTCATCAATTGATCCTAGAATCAACGCTGGGGACTCAAAAACAACCGCCCCTGGACAATCTGACACCAGTCAATAGATCTTTCGCCGTGAACGCATCGCAGTGCCGACTTGCTACGCCGAACTAGCCCACGTGTCTCAAAAATCTAGTCAGTTCCACAGACACTTCCTATCCAACATCTGCATCTGCAGCAACTAGTCTCTCTACTCTTGGAAATGTGAACTTGTGTTGCTGAGGTTCCTGTTCTTATTCGGGCTCGTGTTCGAGGAAACGTGGGCCATTCCCCAACATTGAAGTCTGCGCCTAGCGCGTGTCGCGCATTCGATGTCCCCAGGGTGCCTCAAAACTTGATAACTGGCGGTAGGTCTGGTTCGACATGTGCCACACCTACAGCAGCGCATCTCGCGCAAGATGAATTGATTGATCCCACCATGAGGTTCGGGTAAGCTCACGACGAATGCGTCACTGAGGGGCCCAACTGCACAATGATCAATCGATAATATACTGTTTCCCACAACCACTGACCATGGCCAGCTCCCCTGACCCTTCCTTTTCCCACCCCTCCCCCAACCACCCACACTGATGACTCGGATCAATGTGGAGATAAATTCAGTTGATGGTGCGACGGTGAAATGGTTACTCCAGTGCACAAGCAGCATCAACATGGCGGAATACAACCGCCACCTACAAGTATCACAGCTCATTAACCCAGTTCCTCAGAGACTGCTTTATCCTCTGCTGGTTCAGGCCTCGTCTCTGTTGCCGACTTCAAAGTGGTTTCGAGGAAACGCTGGCCCAAGCCGCCAAGCACCCAAGTTCCAAGGCACAGTGCTGTTTGATAGAAGTCAAGTGTCTTCCAAGCCTTCCAAGCCTCCCTCCACCCTCCAGGTGCCTCGACCCCACATTCGCGACCAGCCTGGATCAATTGTCAAGGGCCCATGGATCAATGTACCTTTTTGTACTCTGGAGTTCTCCAACCCGGTTATTCCTTGCATTTGACTTGATCCATCCCCGATGATGCCGTATCATCACCGGACCCCGAGGGTTCACAACTACATAGATAGCCTTGGAGCTCGTCTGCAAGCATTATCAATTTCTTTCGTCTTTCGTTGTTCGTCGGTCGAAGATTTCTACAAGTAACGGGGCACCCGCAGCCACATCCGATCGAATCTTCAATGTTCCTTTGCTAGCATTGAACCTTGTTAACTTCTTTCGGAAAGTAGTGGCGAGTCCTGGACGAATGTTCTAAGCTTCTAGTGCGTTTCGGCGTGCCTTCCAGTCCCGGGAGTCCTATCTAATAAAAGACGACCCCGAAACTCTCTACCCGCCCTCTAGGTTTTTGTTGGCGTGCCCTGTCAACTCGCCTCGTCGCCATCGACTCTTCAACATCCCTTTCTTCATAATTTCTTTTCTTATATTTTTCAACAAATTCCCCTCTAATATAAGCGGCTTCCTCCCCTCATACCCGAGGGAAACCGAAAGAAGAAGCCCACTGGCACGGTTCTGGGAGGGCTTGACTTCGCCCGGTCGGCCTCTTCGACATTGGTGGTAAACCTAGCTTCCGTCAACCGACTTCCACACCATTCCCCGCTATTTTCAGACAGCTGGGTAAAACCGGCCCAGGATGGGGCTCTTTCGCGGACGCGGCAAGAAAGAAGGAGGTGATACCAACGATGCCGAAACCGGCCAGACCCCGAAGTGGAGCATGGGTGTGCTTAATGACAAGAATACTGTCGAGGTGCCCGGTATGGATCTTTCCCAACCCTAACATCTACCCGTCGTGTCCCCTTCCCCTTTTCCTTGTGCCCAAAGACGATGGATCTAACCTTGGACTACAGGATCCGTTCTTCTTCTAGCCAAAGACAGGAATGAGCCGCTTGGCCTACGTCACGCTCCCGCGAGAACTTCACAGTCCTCTCTGCCCACCGGAGCGCCCTTTAGCCGCCCAGGCACGCCCCGCCGCGTCAGCTCGAGCAGGGCCGTGACGATTTCTCACGAGGCGAAGAAGAAGACCCGCGATGGCAAGATTATCCTCGACCCGCAGCCCGAGGATTCGGCAAACGACCCGCTTAACTGGCCCACTTGGAAAAGGGATACCGCGCTTCTCTCCCTAGGCTTTTATTGCATGGTCGGTGGTGGCATAACCCCCATCCTCGCCGCGGGCTTCGCCGACGTTGGACACGACTACGACGTCGAGGTCGAGCAAGTAGCACTGACCACCGGTCTCTACATGCTGGGCCTCGGGTTCGGCTCCGTCATCGCATCCCCAACCGCCATCTTATACGGTAAACGGCCCGTGTACCTCGTGAGCGCCTTCATCTTCATCGCGTCCTGTGTCTGGTGCGCCCTCTCCCCTTCCTTTGGCTCTCTGATCGCCGCGCGAATCCTCCAGGGAATTGCCGTGAGCCCTGTGGAATGTCTGCCTTCCGCCACCATTGCCGAGATCTTCTTCCTCCACGAGCGAGCTTTTCGCATCGGCATCTATACCCTACTTCTCCTCGGCGGCAAAAACCTCGTTCCCCTCATCTCCGCGCTCATCATTCAGAGCCTCGGTTGGAGATGGGTATTTTGGTAAGTTCCTAAAGTTTCCTTGCCCTGTTGGAGGCCTTGTAATTGCGCCAGTGGCCTCGTACGCCGGTGAATATTTTTTTCTTCATGGCGGCTGATTTCCATCAAACACAGGGTTGTCGCCATCATTGTCGCCTTTTGGGTCTTTATGCTCTTTTTCTTCGTCCCAGAGACGTTTTGGGATAGGACACCCGTCCCGAAATCAAGGGCACCTTCTCGTCGCCCAAGCTTCCTCCGCCGCCGCTCCTCGCGTCCGGATGGACATGCCTTCCCCTCTCACCCCCAGCTCCTATCGTGAGCCCGCTCCTCGGCGACCATGTCACTGCCGCGCATCCCGCCGATCCGAGAAGCTCTCATGAAGTAGCTGTACCTGACAATGACCCCCGCGGCACAGCCCGACGAACGCACCACCGATGCCGAGGATGCTACGACGGCCGCTAGTAATCTGAAAGGCGAAACGGGAGCAGCCGACGATTCTAAACCCGAGGCTTCTCAGAGGCCCACCCAGGTCAACTTCGCCGTCGACAGGAAAAGCTCCGATAGTGCTCGCTCGTTGGGTGAGCGCGATGACCGTAGCCAACGTGTCGAGGGTGACGTCGGCCCCACCGAAGGCGCCCTTTCCAAAGAAACCCCAAGCGCCTCGACCCCGGCCTCTTCGCATAGGCATGGCGCAACAGGGCAAGCTTCGCTCGTGGCTGCAGCTACCTCCAAGATCCTCGACTCGGATTCGGGGCGCTCGACAGCCGCCACCCCGACCTTGAGCGATCATCTCAGCCTATCGGCGGCCAGCACTACACCCACAACCTCCGAGAGATGCCGGCCCTGACTTTTTCGCAGCAGCTTCGGCCTTACAACGGACGACTGAGCGAAGACTCGTGGTTCAAAGTCATGCTGCGGCCCTTTGTCTTGTTTTCGTACCCCGCCATCCTGTGGTCCGCTGCCGTGTATGCCTGCTCCGTGGGATGGCTCATCGTCATCTCCGAGTCCATGGCCATGATCTACCAGAACCGAGACTCGTATCACTTCGACGCCCTTCAAACCGGCCTTGTCTACATCTCTCCCTTTGTCGGCGGTCTCCTAGGAACAGCCGTGGCCGGGAAAGTCTCTGATATTATTGTCAAGGCCATGGCGAGCCGTAACGGTGGACTCTATGAGCCGGAATTCCGTCTCGTGATGGGCATCCCAATCACCATCACCACCGTCATCGGCCTGATGGGATTCGGCTGGTCGGCGCAGGAGCGGAATCACTGGATAGTCCCCACCGTCTTTTTCGGAGTTATTTCCTTTGGCTGCTCCCTCGGGTCGACCACCTCTATCACGTTCTGCGTCGATAGCTATCGCCAATACGCGGGAGAAGCCCTCGTCACCCTCAACTTCTCCAAAAACGTCCTCCACGGTTTCATCTTCAGCTTGTTCTTCACCCACTGGCTCTCTAGCGACGGATCGAGAATGGTATTTATCTGGACGGGTGTGATCCAGCTGATTCTGATGCTGACGACCATTCCGCTCTACATTTATGGGAAGCGACTCCGGATGTGGACCGTCCGGAAGAACTTGCTGGAGAAGCTCCTTCACTCCTAGATCTTGTCCCGCGGTGGTTCCTGTTTCTTCCTCTTCTTCTTTGTATTGCTGTCATGTGCGTTCCACCATCCGATGATCTTCCAAGCCGACATTTGTTTTCTTGTTTTTCCCATCATGGAATTGGGTTCTTGCGCCTTCTCTGTCTAGCATATGAGTGATGGATACACATCTCTCATAGGATATCATGACCACATGCATCGGATAGACTCAGTCTTCTTGCATCTTACTAGCGTTTTGAGCGTGGGATAGTTAGTTTATATTGTTTTCAGATATCTGGTCGTCCTCCTCTGAATTAATTCCACAATAACTCCATACTTCTCCTTGAGTTTCCTGGACAATTTTGACCTCATGCGCGCATGTCGCTCTTATACTTTGATACTTCCGTATCTTCGAACCCGTGTTTCTGGGTTTGGGACCGAAAAGAAAGCAGAACAAAACAAAACAGAGAGACCGTCTCAAAACTCCTCGATAGCGCCTACCCAGGAGTTGACCACCCTTAAGAACCGTAGCCCAACCCAAAACCCAAAACCTTCCGCCTAATGAAGCCCGTAAGAACCTCGACCCTGGTGAAGTAAAGAAGTGGAAACCTTGTTTTTCCCCCAAAGGCCAGGGTCAGGATGAAAAAACCGAAAAGCCAAGGGACCAAACTCGAGATGGAAAAAAATCATTCCTTTTCCTGGATATCTAACGCCTGCCTCAGAATGGCCTCGCTCGCCCTCCACCACCTAGCCCTCTCCTCAAGATCATCCTCGACGCCCCCAAAGCGTTCTCTTTCCTCCTCTTGGCCTCTTTGGCGGCCGTCGTGCTCGTTTGGCGTTTAGCCTCAAGAGTCTGAACCTCGGCTTCGAGACGCTCCAGTTCCTTATTTTTCGTGGAAGCTGAGCGCGTAGCTGCTCCAACTCTCGATCTAGCTGAGACATCTCTGCTTTTCGCTCTTCCACCAGTTCGAGGGTCCGGCTGAGAGGCAAGGACAGGTTCGGGTCTTGGCCAGGGGTACGTAGGGCGCCCAGCTCGGCAATCTTGGCTTCAAGCTCGTCAATCTTTCCCGGAAGCTCCCTTAGCTGGATCGTTTGCGCCGAGACGATTTCGTACTTTTTGCTGAGGTCTTTTCCTTTTCGCTCCAGCTCCGCCACCATTTCTGTCATTTCTATCTTCATATCCTTGAGGGCCTTCTTCGCGCGGAGGTTCTCCTTTTCGAGAGCGAGGTTCTCCTGGGGGTGACGATGAGGGTGGCTCGCCCACGATGGCGCGGATAAACTTTTCTTTGGTGACTTGCTCGACATAACTAAAGCGCAACTTGGAGAATAGTTCGCGGTAGTGCTCGAGGTCGTCCTCGAGGGAAGCCGGGGTCGTGGCCTCGGTTAGCGAGGACGAAGAGGCATCTGAAGAGCGTGTTCGCGGGTCGTCGGCATTTTGTCCTCCTTTCGGAATGAGCTCGGAGAGCGTGATTATGGAGAGCGGGGTGGACTGGAGCTCCTCGAGGGCGGCGAGGACTTTGTCGACTTCGCTTGCCATGATGGCACCAAAAGGTAAGCGGGGGTACGGGAATGGTGTCGAGACCGGAGGGGGCAGCGAGCGCGTAGTCCCGCCGGCAGATGGCTGAATTGTTGGGTTGCGTTTTGCGGAGTGTTGAAAGATTCTTTCGTAGAGAAGAGATCCTCCCAAAAAAAAAAAAAAAGAAATATAGAAAGAAGGGCGATGAGACGACTGGGACCTGACTGGAAATTGCGGGGGTTCAATACTCGTCGAAGTGGTGGGATTTATTTACTTTCATCCGAAAACGGAAAGATGCGCTGTCCCGCGTGTTATCAGATTGTTATCGGAGCGGTGTGAACCGGCAGAAATGGGGATAATGTCCGCCACCACACTGAAGAACGACCTTTGGCTGCGGCTCATGTCCTGCATGGAGAAGACCCTGGATCCATCGCTGCAGGGTTTCTCCGTTCCTCACATCCTCACATCCCTTTCCTCTCCCCGTCATATCAACACCCTTCCCTTCCTCCGTAGACGCGCTCTGCTTGGGATGTGTCGCTGCTGCCTTATAGGTTGACTGGCTATGTTTCCTCTAGTGTTTTTCCCCCAAGAGTTCTTTTGACTTGCTTCTGCCACACCATCTTTTTTAATACTCCCACTCACATTGGCAATCCTTCTCGCAACTTCTCCCACCTCCCATCGCAACGATACGCCAAAGCTCTTCCACCATGCCGAAACCGACCGAAAATGACAAGCTCATTACCGACGATTATGTCGCTGGCCTACTAGCGAAAGAAGCACAGGACTGCTCCTTGAAGTTTTCGACAATGGGGATGGACGCTTACAAGTCAACAAGGAAGTAAGCAGAAAACCCGTCGCCTTGGACGGCGAATTGCCATGAGTAGCAGAGGTTGATCAACGTGTCTCTCTTAGACCGGCAAACTTGCCTAAGCCAAACACTCGCTTCCTCCGAAATATTATCAAGGACACCAATAGCCATAATGCCGCTCTGATCGCGAAAGAGGCTGCCGAATCCCAGGCCCGCCTTGAGCAGCTCGAGAACCAAGACGAGCAGCGCAGGCAGGATCGCAGAGACAAGTCAGGCAAGTCAGGCGACATACGAAGACGCCAGATTGGAGACATCAACGCCATTCTTCTCGACAAGAAGTCTAAACGTAGCAATGATGGCCCGTTACCTGCGTCGAAGCGCGCAAGGGAGACTTCTTCACAGGTTTCGCAACGCGAGCTGTCTGACAGTGAGCGACGAGAGAAGGTTAAAGGCAGAGATCGAGGTAGGAGAGACGATGATAGGCGGAGGGATGGTAACACAGATTACGAGAGACGAGATGCGGATCGGCGAAGTTCGCGGCGGCAAGAGACAGAGCGCAGTTCACATCGGAGCAAGAGGAGGAGAGAAGATTACAGCGAGGGAGATGAAGGCGGTGAGACTAAGGACCGACGCCCTTCGAGAAAGCATCGCTCGCCTGAACGACGACGGTCAAGATCCCCATCGCGCCGGGAACGGGAGCGGGACCGGGACCGAGATCGGAAACGTCGGGAACGATCAACTTCAAGGAACAGGCTCTCGGGCTCGAGAACCCGCCGAGATCCTGATCGGCATCGTGAAAGGAACAAGGAAAGGCACGAGAAACACTCGGATTCGGAGCGCCGAAAGGGCAAGGAGAAATCACCCCGACGGCGAGAGGAGCGAGACGACGCTAGCGAATCATCGGACCCACTGGACGACTTTATTGGCCCTGCCCCACCCCCAAGATACCAGTCCAGAGGAGAGGCCGGGGCACAATATCCGCATTTTCGGGAATCAACGAACGTTTTGCAGAAGGTTACGATCCGAAACTAGATGTCGACGCCGTGGAGAATGAGGACGAATGGCCAGACGCCGTCGAAGCCTTTAGGGACCGGCAGAAACTTCGACAGGCGCAAGAGGAGCGCATGAGAGCGGCTGGTTTTACAGAGAAAGACATGCTTCGTTGGAAAGATGGATCCAAGGAGAAGACCGAAGTCGACGTCAAATGGACCAAGGCAGGAGAACAGCGAGAGTGGGATATTGGCAAGACCTTCTAGAGGGCTTCCATGAGTCCATGAAGAGGTACTTGGGCTGCGCGGGGCCGGCCACAAGGGCGCAGGTTTTGCCTATTTTGTGTTGAAGAATTGGTTTGATCTTAGCGTATTCGTAGAAATCGGCGTTGGGTGTCGGCCCGGTAGGCAATGGACGGGGCCCTCTTGGACGGGCCCTGGCCGTCGTATCGTTTACATGTTACGTTAATAAAGAGGATCCCAAGATCATCATCAGCATATCCAGATGCAAGATTACACTCTTGTCACGTTCCCTTTTGACAAGGCGGATGATCGGCCACGTGTGGCGCAAGGCTTCTGGGATTGATGAAACGACAAGTACAATGGTTAAACAAGGCATTCCGGCGAGACACACAGTCACGGACATGTGTCGCCTCAAACGCCTGGTTGTTCCAGCCCCTCATGGTGGCGACGGGGGCAGAAGAATCAGTCAATAGGCGGGAGCAGATGCTGTCCTGTCATTTCCTCCATGCAGGTTTTGTCTTACGACGCTAGTGCTGCCTTTATCATCTGGGCAGGAATTGATGGGAGAGGCGAATAAACAAGTATTGGGGGAGCATGAAAGAAAACAAAAAACAAAAATGAGTAAATGACAAGACAGGAAAATGACCAAGCAAGCCGAAGAGCAAGAGGACGACAAATGAGGACGAGAAATGACAAAAAAACAATTGACTGACTTCCCCACCAAGGGTCGAACTTGGAATCTTCCGATTAACAGTCGGACGCCTTAACCATTTGGCCATGGAGAAACGAGGTCGGCAAACGGGCAGCTTATTGGCGTATATGACCAATGCGTAGATTCGGAGTGACTAAGAACACTTGGGCATCGTGCGACAACGATTGGACGTCAAGAAAACGGGGGTGGATGGATGAATCCCTCGTTTATTCTTGGATCCCGTGTAATACCTCGTAATAAGCGTGCTACTCCGCCTTGCTTTGGAACCGGGCGGCTCGGGTTTTTGTGTCTTGTTGCGCCAAGGTCGCTTGGATAGACACCAAACGCCAGAGCGAACATCAGGACACGTACGGGGCAAAAGACACGCAATGTACCCCGGACAAACATCCGTGGATACATTGCACATCGTCAATCATATCGTATTAGATGCTATTAAGTAACGTTGATGACTGACTCGACCTTCAACCTATCCGGATGCCTAGCGTCTTGGCTTAGCTTCCTTGCCTTCCTTACCTTCCTTGCCTAGCTTCTTTGCCTCTCCATCTATTATGGATGGAAGCAAAGAATGAAAAGTGCGCTATGCCGCATGTAACCACTCGTTCATCCCATTCTTTGCCCAGGCCTCACTTAGTGCCGTGTCTGTTTGGTTTGCCCACGCACTAGCGCGCCCCCTCCCCAAAAAAGTTCCGCATCGGGGTCAAGCAATCTAGCTTTTTTGTGAAAAATTTCTCTTTCCCCCTCACGAAGGGAGAGGACCTAAAGGCTGCATCCCACAGCCCCGGGGGTGAGGGGGCCACAAAATCTCGGCCTTGTTCCCGGAGTAAAAAAGAAGGAGGGCAAACAAAAATAAAAATAAAAATAAAACCATAAGCTGGAAATGCCTCAACAGTACTCATGAACAAGCCTGGGATCGACGGGCTTTGAAAGGTTTGTGCGCCTAACCTTGTCACCCAGTTTTCCCTTTGGCAGCGTCATCAGTCATGAGACCGAGGCGACACTGTGGCTAGGTCATCGTGTAAGTCAAGCGACTACCTTTTCCCAGCCGGCTACCTCAACTGGCCAGATCTGTGCCACTGTCCGGGATTCCTCAGCTAACAAGCCGCGCCGGATGAAGGATTTCATATCCGGGCCCTTGCAACTTTGCCTGTGAGGTGACGCGAAATCCGTCCTAGCTTTTCGCTCATCTTCCGGATCCGTCGCATTTCCCGCTTCCCGTTTCGTCCAGACGCTCTGGCTCTGCTTTCTGGCTCCATCGGCTCTCGTCTCTCCCCATGCTCATTTCCCCCAAACCACTCTTCCCCAATTTGCAAAGACGGCACCCCTGTCATCCGGTGTTCATTGTCCAAATCATTATTCTGAAAGCCGCGCCTTCCCCAGGATCCAGTCATTGATGGCTTGACGTTGGACAAGCCTTGGTGCCCAATGTTCCTTCCCGTTGCACATGCTTCTCTTCCACCACTTGATCTCCAACAATCACAGCATGAGGCTTGCTTTGGCTGGCTATCCATGGGCAAGTGAGCAATCAAGAATCTCTATCCCTAGTTCTACTTGCTAGCTCTTTCACTTCCTTATTTTTTTCTTCCCTCAAAACTATCATCCTGAAACCTGGTCTACTATTACTCACTCTCCGATTTGTGCAACTTCCTTAGCCTCTAACCTTGAACCTCCGGACATCCGTTGCCATCACCACGATCATCCTTTTTTCTCCCCCTTCTACTCACCCCCATCCACACTACTACGACTCCTCTTTCTTTGTTACCCCACTCAGCTTTGTACCATCTCTCATCTATTATATGCCCTTCCCTCCTCTCGGATGTTCATCTTCTTTTCCCCACAACGAAGAAACCACAACATAAATCTATCCGACTTCTAGGCAACTACACATAGGCCCTCAATCCCCTGCATGATGAAGTTTTTGGTGTTGCCTCACCAGCTGCCTCATCCTCTGATTACAGGTCCCCTGTTTTCTCCAGATGATTTAGAACGCGTTCTCGAGCCGCGGGTCGTGGTCCAGCTCGCCAGAGTCCAGCTTGGCCCGTCGCCAGACAACAGGGGCTTCGTCCGCATTCCCGCCCTTGCTTACACCAACGCCGACCACGGCTGCGACGTCCTCGATGTGCCAGCTGAATGGGATTCTCCCCAACTCCTCGAGTTTTGCGGTTTCGCCCCAAATGTCGCCGACCAGTACTACCAAATTTGGAAGGCGCGGAGGAGTGCCGAAGAACCTGATGGAATCCTCTCTGGCACTGCTTTCGACGACTTGCTCGTCGACGTCGCCCTTGATCTCATGAGAACGCCCGAATACGATGTGCTCTATGCTAACGGCGATTGGGAGGGCGCGCTCAAAGAGCTTGGGATGGCGGAAGACATCATTGCCTCCATCATGGATCCTCGTTACGAGAAGATTCGAAATCTCGCCGACCCGTACCACTGGGTCAGAGATACTGTCGTCAACAACTACGAATTTCTGGTCAACCTCAACGAGCGCATCGTTGCTCGCCGAGACTTCCTTCGCGGCATCAGGAACTGTCGCGTCAAGTCCCGGGAGCCCTCACCCACGCTCAAGGACCCCACCGAGGCCCCTAACGTGACGGCCTACTATATACCGGCCCCCTTTCACACTATTCAAAAGGCCTTTAACAGCGGTGGTATGCACAGCTATCCAGGCTTCCTTGCCTCCACCGATTCCGAGTTCCATCCAGCCGGCGAGCACTATATCCACCTGCTCGCCGACAAGGAGCTCGCCAGCGATGTGGCTGGATATATCGCCAGCCGCAGCCGCAGCAAGCAAGCCGCCCTCTTCAAGGTGGCTTTCCCTAATGATAACCTCGCTCCCGAGGTCAGGAGCCCGCCACGCATCGCGACTGGCAGGGTCTGGTATGGTTCTCGCGAAACAGTCGCGCCAAGGCCCGGTTCGGGGCCCTACTCCCGAAATCGCTCCAACACTACGCCGACATGCCCTTCTTCAAGGCCCCCTTTTGCGGCTTGTCGGAGGCCAAGGTCACTGCCCTGAAGAGCCACCAGGAAGTGCAGCCTTTGTCCTGGATGACGGCAAGATTGCCCACCAGCTCGTCCTTCAGACTGACAAGGCACGCGAATTCTGGTGGGACCGCATGGCTGAGCGTGTTGTCGTCGAGACGGTTTCGGATGTTGCTAGTGAGCTGGCGCCTCTCATCTCGAGCTGACATCAAAGACCGCGAGTGGGAGAGTCGCAGGATGGACTGCTGGAATGGCTGGAGGTGGAACAGGGGCCCTTCGTTTTCTTGGGCACTCTAAGAACACCGGGCACACCCTCTCCTCTCCTCCCTCCCTTCTACTCCGTATTCCTTTCCCTCTCCTTCTCCCTTGTCTCACTCCTTTTTTTCCCTTTTCTTTTTTCTTTCTTTCTTTCATTTCTTCTTTCATTCCCATTTCGTTCTATCTCTCTACTAGCATTCATCTCTCTGGTCGGCGCACCACGGAAGCGGCGCGATGTTTCTTTTTCTTTGTTTTTCTCTTTTTCCTTTTGCTTCTTTGCCACATTTCTCTCTTCTTTCCTTTTCCTTTTTCCTTTGTCAATTTGTCCAATCCCTGGTCATTCCTAGACGCAAGAGGGCGGCATGGCGCTCATGATGCATTTTATTAGAGAAAAGTATCGGAACGGCATGGTTGGAAAGGATTTCGTGTTCACCCCCCTCTTATGACCTAGAAACTATGATACCCACTCACTCTTGGCGTTTGAACGGGGCTGCGAAGCGTCTAGCATCATTGTATTATTATCATCATTTTAGAACAATTCGGGGCAATGGTTGCTTTTTTCTCCCGTTTCCCGACTTCAAACAATACATCGAGTGGAAATATTCTCATTTACGGCGCCCCATTCTTGTGACTTGTAGCCTCAGTGTTGGACCATTGGGTCGAAAATCAAGCCCATCCTACCCAGTTTCGGGGAGGGAAATTGAAGAAAGCTGGTGCCTCGGTGAGGCTGAGCTTCACTTTCATCATGTGCTTTTCCTCCAAGGCCTCCCAACCTGAGCGAGCCTCTCACCAGGCAGGGCCTGATCGGCCGCCCTGAATTTGCGTACCATTCGTTCACAGTGACTCTCGACACATGGTGCCGGTGATGCTGTCCCTTGTCTTTCATGCCTGTGTTTGACCTGGGCAGGTGAACCTGATGAACATTTGAGCAATTACGACGACCCAGCCCAGCCCGCTGTGCCCCCCCGCAGCCCCCTCAGCGCCCCCACGACCAGCAACGCCGATTGATCGAATCACGAGACCCTCATCCAAGCGCCGCCAATCCTAAAAATGGAAGGCGCAAATCCACGCACACCTGACAATCTTGACGTCCTCGCCCTCTTCCTCGCGTATGATTCATCGATTCCCCTTTCACAAGTCCTTGCAATCTGTTTGTCGAGTGGTCCCCTCGCAGTCTCTCCCCTCCAATAGTAGAACTGTAGTGTACTTCCTTTTCCCCCGCCGCTGACCAGCGCGATTATTCACTACCCTTTCTCGTCGCCTTCGCTTATCCTCCCACCCCCCCCCCTGCGACGTGCGACCTATCCGGCATATCCCCGCCCATTCCCCTCCATCCCCGCCGTCTTTTATGCAAGCGTGGAGGGTTCGGATACTCTTCGGCGGGCTGCCCCTTGCCCATTTGTTCGAGATTATGGTGCCGGTGCAGCGGGCCGCCCCCGCGCCGAAAGGCGGATCGTCGTCGACCCCACTGGTATCCGCGTCGCTCCCGCCGCCACCGTCCAAAGACTGGGCGCCGCCGGCTCAGTAGTGGCGCGCGAAGTGGCAAACGAGGTGAGGGCCCCACGCCAATCTGAGGGGTCGATGGTGACTTATCAACAAGACATTAGCTGTGGACATTGGTCATTTTTGGGACATGGAAATGAAATAATAGCCCGTAGGTATCCATGGATGATTCAGCAAAAATGCTGAGGGCTCTTTTTTTTTTTAATTTTTTTACTTCTATCTTTGCCCTTTTTCTTTTTTGAGGCCTGGGCCGTGTTAGGATCAGCTTACCGTGAACGAGACTAGTAGCCTCTGTTGTTTCGATCTGTGAGGTCATGGGCACGGCTTGTCGGGTACCGGTCCTGGTAGCGTTAAACCCTGGCCACCCGGGCTCGGTTACACAAGGCTCTGAATACCGGGACCTCGGAGGCGTAACCGAGGACCGCGTCACCGTCCGATGGGACTCACACGGACTTGACGTTTGGTTGTGCCAGCCTGACCCCGTGATGCTCGTCGTAAATGAGTCCGTATAGGTGGTACCGGTACTTGCAATCGACGTCGTGCTCCCCGCCCCGGGACTGTTGGGCAGCTGACTCTGCTCCGGCGAGCTGCTGACAATTGTAGATCCGGGCACCTCGTCGTCGCAGGGCGCTTCTTGTGACCTTGTGGGCGCGGTGCTCCGCCCGGAGACCGTCGAAACAGTGGTCTGGGAATTTCCAGGCACCGTGGAACCGCCGGTCCGGGTACTTGCCTTGCTCGAACCCGTCGTCGCGGCTGATGGAGAGACGAGGCCTGTGCGGGTAGTAGCCGAGCTGGCCAGACCTCTGCTTTCAGAAATTGGATTTGATGTAATTGTCGCCGAAACGGAGTTTCCAGTGGCGGACCCCTCTCTTCCGCTAGACGATAGAGTTTGTTGCCGGGTATACGTCGTCGTATTGTCCCACATCCTGGAGCTGGTAAAGGGTGGTTCTTGTTCAGAGACACTTTGCGAGCCTGATGCAAAGCTTCTCGTATTATGACCCGACCAGTTTGCGGCGTGTGTCGAGCTTCCCGAGGCGCTCCCGGTGCGGGTCTCCACTCTGGTGGTTGACGCCCCGGATGTAACGCCAGCTGTGGGAACGGTGGATTGAGAGGTCGGCACTCTTGTTGAGATCGAGGATAGCTCACCGGAAGGCCGCCATGACACGGTACCCGACTCCCTTGGCGGGGATTGTGATGGGTCAGTGCTGGACGACGAGGTCGAATTTCCTCCTGCGATTGAAGAGGAAGGGCTCGAGGAATTTTCCCGCATCGATCCAGTCTCTGATACATCTGAATTGGAGTTGCTGGCACTCAGCCTGCTCACGGTTCCAGAGGCTGGCCTTGACGTCCCAGTTGTGCCCGACGTCACTGTCTGGCTTTCGGAACCTTCTGCTGTACCGCTTTGCGCGGTCCGCTCAATGGTGGAGGGCCTTTGCGATTGAGTGTCGACCGCACGAGAAGACCGCCCCTCGCTTGAACTCTCTCCCGATCGTGAGCTCGCGCTAAGATCGGAAGACCTACGTGGGAGGCCCGAGGTACCACTTGCTGGAGTTGGGACGGAAGAGGCAGTCCCCGAGGTCGTCATCTCGGGGCGGCCCGCCGTTGTTCTGGGACCAGTAGGAAACGTGTCGTCTGAAGGGAGAAACCCGCTTGAGACGGAACCTGGGACGTTGGATGGGGGCTAACCGTGCTCCCGTCTGTCCCAGAGGATTCATCACCAGACGGAATACCAGTGAAAGTGGATACCGTGCTTCCGGAACGGTTTCTCTCCGAGGACGGCGTTAGAGCTGGTAGACGAGGGTTGCCTAGAGCTGGATACAGGTAGGTTCGAGGTAGACGCGCCGAGTCTTGTGGCTGATCCCGTCTCACTTGGCCGAGTAGACTGCGTTCTTTCATCAGAACGAAATACATCTGAAAGGCTGCTGGAGGCAGTGGTGCGAGAGTTGGAGGACGTGTTCTCGCTACCATTCGTGGTGGTTTGCCTAGTATTTTGAGATTGGCCTGTGGAAGACCGAGTTGATCCGGACTGCTGCGATTGTGAGGAGCGCGTAGAGGCCTCGCTCCCGGGAACGGTGGTCGCACTTTCGGCATAACTGATTTGCGTAGCCGTGCCGGTCCCGGATCGGGCCCCGCTGCTGATAGATTCCGACCGGATTGAGCCCGGTGGCTCGGAAGATGAAGCCCTTCTGGTGGATTCAGTTAAGGTGTTGCTAGGCTCCCCTGTACCTGTGTTGGTCTCATGCTCAGACGTTGACCTGGTGGAAACGGTGCGAGTCTGGCTACCTGTAGGCGCTGTACCTATAGACGTTGACGATGTCGCCCTGGTCCTGCTGGATATATTTGTTTGTGACAAAGGGGCCGTGGCCGTTTCCGTTTCCGTTCCTGACAGCTGCTGTGGAACTGACGACCGCTGAGTTACACTGACTGTACCGGTGCCTGTGCCTGTGCCTGTGCCTGTGCCTGTGCCTGTGCCTGTGCCTGTGCCTGCGCCCGTGGTGCGTGGAGCAGAAGATGTGGATTGATTCGATTGCAAGGATCCGGTTTCCTCTCCGGATTCACTTTGGCGACTGGTGCGAACCGTGCTCTGCGTGGGTACGGCTGTGGTGCTGACCTGGCTATTCGACTCGGCGCTTCCACTTGTCGAACGGATGCCGCTGGTTGAAGTATCGGTGACCGGACGGGTATGGGATGTTACTTATCCTAGCATTAAAAAGAGAGAGCGTAAAAGGACGGAGGGCAAGTGTTATACATACAAAAGCCGCTCTGCGAAGAAGCGGTATTCATTTCGACGGTGGACCCTTCGGACCATGGCTGGTATGGCTCTGGAAGCGTCTCGTACGGAGGAGGTAGTCCATCGCCATAATCGTATCCTCGATGGCCGTCCCGAGCCTGGATAGGCGGGTATCGATGACGTAGAATCCTGGGGCCAGCGCGCCCTTCGGCACACACAACTAGGAAGACCAAGATATATGCCACCAAGGCCTCCATACTAATGGCTGAGGCTCTCATCTTGTCATAGAACTAGCCAAGGTAAGCCATCTGTTAGGAGTGAAGGGGGTAGTACGTCTTGCTACTGGGTTTTGATACTCACCTTACACCCGAAAGTGAGGTACTCGTTTTCAGTGGCCGACTCTAGGGAAGACGACGTGAATAGGGAGCCGCTCTAAAGGGAGAGCTTGAGGTAATCTTGAGGAGATATAGAGCAAGTATGAAAAGGGAAGAATATAGTCCAGTAGCAGATTTCGAGAAGCAAGGAGCGCTCTTATATGCTGAATCTCATGGGACAAGACTGGTTTTTGAAAGTATGAGGCGGGACACACGCTCTTTAAGAAGCTGGGCCATGGACCTGTTGGTCTCTCCTCCTCAGGAGGATCCGGAGTTGTTCAGTACCGTTTGTGAGATCGGTTGCGCACAAGGTCCCTGTTGGGAGGTCTATATTTCATCATTGCCTCATCCCGAGCTTGTTGAAACAACAGCAAGACACTCATCAAAGCTTGCCCATTCAGATGTCGTGCATGGGGAGTCTAACTTCTCTATCCAACAAGTCATTTTCCCCCATCATTGGTGAGTAGCGATGCCAACGATACGTCGAGGGACCGGTAGGCAACTGTCAGGATGTAGTCGCGTCCGCATTGGTGGGGAGGGCAACGCAATATATCTGCGACGGCTCGCCGTGATGGATGTGAGGACAGACCATGAAACCTGGTGACTAGTCGTTGGAGGTCAAGCTAGCGCTTTTCCAAGTTGTGATCTTGTCGTATACGAGATCGAGTGAGACTCTCGCGTGATATCTCGCCCGCCGCGATCTACTCTGGGGACACTCGAGAAGAATCGGACTCGGGGCTTCCTTTTGAATCAGGGGAAAACTTACCGATCCTTTCTCTCGCCATATCAATCCCTACTAGTGTTGATAGTCTCATGTTCCCTAGAAGTGGCTATGTAGGATGGGAACATTGAAGTGCGAGATGATTCTTTGAGGGGATTCTTTGGAAACTTCTGGCCCAGCATAGAGGTATCCATATGCCCGTACAACATCTTGCTCGGCCCGGGCAGTCTCCCGTACTTCTCTCGTTGCTCCACGATATGTCGTCCTCCTCGCGCCCTTAACCTGCATGTCGCCTTAGAGAGACAGCTGCCAACACAAAGTGGCAGATCTGTCAACATTCAGCGGGAAAGCCAAGTCTTGGGAAGGACTGGGATGTGGCAGCGTACACCATCTTTCCCTCATCTACAGGAAGGGGGGCCTAAAATCCACCCCCAGTGGACTTCTCTGCAGCGTCCCGTGTGATTTGAAGTGGTGGGAAAAGCCAGGGGTGTTCCTGGATGACGACGTAGGACGAGAGCCTTGAGGAACTCGAGCAAAGAAGAAGTACTCGCGTGGTTCTCGTACCTTGTGGGCAAATTTGGACCCGAAACCTTGAGTAACCTCAAGTGTTAGGAGGGAAGGAATAGCCAGGACGAACATGATATTGGTTCCTAAGAGAAGAATTTCTCAGTTCCATTGCTAGATGACTCGATCGGATCCTGCCTTTGAAACCTACTTGGAGGGGAGGCTATTCGAAGCGTTCAAAGAAGCAGCTCTGATATAGTAAGTCCTGCTCGCCTGCTCGCCATTGGAAACCAAAGAGTGCATTCAAGTCTGTGGATATATCGTAAATACGGCATGCCTCTTGAGCTTCCTGGCCGTCGTATCACCATGACCCAACGATTCCAAAATTATACACCGCCCAAAGCAGTCAAAGTCTCGGCCAGCAGAGTTGTGTCCCTCGCTCAGTCGTCTCTTGCCACACACAGGTTTCTGTGTACGTCTGCTCCCGTCCACTTTAATGATTGAAGATGTAACGCCAGTGCACTCCTCGCACATCGCTGTACCGGTTTGAGACAAAGCTCTCTATCGTTGTCAATGCTCGTATGTGATTGACGGCTTACATGTTGCTGAGATGTGACCTCACGACTCTCTTTGGCATGTGACTAGGCGTTGAGGTTGGAGCACTCGTGGAAAATTAACGGCGCAACACTTCCAAGGAAGATTGCCTTTGTCTTCACCCATCACTAAAGGTTACGGCCATGCCTGAAGGCTCCAGTCCAGTGTTTCATAACATCATTTATCGTTAGGAAGGGAGAGAGAGGAGAATGACGAAGAAATAGAAAAGAAAAATTAAGGAAACAAAAACGCGATAACAGCTTGAAATTTCCGTGTCCATTAACACCCCGCGGCCACATCCACCAATTTCAAAAGAACCATCCACACACTCGCCCCGTCAAGGCTCAGACAACCCTGATATATTTTTCGTCTCGAGATACCAACTCATACGCTGTGTCCATTCTCCCTGAGAGCGCCATTCCTTTTCCTTTAGGTTTAGTTTGACTTCTTGGTAGAGCTGGTCGCGCCATTACCGTTGGCAGTGGAGCGGAGGTCGTCAACGGACATGGACGAATGGTCTGCTTCGATATCGGCAGCCCACAAGGCAGCACCAGCTGTGTTCAGGTTAGCAAACAACTCTAGATATCACGCTATATAAAAGGAGGGGGGCCTACTGGTATTAGTGAAGGCGAACAGAATGGACAGGAAGGGGATCATCTCGAGGAGTGTAGCAACGAGGCCGAAGCTGAGAAATGCTTGTTAGACACAGATACCGTAGTGGACAATAATAGGGCCAAAAACATACGCAGTATACGGCGCAACGTGGATACGGAGCCAATCCGACTGACGGGAGTCAGACCACTTCTTCAGCTGGAAGTACTGTAGACAAAACCACCGTTAGCTAGGCTTCCTCTGGCAGGTTGTGACTCGGGGACGGGAAATAATGATGCGGGCGTACCCGAGAGTGAATGGCCTTGCCCCGGGCGCGGCCCTGGATGACGAGGAAAGCAACGGTTCCGACGATGGGGATAAAGTTGAGGGGCAGATACATGAGGTATCGAACAAGGGATTTAAGGCTGAAGCGTTCAAGCGGAGTCTTGACGATCCTTCCGAGCCTTTCCATGGCAGTTGAACCGGGCTTCAGCTCCCGACCCTCCTGGACGATTCCAGTGGCATTCTTAGCAACGAGAGTGCCGTCAAATGTGTCGATAAGGGCGTCATGGAGGAACCAGTTTCGCGCTATCAGGTTGGTGATGGTAGCGCTCTCGTTGAGAATGAGGATGACGGTGGTGAAGACCGCTAGAGGGCCGTTGACGAAGACGAGAATGGCAAGCTGAGGAAGGTAGGTGAAGAAGAACATGGCAGAGACCACGCTAACAGAGAGTAGCATATACGGCCCGAGCTGGACGGCGAAAGGCTTCCAGATGGAGGGGCGGGTGACGAAATAGAAGAATCCCTTGATGGGATACAGATACGCCTGGCTTTTCGCGGCATCGGCGACGAGGACCTTGGCCTTGTCAAAATCTTCTTGTCTGTCGTACAGGAGTGGTGGTTAGAATCAAGGGTAATTCATGGCGGAGAATATACGCTCCAAACTTACAGAACCTCCTGCGCCTTGGACTGGATGGCGCCAACAGCGCCTTTACGCGAGGACTCGGCTGAATTTTGCGACATTGTCGATGTTTGTTTTCAGACTAGGATGCCGCCGGATGGTGTAGAATGGTATGGCTTGGTATGGTTTGGTATGGGATCAAGATCTGCGGGGAAGCTATGCTGTCCACCCGAGCTCAACGTCGCACAAAAACTCGTGATAAAGGGAAGAATGCGAAGGGGAGACTCAAGGTTCGTTCGTACGGGGGTGGGAGAAAGAGAGGAAAAAAAAAAAGGTTCAAATTTGATTTTCACGATAGATGAAAGAGGAGAGAGTAAAAAAGCAGCGGTGAAATAATGTGGCAAGGCTCGTGGATGGCATCGACTAGTTTCTCTCCATGCAGCTCCAAGGTGATGATGAGCGACGATGGCATGATATCATTGGGAAATAACTGAGCTCCACGAAGCTGGGCTGGCGCTGGCGGCGCGCTTGGAAACTTGACACGGCCAACCACAAGTGACAAAGCGCCGCGCAGCTTTAGCTTCAATCATTTGATGTTCCCTCTTGTCACGTCAGTATCAGTTCCGCTCTCTTGCCCACTACGTCCACCACTACAAAAGCTTGCATTTCTAGGCAATAGTGGATGGAATGGATCCAATGGAGATGATCAAATGGATGCATACGGTGCCTGCCTGTCCGAGCGACTTGAGCATGGCCATGGCCCACCTCATCTTCCCTTCTTTGGAATGTGCGTGTGCGAACAAGGCACGAAGCAACGTCCATCAAGGTCGAGCTGAGAGATAAGCTTTGCACTGTGAGCCTGAGCGGGTCGAGCGGGTTGAACACTGTGTGATGACCTCATCCGCCTGTAACTGGACCCATCGGATTTGGATCTGGCATGTGCTCGGTTGGTGCTCTGCTGACCATAGCAGGTGGACTGGACCATCTTGACCAATTTATCCCCCACCTGCCATCTACATGTACTGTACTCAGTTGATTGATCCGCCGAGCAAGCACATGCGATAGTTGTCGGGTGCCTTGCCGTAGTCAACGTCTGTTACACCTATCTCGGGGAGGAGTTCCCAAATGATCCGAAGACAGGATCAAGAGGCCAAGGCCCCTCGTGCCATGCTCTGCTCCCTCTTGCAGATGTGCGCCATTCTACGGTACGCCGGATGAACTAATCTTGAGGAGACTACACTGAGCCGAAGGGAGATCTTTGAGCATTTTTGGATTCACCCAAACTATGTTCTTCGTTCGGTTGGCCGACCCGTATTGTCTCAACTTGCCTTGGTTCAAAAACGGGACGAGCTTGCTGGCAGCCGGGCGGAGTCTTTGTTATAAAGAAACAAAAAATAAAAATGGTCGTGAGGCCCTTTCAAAACTGAAAAGCGGAGAACGATGCCTGCATGTTGGAAATCAATGCCATCAATTTGATCTATTCCCGAACTCGGTTCAGCGCATCAATCTCCTGTAAGCGGCCACCGGCATATGCGAGGTTCCTGAAAGGTTGCAGGACCGCACACGATCTCACGCGGAATGCAAAAGACGTGGAAGCTGGAAGGAGATTGAGGTAGAAGGGCGGGGGAAGAACGTCCGACGGTTGGTGGGTGCCAAATACCACTTCTTTGGGGGACACAAGCAAGCCTTTGCGGCAGAGGCCCTGTCTCCTTACAAGTCGTGGGGTCAAGGGTGGCGGACGGGCCGCGAACGTGAGACTCAAGCACATTTGGTGGAAGGAGAACGAATCGATACCCCGAAACCCGGAAAAAGGCCGAAGGAAGGCTGCAAGCCGCTCAAGACTACGTGCTCAGGTTGCTCGAGATGAGCAGGATAGACCACCAGCTCTCTAGCCGCTAAAAAAGAAAACGGAACAAGGCTGGAACAGGCCTATACTAGTTCTCGTTCACCAGCGAGATGAGATCATATCCGGTGCATCATACTTTTCGTCTGTCCTGATTTATTCCCACCGATCTCGTCATGGCTCTGAACTCAGTGCACTTAAAAGCGCAAAGTGTGATGCGCAAGCGATATTCGGGACGCCTTTTCGGTGTCAAGGCCAATTTACCGTTGACCAATCGATCTATTCTTACATTACGACACCGGAGCTGTGATTGCAAGGAGCCTGCTCGCCTTGAAGGCGTGGACTCGCTCAATCATTGCAGCGGGTTCAAATGTATTCACCGAGTTAATCTCAAGACCTTTGCCGAGTTTTATATACGCGTACGGACCAGTGGTCCGAAATACTGCCTACCTCTTGTTGCTTTAGAATTAAAATTCAAGGCTTTCTGGCCCTGGGCCTTTCGGGATGGCAACATACGGATCCGCGGATCCGCGGATGGCACCGGATCAACCTCTTCATACAATACCCAAGACACCGTGCCGCGCTTCTGTAGTTGAACCATCGACTCCATGTTCGTCAAGATCATTTGATCAACGGGACTATTAGGGGCTTTGCTTGCTCGACCCCTCCACTTTCATCGACGCAGTGCACATAGTACATGTATTCAAAATGATTCCAGACAACATTGAACCTCTCTCAACGTTGAAAGGAGCCGGTCAGTGCAGCAGCCTGGCCAGCCATGGATGGTCACGCTAGACCCCGGCAGCTTGAGCCATCGGTACTGTGGATACTTGGGAGGGAACCCATCACCTGGCACCCGCCGCCGTTTTTGCGCGTGGTGACCTGATAACATTGGGCCGTGAAATCATCCATCGATCAATTTAAACCCCCGTTCGATGATGATGGCAATTTGGCGAGGGTTTTGGGGCAAGTACGAAGAGTAGTTGGTCACAAGAGACTTTTTCACGCTCTCCACAGACTTTGGCTAGTTCTCCCAGGCTTCGCCCGGTCCGTTTTTCGTTCTGTTTCGTCCTGCTGCCTCCACTGTGTTGACTAATTCGGTGTTTTGGCCGCCGCAGATTCAGCTGGACCAAACCAAATATTCGCACCAGCACTAACGAATCTTCACATGCGGATACGATACGGACCCTGATGTCGCGTCGCCTCTTCAAGGGTAGCGAGGCTTCTTGGGGGTTTCTACTTTCAACAGCGTTTGAATTAAACAGCATGCTCAGCACCTCAAATCGAATCTGGTTCAAGAGCACCCTAGAATAATTGCTAATACAAGTCCTGTTGATGGATGATAGACTGCGAGTTTCTTGGGGCTGGGCGCGGTGCAACGGGTGGTCCTGGACAGGTCACACTTGCATCAAAGAGTCGCAGTGGTACTTTGTCGCCGTCTCGGCATCGACTCCGCACTAGAGCACAAGCGGGCTGGCCTGGCCCCATTGCTTTCTCGTTCCAGGCAGATCCCCGTCAATTGATCTGCCCAACCAAGCCAACCAAGCCAACAACAGCACAAGTACCTGAGAACAAAACTCCTCGACGCCGACGGCATGTCACTGCCCGTCCATTTAGTGAGCCAGGGTGACTGTTACTTTTGCTTTCGTCTGAATCCCGACATGATCCTCCGCATCGAAGCCTGACAACTGGAACAGCCTGTGGCGTTCAGGACGATGCCATCGGTACGGAGATACTTGGTCTGACAAACTCGCTCTCCTCATTCCCTTCAATAAAAACAAAAGGGAAAGAAGGAGAAAAAGGAAAAGAAGAAGAAGAAAGAAAAAAACAGCCTCTTCCACTTCTTAATCCACCCTTTCCACCTTTTGACTACTCCGACCCTCTTGCACCGTCTGTTGTTTGTTCTGGATGCGGTGGTGTTTCTCTTTTCGCTGTCTCGTCGCCTGGACCCTCCCCACCCCCTTGTAACGGCCAAACCAGCTGTGTCCGCCCCAGCGCAGCCAGCAGAGTCGTAATAGCGCCAAGCCATCAAGACCGTCTCTTCCGTGCTTTTAATCATAAAACCCCCATCAGCCCAGTCGTCGCGAATGGGCCCAGACTCCACCGCCCCAAGTTGATTTCCAACACTGACGAAAACCGATACGAGCGTTCACTTCCGAGCGGCCTTTCCGGCCGACGAAGAGAAGGGGGTTCATTCTGCCTCGTCTCACGAATCTATAACCATTGGAATAACTTTTTCTTCTTCTTTTCTTCTACGCCCTCCCTCGAACGATACGCATTCGGGTTTCCCTTGCTCGCCCCTCCCCCTTATTGCCACACCTCAGGCTGAGGCCGCAGTCGACAACATGCGGCCCCCAAGATTGGCCCTCCTGGTCATCTTCTTCGCCGCCTCCTCCTTTGTCTTCTTCCGCTCTCTCGCGTCTCTGGCTCGATTCAGCACCATCCCACGACCTCTGACCCGAACCCCGTCTCGCCTGAGTGGCTTTTTCACCTTTTCGTCGCCCCTGGCTCTTTCCCCCGAACGCCGCCATCAGCCTAACCGACGACAACAGCACCTCCTTTCCCGCGAGGCCAGCCGCTTTCGGGCCTCCTTACCGTCTCGCGGGCTCAGCGGCCAATTATGGATCGGCAGCGGCTTCGCTGATGATAATCTGCAAGAAGGCGAGGGCGAGGGCGAGTTGGGCTGCAGCGATATCCCCGGCTGGGAGGATGGCCGAACCGCCGGCGCATTTAAGGGGCCCGCTAAGAATATGGCCTCGAGTGGCCGCAAAGACGCTCCCGCCACGGGACACTCCCGTCGCTCGCGGGGAGGAGTTGGCCCCATGGGCACGTACGATCGAGACCCTGCCGTCGACTCGGCGTCCTCTCCCCCAGTTTCCGAACCCGTCGACGACGGCACCGACGACTATCTGCAGCATGGTATCCCCTCGAATTCGAAGCAGCGGGGAACACCGGGCGCTGCTGGAGCCCGCCACGCCGACATACAGTCGATTCAGGAGGCGGCGGAGATCGCCGGCAAGATTGTCCTCCTTAGCCGTGGCGGCTGCGGATTCTTGGAGAAAGTGAAGTGGGCGCAGCGCAGGGGCGCCAAGGCACTCATTGTCGGAGACAACAGAAAGGGCGGACCGCTGATCCAGATGTTCGCTAGGGGCGATACCTCAAACGTCTCGATCCCTTCAGTCTTCACCGCGAGGACGACGGCCCATCTCCTGTCATCTTTGACCCAGCCAGGAGCTTCATCGAGGACATTCTGGACGAGCACGGAAATGCGGCGGCCAAGGTGCAATACTCGGATGTTGCCAAGAGGCAGAAAAAGAACCCAATCACCAAGCTCGGCGAGGTGTCCTTCTCCGAGACCGTAGAGGCTCCGGGCTCTAATTCCCGACGCCAGGAGCAGCGGCAGCAGCAGAAGAAACGGGGTTGGTTTTCAACCTTGTTCGGATGGGGAAACTCGCCTACCACAGAAGGCAAACGAGGTGCGCTGGGAAGCAGCCACGACTGGGTCCTTGTGGAGGATTGGGATGACGAAAGCGACCAGCTCATCAACCACGGCCTGAACAAAGGCGTCAAGACGGATGGGTCGCGTACCGGCGGTAGCCCAGGAAGCGGCAACTCGGATGGCGACGCGAACTCTGCGAGCTCGGGCGACGAAAACGGCAACGAAGCAGGTGGTTCAGACGGCAAGAAAGGCGGCCGAATCATTTCCACGCTGTTTGGGCAGGACGACGAATCCGACGACCGAAGCCCCGATGTTCCGGTGCCGAACCCCGAGAATCCCGACGAGCCCAGCCGGCCCCCGAGCGCGAGGGCCTCTGGGTCACGATTACACCGTCGAGCAGCACGAGCTCCTTTTTAGACACGCTCCTCGTCTTGGTCATCTCGCCGCTCATCACCCTATCCGTGGTGTACGCGTTACTCATCGTCCGGGCTCGCATCCGGAGGCGGAGGTGGCGGGCGCCCAAGTCGATTGTGGAACGGCTTCCCGTGCGTACCTACCACGCGGCAATCCCCTCGCCCATTCACTCTCCGCGCATTCCTTCGCCCACGACCAGCTCTCCTACCACGCCGCTCCTGCAAGCAACCCCGTCCAGGTCTAGGCCTCGCTCTAGAACGACCACGGGCGTGCCCGAGTCGAGCAGCTTCCTTACAGTAAGTTTCTTTTCTCCCCTCTCCCCCTCCCTATTGGGTAGTCTCCAGGTAGACACAGTGTTCTGACAGCTGTGGGAACAAAACAGCCACCACAAGTATCGAGCGAGTGGAAAAAGTACATGAGCAAACAGGTGGAGTGCGTGGTATGCCTTGAAGAGTATGTGGACGGGGTCAGCCGGGTTATGAGCCTTCCCTGTGGCCACGAATTCCACGTTGATTGCATGTAAGTCTACGCACAATGTCCCCTTCCCCTTCCCCTCCCCTATCCCCACGCCAAGAACATTCCTAACAATCACCACCACAGAACTCCCTGGCTCATCACTAGGAGGCGCACTTGCCCGATATGCAAAGGAGACGTTGTCCGATCCCTCGCGAGGGGCCCTCCGACGAGTCCTAGGTACGAGCCTTACCACGATAGCAGCGACGAAGAGGAGGTAGACATGGAACCGCCGCGGCGCAGCAACACGGGTGGAAGCAATCGTGAAGTTGAACTCGAGCGGGGATTGCTGTCCTTTCGCTCTGTGAACGGGCAAAGGCCGACGTCGGGACTCGGAAGATGGTTCGGGTCCTTGATGAACTCGCTCTCCGGCACGCCATCCCCTCCCCGTCCGGCCGAGAGGCCGAAGATCCGCGCACGCGGTAACGCATTTTCACCCTCGCTCACGTTGTCTCCAGAGTCGAAGGCTCTTTTACTTTTGGCTCTCTCTTTTTGGTCATTCACGGACACTTGGCGTCATACTCGACGCCCTATCTCCTTTTCCTTTTTCCTCGATTCAATGATACCCACCCTCCTTCCTTCTTTCATTATTAGCTCGAACACGTTGAGCCAACTCTGGCCTCTCAAGCATAGCGACTCATAGGGCTATCTCCTCTCCTTTTCCCCCTCCATCTTCTTTTGTCATTTTCGCTGCCCTCCTTTTTTCATCTTTTGGGGTTTTGCTTTCCTTAACACTTCCTTTTTTGCATCCAATCTTATCTCCAACATTAACCAACAAAATATCGGCGCAGGATGGGTTGGGTCAAGAGGGGTTCATCGGGCTTTTGTTGCTAGGAGCCTTGTTGTTTTTCGAGGATTGACGACTACATGGCTGTACTAAAGGCATATTAGGGCCGCTTATTATTATTCACTGGACGGGGCTGCAATGCCTCTTCCGGCGTACGCACACTACAATCAATACACTACATGTTATCTTTTTGCTGTTAAACGTATGGCCTTTTGAGATGCGTAGGCTTTGCTTCTTTGATTGATAACCGCATGAGGTGGAGTCGCAGCGACGCCCTCCTTTCCCTGCAACCTTTCGTTCCTTTTTTCTTTTTTTTCTTCTTCTACTCTCCCGAGGGAGTGTAGCTACAGCGCGGGACACGACATTGCACCTTTTTCATCCGCATTTCGCCGGAGCCGGCGATAAGTCTCCAGAACGGGGAAGGATTACGCGTCGCTGGGAATAGCGCCAGGGCCCTGATGCTTCATGCCCTGCGCGCAGACGCCGACACGCACGCACGCACACGAGCCATATCCACGCGGCACAACCTCAAGACGTCTAAGTGATACTACACTACCTAACGTGCTGGGCTTTCTTTTGGACCCTGCAGGTGATGCGCCCCTGAGCGAGCACTCGGTGGCTCTGGGACTAGGGTGGGGAGTGGTGTGCCGTTCTGGAGCTTGCGCTCGGGAATCGGCAGCGCTGAGGAAGGAAAGGGAAGAAAAAAACCCACGCACACATGCAAACGAGATTGGTTCCTCAATGTTGGATCGTTCCTTTGACAAAATCGTCGAGGGGTAATGGGATCTGCGCTAATTGCCCTCAGTGCAACGACGATGACGCTTCCTTGCAAGGGCGTTCTAATGTGATTGTTCGTGGCCCATGAATCGTCACCGCAGATATAGCAGAGTTTTCCATGACATTGAAACAGCCCCGCCCCGGAGTCCGCATGAGCAGAGGGGAGGGAGGGCTTCTCCCAAGTCAGGCGACTAAGCTTCTTCTTGATTCGAGAATCCGTGCATAGCGAGAGGGAGGCAAAGAACGCGGGTTTAAGAAAGAGCTCTAAACTTGAGAACACTGCCGTCGATAGGACAGCTGCGTCTAAACTCGAAAAAAGGAATCATGGACATGAAGTCCACAATCAACGCTGGCGGGAAGGCAAGACATGGTGGTGGGGGAGAAACGTTGTGTCATTTTTGTATAAGCAGAGTGGCTGGTCCTTGGCCTGCCTCGATCGTTTTCCCCAGACTCCCCGAGACCTCTTCAGTCCGAGATGCCATGGGCATCACTCACTTGGTGTCTCTGAAGCCAGAACGGTTTGTTGACTGGCTGGCAGCGAGACATCTCCGGCCTTCTTCCATGACGTTGATTAGGCAATCAACATGTTCAAACCGGTCTAAAGTTAGGAAAGCCACACACACCACTGACAGACAGTGGCACTCAAGCAGACCTGGCCACCAAAATCATCTAGGAGGCAGGCTGTTCAAGGCCGGCTAACCCGAGAATAGAATTCTGATGCCGTGGGACCACCGCCATACAAGGAAAATGGTACAGTGTCTAGATAACAAAAAGGAAACGCGTACTGTATGCGTTTGTGGTGGTTCTTTGCGCGACTTCGAAGTTGACGGCACGGCAGCAATGGGGCCTTGGGGCCCCAGGGGGCAGTGCTGATGAGGCACCTGGGCGAGGAGCTGAGACGGCCGGCCCCACTCCGCTGTGGCCTAACCCAGCACAAAGTATCATCAGCAGTCGCTGATATCATCATTGACCTTGTCCATCGATCAATAGATGTTGTAGATCAATCCGCAGCGCTAGAGTTAGCCCACGACGACTGTGGAGGGGGCTAACTGTATCAGGCCACTTGACACTTGGAGGCCGCGTGTGCACAGGCTGGAAGCCCGTTGTATTCTCCTTGCCCCCCAGCTAGAGATACCTGAACCCCCAGCCTCCTTGTGCGTATCTATATGTACCCCCGGATTTGGCGGACGACTTGTGGACAGTGCCAGACGCATTGATACCGACTGATAATATCAACCAAATCGCAGTCCATCACCAGATTGACTGACGCACTGAGGCTAGTACCAGGGAAAGCGCCATCCGCGACCCGCCATCCGCCATTCACCATCCGCCACCACCAGCAACAGAAACAGGGCGCCCTCCCCATTTCCATCTCGAGCCATCGATCTTGATTGATCCTTCCCCTTCACTCCCACAACTCCCCATCCTCGATTGGAACGGGATCAACTGCCAACCCTACAACAAAAGTTTCATTCCCCCCTTTCAAATTCGCGAATCTATTTTCCTTCTTGGTTTCCCCCTTTCTCTTTCTTATTAACGCTAGTTTCTCATCTTCACCTTATTCTTTTTATTCCCTTTGTTTGCTCGACGCAATACAAGGCGCAACTTGCACGAGCGCAACCCGGAGAATCACCATGCTGGGCAAATCGGTTCTCACGGCTGGGCTGGCCGCCACTGCCGCCCAGGCTTTCGTCGTTATCCCCATCGCCGACGCCGATCGCGCCATCTCCGACCTCCTCCCCTTCGATGCCCCGCCAGGCCGAGGAACAGTCCGTTGACATCTCCTGCCCCGGCTGTCCCGTCGAGGTCGGCGCCTCCTCGTCAGCGGCATCCCGAACCACCTCGAGATGGTCTTCTCCATCGCAAAGTCCGCCAACGGCGATAGCCTCTTGGCCAACGGCTTCGAACTTTACCCCAACCCCGATCCCTTCACCAGCTCCCTCGTCGCCCCCAGGTCCCCGAGCTCGATGACGTCCAGGAGCCCGTCCGCACCAAGGTCCAGCAGCTGGGCTACAAGTTCCACGTCTACCCCATCGCCAAGGAGGAAGAGGGTCAGCATCTCGAGTTAATCGGCGTCGATCTGAGCATTATCGAGGTGGGCGGCTCCTTTGTCAAGGGTATTCCCGAGGTCAAGGTCCAGCTCGTCAAGAACGGCGACCGCCTTGCCATCGCCGAGGTCGTAACCGAGAGCCCTCGACTCCCCGACTTTGGCGCCCACTGCACTACTCTCTTCTGCAAATGGAAGGCCTTCTTCACCGAAAGGATGGCCATGCTCGGACGTCCCGGCGCCTCCTGCCACGACGACGACGCCTCCCCGCCCGACTCTCACGATCCTCCTTTCCGCCCTCCCCACGGACGCCCACACGGTCGCCCTCATGGTGGTCCTCCCCTCCACCTCCCCGCCCCCTCACGGTCGCCCCCATGGTGGTCCTCACGGCGCCCTTCCTGGCGGTCTCCACAGCAGCCCTCTCGGTATGCCTCACGGTATTCCTCCTCACCACCCCGCCATGTCCCCCGGCGGCTTCCATGAAGGCCAGTTCCCCCACCCAGGACCCTTCCACCACGGCCCTCCCGGCCACCGCCATCACGGCCTCAGCCACGTTTTCTTCATGTTCCTTACCCACATCCTACTTCCCATTCTTACTGGTATCATCGCCGGCATCACTGCCAGTCTTATCGGAATGGCCCTCGTTTCCCTTGTCGTTCGTGTCTTCAACGTTCTTCGCGGACGTCGCTCCTCTCCTGAGGAACCCCCAGCTACAAGGCCGATCCCGCCGAAGCCATCATGTCTGAGGAGAAGGCCGGCCTTATCCAAGAAGAGGATGACGACGTTGAGCCTCCTCCGTCTTACTCCGATGATGCTACTCCCGCCTCTAAGTAGTAATGGCCTAGTTTTGTCTCGATCTAACCCTTGCCGTTTCTAAAAGGCGGCACTGAGACTCTAAATTCAAATAGCTCCATACCATTCTTTTCCTTATCTTCGGGATTTTCTTAGTTCATGGACAAAGGCTGCACAGGGGTTTCTTTTCTTTCTGGGAATTTGTGTCATATTATATCCATCTCCTTCGTTAACGCTGTAATCTTGTTGCAAACAAGAGAATAAAAACAAACATTATATCCGCAATGCAACGGCTTCCCATTTACTATTCCATGCCCCATGCTAAGTGATGTCCTCTTCCCTTGGTTGACCAGAGTACGTATCTATGTATACTTTCTGTTCTTTTCCATCCCTCTCCTGAACGCCCATTTATGAGAGGCGGGTTGTCTCATAATCTCGATCAGATTAGGATCTCCGAGCCGGCGGCCCCGCCCTCTAACGAGAGTGGCCAGAGCAGGTAAAGCCTGTAACAAGACCCCAAAGGCAAAAGTAGACGGGTCCATCATTGCCAGCGAACGCTTCTCCTCACTTCTTTATCGTCAAAGGCCCGCGCCTGCACGCGCTCCAGAGCCGCGCCCTGGTCTTCCGGGGCCTCGAGCGGTGGGCTCATTTGCCGTCTTAGCCTACTCGAGTCCGGCCTCTCCGCGGGGCGCATCGGCGGCTCGGGCGGCGGAAGCGCGAGATCGACCGTGCTGCGCGACCCGGGATGAACGAGAGCGGCCCGGCGGAGGCTGCTGACGGAATGTCGGGAGCTGAGGCTCACGGGACGGCTTCCGATACCGCCGGGCGCGACGAGAAAGACGCCGGAGCCGTTGTTCATCGAGTAGCGGTCGCTTAGGCGGCCGAGGGTCTCGCCAATCTTGGGCTCGCGGCGGACGCTGTTGACGGAGAAGTACGGCACGATGGGCTTCTGCTCCTCCTCTGGCTCGGAGCTCGCCGTCTTGACCGGCTCCGGGACGTCTGCGGCCCGCCGCTCTACTTTGGCCAAGAAGGTGGCCCGGCGGGACGCGAGGGACGCTGGGAAGGACTCGCGGTCGCGGGTGAGGGACATCCAGGACGAGATGACGCCCAGGATGATGAGGACGAGGACGGCCGCGACGAGGACGAGCTGGATGAGGACCACGATGATGGCTAGGGCGGTTGAGGGGATACCGCCGAGGCCAAAGGCGGGTAGGAACCCGATGGACAGGCCTGCCGTGGCGACTTTGCTGATGCCGAGGAGCCACACTGCGGCGGCGGCATTTCGCGAGCCCTCGAACGGCTGGAGCCTCGCGGTGACGATAAAGGCAACGACCTCGATGAGCAGCAGGCCAAAGACCTGCGCCATGGGGCTCGCGACCGCGGCGCCGAGCAGCGCGGCCCGCACCACCTGGTACCCGAACCACCAAGCGAAGAACCACCATCTCGTCCGTCGGTAGTGGGCCGTCAGCCACCCGAACCTCTTGACGTACGCGTCGTCCTCGTGGACGCTCACCCGGGCCGGGTCGTCGTCGGCGTAGCGGACATGAAGCCACGGAAGCGTCGCGAGAGGACGCCGCGCTTTTTCCTCCTCCGGCGGCAGGCTCGAGTGGCAGACGAGCGTGATGGCGGGGATGACCTTGAGCACGCGGGAGGGCTCCACGCGCAACCGGTCGCGGACGACCTCGTAGCGGCCGAGGCGTAGGCGGACGAAGCACGCGTAGAAGACGACGCTCCCGACGGCGAGTAGGACGAGAAAGCCCATGACGCCGGTAATGGCTTTGACTTCGGCGGGGGCGGGCGACGCGAGTTGAAAGAGGGCCAACGTTAGCAGCGGGGTGAGGCCTAGGAAAATGTCCGCAGGGACGCCACCGCTATGTAGCCGGCGAGGTGGGCTCTAAAGTAGGCGACCTTGTCGGGGTCAACTCGCGTGCGCGCCCAGCGCAGGCCGAGAACCCAGCGGAGCAGCGCGATTGATGCCGCGACGAGGGCTAACAGGACGAAGAACCACACCAGTGCCACGAGGAAGGCGGCGGACGTGGGCAGCTTGAGAACGGCCAGGGTCCCCGCGAAGCCGCCGTGGGATCCCGGCAGGGGCAGACCGGGTCTTGCCGGGCCCCCGGCCCAGGTATAGTCGTCGGGGTTGCTCGCGTTGAAAGGCGGCGCCTGTCTCTTGAACAGGCTGTTTGCAAGCTTGCCCGAATTGGCAACGGCGGCAGCGGCTACCCTTTCGCGGGGCGGCACGCCCGTAAAGGCGCTGGGGCAGTCCGCCGTCGAGGACCACGGATCCCACCGTGTTCGCCGCGCTCGCGTTCCCGCTGATACCGGCAAACGAGGCCACCCCATCGACGATCTGCTCCGCGTAGACGAGGCCCGACGCCCAGGCAAAGTTGCTTCGCCAAGCGGGGAGGACGCTCGGCCACGGCAGAGACACGGCGCCGGAGAGGAATATGGAGTGGAACGTTTCAAAGATGATGAGGCCGGAAAAGGCGTGGGCGTAATGCGTCCTCATTTGCGAAATGGCGGTGCCGTACACGGCGAGGGCAAAGGAGGAGAGGATGGCAAGAGTGGTGAAGAAGGCGAGGATGACGGGGATGGCGATGGGGTGGGAGAGGCTCTGGCCGTTTTGTAGGGCGGCTTGGAAGCACCCGATGCGGGTTTGTGTAGTGTTGGAGAAGACTTGCAGACGGGCGACGCCGTCAAAGTCGGGTATTTGGTATGCAATGCTCGGGATGACGTCGAGGGCGGAGGGGGTATGGGAATGAGAGCCCACGCTGTCAAGGGCATGTTGATATCGACTGGGCACATGCTGTAAGGTCCAAGCGAATTCATCGTTAGTTTCCATACCATACATACACGTCGTCGTGAATGTAGCCAGTGCGTGGTTTCTTTCTCTTATTCACGTACCTATACACCTGCGTCAAGCACGGGTCAAAGACCATTTCAAACTGCTGTTCCCCGTCTACCTCCGATCAAATCAGGTCAGCGGTTTGGGACCTCTCACGGTCGAGACCCATTTTGTTTTCAGAACCAATACTCACACGCTTCGACTGATATATGCACTGCGACCCGTTAGCAAAAAGGACCACTCCTCCTAGACCGAAATCACTGGACGTACACATGACATTCTCCTCAACTAGGGTCGAGGATCCATGCAAGTGGAACAGAACTGTCGAGTTATCCCTGTATAAACCTGCATCGAACTTGGTGATGCTGAAAGGTCGTCCCCACCGCCACCGCAGTCGCCAAAATCGCCGGTGTAAAGCGCCGGTGTCCGATGGGACGGAACAAATATTCTCTGGCCATCGTCGTCGAATCCCGGAAGAAGTCTCGTTTCCCTCGCCTCTACGTTTGCGTACAAGATGTTCCAAGAGAGCACGAGGAGTCCCAGACGCCCCAATGGTTTGCGCCGCGCCATGGCGACATATGAATAAGTCAAAAGGCGGATGAGGATCGGGGCGCTCTCTTCGTTGTCGACGAGGAGTGGGAGATGGTAAGCCGGCAAGGCGTTTGCAGTCGATTGATTGCCTTGCGGAAGGGGTGCTCTTGATCTCTCGTAGAGCGTGTCAAATCCAAGGCTCGTAGGGTAACGGTCGCGTGCTATCGGTGTAAGTGGAGGAACTGTCGCGCATGCGGTTGCGGTCGATTTTTGTTTTCCGGTTCACAAGGGAAATGCGTGTATAAGAAAAAGTCATTTCTCTCTTTAAAACAAATGCGAAGAATTAAATTATTCCATTTCTATTTCCAAGATGCATTGGCCAAGGCCTAAACTCGTGGATGGGTTGGTGACGATCGAAAATGCCCAGAAACCATTCACCTCGTGTTCATCTCCGGTTGAGCAGGGTCCGACCTCAAAATCAGATCGACCAACGTACTTTATGCGACGCCTCGAGTCAAACCATACGTGGGGAACTACTCAAAAGAGGAGAAGAGACCAAAAGCCCTTTTCGCCCCCATTGAGAGGCCAAAGGTTGAAAAAGTATGAGGACGAACCAATTTGAGGCAAAAGTCCAACCGAGGCACGAGACTCGATGAGCCGCGATCCTGAAGCCGTGCACATCAAACCCTCAAAGTTATAGCATCGCGATCCCATCTGGCTGGGCACCATGCGAATTTTGCTTGGCTAAAGAAGGGTTCGGGCCTCACGCAGTCCCGTCTCGAACTCACTTGAAATTTATTTCCATCTTGCTCAACGCAATGAAGCCTGGCTATTCAGCTGATGCCATCAAGTCTTGGTCCCGGATCGATCGCCGAGTATCCAAGGTTCGCAGAGTATCGACGGTGGATCGTTACATCAATTGAGGGGAGCTCCTCGATTTGTTTGAACCGTCTTAGAGTAGGATATACGTTTTACGTGGAGAGAAAGGTGGGCTTTTCGCCGCGAGCGGATGCTCTCATCCGAAAATCGAAACATAGTTCGTCTGGCAGGCGGGATCTGGTCATGTTTCTGAGGCCGGTGCGGGGGTTGATACGGGAAGATTAACGAAGCACTCAGTCAAGCTTGGCGAAGTCGCAATTCTCAGTGTATGACTCAGCTGCCCAGAGGACTCTTTCCATCTTTCCCTCGACTCGCCCTTTCGTGATCGCTCTCGTGACTTGAATCAGGAGCTGCCATGATGTCTATACCAGGCAGCTTAAGAGGTGAGAGATGCTCCCACGTCAAGGTGTAAGCTGGCTCTCCAGGATCGCCCTCTGTTTCCCAGGGTCTGTTAGTGGATTTCATAACCAAAAGTGGACCAATTGTGGGAGGACATCTCGAGGTGCCATCCAGGGGTCCTCCCAGCTACCTAAAGCTGCGTCGGAGTTAGGAGGGCAGAGACTCAAAGGAGCTCAAATGCTCGGGGGAGAGGAGAGGGGAACCCCTCTACCACATGGGAGGTGACGCCTTTTCAGGCTGACCCTATCTCCGACCGAGCAAGAGCATACGGTCGGCCCTATTGATCCATTCTGCAAGGCCGGGTCGGCCTACGCCCGCGCATTCCACCACAGCAGAGTGTATCGTGAGTCGGCTTGGCGGGCGAGCGGCCTTGGCCCGCGGCAGCCCGGCTCCGCTCGCGGCACCCTAGGCCCCGGTGTAACTCAGCTGCGAAGACCACGCTCGCGCAATCAAGATACTACGACTTTCGACAAAACGCAGGTTCGTCTCGGAAAGTCACATGCGGAATTGGCACACCGGGAATGGATGAGTTGTCGGGAACATGCATTTCCGCTCGAGTCCGCGGAAAATGCTTTGGGCTGGCCTTGGGCCGTGGAACTTGGGCCATAAAACTTCAAATGATTACCTCGCAGTGTGGAGGATGCCAAGAGTATAGTTTACCACTCGTCTTGCGGCGCCACCAGTGTCGTCAGTTATTGCCAGTCTCGCGTCAGCGTGCCTGGCGTCGGAGTTTGCAAACAAGGAGCCCGCTCCCATGCGCATCTCATGTCAAAAACGCAGAGCGAATTGAAACGTGGGGGAGAATATGGTGGATCTGAACAAAGCGCGATGCGGAAGCCTGCAGGGTGCATGCGACGAGTGTGATGGAAGCGAAGCCTCGAACCTCGAGGTCGTCCCGGAAATTCTTGGTGCATGGGCTCTTACAGTGAGAGATCCAAAATTGGGTGAAGGGCGAGGCTCGGTTGTCATCGCGCCCGGTTAGGCATCGGAGGCATCGAAGGACTAGCAGTAAATGTTGAGTGCTCAGAATTTGGCCTGCTGGTGTGTTACTTAGAAGCACCAGCGATCACGGGCCCCCACATTAAGCAACCTCAAGATCTCAAGCGGGGATAGCGAAATGCCCTTTCTAGTTGCCTGTTCGAAACCATCATACTGGCCTTGCATGCGCTGGCCAGTGTTCTGGTCCCTATCAAAGCTTCAACTGTAGAGAAGAACACTTGTTTAGGATTTTCTCACTTGGCTCGACTACGGGAGGGAGGCGGTGGATGAAGATGCCGGATTGTTTTCCGAAATGGGGTAGAATCGCACGTACGTACCCGACCTGACTTAGCCTCTTTTGAGGACTAGGGGGTTGAACAGGCGGAAGGGCTGCTTGGCCGCCTATTTGTCTCTTGCCTCGTTTATCGATAGGGCGTGTGCTGTTTATTAATCACGTCAACGGTTCAACCAGTGCTGCTTGTACATTTTCTCCCTCTTGGTCTCAGCCCGACTCATTTGCCCCTCCACTTCTCCAAATGCCTTGCTCTGAAAAAGGCAAGAGGGGCACAGGAGGATGGAGGGGCAACTTCCTCAGGGCAGAACCTTGAACCGGTTCGGACCCACAGGATCGGAATTGTGGAAGGTACGAGGTAGTTTTTGCCCACTCCGTCAACTGGCTTTGAGCACTTGAGCACTTGAGCCTTCAATGTCTACTTGCAAGCTTGTATTGTCGTTGTAAGTCACAGTACCTCGAGCTCAACCATCTCCGCGGGTGGACATTTCTCAAGTGTGAATTGAATTTATCTCATCCATGTTTTCTTTTCATACTCGTGCTTGCGGTGTGGACATCCCGATGACCGCGCGTCGGCCATATCAATTGATACCAACACATATTACTCGGACCACTAGCGGGTGTGTCAAACATCGGGAAAATCCAACCCCAGCCAAGCTCATATTATTCCGGACCATAGCCATCGTCAATCTACGGAGAAGGGGACTGCCGCGGCTGGCTCCCGTGCTCGAATTCACGGGAGTCCGCGAGGTGGCGCTTGTAAGGGCTTGCGTGTGAGAAGACGAGATGTACTGTATTGGACTGCATGCAGAGTAAGGAGGGAGAGAAGAGAGGAGAAGAGAGGAAAGGAGTGAGCGAGGATGTGTCCATGCGCGGCAGGCGCCTCGACTGGACATGTTTGAATTGCCTCAATACCAATGGGCCGATGCTACGGTCGTTCACGGACTGAGACCCTCGACGAAGAGACCAAGCACTCAGTGCTGAATGCGCCGACCGGACTAGTTGGCGGGTTGACGAGTTGACTGGTTGACTGGTTGAATGGATCATGTTCACCCTCCTCCGCCCGGTATGTGGAAAACGGGTGAGAAAAGCTGTCAAAGATTGAAACGTTGTACCGAGACAACAATGGACAGCTGACAATGTACTTTGCACATTACCCCGTCAAGCCCGTCAATGGATCAATCCCTTCCCCTTTTCCCTCTTGCGCATGCCTTGATTTCGGTAACCACCATGCCACTGTAGCGCCTGTGGCTATTTGAGGGCTATTCGGGGCATGGATGGGTCCACCGGATCGATGAATTACTTACCAAGACTGACTTGCCTGACGACCTCTACACGCAAGACAAGCCCCTACCTACTCGTACCTAGAGACCAGGCCGATTACAAAAGTCTGTTAATACCACATGCCTTGAGACAGACGCAACCCCACATCTAAGAAGGGGATAGTCTTTCCCGTCCCTCCAATTCGCCAGGCTGCTAATGGGAAGGGCCCACGCCAAGATAGAGTGCTTCGAGCACGTCATTTGGAGCTAAAAGAACATTTTTTTTTCCGTCCTTGAATTCGTCCCGCCAGAAAATTTTATTTGTTTGCGTGGTGCTTTCTTCTGACCCAGTCTTCGGCTCGCTCAACCCACTCGCCTTGTCGATTAGAAATTAGGATTGAGCCTTGGGGGCAGTAATCAGAGACATTCAGGGATCGGACCCTTTCCATATTAATCCCCTCAATTCACCCCAAAACTCCCGCTCGTGTCAAGCTCCGCTTTTCGTCGTCGGGTTGCGTTGCGCAAAGGAGATGGGGGATCAATGGATGGATATAAGCTTGGGCTAGACGAGGAACCTCGCGAGGCCTCAGCACAAGCTCCCAAGAACACCTGCCTCGAATGGCATCGTAGTCCCTCAATTGAAGTTTACCGTCGAGCCTGGGGCCTCGCAAAGCCTCTAGAAGACGAATTGGCCTGAAAAGAGGCAGATTGGGGCAACGTTTTTCAAGGTGACCCAGGCTGTCCGCCGAGCCAGACGCCTCCAGGACTGTCGGAGCTCCGACATCCGGTGTACCGAAGGGACTGGTGTCTGTATGTACTGTATTTATAAACCGCAACCCCAAGTTCCTCTTTGCTCCTAGTTTCCCCGGTCCCACTCCCTTTTCCCCTTCATAACTCTCTTGTTGCGCCCTATCCTCGCGTGACTCCCTCGACTCGACTCTACTCTTTTGCCATTGGAGAGCCAAGTTCCTGTTGTCTGTTTCTTTCGCCGCCTCCTCGATACCCTAACTCAAGATGCCCCTCACCCCGCACGGAGGTGTCCTCAAGGACCTTTTCGCCCGCGACGCCCCTCGCAAGGACGAGCTCGCTGCCGAGGCCGAGACCCTTCCCGCTCTCACCCTCTCCGAGCGCCACCTCTGCGATTTGGAGCTCATCCTCAACGGTGGTTTCTCTCCTCTCGACGGTGCGTCTAGTTCTTGCCCCATAGAGTCCTCTAGTCCTCCTCTTCTTCGCCCACACTCCCAAATCTGATGTCCTTGTGGTGCTCGGCCGCCCAAGGTGAACTGGCCGGGGCATAAGGAATTGCCCCGCAGAGGGGCTTGTGTGGTGGTGTCTCTGGACCGCGGAAATTTTTGGCTTGCGGAAATTTAGCTGACCGTGCGCACTTACACACAAACAGGTTTCCTCAACGAGAAGGACTACAATGGGTATGTCGAATGAACAGGCGGGGCCTCACGAGGCCCAAAATCTTGTGTGGCTAGCAGTGCTAATTCATGGGAAATTCAGCGTCGTCAAGGACCTTCGTCTCGAGAGCGGTGTCCTCTTCAGCATGCCCATCACCCTCGATGTCGACCAGGCTACCGTAGACGAGCTCGCGATCAAGCCCGGTGCCAGGATCACCCTCCGAGACTTCCGTGACGAGCGCAACCTCGCCATCCTGACCGTTGAGGATGTCTATAGGCCGGACAAGTACGTATAACCGCCATTGCTTGCTCCCCCATTTCGCTCTCAATTCCGTTGGTGAGCGCTAGTTGCTAACCCGCATGGTTTACCCAGGGCACTTGAGGCTCGTGAGGTCTTTGGCAGCGAGGACGACAGCCACCCTGGTATCCACTACCTCTTCCATACCGCCAAGGAATTCTACGTTGGTGGTAAGCTCGAGGCTCTTAGCCGCCTCGACCACTACGATTTCTTGGAGCTCCGATGTAAGTTGCACCCCACAGAGAAAGAAGAAAAAAACTCCAGGGGGCTTTCAAACCACTTTTCTTGAGCGTGGAGCAGGCCCGCTAACCAGTTGATTTTTTTTCTAGACACTCCCTCCGAGCTGCGCGCTCACTTCGAGAAGCTCGGATGGCAGCGCATCGTCGCTTTCCAGACCAGGAATCCCATGCACCGTGCCCACAGGGAATTGACCGTCAGGGCCGCGCGATCCCAGCAGGCCAACGTCCTCATCCACCCCGTCGTCGGCCTGACCAAGCCCGGTGACATTGACCACTTCACCCGTGTCCGTGTCTACAAGGCCATCCTTCCCCGATACCCCAACGGCATGGCCTCCTTGGCCCTCCTCCCCTCGCCATGCGCATGGGCGGTCCCCGCGAGGCCATCTGGCACGCCATTATCCGAAAGAACCACGGTGCCACCCACTTCATCGTCGGCCGTGACCACGCCGGTCCCGGCAAGAACAAGCAGGGCGTGGACCACTACGGCCCTTACGATGCCCAGGAGGCCGTGCAAAAGTACCGCGACGAGCTCGGCATCAAGATGGTCGAGTTCCAGGAGATGATCTACTTGCCCGACAGGGACGAGTACATGCCCAGGGACGAAGTCCCCGAGGGTGTCAGGACCACCAACATCTCTGGTACCGAGCTCCGCTACAGGCTCCGTACCGGCCGCGAGATCCCCGAGTGGTTCTCGTACCCCGAGGTCGTCAAGGTCCTCCGAGAGCAGAACCCCTCCCGTCTGCCAAGGGCTTCACCATCTTCCTCACCGGTTACCAGAACAGCGGCAAGGACCAGATCGCCCGCGCCCTCCAGGCCACTCTGATGCAGGGAGGTGGCCGTCCCGTCTCCATGCTCCTCGGCGAGACCGTGCGACACGAGCTGTCGGCCGAGCTCGGCTTCAGCCGCGAGGACAGGAAGACCAACGTTGCCCGCATCGCTTTTGTCGCCTCCGAGCTTACCAAGGCCGGTGCCGCCGTCATCGCCGCCCCCATCGCTCCCTTTGAGGATGCTAGGCAGCAGGCCCGTGAGCTGATCGAGAAGACCGGCCCCTTCTTCCTCGTGCACGTCGCCACGCCCCTCGAGTTCTGCGAGAGGACCGACCGCCGCGGTATCTACCAGAAGGCCAGGGCTGGTGAGATCAAGGGCTTCACCGGTGTCGATGACCCCTACGAGGTCCCCACTACCGCCGAGCTCGTTGTGGACTGCGAGAAGCAGACCGTCAGGTCCATCGTGCACGAGATCATTCTCCTCCTCGAGAGCCGTGGTCTTCTGGACAGGCTCTAAACTCTAGGCAGGCCGAATACACCGTCATTGGTTAGAAAACAAAAGAGAAGAAGGTTGTTGCAGGGGTGAGACGAGGGGGACACCAGCCGGACAGCTTTGAAATGAGCGGGTCGATTTGAGGCAGGCTACTGGGGATGTGGATAAACCCCATCACGTTGCTTGGCTTTGGCATTTTCTCTATACAAGACTTTTTGGAGTTTTCTTGTTCTTTTTTCAATTTTTTTCCTCCTCCCCCTAAAAGATACCTCCTAGTGTCTTCTTCCTCCCCTATCAATATCTGCTGTAGATTGGAATTCCGAGTTCCCGCTCAGCAAGTATCGAAGATCAAAGCATGGGCAGCGTGAGCTTGTGGTCGGGCGCTGGATAAGCATGTCCGTCCGTATCTACCATCATGTAAATATCAAGTCCGATGAGATAAACGAAATGCAATATTACGATCTAGACGAAACTTGTGACATCTGACAGGCAGCCAAATTTCGCTTGCAATAGACGTTCGCGAGCGCTTCGAGAACCATCTTCCCAAGGTGGGCCGAAGTAGTGAGAACAGCTGATAGGCGGGGTATTGCGCCTTCGGAGACGGAGAGGTGATTCACAGAGTATTTTTAGAGCCGTGGGCGCTTGGCCAACCCTAGCTGGACCTCTTGGACGGCGTCTCGTTGGGGGCTGAATTGTCTACGACAGTGCGGACAGCCTAGACAACGAGCCGTGGGCAGGACAAGACGTCAGGTGATGGGCCAAGTATGAAGGCTTCACGACCCAAGGATCTAAGTCGCAGGCATAAGCCACTGGCGGGCATTCTGTCGTTCGTGGAGACCAGCTTCCACCTCCCAAGGGAACGCTGCGGGCTCAGCTGTGCTGTCCAGTCCAATGCAGCAAGGAAGCAGGCACGTGTGGGGTGAAGACAGAGGTGTGACAAATGCAAGCGGAGGGTGCTGCAACCATGAGTGGACTGCGCGAAGAGATAGGATAGACAAGAACTCTTCGGTTGTAACGGGACACGCCAGCTGGATCATCAATATCTATCAAATCGCTCTTGTTCAACTCCAATCACCCGGCCGGATAGTGTTGTCCCCCTCAGCAATAGATGAGGGGAGACGGAGCCAGCAGGTCACACCAGGAGAGTAACGCGATACGAATTCGGGCCCATTCAGCAGAAACCCGTATCTTCCCCTTGTTTCGGGCAGCTTTTATTCCCATCCTGAGAAACCAATCGCACGAGCCCACGCGCGGGTTGTTTGACCATTTCCACTTCCCCTCCTCTGTCTCTAGATGATGTCGTGATGTGCGCAACGATTGAATCGAGTTGAACGCTGGAAAAACAGCTCATATTAGTCATCGGACCAGACAGAGCAGGAAAAAAGATGTGATTATGACTCTGCACTGTGTAGCCAGCAGGACTAGAACACTGTGCCAAGTACCTTTGTGCATATGGTTGGTGGCGGGCGCTTCCCGCCCTCTCCTCTCTCTCCTTTGCTCCGCTCCGCCATGGCAACAGCAGGCTAACCCCCATGTGTTCGCTCTCTCAGCAAACTTGGGCAGAAATAAGGCTCCCCCGTCGGCGGCTAGTCCATTCACCGACCCTTAAACAAGCCCACTTGCGAATCAACAAAACGAAAGCCCCCAACTAAACCACCAATCCTAAACTCAACCAGCCGCCGCTTTTCCCTTCTCCCCTCCCCTGGACGAGACAAAACCTTGTTGCTATAACTTTACCTGTTAGAACGTCATCTCTCCTTTCCGATCCTCGATTTTCCCCGCCTTTGAGTGCGATATCCGTTCGAGCCATAGACGGTCCGGAACCACCTGAGCTTCCCCTCCCCGCCACCAATCCCCCGTGATCGACCTGAAGCCGGCGAAGATCTGAGTTAAAAAAACAACCAACACCAAACCTTACCCAGATGCAGGGTAGAACCCCGCACTATGCCATCTAAAGAACGTGAAGTTCTCGACGAAGAGGGCCGGTCCCGCGAGAAGCGTCATCGAAGCAAGTCGGAGAAGAGTAGGTCGGAACGAGATGGGAGCAAAACGCACAGATCCAAGAGGTCATCCCGGAGCAAGCCTGCGGACAGCGATATCCAGTCTACATCGACTAGTCACCGTCGACGTCGGCGGTCGAGAGAGGATGGGTCCACGAGAGAAAGGAGGGCGTCTCTGACGGAGTCACAGCTCGAGGAGGACAGGTCCGTTTTTAGTGTCGCCGACCGAATTTCGATGCCGTATCCCTCCTTCAGTAAGGCGCACAGCAAGGAGTCGGTCGTCAGCCGGGACAATGGCCCTACCTCGAAGAAACAGGGTGACCCTTTTACGCCAGAGCATACCGACGTTGGCTCGAACCTCAGGCGATCGCAATCCGTCAACGACCAGCCCTCCGAGGTTCGATCGACAGGCTCGAAGAGGGACGGCCGACCACCGACGCCCCCGACACCGAACTTACGTCTCAAGAGAAGTCGAGATCCAAGACTCCCGAGTCGGCCATCAAGTCGAGCGTAGAGAGGCGCCCTAGCTCGAGGGTTTGCTCCACCACCTCTGGGGATGCATCGAGGGTCGGACCTACGTCTCGGGTCAGCACCGCCAAGTCGTCGTGTCTTTCTAGCCAAGCGACCTATGTCAAAGCACCCAAGGCAACGTCATCCCGCGAGCATCTCCATCCACATGACAGTGTGAGGCGGTCATCATCACGAGGCTCTGGTTCCGATCGAGGTGCAAAGCATCACCCAGAGCAAGCGGATGCAGACTCTCCCCCAGCTATTCCGATTCGTCCCCAAAAACGCCCACCCAAAACCAAACATTCCCTATGCCCCCACCACCTCCCATGTTTCCTCCCAAGGCCGGTGCTGCCTACGGCTATGAGCCACCAATGGTCATCCCCTCAGCCACGCCAGTGTACATCGTCAACCCCTCCGCTACCCCAGGGTTTGATGGCGGCACTCCTGGGCCGCCACCGCCGCCTCCGCCGCCACCACCCCCTTGACTTTAGCGATGCGCCACGTGTTGACTACCTACTGCAAAATGGAGGGCTTCCTTCCCGGGTGTCGAAGAATTTCCTCTCCGTCCTCCCACGCGTGAACGGGACCCGACCAACTAGCCCCCACTCACCGGCGCAGAGACCCTTTTCGCACCTTTCTTTAACCTCCTCGATAAGTATGGCACCGTAATCAATAAGCATGGCTCGATTGCCGTGGCAACGGGCCATCGGTCTGTTGCAAGGAGGTTACTTGACCGGCTTGAACACGTCTTCTCCCGAGACCTTCCGGAGCAGGGCTGTGCGTGCATCATCTGTGAACGGGCCGAGGGCGAACAACACGGTCTGAACTGGGGCGAGGTCCTTGAATGGGTCAGCGGCCGCATCGACCTCCCTCAGTGGCCACCATTCGATCTCGCTGAGCTCAGCGCCAAGGCTGCGGAGAGCAAGATGAACCTTCCAAGACGGCCAAATTCACCCATTAAGCTTGACCCCGATATCGCCGAGGAATGGAGGGATCACTATTTGAGACAGTCGAAAAAGGTCAGGCAAGCGGTAGACAAGTGGCTCCACAACTGCGGAGACGTGGCGGCCCCACCGCCGCAGGAAGTCGACGATGAGACGCTCACGTTTGCCATTCTCACGAACCTTGATGCCGAGGATCGGCCCTACTTTAACGCCTTGTTCTCAGGCTCTAAGGAGCTGCAACCGGCTCTCCGAGCGCCAACGCCTATCCGAAAGCCTCGTACCGACTTCTTGGTCAAGACAGGCTTGTCGCTACAACGCCTCTATCGACTTGCACAAGCGCCGAGGGACGCGGAGTCGGTGGTTTATCTCATCAAGAATCGTGGCACCCACGACCTTTTGCACACGATTTCCGATATCAACAATTCCGAGTGGGAGATTCTAACATCAGGGCGCTTTGACGGTTTCCTCTGGTCAGGAGCCGACGGAGACGACATTGCGACACCCACGGCCACCGAGTCCCGTGGCCCCACGCCGGCGAATGGTTACTTTTCGGGATCGAGGCTGAGCTTCAACGGGCGGGCCACTCCTGCGGGCATGGGGTCCCGGATGGCAACACCTCTCCGGCCGTATTCACGAACAAGCGCGGCGACACCCAACTCCTTTATCAGCATAGCATCTTCCAGTCATCCTAGTCGGCAGGCGGTTTCCAACGATGAAGAAGCCGAGATCGCGGCCCTTGCGGAACTAGAGCGCGAAATCTTTTCGGGTATGGAGGCGCTAGAGGACGCGTTTGAGGTTCTTCACCGCCGAGCCGAGGAGGTCCAAACGGCCCTGCGGCAGCGCAACGCTGGGTTGATGCAGAGCCTGCGGTCTCGGAGGCAGATCAACGTTTACGGGGGCCCGGAGTCTGGGAACTCGCTCGGATCCGCCGAGTATGGGTTTTATGCACCAACGCCAAGTGAGGATGGTGTCCCTGTAAGCGACGATGACTGGGGTGCGGATGATTTCGAACTGAAGCCCGAAGATTCGGCGAGTAACATAAGCAGTTCTCGGCATCGAAGACCCAAGAGGCGACAGGAGAGACGGACACCTGCGCCCATCGAGGAGGGCGAGGAGGAAGATTACTAACGATTATCTATTTCGATTTCTACCAACGGGAAGGCTTTTTCCTTTCCCTCACGACCTGCAAAGTCATGTTTGGTTGCTTCTGTGTGTTTCGCGCGTTATATCCAAGTGGGGGAGAAGAAGGCCTTTTGTTTGAGTCCCTCCCCGTGTATCAAATCCTCTTCCAGCGGAAGAAAACAAGGAGAACAGAACTCGAGAGGGAGACGAGCCCGTTGCGAAGCTATTCATCCTGCTTTTATCATAATTCCACAAGGGCACCAACCCTGAAGAATAATACCTCGTCTTTTTTTTTTTTTTGCACTGGTTTCTCGTGCCTTTTCTTTATCTTTGTGGGCCTTTTTTTCACGGTTACTTGCCCCGTGGAATATCTTGAGAATCTAGAAACTGCAACACAGACTTTCTCCCATGAGCAATGTCTCTTACCAGGCCAGCCCCGTACCCGTATAACACCAGTGATGCAATGCAGCCACGATCGTTTCGACGACTTGTTCGAGATGAATCTTGGTTAAACGAGGCGACCATGCCTAATTGCGCCCGCAAGAAATGTTGTAAACGTAGCTCGAGGACGGAGTCCTGGGTTCTAGCAAAGGTCAGTTGTCAAAGTTTATAAAAGCTGCACGCACTTCTTAGATATGAAGACGGGTCGTATCTCGACGATTCTTGCCCTCGGCGAAGTCACCCTAAAATATCTAACCAGACGCGGATGCGCGGCGCGTGGCTGGACGGCATTCCCACCATCTGCCGAAGTGGCCCCGTACCCCAACGTGCCAGAGCCTCAGATGACTACCGGATGCATGGTGCCGTTTCCCTCCTAGCTTCGGAGCCACGAGTGCGCAAGTCACGCCCAAAACAAAACGCATCGGTTTAGGAGGGTGGCAAGTGTCTCGTTCCTTCTAACCACTTGCGGCTTCCTGATGTATCCTGCTACCAGAGGTGGATGTCTTTTGTTCTTTTGTTATTTGTGTGCTTAAAAAATAAAAAAATAAAAATAAAAACTCCCAGATAGAAGGGACCTAATAAAAGGGGTTCTACGAGAGGACCCCGAATTCGCGGGCACGTTCCCACTCGTGGAGGAGACTTGCCGGGGTCGTCTCCATTCCTTTTTCGTCCGTCACACCTTTTGCTACCCCGCCATAACCCACTTCACCCCACATTGGGCCATCAGTCATGGCTTTCTCAGTTGCTGGCTCGCGACTTCCCCAGATCATCATGCCCCGCATCATGAACGGTCTCTGCTGGCTCGACCGAATTTCCGCTCCGCGGCTTTGCCGGAATTCAACTGGGAGGTGAAAGAAGAGAAAAGAAAAACCCCCGTTTTTATCAGGGAGACGATGGAAAACTGGAAGGGAGAGAAGCGGTGTTTTGAGGGCTCAAGAAAACCTTGTGTCTCGGTCCCAGCGAAATCAATGGTAGGTAAATCGCTTGGCGAGGTCCAAAAGCTGAATTTGGAGGAAACCTACTAGTATTATGCTTCTTCTTGGTCTCTCTACGTCTCCCCGCATCATCATCCTGGCTCCTATCGGCAATTCCGTCCCCGACAACAGCCCACCTACCCGCCCACCTCGCGCCGCCCGCCTTACTCCGAGTTTCCGTGGCAAAGGGGAAGAAAAAGGGACGGTGCATGAGGGGAAAACCAGAGCAGCTCCGTCACTAATCCCCGAGCGCGCATTGGTCAGGGGGTCGGGGAGCCAGGGAGGCACGAATCGGGCCAGCTTCTCGAGCTACCCATTGCTTTGTTGCTTTGCTAACCTTATTACAAGAGAATTACGGAGCAAGTTCCAAGTGCCTTGGTCGGTATCCGAGTCTTTCGCGTTCCAAGTGGGCTTAGATCTTTTTTTTCCCTTTAATCTTTTACTCTTAAAGAAGAGGAAGAACCTCGTCTGTCCTCGTGTCTCATCGTCGTCACCCTTCTTTTGTCTCTTCTTCATATCCTCCCGTAGACGGTGTTATAGAAGTAGAAAACTTTGGAATTCTTTCTCCTTTCCCTCATCGCCTCCGTCATCTGCTATAGACCTCGCTCTTTTCGGTGTTTCTCTTCTCAACGCCCAAGTTTGGTTTCGCACCGCCGGGCAAGCCAGCTTCCTGACCCTCCTCCTCGCTCAAACTCCACACATCTTCGCCATCATGGCCGCGCAGACCAACGGCAACGGGAAGCCGCCGCCCCTCCCCTCTTCTGGACCTGACAATCGACAACATCACGCCAAACACAAACCGAATCAACTCGCAATCCAACAATGCGCGCCTCATATATCTCATGACCCGCCTCGTGACCCATCTCCACGACTTTGCGCGCGAGACCCGCCTTAGCACAGACGAGTGGATGCAGGCTCAACTTCCTCGTCCAGTGCGGCCAAATCAGCAGCGACGTCAGACATGCAAGTTGCAACCTCGTCCATCAGCGCACCTCTTATCGCGCGGCGTCCCCGCATTGGCTAGAAAGCGGCGAGGGGGTGGGACCAAAAACGAAAGAAGGCACCGCATACACTAACACCCTGTTCCGTAGGAATTTATTCTCCTCTCCGATGTCCTTGGCCTCTCCCTGCTCGTAGACAGCATTAACCACCCCAAGCCCCCGATTCCACCGAGGGGTCCGTTCTCGGGCCCTTCCACACCCACGATGCCCCCACGCTGGGCAACGGCTCCAAGATGGCCTACGACCCCCAGGGAGAGCCTCTCTTCTGCCTGTGCACGGTCAAGGACCGCCATGGCAACCCTATCCCTGGCGTCAAGATCGACATCTGGGAGACGGACAGCAGCGGCCACTACGATGTTCAGCACGAGGGCAGGGACGAGCCCAGCGAGCGCTGCGTCATGGTCTCCGACGAAAAGGGCATGTTCTGGTTTGAATGCATCAAGCCCGTCAGCTACCCCATTCCTCATGACGGCCCCGTCGGAAAGCTCCTCGCGCAACTGGGCCGCCACTGCTGGAGGCCGGCGCATCTTCACTTCATGTTTGAGAAGGAGGGTTGGGACCATCTAATCACGTAAGTTGGGCGCGCCTATCCTGTACTTTTTGCCTTTGCACGCATGCGTTTGTTGTTCAGGCTACAACGGGACCTATTTCAATTGCTAACCATGTCTCGTTTCATTTACGCAGTGCCCTCTACGTCAGGGGTGACCCATACGAAACGACCGACGCCGTCTTCGGTGTCAAGAAGAGTCTCATCATCGACCTAGATACCGTCGACAAGGACATTGCCCAGCAGTACGGAGTCAAGGAAGGCATCCTCTACCTGAAGCAAGACTTTGTCCTCGTCACAGAGAAGGAGACCCAAGAGCTCCGAGACCAGAATGCGCGCGAGGCTATCGAGAAGCTTGGCCTCAAGGTTAAGCTCGTCGACCATCTACCCGTACCCGATTTAGATTAGACTTAGAAGGGCAGCCTTGATGATACCGGGGTATGGCGGAACGAAGCAGGTGCCGTGAGCGGATGATGGTTGTTTAAAAGCCCTAGAGTGGCTCCAATGTGTCTCTATATGGAATATACAAACGCAGCGCCCCAAGGGGGATAGTAAAGAGAAGAGAGGGAATCTTTTGAACCGGAACGGGATAGGGGTATCATGTTATGAGTAATGGAATTTCTTTTCTTTTTTTGGGTCCAAACCTTGGTCTCTTGTCCCATTTCTTTCTTCTTTCCCTTTTATAAACTCTCTGGTCTCATCCTCCTTTTCCACTGATCAACGGATGACTAGTACTTTTCAATGACCTCTGGGGCCCGTCTTCAGCAACTTGGATACGTTCTCATAGTATCCTGCTGTACCGCCGTACTTGGAGATGATGGGCTCGAGGTCCGTCTCGCCGGTGCGTTTCCTTCCCAGGATTGCCGTGTTTCGTGTGCTTGGGATGCGGAGCACCACGGATTCTACTTCATACAAGCATTCCTCCGCCAGCTTGGATGCCCACGCCACGAGGCTTGCATATGCCGACGTGCCGTTTGCGGCACCCTTTGGAGGCGGCGCGCGAAACTTGGCACCGCTGAGATTGTGACTACAGCAGGGTATCATGATGAAAGGGCAGTCGGAATGGGCCGCCAGGATGGGTGTCCACGGGGTCAGCTCATCGGCATGATTGGAAACGATAAAAGTGCCTCGGGGAAAGACGCCGTCGTGCAGAGCTCCGGGGTCGGTGAATTTGCCATCCTCGGCCCCTTCGTCACCAGCATGGGGCATCGCAAATTTCGGTAGAAGGACACGAGCCTGTAGCGAATCCTTAGCACCACCTGTCGACGGCGCGCCAGCAGAGTCAGTAGGGAGATTATACTGTGCCCAAGACTTCCTGCTGCGAGCATCAAAGCCCCAGCCGGAATAGCCTTCTTTTCGGAGAATATATACGAGCAAGCCATTGCCGCATCCAATATCGACGAAGTCGGGAAACTCCTTTTCCTTATACATGTCTTCCCATAGCTCTATAAGGAAGGCAGCAATGCCAATATCCTCAAACACATGTTTAGAAGGATCCGTTTGCTCAGCCCACGTATTGATGAGATCCTTGGCATATTTCGTCCGGAGTTGCGTATGCCTATCCTGTAGCCGTTCCCGAGATATGATGCTGTCCGGATTCGGCACGCGCTTCACGTAGCCCGTCACGGTTCCTTGCCCGTGCTTGTGTAAGTGCTGGAGGAGCATGAGAGCGGTACGTTGTACCTTGTTGCTGGCGCGCAACTCATCGTTGTCAAAGTGCCAAAGATGGACGGAGACTACACCACTTGACGCCGAATCATCCCATTCATGGAGGTGGGCGACGCCCCGAACCTGGGGATGGTAAAAGGGGGCCTCTTCTGGCAACGAGATGTGAGGAAAATAAACCACCATGGATCGGACTCGGCCATCTGCATGGTCCGCCTTGAAAAACAAGCATGTTTGCTCCAACGGGTCATCGCGATTAGGATTCCTCGGGATCAGCCTCCTGATGAGGCCTTTCTCCAGCCGAAAGCCCTCAAAAGTAGATCCAAAGACGAGGTCCTGTCCGCCGGAGGATATCTGGGGTATGCGGCCGACCTCTTCCGAGAGAATGTCGGCACGAAACAACCAGGACGAGTTATAGTTGGGGTTTAGCACAAACCGGCTCATCACCGTGAAGAATGCGTCCGGGTTGAAGGAACACACATGTTCGACGACCGGTGTCCAGATGTTCCCGTTGACATCGTGGATCGCGGGGTTCTCATCCGGCTCATAGTGCCGAGGGGTAAAGGCTACCATCGCATCCCTCTACGTTCCTCAGACTAGGACCGCTAACAAGGGCGGGAAAAAAATAAAAAAGTTACAACTACACTGCAAGCTGCGTATACAAACAGTCGTAGTAGTCGAGAAAACGGGAAACCAGGGCGATATAGCGCCGTCGCAGAGAAGAAAAGCCGAATGAAATTTTGGCAGTTATGGCTGACGTCAGAGCGGGGAAATGTGGGAGAAGACCCCCATTTTTCTCCTTGCCTCAATTCTTCCTTTTTTTTTTTTTTCTCTCTTTTAAAATTTATTTCTTCATCTGATCCGTTACATTTTGATAGTAAAACACAAAATAGGAAGACGAGCCTCTTGATCTTTCCATAAACAAACAGAAATAATGGAATAAATTCATTCAAGACAATAGATCTGGATGGACTCTTCAATGGTTGGTTTCTGGCGGGCTGCCGGAGGTAAACCGTTCGGCCCAGGCCCGGAGGAGGGACAACGGATGACCCTCGCAGATTCATTGTGCTTTCTTTCCATTCCCCAGGCTCAACTTGACCCGGCACTTCCTGGGGCGAAATTGGCCAGCTTTCCTCGTCAACTCTCACAACTAGGCTTCTATCAGTTTTGGTATGTTTCGGCCGGGCCGTCGATGAGGCGTTTAAAAGTAGGGCAACTGTGTTTCCCATTGACCCATTCCGGGCACTGTACCGAGGAAGACGAAGACGCAAACTTCAAATTCAACTCTGAGTCACCCCCAAGGCAGGCATGCCAGGTGCTAGGCTACCAACCCGCCTTGCTTCCGTTGGTGTGGTTGAGGTGGTGGTGGGTACCTGTTATCGCCTGTGCCGAGCACTGTGCTCAGAAGACCTCGAGCCTTTTCCCTTTTTCTCCTCCCTCCCCGGCCATTCCCTTCTCGCACGCCATGGCCAGGCCACACTGCTAACAGTCTCGCTGCACCAGGCTTTGCGCTCTTTTGCTTTTGGCCGGCTAGCTCGTTTAGAGTTCGGGTCACCAGCCTTGATTTGGATGGGCAGGGAGGGCCGAGTCACAGAACGAGCCGTACCACCATCAGGCGACGAAAGAGGTGGCACTGACAAGAGAGCTGACCCAACCAGATTTTTGGCTAGGCGCTGATGGCTTGCCGGTCTGCGTCTTGCTCAGATTGCTGGCCCTCGAGAAGGGGGCGGAGTCGTCGTCGATGATCCTTGTCCTGATACAGGGCTGCCTCTGATTGCATGTACTTTCTTTCTCTCTCGCTCGCTCACTCTATACATTTTCAGGAGGGCACGCCGCCACGGCGTACGCCCGTGTACTTTTTACACCATCCCGCTCCCACACTACGTCTCATGTTGGTTGTCTCGTGTATTATGTGTGCAAACAGAAGTGGCCGTGGGGAGAACTGGAATGCATTAAAGCCCGTGACAAATGCTCATGCCTTGCTCTCCGAGGCATGATAACGTTATCATCGGCTGGCAAGATACGATCGACAAGGGACAACGCTCAAAGACAGCGTTGCTCGACGACCGACAAGGGCCGGGGTTGGTTGGTAGTCACTAGAATTTCTTGTGCCACGGCAAGGCCTAGATATCGATCTAATTCGACTCATTGCTGTCGAACTCCAGGTCCATCATATTCATCATCGAAGTCTTGGGATCTGGCTTGTCGTTACTTTTGCTTGTGAAAGGGCAGCATGGCCTCGTTAGTGTCCAGTGGATTCCTCTTTTGGAAGGAATGAAATTGCAGAGTGCTCGAATGCCCCGAGCGGTGTCGTTCAGCCCCTCAGCTCCTGCACTGAGCTTGTGAGCCTCCCCGAGGACATTCCCCTGGGCAATCCACTGATTTGAAGGGAATTGATGAATCCATTGGGTTGATAGACCCTTGTCGCTCGCTGCCCGTCCCTCCCAACACCAACAATAATCCCCAACCCCAAGACCGGCGAAAGCTAAACGGAGGTGCACAACTATATGTATCGCTAGTTGGCTAGTTGGCTAGGTACGAGATTGGAGATTGAGCTGACGGGGGAACTGGACTGGACTGGACTGGACTCACCGTGGCGAAAAACCCCGTGACACAGTGCAGTTCGATTAGCTCGCACAAGGCGTATTCTTTTAACTCCAGGCCCCGGAATCTCCTGGTCCAGAAGTTTCTCGCCACTCCCTCCCCCTTCCTTGAAAAACAACCAGCAACCACCTCGGACGCGCCATAAATACCTGCCAGCCCCAGCTTCTCTCACAATCCACCCTTTTCCCATCCCATCTCTAGGCCTCTTGACCGCACTTTTTTGATCCCTCCGACCAAAAACATCTTCAAAAAACATCCTTCCACCTCGGAAATCCTCACAGCGAGACACGTCGTCCGTCGCTGACCCCTCCAGAGTTCAACTCAGCAACCCATTTCCCACAGTAACCCCCACAACACGAGTTTATGTCAATCGAAAATCTCAAGACCTACGGTACGATTTCCCGCTCTCCCATCTTCCACTTCTACCTCCCGAAGCGTAACATTCACATCGGCTCTGTTGTTGTCGTTGCACTTGACTCTGAGGTGGCTTCCTGTGCTGTTCTTGAAGCCCCTCATTGTCTTTTTTTCCCGCCTTGCTCTTTTTGCAGCATTTTACCCCTCACCCCTACCCTTAATCTGACGAGCTTGGACACTCGCCCGCGAACGCCAACGTCACCCGGCAACGTCAGCACCTCGCCCTCTCCTCAAGCCACAAGGTACTAATCAGTTTATTTCCGTTTAGATCCCTTCGCCGAGGCCGACGAAGATACAGGAGAAACCAAGCAGACACAAAATTATATCCATATACGTATTCAACGTACGATATTCCCTCCCTCCCCTGGTCGTGCACCTGGGCCAATAATATGGGACCCGCCTAACGAATATCCCCCTCTAACCCTTTTCTTCCTTTATAGAGCGCAATGGACGTAAGACCTTGACCACGGTCCAAGGTCTTCCCAAGAAGTTTGACCAAAAGAAGATTCTCAAGGTCATCAAGAAGAAATTCGGTATGTGGTACCTTGGAACAAGAAGCATGATGTGGCTGTCCTGCCATGGGATAATGACGTTCTAATACTCTTTTCTTTTTCGTATAGCTTGCAATGGCACCATTGTCAACGACACCGAAATGGGCGAGGTGATCCAGCTCCAAGGTGATCAGCGCAAAGATGTCCAAGAGTTTTTGACCGACAAGAAGGACGGCCTTGAGCTCGACCCCAAGACCATCAAGGTCCACGGATTCTAACCCCCTCGCTGTCATGCCGGCGTGTCGCCCTGCGACCGCACTCTCGGTGGAAATGACTTGGGTTTGTTTTCCTTTGGGGCGTCTCTGAAAATATTGGCCGGGTCCAGCACTGCGAGTCTCGAGTCGAGCCTCGACTTATAAAAAGAGATTTCGCATGGACCTCTCCTGTCCTCGTCAGTTGCTTCATGCCCGAAGCAATCCGAGTCATGTTTCGTCAGAGAATGCTGTCCGCGGGCGTGCACGTGGAACTGCCGCCGACCTTGCTTGGCTAGTTTCCACAGCCGCACAGCCTGGGATATGGGATTTCTGGTGTCGAAACGAGGAGGATATGAAATGAAGCGAATGCCGTTGTTATCCGTCGATTGTCGCACAATCTGGTCGGTTCGTGACGCTATCACGAGGCCGCCCATCAATTGGGCACTCTTGAGACCGGCGGACGGGCAACAGGAAACCCACCATTCTCGGGGTGGACACATGCTCCATTTCCCTTTGCCCGAACGTGAGCGTGTTGAGTTCGGGAATAGCAACTGGCATAATATATCGTTTTAAAACCTTTGATCAAGTCTCCTACTCGTCGTGATGCTCTATGCCACCCCAGTTTTCTCTCGTAGCCTCCGCACGTAGTGACATGAATGTAACTTGGCTTCATTGTCTAGGGTGGGTCAATCCGCTTTACTATTTTGGCTCTTGACAGTTCCAAGGGTCGAATACTTTGGAATACCTCGGTCCTTAGGTCCATTGCATTTACAGGGTAGCAGTGACGTCACTCACAGAACCAATATTCGATAGAGATAACAGCAAAGGGAACAAGCAGCAGTTTAGGGGAGAAAAAGGTAGATCGTTATATATTGAAGCTTTCAACTACATGGCCATGCTGGGTTGTTATTGGGGGTATCGGTGATGAGGCTCTCCAGGGGAAAAGAACAAATCGTACATTCCAGATTAGTGGAAAGGCGCACTAATAAAAATAGATAGACGGGTAACAGGTGAAGAAGAACCGAAAGAGGGATATGGAGGGGCGAGGTGGAAGGGGGCCGGGGAGAGCGAGGGAAGGGGGTGAAGGAGAGGGAATGGGCGGGCCCAGGGCTGCTAGCAGCTTGAGAGAAGAAAAATGCAACCAGACTCGAAAGACGTTCGGTGGTAGAAAAGAGTATCCAGGTCCAAATTACACACGGCGTTTGTCTTTTCATTCTTGTCCGGGGAGAGGATTGGGTTATTGCTACCACGGAAAGTCCCTCTCATAGATCCGGGTGAGCTGTTTCGGCAGCCATAGTAGTCCTCCTCGCGGCCCTCCTCAGTTCCTTTACGAGCGTGCGAGCCTTTGAGAGGAGGGGTATTTCGGGAAGTCAGGATGGTGTTGTTGTGAATAAAGGAGGGCGAGGAGAGCAACCATGGAGAGGAAGCTGGCTATGGAGAAGACGTTAATCGAGGTGGAGGTTTCTTTGCGTATCGTTATTTGTTGATGGGTGATGTGGTAGAGTATCGTAAGCATCTGGAAAGGCCGGCACCCGGATGGTGGGTTCTGTTAGCTTCTGCCCTCTCTTTTCTGTTTTCTGTTTTCCTTTTTTCTTTTCTCCTGCCCCTGCGTAAAGGGACCAAAAGAAGGCACGTCTGGTGGATCCATCGAGCGGGTTTAGGGTGGGGATGTGCGGGAAAACGAAGAGGGGAGCTGGGCGGGCAGATAGAAGCAAGTCCACGTACCGTTGCGATGCCTATCCAGCCAGGGAGTAGGAGTCGGCTGTCGTGAAACCCGCCAATAAGGGCGAGAATGCTGGACGTCAAATAGGCATTAACGGCATTAATAGTCAAAAGGCGAACAATGGTCGCCTGGGGTGTGTAGTTGATCAACCTATGCCAAAAGTTAGCACCATGCAGCTGAGCCCAACCCCAAGAAAAAGCGGGCACTAGAGAGCATGGACGATGCAAAATCGAGGATGCGGTATGGGTTTGAAGGGAGATTGGACCTACCATCTCGACATGAGACAGTCGGTGAAGAAGAAGGAAAGGTAGCCGGCGGCGGAGCACTACGGATAAGAGAGAAAAAGGTTAGCATTGCTAGAACCGATGCCCCTTGGTCCCGAGGCGGGAGAGGCAAGGAGAGTATGTGCATCTGGGCAGAGCAAAGTTTCTATCAGAGCTCCCCGCCAAGCAAAGGGAGGCACCCGCAAAGAAGCAACAGAAACAGAAAACACACCCATATACACGCCAGGGCGGAGGCGGTCTCCGAGAAGCCCCAGCGGCGGCCTTCGACGAAGCTCGATATCACGCCATCAAGCAGCAGTAGTGCCGAGGGCCAGCCCCAGGCGAGGGCGGGGGCAATGGACAGCAGGCGGCTAGCGAAGAGAAAAAGTGCCATGACTTGGGCACGTTGAGAGCGACGGCGACGCGCGGGGCTAGGATGGAGGAGGGGAGATAGCTATGCGTCTTTTGCTGGTGGCGAGGTCGGGACGAGTTTCTCGAGGGGGCGAGGTGGTGGTAGTGCCGTTCGGGTTCGCGGACGGGGCAGTTCCGTTGGCGGCATGAGGGGTTGTCGAGGACGGGGCGGCAGATCGGGGAGCCGCGGGAGAAAGATGAGGAGGAGGATGGGACGGGGTGTGTGGGGAAGCGTAACCAGTGGAGAATGGTTTGCTCAATCGCGCAGTCGGCGCGGTGGAGGAGTTTGCCATTGGACCATTGGATCCATGGGCGAGGAAGGGCGACGGTAGAGCAAGGTGGAGAGATCGAGGCTGGTCGTACGTTGGGCGAGGAATTGGTGGAGGGGAGGGAGGGGTGAAGCTGGCGGGGCAGATTCCCGTCCTTCTTTTTCTCTTCTGCTTTTTTCTTTCGAGTTACGTGCGCGAATGGCTCTGGGCTGACGACAAGGGCGATATCATGATCTAGGAGTAGCACTGTGGAAGCGAATGGTGGGTCGATCGCCGCGCACGCCGTGGGAGCGAGGCTGGCTTAACGCACGTCGGCGTAGGCGTAGAGGTGAGCGCGGGCAGCACAAAGGGGGAAGAGAAGCGAAGAGAAGACTGCGAGAGGGAGGATAATGGGGGTAGCCAGAAGACGTGGTGGCGATAGAATATGAAAACCAGGACGACGTCGAGCGAGCACCGTTACCTCGTCGAGGAGACGAAAAAAGAGAGAGAGGAAAAAGAGAAGAGGGAGAAAAAAAGAGAGGACGAAGTTGGTCGTGTGAGGTGAGGTGAGGTCACTGGACACGCAAAGGGGAAATGCAAGAGAAGTGACAAAAGACGAGACGGGAAAACTGGACCAGGCCAATTGATCCCAGCCAGAGGATAAAGGACACAAGGACAGGAGCAGTCTTGAGTGGGAGAAGCGGGTAGCATCCAAGGCAGGGGTTATTAGACTAGAAGAACCACTTCAGCCCAATATTAATATTACCTGGTGTCTGGATTAGGCGGGGTGGGGGCTGCAGCTGGACCAGGCCTCGTCCCGAAAAACCGAGTTGAGGTTCAAGTCACCCAAGCTTTGCTGTGCTCATGCCAGCAAGTCAATGTGGTGATTCTCTCACCACTAGTTCAGGCCTCACGGTCTGCACAATGCGATAGATCTATAGTCTACAAAACTCGGAAGGTGCGGTTCTCTCGGGCCGCCAAGAACTGTGGACAGAGCGTAGGAGAGAGAGAGAGAGAGGCGCGGAGGGGAGAAGCGGAGGTGCAACTTGAAAAGTTATGACATCTTCCCTCGAACATTCAATTGATCGCTCCTTTTGTCTCCTTTGCTCGCCCTGGAATGATTGTGCCCCATCTAGCGTCGTCACATAATACATCAATGCCACATCCCACAGATGGGTCAGTTGTGCCAGCCATAGACCCACGCAGGAAAGTGTGTCTTGTCTTAACGCTGCCTGCCATATATTTACCAGCATGTAGCGAATGGAGGGTTCATATACGTGGAGAATACACGTACACCCACGGCAAGGTACCTAGCTGTTGATGCACACAGGCCGGAAGAATAGGACGTCGAACTAGACCCGGATGGCTAACGAAAGATGTTCTCGTGGCGTCTGCCGATGCCTCATCGTGTTTCAGTCACGCCGATTTCCTCGCCGATTGAGCACCAGGCCAAGGGCCCTTCGGAAGCCACCTGATCCATCACAAGAATAGGTAGGTAGGAGTGGCCCGTCGCGTATATCATGACTTATAATTGATGTGACGGCTAGATTACGAGGTGAGCCTTCAGGACGGAGTTCCAAGACTTTTTTTTTTTTCCCGAGGCTGATGGGCTCGCCGCTCGACTATTTTCTGTCTCCGATCCTGGAACTCCAGGGACCCCCATCGGGGGGACCAACCCTAGGGATGACTAGTCTTGCCCTGGAATGAAAACTTGTCTTCGGAGCTACCCAAACAGTGGCTACATGGAGGTACTGATTGTGGGTGCATCAGCCAGCAATCGATGCATTTACAAGTTTGGCTGCTGAGACATTGGTGAAGGAGGATTGGTCAATCCGGCGGATCCTACTTGTCGTCAGAACCTGATGGACCCTTTCTCTTCAATGGACGGGCGGTAGATCATGAATGGACCCATTCAATCAATTGTTTCGTTGTCGGTTGGTGTCGAAAGACTCGGCATGGGGCCCTCAGGTCCGGGCCAAAGCAGGAGCCGACCACTGAGAGCCTCCCTGAATCAACCTAGGTCAGCCAGAGCGTGATGATCTTCCAGGGCTGGCGACCACGTTGAAAACCACTCGAGCGGCGGAGCCGGAGTGCTGGAAATTGTATTGTAATACCGCCCCTTGACTGGTCAGTCTGAAGTGCAGTGCTAACGGCGGTTCTTTTTTTTTTTTTTTTTGGCAATAGCGCAAAGTGGGCCACCAAAGTCCAGCCTGGTTGGTCCAAGCTCCTCAAATTTTCCACGCTCCGAACTAATCCCAAGAAAATACTTCGATTTCTTCTTCCTCGTGTCAGCCTTCCGTAGTGGACAACCACGACCCAGACGCCCGCGCAGTCGCCTCTCCCCCTCCTCCGTCACCGAGGTCTTCGCCTGGCCCAAGCCTCGACCCCCTCTCGCAAGTTCTAGGACTCTATCCGAATATCGATTGTCTCTCCGCTATTGCCGGAGCCTTGGGGCAGGAAAACAAGGGGGAACCCAAAGAGAAAAGAAGAAAAGCAGCCTCCCCTACCACCATGGCCTCGGCCGCTCGTCGAGGATCCTCATCCCTAGGACCACCACCTCCAGCCTCTTGGTCCGTACACATGGCTTCGCGCGCACCAGGCTCGCAAATCCCTCCCTCGTGGCGCGCACGGCGCTGCAGGTGCGCACCGTCGCCAGCGTGAGGGATCTGATGCGCGAGACCAAGAACAGAGGTGACCGGGAGATGATGAAGGGCGATACCAAGTCCCCCACCCTCCGCCGAGATGGGAGCCTTTACAGACCAGATGAGGAATCGCATGCTTCTACCTGGTAAGTCTCACTTGCACTCTCTTTCCCCTCTCCTTCCCATGCCCCAGTCTCTTTCGAGCCCTCCCCGCGGCAATACGACAGAATCACGCCACCCGGCCTAGATGCCCAATGCTAGATGCCTCTTTCATTCCTCACCCCCTCCTCTCGAAACAAACAGAAGATCTAACGTATTCTGCTCTCTCCCCTCAGGAACCTTTGTTGCTCTCCCCTTATCCAAATATCCCCGCCAGCCAGGCCAGTTCCTCCGGTACCTCTGGGCGGCCACCCGCAGCGCCTGGGAAGCCCGCCTCATCTCCTGGGGCTACCGCCTCCAGTCCATGCCCAAGGGCTCCATCCGCCCCGCCTTCAAGCCCCAAACCCGCCAGATCGTCCCCACCGCCCGTGCCCTCCATCGCCGCCTCAACGAAGCCCTCGCAGCCGGCGACCTTCCCGCCCTCCGCGAGGTCTGCCACGACCCCCTCTACGATATGCTCTCCCGCGCCGTCGAGAGCCGCGCCGCCAAGTCCTCCCGCCGCGAGAGGATGGTCTGGGAGATTGTCGAGTCCCACAGCTCCTGGAGACTGCCCCGCCTCGCGTTCCACCGCGCCACCCTCATCCCCGAGTCCAGGTACGGCCAGCAGGCCGCTGTCGTCACCTTTGACACCACCCAACGCCTCGCCCGCGTCGACGCCGCCACCGGCGAACCCATCAAGGGCGGCACCAAGGTCCAGCGCAAACGCGAGAACCTCGTCGTCATGAGGGCCGTGGACGGCAAGACCTACAAGGGCGAGGAGTGGAGGATATGGGGCTTCGAGCCCGAGACCACGCTGCAGGCTTGGGAGTCCATGGAACACGGAAAGAAACTTTTGCAGACCTCCAGCCTGGCCAAGCGCGCCAAGGAATTTGGCGTCGACTTGAAGTAAGGGCAAAAAAAAAAAAACCAAGGGGCAATGGGGCATGAAGGGGGTGAGGAAAGAAGCACCCCATAGAGAGGGATACAGAAGAATAGTTGGAGAGGAGGAAAGGAGAAAGGCGCGTGGAGTAGAGTCTGTCAGGGGAAGTCTAAGACGGCCGTGAAGGAGGTCCACCTGCGCCTGCTGTGAACAAGGGAGCTCGTCCGAGAACACCGCCTATATCCCGGAACGGATATTTGGCGGTTCTTTGATTCCGGGGCCTTACCAAGGGAGAGGTCTCGTCTGTGACAGGATATAGAGAAAACCTCTAGAGAGCAGAGGGATGACACATTACTCGTGTATAAATCTTGTACAAAATAAATAGAATCCACCAATTTAACGCTCAACCCCATGGGTCTCCCCTTCTAACGCCCGGCGGTTCCACCTTTACTGCCACACGAGCCTGGCGATGTGAGATTGGATAATGGTGCATGTATTACTACGTGGCTAGTACCAGTATTCAAAAGTGTTGTAAAGATCAAGAAGGCGAGTATCGTCCCCGAGACCAAGTGATGAAGAACTAGAGTCCGCGAGAACAGTCCACTCTCCTTCCCGTTCCCAACCTATTTTCCGTCTTCAACTCCCCACACACCCCTCCCTTACTTTCCCTCCTAAACCACTTCCAGTAATCAAACTAATAGCCTTGGGTGTGCCACGCCGATTTCTCAAAGGGGTATACACACATGGGCTTGTTAAAAGAACTTGCCAGTCTTCTTCGAGACAAGCGCCTCATCGCTTTCCGGGTCAGAGTCGCTCACCGGCGCGCTCTCGGCAGCGGGAACGGGCTTATCCAGAGCATCGAATCGAGTTCCCCGCTTCTTGGCCAGAATCCACTGGACACCAATTCGCAAAAAGGAAGCCGCAAACGCCCAGAGCATGCCGCCGACGGGGGCGGCAACGAACGCGCCAAAGACGGCCCAATCGCCACTGGTTAGGCCCTGCTCAATGAGAATGAGACGGCCACCTTCCTTGGCATTACCGTAGTAAACGGTGCCGAAGAGGAAGACGGTAAAGATGCCACCCAAGCCACCGACGACAACCTCGAATCCACGCCACCAGTAAAAGAACCTGTCGGAAAGGCCCAAGACTAGGACGGGGATGACTGCGGCCGAGACGAGATCGGAAATGAGATAGATCTGGAGAATCGATGGGGCTTTCAAGGCAATAACGATGGTGGGGATCATGATAAGGACCACCATAGCCCGAATATACCAGATGTTGAGACGGTTTCGGAAGAGATCGTTAGATGCGGTAGAGACCATGGCAGATTGGATGCTGTCAAAAGCAGCGGTAGACAGGGAAACGACCATGACGAGCACAATGCCGACGACCCAGGCGGGAAGCTGGTTCAACAAGAGGAAGAAGGAGATGGATCGGTTGGGGTCTTCTGGGTCCCCGGAGAAGGCACCCGACCATGTGGCTATGAGCCCAGTGCATCCAACCAGAGTCAGGATGATGCAGATGATGACGACAGCAACCGTCACACCGATCCAAAGGTCCTTGTCAGTTCGCGAGGCAAAAGTTCGCAGCCATAGCGTCGAGAGAAAGAAGTCGTTGGTCAAGATGCAGATGGGTAAGATATACAAGAGCTGCCAGCCCAACGTGGAAGGCTCGAGAAGGCCAGACGGCTTGATAAGCGAGGTATCGATCTCGGTTTTAACGCCAATGGTAATCGTAGCGATGAAGATCAAGCAGACGACCATGACTCCTTGGACGACATCGGTCAGGAACGAGATTTTGAACCCACCCAAGGCTAGAAATTTTCGAAACCGGGCCGGTTAGCAGGATACCTCAAAGATTAACCATAAATTCCTTGAAAACAAGCTTACAGGTATAGATGGTTGTGATAGCACACTGTACAATCATGACCGGGAGGCCATCTAATCCTGTCAGAGCGCCGACTACCTGGCCGATAGCAGACAGCTCCGCAACCATGTACAGGAAAAGCGTGACCAGGGTCATGAAGCTCAAGAACAGGGCACAGGGAATACCGTAGCGCTGCCTCGTCCATTCGGTCAGAACGAACCCTTCAGGGCATCGCTTGCGAATAAGGGGGCCAAGGTAAGCAAAGGCAAACAAAGGCAACGATGACGAGAGGGCGTAGATGACAAGTCCTTGAACGCCAGCGATGGTGGCGAGTTCAGGATAGGAAAACAGAATGGCGGATCCAAGAACTACATTGGTTAGTACTTCCAAAGAACGTTTTTTGGGTAAAGGGAAGAGGGAGATGACGACAAAGGTCAGTCGGAGCGGCAGCACGTTTCCCACGCAAGCATTAACTTGATCGAGTATTACGGTACAATCTCAGCTTCGTTTCCACAGGGTGGGGGCAATCTCCCAGATACACCCCGCAAGGGCAATCGAGTTATTCCAACAGCCGCCTTGCCAGCAGGTATGCTTGGCAAGGCATCGTGAAGAATGACTCCAGCTTGCGAGGCTGGGGTGGATCACGGCCCATCTGTGTCAACTCGGCGCCCGTAGTGAGCCGCAATCGTCTCCCCAAAGTCAGGTTTGCTATGCCCCACGTACCGCCAACACTTTGGTCTGTTCAAAAGCGGCCAACAGTGTCAGGCGGCGGGAGGGGCATTCGCTAAACCTCGGCTTAGAGGGGAGACGAAAGAGTATGATCATGGGAAACCAACCTATACGTCAGCGATCCAAAAGGACGAGAGCCCTGCCTCATTTCCAGAGGACATTGAACTCGAATAGTTATTTCGGCAAGGAAAGGGAGGGAGAAACATCGATAAGCCGTCAAAGCTGAGCTTTCGTTAAGAACGAGTCGATGCTTTAGTCCTCGCTCTCTGTTTTTCAAAAGAGCGAGGCGAGATACCGTGCCCGGGTCTTGCTCCGGAGATGAGCCGTTGTGCGTTTCCGTTTGCTGCCGCTCTGAAATCTGGGAGAGAGAAAGATTGACGAAGCGGGAGAAACACAATACTCGAGAGGCGTCAACCTGTCAAGAAATGTGTGTCGCTCCCAGCTTGTTGCCGAAGCGCTACTTACCAGCAGCCACAAAGTTGAAGGCCAGTGGAAGAGCTGGATAGTATCAGTTAGTATTCGCCTGGGTTAGTTTAGGACGGAAGGGTTGGATTCATCCAGGCTTGGCGAAAGCAGTGTCACATAAAGAGGGCCCGGCCAGCGAGAGATGTGAGCGCGTCGACCCACGGCCCAGGACCTAGAGCCTCGCAGGTCGGCCTCAAGGCCCTCTCCACCGTTCGCCGAGCCGGAGGGTGCATGCTAACCCTTTTGAGTTCCATTTCCGGCAAGGAAGGTGCCCTTGGACTTGGACATCTTCCAGGCAATGCCGGTTCCCAGAATGCTAGCAAACCGGACTTGGTTAGCTGATACTTTGCGATATCGTATAGCGCACGAGTTAACTGAGGGTATCAAAAGCAACAAGGAAACAAGAAAAGAAACCAAAGAAGAAAGAAAAAGAAATAGAAGCAAAAGGAATAGGCAAACGAAGTGCCGGGCTTGCTAGCACTTAGCTGGCGAGGAGCAAGAGGTGATCGTACAGGAAGAGGCCATAGGTCACATATATGATGGCGTTGGACGCCGCGGCGGAGGGTTGGCCCATTTTCGTGAGATGACCTTATGAAACAATGCGATTTGGTATCTTGACTCGTTTTGGTAATTTCAAAGTGATGGATGATGGGCAATCGTCTCAAATTGAGCGACTGCGAGTGTATATAATCGCCCCTACGAAAACCAGGCAAGAGAGGAGATAAAGAAGGCACGTAGTCAAGAGAAGGGGTGGGAAGGTGGCGAGGAGGTGAAATAGCGAGTGACGTCCTTCCGTTTTTATACTGTACCTTGGCGACTCTTCTGATCTAATCTTCCTCGTGAGAAAGAAAAATTTCGTCTCCAAAACAGACAAGCTATTGCCTTGTTGGGACCAATTTTCCCACCCTCGCGCGCTTTCCCTCCATCCTTCCGATCAAAATTTCACGTAACAGTGGCAGTCGCCGATTCTAGCCAAGCCTGCAGGGTTCTTCTCTCTAATCGATCTAAAAATTGGGAGCTACCGAATAGGAAGCCAGAAGAAGTCCGTTCGGGCCCATAGTGTGGGGGTCGCTGAAATGCTCTTAAGTCCTAGCCCTTTTCCCGTTGACCACGGCACTCAGACCGATGACTGTGCCCACGCCGAACCCGGCTCAGCGATGCGCCACCGGTTGTCTCGCCTGCCGCTGCATGCAAGCAGGGCATCCAGTTGGGACCTGCCCCCGGTCTTCTTGCACGTCTGCTGACTTGGGAACCTCCCACGTTCCACGACAGGGTGGGGAGTTGACAGTGGGGGAAGCAAATCCAAGTGTGCCCAGCATGATTGGCATGCTTCGAGGCGGGAAGAAACCCGGGGAAGGGTCAGTCTCGTTCCTTGTGATCATGATTAGAGAGCATTTTCACATCGACGCAACCGGGGTGAAGAACCCGCGTCGCTGTCGAGGGCAAAATTATCAATTGATTTCATCGCCCCGCTGCCCAGCGTTTACACTTGCCCTTTCTAGTGATAGCGCTAACGAAGGAGAAAATCCGAAGCGAGGTTTTTTAGAGACGCGCCAGACCTCTCGTGCAGCCATCCATGTGTATCCTGTTAGCTTGTCCTGTCTTATCGACTGACTGAACAAGACCCTACTAAAGAGCGACGCTAAACAAAGGCGCCCTGACGGCACGGAACGTGCAACGAGAGCGAGGCATACACATAATTTCAATACAACCTCCTGCGTTTGTATCATCGCGAAAGGAAGCGCATTTGCGCGCCGGGAAGTAAGAAAATGGTAGAATGGTAGAGTCAACCCAGCGAAGGTCGCGGGAGACTACCGTCTGCCGTTCTGTTTGTTTATACATCCATTGTATTTTATCTTTGGGAGGTCCTCCATTGAAAGGAAATTAGCTTAATCCGATCTTGACCATGCAACTGGGAAACACTAGATGGCTTCGATAGTATTTAGCTCCATCGCTGACAAGCTCTCGTTGTTCTGCAGCCACCAAGCTAGCAAGCCTCCAAAGAATGGAATGCTTATTGATGGTTCAGAGGCGGCAATGTGTGTGTGTGTGTGTGTAAATATTTAACGTCCGAGGGGCACGTGGCTGCAGCTGCAGTCACGTGGCAAAGAGCCCGGGGCGGACTATAGGACGGGCAGAGCGGAACTGCCTGGCATCTACTTGTCTGGAACTACTGTACATGGACCGCTCAGAGGCGGCAATCAGGCTGGGTTCAACGTTGGCTCAATATATCTAGTCACGTGAGCGTACCGGCTCCACCTCCAGCCCAAATCCACCCGTAAATCTCAAGTTCAAGGACCTATTGCTTTGAGGCTCTGCTTGGCCGAGACGACAGCATAGCTTTGCCTTCTGCGCAGAGCAGCAAATTTTCTTTCGCGATACGCCCAAAATAATGGCACACATATACGGGCGCATATTTTCCGGGCAACTCACGGACTAGAAATCACAGCTCATTTGATATTTTTACTCGGGCCGTAGCGCTAGCAAATCTGCGCGGCCCCACGTCGAGGGCGCCCTCGTCACAATGAGACCGACCGTTCGCTTATACAGGGGTTTGTGGGAAGGAGCATGGATGAGTTGAAACGGTATACACAAATTGGTACGTTCAGTTACCCCGTGGCTGCCGGCGCAGCAACTTAGGTGGTTTTCGCTAACGTAGAGCGTCTCGAACTCGTGTAGTCGTAAACCTCGAAGCCATTCGTGGTCCACAGGGTCCGTACGTTCTCCAAACCTTCGACGCCCCCGAGTCCGTGAGCGAATGCAAGCTCCTATCCGACGGCGATATTGGAGGCTTCTCGACTAGCCGGCTCGAGTGGCATCCTACAGAGCGCCCCCTCGCCCCGCGACCGGCTCCCAGACCCTCCACCTACCCGCAGCCACCGGCTTCGCCCGCTTCCACGGCGCGATATCTACGGAGCTTCCCAAAGACCGCCCAGAGATCCAGCGCACAGGCTACGCGGCCTGGAGAACTCCCGATCGCAAACGAACCGTCTTTGGTCGTAGTTACTGGGACATCGACCCATACGATTACCTCGCCATCCGCATAAAGTCTGACGGGAGAAGCTACTTTGTCAACGTGCAGACGGACTCAATCGTACCTACCGACCTACACCAGCACCGCCTTTTCGCCAAGAGACCCGGCGAGTGGGAGACGGTGCTGATTCCTTGGAATGACTTTGTGAGGACGAACCACGGCATGGTCATAGAACCCCAGACCGAGATCCTGAGGCAAAGGTGAAGACTATAGGGGTTGGGTTGACGGATCGCAGGCCTGGCCCGTTCGAGCTGTGTATCGAGAGGATATGGGCTACCAATACACCGGCCGAAGCCGACGCCAAAGATGCCCCGACCATGAGTATGGGCAGTCTCAGAAAGGCGTCTCAAGGCTCTAGCTCCACGGAAGGAGAGAAGAAAACGGATGAATAAGGGGCGGATGTTAACATGACCACTTAGAATACGCGTACCCGTAGCATCTGCTGGCGGGCTGTACTATATGAGCATCACTTGTCGTTTCTTTTTTGTTTGTTGTGTAATAGACCATCTAATCTACTATCCCCTACTTCGGTAGAAAGGCTCTTTCTAAGCCAAAAGAAAAGCGCTCCGTGCTCTAAGCTCCGTGAATGGACAGGCTACATCTTGACTGGGATCCTCAGTCATACATATCGCTAACTAGTTTGATGCAAGGTTAAGAAGAATACGCCTTGTTGAAAGAGGGCGAGGGGACAAGCTGTGAAGTGAAGAAGGAAGTGTCTATTGTGGCTGAATTTTAAATCTTTTAATACACAATGAATACCGTCTGGTCGCCGTAGCCCCCTTCGTAAATGTACAATATCCAAACCCCAAAGCCGCCATTACTCTACAGTGATGTATAGGGGAGAAAAGGAAGAGAGTCTGATGCGTCCTCCACCAGCTACCTCTTAATATGCGTTCCGATGTGGTCGTGACGTGATCTCAAATGGTATCTGCTCATCTAGCTCCTTTAGGCGTTTGCCATGCTTCGCCTTGATCATGGCAACCACCATTTCGTTTTGTGGGCACGCCACACCTAGTTGTCTGCCCCGCCGAATGAAGTAGCCGTTGAACGACTCAATCTCCGGCTCGTACCCGTTATCTAAGCGGAACGCCATACGACTCGGCCCCGGCTTCATCGATCGAAGCTTCCCTAGGCAAACTTTGCGCAGTGCATCTCGCTTCACCATGCTTTGGATGAGAGGAGAGCTTTGGACCTCTGGAAGGGCGGCTACCACTTGCTGGATCTCGTCGAGAAGCATCATCATCAAGGTCATGCCCCACTTGATTTGCGTGATCTCATCATACCGACAGCCCACGACGACACAGACAGGGTCGACGACTGCGGCAAAAATCATGGCTTGGAACTTGAGGTGAAGCCACTTATGGAAGGGTGTCAGCTGTGCGTTCAGATGCGCCGACGATTTTAGAGAGTCGATGAGGTCAAGTGCCAATGGCGAATCCTTTGGTGGCTTGGATAACGCCGGGTCGAGGGGACGAGGCATGTTTTGAGCGAGGTTGAGGCGTGCACAGGACGCGCATTTACACCTGACGATTTCGTCCGGTTGAAGGGGGCAGTGTAACGCTCGCGGAGCAACTTATTAGAGGGGAGATGGCCGAGGACGTATTCCGGCTTAGGGGCATCATCACCGTTGAACACCTTGTCATTCAATTCTTCCGCAACCCCTAGTCCGTCGTGCATGAGGCACACGGCTGTTTTGTCATCGATGCGATGCTTCAGCTGCTCCATATTCGCGACAGCATGTACAGCCGACCCTGTCGTGATGAGGTTGCTGATATGGGTCTGCGGCGAGCTGGGCCGGCGCCCAGGAGCTTCCCCAGATGTCTCCCCAGATCCCGAAGACCCATCCTTGGATCGGAACTCAAACTCGAGAACCTGCCTCCGAGTAGGTTTCAAGAGGTGGACAGAGTCGTAGAACGGCTCTAACTCGCAAGCGAGAAGCCGGGCTTTGGCATCGGTTCCTAAGATATGCAACGTTCGGCTACCATCGCTGCCATCGGCCTGGTTGCCAGAGACGACAACGGGAGGCACCCCCGCGGGATGGGACCGGCGACTCTTTCGCAGGTACCACATGCCATCACCACTCGGCGTCCAGAGCGGCGGGGTTTCATCTTTCAAGGAGTCGCTAAGAGATGCGGAGGAGGAGAGGTTGTTTGATGAGGGCCGCTGCGGTTGGGTCGGACGGGATGGGGGTTCGGTAGATGATCTGGTAGGTTCGTTGGTCGTGTGTCTGGCGCGCTGGTGATGGTCTGGCGAGCTGGAGGGAGTTGGTCTGGATGAATCGGGGAAATTGAGATCCGGTGGCCGCCCGGCCCACTATGGTGCTACCGCGACAACATTGTTTGAGTATCTGTGGTATCCGAGCTGTTGCTCGGAGGTCTGCTATGCTCCCGGCCACGGTGATGGCTATGGGGAACTGGGTGGTCGGCCAGGCGTGGCCAAGATGACCACGAAGCAAAGGAAGAGGCAGCGATCGTGAAGACAATGCAAATTTCAATAAATTCGTGGCATAGCTGTCGGTAAGCTCGCCGCCGCACGGTACACGTCACTGTTGAGTCTGGCGAGTTGAGAGGTGTCTCGTCAGATGAGAAGATACGCCTCAAAAGTCAGTCGCAAAATTGGCTGCGATTTCCTTTTTTTCTTCCTCTTTCCCCCTTCAGCAGAGCGCGCCTGATTTTCGGGAGAGCACGGATGAGTAATCCCGGTTGATGCAAATTCGCTTGTCGAATCGACCCACATGAATTGTTTAAATGCATTTCGCAAGATGGATGTAATGCCTCCCGCTAATATTTTGAGCCACCCATCAAATCCAACGTTGGCGACAAAAGTTGGGGCGTCGCCATCTCCTCCGAGTTTAGGCAATTGAAAAATCAAGGCGCGCTGTGAAGCCAACATGTCGGTCCAGGATATCTCACCTGACATTGATAGGCTTGAAGCCAACCTTGACAAGCTCGAGGAGGCTATCGGGCCTCTTCTTGAAAATCTTGCAAATTCGTCCCAGTTGCCGCTTGTGGACAGGGCGAAGCTTCATACCTTAACTAACTACGCTCTTGAGAGTCTAATATTTTGTAAGTCCCATAGACGCTTGTATGTCTTTCACTTATGCCTCGTTTTACTAACCCCGGGCAGCCAGCTTGCGGCTTCAAGGCGCAGATGCCTTGACCCATCCAGTCTTTACGACTGAGCTCAAGAGAGTAAAGCAGTACTTTGACAAGATAGAGAAGGCCGAGACTCCTCCGCAGCAACGAACAAGTGCCGTTGATACTGAGGCTGCTACGAGGATAATTAAGGCTGGCCTGGTAAGAACTCCTCTCGCATTCCTCAACTTCGTATCACAACCGCGGATGCTAACATACTGCCACCCCGCCAGTCTGATGACCAGGCATTGAAAAACAAGCTAGCTGAGCAGATAGCTAAGGAGAGGGCAAAGGCCTTCCTTAAGAACATTGGAAAAAGGCCGCCCGGCGCAGACCAGTCGAAAGGCGGCGCCTCTACTGGTGGTACAGCGTAGAGACCCAAATCGGACTTAAGGGCCCTACTCCCTGCATCGTGTTCCTCAGAGGGGAAAGCGGAAGAAAGGAAGGGAAATGGGGTAGAATAAGGACCCCTCGTGCAAAGCGCCCATGTTGTGGCGTCCGTTGTCATTGGTCACTCCCAATCTATTACGGGAAACCTCATTGTTGGCCTTGATGCCTGCAGGTGAGGTAACGGGGAGGCTCTGGTCAAGGTGAAGAAAAGTTGGACAGGCATGTCCGTCTATGTAAAACACAGCGCCAGCAAACACTATGCTGCGGAAGTCTCGGCGAAGTTCGAGCGTTATTTAGGGGTACGCGTACGAAGTTCTTTGGCTAGAGAGCTTGACGTGGTCATGGGATGGGCATCCAGTCCGTCAGCCCGCCGGCGATCCGGGGAGGCGAAGGCAAGGTTACGTCTAAAGAGGTAGATCATCTCGGCTGATGAATATATGCATATAAACGAGCTTATGTCTGTGACTTCCTATTGGCCGCATACCCCTGTACCTGAACTTAAATCCGAGGGATGGAGCGAAGCTCTTTTCTGTCGGTTGAACAATATTTCCACCACGACTGCCGCTCTGAGCTCGGAAAATCTTCTAACACATTCCACGTACTCACCCTCGATTCTCAACAACAGCCTCGTGTCTTTTTTTCCTCGACATCAACACCCACAAGTCCATTTGGAACCATCCACATCTCTCCCCATCTCACCAGCACAACACCAATCCTCCTTCACAATGCCTCGCCGAAGCAACAACTCTCGTTCCATGGGCGCCCCCGCCCGTCCTACCGTCCCCGCGAAGGCTCCTCCCGCGCAAACTCGTCCCGCCACTACTATGGCTGCTCCTCCCGCCGGCGCTGCCCCTTCTGCCGCTGCGCCTGTCTCTCAGGGCCCTGGCCTCTTCGGCCAGATGGCTACCACCGCCGCGTATGTATCTCCCCGCCTCTTCCGTGCCTCGGATCTCTCAACAAATATTGTTCCAACGAGAGGGTCCTTTGAGAGTGACCGGTTGCTAATGACTTCTTGTTTTCCGTCCATTTAGTGGTGTTGCGATCGGTTCCGCCATGGGTAACGCCATCACTGGCATGTTCAGCGGTGGCGGCTCTGCCCCGTTGAGGCTGCTCCCGCCGCCAACGCCCAGACCCAGAACCAGCAGCTCCAGAACAACTGCGCCGGCGCGGCGCAACAGTTCACCAAGTGCATGGATGACCAGAACGGCAACATGCAGATTTGCAACTGGTACCTCGAGCAACTAGTACGTCCTCTCCCTTTCCCTCGTAGTTTACATTTCCCTATAGCCCTCTCTTGTCGCTACGCCTTTTATTAACGGCTTTGGTCCCTATTATAGAAAGCCTGCCAGGCCGCTGCTAGCCAGTACTAAGAAAACACATAATGGAATTGCGTGGAGCCGCTGGGAGGTGAAGGGCTAGGTATGGGAAATTTTGATACGATATGCATAGAGCGGGCGGTGTCATGCGAATCTCCGCTTTTAAATATTACATGAATACAACAACAAGAACAATAGCTGTATAAATACACATTCTCCGCATACCCCAATGATGATTGTTTCTGTGATATACCAAGTGATGCCTTCAACTCCAATCGCCATCCTTGGATAGACAAGTGCCCTTATTCCTCATCCTCGGGGCGGGGCTCAAAGTTTAACTATGATAATTCGCTATTAGCACGAGAATGTCGCATACATAATGATAGGGCGACGGGGACGTACCGAGTTGCCATTGTAGAGTTGGTGGTCTCGGCGGCGCCTCTGCTCCGCGTCGTGCAGAGTTTGCACTCGGGCGCCAGTGCTGCGGGCTTGAGGCTGTCCTTGCCGGTCCTGCTGCTGTGGTCCGAGGTTGCTCATTTCTATCTCTTCCGGGCGGGTGGCCGCAGGTGTCCCGGCGCCAAAGAGAGAGGAAAAGAAGGAGAGTATGAGGGCGTATAGCCAGGCAACGAAGTTGCCACCCTCGGGGGCAGGAGGCTTGGGGTCAGGAATCAATACAAGGGTCGCTGAAGGGGAGAGGCCCAAATCTTCGAGGCTCTTTGCTCATCTTCCCTGTCAATTACCATTGTCGATGTGGGCGACAGCGTCACCCTGAAGAGGTAGGGCTCTGTGCGGTCGCCTGTGCGGTTCTCGTCCACCCATTTCCGGATGTCGGTTTGAAGGGTCGCGGAATTAGGGAACCGCGATCTCAACGTCGTGCCGTCGTGCAAGCGGACCATGAGAGCGGTAAGGGTAGAAGTCTTGGCTAGCTTAGTCGCTGGCGCATCGGCGACATTTGCCGCGATGTCGCCAGACGTAGGTTCCCGTACCAAAGCTTCCCGCGCCGCGCGGCGATCTGCCTTGTCGGCTTCGATCCGCTGCATGATCCTCTTACGCTCTTCCAAGGCCTCCTTCTGTTTCTTCTTGATCTCCTCGGCAAGTCTCTTTTGCTCTGGTGTTCGGTATTTCTCGCCATCGTCCGCGTCTGGTTCTGCCTTGCCCTTGCCTTTGGCCTTGCGCGCGTAAGCCTCCAGCGCCTTCTTTTGGCTTCCTCGCGCTGCTCGTTCAGTTTTGTTGCGCGCTCCGCAAGAACGGTCTCAACTGACCTCGAGCTACTACCTGCCGTGGGCTGAGTTGGCGTGGTGGAGGGCGCAGCAGACTGGGGCCTAGGGTTTGAGGCGGGAGCGCGGGACTGAGAAGATGCCGCCTGCTGGGCGGCCGGTCTCTCTAGCCTGGGCTGAGGCCGGAACAGCGGCAGGAGCAGTAGTTGGCGCTGAGGAAGCGGCTGGGGAAGCCTGGGTAGACTGATGAGTTCCGGCGCTGAGAGCAGCCTGGACTCGAGTAGCAAAGTCATCCTTGGTCGTACCGGCGGCTAAGTATTCTTTTAGCTGGCCGTTCCGTAGAATCACCAAAGTGGGGACTTTGGGCACCGGGAAAATGGCGGCCAGGTATCCGGCCTCCTGACTCCCGGCCTTAAGTCGAAGCACAACGGCGTTCGAAGTGATGAGCTCGGAGATCTGGAACCAGATTTAGCTGCGAAGAATTCGGGGGGTTTTTCTGGAGAATAGATGTCTACTCACAGACTCTTGTGTCAGAAAATCATTCTCCCAACTCTTGCTTTCTTCTCCATCATCTGCGGTTTGTGGTTAGCAATGTCATGTTTAAGGCGCTGGCATTGGGCGGATGTGACGAGCTCTCGCCTGTGTGCACACATCAATTACCTGTGACGAAGCAAGCTACAGCCTTTCCGGCCTGGACCGCGGAGGCAAGGGCCTCTTGCAGGGAGCCTTGGAAAAACATTTCTGGCACCTGCCGGTAATGCTTGGAAAGTGAAATGAGTGCCCAGGCGGATGAAATTTGTGGTTGTGTGAAGAGTCCAGAGATTGATAGCTTGACAGGTCGCGCGTTGAGTTGGTCCTCCGTCTGAGGCCGTGAAGAGGCGATGTGGGATTCTGCCTCCAGGTGTCGCCACGCCACGGGTGTCGGTTTATTAATGCAACCCGACCTGCATTCAAAGCGATTTCAACCCACCTCGAGCGTCAACCCAAGCAACAGCTTGATATCAAACCCCTTCTACGAGTATCCGCTGCCAATCAACGGAGGAGCAAATCAAGCCGAAATTTAATTCCATGGACCAGCGAACAGTGGATGCTTGAGGTGAATAAACCCCGATGCAAGCATCTCCCGAAAAGGTGTCTTTTGATACCTTGAACTAGCGTCACCAGAGCTCAAAGAAGGTGGGAAATCCTAGGAGTGAACCGCTCCTTAGAAACCACCTAAATTTAATGCATGAAAGCGAAATACCGAAAACTAGAGTGGTAATAAACGCTCTCCGAATCCCCTGCTTTATAACGCGCGAGCAGCACCTTTGAGCGCCGTCTAGCAGTGTTGAAGAGGGAGCTTTGCTGATGTCAATGATGAACCGACATTCTCCCGGTACAAACTGGATCTGATATCGGCATCACCAGATAATTCGCGAGCCGAGCTTTTTCATGCGAAACCGCTTTCACACCTCTCATTCCAATTGCCTCCATTCGCCATGAGTGCCGCCAGGGGTTCATATACCAGCCCTTGCGTCGGCTGAGAAGCCCGCAGCCCTCTTCGCTAAGCCAATGCTTCCGATCCTCTAGGCCCGCGCCGCCCTCGCCGGCGGCGAACCTCCCCGCCGCGCCAACTTCTCTATCACACGCCCCCGCGCCGCCCGCGACCCCGTCGAGGAGCCCGACTTCATCTCCCTCGTCGACCAGCCGCCCCAGCTCGTCCGCTCCGGCCGGAAGCACGGCATCGGCCTCCTCTTCCTCGCCCTCATCCCCGTGACCGCCTTCGCCCTCGGCACCTGGCAGGTCAAGCGCCTCCAGTGGAAGACGGATCTGCTCGCCCGCCTCGAAGACCGCCTCATTCGCGACCCCTTACCCTTGCCCCCGCGCATCGACCCTTCTGCCGTCCCCGACTTCGACTACCGGAGAGTTTACGCCAAGGGCCACTTCCGCCACGATCAGGAGATGCTCATCGGCCCGCGCATGAGGGAAGGAGAGCAAGGGTACGAGGTCATCACGCCCCTTGAGCGCGAGGGCGAAGGTTCCACCATTCTTGTCAACAGGGGTTGGATAGCAAAGAGGTTCGCCAACCAGAAGACCAGGAAAGATGCTCTCCCCTGGGCGAGGTTACGGTTGAGGGCCTGCTGCGGGAGCCGTGGAAGAAGAACATGTTCACTCCCGACAATCGTCCAGACAAGAAGGAGTTCTACTTTCCCGACGTCAAGCAGATGGCTGAGCTCGTTGGCAGCCAGCCTATTTGGGTAGAGGCTACACTAAGTACGTGCAGTAAAGTTGGAAGCCGCGCACTGGGGCCATCAACGTGAAAAAAGGAGAAACCAAGAAGAAAGACAAAGTTCGCTAACCGCCGTCTAGTACCCGAATACCTCAAGATGGCAGACTACGAGTCTCGCGGCGTGCCTATCGGACGACCTCCGGTTGTAGGATTACGAAATAACCATGCCCAATATATATTTACCTGGTATCATGCCCCTGATTGCCCGCTCCCCAAATTCATTTTCTTGCTCGAACGCCAGCCCCCGAAAAATATAAAACAAAAACCCCTCCAAATAACTAACACCTTTCCAGGTACAGTCTTTGCATAGCAACATCAATCATGCTGTATATGGTGGCTAAAAAACCGTCCTCGGACATTACGAGACGGGTGCGAATGAGTAAAAACTGGTAGTCGCAGAGAAGGATACCGCTCGCCCCCAACATCACTCCTCTCCCTCGACATGGTCGGGGGCCTTGGTTCGTCGTTTCTTGGTGGGTACTGGGACTGGCATCCGAAGGTGCTGGAGCAACTCCTAGGCAGGTGTCTTTGTGCAAGGGAAAACGGCGTGGTGGACGAGGTGACTTGGCGCTGTCTGTATATCGTGTAACAACATTAGACCACCCATTCCTAAAATGTCCATATATCAAGGTGTATACCCTGCATTGGACTCCAGGCAAAGTATAGATAAAGCATAGAAAAAAGCGTAGAAAACAACGTACCTTCTCATCAGTGCAATGACATCGCTCTCATCAATCGTCTTGCGCCCAGCATGCTTTGCATAAGCTTGGAGAGAATCTCCCAGTTGCTCAAAGAACCAATCCGAAGCTTGTGACAAGGCATCCAGAGTATCCGGGGTTATTTTGGCGTTCGCCACTCCACTTGTCTGGGCAAAGGTCTGCGCCAGACGTTTAATCACCGCGGGAGGCAAAGAGGGATATTCGATCCCGTGTTGCGATATTTTAGGACCTCCTTTCCGTTTCCGCGACGAAAGATTGAGCATCGTGCCATCCACAGTCTCTTCTTGCACACTTCCCTCATCTTCATCGTTCACGGGTTCCTGATCATCCCCAGCCCTCATATACTCGACTAGCTCCTCATCATCGTGGTCATCCTGTTCATAGAGAAATGGCTCGTTCTGGAAGTCGCTCGGCGGATCATCGTCTGCTTCAAGCGGAGGCACAGAGAGGTCCTCGTTATGTGTTGCTTCCAAGTTCATCATGAATGTGCTCTCGTTCACATCGGGAATCGGGTCAAGACCAACTCCACTCTCACGGTTGAGAGCCAACGTGTTTCGTCGCTCCTCAGTCTCATCAATACTATGAACGGGTCGTAAAGTCAGTATATCAGATCTTCCAAGTGGAGAAGCAAGACTAGGCGAAAGTAAGATAGACACATACCGTTCGAAAGTGACATCTCCCAAGGCTGCGCCAAGACCCCAGTCTTCAAATGTCATGAGTGGAAAGTTTGCCCGGTCATCACCGAAGTTCACCGTTCCAGTCGCCTCACTCATTTCAACACTCCCAAAGCTCCCCTAGATAATCGTCCGCCTGGCTGTTCGCTGTACGCTCTCCGCGGGTATTCAATAGACTGCATCGTGTAGTTCTCTTCCTCCAAGCCAGATAACCGAGGAGGGCGCAGGTCCGAATCATCGTCTACATCGATCGGGAGAGAAAGTCGCGGGGCATCAATCGGTAAATCATCATCCTCATCTTCCTCATACACTTTGGCGAGGGATGATCTCTTTTCATCCACCGGCGGCGACGATGACGCAATGGCGTTCGACTTGGGAGCGAGCATCTGGCCCAGGGCACGTAATATGTCCCGAGGGGTCTCGCGCTGCTCCCGAAGACTCCGCCGCCGGCTTCTCCCGGGTGTGAAGATGGTCGCGCGGCGCAAATCGAGTGCCCTAATCGCTGCGCGAGCGTGAGGGGTTGGCGCATTTGGTTTCCTTCCAGAGGCGGACTGGCCATAGTGAACCGAGCTTCGAAGATCGCGCGTGGTTGTCGTGTCGAGCGGGGTATGGACGGATGGTCTCGCCGAGCTTTTTGATGGTGGGTCGGCGCTGAAGGCGCGACGTGAAGGTGTCACCACCGTTAAACTCGAAGGCTTCGCGGTAGGCACGGTGGCCTTTGAAGGAGTCGTCATGGTCCTTCCGAGCTGGGTCCGGGGAGCTCGAGGACCTAGTGCTGCGGAGGTGAAGCCAGCGTCGAAGCCGCACGGTGCAGCGGTAGGCGGCTTTCTTCAGAAAAAGAAGTCTTCTCTCCTACAGCTGACAGAATACCGAGGTAGTGGGCTATTTGTTGGCTACGTGGGGGCGCTGGTGAATTGGAAGCTTTAAGCACAGATCGTCATGATGGAAACGCGTCTTCAAATTTGGTAGGCGCGTGTTGCATGACAATAGCGTACTGTTTGGCAGAGCCTGTCAAAGAGTGGTACAAGATACTTCGTCCCTCAACTCCAGGCAAGAGTGGGCCCTCGCTCCAAGTTGGTTGGAATGAACTCCTGCCACCCACGACCCCACCACAGTCCTAGCAAGTTGTCATCGAAAGCAGCTCATCAGCACTGGTTGCTTCATCGCCAGTCATCCCTATATGTATTCATTGATACTACTGATAATTTCTGAGTGCATAAATTTCTGCTAGGGTCGTGAGATAGCACGAGATATCAATTGGAGTCTTACCTTTCGGGACGGAAAAAGGGTTTTTAATCGATAGGAAAATGAAGGAGCAAGAACGGAACTGGACACCAAGATGGGATCAAGATAAGCTAAGCTGACAAAGGGCAACCCTGGTCACAGCGACTCATCGATTTGACTTTTGATCGTTTCGAGTCTCTCTCCCGTTTGGCCAGCGGGAAGGGTTCGCAAGGAGACAAGCTTGAACATTTGGCTCTTCATGCGACGGGGAGCGATCCTCTCGACCCACAGCCGCAGATATCTTCTCTGGGGACACTGCCGACGCAGGGCATCGCCTGTCTGAACGTCCGTGGCCCCGCAGGCCGGGCAAACAGGAGGTACTCGCTCGGCCGCTTTTGGGGTTCAGGATTGTCGCAGGTCGTTCTCGAATCAGCGAATCACTGTTGGCAGCTTCCCGCCATGACCCGAACCTCCCAAGTGGTCGCATCCCCCTTGAACACCAACCCCAAATCATGAAGCACCAGCGAGGCCGGATTTTGTGACGTGACATGCATCAAAAGACGGCGTCTGAACTTTCCTTTCTCCCGACGAGTCAATCAAGAGCCGGCCATCGTAGATGTCCGGTTCTTGATATACCTACCTTAATGATATGCCAAAAACTTTCCCTTGCCACTAATATTGACGACCACCTCTAGGGCGCGATGACGACAAAGGGCAGCCAGATGTCCCTTTTCGGTATTTGGGAGCCACCCATATCCATGTGCACATCACCCTTCACGGCACCATGCCATACATGAAGTCATGGCACCCCTTCAACAACGAACACTAGCAATATTCTACAGTTCGGTTGTTTGGCGATGAGGCAGTGGCACTGACAATTCCAGATACGTGGGCGTTAGTTTGCGGCTGCCTTGTGCTTAGCGAGGCATTCGATATCATCCTGGAACAAACTGGCAACGCTTTGCCCCCTCCCCCGAAGACGAGAGTCGAGAGACGTCACAACTGGTCGAGCCAAGAAAGTCCGGCTGACAAGCGCCGACAAATACGGCACCCTTTCCGCCAACTTTGGTTTCCAGCCTTCTTATTCGCTCCACCGCGGCCGCCCAATTTTCCTGAAAGAGCAATCAGCGTTGCTCCTCAAGGGCGACTCGCTGGTCAGTGGCAGAGGATGAGATCAGATCCAGCAGTTGGAGATTGCGTGGTGGGCATGTGTCTAAAGGGGGATCGTCTCTCGAATAATCTTCGCCGGGTGTGGTTTTTGTCAACGGTTTCCGCCCCGTCTTCCAAGTTTAGCATTCAGAAATGCGCCGCCTGCCAACCGAGATCGGCAGAATAGATACTACTTCTTCATTAGATGTTACAAAGAACACAGGGCAGTCGGAAGATGCACAGATCCAACTTGATAGGGCCTAGGATAAAGTTGGACCGCCGTTTTGGGACGTGAAGAACAACGTCTCAAATTGGACAATCCGCTCATGTCTTCCACCTTGGCCCTTTTAAGCCAAGTCGTGATAGTATCAATAAGGCTGTTGGCAATTACAGCACTCCATCCCCACCTCCAGAATCGAGACTGGAGACTGTGGAAAGGGCCGTGCCTTGTTCAGAAAGGGGAGAACAAAAAGAACAAAAGAGAAAGGAATCAATTGTAGTGGGCATTGTACACTAAACGCCCGGAAGGATGCGAGACCAAAAGCACGATCTCGTTAATACTCACAGACCTCGCACCACCATAGATGTCACGGCGCGCCTCATGTGTGAGCCGGCCTCTGCGAGCAAGCACCCCTCGAATCCAACCTCAGGCTACAGCCGTTCGTCTCCCAGAGTCCCACATCCCGGCTCTGCGGCCTGTGCAGAGGGCGGAATCACGCTCCTGCCTGTTGCATTACATTGCACCAAGGAACTCTCCGGTCCCCCTCCATGATGGGTTCATGTTAGCCTGGGTTTGAGAGGTGAATCGAATCGCACTAGCTCTTGTTCTACACATGCCGCATGCATCCATGTGGCCGACGAAATTGAAAAGGGAAACCCTGAAAGGTCGGATGAGAAGTATTCACGACTTGTGCGTTTCGTCGAAACACGTCCCCATAAGAGGGGCTCTTACGCCTGAAGTTGCTTTCCCAGACCACAGGCTTGCTTGAGCCTGCGAGCGCATCCTCGGACAGCTCACCACCAAAAGGATCTCGGGATTAAGGAGCGGCCAGTACTCGCCGAATCTTGACGAGAAGAGAGAATCGAATGAAAATCGAGAGAGAAAAAAAGAAGAAAGAAAAAGAATCCCTTATCAAAGGTTCTCAATGCCAAGCCTTCGACTCCGGGTCGACGACAAGCGAAATGCTGTGTGGTGGAAGAACCAAGGGGAGCTCCAGGGGCAAGGCAACCAGCAGTGTGACACACGCGCACATGGGGAGACACATTGATATCAACATTGATCCATGTCTTAGTTGCTCATCATCACTTTCCCTCTCTAACGGACTCCACATCCAGAGAGGCTTAATCGGGGAAGGGGCTCATCTGAAGCGCCGGCGGGGAACAAAAGCCACTGGTCCTTGGAGGAACGGTGTTATACTTTGTACTCGACAAGAACCACCTTCCCCGGGGATTTCTTCCAACCATCCACATTTGGAGCAAGGTGGGCTCTTGTACTGGTCTTGTCACACGGGGTTTGTGCTTGGTAAAGGCTACTTCTGGAACATGGGATCACCCCTCCCTCGGCTACGACTGGCCCCCTTCGCCATGTGTTTTGGCACATTGGTACTCCTCTGCTGCTCAACGCTAGAGGCTGTACCAACCACCGGCGGGAACCCTCCAGGCAGACAGCGCCAGGCAAGTGCAAGCCAGGACCGGCTCCACTCTCCAACCCCTCCAAGACTCCAGCACTTTTCGCCCCCGAGCCTCCTGTGAGCGATCGGACTTGGACTGGCGACCCGCCGCACCCTGAAGAGAGACCCGCACAGGACAGCATCGCACAGGGCAAAATGAGGGGGACAAGGGGCACAAGGGGACAAGGGGGGCAGGTGGGAGGTGGGAAGAAGACCTTTCGGGCCTGTGTGAAATGTGCAGGTTCTTTAACCGTCCCACCCCAGCTTCACCTCACGCGTATTTGCGGGACTCCTGTGTTCCGTTGTGTCAAAACGTTTCTGACTTTCATGCAGCACTGATACCGAGGAACGGTACAGGTACTATTACTCGTGTGGTCCTCAAACTGCGTCCATCGATCCAAGGAAACCTTCCACCCTTGACAACTTTGACTCTATTCTTTTTGGCCTTGCGTCCTTAAACTGCACCACAGCACTCGCTTCCCTTTCCAGGCAATCCCTGGTCTCAACCATCCCATTTGAGATTGCTCTCCTCCGCTCCCCGTATTTCCGCTGCACTTTGCTCACAGCACCAACGACCGCACCATCTCAAATTTCCAACCCCCGATACAACCTCCCCCATCAATCTCATCAGCGCCTTGTTTTCTTCCCCAATTCAACTCGAGTAAGAAAAAAAGCCTCCACGCCCTCGACTCGAAAGCATCGTCAAACATAGAGTAAGACCCTCCGCATGTCCTTTCCAGAGCCAACCCCTCGTTCTCTTCCCCCTCCTTTCTCTAGTTCTTTCAACCCAACTAGAATTCTCATTAGCGTCGAGTTGTCAAACCTTGTCCGCTTCTGCGCTTCCCAGAGAGCTAAAAATACCTAATAGAAGGCTCCCTTGTCGCAACGCCCTCCAATCTAGATAACGACTTGCCCGACCTACTACACCGCTCCCTCCTCACACATCCCCAAAACAAACCCTCTCCCCATCGAAGCGGCTGAGCCTCCCACCAGATATCAGATCACAACAATGGCCCAGTCCAGTGTGCAATCACTCAAGGTACGTCTACCTCTCTGTGGCCATCTCCGGCCCTCTCCGGTGCTCGATCTTCTCCGGGTGTTGCCATCCTTTCTTCAGCCTTGATGCTAACCAACCTCAATAGTGTGTGGTGACAGGTGACGGTGCCGTCGGCAAGGTAAAGCCTCGCCTCCCATTTTCGAACAACTCATTAGGTTTCTGACGGTTTTCTGTCCCCCACAGACATGCCTCCTCATCTCCTATACCACGAATGCGTTCCCTGGCGAATATATCCCCACTGTGTATGTGTCTCGCCTCACCCCGCTCCCTACCTCAACCAAACAGAAGCCCAAGCGCGGAGAGAGATGAAGAGAGAGATGGTGAAGACATCCCCGTGTCACTAACGACGGCGACATGAATAGGTTCGACAACTACTCGGCTAGTGTGATGGTTGATGGCAAGCCTATAAGCCTCGGGCTGTGGGATACCGCCGGCCAAGAAGACTATGATCGACTTAGGCCTCTGTCGTATCCCCAGACTGACGTCTTTTGATCTGCTTCTCCATCGTCAGCCCTCCTTCCTTCGACAACGTAAAGGCCAAGGTAAGAGAAGAAGAGGGGAAAAATGGACTCACGGAGATTTCCTGTGCCCTTGAGCTCTAATAGGGTCTGTTTTTGCTGACTGCTTTGGATGCTACAGTGGTACCCTGAGATCGACCACCATGCGCCCAACATCCCCATCATCCTCGTAGGCACCAAGCTCGATCTCCGAGAAGACCCCTCTACTCTGGACGCTCTCCGGGCCAAGCGCATGGATCCCGTGTCCTACGACCAGGCTCTGCTCTGTGCCAAGGAGATCAAGGCCCATAAGTATCTTGAGTGCTCCGCGTTGACACAGCGAAACCTCAAGAGCGTATTCGACGAGGCCATCCGGTACGTCCTCCTCGCCCCTCACAGAACTAAGATGGCCACTTTTTTTTTTTTTTTTTTTTGCTAACTTTATACCAACTCCCTTGCAGCGCTGTGCTTAATCCCCGACCCGTTCAGGTTAAGCAGAAGAAGTCGAAGTGTACGATCCTGTAAACGCCCTACGATACTCGATTTCTCCCCTTAGTCGCTCATCTACGCCCATTTTCCCACATTTCGTCATCTTGGTTCTTCATTTATTGCACAGTAAACTGCTTGATTTATGGATCGGCGTCTAGGATGGTACATAAATTCCCGACTTGTTTCTTCAGCCTTCAGACTCGCGGAGGGAGGGGGTTAACTGGTCGTATACAACACTCATCAGGCCTAAGAAATTCTTTCTCGCCTACAGCTACTTATCCACAAGGGATAGACTCTACACGTTTCTAGACAGCGCTTCCTTCAACGACGATTGACGAACGATGACCTACAACGATGATCTTGTGATGTCTCAATGCCTACACGGATGACGTGGCTTGTCACGAGCGAGAGGGGACGCAATTGTCTTGTTCGTTATGGTGCTTTTGTCCATGCTCGGCCAGCTTTTATCATCATCTTCCGGCTAGGCACAGCTATAGGATTATGAGGAAGATGGTGGAACATCCAGCTCGCGTCATTTATCAGGCCGTGTTTACCGGGCCTGCTCTCGCGTTTTTTGTTGTGGAGGGGGAGGGCCTGGGGATGGACTCCCTTCGAACGATGATGTGTCGATTTGTTTTGCTTCCAGCAACCGGAGGGTAGCAACTTGCGACTTTGAACAAAGGTCAAGCTCTGCTATTTCTTTGTCAAGCTTCCAGTTTCCTGCACTGCATTAAGTTAGCTAGCCTCTTTCTTGAATCTTTTGCCACAGTCTCATCCTTTTTCTCTTTCTTTTCCTGAGTTATAGCACTGGTCTTATTCGTTGCCGTATTGTCGATATAGCTCAGTAGGTGTCCCGTGCCCGTGCGTGCTTGCCTAACATGCCTCGAGGTCCCTCTCTTTTCTCACTACCCATGGGCCACTATGTGGTGCCTAGCAAATTTGATCTCAAGAGCCCGACCACATATGGCATTTTGTGACACTAGAAGACGAGCTCTAGACGATATTAGGAAAGAAAAAGAAAAGAAAAGCTATGCCTGTTGGGTCTTTACGGAAAGATAAGCATAACTTGCACTCATCACAGCAGCACGGGCAACTTAAGGCAGGTTTACAAAGCCGAGGCGTCACAAGGGGACTCCTTCGATGTTAGAAGGGTCGTAGTCTTGACTTCAAATGAAACTGAATTTAGGTGTCTCTCTCCAAACAGTATACGGTGGCAGCTTGTTACGTGACGGGTATCATCATTTTTGTAAATAGTGAGTAGACCTGTTGAAACCGGAGAAAAGGAAAGATTGTGCAATGTTTTGGAAGGGGTGGAGGTCGCAAGGTACTCCAGGAAGGGGATGATGCGAAGAAAGGTGGAGGTTCAGAGCAAGCCTAGAGACTTGGTAGACAAGCGAACAGGAAAGAAGCAGGATTATAAGCCAGGAACTCTCGCCCTCCTACTAGGGTGCATGCTGTTCTCGATATCTCCGTGACTGTTGTTGTCTTGAGTCTTGTGCTTCTTCTCCTCCTTTTCCTGCTCAATGCGCTTTAGGCGGTTGACGTTGAGCTTTTCGTTCTTCTTCTTGATCTTGTCCATGCGGTGGGAGGTTTTACCACCACCACCAGCGCTGTATAGGGGAAAGAGGGAGGTTAGCAACCAAAGAAGCACAATCGCAAACGGCACTCTCCCGCACTAAAAGGGGGTAGGGGTAGGAAGGCATAACATACGTCAACTCGACATTGATCTTGCGGGACTTGGAGATGCCATCGTTAAAGGTAGAGTGGTGCATTTTGTCCAGGCAAGTGCGCATATCGTTGGATGAGGAAAAGTCGATAAAGGCGCATCCACGGCACTTTGTCGGGTCGTCGCGCATTGTGAGGCAGCGGACCTGCGCGGGATTCAGGGACGCAAAGTGCGCCTTGATCGAAGCAGCGGTAGCAGAGTAAGGGAGATTGCCTGCGGTGGGCCACAAAGGATTAGTCGTCACGAAAGAAGGGGGTGTGAGCGAGGGTGCACATACCGACGAATACGATGAACCTGGGCGCCTTGCTTTGCTTCCCGTCCTTGCCATCCTCCTCCTCCTCCTCCTCCTCCTCATCGGCCACGGCTTTTGTCGTGTCACCGTTGGAATCTTTCTTTTGCTCTTTGGTCTCGTCTGTTGTGGCGGCCTCCTCCGTCTTTTGCTGCTTCTTCTTCTCCTTTTGCTCTTCTTGCTCTTCTTTACTTCTTCCGGCTTGGATTCCTGTTCTCCCTCGCCGTTAGCGGCAGGTTCCGCGCCTGTCTGGCCGGACTCGTTCGCCTCCTTCTCCGCCTGCTCCTTCTTCCGCCTCTTCTTCTCGGCCTTCTTGGAGAGGACTTCGGGCTCGCCATTGGCGGGCGCAGAGTCTCCGTTCGCGACCGGCTCCGCTACCGCTTCCTCCACATCTTCCTCGGGCAGGTCCACGATATCCTTCCTGAGCTCCCGGAGCCTCTTGGTCTTTTTGTTCTTCTTGTCGGAGGAGGAGCCGTCTTTTCTCCTCTTCTTGCTATTTTCGCCGTCGTATGCCTGGGCGGGCGTCTCGCCTAGGCTTTCGCGACTCCGTTTGCCCATGTTTGAGAATAGAGAAGGGACTAGGGAGGGTTTAGAGGTGGTGGATAGCTCGCTGAGGTGAACCGGGTATGCGCTTGGCGGTCAGGTCGGCTGGGCTAAAGCTAGGGCCTTTAAAAGGTTGAGGAAGGAAAACCACAAAAGAGAAGTCCCTGGCGGTGAGAGCTATTCCTACAAGAAGTGGCAGGGGACGAAATAAGTGTAAAATAAACGACAAAGTTGCGACTTTGGGAAACCTCAGAGCCGAAAAAAGTTCTGGGGAGTTGGAGGCTTGAAAGATTTTGGCGAAAGAAAAAACTGGGCCCCCACCAACCATCCCCCACTAATGCAAGGGTGAAGGATCTTGTTGGCGGGAGGGCTGACTGGAGCATCGCCGCTGGCGGTGCCCCCGATCAGTACGACCCACATACACCTATTTAGATGGGAAACGGTTCCCCTTCTAGGAACCATTTCCCCCTTTGATCATCACTTTTTCTCCCACTTTAGGATCCCTTCTTCTTTATCTATTTCCAGTGATCCTATTTCCTATAGGTTATAAGCCTTATTTTCACTCTACCCCTATTATTATAGTAAGATACTATATAGCCTATTTTAAGAGCACTACTATCTATTTTATTATAATACTTATAAGCTACTATTAGTAAAGGAACCCTCTATTATAATACTATAGAACCTATTTTTATAGGATAGTTATCTAACTTTCTTTAATTATAAGGACCTATATTAGTAGGGTAATCACTTACCTTAAGAAGCTACTTACTAGTGAATTTTTTTATAATAAATATCTAATAGATATTTAGAACCTAGAGGCCCTAAGGCTAGAGGGCTTAATACTATCTATACTACTATTATAAGTGATTAGGTGATAATTAGAGAAGATAATAACTCCCTTTTCCTAGAAAGTTTTAAGGTTAAAGCTACTAAGTTAAAGGTAAAGGAATTAGATAGTATTATAGATAAGAGGGTTAAGATTACTATAAAACTAATTAAAGTATCTAATAAAAATATAACTAATATCCTAGTAGAACTTAAAGAAAGTATAGAAAAAGGTAATAAGGATAATACTATTATTATATTAAGCTTAATATCTAGACTAGAAGTAATAGAAGATATATAGGCTTAAAGTCTAATATAAACTTAAAGCTTAATATAGGTTTAAGGTTTATTATAAGCCTACTATAAATCTATAGCTAATATTAATAATATAGAGGAAACTATCCTTTCTACCTAACTTATACTTTAAAAGATTATAACTTAACCTCTAATATCTACTTTAATAGTTAATAACTTAGCTACTTTTTAAAGAAGACTACCTTATTAGATATCTCTCCTTTAAAAGGGGAAAATAACTATAAAGATTAGCTAGTAATAATTAGAATTTATCTAAAATATACTAGCCTTATTAAATATATAGAAGATAATATTATTCTACTTAATAATAACTTAGTACTCCCTATCTAAGTTATAGCTTAAGCTAATATTTTTAATACTATATAGGGATTACTTTCTCTATTAGTAAAAGCTTATATTTATAATTCTAGCTTTAAACCTACTACTAAGGATCCTACCCTACTATAGAAAGCTATTAAGAATATAGTTAATAGGGATAATACTAAAAAGATAGCTAATATTTTTAAAGAGTTTTTAGGTATTTACTATACCTAATTCACCTCTATAGGGGCTATATTTATATACTTTTATATACTTTATAATAAGCTCTCTACTAATAGATATATTATAGAAAAATAAGCTATTTATATTCTCTTAAACTTAATTTAGGATTTTAATAGAGACCTATATAACTAGCTAGTTATAAAGAGAAATTTTAACTATAAAGATATCCTTTAAAAGATTTAGGTACTAGAAGGATAAGAGAGGATAAAGGTGATAAATACCTTAGCTACTATCTTAAAGCTAGCTAAAGCTACCCTAAAGCCCCCTCTATATTAGGATTAGGCTCCTAAGAAGAAGGGAATACCTAGTAAGTTTAAGGGCTCTTATACCCTTTAGGCTTATAAAGTGTTAATTTATAAGTACTATAAAAGGTATTATATAGGTACTATTTATTTTATATTATTTCCTAACTAAATAAAGCTAAAGTATCCTAGTAGGGTTTATATAGAAAATACCTCTTATTAGTAGTTAGTAACTAAGGAGGGTAAAACTATAATATAGTAATATTAAAAAGATATAAAGTAGAATAAGAAGAAGATAATAGCTATACCTATTTTATTAGTATTACTTTCTAAAAGCTTAAACTTTATAGTAATTATAACCTTTATTATAACTAGTATCTTAATAGGCCTTACTAGTAAAGGTTTAGCTCCTAATAATATTATTCTTAATTTTAGTAGCTAGGAGATAATTTTTAATAATTAGAAATAGTTTATAAAGCTTAATAAAAAAGCTATTTTTAATAAAAAGATATCTAGAATTTCTAGATTATCTTTCCTATTAGGTATTAGTATAGTTAAGTTCTAGGTAAAGGATATAGATAGTAATCTTATTCCTTAGAGATTTAAAAAGCTCTATATCTCCTAAATATACTTATAAACCTAATTAGTATAGGGTATTACTATAGTAATAGTTTTAGTATTACTAATAGGGGTTAATCTCTTTTATATATTAAAGATAATAAGTTATTTACTACCCTTATATAGAAGTAATATTTACTTTACCTAGATATTAATTACTAATTAATATTCTAGGATTAAATTATTCTCTTATCTATTACTAAAGAAAAACACTACTATAGTATATCTTATAGATATACTTTTAAAGGATCTACCTATTTAACTATCTAAAGAACTACTTAAATAACCTTTAGAGATAATCTACTTTACTATAAAAGCTAATTATTATCTATAGTATTAGAGACTTAGCTATATTAGTAAACTAAAGGTAATTAAAGCCTATTATAAGATAGGTATTATTTTTAATAAAGAAGATATTAAGAAATTTTATTATAAAGTATATTATATATTAAAAGTAATAGCTATTATTAGTAGGAAATATATACCTATACTACTTTTACCTAGAGAATTTTATATTAATCTTATTAAAGTAAAGCCTCTATTATTATTATAGTATTATTATATTATCTACTTTATAGAGTATTTAACTAGATATTAGTAGCTATATACTACTTAAGATAAGATAGCTTAAACTATTATAAAGATAGTCTTTAATTTCTATACCTTCTAAAAGACCTAGATAGGCTTAAAACTACTAGTATTATATACTAATAGTAGTAAAGAGATCTATAACCTACTAATAGATGATTTTTTAAAGGAGATTAGATATACCTTTAATATTATAGCTCTAGATACCCCTATATAGAATAGTATTATAGAAAGGAATAGTAGAGTTATTATTAAAGGTATATAAACCTTACTATATTAGATAAAGCTTCCTAATATATTATAGATCTATATAGTAAAAACTATAGTTATAATTCTAAACCTATTACTAGTATCTATTACTAAGGATTTTATTAGCCTATATAAAAAGCTAGCTAAGTATATTAGTCTTAAAAGAGTAGCTATAAAGCTATATCTAAAGTATCTTAGACCTTTTAGATATATAGCCTATATACTTTAAAAAGAGGTTTATAAGCCTAATAGAGTAGTAAAAATAGAGCTATATATAATAAAAAGATATCTAATAGGGTATAATAGCTTATATAGGTATATTTATAATATCTATATACTAAATATTAAAAGGATCTTTTAAGTAAGGGATATAAAGTTCTAGGAATACTCTTTATAGCTATTAACTAATACTAAAGAGGAAATTGAAAAACTAGTAGAAGCTAATATTAAGTTTATTAATAATATAGTCTATATTAAGATAAATATCTATCTAGAAATAAAGGGTATTAGTAGTAAGTCTACTATTAATAAACTAGTAACTAAAGAAATATATCCTTTTATACTATCTACTTAGGAGTATAAATATAGATATACTACTAAGTACTATAGGAAGGAATTCTTATAAGATAAACTATAGTAATTACTTACCCCTACCCTATTACTAGGAGCTTTCTCTACTATAGTTTACCTAACTATTACTAATATCTTAGAAGAAATATTAGAGGATCTAGATATTAGTCTAATAGTTATTAGTAATATATTTAATAGTTATAGCTTATATAAATTACTATATAAGGGATATATTTACTTTAATTATATCTATAAAAAGACCTCTTTCTCCTAGATAAGCTTACTAATAATATAGAAAAAGGCTATAAGAGTCTCTAATAACTTTAGTACTAGTTATTACCTTAGCTACTATTAAGGGGGCTTTTATAAACTTATAAATAGGCTATAAAATATAAGGATTTTAAAGAATACTAGCTTCCTATTATAAAGGAGTAGAAGGAGGCCTTAGAAAGAAGGAAGGTATAGATACTTATAAAATAACTAAAGAATATAAAGGTTCTTCCTAGTAAGTAGGTATATATAATAAAGATAAATATTATAAAAGAGGTTATAAGGTATTAAGCTTAATAGGTTACCTATAGTAATTTTTAGCTTAGGTAATAGGACCTATCTAAGCTCTATTCTACTATAGCTAATATAATAACTTTAAAAGCCTTCCTAGTAATAGTTATATAAAAGGACTAGGATTATAATATATATAACTTTAATATTACTTTCCTTATTATATTAGTACTAGATAATATAGATATATATATTAAATAGCTATTAAGACTAAAAGATCCTAATAATTAATATATTTACTATATTTAAAAGGCTTTATATAGCTTATAATAGGTATTACTATAGTAGTTTAAGTATACTACTAAATAGATAAAGAAGATAAGCTTTAAACTAGTAGATAGTAAACCCTATCTCTTAAGATATAATAATATTAATACTATTATTCTTATATATATTAATAATTACCTAATTATAGCTCTTTTACTAGTAATTATTATAGATATTAAGAAAAGACTATCTTTTTCTATAAGTTAAAGGATATAGGCCTTACTAGGGAGTTCCTTAACTTCTAGATTATATATAATAGAAAGAGAAAGCTAATCTTTTTATATTAAATAAAATATATAGGGAAATCTTTAAATATTTTAAAATAATAAACTATAATCTAATAAAAATACTATTACTAATAATATTTAAAACCCTCTATTTATAACTAGAAAAAGATATAGATATAGATATAACCTACTAATACTAGAAGATAATTAGCTACCTAAACTACCTAATAATAGGTATTTACCTAGATATCTACTTTACTATTATAAAGCTATTAGAAGTAAACTATAGTCTAAGTAGGTAGTATCTTAATATTATAAAGTATTTACTATAATATCTAGCTAATATATAGTTACTAGGACTAGTTTTTAATAGAGAAGTTATAGTAGGGATTATAGGAGGGCTATTTATAACCTCTAATATATCTTTTACTAATAATATTAACTAGACTTTAATAGCTAGATATATTATTTTCACTACTAGGGTACTAATTATATAGAAAAGTAGTAGGTAGTAGCTAGTAGCCCTATCTATAGTAGAGGTAGAATTTATAAATCTTTTACTAGCTAGGTAAGTACTTCTATAGATATAGAAATTACTATAGTAGCTAGATCTTAAATACCTACTTAAGAAACTACTAATACTAATAATAGATAGCTAGAATATAATAGTATAGGTTCTTAACCCTCTTAAGATAGTATAGATAAGGTATATTAACCTTAGATATAAATAGATTATTTAGGCTATAGAAAGGAGGATATTTAACTTAAGATATATAAAGATAGATACTATACTAGCTAATAGACTAATAAAGTTACTAGAAAGGGTTAAATATTCTGATTTTATTTAGTATCTATAGATAGCTATTATCTCTTTATAAGAGATATTTTTATTATATATTTAGAGATATAAGGCTGAAAAGGAGCCTTCTACCTTTATTCCTAGTATTAGCCTTTCTAGTATTATAGATAGAGAGGTATATTTAGTTTAAGGGGGTGTTAGTAGGAGGGCTAACTAGAGTATTACTGCTGGTGGTGCCCCTGATTAGTATGACCTATATATACCTATTTAGATGGGAAATAGTTCCCCTTCTAGGAACTATTTCCCCTTTGATCATCACTTTTTCTCCTACTTTAGGATCCCTTCTTCTTCATCTGTTTCTGGTGATCTTATTTCCTATAGATCTGTGGATAAATCGCCCACATGCATTGGAGTTCACTGCTAACTGCTCACGGCTGTGTCCTTTTTCTCGTTCATCCTGTCCTGCATTGTTCCATTGTTCCGAACTTTATGGGAGACTCCTTTGTGAAGGACATCTAGTTCTTAAGGAATTCACATAAGATTGGTTTTATCTTCTACGTAAGAGGCCTATAAGGAGGCATGCACTCTATAGATTTACCAACTAGTTCAGCATTGGAGAGGGCGTTGTGATTCGGGCAGGTTTGAAACCACACTTGTCACCATCACCCTTCTTAAGCGAATGGTGGCGCGAGATAACTCATCTTGACCAAAACGAGTGGCACGCTTTTACTACCGAAGGTGGCCAGTCTATTAGAGTAGAGGCCTGTCGTCTCACTGGCGAGAGACTTGGCCCTTGCGACACTTGGACATTTAGGAACCGAAACCGAAATAGGCCTGGACTACAAGCAGGCGTTCATTCAGAGTCATCATCATGGACAGCATGGAAAGGCATCGAGTGAAGTCATGGATGCCTCGAAAATGGGTGGGTTTCGTTCAGGAGAAAGAGCACACAGGGCCTGTCAAAGCATCAAAACTCCTCGTTAAGTCTAGTGATCCTGAAAGAAGCCGAGTTTAATAGAACAGCAAATCCACAGACTTTTCAGCGGCAGCATAGCGATCTTTTAGCGCTTTCCTTGAGAGCAGACGGGCAAGGGGTATCATGGTATCCTTCATATCCATAACGCCTCGCTTTTTCTGGTCAACGTGCGATGCATCTACTACTATCCTCTTCAGGTGGGTGAGCGAAAGAGCGCCTATTTAGGGTTTCAGTTAGCCGGCCTCTACGCAGCACGGTGATGATGGAGGAGGGTGGTGGTACTCACCATTCTCGATGAGGTCGGACAACCGCGCGGGGGTGCCTACTCCGATTCCCGCGCGTGACTTGCCCAAGAAGCCGACTTGCTCCTCGATTTTCATATGTTTAGCAAACTAAGGGGCGTGTTAGTTGATGTCCTTTGGATGATCTCCTGAAATATATATATGTTGAAAGCAGGCAGTCTAGGTGGCCTCGGAAAAGGATGGAGAGGAGAGCCATACCAGTTTAGCTACCGTGTTGTCTTTAGACTGGAACTTTCTCACAGCCCTGCTTCAATGTCAGCTCCCTGTTTTCTTGATCTTATAGCGCGCGACAAGGTGCAACCCACCGTACAACATTAGCAGCTCTTAACCCACCACCAGTGACGATGAGTGTATGTGGAGCACCGGTGGCTTTGGGGGCCTTCGAAAGTGAGGCCGGATCACCCGTAAACTTCTCAAGGAAGTCCGGGAGACGGTCCGTTATCCTCTGTTCCTTCCAAGATGTGGTGTCCTGGATGGAGACGGCTATAGTCCATGTTAGCGACTGAAATGAGCGAGCACCAGGCCGCAAGACCTGGGCGAGGAGGAAAAGGTAGAGGTGAGAGTCATCAATCGTACCAGATATAGAGAGGTCAGAAAGTTCGACGGGGCTCAGATCCGTGCCGAAACGAGAGGTCCTTTGCGCGAGATGATCGGCAAGAAGCTGGCTGTCCATCTTGGCGATGGCGCCGTTTACGCCGATTTCAAGATCGATCAGCTCGTCATCCTCGGCGCTGTGCTTGGGCTTTCTTCTACGCTTCTTCTTGGAACCAGTATCCCCGGAATCGGGCGCCGGCCGCTTGTTGGGGCGAGACTCGGACGACATGATGGTTGTCGAGACCGGCTAGTCCTCCCCGCGCCAAGTAGGAGGTGCGGAATTGAGAACCTGGAACCTGACGTTTCCTTTTCTTTTCTGGCCCTTCAAGACGAAGAGTTGCCTCTGGTGTTTCGCGATAGGGCGTTTAGGTCGTTCTGCTCTTCCTGGTGTAGAATTTGGGTCCTACTCTGTACGTCGATGGAGGGAGTGATGGGATATGCACGGCAGTAAAAAGAAAAATTTAGGCGGTGAAGCATTTTGGACCCTCCACAACTCTAAACCCCACTACCGGATTTGGTTGCTTGTGCCCAGTCCGGACTATTTTCAGCCCACTCCAAACTGCTCTAACCCTCTTCACCCAGATCAGCCTGTGGGTATTAAGCTCAATAGATCGAGCAAGGCGTATCGATATCCTGGTTTATGCAAAGCCTCGCGTGGCGTTCCTCATACATCTCTTGATCAACCAGAACCTCTCAAGATCAACTTCTTAGGCTTAGAAACTACGATGAAATGGATCCATCTACTCACAAATCCATCCATTCCATCCATTCCATCCATGGGCCTCTCTGACGCCGAATCCCGGTGCTCCAAGTGTTTTATATCTCCTGCCGTCTCCGGTGGCTAATACCTATAATTTTCCTTGGGATATGTACCGACTGTATGTTGTGCTGGATGTGTGCCCGTTACCAAAGGTCACTTGCTCCCTACCTAGTCTCGATCTTATCCAGGTTGAGAACATACACCCTCCGTGATTTGGTTCTCCCGGATAGCTCCGACGGATGGTCCCTGGATCCATCAGATCCATCCATAGATCCATTCTATTTCGTGAGGCTAGAGGGTCCAAGATTTTTGGGAATCTCTGGCACCCCACCTCCCACCATGCTGGACGGGTGGATAACATTCCAGCTTTGTGTCCTTTTGTGTCTTTGTGTGTCTTTGTGTCTTCAAGTTTGCTGCGCAACCATCGACGCTCAAACTTACCCTATGTCTATAAGAAACGGACAGGGTGATGAAAGAAACCATTTGTAGAGAACGCCCCCCTCACCAACGAGAACGCACCCAGGAGGAGGAAAACCTTCAACGATCACGACGATCTCTTGTTTCTGATGACCATGGTGACCTACGAACGGGAGAGACAGACGCTCGAAACAACAACCATCTCTCAGGGCTTCACGTATTATTCGCTGTCGATGGTGCAGGTTGGCGCACTTGTTGATGAGACTTACAATCCCGCCCTCCCGCGATACCAATGACCGGGCTGCCAGACAGCAACGATCCATGCTTTTCAAACTCAAGCTCAACATCCCCCAACCCCATGTTTCGGATCCCGAAGTCCATCCCGGAGCAATCTTTTCCTCAGCCACGAGACACGAGACACGCACACACCCCATTCGCCAAAAGGAGCCTCTTAACGAGTAGCTGCAAAACCCTCTCTTTTTTTTCTTCTTCTTTCTTCTTTAATTTTTTTAGGCTAGCCTCCTTTGAATCAACGTTGAACGCAAGGTCTGTGTGCGCGTGTGGAGTGTCAGTGTCCAAGTGCATGGTGCCAAACGAGATGGTTGTTACCGAGTGGGCATTAAGGTATGTTTGAAGGGGAGCGATGCGACAAGCAAAGGTCCAAGCTTCTCACCTCCTCAAACTCCCATTCAGAGTCTAGAACCAGGGCCGACGCCAGCCATCTTGACACAAAAGCTCAGATTCGGATTCCGTCCGTATTTTGCGATGGTGGACGAGACGAAATAGGGGTCACAACTATTAGTGTACCTATATTACAGCGGGCCCCTTGCAGGACTGGAGGAACCGGTGGCCTGGAAAGACCAAGTGTGTCGAAAAATAGAATAGCGTACCATGAAGTTTTAGACGGCGGCTCGGCGATGCAAATAGCACTAGCATGGAGCAATGTACGGTACGTATACCCGAGGTAGATGAGGGGCTCTAAATTGAGGTACGGGTTGCGGCGATTGCCCGGGACGAGATCGGGTTCGGTTGGCGGCCACGTTCCTTGCCATTGTCGCTTGACCCAAAAGACCCAAACAAAGAACGACAAAAAAGTGAACAGTTCTATTAGAACGGGCTAGGAAGACTGTACATAGATGATCCATGTACTAGTGCAGATACACTAATGACCAGCCTTGAGACGTCAATTGTGATGCCTCCACTGTCAATGTGTCATACATCGTTCTGGAACATGTTGCTTGTTGGAAACACTACATCCATAGATGTACCTAGCTTGCTTCGATGAGCGGATATCCACCTTCGTCTGATGCTGCTCCCTCAATGAGCGAGGTACCGAACAAGACCCTTCAACTGTTGCTTCGTACATGTAGGCTAGCGAGCTGGGCAAAGAAGACTGATGGATCATTGATGCTATTCGGGGACGCCATCAATTCATCCATCAATTGGTGGCATGGTTGACGTGCGGTGCTCTATCGTCCGTCCCTCGGATGGTCCCAGTTGGTCCATGTCTTGACTGGAGTGATTGACCACTCGGGTTCCCAATCAGTTGATGGTGTTGGGAGCAACTGCTGTTGTGGCGCAGATGACGGCAGCTATTCCCCGCCCATGTGGTGTTTCCTTTTGGGATCACCCGCGGACGGATTCTATTACATGTTCATCTATTTACGGGTAATACTTATTATTAAGTGGCCGGATTCTCTTTGGAAAACCCGCTTGATCAATTGATTGATTTGATTGATTGAAGGCACATCGAAGGCCCGTTGAAGAGCCTGATGCAGCTTCCCACGAGATTCGTGTTCTCTCAGCGGAACACCGAGGTGACAGAGCGATAGAGCGGAGCAAGCAAGCTCCATGAAGCTCGCACCAAGGAGGGACATGGGCAGAACGGCTGGGGCAATACGAAGGATCGCAGATGAACTAACTAGATGTGCATGGTGGGTTGCCCATCATCGCAGACAACCAACGACTGGATGTCCGTCCGGTAGTGCCCCAGCCAGTTCCGATGGATGGAGTGGATGGAGTGGATGGAGTGGTCCATTGGATTTGAGCACTAATAATATTCACGCTCACATTCACATTCACATTTGGATGTACTCTATAACTTGTACTCGACATTAAAACTCAGGGTGGAATGTTTTGTTCTCCGACCGGATTGACCAGTGCCCAACCCCAACAGCGTCAACGTCACCCCCTTCTCATCCTGTCGATTGCGTTTGCATGAATTCCTCCCGTTTCACACCCTGCACCGCAACTCTCTTGAGAACCATCCTCTGCTCTAAATTCTCCCTTTGGAGTCGGTCGTAATCACTCTAGGCGCGTGTCTATACCAGTGCCTCTACATCTAATAACTCTCTATGCCTAACGCTGTTTACCAGCTCTTCTGTCTAGAATTCCCCCTTCCCTCACCTTCTTTCAATTGATCCTTTCCCCCCTTTATCCTTCAATTCGCTTTCACTCTTCTTTGTTCGGGAGGGCGCGAAAATTCCCTTTGACGAGTACTCTCGTATCCTTGTCCGTCCTCGTAGAACATTTTTCGGAAAGAGTCGTTCGTGAAATCCATTGACTCGGTGGGCTGACGTACGCCTCCTGATCACGAGCAGGCAACTTCCGGCAGCCTTCCTTCCAGGCCCTGAATTGGCGTCTGTCGAACTGAGTGCTGGCAAGGAGGTGTGCTGCATTTTATTCGGACCCCTGTCGACGATTTTGAAGACGGTGGTGGAGAAACGCACATCAGTACCCTGGCCCGGATAGGCTTGGCTGCTTGTAGAAGCTAGTCGCACCTACGAAGTATCAAGTATTAGCAGAGCAGCAGCAGAAGGACGGTTGAGGATAATCCCTCTGCGACCCTGGGTTGACACCTTGGCCAGAAACCCGGAATTCGCGAGCACAGCCCGAATTCTTTCTCCCCCACACCTCCAGCCCAGCCCAGGTCCAGTCCAGCAGTCCGCCATCCTCCACATAATGACTGGTCTCCACACTCCTCCACCACTTCTTTCTCCTGCTCAACATCATCAATCCAACCCATCTGGAAGAATGTCATTAGGAACAGCAACAGCGGTGCCCGAAGGCACTCCCGCCCCCGCCAATGGTGTCGCGACACCCGCCACGACCGCGCAGCCCGGCCAGCCCGGCAGCGGTCCAGCCGATATTGTCTCCAAGCAGGTCCAGGAGGTCCTGTCATCCGAGGTAGGTTTGCACGCCTGAGCCCGTATCCCCGAGAGAGGGAGAGAGAGAGAGACGGCGACCGACGAGAACGGCAAACATACCAAGACGCGAGACGCTAACGCTGACTTCCTTTTTTTCTCCCCTCGGACAGATTGCCATCTCGGCAATGCTAAACAGACTGAAGCAGAGTATCGCCGCCGCAAAGGTAAGCAGCACTCCCAAGCCTCCCTGGCCCGCACCACCCTCTCCATTGCGGATTAAGGTTGGGGACAGGCACCTTCAATCCGCTTGGCTTGAGAGCCGTAGCTAACGGTTTTGCCACTCGCCTCGACTCTCCTTAGAGTTTGCCCTTTTCCTCAAGAAGCGAGCCGGGCTCGAAGAAGAACACTCCCAAGGACTCAAGAAGCTCTGTCGCATGACCCAGGACAGCCTCCACCGACCCGAACACAAGCAGGGCACCTTTTCCCTCGCCTACGACGACATGCTCATGATACACGACCGAATGGCGGACAACGGCCTCCAGTTCTCCTCCTCGCTCTACGTCATGCACGATGACCTGATGGAGCTCGCCGCCATTGCCGAACGCAACCGTAAAGGCTGGAAGGCCAACGGCCTCGCGCCCGAGCAGCGAGTCAGCGAAATCGAGGCCGCCATGCGCAAGTCCAAGGCCAAATATGACTCCCTCGCCGAGGAGTATGAGCGCGCCAGGACGGGCGACACGTCGAGGCAAAGCGGAAAGATGTTCTTCAAGGGTGCCAAGTCTGCCGCACACCATGAGGAGGATCTCCTGAGGAAGGTCCAGGGAGCCGACCAGGACTATCATGGAAAGGTGCAGATTCTGCAGGCCGAGAAGATGGAGCTCATTGAGCGCACACGCCCCGAGGCTGTCAAGGCCATTCACGACCTAGTTCGCGAGACAGACTCTGGCCTGTCGTTGCAGCTGCAAAAGTTTGGTATGTGCCAAGAGCCCCTCCTCTCCTTCTTCCTGCTCTCACTAACTCTTTCTCCTTCTCACTTAGCTTCTTTCAACGAAAGCTCCTGCTCAGCGATGGCCTCTGCATCAGCCCGCTGAAGAATAACGACAACAGCATGCAACAACCTCGCAGCCTCAGAGAGGCTGTCGCCTCTATCAACAACGAACGAGACCTCAGCGACTACCTCGTAGCCCTACATTCCAAGGTCCCGCCCACCTATCGCGAGGTCAAATATGAACGGAATCCTGTACGTTGACACCCTCTCCTCGCTAACCCAACTTGCTTTCCTCACCCCCTCCCGCCTATGTTTGCCTATGTAGCCAGTTGTCACGCTTGGGTAATGGAATCTAATTATGTCTTGTCCGTCTAGGTCCTAAACCCTCCCGCCCAATCCCGAATCACTCAGGCGAACTTTGGCGGTGCCCAGGCCGCAGGACCAGGTCAATACTCGGTCCAGCCACCTGTTCAGCCATTAGGTAGCCAAGCGGGCTCCAACTACAACTCCCCGGTCACATCCCCCGGCATGCAAGGATTCTCTCCCACCGCCACGGCGTCACCCATCCAGCAGCAGCAACAACAGCAACAACAACAACAGCAGCAGCAGCAGCAGCCGGGCCAAGTTCGTCCTGCCTCCCAACAACCTCGACCCTCGTCGCAGCAGCAGGCCCTCCCGCTCCACCCCCAGCAGCAGCAGCACAACCGAACCTTTAGCGCAGGCGGCCTGCTCAACCAACCCGGCGGACCAGGCCCCCAGGCACCACAGCAAGCACCGCAGCCTGGCGCCTTTGCCCAGAACAATAATAAATTCGGAGGCCCCATGGGAGCCATGTCGTCCCAGGGCCCGCCTCAGCTTGGCGCCCTCTCCTTCCAATCCCCGCCGCCGCCCGCCGCGCACTTTGCGCCCGGCGTCGGTCCCCATGCCCACCAGCGGGATTCGGGCGGCATGAACCCCTCCTCCAGAACCCTACCGCGTCACAAGGCAACCTCCCTCCTTCGATGCTTGCCGCGGCTCCCATCCCTCGACAGCAGTCTCCACCGACTCAAGTAGCGGCCAAGCCCGTCTTCGGCATCCCTCTGAGCAAACTTTACGAGCGTGATGGCCTCGCGGTTCCCATGGTAGTCTACCAGTGCATCCAGGCCATCGATCTGTACGGCCTAAACATGGAAGGCATCTACCGACAATCTGGCTCCTCAACTCAATCAACAAGCTCAAGCTCATGTTTGACACGGGTAAGTGCTCCCCAAGACCGCAGTCCCCACGTATAACCCTTTTCTTCCCAACACCGTGAACCACGATGGTGCATGCATGCATGTCCCTAGCTAATCGAGAAAATCAGATTCGACCAATCCCGCCCTCGACTTTAGGAACCCTGACAGCTTCTTCCACGACGTGAACAGTGTCACAGGTCTGCTGAAGCAGTTCTTCCGCGACCTACCTGATCCACTCTTGACGCTGGAGCATCATTCGGCTTTGATAGAGTCAGCAAGTACGTGTCGTTCCTCCCACTTGTAGAATAATGTTTGGTGCCCGTTGAGCCTTATACTAATTACGTAACTTTCTTCTAGAACATGAGGATGACATTGTACGAAGAGACTCGCTCCATGCCATCATCAACAGCCTACCGGACCCCCACTACGCCACGCTGCGAGCCTTGACCCTCCATCTCTACCAAGTCACGGAGAATGCTCATCTGAACCGCATGACCTCTCATAACTTGGCCGTTATCTTTGGTCCTACACTCATGGGCACCGATCCCAATACAGGAATCGCCGATGCGGGCTGGCAAATCAGGGTCATTGACACCATTCTACAGAACACGTACCAGATCTTTGATGACGACTGATGCGCCAGTACCTGATTTCCTCGTACGAGGAGAGCCGACCATGAACGCTTGTGATGGTCTCTGCTCGAGAGCTTGGATCTATCAGTCTCGGCCCGCCTCATGCTTAGCTTTGATCTCCATCGCCCCCTGTTTCGGTCTTAATCTCGCCCCTCCCTCTCTCTCCTCCCTTTTCCCTCTTTCCTCTTTCTAGGGGTCGATGTTGGCGTGGCAAATCGGAAGTGGTCCTTGCGTGTACCTAGTATTTAACGGCCTTGTTATTTTTTTCGTTTCCTGTTCCCCTCTCTTACAACCTGCGCCATGCCATTTCTCGTTTTCCCTTTGTTTTTCTCTGTCGGCTTCCTTGCCTGTCATTTTGTCAGTTTTACCCTGCAGTACTCAATGTCTTGAGGCTCGGGGTTTTTTTCTTCAACCCTTCGATATCCTCTTCATGAAGCAAATCTTGGTGGAGTTGGCAACTTGTGTTCATCTGCTCTTTTCTTTTCCTTTTCTATTGGCCTCCTTTGTCCACTTGTTAGGGTAGTCTCCAAGCCTACATTGTCAAGGAAGCTCGACACCTATCTCATGGCAAGGCACTTGATAAGATGTGCCTGGGCATTAGATACATCTGTCATCTAAATCTTAATGACTTCTCAGCATGCTTTATCTTCTACTACATGTATCCTCTCTCTGTTTTGGAGGTCTTGGATGTGCTTCTTCTCCATGTCTGATATATCTTTCTTCCTCTACGGTGTATCTTACCCTCCTTCGCTCGCCTTTCCTCTACTATGATGTAAGGCTAGGGAACAGGAATGCTAATCTAGATTAAGTGACCGTTTGATAGATGGATCTAGTAATGAATAGATGGCTTTCTTTCACGCCACCAGCTCTTCAAGTTCTAGGGTAACAACATCGCCTGCTCACTTCATGTTCCTACCTCATAGCCCTTCTGCCCTGCCTTTCTAAAGGGTTTCCCCTTTCAACTCACTCACTCTTTTAGAAACCAACACAGCACCCAGTTTATCAATACAGGCAACCAGCAGGCTGCCATTTGTTGAAAAGGACAATTTTCAAGGGCACTTTTAACTTGCTTGGAGAAAGCCCTTGGCTCTATATTTCACTTCCAACACACATCCCTCTTCCTATCCGAGTCACAGGATCAGAAGCTCGACAACCAGCCAACCTCGACAAAAGGAAACCGTGAGACCATCGAAAAAGGCAAGGACACACGCAAACCACTCATCCTTCCTCGACTCCTACAACGAAAAGAGAAACAAACCACCTAAGAAAGGATGAAGTTCGGCCGGCGCCGCTGCGCCAACTGCCGAACGAAGCGCTGGTTCGGCCTGCCTCCCAAAAATGCGCCTTTTGCACCGAGGCCGTGTACTGCCGCGTCCCCTGCCGCGTATTCCACTGGAAGAGTCACAAGTACGTCTGCGCGGGCCTCCGCCCCGCCCCAGCGCCCCCGGCGACCCGCGCTCGCCGCCCCACGGTCTCGCCATCCCGCTCACCAAGCCCTTTTCCCGCCTCGAGGCGGGCACCTGGCTGCACGACCGGCCCGCGCGCGACGTGTACGTGCTTCTCGTCGACGTGTACAAGCTCCGCATCGCGGACAGATTCACCTACGAGCGCAAGTTTGAGCCCGTGACGCCGCGGCGGTTCGCGCGCTTCCTCGACCGCGTGGGCGCCGCGGCGGGGGCAACCTCTTGCCCCCGTGGTGGGACGCCGACCACCGCGTGCTGTGCCTCGCCGGCGTGGGCGGGCAGGACGCTTCCCGGTGGGCGCACCTCAAAAACATGGTTTGCCTCGACGACCTGCGGAGCCGGTACGGCTGCGACTGGTTCATCGCCGAGATGAGAATGTTCCTCGCCGAGGTGTGCGGACCGTTGCCGTCGTGGCGTCATATTTTCAGCTGGAGGCGCCACCTTGCTCGTCGGGAGCTGGGCCTTGCTTGCGACTGTTACTCGGCGTTTGGTGGCCGCCAGCTGGAGGGCCGAGGGGACGGCGCCCCTCTTGCGGGCCGGAGCATATGCGTCGAGGACCTGCCGGATGCTAAAAAGAGCCTCGACGACATCCGAAAACCGAGTCTAGATAAGCAAGACTTGGGAGAAGACATTGATCAAACACCAACAACCACCACGTTACGGACCGTGTGGCGACACCTGGCTAAAAGGTGGAAAAGGGGGCAAGACGGCGAAGGAGAGCAGAGAAAAGGGAATGGTATTGCAAAGTCAAACGCTATATTGGAGTACCAGCAAAAGTAGCCGGTTGACACATTTCAACGCCGTCCTCACTCGCTAAAACAGCCCCCCCATGAATGCCCGTGAATGCCCATGACTGAAACAGGGTATAATGATACAGGTACACCGAGAACGTTGGAGACAAGGTAGAGTGGTAGTAAAAAGACAATTGTGGAAAGGAAAAAGAGGGTCCAGGCCAAGGACCTGGGGTAGGATGAAGCGAATGTGTCAGAAGGCGGAAGAGGTAAAGGAGAAGTATGATGTTTGAAGAAGGCCTTGGCGAACCGTTGTGCTCCCGGCCCAAACTCAGTCCTCCGCTAGATGCTATAGTGGGGGCCAAACGAGGACCGGCCGGTGAAATGTATCTAAGGTGGAGAGGATGGCGGAAAGGATAGATCGCCATGTCGTTCCTTGTAACTACATGCTGGGCGTGAGAAGTAAAAGAAAAAGATGTTCATGCCCGTCTTGAGATGCTCCGCCTCTGGCCGCCCTCCGAGGGTATCTGCAACAGGAAAACATGTAGGGCAAAGAAACAGAAGAGTTGAAACACTACTTCCCGTGACAAAAACTCCCCGTGGAACAAAAGAAAAGAAAAGAAAAAGCAAGATAGAAAAGACGGGCCCTCAAACCCGCTCATGCGTCCTCTGTACATGATCCTGTCCCTGTTCTCCCATTGAATAATGTTAACTCCAGATGCAAGCAATTGTAGCAGACAAAGGAATATTTGCGCGATCCCATTGCTTCTCCCAAGCTTTCCTCCGATCCCATTACCCTCTTTGACCCAGTCAGAGTAAGCCTAGATGGCGAGTACGCGGGACTTGTCCTAGGCGCCGTGCTAGGCACCGGTTGCATGCTCCGCGTTTCCGGGTATGGGGAGCACGCCCTTGCATAGAAGTGAGTGTTGGATTCTATACAAAAAGAAAAGAACAAAAGGGCTCAAGAAAACCATGCCCGTCGTGTACACGAGAGAAATCCGTTACGTCAATATCATTCTGTAAGGCTGCCCCTGCCTTTGCTGCCCGCTTTTGTAAATGCATTAAAGAGCGAGCTGCGCAGTTTCGTGATTGTGATGCAAATATGAAAAGAACGCCTAACTTCGATGAAGAAGAAGAAGAGGCAGGATAAGTGTGAAGAGAAGAAGAAGAAAGGTCCGAATAGTTTGACCAAAAAAGGCGTCATAAAACCCTGGTGTTATGTGGTCAGGACGTGCTGATATAGCAGACAGCCAAGCGTTCTAGCTCAGCCATCATCGTAATTTGATAGCCTCGAACAGGGTGAGGCTCAAGCTTGTATCGTTTTCGCCTACATTGGGCGTTGGCTCGTTCAGGACCTCCCATCGCCGATACGAAAACGGTACGAGCTTCTCCGCTTGCCCTGGAACCCCAAGCATGGCGGTGCGCGTTGAGCCGCCCTGCATACTCATTCGGTTTCGCGGGGACAACATCAGATTGTCTTGTGGGGGCATGTAGCTAAGGAGGTATCGGAGGCGCGCGTCAGAGGAGGCGCTCTGCAATGTTACCGGGTCGGAGACCAGAACAAGGCGACAGCAATGAGCACGTGCTTCGTCCGGAAGCCCATCAACTAGGACCATGGCCACATCAAGAACTTGCTGCGAAAGGCCGGACCCTTGGGCGAGTTGCGCTTCCAACGGGTCGAGAGAGTCCATTTCCTGGAAGATGCCGGCAAGCGAGAGCAGCACCTTGGCCTTGAGCTCCGTTTGCGCTGGGTTCGGTGGAGGTCGAATGATGTTTCCGCCCGGCGTCGGCGCGGACACCGGCTCCGAAGCCGGTCCGACGTGCATGGCAACGAATTTGAGCATTAGCGGTAGCCATCCGGTCAAGACGACATTGCGAAGCTGCCTCTTTTCTTCCTCGTTGCTAGAGAGGATGTCCCAAAGATCCGACACCTTATCCGCGATCGGCGCAGTGAGCTGGGTACTTTTGAAGCGGCATGGCCACTTGTGATCGATTCCATGACAGAGACCAAGCTCTCAGCGGCTTTTAACGCATTCTCATCCCCGATATTCGATGCGGGCATTGTCTTGAAAGACGGAACGAGGTCGATGAACCGACTTCTCGCTTCGTTTCGAACATGTTGCGCGATCGTATCGTTGAGGTGGGGAGAATGCTTGTCCACATTACGTTGTTCGCTTCGATGGCGCTCTCCATTGCCCTCGTGAATAGAGTGATGTGGGATTCGGTTTGGTGTTCCGATACCGTTTCGCTCTCCTCGGTGAGCGACAGAGATAGCTTCACTTGGCAGAATGGGAGGCTGAGCTCGCTGGCCATCTCCAAGATGCGCCCAAATGAGATTTGCGACTTTGAGGCGTCGCTCAGTCCTAGTGCCTGCGTCGCCAACGCGTCAACAAGTTGCCGGAGATGAGGCGGGGTCGTCGTTGAGGTATATTCGTGGGCCAACCCATTGGCGTCTATGAGAACGAGGCTCTTGAACAAGTCGAGCACAGCAGACCAGCAACCCGGTCGGTCTAATGGAAGGTCGCTCTGGCCTACACTTCCTCCCATCTCGCAATACTCCGCAAGCGCGTGGTGCAAAATCCGTCGAATCTGGTCGGGTTGGCGCGACAGCAGAGTCTTTTGTTGCACGTAGAAGCGACAGCACTCCTCCGGCGTTAATATGGTCGTCTGGGGCAGACGCATCGACGCGATCTGCAGCGTCTCCTGTAGATAAGGCCCGCAGTACGACATGGCCGGCGAGCTCGACAACGTCGGCACATAAGCCTTTAGGATGCTGGCAAGGTCGAGGCACCCCTGTCCGATCAGAAGCGGAAGGATTTCTGCGAGAGGTGGCCGGCCAGGCGCAGCCTTGACCTTGCGAATCCATTCCACCATTTTCTCATCAAAATGCTGCAAATCGAAAGCGCGGAGGCGGGTTAGCAAAGGGATGCAGCCCCGCTGGGCTTCGGCTGACTTGGACCAGCAAGTTTCAAGCCGGCTGGTGATCGTCTGGAAGAGCCTATCCATAGTAGGATGGTCGACCCTCGTCCCAGTGGACAAAACCTTGTCCACCTCCTCGTACAAAGTCCCCTCTATATCCTGCATGTGACCGGCCATGTTGTCTGAGACGGGAGAGCACACGTCTATCCCCGAAGTTCGATCATAGCGAAGAAGCTCACTTCGAAGTTGTCCACCCTGATCCTCCAATCCGGGGATTCGTTCGGCAAGGCTAGCAAGGGACGCGAGAAGAATGCGCGTGGGCGCAATACCTTGAGCGTCACTGAGCGTCTTGAACGACATCATAAAGGTGTCAAATAGCTTTCTCACGTCTTCCATCGCGGCGAAGACGGTGAGATGAACATTGACGGTTTCGGTGCAGGAAGCAAGGAGCTCAGCGTTCGGTACTTTGGACGCAAGGGCAACAACCCCAAGCAACATCTCGTAATCGTTTGCGGCCTCGAGAATCGTTCGAGAGTAATTAAACGTCGCGCAACTCACACCCGGGCCGTCAGTGGTAAGGGCGGCCGGCGCAAAACCTGGTCTCGTAGAAAAGCGCCCACACTCGCCTGAAGGCTACGACTGCTCCTGCTCACGGGTTTAGCAAGTTTGGAAGCAGGCATGGGTTTCTTGAGCGAAATGGGGTCGCCAGGGCTCAGGGGCAGGCCCAGGCCCAGCTTTACGAGTTTGATTGCATTTTCGAGATCGACCTTCTCCTCCTCGACATCGAACGAAGCGCGACGAAGGAGGTTTCCCCGCATACACCTCAAAGACGGGTTGAGTGCATGCGTTGGCAGCTCGACAAGTAGCCTGGTGCTGCAGGGGCCGGCAGCCGAGATTTCTTCGGGATCAGAGAGGCCGCCGCGAGAGATAAGCCATTGGATATACCTCGCGGCCGAGAAGTCGAATGATCGAGTCAGATCAGATACGATGGAGTAAAGGAGATGCTTGCGCTCCTGATCATCGGCCGGGATTGAGTCTAGGTACTCAAGAAGCACAGCTGTAACATCCAATCCCTGCTTGCTCCAGGACCGAAGCAGCCGGACAGCGATATATATCTTGGTTGAGCCGGGCCTTAGGGGCGAGGTTCCCCAATCAAGTGTGGTGCGAACTAGCGCACCCTTGTCCGATCCGAGAACCCAGCATTGCGAGATGAGGCTCTCGGTAAACGGTTGGTGAAGGGCTGAATCCAAAAGTTTGACCAGCCGCTGCTGCATACTTTGGGTCGAGGTCGATTCGTTGCCTGAAATGAGACGATTGTTTCGCGAGTCTATGAGCTGGTAAGCAGTTCGCGTAGGGCCGTCGACCAGCTGGACTAGCTCAAATAGCATATCCCTATGTTTAGGCCAGGTTAATGGAGAGAGAAAACTCTCAGGATTGGTGACCATGAGGGACGTGAGTAGAGACGAAATTCGAGAGGAGAGTTGATTTAGGAGATCGCGGTCCGGGTCGGCATGGATCTAGTCGCATGGTTAGTAACAGACAACCCTGTGGCTAAGGCAGGGGAAAGGAACGAAGAGTGAATAGCATACTGTGATGAGGTGGTTTAGCAGTGATACCACTAGGCGCCGGCCTGTTTTCCTCAGTCTCAAAAGATCATTCCAGTAGAGCTGTAGGATAAGGATCCACATGGGAAGTTTGGAGTGGGGGTGGTCTCAAGTCCCGAGAGAAGCCACTCCATGTAATGGTCCCGGTCGAGAAGTTGTTCGGTGTAAAGGTTGGTAGCAAGGCGTATGCTAGACGGGTCGTGTTAGTAAAGGGCCTTAGAAGCGCTGCGCAAATGGGATAAGTGAGATACAAAACGTACGCATAGGTCACCTTGGTCTTCCACTCAGGCATCTCAAAGGAGGAGAAGACTGCCTCCACAAACTGCTCGACAAATATAGTCCAGTCCCTTATCCACTTGGTTTCTCCTCCCATGAAAGTCTGATTGACGCCCTTCCTTCTAAACGCTCGGAGATCATTGGCACCAACACACTTGGCTAGCCACAAAGCTCTTTCCGTCGGGACGTTCTTGTTGAGACAATGCTCAAGCAGTACCTTGCCGCGGATACCGTGAGGGATCGTACGGCTCAGACGTCTCAGGGAAGTTGCTGGGTTGGCTAGGTCCTTGAGCCACATCTCCCTCTTCGTGTCAGTGAGGGTCACTCGAGGTGGCGGCTTGAAGGTAGAGGGCGCCGTAATCTGACCACTGTGGCGTCGCTGGGCTAAGACGCCGAGAAAAACGCTAGACAGGGCATTGAGGCAGTTCTTCTGTTTCAACAAGGGGAAGAGAGCGGGCTTCGCGGTAGCCGCCTCGGCCTGGTTCGGAGGGGCCTTGTGAAAATACCCGCTGCGGATAACGGTTTCGGAGAATTGGTCTTCGGGATGGTCACCGCTCCAGGGAAAGAAGTCGGCGTAGCCCGAGTTTGATACACGGGGAAGTTCCGACGTAGATCGAGGTGCCTCCACCTTTACCTGCCTGTACCGAGGCGCCTGCGACGGGTACTCGACTGTGTAGGGTTTGGGGCGGTTGTCTTTATTCGAGAGACTCGAAGCGGGTGTCGGTGTGGCTACGGGAGCTCGGGAAGGCTTGGGCGACGGTCGGGAAAATCGAGCCCGCCTCTTGGGCATGGGTAAGGGTGTGTTGTCGGGTTCTAAGTAGGTTGGTCGGATGGAACCGCTCGGGCTCGGTTGGACAATATCGGACTGTTCATTCATGGGTGTAATCCGCGATTGTATGGGTTGGGGGATTCGTATGTGGTCGGCTCGGCCATGATGGCATCGGTCGACAGCTCTAGTTTTAAACGGGAGCCTCCCCGACGGGGGCGGTATTATATCGACTCTGCGCGACATCGCTCGGGTCAAAGGAAGAGTCTATGGAGGACTCTTTCCGAATCGGAGACGGGGGTAAATACTGCTGCGAGAGTGTTCGCTGATGCGAAGGCCGCTGGCCAGGTAGCCCAGGACTACTCAGCGTCCGCTGAGGAGGCCGCGGCGGCTGGGGGCCCATGGAGGAGTGAGATGTCATGCTTCGAAAGGCGCCGGCGACGCCATCCCGCAAAAATGAGAACGTGAGTAATGATGGAAGGTAAGTGTGTTAATGTTCGCGGAAGTCGAGCGCCGATGGCAGCCCGGCCTTGCGATGCTAAGAAGGCGGGCGCTGAGGCCGTCCGAGAGAGAGATGCCGAGGGATCGCGAAGCTGGAACCAAGGCGCAAATCGTTGACGGAGCAAAGCACGGCCCAAGACGGATTCGAGAGGGTTGAAAGACTGATCCAGGCAGGAAAATTCATGCACACTCACGCCGGTAATTCTCGCGGTGTTGGCGGGCAAAGGCTCTGATGGCGGAGCGAAGGGCGATCGGAAGAAACGATTGCGGGTCAAATAGGTGGCGAGGTAGCACAGCAAAAAAGAGGAGCGTTGAGTGACAGAGAGCCAGCACCGACGGAATTATGCGGAGTAACACGGCTAGCAAACAATCGAGGAGTTTTAGGACTGGGGGCGAAGCAAGAATTGCGAAGTTACGGCAAGTCTTTCGTTCTCAATAGCGATAGCGATGCCGATAGCGATGAGGATGGTCGAATCGATTTGTAGGAGGGTCGAGCAAAGATGGGGGAGAAATGGAGAGATGCTCGAGGGAATGAGAATGGACAAAGGAGGATGGCACGAAAAGATGCGATGAGGAGCAAGAGGATACCGATGGGCAGCCGGGTGGAGGCGTTGGATGAAGATGGCCACAACTCTTAGTCCATGGTGGATGATGGGAAGTCGTCGAGATCTACAGATTCAGTTTCGTGCCGGATGGAGTCGACGGCCAGCGAGCGCAGGGAGGTCAAGGTCACTTGGACAAACCAAACCACAGACCAGACCGGATCAATTGGTGCTGGAGGTATTAAAGTGATTTAGAGGAGCAAGCCCCAAAAGGCCAGCCGGGAGCAGGTGGGCGGGAGCGCGGTACCCCGTATTATGTGATGACAGGCGGGTCTTCCCATGATTGGGCCTTGGGTTCGCCTCTCCTCTATTACAATGTACTAGCTCGGGAGAATCAGGTCTCACCCACCATCCACACCCTACGAGCGTTCAGTGTCGCGAGCGGCGTGGTCGTGAGCAGCGGCTGATCCATCAGTCCTGGGAAGCAACCAGCGCGTCGCAATCGAGAGGAACCCTCCCCGGCCAGGCTTCATAGGGCACAGTGGGCGTGACAACCCCCAATCCAACACCCAAGTCGGGCTCCTCGGTTCATCCCCAAGCTCCACAAAACGATGGGTCAACCACTTGTCCATTGATCCATCCATCTATTAGGTGGATGTGGATGCATCCTCATCGGCTGGAGGCACCTCGTTTGGGCTAAGCTGCCCTCGGAACAGCCGCTGTTTGTCCAGAGAGAGACAATAGATACTTTGCCGATGAATAACTCTGGGCCATCCAGGCTTGCCAAACCCAAGAATGCACAAAGGCGAGCATGGCCGGAACACGGAAAGTGTACATTTCCTGTTTTAATGCATCAATCACCATTCCTAGCGTAGGTGTACATTCCAGTTTTGGTGCTCAGCCGACAACATTGTTTGGGGGTTAACATGTATTGTGGGGACTTGGTCTTGGCTCGGGAAGGGGTGTGGTCCCTAGCGGGCGTGGGACGACGGACCATCCAAAGACCCCCAAAAGGGGAGGGGTTGCAGGCGAGTGACCAAGAAAGTCGGAGCTCGATCTGGTCAGGGCCCGGCCAGATTGCCACAAAGCCCAACCAACCGACATCCGGTTCAACCCATCACCCCCATCATCAAATCAATGGATACCAGATCGAGGGGAAAACGCGCGAGCATCAATAAGCACCAAGCAAACCCGTTGCTAAGGCCCTTGCCCGGCATCTCATGTAGGATAGTTTGCCCGCCTTTAAGCATCGGCATTGTCAGCGCACGGAGGCCAGCCTCACGACGCAAGACAGGACTGAAGAGAATTCACTCTTCTCGATTCAGCAAGAAATGCGAAATTATATAGACATATATTCGACGCTGCCGGGCAGTAGTGCCTCCCATACGTATACACCTGGACGGAATATGGTGGTATCGCGTATGACCAAAAGAACAACAAAATGAAGGCACCAACAAGAACGAACCATCTTGTCCGGCATCCCCTCTCATGCATACCTCACCAAGAGCCTTCTGTCTCCTGAAGCAAGGCAAATATGATCGTGGCGAGCGATATATTAAAACTACCCACGGCTCTTGAAACCCGAAACAAGTCCTTTCTTTGACACACGGCGTTTTTCTCGCCCACTTTCTCTCAATTGCACACACGTACTTCGTACATCGCCCAGTGCTCCCTCTCGATCTTCATCCACCATAGAAGGCAAGTCGGAGCACATTAGCACTGGTTACTGGTCAACTGTTGCTGGAGTTCGGTATTCAACTAGGTACATAACGTAACAAGTGGAATTCCCGAGCAAGCCCCTTGCCCCGCCGGGCTCCAGGTCAGCTCCCAAAGAGTGGAGGGGAGGGACCCTTCGCCACACTCTCCCCCTTTCCCGCTTTGGATTCTCACCTATTTCTCCGCCCCACCCACTCGCACTCCCGGGAGGAGCCACGGATCAATCATCAGGTAAATAGGCGACTGGACGTGTTCGGTCGAGCTTTTTGCCTTCCATGCACCTTGCTTCTCTTCTATTTGCCTCCCCTTTTCCTTTTTCCCTTTTCTTTTTCCTTTTGTTTTTCTGGTTTATTTCCAGGGTCTCTCGTCCCGAAAACCCGCATCCCTCGCCGGCACACGCATCACCCGCCGAGCCCAAACCCCTGCAACCGTTCCTCACCACCCTTATCTCCCCTTGCCCACTTGCCCACAGCTTCCGTTTTCGCGGGGGTAATAGCACCCCTCGTATCATTGCCTCTCCACTTATCGCATCTGCAAGCAACAGCAGCCCCGGCAAGTCTTCTTCGGGCTTCCTTGGTATTATCATTGCTGTTCGCCAACCTAAGCGATGATGAAAACCCATCCTCTATAGTTGAAATTTTAAGTCAAGAGGAAAGTGATGCCTGGCATAACTACTGGTGCTAAGTGTTTGAGAAATCCATCAAGTGTTTTCCTATTGGTAGGTACACTGGACGCGGCCGAAGAACGAACAAGACGATCGCGTCACAAAATTGTGACGGGAAAGAGCCTGGCCATTTGTTGAAGCAAGTCTTGGCCTTTCAAAGTTTGTCCGATGCGATTTTGAACTGCTTCAGCGAGCAAGTGCGAGCCAAAGGAGAAACAAATATAAATCACTTGTATAATAAGTAGGTGGGATAAGAATTGAACAGTGGCCAGTCCTTGCTTAACCAGGAGAGAGAGGAAGTCCGGCAACCCACACGCTCTACTACTTCTGCTGACTTTTGTCGCTAACAGCGGCTAAGACCGCGAAATATCGACCTTGCGACGTCGACTCTTGAGCAGTGGAGGGCCGGAGAGGAGCACTGAGAAAGATAAAATCCCGCGCCCGAAATCCTTTTGGCTGAAAGAGAGACTTGGACGGACCAGCCCTCGCTCCTCCGGCGGAGGAAGACGAATGGCGTGTTTCTGCCCTTGACCTTTATTTCTTATTCCTTTCCTTCGCCCATCCTTTTTCTCTTCTTTGGGTAAGGAGTACGACATAATTGGCGGTGAAGCATCAATCCAAGTCGTGGTTGGAGAGGGGGAGGGTGTGCAGTAAGATTGATCGCTGATGACGACACGCTATTATCGTGCTTCACTCCCAACCCTTCTTCTCCCCACGCTTGCATTCGCCCCAGTCCCGTTTAAGACAGCGGAATGACACTTTTGTTTGCGAGCCTCACAAAAGCGATCAGGGTTGGAATCCTCCCAATAATCGAGCTGCATGTAGATTAGCAGGTGCCAACCGGACCTCTCACGGGCTTCTCTAATGGTCGTCTGCCCTCCGGTCTTCAAGATCACCTGTAGCGTCGCGCTCCAACCGCGAGGATCTAAGAAGATTGAACGTTTTCTTGTCCTTTCTTCGCCTTTCCATTCCGTTTCCAACTAGAATGTCAGCTCTTGCTTAACTCACATGACGTGCAAGCAATCTTGGCGAGGGCTCAGCGCTGGACCTTGAACGGCCCGGTTTGAATAAAAGGTAGCTCCTTGCGTATGAGCATGTCGCTATTCATCGGACTGTAAATCCCGCGCGCGTGGGACAACAAACGTTTGCCCTACTTGTTTCTTTCTACCATGAGCCGTGGATCTTGCCATTCAAACCTCCCCAACAAGGACGTGGGAAAAGCAAAGCCCATTGCCCTCTTGCTTTGGGGCGCCGATGGGAATCGAAGATGAGACAGACATGAGGGAACCGGACAAAGTACCATGACCCTTCCCTAAGTCGCTCCCATGAGTACAGTATACTCCAATAGCGAGGTGTAGGTTTAGCGAGACCAGAATCGTGGCCTGGCCTGGCGTTTTCGCAACTCGCGCAACAACACGCCTTTTAAACCGTCAATAAAGCGTTGTGGCGTGGCAGAAGGGGTGGGTGATTAAGAGCAATGGAGACTGTTCCGGGAACAGACGCCGCATCCACCCAGAGCATCAACCACCTTGTAAAATGGTTTCAACAGACGGCATTGTCGAAAATGTTGGTCCCATGATACTGCAGTGCTCTCTTGGAACTCTTTCACTCTTTCATTCTTCAGAAGGATTAGGATTCTTCACTAAAAGTATTAGCTCGAACGTGGAATAAAGTGCACGGCGTCTGTCGAGCATCGACTCAAAGTGGGTAAGCGTCGCAGTTGGCTTATGTAAACACTCGCAATCGAACACCTGGACCCGTTCGCAAGTGTATCAAGATGCATTTCCTTCGGACTTGTCGCAATCTCACAATCCACCCCAGATTCCGCGGCTTTACGACCCTCTTTCCATCAGCCTCATCATCTCTACGGACACAATGGCCAGCCTCAAGGACATGCGACGGGTGGACCTCGGTAAGACCACCATCGTTTTCTCCCCTCACTTGCGCAGTCGTGGACAATTGGTGCTGCGCAATCTCAAAGACAGTTAGAGCTAACCCCCTGTCTCCACCGCGTGCGTAGTCGTCCCCTACCAGCAGCCCCAACCCCGACCCGACGAGGTTGAGTTCTCCTCGACCCTATCCTCGACCCTCCCCATGGCGGCCATGATGACTCGGAACCGCTTCGTCGGCTGGGCCTCGTTCGTCTTCAGCCTCCAGACCTGGCTCGGCCAGAGCGAACAGACAAGGAGGAACGCCAGTATGCCCGGCTACTTCTCCGCCGCCATGGCCTGTATGTCCCTTCCCCGCCCGCCTTGGTTTATTGCAGTTTCTTCATCCCTAGAAGTCCCCATTATCTGGGTGTCGTCCGATCCTCCGCCTCTGCATGGCGTGGCTGGATTTCATGGAGTTATCACAGGCTAACCTTTGCTCGCTTTCTTTCCGTAGTCCTTGCCCTCGCCATCGTGTACCTCCCTCTCTTCCTACCTCCCGCCGCCAGGCAAAGCATGCCGCTTACTCCGTAATCCGTTCACGGAATTTTTGGCAATCCCGGACGCTTATGAGGGTCTCTCGACGCATGTCGCGGCATGGAAGAGCGAGGATTAGACTCTGTTTGAGCTCTCGGTCGCGTAGGAAATCGATTTGAGAGAAAAAGGAGATAACTGGTACGAAGGCGACGACTAGGTCAACATGGTGAAGGCGAACGTGCCTCTGTTTTTCATAAGAACGATGTACGATAGGATATCGTCGATGCAAGGGGGACGAACGAGTGTGCTTCCATCATGCTTAGACCAAGAAAATTGGGTATCTTACATGTTGTGTTTTTAGGAAAGGCTTCCATCGCAGGCGGTAGTTTTAATATTAATACGGTGTTCTTTGGGGCATATCAGATACCAGCAGTGAAACTTTCTCTCCCGCCCTCGCCCTTCTGCTTTTTCGGACCAACCCCCCTTACCCCCAGACGCCATTGATGCTTGTCACACAAGATAGAATGATGGCCTACCATGGGCGAAAGAAATACAGCTTAGATGCTTGCGCGCATCTGCCCATCAGCAAGGACACTTCCCTTGCCGCCCAGTCAGAGGACAGTTTGGATGGCGTCCTCGGCGGCCTAAAGTTGACTCACCCTTTATCTCTTTCTTTTAGTGTCACCACAGAAGCAAGGGACAAGGTCTAACAATCCCCTCCACATCGGCATTCCTAGTTCTCGAGGTGCCCGGCAAGCCCCTCGAGATAGAAGGATGGTACCAGGTAGTATCTCGGATTATCCGATACACTGGCTGGTTTGTACATATTCTGTGGAATGGAGGGGTCATCCATGGAGTCCCAGTTGGGCGGGTGAGCTCCAAAGGGCAATCACTGATCTATGGTCCGGGAGCTCGAGCTCTCCTAAGGTAGCAGTGAATCCATTTTGTGAACAAGCCCCAGCCGAGGGCTAGAGGGCCGTTTAGATGCGTTCAGATTCACGTTCCTCTCTATCTCCTTTAAAGGAGATGAAGATGTATTCCAAGAAGGTCCTCTTCTAACAGCAGTGCCCCTAATCACTTTAGGCGGGCTATAGCAGGTGGGTAATGGCCTATCTTATATACCAATCAAGCGCACGACAGCCACCAAGATATCCTCACTAGTACAATACCTTTTTGTTCCCGTTCTGACAGGTCCCGCCCATTATCTTTCCAGCCAAGTTGAAGGAGTCAATAGCTAGCTCCAGGCTGGAGCGGCGGATGATACTTATCTCCGCTAGATCACTCCCTCAAAGAGATCAACTCACTCGCCGTGTACCGATCTTGAATTTCCAAGGACGGTGCCGTCAGAGAGTCCAGATACAACTGCCAATATCAAGTCAGGCCCTAGCACTGGTACGCATGAAGCTGCTAAGTGGCCTCCAAAAGTCGCCTATAGCACCGGAGAGTGATATTGTGGAGCGTCTGATAAATGCAACAATGTGTCCCTGAGCGATGAATGCTACTACAAGTAGACTTTGACCTTTTATCTTGGTGCCTTGGCCTAGTGGTAATAGTACCGCAACATGTCAAGTGTCAAGGCATCTCCGATCCAGGAGACAGCACTCGGTAATCTCACCATACATGTAGCCTTATGAGGAGAAGCAATAACTGGCAGAGAGCTAGATTCGTACTTCAACGCAGGACCTATCAGGATCTCCTAGACGGTTTCGCTACGCAACCGGGTGCAGGGCCACGCTAGACAGTAAACATACTAGGGATTCACGCATCCATGTATCGGACCGACGCAGAGTGGGAGGATGCTCGAGTTTTATCCTATCTCCAGCGAACGATCTCTCAGTGTCTCGCGATGCAATGGGACAATCCTTAGCTGTGGGCAGAGAGAGACGAGCCAAACAGTCCTCAAAACGAAATATAAACGCAGTAGAGATCGTAATTAGGAGGAAGCAACGAAAATGCTCACCTCTTGTGATAAATGCAATGGCATCCGCCTCGTCATTTCAAAAGGCCAGTCGACATAAGCCGTCGCAAAGGGCTCTTCGCTTTCTTCGTCTGCCGACTGAGGAGCAATACCACGTTCGGGCACCTTCTCCCGTTATTATTTATTCAGCCGCTCCTCCTACCCTTTTGTTTTTAAGCTTCTAGGGGCTTCCTGTTCAAAAGGATATTTGCTTGGTGACGAGAGGTCTAAAAGCAAGCAGTGAGTGGCTCCCTCGCTGGGAGGCGGAATACAACATTGAATTTGGCGAGTGACTACACAGAGCTCTGTTAACAACATTACATCGCTGGATCGGCCAAATCAAATTAATGGAGCTCAAACGGCAACTTGAACAGTGTGAGAGTACATGTAATTTGTACGAGGGTGCTGCAAACCGAAATGGGCCCATCAGCCCGGCGCCGTCATGCGATCTTGCTGCCCCTGCCGCCCGGGCGTACTGATTGAGGCTCACAAAAGTTGCTTGATTGCGTATGTGTTCTTTGTGGTCAGTGCAAGCAGGCGCGAGCCCAGCGAGGTCCTCCGACGTGTAGGGGATTCATTCCAGGAGACAGCCCCTTGTCCCCACCTCCGGCGCCTTTATTGTTACGTGCAAGCGGAGCGAACAGTGCTACTCCCCGGCGAGATCTCGTCGGGGTAGATTTGTGCGGTCGCCGTTGAAAGGGAAATGCAACCAACAATTTATTTCCTTACATTCCGTTCTCACGAGGCACTAATCCATACCGGATGTAATTAATCGGCATCACCTTGAATAATTCGCCCCATGTTCCGCCCTTTTTCGACTCGGGCAAGTTTTTTTATTTCATACGCACAGTCGGCGGCGTCGGATCGGCGTGGGCGGCTCGAGGTGGACGGGGGAGCCAACGCCGGCCAGTCACGGCCGGGTTTCGTTTCAATTCTGAAACGCCAGCGCTCTGACATGAGACCGTAGCAGAAGATCCATTCTAGACCCTCACTCGCCCGCCCAAAGGCCCCCTTTACCTACTCCCCTTCTCCCCTTGCTCCCCTTTAATCCTCTTCCTTTTCTTTTCTTTCCTTCCCGTCCCTGCCGTTGTCTGTATGCATGATCTGTTTCTTCATTTCCATTCTTTCAGCATCGCTTGAGTCCCTTTTGTCGTTCACTTTCGCCCAGCTGGTCTGACATTCGTCTTCGTCCGAGTCCGTTCCTTTTTCGCCAGATTCTAACTCGAGCCATCGTCAATTCTTTTTATTTCAAATCCTCCGCCATCTCTGGAAATTCGGTCGATTCTCTTAGCCCGAGGAACCCTTTGTCTGGAAACCCAGTTCGCCGTTCAATCCCGACTTCACCCACCAAACACACAGTCTTACAATCATCCAAGATGAAGATCACGACGTTTGTCGCCCTCGCGGTCTCTCTCTACACCTCCGCCGCCAGCGCCGGCATGGTCCTCATCCCCGCCTTCCCCGATCAAGCGGTAGCAAAGCAATCGGGCGATTGCCCCTACGGTGTCGTGACACCCATCGGCTGCGCGTAAGTGCTTCCCACAGCCCCCTTGGGAATGTTGAGTTGGCAAGAGGATTCCCCAAAAATGCTAACATCGATTCGACCTTAGTCCGGCAAGGGCCGCTCCCAACTAGAGCTTGGGTGTAACTGCTAAATGAGAGGAATCTCAAGCACGGGGATGAGGGCTACTAATACTTTACCGCTCCCCCTTCCTTTCGGTACGCCAGTGAGAGCCTCGTGGCGCCACGAAGGCGACTGTATACGATATGCAACCTCTATTGTCGACAGGTTACGACAGCCATCCAATATCGGACAGGCCAGATGTGCGGACATTTCGCGTATCCCTTTCAACCAAGAAAACAGGATGGCGAGACCAGCCAGCGGAGAGTGTTCTTTTTGAAGGATGAACCCCGGCTTTGGACCGGTGGTTAGGTGGACACGGACATTCGATTCTTTGATACCTCTATACATATTTAACACATCTTTGAATATAGCGCTTGTGAACGGCATTTGAAACTTGATCCTGTCTCCTCTTGCTCTCCATCTGTGTATCTGTGCGTGAATTTGGGGATATACGACAGCCATCTATTCCCGAACAGCATGCTCGCTACGCCTCATCCTTATTATTACTAATGACCAAGGCAACCAAGTAGTAGGGTTTCGATGTGGAGGGAGGGCCTTTCTTCTAAAGGCGTAGGAACGATCAAGGCATACGGAGGCCCGGGGGCTTAAGCCTGAGCAAGTGACCCCCGCATAAAGAGAACGCCGAGCCTCATGAGCACTTGAGGTCGTACTTTTCCGTCCGATCAGCGTTCATGGCGCCCCAATGGGTCTCATCAGCAGCACTTCCGTCGTCTCCAATGCTATCCGGCTTCCACGGCTCGTCAAACGCCTCAAAGAAGAAGACGTTGACATCAGTATCGACCATGCCACACACACCCTCCAGATAGAAGCGGGAGGCATTCTCAACCGAAGGAACCGCGGCGCCGTACTGGGTGCCTCCCGTCGGCCAGCCTGTTTGGGGTAACCCACACGTCAGTCCAGCTTTTCTTTAGGACGCCGTCCGCGTAATGGCGAGGCAGATCATAAGAGTTCTTTTTTTTGGAGAAGGAGGAGGAGAAGGAGCATACCTGTCTCTCCCACCCAAAGCTCGGGGGTTGAGTCGCCGGCAACGGCCCGAATGTGGTCAAACGCCTGGTTGATGTCATCAAAAAAGTATTTGTAGCGTTGTTGATGTCTTGGGCCTGCCAGTAGGCAAAGGCATTACAGAATCTTTGAGCACCCGTTAACTTCGTGTTAGCTGGCGGGCATACCAGATTGCATTCTCCAGTAAAGAATGGCGGTTCGGGGGTGGGTATCATACAATATGTCGGAAATGCCAATGACGGGGTCAGCAGTGCCATCTTGATACTTGTTCCAACTGTCCGCCGTGCCAACCTTGAAGTCAGGAGTAGCGGCCTTCATATCAGAGATCTTCTCCGCCAGCGCGGCCCCGTCAAACTCGCCGCGATATAGCGTCTCGGACCCCACGGCAACAGCATAGACTTGCGCCTCGTAGCCAGGACTAAATTCCACAATGGCCGCTTTATCGGCTTGATACGACTCCTCCGGGTACGCCCTAGATCCCGAAAAAGTCAATCAACGCTGCCTCGCCCCAGCCATTGTTTTTCTTTGTTTGTTGGGGGGCGGGAAGAGTTTTCCTTCCGTGCTTACCATATCCCAAGTACGACCTGGAACCCTTTCGCTTTGGCAGCGGGGAGGATCTCCTGCGCGGTGTTACACTGCCCGGCCGCGTACACCCGGACAACCTGGCTGCCCGACGCCGCCGATATAGCATCAAAGTCGGCCTCGTAATCGGCCTGCACCTTGCAGCTACCGTCGGGCTGCTTGGCGCCGAGCGCAAACCCCAGAGTACCGAGGGCGGAGGCGACAGACGGGGCCGCGGCCAACATGATCGGAGTGGTGGAGAAACGCATCGTGCCTGAATCTGGTGGGAAGGCGTCAGTCGATTCCTCGACTGCGTAGGTTTTACTCAAAGTCTCTGACCCTTATTACCCTTATTGCCTCTTTCGTCTTTTTTGTCTTCGTTTCCCAGCCGTTTTCACCTTGCGCTTTTTCTATAAGCCCGGACCCTTTGGTCTCACTCGCCTTCTCTCTCTTTACAAGAATCGACGATTTTGTGTCTCGGACGACAGTCGGTCACCGAACAAAGCAAGGCCGGAGATCGTGTGATCGATTTTAGACTGCAACAAGAACTGACTGACAAACATCAATTGACAGCGGAAGTGGAAGATGGTATCTAAATATCTATGGATACCTTGTCTCGAGCCCTTCATATTGTGTCATTGGGTGAATGATTCCGGCGAAGTTATTAACAGCCGTAAACCGGATTCGTCCCGGCGCTGTCCCGGCAGCCGTGACCTTAGTAGAATACTCCCGCTGTTCAAAAGCAATGACATCAACTTGATGAATTGACGGTGGCTTAATATCCATACAATCCGACGTGGGGACAATTTTTCTTCTTTCTTCCATATATCCCTAGATCAATGGAAACGTATGCCCTCCTCCACGGCGATGATCTTGGCCCCATGTGTCCAAGGGGCTCGCACCCTCGTTGAGCAGAGGGTTTACCGACGAATGCTCCGGTGGAAAGTTTAAGGGACATCATGGGACCGAAAGCGGCGATGGCGCGCTTCCAAGCCCGCTTTGGTGTCTCCGCTCTAGTTTTGCCTCTGTGGGAACGCGGCGTACACGGTAACAGTCCAGCCTACATGTACATCATTGGTTGACTTACCGATCAATTGGGCTTCATCCCTCGCAAAATGGATTTGCAGTGTCCACACGTAATCCCAAAAAAAAAAAAAAAAAAAAAAGGCTGATCGACAGATCAAGAACATTCGTTGACACTAGAGGCATCCACGCCCATGTGGGGGTGAGGGACCACGAGTTGAAGCCCCATCGATGCTGCGCCCATTCTTTCTTACTTCCTGCAGGGGCACCACGGGCGTGCGCAGCTTACGGAGAAGCGAGAGGATGGTTGCACAGCGTCTCCTCTCCAATTCGGGATCGATACCATTTATCCTCTTCCGCACAAGGAGATCAAGTCTCTGTATATATTGGGGGCTTTTCCAAGGCCGGAGTCGAGGATTAAATGACGGCATAGGGCGGCAGTGTCTTATGGGTTCATTACCCGGTTTCTCTGGCATCTCGATATGCGGGCAGTGCTCCATCCAAAGTTCTTCTTCGCCTTTGGGGTTTTTCTTCTTCTACTTCCTCTCTTATCCTTATCCCTCTCTAACTTCGCTCTTAGGTGGGGCACTACATTGACCCATCCATTGGCACTACCATTGAGAAACGGTGCCGTCCGAGTTCGCCTCCGGCGTCTGCTACACCGAGTTTGCGGCTCACGTCCCCTTCTTCTCGCTGGGCCCCCACTAGGGTATCACGCTTTGAATACCCTCGTCCGGCACCCCGCCCCTATGTCGGTGCGACGCCGGGAGTTTGTTTGGCGGTGGAGCACGGATTCCATGTCGTCTCCTGACTAGGCGGAACCGTTGCCTGAAGCGAGCACCCACTCTCCGGAACGGTCTGAACATAGACGCCACACTTCCTTTCTTTTTCCTCCCCCTTCTCGGTCACTTTTGGTATGGGTTACTTGCAGGGCTTCGTCAGCAACATTACGCGTGCTTCGCTTGTATTGGAAATTCTTTTCTCCATTCTTTCATCTACTAAGTCTAAAACTTCTCAGTATGGTTGGGGTATAGCGAATGACTGTGGCAACAAATGTATGGCCAGGATACTGTGTACCTCCTTGTAACTCCGGAAGTCCATCTTGCGAAAGGAAAAAAAAAGGCCACTAAAAAAGGAGGAGAAGAAAAATAGAAAAAGTAGAGACCTAATCCCCGAATGATCTCCAGCTCTCTGCATTGGAATGTCTGTGAGCCAGCAGGCAAACTAACTGTAGCCCCTGAGGGCTCCAACAGATAGCGAGATATCGTCTAAACTGGGGAAGAAGATTCTCTAACCGTGAACGCCCAAGATGTGAACCCTTGTTGATATGCTCTATCGCGTGAGAACATGCAAATGCTTCCGTACGACCCATATGTACTACTCGTAGACCCGTCCTTTCTTGAACCTTCAAGTTATATGCAGATAAAGCCGGGCGTGTAGTGAAAAGTGGAAAAGAAAAAAAAAAGGGAATAAGAAAAAGAGTGTAAGAAGTGAAGGGGGAAGGGGGAAGTATTTTCGTTAGAAAGCAGCCCACCATGGTGACATAGTTGGCGAATGGCTGCAATTATAGGAGCCATGCCAACGCTTGCTCGGCAGCGACAAGGCCTACCGAGAGCCACATGCCGTTGTGGAACATCATGGTCCGGTCGGCCGCGCTGTCATCGTCGCTGTCGTTGGAACCAGTCCCCGAACCAACGATATCGTCCTCTGTGCATTCCCCTCGAACTGGGCGGCCGCGTTGGTACCGGCGGGGACCTCCTGGAGATTGGAGCCACAGTTGGCATAGGCCGCGAAGTGAATCGCAGGGCTTTGCAGATCGAAAACAGCTAGACGTAAAGAAAGTTAGTGATTTGGTCAGGCTTGGAAAAGAGGACAAAATGAAAAGCAAGATCAAGGTAGAACATACCGTAAACAGACCGGAGGAATGAAGCCCCAAGAATGTACGAGCCGCTTTGCTCCACCATGGCACCCATAGCGCAGGTACCATCCCGAAGCTCCCAGATGAATTCGTGGAGAGAAACGTTGATCGTGGTGTTGCCAAAGGTAAAGTCAACGGAGCCGTCTTGTCCGCAAGGAACGAGGTACAGGTCATAGTCTGACCGGTATTCCGCGTCGAGGTCTTTGGCGAGTGCGGTGACCACGGCTTCGGGGAGGTAGCTGAGGGTGGCGCCGGTATCGAAAAAGACGGCGAGGTCTTCGTCCAGATACGTCTTGGAATTGCCGCCACCATCGGTCAGGCCAATCTTGTTGAGGGTGACCCAGAATCGATAGAGATCCTCTTGGTTCTGGGGGCCGAGGATCTGCTCGGTATGAAGCTTCCCCGAATACTTTTTGGTGTCAAGGCCGCCAAACGTGAGCAGGCCGCTTCCTCTTGCTCCTCCTTGGCACCAAGAGCGACGCCAAAGAGGCGGGTGTCGATGACTTTTGCTCAAAGAGCTCGTCGACAAAGTTGTTGTAGTCGAGGTTAAGGCCGTTGCCAAAGCTTAAGCCGAGAATACCGTGGCTCATCTGGTCTGTCCTCTGGGCCACCCCGAAGCGGACGGTTTCGAGCTCGACGTCGGAGCCGGGAAGGCCGACATTGTCGGTTACGTAGCGAATGGTAGCATCGCCGAGGCCGTACCGCAATGTCTTGCCACGATTGCTGACCACAATGGTTGACGACTTTTCAACGTTGAAATAATCGTTGGCCAAGCATTCGCTCTGCTGGGGTAGGGACGAGGCCGTGTCACAATCCGGGTTGACCCAAAGCTCCGAAGAGCCCGTGTCCACAATGACCTTGACCGTCTGCGCGGGAGTGCCGAGGTCGAGCTCGATCATGTAGGCCACCGAAGAGTAGTTGTAAATTTGCGTATCGGTGTCTTCGGCTCTTCGTACCCGGCGTCGTTCAACCGTCTCGTCATGTGGCTCGCGTTTCATGGGAAAGGCAAGCATGCCCTTGGGAATGGAGGCATCTTCGTTGGAAGTCGCAAGCGTCCTGGTCGTCGGGAGGGTGGCTCCAAGGGCCAATGTTCCACAGAGTGCGGCAAGCGCGGCGGAAAGCTTTAACCGGGCCATGTTTTCCCGCTCTGCGTATGTTTAAAAGGTAGTGACTGCGAGTGACGTCGGCCGTAGGTATAATTCGGGTGTAATCGTCGTCGCTAGCTGTAGAAGGGAATATGGAGTTTGGATTTCGAACCAGAAGAAAAGAAGGTGGAAAGGTCTCGTCCTAAGGATGGAGAGAGGGGGGAATGAAAGGAAAGGAATAAACTAGGAAAAGAAGAAAATAAAAACAAGGAGGGAGCTCAGAGAAGGAAAGGACAGAATAAACGTTAAAATGAAGGGAGGGAGGAGGAGAAGGAAAGAAGGGACTATGATACAATGCAGGTTTATGCCAAGAGAAGGTTGAAAAGGCTCCCTGGTTGTTTGACCTGGTAGTGCCCACTGCTGATCAGCTTGGCTGATGTACAGGAGATCCGGGTTGAGTTTATTTTTACTCCTTTTGGGAAAAGGAAAGATGCAGGAGGGTTCCCGGTAAAGACGAACAGGTGCAGACGCAGAGAGAGGGAAGGTTCACCACCGATATTAATATATTGCTAACTCTCAGGACTAGGGAGTAAGGAGGTACGAAGAATCGGAATACCCTTCATCTATGGATGTACATGAAGAAAGGAGAGGGGGCTGGAGGGAAAGGAAGTAGACTACAAAAAAAAAAAAAAGTAACAAAAAAGTAAAAGAAAAAGAAGCTTGCTCGGCGAAGGGTCTTGCGAGGAAAAAGAACATTGATGTACCAGGCTAGACTAGACACTGCTCGATCGACTTTTGGTCTAGAAGGTGGCGCGCTGGCGCCTGCCAAAAGCCCGCTTTTGAACCACCAAACCTTTCCCATTTCCTCTTCTTCCCATTCCTTGTTTCCTTTCCTTTCCTTTTCGGTTGAAAACCCACCCCCAGGTGGGACCCGGCGGAGCTTGATGGATGATTCTTCATTCCCTGCTGCGGCTTGAGTGGCCTCGAGTCACCCTCGATGGGGCTCCCAGGTCGTACCTGTAAAGATTGGGGAGGTGGCGCGTATGATCCTCTCGTGAACATTGAATTATCCTCCTGCCCTCGAGGCTTACGAGGACAGTGGATGATGGTATTATTAGCTAGCCTAACTTAGGATACATGATGTACATGTAGCCCTGGAGACCTTGAATGGCGCCTACCTGTACGTCCGAAGTACTTGCACCGTCCGTTAACCGACCGGCCAGGCCAGCCAAGAGCGCTGGCGCATCCATTGGAGCACTGAGATGGGTCTATTGGGTGGTGCTGACGTCCTTGGTCGATTAGCGCTGGGCCAGAAACGGGGCGGGGGCGGGACGGCTGCTCCGAGCAAACTCCATCCACGCGGCTTTTGGTACGAAGTATGCACTGCGAACATTTGAACATTGAGCCGAATGCTGTCCCAAAGCCTGCCAAGGTCCCTTCATCAGGCTCGCTGCCCGGTGGTACAATGTCTCAGCAGCCCAGTGGCGGGGGTTCAGCGCCGAGGGAAGCATTCCTCTTCTAGCGTAGTATTGGACAATACGAACGGGAGCTGAGATGGGACGTGGGGACCGGTTCAGTGTTTCGAGTCTCCCTCGTCAATTTCTTTCGCATTTAGAAATACAGGTAATTAATAACACCAATCCTGGATCGCTCGCTCGTACTCTCTCGGGCAGCAGCACCTCCTTCTCTCTTTGGGTTTCTGTCTGATAAATCGCAGCGGAGCGGAAGCATGCTAATAAAAAACCATCTTCATCACCTGTCCCGGGTCAACTGACTTTTCTGGATGGATGGATTGATGTCGAGATTCCGCTCTCCTGCATGTTGACGAGCGGAGACAACGGCTGGCTGCCTCTCTTGGTGCATTACGTCGGTGCATGCCCCGCGATGCGCAAGTCGACTTGGGCATGGGCATAGTGACGCGTCAACCCTCAGCATGGTTTGTGCAGGATCAGGAGGTGGCGGACGTAACTTGTCGGAGCAACAATACTGACGACCCTCCCACCTCGAGCCTTTTGATGTGGATTCAGAGCATGGGGATGGTGCATCTTTGTGTTTTTGTATTCATGAGTAGAACCATGATTCACTGGGGCCCTTCTCTTTTATTTCCCTTTTCTTTTTCAGTTTCGATAAAGTACTTCATTTTCTTCACCCCAGGCTGTCCGACAACCCTGAAAGAGGCTCGAAGAAGAATCTAATTTGTGCCATCCTTGAATGCCGTGTGGAGTTCGATGATCGGTCCTCTTTCATGAAGAATTCCCCAGGCTTGGTTGGCCTCTTCTCTGATCCAGTTGACTGGTTCCTCAGCCCGTATCCCAGCACAACATTCCTCGAGCTGCTGTCCTCGCCCATGGTTACATCTGAAGCGTCAGCCTCCGATTGAGAGCGGAATATTCGTAGCCTAACCAAACTAGGCAAGACACTTACGAATTCACCCTTCCGAATCTCACTAGACTGTCCTTGGAAACATCTGTTCGGCTCAAGCGCGGGGACGGATGTCCTCTCCCAAGCCTGAGGCTTTTGCCAATGTGAACGGCGGTTTGAACACCTTTTATCCTTTCCTCCTGCATATGGAATCTTCTTAGTATGAGACCCCTATTTTGAAAGACGGAGAACAAGCCACGATATCTCGGCTCCTTTTATTTTATCTTTAATCTTCATTTATTATCTTTTTCTTTTCGGGTCCTCGGGATTTCGCTTGCCCTACAAGTACTCCGTAGTTCCTTTGTAGTGTACATGCTCTTCTTGCTTTCACTGCCCGGTGATCCCCTTGCGATTTTCGAAGCCTCGCCAAGAGCCTATCAGGGGAATCGAACTGATTTGCTTGAATGAATCGAGAGGAGCAATGCCCAGAGCCGCGTTATGCTTGGCCAATAAAGTCTATGCAGGGAAATGAAAGGCACAGAAGAGATCAAGGATGGCTGATCCGCAGCGGCCAGGGGACAAGCACTCGTGGGTGACAAGAGCCAATTTCAGAAAGCAGCTGTCCGCAACTGGGAGCGGAAGCGAAGAACACAGCCGGATTAAATTTGTTCATTCCGGATTTTTAGGTTAGTCATCGGCCGCACTGTCTGTAAGCTAGTCCCGACTTAGGAGGATCTATATCACGTGTTTCTTGATTAGTCACTCGGCTCACGCCAAAGATTGCCGAGCCGGAGGTTCAGCCAAAGCCATCTCCATTCAAGACGATAACCATCCTCCACTCATTTAACTACCCATCAGAATCAATCACAATGGCCACAGTAAGTTGTTTTCTGTCTTCAATTCGATGCTAGGGTGTCGGCGGTCTAGGCGCATCGCTTTTTCCGCACCCACGGGCGACCAATTGGCGCGTGGGAGGCGACACAACGCGGAGTGGTTCTCATCGAACCTGCACTTTGGTTGGGGAGTACGAGCTAATTTTTTCCCGCTTCCCGCAGCGAAGCGCAGCGCTCAAGCTCGACTGGGTCAAGGTCACCACCTCCCTCGGCCTCCGCGGCCAGACGGTGGCCTCCTCCAGGCCTTTAAGAAGCGAAACGAAGATGCTCGCCGCAAGCTCCAGCTCCTCCAGGAGCAGGCCACCGAGGTCGACTTCGCCCAGTACCGCTCCACCCTGAAGAACCAGGCCGTCGTCGACGAGATTGAGAAGCGATTCAAGGCCTTCAAGCCCGCCACCTACGACGTCAACAGGCAGATCAAGGCTATCGAGGCCTTCGAGGTTGAGGCGGTAAAGAACGCCGAGGCTACCAAGGACAAGGTCACCATGGAACTCCAGGACCTCGGCAAGACCCTCAAGAACATTGAGACTGCTAGGCCATTCCAGGACCTCACTGTGGTACGTTGACATCACAGCTTTCTCCGTGCTTCTCCCGTTGGACCTCTGTCCCCCTCTCGCACAATTCTTTTCCCATCTTCGGAACGAGGGGTTTATCCCATTTCCCTTCCCTCTCTGTCGTACCTTTTCTTTTTCCCTTTTCCCTTGACCCATGACTTTCCTCGACATCTATGCCCAGGGAACCCCTCCCCTCCCCGTCCCCTCCCCGTCCCCTCCCCCTCTCCTCGCCCTCGCAATGGTCCACAGTTGATCCCGCTCGTACGCCTTCCTCACGTTTGACGATTCTTGAATTCTAACTTGACGGGGATTATAGGATGAGGTCGCGGCTGCCGAGCCTTCTATCGACGAGAAGACCGCCCAGCTCGTTTCCAAGGGCCGCTGGGTCGTTCCCGGATACAAGGTACGATTTACGATCTTCCGCCTCGTCGGATCTCCCAATGTCTTGATGGCCCTGCAGTTTGCAGAACTAACACACTTTATAGGAGCGCTTTGGCGACCTCTCTGTCCTTTAAACGGTTAACCGTCCTGTTTCCTATACCTGTTGCTATCACTATTGCATTGTAGATAAAGTGGATTTAGATGCAGAAGTAGAGGAAAGCGAATCCTGATGTACTTTTTTGGACCTGACCCAACCCGACGACAATGAGCGGGCCGCGTCCCCTTTTGTCTTTGCTTTTTCGTGTCTGTTCGGCTCGATCTCCAGAACCCGGCGTGATCTATGTGCGTGCGCTAGTTATCAAACCCAAGCCTTCTTTTCTCGTGTTGGGGGCTAAGGGTGCAGGGCCAACATCAATGAAGACAGGATGGCGTTTTGATTTGAGATCATGTTGAATTCTTCTTCCCCCACTCCCACTCGTTGGCTCCGGCGTTCTGATGTCGATAAATCCGGAGCTACGAGTCCTTGGGGACTGTAAACACGGGAGGGACCGAGCCTAGGAGGACGTGACGGACCTAATGCTCCAGGGATTCATGTGTAGTGATGCCCGATGTCATGCACGGAGGAGATGAAATATGAGGGCTTTTCTTTTGCAGGAGCGGCCCGGGCTAGCTCAATTGGATTAGTTACAAGCCGGGAAGGTTGGAGGCTCGCCATGGCCAGCCGAACATGGGTTCGGCATCTGTCGTTCCGAGCGAGCGGACGAGAGATGGTGTCGCGAGAGTGGCTGACTAGGGCTTGATAGCGAAACCCGAGAGCTCAACGTTTGCGCACCACCACGATGGGTCAGTCATTAATATCCTATATCGGTACTTGTAGGCTCACGACATGGAACCGGGCGATGAAGCGTCGGGCCAAGCCGGCAAGGATGTCAGAAGAGGAGGAGGGAAGGGGAAGGAGAAAGTGGGAGCCCCAGACCCTGGACACCGGTCGGCAAAATCTCCTCTCCCCTGTCAGAATCGGAAGATCGTGTTGGCAGCCTCATCTCCCACTCCTCGGGGAACCATGAGGCTCTCGCGAGGGCATCGAGAGAGCTTGTATCCCGGTGATCCATGCCTCTTTAAAAGACCTTGCTCAGCCTTGACCTTGCTTGCTACAAATACAAGAGTGAGGCGGACTCGCCTTGCCCTCTGCCATGCTCTCACCCGCGGTTCATGTGGCGACTCCTCATCATTCATACGTGTAGAGGTAAAAAGCACCATTCTAATACTCCGATCTCCCGTTGAGGCTGCAAATGATCTTTCTTTGCCTTTGCTTGAAAAAGAGTTTTTCGATGGCTCATTCATGGCGGGTTCCCTTCCCTTTCGAAGGGGGTTATCGAGGCTGCTCTTTTCTTCGTATATTATTATTATTACTATTATTATGATACAATCAAGGCACTGGAAAAAGTCCTATTTGCCTTCAAGGCCCCAGAACCCTGGCCCCCAGACAAGGGCCCCCATGCATTTGGCTCGAGCTGCTGGTTCCATGATGACATGTATCAAGCACAGCTGCTTGACCAGAGCATGCACCCCAGGTTTCGATTTAGAGGCTGATTGATTTCTTTGTAACAATGACTGGGCCGCTCGTCATCCCCACTTGATATCAAACTCCTAGAATACCCTAATGGCTCTTTTTACTTTTTGCTGAGGGGATGCTGAGAAGAGGAGGAAACGAGAATGGGAAAAAGGCGAAGGAGGAAAAAGGAAAGAGCATTGGGTTGACAGAGAAAATGGGAGAGAAGCACCCAAGATTGGAGTCACACAACAAGGGGTAGGGGTATATATACCAGACCAGGGATTTGAGTTAGTTTTACAACGCTGGATTCACCGAGGCGTGAGCGAACCGGACCTTGGATACCAGCAACCCCAATCATCTACATCAATGGCAGCGATCTCGCCATGAATCATCGCTCACCACTGGGCGGGCTTGGTTTCTCTCTCTGCCTATCAAGAGTGGGATAAAGGGGGCCAACCGGTGCACTGAGGCATCCGTTTTGGCAGAACAAAAGCAGCGCGCAGGGCCGAACAATCAATCAACGGATCTCTTCCATCTGATGAGTTCTATTTGAAGGATCCATCTGTTGTCAGATCAGATCCATCCAGGGTGGAGGGATGTACGCCGCCTGCAGACACCACACACCGTCGTTGGCTGCAGAGAGACATTGAGCGCACTGAGCGCCCTGAAAAGCCCACGCCCCCCCAACAAGAGAAAAAGCGCCACAGAGACCAAATCGGAGGTTTGAGCCTGGTTCTCGGGTCCCACTACCCACCATCACTTTTGAGATGAATGTTGCGCCAAATCCAGCTGGTGTGTGCGCGTGCATATTGGCAGACTTTGCACATCAAGCGGATTCAGCCATGGCAGACATGGATTCGCGTCCAGAAGAGAAGAGTGGAGCACGCCGATGCGCAACCTCCAAGATCTGGGTGCATTCCCATGCAGTGGCAGTGGGCACATCTGGCATGATAAGGGGACAGACAACGGCACGGCATTAAACCGCCGATAGGTTGATCACAGCGTGGATCATCCAAAGTGTAGTGCAACGAAGTGTCCAGTCGTTTTGGATGGACGGCAAGGGGGCCGGCGCTGAGCGAAAGCTCTTCGATACACTAGGCAACACGGTATTATTCGAGCCAGCCAGACGGACAGACATCCCATCGGGATTGATGAGTACTCCGGACGAGAGACAAGGTATCGATGGGTCTATCATACGAAGTCATTTTGGCTCTCGCAATCCCTCCTGCCAAGGCAACACATCCACATGTTCCGTTCGCCTTCCTTTTTCCTCCACCATTCTTTTCTAGGCCAGGTAGTTCCCGGTCAACCCCTGTATTGTATTCAGGGACCACGCCACGACAAGCCCGATAAGAGGGCCTCTTGCCTAATCTTGGGTCTTGGGCTGCAAAGAGGAATCTTCACTTCGCAAGCGTTGAACAGAGGAACCAAGCGGCCGGAGACTGCAGAGCAGGGGAGGCAGGGGGAAGGAGTGGGCGAATACCCTGAACGGGCTACTTTCATTTCCATGCTGTTGGGACAGCCGTTTTTTTCTCTCTTTTTCCCCCTCCCGTTTCCTTTTTCCCTCTCATGCTCCCCTTCACCGTGGCTGCCCGGGGAGGTGTTTTTTGGCGTCTCCTATTACTCCCTCCTTCTTGTCAGTCTGTTGGGCGCGGGAGGCTGCCTTGGATGTATGTTGTGCGTGTGTGCGTCGCCCATCATTCGCGGCGTTTGGGTGTACAATACATAGTGTGTAGCTCTCTCGGCGAATACTTTCAACTCCACGCCCCCTTGTTCGCTTGCCTTCCCCGGCCTACGCTTGCACGGAGTGAGAGTAGTTCAACCAGACCAGCGCAAGCTGGGACTAGGCCAGGTTCAGACACACACATGCTCACCAAAGTGCCGGTCTTTTTCCTTTTTCCCTTTCAGTTTTCCCAACTCAGTCTTTCCAAGGAAGAGGAAAAAAACTGCCAAGCTGAGGCGAGAAGACCACAGGCCAGGGACCGGTGAGCTACATGTACTGATCACTTTGTAGACGAAGATCCTTCTTGCAACAAAAGGATTCAAGGCGAGGAGGATCATCATCATCATCATCATCATCATCGCCAGTGGTAATACTCCTGAAGGGGAAAGCTGCGGAGGAGGAAGGAGACGAAAGGAGGAATCTCTTCCTATCCAAACAATGCCCTTGTAAGCCCATCCGCCTTCTCTTCGAGTACACACCTACGCTTGAGCTTGGCCATTCGCCTTTACCTCTTTCCGTGCCGCCAGGGATATCTGTGGCCCCCTCCCTTGGTGTTTTAGCGGATCATCGAAACCGCCATCAGAGTCAAACCCAGCTCCTCGCTTCGTTTTTCCATTCGTTGGCTTCCTTTTGCTTATTCCCTTTTATCTCCGTCCCTTTTTCTCTCCTTCTTCCTCACCCTCTCCCTCACCTTGTCTCTTTTGTTCGAGTTTTTTCCCGCCTCTTGACGCCTCACCTTACGGCCACCCTTCCCCCATACCATCCTTCTCCTATATTTCTCCCTCCCTGATCTTTCTCTCGGGTACGTGGGTGGAAGAGATCATCAAGCCGAAGCAGGAGACGGGAAGGAAGGCGATTCGTCAAAAAAAGAGAAGGGAGAGACGCAGAAAGAGACCAAGAACAAGAACAAGAACAAGAAAAAGGTGGTGCTGAGCGGATCCTTGCGATCCGTCTCCATGGGTCCGGATCTTCTCTTCTCTCTTCCTTTTTCCCTTCTTAGTCCGATCTTACACATACTCACACCTTGGTTGCCTTCTTTGGAATAAAAAGGTGCATATCGCATCCGCGTCCTAGGTCGTTCCATACTCTCTCCGGATCAACACATACGCACACACACACACTCACGCTCACACACATACACCTCCACACCCACCCACATCTGCATGCCTATGCCCACTTCACCCACGCCTGATACGTCCCACACACGCATATCTATATAAATATCTACTCCCACTCTCGTTTTATATCCCCCTTTCTATAATCACTGTCGAGATTCAAGGCATCGCACCGGAGCAAGCGATCTCCGTCGAGATACAGACCGGGCAGATCTAACCACCCTTTCCCCAAAGCAACTTAGCGTACCGTAACGTCCCACAAGCTCGCCCGTCGCTAGCCCCGCCTTATTTTTTTCTCTCTCTCTTCATAACGTCCCTCAGTTACACTTGGGCGATCTCGTTTAGAGCGTCAAGGTACGAGGGAGAGCAAGTATCGAGGGAAATAATATCCTGTCAGAACCCCCTCCTCCCCACAAAACTCAAGAGCAAAGCAAGAGGACAGATCAACACCACACCAATGCCTTCGGATACGCTAAAATCTCTCGTCATCGGGGCCCCTCCGCCCCTCGACCCCGCGTGGGTAGAGTACGAGCAGGCCCACTTAACGCCAGCCGCACCCAAGAAGAAGACGTACGAGGCTCCGACGGCGGTAGAGAGGCAGCGGACCTACGCCCAGGAGTGCCGGGCTCTGCACGCCCGCATGATGGGTCCTGAAGCCCGGGACCACGAGCTTTCCAAGGGGATCGTGAAGACGCGGCTGACCACCACGTCGACCAAGGACGGCGCGACGATCCCCCTCCTCGCTTACACGCGTGAGGAGGATGCCGAGAAGGACCCGGACGTGGTCATCATCTACTTCCACGGAGGTGGGCTGTGGGTAGGCGAGGTTGACAGCGAAGAGCTCTCGTGCCGCAGGCTAGCGCTGGCGGGCAACCACGCCGTGTACTCGGTCGGCTACCGGCTGATGCCCGAGTACCTTGCCAGCGTGTGCGTGTCCGATGCCTATGATGGGTTCGAAACCGTCCGCAAGCGTGTGGGGAGCAAGCCGAAGCTCGTGCTCGTGGGCTCCTCGAGCGGCGGCCAGCTCGCCGCGCACGTGTCGCAGATGGCGCCCGCCGGCTCCGTGGACGGGGTGCTCCTGCGGTCGCCCGTCACCAGCGACGTGTTCAGCGGGCGCGAGTACGTCCCCGAGCGGTTGCGCGCCTATCACACCAGCGCCTCGCCAGCCTTCATCACCGCCCTGGGCGGCTACATGAAGAGGGCGATCCCGCGCGACGGCCTCGCGAGGATGCCCCTCGAAGCCGATCCAGCTAGCCTCCGGGGACTCCCCAGGACGTGGATCCAGGTCTGCACCAACGACACCCTCTACTCGGACGGTGTTTGCTACGCCATAGCCCTCGAGGAGGCTGGCGTCGACGTCGACGTTTGCGTCGTCTCCGGCTGGCCGCACACGTTTTGGCTGCCCGTCCCGTCGCTGGACAGGGCTCTCGAGGCGGAACTGGAAATGGTGGAGGGGCTGCAGTGGGTGCTAGCTGGGTAGACTGGCATTGAATAGCACGTACTTTCTGAGGTGTTTTGGTGCCAGGTTTCTTTTTTCTTTTCTTGCGCCTTCGGTCCCCATCTCTCTATTGCTTGCTGGCGCCCGCCTTTTTCTCCTTTTCTTTAACCACTCTCCATCTCCTTATGTTGCCTTATCGCCCCCGTTTTCTTTCTTTTGCTTTCTTTTTTGTTACTTCAAGACCTTAGATTTCTATTTCGGCTTTCGCAGAGCCCCTGGGTTCCGCCTCTTTTCCAGTTTTATCTCTCTCTCAAGTACTTAGACCGCCAACCTCCAAGGCTAGGCTTTTCCTACCCTGCTTTCCCACCCACCTTACACGCCCTGTTTCTTATGTTCGTGGGTTCCCATTCTCATCGCTTAGGGTTTTGCCAGCTGGCGCTATCATCCGCTTGACTATCAGAAGCGAGCACTTTTCAGATAGAATTGATATCAGAAGACCATCCTAGCACACTAGCTAGCCAGACTCTTCTCCTCTGCTTTCTTCAGACAGGAGCAGAAAATAAGAATAAAAAAAAAGAGACCCATTTATTCTAGTATTTCATATCCATGCACGTCGCCATGCATCCGCAGTGTTAGTCTGTTCCACAAGCCCTCATTGTCCCGGGGAGAAGGGAAAAAAACGAATACATTTCAGGCTTCTCGCAAGAAGCAAACACGTCTATTAATGGTCACGGGTGTGTCAAATATGACAGAGCCTCTTGTTTTTCTGATAAGCCTCAAGCTTCCCGATTTGTGCTATTTGCTACACGAAAAACAACTGCTGCGCTGCGCTGATTGGAGAGCCCGCTTCACCTCTTGTGCACAAAGCTGAACAAAAGTTGCACCCACTCGGGTCGAGGGGAACAAAAAATGGATCAATGGAATCGAAGGAAGAGAAACGAATAGGAAGCCAAACAACCAACAAACAGTTGAAGAGAAAACAAGGGGTAGGGAATACGAGTCAAAGGATGAGGACCAAACAAACAACTATACGATCCTCGAAAACGAAAAATAAAAAAGGAGAATGGCAAAAGGAAAAGGCCCAAAAAGATGGGGGCCAACCGGGGATTGAACCCGGGACCTCTCGCAACCAAGCAGAGGGTGTTACCCTAAGCGAGAATCATACCACTAGACCATCGGCCCTTGAATCCCCTTGAGGAGGAGGGGAGGTTCTTGGAGATGCTCCTCCCTAGTGCGCCTCATACGAGCATGCCTTTCTTTTTTAAATTGCTCCTTTCATTTGCGAATCGAGTCGGATGGATACATGTAATACTCGATCCGCGATAGCCCCGATCCACACCTGGCAGGGCCGAGAGGGGAAAACCGGGACATTAGAAGGCCTTGTCCGCCCCTGCTCGTAAAAGTATACACCAGGACGAAGGCCCCCCGCTCAAGGTCTTTTCGGCCACCGTCCCGTCCACTCGAGGTCCGTCCCCACGTGCCGCGTTGGTCGGCCGCGAGGCTCGCCGTTCAGAAACCGTTGGCCCGGAAGGTGTCACAAGACTACCCGGAGGATAGTCCGTCTCGGCCACGGCGTTGACATAACCAAGTAGAAGCACTGATGCCGTTGTCGCGGCTGGTGAAATAAAGTTGAAGAGGCGAATGAGTGCACTAAAAAGTAATGGATGGCTTGATGCTCATGCCTCCTATTTTTCGGTTTAAAAAAGACTAGGAATGAGTGGCTTTAGTTGGGCCGTTTCCATATCTTGCTGCCCCATAAAGATACTAACACAATAAAGGTACAGGTCCGCCGCATTGTCTGTACTGCGTGCGGCTTTGATCCAATCCATTAATGTACATACAAATGCGATCTAGCTTACATGCTCCGCGGTATCGACACCTCACCCGTCACCATGATATAGAGCCTCTCCTCGCCGCCTCCGACGGTATCTCGTACTATGATACTAGGCGTACACGATACAAATAAACATGGCGTTATTAGCCACCCTTCCTCCTCGGGTTGCCTCCGCCTCCTCGGCCCTGGCTTCCCGGCCCCGCCGTGTTCCTTCTCAACTGGGACCCGCGGCCCCAGTCGCCTGCCGACTTCTTCAACCTATTACCCAGGCTGAGTTTGGCTGGCGATGTTATGCTGCCATGGGGCCGTGAGGGGATTCCCGCCGCGGAACCCACATTTTCCCATCCCGAGTTGCCAGCCCCGGCCCCGCTGCTCCTCCTATCGTCTTCCCCGTCACTATGGTATGTCTCCGTGGGCGATAACATTGTCCCCAGTGCTGCGAGAGCGGAGCTCCTTCTTTTCTTTTGCCGTCCAACAGCCCCCATGATCGCTGCCCACGTCTCAACCTGCCCGTGAGACGCTTCTTCTACGCAATTGCACTCGTCGCCCGCCGGGCACATGACTTCACCTGCAGCGTGCCACTCTGCTAGACACGACTCGTGGCTGGCACAACCGCACGAAAGACAGGGCGGGTATAGGGCGTCCACCGGCTCGAGACAGTACACGCAAAGGAGCTGCTTCTGTGGGCGCCGGCAGCGGTGACACGAACCAACCGCCCCGCCCATGTGCGGCTCAGTGGACGAAGTGTACTCGAGCGGCTCGAGTTGTGTCTCGTGAATGAGACAGACGCCTGTGACGTCGAGCCCACGACCCGATGTCATAAGTGCGTGGAGTTGCTCCTTTTTGCCTAATAGGATTGGTGAGGTGGGGCGAACGTGGGCGTTGGAAGAAGGGCCAGCCTCGATCGCCGTCGCAAACGACGCGTGACTAGCCGCGTCGATATTGCTGCCTCCGCCGTTATGAAGAGCCGAGTTGCTGCCTTTGAGCACGTTAAACTTCATCACCTCGAGGCGCGCTAGCGGTTGCTCCCACATGTGGAGCATTTCCGCGTACGCATACCGGTAACACGTGTGCATCGCGCTTTGTGTTGGGTCCAGGAGCGGTAGGACGAGCCACCCATCGTCGTCGAAAATTGTTTGGTCTTCCACTTTCACGGCAACCGATATGGGCACCAGTGGGAGCAGCTCTTCTCTAAAGTCATCGTCCGACATCGACGTGCGCGCGGTCCCCCGAATCCCCTAGCAGAGTCGAGGTACCCCACGTGATGCCGCCTAGGCTGGCGGGGGCAAGATTGCCCAAGATCGTTTCTGCCGGGCTCGGCCGTTTCCTTACTTGGTTAGGTGGTGACGAAGACACCGAGTTCACCGTCGCAAAGGGGCGTGAGAAGTTCGCGGCGATGCTTGAGGCTAACCCCGAGTTAATCCGCCTAAAAGACCGCGTGTTGGGTGATGAGGAAAGGCTCTGTGTCTGGTCTAGCTCCCCGAGATAGTCTCGTCCACCCTTGGTCGGTGGCGTCTCGCCGCATGAGTACGAGTTGGACCCCGGCTCGCCCGTCCAGAGCCCGTCATCTGACAGCTGCGAGCCAGAGTACCGGACCGGCGTATGTATGGTCCTTGGCGTATGAATGACTGAATTGGTCTGGCTGCGGCCGTGGTGGAAGGCGATTATTGAGCTGGCGTCTGCTGGGAAGTAGTCGAGAGAAAACGACGGGGCTTTCAACGGCAACGGAGTTTCCGGCTGTGTTATGCGGGATTCGATGTAGGCGACCGAGTCTTCGCTCGGCGCTTCGCTAAAGATGCAGGAGAGCATGGCGAGCATCTGGACATCCGCTTGATGCTCAAAGTACGTGAACAGATCCTTGACGAAAGCTTGTGCCAGGGGTGGGTGCCCCACTTGACCCGACCCGCTAAACCCATCGCGCTCTCGTTGTCAGGTTGAGGTGCAAGGCCGTCTTCGCCCTCCATCTCGTGGAGGCGGGTCATGACATCGCGGGCAATGACGAGTACCGACTCGCAGCCGGCGTCATGGCTGATGAGCTCGAGAGGGATACCCTTCCTTAAGAGGAGAGCGGAGTAGTTCCATATATCTACCAAGTCTCGTCGCCCGTACTTCTGGGCGACTTTGGCATTGTGGCTACACACCTTGGCGCCGTCTCCAAAGATGAGGTATTCCTGCGCAAACTCCTTCTTCGATGGCAGCTCGTCGCGAAGATCGTGGATGGCGAGAATGCATTTGGGCTTGCTTATGCGCTTCCTGCTCGTTCCCGTTCCCGTCCCCGTCCCGATGCCTGTTCCTCCACCGCTTGAGCGGATGGATCGGCTTTCACTCAAGTCTGGCGCAGGGAATGCCCGGGATGATACCAGAGGCCGGACTTGTGCATAGAGGTAGACTCAGAGTCGCTTGAGGAGGTAGAGGAGCTTTCTAGCTCGTCCGACTCCCCGATTGATCTTCAGTGGCCGACGTATCGTCCTGCGTGTAGCGGTGACGAAGCGGCGATTCTTGCATGAGCCGCCCGAACCCAGGAAAGACGGGCTCACCTTTCGGCCGATCCTTGGCAATAATTCCGTCGGGTCGGGGAAACAGGAGCCTCAGCTTCTCCTCTTTGGTCGGGAAGAAGCATACGAGGCGCCCGTCTCGGGAGAATCGAGCACCGCATGTCGGAGGCGGCGCAGGTATGGGCATCCGCGTGGTCGGCGCTAGCGAATTATCCGCCACAACGCTCGACGTTAGCTCTTGAGACATGGATGCCGACCCCCGCGGGGATGTCGTTGTCTTCATCTTCGCTGGAGCTTTCATCTGCAAGTCCGTCTATACCGTCGTCGAGATCCTTGCCGCTCCTAAAAATGGAGGTGCTGGATTTGAGGTCGACATCTCCTAGCAAGTACGAAAATGCGACGTCGAGGCAGTTTCGCCTTTGCTCAAGGAACCGCTCCACGAGTTTTGCAATTTCCTGCTCCACACGCTTGTGGGTGTCGGCAGGCATCAAGGACGTTTTCTCAATCGTAAACTTGGGACCCCTTGATTTTGGGTAGTTGGATGGTATGTCCACCTTCACCTTGAAGAATATAGACGAGTCTCCTACACCCCATGGCCCATTAAGCGATGCCTCGAGGGTGAGGGTTTCCAAATTGATTGCCTCCCATTTGACCTTGGGCAGCTGTTGGCTGATGCGGAGAACCTCCTCCTGAATCGTTTCCGGTTGATCCGCCCATTCATCGGTTAGATAGCTGTGGCCGAAAAGCGTCGAGTCTTTCGAGCTATGCCGGCGCGGAAGCCCCTGGGAACCCTCGCCAGAAGGCTTCCGTTTGGTCATGGTGACGCCCCTCATCCAACCGATTTGGGCCTGACTCCCTTTCAGATCCCTCGTCTCTGCCGATTTAGCCGTCATGGATGTCCCTCTCCAGGTCATGCCGATCCTGTGTCGATTGATAGGCATCGCCCGCATCCCCAAGGTGAGCGCGCTCTGATAGTTTTTGTTGCTAGGTTGAGTTGGCTTCAAGTCACTCATAGTGGCGTCCCTCCGGTCGCGATGGCCGTCAGCGCCAACAGACCGGTACGTCTTGTAAGCCGCGCCTTTGCGAGTTATGTTGAGCTTCTCCTGCGCTGGCCCGCCCTTGGTGTAGTTGACGGACTTTAGGATACTAGCGTCGATATTTTGGAGTCGAAGATGGTTGTCCGCTCCCCAAGAAACGAGTTGGAACTCGCGCTCGTCGCAGCCATCTGTGACGCCTCCACGGCTTCTCCATAAGAACTCCTTGACCTTGCGATTCCCATGTCCGGGAAACACCACGGCAGGATCTACCCTGCCATCGAGGGGGTTACGTCCGGGCCCTTGTTGTTGTAGAGATAAAGATCTCCCGGTTCGGTCTGGGGCATGGCGAGAAGGCCGTTCCCAAAGGGCGTGTGGCGAGCCCTCCATATAGGAAAATCAGTTCGAATAACGCGCTCAGGAACGCTATCATGGCGGCTATAGTCCCAGTACTTGATTGTTTTGTCCAAAGAGCAAGTTACAACGGCATTTGCCTGAACACGGTTCCAGTCGATGCCGTAGATTTTGGAATTGTGCGCGTAGATGGACCGCAGCGGTTCGCTGGGGCGTCGTTCATCCCAGATGTGCAACCACCGGTCGTGAGAAGACGCTAGAATGTTGGGATCTTGGCGGTTGTATTTCACTTGGGTAGCGCCAGAGGACCAATCACAAAAGGTCACGACTGGCTGTCTGGGCCGCCGCAAGTCCCAGTAGTGTACATAGCCATCTACTGAACACGTCGCCAGGAGATCGGGGTGGTGAGCGGAGAAATTGACGTCGGTAATGGCGCGATTATGGCCCCGAAGAGAGTGCTCAATGGCACCCGAGGGCGAGTCATCCCTCAAATTGAGATTCCAGACGAGGGCGCGATGGTTCGCAGTAGATACGACCCAGTAATCGCGGGCGGAGAATGGTGACCATTGAACATCCACAACAAGCCACGGGAGGCCGTGGCTTCTCAAGCGGCGCGGTGGATTGTATGGCGAATCCAGGTCAATGATGGCAAGGCCATCTGGGCTGTGAGTGGCGATGAGTTAGCTTGACAATCGCGTGAGGTCAGATGAGTGACGATGAGACTTACGAAGCAAGGGCGACATCGCGCCCACACGGCGAGATTGTGGCAGAACCAACTCTACCGTCGACGTGAATAGTCAAGTCATTGTCGAAAGTGGTGCTATCGTAGGCGGATTTGATGGTTTTCCTCTTCTTCGTTGCATCCCCTGGTCTGCCGAGAGACGTGACATGGAGTTCGACACCTGGATGAGCTAACCTCATCTCTTAGGTGTCGGATTGGGTCTTATCGCAGGCTCGCTCAGAATGCCTCACAGCCAGGCCCGGTCATGCCGCGAAATACTTCCGTCCCCTGAGTCCAATATGGCGTGGTGGCTGTTGGATTTGATTTCGCTGAGAGCTAGAGCACACCTCACAAGTGAGATGGGTGATTGTGAGATGAAGCAAGGCGAGGGAGCCTTATCACAGTCGCCGCTGAACTTTGCTTCTCATTCGCCTGGGCAGTGTACAGGTGCATGAATACCTGCGTGTACTCGATGCAAAAGTATCTCACCATGTATGTCGTGCGGAGAGGTACTTTCCCAAATTTCACAGAAAACCAGACGGAGACTAGACCCGCTATGGCCAGCCTAGAAATTGGTTGGTTTAAACAGCACTGAGCACAGGCCAGCCACTAGAGTTCCCCGTCAATTGATCACTTCCAACAGCAAGATCGAACATTAGAAGACGAGATGATGGTCTAGAGCTATTGGAATGTCCATAATCCCCAAGCCACCCAAAAACTCGCGTCGGCTCACCAGAATTTCGATCAATACTTGATTCCTTCAACGATCACATTGCATTTGATGCATAGGGGCGTTTGCCCTCTTGGTTTCTTCAGCATTCGGAAATAGAAGTTTCTATACGGCGAGGGAAGATGGTTGAAATTCAGGCCGGCAGCCTGAGGTGGGAGGTGGATAGTCGGATATCGCGATAATTCGGTTAAAGACAATTTTATTGCTTTGTCGTCGTTCAGTCACCAGCATTCAAAGTGGTAAGACAAGTCGGAGTTTGCTGCTGTCGTTCTTGCGAGGCTATGAATCAAAGGGTTACCCCTCCATCCTTTATTCCACCCCTCTTCCTGGATTCGCCTCAAGACTCTACCAAAGTCCTAGCCAGCGATTCTTTAATACAAGCAATTTTTTATTTTATCTGCGCGAAGTTCGCGCAGCTTTCGATCTTTTATCCCGCTGCATCCTTCCTCTCCGAGCGCCACAGCTTCTCTAGTGTCGGGTGTTTATCGCTCCCATCAATAGCTTGACGTGATTTCTGTTTGCCGCTCGTACCTACCCCGCGACCACACCTCTTCAGCCTCGCCTTGGAGAAGAATTACCCCAACGACCTTTCCGCCCGAACCAAGCATTCGCGAATCATCATCAACCTTCGTATCAAAGAGTTCTCTCGTTTCGTACCTGGCGTTGATCGCGACCGACACCTGCCCCCGCAAGGTTGCCCAGAGCCAGACGGTTAAGATGGCGCTGCCCAAGAGAATTATCAAGGAGACCGAACGTCTCCAGAAGGAGCCGTAAGTCAACCATGGCCCGTCCTGTGTCCTAAGGCTAGTACGCTGACCACCCTCCGCCCTTCTTATAGCGTCCCTGGAATCAGCGCTGTCCCCCACGAGGACAATCTCCGATACTTTGATGTCGAAATCCATGGCCCCGCGCAGTCGCCGTACGAAGGTTTGTGAAGAGCGAAACGAAGGGTGCAACTAGATTGGTTTCTAACGGGCTTATAGGAGGAGTATTCAAGCTCGAACTTTTCCTTCCAGATGATTACCCCATGACGCCGCCTAAGATCAGGTTCCTCACTAAGATTTTCCACCCGAATGTCGATAAGCTGGGCAGGATCTGCCTCGACGTCCTCAAGAGTATCATCCCCTGAATGACCGAACCTTCTTCCGTGACCTACCCCAAATGCCCAAGACTAACATATGCTCTCCAATAGACAACTGGTCGCCGGCGCTTCAGATTCGAACGATCCTTCTATCGATTCAAGCCCTTCTTGGAGCTCCTAACCCCGATGATCCTCTCGCTGCCGACGTTGCAAAGAGCTGGAAGGAAGACGAACAAGCTGCTATCCAGACAGCGAAGGAATGGACCAAGAAATATGCCGACCCACAGAACTGATGGACCCGGCGCTTGATGATCTGGCTAGACGCGACTCGGGAAGCGGGACTATCCACCATGTGTTGCCATCTCCCGCAAACCTGCCGATGAATGTGTACGAGACGGGCCCTCTCGGGGCGACCTGATAAGATTGGACATGGCTACGGAGGTTTGGTCGGGAAGAAGACGAGGGGCTGCAAACGATGTGTGCCCTTTCATGCGTGTTGAGGGTGAATTCATGGACGCATGTAGATACAAATTTGGTCCGTCGGATAACGAGGCAAAGGCGCGAGAAACTCATACCCTTACAACAAACGAGACGTTGCTACCCGCTGCTTGATTATCTAAGTGCTCCCATTGGTGTGCTCGCCGGAACCGAGCCCAGCTCGTCCTGACCTAGGAAACATACAGGGCTAGGCACCTTTGAGCCATTGGCGTTAGCAGCCCCATTTGATGTCTTTTCCACACTACTGCCTCGTGTCGGACTCTCCAGGGCATAGCATTTCTCCCAGTGGAAGGGCTCCCTCCGTTTTTGTTCATTTCCCATCTTCTTTACTCTCATCTCTTTTCTTCCCATCGAGGCCCTCCTCGTTCTCTTCCCTTAAAATACAAGTCTGTATTCACCTTAGAAGTATACCTTTAAAGTGGGAAAACACAAGCGGGGGCACACTTTGTCTTTTGTTCTCTAATGGGTCGATGGGAAGGAGAACCTAAGAGAAGCTTGGCTTGCGATGACCGCCGTATTTGTGTTTTTGCTAGAGTTACAGGTCCAAGTCTCGCGCGAGGGGCAGACAATGAAATTGCAAGTATTGACCTCTGTTCCGCTAAAGGGCGCCCTTACCGTTGGAGATCGAGACATGCATGTATCACCTAACGGTCTCAAATCCCCGGCCTCTCCTAGACTAGTGTTTGAAACTAAAGAGCCCAAAGTAGAGCTGTGCTCGCTATACTGGGGGGCTTCTTGCTTCATGGAAGGTATTGCCTTTAGCTTGAGATATAAATCTGGAGGCATATGCGATGCATAGATCTAGATATATATAGATAGATTTGGATATACTCATCGGCTCGGTCATAATGTCTCTTTCGTCTTCACGGCTCAGCAATCTGCGTCTGGTGGGTCTCAATGCTGCCTTGCTGTTATGATATTCCGAGGGTCGGTCAACCTGAATTAGAGCAAGTCTGGTTCGGACGGCCCCTTGGGCCAGAACCTCTTGCATTGTTCCATGCCCGACAATGGTCCGGGGGCGCGGCCTGTTCGAGAACACCGGCAGTTCAACGCTAAACAGTCAGCCAATGCATCCATGTGGCGTCCATCGGCCTGCGTTTCCCTGCACAGATCGTCCTGCAGCAAAAATGTGGGTATTGACAAGACAGTATCGACTCGTGCATCAGTGTAGGTCCGGGAGAGTCGTCGTGGACAGGCTTTTCTCGCTCCGAGCGACGGCGGCGGCGGGCTAAAAGAAGGAACCCTAATAAAAAAGAGGGCGGGAGAGGATGGTTGGACGGACTGAATGATGAAGGCAAAAAGAAAAAAAGGAGAGGCCCGCAAGGCCCACCTTGATCATCATTCCGTCCGCCACATCCTCCTCCCACTTCCCATCTTTTCCCAGCTGGTGTTTTCTAGTTTTCCTGCTTTTTCAAGTCTAAGGGGTTTGAGGGCATTCTCTCCCTCCTGAAAAGAGCATGGATGTACCTGGGGGTGGGGGCGAATAGGGGCGATGTTCAGACAAGCTTGATAATGCAAGAAAAGCGGGAAACGTGGTTCTTCGTCATCCTGGAGAACGCCTCGCTCTACTAATGGCTATCCTCTCCCGCTTGAAACCCATCCGTCCAAACCATTCCCATTTATTACCATTCAGTGGGGAATCTTGTGGGTTCGGTTGGCCAATTCATGCTCGAATAGCCTTCGCGTACCTTAAGTACTTGCAAAAATACTTCTTGGCTAAGAAGGAGGAGACGAGAAGCCTGTCAGACTGACACCAACTGTGGAGGAAAAGACCGTGGCTGATGAGACCGGTCACCGAAGTCTTCTGGTCTTCGAGCCCCAAATCATCGACGATGACGGTTTCCTTCCATCAGTTGATCTCGTCTTTGTTCTCTCGTTGGTGCAAGTACTTCGTACAAGTTACTATGATCTGGAGACCGTTGTCGCCGCTCTCTTCACTCTCAATGGAGCACGGCAAGCACGGTTACCTTGCGGGCCAATGCTCCATCCGTGCGGACCTTAACGTGGGCTGTCAGTTGATTGCTGCATCGCACGTCAGCCCTCTTTGTCCTTCAAGTTCAATCGGGGGAAGAGGAAACTTTAGGGGAAAAAAGTCCAACAAGGCCCTCTGTTTGCCTGGGACGGGGTGCTTTCGAGTGTCCAAACGACCCAAGGAGAGAGAGATGCGCTTGCCAACCTCCAGACACGCAATGTTGAACCGAATGAATTTTCACTCTCAAGCGCTCCTCTCCCATGTCAAGTACAAAAGGGACTATTGGTATTTGGCGTGTCATCCTCGCGGAAGCCGGGGCCTTGGAGGATGGCCAGCGAGAGGAATCTCGCCTGCTCTGCAGCGGAGGCTACGGAGTTGGAGCTGGCTTGGGGTGCACTGCACGGGGCATTGGCGGACTGGACGCAATGGACCAATTCGTTGCCCATTGCTTGCCCATTGCCCATTGCCCATTGCTCATTGCTCAATCCACTGGAGGGATGAGATGCACGAGGTTGATGAACTCCTTGATGTACCCTGTACCCCCTTGAACATCTATCCTGTCTTGGTATGGCGCGGGGGAAGGGGGTGAGGGGGTTGGGACTTCTCCACCTTCCTCTCTTGTTCCCCTTTCCCTTTCTTCCTTCAACCACACGATGGCTTGGATGGCTTGGATCCTTTAAAGTGTCATAGACCCCCGGGAAGCTTGGAATTCGTGCATCAACTCATGTTTCTGTCCTGCAGTTGTCCAAGGCGAATCCAGAATTGTGCGAGATATCCGATCATCGATCACACCCGCAATCGAGCCGTCCTCCACGCCACAGCCCGTCTAGACACACAGGTTTCTCCATACTCGACCTCTTAGACAATAGCAAAAAAACATCATCTCCAGAATTGACCCATTCTAGAGGTCGCCCGAATTGGCCTTTCCTCTTCTGTCCGAACGAGTCCAGTTCTGGTGGTGGATCGCCGACGCCACAGTTACGCAAGGGTACAGAACATTGAAAGTATTACAGCTGCGTAACAAACCGCACCTCGGACGGTAACAGGCAACTCAGCCTGCCAGGCAAACTTCGAATCCCCCATCCGCGCAGGGGCGTCTAGTTATCGTACGGACGAATTGATGATCAATTGACCCTCGTCCACGCTCATAATAGAGTTTTCTCCCCTTGGTTCGTTGACAGCGCGCATCGACACCTTCGAATTGACCTTGGGAGACCCCCTTTCCAACTCGCGGCCAAGGCTCTTTTCTCCAGGAGAGTAAAAAAAAAAAAAGAGACTTCCTTGCAAGCTTTAGCGAGTACCTCGCGGTACCCTCAGCAAAGTCGTATCGTTTAATCTGCCGAGTAACCCCCTCAAAGTACCTAGCAAGCGACTTTAATAGCGTCCGGTTACCTCCACACAACAATCGAGCAATTCTCTTTGGGATTCTCTTTTTTATTTATCTCCCGCTCCCGCGCGCGAAACATATTAAACAACCTCTTCGCTTCGACGAGCTATCCTGCCGTTCCTGGATTGACGTCAGGCCTGGTTTTCAAATCCGTTGGGTCGTCGATTGCACTTTCCCTTGTTGCCTGTGCTCTCCACTGCCTTCGTTTGACTTGTTGGATCTTTGCATTCAATCCTCCACCTCGGCTCCTCCCCCTCTCCTCCGTCTTGTGATTTCGCAATCGCGACCAGTTTCGACATTCGAGTCGAGACCGAGACCCGAATTCTTCCCCACTGCTCTTCGTCTCTTGCATCACGATGTCAGCTACCACGCAAACCGTTACGCCAACCACGGCGGCCAAGGCCAGGAAATTTGAGCTTCCGGCGTTGGATTTCAAGTTTGGCTCCCTAACCGAGGGCACCAACATTCCTCCTCCTCTTCCCTCCCTATCCTGGAGGTTCCTACGCCCCCAAGGACTCCCGTTGGCGACGCGGACAAGGAAAACAAGAAGGAATCGGCCACCAATGGTGTGAATGGTGCATCGAAATCCCAAAAGGATCAAAAATCAACGGTACGATTGTAACTGCAGGCACCAAGCGACCAGCCGACGATACCCCCTATCCCCCGCGCTATCTAGCCGACAAGGCAGCATCCGCAGACTCTTTAGCCGGACACTTTTGAATAACACTTATGAGGAAGGTGAAGCCCATATCAATGGAAATGGTGCCTCGAACGGCGCAGCTCGCCCCGGCAGCCGAAGCGCCAGCATCCTCGACGAGAAGAAGGCGAAGCGGAGTAGCGGCTGGTTTCGGCGGCTCAGATCCGGAGGCGCCCCGGAGAACGCGTCGAAGCGGACCAGTACCCTCTACCAAGAGATTTCGAAGCCCTCCACGCCCCCGCCTCCCATGATCCCGGAGCTCGGTACCCTTGACACCAAACTAGACCTGGGAGGGTCTAATGACCTTGGTAGCGGCGGCCTCTTCAAGAACATCAAGTAATCCATCCTCAAGCCAAGGCTAGAACGTCATGCCGGATCACCAATTCTGTTCTTCTGCAATCCCAGCGCCATGGAAGCCTGCGATAGCCTGCCTGGCTGGACGTGTTTCTAAGGACGCTGAACTCATTGATGCATATCAACGCCCGATACTCGTCGTCCGCCCCCAGCGCTGAATTCTTTTCTCCCACATGGCCGTGAAGGCCCCGCCCAATATCGTCCGCCACCTTCGCCCTCGTTTTACTCTCAGCGCTCTTTTTTCGCTCTCTTCACTTGCCCATTCTCGCCGGGCTTATTTCTTTTTCCCATCTGCTTTATTCGCATCTCTCTTTCATCTCCTTCCTCCTATCTCTCCCCTTCCGGTACTTTCGCATCTCCAACTGGAGAACCAAAAGGGGGAGGGAATTGGGAAACTCATTTCCGACATCTTCATAATTTTCACCCTGCCTTTCCTCTTCTAACCGGGCTCTCTGATTCTCCGATTAGTCTTCGCGTGTGCGTATGCGAGTCTCTTGGGCATTATCAATATCATTCTCACTGGCCGCGAATCCTGGTTGGAAAACACCGACGAACGAGCCATGCCCCAGCCTACCGCCGAAAGAAGACGGAGAAGGAAAACAAGAAAAAGAAGGAAAGCTAAAGGAACCGTCATCTGGGCGTGTCCTGCCCCGCTGGCGATCCACTTTCTAGCCCTTTTCCCCGTTGTCACTCGATGGGGATTTCATTCGACCTCGTCTATACCCATTGTCCGATCATCCGCATCTACCCCAAAATACCCTTGTGCGCAAACCCCCGTCATCTCCTCAGATATATTGTCATGACTATCTCTCCTTTTACTCTGTTTTATTTGCCCCCTTCAACTACCCACAAACCATTCCGGATGAGCCACGGCCGCCTGCAAAGCTGTTTCGTTTCTTTATATCATACGGATTAACAATTATACCATTGAATTTTACAACAGCTTTCCACCAAGCCTTATGCTCAGTCTCCTCTCCTCCTCCTCCGCCGATTACCCGACCCAGCCGCGTTCTTTTTGGTTTGGTATCTGGGTTGCTTTAGCAAACCCCGATTGTGCCAAACACGTCTCTCTGCCTTTCGATACCCTTGCAACACTTGCCAGGCTTGAGAACCGGTCTCGGTGCCGCCTTCGTCTTTGTCGCTCGGGCGAACCACGAAGCACCGGACGTGGCGCGATTACTGAACCGCCTCGCTTACTATAGCTGGTGACACGAGTGGACGGCGTTCTGGTATGGGTATAGAGGATATACGAGCGAGGAAGCATGGATGTGCTGCATCTTCTCGGAGCCAGCCCAGGATGGAAGCGGCTATGACCTCCAATGCATCACCATCTCGGGTTTCATCAGCGATTAACCTATCTTACCTGTCCGTACGACGGCCCGGGCACCCCGGTTACCAAACCTTTCTTTTGGATTTTGCTCGGGGTTCCGGTATCATAACTGTTGGCAGGCGGGGGTTACTATGTTGTTTGAAACCACCTGAATCTCGTGTACTGTTTTTATTTTTTATTTGTCCAACTTATGACGATTATAGAAGAGTGACATTCTTACATCCGTTGTTTTTGTCTTGTCCTAGCCTTCCTTGATACCAATCTGCGTGAGACATGCTGGATAGGGCGTACCCTTTGACTCTGATATTAGTTCCGGGGTCCAAACGTCCTCAGGATAAGAAACCCAATATGTAATGGATGCGTTGAACATTCATCTACTCATTCCCCGCATTTCCTCCCTGCCCTCGTTTGATGTTGAAGAGATGACCCCGCCACAAAGGCCAGTGCCCCATGCGATATACCGTCATGGCGTCTTACTTTGGAGTACTCATCCAACCAGCCCGTCCTGTATTGTATTGTATGTTGGGTCAGGTGGGAAAGGGATTGTTCAAAGCAGAGGGACGTGGAAGCCAGCGCATAGGACACCGCTACCGTTTTTCTCTCTCCATTTCTTACCTATCCTTTTAATTCCCTTTCTCGCAAGTATACCTCTTCCGCCTTTTTGCTCTCTTTGTCCCCCGCCTCGATGCTGGGTCATGCAACGCTTTGGCCTCCTATGCAAACCAAACCCAGCCATTTTTTCCAACGTACAACGAGAGGGAGAATGAAAGTGCGGGCTGGGTGATTGATGAGGGGACGAAAGAGAACGGGAAAAAAGCAACAAGGTGGTGGGAGGGGGACCTTGAGATATACACCACACTACGAGAGTGCTGGACTTTTGTTTTTGTTTCCTTTTTTGTCCCTCCTCGGTTTGGCAAACGGACGTTTTCCTCCCAACTCCCTCCTGAGCACCTACGCCGGCCCTTAATACACTGTCTCACCTTTCCAACCATCTCTACCGTTAATATTGCATTGCTGAGAACTAAGTACCTTGTAGGACTGCGTGCTAGTTGTGAGATGGTGTGTGTGGGAGTTTTTGTGGAACCGAATCGGGAGCGAGCCGCTGGGTTTGCTTCTTCCCTGGATCGGGGCACCGCCTCCTTCGGTTGGGCGGCTTTCGAAATGGGAAGCACGGAGCAGGCAAGGCAAGGTGGTGTGGTGGATGTGATGGGTGTGCTGAAGTAGTGGACACCAGAGAGACAGACAGGATCGACAGGTTGAGTGGCTGTTTGCCCGGGTACCCGGTACAGCGACAAGTTTACAAGCTTCTTGCAGATTAGTGCACTCGTTGGCAGCTGGCGGTCGCCGTTGCGGGTACACGGGAGCTTTTCGACCTCGGGTTTGGAGAGTGAGAGCTCCATCAACGTCATCAGAGGAAAAGAGCTCACTCTCGACGACGCGGGTGTAATAGGTGGAGCATCTCACTACCTCGTTTAATTTTTTTAAGGAACCACGAAGCTGCCGCCCCTACCCTATCCTTGCATAAGCTCAATCGGCTAGTCTCGAACGGAAGCGAAATCAAACCCCCGAATTCCTCGTCATCGAAGCTTGCTCAGCGATCCCTCTGCGTCGGACGCATCCTGCATTGGTTATCGCCTCTCTCCCGAGTTCGCCTTTGCGCGCGGCACACCTCTCCCCGCGGTGCGGAAGCGTCAGCCTTGTGCACCACCGAGGCAGTCTTTTCCTTTTTAGGGCTGTTTTTATTTTGGGCCTGACAGCCTCCCTCGCCAACCCCACGCAAGCGAAAAGCCGCCCTTGATTATGGCGACGCGATCCGTTTTTACCGGCCTGGGCCTCCGCGCTACGGTGCCTTGGTCTTGCTTCCGGGCTGTGGCCGGACGTGGTGCGAACCAAGTGAGGTGCATGTCCGGGCCTTACGGGTACACTCAAGCCAAGGCCCTCGTCTTCTCTGAATACGGCGAACCCCAGGACGTTCTGCGGTAAGCACCCTATCCTCTTTCTCCCCTCCTCTCTCTCTTTTGTCCCTCGGGGCAAGCGCACTCTTCTTGTCTAACAACTAGATCCAGGCTCCACAAGTTCTCCATCTCCCCTCCATCCCCTCCTCCACCGTCCTGATCCGCGCCCTCGCCGCGCCCATAAACCCCGCCGACATCAACACCATACAAGGCACGTACGGGGCGAAGCCCGAGTTCACCACCGAGCTGGGCACGCAACCCGCCGCCGCAGTCCCCGGTAATGAAGGCGTGTTCGAGGTGGTATCTACGGGATCGAGCTCCCTAGGGTTCGCCAAGGGCGACTGGGTGATACCCTCCCAGTCCGGTTTCGGCACCTGGAGGACGCACGCGCTCGTCGAGGCCGACGCCCTGTTCAAGATCAACAAGGAGGGCCTCACGCCCACCCAGGCCGCGCAGGTCAGCGTGAACCCCTGCACCGCCTACCGCCTGCTCCGCACCTTTGGTCCCGCCACGGGAGTCAAGGAGGGTCTCCCCATGAACCACCTCGAGCCCGGCAGCGGTGCGTGGTTCATCCAAAACGGCGCCAACTCGGGCGTCGGCCGCGCCGCCATCCAGCTCGGTCGCATCTGGGGCCTGCGCAGCATCAACGTCATCCGCGAGCGCGAGATCCCCGAGGAGACCGAGGTCCTGCGCAAGGAGCTCAAGGACCTGGGTGCCGACGTCGTCGTGACCGAGTCCGAGTTCCTCACGCGCGAGTGGAGGGAGCGTCTCCGGGACATTACGAACCACGGTCGCGACCCCGTCCACCTCGGTCTCAACTGCGTCGGCGGCAAGTCCGCCACCAACATTGCCCGCTCGCTCTCCGAGGGCGGTGCCATGGTCACGTACGGAGGCATGTCGAAGCAGCCCGTCCTGCTGCCGACCGCCGCGCTCATCTTCAAGGACGTGCGCTTCCTCGGCTTCTGGCTTTCCAAGTGGAATAAGAAGGACCCCGCGGGAAGAAAGTACTCGATCGAGTATCTCTTGGATCTGATGAGGGATGGCCAGTTCCATGACGCACCTGTAGAGGAGGTCAAGTGGGACTGGGAGACGGGCGAGGCTGCTCTGAAGGAGGTGGCTCAGAAGGGGCTGGAAGGGTTTAGGGGCAAGAAGGGCCTGTTCCTCTTTGGAGAAACGTAAAGAAAATTGAAGATGAAAAAGAATAAAAGAAAGGGGGTGTCACATTGTGGACTATTCGGTTAGATTGTAAGATGTGAAGCAAAAGAAAACCATCAATTGATGACTATTAGACTAAGATATAAGAAATTGCCCCCAAAACTCTGCCGAACCTTGGCTACCACACTCTCGCACGGTAAAGAAGGTTTCTCTACAAGATATCTAAGAGTCTTGTGGAAGATATAACAGAGGGTGGCGATGCAAATCTACGCGAGGGTAGGAGATGAGCGCAGAGGTCATCCATCCACCCATATGCATGAAAAAGCCAAAAGAAATTACCGCGCTTAGTAAAGTTCAGTTTCTTCCTCCGAGTCGTGATCCTGGGGGCTATACCGGCGCAGCGTCCTTCCGGGCCCCTCCTCCAAGAGAGGGAAGATTCATCATCAACAGGAACCCTAAGGCGGCCAAGAGGCCACCCGTCAGCGATTCGCCTCCCGACATTCTCTAGCTGGCCACCGACGTTCCTAATGCCGCTCGACACCCTCTCACAGGCCCGCGCGGCACCTGTCCGTTGATTGCCGTCTCCGTTCTGGTAGCTGTGCGGGAAATGCGCCCGACCCTCGATGACCTGCCACGTCTCGCCGCTCAAGAGTCGCTCGGGCGGATCAATGTTGAAGAGGCGTTCGGCAAAGGATGGTTGGTGATGCTCCCCGCCCGCTGAGGCCGCGGAGGCTCGGGTCGACGCCAGGGCCGGGGGCGATATGACGAGCTGGCTGAGCCTTGTGAGCTTGCGGAGGAAGGTGTAGGAAGCAGGGGTGTCGTCTCGCTCTTGTCTGATTTCCGAGCGATGCGGGGACTATACGCCTCCTCGCGCGAGTCGAAGGCGTCGTGAAAAGTATCCTCGCCCTCAGAATCCTCGCCCTCAGAATCCTCGCCCTCAGAATCCTCGTCTTCGCCTTCGGGAGGCGGCGGTGGTAACAATACAGCAAAAAGTCGGTGCCAAAATTCGCGTCGGAGAACGGCTGAGAAGAGGTTTCGGGCGGGCTGTGGCTGGATGGTTGGAAACATGATATACGTGGGCTGGCTACTAGGTGAGTTGGCATCCAAGACCCTATCCCCTCTTGCCAACCGGGTGCCGACAAACCGCGGCGTCTCCGTCATGGTGGTGGTGGTGGATGAAGATTGAGGGATTCCCCTCCCCGCGGGGTACCGAGCGGTCAAAAGATGGTTGCTATCCTTCTCTGACTTTTGCAAGCGAGTGCTCACTGGGAACGAATGTAAATTGTTGGTGCCTCAAGGGGACTTCGAAGGAGATAGTGTGGGAAAGATGTTGGCTTGAAGCAGAGAGACCGTCGTCGGCTTTAAATCAGGACGTTGACTTGCTCCAGTCTACCAGGATGATGGAGCGAAGGGTTTAGGAGGTGTCGAAGACCGAGGGAGGACAAAGGGAGCGGCGACGGCTTCTGGATCAAAGAAAAGAAGGATAGAGAAGACTCGAGTCCAAGGGTAAAGAAGGAAAAAGATGAGAGGAAGACTATGGCTAGAACCACAACTAGCTATCCTCGTCTTCTCGCAGACGTCCCACCATCTGCGTGAGGGATACCCCTACCAATTTCGGACCAACATGATAACGGGGAATCTGACGCTACGCGAACGTGGAAAATGAGAGACTAGCTCCATGATATGGAAAGCTCAGGGCCCGTTGCTATTCGGGAAAACACTTTGGACTAGAAATGAGGCCTCACGTGCGATGTTGTACCCTCATCTTCACGCACACTATTTGGTCTGTCATCGGCCCGTCGCCTCCTCATTTCCCTGAAAAACCCTAAATTTCACATGCTTTCATGGTTGGTTGGATACAAGGGAGGTCGTCTTGAGGGGAGCGTCAGAGATTGATGCCAAGGTAGAGAAGATGGAAGAGAAGAGAAAATAGAGGAGAAGAAAAACCTAAAGTACCTTGTATTCCGCTGGTATCATTCAAACAAGTACACCACGCACGTAAACTCAAACACCCTGCTGAAATCCTCCTTACGCCCGGAATGCCTGAACCAACTCGTGGAGTTTATCTATAACGACGGGAGCAATCGCTCCAAGAGAATCCTCGATAACCCTCTCGAGGTAACGGATGGCGTCTTCCTCGCCCAACTCGAGATGAAAGCGTTCCCTGACTTTGATCACCGCCTTATCGGGCTCGAGTCTGATGTCGGGGATGTTCGCGTCAACCATGAGACTGAAGAGATTTAGAATTAGGTTGGAAGATTTGCGAAGGGCCGCATACGCCAAGAAGCAATACTGCTTAAACTTCTTGTAGTGCTCGAATGGACGCCGCCCATGCAGTCTACCATCTCCTTGGTGAGCTTCATGACCGGCGCGAACGGTTTCGGATCGCGCCCGAGAATAAAGCCAAAGTCGGCGTGGAAAAATGACCATCTGGGGCGAGTAGCAGGTTGTCAAGATGCCTGTCGCCCACACCTAGAATGTATGTGATGACACAGTAGCCAGCGCACGACCTAACGTACGTGTCGAGGGTCTCGGATCGGATACCAAGCGCCTCCCTATCATCCGGACTGTGTTGCTTGAGGTAGGTCAAGGCTGGATTGTTGTACTTGGAAGCAATGCTTTGGAAGCTCACAGAGGGAACGAACTGCGAGGCACCGGCCGTTGTGCTCGTTGCCAATATCTTGTAAGGCGACAGCCTCAGGTCTAGGTTTTCCTTCTGCAGCAGCTGGTCCATGAGGGTGATGATTTGGATGACGAGCTGATCCTGCCGGAGGTCGTCGCCCGTCTTGAAAATGATGGGATACCGCTTGCCTAGCGTGGTTTTGAATGTGACTTTGATTGGGCAAAGCGACGACTTGAACACCGTGGTTTCTTCGGGTATCACCCCAATAACTTTGACGTCTGGGTCTAGGGGAAGCGGCAAGGGTGGGTCGATATGGAGAAGCTCATTCTTTGGGTCGTGCAGGAACTGCTTGACCCGCTCAATCTTCTTGGGTATCGACTCGCTCGACAACTTGATATCCCCCGAAATTTTGGAGAGGATGGTAATGAGCTCTGCTTGCCGTAGAAGCGTTTTCCGGACATCAGCCCCGTTGGGGCGCTTCACCAGCTCCACCATGAAGTCGTAGGCAACCTTGCGGTAGATGCCTCGGTAGTCCATGTCCTGTTCGGGGCTGCTATCGTCGCACTCTACCATGAGGTACCAGTGGAAGTAATTCCCCAGGGTAGGGTTATCCGCCGCACGCGAGATCAGGAACCGAGCTAGGGACGAGTCTTGCGTACCCTCTTCATCTGAAGCAACAATGTGCTCGTACTTGAGCGCTTGGACAAGCTGCAAAAGATAAAGCAACAGATCGTGGTCGTTGGCTTTGCGCAATCTCTCAACTGCGTACGTTCTCACTATGGGGCTGTCAAACGACGGGCCAAATAGTTCGAGGGCGTCGTCCACATCGATTGCTGTCCATCTGTTGAGCAGTTGGGCTGCTTGCTTGGCTTCGGTGGCCTCTTGCCAGTTGACCGACTTGACGAACTTGGTGAGCGCCCTCTTGTCGCGGGTAAGGTGGTAGCGGAACTTCCAGACAAGATCCATCTCCTCCGGAGTAAGGACATGGGTGGGCCCGTAAGACATGATGAGGTTCAACTCATCGCGCACTTTGGCGTTTGGCTTCAAGTCCTTGTCCATGATTCCGTTGCGGTGCGCGCTTCGGAACAGTCTTCGGTGTTTCGCGTCCGCTGGGTTATCTCGCGCGCCGACTTCTGGATCGTATATCCGCACTAGGCGGTTGCTGGAACCGGGAGAGGATGACTCGCCAACTGCATTGATTCCCGGTCCAAATTGGACCTCGGGAGGCGGCTTTAGCACGTTGGACTGGGATATTGAGAGATGTTGGAGGGTGGAGATGGCTGGCGGGGGTACTCTCGGTCGGCAAAGACAACCGGGAAGTCGAACCGAGGGAGCTCGATATTGAGCATGAACTTAGAGGGGCGCTTGTCTAGTTCGGCGAGGGTGCTGGGATCTCCGGTTGCGAGCGCCTTGGCGTTCACATTGAGCTCGTTGCTGCTGCCTATGCGCTGGCGCTCCATGGCCCTGATGGAGGCCTTGGCCGTTTTCTTCTCGAAGCCACGAAACACGAGCTGGTCTAACCAGTCCACTCTCGGTATCTCTCCCATCTCGTGCTTCTTAAATAGCTTTTCCATGCGCTCCTGCTCCTGAGCATCCTTGTCTACCGGCGTCAAGTCGCCCTTGCGTGCCGTGCCCCGTTTCTTGGAGTCGGATGCGGGTGTGGTCGAGTTATCATTGCCATCGGCCTTTCTATGCCTGTGAACGATGCACTTTTGCCTCCCTTTCTGGAGTTGGTTATCTTTGTCAAACATGGCAAGCGTCGTGCCCCCAAACGGTAGGGTGTGGCCCAGGCCGGGAGAATCGGTTGCCGGGGAGAGGTCCCATAGCGTCACTGCAAGGCGCGAGTTGAGGGTAGGTTGGCGTAGGTTATGGGGAGGGTGAGCCATTCGTTCCACCTACGGGGGCACGGATTCCTGTTAGCTCGTGTGCTTGCGAGTAGCGAGTCTAGAGTTCTGTTTGATTGGGAAACGACACCTTCTCTCCGTACGGAACGGCTTGTATGCGGTTTGTACAGGCACAGTAAGTGGCTTAGAGCCGGCCCAAACTTGTACCGTCACGTATAGGTCGGAATGCGGACTAGGGAAACGTGCGATGTCAGTCACGGTGTTAACTGATGTTTGAAGGCGACGTGGGCAAGAGCAGGTACCTGATGTTAGAACCGACATGACGGAGGGCTGGATTTTCGAGAAGCGTCGACTGTCGGAAGGGTGGCTCGTCGCCTTCTAGTCCGATTCTGTGACGATGAATTTGTTAACAAAGAAAGAGAGGAGAGCTCGGATGGGCAAACGGCAAGACCATACATTCTGATGCTCACGGGATGATCGAGCGCATCGGAGGTAGCGAAGGAGTAGGAGTCCATCGTCTCCGGATTGTCAAGAAACAAGTGGTAGGCACAAACCTAGACCATGTTGGAGCTTCTTCCGGGCGTGACGAGGGATGAAGGAGGCGGCGTGGAGTTAGCGACTGTGGTGGATTCGAAGCCTTCGACTGACTTGTAGGTGCTTAGTCCGGATGATGTCGTGAAGTTGTGAAGTTGCAGCTGGAAGGCACCAAGCAGGCAGCTTCACCAACTGTCATCAGGCGGCGAGTAGTGTCTCCAAGGTGAAGCCCCTGCAAGCACCCCTCATGAACATAACTACACGCCCCTTGGGCTGCCTAGCGTCCATTATCTCCTGCACTCACAACTCTGGCGAGAACAATGCGGTTCATCGAACCACACCCCTAAACCCCTCTCTTTCACGCCCGTCCTATCGTTTTTGGTGTCGTCAGGTCCCCCTCCCTCTCTGGGCAGTTCGCTCTCCCGAGTACAGTCCCGCCCACCCCCACTAAAAAGTACAGGCGAGCACTAGGCGCACTAACAAAATTGTATCGCGTCGCCGATTCAGCGTTGCACACTATCGTGACGCGACTGAAGAGAGGCCGTCAGGCGAGTAATCCAAAATTTGAAGTAAACTCTCCTTCTAAACTGGCAACCATTTTTTTCTCTCCTTTTACAAGACCGATTTTTCTTGTCAGCTACTTTTCAATCTTCTTTCGCTGATTTCTTCGCCCTCCTGTCCGAGTTTTGCGCCCCGCCGGCCTCTTTTCAATAATGTCAAGGTCCGGCTCCGAGTCCTCGGAGAGGGGCTCTCCTGACCCCAGCCAGACCCCAAGGACGAGCAGAGGGCTTGCAGTGAGGAGTAGGGATAGGGATAGGGACGTATCAGGTTCCAAGAGGAAACGAGGAGACACATCGACCGGCGCCGGGCCCTCCAATCGACGCCGTACCGCCGAACCTGAAGATATCGGGGCCGACGATGATTCCGACGTTTATGACCCCGATCAGCCGGTGGAAGAGAGGCGCGATATCCAGCGCGGTCTGCGCGAACTCGGAAGAGATCTCGTCGACAATGCCGACGACTACCTAAAAGGCGACTCGACGGGGATCCGCGACTTGATTGTATCTGCCAACGAAATCAACAAGAACATTAAGCAAACCACCGAGGCCGTCATCGACTCCCGTCTCCTAGTAACGGCGGCGGACATGTCATACAAGAAAACGGTTCGCATCACACAAGGAAACACGGCCGACGGCCTAGATGTGGACGAATTTGTCTCGAAATGCATCACGTATATGCGCCAGGGAGCCCGCGAGCACAGCGACAACGCCCCTGAGCTCTCAAGCACCCAACGCCAGCGCAGAGGGCGTGCCGGCAGGGGCCAAGAGGGATCAGATGACGAAGATGAGGACGGAGACATGCTGAATTGGGCTTATCTTGGCCAATTTGCCTGTCTCCCTAGCATCAGTCGCCCGGCCGTTCAGGGCCACCTCCTGGGGCCGCTCTCGGTAGAAAAGAAGGCGCGCAAGATAACGAAGCGAAATGCGCCCTTCAGGATTAACCAACTTGCTGAAACGAGGCCGGAAGTTATCAACGCGGAGGAGCTAACAAAACAAGACAACGACCTCGCAGTCATCTGCGGAAGGGTCCTGCAGCGGCTCCAGCGTGTTCAGAGAAAGTTGCAAGAGGACGCATATGCACAAATCACGGAAGAGATGGAAATAGACGAGCAGGTACAGCTTATGCATCGGCTGGGTTTGCGAAGTACTGGTGGCGTCGATTTCATGCGCTTCGTCATAAATCCCCATTCATTCGGCCAATCCATCGAAAATATGTTCTACGTCAGCTTCCTCATCAAGGACAACAAGGTGCGCATCGAACTAGACGATGACGGTCTTCCCTCCGTCGGTAAGTGCCTATCAACGCTTCCTCACCCCTTCTATTCGTGCAAAACTCGCATAGAACAGCGCTATGTCTCTAGCTTCTAGCTAACCTGCCCTCCCACCTTGATACAGCCCCCGTCACGACGGAAATGGAACAAGAGACTAGCCGGCACCAAACGAAGCACCAGGCTGTTTTCAGCTTGGACATGTCCACCTGGCGGGATATCATCGAGACTCTCGACATAAAAGAACCCATCATACCGCATAGGCGGGAAGATGCTCAGGGTGGTCCCGGTGCCAGGGGCTGGTATTCATGAGAGACGGATGCGCACTATTGCACCCACCAGGAATTTTTGATGACGTTATGACCTCCATAAGAAGCTTTCACGCGCCGCTGTATAAAACGAACCTCTTTTTCCATTATTTCTATTATTATCGCATGCATTCTCGTAGCTTGACGAAACCCTATCGCCCAGATTACGGTTCGAAACCAGCGTGCCAGCCACCTTGCGCCTCCATATCCGTACCGCAATGAAGACATAGCAACACCCAAATTCCTCCCACTCCCACATTCCAGGTTCATCTAGTCTAGTCTCGGCCGCTGAACAGACCTTCCCCGTCTAGTCTTGCGTTTACGTCTTTGTTTCCAAAAGCATGCTGCCCGGAAACGGCGCGTGCGACGATGCGCCTTTGTCTCGTCCTATTGCCTCCAAGGCACCATCACATGTGGGAGTGGAGGAAATGATAGAAATATCCATTGTGTCGCGTCTTGATGGCATTTAGCATATCTTTCGCATCTATTCATCAATGCCGCCTGTGTCTTGTTTGCTATTTTTTGCAAGTCTTTTCCTTTCTCCCACACGTTTGCCCATTAATCCTCGATATCATCTCAAGAAGGCCTTTCTGGCTTGGGCCTTTGAGATCCCAATGAGGAGTCCACGCCATCTAGACGCTTTGTATAACCATGGCTTCCGATGCAGGCGACCAGGTCGAGAACGACTCAGCACAGTCTACAACAGATCAACACGTCACCGAGGATCCGAGACCAGACTCGCCCGAGGACCGCGACAGCCTGGAGCTGTCGGAACCGGCAGGAATTGCGAAAGAAGGAGATGAATCCGCCGAGTCTCAGTTAAGTGAAGAAAATGATGAATACAGGGAGCATACCGCTTCCCCGGGTGGCGAAGATGACATGGCGGGGAAGTCAATCTTGGAAATCTTAGACTCACCCGCGGTACATATCTCTGCCCCTGAAGAAGCACCTATGAGTCCTATTAGCGAAAGTCAGGCTTTTCCCAACCCCCAGGATCTAGACACGCTCTATCCCGAGGGTTCGGAACATGGTTCTAAGGAATCGCCCCCTCGCGGCAGAAGAAGCACGGCCTCCTAAGTACGAGCGTTCAAGTCTACGAGGGCGACAAGGATAGCTATCGGAGTGACTCAAGCAATACGGGGTCTAGTCAGTATGGCGACCTCGGGGAGATGGAGAACACCCTCAAATCCCTCCAAGAGGAGCTTCAGAAGCAGAAGTTTAGCAGCAGCCATATCAGCAACCAAGCCGCCTCCATGGAGCAGGTCATCGATACTCTCGAGGAGGACAACGCGCGACTCCTCACCAAGGCCGAAGATTTGGCAGCAGGCCAGGTAAAGCTCAAAAGCAGCTTCTCAGGGCAGAGGCCCTTCTCAAACAAGAGCGCGAGCGGTCCGACGAGAGCCAACTCAAGTATCAGGAGCTTTCCGATAGCATACAGAAACGAAAGGAAAAGTTTGTGGACCAAGCCGCCGCGGCCAAATCTCGAAAACCCCCGCAGAGGAAATTTACGATCGCCACTACAAGGATCGCCTTTGGGAGGCCACTTCCAGTGGAATGGCTCGCGTCGCTACTCAAGCCCTAGACGGGCTCCAGGAAGAAGAAAGATTGCTCAAGAGCCTGAGCGAGGAGATGGGGAAGCTATCGCCATACCTCAACGTCGCCTCGGCGGACGATGACCTGTGCGACAGGCTCGCCGAAGGGGAACGGCCAATGCATGAACCTGAGATAGACCCCGGGCGCCGAGAGGCCGAGCTTTTGAGGCGAATAGATCTATACAAGCGCTACATTGACAAGCACAAGGCCGAGAGACTACCCAACAACGACGCGGTTGTTCTAAACCTAGGAGAGCAATTGCAGGAGGCCCTGGATAAGATTGGCACCCTCAACGAGAGGTGCACCGCCTCTGAGGATCAGCGGGATCTCGCCATCGCGCAAGTCAGGGACAGCGAGACAAAGATAGATCTTTTAAAGAGGAAAGCCCGGCACCACGAGACGCGGCAGGCAGAGATACAACGGTCGTCAACGACCTCATCTGGAGATCCTCCCGACCAAGGAGCGCAAGGCTTGGCCTCTCATCAATCCAGCCACGAAAACGAGAGCCTAGATTCGCGTAGCAGCCCCGGACCAGACATCATGTACGAAAATCTTGCTGACGAGCTTGAAGGCCTTGACGGAAGAGAAGATGATCGGCGCACCTCCATATTGGAAAGCGGCGGCTTTCATAACGACGCCTCGATAAGCGATATGCTCACCCTCGCCTCCGTCAATGCCGAAAAGAACCAGCTAGCCCGAGAGTTGGAGCAATGCTCGTTGAACAATAAGATGCTGAAGAAGCAGCTCCACGAGTCTCACGGAGAGTACCAGGCCTTGTCTAAGGAACTCAAAGCTCTCAAAGATCAGATGTCAAAGAAAGAAGAGAATACCAGAGCAACAAATACGGAAACGGAACTAGGTTCGTCTGAATCGTCAGACTCCGCCGACAGCCGAGATGCCGGTCCGATGATGAAAAAGTTTTGCATCTCGCGTCACAGCTTAGAGCCTTGAAGGGCAAGCCTATTGATACGAGGCCTCATGAAGGTGTCTTCTCCGTGGCGCAACGCAAGCTTGGGGAATTTTTTCAAATGGCTCGCGGTATAGAAGCAGAGGTTTTCAGGGACAATCCAATCAAACGCAAAACCGGCATCCTAGACGTGGTCATGGACATCTCGTCGCTTGAGAGAGAAGGCTACGCGTGGCTCTGTAAAACTGCGGAGGTGGAAATCACCAGACTTTTGGAAATCGTTAAAGACCAAAGAACGCAACTCTCCGCGTCCAAAGAGAACGGAAGGGCGCTCAATAAAGAAAACAAAGGTCTCAGGAGCGATATAGAGCAGATGCTAAAAAAGATCGATCCTCATGAACAGATACAGCGCCTCGAAGAGCTTCAGAAACAGCTAGAGGTTGTCAAGAAGGGACTGGGGGACCAAGGGATCAGAATCGATCCCTTCGGCTTTGATAGAAAGGACAACCCCTAATGGTCCGCCACGACGAATTGCAAGACCAGATGGACCTATGCAGTCTGATCTCGACAGCCGTGAATCCTGCGAGACGGCGTCTGAGGAGCGTTCACGAAGTGGAGGTCGCACGCATAGTAGAATTAGCAGTCGAAAACTCGCGGCTCCAACAGACCAGCCAGGCCAGCCAGGCCAATGCAGCCGCTCCGAGCACCGACAAAGAAGCTAAGGCCCTGCGCGAGGAAAATGCACATCTTGGGGCCGAACTCAAGGCCATGCGCTATGCACATGAGCGACGGAAAATGGAAGCCCGTGATCTACTCAATACGGCTATTTTGGACAGAAAAGTCCTAACCGACAAGATTACCGAACTCGAAGTGCTGGAAGCCAAGGAAGAGAGGCGGAAGAATAAAGCTTCGGGACGGAGCTTTCTCCCGCCCGCCGGCATCCGGCCACAGCAAGCGCCCGGCCAAGAGCGCAGGTCACTCGAAGCGATGGCGCATCTTTTGGACTCGTACCACGACAAGCTAACCAGCATTGCGGACCTAGGGGTCGAGCAAGAACAGTTGTTATTGTCAAAAGTCGAGGTAGCGATCGAGGACCTCGGGAAGCAAGAGATCCTGGCCGGCGAGGCTATAGCTTCGCTGGAAGAAAGGGTCTTCTCAGATAGCAAATCCCTCATTCAAGTTCGGGCCGGGTTCCCCAAAGACCTCGTCGAGTGGCTTGCGAAACTAGTGCCTTGCGTAGAAGAGCTGACACGTAGAATTCGGGCTCTTGATGCACAACAGTGGAGGGTTTCTCGACAACTGGACACTATAACCAGCATTCGAGGCGTGGCCAAGGCTCCTAATGATGAGCTGCTCAAGGTCAAACGATCCTTCTACATACTCCGCCGCCAGATCAAGGCTCATTTTGCTACTGCCCTTGACGTTTATGGCAAGTTACGCGATAAGGAGGGGATTGTTGCCGACGTAATTCTCAAGGAAACTACAGGCGCCCTGCGCAGTCTACCTGAGGAAGAGATGAAACCACTTATTGACGCCCATTACACCGAGGTTGGTGCCGTCAAAGACCTTGACAAAGCACTCAATGAAGCGCGTGGAACGTACCACTGGAAGCTAGAGAGACTTCGGACTTCCGTCGCTCAAGAAGTGTCCGACTACCAGGACAAAATATCCGGTTATGAACGGAAGCTGGCCGACATGAGCAAGCAACAGGTTCAGCCCGACACGACGAGCAAAGATATCCCAGCCATCAAGTCTCGCATCTCACGTCTCCGGGGAGAACTCGAAGCTAAGGAGCGGCTTGCCGAGAACGTGAACGATTTGAATCAGCACATCCGATCCGAAGATCAACTCCTCCACTTGCGCGATACCGAGCTTGTGGGCCTCGAAAACCAGAGGCTTAATCTCATCGATGACCTTGTTCATGAACTCTTTGAGAAAAAGAATCATGGTGCCGCGCAAACCCTTCGACGACAGATCCGCTACCTAGGTGACAGAGTTCGATACTTGCTTGAGTCGCTGATAGGAAATTCGACCTACAAAGGCTGCCTTTATGCGAGCGAACCTCGAAAGATTATCAGAAGATTGACCTGAAATCATCCTCCACCCTGGAGAGCCTTGGTATCAAGAGCGATGCCGGGGTGATTGAAGATTTGGCAAAGGGGATGATCCGATGGCGAAACGAGAGAGGGCTGACCCTCGGCCTAGCTTATCAATATCTCCGAATCCTTCAAAGCCAGCTAGGGTACTATGACGTGAAGATCGACAATGTTGAGACCGAGATAGAAACCCTCTTATCCGACCTCTCGAAGAGAGCTGGCACAAACGACCCCAAGCCAACTCCCAAACTACGACTTGACCGTAGTGAGGACGCTGGGTTCCAAACAACCCCGACAAAGGGTCCAATCGACCCAAGTAAGCGAACCAAGGCACCTCGGCCCATGAAGGCGCGTGTCAGCGATCAGAGAGAAGAAAACGATCCTAGAGAGGAGTCACCCGAGTGTGAAGAAGGAGAGCCGGTCGATCAAAACGAAGACGAATGCGATGAAGGGGATTCCGAAGGCCCTAAGCTGCCCAAAGGTCACGATTCTCTACGCAGCGCGCAAAGTGCACGCTTCCGCAAGCCCTTGACCCAAACCAAGACGATATCACAAACCTTACCACGGCAGAGGGACGAGCGGGAGAGGAAAGGGGAGAAGGCAGATGACAGATCGAAGGCTCATATTAGCAGGCGGCAGCATAACACGGCCGACATCAAAGATGGTGGCAAGAGGACTACGCACGAGCCGGAACCTTTTTCAGATACCCCAGACGAAGAAAGGCAGGCTAGCACGCTTCGTTGCAACGAGTGTGGCAGAGTAATGGGAGCCGATGACCAGGAACACGGCTCAAAACACCGCCGAAAAAGCCAAAGCAGCGGCGCCCTCTTAACATGAAGGACCAATTCGACGGTATCGGGGCCTTTATGGAAAATAACTCGCGACAGTTCCAAAATCTTAAAGAGAAGTGGCAGAAGTCGGAGAGGAAGAGGCTGAGGAGTCTCGAAAAGTCTATCTTTAGGCTGGAAGAAGAGCTTGAGGAGAAATGGAGGCTTCTCGACCAAGGACTATTTCAACTAGGTGAGCCCAGCGTCGCTCGTCTAGATAGGAGACATCAGCGAGCCTCTTGCGGCGAAAGAGATGGTTGCGATTCATCTAAGGGTGACGAGAAAGGTCATCCACAGGTAATCCTCGATGAGGGTCAAGAGAAGAGCAGTCCCCCAAAGAGTCTCGACAAGGATAAAGAGGCGAGTCTTCAGAAACCCATCGACAGGAGTGAAGAGAGGGACCGCCCCTTAGAACCCCCGGCAAGGACAAAAGGGGAGAGTCCTCGAAAACCTGTCGACAAGGGTAAAGAGCAGGGCCGTCTCCCAGAAACTGTCGATAAGGATAAAGAGGAGAGTCGTCCTCAGGAACCCGTCGATAAGGGCGAAGAAAGAATTTCCCCCAAACAGCCCTCGATGGGAATCAAGAGAAGAGCCGTCACCTGAAGAATCTCGAGAAAGGTAAAGAGGAGAGTCCTCAGAAACCCCGCGATAAGGGTGAAGAGCAGAACCGCCCCTCGAAACCCCCGGCAAGAATAAAGAGGAGACTCGTCATCAGAAACCCGTCGACAAGGGTAAAGGGCAGGGCCATCTCCCGAAGACCCCGAACACGAATGAAAAGAAGAGTCCTCCCCGAAGAGCCTCAACAAGGATAAGGGCAAGGGCTGTCTTAAGAAAACCCTCGACAAGGACGAAGCCAAGAGTCATCCCCTAGAAACCCTTGACGAGGACATCCTTGGTCTTATAGGGGGTGGTTGCCCCTGCTCTATCTACGGATATCCCGAATTAGAGGCACTTCAAAGACGTGACGAATTCTGCACCTGTCCTACTACCATGGCTACAGATTCTCTGCTCCTCCAACTCGAAACCTACCATCGAGTGTCCCTCCTCATGTATGCCTGCCTCTTATGGCTTGTGTATCTCCCATGCCGCCTCTGGCGGCGCATAAAACCTCTCGACTTCTTGCCAGCCGGACTGCGCACGATACTTTCCCTCCCACCCGCCGCTAGCGATGCAGCCCCTACAAAGGGAACGGTCCCCGAGATCCACTGGCCTCACTTTGACTCGACTGACTACTTCCGCATCTTCTGTCATTTCCTATTCTTGATCACGCTCCAAGTCTACATCGCTGCCAGTCGGGAACGTGACCTATGGCTCTGGGGCAACTCGCGCTTCAAGTCCACGTACGGCATCGAACTCCTTCATGGCCTTCCCTACCCGCGATGGGGGCCCCGGGTTGACCCACGACTCATGGCATCTCACGGGGAGCTTTGGGATCGCATGACCTTTATCATCGGTTTAATACCCGAGTTCCTAGTAGCGTCCTATCTCTGGCTAGACCGGTACTTGGCGCTGCTAGGTGGTGCTCTTTGGACAGTTTTGAGGCGCACCATGGGCGACGGAGTACTTCAGCAGGCTTTCGGATAGTAGGCGGGTTTCCTTCGTCTTGGTTTGGCGTTGGGGCAAGCGTTTTCGCGGGGTTTTTCTCTTTTTCTCTTGTTTCGGGAGCTCGGGAGGGGACCATGTTTTCAAATTTTCTTTTTCCTAATTTTGGCGCCATGTTTGAAGGAAGGCGTCTATGTTGGGTACATCAATGTTATCATTTTCTTTCCTCCCTACGTTGATTCAATGTAAGTCCCGCTATCACTTTTGTGTTTTGCATCAAACTATGGTATCAAGAAGAGATGTTTCTATTTTCATGAAAATGGCCCAACTCAAAACGGCAAACACCGAAGAGATACAGTACCACACTACGCACATAACTGATCAAATTTCATTTTTAAGGGAGGAGGCGCTTGGGTGTTCTGGGGTAGTAGCTCGCGAGATGTACACTGGGGAGGTTGAGGTACCAGGCAACGACACGGTCCAAGCCGATACCACCACCGCCGTGAGGGGAACACCGGCAGACCTGAACACATCGACGTACTCCTTGATTCCGGGAGAGTTGGGGTCGATTCCCTTCCTCCTTATGCGGGCCTCGAGGGTAGTAGGGATGTGGATACGCTGGCCACCGGACAGGATCTCCTGGCCGCGCATGAAGAAATCGTAGGCGTTGGTGACCTTGGGGTTCTCGGGGTCCTCGATGGTGTAGAAGGGCCTAGCAGACTCGGGGAACTTGTCGAGGACGTAGAAGTCGGTCTTGTACTTTTCGCGGATCAGGGCGCCAAGGGCCTTCTCCTGCGGGGTGCTCATATCCTCATCGTCGCTGACGTTGCGGTACTCTTCGGGACCCTCCTCTCGGAGAAGCTTTTGGCCCTCGGCGAAAGTGAGGCGCACCTCCTTACCGGGCTCAGGAAGCAGGAAATCCTCGGAGGGGTACACGGAGCGGACGAGTTCGACCTGCTCAGCACACTTTTCTTGGATGCCGCGGAAGATGTGGAGCAGGACGCCTTCGAGCATGTCACGGACCTCGTGGTAGTGGTCCTCGATTTCCATTTCCAGATCGAGACCGGTGAACTAAGTAAAAAAGGAAAATAAAACGGGTTAATAACGGTACGATATCATGGAGATACAACCCATTGATGTACGCGGATTGCACGCTTCATTATGATCATCAAGCATACCTCGGTCATGTGCCTGGGGGTGTTGGAATTCTCAGCTCGGAAGACGGGGCCAATGCAGTATACTCGCTTCCTGCCACCGGCAATTTCGAACTGCTTGTAGAACTGGGGGATTGAGCTAGGAAGGCAGCCTTGTCAAAGTAGGGCATGGAGAAGACGTTGGCTCCGCCCTCGGAGGAGGCGCCAATGAGGCAAGGGGGCTCGAACTGGGAAAACCTCGAGCCTCGAGATAGTCGCCGAAAAGCTTGCGCACGGTCATGCGTACATCGGCAATGGCTTGCTGTACAGGGGCCCTCTTGTGCATGGCGGGGTTGTTGAGGTGGGTGCTGAGGGAGGCATTGGGCATGGAGTCGATGGCCAGCGCGGCAACACCCTCCTCGACCGCCTTTCCAGCATCAGCGCTCGCATCCTCGTCTTCGAAGCTGGAAACTGCGCGATTGGAGACAGCCAAGCTCATACCGAGTACAGGAGGTCCCGGGAGACGAGGTAGCACTTGGTGATGTGGAGCTCGTAGTCGGACACCTTGCAGCTCTTGACGGGTCAAGGGGCTTTGCAACCTTGGCCTCGATCATGATGAAGCTCTCCAGGGTAAGGGAGCCGGTCCACTTGACCATCTGTTTGGACACGGGGTGCCCTCGGCAGTGGCTACCATCACACCCTGGATGGACCAGTCACGCTCCTCGCGAAGCTCGACAAAGGCCATCTTGGCACCCTGCAGACGAGAGTTTTGGATCCAGGCTCGGAGCCTAATGACCTTGTCGAGGTGCTTCTCGCCGAGGTCCCGAAGGTGCACGCGCTCAGCCTCGACCTTGGTGGAGGGCGTTATGTCGCCGTAGTTTTCCTTGGCAAGGTCCTCGGCGGGGCCGCTGGCGGCCTTTGCAGCAGCAGCGGCAGCCTCCCGCTCGGCAGCCTTCCTGGCCTTCTCGGCCTCCTTCTTAGCCTTGGCCTCGGCCTTCTTAGCGGCCTTCTTAGAGGGGCCGGCGCCCTCAGCACCGGCGTCCTCAGCCGGGGCGGCGGCGGCGGGCTTGGGGTCCGAAGGGGCAGGGTCGGCCATTGTCGGTGGTTGGTGCAGGCGGCGATTAGGTTAAGGGAGTCTTAGGCGCAAAGAGTGGCTTGGAATTGCAGGGGTTATGGGAAATCGAGCAATTTTTTTCTTCGAGCTGCAAATGTGGACTAAGATCACCGTGGCCTGTCGTGGTGCGAAACTCCAAGTGCGTGAGCCCGACGAGTCAATGGCGGGGCAGTTCCTCGAAAATCACAACCCCACCATCGATCTGTCGCACCCGTCGTGACTAACACGCCGAAGTGCAGGTGGGGTTGTCTGCTGCACGTGACCAGAGCTCTCCTGCCGGGTGGGCGGCAGTAGTAATCTACAGAGGTAATAGAGTAGTGCACGAGTGAGGTCATCGTTGGAGCTCCTCAAGCTGTCGCTGCCGCTAGCTGATCAGCACACAAACACCACGGACGAAGAGGGTGAAGAGTCGCGGATCTTAGAGAGACCGTCCGCAAGCTAGGTCCGCTATTATAAGACAACTTTATGGGGAAGAAGTGAATAGAGAAAGTTCGGCGACCGGCAAGGAGAGGTTTTACCAAGCAGCATCTAGGGAACTTGCAGAGCTGGCTAAACTCTCAAAAGCTAGGTCCTTTGGCGCAAGGATTATTCAACATGGTCCAGGGGAGGGTTTAAGGCATGCAAGTGATTCAAGGCCGCGAGGTTTCCCACCTCACCCAGTATTTTTCTTTTTTGTCCCCTTCGCAATTCCCAAGGCCAGGATCTTTAAAGAGGCTTGGAGGGGAAAGGGAGAACCCGGTTCAAAGGTTAGTCGCCACTTGACTTTGGTCGCTTTCAAACTTCGCTGCTGCGCGTAGGGGCTGCCGCCACGCCGCACTCAATTCACACCTACGTCGTGGAGGCAGTGCAGAGATGAAGTCGTCATTCCACCAGATAAGCTCAGTCGAAGCAAGTAACCACTTGCGCGAGCCAAACCAAGATGTAGGACTAGCGAGCATGCAGGGCGGGTCGGCCAATCACCAGATTCCCGGCCTGAGTAGACTTCTTCGAATCATATCTGTAGTCCCATCAACCCTTTAAGTAATGGGTTGCACACTAACATATTTTCAATGCATGCTCAGCCAGCCGCACTTTTCTTTCTAGAGTACCCAAGCTCCACGAGGAGCATATGGGTCAATTGATGCTTCAATGGTCCCTTCTGTCCCGTACTTAGTATCGAAACTAAGGCAGGCCCCTCAGCTGGACTAGGAAAGTCGGGTCTCTTAGATCTCCCTGCCGCGATGGCTGCGCAGCATAATGCTCCCTCCAAAGTGAATGGATCCATCCATGACAGAAGTATACTGTATAAATGCCATTTTCACTCATCAACGGCTAGTCCTAACCTACAGCAACATGTACACCCACGAATGCAGATCATGCTACGTAGAAAGCATCGCAAAGGCCACAAAGACCACAAAGGTCACAAAAGCCGCCGCTTATCGCAGACCCCGCGTTTTTTAATCGTGACAAGATACCCACGGCTGGCCAACCCCGCCTCGCTCAGCGCGCGTGGCGTAGAAACCTTACCCTGTGGGAATATGGACTACGGCCTCTTTCACGATACATTGATCCATGGCCATATGGATCAATCCATTCACGATGTACTCTGAGTTTAGGGCAGCTTGGTACACATCGCCTAGATCAATGTCAATGCATCGCTACTAATGCGGCAGGAGCGCATCCCACTGTCTTGTACCCAATGTATGATGAGTTGGATGAAGGAGGCCTATCCAAGTGGCGTCTTGAGAAGGGTTGCCAATGTTACTATCCACTGCACTATCCGCAGTGCTCCTTCGCTCCCGTCCTTTGCGTAATGTTGCGTGCAGCACTTGAGAGAATAGCTGAAAGCTAAGCTCTGGGTGAACAGCGGGCTCCACCCTCGACGTCATGGCCTCACACCCGCAATCATCATGTACGCATCTTCCACTGTGACTGTCAACAGGTTCTGCAGATAATTATGCTGGAATGCACCCTTTAAGTCGTACCCCGTCGAGTGATTATTTCTATATATAGAGAGGCCCTCCAGCTTGCTTGCTTGATTTTTACTACATCCAACATCACTCATCTACAATCCAATCCAATCCTCCTCCTACACAACTCGCCCATCTTTCACATTTCCGCATCTAAAATCTCAAACATTGTCCGACATGGATTTCATCAAGAATGCTATGGGTGGCGGCTCTGGAAACAACAACAACGCCCAGGGAGTTCAGGGAGCTCAGGGAGCTCAAAAGACCAGCTCTGGTGGAGGGTTTACGGATAAGCTGAACAACATGGCTGGCGGCGGTGCCCGTGGAGAGCAGAACGAGGATGCCCTCGACAAGGGTCAGTAGTCAACCACCTACCTCACCTCCCGGGAGTTTCCTCCTCCCTCCGATCAAAAGTCCAGAAAATTATGGCAAACAACCCCGCTAATTCCTGTCTCTCTTCCACATCTAGGCATCGACTACATCCAAGAGCATGTTCTTGGCCAGGGCAGCCAGACCAACGAGTCTGCCGTCGAGCAGATGAAAGATGAGAAGATTGCCGACTTTATCCGCAATCAGTACAAGAGTACGACGGGCAGCGAATTCCCCGTCAAGGACAAGGAGAGGAAGTTTGGAATGTAAGATGTGTAAACGTCAGAAAGTGTAATTTCTACCAGATCTATGAATCGAATTTAATGAACCATAACAATATTCACTCGTTGCTCCGTTCGTTGCTCCGTTTAAACCCCTCCCATGTGTTTCATTGGCACATGGGGTTGCTTTTCAGCTTAAGACCGTGCAACAGTTATTCAAGTCGACAAACAATGTATACATGTAGCGTCTCGCCTCACGTTGAGAATGGCCAATTCCAATCCCTAACGAGCTACCTATGCTGGCAGTTGAGTTGGCCAGAGCGAAGAAACGTTAGAAACCTCCATTTCTGCCCACCACTGCCCACCTCTGCTCTGCCGAGACTACTAGCGTGGTCTCTGTTTCGCTTCCTGCCTTCTGTACCGCGCATACTCGCCGAATCCCGGGCAACCAAAGTCAGTCGTAAACAAGAACGAGAAACTAGGGTAGGGCCTTTGAATACTATGTTTTAACTCTAGTTTTCATCTCTTCCTGCTATTCGATCCATAGAGTGAGATATCATCACGATACATCACAGCAACCCTCTTATCCGCTCTGAAGTATTGTTTCAGCCGGAGCTGAGGCTAGCCCACCTGTCTGACCTTGTGCCTGACCTTGTGCGCCTTTACCAGCAGAGGACCCGTAACCCAACTCAGATAACACTTTTGGTCCAGCCAGTTCTCCATGCCGGGGCACAAATCGAGATCGGCATGCCAGACCAACTTGGCGAGGGCTAAACTCATCTCAGCCCAGGCCAAGCTATCCGTCGTACTAGATATCAGTAGCTGTCTCACGCGGCAGAGAGAATGGATGTAAGAGCGGGTGGCGCAGGGGTTACTAACTTTTTCCCAATACAATCCCGCGGGCCGTATGAGAAGGGCTTGAAGATATCTGGCCTATCCCTTTCGAAACACGGGTCCTTTGGTTCGAGCCAGCGCTCGGGGAGAAATTCGCGGGGTCGATGAAAGTAGGTCGGAGATAGGTAGGCCGCGTAATTATTCATCGCGACAAGCGTCTACTCGACGAGTTAGCCCGCCTGGCCCCCACGGTATAGGAGGAGGACCGGTGCATTATCTCCGGTTTCCTAGACCTATTCGCCTTGAAACCTACTCCCTCTGGGAGGTAGTGGCCACACGCCACTATACCGCCCTTGGTCACGTATCGGCCAATGGCAACACCACCAGGCGGGTATACCCGCAGCCCTTCCTGCATCACCGCCTTGATATACGGCAGCCTCGAAACGCCGGAAATGGAGATCTGCCCACCATGTTGGAAAGCGGTTCGAATCTCATTGTTCAGTCGAGTGTGGGCGGGCTTGTTCATAAGAAGGTGGTAAATGGTTCCCGACAGCGTCGTTTGAGTTGTCTCGGAACCAGCGAGCAGGAACATGGCCGCGTTTGCATGCCTTTCTTCCAACGTCAGCCCCCGACCGTCGTGTTCGTGCCTCAGGGCGAGCTTCCAGAGGTCCTCCGGGCCCGTTCCAGTGAACGAGAACCTCTTGTCTACCAGTGCCCTGGAATATTGATAATGCTCGTACATCTTTCGTTTTAGCGGACCCGTTGTCGCGACCTCGAGGAGAGACCCCAGGATGGGAAGTTCCAGCAGGATGGCCCGGATGACAATAAACTTGAGACCGTGATGGAGTCCATGAAGCCATGGCGCATGTGTTGGATCCCCGAGCAGGTTCAAAGACTCGCCAAAGGTCAGCTCGGCAATGATATCAAACGTCAAGTAGCTGAGCATCTGGCCCAAGTCGATGCAACCCTCGCGGGCCTGAACATCTCCCATCACGAGAATCAACTTGTCAACGTGTCGCAGCATCAGTCCTTCGTAAGTCTGCACTGCCGAATTGCTCAGTGCCGCGACAAAAGGCGCCTCATCCGAGGGTGATGCTCAGCCGGCGCCGTGATGAGTCCGTAGCCGTCGAGGATTTTCCCGCCAAGGAACCGCATATCCTTTTCAAGCTCCGACTCCTTGGGCGGCCCACAATGTCCCGCCAACCTTCGGCTGTAGTCCTCGGTCTAGGTTACTGGGTGGGCTCTAGGGAAGCGGGGGTCGAATAGCAAGAAGCTTTGCTGCCTTTTTACTCCCCACCACATTCACATGAACACGCGCATATCGACCGTCAACCTACCTTTGATTACGGAAAGTTCGCACGGCGCGACCCGGACAATGCTACCATACCTCTCGTGGAGTTGGACCGACTTGCCGGCGTATATTCCAAGCAATATGTGTATAGCTTTCGGCAAGGGGAGGCGCGCCACCACAATGGCCCGGGGTAGGCGCGCAGCGGATGGAGAAGAAGGTTATATGCACCTCTCGCGACGGCCTCGAGACCCATCTACAAGTCAGGACCTCGGTCCACATTTCGGGCTGAAACAAGGAATTCCTTTATTTTAGCTTCTTTATGGAAGGGCCGGTAGATGGTGGCTTACATATAGTACAAGTAGAACGAGACAGCCGAGAACGGCGTCCGTGAGTAGCTGCCCAGCCCTTTCCACCATTGTATCGCAACGTCTGCAAAGAGATACCGCAATTTGGTATACTAACGAGCACGGCTTTGATTGTCGGCTTTCAGCTAAAGAGGGCGAGCCCACTCCAATAGAGCCAGCATGACGGGCACCTCGTTGATATAGAGATCTTGAATGACAAGTAACAGTGTCGCCTGATTCTCGAGCAAGGGCGCTTCGCTTGGAGGAATAGCAAGGGTCGTGAGATACAGAGACACAAATATTCAAGACCTTTTTCATGCGTAACAATCTCGGTGAACATTTCAAAACCTTCATTAGCATCGTGCTCTCCGAACTCGAGGGAGCCACGAGTCGTTTCCACGATCAAATGAGTTGCACTACTCAACTTACACACGTCCGTGCTCTGCCTGTGGCTGTGAAGAGAGGGGCCAAGGGGCGACCAGCCAGTCCGATGTAGCACGTGAATACAATTGATACTGCTATCGTTCCTGAGAGAGAATCCTTTCATACAATTGATCCATTGAATCCAATGTGTTTATAATATTCTACAGCCCAATTTAAGACCCTTGAGAGGGCAGGTCATGATGCTGCTTGGGACTTGACCCCGCTATGCTGGCCCAACTCCAATCGCCCTGGCTTGAGAGTGAATGGAATGGATAGCTCCCCTGTTCGGCACTATACGTTAATAGTTTGTGTTGAAGTAAGCTAGGGCCTTCTGCACAGATCAAATCTACATCGGCAGGATTCTGGATCACAGGAGTCAAGACGGGCGGGTGTCTTCTCAGCGATATCAGGGCAACATCGGAGATTGGCCATGTACGTAGTCTTGCAGCTTTTCTCAGCTCAGGGACGCGGGGGCCTTGGTTTGTTCACTTAATTTTCGGCCCGTACGCCAGTTGCCGATCACGACACCTGACGCGAGCCTCGCTTGATACTTTGTATTTGGCCCAAGAATAATCAAGCATTCAGCTCTCTTAGAATAGGTGCTGCAGCTTCCAAGGTTCGACAGTAAATGCTTTCCTCGGGCGAAACGTCTTGAAATTGGAGAGTGGGATTGGCACACATTCTCCCCCTCCCCACATGACTCGATCACGGGGGCGCGGTAGCGTACTACGCGGGGACGGGCTAATCTGCAAGGCGAGCTGGGACAAAAGGGAGTCGCAAGATGGATCATGAAGAGAAGAAACGACGCAAGCTTGGGGAAAGGGCTGGAACCTCATTGTGAACCGACCTTTGTTGGGATGAATTTCAACACGTCACTGTCGGGAAGGAAGCGAAGGATGATCCACAGGAGCGAGAGGGTGGAATCGGGTCAGGGGAACATCATCACCCTTCTGGTCCCCTCACCTCCGGTGAAGAGAATCTGTGTTGGTCAATGCGCTTCGAGAGCAGGTGGGACAAGCCGAGAGACGAACTCGTGGCCCGGCGCACCAGGCTATGTCCACCACCTGCACGTACACCATGTCAAAGTTTGCACGACGACGCAGGCAGGTTCTGCTGTCTCACAGAGGCGGTCAACTCTGGACTTTATGTTGGAGCAGAGGCGGCCACGTCGGGTTGTGAAACAATCGACATTGTGTGCATGGCGTTTCGACGATGCATCCGCCAACTTTTTATCTTATTCCGTTTCTGCTTCTTGTCATACCATGCCCTCAGCGACGAGACGGATCCCACTTATGCCTGGTCCGGGTGGGTTTCGCTTGACTCAACCGGACATCAAATCTTCCTGTTCGTCCAGCAGCTGGCCTCGCGAAAGGCTTCAACGAGATCAAGGGCAGTTAGCGAGCGCGATGATCCCACAAACCCGCATTGGAGGAGTGGAGCCCTCCCCCAAAGAAGGGTAATTTGGATTGATATTGCTCGAGGTGGGTGTTCTTGAAAAAGGAGCTTGCGGTCACAACGCCTCCCAAGTCGGGCTTGGATCCAGGTCGTTTTTAGCGTCGGCCGATTTAAATAGTTTAGCGGTTGTTGGTTGCTCAGGGTTCTATGCCCGGTGAAGAAGTGGATGATGGATATTATACGTCTGTGGATGTCGCTGATGAATCTGTCTAACGAACATTGAATACTTCTTCAAGTGGGAGATGGATGCGGGTCACAGCCCATATCCGCCCGGTTCGCCTTGTGATCTGTGTGATGGATGGGCCAGGGCGAACGTGAGATGCGAGTGACCGGCCCCGGCTAGCTGCAAATTCTATTACACTCTTCCCAGCTTGAAAATTGCCCATCCATACAAAGTAGGTATTAATAACATCTACAACGTTCTTTTGTTCAGGACGACGAAAAGAAGCGGAGCTCTGAGACGTGATTTGGCGGCGGCGACGGCGGTGGGGTTTTCAAGACACTCTGCGCTGGTTACATTCCTCAACAATGGCTGGGGCCTCCAGAGTTGGCCTATCCACTGGAATCGATACGGACGAAAAGAAACGCATTCGCTTTGATACGTCTATCCATCCATTAAATATGCGCTACATGTACAAGTACGTTAATGTGCCATCCTGCTTGGAGCTCAGGGAGGAGCTCGCCCCCATCTCCCAGCACTCCAGTGTCGTCTTCATGACTTGGACGAGATGAGCGTAGCATCCAAGTGTTCTCGTCTTCGTCCCTGGGCTGGCTCGCCGAAATGCCTCGACTGGACCCTGGCACTAGTAAAAATTTCGAAGGAATTAGACCAGGTTGATCTGGGCTGGCAACCCGCGCTAGGCCCGCTAAGTTAGGTGGCGGTCAAGATATCATTACATTGATAGAATGAAGGCGACGCTCGAAAGGGTCGTCCCATGTCAACCGACTCCAGGGCAGAGTAACAGAAAAAATGTTTGAAAGGTCGATTGATGGGATTGAAATGCCAGACCCCGTCCATCTGGACGAGTCACGCCGGCGGCCCAGTGCTGTCAATCCATCTCTGGATCTATCCACGGATCATTGCATGTGAGATGCTGAGGCCAATCGGACAGACTTGGAGAGAACCGTCCTTTCTCACCCCACATTTTTATCGGAGGTGCATTGTCTGGTCCTTTCGGTCAGGGGTGGGGAGCGACCTGTCCTGCCACGCCATCGTCTCTTTCCAGAAATCCACGACGCCGACGGACTCGGATTGAGCTTCACAGACCAAGCCAAGCCTTGGAGCTGCAAGTATTACATCTGCTGCGACAGTGGCAGCTGAGGGTCAAGCTGACGAATTGGATTCCATATGATTCCAATAGCCCATTGGTTTGATAAGTGGGAGTCCCCCTCAAGGAAAGTTGTGTCAGAGGATAGTATGAAGCTGGAGTGGCTGTTGGTGAGATGTTCGAGAGCTCCACTATGGGGAGCACACGAGGTTGGCCAGATTGTGTTGGATCTTTGAATCTTGATCCAAAGCTGGAGAGAAAGGTTACAGAGGCTTGAGAGGGTATCAGGGTACCCAGTACCTCGGTACATTGTGTACATTAAGTGTATTCCCCATCCGTGCTAGTTGGCCTTGGGTTGAATGTAGGATACGAAGGATGTGGAAATCCCGAATGCTCTCTTCACAGAACTTCAATCTCCGGAGTAAAAGATTGAACCATTCGTGAGCCCAAAACTCTCCAGACTTGGCTTCCGATTAAGAATTATCAGGGAGAGGATCAATAGACCCCCATTCCGGCATACCACAGTACACAAAGAGGGCCTGCTTGACGTCTACAAGTAGTCATCTTGGGACTCGGTTCAAGTTCATCGAGGGAAGGCACCTCCCCATCCGAGTTAGCCAACATCGATGGGCGGAAGTTGATGCTTGTAGCAGGAATAGTAATAATAGTAATAGCCCAATTTACTCCATCTCCCCAGAATAGCCAGCCACGGCCTATGGCGCACCACCACATAAAAATAGGCAAAGAACGCCACCCGCGAGGACCCACGTTTATTGTGACCCTGGCTCTTCGGCAGGTGGGAATACCTGGGAAGGTCTAGCGTTTGGATCAACGCCATGAGATTTGGATGAGCGTTTGAAGATTGCCAAATGGTTACGTACGAGGACTGGCTCACATCTCCGTCAAGTTCATGTTGCAATCCGAGGAGGATCACCGACCTGCACCAGCACCAGCATCAGCTGGCACACTGGGACATTTTCACGAATTTCTTGGGTCAAATGGCTAATAAGTGATGGGGACTCTGTCTTCCTCCCTCCCACCCTCCCCAGCCAGCCAGAAGCCAGACCTCCAGCCCGGGATATTGATGTACCCCAAAAATACCCCGTGGCCACACAGAGTCGAGTGGTTGTAATAATCCGATCGTAACAATCTTAACAATTTCTACAGCTCGACGGCGTGCTCTTGTTGAGGGTCACCCCGACCCCTGGTTAGCCAACCTCGTATTGTCTTCCCACCGCCAGAACGCACCTCCCGGCTCCGAAAGATTATTCAAAACCCTGTGATTAGTCTTTCAGAACTTCCCGGCTGGTTTTCACCCCCTTTCTTCTTTTTCGCGAGTCCACAAACCCACCAAGCCTCTTCTTTTTGCGAGGAAACTCTGGCGACGAACCCCTCGACGACACCACCAACGTCCACGACCACGTTCACGATTCTTCTTCTTTGACGCCGCGTGCCTCAAGTTTTACATTGATCCACGAAGCGTTGGGAACCTGAGTAGGTAGGCAATCGAACTGTTTCTTCCGTTATCTTCCTGCTCTCCGGCTTTTGACTCTCATCCCTATTCCCTCAAACGTTGTTGCTGCCCTGGAGAAGCTATTCTCGCCCCGGGATCCGCCAAGTTTCCCTATCCCGCCGTCTCATCCTCCATCCAGTCGCCCTTCTCTTAGTCGCTTCGTTCTTTATATCCCCGAGTACTTGTATCTAGGGATATCTGCTCTCGGTCGCATCGTGCACTCTTTATTGGCGTGCCTAGTGGCTACTAAAATCTGCTCGAAACGCGATGCCCTCTGCTCGCTGTATTCTCCACTTCAGCATATCCTGGCTGGGGAGAGAGCTCGCTCTTCCGGCCCCCTCTTACCTCAGATCCCCTCAAGTGCTGTGTGCGGTCTGTCCGAATCGAGCCTTATTTGCCTGCATCGCCGAGCAAAGGGTCGGCTATTAAAAGAAGAAAAAAACACTATTTATTTCGTCTTTCCTTTTCCCTGCTTCAATCAAATTGTTCTTTGCCCTGCCCCGCGAAGTTGAGAAAGGGGACCTTTCCTGGTCGGAGGGACTGGCGAACAAGGTACGGTGAAGAACCCTGCATTGATCGCTCCCAAGAAATGTGTGCTGCCCTTGCGTGTTGTACCCGCCCCCGCAACACTATAAATCGAAAGGGGAGATGAGGAAAAAGGGGGCAAGCGCCTGGCCAGCCAGTAGCTTGGTGAACTCAAAGTCCACCGCCCATACACACACACGCGCCTCCCTACGTCACGTCGCCTTTCCTCTCTGCCCTTGGCTGAGCGCCACTTGGACCCAGTTGAGGTTTCGGCTCCTATTCTGCGCCTTCCAGGCTTCCAGGGCGCCTTGCTTCCTCGTCTTGTGCATATCTTTGTTCTTCTTTTTATTTTATTTTCTGTTCCTTGACGACCCAGTTTGGGAGATGAGCCGAATTGCCCATAACCCGCTCTCATCTTACAGGGTTGTGAAGGCGAAACAAATCTAACACCCGTCTCTAGCTCTTGCAGACAGTGGGTCTCTCGCGCCCTCCACTCTATCACGCCTCCCAGTAATAGTAGAACGCACACGCAAGTGGTGCTCTACCCTCGACGCTGATTCCCCACTTCTCCTTTCGCCTCCCAACAAACGGCGCTGTTTCGCGACCCTTTTGCCGAGTACTTCCTGCCGCCGATTGGCCCCCTTAATAACCAGCACCTGGAGCACTTGGGCTTTGGAGTGGAATCTGAGAAGACGAGGAGCAGCGGTACGGTTCGGCTACCCAACCTTGCCAACCCACCCATTACTCAATCGCCAAGCACGCCCCATACAGTGTCGCTTTCGAGGTTCATGTTGGCATTGATCATTGATTGAGCACCGAGAACATCAACTGGACCCTGCTCTATTCTCCATCGAACCCAGTGCGCCTTGAGCAAACATTGAACCCTTGAGGTTTCCTGTTGCCGGTTTTCCCTCTCTCCTTCTGGCCACGAATTCCATCGTCTTGCCTTAATAATTTCGCCCCCTAATTAATACTGCGCTCCATTCTCCCCCTTCTTGAACCTTCGCTTCCAACCAGAGAAAACAGCCTGCTGTTCCACCTCGCCCCCGACCGATCCCACGACATTTCTCCTCCGCACAGAGACAGACAGAACCGGAAGGAAGCAGAAACGACAAAGGCGGAAAAAGAGGGGACGATCCCGACCGTAAATAACAAAGAGAAACAACACCCAGCCCCCAACCCCCTTTCTTGCGAAAGTCCAATCCGTCCCTCGCGTTGGTTTTTGTCAGAATGTCGACGGCAGAGTCGTTCCCGCCAGGTAAGAGATAACCACCAACCAAACCCCAGGGTGCTATTACCCCCACCTGCCTTGCTTCGTCGTTCCGTGTCTTGATGCCAGTTCCTTGATTTTTGCTCGATCCTGCCTTCCCTGCATCATCCCTTCTCCTGGCTCCGCTCGTTCGTGCGACGATGATCCATCCACGGCCACACACCCCCCTTCTTCCTATCTCTCTCATCCCCTCCTCTCCTGTCCTTTTCTCCACTAGCCATTTTCCTGAATCGTCTGAATCAGGTGTGTCAAGTAGAGATCGTTGTTTCATATTCCCTATCAGCATCATCATTTCACATGCACGGAACCGTCCGAAGCCTTGGCTCCTTGATATTAACAAAGCCCAAAAGCAGGCCAAGGCCCCTCTGGTCGCCCAGGCCTGACTCTGAATCTCGCCTCCAACAACCCTTTCCGTAACCGGACTGCCTCCCCGTGAACGACGACTTCTTGAGTACTAAACCCACGTCGCCGCCGCCCGCGTCGCCTTTCGACGACCCCCTCCCTGCCCGTCCGCTTTCGAGAAACCCTTTTCTTGACCCAGCCCCCATCACCAAGTCTTCCGAGCCTCTTCGATCACCTGGCGTCATGTCGGTTCAATCTGATAGGGTTGCGTCTCCGACGGCGGAGGAGCTCTTTGTATGTCATTGTCTTTTGTTTCCACTTGCTTTTTCTTCCTTTTTCTATCTTGTTCTTTGATAAAAGAAGAAAACCGGTAGTTAAAGCCGGGGCCTGTAGCCCTTTTTGGAAGAAGGGGTTTGATGCAATGGTAACGTGCTAACTAACCACTTGTGCTCCTGTAGGATTCTCTAGTCCTAGACGATACCAAGCCTAAGGGCGACGAGAACAAGCGCCCGCCTCCCAAAACGGCCCCCACGGCCTCCACTCAACCACCGGCCCACCCGATCGCAAGAAGAGGCTATGCGGGCCAGGAGAATGCAGAGTAGCGGGCCAAGGCCCGGTGGTCCTTCGCAGTCTCCTCACAAGCGCGCGGAACGACGCCCCGCCGGAACTCTGACTCTTCTTTGTTGATTGACATCGAGAAGCCCTTGACAGAAGAAGAGAAGAAACAGCGCGACGCACGCCGTCGTGAGAAAGAGGGCAAGCACCGTCAGCAGCGTCCTAATAAGAGAGTCGACGTTATAGACCAACTTGATGCCACCAGCATCTTTGGCATTGGAGGTAAGCTGTCTCTGTTGCGCCTGCCGGCTAGGTGCCTCGTGCCTTCCAGGACTGGGAAGCCACAGGTCCTTGCCATAGGCGCTTTCTGCCCACCCGATCTACACTATACTAACGCAGCCTTTGGTCGCAGCCTTTCACCATGATGGCCCTTTGACGCCTGCAATCCTCACCGAAACCGCAAGGGTAGCCGTCGTGCTCCGATGAACGCATTTGCCAAGGACTCTGCGAACAACTCGATTGGTGGTTCCGGCCCCTCCGTAGTCGGCCGGACCATTCAACCTTTTGGGAACAGGGGCCAGGAAGCCTTCACCGACTATGCCCAAGGTGCCCGAAAGAATAACCCGAAGATGGTGAGAGGCCCCCATGGCGAGCTTCTCTTTGACCCGACGAGCCGAGGCGATATTCTCCACGGCGATGAAAGCCTTGGTCTTGGCACGTCCACCTTTTGGAGGGCACACCTGCCGCTCGAACGGTCATCCAGAAACGCGAGGCAGAGCAAGCGGCTGAAACTGCGGACGGCGGTTTGCAACGCAAGAAGTCGTTGGCGCAGAGGATCCGTGGAATTAACAAGGTTCCCGTGAATATGGCCCTGGAGGACGGCCAAGTCTTGCGGAGGGTGGCCGTCGCCCCACTTACCCTGACCTGCCAAGGCGCACCACCGATGGTGAGGCTGGCAGCCGTCAAACCCATTCGGATGAATATAGCAACGAGCCTGAACTCATCTCTGTCGCGAAGCCCGGCGATTCGGACGAACCCAAGTCGCCCACCAGCCCTAAACCTCGACCACGGAGGGTCTCAATCGGCCTGGAACGCAGGTCTACGGCCGACGGGACTACCTCAGCTGACAAGCCGGGTAGTGGACTTTTAGCCAGGGTCAAAAGTTTGAAGGGCGGAAGAAGAACTCGGCCACAGCCCGATATCCCGGCGCCTCCTCCCGTGGTTGCTACCGCTCCCGGCACGGCCGTATAGTGGAGGCCAAGGAGCAAGGCTCGCCAGACATTCGATAGAAGAAAACGGGTGTCCGGGCCTAGCCACACCACCGAGATATCCGATTAAGAAGTTTTCGCGGGAACCAACTGCCTACGTCCCTTTCATGGGCTCCATGACTATCGTGGATCAAGGAGCACGGCCTCGGGCGCTGGCCGAGCATGGGCTATTGTTCACGCATCGAGAGCTAGCAGAAAACAAAAGGCCAACAAGAGTGTAGCACGCTGTCGCTGTCAACAACAATTAGTACGGGTCTAAGACCCCAATCTTTACTACAAGAGATCGACGAGCACCGAGGAGGAAGAGGGTGGTGAAGCCACCGCTAACATTCGTTCATATAATTCTTTCTTGGGCAGGTGGCATCAAGTTCAAACCACGATTGTCTGACGCCGCTCCACACCACCAAAAAAAAAAACATGAAGTCTACCAACAACCAAATTTCTTTTGTTTTGGATATTTGTCGAATGGTGTATTTTTCTGATACCTTTTATATCTTCTTACTTCGCTTCTTTCGTTAATACCATTTTATGCGTTGGGGTAATACTTGACCAAGTTGGCCATTCCGACTCGTCGCCGCAGGAAGGCTCTTTTAGCAGGCGCTATGGGCCAGGGGAGCCGGACTCGTGGCGATGCTGCAATGCGGAAGCCGACAGAGGAGAGAGAGAAGTTGGGGAGGACGACGGAAAGTGAACCATGAGCCTAGGAAGAGCGTTTGCGGGGTAATTGCGGGTGGTCAATGGATATGAATACACTACAAGCCTGCAGCTTCCGCATGATTTTCGTTTGGTTTCCCTGTTTTCTTAATTGTATGACGCTCTACATATTACCCTGGTGCTGTCTTTCAATAGACGGAGACGGCTTCCAAAGCGTGAATTGATCCATCCAAGGATGAAACGGTCCATTCAATTTACCTTACTCCTCTAGTGGTCCGCAAAACTACGAGCATGATAAGAGCACGACCAAAAATCTGCGAAACCTTGAAGAAGGCCGCGACAATCGCCCAGTGGGCCCAACTCAACGTGGGCGTTGTGAAAGTATCAAAGTTTCTCGACCCATGGATTGATCGATTGAAAACCGGCGCAAAGTCTAGTCAGCCGGCTCCGATTTTCATTTGACGGTGTAGTGTAGTGTATGTCGTGTATGTCGTGTATTCGTGTAACTGACCCATTGTATTGTGGTGTGGTGCGGTGTGGTGTGTGACTTGGGTTGATGGCCGCTCTGCTGACATTGGGTGGTGGGGACGGGCCTGCCTTCCGTGCCTCTTGACCGACCACGAAGCTTACAGAAGCACCGCCAATGGACGAGCCTCCAACCAGCGAATACCTCAGCCAATCGCCAAATGTATCCGCTCCATCGTTTCTTCGCCGCCCCAGTCGCTAAACGTAAATGAGTGGGGACAACAAGGAAGCCGGTGCTTTGCCCGACATCATCCCCGTGTCGGCGGCCGTGCTCTCCCGGCTCGAAAAGCGGCGACGCGATGCGCAGCGAAGCCGCGGCGGGTGCGGGACCGGGTGCAGAGAGATAGACGAACACGTTCTGCGGGGCGGGCTCGAGAGGGGAGCGTTGTAGGCATTAGTTCTGAGGAGGACTTTGGGGTCTTGGTGAGTTTAGCGGTCCTCGTCCCCGATCATTCTTGATCCTTGATCCCTACCTCCTTCTCCCGCCCTGGTCTTTTCCTAAGGGTTGGCATCTAGGATTTCACGGGACTGGGAGGACTGGGGGAAGGGGCGCCTTGAGAAAACGTCCGTGGAATGGAAAGTACCTGGGGATTGGGGCTAACGACTCGGATTCGGAAATAGATGTCGTTTCAAATCATAGCCAGGACTTTATCCCGGGCAATGGCGGCCGGGCAGCCAGAGAGGGCGCTGATAGTTTCAACGCAGCCGACGGCAAGCGTGGTGCGGGGTCTTCGGGACGCGGTCGTTGCGCAGGTCCGTCTCGAGGGGGTGTCGACGTCAAGGCGAGGACGAAGCAAGTTCTCGAGATGGTGTCGGTGGTGAGGGTGTTTGACGTCAAGGGCGTGTGGGAAGTCCTCGACGACCTAGAGTGCGAAGCTGACGGGAGCTCGCCCGGGTCACCGTCGAGTGAGACGAGCGGCGCCGAGATACGTCAAGTTGTTGGCGCGGTACCAAAGGTGGTCCGAGACGAGATCCCGGATAGCGACGAGGAGGCATCGCCGTCGGCGTCGCCACCGAACCTTGCCACTCCTCCTCCTCCTCCTCCTCCGCCGATCGAGGGTGTGCCGGCAACGGCGGGGCCTCGGAAGGAGGACAGGTCAGGGCTTAGCAGGCCGGACATTGTCCTGATCACGCACTTTTCCACGCTGCTCACCACGCTCTTCACGCACGCGGAGAAGAACCAGGCGCACACCGCTCTCCAGCTGCTCTCGTCACGCCTTCGCTTCCTCGCGCACTGCGGTCCTTCTTCCCCGCTCATCCTCATCACCAACTCCCTGGCGACACCGGGATCGGCATCCCGAGCGGACCCCGTTTCGGCGAGGGGGCCAGGTATGGCCAACGCGGATCTCGCTGCGGAAGGGGGTTTCGTGCTCCCTTTCGGCAGGTGTCACGCCAGTGGACGGACCCGACCTTGAGATCCATCTTTAATGCTCCGGGGCCGTACCAGACCGGAAGATCTCATTTTTCTTCCGTTTCTAATACGTCTACTTCTTCCTTAGCTTCGTCTGGGAAGCCTAGTTTCGGCCTTGTTTTCTCACAGTTTCTTGATCTCCATCTCTTGTGTACTAAAATGCCCCGAGCAAGGGAGGACGCAGAGGCCTTGGCTATCGGGGACGGAGAGGCCTGTCAGCACGTCTGGGTTGTGGAGGGGCTTCTTGACGAGATGGGGGTGTGGGAGGGGAGAGGGGTGCGAGACGGGGACGGGAAAAGAGGTGGGGGTTGTAGATTGGCTGGGGGCCAAGATTGTAGATGCGTTCAAAGGTGGGAGGGAAATGTAGACGGTCCTTGTTGACATGAGATCTACCGACTGAATGAACATGGCATCGATGCACGAGTCATCAGATATTACACTTTTGCACGATTTTATGTCTGGGACGATAACCATCAACAGGGTCGACGTCCTGCATTAGGCCTCCAAGATCGGATGTGATGGATGACGCGACGCATCTCTCATCGTTTATACTGAGGTACCGAGGTAGAGTACAGAGCTATGGGGAAGTGGGATTGAACCGGGGTGGGCTGACCAGCCACCGGTAGAGCTAGAAAGTGTTTGGAAGGGATGTGAAATCGGGATGACGGGCTACCTGATGCGGGAAGAGGGAACTAGGGTCCGGGCTCCACGATGTTTCACTGGGTTCACAGCGATCTCCCAACCACCACAAATTTTACACCCCACGAGTTCAGAGCGCATGTGGATAACTTCTTGCCTCACACTCTAGACCAGGTTCGCAGTTGGCATCACCTCGTTCTTTACCTGGAGGGTGTTCAATTTCTTAGAGTACGGCTTCTTCCTCTCTACTCAAGAACGATAGAGTTAGCGAGCTTCTTGGAGCGCTGAATATGGGAGATACGCGTATCGAGGGAAACTGCGTTTTATTTCCCCTTGCAATAGCAGTGCACAAGTTCGCTGCAGGGGCACCTGCAGGAACGAACGGCCAGAGTGGGGGCATCGAAATAGCTTTCGGCCGGATTTGCTGGCTCACGATCTCGCGGTCCTTCCTTCAACCCTAGGCCATTTACGAAGACGGCCCATCCCCGCCATTCCCGAAAGGGGGAAAAGAAAGAGAGGGAAGAAAGAAAGAGGGGCAGAGGGAAGCAACGTCTCGGCGAACTGGCAAAGCTCGGGTCATTCCGATGACAGCCCTTGGGCATGGCTGAATGAGCTTCATGTCTTGGAGATCTGCGAGAGTGGCGGTCCCAAAGACCGTGGGAGAGCTCGTTTCTTGGAGGGAACATGTACTCGAACAACACAGATTTGGGTGTGATTGTTCCCGTGGGCGACGTGCTTCTACCCTTTTATTCCGTACCTACTGGTTCTATGCCTCAGCGGCTCCAAACTCGAAGACGCAGAAGCGCCTGGAGTAAATTTTCTTGTTCAAAAGCGGCGATACCGTGCATTCCTGACCAGGAGAGTCCCGAGTCAATGACACTTTTGTCTCATCCAACCTTTTATTATTCCTCTGCTTCCCTTTCTTTGCCTCTGGACATCTCTTTCTTCTCATTCATTTTTGGCTCCTTTGAATTCTGATGAGGATCATGGGGGCATTCCAATGCGGAATCGGATGACCACGGCAATGGAGCTACCCGACCGAAGCACGCACAAATCGTACTCACTAGTTCGTTGCTGCAATGCAACTCGTCGCAAGTCTCTCTCTTATATTTTAGACTTGCACCACAGCAGACAGAGCAAGGCGGATACGACAACGCCTGGGGGCCAATGTTACCTGATTGGGAAATAATTGATCCATTTTGCTCCCTCTGGTGCTGAGGGAAAAAAACGAAAAGTGGTGTGGCTGGGGGAGCTATGGCCAGCCGATGGTCCTGGCGAGGGGCGTTAGCGACACGCTCCTGCCCTGGGCCTGGCAGAAATGACCCCAACCTTCCTGAATTGCCCAATTCGCACCTGCCTTGAGAGCGAGGCCCCACAATGACCGTGGTACCTGTCTACAAGTAGTGTAGGGTAGTGTAGGGGAGGGTTTCGCAAGGAAGGCTTCTCGCTGATGGATCATACCGTACTTGTACACTGGGAACGGGGCAAACCAGCCCAACCTCTCGATAACCTAACCACGAGAGAGTGAAGCGCAAGAGATGATGAGGGCGAGTAGGGAGAAGAAAAATGCGATGGCTGAAAGCCATCAACAAAACTCCAGTAATATCCCACAACGGAGCTTTCGAGACTTGTCTATGATGCATCCTCTAGCTCATACATGCCACGACAGTCTAACAATTGGTCGACATCTCATGCCTTTGCAGTGTTCAAGCGTTAAAGCGTGAGAGCTTGGCTTTGACCTGCGTGAGAGACCGGAACCTGTCCGGCGACTACCCGACGACAGACCGCCGACGCGGAGAAAACGCACAAGACACTCAATTGAGCCACACAGCCAACCCCGACAGGGCGACCTCCCACCATGAATTTCGAAGGTTTTGCCTATGGCTACGACTTTGAGCAGGAAAGCAATCGGAGTCCACGTACGTATTACATCTTTGGCCAACGCCCCCAAGTTTTCCCATCCCGGGCCGCTATCCTGCCATCTTTGCCCACTTTGCCGCCCTGTAATGTGTTGTGTTGCCCTGGCATCGGCGGTCGATACGCATCCGGCCTGCTCACACCCCTGCTCATGCTGCCCAGATGCAGGCTGCTTGCCAACGCATCGGCACACACCCCCATTCTTGCTCTCTCCAATTGATTGGCCCCTTCCCCGTTACCCATCTCCCTCTTTTGGGCTGCTCCAGTGATTTAATACTATCCTCTCGGATGCATCCTGCTCACACTTTTTTTTCCTCCCCCATTTGCAGGTTCTCAAGCGCGTGCTCCTGCTTTCCCACCTCAATTCTGGTCAGCCGCGACACCTTCCTCGGACACATCTTCTCGATCCTCGCCATCCACAGTAACCGGTATCCCGTACCACGGTTTGAGTCCTGATCACTTTTACCCCGACACACCGCCTCCACCTGCCGCGCAATTCGCAACTCCTCAACCTCCCGTTGACGACGCCGTATTGCCTTGGGTGCCCTCACCGCCAGAAGCCTTCTCTCCTCCCACGCCGTATGCGGCTCACCAGCGGCTTTTAAGCCCCGAGCAGATCCAGACACCGCCTCCCGTCGTTCAACGCCAGCAATCGCGGCGTGCTCAACCACAAACCGTTCGGTTTGACGAAGCCCAGCTTGCAATGGCCGAGGCCGAGAATGCGGACCGGCCCAAGATGGCTAGGCAGGAAATCTCGCAGGGCGGCGGCCAGGTTACTCCTGGAATCGACGACACCCCATTCATCCAGTACGCTTTGGAGGCTCTAACGAGAGAGGACGGCCTGCCCCTTTCTCAAAGCGTATCATCCACGAGAGGCTCCTATCCTCGGCCCGAGCCTGCCGTGGCAGCCCAATTAAGGACTATCGCGGGAGCCGCTCCTATTCCCGGCATTGTACCGGCGGTGGCCAACCGCGACTCGCAACCTGTTGGGTCGACGCGTCGAAGTCGGAATGCGGAGCCTACCGCCACCGCCGCCGCCGCCGTTGCTGTCGCTGCCGCCCCTCCTGTTCCCTTTAATCAGCCCGGTACCTTGGCTGTTCCCGATAACACCCCATCGTTCTCGTCGACGAGCACGGCGAGTGCTCCCGCTTATATCAAGGCCCGATCAAATCTCTACGGCGCTAATAAGCGGATCGCCGTTCCCCACTCGGACGTGGGCCCGGGCTCGAGGTACGGTAACAGGTCCACTGCCCTGACCCACCTGCCTCCCGTGCTTCGACTTCCCTCCTTCCTCCTCCTCACGACGCTGAACCTCGTGATGATTGCCGCGCTCATCCTTTCTGCCGCCTACTCGAAGCAGCATGATGGATTGTTGTCCTATCCGGGGACGCCAAGTGGTGGGCATTACTTTTGTTTCGCGTCCTTCCGCAACTCGTGGGCGGCGTAATCTTGCTTTATTCCCAGGCCATGATCCTCGCAACCTTTCGCATCCTGCCATTCGAGCGCATGGCGCGCGACGACCCCATGGAACGATACGGAGCCATCTTCCAGGACCTGTACCCAAAGTCGTTTCTTTGGCCCCATCTCGTCGGCCCGTTGCCGGTGAAAGTCTGCGCTGCCGTCACGTGGTTGCTGAACTTTACCCTGCCGATCTTGTCAACTCTCTTTGGAATTATTTATCTGGATGGGGAGTGGTACTGGGCGACCGTCCAGGGTGTGGCGTGGGCGTTGGTCGTCTTCTACGTGGCTTACCTGGTTGCCCTAGGCTGCCTAGCCTGGTTCTGGTTCGGGCGGGTGACGGGCATGATTTGGGACATCCGGTCCATTGCAGACATGGTTCCCATGTTGCACTATTCGGCGGTCAACCACAGTTACCACAGCACTCAGGCCACTTCGACGCGCAGTCAGCTCGAGGTCAAGCTACGAGAGCGCGCTATCGACAGGCTAGGGTACTGGCAGTTTGAGAGGGCCGGCATCGCGGTTAGCGAGGAGGACCAGGGGGCTTCCTCTGGTGGGGCCTTGGCGCGGCGCAGGACCACGAGAACGTCGATGAGTACTTGTCGGATCGGAAAAAGACCAAGTTCTACAGGACCGATGCCGAATCCGCCAACTCGAGCCTCACGCAGATCCCTAGGGCCCTGGCGCCGGAGGCCAGATACCGGTACCTCCCCTGGTGCCTACGCAACGTGCAGATGATTGCCTTTTTGCTTGTGGGCGTGGTCATCTTGGTGGTGCTTCTCGTGCTCTCGTTCCACCCCAACACGAGGCTGACTCGGGGGTTCTGGCCCAAGCTTCCCGCTCGACCCGACAAGAACGCTTTCTCGCCCGCCAACTTTTTGTACAACTTCATTCCGTCACTGATTGGCCTCATCCTCTTCCTTCTCTTCCAGTCCCTGGACATGGCGTACCGTCCCTTGGTGCCATGGGCCGAGCTGTCCAAGCCCGAGGGTTCGCCGGCGGCCAAGTCCATCCTCGTCGACTACGCCGCGTGCCTCCCCGTACAGGCCACCTTCAAGGCGCTCCGAAACGGGCACTACCGCATGGCCCTCATCTCCTTCCTCTCCACCGCTCTCGTCTTCCTTCCGATCCTAGGAGGCGGCATGTTCTTGGCGCTCACTGTCAGCGGCACGACGGATGTGCGCATGTTTCCCAACATTCCCGTGTTTGGCGTCACGCTCTCACTCCTCGGCCTCTTTGTCTGCGGGCTGGCGGCGCTGCTCCCAGCTCGGGGCGCGTACCGTATGCCGCACGCAGTGACGTGCTTGGCGGAGATCTTTACCTTTATCACCAACGAGGACATTATCGACGATGCCGCCTTCCGGTTCCCGCGAAGCAAGACGGATCTTCTGGGCAGGCTGGGTGTGGGTAGGGCTGCGGAAGAGCAATCGAGGTGGCACCTCGGGGTCTCGGCGGGCCGCGACGAAACGATGGGAGTACGAAGGCTCCGAAAGTTTACAGAAAAAGACCGGCCACGAGGAGGGGCCAGGATATTGTTTGAGGGAGATGAATATCCAGAATGATGACGACCTGCAAACGAGTAACGTTTAGATGCCGGACGCAGAAACACACATAAGAAGAGGAAGAGATCAAGAGATCAAGACAGAACGACACGGGCCATCCAATGGGTAAAGCCCACAGGACGAAGGACGAAATATGGACATGACGAGTCTGACGAGAAGACAGAATTGGAATTCTTACGAGAAGATGAGATGATAATGGAGGGTGGGTTTCTGGCATGGATAGGTGTTTTTTCTGTTTTCTCTTTTTCCCTTTTTTGGCACCATAGCATTGGGTTGGCGTCTTTACGGTATGGCATCATGGGATGGATAACTGTGTTGATTCGTTTACTACCTGGAGAGAGACGGGAATTGCATGAATGCATCCATGGATGAATGCATGATGTTGATGCCTTCATCTCAGCGTTTTGTTCTCACTCTTGTTTTTTTCTTCTCCTTGCTCATACATACAAGAAGACATTAGTTTTGAAGATGCGGCATCACTATGCCATGGCCATCATGGAGGGAATGGTAAACTGCAAGTCGATGGAAGAATTGAGAAAAAGTAGCCAAGACGAAAACTGTCCAAAAAGGTCGACGAAGACTTGTACGTGGAAGCCACATGCAAGACAAGATGCTGTTTTTCCTGTTGTCAGTCGTGAGGGGTCCTCGATTTCGTTGATTTTTCTAAACCCCGATGTGAAGCTTTTGGCCGCACATGCGTCAATCACGTATTACCGGTGGGATGGGTGGTGCGTGTGTGGTGCGTGTGTGTGGTGTTGCAACCCAGACAGCGCTCTTCTTGGGCCGGCAAGGCGTGTACGGGCGCCGGGCATTAGGCCGCACTAATGCACCTCGTTGCGCTGGCCAACACCGGCCGGTCTGCAGGCTCGGGTCTGCTGGTGGGTGATGGGGGTCGCGGGTCTGAGTCTACCGCTTCCACTCCACCGAGAGCGAGCACGAGAGCGAGGCCGAAGCTCGCCGGGGACCGAGCATTGTTTCATAAGAGATCTGCGTAAACTACTGCGTACATGGAACTATGCGTGGATTGGATGGAACGATCAATGGGATGGATGTACGGTGCACGCCATGGCTGCTGCGTGTCTTGTGCGCAAGTTGTGTGTATCCGCGCGAGTGTGTGTGTGTGTGTGTGTGTGTGTGTGTGGGACCGTCTTGACCTGGGAAACTGACCCCGCTCTGTGTTTTTTTGGTGTTGATGGAGACTCGAGGGCACACTACACTTTGCTTGCTTCTTTTTTCGTGGAGTGAGGGGTCCAACAGGAGAGTGGGGTGCTGCTGCTGCCTCTTTTGGGCTCCATGTGCAGTGTTCTCGAGGATAACTTGCTCCGTGGTTGAGCGCGAGTTGGGCGAAGAAACACCCTGCTCCCGCCACTCAACAGCATGGTCTATTCATCCACGGATGGAAATAGATCTTGCCCACTGTTCTTTTCAGAGGCCTCGTCTCTCCTTGCACATGCAACCATCAATAGATCCCTTGGAGCCGCTACCCCTCCGAAACCCCGAGCTTCTCGGTCCAAGGGTTGAGGTACGGCCTGGCTGCTCCTTCGTACAGAGGTCAAACCTATGCCCTTTTTTTTCTTTCTTTCTTTCTAATATCCTATTGTACGAGATGATCAGTGGCGATGCAAGGAACAAGGATAGCACTTCCCCGCGATAGGAACGGGCGTTAGGGTAGCATGGGCATGGGGGAGGGGAGGGACGCCATCATCCCGGGGGAGGGAACCATGATGCGATCGGGGTGGACTCGGAGTAATGTCCATCAATTGCGCAAAATACCACACACAATGGAGTGGGTGGAGCTCTGACCCAGGGCTTGCTTGGACCAAGCCAAAAGAGGGGAGGGAAAGCAAAATACAACAAAACTAAAAGAGAAGGGCTTGAACTAGGCTGTATTTGATCTTGACAAGACGTGCCGTCGAGGAAGGATCATCCCGAGGACGAATGGAGGATAGGCGGCTCTTTGGGCTCGTGAATCCTACACTAGTCCCAGCGAGCAAAGATGGGAAGGGGAAGGATCGTGGGAAGGATCATCGAGGCCACAATGACAACGTGCCAGTATTATGGGAAGCTAGAGCGCAGGAGCATGTGGTCGGCTTGGGGGCCAAAAGAACCACCATCGAATGCTATGTTATACTTCCCTTTGTTTGTGATCTATGGATATCAGGGATTAGAGTGTGTCCCTCATCGCTAATGTTCAGTGGTGCAGGCGAGGGATAGATATCAGAAAATATTCTTGGCTGTAGGATGCATTAGCCATGGAAGGATGGAGCAACGTATAGTAATCATTGGATATATCACATCTATATCCATAGATATCTAGAGATGTATCTCATGAGGGCAATGAATGTGACACCCTGGGATGATCAACGGAAGGGAAAGCCCTGGGCTCTGGGATTTGGCAGGTTCCTCCAGTGTTGTCTCCCCTTTCGAGTCTCGCTTCCTTTTTTTTTCTCTTTTTCTTTCTTTTTTTTCTTTTCTTTTTGGGGTTCCCCCTCATCGTGACCCAAATATCATATGTTGGGAAGCTAAGGATACAGACGAATCCCCCAGCTCCAGGAACAAACGCGGGTTTTGGAATTCATGCACTGGGTAGTCCAGTTGTTTCCACACACTTTAATGTTCATTGTCGGCTCGCGAAACACGAAACACGCGCCAGAAAATTAAGATTGGAACATATCAGGGCTGCATTGCGTCAATATAATGCAGTGCATACCTGGGAAGTGGGGGAGCAAGGTGGAAGACGGAGCTCAGATGCCCACGCCGAAGCGCAGGGGAGAGAGTGTTTGGAATAGTTTGGATGAAGCGTGGACACAAGAACGTGCTCGGTATTCATGCGAGCTTGAGGCCTATGGCGTGTCATCCCACGCAAAATCCCAGCCTACTTCGGGGTCTGCAACCTCGAGTGCATCTCTTGCAGCTTTGGATGGGCATAAAATTCAGCCTCTCGGACGACCAAAGGGGCTGAGTTGACGTGCCAGTCCCAGTCCCGAGAAGGATCATTGGGGGTACTAGCCTAGCTCCTCCTTTCTTGCTCTTTTCTTTTTTCTTCTTTTTCCTTTTCCTTTTCTTTTTCTGTTTTTTTCTTTCTTTCTTTTCCCTCCCTTTGCCTCTCTCTCCCCATACCGAGTACCAGATCCTACCCTCCGAGCCCGGCCTCCCAACCCCAGACGGCTTCCAGGGGGCAAGGAACCAAATGGCACCCTCTCAAAGAGCGGGAGGTGATGATCGACAGCTTCCTCCCTTTCAAAAGCGACGGTTACATTTCCCTCTCTTCCTTGTTTGCTCTGGGGGTTTTTTGTCGCCTTTCTTTTCCCAAGGGATGGGTTAAGTTGAATTTCCCTCCCCCAGACCAGGATAAGCCAGGCATGGATTGCATCATTACTTGGATTATTACCACCGATGGAACTCTTGATCGGCCGTTCTTTGATCACGTCCGTGATATGCCTGACAGCAAGCTAAACCGCCGATCAAAGGTCAAAGTTGCATAAGGGATAAGGACAAATGCGGCCACATTTGTGCCGATCAACACCACAAATCCTCCCGGCCGTTTCTTCCTCGCCATCATCCCGGGACACAAGAGAAGGAGCACAAAGATCCCCAATGCCCTCCTCCCCTTGTACTGCTAGTCTAGTGTACACTAGCTAGATAACAGGCAGCCATCCAAAAAGGATAACCAGCGAAGCGGACAAGGAGTATTATCTCACCTTTTTCCCTCGGGTGCCCTGGCAAGAAGTGGACACCGCGCGATGGCGGATGGATCCCGATATATGCACGTCGTGCATTAGACTTGACGCGCTTCAATGGTTCCCAAACGAGTGGATGTCGTTCCTGTCCGGAAGCTCTGTACGCTGACGCGACTCTTTTTTTTTTCTTTTGTCCCTTTTCGCCTACGAGCCACCCAACCAATACCTTGCTTTCCCTCACCGGGAGCAAGGGGAAACACTGGGAAAAAGAAATGGGCGACGCCCGTCCTTGGTCCCGGGTCTTCTCAGCACTAATGCGCGTGGAAGAGCGTTCCGGCCTAGTCTCCCCATCCTGTTCCCCTTGTAAGTCGACAAGCCAGAAGCGAGCTTTCAGGACCTAAGCGGCTTACGGCCAAGTGTATGGACCTCCTTGTCCTCTGCTCCTTTCTTCTGGGTCGGCCCCTCGCACATGCCTCCAAGCGAGCGACGAGGCGAGAGGCTGGCGGGTCCAACCCATGCTGGAAAAAAAGTGAGAAGAGTGAGGGGAATAGAAGAAAAAGGAAAAAGAAAAGGCCCTCAAAAAGAAAGCGAGCAGTGAAGATGACGAAGAAAAAAAAAGAAACCAAGGGACAGGCAATCGAAGCCGAAAGCCTTCACAGAGGGCCATCGTGGAGTCCCAAAGAGTGCTGGCAAGGCCTTGTCTTGAGAAGGACCACGCACGCAAATTCTAAAGCCCAAAGTGGTGCAAGTTGAGGGCACAAACGGCCTGGTGGAGTGCCGCTAACGTCAATGGGACGGGGCGCTGACTCTTTCAATAGACAAGCCGGACCCAGCAAAACCATTGCCGGTCCCGGTCGGTGGGGTTGGTGGGTTGGTGGGCTGGTGGGTTCTTACTCTACTATGCAGTGACAGCATTTGAAGTGCGCTGCGAATTGATGGATCCGTCGAGACCACATAGTCAAGCTTGATTCAAGAGGGTAACCAAGGGGGCCCATTGTCAGTGCTGTCTCTTCTCCTTCACTAGTGGTTTCTTGACACATGGAAACGAGGTTGAACTTCTTCATTGGAGCGTCAGTGAAAGGCAAAAGTACTTGAGACTCTTATAATAGTCATAATGATAATGATAATAATAATAATACTAAGTCTAAGTAAAGTTCTCGGAGGAAGCTGAACAAGATTCCAAGCGAGGAGAGTGAAGCCAAACCCCAAAGCCCCCATTTGAGCGCAAAGAGCTGAGGCTGAAGATCGCTTCACTCGACACACCCCTGTATGTCCCCCAATCTACTGAGGGCTGGCCATCAAGGTGATTCACCATGGTTTCGTTGAGTACAGCTGCATCCGTTCTTCTTATAGTATATCTGATTGTTCGACTACGTTATCGTAGCCCGTTGCCGTCTATCGTTGTAAAGTTGTAGCGCCCGGTTTCCCCTAATAACTCGTGGCGTTCTTTTTGCCCGGTTTGTCCTGTCGTATCCGTTACAAGTATTTCCCCACTGACTTCGCCATCTGACACCATGGTACACGTTGGGAAAAAGAGAAAGAATAAACAGAATAAAAAAGAAAAAGAAAAAAGACAAGAAGGAAAAGAAAGGGGAAGCTCTGAGCTTCAGTGTCGTTGACCAGGTCATTGATCATACTCATCATCTAGGATGGTCTAAGCCGGGGTTCCTCCCGTTCGCCTATTTTCCGTCATCCACCACGTTCTCCTTCTTCTCGACATGGATGTCATGGGGGATCATCTGCTTCATCGTCGTCACAACATCGACCCACTTATCATCATCACCTTGGGTGCATTCGCCTGAGAAGAGCCAAGCCACGAATCAAAATAAGGAACCAAAAGAAGGAGAGAAAGAAAAAGAAGAAAATAAAAGACAAGAGAGAGAGTGTGTGTGAGAAGATCTTGCAAGATCAGGGTAAAGAGGGACATGGCGTCGTGCCTGGAAGTCCATGCCAAGGTTCAAGCAAGGCATGGGGTGAAAAAAAGAAAAAAAAAAAAGTGAGTGAGTGTATGTGTATGTGTGTTTGTGTGTAATAACGGACAAGGAGCTCCCGGGGACCGAGGCTTGCCTTGCTCAACTGTGGCCGGTTCACAGATGCCTGATGCTCGGTGATCATCGACCAACGTTGTGTTTTTGGGGGTCTTTTTGTTGGTGAGTGCATGTGGTGTGAGTGGGACATCGGCAGGTTCAATGTTCCCATTGATCAATTGTTTGATCCAACACCCTGGGCCTGGATTGCCGAAAACGGCGCATTTCGACCCCCACCAAAACCCGGGCTCCGCTCCAAGTCCGCCCCACATGCTGCATCGGCGAGGGGGCAGCATCGATCGGTTTAATGCGGTAATTGATCGCACCACCATGTTGGGATTTCCTTCGTTTGCCCTCCATCGCGCCTGTTTGCGAGGGGCAGAGAGCACTCTTTTCTCTCCCTCCGCTGCACAAAGTCCCCACGTCAGGGACGGAAGCGAGGTCTCGTCCCACAGTGTCGGTTCTCAGCCATGGTTGCCTGCCCCCGCCCGTCTGCATCCCTCTTTGCACCGCTGTTCAGGTTTGAGAAACCCCTCCGAGACGCGGGGGTGTCGATATTCTTGGTTTTTTCTTGTCTCTCCTCCTGGGGGCGGGTTGGCTTTTTTTTCTCTTGCGGTTGAGGGGCAAGGAGGCGGTTTGGCGCATCTATACTTCGTACCATGTTGGTGCCATCCCTCTTGTCTAGGACCTGCTCATCCGAAGCATGCGGGAGAACACATCTCTCTTCTTCGCACCGGGCGCTGCCAACCCGGGGAGACTGCGGTAGAAGTGGGAGTGGAACCGGGTCCAGAATTAGGAGCGCTGGTCGTAACGGCCGGGACTTCTCCTTCGGTCCCTGCCCTGGCCCTCCTGAGCTGGGCAGCGGCGAACTCGCTGGCCTTGGCACTTCGTCGAGTCTCGCTAGCTGTGCGTCGGTGTGCGTGTAATTTTCCCACAATCCGAGCCTTGAATCCATTGGCCCCTCCCGAGGATGCTCTTCCCGTACCCGTGTCGTCTTCGTCGTCCGAGTCTTCGAAGAAGGAGCTTGGCTGCGAATCTTGCTGGTAGAACGAGGTAGGGATCGGCGGCAGCGGCCTGTTCAACCAAGAGGGGAGGTGATACATTGATGTCGATGGCGACACGGCGGTCGATGACATGGCCGAGGATGGCAACGTTGTCATCATGAAGCCAGCAGTGACGGGTGTCGTGGGAAGGGGGTGGCGCAAGCGGACTTAGCCTTGGGTGGGGGTAGTTTCGACTTGGGTGACAAGGGAATGTCAAGATCGGCGACGGAGATGGATGGCGCGCTAGGCCTATGGTATGATGTCGAAGGCCGTTCCTGCGGCGTGCTTTCTTGCAGGAAGAGTGCGAGAGGCGCAGGCTTGCGCTTGATGGATTTGCGGCTGGGAGCTTTGTAGGGAAGGAACGGGGAGGGGATTCAAGGGGCATGGCTATAGCTGGCTGCGCCGAATCTCGAAGAGTGGAGGCGGTCGAATTCCTAGCCGCGAGGTTGCTGGATGACGCGGAGGTCATGAGACGAGGGCAGGGCACGAGCGAGGTCGTCCTCTGCGGAACCTGGATAGCCCGGGGAAGAGGGAGTAGCTCGCCACGGATCGTAGGCTGGGCCGCTCTACTTGGCGCTCCCGTACGGTCCATGACTGCCCTTGCCTTTGAAGGGTCGGCGTCCGTGGGACTTCCGGCTCATCCTCTTCGGCCGGCGTCTGGGAAGCGCAAGGCATGCGTCGTGCCCGCTGTCGGCCCCTCATGGGAAAGGTAATGGTGACATCCTCATCCTTATCCTTTGCACTGCAGATGGACGCGGCTCCGTGGGTCTCGCTATTGTGGTGGTCCTCGTCCTCTTGCTCCCGCACCCGCTCGCGACCAACTCGCTCCTCCTCTTCGTGGCCCCGGACACGGCCGGTCCAGAAGGAGTCCCAGAGTTCCGTCGTGGAGGCGTGGTACTGGTAGTCGTCATCCAGGGAAGACACCGAGTCGGCATGGTCATCCACGAGCTCAGGTGCCGAATCGTCAGAGAGCAGAGACGAAAAGCTCTCATTCAGTGGTGGGGCAACCGGGGTTCCATGGGGCAATTCTCAGGGAGGGCCCAGGTTTTGGCCATCATCATCGTCGGCATGCTCCCATCAACGGGGCTGGAGCTGTGGTCAGGTTCAAAGGCCGGAGGCTCCATTGGTGGTGTCGTTGCTTGTAAGTGGGATGAAAAGGGCTCGAGCGTCTTGTTAGTTCTCGACTTGTTGGCCGTGGCTTGGTAGCATCCCTTGATATCCTCTTGAGCACCAGGGGTCAAAAGTAAAAAGGAGACGATACGTTTGCGGGGAAATGAAGAAAAGAAAGCAAGAATCTCCATAGACGAGATTCAAGATCTTGGGGGCCGCGAGGTAAAAGAAGTCAGGTTGGCGTAGGGACCGTGGCGATTTGGGGCGTGTGTCAGAGACGAGAAGGGACGAGGACACCATGTAGATATATTTATTTGCTTGTCTCTCAAAGGTTTTGGGGCCTCTTTGTCTTACCTCGTTCTTCCTAATCCCTGCTCTCGTACCCTTCCCTGGTGTTTTTGTGGTTTATGCTTGGTGGTGGGGACGCGCACCGATCCACCCAATCCCTCGAAGAGAGGGCCGACTCAGCATGGGCAAGGGGGAAGAGGCCGTACCCTGGCGTGGGTTGTGGGTTGTGGCGGGGAAAGCGAGCAGTGTTTGAGATGGAAAAAGAAAACAGGAAAAAAGGAAAGAAAAAGAAAAAAAGAAAATGAGCAAATGTTCCAGACGCGACTTGCAAAAGCCAGTACAAGGGTACATCCATACCTGACTTGGATTGTGGAAGCAGCGAACGGCGTGAGAGCCCAGTCCTCTCAACTGCTTTGGTTTGTTCCTGCCGTCGTGGATTCCCCTCCAGCTCCCATGACGGTTTTCCTACCTCCCCAGTGCCCCCATCGTCTTTCAACACGATTGCTTGACCCGGAAAGGCATCATTGCGTTGCACCCCTAAGACAAGCAAACCAGACCAGATCTTGTCCTCTCCTCTATTTTCTTTTACTCTATTGTTCCGCTCAGGGCTGGTATTCACATCTCAATGCAGCAGTTTACAGTACCCAACTACCACGCCCAGCACCCGCTCCTTGCTGTGCTGCAGCAGTCACTAGTACATGATGCTAGGGAGACCCAAAGTTGCATCATGCTTTCAGACATGGGGGCAATTGGGAAAGGCTTGGGATGGAGGGGGCCAGAGGAAGGATCTCGACTTGTGGATCATCGATGTGAGTCGCATGGGGAGCTATTACGAGGGCAGGTCTTGGACTCTTTTTCTTTTTTTTTTTTTTTTTTTTTTTTTGCTTCCCACTCGTCCCAGCAGCAGGCGCGCCGTTCCAACAGAATCTGGTCTCCACGGCCCCTCTCGGCAAAAAAGCTCCCAAAGGTGGGAGGGAAGTCAGGGCAGCTCCTCCTTCGTCGTGCGCTAGCCCGACCCAGCTAAGCTTCCTCGCCCACCATCTTGCTCCGGCTTCCCCCTGGAGCTAGTTTTCCCAAGAGCTTCAATCGCCCGTGTTTGTGCCGCTGGCCCTCAATTCTCAATAGCGACAGACCACAAATCAGAATGGTGAGACGCCTCGCTTCCTCCACCGAGATAATTCAATATTTTCCAAGCCAGCACCGGCACCGGCATTGGCACTGGCACTGGCACGGCACGCACTCCGAGTCACACACAGTTGAAGGAGAGAGCGCCCTGGAAAATGTGACATGTGGGGACCAAGGTTAGGGCAGAGGAGTTGACGCCGGCTTTCGCCTTACACCTGCCTCCTCACCTCCTCGCCTCCTCGCCTCCTCGCCTCTGAAAATGGGACGAGTGGGGGAAGGCTGGGAGTGGGAGACGAAGAGGAAGAGGACGGAGTGTGACAGTGGACTGTGCTCCAAGCACAGGACCGGGAGCTGGAGCAGGGGGCTTTGGCATTGGCTGCTTTGGTGCTTTGGTGCCTTCAATCGGCGGGCACTCGGCGTACGACGCTGCTCCACGGCGCCGCGCCCCCAAGGCCAGGGAAGGGGAAAGGGCCCTCCCCTGGCATATGTCGATCCTTGGGCTTTTGGGGGAGGCGACCCAGAGAGAGGAGAGCGACGTGTCTCCCGCGTGCCTTGCATGGACCACCCCTCGCACCGCATCCGTGCCGGCCTTCGGGCTGTCTTCCGTGACAGAGAGATCAATGGGAGAAACAGTGAGAAGGACAAGGACCAGCCAGCATGCCGTGGAGGTCAAGGCCAGGATCCTCTCTCTGGTAGGTTCCTCTCTCCCTTTCTCCCTCTCTCTTTTTTTCTTTCTTTTTCTTTTTTTTCCTCTTCCCTTTCTTTCTCATCACCCTTTTGTTTCTTTTGGGTGCCACTTGTCTTTTGCTGTCCTTCGACGGCGTTGTAGCGTACCAAGGTAATGGCCTCAATTACTTTTCCCAGCTCTGAATGGCAGTCGCAGGCAGGCTCGGTTGACACCATGCACATGCACATCTGCGACGGCCGGATGATTTTCCTACGAGACTGTTTGCTTTTTCCCCTTGCTTAGGTCAACTGCCTCTTTGCTTTTCTACTTGCTTCCCTTATCTTTTTTTCTGTTTCTTTCTTTTTCGAGCTTCTCTTCCGATTCCTTGTCAAGGAACAGAAAAAGATAAAAGATAAAAGAGATAAAGAGAAAGGGGAAAAAAACTTGCGCTGCACGATTCGTCCAAGGGGGCGAGGGATTCTGAAGGCTGAATACCCAAGTGCCCATGCAGTGACTGATGCGCCATTGTGGGACCCCCAGCAGCTTCTCCTGTTCAATGCTGCCCGGATGCAATGGGATTGATTGATGCCTCGACGCGGATGTATCCATTGCTTCCAGCCTGCAGACTTCGTGCTTAGCAGCCAGTGGGTCAGTCAATGCTAGTCTTTCTGCCTTTTGCACCCATGAGATCAGTCGAGTGCATTATTATACGACAACTTGCTTTCTTTGCCCCTTTGCCCCTTTGCCCCTTACCTCGAGTGCAATTCAGGGCATTGTAATGCTCGTCAACGCGTCGCTGCCCTCGCTCCAGGTGCTAATTGATCGGCCTTGGTCACCAGTGTTATTTACCCCTTCTCTTGCGTACAAGTGGAGGTGTAGGTGCTGAGTACCGAGGCATCATCAATTGGATTTAGTACTCTCGGACATATCCTAAGGTGCTAGACGACAAACCAAAACCTCTACCTCGTATCAAGCCCCTCCTCGGCGATAGTGCTCAGATATGTGTGTGCACAAGTTCATCTTGTCAACACAGTCAAGGTTTTTTGTTTATCCCCATTAGGAGAGACACGCAGTTCTTGGGAACCAAGCAAGACCCAACACCAACTATTTGTGCCTGTGTGGAGCTTTGTGTCTGGTCTGGTCCACTATGACATGCAACCAGACAAGAACCAGTGAAAGTGGCTGAGTGGGATCAATTGATGTACATCTAGTGTGACAACACTTGAACTATGACAAGTTTTGTTTCTTTTTTTTATGCTGACATTGGGTGGAGATGTGCGATATTCGCACCCCCATTTACTACAGGTATTATTCATCTTGTGCAGTCCAACATGGAAGGCTGAAAAGAGGAAGCCCCCAACGAAGTCCCTTGAACTTGGCCTCGAGACTCAATGGTGTGCCGATATGCAGCTAGACGTCGCCCTTCCCGATCAAGGGTCGGGGATCAGAGCAGACATCAGTCAGACGCAAGGCGCTCGGCAGGCTTGACGGGAACGAATGGTTGAAACTCCCGTTTGGCCACGTCCAGCGCCCAGTGACTTTTTGAGATCCACGAGATGCAAGAGGTTGAGTGCGCAGGAAGCGAACGTCGAACCTCGACCCAGCAAGCATCGGATGGATGCAAGAAAGCTACCTCGGCCGACCCGAACGGCTTGCTTAGAGGTGTTGGCCGGGTTGGCCGGGTTGCCCGTGCTCTTCATCCGCGCCGTCGCGAAGCAAAGTCCAGAGTCATTCCCGACTGACTCTTGTTGCTCGCCTTGGTGCTCTGTTGCTCTGTTGCTATGTTGGCGAACACGCTCCAGACGGACCGACTGCGCTGAGACACGAGAGAGAAGAAGAAAGAAAAAGAAAAAGAAAATCAGTGTGGAAAAGTAGCAATCGTGGAGTGTGTGTGTGTGCGTGTGTGTGTTAGAAATCCACACACGCACAGGCACAACACACGGCGCTCGTGGTTTTTCTTTTTCTTTTCTTCCTTTGGCTTTTTTTTTTCATCTTTGCCTGACACATCGCCTTGATTCTGCTCGATGTGAAGAGAGGGGGCATAACAAATCGGGAGATGTGCAGCAGATGGCGACGCAAAAGCAAACATAAGCAAGATATCGAGAGAAGAGATGGCACCAGCCGGTAGTCGCGCTGTATTCGCTCCTGCAGTCCCAAAATGGACAGGCACTCTTGCACCCGACGTAATATACCAACATTAACTTGCATAGAAAAGTTTGAGCCCCTTCCCTCTCGTCTGTCTCTCGGGTCTGGAATAGGCATGAGAAAAAGGTGATGGCCGGTTCCGACCATGTTAGTCAAGGAAACCGGGGGCCAGGTTCGATCCCTGATCAAACGCAAGGTAGGCAAGGCGAGATCCCTTCACGCATCCAAACCATCCCAAGGTGTAGCCGTCAAGGCAGAGAGTGTAAGGGGTCCATGAACTATGAGCATCCCCATGCCATGGCAAACATGGAATAGGGACAAACAAGACGCCCTGTTGTCTCAATCCCTCTTTCTTTGCTTTGGAAATCTAGGAGGCGGCTGATTGAGGCAAACTAATGAGCTAGTGTCGCGGCCATTCCCTTCAAGGGTTCAATCCGATCTACATCGACTTTGACCTGCCTCCAGCCCGCAACTAACGAAACCGTCTAGTGTATGAAGAACGGCCCGCGAGTCAATCAAGCCGTGTTTGAGCGGTGGTCCCTTTACCATGTTGCCTTTTTTGCTACTTCTTCGTCTTCTTCCTGTGCGTTTGTAGTATTCCCCCTTCTTTCCCGGTGCGAAACAGATGCTGATGGCACTGACTCGGCAAGGAAGACATGTGGAAGGCAAGGGCAATGAAGACTGAAGAGAGGGGCCAGGTAGCTCCTCAGCCGCGATCGAATCTCGATAGTGTTTGATCCTTTCCTAAAGTGAATCACAGTATCCTCATCAACAACCATCATCCATCAAACGCGCCCAAACACCGGACGCGGTACCAACTTGAGTTGACTAGGTGACGGCCCATTTCATCAAAAGAGAGGACCAAGACATGCTCATCTCCGCCGTCTTCCCCAGTCCTGTTTTTGGAGAGGCGATGTCTGCGCTTCCCGAAGTCATGTCATGTTGCCATTAACATCATCAAGCCCGCGAAGATCCCATAATATTAGAATAGCGCAGGGAGATGGGGCTTGGGAACCGTGGGTACATGGCATCAAAAATAGCATATATCTCCATGTAGCGCTGAAAGCGCAAAGATTTGCAGTCTCCTCCCCGCCTGATATGGCGCGCCGTGGCGCAGGTAGAGAGTAGTAGAGGAATACAATGGATCCATTACAATAATAGATGCATACACAGATGCGTTTTGCGGAGAACGTGCAACGACTCATGGGATATTCGACCATCTTCGATGAGGAGCCTCGTCTCGTGCATGGAGCGTTTAATGAAATGGCATCCATTCCGTTCTTCACCCTTTACTTTTTTGTCCTCTTTCGTATATGCCCTTGCTCATTTCCCAAACGCCCTTCGCCTCAGCCTTGGGGAAGGGAGGAATGGAGGAAGGGAGGAACGGCAACGAAATAGAGTCAATGAGATGCGCCATCTCCACCCGCGCAACGAGGCTTTCCTGTGATGGGCAGCATCTCCTCCATGATCTTCTTTGCATTTTTTTTTGTTGAGCCTCCCCAAGATCTAGTCTTCCTGACGGTGACGCGAAAGCAATCAAGCCACAGCGTGGCGTATTGGTTATGATGGTGATGATGATGGCAATGGGAAGTCGACTGACGTCAGTTCATCGAGGACCTTTCGAGTCCGGGATTCCAATGGGTTCCCAATCTCGGCAGTTGCTCATCACCTTCTCTCACATCCCACTAGTTTGTTAATCAGTCTCTCTTGCGTCCTTGCTAGCATTTTGTTGTCTTTCTCACTGTTTTTCTTTTCTCTCTCTGCCATAGAGAGGATGTCTTGCGGAGATGACCCTAGGAAGCCCCTAGCGGTTGCTGTTAGTGAATCATGACTCTTCAAATAGTCGCAGGACGCGGCTGGCAATGACCATCGACTTCATTGACCCCTTCGCGCCTAGCCAAGTTTGGTCCTGCCCACCAAGACTTGTTCTCACGACTATCCGGCTGTAGGATCATCACCTTCGAGACCGCCGCCTCGTTCAACATTTCTGCCGTTTTTTTATTCCGCGCATGATATATCAGATAGGCTAGCGATGATTCAAGTCCTACAGAGGATTTGGTTGGGAGATCTAGCGGCATCTAGCCTAGGCTTTTGCCTGCGGCTATGGCCCCCGGGACAAGAGCTATCGGAGACGCTGAGACTCATCCTAAGGTTGGCCCGGGGTTCCTCCGGGGTATCACGAATGGGGACGGACGGCATGTTCGTGTCTAAGCGGATAAGGGTCGCCGTTGGGTTGAGCGATCTCCGGATCCTAGTTCGGGTAGTGTTATAAATTTACCTCTTCGGTCATTGCACGTGGGAAAAGCAATAGGAAGAGGATGCTCGGCGCGAACCGGTAGTAATTTGGATCAACATTCAATGCAAACCATCGGGGGATGGACAGTCTTACGATATCAAAAAACCAAGCAGAAAAAACTAAAATAGAATGGGTATCAAGAGCTACCCAGGATACGGATAGGATCATCACGGCTTGTTCAACATCATTTAAGCAAGAAAAGAAAACAAACAAACAAATCTCCGCTTCTGCTATTCCCTTTCACCGTGTTTTCGATGCCCGGCGGGTATTATCATTATTGTCCATCCTTGGGTCATATCTTAAATCATACATCATGTACACACAGAGGGGCAGGAGAGAGAGAGGGAGGAAGGCCAGACCCAGGGAAAGGGAAATGAGGAAGAGTTATGGAGGGACGGATGGAAAGAGCTATGTCCAACCCCACGTAACGGCCCTGATGCCGTCTTCTGCCCTCCGCTCTCTAAAGGCAACATCCACGTCCATCGTCCGCATGATGCCCCCGTGGATATCGCTTTCCGGCTCCCTGGCCGGATCTCTGTGTTTGTATACCCGAACCCGCGCATAGATTTAGCCATCAAACTAGAATCGGAGGGGTACACATCTTTGGGTATGTGGTGAATGGTGATGTCCCGTGATAGGTCGTGGTCGGAGGTTGACTGAGACGTCGACGGCTCCTCCACTCTCGGGAGGGGTGGTGGGAATCGGCTCGGACAGAGAGCCTGGAGAGTAGGCACGGATGCGGCTATAATGACGAGGCTTGCTTCTATCGGCATGATTATCCACACAAAGGCCCCAACCCGGCCGGGGGCTCCGGCGTCTTCGGAGGCCGTATACCGGAGGAGGAGGTAAAGTTGAGCAATAGATGCCCCCAAAGCCCTACATAGTGTTAGATTCTCAGCCGCGCTATGAACAAGGTAGTCCGAGTGTGAAGCGCGCAGTAGCGTTCCAACAAGGAGATTGCAAAGGAAACTCAAGGCAGGAGACTCTATGTCCCAAACATAAATTGGGAAAAATGGCTAGTTGAATGAGGAGGCCACTTACACTGCGCCAATTGCTAATGCCCCAGCAATGCCGGCTCGCGTGCTCCTGGTCATTCGCCTCTCCAGATACGCCCACAAAGCCAGAACCAGTACCGCAACGTCCGTGGCCATGGTCCAGCATGTGCGGGCCAGACGTAGCAAAGGCCGATTGATGCATTGGGCACCGACTCCGGGACCTTCCCAGGCCCGCCGCACGGGGAGGCACTGGAATATTGTAGTAAAGAGTATAGTTGCCATGGCTAGGAGGATAAACACGTTGATGATATGGCAAGTAACGCGAAAAGGCAGGCGAGAGGACCCGCGAGCGAGGAGGAAGAAGAGGACGGAGGACTTGGCAAGAGAGACTGAGAGGGGGTGAAGTATGTCGACGATGTAGGCGAATAGGCGACTACGCGTTCCGTCGTGTGAGGGTATATTGTGGCTTGGAATACCAAGATATCCGGATTTAAAGACTACATATTTCCCCCTCGGCCTTGTTAGTCTATATTTGGATTGTCCGGAAATGAAGGAACAAGAAGAAAGAAAGACGTCGCTATCCCTGGCGCGTTTACAGCCTGGGGGAAGGATACGAAATTCACTCGATCATACAGGACAAGGCCATCGACTTACACATGAAGAGGAGTCCGGCAGCAGAAAATGACAAGGCCTAGCGAGCATCGAATTAGTTTTACAGATATTACTTTCTTATCTTGTCTCTCGCAAGGGTATAGCCTACCGCGGCGGCTGTAATTATCAAGTCATCTAGGAAAGTTAATGTTAGCCGAGGAATCATAACTACGAATAAGGAATGTCGATTTATTTCTCTTACCGACTCCTAGTATCCTCCTCTTGGCCCTCGCGCCAACGCGGAGACTGACAACGATGGCCGTCAGGCAAGGTGTGATCAGGGTTATGGCCGTGGCCAACCTATGTAGCCAGTCGTTATGAAGCGGTGGCTCTACGCCTGTTCCCATTGCCCAATCCCTCGCAGATATGCTCGGCCATCTGGCCAGGATATGCACCATCCCTCTTTGTTATTCCGTCACCTCAACGCATCCGGGATGAAGGCGGAGTGTTGATTCCTTGTGCCTGCTCAAGTGGAAGCTTTGGAGGCGTGGGCGGAACACATGCGGCCTTCTTACACTCGATAGTCGGGTGTCTTTCCCCTGTCTTCTTATTCCAAGCTGAGAGTAGTGAAGTATATGAAAATACGATATAAAGGTCGATAGCTGTCGTTTTCGCCCAATCCTCTCCGGCCCTTATACTTGGCGAATGCTACCAAAAGCGCACGCACCAAACGGGACCCTGATGCCAAACTAGCTGCGTATCAAGAATGGTTGGAGTTGGAAACAAGGAGCGCCGGCGGGTCCATGACCACGGAGTCTCAGTGCTAGAGTAGGGTCGGCGCCATCTGTCGAAGCAATGCCGATAAACGAGAAGAAGAAGAGAAGGAGAGGTAGAATTGAAGCTGGTGGTGGAAGAGGTGAAGAAGATAAGAACAAATAGAATAGGGACCGAAAGTATCTCGAGAGGTGTAGCTTACTTACTCTATACCCTTTCCATCCATAGATGTCACCTACAAACCCATCTACTTGTGCACATCTATATATTACACTCTAACCTCAGTGTAGCTAGGTAGGTAAGGTGACAAAAAGAACAACTACCAGCACCAACCAATCAATTACAGAAAGCAAGAGAGGGGTGTCCAGACGTCAAGCGCACCGGGCTTCTATTTGCTGTTCCGCGTTTAAATTCGCCTAAGGGGCATTGACACACACACACCTAGCGAAGCAGGAGGCGGAAGAACTGGAAGAGCGCGAACTGGCGGTGGAGGGGCACGAGGGTTGACAAGGCCAGTTTTAACGAAGAGGCCCCAGCACATAGCGAGCAATATAGATAGACCTGGAACTTGGCGAAATGTCTGGTGGGGGCAAGGGCGGGGGTTTCTAACAACGCATCTCCCTCCCCCGTGGCGGAGCTAGAAGCCTTCGCGAAGAACGCTTGGCTAGGGTGTGCCTGGTAATATAAAAGCGCAGCCCCTCAGGAATGTACCACGACAACTCGCGAGCCGGCAGATCGGTGAGAGGGCGGGCGGCAGAGGGAGGGGATGGGGAAGGGTGGGAAAGGGTGGGAAAGGGTGGGAGACAACAGCAACCAAAGGGAAGTGCTTCCCTTCCTCCTCTACGTCAGATATTAATGAAGCTTTTCATATAATCACGAGATCTCTCGTCCTTTGCCCATGCAAACTACCTCGATAGACACCCTCTACTTCCGTCGAGCAATCTGAATGCGGGGAATATACACCAGCTACTTCGGTAAGGGAAGACGGGATATCTCGATATGGCCTGCAGGCATCTGTCGTCGATGTTCCGGGGAATGTCCGTTTGAGATGCCGGCTCGCTACGCTCACGGCCTCCTGCTAACAGGACCGTTGGTATTGATGGCAATGACGAGTGCATGGCAAGTTCCATAGATAGCCTTCTTTCTGCCCCCTTCTGCCCCTCCATCGCTCGTGGAAGTGCGGAATTGTTTGCCTGCGTGTTTGTTTGCTGAGTCTGGCAAAATCGGGAGGGGCGATGCAGTGCCCCTGTTCTATTTAGCCGGGCGTGGGCGGATGGCCGCAGCGAAGCAGGGACAATGCCTCTGGTCAGATATTTCAAGCGGACTCGCTTCCAAGGGCTACGTGTAGTGGCTTTTTACCCTAGTGAAATCCGATCAATTCCATATCTAGCAGGAGGGAAGAGCTGCACATGTCTTTCAGCGTCAAGATGGTCAGGATCCACGCCGGGCCGGATGGATATCAAGAAAGACAGGTGCGGGGGATGTGACTAGTGTTGACACTGAGAGCAATAGCCATGATGGGATCTAGTAGCATGTATAATTGTGATTGCTTCATTCATAGACGGCGTTGCAATGAATTCGATACATCTAGCGAACCATTTGAGTTGACCAGAGTATCGGTTACTAGATTTCGGGCCTGACGGCGTGGGCGATGCGAACGATTCTATAAAAACTTAAGTAAAACAAGCCAAAGCTGAGGTGCGTGAGAAGAAAAAAACCCCCTTCCAAATATGCCGGTAAAATTTATATATAAAAACATAGGAACATGGTCGTTTAGTCCATTTGCTTGATGGATGAAGGCCGCCGCGCCGTGAAGCTGAGCGAAGGGGGCCCTTGGACGGCAGGCTCCGCAAACTAGATTGATAACGGACCTCAAGTGCTCCCTTTTCTCGCGAGATATACAGGTTCAACCATGGATGCATCGCCCTGTTTCTGCATCTGTCTCCGGGGTTGAATGTCTCTCTCGCGACCGGATCGAGCTGTTCAAGTTTCTTGGGCTATACCCTGTCCAATCTACATGTAACTCGAACATTCGACTAGGGAGATTTGACTCTAAACCACGGGAGTCCTTCACCCGCCTTACTCCCGATAAGGATTTTTCAACGCCTTTCGACGACAGCCACAGGGGGAAGTGTCTCGGCAGGCGGGTATCGATTGCATCTGGATAGATGGACTTGTCTATGACCTGGACGAAAGCCTGAGTCGGCGGGATTAGCCTTCGCGGCCTGTCTTCGACTAGCCTGTAGATGAAAAAGGTCTCTTAGCTCGGAATAACAATAACTGGTCGATGTACATGGCATTGGGGAGAAAGAGGGGGATATGAAGAGGGAATACGGCATGTCGAGGTTGGTCGAGGTTCTTCCTCTTCTTCTTCACGACAAACATCTACTCGGCCCCTTCTTTCCGTTTGATGATTCGATTTTCAATTACATTTTTGTTACGTATACTTGTATACCACAAAAGGATTGAGATGGATGGTCCATTCAATGGGTGTGGCGCCCAAGTTTGAGTATCTAGTGGGGAAGGGGTAGCAATTCTCATTTGGCTTGGTTTGGAGGAACGAAGCTTATTTCGAGAGATGGCAGATAGTGACTCGTGATTGGACCGGAGGCCATTCGCACCAGGAACGAGCCGTCGCGACCCGCACTTTTCCCCGGTGGGTTGTCTCGTCTCTCTCAAGTCTCAAGTCTCTCTCTCTCTTGAGTCGAAACCGAAGGCCAATCAGTGGCCTGGGACAAGCTTCTTGCTTGACATGGTGACGTCGAGTATCAGCTCCCATTTTTACCCACTTTAGACCTGTAGGTTCACTACTCTCGACGGCGAATCGTTTTGGGCAGCGCATCAGCGGCTCACTCGAATTACAGCGGGTGGGAGAGGGAGCACCGACCGGGCCGGACTTCACGGCGGGCTCTGCCAGGTTAGACATTGATCCATTCATCAATGTCCTTGCGGACTCCCGAATCCCCCTTCCTTCGCCGAGGCACATGCTGACGTAAACACGCTGGATCCAGGATTTTCTGGCAAGAGGTGCCCTCGTGGCACTCGTCCAAACCCTTGGGAAACTCGGCTGTACTCTTATGCCACGCTGTTATTGGCCAACCCAGAGTAAAAAAATGCTGACTGTTCATTGGATCCCTCGCCGAATTATCGTGTCCTTGGAGCTTTGCCACGCGAACCACACTTCCCACCACAGCTTCCCAGCCCCCATTTTCCAAGTTTTCAAGTCAAGGACCGACCCGGCTTCTTCCCTGGCCCCCTCCCCTCCCACATCCTGAGCGTTGATCGGGGATACTTACAACTGTGAGGTCGCGTCGCCCCCTTTCAAGTACCCGGCTTATTCTGTATCGAGCCCTAGCGCGCTCAGGAACCCACGCTGATGGGTTGGCAAGGGGGCTCATTGACGTCTGATACTCATGCCATGAGGGTAATCACGACGCAAGCACAATTGCCAACAACCTTTGGAGGCCTTCCCACGCTTGTCACGGCCAACCGAAGGGGAGCAGGCTCATATTTGTATTCATGTCTGTCTGCGAGCTGGGTCGGAATCAAAATCTAACGTCGCCTCTTGAATCCTTGAATCTCCCTCTCTCTTTTTCATTTCATTTCATTTCATTTCATTTCATCTTGTCTTTTTTTCTTTCTCTTTTCCTCGGCCCCTGTTCCTGTCGAGGTCAACTTGCTGCCCTTCAGGGATACATGATGGGCTGCAAGAAGGCACTGGAACCGATTGGATACCGAAGAATCATCGAGGGCCTCTTCCCTTTCATCCCCCATGAGCCAAGGGCAAGTCCGCCCTCTATCCTTGTGATTTTGTGCAAGTCCGTTTGTGACGTTGATCTGTCTTTGTAATTTCGCGACTTTCTGTGCTTTTTGTGCTTGTCAAAGTAGAGAGAGGTTTGGACTTGCGAACAAAACAAGGTCCATGTTTCAAACCATCTTCATCTCCGTGACACAGCCCGCGTCCTTGCTTTCGTCAGGCTCCTCTCGTATCATTGACCTTTCTTTTTCTCATCATTGATCTTCTGTTTGATCATATATTTGCGCCATTGTCATGGCGGCGCATCTGCAGACTGGACTAGGCTTCATGTTCTTGCCTGCCACGTAGCTAGGCGTAATCTCGAGGCTCGGAAGGGCAAAATTGGCGAACGCGCCTGGCTGACATGGATGGAGGTCCCTTGAAGCATCTTACATGCCTCGTACATCGTGCAAGGGCAGAGCTGTGCAGCGTCCGGGCGGATAGGCACGCCTGTAACAGGTTACAATCTGGCGGAGCATTGTTGAGGTTTTCGGGACACTTCAGGGTTACCCACACATCGTTTGTGGCCGAGACTTGTGGTCCTGGGGTGATTTCTAGGCCTAGGCTGATAGCCAAGAACATTGAAGTCAGAGGGAAATCCGCTTCCTCGGGGCTGTGTCCAGGGTCAATCCATGCAAGGTACCCCCTCCTTCCGGCTACCACTCCGCCCAGGTGACCCCTCGGGGAAGTTGATGAATTCATATTCATACCCATCCACGACCCCGGTAATGAAACGCAAAACGCGCTGTAATAATCGGACCTTGTCCATCTGCTTGGGAGAGGACGCGGGCAGGCGGGCTTCGCTCTGAGCAGTCGCGCGACGGCCGTGAAAGCCAACGCACTAGACTCAAAGCGCTCTCTTGATGAGGAGTGGGGGCAGACAAGAGCTGGAAATGGGGTCGCGCGGCACAACTCCATTTAATTCAAGTACACGTCAACTCTCTCACATACTTCGTACATTGCAGCCGCGGCCGGCCTTATTAGGACGGATGGTGGAGTAAACTGATCCATCCACTGATTGATCTTCCCGGACACCGCGTACCCCGGTCCAACTACTTCAATCTCGTGGTACCACCGCCCTGTTCCCGCTCCTCCTCCCTCTCCCCTTCCAAAGAGAAAGCAATATTTTACTACGAGCAAAGGTGGAAAGAAAAAGAAAGGAAAGAGAGAACAAGGCCGATGGGCACACGACAAACGCGTCTCCGCGCCGCCAAGCTCCTTTGCTGGGACTTGGGACGGTAATACGCCCTTCATCAGGCTCAGTCCCCTCTTGAATCTCGGAAGCACAAACTATAATACCCGGCTTGCGCGTGCAACCATCCCCCCTACCCGTCCGTACGCGCAAATGGCCCTGCTCACGACTCTTTGCGATTTCAAACTCAAAACCGCTTCTGCGCGTGCTTTCGCGCCTGGGATTGAGTCGGCGGGACCTTTCCTTCACAACTTCTCACCACTTTGACACGCGAAACTCACTGGCTTTCTTCCTCCTCAAGTCCCCGGTCCCGAGCGCGCATCTCGGGAGCGAAAGAGGAGCGAGGGAACACGCAGCGCAGTCTTGATTTCGGCCTCTCGACCGCGCCTCCCCGTTGGTTATCTGCCCCGTTGATTTCGTGTGTGAAGCGGACCTCGCGGTTTCGCCGCTCGTCGAAAAAGCAGAGCAGCAAGGTGGACGAAGTGTCAAGCCGTTGACCTTTGCTGAACTGGCCGTTTTGTTGCTGAGGAGCTTCCCTTCCTTTCCATCTTGCGCTAGACGATTCGTCTTCTTCTCCCTCTTGATTTTTCCCACCTGCCCCCCTCTTCTTTCTCTTCTTTACCTCTTGAGTTTCTCATCTCGCCCCTGTGGTGTGCGTTGGCATGATACCCGACCTCGCTACCTTTGCCTCACCGACCTTGTCCTTCATCCTGGACTTGGGGCCTCGAACCACTTGAAGCGATGGTCGCCGCTGCCCAGTTGAGATCTCATGCGATCAATTGAGCAGGAGCGACCACTTTTCATGACCCTGGGCTTCTCTCGACCTTTGTTCGCCCCTGAGCCTTGCCTGTCCTGAGATCCACAGGAAGAAAGAAAAAGAAGAAAAAAAGAAGAGGTTGATCCATCCATCTATTGAGAATCGATTGATGTGGCTTGAGCCAACCAAGCGAAGCTGGGCGGCGCCGTGCCCTTTTCTAAAGAAAACCGACCTGCGACGCACGCCAGCGGACACCACACAATATTGGATTGGATGGACAGACCTGACCACACAACACATACGAATTTGAGCCCAACCTCCCCCAGCCACACACTTTTTCTCGCACCCGCCCGCACCCATTGATCCTTTCCAGGAACAGCACCACCAGGTTCACCCACCTTTGTTAGCACACCAACTCCCGCCAAATCTCAATTCAGCTCCCAAGTCCCTTTTTCTCCAAAGGTGCCTCCATCTCGCCTGCACTCCCTCCCCCTCCTTCCTTCGCTCTCCCAAACTTTTTACTCTCTCCGAAACCTGTCTTTGGTGACAAGTACTTGGTACTACTATTTCTCTACTTGGGACTCTTGCAATTCTTTTTCTCTTCCTATTGCAAGCCAAACCACAGCTACAATCGACTGCGTCACCGCCAAAGAAAGCCTGTCCGCCGTCTTTGGAAGCTTCTCGACAGTAAGTTTTCAATTATACATGGCCCCCAAATCCCGTCCCAAATTCCTCTCCTAGTTTATTATTCCCTTGGCCCTCGTTTTTTTATTGTTTGCGCCGAAAGCGCCATGCCTGGAACCTTTTCAGGATTTCATCAAGCTCACACAAGTTCTCAAAGGTGACGGCAACATCCGACCCGATTCAGAGCTCTATCAAGCTGCATCACTCACCTCACCGCCCTTTCTCAACCTCTGATTCAGCCACGGCGAATCGACCAACCTTTGGCGTAGTTCCCAACCGCCACAATTAACCCATACATCACTTCTCCTGAGAATCGCCAGCAGCGAAAGCATCTGCATCAATCTCACGACCTTCTTGAACGACCCGCTACCGCCTCCTCCGTCCACACAATCCGCCGAACGCCACGCTTCGAAGCTTCCCCGTCTCCCCGTCCAGAGCTCGATCGTGCGCCAAAGCTTGATAACGAGTTCGACCCGGTTAAGTCCGACGTTCGGCTCGCTCCTTCCCCAGAGATCTTCCCAAAGCCTCCCAAAGGCCCGCTCCCTCGTGCTCCCGGTCAGGCCAAGGCTAAAAAGCAACGCCGACTAGCTCGAAAGCTCTCCCAGGAACTTAGTGAGGAGGACGACGACGAGTCCTCGGTAAGGTCGTCGTCTCGACTAAGGCAACCCCAAACTTCCAAATCATCGGACAGCTACGTTCCCCATCCGCTACTCCAGATATCGAAGCGCACCCATAGAGCCATCTTATTCACCCTCGAAGAGGCGCTTCGAGGCCCGTACTCCTTCACCCCAGACATCACCGAAGAGCTGGCGGAAATGGCCGACCTACGTGGAGGCCACGAGCCTCCCACCTCGAATGGCAATGTCTCCGCCCAGGCCCGTCCTGCTCATCCCTCCGCTACCGGTTCCCCTTCGGGCATTCGCAGCCCGCGTATGATCCTCCGGGATCGTAATGCTAGGGAGGCCGCTCGCCGCGCCGAGCAGGAGCAGATCCAGATGGAGCGAACGCGTATGGAACAGGAGCAGCTGCGCCTGCAGCAGGCCCGAGCCGAGGATGAGGCTCGAGCATTGGAAGAAGCCCAGAGACGCAATGTAGAACGCCGTGTCACCAGCACGGCTGCTACCGCTGCTGGCGGTTCTAGACACCAAACCGGGGGCCCCGGACAGCGGCCCCTGAGGCGACATGATCGCCCGACCACCCCCGATCGGGGTGCGTTGCGTGTGCCTCAAGGTGTCTCCCAACCGTCACAGGGCCGCCCGAGCCGGACTACCGGCGCATCCGGCCATGCCCAACAATCCTCTTATCCCACCCCCGGCGCCGGCACGAGCGGCGGCCCCTTAACCCGTCTTCGCAACAACGACCGCAGCAACTCTTGGGCGCACAAACCCCAGGCGGCGCCGCTTCCGCGACCAACATCAAGACCCAACCATCCCAGCAACAGTCCCAATCCCAACAGCAGCCCCGCACTTCGTTCCCCCATGCCTTTGAGCGGTGGGAGACGCTCTCCGCTCAGTGGGAGGGTCTCACGAGCCACTGGATCCGACGCCTGGAGCTAAATTCGAGTGCCATCGAGTCTGACCCCGTCTCCCAGCAGCTCTCCCGCCAAGTCACGGACCTCTCTGCCGCCGGCGCTAACCTATTCCACGCCGTCGTCGAGCTGCAGCGCTTGCGTGCCAGCTCCGAGCGCAAGTTCCAGAGATGGTTCTTCGAGACTCGCACCGACCTCGAAAGGTCTCACGAGGAGAACGCTATGCTGACTAGCCAGATCGAGGAGCTTCGGAATCAGCTCAACGACGCAAGGAGCCGCACCCACGAGCGAGACAGCGCCAACTCCATTGTCCAGAAGCAGTTGAGTGAGATGAAGAAGGAACTCTCTATTTCCAAGGAAGAAGCCCGTCGCGCCTGGGAGGAACTAGGACGTCGAGAACAAGCCGAACGCGAGCACACCCTTTCCCTCCAAGCAGGCCAGCCCACGATTGTGGGCGGTGTCCAAGTCGTTCCCATGATCCAGGGCGGCGGCATCAGCCGTCGTGAGACGACACGAGAGCAGCCTGGCTCAGCTGGCCCGGGCATTACCGGCTACGGCGACTACTCCCAGGGCCCCCTGCCCAGCCTATAACCACGAGCGCGCCCGAATCGTACTACAGAACCGCCGCAGCTGACGCACCTCGGCCCACCGCGGGTTATGGCCAGCACGGCTCGGAGGGTGGCTATAGTGAAGGTGAGTTGTTTTGGTTAGAGACATCCCGCGCACCCTACCCCCACTCCCGCAACTCGCTGTCCAAAGATTGCTGATTCGTGATGCTAGAGGACTATGATCCCGCCACCGCGCAAGCCGGTTCCTACGCTGTTGCCACGTCGGGCGATAGCCAGTGGGCTGCCGCCTACGCGCCCCAGACAGATTACACAGGTGCTGGCTACGGCTCTGGTTGGGAAGCCATGCCTCGGCACCACCATCCGACGAGACTGAGCGACGTCCTCGAAGAGGAAGAGAGCCGGACAAGCGCAAGCCAAGTTAGCCGTCCCTAGTAATCTCATCGAATGGATGGGCGGATGCTGGAGTGGTGGGAGGGGAATCAGACGTGGCAATGCCGCCGCCATCTCGACCTCGAGGGTTCCTTCACCACCAGTCTCAATCCTTGTATATGCATTCATCACAGCAGCGGGGGCGTTTTTTTTTCCAACTCATTTTGTCTCTTTGACTTTCATCCCTCGAACCGTTTGTGTCTTTGATTCGAGGCAAGCTGTATGTACTTTCTGCCTCGCTGAGAGATACCCGTCCCCTTGTGGGGGTTACCTTCCATGATCATCTTAGCCGTTGCGTGTTGCGTGTTTCTTGTTGCCTTTTTCATCTCTATCTCCTGAAGCGCTTGCAGGAACGGTCTTTTGGTTCGGGGATAAGGGATAGCTGTATGTTTTCAAGTGGGTGCGCTTTTCTTTTTACTCTACAAAATGGCTCAAGGAGGGATCTTAACTTGGGATTTTAACGTTACTTTTGATGGCATTTCGGATACTGGGGAGGATTTCCAGTTTTTCTTCTTCCTTTTCCCCCTCCTCCCTCTCATATGGCATGTTTGTCTCCCCGTTCGGAGTGCCATTCTAGCAACTTTGCGAGATTGGCAAGCCTTGGGAGAGAGACACTAGTGTGCAGCCTTCATCACCTGCGGGCGTAAGAGCTATGTTGGACTAGAACGGCGTTGAGGGGATCAGTGCGAGAGATTTCCTAATTTTCTTTTCTTTCTTCCTCGCTATTCCTTGTCTTTACTTATTTCAGATGGTTGTCTTGTTCCATCTTTCGCGAACTGCATTGTTAGACCCATGCTTGGCTAGGTGATAATATACTTTCAAGATTGCGAATTCAGCCTGGCATTTCCAATGGCGATGTTTTTTGTGTCTTGGTGAGCCCAGCGCGGGATATGGACGCGCGGCGAGCCGGGGATCACTGGCAATGCGCCTGGTGGCGATATGCCAGCACCGGCAAATTAGAGAAGTGAATAAGAGTTCGCGGCAAGCTCTGTAGAAAGGCGTGGATCATGACCCCAGGTTCGGCTTCGGGGCCGGGGGACCGGGGGCGGGGACAGCCCTAAGAAGAACCGGAAAGCAACGCAAAGAACGCAAGGCAAAAACTCCAATGTCCCAAACCCTTTTTCGACTCTCCACACTAGTCGACTAGTTTTCCGCAACGGCCTGGTCAAAGGTCTTTCCCGTCAGCCTCAAAAGACGTCCTTGTATCGGGCCTCGGTGGCATTGCACACGTCTTCGGGCAGCACAACACCCTCCTTGCCCTTGACGCCGTTGGCGACGAGCCAATTCCTGACAATCTGTTTGTCGAAGCTATCCTGGTCCCGGCCGGCCTCGTAGGTGGCGGCGTCCCAGAAGCGGGAGCTGTCGGGGGTCAGGACCTCGTCGGCAAGGACGACCTCGTCGGTGGCGTCGTCCACGGCAAACTCGAACTTGGTATCGGCGATGATGATGCCGCGCTCGAGGGCGTAGTCGGCGGCAGCCTGGTAGATGGAGAGGGCGAGCTCGCGAACCCTGGCGGCGTACTTTTCGCCAATGAGAGCGGCGACCTCGTCGGGGTGGATGTTCTCGTCGTGCTCGCCCTGGGGCGCCTTGGTGGACGGGGTGAAGAGGGGCCCCGTGGGGAGGCGCTCGCACTCGCGGAGGCCCTCGGGGAGGGCGATGCCGTGGACGGTGCCGGCGCGCTGGTACTCCTTCCAGCCGCTGCCGGCGAGGTAGCCGCGGACGATGGCCTCGACGGGGAGGATGCGCAGCTTGCGGACCTGCATGCTCCGGTGGCGGAGAGACGGGGCGGCGGCGGCGGGGACGGTGGCGGGGACGTCGAGGGAGAGGAAGTGGGTGCGCAGGCCGGGGAGGAGGGACGGGAGGAGGCGGAACCAGTGGGCGGAGGCGAGGGTGAGGATGGCGCCGCGGTTGGGGATGCCGTTGGCGAGGATGACGTCGTAGGCGGAGATGCGGTCGGAGGCGACGAAGAGGAGGGTGGAGGGGTCGGGGAGGGCGAAGATGTCGCGGACTTTGCCGGTGGAGAGCTTTTCGAGCGAGGGGACGTCGATGGTGGTGAGAGCCATGGTGGGTGGTGGGTGGTGGGGGAAGGGGGAAGGGTTTTTTGTTTTGGTTGAGTTGTTGTCCCTTTTTTCTTCTTTTTTTTTTTCTTTTCTGAAGTTGATATGTTCTAGTTATCGCAGACACGGACAAGGAAAAAGGAAAAGATTGAGAGGAAAGGAAGGTGAGGTAGGTTGAGGAGCTGGGTCGAGGTATTTTTTTCTTTCCCGCACGCTTTCTTCTCTTCGTGTAGCCGAGTTGAGCTTGGGTGGAGAATTTGTCAGTCACTTTTGGTGAGGGTGAAGGTGAATTGCGTGTACATGAGCTATTAGCTGTGACGCAAGTATCGCCAGGTGACTTTGAATTTAAATGAGGGAAGAGGACTGATCAGGCGCATTGAAGATTTCAGTTGTCTCTTGAGCACTGAGTTCGAACCTGTCCTAGCTACATGTACTTCTTCACCCATTGCAATGCTCATTGCACATTATGGACTATATCTATCTTGTGTCCGTCTTGGTCCTTCTTCTTGTCTCCTTCTCTGCCCGTGCCTAGCCATGGATTTGACTAATACGGCGCTGTGTCGCAAGGTATAGAGAGAGAGAGAGAAAAAGATTGCCCCTCACTCCCCAAAAGAGAAGGGGAGAAAAAGATACCTTCATGGCGGGGTATCATTACAACATGAGCACAATCTTCCACTTTCTCCTTCGGCTGTGGCGCGTGGGGCGAAGTAAGCGCCACTCATTGGATTCCTGGTTTCGCCGACTGAGTCAAACCCGCGTGCGCCCCACAGACATCAATGGATCAATGGTCCAACAGACATGGGCAAGTAGGTAACGACCTGGTATGCGACTGGGATCAATTGATGCTTCGCTTCGTACCTGCTGCCAGAGCACCGCGACAAACAATCGGTACACTTGCGGGTTCAAGTTGAGGCAAGCGTCTTTGTACGAGAGCACACTGAAATCTTTTAAAACCCAGCAGCATTTCCGCCTTGTCGATACCGACGGCTTCTTCGCCTTCTCTCCATCTCCATCGTCTGTCCTCCCTCCGATATATGTGGCCTAGTGTGGGGATCGAGTCGCTCGCTCACGCACCGTAGCTTCGATCCTGTGCGCAAACTTGTCTTGCAAGCTCTTGCGTACCCCCAAGCACCTTTTTTTTTTTTTTCCCTTCTTTCCTTTTCCCTTTTGAGGCGTATTTCTATCTTTCTTTTCTCGAGATACCAAGCCTAGTGAACGCCATGGCTACCGCAACAGATCCGCGGACCGAGGAGCTTCTTCGGCGGCCCATTTATGGTAATGCTTTCTCATCCCACATGCAACCCGAACTTGTGTCTTTGGAATTGCGCAGTCCTAATGGATAATTATAGTCTATGACATGCCCCCGGAGGTTCTCGTCTCCATCACATTCAAGGATGCACCCGGCGAGGCCCTCGCACAGACGGAGCAATCTGATTCCCCGGACGACCGGAGTGCTTCGCCTGCGCCGTCAAATGATAGTGTCGTAGGGTCGCAGGCTTGCTCCTTGTGCGCCCTCTCCTTTGCGACTGTGGATGACCAAAGGAGCCATCTCAAGTCTGATTTCCACAACTACAACCTCAAACAGAAGCTTCGTGGCGGCAAGCCCGTCACCGAAGATGAGTTTGAGAGGTTAATCGCTGGTAAGTCCTCGCTTCCAGAGTGAGAACCCTTTGGACTTGGCCGTTCTACGAACTTACACGATTTTCTCTTTCCCCTCCTCTAGATCTCGACGAAAGCTTGTCTGGCTCCGACTCTTCCGAGAGCGAGGAGGATGAGGACGAGGATGAGGGAGATGGTAACAAGGACTCGATGCTTGCCGCCCTGCTCAAGAAGCAGGCTACTCTATCCCGAAAGGGCAGACAGACGCAGGACGATTCCGACGAAGAGCAAGGGCCCCAGAGGAAAGGCCGGGGCACCCTCCCCTCCTGTGGTTCAGCTCCCCTTGCTCCCAGAGAACAGCTACTTCGGCTTGTACCGCGCCCTCTTTACGGATGAGGAGCTCAAGGACGAATCCTCCATCGTCGAGGTCATCAAGAGAAGGCAGCTGCAACCCTTGGCCATCCCCAAACCCGCTAAAGATGGATCGCTGCCGCAAATCGCGTATAAAGGGCCGCACATCTTCTTGTGCATGATAGGAGGTGGCCATTTCGCCGCCATGGTAGTATCCCTCGCGCCTAGGAAGGGCGCGAGTAACGGACCGATGAACAGGGAGGCCACCGTCCTGGCCCACAAGACGTTCCACAGGTACACGACGAGGCGGAAGCAAGGTGGCTCGCAGTCGGCCAACGACAACGCCAAGGGCACTGCGCACTCGGCCGGGTCTGGCCTGCGAAGGGCCAACGAGAAGAAGCTCGTCGAGGACGTGCGTGCGCTTCTACAGGACTGGAAGCAGCTGCTCGATACATCCGATTTGTTGTTCATACGGGCTACCGGGGTTACGAATAGGCGAACCCTCTTCGGGCCGTACGACGGACAGGTGTTAAAAGCAAATGACCCGCGGATTAGAGGGTTCCCCTTTACAACGCGGCGGGCGACGCAAAAGGAGCTGATGAGGTCATTTGTGGAACTTACAAGATTCAAGATCAAGGAGGTTATCCCCGTCGCTGCCACCACTGCCGCCGAGGATGCGGCCAAGGCCCGGTCGAAGCAAGAGAAGGCGACCACGCCCAAGCCTTCGAAACCAGCCCTCACCGAAGAGCAGGAGACGGCGCTGTTGCACACGTCGCAGCTCCAGGCCATGATTAGGAGATCCAAGCTGCCGGCCCTGCTGACATACCTCAAGACCAACAAACTCGAGCCCGACTTCCTCTTCCAACCTCCGGAGCAGAACTACCATGCGCCGACCCTCTTGCACATGGCGGCCGCCCAGAATGCAGCCGTGTTAGTGGCAGGCCTGATCTCCAAGGCCGGGGCGGACCCTACCTTGCGGAATAAGGAAGGTAAAACGCCCTTTGAGCTGGCCGGCGACCGCCCCACGCGGGACGCCTTCCGCGTCGCGAGATCGGAGCTCGGAGAGGCCAAGTGGGATTGGGAGGCGGCCAAGGTACCGGCAGCGATAACGAGGGCGGATGCGGACAAGCGAGGCGAGCGAGAAAGGGAGGAGAGCGACAAGCGCGAGGGGAGCGGAGGAGAACCGAAGAAGAGAGGCTGCGGGCCGAAGAGGAGGCCAACGCCGACAGCGCAAGACGGAGGAAGGGGGTGCTGGGAGCAGCCGGGGCGATGAAGACGCCGCAGGAGAAGAGGGAGGAGGAGGCGAGAGGGTTGACGCCGGAGATGAGGATGAGGCTGGAGCGGGAGAGAAGGGCGAGAGCGGCGGAGGAGAGGTTACGTAGGATGCAGTGAAAGTACACAAGGGAATGAGATGTGATGATGAGGTGAGAAAATAAAACTAGAGTTGCCTCACGTCTTCCACTTGCCGCCTTTTCCTTTGAACACCCATGCTTTGGAGAAATACAAGAGGGTATTTACGGTCTTGTTCTGTAGTTGAATGAGACCTAGGCAATAAACCCTCTCTTCCGCCAGGTATACGGGCATCTGCTTTACAGTTGACTTGGCCGCAATACTTGCGAGATCTATTGATGAAATGTGGCATGCCTATGGCCGTAAGCATCTAATGATGGAGACTGGAAATTGGTCACTTCTTGTATCCTAATCCTGAAGCCGTTGCCTGTTTAGATCCCTAACCCTCTCCCTCACTCGGCACTAAAGTTCGGCCAAGTGCTAAGCATTACTCTCCACCTCTTACCTAGTTGTAAGAAGCGACGGGTCTCTCCCCTAATCATCCTCTCATGGCTAATCCTGAAGGGGAGGTGGAAAAAGGGGATGGGCCCTCATATTGCAAAGGTTAGAGAAAAAGGGGTTCAAGGAAACAGCACATTCTAGGGATCCCACGCCGCCTCTGAGCAACGACGTCGGGCGAGCAAGGGGAGCCACGCCCAAGGAAGCAAGGCTCTCTTGTCTGAATCAAGCCGTTGAGTGGCACTACGGCATACATGCTTTGCATTCCGTACATACATGGCGCCATAGTAACAGGGTGGTCTTGATGGTCTTGAGGAGAGGACAAGGGCATGGGCATGGGCAAGGGCAAAAACAAGAACAAGAACAAGGGGCGTGAGGAGACAAAGCAAGGGCAGAGACGGACTTTCCCAGCTAGTCTAGCCTCACTTTCACCCTCACTTTCGCCCTCCGTCTCGTTTCTCGCTCTCGCTTTCCCACACTCTCACCGGCGATGGGGAGGTTGCGGGTGTGGGCTGATGTTGGCTAGTGTAGATGCGCCCGATTGCGATTAGGACTAAAAGCCTGGCCAAGGGTGAGGGTGATATCGGGCCGGCCTTTCTGAGAGAGGAAAGGAGGAGGAGAATGCTGAAAGATGGCTGGAGTCAACTGGGGAGGAGGGTTGGAATGGAAAAAGGGAGCCAAGTGGATTGGTGTAGTATGGGATCGAAATCCTGGGCGGATGGCCGACCCTGCTGCTTGGGGGCCTGGTGGTGCGATTTGAGGGCATCGGAATCACGGCACCAACGGGCGACTTCTCAGGTCTACGATGCATTTAGTCTCATAACTCTGAATGCTTGTTGGGTATGCCGGTCATAGTCCTGAAAATGGCCGCAATTTTCACGATATTGCAGTTTTTCCCTTTTTCCTACCATTCTTTGATCGCTATCAGTATATTTTATCTTATTTTGATTCAATATTTGAATTGTTTTCGTGTCAATGTTGAATCAACTCACCAAGTAGTGTAAAGGGATAATGGCTAGTATTAGCTCTCAAATGCTGCTGGAGACGTTGTGTTACCCATCACAATAAAAATCATTTGGGATTCTCTACGAGGGATGCACAATTCCGCTGGTTAGACCGGCACAGGCCATGACCTCGGATCCGAGACGTTCAACTTCTGAATTGGGTTGTCGTCACTGCATATCTTTTTACAAATGTTCCTGCAGAGGGTCCCCCATGGGTTGAGTTGGGTCGGCGAGGGTGCGTACCTGACAGGATATGCAGGCGGACTTGGCTGGGGGCCAGGTTCGTGCAGCCCCTCCAAAACACGACATTCTATCCTCCGTGGATGAGACTGATGAGGTGAGCATGCCAAGGTTCAAGCGATCGGCTGGACGGAGAGGTTGCGAATTGCAGAGTCTTGAACTTTTTTGCTCCCCTTTTTCCGCCGGGGAATATGCATCAAACATCCAAGATTGGGATGCGATGAGCTGAGGGTGAGGTTGGCGGTGGACAAGGAAAGCGCAGAAAAAGACCATATTCCAAGGGAACATGCTATGGGTACATACATGCATATGACGAAGAATGGAGACGCTACTCGTCGAGGTTGCAAGCAAGCAAGCTGAGAGGGAAAGCTCGTGTTTTCAGATTCAGGTGAGGAGCCGCACTGATCGTGTTCGACTTGGTCATCGGGGCGAGCTAAGACTGCTTGGGACGACGCTGAGAAAAGGAAAGAAAGACGAGAAAGAAAAAGGGCGCTGGGAATGGAGACAGGGCAGGGGTTCCGAGGGACCTTGCTCAGGGAGGGGCAGATGCAGGCATACACGGACACCATCGCGCACACACACAAGCAAGCACACACAGACTTACACACAGACAGAGAGGGAGCGGGCACTACAGTTAGAGACTTGGGGTGGGAAAGAAGTGTGGAGGGAACTCGAGTGGCGGCGCATCTCGTCCCGGACAAGCCGCTCGTCACAGATTGCTGGCTGACACATTGCGGCGCTTGGTGAGGAGGAGACAAGACATCAATTGATCTTTTCGTAAATCGGTGCTGAACTGTGCTTATTTTAGCTCTTTCTAATTTCTTCTTCTTCTCTTCAAGACTGCATGGTGCAGCACGGGGCGGCCGTGGCCGAGGCCGGCTGAGAGACCCGGCGGTTCGTGGGCCGGCGGCAGGTGTAAACCTGGAGTCGAGAGCATACATGTAAGCCAGGGAAGCGCGGAGGCGGGCGTGTGGTTGCTCAACAGCATGAATATTCCGTGTAGCCGCCCACCACCCAGCTGGCCGCTTTCTGGGTCCGGTTTGTCCCCCCAAAAGAAAATCATGTATTTGCGCACACCTTAATCGCCTTACTTGGTGCGCGACTCGTGCGGGCCTCTTAGTCAAGTGCAAGACGACGTCAAGAATGTGGGAAGAAGAGAGCCACGACGCAAGGTCAAGCCCACAGACTTGTGTTCTCATCTTTGACATTGGCGTCGCCACCATCACCGCTGTACACTACGCCAACGATGCAAGCAGGCACTTTAGAAGCCATTGATCAGACTAAAAACCGCTACAAGCTTGGCGGGTGCATTCATCGTCAGTTGCCCGGCGCTTTTCTCCTCTTGGCCCCACGCTGCTTGCTCTGTTGGCGCCACCATACTGGTGGTCCTACCTTGGGGGAACAACCTGGTCTAAACTCAAACTTGCGCTCCTCGCTCCTTGCTTGCTGTTACCATCAATGGCTGGCCACTGATGATTATTATTCTTTTTGCTGGTGGGCCTGGACTTGCACGGGGTTGGGCTGTCGGACCAAGCTCAAAGGGGAAAAGAGGCAGGGGGCTCTCGCCTGAAACATCCTCCCCAAAAGGGTTTAAGGCAGCATCTTGCCCGATTGCAACGCTTCGCCAGCACGACAGGTCCAATGCTCCGAGAGTGTGTTCTCCGAAACCCGTCATCCTAGCATACCGACATGCTGTGCCCGCTTGGGGCTAGGCTATGCTTCCGAGATGGAGGGAGAGATTTCTTGCCTCTTCTTCTTCCTTGTTCGTTCCTTTGCCTGACGTATAATCCCATACTGAATAGACCCCAGGGTCTGGTCAGGGGTAACAAGCGAGTCACTCCCTTTCTTCCTTCCCTTCCCTCTTGAGAGGCGGGCAGGAAAAAAGGTGGATTTGTGATCGCGGATGCTCAATGCCGTTCCAGCAATCTTAACACAATAGGTCTTATGATCGCCTGATTTTCTCTAGCATCAAATGTGATATGAACACTCGAGCCAAGCTCGTTCAGGTCAAGCCATGGACGTAGCCCGATAATGGATGCACTTTGCTCAACTTTTACACTCTGGGTGCATATACACTATAGTACGAAGTAGATAGCTGTTATATGTATGCGAGATGCGAGATGCGAGTCCCGAGCGCCCACCTGGACGGAACCATGAGGGTGCGCACAAGGAATCCGGGTTACTTGCCTCAACCCGTTCGGTAGCTTTCATCGAGATCCATCCCCTAATCAAGTTGTTTTCCTTGCGGCAAGCTTTTAGAAATGGACTAGGCCAACCGTCAAACGTGATGAGGGTAACTCGAGTTCGTGAGTCCGACCATGCGATGACCGGCCGATATGACCTCATAGCTGGCCCAAGAGGAAGAGGCCTCAGGGCGAGTCGCCGTTCATCAGCTGGGCACGCCGACCAGCAGACGACCCTGAGTCTAGGTGTGGGGCTCACCTGTGTCGTTTTCTTCTTTTTTTCCTCTTTCCTTCCCAAAAATTATGCTCCAAAGAGCGTGCATCCATAGATCCGTCTCGTGCCGTTCTTGTGCGCGTGGTTCAGGTTTGGGGCGCAAGGCAAGAGGGAACCCCGCCAAAACGCTCATGCAGGGCACAGAGCACTTGAGCAGACGAAGAAGAAAGAAAGAAAGGCAGGGTCCGTGTCAAACGATTGGTTGACAGTGCAGAATGGGAGTACCTGCATTAGCCTGGAGCGTAACCAGGCGCCGTGGCTGAGTGTGTTTCAGCTTTCTCTCGTCCTCAATGCCTGCCAAAGTGCCAACCTCGAACCCACCTTGACGACCGCCCCCGTCCGATCGCACGCATCACTTCACATCAAAATGCGCCGTCGAATTGGTCCGCCCCGCCATCTCGATCAGAGTTGGGCAAAGTTTGCATCTTTTCCCTAGTTTGTGTTAGTCAAGAGTACGGCCCCATACGCGTACACAGACTTTTTTTTTGGCTTTGTTCGAGAATGAAGAGGGGCCTGAATAGTAAAGGAACCATGCCGTGAGAGTTGGCTCCCAACGCCGTCTTTGATCGAGACATCAGCGAGATTGGGAATTTTCTAGCGTACAGATAAAGAGCCAAAGAGCCTCATCGTCGTTATTGTCGTCACCGTTGACCCACGCTACGATCGGTGCTTGTCCCAAGTCGGTGCTTTTTCGAGCCGGCTAGGATGCTGCTCATGACAATCCATGGCCTCCTTGTCAAACCTGCCGAAAGAGGTTCGCCCTTTCGTCCAATGCGGCTCACGGAACCACTAAGCTTCAAGTTGGTTGGGGATCCACTCAGACAACGCTGGGTTTACTATGCCATTAGTTTGCTGGCGTCTGGTTACCATTGATCTACACTATGGACACCGAGGTAGATCTCTTGAGCTATAACAAGACTAAAGGCAGGAGGCCTTTTCTTTTAGTGGAAAAATAAAATAATAATCAACACATGCAGCTGGTGAAGGCCGGGATCGGTTGCTGGCAACCTGTGGTCTGGTAAGCGCCATGAGGCAGCAAACACGCGCTTGCCTGGCCTTGAACCGCTCGATGCTTTAGACGAGGGAACATTGAACATTGAACTCTAATAATACAACTCTGGTTGAAATGAATGAATGTACTCTTTTGCTCCATTCCGCACCCACGCAGCACGCCTTCCATTCCAAGCATTTTTATCCGAGTATTTAAGAATCAATACGAGCGATGGAGAATGTAAACGCTGCGTCTCGCCCAGTAATCGCCAATTGATGTTCTCAGGGGCAGAATCGGCCCCACTTCTACGCCTGAACAGCTCAGGCTCGTCCAGTCGCGTTCGTTCCCGCCCAAGAAAGTGAAAGTGACTAATCCGGTGCTAGTGGAAAGGGGGTAGGGTCCACCCAAGTTTCAACGTCGACTCCAGATTCCACCATTGTTCTTGGTAATAGTGCGGCGCTGTAAGGAAGAAGGAAGCTCTGGCAGAGGGAAATGTGAGCCGGCGACCCAAAAGAAACTGGCAGTCGCCACCCAGGCGCCGCCGGAGAGACAACTGACGGTGGCGCCAAGGTTCTTTAGCGGCCGATTTCCTTCACTCAGTGCTCTTAGTCTCCTTTGGGCCAAGTCCTTTGGTGGAGGAGGCAGCGAGCGACGAGATATGTGCTGGCTTTCGGACTCTCAACCTCGCTCCCCTCTAGTCACCACGCCGGCGTTTTGGGCGTGCATCAATCCAGAATGGGCGCCAGCCAGCGCAGCGCCGGCCGGAAGTGTGGATGATAGCAGCTCCGCTTCTCGCTTGGCTGGCCGCCCACTGTTCAAGGGGCTGGCTGGGGTTGTATTCCCGATCCGTGTGTTGTGCGAGCAGGGAATCCCGGGGAAACAGGCACGGAGAATATTTCACTCTTGTTTTCCCTTGCGTTCCTTTTTACGTTCCTTCATTAGGGAAACGTGAAAAATCGTATCACACTAATAGGGCCGGTCTAGGTGGACACGAAAATCATGCGCGGTCGAGGGATACGGGTGGCATTGAGTCCTCTCGTATGTTTCTTCAGTCGGGCGCCCCTCTTCAGTAGCAACAGGTGAGCCAAGGAGTAATGGATCCAGCGCGGGTTTCCGTTGGATCCTGCCATGGAAACAAGGAGCAGAGCACCATTTCAAGAATTGGGTAAAGTGGGGCCGTGTCTATGAAAGTCGTCGGTCGGGGATTTCAACCTCCAATGTCTTCAAAGCCCTCAAGTTTGGAATTTATTTTGGTCGTTCTTTTGCAGATTCGGTGGCTTTGGGGGAATGTGATAGGGCCAGACTTGGGCATGATGGCAGAGAGGTGGCACGATGAGAGACTGATTGAATTCATTCCCCCCTCCCCCAAAGGCCGTCGTCCGAGGCGGCTCGGAATAGAACAGGCTTCATCTTTCTTCCTTGCATCCAGAGAGAGATCTAATTGATGGTGGTGTTGGTTGGCTTGGAGTTTCCGGTAGGCTAGTCACTTGCAGAAGGTGAAGCTGGTGGCGGGACAGCACGGTCCAACCAGACCCTGCACGGAGCCCTGAAGCAAACTAAGCAGCCCTCGTCGGTCTCGGCGGACCAGTGAGGGCATCAGTTGATCCGTCGTCCCCTTTGGTACCCTCAACCAGCTCCGTCCCCACACACACACACACACACACACACACACACACTGTCCTGTTCCTTTTTCCTTCGACAGGGGTTGCTGTCATCGCATCGCCAAGCAAACAGGAAGGGGAAACCCAGGTCCACTCGATTGCTCGCTCACCCGTCTTCTCTCCGGAAAGCATGGTTCTTAATTGGAACCTGCTGAGCGGATTGGCCCAGCTCAGCGCTCTACTGGCGCGCCAGCCACTCCACCTCCCCAAAGTCGAGCTCGGCATGGAACAGGTCTCCGCTATTTTCTTTTTCTTGTGGCTAACTATGCAAAGGGTTTCTTGGGGATGAGGACGAATTGGAGAAGGAGGGTACTCGACGAAAAGAAGGTAAAGGAAAAAAAAAAAAAAAAAGAAAAAAAGAAAAGGACTCGCTCTCGTTCAAACCTGGGATTGCTGGTGCCGTGAGTTAAACGCCCCCAGCCTGGGAAGCGCCCGCCATGAAACCTCCCACTTCCTCCCTTTCCTTATTAGTCTCTCTCTCACGATTAGAGTCTCCTTCTCTTTTCGCCAGAGAAAAAAAGAAGCAAAAGGGACGGTCATGGGAAGGTATGGAACACGGTCAACACAGCGCCCTCTGTTTTCTGGTGGGTGGGCGCAGCGCCTGCCCTGACGTGCCTTTGCACTTGAGGACGAAACTTGGTGAGGGCAAATGGTTTGGTGCGCCGCCACTTGGTCTCTGCGCTGAGGCGGGCGAACTCTCTTTGTGCTACATGCTACGGTATCCATAGATCTTTTGCTGTTTGAGAAAGAAAGCGCATAGTGGGCGGTGCACCCGGTTTCGATTCAAGTAGCATGGATAGGGTTGAGGAGCAGTGCTTGGCTGCAAGTTTGGAGTCGGGCCAAAAGACCCTCCCTTCGCTACTTCCCCCACACCCACCTCCTTGCTTGAGTGCATCGCATCGTACCTGAACTGAAGGTTTGGGAGCCCGGGCCTAGCGCAGGTTCAACCTGACAGGGGTGGCGCCGCAGCAGTAGGTCAGGGCGAGCGAGCGAGAATCGTCTGTGCAAGTCCCCACAGCCATTGACATGCCAGACCAAGTTGATGCTCCCACATCACCTCTGCCATGTCCAAGCCCCAAGCCCCATAATACGACAAAGCACCTGAAGAATAGCACAAGTACTTCGTACATATGACCAAAAAATGGGAGCGAGCGAAAGGGGAGGGGTGGAGGGTCTCCGCTCAACATTCCCCTTGGCCGTACCCCCGCCTCGTCCCCCACCCCCGTCCGTCGTCCACCGCTTGCATCCACACGCCCCTGCCTCCCCTTGCCGTTCACCGTCGACCAACCAGCTGGGATCTTTGCTCTTGGCTCGGGCAGACGAGAGCTCGCTATGAGGAACCCTCATCGTGCCTCGATGGCAGAAATCCTATATAGGAACTTGTTGTTCCGACCTCCAGCTGTGTTTTCTCCTCTCTTCCGGTTCTCATCCAACTTTCGTTTCCTTTTTCCCTGTGGCTCTCTCGCTCTCTCTCTCTTCTTCGTTCTTCTCCTAAACATTCGTTAGATTAGGAGTCGAGATATCCTTCGTTATCTCTTTTGATACAGACTCTGTTTTCTTATTCCCTATTATCAAAGTCTCTCATACAAAGCATTCACTTCTTCAGTTTCGTGGTATAGACTACCAGAATCTTTCGTTTTATACACTCAGCAACTCTTTCTTCCCAACTTCTCTGAGCTTGACGCATCAAACCACAACCTTCCCATCTCCTCACAAACCAACCCGCACACACCCAACAAGATGAAGACCACTTCTCTTCTGGTCCTCGCCGCTGGCGTTGGCGAGACCTATGCCACTGTAAGTTGACCATTGTCTCTTCCACTCTCTAATGGGCTGCCGCCACATCCCGCCTCATCAACTAACACGGCTCCCCACCACGTAGTTTGGAAACTTCTTTGGCGGCTTCAAGGGCGCCAACCCCTTCAACTGCCCCGACAACACCGACAACAGCAGGTGCGAGGAGCGTCAGAGGGGCGGCTTCGACTTCACCGACCTCATCCCCGGTTCCAAGAACCCCTTCTATGGCGGCTTCAACTTCAACGGCTTCGAGTGCAAGAACGACCAGCGCAACCGCCGCGAGCTGAGCGGTGAGTGCGGTCCCGACAAGAACTCGAACCCCTTCTTCGGCCACCCCACCGAGAGCTTCTCCATCGACGAGATTGAGATCATTCCCGAGTTCACCGCCGACTTTGAGTTCGTCTACGACATGCCCAACGGCTCGCAGTGCAAGCACCGCTCCACGTGCAACGCCGGCGGCTCCGTCGTCAAGAACACCCAGTGCGGTGGCGCCAAGAAGGTCACCGTTGTCTTCCCCAAGCAGAACAACAAGCCCAAGGCCAAGTGCGGAATCCGCATCCCCAAGATCCGCTTCGACTGCAATCCCCCAAGACCACCAACCCTCCCAGGACCACCCCTCCCCAGACCACCGCTCCCGAGGTGCCTCAGACGACCGTCCCCGAGGTTCCCGAGACTACCGTTCCCGAGGTTCCTGAGACTACTGTGCCTGAGGTCCCTGAGACGACTGTCCCTGAGGTTCCTGAGACCACTGTTCCCGAGGTTCCTGGTACTACCGTCCCTGAGGTACCCGAGACCACCGCTCCCGAGGCTTCGGAGACCACCCCCGACGCTGTTGAGACCACCCCCGAGGTTCCGGAGACTAGCGCCGTGAGCTCCTCCTCGCCCGAGGAACCCGAGACCACGCCTTCCGTGCCCGAGGAGCCCGAGACCACCGCTCCTCCCACCGTGGACACCACCGTGACCACCCGCCTCACCACCTCGACCATCTTCACCACCGTCGTCAACACCGTCACCGACTGCGGCCCCGCGGTCCCCAACTGCCCCGCTGACCAGGCCAGCACCGTCATCGTCACCGCCACCATCCCCTTGACCACCACCATCTGCCCCGTCACCGAGACCATCACCCGCACCCAGGGCCAGGAGCCTCCCTCCTCGTCCGTGGTCTCCAACAGCCCCATCCAGTCCACCCCCGTCGAGCCCCTCCCTTGCCCCGAGGTTGTCCCCTCTTGCCTCAACACGTGGCTCTTCTCCGTCGGCTGCGCCGACAACACTGACACCGCCTGCTTCTGCCCCGATGCCGCCTTTGTCAAGAACATCTTCACCTGCATCTACGCCTACGGCCAGACCGAGACCATTGTCTCCGAGGCCATTGTCTTCTTCCAGGGCATCTGCGGTGGCCACGTCCCCGAGAACCCGGCCATCGTCACCGGTGTCGACTCCATCACCTCGGTCATCACCGAGGCCCCCAAGCCCACCGTCCCCGCCGGCTACGCCACCGTCACCGTCACCGTCACCACCGTCGTTCCCTGCGTCACTGACGGCGTCACCATCTCCGGCTCTAGCATCACCACCGTCATTGAGCAGACCGCCGAGATCCCCAACGTCGGCTTCCAGACCAACTCCAACGGCAACGTCAATGTCGTCCCCACCACCCCCGTCGCCGTCGTCAACCCCCGCCGCCACCGCCACCCCTATCGGCACTTTCCTTTCCGTCCCCGTTGCCTCCAACACTGGCGGTGTCTCCCCACCTCTCCCGTCGTCGTTGCTGGCGCTAACAAGGTCGCTTCCGGCCTGGGCCTTGGCTTCGCCGCCGTCGCCGCTCTTGCTCTCTTCTAAGCGGACAAGACGCCACTTTCATTCCTTTTCTCCTTTCCGTCTTTTTTTTTTTCTCTCTCGGGGCACATTGGGCATTTCAGGGATTCGGTCTCGGTAAACTAAAGATACCAGCACACATTGGTGGAGGAAATCATCTCGGTAACTGTTATTTTATATGGTTCTCGCCGAAGGTCCTTTTTTAATAGAGGAGGCACTTTCTTGACTTCACTTTCCCCTTTCCTTTTTTGGTTTATTTCCTTTCGTACGAATTGCATTTCGATAGCGACTGTAGTAATATGTTGGGGGAGGGAGCTTCGCATGGAAACAGGAGATCTGGATATCCTGCACACAAACCGCGCCAAGACGCGCGTGTCACAACTAGTTTCATTCAATAGGTTTGTTCTTCACCCGTTCTCTATCTTATACATCAAGAATCAAACATACTATTTGATCAAGTACCACAAGTCTCCCCCTTGGCGCCGTGTAACGAGCTGTTTTGTCTATCCTGACTTTTCCTCCCTTCGCTATGACACGGCCTCTGGAGTTGTAGCGTCCGTAACAAGTGTGTGCATGTTAATGCCCTCTTCTCCCTTTCATTTCTTTCTCCCCCATTCCCCTCACACTGCGCCTCGTCCCCGCCTCCCCCTTGTCTCGCACGTCTGGTTCAGATCACTCAAGTCGGGCGACGAGCGGCGGTAGGGCACGTCCTGGAGCGAGGGAGTCACTTACACCATATACCACCATCTCACTTCAAAAGGCGAAAATGCGCACGAGGATCGGGGAAGATAAAAGTCATGAATGGTATGTTGCAAGTTTGTGAAGAGGACCTTGGTCCATTCTTCCGACTACATGTACGACTACTCTCTGATGAGACAAGTAGCGAGAATAACTAAACACACCTGCCCGGCCAATTATTCGTACTCGCACAAACAAGCAAATAAACAGATTGAAAAGAAGAAAGAAACAAAAAAAAAAAAAAAAAGGCCTTCATCTTCTCTTCTCTTCTCCTCTCATAACTTCATAATAATGATAAAATAAAAAAGGATAAACTGGGCAGAGGGGATCCCAAGGAGAAGGAATAAGAAAGAAAAAGAATAGAACGAAGAAGGAGTAAAGCCAAAGTAGATGAGTTTGGTGAGGGAGGGAGAGAACTGACGCCCAAAGACTTCCGCAAAGATGAAAAAAGACACGACTTTTCCGGTTTGGGAAGCAAAGGGTGAAGGAAGAAGAGGAAGAAGAGGAGGAAAAAGGAAAATGAATAAACAGGACATGAAGAAAACAAAAACTCAACACGAAAGCCGCGTGACCAAGCCTAGTCGGTTAACGCTTTCATGAAGAAAAGAGAGGGAAACAAAAACAAGAGACAAACCCGCTAGCAAATAGACGAGTAAGGGAATAACCGGGGATTCTAAACACCTAGTCCCTTGTAGGCCTGTCTAGTCTTCATCGCCATGAAGACCGGGAGCATACCTCGGTAGAATACATTTATTGGTGTCCTCGACTTCAGAAAACCCCCAACCGTCTTCCGGTATTGAGGGCGAGGAGAAAGAGGAATGCTGGTAAAGACGGAAGGAAAGTATAGCGATACAGTGAAGAGATGGTCATGTGGGATGCAAATCCCGGAAAGGGGCATGTGTCGACGGCTTTCCCCTGCCCCTGCCCCCGGCTGTGGCTGGGCCGGGATCGGTTCATGAGACAGTTCGTTCGACGCGCTGCATACATACAATTACGGGCGACTGGCATTCTTGGTTCGTCCATCGAGGCTCCCCTCACGCTCCTCGACATCGAGACGCTTGCGCCAGTCGGCGAGGCTTTCGCTGAGGCCGAGTCCATTATCGTCGTCCGTCCTTGCGGGCGCAGGCCCGGCGTTCATATCGAAATCGAAAGCGTTGCTTAGCCGGTAGTTCTTGTTGGTTGTCTCCCAATGCGATCGCAGCGTCTCAAGTTCGCTCGCGAGATTATCTAGCGCTGTGCTGTTGCGCGCATCAAAGCTTCCCGTTTCGTACACGCTCTCTGTCCCCGAGCTCTCGTTGCGGTCGTGCGCAATCACATTCGGTGGCGCACTGGTGCCATTCGTGGTGGTGCCCGCGGCGGCGCTCACCCCACCCATCACGACTTGACGGCTCTGGCGGCGGTAGTTATCCACCGAAGACTCGACCTGGTCGAGCAAGAGAGCCACTTTGCGTTCCGCATCCTGCGCCCGCTGCTCCAGAAGGAGGTTCTCTTGTTGGAGTTGCTCGAGATCCTTCTTGTTGGCGGTAAGCTTAGACACAGCCTCATCCGCCGACTTGAATGCGACGTCACGGTCCTTCTTCGCCGCTTCAAGGTCTGCGCCGATGACCGCCACCCGCGCTTCGAGCTGGCTCGACGATGCGCGAAGCTCTTCCCGAAGACCCTGGATCTGCCCGTGCAGGTTGCCCCTCTCCGCTTCCCACTCGGCCGATGCCTCGCTATTCTCTTGCTCTGCAGCATGATCTTCAAACTCTTCGACCTGCGCCTTGAGCCGCTTGTTCTCCTCCTTGAGCTTCTTCAGCATCTTTTCTGTCGTCCGGAGATACGCAATCGCAGAGTTGTAGTCTTGCTCGAGCTGCGCCAGCTTGTCGCGGTACTGAGCCTCCGAGGCTTGGAGCGCCGTCATCATTGATTGCTTAACCTCCTCGTGGGATGAGGTCGCGACGGACAGCTGCCTCTCAAGCTCCCGGATGCGCGCCTGCTCGGGCGACCCTGCACGGGGCTGCCCAAACTCCTGTTCCTGGACGCACTGGTAGGGCTGATGCCCCTCTCTGCAAGTATGTTCTTGAGAGTATTGTGTTGCACCGTCATCGCATTCGTTTCGAGCTGTTGCGTGGCGAGTTCGCGTTTGAGGTCGGATTTGGCGGCTTGAAGGCTCTGTGTCTCCCGGAGTGCGGTTTGTAGCTGCCTGCGAATCGAAACGCCATCCCTGCTCGCCTGCTCCTGGTATGCCTCCAGCCCGGCGATTCGCTCTTCAGCGGCGCGTAGCTTCTCGGCGGCCGAGTCGGCCTCTTGCTGGTACTTCTTGGCGAGAACAGTTGCCGCCGTGATCTGCTCCTGAAGGGCTACAAGGCTCTCCGCACCGACCTTGTTGGATCTCGTAGAGTCGGTGGCCACCACCTTGTCGAGGCCGGCCATGACCGCCTCCCTGTGAGTCTTGGCTTCCTGCGCGTTCTTTTCCGCGAGTACCTCGGCGTCACGGAGGCGCTGAGTGACGGCAACAAGCTCCGCGGTGCGAACTTCGTGCTCACCCTTGAGTTTGTTATATTTAAGTTCCGCCTTTTCACGCAACTCTCGTTCCGCCTCCAGCTTTTCTTCGAGATGCGTCGTCTTCTCGGCCGAAGCCGCCACGGCCGCACGGAGGGATTCAAGGGTTTGGTTGCGTTCCTTTGTGCTGCTCACGGCATCTCCGTACTTGCCTTCTAGCTCCGACTTCTCGACCCTGAGGAGGTTGATGGCTGCCAAGGCGTCGGTAGCCGAGACGGCCTTCTCCCTAGCCTCTCGCTGAGCGACATGAAGCTCTGATTTCAAGCGCTCCAAGTCCGTCGACGTGGACTGCTTGTAGGATTCAAGCTCATCCATTCGCTTCTGGGAAGCGTTTGATGTGTCGTCAGCTAGTTGTCTGGCTCGCCTTTCTGCCTCGAGTTCCATCTTGAGGTGTTCCGTTTGAGCTTGCAAGTCTTTCTGGAAGCCGAGAGCGGACGCTAGCTTCTTGTTTAGGTTTGCCGTCCGTTCCTCGCCATCGCGGTCGCCGTCCAGCTGAGGCGTGCTCATTGGGCTGCTGCCAGAGAACGCCGCAAGCCTAGCCTTCGCATAAACGGCCTCCTGAATTGCGACATCTCGCTGCTTTTCGGCCTCCGCAATCTGTTTTGCGGCAAGGATGGCCTGCTTGTCAACGGAGCTTTGTACGTTGGCCAGTTCCGCCTTCATCGCGAGAAGAGCCTCAATCAGAGGCTTGTCCTCGTCATCAAACGCTTCGGGCCCGCGGGTCTCGAGAACGGGGCTTAGGCTCGACGTCGGCGTGTAGCCCGCCTTGCGCGCCAGCTCGAGTTCCGATGTGTACCAGGCAATGCGACTCCGCGATGTATCCAACTCTTTCAGAAGAGCGACGGTTTGCGAGTTTCTTCCAGATGATCTCCTGTTGATTGGGTTGCTAACCTGGCGCGTGGGTGGTGGAGGCGAGGCCGGCCGCGTTGGGGCCGCTTTGACTTGCGGCTCAGCATCGCCAGATGCCGGGGACCGTTGCTTAGGCTTGGGTTTCGGCGCATCGGCGAGAGCGAGAGCGGCTTCGGGCCTTGCCACTGGCTTCTGGGAGGCTTGCTGAGTGGGGGTCCGACGCCCATTCGTGGTTGGTGGTTCCACCTCTTGGATGACCTCGCGCACAGTGGACGGGGCTTGGCTGAGGCTAGCTTGCACCACATTGTTTGCGAGTGCATCGCGTTCAGCGGAGGGACCTCGCGGTCGTGGGATGTTCGACGTGGACACCGGCGGCTTTGAAGGGGCTGGCTGTTGAGGTGGGGGCCACTTGGGGGCGATGGAGCTGCTGCCCTCGGACCTCGTTGGGGTCCCTGGCCAGTCAAGTCTGCAGAGCCCTGCGGGCTGCGGTAGCCGTTCGCCTGTCCATTCACTTGGGCAATCGGGCCTCCGGCGGTGGCTCGCCTAGGATCGGGACCATTATTGCCATCGCGAGATGATTGCCGGCCGACGCCTGGGGCGCCTTGTTCGCTCGCACTTGGCCGTCGACCTTGCTGCGCCGCTTTTATCGAGTTTGCTTGCGAGTCGCTGGGGTAGCGGATCTTGGTCGTGTCCAAGACATACACGACGGCGAGGTCAGAGGAGGAACCCGCGGGCGAGCTGGGTTCTCCTCCAACGACCACCACAGACTTGGCGACAGCAGTCATGCTATGCCCGGAGCGGGGAGAGGGTGAAGGACCCATGTTTTGGAATGTGTACCATCTGCGCGAGCTAATCCTGAAGGCTGCGAGGTCTCCGAGATCCGTGCCGTCCTCGGTTCGGCCACCGAAAATGTACATAACATCGTCAACGATGGCTGCGGCATGGCCTTCACGAGGCACTGGTATGTAGCCGATACAGTCAAGTTGTGACCAAGCGTTCGAGGAGGGATCATAACTCCAGACGTCGTTGAACCATTGGTAACCGTTGGTACCGCCAAATCTAAGCATGCGAGGGTTAGCAAAACAAGGTCGGGGGCTGGGCCAGTACGAGTTAGTGGACCACGCACAGATAAAGCTTGTCGTTGTAGTTGACAACCGAATGGTTTGTTCGCGCCTGGGGCACATTATCTGCGCTCGCATCCCCTCCCGGAATAAGCATTTCCCATCGGTTATTGGGGGTCTGGAGCTGGTTAAGGTCAAAGGCACAGAGGTCGTTCATGAAATAACCCTCAACCTGACCACCGAACACGAAGATTTTGGAGCCGAGAATATTAAGGGAATGGCCATATCGACCTGCCGGCCGTGGCCCAGAAGGTAAAACTCGAGACCATTGCCTCGTAGCTAGATATGTCCGTTAGTATTTGCATCTATTGACGGAGGGTCTGATTATGCGATTGAGACGCAGCGTACATGTGTTTAGAAGATATAGGGTTTCATCGAGAACGTCTGACTCGTCAATCTTGGTGTCGCCGCCAAAGACGATGAAGGCGTTTCCGACAAGAAGACTGGAATGTCCAACTCTGGGGCCGGGGCCTTCCGCGGTGGTTGCGAGGGGGTAGCAAGACATGTTGCCTCCGGCTTCAATCATCCAAAGGTCGCCTTTCACGGTGGCGCCATTGATTAAACCGCCCATTATGTAGATGTCGCCTTCTTTGGACGCGACAGAGTTGACCGCAGCGCCGTATCGAGGAAAAGGGCTCGGGTGAGACGTGGTATAGGCTAGTCGGCGCTGCGACCAGGGATAGAGCGAGGAGTTCTGGCTAGAAACGGGAGGGCCATTTCGATACTAACAGGACAAGTTGGGTTAGACGACGGCAGGGGGAAAGAGAGAGGCGAACAAAAAAGGGAACGATAAGAGAGCTGGCGGCTTACAGGAAGATCTGATTGTGCTTGGGGTTGTTGATCAACGCTGGCCCCGCGGCGAGGAAATGCCTCGGGGCTGTTGGACATGGCGTCCACATCGAGGGAGTTTAGACTGCCTGTTGGCGTGGATCGTTGGAGCGAGTTCTTTTCATCTCGACTCGAGTTGGTACGGCCCGAGGCAGCGCCAGATGAACCGGGAGCAGCGTCGCGTGCCTTTTCCCTATCCTTATTCTTGGATTTGAATAAGAAAGCCATGGCGGTAGGTTATCCGCGCACAGCGGGGAGATGAAAGAGGAGGCGGAATCGATTCGATCGTTGGAGGGCTTCGGGGCAAAATCGAGTGCTATAAGTGAGAAAAGGGGCGATGACGGTTTAGAATCCGCTGCGCGAGACTCTAGAGATCGGGAATGGCAGCTCGATTCGAATTATCGTCGAGATGCTAGGATTGAAGATGATTTCGTGAGGAGGAGTGGGAATTGACGATGGATCCGACGACCGAGACGCTTGGGGCCTGCGATGGCAGAACCGGGACGCAGGTACAATGGTGCGATTGGGGGAGGTTGAGGCTCGTGGGTATTTGGGATGGCTGGGGAGCATCGGTGGAGCACACTAAGGTGGTTGTCGCCGCTAGGATGATCTGGCTTCGTCGATGAGGAGAAGTTCGACCTCTCGAATTAATTATTTTGTCCCCGTTCGTAGCCTTTCGATTTTTTTTGTCTCGAAGAGAATGACGGGGGAGGGGTCTGTTCGAGAGGGGCTGGTTGTACCGGAGAAGGGCGGCGCGTATCGCAGCAGCGTAGAGGACAAGAAATTAAGAGGATGCGAATCTGTTAATGTTGGTGAAAGCGAAAAGGAAAATTATCACTACGTGGACGACAAAACGCCGTTGATGGAAGAAAAAGGCGAGACAAAGACGGGGAAATGAACGAACTCGGATTGAAGAGAAAGGGAGGATGAAGAAAAAGAAGAAGAAAAAAAGAGACAGTAAGACCAGTGAGATCGCGAGTTCAAGCGTTCATGGATCAACGTCCAGTCGCTCTCCTTTGATTGTCACTGCACCCGCGCACGAGAAAGCGAGGGCAAGGACTCAGGGGTTTCCAGTAATATTTGGCCCCTTGTCTGTCCATCGGCTGAAATGAGTGCTGGTGGGTTTCGTTTGGGTGGGAGCATAGAAATGGGCCCGTCAATTGATGGCAGTCCCGAAAGGGGTCACCGTTTCGCTAGCCTGGTGGATTCTTGGGAATGGTTCATGGTTGATGGATTCCCACATCACTGATGTAACTCCGTACGAACATTGATGGCCACGGCAACATTCAAGTCACCAACGACTTGTATCATTTCAGATGCCGCGCTGGAGTGTTCACATTGATGCGACTTCGCAGCTGGCTTTATTTTTCTTGTTCTTTTTCTTTTTCTTGTTCTTTTTCTTTCTTTCTTTTTTTCTCTCTTCTTTTCTTCTATGGCTCAGGTAATAGCTCGCAATTCCCAAGGCAAAGTGCCCTATGCTGTAGATTCGACGGAGACCTTCATGTATGAATACCGTCCTTGCATGCGCCTCGTGTCCTTGTCTGCAGGTGAAATCATGTTGGCACCCATGGTTGAGGGTTAATGCAAGAGATCAATTGATCTATGGACCTGTCGTGCAAGCTCTTTACTGGAACAGCCAGTAGCGATTCGACGAAATCCATCAATTTGGTTATTGGTGAGGACAATATGGGGGTGTATTTGAAACGTTTTTGGTTGCTCGCCCCGGTTTTTCTTCTTCTCTCCACAAACGGCCGCTCAACTTGTGTCTTGCAGCTTGCGCTCACGCTCGCGCTTGTGCCATTCAAATCTAGCACCTTTGCGAACCCCATGAGTGGGGTGAGTTAAGTATTAAATATAGAGATAAACATGAGATAAACCCTCAGGAGGAGTGCCAAACTCCTACGCTAAAATGGTGACAGAGAGCAATCGTGAAAGCAAACAGTCTGTCGAATATCGAGCCCACCGTTTTCTTTTCCCTTTGCTTGAACCGGAGTTGTCTTCTTGACCCCGGGTTTGGAAAACGGTGCATGGCGATCTGCTTGGCGCACCTCATCCCGAGCTCAAAGGAGTAAATTTTGATGGTACTGTGTACCTCTAGAGTACCAACCCCCATCACCCGTCTCCAATGACTGGTGATCGACATTTTGGGAGAAGGACCAGGAAAGCAGAATAGAATCCTCGGGACGGTTGGACAGCCGGCTCACCCTGTCGTTCACCACGCTTCAATGATAGGTAAGAGTACTTCATGGAGGGACGGTCCGTATTGGAAGGAGCATCCCCATGTCGCTCTTCCACCTTGGGTATCGAGGTCTTGATCAAGTAACTACGACCTCGACATGCCCATCACGAGAATCGGGCTAGAATTATCCGACGTTTGTTGCTTAACAAACGGGTAGGAGGACCAGGGGTGACGCCTCTGCTTCTGAAGTGCCCTCAACTCTCGCGTCTGAGCGATTATTAGGATTTGTCTTCGTGCAAGCTTTTGACACCCCACACTACTCGCTCATCACCACTCACGCCCTCGCCCCTTTTCATATTCAGTACACTCTGCAAGGCGGCTAGAATGGCCAAGGACAAGGCAGCAAGAGGGAACATGAAACCCCACGTCGACAAACCACGAAGGAAAATAGCGCTTCGCCCGATCACTCAAGGAATCTATATGGAAATGACCCGTTCAATCTCCTAGGCGTCAAGCCTCTCGTCATCCATAATCCTCGTCAATATTGATCAGGACAAGTATTTGGCATCATCGCCGTAGCGAGGTCCCTTGTCAAGGCCCCACGGTAGTGGCTTCTACCACGTGATATCGCTCACCAATTTTGGGGAACGTGCTGTCAGCTCGAGGTCCATTTGATGCCGGTGATTTCGAATCCATGTTTCCGCTGGTGACGGGACCCACCTCGCTCATTTCTTTCCCCTGTTGGCGGTTGAGTGACGGTGGGAAAAGCTCACAGTTTCTGTGTTTCATGTTTCAGCCCTTGCCAGTTGAATCAAAGCCTTCTCCGTCGGCTTGGGCACGTTCCACTACATTTTCAGCATACCGTCCAGGGGCAGCCGCCCTAGAAAATGTACTCCGTACATCCATAGATCTGGATATATCCTCTGTCGTGGGAAATATTTTCTTGCCGGTGGGGCCATTCATTAAAAACGGAATCCTGCGCGACAGGCGTCGAAGGAGTCTTGGGAGTGTATATTGTTATTATTATAGATCAAACCGGAGCAATCATCGACAACAGGTTGCATCCTGTGCCAAACGCAGAGCTCGAGAGTCATCAATGGCTGTGTATTTGTGTGTTGATACCGAAATTCTTTTTCTTTCCCTCAACCTTTTCTTCTCTTCTCTTTGGCTGTACTAGTTTAGTGCAAAGACGTGGCCATTGCTCCAAAAAAAAAAAACAATTTTCTTGGATGAGGTATTGAAGCAGCACTTTTCAGCCAAGGGCCCCAGAATGCGAAGGGGATTCGGTTTGATGCACTGTCTTCCGCCCTTGGCTTTCTGCTCTCTGGAAGAGACGGCAAGACCTAGCCGTTATCTGTGATGTGTCCAGCGCTAGGTTCCGTCCAACGAGGTTAGGGACCCCATCAAAGTGTTAATATTATTCCAAGCAATCCGTGGATGAGGCGAGCCATGCGGGCCATGCAGTGGGTCTGTCCCGAGACGACTGACATCACAACCCCTATTCATGTGCAGCTAGTGCCCTTGAGGTGTGCAAGAGATCAAGGCCAAACACGATTCGCCAAGAGAAAAGAAATCGCTGACATAAGCCAAACGCGAAAGAGCCGCCGCCGCATGTGTGCAAGTCGAGCAGCGAACCAAGAGAACAACTGGGATTACGTGACCGGACAACCCAGGGCGAGCAAGGGAGGGGAACGGTAGAGGCTATCACGCATGAGGAGATTCATCAATTGCGGCCATCGCTTCAATGCTTGTGAGGGCAAGGATGTGATGTCAAGGGCTAGAAGCCAGCGGCTTTCCTATTAGGTGGAACGGGTGGGAAAGATAGGAAAGCTTGAATAAGAGCCCTCTCCCGAGGTTCCTTCCACGCATGTCGTTTCTAGCCATAGCGCGGTCCTGAGGCTGCGTTTTGCAACCATGATCAGGCTCGCGCAGCTGCTTTCGCCGAGACATCCCCCAGAGGCAAAGCCGCCATGCCTCGTCTGTTACGGACCCGTGACTCGTACGCACTATCAGTCGGTGAGTACTCGCTTGGTCAATTCATCCCATCCACCAATGCCCCCGAGACAAGGGGATATGCTGATTGGCGTTGAGCCGGTTGTGATAGGTTCGACAAAGTTCAGAGCTGGGGCGAAGCGGAAACTGACGGTGAATAACTCGGGATTCCTAAATTTTTGGGCCTGAGCAAGCAGTCGCCCGTTGAGTAGCCAATGAGCTCTCTTCCTCACTAACCATCTAAAGTTCCAGATACTTTGTTTCCATGCTTGCGAAAAATAGTTAGTCATGTACCAGGGACTTGTGCACCTTCCTTTGTCAGCTCCCACCGCCCAAACCTCGTGCTCTCTTCCCCCTCTAATTGCAAAGACCTCATCTGCTCCCCAGCGCGTCATCTTGCTCGATCCCCCAATCCTCAACCCACGAACCGAGTCCCTTCAGCTCACCGAGCACCCCTCCCCGCCATCCCACCTTCCACTTTCTACCCTCACGGCCTTCGCCTTCTCATCTATCATGGCGGCCTGTTCTGTAGCTTAATCGTGACTGGAGCTTTGCCAATCACCTTCTTCGCCAGCTTCGCAAACTCCTAGCCGCCCAGCTCAACCTGTATCAGTATCCGTTGTTCTTCGCATTCCATTCGCCTGCCACTCGCCTACCCTCAAGTTTTTTTTTCCTCTTTCTTCTTGCGCCCCTCGGCTTAATATTGCGAAGCAACACGTTTCGATTCCCGACACCCTTCCTTCCCTCACTAGCGAATCGTCTCCCGCGCAGCATTCCACTCACGATTCCTTCCCATCGACATGCCATCGCGGACGCAAACTGATGCAATGACCACGGCGGATCGCCGCTCCATGGCCGACCCTTCACAAAACCGGGGCCATGGCCCATCCCACCAGCAGAACCAGGAAAACGGCCTGCGCCCGTCCAGTGCCCCGGGCTCCCGGAATGGGTTTATCCGCCCCTCGCAGTCTAGCAGTCGCGCCGACTCGATAAACTCGACCCAATCTAGCCCCAAAGTTCGGCCGGTTAAGCCCCATCTATTAAGATCTAAGAGTGAACATGTCCTTCGCAACGACGACAAAGCTCTCGAGGACAGCGATGATGAGGTCTATAACTGGGGCGCCAGACATGGCTTCGAGGATCACTACCAGTCTGAGGACATCATCACCCAATTGGCAAGCGTACGTATCGGTCCTACACCGTCCAGTCGAGCGATGGCCTCCTCTAACCTTGTTCTTTTGTTTGCAGACATGGTACATGTACTTTACCGACAGACGCCATGAGACGACTGGTCGGCCGAAGCCACCCCATTACGAACTGCAGGACTGGAGGATGCGTGACAGGCTAAAAACCGTATCCGCGGCATTGGCGGTGTGCCTGAATATCGGCGTCGAGCCGCCCGACCAGCTCAAGACGAATCCTGGCGCGAAGCTCGAAGCGTGGACCGACCCAACGATCCCTCCCGGCCAAAAGGCTCTCGAAAACATTGGGAAATCCCTGCAGGCGCAATACGAAACCCTCGCCATTCGGACGCGATATAAGCAGTATCTAGATCCGTCAGTGGAAGAAACCAAGAAGTTTTGCATATCCCTCCGGAAGAATGCCAAGGACGAGAGGGTTCTGTTCCATTACAACGGGCATGGCGTCCCCAAACCCACCGCCTCGGGCGAGATTTGGGTTTTCAACAAGACCTACACCCAATACATACCCGTTTCGCTCTACGATCTCCAGCATTGGCTTCAGGCCCCAACCATGTTCATCTGGGACTGCTCCGAGGCGGGCAATATCTTGAAGAACTACCATCGGTTCGTTGAGAAGCATGAGCAGGAAGAAGAGGAGGCGGCTACTCGCGATCCAAACCATTACCGCATCAATTACCGACCCTATATACATCTTGCTGCCTGCGCCGTCAAGGAGAATCTGCCCACGAATCCGCGCTTGCCTGCGGACCTCTTCACCGCCTGCCTCACCACCCCCATCGAGATGGCCCTCTGGTTCTTCGTCCTCCAGAACCCCCTCAAGACCCCTCTCACACCGGAGAGGGCCAAGAAGCTGCCTGGTCGACTCCAGGAGCGCAGAACACCCCTCGGCGAATTGAATTGGATCTTTACCGCCATCACGGACACAATTGCCTGGACCACGCTGCCGCGTCACCTGTTCCGGAAATTCTTTAGGCAGGACCTCATGGTCGCGGCCCTGTTCCGAAACTTCTTGCTCGCACAGCGCATCATGTCCGTGTATGGGTGCCACCCCAGTCGTACCCCGAGCTACCAGATACGAGGCAGCATCCTCTCTGGCAAAGCTGGGACTTGGCTGTGGACATGGCCCTGGCCCAGCTGCCGATGCTTGAGAAGAAGGATGCGGAAGGTACCGAGTACGAGTACCAGAACTCGACCTTCTTCACGGAACAACTTACTGCCTTCGACGTCTACCTCACACGCGGGGATGCCATGGCGCAGCGTCCGCCTGAGCAGCTTCCCGTCGTCCTGCAGGTTCTTCTTAGCCAGCACCATCGGGTTCGAGCCTTGATATTACTCGGCCGCTTCCTTGATTTGGGGCCCTGGGCCGTGGAGTTGGCGTTAAGCATAGGCATCTTTCCTTACGTCCTCAAGCTCCTCCAGTCTACCGCCACCGAACTTAAGCCGATCATGGTATTCATTTGGACGAGAATACTCGCCGTCGACATCACGTGCCAGCAAGACCTTGTCAAGGACAGCGGGTACAACTACTTTGCTCAAATCCTCCGCCCGTCCGAAATCCTCCCCGTCGTGGACGGCGACGAGCACAAGGCCATGTGCGCTTTTATCCTTGCCATGGTGTGCAGGTCCCACGTTACCGGTCAACGCAACTGCAACGATGCCAACATCATGTCGCACTGCCTTGTCCATCTGCAAAACGATGACAATGCTCTTCTCAGACACTGGGCATGCTTGTGCATCAGTCAACTGTGGCAGGACTTCCCCGAAGCCAAATGGAGGGGGATTCGCGAGAATGCGCATGGAAAGCTTGCGCTGCTCACAAAAGACCCTTGCTGCGAGGTTCGGGCGGCGATGCTCCACGCCATGACCACATTCCTCGGGATCCCAGACCTCACCGACGAGGTCGCCAAGACGGAAGAGTTACTAGCGTGGACAATTCTCGACATGGCAAATGATGGAAGTCCCATGGTGCGCAAGGAACTTCTAGTGTTCCTTTCGCATTTTGTCCTTCGCTACGAAAACAAGTTTGTCGTAGCAGCCTTTGAACATCTACTGGAAGAAAAAGAATACCTCCAGCACCCCCGCGAGGATGGCTCCGATCAAAAGTTGGGTCTTCATTATACGCGCCCTGACAATGTCGAAGCCGACGGTAGCATCAAGCCGACGGTGCAGGGCCTCGCGCAGAACACCATTTTCGCGGCATGCTGGAAGCACGCTCTTGTCATGAGTGTCGACCCCAATCCAGAGGTACAGCAAGCGGCTACCGTCGTCGTAGACTACGTACACAATGCCCTCTTGGCATCCACTGTCGGGGCCCAGGCGCAGAGTCTCATGGACGAGATTAAACGCAAGGCGATGAGGGCGGCGGCGAGGGCTAATGCGAAGAACCACCAACGATCTAGCTTAATCGGCAGCGCCGGTGGTGCGGGTTCTTCCCCATTGCCGTCGCCGGGCCTGCTACGCCGGACTGCTAGCATGCTCTTCCAGCTTCCCTTGTTTGGCGGTGAGAGCAGGTCAAACCATTCAACCCCGGCGCCGTCGCCGACGATGCCCCGTACGCCTTCGATGAAGCTGGGCATGCCACCCGGAAACATCACGGCTCCCCCGAGCAAAACGACGAAGCAAGCGTGTCGGCAAACTACCATGCTGCGAAGGAGCCTGTGTCCGGCAGCTTCGAGGAACGGGATCTCTCCAAAGCTCCAGTTCTCCCTCTTAAGAGTGCGTTTTTGGACTGGTCGGTGGAGTATTTCCGCGAGCCGCAGATGAAGCCGACGGAATCGGACGAGCCCGGTAGCACGGAGTACAACGAGCGGCTTTGGCGGCGCACGCGTAACGAAGCCATCCTCCGGGAGACGCAACCGCAGAAGCAGCTTGCGGGGAGCCACAAGTGGAATAACTCGCTCGTGATGCTCAACAACGGGGTGCAGCCGGCAAAGATGACGTTCCACCAGTACGAGGACCACCTCGCCGTCGCAGACGACGGCAACACAGTGGCCATCTGGGACTGGAAGAAGCAAGGGCGGATCGCCAAATTCTCCAACGGCAACCCTCTGGGGTCGAGAATTAGCGATATGAAGTTTATCAACGAGGACGACCAAGGCTTCCTCATGACTGGATCATCGGATGGGGTCATCCGGGTATACCGCAACTACGATAACGAGAAGAAGATTGAATTGGCCTCGGCGTGGCGGGCATTGACGCACATGGTCCCTAGCACCGTTAACTCGGGCATGGTGTTTGACTGGCAACAAGTATCCGGCCGCGTGCTAGTCGCCGGGGATGTGAGGGTGATTCGGGTCTGGTACGCGGCGCACGAATCGTGCGTGATGGACATTCCTGCGCGATCGGGCTCCTGCGTTACTTCGCTGACGTCGGACCAAATGACGGGCAACTTCTTTGTCGCCGGATTTGGCGACGGGGCGGTCCGGGTATTTGACTTGCGGAACCGGCCTCAGGACTCCATGGTTAGGAAGTGGAAGGATGAAAAGGACCGGCAGTGGATCAAGGCTGTTCACATGCAACGGGGAGGGCAGCGCGAGCTGCTAAGTGCCAGCCGTAACGGCAAGGTCAAGCTCTGGGACATCCGCATGGACAAGCCGCTCCACGTTTACCAGGTAACGCGGGATACGCTCATGACGGCGAGCGTTCACGAACATTTACCTGTCTTTGCTGTGTAAGTACCCCCAAAAACGCGAACGAGAAGGAAACAGCAGCCTATCCCATCCCCCTCTCCCCTTTCACCTCCCTTATTTTTTTCTACTTGGTGATATGGTTGTTCCGAGGCCAGTTAGAAAGTTCATCACTAACGAAAATAAAACAATCACAGCGGAACGTCGGCATACACAGCCAAGGTGTTCAACTTTGACGGGCAGGAGCTCTCGAGGATCGAGCCGTACTCAAGTTTCCTCCAGCAGAACCGCGGCGCCCCCATCGCGGCCACGGCATTCCACCCACACCGGGCCATCCTTGGATGTGCTGCGCGCGGAGACAGCCACATCAATCTGTTTAGCTGCGAGAAACGCGATCCTATGTCTTCTCATGCAGAAAGAGGGTCGAGATACTAGAAGTAGGAGGACATATGCGATCGAAGCACGCTGCATAATCATAATAGTCTGGCCGCTAGCGCGCGAGCTGGGCATGGGCGCATCTGAGAGAGAACGCGGCGGCGGAGAGGGGGAAAGAGGGGAAAGGGAAGATTACAAGTTCTCAGCAAGGGTGTGCATAGCATAGGGAGTTGAGCCGGAGTTACTTTTTTATTTTCTTCTCTTCCTCTCTTTCTCTCTCTCTCTCTCTCTCTCTCTCATTCCTCTCACATTCCACACACGTCCATTTTCACGTTCGCCTTTTCTTCTCGTTTCATTTTCTTTTTCCCGACCCTTGAAATCGTCTATAGGCTTTTCTTTCACATATTATGTGTTTTTGTGTCTTGATACCGGGGGCGGTTTCTTGTATGGAGTCTTGGGGTTTCTACGCTCCTGGATATGATTTATCGGATATATCATGGCGAGCGCGCCACTTTGCATTAGAGGAACGACTTGAGCTCCTTGAGGCGAGTGCGTCTAGAGACAGGGGTAGAGCGGGCGGGAGAGAATGGATCTGGAGGAGTAGTCCACGACCGCGAGAAGCACGTATCAATTATCGCTACAAGTATCGAGGTTGTCCTGTAGAGGTGCAGCGTTGATAGGCGGTTTTCGCAGCAGCGCAAGTCCAACGTTTCGTAACAGTATGCGGCATAATAGATGATAGCCTTAATGATCAGACGGCCAGCCCTCGGATCCTTTCTTTTCCCAATAGAGCCATCATACACATTGAAGTTTCGGGGCGGTTTCGTCCCCGGACAAGCACACGGAGAATTGTCGGTGAAGAAAACGAAAAGAAAAAGCCAAAACAAAAAAGGCCCGAGAAGAGGCGAAGAAACAAAATGGCCTTTCCTTTGGGAAGGGGGTCAAGTTTCTCCGAAATCTTTTTCTTCTCGGGATTAATTCAATGCATCACCAGCCTAGTCCCATCCACAATCTTCCTCCATCGATCTCAATGCGGACAACCCCTGGAACTGTGGATCCCGTCAATTCTCCGCTAGCACGAAATGCCGCCGCTAGTCCAAAAGGAGGAAGGGGCCATGGATCTGCCGAACGACATGCGAAGCAGAAAGAGAAAAGAAGAACAAAAGAAAATAAACGCCGAGTTCAATAGTCTATCACGACTTGTGGAGAAGAGGAGAGTGAGTCAAAAGGAGGGTGGGACCTTGGGGGAAGAATTAATCTTTTCTAGAAAGAAGGTATGGTGAGCTAAGAAACCCGCTAATCTGGGAGGTATCGTAAAAATAAAAGTAATCAAAAAACAACCAAGGCGCTTCATCAACGGGAGCCCTCAGAGCTCGCCCGGAATGGCGTGGCGCTACTACCCCACTAATACCCAGAGGAACAAGAGTAATGAGAGTTTGGAGCTCCTGCCTCCCAACGCTTGAACATGCAGCGTTCAGTCCCAAGTCCACATATCCTATAATCGTCTCATCACATAAAGCAGTAGTAAAGACAGCACGCTATCTGTGGAGTGTGGCCTTTTCTTTTCGTCTCGTCGTCTTTTTTCCGCAATTTAGGCCTTGATGGCCTGCTCCTCGTTGGCGTTGTGAACAGCCTCAGCACCAACGGCGTTGGGGTTGTTCTTGCCCAAGTACTTGGACTTCTTGAGCGAGTTCAGGTGATCCTCCTGATCGTCGTAGTGGTGGAAGCAGAACCAGAAGGCGATACCACCGATGAAGGCGATGACGGCAATCACGCCGTAGTTCCAGACGAGGAGAGGGTCATCGGAGAGAGGGTGAAGGCCTGGCCAATGGCGGCGGCGAAGGCGCTGGTGAAGAGGTTGACCGACATGACAAGCGACTTCATGTTCTCGGGGGCCTTGGAGAAGGCGTACTCGTACGAGGTGACATTGGTGAAGAGCTCCGAGATACCAATGAGGATGTAGGGCAGGCACTGAGCCCACACGTTGATGGGGGCGGGGTCGCAACCTTCCGAGTTGGCGTGGTCGCCGCAAGGAGACTTCTTGTAGATGTAGTACTGCATCACGCAGGCGGCCACCATAGAGAAGGCACCAAAGAAGAAACCAATGGTCATGCGCTTGATGGGGGTGAGATGGATGCCGATCTTGCGGAGGCCGGGGTACACCAGGCGGTCGAGGATGGGCACCATGATGACGATGGAAATGGGGTTGAGGTTCTGGATGATGTCGTTGGGCACGCCGTGAAGCTCCATGGTCGCCGCCTGGGAGGTGAGGTTACCCGTCATCTGGTTGTAGGCGAGATGGAAGATGGGGAGGAAGATGAAGACCTTGCAGGCCACGAGACCACGGCGGACCTCGTCGACCCAGGCGTCATCGTACGTCATCCAGTCAGGGCGCTGCTCCGGGGTACCTGCGAGGGGAGGGCGTACTTCCAGTTGACCTTCTTGAACCAGCCAGACTTCTTCTTGACGTAGAAGAACATCTGCACGCACTTGGACAGCACGGAACCGGTGGGGGCGTGAGCTTGTACTTCTTCTTCTGCGACCACAGCACGATGGGAGCGGCCAAGAAGAGGATGGTGGGAAGCAGGAAAGCGAGCCAGAAGCCCACATACTTCTCAACCCACACCATGGCGATCTGGCCAATGGTGGAGCCGACGTTGATGGCGAAGTAGAAGTACAGGAAGATGCGCGAGTTGGTGATGGCGGGGTCGACAATGACGCGCTCGCCCTTGCGCACCTCGACGCGGAGGCGGGTGTCGGTGTTTTGTTCCGCGAGCATGGGGGAGATGTTGGCCTTGAAGAAACCGGTACCGATGCACAGGGTGAGGAGACCAATGATGAAGGCGCCAAACGCCGAGTTGGGCTTCGTGATCACGCTCGGGGCGGACGCGGCCGTCAGGATGACGTGGGCAACTGTGGAGATGGCGATGGCGATGTGAATCGTGACATAGCGACCGAGTTTCGCGTCGGCAATCCAGGCACTATCGTTTGACGCGTTAGCACAGAGAGCTAACACCCAGAGTAACATCATGCAAAAGAAAACATTGCAAGATTCAATATGGTAGCACACGAGCCCAATTGGCTCGGATTGGATAACAGTAGTGTGCGAAAGGGGTGGGAGGGGTAATGCAAGTTTCGCAACCAACAAAAGTTTAAAAGGGGAAAACTTACCCAACAAGTGGCATGAGGTAGGCGAAGAACTGGTTGAAGAGGACAATGCCCTGGGAAGCCTTCTGGCCCTTACCCAGCGCACCGGGGATCCTGGAGGTGGTGCCGTGGCTGGCACCGGTGTTGGAGCCCTCGGGAAGCGGCCTCTGGACAAAGTTGGTGTAGAGGACGGAGGAGCCGTAGTACGAGAAGCGTTCGCAAAGCTCGGCAAAGGCAATGGTGAAGATGGCCCAGTTCATGTCACCCGAGACACGGCGGAGCGTCTGGAGCTCCTCCTCGGTGGGCTTGTCATCGTACTGCTCCTCAGAGCCAGACTCGTAATCTGGGGGTGTGGGACTTGGTGATGTCGATGGAGCCGCGTCCAGCGAGCATCTCCTTCTCGGTGCCCTGTACGGCCGCGCTAGGCTCGTGGGCCTTGGCGATCTCGGCCGCTTCCTGGCTGAGACCGGTGCTCATCTTGATTTCTGCTTTGCTTGTTTTGTGGCAAGAGAAGGGAGTGAGGCAACGGTATTAGGGGTGGAAAGGGAGGAAGTCAAGGAAGAAGAAAAAAGTGCAGAACGTGGGAGGAGCACAGGGGTATTCCCGAGCACCTGGGCCTGGGCCTGTGGGGTATAATAAACCGGCGGAGAACGCGAAGTGGTGCAGATCTCTGGGGTGGAAGAGTCCGAAGCGAAGGGGAGCAAAGAAAGAGAGGGTAGGAGATGGGGATCACGTCAAGATATATATCCAGCCAATGGAGCCCGGGGCGATATAACACAATCTGAGGAGGGTGGGGAGGATCAATCCGACGGAGCTACACGGACAGGTGTACGGTACCGCGCAACTTTGCCGCGAATAGATAAGAACCTAGTGACATAGGAAACATCTGGGAGACACACAGACAAGATAGCTCAATTCCGCAGAGCGTCCACAGGTGACTTCCTGGAAATAGGCGAGGTACGACAGAAAATGGGGTTATGGCGCAAAGTACCCTTACCCTTCTCAATATCCCATTAGTGCTGTGTAGTGCAGCCCCTGCACTGCTTTTTTCTTTTTTTCCTCTCCCCCTCGATTTTTGGGGTCGGTAGATTATCCTAATTCGTTTTGGAAAGGGGGTGCGAGAGGTTGAACCAGACCCCGCGGGAGGCGAAATGCGGCGCCGGCGTCGACCGTTGACGGTTAGTGGAAGGGACTGCCACGGCGGAGCCCGGGGAAAATGAACAGAACAGGATTGGGGGTTTGCGCTAACTCGCCACGGCAAAGTCCAGCCAGGAGCCAACGCCACGGGAAACATGCTCCGGCCTACCATATCCGTGCGTCCAGCCTCTGATCAAGAAAGGCCCTCGGCATGGCGAAATAGCGCGACCAGTCGAGAGATTGGGCTTCTTGATGGTCAGTCGCGACGAGCCACCTCGCTCCTTGATGAGATGCAAGTGCAGGATGGCGAGGTGGGGTGGAACTGGGGAAAGCGTGCACATATCCACCCCTCTCCACCCCCTCCATATCCCCCTCCCCTTCCTGACCCTCTCCTTCCTCTTTGCCCCCTGTCCCTTGCGGAGAAGGGCCCGTATGCGCCCCGGGAGGTGGTCTTTCCCAACCCGGATCGCAACTCTTGGTAAAACGTTGGACTTGGGGGAAGGGGGAGGGGAGACGCTAGAAGCTCCGCGTCCATTTCCAAAAGGTCCCAAGGATGCGGACCAGGCTCACTGCAGAGGGCAAAGTGGTTTACCCTTCACAGTCCAATTTTAGATATCAAAAAGTAATGATGGGTATCATCGTTCGGGCCTCGGAGACGCACTGGCTATCAGCAATGCTACAGGCCAAGAGACAAGGAAGGAGCAGTTCGCTGCAGATGCACCTTCTCACAGGCTATCCACCTCGCCTCCTTGGATTCTCCACCGCAGCCGATGTCCGTGATGTCTGTCCATGGAGATGGCTACTTGTATTGTGCCCCACGGTCCCCAAACACGAACCCACGGAGGGGTCGGGGGCGCGGAACCTTTGATAGAATATTGAAAGAGCAAACACGAAGAGATAGGACTGACCTATTTGATCCATTGACACAAGCACATTCCGGGACCAACATGCCTAAAGGGGAAGGTCTTTGTCAAGCTCCCGCAGAGTTGGGCCACCTAATCATCCATACCCGTACATCCCTCCACGGTTACCCGCCGTCAACTTCCTAGTAAAGTCAAAAGATGAAAACAGCGATACCCCAATACCACCTACGATAAGCTCGAGAGCCGTGATGATGCAGAGAATCCGGGGATGGGTGAGCGACCCTTGGTCGGGCTTCTCGAGCTGACCAGCTTTCCGTTCAAGAGCGCAGGTGGTTTTTCGATCCGCCACCTCTTTCCCTTCTGAATCGTTCTTTTGCCTCGTCGTTCCCCCTTTCTGCAACCTTTCTCCCTGCTTCTCTGTCTTGCCTTCCCTTCCCTTTCTTCTTCGTATATTATTTACGACCGAGTGGCCCTCGGATGTTTGGGGGTACGAAGGGGAAAAGGTCAGGCCAAAAAATACATACAAGATAAAAATAAAAGAGCCAATCGCTGGCTACCCCAAAGAGCCAAAGAGCCAAAGGTCTGTGAGACAGCAACATCACGCACTGGCTCCCGCTCGCGTGCTCGCCCCTCCCCCGTACAGATCTCGAAAAGTAAGACCGAGGAATTCCCCAGAGCAAGCAACGTCAAGGTCACCAGTGTACTGCTTTGTACATATCTCCATCCAATGGTGTATCTTCATACGGGTATCCTTTGCGACAATTGGTCGGTACCCGTAGGTACAGCCAGTACCCCAGGCGGGCCGAAACACACAGCAACCAGTCGAACATTGGAACCGACTCTTGCTTGATAAGAAATGGACAATGATCCATTCGCAGCCAAGACTTGGTTGGGATATCCAATTCCTTACGAAGAACTCGCAAGCGGCTCGGGAGAAATTTGGCGTCTTCTTCAAATTCCTTGCAAACACTTGCACATGCCGAGTCGCCTCGGGGGTGGATACATAGTTTTCGATTCGTCCTTTTGCCTCTTTTTGTTTTGTTTATCTATCTATTTACTTATACGTCCCTACACGTAGACAACGAGACGGCGCATCAGTCGTCTTCATTCTCGTTATTTGCGCCAGGTTGTCAGGGTCGGAAGGCAGCAAGGTTGGGCTGCTCCCCGTGACCTTCTGGGGTTATGATGGTGAGATTAGACGTGTTGTAGCATGATTTTGGTTGAAAACCGGCACTGGCACGAAAATAATCGCCTGCAACTCACTGCCGGCGCGGTGTGGTGTGGCGTACCTTTACCAGCCCTCCCGCCTTCTTCCTTCCCACGAATACTCAAATCGCTGATGGCGGGCGGACGGTGGTGTGCTCAACGTTGCCTCTCCCAAATTCACATGTCGTCACCTTCCCTTCTTTGGGAGATTGGGCTCTCTGATAGGCTCGTGTTGATCTCGAAGGTAGGTGCGGACCAGGGTGTATGCATCCTGCCGATCCCGAAAGCTAGGGATTTTTGTTCTCGACTGCCCCCTCCTTACCCTTTGTGGGCAGGCTCTCCGCGATCTGGGCCGGGCCCACACAAAGTTCCTTTTCTTTTTCCTTTTCTTTTTTCTCTCCCCCATCTCTCGCTCCCTTTTCCTTTCATCGACACGGTTTTGCCACAGGGCCAGCTGTACAACTATGTACGCAAGTACGCAAGTACGCTAGGTGCGGCCGCCCACCCACCTGGCGCTTTCAGTGGGTTACAATCAGTCTCAGGGGGATTGAGGATGGCCAGAAAGGAAAGCAGTCAAGCTTTCTTGGCCTGTCAACCTCGACTTGCCCGAGAGACATCCTCAAGGTCTCTCAGTGTTGTTGATCCTTCCGTGCCACGAGACAGACTCAGAAGCATCCTGACATTGCTCCTTCCTTGGATTCTGCCTCTGGCATTATGCAGAATTGGTAATTGGGACAAGGTGGTTGGGTAGATTGATGCAACCTTCGTGCGCGTGCGGTCGCCTCCCACGGCCCTTGGTCATCCTCATACATTCCTTCAAACTAGCTTGAGAGGAATCGCCGGTCTCATTTTGTGACAAGCAGCTCGATGCAATTGTACTTTGTGTAACTAAAAGTACAAGCAAAATAAATCCATGAGCGACGACATTCATCGTCACTATCCTCGGTCCTCGCTGTCTTGCCGGTGTGGCAAGGTCCATTCGTCGTGCTTTTTGATACGAAGCGGGTTGTTTCCTCAGGCGTAAATTTCGGCCGGATGTGTTGCCAACCAGTGCCAAGCGCCAAGTGCCCAGAGCCCTCGGCAAGGCTTGAACGGACGACACGGACCTGTCCGTGGCGTGGCTTCCGAGGAGAGAGCGCCTATCAACGGGACGGGAATAGTATAGAAGCTGGTGGTTTTCTTTTTCCCCTTACGTTCTTTCCATAGCTGACATCAGCCAACCCACTGCCGAAGCATGGCGGTGGTGGTCTATCATCAGCGAACGAACAGGTATCACAGCCCTCCCTGGTGCAAAGGAGAATTGCCAATTCCTCTCCCTCTCTCCATCATATCATCAATATTTTCTTCTCTCTCCTCCCTACCGCCATGACGAGGAACCCTTGCTTCAGGAGCTTATCACCCTAAAGTACAAGTAGGCTTGAGGCATTGACAAGGTAACTAGCCCGTCAAGAGTGGCCCTCCTTAGCAGCGTCTTTACACTCTCGTGGTGCGCTGCCTTGAAAGGAGCGGGTGGTGGTCGGGCTCCGGGGAGATAGCCCGGGAAAGGGCTTCTCAAATTTTGGGGGCCTAACTTTACGACCCCTCATGTCCACGCACACATACGAGTATCATATATCATGCACTATGATCCACGATGTTGTGGGGAGCGTTATGAGAAGCAGGATGGGGCGGGTTCGACCGCCATGCCTCGTCGCGTGTCGGGGTAACATGTTCATGAGCGGGCCAGGCCAGGCATTATCAGATGCCAATCTTAGAACCTGAGAACGGGGTCTGTCTGCCTGTATAAAGGGACCTTTAATCATACTATTAATGGATTCTGCATCCTAGAGAGCTTGTGGGGTTCCAGTAGACAGCCCACACTCTAAACTATGGTTGAGCTGTTACCGACATCTTGGGAAGCCTCGTGAGGACGGAACAACGAGGCCCTTTCTGCTTGCTACGCGAGGTGACACGAAATCAAAGGAAAAGCCGTGCCATGGATCTGCTTCCTTCCAAAGACTCTCGGCACTCTGATCCGACCTTTGCCCTTCGCCCCTTCTCATCTCGACGACGGTACTCGGGAGGGGGCGGGTACGAAAGGTGTCGTCCGATATCATGATGAGATTGTCAAGATAACATCAAGTCTGGAAGTTTTATTCATGGTGCCGATGGGGTTCTTTGTTTCGCGCCATACCCCTGGCAACTCTTGGCGTTCAAGTTGGACCACATGCGTCCAGCGCATACCAAGGCGGAATTTGTCCATGTCCCCATCAACACGAGGCACTCGATCATGCCCGATGTGATGCGTGGAGCCCAGACAAGAAAGATCCTGAATTGCGCAAAAGGACCTTTGCTTCCACAGAGGGAGGCACTCCTTGGCGGGATGGGGCCAGCAAAAAAGTGGGTGAGGTTACGCCGAGGCTAGTGATTGGGGGAGGAAAATAAGATTGGAAAAGAAAAAGAAAAAAGAAAAAAAGACTTCAAGACCGTCGAAAGGGCAATAGAAGGCAGGAGAGAACGAAGTAAATGGAAAAGATAAGGGCCTAACCGAATTAGTTCAGCTTGAGTTAAAGCTCCCCACTGCCCAGTCCCAGTACCATTCCCCACTGGCTCCGGCGTCAGCCGATGGAGAGGTAACTCTTGACAGCAACAGCAGCACAGCAGATTCGGCTCAACGCGGTATATCATTTAAGCCTGGCCCCTCAGGACTTGATCCCTAAATTGACCCCACTGGGTTGGCTCAAAAAGTTCGTCAGGGTCTGTCGGGGGACTTTTGGGTTGGCTTGTGTGGGCCTGGTTGGCCAGTCTGGTGTGATACGTGAGGAGCGGGCCAGGAGCCAACATGGTGCGGGCATGCAAGGACACACCGAATTTGATCCTGGATCCCTCGAGCTCTAAGCTCAGTCCAACTGATGGATCCTTTCTCCTGTCATGGAATTACAAGTAATAGCATTAGCGCCTGGCGTGGAATCAGGGCAGCCGGTGGCTTGCAAGATCTTGAGGGCACCCGCATGATGGATTCAATATTGTTCTGTTCAAGCAATCAGACCCGCCTGACAATTGATGCACAATCCGAACAACCGGATGATGGCTGGTGTTAATGGGGATTATGATGGACCCGAGGCCCGAGACCAAAGAGGTTTTCATCTCCAATACTCTCCCTCTCCTCATGCCTCATGCGCACCCCCGCAGCCTTGAACTTGCGCTGGGATGGAATAGTTGGCCCATCGGGCCCGGCGCATGGCTCCTTCTTGGATATCTTGTTTCCAGACCCGGCCTTGGCTCGCCCGCTTCCTCGCTGGGAGCATTGGGCCGTTACATAATGAATGGAGGGAAGCATCCGAGAAAAAGGCATCAAAAGTTCCATCGTTGCTAGTGCGCTGCGAGGCACCAGCACCAGAGCTGCACATCAGACGTTTGATATAATACCCAAGGGGCTGGCACCACCATCCTGGCTTAGTGAGCTCATCCTCCTACGATTACTGTAGGAAGGGGTGAGGAAATCCTTGGAGTGAAGAACTATCGGCTATCAGGACAAAGTCGAGAGCTGGTGGGGGTAACAGCGCCACCCTTTACACCTTTTAGCTCTTGCTGTAGAACCTGTCAGTTGATTCCTATCGAAGGCTCGCTTCTTCGGCAGGATAGCAAGAGGCGAAGAAAGAAAAACACGAAGACGAAATTTCTCTTCTGCGCTCGTGTTAGCTAGCAGTTCTTGTTGTCTCGGTCTTGCTCAAGATGGTTTTTCATCTTCCCCACCTTTTGCCTTTTCTTAGTCTCTTCCTCGCTTGCTCTCTGTGGTTTCTTTCTCCTTTTTTGTTCTTTTGTGTTGAAAAAAAAAAACAACCTTCTCCACCAACCCCACCATCCTAGCGCAGCATGAATCCCCATTTGGGTAGGAGCACCAGGAAGGGGACACTGGAATGCCGGAGAGCTGGGCCTTTGCCACCACCGGCGTCAATTGACACTTGACGAGATCCCCGCGGTCAGCCGGCCGAAACGATGCTCCGGCGCCGAGCAGGCCGACTTTGGGCACCTCCTCCGCGGCGCCACCTTTTTAGAGGGTGGCTTTTTTCCCCGCCATTTGAGGGTCAAGGTTGGCTGTCAGTCCGTCGAGGACCGCCACCGAGGTCAGCCAAGATCTGAGAAGCGCCGAGACTAGAGGAAGCTTGTCAATTTCCATCGCATAATGATTTTGGCTGGCGCGAGAAATTTGCCGAGGCATCGAGTTGATTGAATTGTAGACAATCGGAAACCGGCGGCTTTTCCCATATCGAAAAAGGCCAGGCCCTGTCTATAGAGGTTCTTAAGAGGGTCTATAGAAAGGAAATAAAGATTAAAAGCTACTGCCGAAACTCAATCTCTGTGCACCTCACCCTCCAGCTTCAACTGAGAGCGGACACCCTCAAACCCCCACACCGTCAGCTTGACCTACAAGGACATCTGTCGTGCGCATATAAAACAGTCTGCTATCTCAAGACAGTTAGACAACTTCTACCGCATCGTAGTACAATTGATTCGCAGGACTGGAGTTGATGTCGTGAATTGAGCCGGGCCTCTCTGTTCCATTTCCTGACGTAATCCCTAATCAAGAGTACTGGCTTTTCTTCTGCCTCGGATGCCTCGATCTTGACCACATTGACCCTGAGCTGTCTTTTCTTTCTTGGCGCCTTGGGGTCAACCTGGGTTCGCCCAGAAGTCAGTCTCGATGAGTGCCAAGGCGGGTGGTGCCAAACTGGACTGGAGGACTATGTCAGGGATGGAGCCCGTCACGTGTCCATACCATATACAACATGACATGACAAACGAGCCGGCCGGAGTAGCCAAACGGGTTCGGCGCTATATTATAGAGGCTGTTTGGTGCTGGGGAATGGGGAAGGCGCATCGAATTCGGTGGATCATGTAATAATATCCGCAATTGCCCATACGAACTTCAATGCGTCAAGGAGCCAGCCAGCGGCACGAAATTCACTCTAAACAGTCATTAATCTGGGACAATAACCACGCCGTCCGCCTCTTGCGCTAACGTGAGGGACAATCGGGACACAACGTGGTGAATGACTGGGAGATATAGCAAGGTGGGAAACGGACCGCCCTTGGCTTTTATACGTCCATCTAGTGGGCAATGGATCGATCGATTGATCCAATGTCGGACGGGCCCCTGTGGATATAAGTGCTCCATCGTCTGAAATTTGGTTTCAACGGTGTAGAATGGCCCTTTTTCTTCATTTATTGCATTGTGCGTCCAAAAATCGACCAGGCGACATGACTTCAAATGAGGTGTCTTGGCGCTTCGCACATCAACCCATAGAGTAATTGAACCTGCTGCGCCTCCAGAGGGTGATACTGAACCCTCTAAAGACCGAAAAAACCGGTCTTGGGAAAGCAATTGATCTTCTTCGTCTTGGCTACCAGCGTGTCCGCCCACGCGCCGCGCTAGAACGCTTCCAAGACCTCGCAGCCAAGACCGGAACTGAGTTTCTCCATGGTTCCCCACAAATTCCCGTCCACTTTGATCCCGGGAGGCAGGCGCCAGGAAGGGGGCAGGAAGGTGCGAGCGCGTGCTTGCTTCCCGTCATTCCGGAGCTGATTCTTCCGCCTGCCGTGCGCGCCTGCTTGTGCTTTGCTTGGCCTGGTTGGAGCTTGGTATAACAGCATAGTCGTCTTCATCAGCCAAGACGCGACATACTCAACTGTGTGCCCTCCCCCACACACACACACACACGCACCATGCCGCCCGCCAGGAAGAAATGAACTCGAGAGCCTCCTGCCAACTTCACCAAGACGCGATTGTGAATATGAAGCAATGAAAGAACACACCAGGAACTCGGGGAGTGCGGGAACGAGGGGGCTACGCAGCATGTGCCCAGACATGGGAGATGGGATGAAGAGCGGCCGTAAAAAGAAATAAAGGTCTTGGGTTACACGCCGAGTAGAAGCTAAACCAGAACCAATTGCCATCAGCCGCCATCGTCGCCCCCTTCGCCGTGATAACTACCCGACACCACGCCGGCCAGAGCCTTGGTTGTCTCCTTTAAGTCTTTCCTTCCCCGCCGTTCCGGACAGGACGCTCTCGGTTCGCTGCTCGCCCTGCAAGTGGGTCCGGGGAAAGAGGAAAGGCGAGAGAAAGGAAAAGATATTCGGAATCTTTGGCCCGTTAGCAGGCCGTTTTGGGTCGAGCTACGGCCTGGAATTGAGGCTGGATAGTAAGCCAAGCTGGTTGTTATTGCTTGGCTTCATTTAAACCCCCATTTCTGTCAATTCACGCATCACATCCTTCAATCTTCTGCTTGTCTCTTGTCCCTCAATGCGCGCCGCAGCCTGTGTGCCCATTACCCACACACTCTTTCTGCCCTCCCATGGGTCTGGTCCCGACGGAAGAGATGATGCTTTCTTCCGGCTGCGCTCTCTTGGCTCCAGAGACCTCACTCTGTCCCGCTGTCCCCCCTTGTGCCCCTTGTCCCCCTTCTGAGCTCGCAGAGCTCGCGTAGATAGAAAGGAAGAGAGCTCCCCGGGGATGGTGCGTGCTGGCTTTCCCCTTCATGATAGCCTCATCCTCCTCCCCGCCTCCCGTCCAGACCCCGCGTACGGCCCAAGCGTCCACTCCTTTAAAGACGACAAAAGAGAGATAGGAAGAGAAAAGCCGCGATTGTCGACTTTCTTTTTCTCTTTTCGTGTCATTAGTCAAGTTGAAAAAAGAGAAAAAGGAAACCCTCCTCTTCTCGCAGTCCATTCGTTTTTCTCTTCTTCTAAGAAGCCCCCAATCTTCGACAATGTCTCTCAAGAACATCCTCGTCGCGCTTGCGGCCATGGGCGCCACCGTCGTGGCTAGCCCCGCCAAGTCCAAGAGGGCCGCCGCCTACGACGGAAACCCCTTCGAAGGCGTGGCCATGTACGTGAACCCGTACTACCGGGATGAGATCCACGACCTCGCCCTTCCCCAGATGACCGGCTCCCTCGCCGAGAAGGCCAAGCAGGTCGCCGAGATTCCTTCGTTCCAGTGGCTGTAAGTGTGCATCCCGCAACATGTCTTCCCCCAATCCATCCCTCTTTTATTTTCGTGAATAAAGCGAAATATCAAGACGGATTTCTATCAGATCCCCCGTCTTGCCCGGCCTTGGCACTAACGCTTTCCCTCCCCCACCCCCACAGTGACAAGATCGCCAAGATCGACCTCATGTCCTCCACCCTCGCCGAGATCCGCGAGGCCAACAACGCCGGTGCCGACCCCCTACGCCGGTCTGTTCGTCATCTACAACTTCCCCGACCGCGACTGCTCCGCTAAGGCCTCCGACGGTGAGCTCCACCTCGACGACAACGGCCTCGAGAGGTACCAAACCGAGTACATCGACCCCATTGCCGAGCTCGTCAAGGAGTACGACGACATTCGCACCATCTTCGTCTATGGTATGTCCCTTCCTCTCCCTCTCTTACCACTCGGTTCCCCTTAACCTAAGAATTAATTTTGAATTGTGCTAACTCCTGTCATAGAGCCCGATGGTCTTGCCAAGTAAGTTTCTTATGGAGGAAAGAGAAAACCCAACCTCACTAGGCTCCTTTCCCCGTAACGGGAGAGCAGAATTGAATGCCTAACGTTGAGACTTGGTCGACTAACATGTGGAATTTCATCACAGCCTCGTCACCAACCTCGAGGACTCCCAGCCCAAGTGCCAGGGCGCTGCCGAGGCTTACCACCTGAGCACCGTCTACGCCATGGAGACCCTGAACTTCGGTACGCCTTCCCAAACCCCCTCACACAAAGATACCCTTTTCTGTATATACCATAACTGTTGGGGGAAGAAATTCCTTTCCCTAGCCATTATCTCGTACTCTACTAACCACGCGACCCGCAATCTCCACAGACAACGTCGCCCTCTACGTCGACGGCGGCCATGCCGGCTGGTTGGGCTGGCCCGGCAACCTCAACCTCACCGCCGAGGTCTTCGGAAACGCCTTCAAGGAGGCTGGCAAGCCCAAGAGCGTCCGTGGCGTTGCCACCAACGTTTCCAACTACAACGCCGTACGTTGCAAGAGCCCTCTTTCCCCCTTCTCTCTCTCTTTCTCTCTCTTATCCACCCAGGTGCGGGCAAAAATATTTGTATTCTCGCTAACACCAAGCCCCCTTAGTACAACGTGACCGAGCCCCCGCGTACACTGATCCCAACCCCAACTGGGACGAATCCCGCTTCCACGAAGCCCTCGCTCCTTTCCTCGAGGAGCACGAGTTCCCCGCCCACTTCATCGTCGACACCGGCCGCTCCGGCGTCCAACCCGCCGGCCGCGAGAGCTGGGGCAACTGGTGCAACATCAAGGAGACCGGCTTCGGCATCCGCCCCTCTTCCAACACCCCCACCGAGCTCCTCGACGCCTTCGTCTGGGTCAAGCCCGGCGGTGAGTCTGACGGTACCTCAGACGAGGAGGCCGTTCGCTACGACACCATGTGCTCCTCCAACTCGAGCGTCATCCCCGCTCCCGAGGCCGGAGACTGGTTCCAGGACTACTTTGAGATGCTCATCAACAACGCCAACCCCCTTCAAGGTCTCCTGCAAAAACAAGGCCAAGAGGTCTGCTAAGCTCTTCTAATTAAGGAATGGAACAAGTGCTGAGACTATACCACTCACACGAGGACATATACTGGAGAGATGAGGAGCCAAGGTCGAGGGACGCTTGGGCATGTATATATGTAAATATGTATCGTATGTGAAATGACACAAACAACCAAGACCTGCAACAAACACCATTCGTTTCTTCTTCCCCCTTTTAGTGCTATTGTCGTCTCTCTATGTACAAGGACGTCTTTTTACTTCTCATAAAAAGGGTGAAGTGTTCCAAGATATCCTAGGTGAAAAACATAAACAAACGCAGCAACAGTCTCTTTACAGAAAAGGACACCATCCAATATACATGGCCGCCAAGTTCATCGGATCGGTCGCCTGTTTAATAAGCTCATCGACCTGGCCCTCGACACCCAAGGGGATGCTCTGATCCCGCATAAGTCCCCTCACTTTCCTCTTGATGCTATCCACCACCCCCTGCGGATAAAACTTGACCCCACCATCGCCCCTCCTAGCGGGCTTCTTCTCCTTTTGTAAATCCAGCGTTGGGTCATAGATAAAAGCCTCCAGAATCGTCATCAAGGTCTCTTCGTGTTGCCGGAGTATCGAAAGCGTGAGCTCCGAGCACTGCCTAAACGGACCTTCGTACCCATACACCCCCATAGCCGCCACCATGTTGTGCGTGAGCCGGAACGGCACCCTTTCCGGCTGCGCAAACGTCGTGCCCTTGTCAAAAGGCAGTTGAAGTCCACGTGGAACACACCACCGTTCCCTTCCTCGAGCGATACGTTTTCTCCGTGCCGGTCGCCCAGACCGAGAATCGTCCCCAGCATCGACATCACCGCGCACGAGCGCGTGTACCGGATGCGTGCAGAGAACCAAGCCGAGGGGTCGGGGAACTGATTCGAAAACCAGAGGTGCAAAACGGGCGGGAACATGCCGAGAACCCCGTCCGTGAAGATGGAAACCTTCTTTGCTGACGAGGCCGCCTCGCGCATCATATTTCGAATCACGTTGTAGTCGGGGAAATGTTGCGCGCTGCATAGAGCGCGAGGAGCACGTCCCTGAGCGTTTTCAGGCCTTCTACCCATTCGATGATACCGCATTCCTCGTTCAGCGGCGTCACCGCGTAGGTTCGGACATAGAGCTGCCGCTTGCTCGATTCAGCATCGCGCTTGAGAGCCCTATTAATCATGGAATTGAACTCCATAAGGCGCTGATCCGTCCGCAGGTCATCTTTTGGTTTGATGAGGAGCGGGTATAACTTCCCGTCCGACCCGCGGGCGGTGAGGCGCCTCGGCTTCGCCAGAGATCCAAGCACAAGAACCTCGTCGAGAAACGAATCAATAGTCACAACGTCTCCTGAAAACGCCTCATGAGTCTTCAGGCTGTCCGTCACCGTCGGCAGCGTCGCTGTCAAGCCGGCCTCTGTTGGTACGACAAGAGGGCACGGCGTGCACCCATGATTGAAACCCAAATCTCTCACAATGCTTGCTTTGACCGTTCGGTTGCTCTGGAAGTCGCCATTGTGGCACGCCAACAAGAGCTGCTCAGCCAACTTCTCGCCTTTTCGAATGATGTCCCTCAGCGAAAACTTGGTCGAGTCAACCTTTGTCGTGTTCGCCTTGAGTCGGCGGAGGATCTCCTGTCCGCGAATTTGCCGGTCCGACTTTTGTCTTGTCGTCATCACCCCAAACAGACTCCAAAGTGCTTGGCGAGGGTGGGCCTCCACCACCTTGACAATTATGTCTGCAAGTCTGGTGAATGCATCCTTGTTTGGGTGTGCAATGCGCGCCACGATTTGAGGCAACGCGGTGTAAAATATGTATGCGGGCAGCCGAGCCCTCCATTTATCGAGGCTGGAGTGGAGTTTGTTCAGCTGTTCCATGCGTCGCCGGTATAGCTCGCGCGAGACGGATTGCTTCCCTTCGGGAGCCTTATCCAGCTGCGCAGCGGCTCTAACCACAGGGTCAAAATCCTAGGCAGAGTTTGGTACAGGTATTTGGTCCCATAATTGAGCGCACGGAAATAGTTTTCGATCAGGACGCGGGCAAGCTCCCCCGTGACGTACACGTCGCTCTGATCGTCTGGGTTGAGCGTCTTCTGCCACTCCAAGAGCTTCTTGTAGTGCTTGCCGAGGTAATAGTGGCCCTTTTCCCAGGGAGTGTGGGTGAGGGGCGGCTTCTGGTATTTCTCCCTCAGCGCCGCAGCGTGATGTGCCCCGGTACTGTCCAGCCACTTGGCAAGAAGCAGCTCTCCACGAGCTTTGAGCAAGCGTTGCGGACAGTCAATCGCCCGCGAGGCTGGGATACTGTCCATCTCTTCCTGCGTCACAAGCTCGTTGTTCTCGATCGCCCCACCGAGCACCTGGATAGCCTTGCGGTGATGGCCTTCCTTCCATAGAAGCTTTGCGTTTTCAATAGCGGAGGATCGATCGCCTAATTTCGACGCATGGAGAACAGCATTGTAGGACTGGTGGGTGGAGTTGCTCTTTCTCGCAAGGCGCGCACTGGACATCCACAAGCTAGAGATGTCTAGATCGGAGTAGGTTGGCCTAGGAAGAGCCTGATCAGCACATACACGTTCCGCGCCTCACTCCCCTCATCACTCTTGTTCACAAATTTGGGTAGAGTCCTTACCTGCGTAGTTCCATCGCCGCCCGCTGGATACTCAAAAGATATTGCTTATCTTCAACATACGCACCCAAAACATCCAACCGACGCCGGAGGATACTTAGAGTTGGTCGGTTATCCAATTCATCCCCCAGCTGGGATTGCCCCTGGTGAGAGAGAATGAGTTCCAGGTCTGTTAGAATGTGACATCGCAGCATTATATCGTGGCATGACTGTAGCGATGCCGTCTCTGTGAAGCCCATGGAAGCAGCTATGCGTTCCCTGATGCCGTTGATCGCGGGAAGCAGGTTATCTGTACGTCCTAGGTGGAAATCGCGAAACACCTCGCCAATGGCAACGTCGAAATCGGCATATGCGGCTTCCGAAGACTTGGCCAAATCCAGGTATTTCGATAGCGACTCCCACCGACTCGTCGCCCACGAGGCTTCGACGGCAAATGGCAAGATCTTGGTCTGGGCACCGGCTTGAAGGTGCATCCCCTCTGCATAATTAAGGAGAACATCTTATCAAAGAAAAAAGCGTTAGCTCTACCTAAGCGGTTGGGAAAATGGTATAAAGGACTTACCGTGTTGTCCCGTTTGCTTTAGACAGGTGAGAAGATCGTGCTGGACGTCCGAGTTGTTTGGCTCAGACGCGAGCCGTATCTCATACCAAGTCTGCGCCGCAGTCCACCGTCCAGCTTTTCGGTGGCCTAGTACCTGTTGGTTGATGTCCAAGCTCTGCATTTGAGCAGAGAGCCCCTCTAGGCCGTCTGGTTCGTCAATGTGGGCGTAGATATCTTGTAGACGCTCCATCATCTTCGAGTGCTCATCCCCTATAAGTTTGCCTTCCTGCATGTGATACTCGAGGTAGAAGAGCGCCCTAGAGTACTGCTCACAGTCAAGAGCCCGCTGGGCGAGCATTTGCGATGGGGTACGGTCTAGGAACTCGCGAATCCTATGAATGGCAGGGTCGTCCTTGGGTGTGTTCTTTGTCCTCGCTTGCCGTGCATGCACCCACCGCCTTAGGTAGTCCAAGATGCGAAAAAGAGCCTGTGATAAGATGGTGTAAGCATTGTAAGGGGTGCCAATATTCTTTGAAGATATGTTGCTACAATCTGAGCTTACCTCGTAGAATAATTTCATGTCTTGTCGCTCGTCAGCGGTGGCCCCGGCCGGAACCTCGTAATGTAAAATTGTCGCAAGCTCCGTGACAACGTCCTCGCGGAGCTGCCGAGGCGTGTCTTCACTCACAATGATGTGTGACACCACGTAGGGAAGAAGAAACTCGGGAACCGAGGGGTCCTTGAGTCGGGTGACGCGGGTGAGAGGCTCGAAGACAAGGGATGCGTTGGCGTTTTGAGGCCTCCGGAGAAGGTCTTGCACAAATGATACTACCCAGGCAACATAGGACTTTCCGGGACAGAAGATTGGATACTTCAAAGAGCTGGTGTCTGCGCAGCCAATATATACCGAGAATTCAAAAGGGGTGAGAGCTTCCTGAACAGAGACAGGCAGTTCTTTCCACTTCCTATAAATGTCAGCGCTTCCACCTCTCGAACCAAGATCCTGGCTCAGCACAGCTATCTTGATGTCACATCTCTCCAGGAGCTCCTGGATTGCGTATGAGAGATATCCCTGCCTCCGGGGTCGGTTGCGGAGAGGAAAGCCTTGACGAGCACCTCGGTCAATATGTAGAAACCAAAATGGCGACGGTCGTCATCATTTTCAAAGTTGTCAAGAACAACGATGGACTTTTGTTCACGGGGAGCCTCCACGCGATTAGAGTCAATGCAGCCCACAAGGCCAATGCATTCAGTGCAGAGCCTTGCGATATCAAGATTGATGCCATTGTACTGAGAGGCGCAGTCAAGAAGGGCGCGCACCACGGTTTTCAATACCGGATCCGGATTCTCGCCGATGGCTGACGTTTGCAGGTAGTCTTGGTTCGCTTTCAAGTAGGAAACCAACTCCTCGAGCGCCAACATGACAACGCCGGAGTGCTCATGGGTTATGCGTTCAGCAAACGTGTAGAAGGCGGTTCTTTTGTCAAGGGGGCCCGCAGGGATTGCAGGCTGGACTCGAGGCGCTTGAGATCGGGAACACGATCAAGAGACGGTATTCTGTTGATCTCGGACTCTATTACCACAAGGTGTTTTTCAAGAATAGTTTGTATCAACTCCTGCATCCGTTTTCGGGTAGGTTCGTTGGATACCGGCCAGTAATGGATGATGATGAAGAAGGTAGTTTCAAGGAGGACATCAACATCCTCCTCTTCGAGGTGATAGATCATGTTTGCCCAACAGGAGAAAGCACTCTCCCGAAGGCCGTGAATATCAAGGGCAGCTAGGAGACATGCTGATATCTAGTGCCCAACCAAGTTAATAGCAAGAACCAACAATACGGGGGGCTTGAAGAGCGGAAGTTGTCTGCTAACCTGGGGGCGGGCCACCCGAACGTGGGCTTTGCACGTCCGTATCATCTCCTCCATGGCTTGTATACACAGGCGCTGCTCCATCGTGGCAGGGCGACCGAATGCGGCAATGTTGATCACGTCTGTCAATCTCGTCATCAACCCTAACACATGGGGCTGAAGGAACCGACCAACAACATTCCCTTTTCTCGCTCTGGGCTCACCCGCAATACCCACAATGGGAGCAATCTGGGTCAGAGCGTTCCGTGCCTATAGCATGTTAGCAATGATATCGATAACGCGTTGAGCGTGTGACTAACCGCTGATTTTCTAGCCTCGTTCCCTTCTGCGGCGAGCTTGAATAACTCTAAAGCGATGGGTACTAGATCGGAGCGGAGAAGCGATTGAATTTCCGTTGCTTCAAAATAGGACGTTATCCCAGTCAGCTTGGCCATCACGAAGCCAGAAATATCCTCGACGGGCTGGATGAGGAGAAGAGCTAGTATCTGGCCAAAGTTGCCACTATCAACAATTGTTAACTGGAGCTCCTTGTCCTTTCGGGCTTTGGCGATTCGTTCCACGACATCATTTTTCCCTTGTAAGACGAGCCACGGAAGAGCCCGGCGATGGACGAGAACAAGCAGCTCATTAACACTGATGCCAAGAAGATCTGCCATTAATGTGCTTGTTTGGGGCCTGGAAATGACATCTTTGACGACGAAGTGCGCAAGTCCTCTCCAAAAGGGTTCAAATAGCTTGAGTGTCGTCAAACCTCGTGCTGAGGCAATGCTTGACAGCTAAGAATCACAGCTGTCAGCCACGGGTCAAGATAGCGCGAGTGAACGCGTGAGAACGGAACGAGACTTACTTCTTGGAAAGCCAACGCCATGAAAACCTCATTTTCACTGCCAAGATACTCGACCAGCTTGAGCAAGGTCAGGTTGAGCTCCTGGTCAGAAGCAACCCTAGGTGTTTGTGTTAGCGATAGCTTCTGGACTGTTTGCAAGAGAGACACAAAGGAACATTACTTACCGGCCAAGTTGGCCCCATGCCATTATACAGGTCTCTTGATAATGAGGCGGTGAGCTGTCTGAGATGGTTTTAAGGAAAGGTATCAGGCTCTCCATATTGCGCGACATGGCGCTCATAACGCCATGGGATAGATCGCGGGGGACTTTATTTTCCATCAAGACTAGTTCCAAGTCACGGACCAACAACGGGAGCGTTCGACTAAAAAACGATGTGAGAAACACAAGGCGGGATCGAGGAATGATATTGGGGACACGACACATACCCTGCTACGATACGAAGCTCTCGAATGGAACTCTTGAGAGAGCGAACACACCACGAGGCGAGGGACGAACGTTGGATATTGAGAAAGTCAGGGTCGATAGAGTGGAGGATATATCGGCGAAGGGCCATCATAGCTACTACTCGAGGCCGCCTACACAATTGGAATGCGGGAAGCTCAATGATTTTGGCAAAGGTAGAGTACGCTTCGCTCTTGGCCCACGAGTCCCCAGATTTCGGGGGCAGTCTTGAGCTTGCCTTGGAATTGGAGCAAAACGAACACGCCATGCTCGGCTGCGGCCCGGTTTTGGAGCCTGTGATGGATAGCACCCCGTCTGCCGCACATGGGACTCGACTCAGGAGCTCTATCAGTTGGCATTTCCGGTCATCATCAATCTGAGGAAGCCGTTGCTAAGACCGCATGACCCGTCAGCGTTTTCTGGCAGTGTACGCCTCGACTCCCGGGGTAATGCGTGTGGTTGGCTGTGTCAAACTTACAGGATAATGTCCCCGAGCCCTCTTTCCTCAGTCATTGGGCCGACAATGTGAGAGATTTGTTCCAGGAGTAGGTTCAACACAGCGTCACCGTCAGTAACTTTACGCCGCTTTTTCTCTGGTGGCGCCGTCGCTCCGTTAGAGTCTTCGTAATTGAGACAAAGTGATTCCACCTGATTCCGCAGCTCCCCGTCTTGAAAGAGATCGGGTCGTGCGCCTTGGTCGAATGTAGTCGGCATCTGCATCGCAGATGATTCCCGTAACAAAGTTGCAGCTCTCTAACCTCTTGTTAGTGTCAGGCGCCTATACGCAGCATGGAACGATGCCTACCGCAAAGTCAGTTCCCGGGCCCAGTTCGGGAATCTCCGAAGATAGGTAATCGCAATGGCCTACTACGTGGGCAGAAACTAGGCGACTAATGGCTCTGTTGGAGACGGAAGTTTTAGTGAGGCAGATGATTGAGCGGCACAGACAGCTTCTAGCATCTTTGGAGGCCTCGCTGTCGCCAAGCAGCTCAGCCGGCCTCGTGGCCAACTCGGCGATGAGGAAAGAGAGGACAATACAGGCTTTGCCTTGCAGAATGGACTCCGTGTTTCCACGGGACGTATCGCGATGGGCAAACAGCATGGCAATTTGGACCAAAGGGACAATGGCCACCTCTATTGGGGGATTCCATTGAACTTGAGCATTGCATAGGGCGTGCAAGGAGTCGAGGAGCCAAGGGCCATGCTCGGAAAACCCTGCGAGTCGGGTCTCACGGACGAGGGGCCCTGATAAAATGGAAAGGAGGATAAACGCCTGGCGCAAGCATTGGAATGGGTTGGTGAGCTTATACGTAACCCGCCGCCGCAACGAGGCAGAGGGAGACTCGGATTCAGAGGTATCGGGATCGACATGTTTAAATACCCTTTGAGACGGAAGCTCGATGCTGACCGAGGTATTTCGCGCAGAAGGGCCTCCGGCGCATTTGTTGAGGGTGTCCAGAATATCTAGAGAGCGTGGGGAGGGGTTGTTAGCGGTAGCCTCAAGCCAGTCCCAGCCACCTAGCTCACCGCCCTTGGGGGTTTGCTGTGTTATTCTTCGGGAGACCAGAGGGAATGAAGCACAAACCTTTGACTATCTCCCTCAGGTAGAGGATGAGAGAGGGTGCAATGGCAGCCAATTGGCCATTTGCAGCAACAACCTTGAATATAGAGCTGAACAATGTCCCAACAGGTTCCGAAAGCTCAAGGTACTGCGGATGGCCCAGGAGGCGGAAGACTTTGGGGAATGCCCACGTCCACAAGGGCTCGCCACCTCGGGATAGGTATTGGCCCTCACTGGCGGTGCACGTCAGGACTTGCGGAGTTTCGAGGACTGCGAGCTGGAAGAAGTGGATGGCCTTGGACGCCTCGGCCCGCATACGGTCTTTGTCGAGGAAGGGGTCATCGGGGCGCAACGCGTCGAGAACAGCACGAAAGTAGACATATATAAGCATGTGATTGTGAGAGGTACGGTCTTCGGGTGTTTGGAGCAGGTTGGGGTTGTTCTTGATGTGCTCAATGGTGGTGAATAGCTTCTTGAGCTCCGCATTTTCGCTCGATCTCGAGGATTTGGTCGAGGTGGAGGTGGATATGTTCTCGACGAGCTGTGCGGCCAAGGTGGAAGGGGGTTGCGCATCATCTCGCCGAGCCACATGGCTTGCGGCGGACGGCAGGTTCCCGTGGGGTGTTGAGGTCATGGCGATGGCAGACAGTCATCGCGAGGCATAGAATCAAAGGTGCCAAGGAGAGGTCAGAGATGGTACACGGGAACACGAAAAGGGCGGTTGACTTTATTATACTTCAAAGTCGTCCAAGTGGCTGGTACCCAAAGTGGTTGACCAACTTTGATCCATGGACCTATTCACAAGGGGGAAAAACGTGCTTGCTGCCTTGACAAGCAGCTGTCCTAGACGTTGGTGGGGTAATGATACTTGAAGCTTCTGAATTCCTCTGCATGGTTCGCGGCGTGGCGCAAAGAAACGCGAGATCACGTGAAGATTGGCGCGTGTCATGCCAGCGGTGCTGCTTATAGGGGATCAAGACTGGGGCATCCCCACTGCACAGGCGGGGCCGGCAGGCTGGTTGGCCCCTAAGCTGTGCTCTTGGGCAAAGCGTGCTCACATTGCAGAACGGATTCGGATCCACTCATTTAAGTATGGGTGGAAAGATAAGAGCTGCAACCTTGTTCAATCCTCGGAACAGTTTTGGTGCATGTAATATTAATAAATTCTGTCTCGCGTCGAATCCTACAAAGGGAGAAGGCTTTATTCCAGGAGAGCAGAGAATCCCTTCAGCAAGCTCTGCGCACCAAGCACCGTCCTGATTTTTTTATTTTTCTTCACTGCTCTTTTTTTTTCCCAAGTAGACAGCTCGCAGGCTATTCCCTAGTAACCCTCTAGCCTCTTGTTTTTGCCATCGCGCGCATCCGACCTTTTTCTTTTTTTTTCCTTACGCCTCACGTCATTATCACCCATCTCGCGGCTTCTGCCCGCGTCGTCTGCCGCTCCCTGTGAATTCCAGGAACCGACAAGGCAAATCATACAAGATGCCCGAGTATCGCGTAGGTATGTGGGAGAGCCCCGTGTCTATCAAATCGTGTCAAGCAAAGCTACTCACGCACATTATAGAGATCTCGCCGTCCGCGCGCGCCCTTTGCCAGGACACGCATTGCAAAAGGAGGGTGTCAAGATTGCAAAGGGGAGCTACGGTTCGGCACGTTCATCACCTTTGAAGACCGTGGGTCTTGGAAGTGGAAGCACTGGTACGATGCCGCATCATCTGGACAATCCATGTTGTCTCATTATGTCGTCCATCTAACGATGACCTAGGGGTTGCGTCTCCGGGCTGCAGATGCAGCAAGTTCAAGAGCTCTGCGATAAAAATGAGGACGGAAATTATTCGTTTGACTTCTTTGACGGATATGACGACCTAAAGTACAATCCCCTCTCCTTCCCACCCCAAGCAACGCCGTCGCTAACCCAGATCAACAGCGACCACGCCGATGTGCAGGCCAAGATCCGCCGCTGTGTGGAGCAAGGCCACATTGACGCCGATGACTTCAAGGGAGTGAGTACCAAATGCGCTACAGGAGGAGTGGGGGCCATCTTTTAACAAGTTCACCATAGGACCCGGACTACAATGTCCCTGGCAAGAGGGGCATCAGGGCGCCAGCTCGCCGCGGAAAGGCGCAGGCTGCCACGGACGACGAAGACGAGGCAGAGAAGCCCAAATCCAAGCCCAAGGCTGCCAGCAAGAAGGGCAAGAGGTCCCGCGATGAAGAAGACGACGAGGATGAAGTCGACTCGAAGCCGTCCAAGCCTGCCAAGAAAGCTAAGAAGGGCACTCAACCCAAGGCAGAGGTAGCGGGCAAGGATGAGGAGGAAGCAAAGCCCGCCAAGAAGGCCAAAACCAAGCGTGCCAAGGCCGATAGTGATGCGGAAGAGGAGGACTCGAAGCCGTCCAAGAATGCTAAGGCGGCCGCCACGGCTAAGAAATCAAGGGTAGCGCAAGGCAGCGAAGAGGATGAGGTAGCGGACACCAAGCCGGCAAAGAAAACCAAGGCGAAGAAAGCAGCCCCCGTGAAGAACTCGCGGAAGGCAAAGGAAGAAAGTGAGGCTGAGGCGGACGATGCCGAAGAGGAGGAGGAGGAGGAGCAGAAGCAGAAGAAGGAAAGCAAGCCCAAGGCGGCTCCCAAGAAGGCCGTGAAGACCAAAAGGTGCCGGCAGAGGAAGACGCCAAGCCCGCGAGCTCTAGCACAGGAGGTAGGCGTCGCAGCGCCCGTCAAAGGTCTTGAGGCGAGGCATCAATTGCATTGCCGGGCATTGGGGACTACTCGCATGGTGCGCATGTATGTACGACAACAGATTCCTACTCTTTCGTGTATTGATAGGCGGACTTGATTTTTGTACTGAATAAAACGTTGCGTTGCGTATTTTCCTCCGCCTTCCCTGCCTTCCTTCTGCTGACGATTAATCAATTCGCTTACACAAAACCCAGTGCTTTCACTGAGGCTTAGGAGTGGGTACAATACAGAGATTCAGCATCTTGCTTTGCCGAAATGCCCCCACCCCCGCAATCATTGATGGATCCAGATTCGTTCACAAACGCACTGGGGCTCTAAGCCGCGTCGGGGATTCCGACCGGGTGCGGATTCCCACGTTTCTGCCGTGTGTGCCGTAAAACATTCCAACCATTCTTGATGCGTAATCAGGCGGAGGAGGAAGTGAGAATGGGCGTCGCTTACATGGAGGAGTGGCACTCGCACGTTGTTATCCTTTTAATTTATTCAGCTCCTCCAGGGCTCCCTCGCGGCCCTACCAGCTATGAGAATCCTGGATCTATTACTTGGTACGATCGAGATGGCATGTTGTCTATGTGTATGTGTGTGTGTGTGTGTGTGTGTGTGTGTGTGTGTGGCTCAGACAAGCGCTCCTTGTGGCTCAACCTTCCTATCATCACTATATTTCCTCTTCGCATGTTTCGTTGCGCTGTTTTGTTCATGCGTCACCAACACCTTCGGCATGATTTTCCGAACCCTTCCTCCCGTCAACCCCCGGATCTCGGGAGCTTGGCATTGGCAAGGCCAGGATCTCGAGGAAATCCTCTGTTCATGTGTCTAGATTAGTGCGTGTGTCGAGCTATCAAAGGGACGTTGGCAGGCAAGGCAGGGTCACATCTTGATTAATGATCTGACAGATCCGCCTTGAGTAAGAACAGGTCCTTCAAGTGATACCATAATCCCACTTGCGCCCCCAACGATAGCGGGGTTTGAACGATAGATTAGCTAGCCTAGCTTGCCTAGCTACTCGAGCCCGGGTGAGCTCTTGACAAGGTGCTGCGGTTTTTAATAAATGGTCGACTATGCGTGATCTATAAAGGCATTTCGGGCCTACCTGTTCCTGTAGAAATCTCAGCCTCAACTTGGATGATTTATTCAAACCATTCGGTGATGTTACTGTCGACGAAGTGAGACGGGGCGACGAGGTTGACTACATGTATCTTCCTCAGCTTGCTATCTGTAGCAACCTTTCATTTCCCTCCCAGTCCGCTCCCTCCAACTCGACGATAATCTAAGCTCACAGAGATCGAAATTTCTCCCCGACTCCCCACTCCTTCCCTCTTCTTTTTTTCTCTCTCTCTGTCTCTCTTTCTCCCACTCTCCCTCTATCTTCATGTAGCGTTGGTAGTCAATTATAATGCAGTAAAGGGGTGCGGAGAAGGTGCACCCGCACCTGATGAGTGCCCAATACCCCAAACTCTGTCGTAACTGAGGGTGTCTTGGACTCGTATTATCGACGCGATGACCGACAGCCAACACTAATGGCTGGAACAAGACTGATCGATGCGTTGGTAGCACTGGTATTCCCCGCGCACTCGCAAAGAGCACTGAACATGAAAAAAAGAAAAAAGAACTCACCGTCTGATTAGCCGTCAACCCTGGTCTGGCCTAGTTTTGTGGATCAGTCCGAGCAAGATCGGCAGCTTGCGGACCCGCTAGCTTCCATACGAGAACGCCATGTCTATCTTGTTCCCGTTCCCCTCATCGCTCATCGCTCATCGCCCCCATCACCCATTGACCGGCAACCCTCGCCTTGGCCTCCGTCATTGTCATTGGAGCAGTGGCCTTCACGATCGAGACACCAAGCCTCCCGCACTACGCTAGCTCCATAGAGGATAGAGAACTCACAAGCTGACTTTTGTGAACATCCACATCCTGCCCTATACACCCCCTTGCCCCCTCCTCCCTCCTTCTTCTGCGCCTCCTTCATCACTCGGAGAGAGACATGTGGTTCCTCCACTTGCCTTCACAACGGATTGACCAACTTTATCCTCAAAAGTTGGGGATGGGTCTAAAGGGATGAAGAGGAGTCTTGGCGTGTCAAGTGGTGCATTGTGGGGTCTGTCTGTCTCCCAAGTTAATAGAGAACATTAAATAAAAATGTTGGGGGCAATCGACAGAGCGGGAGGGTTGGAAGATGCAAAGGAATTTCACGAGGTTTGAAGGGTTTGCAGGATCAAATGTTGGGAAGACACCCAGGCAATCTCATTGACGGGCCCGTCACCCGTCACATCGCAGCATTGCACATTTTCCCGCAAGCTGTGCATCTCCTCCGTCCGTTGAAATCGTTTACGAGGTTTCTCGTCCCTTTTTGTTTTCTTTCTTTTCCTTCTTCCTTCTTCCTTCTTCTCCCCTGTCTTTTGATCATGCTTCGCCAAGGCGAGTGCCGGCAAGGGTCTGAGGCGGGAGGAACCAGACGACGACAGGAGAAGGCCGGGCGAATGACATGGAGGCAAGAATGCCCGAAATAGAAATAATGCGCCACCACCTTCTTTTTGCCCGGCTTTTGCCCTTTGTGTGAATGTAACATTGATCGTACCCGAAGCGACCTTGAAAGCAACATGGCGAGGTCCCCAAAAACAAATGAACAGCAGACTGCACCGGCCGTGGTCGTGGCCTGGCCACCGCTCTACTGCTGCTAATGTCTGCTGTTTCCGGTTGAACACGGGCCAGGCCAGTTCTGAATGTCCCCATGATCTGCAGCAACCGATTATTTTCAACGATGATGGCTGGTCGTGCCACGGGGTTTTGCCCAATGTCCGTCAAGGCCTTGCCACCCCATGAATAGTACTTCGTACATCTCGATGTCAACTAATCAACCCCAAACTTTGGCGTTGCTTCCGCGCTCACCCCTCCCCAACTTCTCGTATTCCATTCTGGAGCTGCCTGCCGAGACGAAATGTGATGCTATGCCATGCCATGCCATGCCATGCCATGCGCTGCACCGACGACCATGAGCATCAATTTCTTCCAGCCCTTGCACCTTAAACTAGCACTGGACGAGCATCGCTTGTATGGAATGACTCCGTCCTCGACAATATCGTCTCCAATTCCACTGTTACCCTCAACCCTCAAGCCTTTGGAAGAGGCCAAAATAGGCGATTTGGCCAATGAATTGGCATTGGTGACGCCTGCGGAAGATTCCGTTCATGGTCTCCATCCATACATGTAGTCAACTTTGACTTCGTTTCCCCTCCGTTCTGTCCTTTCCCAACACGAGAAACAACAAAAAAAAAAAAAAAGAGTCACGAGAATAGAGGAGCTCGTGAGGAGAGTGATGTCAGTCAACAACATAGGTATGGGCATGGCTGGGCTTGGTCAATCCTATCCTCGCTTGTCGCCCCGGCTCCAGTCTTCGGGTCATCTATACAACCGAGGAGAGAGCTTGTTCCCTCGAGATTCCTCCACCATCCCGGGATGCCAGCTCCGGTGTGCTGCGTTCGCCTCACCCGCCAACCGGGTGCTGATGTTCGCTTTTTCCCTTTTGGATGGCTTTCTTTTCCGATTCCTTCTTCTGTATTAGCCCCTTATTCTTTTTTGCCTTTCCCCATCATCCCTCGTGCTCCCCCCATCTTGAATCGAGAGAGGAGCACAGCACACACCGCATCACTCAACACACGCCCCTCCACCCCCTTCCACCCCAATTTGACGTCCTCATCCCTCGCCCTTCCCGCCCTACGTCGGCGTCTGTCCCTCGTTCTACACGCTTCAATCTCGTCAATACATCGATATACCCTTGTTCAGAGATCCCCCGCGCTCTGCCGCGGCCATGGACGTACCGGAACTCGGTGCCGTAGCTCCACTGCGTACATGTAGAAACTTTCCCAGAAATCCTTGGCTTCCTTGTCCCACCTCGACCCCAGGAAGAGGAAAGAAACAACAAAAAAAAGCCGCTGATGGAAGAACGTGATGGGTGAAAAATACGCAACGGGGCATTGCTATAAGCGAAAAACGGGGGGAGCTGACGGCCACCCTCCTCGTCTTCTTTTTCTATTGTTCTGTTTTGCACCCGATTGTGGATCAGCCTCTAGATTGCCCTACATGCAACTCGGGGGTTTTTCTAGGCTGAGCCGAGTCATGAGATTATGTCGTCCCTCCCGCCCCGAGAACGCGACGAGGGAAGGGCTCTCCAGCCAAGCTGGGTCCCCTTGCAACGCATCCACGGGTCCATGGATCGTTCCATCTAGCCATTGACGAAGTCATTTTAGTTCCATTGGATACACAATACATCACCTTTTTTCCAAATATAAAAGCCGACACCTCCCCTCCCCTCTTGGATCTTTCTTCTCGCCCTGTGACAAGAACAGTCGTAGATACAGGCACAGACAACAGACACACAGTCTCCCATCCCATCCACGCACATTCCCATCGCTCTCTCTTACATCCTTTTACATCTACATCTCATTGTCAAGATGCTCTTCTCTGCCACCACTCTCCTCGCCCTCGCGGCCACTGCCTTTGCCCACCCCACGGTCGACACCCGTGATGCCGCCCAAACCGTCCACCTCACCTTCCACGGCGGCCCGGCCGAGTACTCCATGACTTTCCCTGCCGACGGTGTGGTTCGCAAGACCAGTAGGTTTATTCCCACTTTCACTCACCTTCACCTTGGGCCTCCCCTCCTTCCTCTACATGTATTTCTTCAGTTGTTACCTCGCTTCTTCATCACCAAAGGCACGGTGCCAGCCCTCGCGGCTAGCGGCCTATAGCATACACACACACACACACACATAGAGAGAGAGAGAGAGAGAGAGAGAGAGAGAGAGAGAGAGAGAGAGAGAGAGAGAGAGAAATCAAACCAGCTAACTCTGTCCACAGACAACAACATGGCCGTCAGCATCATCGACGCCCCAGACTACTTCGCCCAGAGCCACTGCACCTTCGTCACCGACACCGGCGTCACCTTCCAGGGCGCCATCTCCAGCACCGGCGTCCAGCAGATCCTCGTCGGCCCTCCCCAGCCCATCCGCTCGGTGAGCTGCCAGGGTGTCTGCCTGCCCACTTACGGTAAGTCTAGGACCCATCCACCTCCTGGGAGGACACAATGAAACAAAAAGAAAAGACCCCAAGACTAACGTTTCTCTCTCCAAAATGGTAGGTGACTGCTACGTCAACGGCCAGTTCGCCGGCATCTGCTGCTCCGGCTTCTGCGCTGCCAACAAGTGTCGCCCCTGGGTCAGCCCCTTCTAAGGGTCTAATCCACGCCGCGCCCTCGTCATCATAGCCGGAGGGCTCCGGCTCATGGGAGGATGAATCGTACCGGATGATGATGATGATGAGCGCGCGAGAGAGATTGGATTTCGAAATCTCTTCACGAACCTGGACCAGAGATTGCTCTTGCTTTCCTTTCTTCTCCAGCACAATCCTTTTTTGGTTCATGGCGTTTTTCTCCCTCTATTTCTAATTCTGGCCCATTGAAAGTTTCACCGTTGCTGGGTCTACTTTCCCCCACTGTACATACAAACGAAGCGTCACCTTAAGAGCTCCAAACACTCCTTGGACACGACACCAATCTACTATACGCATACGAGATAGATATCAATGGAATAAATTTAATATTATACGGTGCATTCCTTATACACCTGAGCCATAGTATAGTTAAGTTATACTCCGAGGTACTTGGGTAGTTCCATTGCGAAATAGTGTAAGCTGGGAGGCAAAAGTGAACGTTGAATACAATGGATATAAATCTACATCATTTCTTCAATTCAGCTCCGTTCGACGTTATATCCTCGACAAGCCTATTTCTAAAAGTCTGAGAAAAAGTAAAGAAAAAGAAAAGAAAGAGAAAAAAAGGAATCCTGCACCCAAGCCCGAGAAGGAGGACGAAAAGGGAGAAAGGCAAAGAAAATAAAGAGGAAAAAGAGGGACGCATGCTAATATCATTCCCAAGCTTTCTTGTCGTAACGAATCGTAACTCATGGCGAACAACACAGAGAATAAGCACATAGAACCAATCCCCTCTATGCACAAACAGTGGGGCAATCTTTGGGAGCGGAGATGAAGGATATGGGATGGCCCGAATAGTCAAAAGGTCTGAACCCAAAAAGAACAAGATTGCGAGGGAGAAGTGGGAGGAGAGACCGTGATCGCGCTTCTTCGTTAGATGTACTCTTTGCGTGAATCAAACACCACTTGCTTGTCGTACCGGAAGTCGTCATGCTGGGGTAGTGCCGATGTTTATGCTTTCGCACGATGACCGTATCCGTCTCCTGCTCCCGAACACGATGACGATTTCTGAGGCGCCTCTCGCGTCGGATTTGGGCAGTCAACTCGACTAGCTCGTTGATCTTGCGCTGGAGGTGAGGGAAAAGAACAAGGGTTAGTTTATAAGTCGTACTTTTTAGGGAGAGAAAAGGACAGGCTGGTGGGAAGACAGCCCTGGGGCCTGAGGGGAGAAAGAGGAGAGAGGGGGGTCCGACTTACACTTGACAAACGCTGCATCACGTAGAAAAAGGGAGGGCGCTGATCAAACGGATAGCCCATCCTCTTCAACGCCTCGCGGTTTACCAGATCCATGGTGATTTCGGTCCATGTCTCCCGGGATGGGATTGGCTGAGAGGGGCGGATGACGCGGCGCTCCGACTTTTTCTTCTCATCCACAATGTGGATGCTGAGGCTGTCCCGGCTCCTTCGTGACGGCTCCTCCATAGTGGCGAGAGGTTGTCCGTAGAGGACATCATCGTCGCGCTCCGGAATAAACTGGGTCCGCCGAACTCCGCTGTACTTTTTCCATGAAACCTCGGCGGATGCGCCGCCGGCACCATCCATGCGGACACGCTCCGTCCCGGGGGACATCCACTATGGTCCAGCCGCGAGTAGCACCATGATAGGCCTCCCCGACGCGGCCGCGAGAGTCGATCTTTCGGGTAATTTCCTCAGCCTCCTCCCGGTCAGGGCCGTAGTTGCGAACGGGCATGGGCGCAGCGGAGTGAGCGCGACGGCGGCTCTTGTAATCTACCATCAGCCGGTCGTGGCTGGCAGCGACGACAGCACGATCATCAGGATACGCAACGCGAGGTCTTTGGTGTGAGCGCGAGCGCGAGCGGCCATCGGTCTTGCGGATGTCTACCTCGGTTTCGTTCCTCGACGTATAGATGTCGATCTCCGTGTCCTGTATCGGCCACGAGACTTGGCTCGAGGCGGGGTGGCTGGGGTTTCGGGCTTGGGGGCCGAACAACGACGACACCTAGTAGAGGCGCGAGTTGAACATGTCAGTTTCTCGTTGCCCGTAGGGTTTGCAGTGGGGAGCATGTTACGTACCATGGTCAACGTCAGTATAATGGGTAATCACCTCTCGCTCGATTCTCTCAACCGGATGAGTCCGGATCTCCGGCTGGGGGTGGCGGAGGAGGAGCAGGGCTCGGAGACCTTTCCTCTCTGCGAACCACCCTCACTCTAGAGGTCTCTCTCTCCTTCCAGGCTGGGCTGGCACTCCTCGGCCGCCTCCTGAATTGGGGTGGCGGGCTGGGTGAGCTGCTCCAGCTGCTTTCGCTGTATGATGAACTGCTTCGGCTGCTGCTCTTGTCCACTACTCTCGTTCTCACCCGCGAAATGCTCCTTCCGCGACGGGGCTCGGGGCTCGGAGCCCTATCGTGGCCGTAGACGACAACCCTCCTTGAGTCGACGGTCACGTCGGAGGGCGCAACGCTGTGGGCGCGTCGGGCGAAGCGCTCTCTCTCCATGTAAACCGGGCTGGGACTGCGGTGCCTCGCCCGGGAGACGGTTTCGACTTCGCGCTGGCGGAGCACCATAGGGCCGGCTTCGCGGCGGGGGTCACGTAGGAAAGCTGGGGTACGCTCTACGGACCGCTCGCGCGAACGCTCGCGAACCCAAGTCCTAGAGCTCGACTCGACCGGACGGCCATAGTCCTCGCGATAATGCGACATGGTGGACCTCGGTAGAGTGGGAGGAGAAAGTGTTTGTGAAGATGCAGAGGTGGTGCGAATTAGGATTGGCGGGGTTGATTGGCTTCCGAGCCAAGGCTAAGTGGGATGAAGGGCTAGGTCGCTGGGAACTTTTCTCCTGTTCTCCCTTTTGGTATGCTTCTTTCCGGTTGCAGTCACCGCGAGACTGCTGTAGGGGAAAAGAAACAAAGTGGGAAAAGGTGGGTGGGGGTGGGAAGACGAAGAAAAAGAAGTTGAAGAAGGACAAAGGGGCCTTCTTTTTTTTTTTTTTTTTCCTTCTTTTTTTCTTGGTCTGTAGAAGGGCGGGAAAGGAAAAGATACGACCCGTCCGGCGTAGCTTGGGTGAGGGAGGGAAGAAAAGTGGGTAGAAAAGGGAATCAAGGTGAAGGGAAAATTCGAGCCAGGATTCGGGGAGGGATGACAAGAGACGTGAAGGTCAGTTCCTAGGAGGGGTTAAAGAGGGTCTCGAGATCCGGTATTATGCCACCTGACCTAAGCCTCTCTCAGACGGCACCCGACCAGGATTGAGCAGGCGGGCGGGAGCCAATGCAGGCAAAGATGGTAGTGACCAAGTTGGGAAAGGCAAGACTTCACCCAAATGCGATTTCGAATGAGAAAGCAACAACGCTATCCCGGCTGTTCGCTTATCGGCAGACGTCAAAAAGCGGCGATTTTTCTGCTTTGAATTCCGATGTCGAAAGGGGGCTATTAGTGACGGGCCCTGAGATGTGGATGTGAGCGAGGGATTCTCACGATGAAGGGGGACGGACGGGCAAGTTGAAAGAGGGGTACTAAGTGCTTAAGAAAATGGCACCTTGTGAGGTAATCATGACAGGGCTGGGAGAGGAGGGGCTTGAATGTATTATCACAGGCAATCAGACCCAAGAGGAAGATCGAACGCCTTTCTATTTGTCTCTTCAGGGAAGGGAAGGAGAGGGAGGGAAGGGGGCTGGGATGTGGAAAGACTGAACGCTGTAGGAAGGGAGGGCGAGGCACAGTCGATGACTGGAGGATCGACCTGGCTGAGGAGGGGAAGGCCCGGTGTCGACTGCTGCTGCTGCTGCTGCTGCTGCTGCCGTGATGTGAGAGAGTGTGAACCGTGATGCTGCCGGGCACCTTTCAAGCTCCCAGCCCGGTTCAAGTTTGAGCCCCTGTGCCTTGTGCTCAGAAAGAGTACCGGCCGTCATCGAGTTGACGCATGCGCGTTTGCTCATAGGGCAGACATACATGTACAGATTGGAGCACAGGAGGGGGCCGCGCGCTGTGGGCTCTGTCGGTTCAAGTCGACGCTGCATTGACACTCCGTTACAGAGCAACCAGACATCGCGCCCACATTGATTGATCTCTAGTGACTTCGTAGCCGCTGCCAAGGCGCAGCAGCTCCCAGAGGGCTGAAGAAGGAAACCCAAAAGCGGGTCTCGTTGGTCCGCGTCATTTTCTCCCCTCTCCCTAACCCTGGTTCTGTCCACTGGCCACCGCGAATTCCGTTTGTGAACGGACAGCAGGCAGAAGGATTGATACTTTGTACTTGGGCGCGCCCTTGCCTGTTGCAGGGTGTACCACTATAGATGTCGATGATGATGGTCGGCCAGGCCAATGTGAAGGATGGGGTGGGAGGGCGGGGATGCGGGAGCTTGAGACGAGTGGCCACAGGGAGGGACGGGCAGATTGAGGGGTTAGTCTCGATGCAGGCATGGAGGCAAATGGAAATCAGTCCGTCGTTTCTTCTTTTTCTTCTTCTTTTCACTTATTTTTATCTTCGAGAAACCTTGGTTCTTTTTTCTTCTTCCCTTTTCTTACTTCTTCTTTCACTTGTGGACAGGCGGCTTACAGAGGCCGACACCTTGCATCACATCAAGGATCATGAATGGGCTGGCTGAGGGATAATGGTGGCCACTGATCTTATCAGTTGGCGTGCTCAATGCTGGTGGCCGGGGCGAAATTGCCCAGATCCCGACAATGGAAGCTCCAGTCTCTATTGATGCCCTAAAGAATGACGTTGGTGTTGAGAGGCCCCAAATCAATGATGGTCCAAGCTTCAACCCCCGCCAAGCAAGTCCAAGTCGAAAGGGCGTCATTTTGGTCATTTTGGCGGAGGGTGATTGTTTGACTGAAATTGGTGGACGAAATGTAAATTTACTTCACCCTCTCACAAGTCGATTTCTGTACACCTTTTTGGTTACCCGGCGGCTTAGATGGGGGCACAAGACACCAAAATTACATTTGCGAGCCATGCCCTCCCCAGGCCTCAGGGTTTGCACTCGGCCATCGGCCATCGGCCATCGCCGTGCTCACTTGTGCTCCATAGCCACAGGCATGAGGATGGTTCCCCCGGACGAGTCCACACGGGTGTTGACACCCATCCATGATCTATGGATCCTGGATGGATCCGTGGATCTATAGATGTTTGTGTCACCGTCGGCGTCAGTGCCTGGTGCGTCAACCATAAGGCGAAGGATTCAACAATGATATGCAGTGCCCCTTGGCCTTCACAGGCTCCCTCTCAAGCTCAATGAAACCTCTCGGCTGCGTCTTGACCCTCAGCGGACAACAAGCCCAACGCCCATCGCCTATCAACCATTTATCTAGTCCAACTACACCCTAAGTAGCTCGTTGCCACACAGTCTAGCCAAGGGTCGTTATGGTCAAAGCCATTGAATGGAGGCAGTCGCCGTTCATTTACGCTCGTACATTGGGACATCGCGTGTGTTACTCTATCCCGTCTTTCGCTTAAGCGCCCTCATAAATACATGGATCAACGATAAGATGGATCTTACCGAACCCATCTCACCTCCCTTCATCAAACCTCTCCGTGAATTCCATTTCGGTCAGGCTGTTCTTCATTCGTACGTGTCTCTAGCTTGTCTCACTTTGCACCCACATCCACTAGGCCAGTTGACAGAGAGTCAAATGCACAGTTCGATCTATATATTGATGCTGACCCTACATACAGTGTGTCAAATGCAAACCCCATGTAGCCACTAATAACTTGGCGGCTCCCGAGAGGCAAGCAAGCACGGTGGCTATTGGGCTCTAGGAGCAGTGGTAGCAGCCAGATGACGAGAATGAGTTGAAACAGGCGCTGGGCGGACAATACAGAGAGGCCCAATTCTTCCCAAGGGCCCACACCACTTGACCCTGGTCCGCCCCTCCGTCTTCTTCCCTGCCGTCCACCCACCCCCGCCATTTTGTCCTGCCCTCCCCTGCCCTGCCCAAACAAAGGCCCAGGTGACGCAATACCGCAGCGGCCACCCCCACCAGTCACCTTCATTGCCGACACTCCACCTCATGACTGGGCTGCCGGACGTGTCTCCCTTTTTGTCGTCTGACCAGGAATCGCCAGGACAAGAAAACCGGCTGGCTGGCTTCCAGGCTTTGATGTTTCCGAAGAAGAGGTCACATCATGCTCTTGATCCAGAGATGGCTGAAGAGGGACAGTGGATGCCAGGTGGCATGGACAAAGGGGACGGACCGCCGCGCCCGCCGCGCCGGAATGGAAAGAACATTTCGCTCTTGCAGAACCAAACCCAAGTCATCGTCGTGCCGATACACGTCTCCCCATCTTTCCCCGGCACTGAAATGTTGATAAAGTGCTTAATGCGTAAATTTCGTTTGTCAAGAAGGAAAAAGAGCTTTATGGGCCCTCTGCAGGCAGAGTTCCGCCTTCGTGTCTAGTACGCACCAACCTCCAGGCCTGCAGGAGATGGCTTCCCTTTGGCAGCTTCGGGAAAGGCTACCTGGCCCCATGAATGTGCCCTCATAGGTTGCACCTGAAATGTGTAACTTTGGGTAATACCTTGCATTTTTACTTATGCATCAACGATAACTAGCAAAACCTCTAACCCCGGCCGACTTCCGGTCTACTATAAATAAGACTCCCTTATCCATGTGACACCGCCCCGATAGTGAACTAGAAAGCAACGATGGCGCAGACAAAGAGCTTAATAGGAAAATGAAAAATGAAAAGGAAATTTGTAAGAAAAAAGGAAGAAGTGGAGAAATTGGAAGCGATTGAAACAAAGTGAAGAAAACAAATCCAGACAGCAGACGAAATGGGGGAGAGGACAGAACCGGCCTCATCTCTTCGAAACGTGCTCCATCACATCACTGTACAGGTCCTGTACGCCCAATCCCGGTAGCCCCGTAGTCGCTGGTACCATCCATCCCCATTGCCTGTTGAAAGCGAGCCGCCCGAGAGGTGGCCCGTTTCCTCTTCCACGCTCCCTAGATTGTCATTAACCCTTCCCGCACCATCATCCTGTCCGTGGTGCATCTCCTCATTGAAGCCCCCTTTTCACATCCTTCGCCTTGGTGCCCCCGAGTTTCGGCTCAGGCTTGGGGTAGTCGTTGCGGCCGCCCAAAATGTCGACGATATCTTTGAGCCCCGCCCAATGGGAGCTGACGGGGCGGCGGTTGGGCCAGTCCGTGTCAGTCTCCTCAAGCTCGGCCACGGGAGTGAAAACGACGCTGGCACCCTTGATTCCAATGACAACGGTGCTGTATGGGTCATGCTTGACCTTGTTCTGCGCGCGACGGCCAAAGGATTCGAGGTGCTGGATGCACTTGATCGCCAAGCGAACAGCTCGGCAACGGTCGATGGGAGATGGGACACCACCCTGCTGGACATGTCCGGGGATGCTGTCCCGGCTCTCGAAACGCTCGTTGGCTTCCTCGCGGATAATGTCCGCAATCAGCTTGGCGTTGTAAACCTTGCTCGCCTTTTCGTTGACCAGAAGAAGTCGGCCGGCACGAGACTGGCCGCGGTCCTTCTTGAAGACCTCCTTCAAGTGCTTGACATCGGCCGCAAGCATATCAAGCGTAATTCCTTCCTCGGGCGTGTATACGGCAGACGCACCCACCGTAAGACCTGCAAGAGTAGCCACGTACCCGGACCTTCCACCTTGGGTCTCGATGACGAATACTCGGCGGCGAGTTGCGGACGCGGACTGCTTGATCTTGTCGCAGTAGTTGACCAATTCGTTGAGGCAGGTATCGGAGCCGAGGGAGTACTCGGTACCTGGGACGTTATTCGAGATGGTGGCGGGAAGAACGCAAACGGGGATGCACAGGGACGGGTATTCGTCGCGAGCCGCGCGAAGCTGAGAAACGGCATGGAACGCCTCGAATCCTCCGATGAGGAAGAGGGCGTCAAAGCGGTATTGCTCAATCAGATTGGCAATGGTTTCCATGCCAGATTCCGCGGGGAGCTCTCGGTTTGTTCCAATCTCGGAGCCTCCTTGCTCGCCCATCCGTCAACCTCGAGCCAGTCGAAGGAGCGAACGGCCCCGATTGGCTTGTCTCCGTGGTGCCGAGCGAATCCGGCAAACCCGTTATGGATGGCGATTGGCTCGTGGCCCCGGGACAGACAGTAAGCGACACCCGCTCGTATGGCCGCATTCATACCACCTGCGGGCGCGCCAACGTTGATGAAGGCAATCTTCATCCTCTATAAAAAATAGAAAAGAAATGTTAGCGCACCTCGAGCATTTCGAAAGAGCGAGAGGACACTCAAGGTATAACAGGAGGGGGTAGAAGTCAAAAGAAAGGGTTTACGCACCTCCATTTCGGGAACTTTTTCCCCGTCATCCATGTGAACATTGGTCGTCATCATGTACGACTTGTATTGGTCCAAGAATTCATGATCGCGTAGGCTCATGGCCCTGTCAAAGTCTTTGGCCTGGACGGCGCTGGCTACTGCCTTTGTGTCCTTGACGGCCTCCATCAGGTTCTTTCGCACAATCTTGTTTTCGTTGATAGCGATGAAGCAGGTGGGAGTCTCGGGGGTGGCCTCAAGAACCGCCTTGACAGCCTCGACACCCTGCAGGGTAGCGAGCATGCGGTCGTACGATACGGCAGTGCCGCCACGCTGCACGTGGCCGAGAGTGGTGATACGCGTGTCGAGAGCCAGCCCATCCTTGTCGGCCAACAGGTCCTTGACCATCTCAGGCGTGATCTTCTCGCCGTCTTTGTCGATGGCGCCCTCTGCAATGATGACAATTGTCTTCCTCTTGCCGAGCTTCCGGTGCCTCCTCACGATATCGCACATCTCGACCTGCCAATCCTCGGCTCTTGGCCTCTCGGGAATGAAGATGAAATCGGCACCGGTGGCAACACCAGCCATGAGAGCGAGCCAACCGCAGTGGCGACCCATGACTTCAATGACAAAGGCGCGAGAGTGGGAGTACGCAGTGGCCTCGATGTAATCGACCATCTCGCAGATTCGGGAGAGAGCAGAGTAGGCACCAATCGTAGAGTCCGTGCCTGACATATCATTATCAATCGAACCGACAACGCCGACAATGTTGAGGTGCTGGTATGGCTCGACTTGCTCCTGGGTGAATTCGCCAGTCTTGACGAGCTCCTCAATGAGACTGGGCCACTCGGAGCGGAACTTGTCAGCACCAGTCAAGGAGCCATCTCCGCCGCAAATGATGAGGGCGTCGATGCCATTGAGGATCATATTCTTGGCAGCAATGAGACGGCCTGCTCGTTCAAAAGGCCTTGCATCGAGCGGTGCCGATGAGAGTACCGCCTTCTGACAACCAACCGCGGACCTCGTGCCACTGCATTTGCCGTATGAACTTCCCACCCTGGACGAGACCCTCGTAACCTTCGTAGACACAGTAGGCGTCGCATCCTAGGTGAATCGCCATGCGCACAACTGCACGGACGGCACCGCACATGCCTGGGGAGTCACCTCCCGAGGTCATGACAGCTAATCTCTTCTTGTGGGGTTCGGTCATGGTTGCGGTTTTGCGTATGAAGGTGGTGGAAAGTGGTTCAGAGGAGGTAAGAGCGGTGATGGTCGGTTGACTAGGCGTGGCGGAAAGAGAGGGGGAGGGGAGGCACGCTTGCTAAGAGCGAGAGTTGCAGAGTCGCTCAGGAGAGAGAGAGAGAGAAAGAGAGGGGGAGGGGAGGCACGCTTGCTAAGAGCGAGAGTTGCAGAGTCGCTCAGGAGAGAGAGAGAGAGAGAGAGAGAGAGGGGGAGAGAGCTCAGGTCAACGTGGAGTGTTGGGGGAAACGGGAGGGGGACCTGAGGTCTGAAAGATACAAGGTCGGACTGGATGCTGCTCAAGGCTCAAGCTTCAAGTCCGGTGAAAGAAGATAGTGAATCAGATTTTGTGGCCCCGTCTTGAGATTCGAGGCTTTTGTCGTGGGGAGTTGTGAAAGTGTGTTCAAGGTTGCTTGGAGCCGAGAAAAATAGCAAGAAAGATTTTGTCACAACTGTACAAGGGCAATGTGTTGAATAATTATACACGTACGAGCGGAAGGACAGGATCAGGACCAAACCGCAAAGCAGGAGCTCCGTCGAACCACTGATCGGTGGTGGGGTGGGGCGGGTGCCAAGCTTGAGAACATTGAAGCTGGTTCTGGAGTTCTGTCGTGCGGGTTTGGTGGGCTGCGCTGCCCACTGTTTGTCGTTATCTTATCAGGCCAGGAGGTACTTGGGATTTTCAATCTGCACGATAACCTGTCGTGGTTCGAGGTACGAGTACAAGCCCCTCCACGTGAACACTACATGTCGGCCGGTACCCCCATCGACGCATGACTACGCAGATGATTGTTGCAAAAACATTGTCATCGCTTCCTCCCAAGAGCCACTCCAGTCCAAGCTCCTACTGTAGTCTTCACTAATCGTTAGTAGCTAGCTTCGACAAGTAGCTCTCAACGCCACACGGGCCTAGGTTCGGGAGCTTTGGCAAGCTTTGTGTGCGGGTCGCCACACCGCCTGGAAGCCTTTCTTTTTTCTTCTTTTTCCTTTTTTTCCCTTTGCTGGCGGGGAGGGGTGGGGTGAAGTAAGGCCGTGTTCCGTGCCCCCCGTTGAGACCAAGCTGCACCTGCATAGCTCTCAATGAGTGAGGGTGAACCTGTTGAGGTCGGTGGAGAAAACCCTGGTAAGGTTGTCTTTTTTTCTCTCTTTTTTTCCTGCCTCAAACAAGGGACACTCTTGCTGCTACGGTACAAACTAACTACTTGTGCAAATGGCAGTTTGGGTTACGGGGTAGCCCTCGTCCCTGTTAATCATCGACCTCGTTCGATCATTCTTGGAATGTTTGGCGAGGTACCGCAGCCAAGCCCTGCCCGGTTGGCCCGATCCTTTCAGTGAGGTAAGAGTGCGGTTAGAGGATAGGCATTATATCCCTATCAGCAGCAAGGACAGGCCTCGACCCCCGACGCCCAGCCGGGTCAATGGGCTGCAAATCTTTGGTGTATGGATCTAGAAGATCATGAACTTTTCTAATGAGGCATTTACGCCCTTGAGACATCGTGTATGGGGGACTTTCACACCACTGCACGCCGCGCCTCCATCGTGGGGAGCTAAGCTCCGTTGATGTGTTGTACCCAGTAATCTTGCCTAACCGCGGCCACGTGATAGCCTGGAGCTCGGCGGCACCGGCCGTTCGTCCCTCATTGAGCGATTGGGTATTACACTTGCTCCAAAAGTGATCAATTGATGATTGGAAGGGAGCTCCTCCGTGCCCTTTGCCCGAGCATCCTCGAATTTGAGGTCCGATTAGATGTTTTGCCGCCGAAATGGTACCACCACACGGCCGCTTATTGATTGCCGTGACAATTTGCCCTTGATGTTTGCAATTCGTGCAAGGATGGGATAGGAAGAAGGGAACATTGAACCAGATGTTTTCGCTGGTCAAGCGACGCGATTCCATCCCCTCCAGCCTAGCGTGGGGCTGGACTTCCGGCTCATTAAGCTTTGGCTAGAAAAATGGGGCAGAGTCCTCGTGGCGTCAGGGTCCGTTGGTCGCTGGATTCACGACCCGGTGATGAAATAAACCCCTTACATGAATTGAACTGTCAGCATCAATGCTCTGCACAAATCTGATTTGTGCGATCAACACAACACCCTGCCATAATTTGCCGTGATTTCGAGCTGCGGTTGGCTGCAAGGCTGACAATCAACCAGCCTCCCCACGCCCTCCCCACACCTTCCCCAAGAGTCTTTCGCAAGCTTTCGGCTTTGTACCGCCGTCGGCGACGACTATTCTAGGACTATGATCTGAGCTAGACAGATAAAAGGTTGCAAATCACAGCTGCCCTCGAGAATATCGAATCCAGGCACGTTATTGACGGTGGTTAAGCGCGCAATGGACAACGCGGACGGGCAAAGCACCGGGTCGCCACTGTGCCCGGTACGGCCATGGCCTATCCCAGATGCTGATCGCAGTCCCAAGGCGATATCGGACTATATCTCCTTAGTAAACCAGACATACCCTGGGGGATTCCGGGCGCTAAACGTAGCGAAAATCACCGAGGGCACCAACGATGAGAGCGACGATACCAATATGGCCGATGCCGATCAGGAGGGCGAGGGCAGTGGCGATGGTCCATCTACCGAGAAGGATCCCGTGGACGCTCGGAACGAAAGTTTGCAGAGTCTAGCGTACGCCATAATCCTACGCATGCAAAGCGCAATCCCCTTCACTCTGTAGCCGTCCTACTGACACCGCCCTTGGCACACTTAGCACTGCTCATTACAGCGCCCTCTTTGCCCTCGACCTTGTCTCCCTCCTACTCACGAAAGAGAACCCCGTTCAAGCAGGCAATACACTACGGCAGGACCTCCGCGAGCTTGTCGGGATCGGAACGCTAGCATCCCAAAAGCACGCCGAGTCCAACGTCACCGCCGACAAGATCAAGGACTTGGGAGACGTGACTGCGGGATGGCACATTCTCTCAGTTGAGGAGACGCGAGACTCTGCTAAAAAGGCTGCTGAAGTCCTCCAGACGGAAGTGGAGAAGGAGGCCAAATACTGGGAGGATGTGCTCACGGTAGTCGAGTCCGGGTGGTCCGTGTGCAGACTACCTCAGGAGAGGCAGACGCTGAGCGTGAAGTTTGGTTTTAATGAAGGTACGTGCCGTAGATGCTTTCCAAGAGGGCACCTTTTCGCCAGCTGAGTCGAGACTCTAACCCCTGTTTAGCCTCACCCGAGTTCCGGAAACATAGTCTCGCACCCATGCGCCGGGCCACCGACGGCAGCGTTGAACTGGACCTTGGGAGTCTGGGAGGGCAGGCTCAGCGACTTGTCATCACGGTTGAGAGGGACGGGAAAATAACCGGCCAGAAGTCTCAAACCGCCCAGGGCCTAATTGGTGGTGAGGGGTCCTTGCCTGATCGCGTTCTAGAAGCTCGGAATACCATTTACGCGCGGGAGCTCTGGCACGAGCTCCAGATGGAAGCCCGCAACCTCCAGTCATACGACGTTCGGCAGCATGAATCGAGCATCACTTACACGCGCCCTACTGGGCTCAAAGTTCGCATTCAGCTTTTATCGGCCGACGAGTGCGCTCCCGTTGATCAAGGACTGCCCGATAACTGGCTGGCCGAATCCCTCCACATAACTTTGCATGTCCTTCTCGGCTTCTCCCACCGCCAATACGAAACAACGCGGTCACGACCGCTGCCTCCCAACCAATCTCGTGGTAGGCTACAGAATCAAATCCACCTTCTACGGCCTGTTATAGCCTGGCACGTATATATGGAAGCCGTAGAACAGTGCACAAACTATATTGGCGGTCTAGTTAAAAGCCTTCGCAGCGGCAAGATGGCTGACGCAAAATTCGAGCTAAACACGACTCAAAATATCCTCACTGACCCAACTGCCGTCTCGGGTGCTGGCCGAGCCCGTTTGAACCCGACTCATGCCGTGCTCAACGGCAACGTTCTTCATCTAAGTTTCCGGATTGACCTTACCATCACTCCTGGAAACCGCCTCACCATCATGGGCTGTACATTGCTGGCACGCGCAGCCGCCACGGTTTACCAAATAAGCTTACCCAACCTAGCAGGCTCGGAGCATCCCAACACCCTCATTGAATCATGCCCGCCTCACCGTGACTATCCCAACCTCTCAGAAGTGCGTTGCTACGTCGATCAGGCTGTCTCATGCGCCCTTGTCAACTACTTCCGCCCACAACTCGAAGACGCCGAGAAAGAGGGTCTCGTTCGACAGAACGGATCGCTCGATTCAATAGCTTCCATTGATGGCTTCGACGCGGAAGACAAGGCCCTTTGGGTCAAAGGTGTGGCGGGGACATCACTTTACACGGCGGCGAGCTCACCGAGAGAGCTCGCCTTTGCCGTTGCCGGCCCTTTGCACGACCCCATCTTGAAGTGACCACGATGGTGCGCAAGGAGGATGCCAAGGTGGTCAAGTATATCTGGAGCGCCGAGGGCCCTCAGGCAGAGGCCAAAAGCCTAGGCATATCAGATGTATGCCTAGGGCTCGCCCATGACGTTCATTCGTGAGGCGTATACCTTTTTCTCAGATATCGAGTTTTCGTCATCCCGGCGCGAGAAACCTAACCAACAAAATATCCATTGACTGGCCACCGCGCCATCCTATTGAATTGTTGGGGGCGCCCGATACGATCCGGTCTCCCAAAATCATGCGTCGGATTGGTTGTATGACCTAGAAAAAGCCACACGGGCGCGTGCCACGTAGAGAAAAGGAAATAAAAACAAAATAAAGGATGGCGAATCCAAGCACTGCCTAGCCACATCATGATGCACTTCGAGCCTCGTTTGAAAAAGAAAATTCATTGGTATGAAGAAAGTCTTCCCCCTCTACCAAAGGAGGAAGATTAGACGAAGGGCCCCATTACTTGTCGTAGGGCGGGCGAGGTGGTCTGAGCTAGAACTAGTGATGCAGAGAGACGGCTGTTTGGGAGAGAAGGCTCGGGTCCGCAGGTCAGCCGCGGGGTAGACTTAAACTGCGCCACGCCGCTACTTAGGAGCTCATCGCCGAGTGAGGAGGGTTTCCAAATTGGCCCTTTTGCAGTATTTTCCCAAAGCGTTGCATACTTCGCATTTCACTCCGTGAGGTACTGCGATTGGGAAAAGGCGGGAACTGTCCAAAAGAATCTTGAATGTACGGGAGGGGGCGAAGCGAGAGCCACTGCAGCCGATGCAGGACCGCCACATAGTATAAAAGTTGTGATGTGCACTGTAGATAACTAGCAGATTTACCCAAGCTAAAAAGATCGACTCTGAGACTGACTCCAGCTCTTGACACTATTAGGGGACATCAAGTCTCAGTCGACTGTTTTGTTTCGTGTTTTTCTTCTTCAACCGCGAACCACGAGGGCGAGTCGCTCCTTATACAAAGTATACAATCTTTCGGAGCCTTCTCACAAACAAAGTCATCCGCGCTGCGATGGGACCTTCAAGATGGATGCAAGGTTGCTGTGGGGGCTTGGGTTTTTCTTCATCACATAATGTACGAAGTACTATTACCTGCGTACATCAAACTATGGTTGACATCCACATCGTATCTCATTGGCACGGTGGTACGGTGGCATAAGGCTGTGCTGTTCCACGAAAACCAATAAACCCCTGCAAGCGAGTCTCGAGAAACAAGCAATTAGAATACCTGGGGACTGTTCCAGTGCAGTACCGACCGCCCGTCAGCATGGGCCCGTGGCGACCGTACGGAGTACTCCGGTCCTGACCCAGACCAATCTCTCCAGCCTTTGCCGTCCGTTCCCAGATTTATTTCCCGCCCTCTCCCGTCGCCCCCGTCCAAGATGTTCCCTTCTCCGACCTCAGTCATTAGATCGCCCGCTCAGATGCGATAAGATCCATAGAGGGATTGCGATCGCTGAGCTGGCCCCTTTATTGTCATAGCTCCAATCGCTAGCTCGTCTAGACGGAGAAGCTGGTGCGCGCCGTCTTTGAGGGTCGCCAAGCATCGTCTGTTTGTTCGCAGTGCGAAAAGTATTGAAACAATCCTGAGCCAGTCCACCCATGAACGCCGAGCAAAGGTCGATATTCTTTGCCTAAGCCCACAATCGCTAGGGCGCGGGGGCCGGCGCCCTCAGGGGTAGCGTAGTTCACAATGTGTCTGCAGGTAATGAACTTTTTCTTTCCTTCTCTCTCTCTCTCTCTTCTCCCATCCTCTGGATCTCAGCTCGGCTCGAGGTTGCCAATTCAGACTAACCGGACATAGTGGAGACGGAGAAGCAAGGTCAAGGCCACGGCCGAGACGACGGAGATCAAGCCGCGCCGCCCTCCTCTTCGAACCCATAGCTCCTCGTTTATCCGCCCGAGAGCTTTCCTCAATCGTCTTTCAACCATCGCCTCCCTCCGACTCGTCCACGATATCAAAGACTCCTCCGAGCTTCTACAAGAGGTCGAGGTGGTGACTCGACAAAAGTTTCCTACCTTCGACCTAGGACCCAAGACCCGCCAACATCTCGAGGCAATCTTCAAAGACCTCAGCCAACCTCATCTTCATCTCAAGCGCCAAACGTTCCTCGATTTTCTTTCCGAGGTGCAAGGAGAAGAAAATGTACAGCTACACAAAGCCAGGTACCGCTTCCATGAGTTCTGCGATATCATTATGGCGGACTATGGCTTCAACGCCATCCAGCGACCGCACTCCTACAAGAAAGATCTTTCAAAGCCCATTACCCATTATTTTATCAATAGCAGCCACAATACGTACCTGTGTGGGAACCAGGTCACGTCGATCTCTTCCCCGAGCCATACAGGATCGTATGTGTACTTCCCCTCGTGAAAGCGTTTCCTTTTCCGTCAACCCCTTAGCTAACTCGGTAGCGTGGCTGTTCTAGGCACTTTTACGAGGCTGTCGCTGTATAGAAATCGACGTCCTCAATGGCGACTCATCCTCGCTTAGTCCTGCGAGGTCTATGGACCACAAGAGAGGCGTCTCGCATGAATCTATACCCATCTTAGCAGGGACTCTCAGGGATAAGGTGGAGGATACGATACACAGCACTCGACAATTCATCCGCGACCACTCACCCCGCCCATCTGTTCGGAAGTTAGGTCAGAACCAGGACTCGGAATCTAGCAGTCAGACTCAGGTCTCAGATGGTACGAGCTCGGTCACCTTAACTTCACACAGCACGCCAGAGAAACCGACGCGCGAAAAGTCCATACGACCAAGGTTGACATATCCCAAGACTGAGCCCATCGTGGCTCACAAGTGGGCTGCGACTCGCCCCTGTGGGTTCCGCGAAGTGTGCCAGGTCATAAGGAGTCGGCCTTCCAGACTACAGATCTGCCCATCATTGTCAGCCTGGAAGTGCTCGCGGACGAGGACCAGCAGGAGGTCATGGTTCAGATCATGAAAGAGGAGTGGGCGGGATTGCTTCTCACGGGCCCCTTGGACGGGTGCGATCCCAAATTCCATGCGCCGAGATTGGAAGATCTCCGACGCAAAATTTTGGTCAAGGTTAAAAAGGCCGCTCCCAAGCTGCTAAGCTCTCCGACCTTGACGGGGCTTACCCCGTCCAATCTACATGGCGACTCCACTGACGACGAGCGATGTTCCATATCACCCAAAACTTCTCCCGCGATGGAGTCTCCTAACCCCGGCGACCTGAACTCCAAAAGAGGGTGGCGATATGCCGCAACCTTGGGAATCTATCCATCTACACGTTTAGCCAGCATTTCAAAGGTTTCGATAACCGAACGACGAAAAAGCCCGGCCACATCTTCTCCGTCAGCGAAAGTCGCATACACGAATTGTCTACAACAAATCCGTACGAACTGTTCCAGCACAACAAGAATTTCATGATGCGCGCATACCCCGATGGCTCGAGGGTAAACAGCTCCAACCCGGACCCTTCCCCTTTTGGCGCCAAGGCGTGCAGATGGTAGCAATGAACTGGCAAAATCTCGACGAGGGCATGATGTTGAACGAAGGCATGTTCGCCGACGAGGAAGGTTGGGTGTTGAAACCAAAAGGGTATGGGGCCTTGGAGAGGGAAACAGAAACGTACCACGATACCGTCCCGCGCTCGAAACTTGATCTCAAAATCACCATCCTAGCGGGTCAGCAAATATGGTCCCCAGACTTTTATCAGGAGAGGGAAAAGGGGGATCGAGGCGCAAATCTAAGGCCAACGGTCAAGTGCGAGCTTCACTATGAAAATGCCGACCACCGAAAGGGGAGAAAAGAGACAAGACAGAGGGCACCATCGTGGAGTGCAAGCAGAAGACGAGAACGACCGAGTCGGACCATCCGGACTTCGGCAAGAGCGGCTATACATTCTCCTTCAAGGGAATTTATGGCACCAACCAGGAATTCGCGTTCATCAGGTAAGAGATCATTAGCCCGTGCATATTTTATCCGTTTGTGCTTTCGCTCCACCCCCTTTTTCTCATTCTTTGCGGGCCGTTACCCCAGCCACCTGTCAACGCCGGAAAGCCGCAGCCAACGTGTCCCATGTGCCACCACTATGCGAGGCTTGTCACTACCCGCCGCTGAGGTGTGTGTAAAGCCGTCTCGGCGTGGCGTCCCGCGAGTGCCACCACCTAGTAGTGAGTGGACGTTGAGATAGTCCATGTCGGGCTTCGGAACATGCGCGGCCGGTCTGCCCCTCCTGTGTCGCCTAGTCGCTCAGTACACCTTCCCGAGGCTGCATAACCGTGGTCCAACCTGAATCGAATCAGGCCAGAGAGTTGAGCATATCGATTCACTCTCGGAGTTCGACGATGGGAGCACCACTTGCCTCATAATCATAACCCTCGAAAACCCTCTGATCCACAATCATGATTTTAGCCTTTGCTCTTTGGGCCCCCACCTCTCTCTTTCCGTTCCGTTCCGTCCCTCCCCTAGTCATTCCCTCTCCCCTGCTTGAGACTAGGGAGGGAGAGGAGAGAGAGAGAGAGAGCGAGAGCGCAAGAATTGGCTTCCTCACTACCCCCCTTTACGTCTAAGCTTCGACACCTACTAGTTTAGCGGCACCTCGATTAAAAAGACACTTGGCTAATAGACGGATGGGTGGTATAGGTTCAAAATCGAAGATGACCAAAGTAGAGTTGCGTCTCGAGAAATTCTCTCCTGGGCATGTATCAGGCTCGATCGTCTTCGCTGTGGATACCGCTTCGTGTCCCTGATGGATCCCAAGGGCTGCCCGATTTCCGACGGTAAACTACTGATCAAAGTCGAAAAGACTTTACGGTAGGAACTCGGAGTATAGCGTGAAAGCGTAGGAAGGGGTTGAGGAAGCGAAGTACAGCAGGAGGATAATCGACTCAGATTGGGTCATGTAACTGAAAACTCGAGGGGAGGTATAGCAAACGATAACCTGAGAGCTCGAACTGAGCATGCGATCTGGTCGGCGTTCTTGATGACACGTTTTTTTCCTTTTCAACAAATTGGATCACCTAGTATTCAGGTGTGCGCCGTGACCGGCGTTCAGGATGGAGTTTGACAACTTAGAAGAACAATACCAAATGCGATGAGTTTCTTTTAAGGCGAGCAGCGGGATTTCCTTTGCAACGGAAGGCACGTAGCAGCATTCTCGGGTTAGCTGTCCAACCTTGGCACCATGCATAATTTCTGAGACTAGTCTACGACAGCGTCGGGAGCCTTGCCGCATGACGTCCCGCTCCTCGGCGTCCTGTCAATCAAAGTTAACTCAGACTAGTGCAAAAATGTGAAGTGGCTGTCGAGCATCAACCACGCCCACTGCAGCTCGATGACAGAGGTACAGACATGAAGCTAATCAAGGGCGGCGCTACGCTATCCACCGCACAGCGTATTCGATGCTCGAGAAAAGAAACAGCTATTATCTGAAAAGAACGAGTCGCGGTGGCCACGTCGCGCTAACCCAGTGTCCCTACGCGCCCCTTACTCGGCACGGCTCGGGTCCGATGAATGCTTCTTACCACGATAGCATGACAATTAGGCCAGACTTCGTCCTACATCAGCGGAAAGAGAATGATGGAAAAAGAAGAACTGGTCTGGAACCATCCATCGCGGGCTTTCACAAGGTGCAAGCATCACCTTGGTGGCATTACGTAGGGAGACGTGTCCAGTAGCTCGAGCTGATATGGCTTATGACATTGCGTCATGTCCCGGCCGCGGTCTATTTCCAAGGGCCCCGTTCACCGAATGGAGGGCCATGGAGACGTTTTCAATGGAGGTTGGCTCCGTCATGGGCTGGCTGCAGCCTCTTCTTCTTTCCGCAGCCCCCTCTCCATCGGGTGATCTGGTCCGAGCCTTCAGCTCCTCCAAGACGGCCAGACGCTAAGAAGAGCCGGCGAAGGGCAGGGGAAGGGCTTGAGATTGACCTGTAGAAGGTGCATTTGCACATGCCATCCACTCATTGGGTCGCTCCCTGGGAGCACTTGAGTATTAGTGCGTCGAAAAAAGAATTAACGCAATCAAAAAGGAAACTGACGCTTCCCTCCTCACTACCCCCATGCATCCATCATTCTGAAGTGTCTACCTGTAGTGTAGGGCGTCGGCTCGGGGCCATCACGCAGCACGCAGCACGCGCAGTACCTATCAGTTCGCCTTGCCCTCACGGCCCAGCGCAGGGGAATAAGAACCAAAGGAGGGCAACGAGAACCCGTGACTTTCCTCATGATCTGACCCTCGGGTTGCTTTTCCCTAGAGGTCTGCCATGGTTTTATTGGGCCGTTGGGCAAGGATCGCCCAAGCCACCACCTCCCATCTTCCTGGGTTGTACCTGTGCGTTCCTCCTTTTGGCGCTCAAGGCCTCTCAGCTCACCAGAGGGGCGTCTCTGGGTCCGCACCGCAGGCATTTGCTCAGCGGCGTGCTCCCGACGGATGGCCGTTTGACGTCAAGGAACCAATGGGTAAACAAAACCGCCTTCTCGGCAAGTCGCCCTAGCGGGGCGTCCTCAACAGCGCCCTCGGCGCCGCGCCACTATACAGTAACACCGAGTAGGAGGCAGAAAAAGCAACCCCATATATTTATATATCCATATATATTTTCGGATATATTACATTGAGCTATGAGCATCGCTTGTAGATCGTACTAGACACCGCAGGCCCGAATGAGCCATTCAGAAGAGGCTTGGATGATAGACAGGGGAGCGATATGATGGTCTTGAGAGGGCGTGAGGTGGAGTGGCATGCGAAGGGGAAACGCCGTTGTGTCTTCTCCCATGGCGTGACTCCTCCCCTCTCGTCACACATCGCCATACTCCGTCACACAAAGCGTGATAATTGCTCGTTCACTCTTGGAGAGATTCTTCCCTTCCCTCGCAATACCCTCCCAAGGCATGCCACGATTAGCAATCTCGGCCCTATCTTATCATGTTGTAGGAAAGGAGAACGACCACTTACACACCCTCTTCCTTCTTACCTTGGTTTTTCCCTCTTCTTTTCTTTTCTTTTGCGGCCCCTTCCCCTTTGCTTAGCGTTGTACCTGCACAGGAAAAACAAAGATATCTAGAAGACCAAGTGGCAACAATCAAGCATTTCACGAGAACCGACACTGTTTTGTCGGGATATCCCCCACTTGGAAGCATGACTCCTTTAGCCCGCCGCCAGTGACGACATGAAGGAACGTTGACGATCTCCCGACTCTGTATGGTTCACATCTACTTTAAGCTAGTGTAGTCGCACATTCCTTCATGGTAGGTGTGCCGAACGCAAAGCAAACAACTAGCAAGACCTCGCTAGACAATGGCAATAGAACAAGCAGCCAAGGCCCGCTAGATTGGAAGTCTTGGGCTAGCGCACCCACGAACGACCGACACTAGAATCATTTTAGTGCCGGAAGCGGAACGTGGATGGAGGAATTTGAAGGGGGCGCACTTCAAAGTAGACCCAGCCGATCAACCGTGGCGACAGGGCAGAGTGGGACGAACCGGCTCCTTGCCTACGTTGACGCCGCCCCCCTCCTCATTCCCTCCCCATCATACAAAGGCCAATCTAGACTCTAGCAGCTATATAGTATGGTGGTTTTAACCACACCTGACGCCCTTATGAGGCAGGATTAGGGTTCCAAGAGAAAGGGAGAGTAAGCAGAAGGGGGGTTGAATGTGGGCAGGAGGGTGGGTGGAGAGGAGGACGAAGGGAACACAAGAGAGGGGCGGCCAAAAAAGGAAAGAAAAACAGGGAAAGAAAACAGAGGGAGAGGCGAGGGGAAAGCAAAAAGAAAGCAAAGAGAGGGAAAAGAAAAATAGTATATAAAAAGCAACGACACCACTACTACGACGCAATCAACAACAAGGCGATACGGCATCAACCTTAAATTGTTGGCTGCGTAACGCAGCAGACCCTAGCTCCAATCGGGTCCAAGCCAGCAAGCTCAACAGGCATGATCGCCTCTTCTCTACCCCTTCCACCTCAAAGAGGGAATTTCTGAGAGGGTAACGGTAGACCCGACAAGTCGGATCCCATCAATCACAGTGGTGTTACATGAGCCGGGGTCCTTTTGCCGCCCACGGCAGAGGGAGGGCAACGGGCAATAGCGAAGACATCATCAGCTGCAGCTACACGGCAGCTGTTGCACGTCCAAAGGGAACTTTATGCGCCTAGGCACCATGTCATGTCGTTGCAAAGGCCAAAAATACACCTTGATATGCGAAGTGCGGGATGCATCTAAAGCTGCTGATGTATGATGTACGATATACGCCTCTGCTGCAGGCAAATGCCGAGAGGGGATGGAAGAAAGAGAAAGCTGCCGGGGAGGGTGGGCAGGAAACATCCAGGGATTCAATGCTGGTTTGGGAATCTCAAAAGGCAAGCAAAAACGGGCGAAACTGCAACTGTGACGATGAATAATGGCGACATCTACCTTGGCCCCCGTGTGGTGTACTATGTCAGTGTAGGAGTCAAGTCCTTGTCTTTTGCGTGGAGCGCCTTCCGTGCCACCTTCGGAAATATTGCTGTGGTCGGATATTACTTTCCCGCGCAAGGCTTGGGCTGCCCGAGTTTGCTTTGCGCCTCAGCATCCCCTTCCTTCTTCGCCCTTCTGGGATCCTGTTCATCGTGATGATCCCGGCGTCCGTGGGCGCCACCCCTTTCCTTTGGGGTCGTACAAACCGGCCCAGTTCGAAACAGTCGGGTCGTCGCACGCAAAGGATGGATCTTTTCCCGACGCCCCTCTTCCAACGAAAAAGGACTCACCTCACCTGCCGTTGTCTGCAAGTTACCTTGCCGTCAACGAACCCGGGGTTCTCTGTGGAGGATATCGGCTTGTCAACACATGTGATGTGCTCTCATCAACTAGTCAAATCAAAGTCAGGGCCTTGATACAATCTAACTGCACAGGGCTCACAGAGAAGAAAAGGATGGGGCAAGAAGAAAGAGTAGAGAAATCCAGATAGGCAACTGATGTTATAATCACAAACTCCCGCCCGGAGCACCTGGCGTAGGAGAGGCTGACGGTCTCGCTGCCGGGACCTCGCCCATTGCCGAGGATCTGTGCTCAGCTCAACGTCTTCCGTCGGTGCCCAGAGACCGGTCCATATATTCAGCTCCGGTCAGCCTCAAATGTGAGGAAGGAAATCACCTGCCCCTAACATGATGAGGGGACACCCTCCGATACCATCTCAGCAGGAGCAGAGAGGGCTACCAGAATGATTGTGACGTTTCCTTGCTCCTCGATCAAATTACTCGAGTGCAAGAACTCAGGGGCTCCCCTAGTAGAAAAATGTACATGGACTGCCCTGCCCGGTCGTTTCTATGTCTCCGACGCGGATGACACTCGATCAATGCGAGGTTAAATAGGCAGCTATGAAGCAGAGGAGGCTTGCCACCAAAGTAAACCATGCCCACGCAGGCCAGCGCCTGGCTGCTGTCTATTAGTATATACATAGGTTCGGGAGAGGGGGAAAGTGGACATCCGACCCCGAAGTCGTATCTACTTGTATTTGCCTTGTTATCCTGACAAAACATCCTCCTTCGGAGATGCAGCGCCATTGGCGTTGGGCATGGCGCCCGATTTGGCACGCAAGGTACATGTAATTATACAAGGCACCTAACTCGCTCACGTACCCAACACGGCCCCCTTGAGTGCTCAACATGAACGACCCGATTGTGAGCTTTCCAAAAGGCAGGTGGGCTCAGGGCTGCTACTTGCAGGAAACCGTTCGTCGATCATGAAAAAGAAAGAAAGATGGGTCCGCAACCGCTAGCCGAGCATCTGATTCGGTTGTGTATTCGAGATGTGACAGCTTCATCTAGCGGTAGCATCAGTGCGTTGGGGCGTCGCGTGCTGGTGTGCGAAAACGCGCACTGACTGCCAAACCTCGTGCGATCTCCCTCACAAGCTCCAACCACGAAAGTGACAACTCGAAAAGCTCACCGTGCTCCCGGCGTGGACGACAAGTGGGGGAGGGCAAACACGGTTTGTTTTTTCGCAAGCCCCCAATTACAGAAGCCAAGGGCTTGATGTCACGTTTGGGCAAGCCAGGCTTGCCCATGCTTTTGGGGCGTGTCAGACCGCTCGACAAGGGAATCCACCCTAACAGGGGCGCATCATGGCTGATATGTGATCCTTCACGGCTTCGGGATACGCGGGCTTCGAATTCCTCCCTTTTCCTCTGTTTTCTTGCTTTCTTTTTTCCTTCGTTTGTGGGCTTTCTCCCAAATACGAGCTCGCAAAGCAAGGACGACAAGATATTGTCGAGCAGAGGGAGGGAGAGAGAGAGGGGAGAGGGGGAGATGAGTGCTGGCCGCATGGTATAACAAAACTCCGCGCCTCGTGGAGGAGGTATAGCCTTGAACGAGATACCGGTTTTGATGATTATTTATGGGCAAAGAAATAATGGGCTGCGAGGGGCGGAGGCTCCACCTCGCTGGCTGGTCATGGTGCCCCTTCCGAGAGGTTGGGCTTGAAAGGTTGATGAAAACGCAAAGCTCCGCTAGGCATGGTGGCTTCTCCTCTTCAATGGGGATTTCCAGCGGTAAAATGGCTCGAGCTTGAAGCAGAGACCCTGCATTTTTGAGGCTTGCTCTCATATCTTTTCTCTCGCGGGGTCAACAGCGGATGGATTCGCCAAGACTGTTACATCAACCCCACAAGCCTCGCATCAACACCACTCCCTTCACGATCCTCGCGTTCAAGATGTCATATCGCATCTCGCCTCTGTGCTCTCCCCTTGTCGAACCCAAGATCAAATCCATGTCGCGATGGTGAGGGGTTCCTTTGCCCCTCTGTACCACTTGCACACGCGGATCACCAACCCGGCCGTGTCGTGTCATCTACCTTAGACCCTAGACCAGATGATGAGGAGGGGGGCACGTTCATGGAGCCTGCATAACTTCATCCAACTTATACTAGACAATCGGAAAATGGGGAGCGGGGAATTCTGTCTATTTCGGCTGAGTATCTTGCTGTGAAAAACAGCATGGGGCGGACCGTCGCTGTGACGTGGGCCTGGCCGCGAATCGTCGATGAGCTGTCGGAATCTCTGGCACCATCTCCCGGCGGATGTGAAGTCACCAACAATAGCGCATTGCAATGCATCGCGTGTCTTCCCTTAAACGGGGGCTAATAGGTGCGGCCGGTCATCTGTGGGCATTTTTACTTTGAAGCGTGCCAAGTTGAAGCTCATCTCCTCTCGCCTCGGGGCTCCACGCTGCCCTCAACCTCGTAAAGGGAGAAGGAGGAACACAATAAGCAACGCAGGCGGCTCTACTTTGCACCTTCCTTTCAGCGCCTCCCTGGAACCGGGTTGTCGACCTCGCCTTCCTATCTAGAGTCATTCGACCATCTCGGCGAAGGAACGAGAAGATAGGAAGGCGCGATGATCCTACAGGCGACGTTGAGGTAAGACAATGTGCGCCTGTACAGTCTTATTGGCTGGGGCTGGGCCACCGAATCACGGAGAAGAGGATCCGATGGCCGACAAAGCTGAAGACTTCAATCCTATCCCGAAGCCAAACCTTCATCAATATCAATATATGTTCCCACCGGGAGAGGCCGCGGGCTCCTGCGACAGATGCTGATCCCCACTTCGTTCGCCTTCATCTACACTATGACGACTCTCTTCCGATCGGGTAATACTTGTATTAGCAAACAACTTATGAGGAAGCTTGTTCATTTCCTCATCGACCCCTGGGGCCCGTGCGCCATTGGCACTCCAGCTGGGCCCTCGGAAAATTCGAACTTGGGGCCAGCATTGAGAGGTAGCAACTATTATTAAATCAAACCATTACTAGCACTGGTGTATTAGAGTCGCTTCAGCAAGCACTGAAGAGTGGGGGAGGCTTCGGGTCGGGGCACAAGCGGGGAGAGGATGCAAGCTTGAATGGATCAGTGGATCAATGGATTCGTTCAGCAGTCCTTGCCTCAAGAGGGAAAAGGGGCAATGACAAGAGATCCCTAGAATGATTGATGGATCTAGATCCATTTAAGAAGTGGACCTTGCTTAGAGGGCCTTGGTGGACCTTGGAGGGCTCCTCCCGAGAGAGTCGCCGTTTCCTTCCTTTCCCATCCCAGCGCGATATGCCTTCAATATAATCAATACGGACGTACTTGTGCGTTGTCTTGATTCCTCGAATTCATGACGGACCCCTGAGCCACAAGGAACTATAGCAGGAAAGGCCATGGATGGCATCGTGGATTTCCTCGGTCCTTGGATAATATTACGAGCATACATCCTAGCAATGAGCCGAGAAGTGAGGGGGTGCCAGAATAACTGCCCCATCCCCCAATCCTGTCTGGCCGCCTTGGGGTTCGTAAGCGTTCCAGACACTCGGAGCTATCAGGAGATACCCGGGGCGGATTAAGACACCCTTGACACCCATGAACAGTCAATGTCGAATCACAGGACCAACACCCCGGATCCTCTCGTCGATGGCTATGCTCGCCCGTCCATCTGCCTGTGGTGTGGGGATAGATATATCCACTAATATATCAATCATATTTATAAATCTGATGCAAAGAGGGAAACGCTCATCTTTTCTCTGGCAAGAGAAAGAAAGCCTACTTAGGCTATTTGTAGATTTCTTGTTCCCTTTTTCATTGCTTACTCCTTACTCCCGCCTGTTCCTTTATTTATTCTTCCATCTTCCACAAGATATCGAAATGCGTATGATACACCTACCACTTTCGGGCTCGTCTTTTCGTTCGCTGTTGGAGGCCGTTGGGAGGGGGTGGTGCTGGCGCCAATCCTGGATTGATGTGCATTGTGCAATCGAGTAATAGATGTTGATAGTCGCACGCCGCACCCTCGGTCCTTGCAGGCCCTTGTCAAACCCCTTGGGACCAATTACACACAATTGTGCTCACCCCTCTGTCACGCCGACGGCGTGTTTCCTGGTCGGTGTGCTTCAGGTTTCGAAGACGCCGAAGGATGAAGGACGATGAGGGCGAAACAAATCTTATTTTCAGCCGGCCATCGAGCGCTGAGCTGGTATGGTTTTGGTCTCTTCTGTTTATTTCCTTTTTCCTTCGTCGGGACGCTTGTTGGATTTCCTCTTTTCTTCACCCTATCATGCGATTTGCCGTTGGAGACCCTTCCCTTTTTGCCATTTTCCTTCCTTCTTCGCCTTCCCTTCTTTCCTTTTCTTTCCTCTCTCTCCCTGGAAGCCTGCCTGACTAGTGACGATCCACCCACTTTTCCCCTCTGAACAGACATGGAGCCGGCTCTGAATAATAGGTAGCTTTGACCATCCGGAAGTTTTCTCCATCTCCAATGGGACGGTTCCCGGGAACAACCCTGAAGCGCTGAGGACTCCGCCAAGTGCGTACTTGTATGTCGTCTGTCCATCCACCCCCTCCCCTCCCACATTTCTTCCCGTACACGTTCAAGGCAAACTCGACGGGTGACCAGTAGTATTCTCCACTTAGCCTCTTGAGGGTAAGGCTAGTCGTCATTCCAGCAAGACAGTCTGGTCCCGTATATCTGGTCCCATCCCTTCCCTTCCCACCCATGTCCTGTTCAAAAAATACTAGTGTTAACGCTACCAACATTTTTTGTACTTGCAACTTCAAAAGCCATCTCGATCTTGTACCCCCGGGAGGCAAGGAGGAGCCTCCCCTTTTCGTTTCTTTTTTCTTTTTCTTTTTTTTTCTTCTTCCCTCCCCAAGTGAGCTGGTTTGGATCCTGCTATCCGGGCTAGGTCATGGCGCAACACCCTGCAGATTGACGGTGAGTTCGGAGCCGCTGGCGCTTTCTGGCCGGTCAAGCTTCACAAGCAACAGTGTCGCGCCGTGTACCGAGTAGCTCCCAAGCAGCCAGCGTTACCCTTCCTTCTCTTCAAAACAGACACCCCGTCATCGTTCAGTCGAGAGAGTGCCCCACCCGTACCGTGCCTTTGTCCCTCCAAGCCCGCTGGTTGAATGCTGAACGCCACAGTCGAACCCGAACCTCGACCAGTCTTGCCAGTCTCAGTCTCACAGGGGCCTGTTTATTCTGACTTGTCTCCTTCTGCTAGCCCTGGCAGCAACACCAGAACCCGCTGCCCATCGGCTGGCTGCTTTGAGTTTCTTTCGATGTGGGAGTCTATTATCGTTCCTTCCCCGTTAGGACCCTCCTCAAGAGAGGAGTGGCTTCTTTGTTAGTGTCAACCACTTTACCCCCCTCTCTCTCCCCTAGTCGAACCCCAAGCATCCACAAGCATCTCCACCTCTCCAATTCTTCAGCTGCCCTTCCCCCAACCTTACCCACGATAGTTTTGGCTTAGCTGCACTCTGAGACTAGCCACTCCAAGATATAAATACTATTATATGCCCCTCCTCCCCTTACCTACATGCTTATCCATTTTCCAAGCGCACAGCATATCACAACTTACTATCTATACCACGTTTTCCGACTCTCCATCTCTGAATCCTCTCCCACCTTCCCCTACTTCACTCTCTCACCAACACACACACACATACATCTTGACGCCTCTCTCCACGCTGTGACAGACTCGCCTCAGTCGTCGCTAGTGCTTTTAAGCCCCGTCTCGCGTTCCCAACCCATCACCTACCGGCACAGCACCATGACTGCCAGCCCTGGAACTTTTGGTTCGATGACTCCGGGACACCAGCATCCCATAAACTTGAGGCTCGAACAGGAGTCAGCCTCCACCCCTGACAAGGGCAAAATTGTCATGATGGTATCTGCCTCCCACCTCAACATCCAGAAGGCCCCCTAGAACCCTTCACGCCTTTGAGATAAGCGGCCTGACTGACTCTCTCTAGGGCAACATCCCAGGATTGCGGTGTCCAACCTGCGCAGCTGAAGGGAAAGAAGTCTGGGTGATTCCTGGGCGCCGGTGTGGATACTGCGGTACGCCAGTAGGCTAAGTCTCCGTGGCCCTTATGCGGGTAGTAACGTGAGAGCGCCTTTTCAATGTAGGTATGCCTTCTTCTTCCTTGACGCCCGGGTTGGTCTTGCACGGACTTGGCTAGCTTTGGAGCCACCCAAGTTACTCCTTACTGACTCAATCTAATAGTCAACTTAATCTTTTGTCTCAAGATCCTAGCGCAGCAGGGTATTGGCAGGTTTCCAGGCGAGGTGTTCTCGGACGATGTTCGGTACTGGAATTCTTTTTATTTTATTTTATTTCGGGGGCGGTATGAGGAGGGGAACGGGCGAATGGGTAATGGTAATCATGATCATGGTGTGCATCTTGGTCTTGGGCGTTTCTTTCGGCTCTAGGCGTTCGCAGAATAGCTGAACGCAGGTTTACAGCAAGTTCTGTCGCATCAATAGATTTGGAGTGGGGGTGGATGGACGACTAATGGGTACGGGAGAGATTGGAAACGAAAAGCTACGGCATCGACGACATCGACGACATCGACGCAAGGAAACATTCAAACTCGAGGTGCGCTCCTTGTCGAATCATCACGCCCTGGAGGATTTTGGCATGCTGGCATGTCCAAAGGATTACGTGGGCTTCCTCTTGTCTGTCTTCGTACAGACCTCTTCATCGCTAAAGGGTTTGAGCCTGGTTGACTTAGGCTCAGTTATAGAGGGGATGTTGGATTTTCACATCATTTTTCATCTTAGAGAGCAAAAATGGATTGGTTATATTATTCTGTGCATTTGATCTTAAAACCACACACACACACACACACGCTTAGTTCGAGGGTTGTTCCAACCGTTTTACCGACCATGCTTCCTGTCCCTCTTCACAAGCTTGCCTGCGGGTAATGACCTCAACGAAGTAGAGAACAAAAAACAAGGTGAGGCTACAACGTCAAATCTCCTTCGAATTTTGTCTAAGGGTTGAGGGATGGCGGTAGCGAATCACCCCGCCCTTCACTCGCCCTGCCTTTGCTTCAGTCCCATTCCCTTTTTTTCTCTTTTTTTTTCTTTTTTTTTTTCCACTCTAAGAAATCTTTTTTATCCTTTTCTCTTGTTAGCCAGCCTGTTCCTTCGCTCTTCCGCTCTCTTGGAATATATCCTGGCGACGATCATCCGTTCCCTGAGGGAAATGCATAAACATAAAAGGAGTAAAACCCCCGACCCACCAAGGGACGGGGGTCAGGCCAGGGCGAAGCGAAAGGGGGAAGGGTGGGTTGAGTGAGATGTGAGATATGGACGAGGGTTGCAGTCCCCTCATCTTGCACTGCTTGTGGGTAGAAGGAACATTGAAGTCAGGAAGCAAGGTACCTAGCCGAATCGGCAAATGGATCGACAACGCGGTCGGCAAACCGTCATGGGGGAGGAACTTTCCTGGTCCCGGAGAGCGTCAGACCGGTCGCAGTTTGGGACTGGCAGATTCACCTTCTCTCCTTCCCTATTCTTTTTCTTTTCTTTTCTTTTCTTTTCTTTTCTTTTCTTTTTTCCCCTCTCTCTTCTTCATACTCTTTGCTTCCTTCGTTCATATTGTCGCAGAGGCCCGGGGCAGCCTCCCTGGCCCATCCATCTTCACCAGATCGGGAAAACAGACCCTTCGGTTTGGAGCCCTTGTTCACAGAGTACTTTGAGCATCAAGACCAACCAACAGCCAGGGTCTGGAAACGCCAGGCTAACTTCGTGGAGAAATGGACGCACCCACTTTCTCGCTCGCCCTTGTTGGGGAAAAGAGAGAGGGGAAAGACGCTATTGCGTGCGAGAGGAGGCGACGGGGCGAGCCTGGAACACCCAATCAAGCTTAGACCCAGCCTGTAGTTTTTGTCTAGTTGGAGCGGAGGAACGGTGATGATGGCGGACCGGCCGGTGAGGATGGTGTGTGGATGAGCTGGGATGAAAAAGAGGGCCCTTCCGGAACCTAGCTTTCTTGATTACTACTGGAGGTGAGTTCTCAAACGCTGCAGGGTTCTGCGATGACGTATCATATCTCGTTTATCGCCATTTTCCGTTTTCCGACGTTCGCAAGGTTCAATCTCATAGCTCATCAATCTCCATCGAAGATCCCAAACCGCCCATACATGAAGCGGAGGGAAGGAATTGGCGGGTATTAAGTAAGGGTTTGAGCTTTTTATTACCCTCTTCCTTTCCTACTACGTCGTCCACCTCTACAGTATCTGAAGGGAACCAGACCTGGAAGCCCGTTTCCGAAAAACAGGGAGAAAAAGAAGAAGGAAAGGGGAAAAAGAAAAGCAGTCACGAATGGCTCCTCAAGCACCAAAAGAGTACCTGCGCAGCTTTTCCAATTCATCCTGGCGATTCCAACATAATGCGCGGCATTCAGGATTGACAACCAGAGCCCACATCAAAGACTGCCCACATGATCTCTGCAGATCGAAGGGGCAGAGGATCAATTCCCTGCCCTGCTCCCTCATAATCCTATAATTGCCTTGAGGGTCCCTTTTGCTATTCTTCAAGCTCCTACTGCCAGCCGTATGCCGTTACTCACACACAGGGAACGAATCGAATAATTGACAAAAAAGGCAAAAGGCAAAAAAAAAAAAAAAAAAAAAAGAGGCAGCTTCTGGTATCTCTGAGGCTGTCTCGTCGAAGCGGCAGCGAACGCGATTAATGGCGGGTCACGGTTCAACGATACGAATACATCCTCGCCCTGGATAGATTGGTCAATGTACACTAGTTTGGACCATTCAGCGGCCATCTATCAATGGAATGACATTCACGGGGGAATCATCAACCTGACCTAACTCGAGGGAAATCGATGGCGGCACGCTAGTACAAGTAGGCTCCGATACCACTGCACGCTCCTCGTTGCGGCCTTGGCTGGCCCGTTCCAAACCGCCATTCCCAGACCAAAAAACGGCCAGCATGAAGCTTGCAGATCTGTTGGGGGCCGGGCCACTGGGCCGGGACTGGGTCTGTGGCCTTTCTCGAGTCCCCATTTTTAGCTTGGTCAACGCCAAAGAAAAAGAGGGTTAGGATGTTTGCACAAGAGCGGGTCGACGACTCGGACTACTACTATGTACTACTTGTACTTCACCTGGCTGATCTGTGATTGAATCGCCCTCTGCCACCCATCCATGAATGGGAGAGACGGACTCTGTGGGTTCATTGCATCGAGAACCGAAATCCAAGTGCATCGTATCGTTAGACCTTGGGGTGTCTAGACTCACTCCTAGGAGGCCCTCTCTCAGTCATAACAGGGGTGGCCCTCGGCCTTAGCAGGGATTAATCAAGGATCAATGATGAAATTATCGATCCATTGCCCACCAAAAAAAAAAAAAAAAAAAAAAGAAATAGAAAAAGGACGCTGATAGTGCCCAGTACCGAGATGCAGAGATTGGGTAAGCAGCAAGATGAAGCTCATTTGGCTTCAGTTCAAAGCGCGGGATTCCCATGTCTGCTTCTGCCCACCTGCTTCGACAGTCACACGCGGCGAAGAGAGGGTTCTCGTCAAGAGGTGGCGTTCGTCCGCGATTGCCTGTCGCGGGTCTCGAGGCTATCACTATGGATCCTTTTCCCTCTACCCACTCTTGCTTTTAGCGGGTGTGTCTCCGTCTCCTCTCTCTCCGGGAGTCGGTACCCGCACCTGTCGAGCTGAATGTCTCTCCGCCGGTATTCAGGCGAGATATACCCAGCGTGATGACAACATTTCGCAAGCCAAGGTAGGCAAGAAAAAGAAAAAGAAAAGGACAGAAACAAGGGAAAGCAAGGCCAGCGTCTAAGAAGAACCGGAGTTGCCGGGTTTCTGGCCTGGCGGACGAATGAAGCAAGCTGAATATCCTCAAGCCCTCATCATCGGCGTCGCAAGCGCCATAAATTGGCCCGGTTCTTCCCCAGTCGGGGATCCCTGGGGAATGCCTAGACCAATTTGAGATGAAGGGACTGGATGGTAGGCTCTCAGGGAAGGTGCAAGAGTGCTTTTTCCTTTCCTGTGGCTGATTAGGCCTTCCATCCGCCTCAGCCTACCTCGTGGTCGGGAAGGACCCCTGGACACATGGTCTGATTCTTCTGCTAGCTCTGTTTTCCCTTTCCTCTCTTCGGCTGGTCTCGTCAATTTTTTGATTGATCTCCTTGTTCTTCTCGAGATGGGCCATCCCCTCCTTGTCTGGGGCTCTCCAATACTTCGTGATAGGCTCGATCTGGGAGCTGCTGAACACCCCGGAGACGGGCTAGTAGACCCGATGCTCTGGGGCGGCTCGAACAGGATTGAATGTAATAGTGGAGGTGGGGTGGACTCACCGGGCGAGGCGGGCCTTGGCTTCCCTCGAGCTTTTCGCTTTTGTGATCGCCCTGCACTCGGCCACCACGCGCTATCAGTCGCTCGGCCTCTTTGGGTCATCTCCCCGTTCCTCTTTCGTATCGCTGGACGTCCCAGGCTTGCGCACCCACATCTCGCCCGGAATATCTACCGGGATCTACCTCGGTGCGGGATGTGGTAATAGACTGCCCATCTGCATGGGGCAAGTTCAGAGCACGGAGAATACTTGTACTTGGACGGCATGGAACGCAACAGCCGTTACAGCGGGCGCAACGACTTGACGATGGGCAGCGTTGGGTTCCGGAGGCAATAAACAGGGCGTTTAGCTCGATGCGATGTGGTGAGCGGCCCATTTCAATTCTACCTTTTATCATCAGAATTATTCAAGCGGCAGCGACGCCGTCTCGCTTCCAGTCAGGCTCTTTGGAAACTGCGTGTTTGGGTGGCCACCCGTTCTGGTTCACTATGGCCAGTTGTGCTGGTTTCTCGTCGTCAATACTCCTCTCTTGACCCGCCGCCCAGACGAGATCATGATGGAGGGCCTGGTGCAGCAAGCTGTGGATACTTCCGTGCTCCGCGGCTCCTTCGTCGGGATTTTGTGATACTTCTCCGGGCTCGAAAATGACGAGGAATCGGGACAAGATGAAGGGTGGGGTGGGACTGGTGAGGAAGGCTGGGAATATGCAGTAGGTGTGGTGTGGCTGGCGGCACAAGGAGAGGGGGAGGGGAGGGGAGGGGTGGAAGATAAAAACAGGGAGGGGTCGGCTGCTTGGGAGGACGGCACTGCACTCCAAGTACACGAGGAGTTTCCGAATGGAGAATGAAGGAGGGAGTCCTTGTACTTTGGGCTCGGGAACCCTCCCTCCTCCGGTTTCTTGGTTTGGCTCATTATTGACGAAGGTGTGTGGGATGGCGGGGACAAACTTGGGAGAGCCAAGCCCGACTGGAGGCACTGATCATCTTTTGGCGGCTGGCCATTACCAGGTTACTGGGAAAGTCAGCCCCCAACCAGACATTTATCCCTGCATCACATCCTTTGGCTTGGTGCGACCCCCACATACTTTTGCACCCCAAAAACGCGAGAGGGCCTAATTAGCACCTAGCACCAAGCAAGCACCTAGCACCAAGCACCTAGCATCTAGCAGATGACCTTTTGTCGATCGAGAGGGCCCGGGCTTAGTTCTTGCTCATGTTGCATCAAAACGTGGTTTGCCCTGCCTGGTCTCTCTGCCCCCTTACGCAGTGCAGCAGTGCAGCAGTGCAGCAGTCCCTTTATTACAGCATACACAATCCCTCCAATGTTCCCTTTTCTCTCCCCGGCTAATAATTAACATGCTGGCCCCATCGCCTCATAATCTGACTTGGGGCTGGAACTCCTGGCTGGTCACTTTGTCCCCACGAGGCCTCGGTCAAGAGATTGATGATAATACCACTTCCACTACAAGTCCAACAAGTCACCTCAACATCGATGCACGAGCACGAGCCCGACCCCTGCTGTCTTGAGATGAGCAGGGTCCTGCAATGATCTGCTCCGTATGCATCCCTCGACGAGTCGTGCATTTGGGGGACGGGGCCATCTATCGACAGGGGATTGTCCGGCACCCTTGCCTGGACCGCATCGAGGTGTAATAATATTAATATTATTGCAAAGATGAATCATTCATGAGAACTTGGCTGGACAGGCTTCACGCCAGCCAGAGTGATGGGCGGGGCGAGATCGTCGGGAGAGGAGGGGAAATTCAAGGTCGAGTCAACGCAAAGTGGAGTGCAGGGGTCTAGCTGAAAAAAAAAAGGGAAAAGGAAAACCAAAAGAAAAGAAAAATCTTGCAAGAACACCAAGGACCAGCGTCGGATAGGGATTGTTTCCTTCGATCAGGGTGTACGATAACGGGGCCCGAGGATCGGTTGTCTGCTCCATGTACACTGCGTGTAATCCATGGTGGATGGATACATGTTGAGTTTACAGAACCGGGCATTCGGGTCATTCACATCAGTCTTGGGACTCATTGATGCAGAACAGCCGACACAGCAACGTGCGACTTCCCTAACCTGCGGGGTTGTGCACCAAAAGTTTTGGACAATCACAACCCCGCACCATGACGATTTCACAGCCTCAAGATTAGAGCTCTCTAGCTATCTATTCTCTTATTGCGGCGAGTCGTTAGCTCGGTAGATTGCCTCTCATTTTTGTCAATCCCTCTAAGAGTCCTCCTTTCATGTTGCCGACGGCTTTCCTGTGCACTGACTGCAATGATTCCATTGTCATATCCATTATATCTATAAACTGATACGAAGTACATCCCCGTTCATATGTGCATGGGAAGGGGATGCAGTGGAACGCGTGTTGTTCAGGTTCAAATCGAGGGGTGTTTGCGGACGGCTGTGAGGGAGCTGGTAGGCTCGGGTTTCATCCTTATTACAGATGATGATGGTCGTGGGGGCCCTGTTGCACGGGTTTTAGCACCCCCTGGCTCGCGATGGGAATGGAGGATTGAGGACAAGGGCTGGTAGACACAACAGTGAACTGACAGACACCAATGCCTCACACTGAGGTTCCCCGGGGAGGAAAACACACGCGCACATGAACGGCACAGAGGGGCGTATGGGGTGGGCTCATCAGGGTTCATCAAGGGCTCAATGGCAGGTACTTCTGTAATAAACGATAAAACTGCCCGTCGTTTTTTTTCTTCTTTTTTTACGATGCCATTTCTTAAAAGCGGAGTTTTATACTCCTCACGTCGCGGAGTATCTTCCGGACTAATCACTGGCTACACTGGCGGGTGCCCTGTGCAAAACGCTCCCCGGATGGAACCAGTCTCTGAGCACGACCCTGCCAGTGTTCAGTGCAGCGGGGCGAGTACCGAATTGAACTCGCCGAGCGCTCGAGCTTCGGGGCACCCAGCGAATGCTGCTGATCTTCTTTGTTCAGACTTGGATGACGATCGGGCATTGAATTTCAAATCGAGGGACGATTGTTACAAAGATTTTCAGGACTGCCGAGTTTCCCTATATCCGATCGTGCCGCCGTACCCTCTTCCAAGAGGGGTCTAGGCGACGTCAAGCACGCTCCCCCACCCCTTCGATCCCGGATGAAGGGTCTCGTGGGTGAACGGAGTAGTATTGGTGATCCATTGAATCCTCCTCAGGGGCGGTTGAGGAGGGGAATGGACCATGACCCTTGACTCGGATGATTCGTGATCACAAACGCAAGGGGGCACATCAGATGTTGGACAGCGGCAGAGAAACAGCGCCATTCCGTGCGTTTTCGCCCTCGCTCTCTTCAATCTCAAGCTATCAACCTTCAACACTGTCTGTGCTGTGAGGATTTCCAACTGTCAGACTGTCCGTGCGGCGTAGCGCCCTGCTGCAGTGTTGGCGTTGTATTCTTGGTTTTGGTGCGTGCTCATGTGCTCCATTTCCTCTCTCTCCTCAATGATCTATAATGATACTCTCTCAGTCGAGACTAATGAATTAATGTTATTCCAGATATGGTTGTCGTTGAGAGTAATGATTGCTGTTCCGCGACAAACACTGGCTCCCATCGTTGCATAATGGGGTTGCTCGCGCCGCGAGCTTGGGGAGAGCAAAGCAAGCACTTGGGTTGTTGTTCAGCGCTGGCGGATGGTTGAATCGCAATACGGTGCAGGAGAAACTGATCAATCTTGTGTCCTTGATGAGCTGGTAAGACTCGACAATTTTACCTTGGTGTCCACTGCCAAAGATGCACGCTGGAGCCCAACTTTGAGGAGGGCGCAGGCACAGGCGCGGAAGTTGAGTCGCCAGATACGGGCCAGGTAGGCGAGACAGCAGGGGGAGGGGGATGGATTGATCTCGTCTAGCATGCCCGCGTTGGGATTGATCAGTGGGCGATGACAGAAGGAAACCTCCGAGAAGAGCTCTAGTTGGCTGTGCGCTCTGGTGCGCCAGGGCAGGGCTGAGCAGGAAGAATTGTCGGGGAACGGGTGTGTGGGTTCATTCGCCTGAGCTTTGACCAACCACCAACATTGAACCCAGAGCCTCGCGTGGAGAAACAGCGAGCAGCCTGGCGGGTTGGGATAATTTCGATGCTCGCCAGGTAATAGGAAAGGAGAAGCATTGATAGGAAACGTTGTGACCAAAGAAAAGTACCTAGTGCATCCTCGCTGTAATTATTGAATTGGAGAGGCAGGGAATAAAAAAGAAAAAGAAACAGAAAAAAGCCCTTTTTCGTTTCTGCTAATTCCCCTCTGTATCGTACGGGGCGCGACCCTCTGTCCTCTCCTCCCTTTTTGTTTTCTTTTGCTTTTTGTCTTGTTCGTTTTTCCCCTCCTCATTATCGGCCACACGCTCGGCGGACCAGGTAGATGAACAACAAGAATATTGAGCCTCAACCATCAATTGATCGCTGGAGAGATGCATAGCGTGTGATAGAGAGAACATGAACCGACAGCGCGTTTTGGATTTGGATGCGGGCATGGAGCACGGGGCATGAACTCGCTCGACTCGACTCAACTCGACTCGACTCGGCTCGTTGTTCCCTATTGGTCCGTGCGGAAAACTCCATGAGGCCTCGTCATCCTCTCTCACATCACCTTCAATGAACCGCGACGACCGCGAGTGTTGCGACTTTGCCAACAGCACCAGGCCTAGCGCCAGTTCTAGCTCCGGTCCTCATCCGCCGCCTCGATTCGCCCCGCTCCCCCACTCCCGGTAGCCCTTTCCTTTTCGCGCGTGAGAGTCAGGTCAGGTCGGCAACCCATTGATCACTCACGCCGCCGCTGCTACAGGGACATCGCCAGCTTTTTTGCCCTGGCCCCCTTCCCCTTTCCTCCCCGTGCGCCCCAAAACGCCAGGGCATTCTCCGGGCATCCCCCTCGCATCCCCTCCTTCACCCTCTCGAGTTCAGTGGCACATCCAAAACATTGTGATTGGGGGCCCTGGTCTGCGTGGAATTGAGCGCCGCCTCCTCCAGCTGCCGACTCCTTCCTCCCGCCTCCCACCTACCGGCTCCCTCCCCCGGAGCGGCCCCCTTCGTCGCCCCACCTCCCGGCCCCCCGTCTTCCGTGTTTAGAGCCCGTTACCGTCATCTTTTTGTCTGTGGTGTGGAGCCTTGTTAGTCATGACCACATTCGGTCAGAGCGGCATCGACATCCTTTGCGACGCCGCTGCCGGTTCGGCTGCGTCTCCATCTTCACGTACCCCTAAACCGACCCCGGCGACAATCTACCCGGACAGGAGCTCCAGCGCCAAGCTGGTGCCAGCTGCATCCCCAGCTCTGCCTTCAGCCCCACAGGTAGAGGCCTCTGTTGCCTTCCCATCAAGGCAATCGAAGCAACCCAAAAGGAAGCACCCGAGCTCGCCAAGGTCAACGCAGCCGTCCCACGTGTGTCACATCTGCAACCGGGTCTACGAGAGGGCCGACCACCTCACTCGCCACCTGCGGGCGCATGAGAATGCGCGCCCCTACCAGTGCACGCGGTGTCCGAAGCGCTTCAACCGCGCCGACCTGCTCACGAGGCATGAAGCCACCCATGATCGTGATGGCGCTGAATCCGGCCGCTCCTCCATCCGGAGGAGCGACCGCGCGTCCGAGGCGTGCACGCATTGCGCTGCCTCCAAGGCCAAGTGCGAGGACGAGAAACCTTGTGCGAGGTGCCGGAGCAGGAATCTCCACTGCGAGATGCCTGCGAAGCGCTTCCACCAACTACGCACGCCCAACTCCTACGCAACCGCCGTGTCCACTCCCGAATCGCCTCCCTCCGTGACTGCTGGGCAGCAGGACTTCGCCCCAGGGTCCGCTTCGCAGGCGTCCCAGTACGACGCCGAGATGGATGGGGCCACGTTTGCCACGTCCCCCTACGGCAACAGCCCTGCGCCGCATTCCGTTGCCCATGCCGCACCCTATCCAAGGCAAAGTCCCGCCCCAACTACGTCCCTGCACAACCAACCGCAGCAGGAGCAACAAGAGCGGCAGCAACAGCAGCAGCAACAGCAACGGCAACAGCAGCACCAACCACAACAGCCCCCGGGTGCTCCCGATGGCGCTACCTTATTCAATCCATCAGGAAACTCGTTCCCGAACGTGGACTTCTCGTCCTGGGACCTAAACTTTGACAACTTCCCCGTCCCTCTCTTCGAGCCCTTTGGGCCGAGCCCGTCGACGGGCTCGACCCATTCCAAAACATCGGCCAAGGCAGTCATGAGAGACCCTGCTCGCGGTCACGAAGCCTTCAAGCGGTCGCCATGGCTTTGGGAGCCTGGTACGGAGGACTACCTCCGCCGCGAAACCGAGGGTCTAAACGTGATCGATGACCTTACGCGCGGGCTGAGGATTGAGCGTGTTTCAAAGGAGCTGTACCCCCACATTCGCATAGATGCTGGCATGCGAGACAAGCTCTTCGCCATGGTTCTATCTCAGAATAAGAACGGTGAAAAGATCCCGTCCTTCCCCTCACTTGGCCTGCTTAACTATATTCTTCTCGTGCACTTCACCCTCGAGGACCGCAAGTTTGATAGCTGGGTCCATATCGGCTCCTTTAGCCCTAGCACCTCTCTTCCCATCTTCATCGCCGCCCTAGCTACCCATGGCGCCATGTACGTCTCCTCGCCCGTGTTCTGGCAACTGGGCATGGCTATGCACGAGGTTGTGCGCCTAGCAATCGGCTATCATGTAAGAAACGACACCCGCTGCTTGGCTACAGCAAATTTTGAAGACTGACCCTTGCTACATACAGTTCGAGGATAGCAACTTTCATACCCGCGATCTCACCATGCTTCAAACATTCTCGTTAAACCTGGAAGTGGGGATCTGGAGCGGATTCAAGCGCAAGACGGAGATATCTGAGAGCTTCCTACTACCGCTCGTCACGGTACGCACCTCGGCAAATGCTGACCTCGCCAAAGTTTGTTTTCCGAATAGTTACTAACAAGGCTCTGTAGATGATTCGTCGCGCTGGCAGATTCTCTTTGCCTTTCGACTCACCCGACACAATTCCTTTGACAACAGACACACCCGAGGTTCTGGACCGCAAGTGGCGCGAGTTCATCAACAGGGAGTCGTACAAGAGGTAAAGACCCGATCAGCCGCGAATACGGCAGCATATCTACATCATGTCGTTCTACGCTATGCTATGTTTCTCGTACCCTCTCTAACCTCTGTGCCATGTAGGCTCGTGCTACACGTGTTCTTCCATGACGCCCAGTCGTCCATATTGCTCTGTAAACACCCCGCAATCTCCTTCACCGAACTGTGCTTCAGTCTGCCTGCTTCCAAGGATCTCTGGCTCGCGCGCACAGCCGACCAATGGCGTGACATTTACGTCGCCAAGATGAGCTCAGAATCCTCGGCCGATATACCCGGCATTTCCGAGGTGATGCACCATCGTGACCTCATCTCCATGTCTGGTGAACACGTTGACAAGGAGCTCTCCTACGTCGCGCTTCTCTACGGTTTCCGCGCGCAAATCTCGAGCTACTGGGAATCCACCAAATTTTACTCTGCTGGCCGGCAGCCCAACGCGCCTTTGGCCAACTACCCGCCTTGGGTCCAGATGCAGTACCAGACGCTGTACAGGGACCTCGGCGTCCTCGCCAGCCACGCTACCGCCGCCGTCCCGCATTCGCCGTACCTCGCCCTCAACTCCGAGATCATGATGATGACCACCCACGTCTCGCTCGACGACCTGCAAAAGTTTGCCGGCAAGGCTGGCGAGGACGAGGCCCACCGCGTCTCCGACGCCCTCGACCAATACTGGGCCACCACCCCCATCGCCCGCCATGCCGTCTGGCACGCCGGCCAGGTCTTCCGCCACGCCAGCTCTCTCCCGCCGGCAACCCTACGCGACTTCGCGGCTGTCGCCGTCTACTACGCAAGTCTCACGCTCTGGATCTACGGCCTTCTACGGCCAACCGAGGGTTCCTCCGCCACCCCGGGCCCCGGTGAAGCCCCTATATGCGTGCCGGTAAACGGCGAAGAGACCCCATTCACTCGCAAGTTTATCGCAAGCGGCCAGGAGTAGTCCCTGGTCTGCGCCTGAACGATTCGCTCGTAGAGCCGCTCTCCAAGGACGGCATGGTGCTCTCGACCGCGAGAGCCTTGTACAAGGCCAACTACCCTACCTACGAAGGGTCTCTGCCGCCCCTCGTGGAAAGTCTAGGCCGTTTGATTGCGGATCTCGAGGACGACGGGAAGGATGAGTAGCCCCGTGTTTCACTTCTTCTTCCTTCAAGAGTCTCTTTCTTTTTTTTTCTTTTTTTCATATCTTCCACTGCCTGCTCGCAGTAGCCACTAAGATATACTACCACTAGCTAGCTGCGAATCTCATCCCTTCCCTCCTAGATAATGGCTTGTTCCGTTTTCCTTGTTCTAGTTGGCATTTTTGATGGTAGAGGCGGGCGTCGGGGAGGAGTGGTGGGGTGGGATACCTTTTGACATATGTTGCGTCTGCTGGCTGGGTTTGGCAGCAGACTGGCGTTTCTTTCCCCATACATACATACATATATATATGTGTGTGTGTGAGTGTGTGTGAGTGTGTGTGCGTGTGTGTTGCTAAAAGGAATGTATATATATTTATGCAATACCTCTACACCCGAACGAGGCCTTGGCGGGCTAGGTTTTGGGATAACGATCGATACCTCTCTGTTGGTGGGCTCAAAAGTACGTTAATGCGAATTCGGTAGCTGATTTATTTTTGTATCCTCTTGATCCGTCTTCTATTCCCCTTCCCTGGACTTTGGCACGGACACGGACACGCGAATTCATCGTCAGATTTCAAGGAGTGGTCACAGGTTCAAAGAGCACGGTGGTGAGCGCAAAAGAATTATTTCAAGATGTATTGTGTATGTTAACATGAGAAGGCTCGGATATGAACGGACAGGCTGAAAAGAGGTGGCAGAGCAATCAGGGCTATGGAGGCTGTGCGAGGGAGATCGATCTTTTTGCAGAAAGAACAAGAGTTTAGATGGATGAGGTTCGGATGGCCAACTCGAAAATCCAACTTCCTACAGACCGAAATCCCTAGAAACAAATGAGGACTAGTAAAATCAAGGCACGGTTAAACGAAAAGGATAGCGTTTACACCCTCTTCTGTCTTGGCATAATGTAAAGTCGGGGGTCTTGGATATGGTGGAGCAGCGGTTGGTTCATCAACGACCCTGGGGCTGGGGTGGGACGGGGCCCAATTAGTGGGCTGCTGTGGGTACTCTAGAGAACAGCGGGTTAGTAAAGAGACTCGACGGCTCGCATTAAAATGGGGTGTCATGACGTACGACCAGGGCCTGCGGCCCATACCCGGACTGCGGCTGCCCGTAGGCGGGCTGTCCATACATTGGCTGTCCAGGCTGCCCATAGGCGGGCTGGCCAGGTTGACCATATACAGGCTGGCCCGGCTGACCATACGTAGGCTGTCCGGGCTGGCCATACGTAGGCTGTCCTGGCTGGCCATACGTAGGCTGTCCCGGCGGACCATAACCAGGCTGTCCCGGCTGACCATATCCGGGCTGACCCGGCTGACCCGGCTGTCCTGGCTGTCCCGGCTGGCCAGGTGCCGGCGGCTTGTGGCCAGGAAGGACCTGAGAACCGTACTTATGACCAGCGGCTATGACGGGGGTAAGGGTCTGCTCGAGAATGTTGGTGGTCCGGCCCACAAACTTCTTCATTGTTTTGTTGCTAAGAAAACCACCGCCCCCGGCGGCCGGCGGTGGCCCCGCAAATGAAGGCTTGTTGGGATAGGTCGGCTGCCCAGGTCCATAGGCAGAGGCCGCTGCCTGAGGTGCCTGGCCGGGAGCGTTGTAAGCGCCGCCTTGAGGCTGGGGTGGGGCTCCGTACGGCGTGCCTGGCGCGGAAGGAGTGGATGGGGTGCCGTAGGGAGAGGGTTGAGGATTTCCGTAGGGCGAGGACGCTTGGCCTGCTGGCTGTCCCGTGGGCTGCGGAGCCCCGGTTGACCGGCTGGTTGCCCTCCCGGTTGTTGGTTTCCGGGCTGCTGACCCGCGGGGGCCGGCATGATAAGGCGTGGATGCCGCAGGGATGCCCGTTTGCTGCCCGGGGATGGCAGGACCGTAATGGTATACGGGGCGAGCAGCGCCAGCGGCGGGTGCAGAGGCGGCGGCGGGGGCATGTTGACTCCCGGCCGTGGGGGCGGGGGAAGGGCAACGGGATTGTACGGCGGAGGAGGCTCGTTGGGGATAGCGTTCTGGGGCATTGGTTGTCCGATGGCGGACGCAGAAAGCGGTTGCGTGGGCTGGGGGCTGCAGGACCGTACGAGTGCTGTTGAATCGGCTGCCCTTGCGGTTGAGAGGGGGCTGGTTCGCGAGTGCGTGCTGGTGGGGCTGGGCAGGGGCCTGAGTCTGATGTTGAGAGGCGCCGGTGCTGTGGGTCGTCACTGGCGGGTGAGCACCAACGCTAGGTGGCTGGTTTTGCTGTTGGCCGGGCGGGGGTCGCAGCATGAGACGAGCCGTTAGGGGCTACGCTATAGACCGAGCTAGGGCGCGTCCCGCTTTGCACAGAAGGGGTTGGCTCGGACCTTGGGCTCCAGGAACGGGACCTGGCGTTTGCGAAGTTGGCGTGGGAGGGTTTGGTTGAGCGCCCGGAACAGGTTTCCGCCCAGGCGGGCCATGCTGCGATGCGGGTGACTGTGACTGAGGGTGTTGGGGAGGGGGCTTTGGGGGACAGTATTGCGGTTTGATACGCGGGGTGGACAGCGGGCGGGGTAGCGCTGTGAGGGAAGTACGACCCTGGCTTCTGTTGCGCAGGTCCCGACCCAGCGGAGAGGGGAGAAGCTGGACCATTTGCCGAAGGCGCCGCGGGTCCGTACTGATGCTGGTTGGGAGGAGGTGCGCCTGGGTTGAAGGAGGGAGAGATAGGAGTGCCGGCTTGAGGGGGAGCGGGGCCATAGACATGAGGCTGATTTTGCAAGGCCTGGCCAGGAGCCGCGGAAGGTGGGACCGAGGCAGCAACATGCGAAGGGGCAAGTGGGCCTTGCTGTGGATGACCTGGCTGTGGCTGGCCAGGTTGGACCTGTGCGGGATATGGCGGGCCTTGAGGAGGATGACCTGGACCGGCCATACCGAGTGGAGCAGGAGCACCTGCTGGAGCGGGGATGCAGCTCCCTGAGGACCCGGGAGCGGTCCGGGGCCAGCCGGAGCGGGTGGTTGTTGAGCGGGCCCTGGCCGGGCGGCTCCGGCTCCGGCACCAGCGCCGACACCAGGGGTGGGCGCGCCTTGTTGACCCGGCGGATGGCTACCGGCATTTTGGGAGGTCCTCCCTGCGGCGACCCGCCAGAGGGGTTGGGCGGTGCGTAGGGTTGAAATGGGGTACCAGGCTGATGGGTGTTGGGGCCTGGCCCTGCGGGACGTTGGGGGTGGAACGCTTGGAATTGGGCACCAGGCGTGCCCTGAGGCTGAGGCTGAGGGTGTCCATGCCCCTGGAGTGGCTGCTGACCCTGCTGAGGAACGGACGTCGGAGCGGACGACGAGGCAAGCCCAGGAGCGTTCAGGGCGACGAACTGCTGGGGCTGGCCATGTGGAGACTGGGCCTGCTGGGCCTGCGGTGGTGTGTTCTGGGCCTGCTGGAACTGCTGAGCCTGAGGAGGGGCTGAAGGGTGCTGCACGCCCGGCGGCCCCTGAACGGGGGCGCGCGGTAAGGGATAGCGGTGGCATACTGCTGCGAGGGGAGTCCTTGACGAGCATCCTGAGGTTTAGGCGGCTCTTCGACGACCTGTGGGGTAGAATCGACGACAATGGTCTGGGGTGCCGAATCCCGTGTAGGGGCTTCGCCTTCTTTCCCCGCATTCCCATCGACCTTTGGATCAGCTTGAGGAGGGCCAGGTTGTCCTGGTCCTGGAGCCTTGGCACTCGTCACCGGTAGCGGCACCAGCCCCGGAAGAGGGCCGGGCCGGCGGCGCCACCGGGGTTAGGGCGCTTCTCGTCGAGGAAAAAGCCCCAGGGATTGGCATTGGTGGGTGGCCGCGCCGACTGGGGGCTTGGCACGGGCTTGTCATCGTCCTTTGGCGGACCCGCATTGGCCGATCCGGCAGAATTGCCGGCCGAGTCTTGGCTCGGCTCGGGTGGGGGCGTGGGGATGACGGTGTCGCCGAGTTCGGCAATGAAGCCGACAGGACTGTTGCTCTTCACAACGGGGCTTGGCCCATATGCGGCAGAGTTGAGATTATGCGGGGGAGGTTGTTGATGGGGAGGGTATTGCTGGGGCGGGGACTGGGGATGGGGATAGCCAGGATGTGGTGTGTAGTGCTGGGGCTGCTGGGGTTGGTGAGGGTGCTGAGGGTGCTGCAGAGGGTGCTGCGGGGCTTGCTGCTGCTGAGGATGATGTTGGGGAGTGGGCTGTTGAACCTGAAGGGGTTGCGGATAAGGGGATTGGGGATGCTGCTGCTGGCCCTGCGATGGGGGAACATAGGGGCCATAGACGTGGGGGAGGGATGCTGTTGCTGTTGCTGTTGCTGATGATATTGTGGGCCCGGGATGGAGGGGGACTGAGGGCCTTGAGGACCGAGGTGCGCTTGAGGTGTCATGCCATGGGGTGGAGGATGACCGATCGGCGACTGGGGGCCGGCGTTAGGGTTAGGGTGCCATGATGACTTGGGGCTCCTTGCTGCTGCTGCTGCTGCTGCTGCTGTTGTTGTTGCTGCTGCCAGTAGACAGGCTGCTGGGGTGGCTGGTACGGCACGAAGTTGCCGCTCATGATGGGCAGCGAGGCGATTGTCGACGCCCTGAAACGGAAGTTCCTGCGTCACAAAGACACGGGGGCAAGTCGAAGTCTTTGGAAAGGGAAGAGTTGAGGGAAAATGACCAGGAAGGGGGAAAGAGGGAGAAAGGGAGAGGGATCAATGGGCTTCACCACTTAACCAGGCCGGGTGGGGTCTAGGTTTAGAGGTGAGGGAGAGGGTTTGCAAAACGGGTTGTCAGGCCAAGGTGAGGCTTTGACGGCTCAAGGTGAGACGCTCCGGCTCGTGGCGTTCAATCCTGTCAAAGGGTTGACAATTGAAAGGGTGCGGTTTGGGCGTGGTCGCTGACCAGGTTCCACGGCTCGCTGACCTCGAGGAACGAGAACTGCCAGAAGTGGTCTTCTTTTTGTTGGAGAAGGGGATTCAGGAGGCAGAGAAGGGCGGAAACGGAGGGGGAGATGCTAGGCGGCGGGCGCGATGGATAACGGGGGGGATTGGCACGGAGAGAGGCCCAAAGAGGGTTAAAGGGGGCGAGGGCCCTCGTGGAGATTGCTCGCTATTTCCCTCCGTTGGTGGTGGGGTCAGGCCGCTTGATTGAGTGAAGGTCGCGCCTGCTTCGTCGACCGTGGTACCGCTGCTCCCGAATGTTTGCTCCGAGACTGTCCAAGAGCCAGACGATGCACGAAGAATTATCCGGCCGATGTGCCACCTTGCACGTTGCTAAATATAAAGTAAAAGGGAGAATGGAGAGAGTAATAAAACGTGTCGAGAGGACTCCTGGGAAGTCACCGTTGCCCAACTGTTCCGTTTTTCTTTCATCTCTCAGGGATACGCGGAGACGATGAGGGAATGTGCGATCGGTCCGTGCTGTGTGGCCTCACATAGTGGTAATTCCCCTTCGGCGTCGAATAATCCAGGGCGACCCCTTTTGGCAAGCGCCCTCGCATCGGCACTAGCATTGCGCTTTCAACCAGCAGCCCCCGCTCCTTTCCTCCCATTGTCAATAAAACGTACAAGTACTACATATGTCCCTCAGGATGCATAACCTTCCAATGCCCAAGAACAGCATCAGCCTTTCATCATCAGGCATCAGCTTCATGACCGTTCGGCAGCTGCTTTCGAGGTCTTGAGATAGTGAATAGGGAGCAGAGGGCGCAGCACCCTGCATGACCTCCACTACACGACTGGCGGCCTGACCCACGCACGGCCATACATCGATTGTTGGCTGAATGGGGGTAGTTTTCATCGTTCTCTCCCCTTCGTTCAACGGTTCGCGTGCGGCTGAGGTGCCCTAATTTCCCGCCGTGGGCTTGGTGCTGCTTTTGGCGGAGCACGCGGGCACCAAGCACTCTTCCAATGGTCTCGTCGTCGTACCGAGACAAACGGAGTCGCATTGGGCGGGGCGCATGCACGCGCGGGAGAACATGCGAGCAGAGAGAGGGAGAGCAAGAGGTTGTGGCGCAGACGTTATCGAATCAAGTAAGCTTCGCGGCAAACTGTGGAGACGAACCGCCTGATGGCGGAACGCGATGGGAAAAAGAGGGAGAAAGGGAATAATCGATCGGTGGATCGTCCAAACATGCTCATCCCGGCCTCTGACCCTTGTGGGATCAGAATTTGAAGTGCTACTGTATCATTCTTGCTCTGGGCATTTTCTGGCAGCGGCACCTGAGCTGAGCAAGCAAAACCTTAGAAAACAAACTGGGTGATGCGGGACACAAGAGGGACTGCTGTGCGATGCGTGATGCAGGCAACCTAAATTTTATCGCAAACCCTCAAACCCCTCCTGTTTTAAAGTATGCCATAGATGATTGAGATACGATACTAAAAGAACAGAAAAGAAAAAAATTAATGCCCCAGGTTCTAGCTGGATCCTTTATCCTCTTGGTCACAGTGGTTGGCTGCCTCCGCTGGTTCGATTGAACCCACTGTTTTGAATGAGCGATCCTTCGCTCCCCGGACACGAACCAAGGCTGGTTGGTGTGACCGAGGAAAAAGGGTTCACCATGCAAGGGAGAAGGAAGAAAAAGGCCAGAAAGGAATTGAAAGGAGCCAACCCCGGACCAAGGAACAAAAGAAGTCGATAAAGGGGTCTCGGGTCTCATGCGAAGGCTCAAAGTGTCTCTTCCACACGTGGTGGTGGACGACGGTTCATGAGACTCGACCGGCATCTTACAGGCCATGCCGTGCTTTTCACCAGCGAGGAAATCTTAGATAAGCGTGTCAGGCTGGTTGGTAGCCACGGTCGGTTAGCTCAGTTGGTTAGAGCGTGGTACTAATAAGCTATCCGGCTTATCAAGTAAATGCCAAGGTCATGAGTTCGACCCTCATACTGACCACTCTTAACCCTTCTTTTTGTGCCCTTTCGGGCCATTTCCCTCTTATTTTTCTCCCAATTTTTTTTTTTATAAAAATAAAATAACATCCAAAGAAAAGGGAAAACGGAGAGTCATGTATCATGTCATCATCAATTGAATGCGAGGCTTGCATGCGCTCCATCAGGCTTGAGCTACGAAGTATTACCTCAGTGAGAGACTGAAGGGACCGTTTTTGGGGCCAAGCCAGGGGTGGAGGCACTGCCTTGCCAAATCAGGCCCCACCAATTTGGGATGAGACCCGATCCCGCGGGCCTGGGTATCATTGTTCCAACTCCACCGGGGTCAAAGTTCGGTCCTCAAGCCACATCAACGACATGTCCTGAACGGGCACCCCAGAGCCTACTTGTACAACTACACTCCCCCTAGACCTTAACACAATTCCCAAATCCTCATCGTTGCAAAACCCAGTCTATATTATTTCCAGTATAAAAAAATAAACACAATTGATACTGCCTACCTGCCGTTCCCATCAACCTTTCCTTATGGCGGTCCGGGAACCCCTAACCCCTCCCACACCCACCAGAGACAAGCACAATATACACCTCTTCTTCCAGAGGACAAAATTAACAAAACAGGGTATCCAGAGAAGCCAATCAAAAGCTTCCTTCCATACACCAAAATACAGAACAACTTCTCCTAGCCTTGTTCCAATATCGTCATCGTCTCGAGGCAGTTCAGTTGCCTGAGACTTCCCTTCCCCTTCCCCTAGTCCTTGATCCTTGCCCCGCATAGACAACATGTTCCCATCCGCAATTAGATGCTGTTCTCTTGGTATTCTTGTTGTTCCCAGATTGTGCCTGTCGATGTGTCCATAACAAGCCCGACTCTTTTATCCTCTGTTTGACATCTGAAGCGTCCAGCTCTTTTCCGCTTGGCATGCGGACATCTTTCACCCATCAGATTGCTGAGCATGGACTCGGAGTCTACTCGCGCTCTCGTCGCTCCTGGTTCCTCATCCTCTCGTTCCATTTGCGCTTGCCAGCCCTCGTCTCGTAGTGCGGTGCCACATTCTTGACATCCTGCATAATGGATTCGATGGCGGACCGAGCCTTGTTGCGATAGCAGTCCACTACAGAGCGAGGTCAAGACCCAGGTTAGACAAGTGTTCAATCATCCAAGAAGGGAGCCGGGGACGGGGGCGGAGGCGGGGGCGGGATTGCCAATAACCGTGCGTCGGTCAGCATCACTTACAAGCTCTTTGGAGGAACAGGGTCCGGCCGGAGAACACGCGGCTCTGGAGCCATGCCATCCTGTAGCCGAGTTCATTCAACCTTACTTCCTTGCCACGGAAGCTCCTCCGCATCCTGGGGACGATCAAGTCTCCCTCCCGGGTGTCGCCAAGCGGAACCCTAACCGACGCTGTCTCTCGACCCCTTCCTCGCCTTCTCGAGATCTCTCGTCCTTCTGTCTCGAGGTTGCCATTATCAGCATCGAGGTCATTTTGGAAGAAAGAGCTGCCAGTCGCGCTGGGCGGCGGGCTCTGCATCTCGCGAGGGAAGAAGCTTCGGGGAAAGACGCTGGAATCTTTGCGGAAGCTATCCGGGATTTCTTTGGTGTTGACTCCTTCTAGTGTGACTCGGATCCGGAGTCTTGAGCCGCGAACGTTATCCTCGACCAGGATGAACTTGCGCTTCTTCGCGTCGGGCATGTCGGGGAAGAGGTCGGCAGGTTCATCACTATCGGTCCGCGAGTGCCGCCGAGCAGTCGCGACTGCCGGCATGTGGCTCATGCCTCCAGGATACGACTGGCCTGAACTATACCCCGTGAACACCTGGGACGGACGAACATCCTCATCCTGGTTGGATGGCTGGTGGTGATGATGTTCATAGGTGGAGCCTAATACGGTACGAGTCCTCGTCAGTACAAAAGTCGCAAGGTTCAGGGAAGATACCAAAGGCCAAAGGGGAAAAGGGGAGGGAGGAAAAGCAAGTCGGGATGCAAGCGCAGACAGGGGGAAGCGTCGTGACAAGGATGGACCGATCAGCCGCCTTCCCCTTGGGAAAGCAACCTATTCCTCGCCAATGTTCCAACGCTTTCCCACCCATCGCGAGCGGGGAAGCTCATCCAAGGATCATAGCCAGTCACACCCCCTTGTTACGCGTGGGGGTTAACTTGGTTGGCGCGGGGGCTGACAGGGGAGACCAACTCGGGATGAGGATGGAGGCCAGGTGGGGTTTATGAGAGGATGGAAGCACTTGTCTCTACTTAGAGTGCCACCAGTCACCCTGCCGATTTGGGGCGCCACTGCATCCACCAAAAAGAACAATTGAGAAGAAAAGGAGGGAAAAAAGCACCGAGGTGCCAACGAATCTCGGGAGTTTGGGGGTCATCGTTTACGAGGTATGGCGCGTTTGCATGCGCTCCCTCGGATGGCCTCAACCAGCAACTTGCAGTTTTTAAACCCAGTCGTTCTTGGTGCTCTTCGAGGCCTGCTAACGAACAGGCAACAAAAGGGGTCAAAATGAACATCCAAAACCAGTGTTCAAGCAGAAAACAAATGCAACTTTTATGCCGCTCCCTAAGCATCATAATGATGATGATTGTAGTCTCTTTCTGGTGCTCTTCTCTGGCTCTCTTTGCGCTTCCCTCCTCCTCCTCCTTCTCCTCCCAACCCGGCCTTCGACAAGAATACAGGTCCGGTCGCAGTTGGCAGGATAAGAAGGAGACTAAATGACATCAGCAGCCAGCTAGTCGTACTCGAGGCCCTTTAATCTTGGTATTATACAAAACCTGCAGCCAAGGCACAGAGCGAATATCGCTTCCTCGGCAGGACAAGGGTAGCATCGGGTTTCGTAACCGTCGCTCGCTTGACCATGCCTCGCTTAGCCTGCCTGAGAAAAGACGACAAAAGAGAGAGAGAAATGAACAGTTTTGGGCAGGAAAAAGAAGAATTTGGTGTCGAACTCTGGTGTACCGAACTTCGCGTACGCATTAATGTGCGGCAGCTGCCTTTTCGAGTGAGATGCTGAGAAGAGACACTAGAAATTGAAACACAAAACGAGGTCCAAAGTGAGAGAAGCGGCGAAACGAGGAAAATAAACCAAACCCATCCCAACGTCCATCTAGCCGGGTCAAAAGGCAAAGAAATTTCAAGAGAAAAGGGAAGAAAAAGAGAGAGAGAGAGAGAGAGAAAACAATGAGAGCAGGACGACTTATGATGTCAAGAGAGGACAAACCCCGTATTGTAGTGTCGCCAGGGCCAGATGAACAGTAATAATAAAAATAGAGATATAGATAGGAATATGAGAGAGAGAGAGAGAGAGAGGGAGAGGGTCTGGCAGCAGAGCGTAATGAAAAGAGCTCGTAGTGACGAGGGTATGAAGAAGGCCAGAAAATATAGGTAGCAAATGGGGCTTTTGGTCCTGGGGCCTTGGCTGACGACTTGCCAAAACCCCAAATAAACATTTGAGGGAAAAAGTGATAAAATAAACTTGGCAAGCAAAACAAGCGGTATAGGTATCTCTAGAAGCGCAAGGGAGTAATATCGCCAGAAACAGTGTGCAGAGTGTAGTGGGCAATATGAACTAGGAACTCAACAGCCCAAGTAGAAAGATGGGACTGTGAGGTGAGGATTAGGGCCATCATCACATCTGTTGAAACATACCAACTGCATCACCGGCTCCCTGATCATGTTCCTGGGAGTGACCGGGATGATGGTGCATAGCCTGGGGTATGCTGTTAAGGGAAGGCTTGGTCATTGTCGGGCCGGGGCCCATGTGTGGAGGCGCACCAGACATCCCGGGACCACCATGGCCCGCGAGATGTGGGCTCTGGGAGGCGGTGCCCTGCATCGCCTTTCGATTGTTCAACTTCGCCATGCGTCGCACCCGTCGACTTCGCAACCTTGGGTCCTGATTGCTATTCCTCCAGCTGTCTACGGCTCGCTGAATCAATCCTCGCTTGCCACGAAGCGCAGGATTGAGCTGGGCAAGGGCCCAACCAACAGTGTTGCACTCAGTCTCGTAGACCTGTCTGTTACCCCGGTACTGGTCCTTGGGGCAGCATGCACGAGGATAGACGCAGTTTTCCGTCTTGAACTCGTGGGCAAGCTCATCCGTGTTGACAGACTCGACATCGCAACGAATCGTGTACTGCATCTTGACCCGGTCACGAGAGTATTCGAACGCGATCCACTGCACTCCATTTTGATCCTGTCGAACCACCAAGGGGTTGTCGCGGGGATGGGGCCAGGAGCGGCATTTGCATTGATAGCAGATGTTGCACTTGTGGGTGTCGTGAGCGGCGCGTTGCCGTTTTGAGCGGAATGGGACTGGGCAAGGGGTTGTGCCTGTTGGGGCTTCTGCAGTTGTACTGGAGGCTGCGGCGACATTTTTATGCGCGGGCTGTTAGACATGGGCTGCTGAGAGTGATGAGTTTGGTGCTGGTGCGGGTGCTGATGCTGGTTGTGGTGCTGGTGTTGATGCTGATGTTGGTGTTGGTGCGGGTGTTGGTGTTGGTGCGCGCCAAGCGGGTTGTGGGATGCGGTTTGCGCCATCATCATCGTAGGTTGAGATGTCATGGTCTGGTGCGTCTGATGGCCAACGGGCGGGTGCTGTCCATACGCAGATTGAGGCTGCTGGCTAGCGATCGGTTGGTACTGCTGCTGCTGGGGCGGGTAGTACATGGTTTGCTGAAGCGACTGCGCCGGGGGCTGGCCATAGATCCCACGATGCTGATGATGGTCATGCTGGGCGGGAGAGGCCACGGACGCTGGAGAATTTGACTGAGGCGCGTGATATTGCATAGGAGGATACGGGTGCCTCGGGATTTGCGTTGCGGCCATCATTTCGGAGGTGTCTGTTTGTCCCGTTTGTCAGTTTCGTCACTTAAACGCCGCCTTGCGGTCCTCCACCCGCTTCGCTCTGTTGCGAGACTGGGATCGCGACGGGCCCTGACAAGAGGACACGGGGACAGAGGCATCGACAGTTACTCACCTGCGGATGTGTATCCGCTGCTCGCACCGGGAGTGTTGTAGGTAGAATGTGCGTAGTAAGGAAGGCCTTCGGGCGAAGTTTGAGAGTTTCCGCTTTGATTGCTCGTCTGGGGATAGACAGAGGAGATGGGATGCGAAGCCTGGTAGGAGCTGTGATGCTGCTGCTGATTCTGGCTGGCCTGGGAGTGATGGGGCTGGACGATGCTTGAGGGCCGAGGGTATTGAGTCTGTTGCTGCGAGGTTTGCTGGCCCTGTTGCTGGTGGGGTTGATGCTGCATAGGATAAAGACCCATTAGTTCTTCTGTTGTCTGAAGGAGATGTCGACTGAGGAGGAGAGGGAAAGGATCAAGTAGCATGGGCCGGACGCGTCTGTATTTTTATTTTTCTCCCTTGCCTGGACGCTTGTCAGGGGTAGGGGATTAGGTTGGAGTGAATGTTCAAGGGTGGGTTCAGATTAGGGACAAGGGCATGGGACGGGTGCGGCGCGAAGCTCGATGCGGCCATGGGGCATGCAGACGTGGAACCACGACGGGGGTCGCAGGACTCCCCTCCGGCACTGCAAGAGGAAACGCATTGTTCGAGGATCAAAACAGGCCCTAAACAAAGCGCCAGGAGCAAACGACAAGCGGCGATAAGGGGCGCAGGCGAGAAGGTCGCTGTATACCTATGAGGATTCTTTTTAAGGTTCCAAAAGCAAACCAAGATTGCCGGGACCTCGAGAGGGAGGATTGTTTCGTGATGATCTCCTTCTTCCAAGACGGCGATCGTGTGAGCCAGCCGGGGGTGCGGAGCAGATTGAGAAGGGAATAGGAGGTAACCGGGGAAGTGAAGGGGGTTGAATGGGGACAGCAACTTTAAGGAGGGAGAGCAACTATGATGCGCGGCGCGAAGAAAGATGGGGAAAGGTACGCGATGCGAACTGAAAGGGAATCTGACGCCCAGAGAGGAAGCGTGGGGACAAGGCCTCCTGAGAGAACCGAGATTTATGACACTGGGCCGAGGGTGGGATCAAAAGTGGAGAAACCAAGGTGGTTTTCTGGATTTGTGGGCGTGTCACTCACTCAGCGAAGAGAAAGACGAAGGACGAGGGCTTCCTGGCCTTGCGCTGCGTATGCGTCTTTTGATGCGGTTGAACGACGTGTTGATGAAGTGGTACGAAGTACGTTGAGGCGCGGAAGTGTAGGGGGTCATGTCTAGTTAAAGGAATGTCCCATCACCCGCCATCTCCCAGCTCTCGCCCAGCTCTCGCCCAGTTGAACGGGACGTGAAGCATGAACACAAGTCACGGTCAATTTTAGGAAACGCTTTGAGACGTTTTGTGCTGGTACTTGCAGCTGCGCCAAAGGAGCTTTTCCTGCTTTCGGGTTGTTGCCCACCAAAATGAATATTGCAGGATGGTCCAAAGTCGGAGGAGAGGGGCCGGGGTGGGAGGGCGTATGAGACGAGGTGGCACCCCTCTCCGCCCTCCCTCGAGCAGGGGGAGGACAAGCCAGGAAAGGGCAAAGAAAAGGGGGAAACCAGCAGGAAACACAGACGAAGGGGGTCAATGGATCCTTCCAGCATGATCCTAGTGGTAAAGCGCATGGGGGCTGCGTCTGACAGGGGGTGTGGAGCTACTAAACACTGGTCGAGATTAAACGACCAATGGTCATGCAGCCAACCTGGCCGCCGCTGCCCAATGGGGAACATGAGAACCGGGGCTAGAAAGCCGGACCAGAATTCCAGTGGGTTGGGTCTGTGAGGAGAGCTAAGCATACCCCCTTCTAAACCCAGGAGTCCTGGACTGGACTGGATTGGACTGGCTGGACTGGCCACAAGTGGCCTTCGGGCTCAATTCTTCGCTGCCACTGGCGCAGGCGGTGAGGACGCGGGTTGAGTTGGGTTGGCTGGAACGATTCGAAGTACCGTGGCCCACAGTGCACATCTTTGTGCCGTACTGTTTTTTTGGTACCCAGGCTTTCGTGCCAGCCACACGACCGACCGTTCCCACGAGAGACGAGACGAGGGGAGACCGCCCATCGCGTGTGCTGAAGAACCCCGGTCGCGTTCCTTCATGCCATCACCTAGTCTGTGGGCCCCCATGTCGCATCCACGTCCCAAATCCTGTCCTTGAGGATCAATTCTCGAGGCTCTTGCGGTCCTGCCGCGCACAGGACGTGGCTCGCTCACCAGTCAAGGGATGATCGAAACAAGAGGGAAGATGTCGAGATCCCGCGCAAATCATGTTTGCTCAAGAGCATCCATGAATCCCGAAAGGTGTTTTGGACTCGACTGAGTCTTGAAAGGGCAAACTGTTGCTCTTTTCTTGGGGAGGTGGGGGTGGGGAGGAATCGATTAGTGTGCAAGAAAAGGGGTGAAGGTGATAGCACTGCAGGTTTGGAAATGAATCAATGGAAGCAGGGCGAAATGAGACACTTTCCCTTCGCCTCACTCCACCTCCCTCAGAATTGTGTGGAGGAAACGTTCCACGCGGAGAATCTCTCACGCAAAAAAAAAAAAAGCGCCCTCAATCGTGTCAATGCTATTCAGGGATGGGTCCATCACACCCGGCCAGCGCTAAATCTTCCCCTTTTTTTTCTTCTTCTTCTTCTCGAGCGGCACAGAAGTGGTTAACTTGCTTTTCGTCCAAGACAAGCTCGGGACAGGTCAAACTTTCTCCCTTGTTCTGTGCACGCCTTACCCGCAGGTTCGAAGCCATTGCACCACTTGTGTTCCGACACGCGCCAAGCGTTGGGCGGCGAGCATGTCACGCTGCCGGGCGGCCAAACGGCCTCCATCTGAGAGTCTTGCCAATCAGGGAAGCGTAGAGAACATTGAAGTGATGCAATACCAGTGAAAACAAAGGGCAAAGAACCCCGACAAACCCACTATCAACGGCCGCCTTGGGCTATTGTTGGCAGCCCCCTCAATGATTCCACTCTAAGACGATACGCCCTTGAAGAATGCGAGAGGCGGGATGGAGGAGTGCTCAAACGGGTGGAGGCCAAACTCATGTGCCAACAGACACATTACTAGCGAGGTCTGCACAGATGAGGTCTGTGGCGTTTGGGCCTAACTGGAGAAGCAATTTGGCAGTGCGGGGTGTTTGAGCTGACGGGTGTCCAAGCTTTCCGTGCCCTGGACGGCCAAAACCATGCCCCGGTTTATGCTTTTTTTCCATTTGATTTTCCTTTGGGGGATCAACTGATCCGTGGCTTTGGTGAAACAGAACACCAACCGCCTTACCCCTGTAACCACTTGATTTCCCAATTGACACAAGAGAGTGCACGGCGGACAATCACCAGCCAACCCCCAAGGCCTTTGGCTCGCTTGAGTTCATAACCAACAATCGCGGGCCCAAAGAAGGTGCCCGAACGCTTTGCCGAAAAAGACGAGCAAGCTTGGAGTAGAAAGCGAAGGGTAGGCCCGCCAGGTGGATCGTGAATGCAAAACAAAAAGGAATAAAAAGAGAGACGGCTAGGGAAAGGGCCAAGAAACGACAGCGGAGTCGGCAAGGCGAGAAGTGGTCAAAGGTGAAGTGGGTGTAATAAACGGTGTGGTTGAAATAGAAACCAGGAAATAAACTCACAAGATCAACACCAGCTTCTTGTTTGATGTACCGGCCGGGCGGCTGGTGATTCTGGGCCATGGTCGGTCGCCTAGCCTATCAAGTTGACTGGAGTCAATGAAACGAACCTCCCTTAAGCTACAAGCAGATGGAAGGAAATGTCAGCAAATACTGAGGTACTGGTCCGGCTTTCGGGGAAGGCACACTTGACGTTGACGGCGGTTAAGCATCAATCAAAAGACTAGGAACAAGTCGCCCACGAAATGCGGAAGGAGAAGAAAAGGGAACAGAAAGAGAGAAAAAAAAAAAAAAGAAAAAGGAAAAAAAAAAAAAAAACACTAGTAATGGTAATGATAAAAAGGGGCCACGCTCTATTAGCCCTGAGAATGATCAATGATATCGGTAGATAACACAAGGGTCAACCTGGGAGAGAGCCCCTTCCAACAATTAGGGGTCGGGAAAGGGCAGGACAGCGACGACCAGGCCAGAGCGAGAGATTCCAGAGCGAAGCGTGGAAGCTTCGAACAACTATAATTAGCGCACAACCAATTTGGTCTCGGTTGGCGCTCCCTCTTCATCAAGCTTCATGTCTCTTGTCAACAAACGGCCCCCAACGCAAGAGCAGTTGGGGTAAGTCCATCCGTTTGGCGCGGCAGAATTGGTGACGGGGGCAAAATCGGTGTTAATCGCAAGGAAACGTACGGGTCCTCTTCAGGGTCAGGCTTCTCTGACATGCGTCGTCTATGTGCACAATAAACGTTCCTGCATGACAGGCGAAAAAGCGGCATGGGGTGGCTACAGTCCCCCGATGATTCGAATCCCTGGCCCGTCAAGACACAGACACGTGGGGAAGGGAAGAGACAGGAAAAAGATAGTCCAAGGCAGGAAAAAAAAAAAAGAGAGAGAGAGAGAGAGAGAGACAAAGAAAACCCCGGTGCTTACTTGACTGGCGAATTACTTTGAGCTCTTGTCTCAACTGTCGCAAAGGTCGTTCTGACGATTGTACGGTGCCGATATCAGTCAAGTCTCCAAGCGTCAGCTTGTGCCGATCTCTCTTTCAGTGCCCTCCTTCTACTAAGTATTGAAGGTGCGAGGTCGAGTCTGTCGAATGGTATGCTGCCGGAGAGCAACGGTCCGGGTCGGCACCGAGAGGTGGAAAGAAACGCGCGGGATCAATGCGAGTTTCACTTGGATCAAGCGCTGTGACCCGACAAATAGTCGAAGGGTGAGGATTTAGTAGAGCCCGGCAAAAGAAAAAGAAAACCAAAATGGGAACAAAAGCTAACGTGTTCAAGCTCTCCGTTAGGCCAGACGCCTTTCCAGAGTGGGAAAGAGAGAGAGCAGGAGAGGACGGGTTAGGCTTGGGAGAGGACAGTGGATCAATACACCCAATGGAGAATCAAGTTGGGAGAGGGATATCGTCAGGGTATTGTGATACTCACAGGCGTTGGACTGGGCTGATCCCAGGCCCACAGGTTTCTCGAATCGGAACAAAGCCCGGATAACGCTGCGCTCAGAACTGAGAAGTAAAAAGTGCTGGGCAGTCAATCTTCTCGTGGCAAATGCAGGAGACCCACGACGGAAATGCCACTCATGTAAGGTATTTGGATGCCTCGTCGTATATATAAAGTTGATAATGAGTACCCTGCTCGGCCCACATCAGCGATTCCTCTCCCTATTACTTCAAATTCAACATGGGAAAATGATAGCTGGTATCCAAACATCCCAGGATTTGACAGCGCCAGC